CTTTTTCAAGAAAATTTGGCTACTTTACACCAGTAGAATCTTTATCATACCGTTAGTTCATTGTAAAGCTGCCTCTTGGTGCCCAATAATATATAAGTCAATTCATTTTATTTTACAGAGTCAAAACTAAAATGAACAACTGGACTTTTCCTTTTAACTGAATATTGTTTTAAATTTTCTACTAAATCATTAAGGTCTTAAACATTTAATTATGATATTTTATATTGTCCTCATCATGCCTACACAACCAGCACCAAGACTGTTCCCATTTGAGAATCTGAATAGGTTGTACAAGGCAAAATTGGGTAAGTTGAGAGTCATCTTTTATTTCGATTTGTTTATCCAGCTAGATATGGTTTTTTTTTATGCATATTGTTCCACATTTTACTGCATGAGGAGCATTTCTGCGATGATCTTAAGGTTTTGGTGTCTTCATTGATAGAACAGGCATGTGGTAGTTCTTCTGCTTGTTTGTGTAAGGGGAGGAGAGGAAGGGAAGGGAAGATGTCCTCTTTTCTGATCCACTGATCCTGGTATAGGTTTTTCTTGGAACAGATTTACAATTGCTTAGGTTTTGATTCCTCTTGTCAAAACTATGTATTGGCTTTCTCTGCCAGTTCTAGTAAAGCTGAGATTGGACTAATTGATATTTTGTTTAAGCTTGTTAAACCCTGATCAATAAGGGATCTAACATCTTTTACTGTGTTTTTGGCAGGCCCAACTTCTGGTATGCTTGGCCCAACCTTAAAAAGTTCTTTTATCTATTGTAATATATTTTCTAAAACTTTTTAAATACTTTACGTGGAGCAGGGAGATTTTGTGGACTATTCACTTGGATTATAGACAGGAGAGATACCAACTTAAGTGGAATGGAGTTCGTTAAAAACACAGAAAAGAATTGGGAAAGTTTTTGAAACAAAATCTTTTATATTAATTCATTCATCTACGCATTCATACGCCATGCATTGCGATCATTTTTCTTCTGGATTGCATAATAACAATTGATTTATTTATTTATTTATTTTTATGCAGTGCTGCAAACTAGGAGGAATGCTTGAAAGAGATGGATTTGGATGGGATTTCGACCAAGACATGGTATATTTCTTTTAATTATTTTTTTTCCATGATTATCTCTAGTAATATTTGTCAATTTTTGTTCAAATGTCTTCGGTGGTGCAGATTTTGTGAAGTATTTGTCCCGGTTTGCAGTTAGAGATCACCCATAAAGAGTCAGGAAGTTTCTGAAATCTAATCTTTTTGTTTTATACATTCACCCATTCACATATCATGCATTGCACTAATATGAATTTTGCTGCAATATATTTTTTTTCTTTTTCAATATTGCTGCTGTGGGACAAGGAAAGAAGAAAGGAGTGGCTACATAAATGGACTCTAGTAAGGTGAAAATTCATTCTCCAAATGTGTTGGGTGTAATATCCTACGAATGAAAATTGTTAATTTCATTTAGTTGATGATTGGGTGCTGGATTTTGGTTGTGGCAGCTTGTTGGGATTGCGGCGTCGAGGCAATACCAACCATTAGAGCACTCTACACAAGCTGGTTAGGCATACTTTCCATTACCACTAATTAACGTTTCATTTTACTTGTCTAGGTCATAGTTAAAGTTGAGTGCTCCATACAAACACTGTCAGGTGTGAGGTAATAGCATAAACTAAATGTCAGTATACTATTTTATTTTTTCATCCCTTTAATTTGCAGGACCAAGCCAACAGTGTGTGATTAGGATGGCTTTGGGTGGAATGTGCTGTCAGGTTGGTGTTTTTGGAAGTGAACCAGTGATGTGGGATTGCGGCGTCGAGGCAATACCAACCATTAGAACACTCTACACAAGCTGGTTAGACATACTTTCCATTACCAACTAATTAACGTTTCATTTTACTTGTCTAGGTCATAGTTAAAGTTGAGTGCTCCATACAAACACTGTCAGGTGTGACGTAATAGCATAAACTAAATGTCAGTATACTATTTTATTTTTTCGTCCCTTTAATTTGCAGGACCAAGCCAACAGTGTGTGATTAGGATGGCTTTGGGTGGAATGTGCTGTCAGGTTGGTGTTTTTGGAAGTGAACCAGTGATGTGGGAGTTAGGCAGTGTTGCTAAAATTTGCCAAATCTGGCTTAGATGTGAATACTGAAAAGGTAAAAACCTTGTTAAATTCATAACTATTGATTGACGAAAGATAGATCTTATGTACTTAACTCTCGTTGAGGTAATTGCATAAGCACATTACGTTGTACAAATCCTTAATTAACATTTCTTTTTTTTCTTTTCTATTTTTTTTTTTAATCTAATTTCTGCACTCAAATACCATGATCAGTTTTTCAAGCAATCAAATTAAACTTCCAACATAACTCTACTTTCATCGTTTTTTTGTGCTATATGTGCTAGTCTTTAGTTTTTCATTGATTATGTTTCATATCTCTTTGGTTTAAATATTTGTTTGGTACATGGTGTATATTTCCCACCTATAGGTCTTTTTTTGTTTGAACATGTAACCTGGGAAGATTCTGTTTCTTGAAGTTGTTGTGCTTTGACTCACAAGAAATGAAAGGTCCTTTCCTTGTCATATCTTTTTTGTGCTACATGTGCTGGTTGTTTGTATTGTTGTGCTACTTTTTTTTTTTGTTATGCTACTTTGTTTGTGTTTGTGTGTTGTGTTTGTGAATGATATGATGTGCTTGTGGTATCTTTTTATGGTTAGTGTGTTGTGGTTATTATATATATGTGCTTGTAGTATCATTTTGTGTTGCTTTTGCTGGTTGTTGGTATTGTAATGTTGTGTGATGATGCTGTGTAATGTTGAGCTACTTTTTTTTTTTTGTTATGCTACTTTGTTTGTACTTGTGTGTTGTGTTTATGTATGATATGATGTGCTTGTGGTGGTTTTTTATGATTGTGTGTTGTGGTTATTATATATATGGTGTGCTTGTGGTATTATTTTGTGTTGCTTTTGCTGGTTGTTGGTATTGTAATGTTGAGTTGTTCGTGCCGAATTGTGATGGTGTTGTGTAATGTTGAGCTTTTTTTTTTTTTTTTTTTTTTTCTGTCATGCTACTTTGTTTGTGCTTGTGTGTTGTGTTTATGTATGATATATGATGTGCTTGAGGTGTTTTTTTATGGTTAGTGTGTTGTGGTTATTATATATATATATATATATATGGTGTACTTGTGGTATCATTTTGTGTTGCTTTTGCTGGTTGTTGGTATTGCAATGTTGAGCCGAATTGTATTGGTGTGTGGTTCGGCTGAACATACTGTGCTTATGGTGTCTTGTTGTGCTGCTTGTATTGTGTTGTATTGTTTTGTTGTTTTGTTTATGCTTGTATTTATATATGGTATGAAATGCTTGTGGTGTTTTTTTGTGCTACTTGTATTGTTTTTTTTGTTGTGTTTTTATATAGTATAGCGTGTTGGTCGTATCTTTTTTGTGCTAATATGTCTAGTTGTTTGTATTGTTATGCTATTTTGTTTGTGCTTGTACGTTGTGTTTATGTATGATATGATGTGCTTGTGGTGTCATTTTATGCTTGTGTATGTGTTTAGTATATATATATATATATATATGGTGTGATTGTGGTGTCTTTTTGTGTTGCTTTGTTGATTTTTGATATTGTTATGTTGGGTTGGGTTGGGTTGATGTGATTGTGATGTCTTTTTGTGTTGCTTTGTTGGTTGTTGATATTGTTATGTTTTGGTTGTGCTTGTGTGTGTTCATGTATGGTATGGTAATGCTTGTCATCTGTGTGTTAATGTATGGTATGGTGATGCTTGTGGTGCCTTTTGTGCTGCTCTTAGTATGTTGTACTTGTGGTATCTTTTTGCCTTGGCTGTGCTTGAGTGTTTTGTTTATGTATAGTACAGTCTGTTGTTTGTTGTGACATATATTAGATCCAATTAATGTTGTTTAAGTTAATGCATGTGTGAGAATGTTGTTGTACTGTCCATCTGCCTCGGCCGAGTTTGGCTCGACAATATACTCATATGTCGTAAACGTGTTTTGACTCAATTTTTAGTTTGTGTTCCTCTACAAACATTGAAGAACTTTGCTACAAGATTTGGATGTGATTTCAACCAACCGATGGTGTTTTGTTTTTATTGATCTTTTGATTTTATTAAGTATCTATTGCTATAAAAAATTTTAATTACCTTAGGTGGAGCAGGCGTTGCTGACTATTCATTCTCGGATTTGCAGCAGGAACACATTCATACATCTTGCATTGCACTCGTTTGTATTATGATGCTTTTCGTTTAGATTGCATAGTAACAATTTTTTACTGTATTATGCAGGAGCTGCAAACTAGGAAGAGTAATTGAAAGAGATGGATTTGGGTAAGATTTCGAGGCATGATATATTTTTTAATTATCTTTTCACTTATTATCTCAAGTGATATTTTTCATTCCTTTGGTGGTGCAGAAGTTGGGGAGCATTTATGCCGATTTGCAATTACAGATCACCCATTAAACAAACAGGAAGTTTCTGAAATCTTACTATTTTTATTCATTTTACTCTTTAACATTTTCTCATCCACTAAAAATTTTAAACATACATCGTACTCAAAGAAAAATACCCATAAAAGATTAAATTATTGTTTGAAGGATATATACTAAAAATATAGAAAGAAAACGTGCGAATATACTCGTATCTGGTCAGACATAACTTTGATTCTACTTAATTGAATTTGAAAGTTTAGGGTGGTGTTATCTTTTGCTTTTATATATAATACAAGGGATGAAAATAATGATAAAAAATTATCTTTTATAATAAAAATAAAAAATAAAAAATAAAGTTTTATATACATTTTTTGTGAGTTAATTTTTTATAACAGAAAAAAAAACTCATAAAAAACTCACACCCAAGAGATTTTACTGTTTTTTAAACCAACCAAATAATCAGTCATAGTAACTGCCGGTATTCAATCTATAAATTTAATAATACTACTTTCAAAAAAGCATCTCTATAAGATAGGCTGAAAGAAACATAAGAAATGACAGTAATGCATTTAAAATGAGGTGTAAATCAATGTATTGCTACTGCTAGGAAGGAGAAGGCATTAATTAATAATAAGTTATTCTTGACTTAACTACCAAAACCATACCAGGGACCAGAGAGGCTACCGGTCATCAAGGATCACTTCTTAGCTTTCTTATTTCCCCTGCAACAAAAGTTTCAAAAAAACACAACAATTAATTTGGTAAATTATACATTGTGCAAATGGCTGGTAAGCAGTTGCTGATTCACTTACTGTGCAGACTGAGATGTAGGGGCCGGGGCTGCAGCAGGTGGTGCAGATTTCATTCCTGGTCCCTGCATTATATAAGATTAGCAAAGTGAAACTTGTGATAACTCACAAATACATATCAATAGGTCATCACAAAGCATAAAAAAAACATAGGGACAACTGAACAACACTAAGTTTAATCGATACAAATCACTTCACCCCTGAGGTTCATATTGTTGAGGAATTGATCAGTTTCAAAACTAGATTACAGTATCATGGCACTTGAGCCGCGACGTACCTGTGCAAGGCGCTCCTCCCTCCTTGCAATCTTTCTTTCCCTGCTAGCTTTGTTCTTGGCTCTCTTGGCCTCAAACTGGTCAGACAAAGTCTTCTCCCTTGCCTTCTCTGCCTTTGACTTGTGAATGCTCTCCATCAACACACGTTTGTTCTTGAAAACATTTCCTTTTACTTTCATGTACATATCATGATACATGTGCTTGTCGATTTTCTTTGACTCCCTATACTTGCGAAGCAAACGCCTGAGGACCCTCATCCTCCTCATCCAAAGCACCTTAGTGGGTAATCTTGCCTCCCTTGTACCCCTACGTTTACCTGAAATCATCCGATGACATTTTAAAAGGCTACGCATTCATATAGCCCAATCAAATTGGTTAAGAAGCTCAACTCCAGTCACCAAATGTAGAACTCATGGTGAAACAATTGTATGCAATGTTTAAGAATAAGTGGGACCATTAAAGCATCACATCTAAAGCATAAATGCATCTTCAGGTACGCAACATAAAAAGGAATGATGTGTGTAAAAGAGATCCAAGGTGCATGAGCACGAAAGCCTAGTTGTAAATGGCTTACTGTCCGCACTAAATTAATATATTTCTAATATATGTAATAAACATATATATGCAATTAGTATAAAGCACTTTATATAGGCAACAAAATCATTCAGGCGTCTTTAAAGAAAATATGAAATATATACAACCAATTAAAATAACTTTAAGATACTAACAGAGAAGAAAAATAGAAAAAGAAAAGGAAAAGCTGGCAGCTACCAATCTCTGTGAACCATTCAAACATATCTACACAAGTTTGGAAAAACAAATAGATAAAACAGTTCATTTATAAAAGCTCTAAACTAATTTTTGAAAAAAATAAATAACTTTGTATGGAAAACTTAAACAGCAGCTGCAAACTACCCTAACTGGCAAAAGATTAGCGGCACACTGGGAGATGGAAGTGTTAAATGGCAAAAGTGCTATATGGAAAACAGGAAAGCTGAGGCCATGGAGTTGGAGAAACTAAGGAAGAAAGATGAAATAAAATTTCCCATATTCTTATTTAATTAAATAAAAACAAAAAAGCCATAATTAATTCTAATAAATAATAAAATATGAAAACAGTGCCATTGGGAGTAACCACGGGTGTTAGCCATTTTAGGCATGCAACATGGGGCAGCAGGGCAAAATGGCACGCACCATGGGCGCAGAGCCATTTACAACCGAGCAAGACAACAAAATTCCATTACAAATTAAACAACTATCTACTGCACTCTGGGAATTAGAAAGCAATACCATATCCAGAATGACGCCCTTTCCTCTTGGCTTCCTTCATTCTTCGAGCTCTAGACCGTGAGTGAATTTTGGTTGGCTTCCTAATAATAAACCCATCCTTGACCAATTTCCTGATGTTTTGTCCTGCATTCAAATAAAGCAGGCGTAATGTCAACTGAAATCATCAGATAGAAGAACCTAAATAGCAGCAAAGATTCAAACGCAGTAAAGAGAACATGAAGACATCAACAACATTCAGCCCACGGGCAGCTAAGCACAAAAAATACCAAGTACCATTGAAACTCAAGGAATTGCATACGAATGTATCATTCAATATAATAACCAGAGACCACATTGGGCTCATAGGGCCACCAATGTTGAACTGCAAACCATAAAAATAAAATAAAAACCATATAATACAATAATCTGATCTTAAACCCTAATTTCTCGTATGTGCGAAGACAATCAAATGGATAATTCAGCGATCGATACCGACGACAGCAAATATAAAACAGATGACAGATAAACGGGAGCAAAAGTCTACATGAGCAAACAAAAATCCTGTAGCGATTACAATACGTGCGAATGGAAGAGAAGTGGGAGGGTTAGCGTACGAGAGTTTGCCATGGAGACCTCGTTAACCTCATTAGGATCCAGCCAAACCTTGCCCTTCCCGCACTTGAGCACGCTGGCGGCGAGCCGCTTCTGCAACTTTAGCGAGACCATTCCGGCGGCGGCTTCTCTGGCGGAAGTGAATGAAGCCTGTGGAGGCAGCAGAGATTTGCCCTACCTATCTGTTGCTGCTATACACTACAGTACAGCCTTGCTATCTGGATTTTTGGGCCCTTTCAGCATTTGGGCCTCAAGCCTAACCTTTGAAGTGAATTTTGAGTTTGAAAATTTTAAATTTAAATTTAAATAATTATTTATATAATATAAATATATATATTAATACAATATTTCATATTTGAATATTAATTTTTTTAATATAATATTAAAAAAAAATAGATATTTGATTTTACATTTTAAAAAAATATTTTATGAATAATACAAATAGGACCCAAAACATACGAGTTTATGATGTTGTGTTCACTCAGCATTTATTTTCAAATTTTCATAATAGTTAACAGCCATTAGTTAGCTAAATTAAACATAGGTAATCTGCTCGATCTTTCCCATGCAAGGAAATCCGTGGGAATTTGTAATGCGAACAAGGAGCTTGTGTAGCGTGAAACATGAACATGGCCAGTGCAGTCCAATGCAAGCAGCAGCATATCTGAAAGCATAACAACAAGAATTCCAGTATTGCCTACTTTCTAAATGTATAATATTATATAATGAGATCATAAATCATAAATGAGAAAACCTGATGGAAGGAGCAGCCTCGATCTGTTGCTGCTCTTCAATTCTTTCTTGTTCAAGTCCTCTTCTTACCCTTTATGCTGTCAGTTGACTGCCTTCCATTCCGAGGCAGAGAATGGCCTTGCCCGCCACCTGCTGCATTTCCTGATTTTCGCGGAGGCCCCATTTTTAAAATAGGTGTCCTGAATATTGATTGAATCATATCATATAGTATATTATTAGAACTTAGAAGACAAAATAGGTGTGTGTGAGTGAATGAGAAGGCAGTACCTGAATTCTGTGGTTTTCGATTGCTTGGAGTTGGTTGTACTCATCTGGACCTTTGAATCACTGCTGAAACTCCCATGTTTGGAATTGTTGAATTGCCAGAACACATCTGGCTCAGATGACCCGCTGCAGGTTCCAGTTTCTTCAACCACATCCAGACCATCATCATCGTCGTCGTTGTTGTCATCATTGCTATTAGCCTCAACTTGATAATGATCTGCAGGAAACAGGCCTAATGACCTGTCCGAATAATATCTGCAAGAATCTGATAGATATTTCTGATAAATTACATCAGAAGCAATGTTGCCATTTATATTAGCTTCCCAACAGCCCCGCCTGTTATATGCAGTTCCGTTACTAGAATCTTGCTTATTCACCATAAGCTTGTCCACCCACTCACCCGAGCTCACTTCTCTGTCATAATCATCGTCCTCGTTAACATCACTCTCGTCGTGCCCTCCATTATTATGTTGGAAAGGGCTGCTACTGCTGCTGCTGACAGGAAGCCACGGAGGGTAATCTCCAAGTTGCTCATCGAGATCCAAACTTTGCCTCTTTTGCCTCAAAGCTGATTTCCTGCGAACCTAATGACAAGTATCCCACAAGATAGAAGGATGGAACATTTACCATTTTGAGCTGCAACACAGTTCTAATGTTGCCATACATACTTACTGATGACAAGTTCTGAGGTAAATTCATTTACCTCAATATTGCCTATGTGTTCAATCATTGGTTTCCTTAGCCCATTTGGTGGCTGCAAGCCTGCATCTGGAAGCTTTATATTAGATTGAAAAGATGCCTCCTGCATCTTTCTTCCACCATCTTTCCTTGTTAAGGCAGCTTTAAGACTAGCAATCTATCAAAAAAATACATGGTGTATGTCAGCTTTCAGAAGACATGAGAGGAGCCTGATAAAATGGCAACAACAGAACCTGTTCTTTGAGATCCTTGGCATCAGCAGAATGACCTTTATTCACTCGTGCAGCACCAAGTTCAACACTAGCCACACGTTCAGCAAATTTAAGTGTGCTGATTGTTTCTCCCATAGCGTTTGGCTCGGGGCTTATGTGGACAAACGTCAGGGTCTTTGCTTGCCCTCCTAAATTTCAGAACTGCATTAGAAGATAGTCCAGAAAAGGGAGCAAGTGATTGATAGTAGCAGGGCTTAACATCTTTACCAAGTGAGTCCTGGAGCAGTTGAGTAAGTTTGCTGTTTCTGTATGGAACATGTGAAGTCTTTTGGGCGAGAGAGGAGATTACATCACCCAATGCTGAGAGGGATTTATTGATATGCTGAGCCTCTTTGAGTCTGTCACCGGTCGCTTCAGACTTGTCAACTCTCTCGCTTCCGGCTAGATCAACTAGATGCATGCATCCACGAAGGGTGTTCCCACAAATCAAGTCTCTTCCTTGGACATGAACTGTCAAACAACTGCAACCAGGATGCAGAATCTTTAGTTGTTATACAGTAAGTTGCATGGCTAGGTTTTCAGCTCCAATCACCTGTGAGAGCGGCTGCTGCGGTCATTGAGTGCTGTTGCGCCCACTGCACGGTTCCTTTGTCCAAGTTTCATTAGGTTGATAATGTCAGATGTTGTAGAGACACTAAACAGACTTGCATCGGGCACGGTATGTCCTGTCTGAGAACTATTTCGAATTTCTAATGTACTTCCTGGTCAAGGAATTCATCACCAGCTATTCTTTTAGGATAGAAAATATTTGAAAACTCACATGGAAAGGATATCTTTTACTTGATTCATGAGTACTCAGAAGATCCCTGACTTGCTCATTGTAAATTTCTATCATCTGAACAGAGATGTTGTAGCATAGGGTATCCTTTCTTTGCTCGGCAAGGAGGAACAAATCCCGCAAGGCCCTGAAATTTATCCCTTGATTATGCTCTGTCAGATCCCGCGGCCCAGTCTGATTAAATGTAACAGCATTGATCATGAGCATAAAGGAATTGAAACGACCAAACACTGATTGGTTCATTCATCATTCATGCCTACCATGGTGTAAGTTTTCCCGGATCCAGTTTGACCATAGGCGAAAATGCAAACATTGTAACCATCAAGTACTGATCTTATCAGTGGCTGAGTGTCTGAAAACACCTCCTCTGAAAAGGGAGACAAGTATCATATTAAGACACTGGTGTGTGACATAATTCACACAAAACTGAAAGAGGTCATACCTTGAGTTGCAGCAGGCCCAAACACTTTATTGAAGTTGAAGGATTTCCTCCCTTTTCCATTCATGTTAATAGTTATCGACCCTTCTTCAATGTGATCCACTGCTGTCAAGTAATTTTTCTGTCTAGGGAGGAATGGTCTTACTCGACAGTACACCCTAATGCTACCTGTTTGATTAAACCATTGAGCATTATGTTTGAAGTATTGAGAGAGAATGATGCACAAACAGTAATTGAATCCACCCTTTAGATCCTGGACTTGATTGTAAAGCTTTCGGTTTTCATCAAAAACTCTATGATAACCAGAAGCAGCGCTAGCAAGTCCATGAATATGGAGGCCTGTAGAGTAACAGCATAAATATCAACAAAATTTGGGATTCACAACACCGCTTCAAAAGATTGATGCTTGTAATGCAGACATGCATACCAAGGTTGTGGAGTTCTTCATGGAATTTCATTTGTATGAACTGCATGCCAGCTTTTGCCATGGAAACACTATGCTTCAGTTCCTACAGCATACTTATTTTAGATATGTTATCATCGCTAAAGATGTTGGAGAGTGCATTTTGTATAGTTTTCATTGGCTCCTACCGTGATGTCCTTTTGCTGTTGATCAACTATCAAATGCTGCTTCAATAATCTACCTTCTGATTCTTCATCATCAGTGCTATTCTTCTGTAACCTACCATCTCTCTTTGAAATTGCAACAGTCTTTTTTTTTTTTTTTTTTTTTTTTTTTTTTGTATAGGAGGGGAAGAAAAAGAAGAAAGTAACAGGTAAGTGAACCACTGTTCAAGGGAGAACAACCATGACTTGACCGATCAAGTAATTCCTTAAATCTATTTCCGATTAATTGATTACCTTGATGTTGTTTGAAGTTGGTGTTGGCACAAATTTGTTACCATGGGAGATATTTGTGTCCCTAAAACCACCTTTGTTCTGCAAGACAAAACAAACATACAAGATATGAAAATGAGCTTCCAAAGCGACTAATTTCTTGAGTAATCGACTGTCATGGAATCGCAGTATACCATTTCAGAATGGTTTGCAATTCGATGCTCAAACTCCTCGACAACCTTACTTAGAACAGATTCGAGAAGCTGCAACCACACTATATGTCAGTTTATAATCAAAGATAATTGCTAAAGACCACATTTCTACATCACAGGTAGAGAGAAGCAAATCCATGTGTCGAAGAATTTTGTTGCCAAGTACTTAATTAAATTTCATCCAAGAGCACTTGTTTTCAAGTGTATACATTATATGCAGAAACAGAAGGAATTGAAATTTTCATGTATAAAACAAGGACATTGAAAGTTGGTACATGCTTACAATAACTAATGAAAGATGGGACATCAGACTTACATTTGGTACTTCTTCGGGGTTCTTGTCCAGTAGAATTGCTCGAACAAGCAAGCTCAAGGAGGAGCTAGGCTGCAGAAAGAGCAAAACCAATACAAATATCATGATTGTTAAAGAAACAGAGTAACCACATGCATCCATCATTTTGTTTAGATCTGCCTCAGCACGTACATTATTCAAACATCCATCGTGCATCGACACACTTCTTGGCAGGGAACTGGCAAACGGCTCAGAATTTTTGCGGAGAAGTTGCTTTCCAGCTGCAGTTGTTTTAGCATTCCCAACAGATTTCCAGGCCCCATCTCCTCCTACCTGTTTCCGTTCATTGTAGGATTCAAGTGCCAAAATGCAATTCACAATCCTTGAAGTGTTCCCTCCCTGAGTAAAATGGTGAAAGTGTTTTGAGTTTAATATTCAACCCAGTCACTCCACAACAACCAAATAATCATCGATTTTATCTTTATTCATAGCTCCTGCAAAAAGAAGCTTGCATCTACAATTACCTGCTCCAAATCAGATGCCTCAAAAGTAGGCATCCCCATATCCTCCACAGCTACAAGGAAATTCCTTACATTCTCAAAGTACTGATATGCTGATAATGCAGCACCATCTGGGATCTGTATCGAGTCACATGGACTTTCCACAACCTGAAAAAAAAAAAAAAAAAAAGATCAATTAAGTGTTTGCAATGGCAGAATCATCTGATCCCAAACATATATGAGAAAATAATTGCTGCATAACCAGTATATGAATGTAAAAAAGTTGGGGAAAGAATTTAAAAACTTGTGAAGTTGTCATCAATAACCTTCTGCACAGAGCCAGGCTGAACTTTGTTAAGTGCATTGCAAAGAATTATGCCACTTCTCAAACCAAGCTTAAACTCTTCTTCAGACGGCTCCGCTGGTAAATCTTTAGCAGAAACTACTCCAACAACTTTTCTCAACCATGCAGCAGCTTCACATCTTCTCATAACTGTATCACATTTACAGGAACAAACTTAAAAAATAAATAATATATATATATATTACAATTGATCATTATTGGTCAATTTAATTTTTGCGCCACTCGTAGGACACTGCACAAAGTTTGGAGGATACCTGATCTTGAGAATGGAACTCCAATTACAAAACATGTATTTTCTGATTCTTTAATCTAAATACGTCGAGTGCAGATTTATGTTAGTTGATTGAAGACGACTAAAAAAAAACAGATATTCCTCTACTAACGCCAAAAAAATCATCACTGTTCATTATACAGTGTAATGCATGTACTCAGAACACGGCTAGGTATCCTTTATCGAGATTTTAATCAACGAATATGATGATCGAAGTCAAATAAAAAACAGAAACAGAGTAGATGAAATCTTACGCGCTTCTTCCGCTCTACGAGTGTCCAAGTCTAGGCCACGGGAACGATTTCTGTGTTGCAGAAGAACATCTTCCACTACTGACGCCACAGAGAAGGGCAACGCAGCGTGACTAGCCGCCATTCCAAATTTACCCTGGGAGTCTCAATTTCAAATGCAACAGAATCATGAAAGAAAATTGAGATGCGTCCGCAGGCAAGTAGCGGAAGGACTTATCTTGTACGCGGATCTTCTATATTGCTCTCATCTCATCTCATCTCACCTGCTCTGCTTTCCTTTATTATTATACCATGGGGAGGGGGAGGGGGAGGGGGAGAGGGGCTGGCTACTTTTGGAATAGATTTTTGGCCAACTGTTACTGTTCCTGTTCCGGCATTCTTGTAAATTAATTTCCTTAAGGCTGCTTGGTTTAGATAACAACACTATAATCATAACAACGAATATCCATATGTGTTAGAAGGATGGTTTGAAAGGGAATTGATGATGGTGTGTTTAATTGTCATTGCATAAGGAAACTCTCTAGCTTCATTGGTCTCCATGAATATAATGGACAATTCAATTGATTATATACTTTATGAGTGAGTATACAATAATCATTATTAAGGTTGAGATATGGTAATAAAAATTGTGTGTGTTAATTTGGTTTAGAAGTCCAAAAATAAGAGAATCAAGCATTGACGAGAATCATGTGTCGTGTGTTTGTTAATTTGTTAGAGTCAGTCAGTCAGGCATTGGTATGTTGCTTTGCTTAGCTTAGTCTCCACGATGTGGCGTATATGCTCAGTGAGTCAGTAGAGTATCATTACTTGCCATCATTTTCATTCATATGCATATGCATATGCTAGCCAGCTGATATGTATGTATGTACGAGTGCTGTAGCCAAACTAGTGGACAGGCAATGATGGGTCGTTTTCTGTCAAAGTTATGAAGACTGCACAAGTAGTAGTTACTTGGTTGGTTAACTTGGATGTCAGCATTGTTATAATCTTATCTTTAACTAATCCAAACCAGCATCAAAGTGGGACGTACTTTTTGAGAGAGAGAGAATTAATTAACAGACTTGCAGCCCGTCATCATGAGTTGAATTGAATTGAATTGAATACTAGGGTGGCCATTGAACACTAGAGGAGAGGAGAGGGTTTCTTCTTATACTTATTTTAATTAATTACATAATTAAATTGGTGATTAATCCAACATACATTTGGCATTAGGAGGATTTGGCTGTAAAGCCGTGAATCACCATCACAAGGGGCATCATGAAACCAACCAAGCATTCCTACACTCTTTTCAGTTTAGTTAAGTAGGTAATTGCAACCAGCATAAAATATTCCATCGTGTTGTGAGATACCATACAGCTAGATAAAGATTATAGTATAATAGTCCCCCTTCACTTTTACACATCACTATCACTATCACTAGTCACTACACACCACCCCTGTATCAGACACAATAATAATAATAATAATAATAATGTCACTTCCAGTAGGTTCATATATCTTTACCCAGTAAGTAAACCCATTATTCTCATGGGGCCGGGAAAATGCATATAAATACTCAAGTCAGTCGCAAGGTTTTTCGAAGCTCCCAATCCTCAACCAGCAATTTTATTTTATTTATCAATACTTGATCAAACATTGATAACCTCAACTCAATGCCAGCAAACCGGGAATAGAATTAAACTAGTTTCACCAAATCAACAAATTTCATCTATTTCCTCATCACCTAAAACGAACAGTGTCTATTTTGTGTTGGACTACTTCAAATTTATGATTGTCTGAGAATTTTGGTTATCTGCAACTAACATATAGATTGAGAAGGGGGGCAAGTGCTGGTAGATACACCACAAGCCAGTGTTTCCGGCAACATTGAAGCATTTACCAGTCATTGATTGTAACCATCATCTTCACAATGGCTGAGGGTGATGATCAGGTGGGAACAAGGTGACCAGAAAGCGATGTATCATTTCAAAACTGGTAAATGTGATTACAGCAGCCGGTGTTGTCCTCAGCAGGTTGGTGGCACAGCCACGATAAAAACCAGAAATACCCTCATGCTGGAAAACTTTCTTAACACAATCAACAACGCCAGTATATCGCTTCTCAGAGTGGAATCCTTGTTCTTGAAGTCTTGACCGAACAACCTGCATTCAGTTTGTCGAAAGTCTCAGGAAAAAAAAAAAAACAATACGTGGAACAAAATTCAATAACTTGATTGGGCGTAAAAATGAGCAAAACTATGCTCATTTATGCATTCAGAATTCAACTGCATATCATAGCAAAGGGCATTAAATAAAATTTATAAATATAAAAAACTTGGAAATTTGAAGATTCATGCTTGACACAATTTGAATCCTGAATTTAACACTAGTTCAATTATAAACCTATTTAAATATTCTTTTTTTGTTTAAATTTGCTCATAGCTTAATCATCTAATATCTTTCTGAACTAATGAAGTGTCAGGATATAGCAGTAGGATTTGAGGCACATTCACCCAACATCTTCTAACTAACAGCATAGCTGCAAAATGGCAGTACATTTTAACTCACTAACCTCGTGTGGATAAGTCAAGGTAGAAGCAAATATTTTTGAAACTGATGAAGCAACAGCAACATCACTAGCGCTCAGTTTGTCCATTGTAGTGTTCCCTATCATAAAAAAGATTCTCGTTTCAATGGCAAGATAATAGGTCAAAAGAATAAAACAAAGACCTTCGGTTTTCAATTTCCATTTTTCAAAACTGAAGTGAGCTGCAACACACCTTGATCTGCCAAATAGCACTTTATCTTCTCATATGTTGGAAACTGAATTGCAACATGACTAACTCCAGCCAACGCTGGCACAAGACCACTGCAAACAGCATAAAATGTAGAGGAATAAAAAACACAAATCATCAATCATTCATAGAAGATCAATTTCCCAAATACTATCAGCATAGGAAACATATTAACCTATACAATCCACGAATACCCTCTTCATATGCAATTCTACGCAAGGCAGATATTGTGCCGGTATAAGGCACCACCCCCCTTCCCCTTTCTTGCGTCTGCATGTATGAGAGAAAGTAAAAATGATTAGACTCAAAGCATCTAGATTTTGAAAAGGGTTCCCAAGCACCAATGACAAAATATACTGATATAAAAAATAAAAATAAAAAAATAAAAACCAACCATATAAGTAAGAATCTTTAAGCCAAAATTCAAAATCATACAAGCATTCCTACAAATGGTTATATATATGCAAATGATCTATTACAATAATTTTCTGTGGAAGTCATAAAGATCAAACATTTCAATGTTTTTTAAGTTTAACTAATTTTAAAGATCAAAATCAGAAGTGAAGAAACTGTCAGATCAGATAAAAACATATTTTCAAGCAACAAAACCATCAATCAACATATTTGCAGCATCAGCACAAAGGGAACTCCAAAATAGAGTTCTTAGACTGAATTAAATTTCTACATGTGGTTGGCTGAGCAAGCACAGAGAGGCGAAGTATATTTACTTCACTGGACCAAGCACAAGAAGCTTCAAATGGCATGCATATGCATTGACAGTAGCCAATACAAATATGCAAAAGTAACAGACCTGCAGCCTTGTCTTGACAACCCAGAGAGGATTTGTTGCAATTGTTGTTGAAGCTCCAGCACCCGCAGCAGCCATCATGTTAGCACCAATAGAGAGTTGATGACTTGCATCTATATTTCCCAAATATCACAAAACCATGTCCAAAAAAAAAAAAGAAAAAACTCAGAAACTTTCATATCAGCATAATAATCAGAAAGTTCAAAAAGGAAAAAAGAACAAAGAAAGGGAAGTGCTCAACAATAAACAACAAGAAAAAAAAGGCAGAGAAAGAACTAACCATCAGATCCAAGAAAGCTCTTTAGCTGTTCATATATCGTAAAGTACACCTGCAAAATATCAGGTTAGTTGTTTGGCTGATCTTGTTCCTTCTCCAGAAAGGGCATAAAGGCCATTCTCTCATTTGAGTATAGAAATGCCCATGATCGCAAATAATTTGTTTAAAACAAATTGCAAATGTAAAATTACTCACCGCCCAATTTGGGAGTAAAGCAATTACAGTTGGAGAAAGCCCACGGTACATACCACGGAAACCATCCTTTTGAAATATCTGTTCTAAACTCCCCACAATAACACTACCTGCCCAGTTATAACAATTTTCAAGTCAACAAACCGACCATCAAATACACCTTCATCCATGTAGCTAATTTCACATTTCTTGGTGGGGGAGAAAAAAGGATCTTTGTACATTGACCAGCATAGAAGACACAATAATCAAGAATAAACACATTGTATGCTAACGTAACAAGTGAACAATTCACCTTTAAAGCTAGCAGTGGTAAGCTGAGGAGGCCCATTGACTTGAAGCCTAGTCTTTATAACATCTAACGGACAAACAAAAGTAGCTGCAATTACACCTGTACAATTTTAAATTGGAAAAACGTTAGAAATTCTACAGTGGCTTCCAACATAGGAAGCTATCAAAAAATGTGAAGAGAAAAAAAAAAAAGAAACATAGAAAAAGAAAGCATTCACATTGGCTGTTAGCACTTAGCATCAATGCTTGCTTATTCACCCCTCTAAAAATGCAAATCTTGAAAGATGATCTTTTCCTCAATAATAATCTAGTCATCCCCATAGGCCCAAACTTATCCTCAAGTCCAATATGCACGCTAAGATCTATAGTTCTATCGGTTAACCTCTACTGTCCAACTGTAACATTATCCAAAAGAGTAAGTTCAGATGCCCAAACAAACTCATTACAATACACAGTAACGTAACGTGTATGTCTCAAACAAATGCTATGCGACACGAAGGCAGGCACAATATCTTCCGATCGACCAAAAAATTGGAACTGTAAGTAACAAAGTGAAGACGGTTTAATTTACCAGCCGCAGCACCAGCACCAGCATTGCAGAGGAGGCCCTTGGGACTAGGGTAATGATCGGCAGCCATAGACAACCCTACTATAATCAGCTCCAGGAAAGACAACCAATTTCGAAGCAGAGGCAACAGATACAACTTCGGAGCCTTGAAAATAGGTGGCGGCGGTAGCCTTTAAGGAGTCCTCTCTCAGGACGCCGATCGATGCCGCGAACAACCGTCGCATGGCCAAGATGACAGCTGAAATACAAATCAATCCAATTCAAACAAAATCCCCGTTACGCTAGTGAAAAACCAACGGAAGAAACCACTCTTCCAACGATATATAAGAAAAGTAAGAAATTAAAGGGTTTTCGTAACCAGTATCAGTGGCCGCTACAACCCAGCCCTATTGCATTCGAATCTTTAGGGAGGATGGAATCAAGAATTCGATCTGACCCAGGGGGCAGGGCTGATGGAGAAACGCAAGAGAGAGAGAGTGGAAGGATGGATAGAGAAAATCGTTGGAAAGGTAAACAAGGTTAGGTGGCTAGCGCCAATTTATTCGAAGCCCGAAGTGGGCCGGAACCTTCGCACCAGGACACCACACCGGTGTAGAAGACAAAGTATTCGGATCGGATAAAGACTTCTTTTTTATTCGCCACAATACCTTTTAATACCAATAAATAATAACTATGGCTGATTTTGGTTCAACCCTCCTCTTGCCATTTCCTTCAATAAGTCAAATGAATCGAAACCCATACGCATACTCACAGTCTTAACATCTTTGTCCTGAAATTAATGACACCACCAATCTATCTCAATACTTTGATGAATAAATTTATCCTGTGGCTGACACCAAAAGCAGGCATGACAGTGCCTGTGGATCAAGGATTAACACAAACGTAATCAGTGTATACGCTCTTGCACAGCCACAAATCTTCTGAAAGTGATACTACAGAAATCCAAGTCCATCTCCATTAAAGTCTTGTCCTACCACCATAGGACAGTTGCTGGTTTCATGTCCAAATTGCCCACAGCAAAGGGATGGACACCGTCTTCTCTTTCTTTGGATATCATGTTCATATCTTGATCTGCCCTCTTTCAACTTTTCGAACGGCACACACTCCCGGTGGGTTTCCCTTAAACTTTGAGCAATGCTGTCAGATTCATCATCTGGAAGAACCAGAGAACCAGAAGGGCTGTCATAAGCAGCTTCTCCAGAACCATCTGTCATAAGAGGGAATTCTTTGATGCGGGCCAGAGCCAAAGCAATGTGATCACATGCAACATCGAGGCGGTCTTCGGTCTCTGCAGACTCTGTAAGCAATGATGAAATCATCGATTGCAACAACTGAACCTTGCCTGGAGATGTGCGGGCTGATTTGATCAATAATGGTGATAAGTCACGCCACCTAAGAGGTAGGTATTGATCTGGAATGTGAAAGCAATTGTTTGTTGATAGAACACGAAGAACATGCCTACAGAGGATGCCTGAAAACTCGAAATGACTACAGCTACAAGTGATGAACTCATCTTGTGGCACCCATAGCACCTTGCACCCACCATCCACGTCCGTATGGTGCCTCACGATAAAATAACTTTCATCCACCAACATTGTTGCATATTGTGGTGCTAAAACTAGTTCTTCTTGCAGTTTGCAGAAGGCATATGGACTAAGAACAGTAGCAGCATGCGACTCCATGGGCGATCCTGTTTTTAGTGACACTTTAGGGACCTTCTGTATAATTTTGAGTTTTGTTCCTGGTTGATTTCTGGAATCCAAAATTGTGGCCACCTGCCAAACAAGAAAACATTTTGGAATATATAACTATCGATCAAAATGAACAAAGCTTTTAGAAATAAAATACAATATTATAAGACTAATTCACACCTGTTCTACAAAATTATCACACACAAATTGTGAGCTGAGAAATCGTTGGATATAGGAATTAATGAGCTCTGACTGGAATGTAATTGAAATTCCTGCGAAGAAATATGATCTCAGAAAAGGTAGAGCCCAATAGGTACGCAGGGCATACAGGCTGACAATGTGCCTGTTTCCATGTAACCCATATAAATCTACCATCTCCCTCCATCCAACTTCGAACTCCTCAACTGTATGTAGATTATAAATACGGTGAAATTCAGCTCTCCAATTGTCATATTGCGACCCAAGTATGGTCGAAAACCAATCAGAGAAGTTTGATATGATATGCCAAATTGAGAAGGCATGTTTTGTCCCCGGCATTTCTGAGGTGAGTGCTTCTTTAAGCCATGTTTTCTGATCAGTCAAAATTGTTCCTGGAGCTTTTCCGTTAACAAATGCCAAGAATGTCTACAACAAAACAAGAATAATGAAAAGGGGGTTAGTAATTGTAAACATCTCCACAAATCATACTTCTTAGCTCATAAAAGTAAAAGTTTCCTCTTTGACAGATTTTTTTTTTTTTTTTTTTGGGAGAGAGAGAGAGATCCTATTAATCTGCAAACCACAAAGCTGCGATCAATTACCTTCAATCCCCAGGAGAATGATTGCACATTTTCATCTCGAACAAGCATGCAGCCAAAGAAGCAGAGAGCACCATGATTGTCCAACCCAAGCCATATTCCAAGAAGCATATCATAAGCATCCAATCGATGTGTTGTATCAAAAATTACAACATCTCCGAAAGCCTCATATAATCTGATAGATGAAGCATAGGACCATGCAATGTGTTCTAATCTGTTATTAGAATCAATCTTATAGTTGTATTTGAAGTTGGGATCTCTATCTTTTCTCTCCTTGCACATTTTGACAAGGTCAATTGGATCATTATCACGGTCCACCTCTCGAAATGACTGAAGCAAATTTCTCACATCAATCTCAGAGAATGGTAAACAACCTAGCTTAACACCTTTCTCTATCTCCATTAATCTGAGCATTTGTCGCACAGACATCCCAGCTTTAGCATACATACAAATACGGCTCTTGTCATCAGCAGTCATTGTACAATAAACAGGAAGTAGCTGCATCTCATTTGACTTCAAGAGTTCATGGTTGTGGACATTGCTAAATCCAGTGACACGCCATTCAGGGACATCGAAATCAGCTCTTTTGACAATCCTCATGTATGCTTGACATCCACAGCGTGATGATTTCCTATTTCTCTGTAGCTTTCCGTCTTCTGTCGGCTTTAGCTGTGGATAGCCACCACGGTGACATGTAAAATCTCTTCTTGTGATTCCCCTTCCTACGCCATCTTTTCCACGAGTGCGGTGGCGTCTAATTGAGAAGCCACACTGCTTGGCATAGCTACTATAAAATTCATAGGCAGCATCCTGCGATACAAATCTTTGTCCGATGAATGGTACAAGGTTCACAGATGACTGCCTCAACAAGATGGTGTCTTCAGGCATTTCTTCTATAGTGCCATTATCATCAGGGGATGAACTCCGAGCCATTCTCACAAATCTCCTTCAATATATTTGTATGCTCCAGCATTTTATGAAAGCAATTCTATCAATCTCCAATAAGATAGCTATAAGACATCAATTTCAGAAATCAGATTCAAATCAATCCAACAAAAAACAATTGAAATTACACACCCCTAAATAAGATGTTTTCCAATGATAGCATAATAACATAAATAGATTCCTGGCAATAAACTGATCACATTAATCGTGAGATTCAGCACAAGACACAGATAGCTAGATATCAATTATTAACAAGAACCAAAAGCAGCCGATATTGTGGAAGAACTTATAGACACGCAGAATCAAGAAATAAGGATGGAAGAACAAGGCATGCAACAACTATGAGCTAACTAGATTTTTTCAGGCATCATTTAAAGAAATCCGTATAACATACAAAGTACTATCTGCAGATAAAGACTTCACCAGGAGCCACATTGACGCAGAAACAGGATATAGTACTACAATAAATCCTCTTCACTTCCATAGTATGAAATTTAAGTATTATTCAGCAGTCAAACGACAATTCATTCCACATTAAAATAAACTAACAAGTTATAACAATGAAATTGAAAAAACTGACCAGCTTAAATACGTAGATCGAGAAAACACCAATTGCCCTACGGCTTACAACATCTGAAAAGTAAACAGCGACTCGCACTCAACATCAGATCAGTTGTGAAATACCACTGTCATGGAAAGAAAATGGCGCTGAAGGACGACTAACATCGAAATTAGGCTGACTTGGGGAGATAATAGGAGCAAACAAGCCGGATTAACGAAAGCAACCAAACCTAAAGCTTGGTGAAATAGGAGGGGATAATTCGAAAATAAGAATTAAATGTAGTAAATTGGAATCACCGGGGAAGAGCTAGAGGCCGGAAAGGAAACGGGCAGTGCAAAAGAGATTCTCTCCTCAGCGTCAGCGTCGGCGTCGGCGGCGTGAGTCGCTATTGTGCGCTGGATTGGGTTTGGGGCTGTTATCGTGCGCATATCATTCTAGAAATGGAACGTTGACATGTCAATGTCGGTGTCGGCTTCGGGTCGGGTCGGGTCATTCAAGCGAGTAGGGGGTACGAACGTAGCCAGATAACGGGCTGCAAAACTGTCTATTATGTAACTAGCTGTTCGGCCCAAATTAATAAGGTGGGCCTGTTCCTTCCAATTAGTCAATCCGAGGCCTGGTCTACGAAAATGGCTCTCCATTAATTCTGGCGGTCCCGGGACTAATCCGATCCGTAAGATTGTATTTGTTTGTGAGTTTCAAACTCAAATACCATTTTTCCCTATTTTCTTTTAAAATAAAATAATAATAATTGAAATATATGTAGGTGAGACTAAGGACTTAATGAGTTGCAATATTTAAAATATAGAGTTAATGTGCTACTTTAATATGTTCATAAAATAATTTTTCCTAGCTTTACTTCTAGCTAGGGGTGCGCACGGTTCGGATATTTGCAAATATGCAGGTATTTGATATTCGAATCGAACCGAACAAATACCCGAAATCGTGAACCGTATTTGAACCGAAAAATTCGGTTAATCGAATTTTCGGTTAACCGAAAATATTTGCAATATTTGCAAATAATACGAACCGAACCGAAATTAAAAAATAATTAAAATTCTAATTAAATCAAAATATTTGCAAGTATTTCAAATATATGAACCGAATCCGAACCGTAACCAAACCGAAACCGAATCGAATATAATTATTAATATAAATTTTAAAATATAATAACATAAATATATAAATATATTCAGTTTGGTTAACCAAACCGAAAAAAATATAAAAAATCGAAACCAAACCGAACCGAACAAATATCAAATATGCAGTATTTTTATTCGAACTGAATTTGCTTGGTTAACCGAAAATTCGGTTCGATTAAACGATTCGGCTGTTCAGTTTGGTCTTTTTACCCACCCCCTGCTTATAGGAACAAAGAGAAAATGCACGGTCCCGGTCTGGGTTTAGGTTTTGCATTGCATCTGCATAGTTATTAGTTAGTTAGCTAGGCTGGCCACGTGACCCATATACCACTTTTGACAACCTCATTACTTATGAATAGTATAAAAAATATCTTATTATATTTTTATAAAATATTAAATTAAATATTAGCAACTTTTTAACTGTTTTAATTTTTTTTATTCCAAACCTCAAAAAATCTGTATATAAATGAAATAGACATAAAGAGCAACAACTAGTTTATATAGATGATTATAATCCCTGCTTTAGCCGTGACCTTTTATATATCTTTACATGTAATTTTTTTATAAAATACTATTTGATATATTAAATACAAAATAGTATAAAATATAAAAAGAACCAAGAAAACAAACAAACCATAAGACTATATATAGCCATCGTCTCTGTCCCGACAACATCCTGCAAACGACAAGTTTCATGCTGTCTGAATATCAGAGGCAACTCTAAAAATAACTAAACTAATTCATTCATATGAATAGAAACAAATCGAACGAATCTAGCAGCAGAAGCCACTTAATTGGCAGTATCCGCCGCCGTAAAGCGGCGGTTCCCGACTTTCCGGCGGTCATCCTCAAAATCCCAAAGCCACGTACACGGCGGAGGCTCTTCTTCTTGCATCTGATCCCACGGCCCTCCCTCCTCGCCGTAATAATTCGCACCGACCTCCCGAATCACTTCTTCCCACGACTTCCACGGCGGCGACCACCCAATCACCGGCGGCAAGCTCCAGTAATCATCCTCATCACTCGATAAATAATCTGCATCCTTCTCTCCGGCGGACGTCAAAGCTTCTTTCGCCGGACCTGCAGGGATATTTCCGGCCGCCGGCGTTTTCATTAATGGAGGAACACTACTGTCGTCGGAATTATTACTACTCACCACGGCCGATCCACTGCTCCCCTCGTCGACGCTAGATTTATTGCTGCTGCAACTGTCTACGCCGGCGCCGGCGCCGGAGTTAATAAATGAGGTGGGGGGTCGGCGGGGGGGCTTTGGCGGGACATTAATCAGGGTAGTGTTTGTGAGGAAATGGGGCCCGTTGGGGCGTGGATAGCTGTAGATTTTTCTGCTGAGATGAGAATTCCAGTAGTTCTTGATTTCATTGTCTGTTCGTCCGGGCAAGTATCCAGCAATCAAAGACCACCTAACACCATATTGATTAACTAATTCATGAGTGATATACTATAATTTGCACAGAATTGGATCCTATGGCGGCGGCGCCGCCAATCAGTTAAGTAACAGCTGGCTAGGGTTTTTAATTAATGAATGAATTAGTGACCTGTTGCCGAATGAGGCGTGGAGGTTGACGATGGTGTAGTCTTCTTCAGGGGTCATCTTACCCCTCTTGAGATCAGATTTCAGATAGTTGATCCATCGGAGTCTGCAGCTCTTTCCACAACGAAGCAACCCTACGTATCTCCAACATTTTGAAGAAAATAATTAAAAATAAATAATTAATTTGAATTGAAGTGTAATTAGTTTACCAGCATTGTTTGGGAGGGATCTCCAGGAGCCTTCCCCGTTGGCCTCAACGTATGTTCTCAGAATTTGATCTTCTTCCGCAGTCCATCTTCCTTTTCTGAGCCCCACTTTCTCGCAGCACGCCCTTCTCCCCATGCAGATCAGATCAGACCAGATACTAATTATTAGTATGGTGTTGAATTGTATTTCTTCATAATTCTGGACAGAGAAGAAGAAGAAGAAGAAGAAGAAGACAACAAAAGTAGTGAAAAAGGAGGGTAGGTAGGAAGAGTGAGTGTGCTTAAATAATAACTACTCCGATCCTACTACTTACGTATATATGAATATGTATGTATGTACTATGAATGGGGTGGGGTGGGGTGGCTTGTCGTGGCATCTCCAGCGTCGAGTGGATATTGATGGGGCGTACATTCCCACGTTACATTACTTTATTATTATTATTATTATTATTATTATTATATTATGAACGACAAATTTTAATACCCTGTAAATTAGTGAATTTGATTTCATAGTCACGAATCCGACATGATTAGACTAAGACCTTCTCAGCACTAATTTCTCCTTATAGTAGCATATATATATATATATTGGTCATAATTATTAATTAATTAATTAATGATTATTACTTGTCCTCTGTCACTTCACTGTCAATCAATATGCATGCATGTTGTAATGGAATGTAATGTAATGTAATGTATCTCCAGTCCACCTACTAGTCTATACTCCCCACCCCACTGCTTGCTACTTCCTTACCAAGGCACGACGCAACGGGCGGATGGATGGATGGATCAAATTAGACCAAAAGGAGGTTTCTTATTAATTTAATTTAATAAATGGCCTTTTTTACGCAAAATTTATATAATTATTGCAAATCAGCACCCAACTACTTTAACAAGCCCCATAGATTCATCTTCTCAATTGGGACTGTCATGGCCATGCTACACGTCTCCCGTCATGTCTTTTCCTGGTTACTCAATATTTTTATCAATTAATTAATGTGTTCTCGTGACCACACACACTACTGCCAAGCAGGACATTTATATGGAGAGTACCTATGACACGTGCAATCCAAAAAGAGAGGGACACATAATGGCGGATGCACGCACTAATTTGCATTTTATTTTCTTTATATATTTACTTCCGCAGATATTATTTTTTATTTTTGTTCGTTTTAAAACAAAGGTATTATTTTTTTAATTTAGTAACTGTACTACATATTTAATATAATAAATATTCTTACAATTTATGATATATTATACAAATATCGTCACTTTTATAACATACCATACTAATAGGGACATTTACAAATTAATATAATAATAATATTCAAAAAACTTCGTGAAAAAACAAACGATGTTCTTCTTATATATATTTTTTTTGAACCTATATATATATATCTAAATAATATGCAACAATTCTTTCACTATTTTTATTTGCTTTTTATTTTTTAACATGTGTATATATAATATTTATATATGTAATATAAAAAAATATTAGAATAAACTAAAAATATACTAAAAATTTTATATATGGTGTGTTTGTTTTGTTTGGATTTTAAATTTTGAATTTAGGTTTTTAATAATAAAAAAATCTAATTTTGAATATTTTTGTGTGATATTAATAAATCTTATACAATATTTTGAATATAAAATTAATTTTTAGTAAAGATTAAAAAAATATTAGAAAAACAAATTTTGATATTATTTTTTAGATGATTTTATTTTATTTTTTAATAAAAATTCTTGTTGGCTTCAAGTAATACCAAATAAATATTGTAATATGTAGTGATGTTATAGTTCATTATTTTCCAATATTTTTAAAATATAACATTACAAAAAAATATATATATTAAATAATACATAGATTGTATTATTTGAAAAAATATAAAAATTAGCCTATTCTACAGTCAAATTCTAATTCCTCCGCTTCGGCAGCTTGACAGATTCTTTATTAGGGAATTGTGTTTCCGCAAATTCACCCCAATAAATAAATAATCCGTCATGCTTCGTCCTATACCTAAAAATTTGATCAAAGTTTTGGACAGGATTAATATGGACGTATCTTTTTTATTACTTTTTATTCTTTATAATAAAAAAAAAAAAGAAAAAACGACATGATTTTTTACTAAAAAAATAAAAAATAAATATTTTTTTTGTAGGTAATAGACAAAAAAGTGAAATAAGCAAAGGAGTAATAAATAATGGGGCATACTACGTCTACGTCTACTGATTCATACATGTGTAAGCAACACTAGGACAAATATTTGCCGACACTGATTTACCCAAAATGAACACTTGACAGAGCAATTTTGATCTACTTACCCTGTAAACATATAAATCTCATCATTAAATTTTCTTTATTTAAATCCAAACATAAAAAGAAATCGTGTTGGGATGGCTGTTTACATAGTCTAAGCATAGCAACCATTACACATTTCGTAATAACTACCTACATTTGCAGCATATGCATTGATGATCAAAAAGAAAACATCAGAATCAATATTCTGTTGTATTCCCATATTTGTGCCCCACCACAATTTAAATAGAAAAGGGGGGGCGGGGCGTGGAACAATAGCTGCCGGAGCATACAAATGCACTTCAGCTGAACTACTAACAAATGAATTTTTAACTGATAATTTACTACCTCCGAATTTACCATTCAAACCTAAGTTAAAGCCCTTCTTCCATGGCGTTAAACAGATATGATACATATACATCAGAAACATAAAATTCCATCAGGTACACCAAAACTACAATTACAAAGCAAAGGAGGTATGTTTCTAGGTACTGGACAAAACATTAACTTCCAAACATTACAACTTCCTAGAGCTAGCATGTCAAAAACATTGTGGCACATACACACCAAGTTTTAGGTCATGCCCATGGTACAAAAAGTAACCTTAGTTGATATATGTAAACTTCACATCATTTCAGTATAGCAAGTGAGCTTAGGAGTGTTTTGACAACTTCCATTACCTGTTTTTGTGCTTACACACACGTCCCTTAGATTTTAAGGTGAGTTTCCTGGTCTTTAAACTCTTGGACTTGGAGGCATATGTATCATTGTCGAAGTCATCACCACTTCCATAGTCAAACTTTGAATTGCGTCCCTTTACACCTTTCTCACACAAAATTATCTTTCTTTCATCCTCTTGATGCTTGGAGTGGATTGTTTCCGGCCTCCAGATGAAGATAGATCTGAAAATAGTGTTGCAGTAGAATTAACAAGCAGCTGAAAATGGATTATAGTAAAAATCATAGATATAACAATAAATTATAGCACCCAACACAAATCCGCTACACATCCCGTGTATCACCACATTCGACATTGGCTGTCCTAAAACACACACAGACAACTTATAAGAAGCTCTATTCATAGTTCTTTCATCTGACTACCTAGACGGAAGGCAGCAACATTATTTACACGACAGTTTTCAAGGCATAGTGTTCTGTCTGGACTTGCTGTAGTGGTACGAATGAAATGACAATAAATAATACATGTACACATAAAAGGTAAATTTTCACGTAGACAGCAAAGGTGACCAATTAGTTTGCACAAACCTGGAACTACCAGAGGCCAAAATATCATCCCGTGGATGTAGTTTATTTACAGGGCTGATTGTAGTAATGTTTGGATCCTTCACCTCAGCAACTAACTGGCCTGTCCTTATGTCTATAAAATCAACAGGGTGCAAGGCAACCCCATCGTAGTTTTCGCTTATGTAACGCCCAACAACTATGAGGGACTCTGAGGTGTCCTGCATAAAATTTTGCCATATAGTCAAAAGTTGTTTAAATGATGAGGCGTTTCAGACATCCACATCTGTATAAAAAGGTGTTTTGTCACCTTCGGATCCCATTCCGCTCGGAAGGGTGTCAAATGTCTATTAAAATCATGGCTGTGCACAATTTCCCGGCTTGGACATTCCAAATTGCCAAATATAGAATCCCATACACGGAGTCTGTTGTCCTGTGATGTGGTAAGTATTTTGCTACCACTCCTTGGAGAAAAATAGGCTGAGTTGACAACTCGCTTGTGGGGGAGATCATAAATAGAAGAACCAGTTTCCAGATGGCGCATGTCCCATATACGAGCCTTGAGTCGAAAGAAAAACAAAAAATGATCAAGAAAGCTATAGAAAATAATATACAATTGTCAATACTACATATATATATATATACACTTCTTGATATGAAACATAGAAGTTTATCAACAATCCAATCAAACACTAGTTACCCCAAAAATGCACACACCAGATGGTAATTGAAAAGTAAACATTTAAACGACAAAAGGCCATAGAACAACATACAAAATGATCGTTTCCACAACTCAGCAGTAGATCTGGTTGAAGCGGATGGCAGTGTAAACCAGTTATTTTGCTCCCTTTCTTGTGAATCAGAATAGGCTTTTCAATTAAATTGTTGGATCGAGTGTCCATCCTGAACATACAAAACGATAATAATCTAAGAACCATTAAACATCAGTCCATAATAGAGATGTGACAGGATATACACACATATATAGAAGTCCAAAACTATCTGCAGCAAGCAAAATTCCTTTTTCATAGTTCATTTCCAAACCATAGAGCATCCTCCAAGTGTTTGGGCCCTAAAAATTGCAAAAGAATGCATTACATAAATTTCCAATTACTGTGTGTAGCATGGATTTTATCCAGAAGAAAAGTTTATATCAACAAGAAACAAAATCTATAACCAATATTCCCATTTTGTCTCCAAATCGAGTACTGGATGTACCTGCCACCCATTAGGATTAAGGTTTGCCAATGTTTGTGAAATTCCAGTCTCTAAGTCAGTGCAGCTGATTGTTCCATCGGATGAAGCACCATAAACTGTTGCATCATTCAATGGATTAAACCTGTAGTAGTTCAATGGCCATCCATCCAGGTTATGAGTGATATTTATTTGAAGCCAATGGAGGGCAATGTAATCATGAGTCATGACAATTACACAAAGAACTCACTTTATGTTGTTCAGTATGCAATTATGTATGTTGCTATAAACTGTCCGTTCGTGCACTTTCCCATAATCCCACACTCCCAATTGCCCTTTCTTCATCAGAAAACACAATTTTTAAATGATCTGTATGTATACACAACATGCATCTAAAAGATCCATACAAAGCATACCTTGTCGCCCGATAATAAAATATTATTCCTTGTAGGGTGGAACTCCAAACATGTAACTCGCCGGCTGTGATATCGAATCACTGCACAATTCACTTCATTTGGGATAACAAATGCTGGTCTGACCTGTCTCAGGAAATATAAACATGCTTTAATTTAGTACCAGAGAAATATTTACAACAAACTTATGCATTACACTACTGATTGAATTCACAATTGAAGGCAAAATTTAGAAGTAGTTGGAATGTTCTCACAGATCAAAAAGCTCATAATTTTAATTAATTACTTGCAAGTCTTTGAAAATAAAAAGTATACATATCAAATTACATTAGAAGGAATTTTTATTTTAACATTGGTCATAAAAAATAATAATAATATATCAATGAATTGTGTTAAGAATATATGAAGATATTATCATGGCTAGATACAAGAATACGTTAAATATTTAACTAGGGATAAAATTGTACAAAGGAAATTTTTGAAAACATAAATAAAAAATCAAGTTATTAAAAGAACCTAATAAAAGAGGAACTTTAGAAGGCACCCACCAACAACTTTTAAATAAAAAAAATAACAGCCCTATGAATACATGCACAAAACTGATATAACAAAAAAATTATACCTTAGACCAACAAATTCATCATATAAATGAATTTCATTCTACGATAGGGGGCAAGAATGAATTATAGCAAACATGGGAAATGAGAAGCAGAAATGTGGTAATGTAGTTTCCTCTATCAAGCTCCTCATGGTCAGCCATTAATCATCAATTAATAATTTATGAACCCCATCTCAAACACAACGCTAATAGATCATAAGTTCCTTACCCAGGTCATTGACACGAATATAAGACTTTTTGCTTCCACACTATAACTAGTGATCTAAAAGCACAGAGTTTCTAACAATTCAAACTAAACATTGATACAATTTCTAAAACATAACTCTACAATGACAGAGAGACCACTACGAATTCTAAAACTTAACGCTATGATCAAGGACTGACATGATCACTGACAGTTCATCCGCAGATAGAGCGAATGGCATAGATAAAATAACAAGCCTTACCGCAGGAACATGACACCTGAGTTGGCGTTCAAAAACATACTCTAATGCACTATGAGCGCTCTTGGAAGGCGCCGGGACGACCCCGTGCTCGGAAGCCACTCGGTGCGGACAATTCATTGTGGTATGCCCTTCAGTTTCCAAGCCAAAAATCAAGAGCAATAAAGTAAAACCCACAGGAATTAATGTTTCGCGCATGTTGAAGAAAGAAAACAATTAGATTCAAGAGCACAAAAGACCCAACAAAGAAATAATAATAAAAAAAAAAACAAGGAGCATGTTTTCTGCAAACAATCACCAGGCGTTTTGCATAGGAAACAGGGTTTCATCGGGCAATCAACGTAGGTGGCACCCTTGAATCCGGCTTCATGGCCAGACTTCTTGCATACCTGAATAAACGCGAGATTCGTCAATCATTTTCTACACAAACGCGCGCGAAGCAAACTGAAAAGTCGTTCTGAATATCCAAAAAAAAAAGAAATTTAAAAATCATTGCAGTTAAGTGAAGAAGGGCAGAGATGTAGTTGAAATGGCTTACTTTGCAAACTTTCTTAAGGCTGATGGTAATCGGTTTTCTGCCAGTTTTGGAAGACGGCGAGGGCTCATCCTCTTTGTCCTCCACGGGCGACTCTTCTCCGTCGCCGGCGTCGCTCTCGACTTCCTCACTATCCTCATCCTCGGTAGAACTCTCGGTGTCGTTGTCCCTCTCGATCAAGACCTTCGGGAACGAAGAACCCCTTGTCTGCGGCGCCATTTTCGAAAGTAGTGCAGAGAGTACGTATATGCACGCAAGCAAAGCAGAATTTTGGAGCAAAACGGTGGTGCGCTGCAGCGTTGTCGTTATCCGTGAATTTGGGAGACCAAGTAAATTACCAGAAATGTCCCTGCTATAACATGCTGATTAATAAATTCATAATCTATATATAAAAAACAGAAAATCTTCCTTTTTTAAAGATTTGTTTTATTTGTGTTTCCAAATTAAAATTAATAATATTCTGGATAATTTTTTATAAAAATTAAGGGTTTATTTTCTCAAAAAGAAGATTATGTATTTTATTTTTTATAAAAATTAAACATTCAATTTTTAAAAAATTAGTTTTCATATATTAATACAATTCTTTATATTTTAAGTAAAAAAAAAAATCAAATTAAAATTCTAAACAAACGAACTTATAAAAAAAACTTTTTTTTTGTGTTATTTTTATTTTGTCAAAGTAAAATTATACATATATATGATAATTACAATAAATGAATAAGTACTTAAAGTATAAGTAGAATTATAAAACTAGTGGTCCGCACAAAATAGTATGAGGATATAGATGAACACTATAATTTATTTATAGTTATTTTTATGTCTAATATAAATATAAAAAAAATTATATTTATTCACAAACTCATGAACACATTCATTTTGGAATTTAGATTGAGATTTAAATCGTAAAAATTTTGAATTTGAATAGTTATATAATGTGATATAAATATGTTGTTTTGAATATAAAATTGATTTTTAATATAATATAAAAAATTAAAAATAGATGTTTGATATGATGTTTTAGAAGAAAAAATGGGATGAACCGTGTATTTAAAATTCAATCCCGGAACAAACACACCCTCAAAGTATTTTCAGACATAATACTCCATCCGTCCCAAATACCCTGCAACATTTTTTTTTTATATATCTCAAACACTCTGCAATATTTTCAAAATAAAAAATAATTAATTATACTTAATCTCTATCTATCTCATATTTTATCCCCTCACATTATCCAAATATTGCAATGTATTTGAGACGGATGGAGTAATAAATTGGTGCATTCGTCTTATTTTTTAAAACTACATTTTTTATTATTAACATATTTTTTACTTTAAAATAATATCTAAATAAAAATTAGAAATCAAGCCAACTGTAGATTTACGTATGCTAATTAACTATATACTCTCTTTGTCTCGGCCGTTTTTTTTTACGTAGATTTTTTAGTATTAATATTATAAAAAATTGTAATAAAAAAAAAAATACTCTTATTAGTATGGTGTAATATAAAAATAATGATATCTATATAATATATTGTAAATTGAAATTTTATTACGTGAAATAGGTAATACAATTACTAGATTAAGAAAATAGTATATTAATGAAAAATAGTAATGAACGGATGGATGGAGTATATTAATTCCATTTCTACATAAATTGCACAACTGGGGTATTGTCGGCATTTCAGTTTGTGAAACGGCGACTCGTTACGTGGCCTTTTGTTAGCCGATTGCGGGTGTGCACTGGTGTTTTAGTATTGACCAACATTACAATATTAATTGAACCACCGTATTAATGGCGCATTTAAGGTTTCTAACTTACGCCATAAGTACCAATTTTTTAAATGTATCACTATAAAACGAAAAAAAAAAAAGAGAGAGAAAATAAATGATCGAATATGATAAAAATATTATACATATGTAACTTATGATCAACTAAAGTTAATTTATCCTTGAGATGTTTTTAATTTTTTATTCTCTTCTACACAAGACAACTCATATTGTATGAAAAATTAATAATTATAAATACACACCAAACATATCCAATAATGTATAGAAATATGATCTCTATGACAAGAACACTTGTAATAACTTGCTCCCAAAAAACATTTGTTGAACATACACGTTAAAAATTCAGCAAGGCGTTCAATATTATACAAATTTCATCAACTGGCCCTAATATTTTTTTATTTATGTAAAAACAGCATAACTGTAGTGGTAATGATACAGAAAGTAGAACATTCCTATTAGGCACGTGGTTCAGAATCTAAGCCACCATTCCAAATATCTATACAAGTGTAAGCATGTATCTATCTGTAGCAATATGTACTAATATATATATGTAGCTGTTTGCATAAGGCCTACCTCATCCAACACAGCAATGGCGGAAGGAACAGCCGGAAAGAGATCGATCAGAAAGAGGGATGACTGTCGGAGTACTCAGGTCGGCTAGTTAAAGAGGGTCTCATGGTGACGATTGCAGATTCATTGGCTCCGGCCTTCAAAGCTGCCCTGCCGGCTTCCAAGAACCTTTTAACTGCATCCTCTGCGTACCGGTTAGCCATGCCCACAGTCATGCCTCTTCCGATATCCGGGTAGGTATTCAGGATGTGATCGCCATTGAGTTGTGATGCCAGCTGAATCAGTTCGATTTGGAACTCTGACAGTTTAAGATCTTCAATTGGTCCTCTTGGCCTTAATGATGTTGTTACTTCTGAAAGCTTCTCTGGAAAGGGAAACAGATTTATAAGTCTCAATTGCTTGTGGAATAAATTGAAGTGTTTCGAAGAACAGACTGATGTGCTATTTTTCATGTGCAAAGAGAACAAACAATTGAACTGCATAACCAAGCCAAGATCAATATTAAAATGTATGTACTTGTCCAGGCTGTAGGTTGTGATATTTTCCATAAAGTGAGACATAGCTACGGTCCAAATGGTGCATTAACTTGTTAGCTTCCTAAATACATTAACTCAAGAGTTTCACATGCACTACTAGTTCATACTAAGGAAAAATAAAAAGATTTGAACATTCCTAAACTGAGGGTTGAGAAAGACAAGACAAAGATTTGGGCATAAATACAAAAGCAGGTGTCGGTTTATGATAGATGATATATAAAGTTAACACATCAAACCATCACTGTGCCAGAAAGATGCAAAAGCCTAATGCTAAATTTCAATTGTAAAACAACGCAGCAGAGCATATAACCTTCCCTGCCTATCAATTGTCAAACAACACAGAAAAGCATAATCACTATAGTGCAGAAACAATCAGCAAAATGCATGATCAATGACAGGTGATTGGTATATTACATAACAATTAAATGACTATAGGTCAGAAACAAGATATCTCCCAGCAAAGCAATTACTTACTTGATCTGTAACACCAATTAAATATTTAACAGTTGAAAAAGAATCTAGCCATTTCCTATTTACGAATAATCAACTCAATTTATCCCTGATACTAAAAAAGTGACAAACTAGAACACACATAGTATGTATATCGCCAATAGGAGTGCTTCAAAACTAAGACTCTTCTGGCAATAGATCCTAATGGATATGCATGTGTGTGTGTGTGGAACACATGGAATGCTTATATCAAAAGAAATGTGTCGCAAAAGACATGGAGGAAAATGCAGACCTGGGCAGTCATCCCTTGGAGTATCCCGCAAGTAAAAGTATTTCTCAAAAGTTCCAGCCCATGCGTCTCGTTTAGTCAAAAAGTTTGAGTTGAGATTGAAAAGCTTCTTCACAGTAGCAGGTATGGATGAGTGTTCATATTGCGAAGTTGGAGTTGGGCCACTTGGTTCATGAATCACTGCATAAAATATAATTAGCAAACAGAACAAAATGGACATATAAGCAATATTTTGAATAAAAAAGTCTTAAGATATTTCAGCAAGTGGAGAACGCCTTAGTTTGGATTAAACTCAATTTTAATATATCAAGAAATGGACATAACTTTCGATCTTTGCCAAGAAATATGTACTTCTTAATCTGTTAAAACCCTGAATCATTCAACAATTGCAAAAGTTTCATGAGGCCAGGCTGGCCATCATTGAGAGATAATAAAGACTATCTTATCTAATTCTCTAATCCCTATGCAGGGGAGATACACCCAAAAAATCCATGATTAGAATAAGGATGTGGAGTATCACTTGTCAACCATGAGGACTTCAATACACAATATAAGATAAGCACTATCCACGACATCACACTTCTGTTTTACAATAACTGAAGTTCAAGAAATCCATAAAAAAAAAAAAAAAAAAAAAAAAAAAAAAAAAAGAAAAGGAAAAAACCATTTGCAAGATGATATTCATCCTTCATAGAGTAGACATCCCTCTAAAACTACAAAAAATTCTCTGCATATTCAGCTAAAAAACCAACGAACCCATCTTATCCAGAGCATCATAAATTTCCATTTTCTAGTTAAAAGAAATTGTTGAATATCAAGAGAAGCACGCAAGTCAAAAAGAGAAACCTAGGGAGGACTGCTAGTGGATTTTAACTTAATTTACAGATGCAAATAAAAAATTTTGAATCTCAACTAAAGTGCAATCCAGTATCGGAAACAATGCAGTTCAACATCAAAATGAATAAACCACATTACTTAGGGAATTCAGAACTCAAACACACAAACAGGAAGTTTTCTGACACAAAAGTTTTGAATATGACTATAACTTCTATCCATGGCAACACTGCGAGCAACTTTGAACTGTTTGAGTCTAAGTAAGTATTCTAACCGCAGAAATTTTATGCGAAAACTTTCAAGATTTTTTTCTTTTCTCGTATATATGTACATCTATATCTTACAGCAATCACCAAGCAACAGCATTCATTGCTCTGACATTTCTAAAATTGAAGGACTTCTCCATCCTAAAAGAAGAACTAAAAGATACCAAATGCTTCCCAATTCTAACATAATGCACTTTCTCCAAGCAACAATTATCCATTAATAAACGTTATGGAAGCAGAAGCTAGTTGTGTGATAGTGCATATATCTTTGGGAGGGAGGGAGGGAGATTCACATTTACCAGGTCACTCCTATCTAGTTTCCAATCTAATTCATCTTTCTTTTTCTAAGCCGTTAACAATGGCTACAGAGTGAGGCTATCAAATATAGATTCTTATGGGTTCACAAAGAGCATTTAAAGTTCCATCTTATATACTTGGAGAAGGTGCAGCAACAGAAGATGCAAGGTATCTTGTCCATTAAGTCCTTGTTTACTTGACCAGTGGCTCCGGAACTCTGACAGGAAAAGGCGCAATTTCTTCAGACAACTTTTTTTTCCAGCGTGTATGAAATGAAGCAAAAGAATACAGAATCTTACTAGAAAGGCAATGCTCAGGCCTTAGTGCAGAGCAGTTTAGACGAACACGGCACTAGGGTTGGCAGGTTTTCATAGTTAACACTAACCATATGATTCATATATTGGGCAATTGCAGTTGAATATTCTTTTGGGATAAATCCTTGTGGAGAGAGACATCTCTAAGCACTATGAGGTATAAATGTAGCCACAAACATGAAAATCTTGGTCCAGGAGGTCGGAGGTTGGGTAATCGAGAGTTCATTCAACAAGCACAAGATCGGGACAGCTCAGGCCAAAGTATTACTACAATGAGCTTCCATCTAGCACAACAAGAAGGGTCTCCTAGAAATCAGGTGTCGTAAAGTATAGATCATGCCGAAGTATTACTACAATAAACTTTCATCTAGCACAAAAACAATAGTTTCCTTGGAAACAGGTATGTTAAAGTTATAATCTTCTTACTGTAAAGAAAGCAAACAAAAAATAAAAGTAAATTCATCGACATATGTCAAGCAGTAAATAGTCACATACCAGTGCCTTTCTCAATCCAAGGTGAAATCAAGAACGTCGGCACACGAACGCCAAGCCTATCGAACTTAAAATAATAGGGATCCGGGCCAATGATCCCATCTGGGTTGGGCACACCAGAAACTGGTGTCGGCACATGATCATAGAACCCACCATGTTCATCATAAGTGATCAGCAACGCCATCTCCTTCCACTGCGGACTCGCCCTCAGCGTTTCGTACACCTCCTTGACAAATTTCTGCCCACGCGCCACATCGTGTGAAGGGTGGTCGTCATTCGCGGGAAAAAGCTTGACATCCATGTACCGTTGCTCGATCACAACATAGTTTGGGAGTTTCCCTAGTTTAGCATGAAGTTTGAACTTCAAAGCATAATTATGGAACTTGATGATATGCTTGAGCTTCCTGAGGCTCTTGAAAAACAAAGAGGCGGGGATATTCTGGTAATATATCCCAAAGCTGAGGTTATTTTCGTCCAGAGAGTCAAAAATGGTCTTCTGCGGATAGCCATGGATGAGGTCCTTCCGGACGTTGCTGGAGGCGCCGTGGGAAGTCGCGGAGTGAACGTAGAGTCGATTTGGCTGAGTCGAGGCCGGGACCGAAGCGAACCACCGATCCATAACCGCGAATTCGTTGGCTAATTCGGTGTAGACAGGGACTAGCTCCGGCTTGAAGCCGCTCATCACAGTTTTGGGCATACCTTCGACCTCCATGCTATCCGCCTGCTGCACAAAGCCATTCATCGGAGCTGGATTCGAGGACGTATCAGTACCTCCAAAAATCTGCTCTCTCATGGCCTGGATGGAGTGACCAGGGTCGGAATCAACGAAGAGCGCGTCGTCGGAGACGCGCACAGCTCCGGAATTCGGGTCGGAAGCGTTGTAGCGATTGAATTCGGTGCCGTTGAGGCCGTCGATGTCGGGGCGGAGCTTCTTCAGCCATCCAAGCATGTGATCGAATGATCTGTTCTCCATTACCACAACGACAATGGTTTTGATAGGGCCTTCGATTTTGTGGGTGTGCTTTTTGGGGAAAGGGAAGGAGTAAGCAGCGGAGAAGGAAAGTAAAAGATAAAGCACCAGAACATCGAGGAAGTAGATCCGCCGGGAAATCCCCATCTTCCCGTCGGCCGGCGGCGGAGAAATGACAGAGAAACGCAGATATAAAGAAAGAGGGAGGGAGGCGCAGAGAAGAAGAGTACTTTAGCAGTCAAAGCATATTCGAACAGTAAAGAAAATATACCATTATTTCATATAATTAATTAATTAATAATTATATTGTACAGTAAATAATATCTATACAGTATAGTACCAGTATTATTATTGGTAATAAATATTTACATTATTAACAATAAATAGTAGTACTACTTGTTAGGTGAGTGGCCGTCGCTGATTGCCGCCGACACTGACCTGCTTCATATTACACCGTTTATTTTATTTTGTATACTTAAGATATTTTATTTTATTTTTTAAATAATAATTTTTTTAAATATTTGATATAATATTTTAAGGCCATATTGTAGATTAAAAGACAAGTCAAAATATATTTTAAGTAAAAACATATAAGTGTATTTCTTTGGAAAAAATATGAGAAGATTGAGTTTCTTTTTTTTTAAAAAAAAGAAAAAATAGAGAGTTTAAAAGATTTCTGTTAAAAGAAACACACACCATGGTGAATATGAATTGAATCGAGATTGGTCGTTTTTACTCTCAGATCGTGGTGAGTAAGTTGCTTAAAATTTTTTAAAAAACATTATTAAATGGAGATAATTCTTTTATAATAATGGATAATTTTTAATTTTTTTTTTTACTCTCAGACTGGTTAGTAAGTTGCTTCATCTAAATAAATGTTGTATTATTGTAAATTCACTTATTAATTTGTAGAGTATTTAATAAAACTAAAATATGCCTCAAGGTCATGGATTCGAACATGGGGAAAGCTATGACCATAGTACTAATTTTCTGCAAAAAAAAACATTGTCTAACTAAAATATGGTATCGTTCTTCCAAGCCCATCTCAGCAGGACAACTTTCATTTATGCATTTATAAATCTAAAAATAAACACTTACTACAGTAATTTAACTCTAACCCATAATTCTATTTTTAATTTAAAAAAAAAAATATTATCTAAATATTTTATTTTATATATTATTTTAAACAACTTTTTATATTAAAAAAATACAAATATACACAATTAAAATATAAAAAATTACAGGTTAGTCTTGTAGGGACCAATTACAATTTGTAAAAATAAAAAAATAAAAAATAAAAAACACCATAATTGGTGTATCGCACTGTAGCAAACACAAAAAATGAGGATGTGAATGGAGTTGCATAACTTTATAATTTGTAGGCCTAAGTATTTCTAATTTATAAGTGCATAACTTTCCCAATACAAAACAAAATTAAATCCTCAACAAAATTTCAACTCAGTTCACATAAAAACAATTTCAAGTCACGAGTATTAACCTATCACCTTCAGATTTCATCAATAACTTCAAGCAGTTCATTGAAATCCAAAAAGCCCAAAAGAAACAGACTCTAATTTTCTGTTGGATTGCGGCAACTCTATTCTCAATATCCCGACCACCGGATTTCTTCTCATAAGAATCCAAACAGTGGTGTTTTTTTGACATCAGCTTCTCTTGCAATCCCCTCTCCTTCAACACCAACTCTTTTACTTGAGTATTACAGCCATCCAAGGTAAGGTAAAAAGTTGGGGACATTAAGAGTGTAAAAAACCAACTTGTGTTCAAGTCTGTCTTGAAACCAAGAAATATCAATTTTCCCGAGACAAAAGTACCCAAATAATACATTCAATAGGAATTCTGATGCTGGTTTCGTTACAGTACAGGATTCGATTATATTTATGCCCAAAAGGCACTTTGATGGTCTGTTTCAGCATACATCATATTTAAGGTGTAGTGCTAAATTCTAATTCATTAGTTCTGCGATTAGAACTGAAAAATAAATAAAGTAATCTATTAGTGGCTTTATAGGTTTCTCACCATATGAAAATTTTCACAATGAATTTTATCTTAAACAACTTATTAGAGTATAATTCTAGGTTGAATGTGTTCCCCAAGGATACTTTTTGTAAATGAATTAAATATGAATACATAAGAGTGCTAACCTTGGGCATTATCTGAGCTGCCTGTGTTGAAGATTGCAAGAATGACAGCAAGTTCAAGTTCAAATCCTTTGCCAGTTCATTAGGGGCGCGGGTGCTGTCAGCAGCCTTGTGTGATGCCTTGCCTGCTTTCAAGTTGCCAAGTTCTTGAAAGATCATGCAATGATGCTTTCACTAGCCATGAATAACCACATTGTTTCATTAGGCTTTGGAACTGCTGAATTGCAGTTTGTGCCTGTGAAAGATTTAGCCAAATTTCATGCTTTTTCCATATATAACAAATGCAAAACCTCCATTGAGTTGTAGGTCTAGTAGTTGGCATCCCTCAATATGGGGTCAAAGTTCCAGATTCGATCCCGGAAGTTGGTGTGTGTGTGGGTTAAAAAAAAAAAAAAAAAAAAAAAAAAAAACTAAAAATGAGGTAGAAAAATATCTCATACCTCATCCCACTGAAGTTTTGCTGGATATGAAGTGGAAGACTCTGAGATTGTGAGATCCTGCCTGTGTATACAACAGGAAAAATCCAAAAATCAACATTGATGGCTGCTGCCTAAAGAGAGAGAGAGGTTGATGAATCTGTGACACACCTGAAGCAAAACAGATACGTTAGCTAGCTTTAAAAAAGAAAATCTACATCATAGTGCTCATCATCAGATTGACAACAAATAAGACTCTATATGGAAGAACAGCTAAGATACCTTATGCCAAACATAGGTTCATTTATAGTTGATAGGCAGACAAATAATCTTTCTAGCGCAAAGATAGCAAATTGATTTAAGTAACTCACTTATGCCAAACATAGGTTCATTATTCCCCGAGTAATATATATCCTGAGCCTATTTTGTTCAAAACTTTTTAATAATGCAATCTCATCATTCTGTATAAACATACCCATTTTGATTCATAACATCAAATCCAACAACTATTCCACCTAAAAAACAACAAAAGCCAAAATCTACCAAACACAAAAGGCACAAACAAACTAGAAAATAGAAATGTCTGTATTTTCCAATTTAAGTGAACATATAATGTTAAAAATCAAGTATACTAACTAACAAGCCTTTCTGTTGTCCTACAACACAATTTGATAAACCACTTCCCCAAAGATCATAAAGAACACACGATCCCTGAGTTATGTGTACCGCACAAAGAACACAACAATTCAATCATCCATGAAACTTCACAATATCACACACATATCAGCACCTCCTCACCTACAGAGACAGAGAGAGGAGAAGGCTCTTCCTATTGTAATTTCCCAGAGACGAACTCCCAGTATTTTACGAGCATATGATCAACCGGGACAACACGGTCCCATCTCCCCGTACAGAATATTGCATATGCATCAGCTGCATACCTGATCACATGTCACCCCCAATCAACACCAATCAATTATAAAGATCACCAATCCTCTATTTTGCACAGAACAAGCACAAACACAATGATGGACTAACTTGTATGATTGAAGAAAGAATATATAATATGTTCAGTCTATAGTCCATCTAATCTTTGAGTGAACTCAGTAATATTGAGATAGTTGGTATCTTACTTTCCCACGTACGGCAGCTGAGTTACATGTGTCCATCTCTCACTCAAATACTCCTTTGAGAACATCTGAATCCCCTCTGCTCTTTTCTTATGCAAACCTAAACTGCGTATTACTTCCTCGATGTCCTTTGAGACAACCTTTGTAGCAGTCTCCGCATCTGGACAAAGCTCAAAAAATTTGGACAGTATTTTTCCAACCTACATGTAGTGAGTAGTTTCCAATCTGATATTAGTGACATATCACAGTAACACAATATACTCTAACCAGCAAGACAGTATGGTTTTCTTTACAAAATTCTCTCTCAAAAAGAATGACAAGTAGTGGATCTCTGACAATGGTTTACTAAACCCCTCAAGATATTTATAGTTGTGCCACTTTATGGGAATGTCAAGAAAATTGAAAACAAACACAGTAGCTGAAAAAGGGGTATTTCTGATTCTCATTCTGAAAATGAGGATAGTTTCGAAGGAGCTATAGTAATGGTACCAATAGATTACACTTTGAAGAGGATAAATTTTAGAAGAATTCAGCAGTGGTCACAACCAGTCCCATGCAAAATATGGCAACAGAAACTTTGTAAATCAAATAAGATGCTCAAAACTGATCACAAATGACTTTTCCATGATTCCAAGAAGCACGAATATCATGAGCATCTTAATCATATGTATAGAATCATAGAAAGTGTAACTACAAACAAACGAGTGGTGGCAATCAAACAATTCAACACAAAATGAAGTAAACTGAGAGCTGTACCTGCTGGCCTGTAGTCTGGTTAAGAAGCATACATATCACCAAAACCCTCCAAGGATCAAATGCATGATCTTCTTGGAGGAGATCAAAAGGTGATCTTGGAGGCTTCCAAGTGTTATCCGGAGTTTTTCTTTCATAAGCCTCGTCCATTTTCTGGGCAGCAGTTAGACATGGAGTGGGAACTTTCTTTTTCTTGCTTTTTGATCGTTGCACTTTATTTTTTTTTCCGTCTTGTTGTCCAACTACAGAATCAACTGGAATATCAAATAGGGCTATATTCTCATTCATGTTCTTCGAAGGCAAGCTGCAAAAGTAGCGAGACAACTTCTGAGTTTTTGGTTTCTTGGATCCCATGGTTCCTCCCTTTGTACTACTAACATTGTTTTTAATATCTGCGGTCGCAAAATAGGGAGAAATAACACGAACCTCCCGGGATCCTGCACGGCCTTTTGTCTTTCTCTGAGACACTATAACACTGTGTTTAATCCCAATTCTGATACTTCCTTCGCTTTCCTTTTCGGGACTAGCTTCAGATTGACTACCAATGTTCTTGGATGCACCCAAGATATCATCATTCTCATTTTCGAGACTAACTGAAGATAGATTACCAATGTCCTCAGATGCACCCAAGATATCATCATTCTCATTTTCAGGACTAACTGCACATTGAGTTCCAATGTCCTCTGATGCACCCAAGATATCATAATTCTCATTTTCGAGACTAACTGCAGACTGACTACCAATGTCCTTGGATGCACCCAACATATCATCATTCTCATTTTCGAGAATAACTGCAGATTGACTACCAATTTCCTTGGATGCACCCAAGATATCATCATTCTCATTTTTTACAGTAACTGCAGATTGACTACCAATTTCCTTGGATGTACCCAAGCTATCATCGTTCTCATTTTTGGGACTAACTGCAGATTGACTACCAATGTCCTTGGATGCACCAAACATATCATAGTTCTCATTTTCGGAACTAACTGCAGATTGACTACCATTGTCCTTGGATGCACCCAAGATATCATCATTCTCATTTTCGAGACTAACTGCAGATTGACTACCAATGTCCTCGGATGCACCCAAGACATCATCATTCTCATTTTCGGGACTAATTGTAGATTGACTACCAATGTCCTTGGATGCGCCCAAGATATCATCATTCTCAGCAGCAGTATTGCATTCGGTTTTACCAACTGCTTTTATCTTCTGCAGTGGAGGGGGGTGGCGAGCGAAATTGGCAGAGTTCGGGTAACATTCACCACCTGTATATGCAAATTGAGATAATATGTCATCTAAGGAAAGCTTTTCGGCCTGTGTCTTTGGTGTACTACCAAGAGCCTGGTCACTCAAACATGAAGCTTCAGCCTGCTCTTCCTCCATGACATTATCACAAGTACGTGAAACTCCATCATTCGGTTTTTCGTAGCGATCACCATCTATATCTTCTATCTTCTTATTTTTCTTTTTCCTACTTCGTATCACATCACTTTCTTCAAACACTGCTGCAGATTTCTGCACTTCAAGTTGAGAAACTCTCTTCTCATCCTTCACACATTTCTTGGAATCTCTAGTTCCATCATTTTCATTCTTTCTTCGCTCTCTTTTCTTAAAATCACAAATTTCCTTTCTAGTACTGCTTGTCTTACTCGTCATCCTCTTTCTTTGTTTGCTCACAACACCATCATTCTCCGAAACAGGGGCAACAGCAATGCTTTCATCCTTCGCACCTTTCTTCCTGAAATAAGGGGAAGTAATACGCCCTTTTCGTTTCTTATTTCGTTCTCCCTTCTTGCCGCTCCCAGCTCCATCTAATTGCTTCATTTCAGGGCTCAAACCATCATCTCTATCACTGCTCTTTACATCCCTTCTTATTATTTTCCTGTTACTCTTAAGATTACTCTCATCTACCAATAGTGCAGAGACATCCTCCTCAAAATGGGGACATCCACTCTCTACATTTCTGCTAATTTCTTGATTTTCTTTCTCTAACCTCTCCCCCTTCCTCCTAACCTTCCTCCCACATACTGCAGCAGGGAAAGCAACATCACATCCCAAAACCTTGCTACTTGCAACATCAACAATCGACTCTCCCTGGAATTGAGAGCAACCACTCCCACTCTTCATAAAATAACGAGACACCTTAACTTCTCTCTCTTTAGCCCTCCTCTCTCTTGTTTTCCTCTTCCTCTTCCCGGGCAGTACGGTGTCGACGAAGATACATCCAGGTGACCGGGTCTCTGAATTCTGCCCCATCTTCCCCTCCGCACGACAAATATGAGTGTGGCAATCAAGACTGCACTTTGCTGAATCGTTTTCCGAAAAGGGCAAAGAAACACCGGAGCATAATTTAGCGAAGCTGCAGTTGGTGCTTTCCGAGAGTAAGGGATCACACGAGAAAAGGCAATTGGAGGGTGAATTGGCACAAGGGCAACCACCGCTTGCCATGCCCATCGTCGATTGTTTTTTTTCAGGCGTTTATCATCTGGGTCACAAACTGCACCCAGATTCAGAAGATCACAACACTTGTCCGTCTCTAACCATTAGCGCACGGGTGGGCCGTATGGGCATGCTCTCCCACATTTTCATTAATTATTTTTAGGGAAAAAATCAATTTTGTCTCTATATAATTAAAATTTATCAATTTTTAATATAAAAAATTCATTGGTTCCAATATAATTAAAATTTATCAATTTTGGTCCAATATAAAAAAATTCATCAATTTTACTTCAAATATAAATAATTTCAATGACACGAAGGAGGTGACGTGACAGTTGATCCGAAAAGTACACTGTCATGTACAATGATACACGGTTATATATATTTCTATTTTAGTTTAATTTTTTTATATATTTTTTTTAAAAAAAATTATTTTGAATTTAAAATAGTTGATATAATTAAAATGGACAAAATCAATAGTAATTATAATATAATTAAATATAAAAATTTATAAGATATATTCTTTTGAAATGTTTTGTCTAAAATTTTATTATTCATAAAAAAAAATTCTTTTACAAACATTCAATTACACAACTATTTTTTAATTTTGTATATTATAGTAGTATTAAAATTTAATTTATTATATTATGATTATTACACATCCAATTAATACTTATATTTGAACTAAAATTGATATATTTTAATTATATTATGATTATTATTGATTTTTTTCCATTTTAACTATATCAACTATTTTAAATTTAAAAAAATAAAAATAAAAAATATAACAAAAAATTAAAATTTTAGACCAAAACAGAAAAGTACACGGCCGTGTAGAATTATACATGGCCGTGTAACAACATGGTCATGTATAATTATACACTGAAATATACATGGTCATGTATCAACATGGCCGTGTATAACTGTACATGGTCGTATAACAACATGACCATGTATAATTATACACTGAAATATACATGGTCCCGTAACAACATGACCAATTATACACGGTCATATAACATACTTTCCAGATCAACTACCACGTCACCTCCGTCATGTCAACGTCAGCAATTTCAGTTAGTTTTTTTAACGGTGAGACCAAAATTGATTGAAATTATTTAAATGAGACCAAAATTGATTGAAATTATTTAAATGAGACCAAAATTGATTGAAATTGCTTATATTGGGAGTAAAATTGATGAGTTTTTTTTATATTGAGAGCAAAATTAATGAGTTTTTTATATTGGAACTAAAATTAATAAATTTTGGTTATATTAAGACCAAAATTGATGTTTTTTCCTTATTTTTACTAGAGTTGAAAGTTTCATAATTATATAATAGGGTGTGATTTACTTTATTTATCCAACTTAGCAAAGATATTGAATTTTTTTCCTTAGTAGGGTGTGAATATATATATATATATTTCATTAAATATTTATTACTCTTATTTAATTTTTAGATATATTTAAAATAAGAGAATAAAAAATCTCCATAATATTTTCAAAACATACTAAAATATTAAAGTCAATCCAACATAGAAGGAATTGTTTCCAAACTTTTAATTTTTCGTTTATGTATTATAGATTCAGAATTTGTGTGATTTACATTTCAAATCAATAAATTTGTATAATTTTAATAAAATATATTATTTTTTATAATAAAATATTAGTTCCTCCTACTCATTTACAGATGAGTATTTGAATTAAAAATCAAATAAACAAATTTAAATTTAAATACAAATTCGTGGTTTTATGAAAAATAGGAAAGGTTATAGTATATGATTTTACTTTTTAAAATTTTTTATTAGATATAAAAGATTATAAAAATGTTATCAAATATTTTATCAGAAAACATAATCAACTAAAAAGCTATCCATTTTGGATGTATTTTCCATAAAAATATTTTCACATTCTATTTAAAATTATCTCACATAAATAGTTTATATTCATTTATAACTATATAATTTTCACAATTTTAATTTATTTCATTCTCAGTCCTATCTACCCAAGTATCATTTTATATTTTAACTATTGACTCACTAAACCAAGAATATTTTAAAAACTTTTACATTTTATACAAACAAATTTATTAATATACTATTATTTAAAAAAGAATAGATAAAGCAAAATACCCATATAGCAACATTCATTTGAATGGAACTAACAAAATATATATATATATATAATATTTTAAAAAATAGTATTATAAATAAATGATACGGATCTATTTTGATTCAATCATATCAACATATATGACTAATGTAATAATTTTTAAGTACATGTAGATAGTATATAATTAATTGATTTGAAAAGAAGAATCAACATGGACAAAATTAACTATGACAACATAAGATAAATTGCATCAAATTCATCTCACCAACACACATCATCTATTCAATAAGCACAGGATTCTCGGACGAAGAACCAGCCGGACCTAATATTTGAAATTGGAGAGGGAGAGCATGTCTCAAAATATGAACTTTCAACTTAATACCTGTCGAACTCGACTCCAATAGCTCAAACACACATGCATCTTTCGCTCGAAGTTTATTGTCTTTTGCGAAATACTTCCATTTACGATTGAACCTTGGCTTAGCTTTACTGCCCGCGTACAAGACCTCCCACGCAGTCCGCTTGTATTTCAACACGGCAATGACATTAGAAGTAGGAAGCTGAGCAGTAAATTTAAGTGGCATAGTCTGAATTGAAAAGAAAAGAAAAAGAATGTGTTAGCCTTTATGTATAATAATATTGTAAAGTCTGATAGAATCAAGGACATTACAAATTCATAGCGTGGGGCAAAAAGAAAAAGAATGTGTTAGCCTTTATGTATAATAATATTGTAAAGTCTGATAGAATCAAGGACATTACAAATTCATAGCGTGGGGCAACCATGGTTGGCGTAAGAACTACGTCGAAATATGGCTTCCCGCAAAGAAATGGGATGTCTTCTATATCTTCACTTTTTTGCCCCACTTTAGAGGAAGCTATTATTTTCTGGATTTAACTAAAAGTTTTTCAGTTTTACAGCACAGTTTGGGATATGTTAAAATATGTTTTATAATAGATAAAGAAAGTGTATATACCTTGGAAGACATTTGGAATCCTGAGTAGTAAAAGTAAGCATGAAGACGATGCCACTCTCAAGCTAAATTCTGGAAAATGAACAAAAATGAAAACATAAGAACATTTGTGGTGACAATGTTTTCTATGTATTGCTAAAAATTGGATATGAAACTGGAAAAAGGTTCTATTATTTAAAGAAAACAAGTAACAAGATGATCACCGTAATTTCGACAAGCAATTGAGGAAGAAGCGATTATTTTCATTGCAGATCCAAACAGATATTCATCCGTTTCGAAATTCAGCCCTTACTATCAACTATTTAACCTTCTTTTTTTTTTTTTTTTCTACAAGCATTTTCTAAACGAATAAATCAATTACTCCGAATAAACTGGAGTTCATATCAAATTATGAAGATAATCAATCAGATCACAGAAGTATCTTTGCCAAAAGCATTGAATCGAGAAGAAAAGGAAAGACAGACAATCAAATATCATCCTATTCCATACAAAACTCTGCAAATTAACATAAACCGTGAAACGAGAAGGGAAAGAAATCATAAGAGCGACAGAACCAAAAAAAAAAAAACACTACCAGGTCGTTCATAGGGAGCATGGCGGTGCTTCTGCAACTGCAGGATTGGATACTTCTGGTTCAGAAGATATTAAGCGCATCCATGGGGTTTTGTTATTTCGGATATTCTGGCAAATAGAAATCTGAAATCTAAATGGCAATTCCAAAAGAGTTTGCAGTGCAATCCGTATTCGTGGGAGTGTTCAAAGAGTTTGTTTGGTTTTGTTTTTAACTCTATATTTTTGAAATAATAATAATAATAATATCACATATTTAAAATCAAATAAATACTTCTTTCGTATCCAATGTAAATAAATACAAAAATTTAATAGGAATATAATGAACAATTAAAAATTTATTAATAAAATTAATTAAAATATAAAAGAAATAATTCACATATAAACTTCTTTTTTTTTTTTTCAAACTAAAACATAAAACAAACAGATCCAAATCAAATAAAACTTACCACCCCTCACCTCTTGACAACTCTGAAAATTACTGCCTTCATCCCAAATATCCTGCAACATATATATTTTTTATTATTATTATTTTTTTATTATGTCTCAAACACCAATATTTTCAAAATAGAAAATAATTAATTATACTTAATCTATATCCCACATTTTATCCCCTCATATCATCCAAATTAAAAAAAATAAAATATATGTCTCTCCATCACATCACTTTATTTCTAAATTATTCTACTTAATACTACCCACCTAAAAATTTGTGCAAAAACGCACTTTGTTTGGGACGGAGGGAGATATTATTTGGTGAATTTTTATTTCTTTCCGATTTGATTCCATCTATAGATACATAGTTACATTATGTGTGTTTGTTAAGTGAAATGGTTGAAAATGAAATTTTTTTTATGTGAATATAAAAATAATAAATATATAATATATTAATATATTTTAAAAAATATGCTATCTCCGTCGCTTAACAATTTATTCATTTTTCTATTTTGGTCAGTCCCATAACAAAGTATTGTTTCCTTAGTAATTGTACTATCTACCTAACTGTACAAATACCCTTCTAATTTACAATATATTACACAAATGCCATTACCTTTATATTATACAATACTAATAGGGTTAATTTAGTCTTTTTATCTTTATTTATACTTTATCCCAATATAATACTAATATTTCTAAAACTCCGTTCAAAAAATAAATGGATAGATAGATTGGAGAGGAAGGGAGTATAAAAAAAATTGCTAAAAGAACAAATACATAGTTCTCTCGGGGTCTGATTGGTTTAAATTCATATATATATATATATATATATTTATTTTTAAATACTTTGAACAAATTGAATCAAAGGTGTGAAATTGAGGAGTTTTTTATTTTTATTTTTATTTTTTTTGTTTTGTCATGGTTTTTATATAAAATCATAGAAATTATAAAAAAAAAAATGATAAAGATCCCTGATTTACCTTTTTTTTTTATTAAGTAACCTCTATATTTAACCTCTTTTTTATAATAATCTTGTTACTAATTTTCCAAAAGTAATAACCTTTTATAAGCTTTTCTTAAAATGGTAACATTTTTAAATAACTCATCATTTTAAATAACTAAATTACATTTAAGATTACAATTATTTCAATAGATTGATCATATATAGTATTAATTTTACAGCTTTGGTTACATTGTGGTCAAATCAGCACAATCATATACTCATAATGTGTCCATTTTTCTATTTTTGTCAATTTCAATTATAGTGTCAAAAGTATTATACACTTTAATCTTATTTTACAATTTTTAATTTAATTTATTAATTTTAATTATACTAATTAATTATTTTAATTTAAATTTTATTAAATAATAATTATTTTCACTAATAAGTTTTTATTTATTAACTAATTATATTTCTCGTAACTTTCCGTGTCTACAAAGACACCATATACACGGAGGAAGTATTTTTTGAGATCCCATAATATAATTTAATAGATTATTAATTTCAATAAAATAGATATATTTATATAATATAGTACAATATATAATTTGCACAATATATTTATATAATACACCGTACTATGCATGCTTCTGTATGATAGTTGTGCTATATTTAAAAAACAGGATGAATCCCATGTTGGATTTAATCAAAATTATTCATTTTAACCACAAATTTTTATTTTAAAATTATTGATAAATTTTTTTATGATTAATAGTAAGTTCAGCAATGGCTTAGCTACATTAATCCATTATGTGCCTTCTATGTTTGTTCGAACCATGCTAAATCAGTATCAATTTGACATTTTGATGCCATCAGCATATATAGTAATCGCCAGCTAATTTTTACAATCTTCTAGTTCTTGTATATATAAAGAATGGTAAAAATGGTAATATAATCATAATAATAATAATAATAATAATAATTATTAGCTCTATAAAATGCAGAAATGACTTGTTCGACGTCGGTAATGCAAGTTACTTTTGATTCACGGGAATTGGGGGAGATCAGTTGTGATTAATTTTCTCGGAAGTCTTTCCTGTTACACTGGAATCGACGACTATCGATCATGGCTGCTTCCACGGGAAGTGAGTTTTTCGAAGTAGGCATTGAGTGCGATGCGCCGATTTCCAGGCAGTCCAACGCCGCGGCGGTGGCAGAAGACGAGGAGGAGCTCCGTTGGGCGGCGCTCCAGCGCCTGCCCTCACAGCAGCGAGGAAATTTCGCTTTGATTAGGCGCACCGTCTCGGAGCGGCATCGCACTGGAGATGCCGCTGAAACTCATCTCGTCGACGTCCGGAAACTGGATCGGCAAAAGCGTGAGCTTGTTGTTAAGAGAGCGCTCGACACTTCCGCGCAGGATAATTATAATCTCGTTTCAGGAATCAAAGTGCGCATCGACAGGTAACGTTTATATTCTTCTGAGCTTTCCATGCATCCATTCCACAGTACTGTTATTCAAATAATTGATTTTGGCCTTAACGACTTAGTAATGAAGCAGTAGTGGAGACACCGATTGTGGTGTGTTGGGGCAATTATTTTTCATTTTATTTTGTAAGCAAACATCAGTTCTGGATATTGATCGGTGAAGAGAACACGTTCACATTTGTACAAACAAATTGTGAGAACTTTTTTCGGGTTCTCCAAAATTTGAAATTTCGCAACCGTTTCTAGTTATATATATACATGTGTGTATATATATATATATATATATATTTACATTTTCTGAGAGTTAGGCGGCATCTACCAGTTAACGGCACGTCTTTCTTCGGAAAATTTTTCATCTTTTGTTAAGGAAAGACGTCAGTGAATAAGAAGCTTTAGTTTTTTGGTAATTTTCTTTCCGTGCGGAGATGCTTTTGGTAAATATTATGAGTTTAATAAAAATTATTAAATTTGTACAATGGTTGTTCATTTAGAGATTTTGATTATATTCTCTACATGAAAATGACTGTTATGTTTTTTGTACTGGGCTTTGGTGTTCTGAAGTGTGGGTTTGGAGATCCCAAAAGTGGAGGTCCGGTTTGAGAACATATATGTTACGGCAGATGTACAAATAGGCTCCAGAGCTCTGCCTACTTTGGTGAATTATTCTCGCAATATAATTGAGGTATGGATATTTGTAGCCATGTATATGCATTTCTGCAGTACCTCTACTGTTTTTGTTTGCAGAGAAATGGTAAAGATATTGACTTATGTTTACACAGAAATTGTTCACTAAATTGGGGATATCTCGGTCAAAACGACATTCACTTTCAATCCTGAACAACATTAGCGGTGTGTTAAAGCCTGGAAGGTGAGCTGTAATTTTGTGATCTTTCTGTGGGGAGGGTTGATGCTTGATATGCTATGCTGCAAGCAATAGATTGCAGCTTCATTTTTTTTTTTTTTTTTTTTTTGTAATTGTGAAATATCTATAGAAGTAATGCTATAAACTGGTAAGGTAGTATAATGCTCTTCATTCAGAGTATGATCATTAATGAATGCATATATGACGTCTCACACTTTGTGGCATTAACTAACATAGTCAAAAGTTTATTAGATCTGATCCGAGTGTAACTTTACATAGCTGGTGAAAGTTTAACAGTTTGTTTGTGACAGAAGAAATATTATATTCTCTAAATATCTATGACATTCTCATCTTATGGCAGGATGACACTGCTTTTGGGGCCTCCAGGTTCCGGTAAATCTACATTACTACGAGCTCTTGCTGGGAAACTAGACAACAACTTGAAGGTCAGTAAAAAGAAAGAAATCTTATTATCAAATTTACTAATTTTCTACTTATATTATTCCGTAACACACTCTCACAGCCTCACGCTTACATTAATCTTCTTATAAGATGCAAATATTTGATATATATATGTGTACTCCACCGTTAGTTGTCCCTGCTGTTAGATACCATTTTTTTAAATGCTGATTAAATTTTCATTCAATATAAATGCCAATATATTATATGATTTTTTTGCTCTTTCACATGACAATAGCTTGTGAAATTTCCTCGAATATATATAAAACTAAGTATATAATACTTCATCACTCTTATGTCATTTTAACTCTTCGATTTCAGAAAAGTGGAACCATTACATACAATGGCCATAAGTTTGATGAGTTCTACGTTCATAGAGCGTGTGCTTATATAAGCCAGACAGATAATCACAATGCCGAACTAACTGTAAGAGAAACTCTTGATTTTGCTGCTAGATGCCAAGGAGCAAGTGAACTTTTCTCAGGTATATATATATATAATGTTGTATTCCTTTCTTATTGATGGTTATATGTGTTTGCCTTCTATTTGTGCTGAAATGAGTGCTCAAGAGTAGTAGTATTAGCTGGTTAGCACTAACCTAGAAAATCTTATGCTGACTTGCTTACTTGATTGGTATTTTCACTAAGTTTCCGTCCATGATGTATAAAAAATCTTAGTCCTATTTGGTGCACTTTCAACAACCATCGAGAGATACTGCCTATCATCTATTTATTTTCACTAATTTGAATATTTTATAAATGTAATAGGATATATGAAGGATCTTACCAGACTAGAAAGGGAAAGAAATATTCGTCCGGACCCAGATATAGATGCATATATGAAGGTGAGAGTGCTGCCCAACGGATTCCACCGTCAACTATATATTATTTCTTGATGACTTGTAACTTTTTAATAATACCAAATTAAATATTTCTCAGGCATCATCTATTGGTGGTACAGAGCACAGTGTCTCAACTGATTATTTGTTGAAAGTCCTTGGTCTTGATGTATGTGCGGATACACTTGTTGGTAATGACATGATCAGAGGTGTCTCTGGAGGACAAAAGAAGAGAGTGACTACAGGTTTAGCTATATATATATATATATATATACACACCTGAAAACACTTGTCTATTCAGACACATTAATTCAACACATTGTACTACATGTTGTTCTGTTTCTTATATTTAATTGTAATTGTAAACTGACAGAAATTGTGAATAAAACTCTAATGTCATGCACATTTTAAAAATAGATTTAGCTACAATTAGGACCCTGGTTTGAGTACTGTGCTTAGAGTTGAGATTGTCTTTTCTTCTATTTTTTCTTAGAATATGTTGAGGAAAAGTTGTCAGTTTTCTATAAGTGTTTATATAATTATCTTCATGAAAGCAACTATATTTCTACAATCTTAATACTCTCCTAGTATTTCTGAAATGTATGCATTATGTTTTTATGTTCATTTTCCCAAATTTCTCGTTTTCAAAGGTCTTACTTTGTAAAGAGTTCAAAGAATGAAATGTGATTAACTCACCTTCAATATTAACCATTGAATTAGTTGTTATTCCTACTTCTATTAGCTAGGAAGCAACTGCTTGGAGCTTTCACTTTCCTTGCAATATTACTCATATGTTGTGCTCAACTTAAATTTTCTCAAAATTGTATTTATTAATCAAAAGAAAAATGATTTGTTAGATCTTATAGACTGATTCTTCTCAAGAAAATGTAAATTGCTGCAATTTTTTTTCCCTTGAATTATATTTTATATATTTAAAAGAAATGCTAATTTTCTTAGTTAACATGGAGACACTCTTATGGGGGGTGTGAATATTATGTTTGCCGAAGTATCTACATTGTTACATGGCAAGATTCAAATTGTTTACTATTCTGTTCAATTGTTTTGCTTTATGATTCTCATGTCTCTTTCACTTTTTTACATAGGAGAAATGGTGGTTGGGCCCCGGAAAACACTTTTCATGGATGAAATTTCTACAGGGCTTGATAGCTCTACGACATTCCAGATTGTTAATTGTACACGAAATTTTGTTCATTTCATGGAAGGAACTGTTTTAATGGCTCTTCTTCAGCCTCCTCCAGAGACCTTTGATCTGTTTGATGATCTTATACTACTCTCCGATGGATACCTTGTATATGAAGGACCTCGTGATGGAGTAATAGAGTTTTTTGAGTCCCTAGGTTTTCGATTACCACCTCGCAAGAGCATTGCAGATTTTCTACAAGAAGTAATCTAGCTCTATCTGTTTAGTTTTTTGTTGACCGAGCATGCAGTTCATATGGTTCTTACTAAGCTATTTATATGTATGATAGGTTACATCAAAAAAAGATCAGGCTCAATACTGGGGTGATTCTTCAAAACCATACCAATTTATTCCAGTTTCGAAAATTGCCGAAGCATTTAGCAAGTCAAGATATGGACAGGAAGTGGAATCTTTTCTATCCACACCTTATGATAAGTCTAAAAATCACCCTTCAGCACTTCCCAAAACTAAATATGCTGTATCAAATGTGGAGCTATTTAGAGCTTGCTTTTCAAGAGAGCTTCTGATGATCAGCCGGCATAGTTTTCTGTACATCTTTAGAACATGCCAGGTATATGTGCCCTTTTCTTCTTTTTCCAATTTCGAAAGAGTAATACTTTAAGTTTGATCATAGTCTCTTCATTGTTTCACCTGAACTAAATTATCCTGTTTTACTTCTTTAAGCTTTTTTGAGCTTTCTAAAAGGAAGCTACATATATTGATAATACTTATATCTACAAGTATTTCCATAAAAAGTCTGATACTATCCATCAATCTTGAATCTTCTCTATGTTCTTTAGGTACATACATTGTAGGTTCCATTATTTGTTTCTTATGTAACATGTAAATGTATATACAGGTGGCATTTGTTGCATTTGTGACAAGTACAGTGTTTCTTCGGACAAGAATACATCCCATTGATTTGGCAAATGGGCAGCTTTATCTGTCATGTTTATTCTATGGAATGGTGCACATGATGTTCAATGGATTTTCTGAGCTACCTTTAATGATATTTCGACTGCCAGTATTTTATAAGCAACGAGACAATCTCTTCTATCCTGCTTGGGCATGGTCTATTGCAAGTTTCATCCTCCGTGTGCCATACTCACTGATTGAAGCTGTTGTGTGGACTTGCATAGTGTATTATTCTGTTGGGTTTGCTCCTTCTGTTGGAAGGTATAATTAATGTGAATTTAAAGCTCAATCATCCTCATTACACATGCATCATTTAAGAAGATTTATTTGAACCTCGTGGATAAATTACTCTGTTTTCCAGGTTTTTCCGTTTTATGCTTCTGCTCTTTAGCGTACACCAAATGGCATTGGGTCTCTTTAGGACAATGGCTTCTGTTGCAAGAGACATGATCATCGCTAATACATTTGGATCTGCTGCTTTGTTGGCAATATTTTTACTGGGTGGATTTATATTGCCAAAGGGTAACTAATTTTGGTCATGATTAAGTAGTTTAATTTTTATTGAACTGTAACCCAAAAAAATTAAATGAGGACTGTCATTCATGACATGATGCTACCTCTGGTGGGTTACCTGCATATACAAATCACTCAATAATATATATGCGCACACACACACACTGAATATATTTAAATGCGAATAAAATTTGATATCATTTGGATTTAGCGTTTCCTCCTTTCCACTTAATTCTACTTTGCATCTATCCTTGAACTTCAGCAATGATCAAGCCATGGTGGACATGGGCCTATTGGTTGTCTCCTTTAAACTACGCTCAGCGTGCAATTTCTGTAAATGAATTCACTGCTACAAGATGGTTGGAGGTATGTTCTAATTCATCAGATCAGAGCTCATTGTTTATATTCTATTATATTGTATTAGTAGCATCATTCTTGCAGCTAGTTAGAAACTTTGATGTATTTATGTACATGAAAGTGGTCCTTTAGTTTACTTATGTCATTTTTGCTAATTTACTTCTGCAGAGATTTCTGGTAATGGATGGTCATCCTGCTCCTCTTGGTTATGAAATTCTCAAGCTTCAAAGTTTACCTCATGATGATTTTTGGTATTGGATTGGAGTAGGTCTTTTGATAGCTTATGCAGTTGTTTTTAATATTGCAGTGACAGCAGCCCTGGCCTTTCTCAACCGTAAGTACTTACTGTATGCATGAAACCATCTTTGGGGAGTAATTATGGAACTACTACTCAGACTTTTAACATCTTACCTTATTACTCTTTCAGCCCTAAAAAAATCGCAGACAATTTGTCCACCAGATGATGAGCAAAATAGTTCAGCAGCAGTCAATGGTAAACAACAATAGTTTATAATTATACATCAATGCCTTGGCATGAACTTGACATGCTTTATGTAATCGTTCCATTTATTTTGAAATCCAATGTGTCATGATAAAGCGAGTCTTTCTATTTGTAGCTGAAGTATTTCCCAGGGATGGAAGGAAAACGAAAGGAATGATTCTTCCATTTCAACCACTAACAATGACCTTCCATAATGTCGACTACTTTGTTGATATGCCCAAGGTAATGAGTAAGTAGTATTTAATTTAAACTGTTAGAATATATATATATATATATATATATGCACAGTTAAATGGCTTGTTTTGTTTTTAGGAGATGAGTTCACAAGGCATACCAGAAAGAAGGTTGCAACTCCTGGACAGCATCAGTGGCGTATTTGCCCCTGGTGTCCTCACAGCATTGATGGGCTCAAGTGGAGCAGGGAAGACGACATTGATGGATGTCCTTGCTGGACGGAAGACAAGTGGCTATATAAAAGGAGACATTAGAATTTCTGGTTATCCAAAAGAACAGAGAACATTTGCTCGAGTCTCTGGATATGTTGAACAGAGTGACATACATTCTCCTCAAGTCACAGTTGTTGAATCGCTCTTGTTTTCTTCCTTTCTCCGGCTTCCCAAAGAAGTGAATCAAGCCCAAAGGGAGGTACGTCTACTTATATGTAACCTGTTGGCTTATTTTCATTCTGCAGCTAAAGTGAGATGGTCTCTGTTAAACTTAACAATAACTATTTTGCAGGAGTTTGTGGAAGAGGTAATGGAACTAGTGGAACTTGATTCTCTACGGCATGCATTGGTAGGCTTGCCTGGCACTTCTGGATTATCTACAGAGCAAAGAAAACGTTTGACTATAGCTGTGGAACTTGTTGCCAATCCTTCAATCATTTTTATGGATGAACCTACATCTGGTCTTGATGCCCGTGCAGCAGCTATTGTGATGCGAACAGTTCGAAACACTGTCGATACTGGAAGAACTGTGGTGTGCACGATACATCAGCCAAGCATTGATATATTTGAAGCTTTCGATGAGGTTTGGAATCGGTTCTTGCACATATAAATATAACACATACACCCATGTATATCTATCTAATCAGATGTACTCATTTACTTGCAGCTTCTGCTTTTGAAGCGAGGGGGAAAAGTGATATATGGTGGCAAACTTGGTGACAGGTCGCAAACCATGATCAACTACTTTCAGGTATAATTAACAGACCTTAGAACAAAACTCTTCATCATTATAACAATAAATCAATCCTTAATTTAAAAAATATAACTTCTTTGATTGATTTTATTTTGTGTTTTTTCAATAAAAAAGGCGATTCAAGGAATCCCCCCAATACATGATGGTTACAACCCTGCAACTTGGATGCTTGAGGTTAGCACACCTGCGATGGAAGAGAAGATTCATCAAGATCTTGCTGCTGTATACCGAAATTCGAATCAGTATAGGTAACATATACTATATATAATACGAATGCTATCTTGACAGAGTTGTTAAAGTTATTCCTTCATCGGTGAAGTAAATATATTGAATATTGCAGGGATGTTGAAGCTTCCATCGAGAGGCATAGTGTTCCGCCAGAAAATACAGAACCTCTGAGATTTACAACAACTTTTTGTAGAAATACTTGGTCACAACTTGGAATATGCCTATGGAAGCAAAATATTATTTATTGGAGAAGTCCGGCGTATAATGCAGTCAGATTGTTCTTTACAACATTAAGCGGTCTTATAATCGGGAGTGTATTTTGGGATGCTGGTTCAAGGAGGTAAGCATCATCATCATCATCATCATTAATTATCCTTATCCATATCCATCTGTCTCTGATGCTTGACAATTGCCCCCATTCCTTTGAAATGAATTTGTTGGTGCAGAGATTCGACTCAGAACTTGTTTGTTGTGATGGGATCTCTGTATTCGGCAGCCATGTTTTTGGGGATCAACAATTCTTCTTCAGTCCAGCCGGTGGTATCCATCGAAAGGACTGTTTTCTATAGGGAGAAAGCTGCTGGAATGTACTCCCCAATTCCATTTGCACTGGCACAGGGACTTGTGGAGATTCCCTACATTCTTGTACAAACAGTAATCTACAGCATCATTACATATTTCATGATCAACTTTGAAAGAACACCAGGTACACAGCACAACACACACATATAGAATGTTTATTTATGTATAGATAGATATATATACAGTGCTGATGATGATCGATCATTTAATTGTGAATGCAGGCAAGTTTTTTATGTATGCTGTGTTTATGTTCCTGACATTCACATACTTCACATTTTATGGGATGATGGTTGTGGGTTTGACTCCCAATCAACATTTTGCGGCGGTCGTGTCATCAGCTTTCTATTCGCTATGGAATCTGCTCTCCGGCTTCCTCATCCCGAAACGAGTAAGCAAGCCAAAGCACAAGAGCAAGAGTTTATTTATATGCTTGTTTGTCTATATATATATATAATGAATGCATGCTGATTTGAAGTATTGTCATTGTTAAAAAATTCAGAGAATCCCGGGGTGGTGGATATGGTTCTACTATATATGCCCGATAGCGTGGACGCTGCGCGGCATAATCACATCCCAGCTAGGTGATGTGGAGACGACAATCGTAGGGCCGGGATTCCAAGGAACGGTGAAGGAGTTCATTGAGTTGGAATACGGTTACAACTCGGGAATGACTGGTGTTAGTGTCCTTGTGCTCATTGCTTTTAGCTTTACCTTCTTTGGTACATTTGCCTTCTCTGTCAAGCTTATCAACTTCCAAACAAGATAGAATACGATCGAAGAAGAGGAAGATATGTCTCAACAAAGAAGATGGAAGATTATAACAGCTGAGAAATGAGAGCTTTGATGCGAATAAAAGAATTAGCCAAAATTTCATATTCAATTATCATTTCTTGTAATGTGGCAAATTAAGCTATCATGCCCAATAGACATTTCATTCATGAGACGTGTTTTATGAGCAGAGAAAGAGATATCAGAGCTATAAAGAGAATCAATTGAATAGTTGTGTGTTTGTGTAAAAATCAAATTGAATACTTAGTTGTTCCGTAAGAGATGATTGGATGACATGAGGTGAAATGGATTTGTAATTGTGAGGTTATTGATTTAAAATTCGTCGAATTCTCACGTATAAAAAAAATAAATATATAAAATAAAATTGAATACCACATTAGCTAGCCCTTAGCTTTTGAATTGAGGCAGCTTACAGTAAAATAATAATAATGATGATATAAGTTTGTATTTTTTTCTCTATATAAAAAGTCAAAACATATACTCTTAATTATTATATATTTTAACTTTAATTTATAAAATTACTCATATAATTATCCAAGTACTTCGTCTCTTGCCACAAACAATTTTTTTTTTTTTTTTTTTTTTTTCATGCTCACACAATATGACCTTTTTCCTACTTTTGATAAATTTATAAAAAAATTTGAATTGAAGACTATAACCAGAAAGCAAACACCAATGCTTCTTTCGTGAAACTTCTGACTTGTAGACATTTTACACATACTTACTTCCTTTTTAGTATTATTAAAAAAAAAAAAAGAAAGAAAGTAAAAGTCGTATTGGCGATTTCATCATCCTTTAATTTCCTTACACGTTTTTCCAAAGTCGCACCGCACGCACAAAGAAGACTTTAGAGAAAGACTTTTAAAATAAGATAGTAAACAGCAATAGCGGTTTGACAAAGGCGGCAGCCAATGAGGCAATTAGGGAACGATACAATACAATACAAATAAGCACTCCATTTTTGTCTCCTTCCAAAGGTCATGGATCGGATAAACTCCAACTTTGCTGACTCACCCTACACTATACATTTAAATTTTAATGAAATGGATAAACTTTTTTGACAACCAATCTACACGTACATGCATAACTACAAAATTTATTTGTGGTCCCTTTTATTTTCTCTAACTACAAATCATGCAACCAAATAATGCCTCTATAATTGCCTAAAATTTTAAATTTGATACGTGATATTATTGTTATTATCTTTTTCTTTGATTATGATTTCTTTCTTATCAGATAACACATATAAAATTTCAATACAGTTTTTATATTAATATAATACAAATAATGATCTGTTTATCTTTCATGTATTAATTAGTCCTAATTAATGTCTTAACCAATTCGAACTTTGGTGACAATACAATGGAATAATATCTTAGTTTAACTAATTAATTAAATTCCAATTTTCTTTTTTCTTTTTTTTTAGAGGTTTGAATAAATCAAGTATATTCATTTTGTACAGATTGGGGATACGTACGTATTTGAATTTAAGAAGTAAATGCATTGCGTAAGTAATAATGTATTGCGAAAATTACTATCATTTCAGTTTTGCCGTATTGGACTACTCACAAATCACTATCATATAGCTTTGAAAATAATAATAATAATAATAATAATAATAATAATAATAATAGTAGTTGCATCGCATCTTGCTTTTTCTTGTATGAAAGTGAAATAATACAATATTTAAACCTTATATTATTATTATAACTGCGACGGTTTTTCCTAAAGTGTGTTGATGTCACAAACATTTGTTGCTTGTGGAGTTTAAATAATTAATATTGTACAGCAATTATTGATGCTTAAGGCTTGTCATTTATTGAAATTATCGATCAAACTTTGCTTATGCTTTTGGAGTGTTTGTTTTTTATTCTGTTTCCACCACCTTACCTAATTACTATTTTTTTTAAAGTCATTTTTATACAATTCCATCTCCTTAAAAAAAATAAAAAAATAATAGTACAATACTTTCCGTCCTGATTCGTGTGGTGTAACTTGTTTTGTTGAACCTAATTTGTAGAATATTACGTTCCACTGGGGATTTACCCAGAGCACACTTGTGGAGTAGCTGTTGCGGCTTCTACATTATATATATATAAAAAATACAGAAAGAACCCCGTTTAATGAGATTTATATTCAATATTTTTATTGATGTTAAAAAAATAAATAAAAATTCTGTAGAGAAAAATAGTATTACATTTATCATTCAAATTTATGTTCATTTTTTTTGTTGTTGTAATTCAAAAATATTTTTCCCTCCTTTCCATAACTAAATATCCACTTGCTTTTTGCACGTAGTTTTAGAAATATTAGTATTATATTTGGATGTAAGTAGGAATAAAGTAAGAGCGACTAAAATAACCTTATTAGTACGTATAATATAAAGATAATGAAATATAGTAAGATGAAAGAGTATTTGTAATATTAGATAGATAGTACAGTTTAAAAAAAGAAATGAATATTTTGTTATGTGTTATGAGACGGAAGGAGTACTTTTATTTTTAGTACCAGTTTTTTTTATCTTTTTGTTACTGTAATATTTTTTCTATTTTTATTTATTTTTGTTAAAATTAATATCCAATCAAATCAAATAGACATAATTTTACATAAAAATAAAAAATAAAAATGGAGTATTAGTTATCTGTAGTACTATTATTTTAAAAAAATGTATTGTATATAGTAGTAGTGGCATCAGAGATGCCCACTATGCATATGCCTTGCAATGCCCTTATAGACGTTGATATGTACATATAAATATTCTACTTAGAGTGTTCACCGATTGGATACCACTTCGGATAAACCAATAAAACCTTATTCTATTATTTATTACATCTTCATTTGTATTTTCTCCCATAACACTCTTCGATAGCTACATTAATTATTTTCAAGAAAAATTTGAGTTTACCGGTGTGCACTCTCGGGTAGCTGCCGCAGGTTCCCACATTATAAAATAAAAAAAAAAGTTTAATTGCTTACAATAAAATAAAATAAAATAAAATAAAATTAGAATCCATATATGTAAGAGAACATTATTTATTTTGTCATTTTGATTTATCGAAATCAATTTATTTGTTTTCTTTGTAATTTTCATATAGTTAAAAAAAATTCTTTACATTTTATATATTGTTACAACAATGATACCAATTTATATATAAAATACTACTAATATATTAGAAGTATAATTGTCCAATTCACCCATTTATTATATTAAAGATCTCCAAGAGACAGCTTGATGCAAATGTGTAAAAATTAACATAGATCAATTGTATTTATTAAATAAGAAAATAAATGCATGCACTAGTAAATTACAGATATTATTAATAAAAATGGAGGAAATATTAAAAATAATAAAATATAATTTTAGAAAAATTTAAGCATCTACAAATTAAATTTGACACATACTAATTTTCCCCTAAGTATATCCAATCGATTTCCATTTAAATAAAGTTTATCATTAGCTTATCCATTTTTATTATGATTCTTGTAATTGATGATTGTTCTTAGTAGTTTCTTAACAAGTATCAAATAATTACCAAAAATAACTAATCACATGCATGATTAAATTTAAATAATAAATCATTTTAATTCAAAGAAAAGGACGTATTCATTTTTTGTTTTCCATTTTGATATTTTAAAATTAAAATAATTATTAAATATAACATTTTTTCAAAAAAAATAAAAATTATTATTATTTTTTAAAAAAACCATAAAATTACATAATATAAAAAAAATCAAAGAAAATAAACTGATATACATTTCATTTAATCATAAACCGGCGCTTTCTACTGCAACCCATATAATTGGTGACACCAAGACCTATCCGGATCCAATCCAATCCACACCGTCGAAAATATGGGCCCCACTGGACAATCCGACGGTACGGATCCACCCGAAGTTCTGACAAAAGAACTGACAAGTGACAAGCTCCTTTTATGGGCTTTTGTGAATCAAATAAATATTCCTTTGGTGGCAAAACGTCGCCGCATGCCTATCCATTCTACTACAATAAATATAATAATAATAATAATAAATGTTTCTGATACCAAAATCAATGAATTGTGTCATTTTCATTATTCCATTCCTATCCCTATAAATTGGGGAGCTCATCGTCCACTCGGATCAACAATTGAACCCATCAGCCCGCTCATACTTGCTAACGTACGCCTCTCCTCTCTCCTTCAAAATTGGTTCCATTTTCCTTCCTTTTCCCTCTCTGTATTCCAAATTCGAGTTAGTTCAGCACCCATGTGTGGAATACTAGCTGTTCTCGGTTGTCCCGAAGATTCTCAGGCCAAGAGGGTTCGTGTCCTCGAGCTTTCCCGCAGGTACGTACAATTCTCATTGTTTTGCCTGTTAATTGTGGAAATGCATTTCGTATTTCGATTGTTCTTCGAGAAGATTCGATTTGAGTTCTTCGAAAACGTCCAATCCATGCCCTAATTCGCCCATTTTACGTAGGATCGCGACCTGTAATTTTTTTAATTTAAAAACAACGGCGTGTTCTGTTCATGGATCTAAAATGAAGATAATGAGAAATTCCTAATTTTCGCCTGATCATACAGGTTGAAGCATCGGGGCCCCGACTGGAGTGGGATTCACCAGTATGGAGGCTGCTATCTTGCGCACCAGAGGCTCGCCATCGTCGATCCGGCGTCAGGCGATCAGCCCCTTTTCAACGAAGACAAGACTATTGTCGTCACGGTGGGATATGGCTAATCGATCATAGGTTATAAGAACCATGTTTTGTTGTCTAAATATATTTATGATGGATTTTATAGGTGAATGGAGAGATCTATAACCACGAGAAACTCCGCTCCAGTTTGCCGAATCACAAATTCCACACCGGAAGCGACTGCGACGTCATTGCTCATCTCGTGCGTGCCGTGTTCGGTGTTCTTATCAATCAATTGATCAATTCCCTGTTCGATCGGATTGTTGAACGTTGATTGTTTATTATTTTCTTATGTTTTCAGTATGAAGAGTATGGAGAAGATTTCGTCGACATGTTGGATGGGATGTTCTCCTTCGTCCTGCTCGACACTCGCGACAACAGCTTTCTCGTAGCTCGCGATGCTATCGGGATCACTTCCCTTTACGTCGGTTGGGGACTGGATGGTACATCCTTTACATGTTTCGACATATAAATCAGCTGGATAAATGATTAGTTCGGCGAATTTCCATTGATTTTAACTTTCTTTGTGGTGTAGGTTCCATTTGGATCTCGTCGGAGCTGAAAGGATTGAACGATGATTGCGAGCATTTCGAAGTGTTTCCGCCAGGTCACCTTTACTCGAGCAAGAGCGGCGGAATGCGTAGATGGTACAACCCCCCGTGGTTCTCCGAGGCCATTCCTTCAGCTCCATACGATCCGTTGGTTCTGCGACGAGCTTTTGAAAACGTGAGGTTTCAATTTTCTCGAATCTGTATTCACTGCCAATGATTTAAACCTCACTTGGATGGATTTTAAACCATTTCAGGCTGTCATCAAAAGGCTAATGACTGATGTTCCTTTCGGTGTTCTGTTGTCGGGAGGACTTGATTCGTCGCTGGTTGCGTCGATTACTGCTCGTTATTTGTCTGGTACAAAGGCTGCAAAGCAATGGGGAGCACAGCTTCATTCTTTCTGTGTTGGTCTTGAGGTCGGATTATATAATTTTCCGGTAGTTTTTCAGGCTTCCGTGAATTGCAGCTAGATATTGATTTCCCCTGTTTTCTGATGCAGGGCTCGCCTGATCTGAAAGCTGCCAAGGAAGTTGCCGATTATTTGGGCACCGTGCATCATGAGTTTCATTTTACTGTTCAGGTAAGCGTCGACATCTAGTATTATGTTGTCTGTGTATGAAACCATCATTCTTATGTTTGTTCTGTATTTTCAGGACGGTATAGATGCAATTGAGGATGTCATCTATCACATCGAAACGTATGATGTGACTACTATCAGAGCAAGCACGCCTATGTTTCTCATGTCAAGGAAAATCAAGTCGACTGGAGTGAAAATGGTCATATCTGGGGAGGGATCTGATGAGATATTTGGCGGCTATCTTTACTTTCATAAGGCGCCGAACAAGGAAGAGTTTCATCGCGAGACTTGCCACAAGGTATGACGAATGTCGTGATCGAATCTTCCATGAATTTATCTTATATTTTAACCTCTTTGTATCTGCAGATTAAGGCTCTCCATCAGTACGACTGCCTGCGCGCGAATAAGGCGACTTCCGCCTGGGGATTGGAGGCCAGAGTCCCATTTCTCGACAAGGAATTCGTTAATGTTGCCATGAACATTGACCCCGAATGGAAAATGGTGAAGTCTAGCACTACTGGCTCTCTTTACTCTTTAGTCTTATGCTGTTTGTTGGTGATTTCTTACAGTTTCTTTGTTACTACAGATAAAATCCGACGAAGGGAGAATCGAGAAGTGGATTTTGAGAAGGGCCTTCGACGACGAAGAGCATCCCTATTTGCCAAAGGTATTTAATCACTTCCGGAAGCGTTCAATCTCCTGCCAAAGCAGTATATAATTTTTTTGCCATGTCCAGCACATTCTATACAGGCAAAAGGAACAATTCAGCGACGGCGTGGGATATAGTTGGATTGACGGGCTCAAGGCTCATGCCGAGAAGCATGTATGCATACTTTATTTTTAACTAAGACATTGTTGCTGTTCGCTACTAATAAATTGCTTTATCGATGAATCATTTAGGTCACCAACAAGATGATGGCGAACGCGCCACACATCTTTCCTCATAACACGCCGTCAACGAAGGAAGCTTATTACTACCGGATGATATTCGAGAGGTTCTTTCCCCAGGTACGTATGGATACACATAAAACCATATTTTCCCACCACGAGTACCCGTAGGCCGTAACACTATATCATTCAAAAAATACAGAACTCTGCGAGGCTCACTGTTCCAGGCGGGGCGAGCGTAGCGTGCAGCACTGCTACAGCCGTGGCATGGGATGCTTCATGGTCAACAAACCTCGACCCATCGGGCAGGGCTGCCATCGGCGTGCACAACTCTGCCTACGAAAAACAGCAGCAGCATTTAGCCAATGGGAATTTGAACTCTAAAATTGCTGCTGGCACTCCTCTGCCTTTGATGAACGGGCTCACCAGCGCTCGGGAGATCGCCATCGGGAGATAGTGATGGCGGCTGTTTTCGATGTTGTGATCATAAGAAGCTCATGGCGCAGCGAAGATATAGATATTATATATATATATGTGGTGAATAATTTAAACCTTGTGTGTTATGTATAGTCCAGTCGAAGCTTTTAGGTAGAAAAATAAGAGTTGTGTTATGTGGAGGTGGCTCTGATTTTGGTTAGCTGCCGGAATGTCGTTAAATATGTATGTTTGTTCTAATGTATGTCTTTTTTTGTATTGTCTTGTCTCGTCTCTCTGTCTAGAAAATGTCTTGAGATGGCTATGTAACAACATATGTTACACTATACAATCGTATAGTGATTATTGTGTTTCATATTTTTCTTCCATTGTCAAAGTGCTTGTTATTTGTGGTTATATTGACAAAGTTGTTACACGCCGAAAGTTTTTCGAAAAATTTGAAATATATTTTTAGTAGAATCAAATACAGTGTAGATAAGTTTTTCCTGAAATAAATTGGATCATTTTTTATTAATGTTATAGATATATTTGGTAAATGACAAAAACAACAATGAAGTAACTTTTGATGGACTCCTTGAGAATGATTTCAATCTAGCTTCTATTTAATATATCAATCTAATAATATAATCAATTTATCATACCACTATTTACATGCCAATTGATTTGGTTTGAATCTAATATGGCAAAATATATGATAAGATTTAGCTAGGAAACCATCAATATCCCACTTGATAGTTGTTCCTTGACTTGACTTGTAGCAAGATTAGTATTTTTCGGGTTAAGTTACCTTACCTTCAAGGCATTGTACCTTTGGATCAATTACTTTCCGCCATCAGTATATCCTATTAAGATCACAATGGAAGAACGACAAATGATAAAAATATTCTAACTGTGATCAATTTAGATGGAAATTTTCTTGAGTGTAAGATTGATTAAAGTAGTATGACATAAGACAAAATAATATTTGTTCTATTTCTAATGTAATAATTTAGAGATCCGCTAAATTTGTATATTTGGATTTTCCTTTCGATTTACCATTATGCATATTATTTTTTCTCTTTATCGTAAGTCATACTATCTGATTAGAGATTTCTTCGATTTAAATTATCATATTAATTTCATGTAACTTATATCTCAGTATATATCGACCAAATAATAGTGTATTGACTATTTAATTCAAGTGGCCAAAATAATCTCATGTTTTTCTACATTGGCTTGGAAGTCTTTGTTGATGGAATTAATTGACAGACTTTGGTAGAAATGCATCGTTATCATCCACACTATGTAGTAATACTATCTATCTACCAATGTATATATTTTGTGATCTTCATCGTCACACAACATTCACTACTATACCAGTCTCTAGATATTTCAATTTCAAACAATGATAAGTTTCATGGAGGGAGATTATTCTCACCTCAATCCTCTTGTTATACTCTTAATCTTGCTTTCTTTGTTATCTACCTCTATTATGGCTGAAACTAGTCTAGCTACCGATCAATCCGCGCTTTTGGCCTTGAAATCTCGTATATCTTTCGACCCTAATGGAATCCTCAACAATTGGACCATTACATCTCCTGTTTGCAATTGGTTTGGTGTTACATGTGGAATCCGCCATAGTAGAGTAACCAGATTGAATATTTCTTTCCTAGGCCTTGCTGGAAGTATTCCTCCCGAGTTCGGAAACCTATCGTTTCTTGTTTCACTTGACATCAAGCAAAACAACTTCAGTGGGACTATTCCAATAGAATTAGCTCGTTTGCAAAGATTGGCTTATATCAGACTGAGTTACAACAAATTTGACAGGGAAGTTCCTTCTTGGTTTTCTTCATTTCCACATCTTAAATATTTATCTATCGCGAGTAATAACTTTACAAGCTTGGATTCATTTATCCGATCATTCTCAAATGAATCAAAGCTTGAATCATTGATAGTATCTTCTAATCCTTTTGAAAGTGAAATTCCAGCTTCAGTAGGCAGTCTTCATAACCTCAAAGTACTTCGCATGGAAGGCAATGGTCTTTCAGGGTCTATCCCTCGTTCAATCATGAACTTGACAAACTTAGAATTTTTGTATTTGTCAAACAACCGTATTAGTGGAATCATACCACAAGAGATTGAGAATTTAAAGATGCTTAAATCACTGAAAATTAACGGCAACAAATTAACAGGTACGCTTTTATTTGTCGAAATGATTTTTAGAGAGTATTACTAGCTATTAAAAATCAATAAAAGAGAATGTATAATAGATGATATGGAATAGCAGGGCGAATCCCAGTCTCAATCAAGAACATGACAAATTTAGAGGCATTGGATTTGCAATTTAACTCTCTTGAAGGGACGATACCTGACATTGTCGGGAGTCTTGAGAACTTGGGTTACTTGAACGTGAATGAAAACAAGCTTTCTGGTTTTATACCGTCAAGCATCTTCAACATATCATCCCTTGAAGTTTTAGTCCTTTCCAACAATAACTTCTCTGGTACTCTCCCAAGTAACATATGCCTTGGACTTCCACTACTGAATTCGTTTTTTATACCAAGAAACAGGATACAAGGACAAATTCCATCAAATTTTTCTTCATGTCCTCAGCTTAAAAAATTATCATTGTTTAGTAACAATTTTACTGGAAGCATACCAGAAGACATTGGAAGGTTACAATGGCTTCAAGGGTTGTTTCTTGCCGAGAACTCCTTGACAGGTATGATTTAATTTATTTATATATCTGTCCAAGTCATTTGGCATTGGCATCTAATTAGATGAACACACTTCAATGAAATATTTGCAGGCTCTATACCACCAAGTATTTTCAACATATCCACCCTTCAAGTCATGAATTCCTGGTCTAATCGTTTGTCTGGTACCCTTCCACATGACATGTGCCTTCGACTTCCGGTGCTCTATGGGCTTTCTCTAAATTATAATATGATTCATGGACGTATTCCATCGAATTTTTCTTCATGTCCTAAACTTGAGACCCTTGAATTGGGACATAACAATTTAACTGGATCCATACCACAAGATATCAGGAGTTCAAACACCCTTGTAAAGTTGGGTTTTGAAGACAACAAGTTAACAGGTATATATTATCCTTAATTGTAATGCTATTTTTATGAAACGTAATCCATCAGCAGTATCTTATAATATATATCAAATTACGTTCAGGTACAATACCGTCTTCCATTGAAAATCTATGGCGTCTTATAGATCTGGCACTTGACTCCAACATGTTGATCGGTGAGGTTCCATCCTCCATATGCAACTTGAGCTCACTCAGAAACCTTTATTTATCATCTAACAATTTGGAAGGAACACTGCCAAATTGTTTGGGAAACTTCAGTGAAACTCTCCAGGTGATGCTTTTGTCAAAAAATCGCTTTCATGGCCCCATACAAATATCATTCGGCAATGGTTGTGCGTTGGTGTATCTTAGCTTGAGCAACAACCAACTAGAAGGACCCTTGCCTCAATCCTTGGCCAGTTGCACATCATTACAGGCTCTCACTATCGAATATAATGAAGTGCAAGACTCTTTTCCTATTTGGTTGGAAACTCTTCCGCAGCTTGGCGTTCTTAGTTTAAGCTCCAACAGATTTCATGGCAGAATACCTGATTCAAAGAGCAATGTTTCATTTCCCAGCTTGATACTTCTTGATATCTCCAACAATTATTTCACTGGCAACTTGCCAATGACTTATTTGAAGCATTTTGGTGAGGTGTGGGATTATAATCAGACTGGTCTCTATTTCACCGTCGACTTTTCTCCAGACAAAGCATTCACAACTAGGCGTATTTCAGCAGTTGTCACTTTGAAAGGTGTGCCGACAAACTATAGCGAAATACAGACAACACTTGCTATGATTGATTTGTCGAACAACAAGTTTTCCGGAAGCATTCCTGATTCCTTTGGAGATCTTATCGCTGTCCGGCATTTAAATTTGTCTCGGAACAATCTCACAGGGAATATTCCTGCGACGCTGGGGTCTTTAATGAAGATGGAGGCCATGGACTTGTCGTGGAATGGCTTAGAAGGGGAGATTCCGGTGCAGCTAGGAAAGTTATCATTTCTATCCAAGTTCAGTGTAGCACACAACAATCTTTCAGGACACATACCTACCTCTGGTAGCCAGTTTGACACATTTGATAACAGCTCATACATTGGAAACTCAGAGTTATGCGGACATCCATTGACTAAGAAATGTGATGATGAGAAGGAGTTGCCTTCAAAGGAAGATGACGGGGATGAGGCTGAGGGCATATTTGATGGACTTACTTGGCAAGGTGTTGTCATGGGCTACGGCTTTGGATTACTCGTTGGAGTGGTCCTCGGCGCAATATATTTGTAGTTAATACTACGTGGCCGTGTGCTTTCTCGAGCATCTACAAATATTCTACAGTTGTATATATGTGTAATAACAACAAATGTGAATGTTAAAAAAACAGTTGTTATTGATATGCTGATTAAGAACCAACCAATGTGTAATTTTCCATCTCCTTAGAAGTTTATTTGGAGTAATGAATTGAGGCCACACCGCCCAATAATGTCAAAAATTGATGTAAGTTTTTATAATGCATCTTCTAAAATTATTATGTCTCATAAAAATATTAAATCAACTAATTATTTAATTAAACAAAAAAATATAAATACAAAACTAAAGTATACAGAGCAAAACTCAAAATTTTATTTAAAATTTGATTATTTCTAAATCCCAAATTCAATTCGAAATCCCAACTAAAGAAATTTATTCCCCAGGAAGAGTTTCCACACTGATTTGGATGTTTTGGTGATGGAATTAATTGACAGACTATGGCAGAAATGCATCGTTATCATCCAGGACAGTAGTAATAATATCTATCAATCTATCAATATATACAATACATTTGTGATCTTCAATTATCACACAGCATTCACTACACTACAAATCTATAGATACTTGAATATCAAGCAATGACAAGTAATCTTCATGGAGGTGAATTATTCTCACATCAATCCTCTTATCATACTAGTAATCTTGATTTCTTTGTTATCCGTCTCTATTATGGCTGAAACTAGTTTAGCCACAGATAAATCGGCGCTTTTGGTCCTGAAATCTCACATCTCTGCTGATCCTAATGGAATCCTCAACAATTGGACCATTACATCTTCAGTTTGCAATTGGTTTGGTGTCACATGTGGAATCCGCCACCAAGGAGTAACAGGATTGAATATTCCATTCCTAGGCCTTGTTGGAAGCATTTGGGAACTTGTCGTTTCTTGTTTCACTTGACATCAAACAAAACAACTTCAGTGGGACTCTTCCAGTAGAGTTAACTCGTTTGCAGAGATTGACTTATATCATACTGAGTTATAATAAATTTGACGGGGAAGTTCCTTCTTGGTTTTCTTCATTTCCACATCTTAAATACTTATCTATTTTACAAGCTTGAATTCATTTATCCGATCATTCTCAAATGAATCAAAGCTTGAATCACTTATTGTATCTTTTAATCCGTTTGATAGTGAAATTCCAAATTCAATAGGCAATCTTCACAAACTCAAAGTGCTTGGAGTGGAAAGCAATGGTTTTACAGGGTCTATCCCGACTTCAATTATGAATTTGACAAACTTAGAAAATTTTTGGTTATCATACAACAATATTAGTGGGGTGGTGCCTAAAGAAATTAGGAATTTAAAGAAGCCTAAATCGTTGCTGTTTAATAGCAATAAATTAACAGGTATGGTTTTATATTTCTCAAAGTTATATTGTTGAAAACTAACGCTAAAACCCGACATTAGAATTTTCAAATATATATACAAAATAATTTCATAGATATGAATAACATGCATGTATAAAGTATAGGAAGTATATTGTTTCCATTAGTTTCCATGGTTTGATCCATAATCCATTTGAAAATTAAAGAGCATGAACAATGGATGATATGTAATTTCAGGGCGCATGCCACTGTCGATCAAGAACTTGACAAATTTAGAGGAGTTGGATTTGCAAGATAATGCTCTTGAAAGGACAATACCAGACATTTTTGGATGCCTTCAGAACTTGAATTTCATAAACATGCGTACAAACAAACTTTCCGGTTTTATACCGTCGAGCATCTTCAACATATCCACGCTCGAAGTTTTAGTGATCGCCGACGATAACTTAACTGGTACTCTCCCAAGTAACATGTGCCTGGGACTGAGACTTTCACAAGTGAAGAAGCTTAATGTACAAGAAAACAGGATACAGGGACATATTCCATCAAGTTTCTCTTCATGTCCTCAACTTCAACTATTATCATTTGGTGTAAACAATTTTACTGGAAGCATACCAGAAGACATCGGAAGGTTACAATGGCTTGAGCAGCTGTATCTTGTTGAGAACTCTTTAACAGGTATGATTTTATATCTGCCCAAGTCATTTAGAACTCTTTCTTTGGCCTAATTATCGATTAGAAGATGTAGCTCATTGGCATTGTCTCGAATTAGATGAAAACAGTTCAATTAAATATTTGCAGGCTCTATACCACCAAGTATTTTCAACATATCCACCCTTCAAAACATGTTTTTCTGTTCCAATCTTTTGTCTGGTACTCTTCCACATGACATGTGCCTTGGACTTCCTGTGCTCAGTATGCTTTATTTGAATAACAACATGATTCAAGGACGAATTCCATCAAACTTTTCATCATGTCCTCAACTATATGCCCTCGAATTGAGATATAACAACTTAGTTGGATCCATACCACAAGATATCAGGAGTTCAAACACACTGGTATCATTGAGTCTTGAAGACAACCAGTTAACAGGTATTATCCTTAATTATAATGCAATTTTTACGGAAGGTAATCGATCAGCAGTATCAAATTAATTTCAGGTACAATACCGTCTTCCATTGAAAAATCTATGGAGTCTTGAATCTCTGGCACTTGACTCCAACATGTTGATTGGAGAGGTTCCAGCTTCCATATGTAACTTGAGCTCAATTGTAATTCTCGTTTTATCGTCAAACAGTTTGGAAGGAACACTGCCGAATTGTTTAGGAAATTTCAGTGAAACTCTCCAGGTGCTGCTTTTGTCGGAAAATCATTTTCATGGCCCCATCCCAACATCATTTGGAAATGGTTGTGCGTTGGCATATCTTAGCTTGAGCAACAATCGACTACGAGGCACCTTGCCTCGATCTTTGGTCAGTTGTGAACGATTGCTGGCTCTTACTATTGAATATAATGAAATGCAAGACTCTTTTCCTATTTGGTTGGAAACTCTTCCACAGCTTGGAGTTCTTAGTTTAAGCTCCAACAGATTTCATGGCAGAATACCTGATTCAAAGAGCAATGTTTCATTTCCCAGTCTGGTACTTGTTGATATCTCCAAAAATGATTTCACTGGGAACTTGCCAATTACTTAATTGAAGCATTTTGGTGAGGTATGGGATCATAATCACACTGGTCAGTTTCTCTATTTTCACTATGCTCCAGGCTCTTCATTCGTAACTAGGCGTATTTCAGTAATTGTCACTTTGAAAGGTGTCCTAAGAAGCTATAGCCACATACAAACAACACTCGCTATGATTGATTTGTCGAACAACAAGTTTTCTGGAAGCATTCCTGATTCCTTTGGAGATCTTATAGCTGTCCGGCACTTAAATTTGTCTCACAGGGAATATTCCTGCGACGATGGGGTCTCTAATGAAGATGGAGGCCATGGACTTGTCGTGGGATGGCTTAGAAGGGGAGATTCCGGTGCAGCTAGGAAAGCTATCATTTCTATCCAAGTTCAGTGTAGCACACAACAATCTTTCCGGACACATACCCACCTCTGGTAGCCAGTTTGATACATTTGATAACAGCTCCTACATTGGAAACTCTGAGTTATGCGGACATCCATTGACTAAGAAATGTGACGATGAAAACGAGTTGCCTTCAAAAGAAGATGGCGTGGCTGAGGCTGATGGCATATTTGATGGGCTTACTTGGCAAGGTGTTGTCATGGGTTACGGCTTTGGATTATTCATTGGAGTGGTCCTCGGCGCGATATTCTTGTAGTTAAATACTACTGTATGGTGTGCCTTATTAGTTTGCTACTACATTGTACAGCTGTGCGATAGTAAGACATAGTCTTGATTAATCTTCATTAAGCTGTTATCACATAGTCTTGAGCTAAGCTCTTTGGGAAGGTCTAGTAAAAATAAAATCATGTCGCCGACATAGAATATACCCGAAAATGTTGAAAAACAGAGCAGTAGCAGAGAGAACAGAGAAAATTAGTGTACTGAAAAATGTTTCTTATTTTACTGAAGCTCTCCTGGTGCTGCATTTGTCCGAAGATCGATTTCATGGCCCCATCCCGACAATTGTAAAAAATAATGAAAAAAATGTTACTGGGATCAATTTTGATGGAAATATTTTTATGAGAGTAGAATTAATTAAATTAGTATTAGATTGTCTAATAATGATATATTCTCTATTTCTGAATTTGTTTGTTTGAAGTGCACTTTGATTTCCCATTATTCATAATATTTTTTTTCTCCCTAACTATGTAATTAGATATTTCTTTTCTTTTATTATTTTTATTTAAAACATTATATGATAAAGCTATAAACAAAAGTTTATAAAATTTCAAACCCAAAATCCCACAATAAACAAGCACATGGCATAGTAATGTTTTCATGGTCGATAGGAGCCGAATAATACTCTACTCTATTGACTATTCAATTGGTGTGACTGAAATTAAATGATCTCTTTGTTTTTCCACATTGACTTGGAAGTCTTTGGTGAGGCATTAATTGACACACTTTGTTTTCATTCAAAGATGAGGAACGTTACGTTGTTCTGATCTATCCTCACGTTTTCCAACATTTTTTTTCTTCCTACTAAACATCAAAATCAAACTATTAGTAAAATACAAAAAACAAGCACTAATACACTTACCAAATAGACTTTTGAATTTAATTTTTGATTTAAATGTATTTATATAATATTATAACATAAAATTATATATTTTGATTGAAAATTATTAGATTTGAAAAGTTAAAAAAAAAAAGAAAAAAAAAAAGGCAAAACTCAAAATTTTTTTATTATTATTATTAGAACAGACTGATTAAATTTGGAATAAATTTTTCATTCTATGTAATCTTTTACATAATTATTGTTCTTCCATCAAAAGGAATACTAGAAATTATTTCCTAAAGTTGAACAGGCACATTAACATAAAATATTGTTTGTTTATTTGTTTTTAAAATTGTATCATTCAAGAGGTCATTTTTTCATAAATATTATAATCCGTCGTACATCTATTATTCATTTGAATATCATATGCAACAATAAATTTTAGCTTAAAATATCAAAAAGTAAAAACATCCAAACAAAACAAAATTAAAGTAGATAACATTTTTTAAAACAAATATAAACCAATAAAAGATTGATAAATAATGACCATTTATACTCTAACTAAACATAAGCTCTAACATTTTTATAAGTTTTGGTTATTATATATTTTTTATTTCATAATTAAGAATTTATTTTGTCTATTTTTCTCTTACACACTAGTCATCACTTAGGGGACCAAAATAGAATGATAAATAAGTAGAATTATATTCAACAAAAAATAAAAAATTATAACATTAAAGTATAAAAAGATAATCAAATAATGATATATAGATAGTATTCTTTATGACTCGGTCTCTATTATTTCATTTCCTATTAGTATTCAATGAACCATGGCATTGAAGAGAAAATGGTTTTGGCATTTAGTATGATAAGTATAAGTGAAAGTTGCCATGAAAGTTCCCATAAGTTTCCAAAGGGAGACTACAATGTTGAAGTAGATTGAAATTTTGTGCCATATAGATAACAGAAGCCCCAACCTATGATATGCATGCATGCATATATACCTCACTAATCTAAATTCCATTTAATTCCCCTATAATGGCCTTAGCTATATATATAATTCATTTTCGATCTTCATCATCATACACACAACATTCACCACAATACCCATCTCTAGATCTTTGAGTTTCAAGCAAGGAAAGGTTTCGTGGAGATGAATTATTGTCACCTCAATCCTCTTGTTATACTCTTAATCTTGTGTTCTTTGTTATTTACCTCTATTGTCGCTGAAACTAGTTTAGCTACCGATCAATCCGCGCTTTTGGCCTTGAAATCTCACATTTCTGTTGATCCTAATGGAACTCTCAACAATTGGACCACTAGATCTTCAGTTTGTGATTGGTTTGGTGTCACTTGTGGAATCCGGCATCGTAGAGTAATTGGATTGGATATTTCTTCCCTGGGCCTTGTTGGAAGTATTCCTCCCGAGTTTGGGAACTTGTCGTTCCTTGTTTCACTTGACATTAAAGAAAACAACTTCAGTGGAACTCTTCCATTAGAATTGGCTCGTTTGCGAAGATTGACTTATATCAAGTTGAGTTACAACAAATTTGACAGGGAAGTTCCTTCTTGGTTTTCTTCATTTCCACATCTTAAACACTTATCCATTGAGTATAACAATTTTACAAGCTTGAATTCATTTATCCAATCATTCTCCCATGAATCAAAGCTTGAAACATTGATCTTATCTTTTAATCCTTTTCAAAGTGAAATTCCAAATTCATTAGGGAATCTTCATCCTCTCAAAGTACTTGTCATGGAAAGCAATGGTCTTTCAGGGTCTATCCCTCATTCAATCATGAACTTGACAAGCTTAGAAGTTTTGTTGATGTCAAACAATAACCTTAGCGGGATCATACCACAACAAATTGAGAATTTAAAGATGCTTAGATTGTTGAGACTTAACGGCAACAAATTAACAGGTACATTTTTTTATTTGTCGGGTGATTTTTTTGTTTTTCATTTTAAAGTGCTGTTACTAGCTATTAAAAATCAATGCAAGAGAATGAATAATGGATGATATGGAATAGCAGGGAAAATCCCACTCTCAATCAAGAACTTGAAAAACTTAAAGCATTTGGATTTGCAAGAAAATGATCTTGAAGGGACGATACCGGACATTTCTTGGAAACTTCAGAAGTTGAATTTCTTGAACATGAGACATAACAAGCTTTCTGGTTTGATACCGTCAAGCTTCTTCAACATATCAACCCTTGAAGTTTTAGACTTCTCCAACAATAACTTATCTGGTACTCTCCCAAGTAACATATGCCTTGGACTTCCAAGGCTGAAAGAGTTTTTTATATCAGTAAACAGGATACATGGACGAATTCCATCAAATTTTTCTTCATGTTCTCAACTCCAAGTATTATCAATGGCTCTTAACAATTTTACCGGAAGTGTACCAGAAGACATTGGAAGGTTACAATGGCTTGAAGAGCTGTATCTTGCTGAGAACTCCTTAACAGGTATGGTTTTTATGTTTGTCTAATTCGATCGATATTTAAGATGAAAACTCTACAATTATATACTTGCAGGCTCTATACCACCAAGTATTTTCAACATATCTACCCTTCAAATCATGAATTCCAGGTCTACTCATTTGTCTGGTACTCTTCCACATGACATGTGCCTTCGACTTCCCGTGCTCAATCAGCTTTTTTTATATGATAATAAGATTCATGGACAAATACCATCAAATTTTTCTTCATGTCCTCAACTTAGTGTCCTAGATTTGGGGCATAACAGTTTAACCGGATCGATACCACAAGATATCAGGAGCACAAACATGCTTCAATTCTTGAGTTTTCAAGAAAACATGTTAACAGGTAATCTTTTTTAGTTTTTAAGCTTTGAGAGTTGAAAGTCTCTAATTATCCTTATAATGTGATTTTCATGAAAGGTAATTAGCAGTATCTTACTATCAAATTACTTTCAGGTACAATACCGTCTTCCATAGAAAATCTATGGAGTGTTACAGATCTGGAACTTCACTCCAACAAGTTGACAGGGGTGGTTCCAGCATCCATATGCAACTTGAGCTCAATTGAAATTCTCCTTTTATCATCTAACAGGTTGGAAGGAACACTGCCAAATTGTTTAGGAAACTTCAGTGAAACTCTGGTTGCACTGCTGTTGTCGGATAATCACTTTCATGGCCCCATCCCAACAACATTTAGCAATGGTTGTGCATTGCAGTTTCTTAGCTTGAGCAACAACCAACTAGAAGGAACCTTGCCTCGATCGTTGGCCAATTGCACACAATTACAGGCTATTGATATTGGGTATAATGGCATACAAGACTTTTTTCCTATTTGGTTGGAAACTCTTCCGAAGCTTGGAATTCTTAGTTTAAGCTCCAACAGATTTCATGGCACAATACCTGATTCAGAGAGGAAGATTTCATTTCCCAGGTTGAGAATTTTGGACATCTCCAACAATGATTTCACTGGCTACTTGCCAATTACTTATTTAAAGCATTTTCGTGAGGTATTGGATACAGGAAGAGGAACACAACTCTATTATGATGTCATCTTTAGTAAAGACTCTAAAAACATGAGTGGTCCTATCACAACAATTGTCACTTCGAAAGGTTTGCTGACAAACTATACCAGGATACAAAAAGCATTCAGTATGATTGATTTGTCGAGCAACAAGTTCCATGGAAGCATTCCGGATTCCTTTGGAGATCTTAGAGCTCTTATGCAATTAAATTTGTCTAACAACAAGCTCACCGGCCGTATCCCTCATACACTGGGGTCTCTAAATAGGCTGGAATCGTTGGACTTGTCGTGGAATGGCTTGGAAGGGGAGATTCCGGTGCAGCTGACAAAGCTATCATTTCTATCCACATTCCGGGTAGCACACAACAATCTTTCAGGACATATACCTGACTCTGGTGGCCAGTTTGGTACATATGAGAATAGTTCATACATTGGAAACTCAGAGTTATGTGGATATCCCTTGAGTAAGACATGTGAGGATGAAAACAAGTTTCCTTCAAAAGAAGATGACGAGGCTGATGCTGAGGGCATATTTGATGGACTTACTTGGCAAGGTGTTGTCATGGGCTACGGCTTTGGATTATTTATTGGAGTGGTCCTCGGCGCTATATTCTTGTAGTTAAATATTACTACTATATTGTCTGCTTAATCAATTTTCTACAGACTATATATTCTACAACTGTGTAATAATAAGACATCTGAATATACAACTAATTAAGTTGTTGTTATATACTATATAGTCTAATATTAGCTCTCTGGGAAGGTCTAATAAAAAGACAACTATGTTCCCAATTTAGAATATATGAGAGAAGTGGCTCAACAATAAATTGGACTGACTTATATATAATATTGATCCAACCTAGTTAATATATATATATATATATATAAGCAATTGAGATTATTAGTCCATTGGACCAAACAATACTCTATTGACTATATAATTCCTGTGGCCAATATGATCTTGTCTTTTCCACATTGACTTGAACTCTTGGTCATGCATGATATTACTGGACAGAAAATATAATTAGGAGATCCAAGTGTATGGTTCCTAATGTTTATTTTAAAATCGTTGTCCACTTTGTAGTATAATGCCTCAGCTGTATATATAATTCATTTGTGATCTTCATCATCACACACACAACATTCACCATAATAGCAATCTCTACATCTTTGAATTTCAAGCAATGGCAAGTGCCCTCGAGGTGAATTATTCTCACTTCAATCCTCTTCTTGTAATCTTAATCTTGATTTCTCTGTTATCAACCTCTATTCATATTATGGCTAAAACTAGTCTAGCTACCGATCAATCCGCGCTTTTGGCCTTGAAATCTCGTATATCTTTCGACCCTAATGGAATCCTCAACAATTGGACCATTACATCTCCTGTTTGCAATTGGTTTGGTGTTACATGTGGAATCCGCCATAGTAGAGTAACCGGATTGAATATTTCTTTCCTAGGCCTTGCTGGAAGTATTCCTCCCGAGTTCGGAAACCTATCGTTTCTTGTTTCACTTGACATCAAGCAAAACAACTTCAGTGGGACTATTCCAATAGAATTAGCTCGTTTGCAAAGATTGGCTTATATCAGACTGAGTTACAACAAATTTGACAGGGAAGTTCCTTCTTGGTTTTCTTCATTTCCACATCTTAAATATTTATCTATCGCGAGTAATAACTTTACAAGCTTGGATTCATTTATCCGATCATTCTCAAATGAATCAAAGCTTGAATCATTGATCCTATCTTTCAATCCATTTGAAAGTGAAATTCCAAATTCATTAGGCAATCTTCATCCTCTCAAAGTCCTTCTCATGGAAGGCAATGGTCTTTCAGGGTCTATCCCTCGTTCAATCATGAACTTGACAAACTTAGAATTTTTGAGTTTGTCAAACAACAGTATTAGTGGAATCATACCACAAGAGATTGAGAATTTAAAAATGCTTAGATCACTGGAACTTAACGGCAACAAATTAACAGGTACGCTCTTATTCGTTAAAATGATTTTTTTTTTTTTTTTTTTTTTTTTCATTTTGAAGTACTAATTATATTTAATTTCTATATCCACAAATTCAACAAATGGCGTACAAGTACGTCTGTGTATGTAGCTATTATTAGTACACATTTATTATTATTATTATTATTTGAAGAAAAAGATGTATATATAAAATATATACAGAAGTATAATATTAGCTTCTATATCTGGTTTGATTATTTTGAATTTTAAGTAGAGAGTACTACTAATCATTACATATCAATGAAAGAGCATGAATAATGGATGATATGGAATAACAGGGCCAATCCCACTCTCAATCAAGAACTTGACAAATTTAGAGTTATTGGCTTTGCAAGAAAATGCTCTTCAAGGGACCATACCGGACATTATGGGGAGTCTTCCGAACTTGTTTTATTTGTCCGTGCATGAAAACAAGCTTTCTGGTTTTATACCGTCAAGCATCGTCAACATATCATACCTTGAACTTTTATTCTTGAACAACAATAACTTTTCGGGTACTCTCCCAAGTAACATGTGCCTTGGACTTCCACTACTGAAGAAGTTTACTATCCAAAGAAACGGGATACAAGGACGAATTCCATCAAATTTTTCTTCATGCCCTCACCTTCAAGTATTATCATTGTCTAGTAACAATTTTACTGGAAGCATACCAGAAGACATTGGAAGGTTACAACGGCTTGAAGGGCTGTATCTTACAGAGAACTCCTTGACAGGTATGATTTTATTATTATTATATCTGTCCAAGTTATTTGGCATTGGCATCTAAGATCATGAGCACACTCCAATGAAATATTTGCAGGCTCTATACCACCTAGTATTTTCAAAACATATGCCATCCCTTCAAATCATGAATTCCTGTTCTAATCGTTTGTCTGGTACTCTTCCACATGACATGCGCCTTGGACTTCCGGTGCTCTATTGGCTTTCTCTAAATTATAATATGATTCATGGAGGTATTCCATCAAATATTTCCTTCATGTCCTCAACTTGAGACCCTTGAATTGGGACATAAAAATTTAACTGGATCCATACCACAAAATATCAGGAGTTCAAAGACACTTGTAACCTTGGGTTTTGAGGACAACGGAGTTAACATTATCCTTAATTATAATCCTATTTTTATGAAAATTAATCCATCAGCTTTATGCTATGATATATCAAATTACTTTCAGGTACAATGCCGTCTTCCATTGAAAATCTATGGAGTCTTACATCTCTAGCACTTGACTCCAACATGTTGATGGGGAAGGTTCCAACATTCGTATGCAACTTGAGCTCACTTGGAAGCCTTTATTTATCATCTAACAGTTTGGATGGAACACTGCCAAATTGTTTGGGAAACTTCAGTGAAACTCTGGCGGTGCTGCTTTTGTCGGAAAATCACTTTCACGGCCCCATCCCAACATCATTTGGCAAAGGTTGTGAATTGGAGAATCTTAGCTTGAGCAACAACCAGCTAGAAGGAACCTTGCCGCGATCCCTGGCTAGTTGCACACAATTACAGGCTCTTGATATTGGATATAATGAAATACAAGACTCTTTCCCTATTTGGTTGGAAACTCTTCCGAAGCTTGGAGTTCTTAGTTTAAGTTCCAACAGATTTCACGGCACCATACCCGATTCAAAGGCAAATATTTCTTTTCCCAGTTTGAGAGTGTTTGATATCTCCAATAATGATTTTAGCGGCCACCTACCAATTATTACCTATTTAAAGCACTTTGGTGAGGTATTGGATACCAACAGGGAAACACATATATATCGTGAGATCCTCCCAGTTACAACAACGTCCTTTGAAGACGAACCTAGATATATTTCAATGACGGTCCATTTTAAAGGTGTGACACGAAAGTACAGCCACATACCAGTAGAATTTGCCTCAATTGATATGTCAAACAACAAGTTCCATGGAAGCATCCCGGATTCCTTTGGAAATCTCATAGCTCTGCAGCACTTTAATTTGTCTCATAATAATCTCACCGGCCCTATTCCTGTATCTCTGGGGTCTTTAACTAATTTGGAAGTGTTGGATTTGACTTGGAATGGCTTAGAAGGGGAGATACCGATTGCGCTGACAAAACTCTCATTTCAATCCAATTTCAACGTAGCTCACAACAGTCTTTCAGGACATATCCCTGAATCTGGTGGCCAATTTCATACATTTGAAAATAGTTCTTACATTGGAAACTCAGGATTATGTGGCCATCCATTGACTAAGAAATGTGACAATCAAAACAAGCCGCCTTTGGCCCTTCCCTCAAAAGACGAAGGTGTGGTTGAGGGCATGCTCGATGGACTTACTTGGCAAGGTGTACTCATAGGATATGGGTTTGGATTATTCATTGGAGTTGTCCTTGGGGCTATATATTTGTAGTTAATACTATTACTAGTATGTGCTTTCTTAATCATCTACAAATCACTATCAGAAAAAAAAAAACACGGTTGTAATGCAGATTTGTTACTTTTTTACCCATAAGTCACTTCCCTTGGCATAATTGGTAGGCGACTGGAGGTACATCCTTTGCATTTTTTTAAATCAGCTGATAAATGATTAGTGCGACAGATTTTCCGTTTGCATCAGTTGGGCGTTATGTTGTCGGGTGGACTTGATTTGTCGCTGGTTGCATGGATTACTGCTCGCAATTTGTCTGGTACAAAGGCTGCAAAGCAATGCGGAGCTCAGCTACATTCTTTTGGTGTTGGTCTTTGAAGTTGGATTATATAATTTTAAGGGAAAATTACAAAAAAATATCTCATGTATACTCACTTATTATCACTTTTGTCCTGCATTTATCTTGCTGTTAAAATATATCCCACATGTAAGCCGGATAATCATAGGACAAAACATGACAAAAGTGATAATGGAGTATACATGACGGATATTCTTTTGCAATTTTCTCTTGATTCTCCCTGCTTTCTGATGCAGGGCTCACCTTATCTGAAAGCTGCAAAGGAAGTTGCCGATTATTTGGGCACCGTGAGTTTCATTTTCATCGTTACATGCCCGATGCGGACACTATTATGTGTGGTTTTTGTATCTATAGAAATTTCTTCTGAGTAATAAATGGAGACCATACCACCCAGTAATGTCGAGAAATGAATGCATCTTTGTATCTTCAATAAACTTGCCTAAGATAAACACTTCAGGTCTTCCTATCACTTTAACTATTAGTTTTGGGATGAATTAGGGTGCTAAATTTTGAATTGATGCTTTAAAAATTATTACATAGGATTATATTAAATATATTATTTAATTACAATAATTAAAATTATTACTTTTAAGGCATAAGTATGGTAAAAATCTAGCACCCTAACTTCACTCTTAGTTTTGGCAAGGTGTAGTCATGTGCTACGGCTTTGGATTATTTATTGGAGTGGTCCTCGGCGCTATATTCTTGTAGTTAAATATTACTACTGTATTGTCTGCTTAATCAATTTGCTACATACTATATATTCTACGACTGTGTAATAATAAGACATCTGAATATCGATCTTAACTAATTAAGTTGTTATATACTATATAGTCTAGTATTAAGCACATTGGGAAGGACTAATAAAAAGACAATTATGTTCCCAATTTAGAAAATATGAATATGAGAGAAGTAGGTCAACAATAATATATAACTTCAATGTCCTGTCGGTTTGGTAGGAGATTTGACAGTTAAGAGTTTGAAATTGGAAATAATAAAATTTTGAGTTAAAATAATTTTTATTTAACATAAGTAGGTATTTATATATTTTCTTAAATGTAAAATTTTTTTAGTATAATATTAAAAATATATATATATATCTATTTAATTTGATATTATTTTAATAATGTAAAAAGGGCTTTAACATTGGTTTCATCCTATTAAACCAAAGTCCAATAAATTGGACTGACAATACTCTATAGACTATATAATTCATGTGACCAATACGATCTGGTCTTTTCCACATTGACTTGAAGTCTTGGTCATGCATGATATATGTTACTGGACTGTCTGGACAGAAAATATAATTGGAAGATCCAAGTGTATGGTTGCTAGTGTTTATTTTAAAATCGTTATCCACTTTGTAGTATCATGGCCTCAGTTGTATATATATATATATATATATAATCCATTTGTGATCTTCATCATCACACAGACAACATTCACCATAATAGCAATCTCTACATCTTTGAATTTCAAGCAATGACAAGTGCCCTCGAGGTTCTCTACATCTTTGAATTTCAAGCAATGACAAGTGCCCTCGAGGTGAATTATTCTCACTTCAATCCTCTTCTTGTAATCTTAATCTTGATTTCTCTGTTATCAACCTCTATTCATATTATGGCTAAAACTAGTCTAGCTACCGATCAATCCGCGCTTTTGGCCTTGAAATCTCATATCTCTTTCGACCCTAATGGAATCCTCAACAATTGGACCATTACATCTCCTGTTTGCGATTGGTTTGGTGTTGCATGTGGAATCCGCCATCATAGAGTAACAGGATTGAATATTTCTTTCCTAGGCCTTGCTGGAAGTATTCCTCCCGAGTTCGGAAACCTATCGTTTCTTGTTTCACTTGATATCAAAGGAAACAACTTCAGTGGGACTGTTCCAGTAGAATTAGCTCTTTTCCGAAGATTGACTTATATCAGACTGAGTTATAACAAATTTGACAGGGAGGTTTCTTATTGGTTTTCTTCATTTGCAGAGCTTAAATATTTATCTATTAGGAATAACAATTTTACAAGCTTGAATTCATTTATCCAATCATTCTCAAATGAACCAAAGCTTGAACAATTGATCTTATCTTGCAATCCTTTCCAAACTGAAATTCCAAATTCATTAGGTAATCTTCATCTTCTCAAAGTACTTGTCATGGAAAGCAATGGTCTTTCAGGGTCTATCCCTCATTCAGTCACAAACTTGACAAACTTAGAATTTTTGTATTTGTCAAACAATAGTATTAGCGGAATCATACCACAAGAAACTGAGAATTTAAAAATTCTTAAAGAGCTACAACTTGACCGCAACAAATTAACAAGTACGTTTATTTGTCAAAATTATTTATTTTATTATTTTTGGAAGTGCTAATTATATTTATAAGGTTATAAAATAGAAATGGATAATAAAACCTCATATTAAAATTTTCAAGTTAAAGAAAAATAATAATTTGATTGATATTATGAGAAAAAAAAGATATATATTCACTTTACAAAATAAACCATAATTATCATAGTTCTATTTCATAACTTGATTACACAATTGGTATGTTTCTTTTGAGTGAGTTTTAGGAAAAATCAATAAATAAAGAGAATGAATAATAGATGATATGGAATAGCAGGGCGAATCGCAGTCTCAATCAAGAAGTTGGACAAATTTAGAGACATTGAATTTGCAAGGTAATGCTCTTGAAGGGACGATACCGGACATTATCAAGTCTTGAGAACTTGTACTAGAACATGAATGACAACAAGCTTTCTTGTTTTATACCATCAAGCATCTTCAACATATCATCCCTTCAACTTTTATTCTTGAACAATAATAACTTCTCGGGTACTCTCCCAAGTAACATGTGCCTTGGAGTTCCACTACTGAAGAAGTTTATTATACAAAGAAACAGGATGCAAGGACGAATTCCATCAAATTATTCATCATGTCCTCAACTTCAAGTATTATCATTGGCTGTTAACAATTTTACCGGAAGCATACCAGAAGACATTGGAAGGTTACAATGGCTTCAAGGGCTATTTCTTGCTGAGAACTCCTTGACAGGTATGATTTTATTATTAATATATCTATCTGTCCAAGTCATTAATTGGCATCTAAGATCATGAGCACAGTCCAATGAAATACTTGCAGGCTCTATACCATCAAGTATTTTCAACATATCCACCCTTCAAGTCATGAATTCTTGGTCTAATGGTTTGTCTGGTACCCTTCCACATGACATGTGCCTTCGACTTCCGGTGCTCTATGAGCTTTCTCTAAATTATAATATGATTCATGGACCTATTCCATCAAATTTTTCTTCATGTCCCCCAACTTCAGATCCTTCAATTGGGATATAACAATTTAACTGGATCGATACCACAAGATATCAGGAGTTCAAACACACTTGTAACCTTGGATTTTGAAGACAACCAGTTTACAGGTAGGTATATATTACCCTTAGTTATAATGCTATTTTTATGAAGAGTAATATATCCAATCAAATTACTACTTTCAGGTACAATACCGTCTTCCATTGAAAATCTATGGAGTCTTACAAGTCTCGTACTTCAGTCCAACATGTTGACAGGGTTGGTTCCAGCATCCATATGCAACTTTAGCTCAATTGAAATTCTCATTTTACCAAATAACAGGTTGGAAGGAACACTACCAAATTGTTTAGGAAACTTTAGTGAAACTCTGGCAGTGCTGGCTTTGTCGAAAAATCGCTTTCATGGCCCCATCCCAACTACATTTACCACTGGTTGTGAATTGAAGTATCTTAGCTTGTGCTACAACCAACTAGGAGGAACCTTGCCTCGATCCTTGGCCAGTTGCACACAATTACAGGCTCTTGATATTGGGTATAATGGCATACAAGACTCTTTTCCTATTTGGTTGGAAACTCTTCCAAAGCTTGGAGTTCTTAGTTTAAGTTCCAACAGATTTCATGGCACAATACCTGATTCAGAGAGGAACATTTCATTTCCCAGCTTGAGAGTTTTTGACATCTCCAAGAATGATTTCACTAGTTACTTGCCAATTACTTGTTTAAAGCATTTTGGTGAACTATGGGATACAGGGAGAGAATCACAACTCTATTTTGATCTCATCTATACAGCAACAAACTATAAAGTGTGATTAATTACATTCCAGTAACTGTTACTTTGAAAGGTTTTCCGACAAACTATGATAGGATACAAACAACATTCACTATGATTGATTAGTCGAGCAACAAGTTCCATGGAAACATTCCGGATTCCTTTCGAAATCTTAGAGTTCAACATTGCGCACAACAATCTTTCAGGAGAGATACCACTCTGGTAGCCAGTTCGATACATTTGATAACAGCTCATACATTGGAAACTCAGAGTTATGCGGACATCCATTGACTAAGACATGTGAGGATGAAAACAAGTTGCCTTCAAAAGAAGAAGGCGTGCTGAGGCTGAGAGCATACTTGATGGACTTACTTGGCAAGGTGTCGGCTTTGGATTATTCGTCGGAGTTGTCCTCGGCGCTATATTCTTGTAGTAATAAAAAATTTATAAAGTTAAAAGGCAAGTGTTGTTGAACCATTTATCTAGTGTTTTAATTTCTTCAAAATTCTTAGTTGTGAATAATAGTTAAGCATATTAAAAATATATGTATATATATATATATTTCTATTGAGACAACTCACTCTCAATCGGTTCACAAAAACCTCGTCGAAGTGAAAAAAGTTACAAAGGAATTAAACCAATACATGCTAGCTATCTAGCTATATATTAAAATATGTCCTCGAACAACCCCGTGAATCACTAAGCTTACTTGTCGATTCTTGTTATTCCATCACATACCACATCATTCTTTGTTTATTTCCTTAGCTGTTAACCAACATACATACGTTGTATAAATGCTAAAACAAAAACATATGTCGATCAATGTTGTCCAATCGCGTGCTCATATAAGTATGTATCAATTAGAGCTTAGATGAATAGTCTTTTTGATAGTAGACAATGTCTCCGGTGTCGCTCACATAGTGATTGCTGTGAATGCTATTCACTAAGCTTAGGATTAAATGGAACGGAAAAGGCCCCGATTTTTCCGGCTCTCTGTAGTAATTCCCCAACACTCTCTTGGCTTCCCGTGTCTATGCATCAACATGAAAAAATAATAATAATAATAATAAATAGTCAAAATGATAGTAAAAAAAAAATGAAATAATCTATGAAAAGAAGTGTAAGTTGGTTTTTGAGATGATTTTAGAATTTTGAAGGAAATAAATTTGCAATTCACCCAAAAGTAGTTGTGAAGAGTATATGAGAAATGAATACCAAAAAATTGTGATATGTATAAATTTAATTTATGTGTGTATAAATGAATGTCTGATATTATAAATTACGTGCAATTCAAATAATTTATATATATGAAAAATGAGCTGTCGTTTATTATTCTTTTTATTAAAGAAATTTCTGAAAAGCGTAAGAAAAGTGTTCCGTTTGAATATAGATTTCGTATATTAATTAATTAATTAATGAAACTGGGGTCACGTGAGTAGATGAGGGAGGGTAAAGGAAGGAAGGAGGACGCACCGCCTCGACCAAGTGATAGTGAGGGATCTGAGGGAAGAGGTGGTGGATCACGTGAGTGCCGATGTCGTGATGGATGCCGTTGAATATTCCGTAATCTCGATCCACGGTCGTCAGCCCTCCACGTAAGTAGCTCCACTCCTGCCAATCCCATAATATATTATATTAAATTAATTAATTAATTAAGATGGTACGGACACCAAACAACCAACCTTGCCACGGTACCATGGGAGGTTGTGCTGGAAGTCGTGATGGTGCAGATATGTCACAGTATCCAGCCAAGCTACAAACACCTGCATATTGTGTATATAATATATATATATGTATATATGTATGTATGTATGTACGTATGTAGTGTAGATACCATTACCAAAAAATACCAACCATGTAGGGAATGAGGTAGAGGTTGAGCACTAAGAGTGGACCAATGATGGTGGAGAGGCAGAAGAGAAGAGCAACCATGGCTGCCCAGCAGGCAGTTGAGGTCATCACCTGTTGCCTCTCGTCGTCTCTGAACAGCTCACTGTATGGGTTGAAGTGTGATCCTGTCTTCCCTGGACTTCTGTACCACAAATATAAAGGGTATGCAAACATCGGGAATGGGACTTTGTATCTCAAGTATTTTGTCGAATAATCCAGCTTCCTGTATAGCTTCTCTGGCAGCTGCATACCATCATTATCATACATGCAAATTAAAGTAGCTACATCCATGGATGTTTAATTAATTCATTAATTCATTAATTACCGGCACCCATGACTCGTCGTTTTCGACGTGTCCATGGTTTTGATGGTGGGTCCTGTGGCTGATTCTCCTGTTCCATATATATATATATATATAGATAGATAGATATTATTGTTGTATATATTTTTACGATAGTAATATTAATTAATTGTGAGTTACTACCATCCATGATAAGGTACGAGAATGGAGGAATGCAGAATATGGCCCATCACAGTATTCAGCCTGGGGCTGTCCGAAAAGCTCCCATGCCCACTGCAATCAATTAATTTCACATCGATTAATATCCAAATCAGAAATTTCAAATCAATAAAAATGGAGATTAAATAATAATCACCAGTCATGGCCAAGAACGAATATTGCCCAGAAAACAGTCCCCTGAGCAAACCAGTAGACCGGCCACACGGCGGCGGTCCACCTGTCAAAATACAAGGCGGCGGCGATCAGCGCGGCGGCGGCGGCGACGTCGCGGACGACATAATAGCAGGACCGCCATGGATCCTTGACCCAGCAGTGCGCCGGAATGGCGGCCCGAATGTCTCCGATCCTGAACGGCGGCGGCGCCGCGGGATCGAACGCCGCCCCATCATCCGGCGGCGGGTGGCGATCCTCTCCGCCATTGACGTCCTCTTTTCTGTGGCTGATCAGTGGGGAAGAAGAACTGACCATTGCAATCGCTATTTGATTTTGATGAACTTAGGTTATAAGCATGGACAAATTATTATTATTAATTAGGATCAAAGAATGCAGAATGGTTTGTTGTGAGAGAAGTACGCATAAGAATGCGTAATTAGAGGGCGATCTGCGATGCTAATGCAATGCAATTGTGGTATATATATATATATATTAATTGAATTTAAATTATAATATTATATGATAATAGGCTAATATTGGCGAATTGGGTTTTGGACCCAGCTCGGCTCTGGATGGATCAAATATTCTGTTCCAATGTTTTCTCTATTTTTCGGTTCCAACCAATAAAATTGTTACACGTGTGATAATAACTAAGAGAGAGAATAATATAGTATTTAGTTAGATTTAGATATATCTTTTAAATTCAATCTCTATTAATTTATATTTTCCGTCTTTTAAAATTTTACAAATATAAAATAAATATTATATTCTATTTTATTTTTTTTATATTACTTTACAAATTTTCCGTAAAGTAAATTATTTTTATACAAAATACCACGTACAAAACAATTAAATACATTCAATTTTTTATATAATATTTTAAGGATATATAATATCTTTATATTTAAATTTTATTGCATTATTAGAATATTTTATTAAATAAATAGTAAAATTGCATAATAAAATTATATAAGTCATTTTACATCAATTTGTACTATTGTATCATTTTAAATTATAATAGCATAATAAAATTATATGTAGTTTTAGTATGATTGTTGTTTTGTTAGTTTTATTTATAGATCATTAAGGACCAAGTGTTTTGTTTTGATAGAAATATTTTATTAAGGGTATACATCATTTTATACTATATAAAAAAATAAAAAAAATAAAAAAAATTCTATGTCAAAAGTAAATGACATTCTTGTTGTGGGATAAAGGTAATATAAAAATATACACCTTTATAAATTTTATAAAAATAATTTTAAATATATATATTCTAAGAATTTACTTTGTATTTAATTTATTTATATAATATTAAGTGTGATATTTTGTAAAAAAATAATACTCCCTCCGTCTAGGTTGTGATTTTTTATTTTCGTCCGTCTCAAACCAAGGTTACCATTTCCTAAGTTAATAATTGTACTGTCTGCACGTAATAAATATCCTTCCTTTCAACTTACACTGTGATTACTTTTATTTTACATAACTTATTATAATATTAATATCAAAAAATCTATGTACAAAAAGTAAACGACAACCTTGCATCTGGACGGATGGAGTATATATTTATAAAAATATATATAAATTAATGATAATAAAAAAATATATATATACAAATTAAAATAAGATATAAGTTTTATTTTTATTTTAAATTTTAAAATAAATAAAGGGATTAAATAACAAAGATACAATTCAAAAAATATATCTAAATCTAATTAATTACTACGTATATTTTCTCTACTTTTTAGGTTCATTTTTTTTTTCACAATATTCATTTTAATTACTTCATCTACAATAAAATTCATGTACATACACTATATGCGACATGCTGTACACGCATGTATAATAATTAAGTGTAATTAAAATATTTTAACTAAAAAAAAAATTATATGTATAGCATTATTTGCTATGTAACACTAGATTAATAGAGTTAATTATTTTTGCTATATCAACTGTATTATATAGAGTTAATTTTTTTTATTTTTTTGGATAACATAGGAACCGGCAGCCGCCACTGAAAGTGCGCACTGATTAAACTCCGGGCCGAATAATAAGTGCTTAAGGTACGATTGAAAAATATTTAAAAATTGATATAATAACAAGTGAAAATTATTTTTAATGTGATATAAATAAATCAAGAATTTCTGGTTGAATGAAATTAAAATTTAAATAAATATTTGATTTAATATTTATAAAAATAATAGTAAATAATGACTTAATCTGGGTAATTCACAATAATAATATGTATATATTTCTCATACAAAAGATGGCATTTAAAAGTTATTCTGGTACAGATGATTTTAATAACTACACTCCAAATCTATTTGTATTGGTAAGTCTGATTCTGTCTCTTCTCTTTGTTTGTAAGGCTGATTTGCATCGCTGCCATGCCCATGCGTACTCCTTAATTAATTATATACTATAATATAAAAGTGGAATCTAATTCAAAATCGCACTGGATTCAATGAATATATTTAATAGTATTTCATTTTGTTAGCATAAAGGATTTTTAACTGTATATATATTGTTAATTGATGTCAGATATGATGTGCATTTATGGCGTAAATATGCAAATATACTGCTTTACAGATATTGTTAAATGTAATTTGAAATTCCAAAGAAATCTTATTTCCAAAATAAAGAATATTACCAAGACAAAACAAGAAGGAAGCTCAATAAGTCTGATACCATGTTAAGAGGGGATTCGGGGATGAAATAGTCCTTTCCAACATTACATCCAATCCAATGTGGGATACTTAATATTTTTCATCAATCAAAATCATTTTTAACACTTTTTTTCAATATATTAATAAATTTTACTTGCTATAAATAATTTTCCCATAAATATCCATGTAATATAAAGGTTTGAGAGTTCACAACAGCTCCCCATGTTCACATACATGTAAAAACATATTGAAAATGTCTTTTGCTTGCATTCCAAATTCTTTTTTTATTGTTTAACCCGAACAATTTTGAATAAAAACATTATAGTTTTACAAAAAAATATATATATATTTTTTCATTCAAATAATAATAATAATAATACATAACTAAACAGATGCAGACTCATAGCTTTAAATTTTTTGAGGACTTCCATAAACATATATGCTGAATACCCACATCCTTCAAAAAAAATGTTCTAATTTTTTCTCCTTATGCACTGCAATAATGTTTTTTTATTACTTTATAGATCATTGTATTATCCAAAAAGCTTAAAGCATTAATATGAAAACATGTGTATCTTCAATAGGTGGTTTTGAATGCATAATATGTAGATAATAATTTCATAGAAAATTATGAAAAGTGGAGTTGCGTGTAATAAGAGAAAATAGCATGTTCAATATAAGCATTACAAAAAAATTCCAACTTTAAAATGTTGCAAGTGGACAAGACATACTTCTTCTAAATGTCATCTCAATATTTAAAACACAAAAAGCAACTCTAAATATATATCACTTAATTCATCATTAACCACAAGAAAATATGCACTAATGAATCAAAATATTTAAGAGAGAGCCTTCTATAATTCAACTTCACACTACATAGACAACTCATAAGGAGCAATTAAATTCATATTTAATTTTCAATAGAAGATAGTAATATGTTTTGGGGCAAAAATTGGACCAGGCTCAATCAATCCCCAGCGCTATTATCAGTAAACAAGCACAAAGGCAAAAAAACTTAATTAATTTCAGGAATTAAATTGTACTTATAACATGACAGTAATGATTATATACAAGTAGACACTGTTAACAACAAAGTGTAATTTGATTTGAGGCAAAACACACAAGTAGCAATAGTTAGTGTCATGTTTTTGTGCTACAATGAGAGAAATATTGATTCATTTAATTGGGATTTATCATTTCATGTCATCTATATTTATGCAGGAGTGTTCTTTGTGAATTGGGAATGCAATACCAGCTATCACATGAGCTTGTATCGTTTTTCCTGGACTCCGGTGACTCCCATTTGTATCTCTATTATTGTGTGGAGCGGCATCTGTTAAGAATGAATGTGGTCAGCTTCATTGCTTTAATTCAGGTGATGAAATATATAAATGCAGTTAGCTTCACATTTGTGCAGAAAATCTTAATGAGATTAGGCATCTTAATCTAAATCGAATAGCTATCATTTGGAGACATATAAGGTAATATAACTTGTGAATACTGTGTTAGTGATAGCCGTGCTTGTGTTACCTCGATGTGGGGAATCTCTTTCAAAGGTCTGTCGGCGAAATAAGCATATAAAGCCCGCAGCACTGCCTGAAATATGCCCAAAATATATTGTTTCATCTCCCAAACATAATGCATTTTGGTAAGAAAGAGGAAATTGTTAATGGTCGGACCTGGTGAGATATCACCACAACCGGAGCTCTTTGCCGTTCCAGCTCAATAATTACAGGCTCTAGCCTGGAAACAGAAGAATAATAATACAAGGTGTGTCAAGTCGTGATTTGAGTTGTTTTGGATTTAAATTTTTTTAATTGAAAATAGATATAAAATATGATGTTTTGAATTAAAAATTTTGTATTGTATTTGTATATGATGGTTTTTAATAGGAAAAAAGAAAACTATTTCAATATATAAAACATAGTTTGAAAATGGGAGTGAAATAGTTCATTAAACCGCTCAACATTACCTTTGTATAACATCAAGATAAGACTCCCCGCGAGGATATCTATACCTTAGCTTGTCCTTTTTGCGGGATCTAGAATGCATCGAATCAAAATTAACTTCAAAACAAAAAGATACATACAAAATGTAAAGAAACAATGGATGGCATAGACTATCTAAGTAGAATCAAGAATAAAAAATAATCATTTTATTGAATAGTATATTGGGGCATTTTAAGAGAACCGTGCCATCTTCATTCACAGAGGATCACCAAAAAATGCTTGATTTATCAGGGACATAAGATGCTTAACAGTTTCTGTCCAAGAATGCAAATTAACTGCTATATTTCTATTCAACTACTGGCCAACAATGAAGATGCCATAAAAGCATACAACAATTTCTTGTGTCCAATAGGCACTAGATGATTATCAGATTAATTAACTAGAATCTTTCCATGAGAGAGCTGAAGTAACTTAGAGATAGAAAAGATCATGATGTGAAAAGTAGATAGAGAAAGATAGAACCATACTCGTATTCCTCTGGCATATTTTTCTTTATTTCTTCATAGGTCATCCCATCGCATACACCAGCATTTATTTCGTCAAGTGCACGCCATTGTATCTTCAAAAGGTATATACAGTAGATGAAAAACTTAAGATTAGCTCCAGGAACACTATTGGTTGCCAATGTCCAAGAAATCTTTGCCTAATCTAAAATTACCTTTGGAAATCCAACTATTGGACTTGCTGTTAAAATAGTTCTCTGCAATGTACTAGTCCATATCTAGGGCACAAGAAAAAACAATCAAAAAACAAGGATGGGAATATGGGATTCACCATCCACTGGAATAATTTGTAGTAGGATGATGTGAAAAAATGAGGTGAAATGTGCAAGTATGGCAGCTATGAATGCGAAAGATGAAATACATACAACTCATCCTAAACCCACAAGATAACTTCATATTTATTTCAGAAAATTTAATTGTCAGAACAACAAAGAAGTACCTTTCTCAATCTCAACTATTCATGCATATATGGCTTAGCAATCTTAAAGTCAAACTAACAGCTATTACAAAACCTAAACAATATATCAGTTGCAATACTTACAGAGGCAGCCCTTTCATTTTTCAAACGTTTCTCGATGAAATTTGCAAGTTTCTTGGAGTAAACCACTCCAGTATCGCTGCAACCAACGAAAGGAAAAAAGGTGCACCGTTAAACATGGAATATGAATGCTCATTATGTGCATTGGTAACTCAGAAATACAATCTACACATGGATTACTTTCTTAGGTAACTTCTCCAGTTCCATTAATGGAACTTCAATTTTTTGTATCACAATAAAAGACCTTGAGAGAATTATCTACCATAATCATAACCATGCAGATTTCACTATTCTCTCAAAATATTTATCTATTTAATTTTCCAATAAAATAGATGAAAACTAGCCAGTGAGATAACCCGAAACAAAAATGAGAGAATTTTAATAGTGCAAGGTAGGTCTCATATTTACTGGAGAACTTTCCTGGAGAGCCATCGCAGCTATCTAAAAATACAAAAGTTATACTTAGCAAAAACAAGAATGTTGTGTGGACACAAAGGAAGGCATACATTGTCTTCATATTTCATGTATGGGAGTACCTGATCACACTGTCACCCCCAATTCGTCCTCTGACGTTATCCAAACTCTCTCCATGCCTCGTAAGCAAAATTGGGCGGGGTGTCAGATGCGTGTTAACCTGCAATCAAAGAAGAGATGAAAAAGCTAAGAGGAAACGTGTTTTGACATAATATTTAATGAAGGAAAAACTACTGCATTACTGTTTTCAAAATGTTTCTCAGAAAGCTCTATAGACTCTAATACACAGACAAAAGGCCACAGATACAATAATTTTTGTTGAAGAGACCATAATTGATCCAGGAAGAGTGAAGGAATATAGAATACGATGATACTTCTTACATCTGGGACACATTACACTGAAAATTAATCATGGCTACTGTTTGTTTACTTATTTAATTTTCTTTCTTCAATCGAAACCAAAAAGTGCAAACCGAAACCGTGACTTAAAAAATTTGGTTACAGTTTGACCTTTCAAAAAACTGAAACCGATCGAACTGTTTGAGCAACTCTACTTTTTTATTTTAAAAATATATAATATTTTTTGTTATTAATTTTTATATATAAAATTTTAAAATATTTAAAACTTTTTATATATATATCTAGTTTCTTGCCTCTTATCAGTATCACTTAATTAAAATATTAAATATATTTTCTTTATTTTGATCCAATTTTTTATTTTTATCAAAATATAAAAATAGAATAAAAAAAATAGACCAAAATTTTCAGATTATTCTCTCTTTAAATATGTTGATAAAAATTAGACATTGAAAATTAATCATGTATTTTTAAGTTCTTTGAGAGAATATGTAGAAACCTATAGTTAGTGGAAATAGCGAAATCTATTTATATTTTGAGAAGAGAATCAAAGAAAATTCATGGAGTATTAATATCTATAAACTTTTGAATACTTTTAAATCTGTAGTGAATATTTGAGAATTTTTAAAGACTTCCGAAAATCTAAGGATGTGTTTCACCCAGCTATATTTTACTGACTTGATTCCCCATAGCATTATTAAGAATACAATATACACATAATACCCTGTATTGAATACCTTAAAAAAATTTATAAGCTTTTGAAAAATCCAGCTTGAATTCCCATATATTTTGAGAATCTAAAAAAAATCCTCCAGAATTAGAATTCTCATAAAAATACCACTACATCGAGCACCAATGATTTTGTATCCAGTCAAATTCTTCGCTAATTGATTGAAGTGAGTAACTCCAGTAGACCCATCCCTAGGATTTCTTTAGATTCTCAAAGTACGAGGGTATTCAATCCATATTTCAAAAGTCTTTAGAAAGTACGAGGTATTTAATTTAGATTTTAAAAAATCTTTAGATATTCAACAATCTAGTTTATGAATTTTAATATTTTATATTTCTATTGATTTCCTTTAATTCTCTTTTAAAAATATAAATAGATTTCACTCTCCGAAATCTCTACTATCAACCAGAGATTTTTACTCAAAGAACTCAAAAGACTATTATTCCCTGAACCTAAAATATATTCTCAATTTTTCATTTCTATCTTTTATTAATATGCTTAAAGAAACAATTTCAAAATTTTAGACCACAATACTATGTCCGAATTTCAACAAAATGTAAACTAAAAATCTAACCTTCTAGAAATGGTTGGATTCTCTTAGAACACGGAAAATTTACAGCATCAAAAGAAAATATGAGAAAACCCGAACCAAGCAATCCATTCACATAGAAGATCTTAAATCAAGCAATTAACCACAATGCATGTATCTAAAAGCTGTAACATTATCGTCATAAAAAAAAAAAAAAAAAAAAGCTGTAACATAATGAAGCAAGATCACCAGAATTTGGAGAGTGGGGAGAAATAAGCAAAATCTCAAGAAATGATTTATCAACATACCAGGAAGAATACTATTCGCCCAGGAAGGTAGCCACTAATGTTGTTCACCTGTTTCACGAAATACCATAATACTTGTAAGACAACTAGACAACTATGAAACATCTCATCCTGAAGGTGAAAAAAAAAAAAACTAAACAAAAGATTTGCAGTTAATATTGCATTAGAAAACGTCCAGGAACCTTGAAGCAACTATGATGATTATTTCTGTAAGGTATTTTATGCTATTCAGAGAATCATAACCCTGGCTATAAATAATGATGACCCTTATCTACTACCATACCGAATCTTATCCCTATAGTCATGCTGAATGGGCAGGAAAATATCTCTAGAGCCAATGTTATACTTATATCCCACCATAATAGGATCCGTTTATCTTAATATTAATTGGATCATCAAGATCTAGCCTCGTGCAAGAATCATGCATTCACACGCACTTCAAGTTCTAGTGGAACTCTGGCTAAGTATAGTCCAGTGAATTAGGAACAATGATAATAATCAGTAAAACTGCAAAGGAAATGAGATTACTTGTATTTGTCCTCCATGACCACTGACCATATCAATCATTTTGATATACGAACCTTCTTCCACTGGCTCATAAACCTGAATGAAAAAGAATACCACGAATAAATAAGAACATTTATCCGCATGATCATCATGAAAAACTACAACTGACAGTTATATATCTACCTTCTCATAATTTTCTAGTCGGCTCTTGAAGTCATTATACCCAGCTTCAAAATCTGGCCTGTAGTGTACTATGAATCACAATTTGTTGATAGTATAGCAGAAGAAAATAATGAGGAAATATGTTAGCACTATACTCTTCAGCGTAGTCTGGACTTTGTTGAACCTTGAGTCGTATATTTCTTTCAATTATTTTTCGATCATTGCATATTGTTTCCAGAAAGATAATCTGAAAGTGAAAAGTTCACAATATAACATAGATCTAGCAGTGAGATTCTGCTCACTCTAAGAGTAACATAGAAATCTATGCAGACCTAGAAGCAAGCATGGCATGAAAATTCATTCGGAATAAGTCATCAAAAAGTGCAAATCAGACCAGGTGATCGTATAGAGTTTCCTACAATATAAACTCCGACAGAATGATTATAGTCATATTCTAATGCATACAAGGACCATGCACCAAGTTCAATGCCATACTCGCAAATAGCTACTCAATAAAGATGACATACTCACAACAGCTAGATGGCATTCTATTTTTAAATCATTTTTGCCACACCGGTAGCATCATACAACCATCTATGGTCCCAAGCATGTCAAATCATATATGAAAAAGAATATTAATATACATGTACCTTGCATTTGCCTTCAGCCATTTTCATAAGCATATTCCTCCTATTCCTGGTACTGTTTGTAGCATCGAATATGCCAACCTAAAAGTATTTAGAAAATACATTAAGGATTGAACACAAGCACACAATACAAAATGAGAGAACTACCTGGCCACGCTCATGCATCCAAGCTATCATATCCTCCATGGCTAGTGCTGCTACCTAATAGGAGGTCATAAATTAGAAATATGTCCAAGGGTAAAGGTCAACACATAAGTCATAAATTACAATCTAAAAGCACATGAACAAGAGGAAAAAAGAAAAAGATTCAAAGGTTGCATTTTGCACTATACAACTCTCATTTGAAGATACAAAGAAAGCCATCGATATAATATTTTTAACTTGCCAGTACCAATCAATGTGCAACATAATGTGTTTTGGAGACAGAAAGGTTAGTCACTGTTGTATCAAGAAGACCTGAGATTTAGACAAACATAATCCTTATGCCCAATCTGAGCAGGCAATACACAGGCACAAGATATGGAACCCATAATTATAAATCCATACAGGTTTCTCTATCTGCATATGGTGAGACGATAAATTTGTTCCATAAGATTAATCCAATGTCAGAAAATATTCATTTAATGGATTCACACAATAGCACCAATAGGATATCATAAAATCAATCTTGAAATATCATTTAATGGCTTACTTAATTCATCATATAACTTGAGCAAGATGAAAGAATGAAACACATTTTTCGTCATGTGGCCGACATAACTTTATTTACCTACTTCTAGTACATTGCAATGAAATGAAGAAGAGTATACAGGTGATGCGAATAATAAATGTTTTAATCTTGTTTATCATTGAAAGTTAAAATGTAGGAAGACACAAAAAAATGAAGTTTAACTCCCAAAACAGAAGGTGTAACAACTGGGAAAGGAGTTTGAATGATTGAATCTCAGACCAACTTATATGTCCCCATAAAACAAGAAAGAAAGGGCCAAGAGGAAAAATTAAATTAATAATAATAATAATAATAATAATAAATAAACCCAATTAAATAGAAGATGATTGTATTAGGAAACAAGGTTAAACCAAATATAACAATGGTATCAATATGCAAAACGTGGAAATTTAATTCTAGAAGGTTCTATTGGTAAAGTTACCTCATTACGTGCCTCCAGGCCTTCTGGATTGTCGCCTCGGAAAAAGTCAGCTGTCTGTATAAACAAATTTGAACTATAGAATTCAGTTCAATCCAAATACTACAGCTTCAAAGAGACATTGCATTCAACTTTCACTGTCTTTGTAAATTTACTTTTCCCTCTGAATCCAATGGTGGTTAGCAACCAGGCACGTTTTCAAAAATGAAATCCAATGCTCAGAGGAGATGGAATCTAGACCAATGAAATGATTAATGAGGAATACTTTTGAGCCTGAGATAAAAAGCATTTTAAGGAAAGATTGCATTGCCGTTATAGCAGCAGCATTCTTCCAACAGCAAAAATATATATTGTGATGAAGCAATAAAACAGTTACTTGTTAAACATTGAAGCTTTCCTTAATAGTCTACCTATAGTAAGTAAAGCCCACATCTTAGTTGACAGTAAATCCTTGCACAGAAGCCAAATTATTGTGAATAAATAAACAATATTAATATAGAAATAAATAAAAACTGAGTTTAAGGAGAAACAATTGATTTATTATTAATACAGTCTCGAGCTTAGTCCAAAGTCATTAGCTTCTGAGCCTGTATCTTTACTAGCTGCTGCTCCGTCCGTGTCATGATATATGCCACTTTAGAAATTTTATTACATACTAAGAAATAATCTATTGTCACTTAAATACAGCGATTAAATTGAATAAACTATAAGGGAATGTGCAAGAGTCTATCATAAATAGGGAAAACTTGGAACAAAAGTAACTTTTTTGCCTTAAAATTCCATAAACAGATATATTCTTTGAGACAACGTTTTGACTTCAAAACGACTTATATTATGAGACACGGGGAATATAAATAGTTTTTAGAAAAATATGTACATAGACACTTCCTCAAAATGCCAAACAAGAAATTGTAGATTAATTTCTACTTGTGAAACAATCTGAGAGAGAAAAAGGACAAGAAATATCACCAGGACCTGGTTAACTCCATGTTTCAGTCTCCGATACTGCAGTAAAAAAAACTAAATATCAGCTTTCATGAATATCATCGAGAAGAGTAGACAAAAATAATAATACAACATATATTACCTTCCCAACATTGAAGTGCTTTGTGTCATGGCCTAACCAACGAAGATACCGAGTAAGTTTAGCTGCAGTGAAAGTTTTTCCACGTGCAGGCAACCCAACCTGTAGAAATGATCATGTCTATCAGGAAGCTTTGGCATTTGAATGTGCAACAATAACAATTTCGGCAAGCACCCCTTAGAGACATTAAATGTACTAAGTAAGAGCTAGATTATCAGGAAAGTACCAAAACAATTGCCAGATGTCTATCCTCCTTTGGTCCAAGCATCTGATCTGCTATTGCTGCAGCTGCAACAGCTCCAGCAGCAGCTGGCATGGAATTCTAAAAAACACAATTGATTGAGCTATGGGTATACATAAGGATGGGTAGACATTTATTTGTATTTTTAGGATAAATATTGAATGGTACAGGCTACAACAGACCTTAGAATCTGAATCAATTTTGTTATCAACAGAGAAAGTCGTTGCACTAGCTGATTTCACTAATCTAGGAGATCCAACCCCCCTATCCACAAAGAGTCCTCTGTGACTATCTTGTCTCTGCATGGAAGAAAATGTTCCAACTGACTTTGACTCAACCAAACCAGATCCTGAAGACAACTTTGATGTGTCGGGGACACTGACTTCCATCCCCTGATATAAAGTCATGACATTCACATAATGAATATATTAAAGAAAAAACTCCAGAGTGGATTCCAGGTCAACTATTGTGCAAGTATACTTCAAAATCACACACATTCTATAGATAAGTCACATGCATGTAATGTGAGATCCTCTTTCTTGTCAAAGTAGGAAACTTCTTTTTTTCATGTAAGAGGAAGTAGAAAAGGGATCAAGTTGTCTTGACAGAGGAATTGTAATTAGCTTCTTGGACAATGGACAGATATACATTCATAACCAAAATTCAAGAAACTAATCTTTGTGTAAAATTAATGCAATAACCACCATCTCCATTCCAGGTTAGGAAACCTCACTCTATAGGAATTTACTGTCTTAGATATCTTTGGCAATTCCTATTTCTATTGGATTTGTTAATTAGGTGGCAGAACTCAGAAACACAAATAACAACACCATATACAAGAACACATAGCATTCACACAAACACAAATCGCAAATGACAGAAAAAGGAAAAGAAGAACACCAGCAAATCGGGTCGATCAACAGAAACACCAGTATCTCTTTGGCTATGTAATGCCCCACTAGATCCATCAGTCCGGGAAAACACACCTACATGACTCAGTGACCTAGGAGTTTCTGTCAGGTTAGCTGCATAAACCAGACCTGAGTTTGCAGAAGTGGATGGAGCTGGGACAACATAGTGCTCCAGATCAAGCTCCAAACTTCCCCTAGATCCATTCTGTATCAGAAAGTGCAAAACACAACTTTAAGTAAGCTACAATGTATAGGTAAGCCAAGGCATCAAAGATTCAAAAATCATTTTATTATATAGGAGTCAATTGAATCCTAGGATAAGGACAGATGATGCCTTCATATAATATAAGCTGTCTTTGATAAATGCTATCCCTACTGTTGGAACAAAAAGGCAATATTGCACTGCAACAAGTCGTCTTTGGTATCAAGAAGCACGACTATGTTTCAAGCCACCAACATGACTGAACTTCATGGAAGAACAATTCAACATTCTTAAATATCACAGGGAAAGAGAAAATAAGATATTAAAAAATGCCTATGTCATTCTGAACAGAGTATATGAAGAGAGATAGACCAACAAGCAGCTAGCTAATATTGCAACAGTTCAAAATAGATAGATAGATCTTCAAAAAGGCATAAAGCATTCAACAAGCAAGGAGCAGAATCTACCTCAACACGGTCCTCAGCAACAGAATTGATGCTGACATCTGGGATTCCACGAACGCTGGATAGCTGAAAATTTTCCTGATATGCTCTCCAACTTGCTGCAAGATCAAATGGCGAAACTCTATCTGCCTTAATGTGCACTCGGAACTCAAGAACCACATCATCACCGATTTTAAACACAGCGGACTGTCGATCCCCCTGTAATGCACCCCCACTCAATTGCCTGTTTGGACCCTCCTCCACAATGCAGGGGGCATCACTGTACTTGGGTCTCAACAAAAACTTAAAATCCAATGTCTCTAATCAGTATGAGAGAGACAAAAACGTACCAAAGTATCAGATTCTGAATAACAAAGGCATAAAGGAATTCAACAAATGATCCTGGCTCACACACTGGGAGCTCATTACCGTGGTTAGGAGGTGCAACGAAGCTCAATTCCCACGTAGACGTCGATTCACGTTCCATGGAGAGCTGATAGATATCCAGAAGCATTGTAAATCAGGCAACGAAAACGGAGAAACAATGCGATCGTTGAATTAGGGATAAAAAAGTCATTTGAGCAAAGTTTTCCATTAATTAGGGGGAAAAAACACACACAAAAGACAAGAATCGGCAACCAAATTAATCGAATTGGGGAAGATGACGGGAAAAACATACGGCTTTGGAAGGGTCCCAGGAGCCGACGACGGGTAGGGAACCGTAGACGTGGGGTATGAGCTCCCCTTTGTGCGTGTAGTTCTCCATCTTGAGGGAGACGTATAGTTGGCCTCCGGCCTGTTCCTCTCTGTCGGCATGGGAACTATCAGGATTCTTGGAGGCACCAGTGCCCATGATAATAGTGAAATTCTTCAGATGGAAGGAAGAAGGATGCGCAGGTGGGCGATGATGACGATAAGAATTGAATGGAACAGCCTGTGGGGGTTGGTACTCCCTCTCCCTCTACTCTCATCCGTAATCGAGAGATAATCTATAATCTATAATCCATAATCTGACTGACTATCTTCACCCAAACTCCCAAAGTTGAAAAGGCATAAATTTATCCCTCTATCCATAGGAATCTATATCGTACTGTGTATATAATAATAATAATATTAATATATTCTTCCAATGTTAATTAACAGTCTGTTTTCTTTTTGTTTTTTTTTTTGTTTTTTTTTTTTCTATTTCCTAATTTAAAAAAATTTTCCTTTCGTATTTAGGGTTCATCTGTTTTGATTTAGAAATTAAAAAAAAATAAATAAATTCTTTTGAATTTCAAAAACTTTCCTTTTAGAGTTTAGGGTTCATCTGTTTTAATTGAAATTAAAATGATGATTTGAATTTTGTTTTACATAATATTTTTGATACAATATTTTGTATTTTAAAAAATCAAACAAATATATTTTTAATATTTAAATAATATTTTTTGCGTCTCTATTTCAAATATTATTATTATATTTTTAATAAAAAATATTTAATTACCTATATTTAAATGTCAAATACTTTTATAAATATTACACAGTTTTATTATAAATAAAATAATATTATTCTATAATTTATTTAAAAAATATAAAAAAATTATTATTTTAATTTGAAATATACTTTTTATATAAAATATAAAAATTGTAGAAAAAAATTATTTTTTCCCTCCTATACAAATATTAAAGTCATAGATATGAAAAAAAAAATGAAAAAACTAATGAGGTGATGAGTTCAAATTCGCCTTATATTATTTACCAGACATATTCAGCCTATTTGCCTATTTGTCTGTGAGACCTAATTTAAAGAAAATATATATATATATATATTAAAATGAAGAAAATGAAAACACTAGTTAATGAAAGTTTGACAAAGCATGGTTGGTCTAAACTCTTGAGGCACTATTATTTAATTTTTAATGCTCCATGCGGAAAATTAACTAATATAATAAGTCAACAAATTTTTGGGTATGTTTGTTTATTATTTTAATTTTGAATTAAAATTTGAATAGTAATTTTTTGAATGTAATCTTATATAATAAATAAATTTTTATAATTTATCAAAATTAAGTTCAATTTTACTTTTTGTCCTTTTCTAATATATTATATTTTCTCCTTTAATCAAAATTAATAACATTCTATTTGTAAATTATAAATAAAATATTACTAATTTTGACTGAAAAAGAAAATTAAAAAATAATTTATTTATTTTTTAATTTTATTATTTATATATTAATAACTATTAATTTTTTCTTTCACTTTACATTTTATTTATATTATTTTAATATTAAAATACTATTATTTATTAATTTATATTTCTAAACCAATTTACAAAAGTTTTCCAAGCACAGGAGTACTATTTATTTTGTAAGTCAAAATTACATTAATATTTTTTTTATTATCTGTTAAATATATGCATGTTATATTTAAAGTACTTTATTCCCAATAATTTTATTACTAATATCTTAATAAAATTTTAACAGGATTTTATTTTGTAAAATTATTTGAAAGAGGTTTTATTATATGATATATATAAAGAATTATAAGTATAATATAAAAATAATTAATATATATAATACATTATATTTTAAATATATATATATTTTGCAAAAGAAACAAAACTTTTATATTTTTTAACTCATTTCATTTTAATATTATAATACAATTATTTTTTAATGTGAATATCCAACCAAACATTCATAAAGTGCGTGTATTCATGGTGGGATTCGTTTATATAATTAATTTTTATTTATTTGATATTATTTTATTATTATTATTATTATTATTTTTTTGTTTTCATTAAATATTAAATTAAATATTTTTTATTTTTATTATTATTATTTTTTTAAATTCTTCAAAAACTTCCGCTTAGGGAGCCAATTCGAATTCTGAAACCCGCAAGCACATTCCTTTGAAATGGATGATCAGTTAGCTGTCTTTTACGTTTTCAGCAATAAATTTGGAGGTCAATTCATGTTGGCTTCATCCCAAGCAAAGGCGATCAGGATGACGGAATGGAACTGCTGCGTATTTCCCAAAACAGTGCCCGCACCGCACATTGACGCGAAATTAAGCAGATGCTTCTCCATTTCCACCACCCACCACAGTTTAGGTATGAATGTGCAGAAGAAGAAGAATTATCCAAATTTATTGACTTTTTAGGTTCGGAATCATAGAGACAGAGAGCTTCGGTGTTTGTCGCTTTCCCAAAGCTGTATTGTCAGGTGACACTGGCCATCGACAATCATAGGTTTGCTGGCAATTAAAATAAAGGGCGAGGATGAGCTGTGCGTCAATCGAGGAAAAAAGGAACTTCTGGCTGTGGGATGGGCTGTCATGGCATCGCATGGAAATTGGAATGGAAGAAGCCAACGGGCCCCATAAACTATCCACCCACCCAGCCGTCCCCACCCCACCTTGTCCTTCCAAGGACAATAAATATTATTTGGATGTCTGATGATGATTTCAGGTCGGTTCAATTACTCCTAAAGACTACTTCAATCTAATCGTCCAGTCAACGTTCGCCGGCGCGTGGAGTTGCGGGATTAGCGATGGGGAGCTACAGGGTGTGCGTGTGCTTCACCCGGAGGTTCAGGATCACGGAGGCGGGGCCGCCGGAGGACGTGAAGGAGGCGTTCAGGAAGTACGCAGAGGGGGGGACGCAGATGACGGCGGAGCAGCTTCGGAGGTTTCTGGTGGAGGTTCAGGGCGAGGGCGGCGCCACCGCCGCCGAGGCTGAGAGCATCTTACAGCAGATCGTCCAGAAACGGCACCACATTACTAAGCGCACGCGCCACGCGATCACCCTCGAAGATTTCCACCACTTCCTGTTCTCGTCGGATCTCAATCCCCCAATCAACAGTAAGGTAAGCACTGTGAGGCTGATTGGGAATATCGATTTGACTTGAATGCTCTTTTGATTTTTGATTTATTTATTTATTTTTAAGTGATGTAGGCATTGGAAACTGTATGAAAATGATGTTTTCCTTTCTGATTCTGGTGGGGTTTCAGATTATACATCCATATCAAAAGATTGAACCAATCTTATGCCTTAGGAATAGAGTCAGCTGTGGAGATGTGTTTGGGATGATGAATTGTTCTTGTTCCTTTTAATTAGAAGTTAAATCTCGTAAATTTCAACCATGAAAAACTGACAGGTGTGTATGAAGGATTGAGCTCCAATTTTGATTGTTCTTATGTCTGTGTTGAGTCTGAAATCCAGGCCTACAGGAGCCATGTTCTTCTGATTGAGCTTTTCCCATGTTTGGATTAGCTTAGCGGCTTGTCAAAGCTCTAAGGGAACAGATTAAGTTGAGCTGGTGACCTCAGCTCAAAAGAAACTGAGATGATCTCAGCACTGATATATGAAAAGATGCCTGTGGTAGGAAAGTTTTGTAGTGATATTTAGGCGATAAACGTTTTAATTAGGTCTAGCAGCATTAGTTAAAAGGGTGAGGATATTCCCCAAAAATGTTGATTGTGCTCTTCTAGACGCCCTCTTCACTTATATAACACGAAATCTAAAGCAAAAGGTAATAGGCATGTTGTTGAAGTGAATAAAAGATTGGCATTTGTGTATGAGTTTCGGATTTTACTTGATATTTATTATTGTCTCAACTGTAAGAGAATGTATTCTGTGCACTCTGGCTTAGCATTTTGTACGTCAATTCGTCTCAAGTCAACTGTGCACTCTGGCTTAGCATTTTGTACGTCAATTCGTCTCAAGTCAAATGCCTCATCACTATAATTAGTGGAGAAAATCTGTTCTGCTTTTAGTCGAATTGTAATGTGGCTTTATCCATTAGCTGTATCCATACTTCATTGAATATGTTTTAAGGTTGTGTGGCATGCGTATCTCCAAACCAAGGAATTGAATTATGTGATGGCATCAATAAATTAATTTCTCTAGTTGTATCATCAGTATTGAGATGTTGCCTCCTTTTATGTTATCTTGGTGACTGAAGCACAATCTAAAAGGCTCTATTACTATAAGTCTTTCCAACTTGCCTCTTTACGTATATCTAATTTGAATCATATTTGCCTTGCAGGTCCACCAAGATATGACGTCTCCTTTATCACATTATTTTGTATACACGGGCCATAATTCATACCTTACTGGAAATCAGCTCACAAGCGATTGCAGTGATGTTCCAGTAATTAAGGCGCTGAAGAAGGGAGTGCGAGTAATAGAACTTGATATATGGCCGAATTCCACAAAGGATGATGTGCATGTTTTGCATGGAAGGTGCACTGCTTTCTCAAGATTCTTTTTTCCATCCACTCAATTTTAAGATTATTTAATGAACATGTGACGTCCCTGACAGCACAAGAATCAAAATTGCATTTCGTATGTCCTCCTGCTTTTATGCCTCCTTTGATTGTCTTACGTTACAATTACACAATGCAGAACGGTAACAGCTCCAGTGGAGCTAATAAAATGCTTAAAATCAATTAAAGAGCATGCCTTCGTCGCTTCTCCTTACCCTGTCATAATAACATTGGAAGATCATCTTAAGCCAAAACTACAGGCTAAAGTTGCTCAGGTGATTATCTGCAGATGACGTCAATCTGAATTTCAATCATATGTACATAAGTTTACTTACCCCATTACATGGCTTGAATTGTTTTACCCTTACACTTTTTAGATGCTCACTCAAACCTTTGGCAAGATGCTTTTCTACCCCGACTCAGACTGCTTAGCAGAATTTCCTTCCCCAGAAGACTTGAAACATCGCATAATCATATCCACAAAACCTCCAAAGGAATACCTGGAAGCTCAGACTAACAAGGAGAAAGAGAATAGTTTGCAAAAGGAAAAAGATTCTGATGAAGATATATGGGGGAAGGAGCCTTCAAGCCTTATTGCTAATCAAGAAGACAGAGATGAAGTACATTGGAATGAGCTTAAATTGTTCTATTATCCTTTTTTTTATCTCCCTACTTAATCAATAGTATCTCTCCAGCTAATATTTGTTCAACTTTTGTGCAGAGTGAGAAGGAATTGACAGATATAACTAACAACTACGAAGATGATGATGATGAGAGTGATTCAAGAGGCCACGAGGGGCTTGCCTACAAGCGTCTGATATCTATTCATGCTGGTAAACCTAAAGGAGGGATGACGGAAGCCCTAAAGATTGAACGGGGTAAAGTGAGGCGCTTAAGTCTTAGTGAGCAAGCTCTTGAAAAGGCTACTGAATCTCACGGAGCAGAGATTGTGAGGTACGCCAACAATATTTGGATCGTATTGCACAATTGTATTGAATGTTGTTACCTTTGACTCTTCAAATGTCTGTAGGTTTACACAGAAAAATATTCTTAGAGTTTATCCAAAGGGAACACGATTTAACTCGTCGAATTACAAGCCTCAAATTGGTTGGCTGCATGGGGCTCAAATGGTTGCATTCAACATGCAGGTCTCTCTCTCTCTCATGATAATACATAACATATCGATCATTTTACTCTTTTTTCTTTTTAACAGGCAGAATTAATGTAGGATGATCTTAAGAAGATTGTTTTAAGGGCTTTGTTGAGTGACTGGAATATTTATTTTTTTTAGATATGTATAGGGCAATGTGAATTCTTCTATAAACATGTAAATATTGTTTTTGTGTTAGGGGTGTGCAAATCGAGAGTTACAAGTAAATTAGCAAGTCATCCACTATATGATAATGCTTTGAATTGCACAAATTCAATTTTGGAGTGGAATCAGTATGAAACTGTGTAGATACTTGTTAATTTGAATTTAAATTTATTTCAGTAGTTTGTTGAATTTACTTGAGTTATAGGATAGAAGCTCTGTAATGTCATTTTAGTACCAGATTTGGTAATACGAAATATTCTTGAATTCGATCAGAATTCATAGTTAAAAAAGTAGAAGAAACTTTTTCCTCGAGCCAAATGTGCTCGAATATGAATTTGATTGGCATTTAATTTCTATTTATGGTTGACTGGTTGTTGTATCTTGTTCTTGATCCTCATCATTTATAAATGTTCGAAAGTTGTAATTTGGTCGATTAATTATGAACTGTCACTGGGTAACATGCATCCCAACTGGTCTATCTGATTTTTAAACACATCCTTTAATTATATTGCACACGACTATCATAATCCTAAGGGTGCTTGAGCAATGCAGGGTTATGGTAGATCTCTTTGGTTGATGCAAGGAATGTTCCGGGCTAATGGAGGCTGTGGTTATGTGAAAAAGCCCGACATGCTGATGAATCCAGACCACATGTTTAATCCCGAAGCACAATTGCCCGTCAAGAAGACCCTTAAGGTAAAAATAACAAAGTCCACATATGCTTCGAACCATGCTTTTCTTAATTATCCATTTTGACAGGTGAAAGTATACATGGGGGAGGGATGGCACCTGGATTTCAAACAAACTCACTTTGATTTGTACTCCCCGCCCGACTTCTATGTCCGGGTACACTTTCATCCCAAGTCTTACAACAATTTTCAGATTCCATTGGACCTTTTGTTTAATCATGACCCTTCTTCTACCAACAGGTTGGGATAGCCGGGGCACCTGCTGACGAGACCATGAAAAAGACCAAGGCGATAGAGGACAACTGGAATCCGGTCTGGGACGAGGAATTCACTTTCCCGCTGACTGTTCCTGAGCTGGCTCTGCTGCGGATTGAAGTGCACGAATATGATATGCACGAGAAGGACGACTTTGGCGGGCAAACATGCCTTCCGGTTTCGGAGTTGAGGCCCGGAATTCGATCTGTTTCCTTGTGTGATCGGAAAGGGGAGAAGCTGAATTCGGTAAGGCTTCTCATGCGTTTCGATTTTTCTTGATTTGAGTGGTTCTTTGCTGAGCTATGCTTCTGAAGCTTATGTAATGTTTTCCTGGGCATGAAATGATCAGTTAATAAATAAGTTCTATGTGTTGATGTGTGAGATTTGTCTGGATTTGGTTTTTCATACAGATCGACAAAGTTTTGATACATCTCGTATGCTGGTGCTGTGTATTTTTATGGTTAAGTTCTTATGATTGTTGTTATGTTACCAAATATAGAACAAAACCATTAATTAAACTGTCTCCCCTCTTCAATTTAATTTCCTCAATAATAATAAAAAAACATAAATTAATTAGTTAATTAACAAACTTAAAAATATACTATAAAACAACTAACTACACTTGCGCTTGTCCAATCCTTCCCATCTCACTTTTAGGTTTCATGCAATATGGGATTCATCCACAATACATCATTCATCGTCCTCATCTCTGTTCTTGAAAAAATTGTTCTTTTTTTTTTTTTTTTTTTTTTTCTTTTTTGGCAAGTAGTGTAAATTGTTGATTCCAAAAGAAATGTAAAGGAAGCAAGCATTTTTTTTAAAGATCTTCCTGGCAATTAACAATAATAATAGTAATAATAATGGCGACAAATATCAGCAGCCTTATTGTATGCAGGAAGGTGTATCACGATCATTGTTATGGCATTTTCAATGGGCAGAATCCATTAAAATCTGGGTTTCCACTCTTTATGTTAGAGCTCTTGAGCATCGTTATTATCTCTAACGTTGTTAGGTTTCTGCTCAAGCCTTTACGACAGCCTAAGGTCGTCTCCAACATCATTGTAAGTTACTTTCTGGTACAATAAAATTCGATCATTTTGAGCTGTGCTAATCTGATCTATGCCGGATTTCGGTTTCGCAGGGCGGCATTATAATTGGGCCGTCGGTGTTGAGCCATAGCAAGAAGTTCCGGAGGAACATGTTCCCGGACAATGCCGAGTATGTGGTGAGGAATGTCGGGACAATCGGGTTCATGTACTTCCTCTTCATCTCCGGCGTGAAAATGGATGTCTTTACGCTAAGGCGCGTGGACCGGAAGCATTGGATCATCGCTGTAGTTGGCGTGATCGTGCCGCTCGTTTGCAGCATTGCGGTGGCGATGGTGGAGAGAAAATCTTTGCCAGAAGGGACGGAGAAGCCATTCTCCCTTATGGGGATCACATCATCGTTAGCCATCTCCGCTTTCCCGGTTATTTACCCGATCGTGAAGGAGTTCAACTTAGTTAGCTCGGAGATGGGACAAATGGCGTTGTCGACTTCCATTATCAGCGACGTCATCGGCAATATTGGCGTGACTATATTCGAGGCTGGTAAGCAAGGCGAGGATAGGCCTATAGGAGCTCTGTGGTACATGATTTCGCTCATCGTCGTTTTGGGCGCGATTATGGGCGGCATTAGGCAGGCAATGCTTTGGATTGTTCGGACGACGCCGGATGGGAAGCCAGTGGATCAAATTTATGTGATCACTATACTTCTGGGGGTTTTGGTCATCGGTTTCATCGCCGACATGTTTGGTCTTGCGATCGCCAACGGTCCTTTGTGGCTCGGGCTGGCAGTCCCGGATGGCCCTCCGTTGGGCGCCATTCTCGTGGAGAAAGCCGAGACGATTATGACGGAGATTCTTCTACCGTGTTCGTTTATGAATATAGGAACGATCGTGGATTTCTCGACGTTGAGCCACCACTGGTCTCATCTGCTACCGCTCTTTTTCATCGTCATAAGCGGGTACACGTCGAAGATGATCGCGACGCTCATCACGTCGCAGTACTTGGACATGACACTGAGGGACGGGCTCACACTCAGCCTGTTGCTTAGCTTACGAGGCGAGGTCGAGCTTCTGTTGTTCGTGCATTGGATGGATTTTAAGGTATCGCTGTTTCTTTGATTTTGTATTGATAGTGTTCGATTTTTGTGTTTTGCGTTTCTCATCGCTGTTCTAACCTCAACAGATGATCGATCAAACGCAGTTCACATTCTTGGTCTTAGTCTCCATGCTCGTGACTGCTCTAGCCGTGCCGGTAATCAGCATCGTCTATGATCCGACGAGGCCTTACATGGTGAACAAGCGACGTACGATACAACATACATCTTACAACGTCGAGCTCCAAGTTATCGCTTGCATTAACGACGAGGAAAACCTTCACGGCATCAAGAGACTGCTCGACTTCTCCAGTCCAACAGTGAATCGCCGGTTCTCTGTCCACGCATTGCACCATGTGGAGCTCGTTGGTCGGGCCAACCCGTTGTTCATCGACCATGAAAAGGAAGATGGCGACACAGATCAAGCGAACACGACTAGCTCGGTCCATAAAGCCTTAAAGATCTTTCAAGAATCTAGAGGAGGATGCATGAAGATACATCCGTACACGGCGAAGAGCCCGAAAAGAACAATGTACCAAGACATTTGTGAGCTCGCTCTTACGAAGCAAGCTTGCGTGATCGCCCTGTCGCTCCACCGCGAATCATCCGACTACTTAGAAGGGAAGCGAGGCATCAAGAAGCAAGGCCATCCGTCCACAACCGCGAGCGTTCTTGCGCACGCGCCGTGCTCGGTGGCGATCCTAGTCGACAAAATTCCATACATGAATACTTTTAGCAGCATTATGATGAGTTCGGAGCATCACTTCGTAGTCCTTTTCTTGGGGGGAGCAGACGCTCGAGAGGCCCTTGCGTTCGCCGATCGAGCAGCCGGGAACGAGGCCATATCGCTCACTGTGGTTAGATTTCTTTCGCTTGACAACAAGGGCGACGATGAAATGGAGAAGAAGCTCGACGATGGCTTGGTGACGTCGTTTTGGGTGAAGAACGAAGGCAACAATCGATCCGTTTACCGCGAGGTCGTGGTGAAGAACGGCGAGGAAACGTTGAATGCGATTCGAGCGATGAATAGCGACGAGTATGACCTTTGGATTGTGGGAAGAAAACAGGGCATCAATCCTGTTCTTCTACAAGGACTACCGAACTGGAGAGAAAACACTGAGCTCGGCGTGATTGGAGACTACATTTCGTCGACGGATTTTAGCAGCCAAGCTTCGGTTTTGGTTGTACAACAACAAGTTCTTAGAGGACAAGAGCAGGCTTCAGGGTGCAGTTCAGTATGCAACAAATGGTGGTCGATCTGAAACTGTTGTATTCAAACAATGTTGTATCTTGTTGTTGTATCCATGGATCGAATTGAATTTGTACATTGATTGTGTCTCTGAAACTCTAAAGATGATCAAACCTTAAAATCAGGAGCATTTGATAAAGAACATTGCCATTTTCTGCAACTTACAGCTTCAATAATCAATCTTCTTACAATGAAACTAATCCATACAATGAATCACAGACAAGTTAACAAACTGAAGACAATCATCACACTCATTGTAATGTATTCTAACACCGCGGGAGATCCGGTGGAGGCGCCTCGATTGTCTGCAGCTTCCCGTGTCCATTCTCGACCAAGAACGACATCGCGAAGCCCCATCCGAGATGGGAGTCGATGTGACAATGCATCAGCCAAACACCTGCATTAAACCAGCTCGATCGTAAGAAAACAACGAGCAAGCGAATGAACGACTATCGAGCAAGATTTTTGTTCGATTTCGTACCAGGATTATCAGCCACAAACCGAATGACAGCCCACCCGCCGACGGGGACATTGATCGTGTTGCGAACTGGTGGATCGATGAGGTTGAAGTTGGGTGTATCGCGCCCGGGGTTGAAATTTCCGAAGCCCTGTCCAACGACGTAGAAGTGATACCCGTGAAGATGAACGGGATGGTCCTCGGTGGAGACAATCGCCGTGTCTTGCAGCACAATTTGCACTGTCGAACCGTACTTCAACTTGTAGAGCTTCGTCCCGAAGCTAGGCTGCCACAATGCGCGGCTGACATTCCCGGTGTAGTCGAACACGGTAGGAGGGACCGGTGGGAAGTCGGTGGTGAACACGCCGGGGATGTTTTGGTAGTACGCTTGCAACAAAGATGTCCTCCTCGGGAGCACGAACGACACGTTGTTCATGCTCGCCGCAAACCGTGTGTTGTTGGGGCCTTGGCATCGCGGCCCGGGAATGCAGTTCACGAGGCCTAATCCCACGGTGAAGAAGAGACTCTCGTCAATGTGGACGGGAACTTTACCGATCTTGGAAGGCAGACTTCGAACTTGGTTCGTATACGCAGTGACCGTGTTGGTATCGTTGAAGGCCGGGAGCGGAGGCAGCACGGGCTTCGTAGACGGCGCGCCTTGTTTGGAGCTGCATGAAACAGAGTCGTACTCCAAGATCGCCGTGGCAGTTGTGTTGTCGAACGCAGCATTCTGCGCGGTAGCATACGCTCGTGTCGCCATGTAGTAGCGCCCGGCGGGTTGATTAGCCGTGAGAAGAACGTTTGTGGTTTGGCCGGGACCGATCATGATGACCCTCGTTGTAAAGGGCTTGTTGTACGCAGCATCGTTGCCGACTACAGTGAGCATGTGGCTCGCAACCGTGAAGAAGAGTTCTTGATTGAGTGCGGCGTTGATGATTCGCAGAAGAACGGTCTCCCCTGACTTGACGATAAATTTTTTCACCCCTAAAACATCAACAAACACCAGAGTTTAACCAAGATTACTACGATATCGAAGAAGATCACACTCATGAACTCGGACTACAAACCTTTGCGTGAACACGGGTAGAGATCTCCCGGCTCGCCGTTGATGGTGTATGCATCGGACACATTTGGCGCGGCGCCGGTGAATATCGCTTGGCGCATGACGCTAATGATGTCTCGGTTCCACCATTCGCCTATTGTTCAAAAACTCGAATTACTCGCTCTCTCGAGCACGTTTACTTTATAGGACAAGATTATCTGATCAGAAAGGCAAATAATTTTAGTTTCTTCTTACCAAGAAGTATAGGGATGTCGTGTTTCGGCTTAACGAAAGGGTAAGGGACACCGATCTTCGGGTAAATAATCAATGCTCCATAGACGGTAGCTCGAAGCCACCGGCTATGCGCGTGCCACCAAAGCGTGCCTTCTTGATTCTCGATGGTGAATCTATACGTATAGCTCGCTCCCGGCTGAATAGGACATTGCGTCACGTACTCCGGACCATCGGCCCACGGCGTCCTCATTTGGCGCACGCCGTGCCTATGGGACAAAATACGATATATAAAGGCGAAATCCTAGTCTGAGCATGCGACATGAACAAGTTATACGTACCAATGGAGAGTGATGTTGTAGCGCGCAGCGTTGATGACATTGATGACGAGTGTGTCGCCGTCGCGCACCTCTAGAGTCGGGCCGGGGAACTGCCCGTTAACCGTGATGATGCTCCGGGTCCGGCACAGCCGATTCACCGGCGTCTGTTGAACCTGTTTTATGTTTGTCGAGAAATAAAATTAGCCCAAAAACAACGTCACAAATGTACAAATAACAATCATACATAACAATACGATCATTCAATGCAATTACAGTACTTAGAAACATTACCACAAACTGATGGTGATGAATCTCTGCATTTGCAAAACAGAAAGAAAGAAATGCTGCAAGAACCAAGTATGCAAGAAGATTGATGACAGAGGCCATGTTTTCTTTCTTGGTTACTGGATGAAATCAGCAACGGATTACACCCTCTATATATACACACACATTGTAATGATTAGGAGGTGGGGTGGGGGTTAGGGGGTTTGGGTCAACCAAGGCACCAAACCTAGTACGATGGGATTGAGGATTTGGTGGGGGAGGATGTGTCTTTCTTTTGCAACTTATGGTTTTGCAAAAAATAGAACAGAAAACTAACACTTTGTCTGCTTGTGGATCCAAATAGGGACATAAAAAAACAGGACAATTGATGGGAATGTTGGTTAATCCATCCAACCAAATGGTCTGGAAATTTCTTCTTGTTGTAGAAAAAACATTAATAAAGGTATTTTGTGGTTTAATCTTTTAACTATATTACATGAATGTTGAATTCTCTGTGCTGCAAAAGACAAATCCCCTAAACATATAAAATTTCTTGAAACAATTTGAATCTCTATATTTAGGATGGAAGAAATTTACAGTGAAGATTAAAAGTGGAAGGGAAATAATGATGTGGAGGTCGACTGGTTTTATTATTATTATTTATTTTTATTGCATATTGTTGCATAGTAGGTTAGGTTAGAGTGGAAGGTGCCTACAGAATTCCTACTTTGAGGTTTAGACGACCAAAGGTTTAAATAAATTGTTGTATCTGTAGCAAGTAAAGTTAGGAACCCTAACATCTCCGCAAGTTAATTTTAAAATCTATCAATTAAATAAGTTTCATAAATTGTTATTTTAATTTATATAATGGGTGTCATGCTAATTATTCCTATTTTTCAAATTTTTAGTTTAGAATGTAAATGATTAAAATACATAGAATTTAGGTTTATTTAGTTATGTTTTAGGCTTAGTTTAGATTTTTAACAATTTGGAATTTTTGAAATTTGAAAACTTTTGGAATTAATAAAATAGGTATTTGATAAAAGTTATTGTGTTAATATAAATAGTATCAAAATATTTTAAAAGTATTTATGTAATCAGAGACTTATTACTTTGGATTACGTTGAAATAGTAATGAAGATGATATGTTTTGAATATGATGTTTTTAATAATAAGTAAAAAATAAAAAATAAAAATTTGTTTGATTTTAGTTTGAATTTAAATTAAGTAATATTTTAATTTAGCATTTTGAAAATAATAATAATAATAATAATAATATATTTTAATTGAAATTTCAATTGATTGGCTTATATAAATTTTAATTTGAAATCAAAATCGAACACGCCTTAATCTCTATTATATTTATATTTTCGAAGAATTTAAGTTGTGTACGGGGTCTATCAAATTATCTTCCTTTTTTTCTAAATAAAAATATATTTCAAATATTACATAAAAATTAAGTGAAAAAAAAAAAACTTGATAAAAGATGAAATTAAAATTGAAGAAATAACAATACCATACTTTGTTTTCCTAAGAAAATAAAATAAAATAATGAAGTATGTGGACTGTTGTATTGTTTGTGGTCCTTTGCAACAGTGTCATAAATCATTAGCATTAAGCATGAATGTTGAAGAAAACAATGGGTCGGATACTATAGAAATTGGGCCGATTAGGGCTGGGCCGGATACTATAGAATGTTGGGCCGATTAGGCCCGATATGATCAGCCTGAGCCCCATCGACAACTTGAGTTCTCACATCACATCCCTATTCTATTATTCTGCTAATCATATTCATATCTCAATTAATTTAAGTAATTATTATTGTTCAAAACGCAAACCATTCAATGACAATAATTAATAAAGTGTATTCAGAGAAACAGCCTCTGCCTCTAAAAGAACCACCAGTCACCAGACCAGTACAATTCCATATCAATTACAGATTCCTCAATTGCAAATTGCAATAATCCAATCTGTGAAAAACATCTCAAACTGACGACCAACATTCGACACCAAAAAAAAAAAAAGAAGCCATTTTTTCCGGTAGAATTTCCTTCTCAGCACTGCGGCAGATCGGCCGGCGGCGGCTCGACGGACTGTGATTTCCCGTTGCCATTTTCGACTATGAAAGACATCCCCAATCCCCACGCAAGATGCGCATCTATGTGGCAATGGAACAGCCAAACTCCTGCACCCAATCAACCAATTTTTTCCATATATCCAGACAAAATTTCAGATGATCGATACACACACACACACACACATATATATATATATATTATCCCTCACCTGGATTGTCTGCGACGAACCGAATCACAGCCCATCCGCCGACGGGGACGTCGATCGTGTTCCTAACCGGCGGGTCCACCAGATTGAACTTCGAAGGATCTGATTTAGCGTTGAAGTTCCCAAATCCTTGTCCGACAACGAAGAAATGATATCCATGGAGATGAATCGGATGATCCTCCGTCGAGAATATGGCAGTGTCCTGCAGGACGATCTGCACATTCGATCCGAATTTCAGCTTATACAGCTTCGTCCCGAACTTTGGCTGCCACAGCCCCCGGCTCACATTTCCGGTATAGTCGAACACCACCGGCGGCACCGGAGGAAAGTCCGTAGTGAAAACTCCCGGCGTGTTTTGGTAGTACGCTTGCAGCAGCGACGTCTTCGTCGGCAGAACCATCGACACGTTGTTCATGCTCGCCGCGAACCTCGTGTTGTTCGGCCCCTGGCATCGCGGCCCCGGCGTGCAGTTCACGAAGCCTAATCCGACAGTAAAGAACAGATTTTCGTCAACTTTTGTCGGGACCTTCGCCACCGACGGTAGTCCCCTGAATTTTCCGGTGAACGCCGTGACCGTTGCTGTGTCGTTGAACGCCGGCAGCTGAGGCATCACCGGCCGGGACGACGTTGATTGCCCCCCTGCCGAAGTTCTATACTCGAGAACGGCCGTCGTGGTGGTGTTGTCAAACGGCGCATTCTGTGCGGAGGCGTAGGCGCGCGCGGCAATGTAGTACCGAGCTGGCGGCTGGTCGGCCGTGAGTAGAACGTTGGTCGTCTGCCCCGGCCCAACCATGATCACGTTGGTCGCGAACGGCTTGTTGTACGCAGCGTCGGCGCCGACCACGGTGAGCTTGTGGTTAGCTACCGAGAAAAAAAGCTGTTGGTTGAGTGCCGCGTTGATGACGCGAAGTAGCACCGTGTCGCCTTGGCTAACCGGTATTCTAACCGTGCTCTGGCTCGAGCACGGGTATAAGTCGCCGGGTTGCCCGTTGATCGTGTAGGCATCCGAAACGTTCGGAGCCGCTCCCGTGAACATCGCCTGTCTCATGACATCGACGATGTTCCTATTCCACCATTCGCCTGTCGACCGTTATGTAATATAGTATCAAAGTCGAAACATTCAGTATTAAAACCCCACCCACCCTCCTCATTTATCATCAGTTATGTACACCAGTTATATACATGATTCGTATGTAACGTATATCCACTTTGCACGTGAGAAGGTAAATTGGTTGACTATATAATAATTAATGATAGAATTGACAAACTTTACCTAGAATGATCGGGACATCAATCTTAGGCGTCGAGAAAGGGAACGAGGAGCTCGACTTAGGGAATATAATGAGCGCGCCGTAAACGGTAGCCCTAAGCCATTTGCTATGCGCGTGCCACCACAACGTGCCCTCTTGGTTTTCGAGCGTAAACCGATATGTGTACGTTCCTCCCGGCCTAATGGGACATTGCGTGACATACTCGGGTCCATCCGCCCACGGCGTTCTCATCTGTCGAATTCCATGCCTGCGGAGACACTAAAGATCATCATCGGATCATATTTCGACACAAAAAGTACTAACGCATCAATGGAGTTAGCGGTTATAACCAGTGAATAGTGATGTTGTAGCGAGCCCGGTTCGTGACTCGGATGACCAACGAATCTCCGTTCCTCGCAGAAATCGTCGGGCCGGGGAACTGTCCGTTCACCGTAATGATGTTATGCGACTTGCACAGCCGGTTCACCGCGGTTTCTTGAACCTGAAAGAACAAACACACGGATGATGATCGATCGATCGACCGAATGACGACATTCTAACAAAGAAATCGAGAGCGGAGCCGGGAATACGTACAATGAAGTTATGGTAGTGTGTCTCTGCACACTCCATGGGAGCTGCAAAAAACAAGAGCTGCAATAGAAATAGGAACAACGGGGCAATGTAGGAAGAAGAAGAAGAAGAAGAAGAAGAAGAAGCCTCCATTGTTGTTGTAGTAACTTATGTTTTTTTGAGGTTGAAATTGATGATGAAGGGGAGAGTGTGTATTTATAGTAAAAATGGGAGGGATTGATTAAAAAGGAAATAATAAAATTGTATTTGGAATAACTGCTATGAAGACTTGGATTTGAGTGGGGTTGAATTTGAAGTAGTCTCAAGAAATCTTTGCTACTAAAAAAAAGAGGAGTTGGTGTATCCACTTGTTTAATAAACTAATGAGGGCCCTTTAATTTGCTTAGATTTTAAATATATGTATGTAAACAGAAATTTTCTTTTTGGAGAGATGAGTATCATCCAATTTATTTTATTTTATTTATTGGGTTTTTAATTTTATTAGGAAAATAAAATAAGATATAATGTTTGAGAATAAGTTCAAAAAAAACTTTGATATTAGTCCAATTTGATCTTTTTGATAAAGTGAAGTTGGTCAAGGAGGCCAGGACATGTATCTAGCAATCGAATCCAACTTCGTCCTAATAATTAGAAATAATCCAATATTTCTAACTTAGGAAGGTCACTTCTATTGAGAAGAGATCCTCAACATCATCATCTCCCTATTTTTTTCTGTCTCACATACACTCATATATAGATACATGAGTATGTATCTATAAAGTCAGGAGGAGATGATCCTGTAATATGCTTAATGTAAAGGAAAATAAAAATTAGTTCCGTAAAAAATAATTTATTCATATGAGATGAACTTATGACTATGAGATAATGTGTTCGGCCAGAGAAAATTATATATTTTTATTATTTTTTTCTTTATTAAAATGAAAAAAGAACTCTAGTAAGCTAAATTTACTGTTGGAAATGTTGAAGATTTCAAAATAACGGCCGTAAAACCTTGATTACAAGTTATTGATTATGTCAAATGTTTTTGACAATTATCTCTATCATAACATGTCAAGGGTTTGTTCCTAATAAAAAAATTGTAGCTAAAATTAATTTACAAGTCTCTATTTATATATTCTCGAATTTTCTTTTTCCTATTCTTTGAAATTTTTTAACTTCCAAAACTTCTAAACACCATGGATTATGTTTACATACATCCAAACATGACTTTTGGTTCTATTAATTTACAATAAAATTTAAAAAAACACATTACTATCATATCATAACTTTCAAAAATCATATCTAATTACGGATCTTAATTAAATCATTGTGAAATTTGAAGTGAAGAGCAGTTAGTTAACCAAACATAAATTGATGAGTATACCAATATGAAGACAACAGCTGTTGTACTCTGTGCTGTGCCCCTGATACCTCATCATTTATTTTTATACTTTCATTATTTCAACAATAATAAGAGTTAAAATAAATAAATATATATATATATATGTGCGTTATCCGGATAAATAAATTTTAAAAATAATTACAATTAAATGTAAATACTCGGCGTAAAAACCGTTACAAACAAGTGATGACTGACGTGGAATTCAAACCTAAAACATTATTTATTATTACACTAATATAAAATTGATGCCTTACTATTATTAGTTCATCAACCTTCTTAAGGTTGAAAATTCATTTTTTTATTATTATTATTATTATTATTATTATTATTATTATTATTATTATTATTATTATTATTATTATTAATTAGTAAAGAATGGTGTGAACGATATTTGCAGTTAGAACATTTTATTGAACTTAATGGTTGAATTATGGGTCAGATTTGGTGAAAGATTGTGCTTAGTTTCCTGCAATTTTTTTGACTAATTCATCTAAACTAGAAAAAGGGATTATGCACTTTTTTAATAATGGTTTTGGTACGAGATTTATATACACATTTAAAAATTATTACAATCAAAAGGGCACCATGTGTTGAATTAATTTAAAAATTATATCCATATATATGAAAATTTCATTGAATCAGAAAAAATTGTTAAACACTAATATAGTGTCTAATTTTTTAACCATAAGATATATTTGCTTACAAGTTCTTGCAAAAAGATTGATATTATACTTTTAATTTTCATTTCATCGTAATTATTCACAAGTTCAACCCCATATCACCGGACAATTATTTACGGTATAACAATTAAACTCACTCTTTACTATATATATATATATATATATATGATAGACAATATATTTTATTACATAATATTATGTGTTATTTCTCTTGGTACCATATCTCATGTTCATGTTATTGTTTTAATATATCCCAATATTGTATCTCATTCTTTTTTTTAAAAAAAAAAAAAAATTAAACTCCCTCCATCCACCGCCCATTTTGTCATTTTAGTCTGTTTATTGCAAATGTATCTATTTTTTTTTTAATAAATATATTTTCTATTAAAATATAAAATTACTTCACTCTTTATATTATATTACACAAATGCCATCAAATAATACCATATAATACCATAAATGTTAAGGGGTATAATAATCATTATGTATATCAATTGTACCACATATCAATATAATACTAATATACTAAAATTTACGTGTAAAAGGTAAACGGATAAATAAACGGTGGTGGACGGAGGGATTATATTTTGATTATATTTCTAATTATTTACTAATTATACAACCTAAAATAATCTTGCATTTACTTTGTGGCCAAAACAACATACAAGGGATAGAAGGAATAAATAATTTGTATATACAGTGAGGGTGTGTTTGTTTGAGAGTTGAATTTTGACTTAGAATTTGAATAGTAAAAATTTTGGAATTTGAACAGTTGTTTGATGTAATATATGAGGTAATATAAACAAGTATTGATGTAATGTTTTTAATATAAAATAGATTTTTAGTATAATATAAAAAATGAAAAATAAATGTTTGATTTGATATTTGAGAAAAAAGAAAATGAAATGAATAGTGTATTCGGGGAAATCTCAAATAAATAGGATGAATAGTGTAAAGGAAAAAAATGTTTTGAATATATATATATTTTTTTAAAAAAATATTATATTGAATATATTTTTCAGTTTGGCTTGAAGTATATATTTGAATTTTTATAATATATTAAAAATAATAATAATATTTTATTAATGGATAAAAATATATAAAATAAATTTTGATATTTTTATCTTTATATTTTATGTATGTATCTTATCATACAGTTGTAATATATATAAAAATTAAAATATTTTTCTATTAATATATAATTATTGTTAATATAATAAAAAATAAATATTTGTAAACAAAACATACAACAATAATTAAAATACTTTGAATTGAACAGATTTTATTGTATTAATTATGTTTAAAGCGAAATAATTATTTCATCCGCATAATTTAACTTTGAAATGATTTTACAATAATTCCGAAATAAACAAATTTCTTTATTAATAAATATGGTAATCACCACAGTATTATAGAAGAAGTGTTCGTTGATCACTTAATTGTGGATTATGTCCATAATAAATTAATACAAGAAGGTATTTATTATGTTTAAATGAAGTACTTAGTATATTTCAATAAAAAAAGATTATTAGAAATATTTATTACAAAGAGCAACGAAGTGGCAAGAAATCAACAAAAATCCAAAAAAAAAAAAAAAAATTTCAACAAAATTCACTTGAATTCATTGATTAATCGAATTCGATCGAGTTTCCCTTCGATCTGATCTCCAACAGATCGACGAAGATGATGGGCTCAGAGCCGCAGAGTGATCATCCCCTCGCCAGAGGGAATGCCGAGGACGAAGAATCCCCGCACCTCCCATCGGAGCAAATGCAAACCCTAGCCCTCAACGACGACGACGACGACTGGGATTCGGCCGCCGGCGACGTCTCTTCCTCCAAATCCTACTCCAATTACCGCAGTGCCATGACTGCTCTCTCCCCCTCCGCCTCGGAGCACCACCCGCTAAGTCCGCCGCCGTCTGTCACCGCCGCCTCAGATCCTCTCTCGGCACCCCCTCGCAGTCGTTCGCTCGATTCCCCTTCGTACGCTGACGTCATCGTCAGCCCTTTCCACGACAGGTTCCCGGAATCGAACGGTAGCGGGGAGATCTCCGACGATGCTGCGAATTCGTCGTCGCCGAGATCTGAATCGTCCGGCGTCGAGTATCTGAAAATCATCGTTTCGAATCCTCAGAAGGAGGTTGAGCCGTCCAATTCCGTCGTTACCCGGGAGAATACATACACAAGTTATCAGATCACCACGAGCACAAACATTGCGGATTATGGAGGCTCGAGTTTCAGCGTTAGGAGGCGGTTTAAGGACGTCGTTACTCTCTCGGATCGGCTCAGCGAGAGTTACAGAGGTTTCTTCATCCCGCCACGGCCGGACAAAAGTGTTGTGGAGAGTCAAGTGATGCAGAAGCAGGATTTTCTGGAGCAGAGGAGGGTGGAGCTGGAGAAGTACTTGAAGAGACTGGCCAAGCATCCGTTAATTAAGAAAAGTGATGAATTGAGGGTATTCTTGACAGTGAATGGCCGAATGCCGCTGCCCACGAGCATCGACATGGCGTCGAGGATGCTTGATGGGGCAGCCAGGCTGCCGAAGCAGCTTTTGGGGGAATCGAGTAGTGTGATCGAGCCGCAGGATGTGTCGCATTCTGCCAAAGGTGGGAGGGACATACTGAGGTACTTAAAGGAATTGAAGCAATCTGTCGTTAATGACTGGGGTAATACAAAAGCTCCTTTGGAGGAGGAGGATAAGGAGTTCTTGGAGAAGAAGGTGAAAATGTATGACTTTGAGCGGCATCTTACCAGTGCGTCGAAACAGGTTGCTCAATTCCCCTGTCTTGTTTCAGTGCCAAGGTTCTTTTATGTTAATGAAAAGATTATTGTTTGTATATGGATTGTGAATAATGTCGAACACATTTGCAGTAGGAGTTTGACAATGTTGCCCTTTATTTTCAATCATGTTTCTGTGTTAAGTGCCTGTATTTATTGCATTTCTTGTATATTGGCATTTTGATCTGGAAGGCAGAATCGCTGGTGAAAGCACAGCATGACATGGGGGAGACATTAGGAGAATTGGGGTTAGCTTTCATTAAGCTGACAAAGTTTGAGAACGAGCAGGCAACAATGAATACTCAAAGGGCAAGGGCTGGTGACATGAAATATGTAGCTACGGCAGCTGTGAAGGCAAGCAGATTGTACAAAGGGTTGAATGGGCAGACTGTGAAGCATTTTGTAAGTGCTATTTGTAGTGTTAATCGATTGTTTCTTGGCTTAATGCTTTCTAATAGTTCTTATAATTGCGGTTTTGTATAATTGAGTTCGTTGTTGACACTGTGATTAAGGTGGTACTTTGGTAAATACAGTGTCAGTGAAGGATAGGATTTCATAAACTTTTCAGTCTTTTTAAGCTCCCTTTTGCCTTAAAGCCTCTTTATTATTTGATTAAAAATCTGCCAAATTAATTGAGCTAGATTGTGTGTGGAGATTTGCACGCTGGCGTACAAGTGCTACAAGTACATTGCATGATATGTAGAGGAAAATGCATTGCTAGAAGTTTTAAATTTGGCTATCAATATATATAGATATATATGTCACAAAATTGTATACCTTTTTTCTCCTTTTTACTACATGCTTTATATACATGTATCTTCTTACGTATTGAATGAATATTTTCTTAAAAATGAATTATACTAGCATTGTATGTATTGATGTGTGTTATATAGATAGAGAGGGTAACGTGATATTAGATTTTAAAATTTTAATATGGAATAAGAGCGGGTGAATAGACATGATGTGGCTGAGGTATTAGAGCATACTGCATGATGGATATTTGGAAATGCGTATGTATAATTTTTAGCATCAAGATTTGGTTATGCTAGATTTGGGTAAGGAGTAAAGCACTTTGATGTCTGTCGTACATGTTGTGCATTCTCATTTATATCCAAAACACAATTTATCTCACTCTTTAATGCATGCATATTTTTGCACTTACTACAGCTATATGTATTTTATACTTAAAAAGACAATGTTTAATATTCATGATTTAGAAAAATAATTATTGCCATTGGTGGCTACTATTTTCCCTTGGTATTGTAGGATACATTGCTCGAACACATGGGAATGCTGCTAGCTGCCCACAATGCATTCTCTGATCGTGCCAGTGCTTTATTGACAGTGCAAACTCTTATATCCGAACTATCTTCCTTGCATTCACGAGCTGAAAAACTTGAAGCAGCATCATCTAAAGTTTTTGGTGGTGACAAGTCAAGAACCCGTAAGTTAGAAGATTTGAAGGAGGCCATTAAAGTCACAGAGGACGCTAAAAGTTGTGCAATCAAAGAATATGAAAGGATTATGGTAAGCTACACGATTGTTGTTAGTTCCAGCTTGATTCTTGATTTGCTTTGTAATTCTTTCTATATTCAGGTATTTGGACAACATCCATTTCGAACAAAATTCTCCCCTCCCCCCTTACTATATAATCTTAACTTGCATAACATAGATTTGTTGCCATTACCAGTTCTACTGACAAGTATCAATTTATGGCTGGCTTCGTGTTTTTAAGATCTAGCTTTATTCATGGGAAATGGTTTGTGTCATTGCAGGAGCATAACAGAAGTGAAATTCAAAGGCTAGACAGAGAAAGGCAAACAGATTTTGTTGAGATGCTGAAAGGTCTTGTTACAAATCAGGTACTTGCACAGTTACACTTCCATAATGCAGCTTATTATCTCCGACTTTCAAATGCATTAGGATTTAGTTTATCCCGTATTGCCTTGTGGTAAAATTGTGCGTTTAATCACAAAAGAGTACTTAACTTTCAACTACAGTCTGGAAAAATGTAAAGTTAGTTCCAAAATACCTTGAAAAGTATGGAATTATATTAAAGACCTAGTTGAATGGTGGAACTCAACTAAAATGTTTTATTTTGCCCGAGTTGTGGAGTTTAAATTATGATGAACATTGTTTGTTGGACTAAGTCTGCAATTTTTCCTTCGACCTTGAAAGAACAAATAGTTATTGTTGTTTCTATTCTTTCCCGGACGAGTAGTAGTGGTTAATTTCACGTGAAGAGCATCTGGGCTTTGTTTTCTTTAGCACAAGTGCATCAAGAGTGATCGATCTCTCGTTACTAAGAAGTAAAGGCTTGAATTTTATGTTTATGTTTATGGTTTCAGATGTCATACCATGAGAAACTGGGGAACGAGTGGGCTAAAGTGGTGGAGGAGACCAGAAAGTATGCAAAGGACAGCACATAGAATAGAAGAAGAAGAAGACATGGGGTGGGGGGGTGGGGGGGTTTGATAAATTATTCTATTTTGAACTTCAACTTTTTCTGTTAAGTTATACTACTATATACATGTAGGAAAATAGAAGAATAGATCAATGGGTGTCAAGGCAAAATAAGCAGAATGCAGAAAGTCTGAATTTTGATTCATTATCATCACTCACTGTTTTGGTTGCTTCCTTTATTCATTTCTCATTGAATATCACAAGTTTGTTGTTGATGCTGTTCATCGTGTTTGGCTTTGACTCTTCCTAAAGATAAAAATACATTTTACTAATGTGAAAATTTATTTACTTGAAGATTGATTTCAATTTTCTTTCTTAAAATCAATTCTCAGAAATTTTAAACATATATTATTTTATTTTATAAAATATTCCATTTAAATTAGTTTTCAGAATTAAATTCTAAAATCAAAGCTCAAATAAACAAACTTCTAGCTTATGCAGTCCGCTCAACTATTATTATTACAAATTTTGAAAAACAAAAAATAAAATTGAAATGGCTTTAAATATGATATCGATGTGCTGTGTAGAATATCTTGAAACATGAAGCAAACCTTGTTAATATTATCAATTAGGAAATCAACTCAGCTGTGCTGTGACAATAAATTAAATAAAATTTTTGAAAGATCTCTCATATCACACCAACCCATTTTTTGTCCATATTTGAACTTATACATAAATATTTGATGTTCCCACTAATTATAATAGTAAAAATAATATGATAATCTAATAATATTATGTTCATTATTTGAAAATTAGATGAATGGCACAGTGATAGTAACAATCATGCAAAATAATTAATGACTATTGGATCGAATAAAATCACAAAATCTTCAAATCCATTGCACGTACGCATAGCATACAACTATTGTATAGAATCATTTAAAATAAAATATTACTACTAATCTTGAATGGAATACTGAACATTATACGGAAATTTTAGTGAATTGTTTAATAAGTTGTTATTGGCAAATGTGATTTGCAATTTCTATGTAGAAAGGACAAAACTTGTGGTTTAGGTAATGGACAAAATAGTTTCAAAAAAAATCAGCTTCTGTATAAACATAACTCTGTTTATATACATACATTAAAAAATTTATTTATTTTTAATACAATTGTGAAAACCCCATTGTATATTTTGGATTTTAAAGTGATTTATAAGTTAGAAAAATTGAGCAGAAATAATTATAATGCTCCAAACAACAAATACTCAGTTTGTATTATTGTTATTGAAAATTGTGAAAGATGTATGTATGTGCATGTACGAATTAAATGTGTAGTGATCAAATCGTAATTATTATTATTATTATTATTATTATTATTATTGCATTGATATTGATGCACAAAGATGTGCGTGCAATATGTATATATATAATTGTGATTTTAATATATTAATTGGATGGTTTTTACTTATACTTATATATATTTGATAATATATATATATATATATATTAATAAAAGAATCCCAATTGCTTAGTTAGCAGTGCGCAACGCAATTATTACTACATGATTAATTGGATATGTATAATTAATTAATTAAATGCATGTGAAGACAAAAAAGCATGTCATTTTTTTTTAATAACAATATAAGTATTACATTTCCATTAAGGTTTAAGCTTAAGTTGTTAATTCGTACAATCCAAGAAATGATCATAGGATTATTATTGTGTGTAGCAATCAATTTTAATTTTCAAGATTTGGTGTTATATACATAATTAATTAAATTAAGATGAATGGTCGGTGGTGTAGCTCAAGAACTAGGAAACTTCCTTCTCAAATATTATACTAGTATAATTTTATTCATTTACAACAAGGGCTACAAGTTTCCAAACAAAATTAAATAAAGTTATTAATAATTACTATCATCGTAATAGCTAGATGCATGTCAGAAGTTGCAAAAAATCCTGTTTTATTGAATCGAAAGTTGAAACTAACTTAGATCGGAGACGAGACAGCTGGAAGTTTTGGAACTTTGTACCCCCAAAAAATAAATACAGTAAAATTCAGGCCACCAAATCCAAATAATGATATGATATGATCAATTATAAGTTACAAACACATGCTTGAGAATTATTGTATTATGTTAAAAATATACTAGTAGATTGTAGTTGGTTTATTTGGATTACTAAATATGACAATCCATTTAATTTGTCAAGTAATTTATTTAATTAAAAATATATATATTAAAATTGGCCTGTCATGAAGGCTTATACCAAAAAATCTTGTATATTAAAAATGAACAAAATATATATATGTGTTGTCCCATTATATTTAAATATTTTAAGAACTATACTTATAACAATATATATACATATATGATCAAAATTCTCCATTCAAAGGACTACACCTAATTTGAATTCGGATCAAAGTTGATATAAGAACAAAGATTACACAACAAAAATTTTATATATATATATATATATATATATATGTGAATTATGATAGGAGAAAATGGGTAAGAGATAGGGAAATAATTAATTAAATAACCTTAAAATACAAAAAGCAAACTCACATATAACTAGTTATGTTCAAAGAATCTTCAATAATCACTCCAAACAATTCCACAATGTATATAAAGAACCCTTAATTAATCCCCAAACTAAGTGCAAAATAAATATATTTGAACAAATTTTGAAATTAATTATACATCCCTATTATATAATTAAGCATAATTTTTGTACCCCACCCATCAACTAAAAATTAAATAATAAAAAAGCAGTCTTTATGAACCAAAAAAAAGAAAAAAGGAAAAAGGCACCACATAATCAATGATTGCAACGTAAAGAATGAATCATGGATCCCATCTTTCCTATATAAACTCCTTCCCATCCAAACCCTTATAGCTTCTCAACTCCCAATTTACAAAACCCTAATTTCAATTTTCATTCATTCATTTTTCTTGATCAAGAACAATAATTTAATTATTTACATTAAATTGAATTTCGAATCATATCGATGGGCAACAGTCTGCGGTGCTGTCTGGCGTGCGTGCTTCCATGTGGAGCACTCGACCTGATCCGGATCGTACACTCCAACGGCTATATTGAGGAGCTTCCGGGTCGGGTCACCGCCGCCCAGATCCTCGAGAACAACCCGAACCATGTCCTCACGAAACCTTGCTCGCAAGGCGTCGCCTGCAGGGTCCGACCCGAATCGGATCTTAAACGGGGCTCCATTTATTTCCTGGTTCCCGCATCCACCGGTTCGCCGCCGCGGGAGCGGGTCAAGAAGAAAATGGCGAGCTCTGTGAAGCGGCGGCGGGTGGTTACGGCGGCGACCGGCGGGAGTGGCCGGAAGGCTGCGTGGCGGCCGCACCTGGGCAGCATTTCGGAGGAGTGGTGACTGAGATGTGTACAGATAGATATATATAAATTGTGGTTTTAAAATTTTCCCTCACGGAATTGATTGATGATCAATAATTAATTAATTAATTATTGGTCAGATTGGATCTGCATGAGTTTTGGCAATTGCAGATATGATTATATTTTGAGTTTTTGAAGCTAATTAACCAATTCTTATGATTATTCTACACAAGGGAGCATTGGTGGATTTAATTTCTTAATTTATTCATGAATTCAAAGAAGATGGTCTTTCTATATATCTATTATTATAATTTTAATTTTAATTTAAAATAATTTTTTATTTTTTATTTTTTATTTTTTTCCTATCATTCTAAATATATTTTTATAATGATACCATTAAAAAGGATAAACAGGTTTTGAACTTATACCTATGCTAAAAAGTAAAACTAACACAATCTTTGGGAGCTTAATGAAGTTTATGATTTTTCAAAAAGATCCCCATGTGTTTCATTTTGGAAAATACTTACCTAAGTTGACATATATTTTGGATAAATTTGGGAAGATTTCAGTTTTCAACTGATATTTGAATATTAATTTTATTGAAAATCTATTATCTTTTATTTATTTTCTTATTCTACCATTCTCATTATACTTATAAAATATATTATTTTATTTATCATAATATTATATTTAACCGTTATTTAAATATAAAAAATAAATATGAATACAATAAAAAAACACCCTAAAGCTCTTTCTCCTCCCCTCTCTCATCTCCTCTTTTTTATTTTAAATTTTGTTACTATACATACAATCCACTATTTCAAGAACTAGTCATTAACCATCAATCAAACCCCTATTAATCATACACTTGTGTTAACAATAAATCGTATCAATTCGATCTATTCGTTAGTTTTGGATGTTTTGAGTTTTGTTAATTTTTATTTTTATAGATAAAATGACTATTGGATATAAATAGTTCATATAAAAAAATATATATATATTTTTATTACAAACAGTAGAATTATATATAAACCTCAAAGAAAACATAGTCAATGAATTCAGATTGCCCTTAAAAAACTGTGTACACATGAGGTTAACGAGATCAATAGTTATGCCTGTCATTTTACCTCATTCCCTCCAAAGGCATTCACTGTTGAGGTAAAATGAATAAGAAAGAAATAAATAAATAAAACGAAGATAAAAGAGTAGATCGTTGTGTGAAGTTTACAACATAAAGTAAGATTATATGGTTATTATTTGCTTACAGAACTTGGAACCATAATGTAACCATAGAAACAACAACCAGGTTTAACAATAGAAACTGCACATTTTATACAAATTTGATCAAGAAGCAACAGGGATAGCCAGTGAGAACAAATTGAACAGTTTTGTCAATGATTCTGTGCATAAAAAAGATTCTGATATAATAGTAAGCAAAGAAATGGATCGAAAACATTAATAATTACCAAGATTTTTCATTCTGCAAATCTCCAAGAACAATGAAGCCATCCCAAGCTCATTTTGCACCATCATCATCAAGGAGAACTTTGTAAAACCGTTTCCTTTCTTCAGCATTGAAAATGCTTATCGCCTCGTCATGTTCAGAAGCTTCGTCGTTGCTTCTCTTCCTTCCCTCTGGTCTAACTCCAATATGATCCTTCTTCTTCTTCTTCTTTTCTAAGTTCATTAAATAGTGCCTCCGATTGTATTCATGAAGCCCGCCCTGCATCAATTCCCCAAATTTCTCCTTCACAACAACAAGCGGATCCTTTACAATCAAATCACTACCATTGTAGCCTTCTCTAAGAAGAACCGTATAAATTTGGTATTTGTTCGAAACATAAAAGATACCGGGATGCTTGAGCAACAACACATTTAATTTCTCCGGCAAGTAAAATTCTCTTCTAAAATGACCTAACTTGACAATAGAGACTTTCTTCCACAAAGTTAGCGACAGAAGTTCGTGCACCAAAGCCACTGTTCTTTTGTCCATTTCAACCGATCCCTCCACCAATCCCCCAAATTTTGCATAGGGAGATATGTATGGACTTGAATTGAACTCTCGAAATCTCTCCCATGATTTTACCCATGTAGCCGGCAATGAACAAGAAAAGGACGGATCACGGCCCTCGTTTTTGGCTAGCATCTCGATAGCAGAAACTGCAAAATCGGGATTCCAGGATGTAAGCTCAATTTCCATGGAACTTCGCCTCCCGGTAGAGTTGACAACTCGAAACATATCAGAATACTTTGGCACAATCCTGAGCAAATAATCATCGGGAAATCCAAAACATCTTTTCAACTCATTCACTTTCGAAACATTTAATCTATGGTTTCTGCTCATCATCAGCAACTTTGCTAAGCGCTCTGCGAAAACTGGTTGCTGTGATTCTTTAACGAATTCTTCTTCGTCAACTAAAAATTTCATCGGCTTTGTCAATCTACAGAAATACTTATCATTCTCATGATATACTTCGAAGCAACATGGATACTTCTTAAGCCAGTTAAGAGCCTTGCCTTGAAGATCAAGATCTTTGAACTTTTTCTGTAGAAAATCAATAGGTGTCACTTGAGAAGGGCATCGGAGTATGATGTTCTTGATTTGATTATTTACAATCCATCTTCGGTTTCGAGATAAAGCTGATTCAAGCTCTGGTTCTTTCCTCATTGACCACAAAGCAAATCCCCGCAGGAAACGGTGATTATAATATGAAGCATGGACATGAACATTCCATAAGTTGGGATACATTCTAATCACCATCTTGTAATTGTTTGCCTTTTCTTATATCTTCATGCCCTGGAAAAATCCATTAAACAGTTCTCCGTCTGTCTCTGTTTCTCAAATTAAACAGTTCATCACTTAAATTAGGTATTTCCATTTATCATTTGAACGAACTATGAAAATTAGATATGAAAAACTGTAAAAGACTTGAAATAGAGGGCGGAATACCTGAAGAACGCCGGACGCCGACCTCCTTCACAGTAATTGAGGTGCTCCGCGGTGTCGGCGGCTGAGGGAGGTAAATGAGGGAGAAGTGAGGGTCATTGAATTGATTTGGGTGGGATCTGGACTGGAATTAGTGTTGTCGCTAAAGACACCAAATAGTACGAGAAGATGCTCTCCAAAACCCTATCCAAACAGACCTTTTCAAGATTCCAACAAGATTTATTCGGAATTTATGCAGACGGCGGCGACAAGTGCCTCCGATGATCACTACGCCGGTTGGGGTATTTTCTGAGAACTTTGATTCCAATTTGAAGCCCAAAACAGAAAAAACACATCTTTAGCCCTAAATAATATATAAATAAAAATAAATAATATAAAATTATTATATGAAAAATAGTTATATAACGGTAGATACACGATCAAGAAGACAATCGTCGAAAACCCAACGAAACAAACTCTCACTTTGCTGTTCATCGAAACTGTCTCCTTTTCTTGTCTGAATCTCTTACAGATAATCGATGATTTAATGGACGAAAACTCGACAACCCAAGTAGAAGAACCATTCCAATTCCAATTCCACCCAATACCCAATTTCCAAATCCCTTTCGATCTGTTTGTGTCCAAGAAGCGCAATGGGATTGGCACCCGAGGGTTTCTCAGATTCACTGATTCCGCAGGTAATTTGGTGTATACAGTTGATAAATTGAGCCATAAATCACACTGCAGAAAGCGACTTCTGGATTCGTCTGGCAATGCTCTCTTCTCCATAATTCGATTGCAGGTGAGTTCTCTTTCAAATCCCCATTTCGTCTAGAACTTGGCTTACAAATTCTGCTACTTCTAAATCATCTCCGAATATAATCTTCTTTTTGTAGAAAGGATCGTGGCAAGGCTTCAAAGGAAATGAAGAAGGGAATCATTTGTCGTTTGTTGTAGAAAAAACGGTAGATGAGTTCACCAGAACTGAATTCAAGATATTATTCGCCGCTGAAAATACCCAAGACGAATTGAAGACAGAGTTGCAGATGAAAGGGTGCCCCTTCAAGAGAGCCTGCACCATTTACAAAGAAGACTCCATTGTAGCTGAGGTATACACTTCGCACTGATCCCTTTAAGCTCAAATTTTGACTTACTTGAACTATGGATTGTTTAATAAAATTCAATTACTCCTCTGTTATGAAATTTATCTGCACATTAGTCTTTCTATCTGCAGTTAAAATGCTCTGTTTTTTTTGAATCAGACTAGTCTTATGAACAAGCTTGGGATTGCAAAGCATTTTGTACCTAGAAGTCGATTTCGGGTAACCATTTTTCCTGGATTTAGTGATCACAGTTTTGTGGCTTCTCTCGTCGTGATCTATTTCGACGGTAGAAAGCTTTGGATATGAGCCGACTTAGTTCGTCCGGTGTTGTCTGTCGTATAGTTCTATACTGGACGGGAGTTGGTTGATGATCTATTCTGGTATCGAACAATCATGATCGATCTTTTTTCTTGTTTATTGTACTTACAATATTCATGTCTATTTAATTGTCGTCGAACATATTGTTTCATGCAATAAAATACAACAGGGATAGGCATAGTCATGCATCATCTACTCAAAGAATCTTAGATCATTGCCTGTTCTTGAGGGTGTGCTCGATTGATGACCTCATTTCTGCTCGTCAAACCAAAACCGATTGGAAATAAAGGATCGTAAGACTCATCTTCGGCATGCATAGGAAGTTGTTCGACATTTTTGAACCAAGTAACCGGAAGTTGTCCTTGGAAATCATGATCTCCGAAAATAACATCTGTGATCCCGTTCCCCTCGCTGCCGGGAAGCCAGGCAGCAACGAGAGATTCCATCTTTTCCAAAAGCTGTGGTTGCAAAGCCAAAGGCCTCCCTGATATCAAGATCACCAGAGTCGGGATATCATCAGCGACTGTGCTTATTAGTTCAGCTCCATTAAAATGAATTTCGAGTGTGCTGCTGTCACCACCAGATTCGCAATATGGAGCTTCGCCTACAACAACTATGGCAAAAGAATAGTCTTTTCCAGATATGGTACTTGCGGATGGATCTTGCTCGTATACAACTTCAGTTTTGTCACTAACAACTCCTCTAACAGCATCCAGAATTGTAGTTCCTGTTAGGAGGATAATAAAATATAACTTCGATCCCATCTTCTCCACAAGTAAGAGACCATCATGATCTAGAAAGTTCATCCAAAAGTGAGAACCAGGAAGTGAACTTACCAGTAGTTATTTTGCCGCTTTCACCATTCCATGTCTTTGTCCACCCGCCACATTGGTATCCGAGATCATCTGCATGCCTTCCTGCAACTAGAATCTTCCGAGCATTCCTGTCCAATGGAAGAAATGGTTCTTTTGGATCCTTCCCATTCTTTAACAGAACTAAAGACTTCCTCACTGCTTCACGAGCTAATTCTTTATGTACCTGACAAATATTGAGAACTACTAATGTAATTCCACAAGCAATCAATGGAATGCATACACCAAATAAATTTAAATTCTTTTTTTTTTCGATCAAAAAAAAAAAAAAAGTGATGAAGGAATAAGGCTTAAAGCCTAGGACAAGATCCAATTAAAGTGACTGAAAACATGAATAAGGGCTTTGAATTAAGGTTTTGATTGTAGCTCAAGCCTAAAAGTTTAATGAATCTTAAGGAGCTTTCATAGTTTCAATAAGGAATGTAATCCTTAATTGGCAACTAGTTGTGATTAAATATAAACCAACAATTGGGAGCATGTACAATTTTTTTTACGTGCAAAAATCATTTCAAGAATATGTAAAAATTGTTCCATAAAGATATTTTTTAAGGAAAGTGGATGCTGAAATGTGAGGTTCAATATAGCCTCACTCTAGGCAACAGTTAAGTATCCTGTAAATTATATAATTTGAATCTGATAGTAATGCTCACCTCACATCGAACCATACCCAACAAAGATCCATCACTAAGGGGGTGTTCAAAGAGGCCAGAAGCAAACTTCACTCTTAATATTCTTTCAACTGCTTCGTCAATTCTGGTCATTGGGATTTTTCCAGACTTCACCAGATGCATCAAAGCCTCTAGAAATAGTTGGTAGCGAAAAGGCACCATAACCTGGAAAGGCCAAAAGGCAGAGATTTTCAGTTGCTTAGAAGCTTGGAAATATATTTAAAAAATGTAAACAATAAAACATTGAGCCTTTACCATATCAATTCCTGCATTGATTGCTAACAAGACACTTTGCTTATAGTTTGATCCATGAGGAAGAGGTTGGGAAAGTCTGTCCAGACCTTCAGCGTCAGAAATAATGAACCCCTGCAAGAGAATCTCACAGGATTTAGGATCCAGAGAAGTTCAGTTACTAGGATTTTCTTGGGTTTGGAATATCACCTGTGGCTATTAATAATCTGTAAATTTCAATGCCATTTTACTAACATGCAATCGTTCGAACAACTGTTTCTACTCTATTCAATAATCCTCGTTCTTTTTTTGAAGTTTCCTTTCAGTTCCGCATGGAACCTTAGAAATCTTACAGAATCCATGACCAAGTCCAGATATTATGGAAACGTTCAATATAAGTAAATTGAAGCTTCATAAATTAATTTTATGTCAACTAATCACAATACTTACTGCAATCTATATGGGGATTACCTTAAACCCAAGCTTTTCTTTCAAGATCTTTGTGAGAAGAAAATGGCTACCATGTAGTTTGGACCCTTTCCAGCTAGAGTAGGATGCCATGATCGTACACACTCCTTGAGCAATACAATCTACATAAGGAGCCATATGAATTTTCTCTAATTCGTCATATTCTGATGTTGTATCCCCTTCATTTATGCCATTTCTGGTGCCACCATCTCCAACGAAGTGCTTTGCACAGGCAACAACATTTTCCCTAAAGTTAATACTCTCATCAATCCAAAAACAAGATGGAGGTATTAAATGCATGAAGATATCTACTGCAAGCTATAAATAAATCAGGATAAACATAAAAAAAGAAAAACTAGACTGTCCTCTAGGCGAGCATGATGCATCACGTTTAGCACTTTGTACCTCTTTGCAACGTAAGGATAGCCACTTGGTTGTCCCTGGGGAGTTTCACCTTGCAGGCCAGTAACCAATGAGGTCAACATTCTAACAATGTTAGGGTCTTCACCATAGCTCTCATAGCATCTTCCCCACCTGGGATCTCTGCATACCTGCTAGCATCAGTTTCATTAACCACCATCAAATATTGACAGTTTCGGAATAAAGCTAAAAAAACTATCAAATTAAACAAGAGATAACACACTGAGGAAATTGATGCTAACAGGTGGTTTGAGAAAAGGGGGCGTACGTATTAAAAACCCACAATGTTGGGAATAACCATAGTTTGCCAAAAAAGCAAATGAAACACCAGAAAGTAGAGCATTTTTATCCTTACATCCAAGCTATTAAAGCATGCATTCTCTTTTATCAAGTCAAATAAATATTTGGAAATAATGAGAGAAAAATTGCAAATTTTCCAATGAACCAAGTGTTAAAGGATTTATTGAGGGGTGGTAGAGTTTTCAGGCTCCATCAACTCAGGAAAATCCAAAATTTTATTTGAACCTCATGTTTTCATTTGAATTGCAGAAATAGATAGTGAGATAATGGAATCAGCCCTTTATTATAGTGAATTTGAATCTTCCATTTTAGGTTTGAATTCAAAAGCAACCATAATGTAAGGCATGCACAGAAGATATAACTCAAAATATACATTTACTCAATTTTACACAAATTTTCCCTTTCAAAATGCGAAAATCCCATAAGACACATGAATATGTCATCAAGGATGAAATGTTGCAACAACATAGTGACAAAAAAACTCAAAATAAGTAATTAGCATGTAATGGAAAATAAGTAATGCAAACTCACGGCAATGCATGGCGCAAAGGTATAGTGCATGCCACTCGCCCTAACTTCAAGAGCTGTTGCGGCACCAATCCTTCGAACCAAATCGGCATCTCTAAAGGAGTAAAACTATGTTTTTAATCCCCACCATGCACGATAATAAATAACAAACTGAAATTACAAGTCTTTTCAAACCAACCTGGTTGCTCCAAGGCCTATGTTGTGGGGGAAAATGGTAGCGCCATATACATTGTTATTACCATGAACAGCATCGATCCCATAAAGCAATGGGATTCCAAGCCGTGACTGCAGTGCAGCCTTCTGAAAATTATCTACCATCGCCGCCCAATCTGATGATAGGGCATTTTCAAACGGCCCACTTCCTCCTACACTCATCATGCTCCCTGCAAATGAACCAAAAGCACAATGCCATCAAAGTTCGATAATAGAATCGACATTCCTTCAACCTTTTTATTTAATCTAATCATAATACTTCAAGTGGAAAGAAACGAAGAAAATCAAGTTCCTACAACTGTGATATCATCATCCCCCACCAAAAAAAAAAAAAAAATTACTTGATTTTTTAGATTTGAAGCACGGAATGATCATCTACCTAACTTTTTCTAGGGCTAGCAAAGCAATTACTCGAAAATCAACTAATAGAAATGTTGATCAGTACATAATTAACTTAGCATTGGTGTCGACTCACAATGACAAATAGAACAATCTTATACGGAATTCAGACGAACCTATTGAGAGCTCTTTAATGGCGGAAGCAGTGGCGACCTGGCGCTCAATCTGGGTCATCTGACCGATTTTCTCTTGCAAGGTCATCCGCGAGAGGAGGTCTTTGACTCTGGCTTCGATTGGGGCATTCGAGTCTTTGTAGATGCAATCCATCATCACCTTTGATTCTTCACTTGTATTAAGCATAGTTATCACAAATCAACCAAACTAGCTAGCAACTAGCATAGAAAAACTTGATTACTTGCTGGAAATTGTGGATTTGGAGGAACCGACGTACCTACCTTCCAAGGGCGGAGTTTCCAACCGAGACGGGAGAAACACACGAAGATTCTAACACAAATTAGTTATGGAGTTCTGTGGAGCTTCGCTGAAATTCAGACTGGACACTGAACCAGACAAAGTAGCTGACAAGAGCAGACCATCTACTCAATTTATTTATTAAGTAATTAATTAGAATTTATATTAAATAAAACAAACATTTTATCCAAAATAAGCAAGAATCCGTTGTCGTCCAGCGGTTAGGATATCTGGCTTTCACCCAGGAGACCCGGGTTCGATTCCCGGCAACGGAATTTTTTATACCGTCGGATTGAGACACGTGTCGAAATCTGGTAATTAGTTTTATTTTTGATTTTCCCTTTTTTTTTTCTTTAAAATATTGAGATCTGAACGTACTATTTAAAGCGTCGCCTCTCCGAGAACTTGTGCGTCGTTCTTCCATGGCGTCTTCTCCGACGGGAATCTCACCGGCGCTGAACTGACCTGGTGACTGAACCATCAACAATTCTACAAGAAAAGCGTATTGTTTTCTTCGGACTTTGAGATGAAATGACCACAGAAATAGGTAGCACATGCCTTTCTTCAGCCCTAAATCGCTGGCATCGCTGGCGGAGTGCGCCGTGGCGACTCGCTCCTCCTTCATCGGCCGCGCAGCCCATGGCCGAGCCGTCAGAGCACTTGGCATGGCCCTGGACGCTTTCCTTTCCAACCATTTCATCAGTATGTACTCGAAACTCGACTGCCCTGACTCCGCCCGCACTCTCCTCTCCCTCACCCCGCCTCGCTTCCGTTCCGTCGTCACTTGGACGTCCTTGATCTCAGGCAATGTCCAGAACGGCCATGTCTCCGCCGCCATGGCTTGTTTCTCCTCCATGCGTCGGGAAGGTATTCAACCCAATGATTTTACCTTCCCTTGTTTGTTCAAATCTGCAGCTTCGCTTCAATCGCCGATTCTCGGCCAACAGTTCCACGGCCTCGCCGTCAAGCTAGATTTCATGGACGATGTATTCGTCGCGTGCAGTGCGTACGATATGTACGCAAAGACGGGGTGTTCGAGCCATGCCAGCAAGGTGTTCGACGGAATGTCCCATAGAAATTTAGCTACATGGAATGCCTGTATCTCCAATGCTGTTCTCAATGGGAAGCCTCGCGAAGGGATCATCAAGTTTGTGGAGCTTTTACGCGAAGGCGAAGCAGCTCCAAATTCGATCACTTTCTGCGCTTTCTTGAACGCATGTTCCGACGGTGTGTTCTTGACGGAAGGGCAGCAGCTGCACGGATATTTGATCAAGCAGGGGCACCAAGCGGACGTCTCCGTCTTGAACGGGCTGATTGATTTCTACGGCAAATGCGCCGAGGTTAGTTCATCGGAGAAAGTTTTTGAGAAGATGAGCGAGTGCAATGTGGTTTCGTGGTGTTCGATGATAGCAGCTTACGAGCAGAATGATGCGGGAGAGAAGGCGTGCTATGTCTTTTTGAACGCGAGGCGAGCAGGGGTTGAGCCAACCGACTTTATGGTATCGAGCGCGCTCAGCGCCTGCGCAGGTTGGGCGTCTCTCGAAACAGGGAGAGTGATTCACTGTCTAGGCGTGAAGGCGTGTGTTGACGAGAACATATTCGTCGGAAGCGCTCTCGTAGACATGTACGGGAAGTGCGGGAGCATCGATGATTGCGAGAGGGCTTTCATCGAGATGCCCCGGAGAAATTTGATCAGCTGGAACGCTATAATTGGCGGGTATGCTCACCAAGGGCGCGCAGACAAGGCGTTGGAAATGTTCGAGGAGATGACGAATTGTAGGAATCCCGAGAGGCTCGTACCAAATTACGTAACTTTCGTGTGCGTGCTAGCAGCTTGCAGTCGGGGCGGCACGGTGAACTCTGGAATGGATATCTTCGAATCCATGATGGGAAAGTACAAGATCACTCCCGGTGCCGAGCATTACGCATGTGTGGTCGACATGTTAGGTCGGGCAGGTCAAGTGGAACGAGCCTATGAATTCATACGACGAATGCCGCTGCATCCGACCATATCGATGTGGGGTGCTCTGTTGGGCGCCTGCAAAATGCACGGCAAAGCCGAGCTGGGGAGGATTGCTGCCGAAAAGCTGTTTGAACTCGATCCACAAGATTCCGGCAATCATGTCATCCTGTCGAACATGTTTGCCGCGACGGGGCAGTGGAACGAGGCGAGCCTGGTTCGGAAGGAGATGAAGGATGTGGGAATCAAGAAGGGGGCAGGATTCAGCTGGATATCGTTAAAGAATTCGATCCATGTCTTCCAAGCAAAAGACACATCCCATAGTAGGAACTCTGAGATTCAGGCAATGTTGGATAAGTTAAGGAAGGAGATGGAGGGTGCTGGATATGTACCTGACACCAGATTGGCTCTGTATGATTTAGAGGATGAAGAGAAAGAGTCGGAGGTTTGGAGCCACAGCGAGAAGATCGCGCTTGCGTTTGGTCTGATCGCGCTTCCTCCTGGAGTTCCAATTAGGATCACGAAAAATCTTCGAATCTGTGTGGATTGCCATAGCGCAATTAAGTTCATATCAGGGATTGTCGGAAGGGAAATCGTAGTTAGAGACAACAACCGGTTTCATTGTTTCAAGGACAATCGATGCTCGTGTGGTGATTATTGGTGACAATGTCGATGCTTTTTGCAGTTGAAATTCCTACATTAGGAATGGATGTACTTTACCAAGTTTTGGTGCCGAAAGTGTTAAAATATCATGTGCTTCTTCTATCATACTCAAATGAACACTGTTTCATTCCCATGATGTTGCAGATAAAAAGAATCTCGACAAAATGTAGCAATCAACACCGCATAGCTCGAGTAGCACTGAGAGAATCCAAAATATACAAGAGAAATTCTTGATCTACATGTGATAAATATGTAGTTATGGGGTATATTGTGTGCCAAGCCGCAACATAATTTAAAGAATCAGCCAAGAGTGAACCTGCTGGCAGGCACATGGTAAATGAGCAGTCACATCGAAAGAGAATCCTAAAATCATGGAAATGTTTACAACCGAGTGCGCCGCACCAATCATTTCCTGTAACAGGAGCAACCAAAAGCACAAATAAAATGAATGTAAGATGCATATTACATCCATCATCACCCTTTGCTAGTAACGGCATGTGTTTAAAATCAGATTCACTTTTTATTCTTTGTAGTTCAACAAGCAATTAAGTCAAGAATACAATCAAAAGGATTACTTCACTTTATTTTACTGTTTAGTAGAATGTATGAGCACACAATGGCGCATAGGGGCAAGCCCTGCTGAATAATAATTAACAAAACAACTTGAAATGAGACTTTATAGGAATAGGAACACCTTAATCAGTAAAATCAAGATTTGAAATATGTTCTAAGTTTATAAGAGATTACTTGTTTTCTGAGAGCAATAACATTAAATTTCTATATAACTATGACTAAAACAAAAAAGAACATGAAAATGACAGCGCTTTACCAAATCAATCCTGGTGAATATTATAGATTGCAGCGCTAATGCTTTTACAATCAAGCTCCATTGTCTTCATCCAATTCTCGAAATCTCCAATTTCCTGATGAAACAAAGTACAAAATCTCTCACTAACAATGGATATGTGTTCCACCCAACTAAAATCTTCAAAGAAATAGTATAATGGAGAAATTAAAGGTGAGTGAGAGTTCTTTGCAGGCTAACAAAAACCGTACTCCAATTAAGGAATCATCACGTGGGAGGCTTAATTGTCTCACAAATAAACATTTATCTGTACTTACTACTTAGTCCACACTCAGCAAAAAACAAGCTTGAAGCCTTCCATCATGAATTGGATAAAATATGTTAATTGCAAAAGGCAATAGCAGAGTCAAGTGCTTTTCAAATGACATTGTAGTCTCTACACAACATAGCGAACAAATTACTGATGGAGAGCCAAGGTCCTTTGTACAAGCACATGAAAACTTGATTTAGTTACCAAATTAAGTTTCAGAACCTAAAAAGTTCATATAATTTACTTCCAACATGCTATTACAGGGTTTGCATTGGTCATTTGTAACCATACAAAACTTATCAATACAAAATTACATATGAAATTCAATGAAAGTATCTACACATTTCATCAAGTTTTGAGATGTATAGTAATGCATGCACAATAGTATGTTGAATCAGGGACCTTGGCAGACAATTTACCACGATCCGAAACAGGGAAAGAGAATTGCAAGAACATCTGTCACAAAACTTCAAAAAAATTAAATCCACAAACTGGAACCCCCAGAAACATCATTAGGCATGGCTAACTCCATGCCAAAAGTAATAGATGCAGAACTTTCCAAACCTTGCCTTAATTTGTTGCATTTAACATGTCTACTTAATCATGCAAGTTGATTATAGATAAAATCCATGGTTAAATATAAACCCACTATTATTGAGCTAATTTAAGGGATTAATAAATCAACCCATGAGATCGAATATATCAAACTGAGACAAGGCCTTTGAATTAGAAATTCTCGTAGTGACATGGCTGGTGGTTCACTAAAACAAGATACATGTATAATTCGCACACTGCCTAGTGTTTTAATACCCAGAGACAACAAAAAACTACAGCGCTAACCTTGATAGCAGTGTTGATAGCATGGGAAGCTGCGTGCCATTGCTCCGTCTGCTTTGAGAATCGTGCAATAGTTCGAGCAAGTGCTCTAATTTCCATTTCAATCCGTTTTTCATTTATAAAGATCTCTTGCACGCCACCATTGACGGCATTCACTAACAAATCCGACACTCTCATAGCTTTTCTAACTGCTTCTTGCTTTGCTTTATCTGCAAAATAAACCGAACACACCCCAAAACAAGGCACGATCATCTAAAAAAACGCATTAATTCCTAAATACAGGAATGGGAAGCAACACAGTTCAAGCAAACAAACACGTATAACGAAAGCGCAGACAAAGCACATATTAAAACCTGCAATTTCAACATAATTCAGTACATCAGAGAATCGTCAATTCAAGAACCGATTCCGTGTGAGAAGAACAACTGACCAGTGCGTTCACGTAGCTCAGCAGCGGCATGATTATGATCACCAATCATCTGAAGCAGCGCCGCCTCGAGACTCCCCGCTTCCACCTGATGCGGTCGCTCCATTCCCAACACTTCACATGAATCAGTCAAATCCCTAATTAAGCTACAGCTCAAAATAGCAATTCATTCCCTGAATCGAATATCCAATTTGCGCTAGCAATCAATTGAACTCGACAGACGAAACACAAACACAATTCCGATCGCGAATTTGAACCGTAGGAGCAGAGTCCGTCGTGCGCTCCGCTGCCACACTCAGTTGTGCTATCCCTCCAACTGCCAAACTCTTTCCCTCTTCCAAATCCTCTTTAGACTTAATTGCAATTTTACTAATTAACTAAATTCCTCCTATTGGGCCAATAATTAATATGGGCCCAAGGCTGTGCACAAATTCATAAAGCCCACTTAGTTAAAATATTATGGGCCCAATAAGCTTTGCTATTATTTTAACCTCGCTTAGCAAAGCGGTGGTCCGATTGAAGATGTCATCCCACAATTGACCGCCGTCTAAATAATAAATTAATTTGGTTGACCAATGAGTGGTCATCATATTCAGTTAATCAATTTTAATTTAATTCAATTTTACCATTTTTTAAGTTAATTTATATTGTAATTCGTGACTTAATATATCTTTGCATGCAATGTTTTAATCTGAGGGGATTAAGGATTTATTTAGTAAATTTTTCTAGTTTATAAAGTGGAATAATTCATTTATGTGAGACGATGACAAATTAAAGGCATAACCTCACACAAAAATAACCAAATAAATAAATAAACCACACAAATCTTACAATATAAATATATAGACAGCAAATACACGACACGAAACCTCTTTTTTGTCTTAATTACAATACACAAATTTACATCAATTTGAACGCACCCACCCACCACCCGTGGCCACATTTACATTCTCTCGATTGTCATAATTTAGCCAATCAAAATCATTCATGTAAAGCAATCAATCGATGATGGAGTAATCAATCACTCTTACAGAAAAAAAAATAAAATTGTACTTTAAATAATCTTTACCTTAACTTCTCAGAAATGGTCAGCTGAAAATACAAAAATGTCCCTAAAAAATCCAACCAACCCTACCCGCCGGAAACTTGAATTGCGGGCCTAATTTTGTCATTCCACAGAGCGGCGGCGGCTTCTCCGCCGTTCCTTTTCACCTCAACCACCACCAACCGGTCTGTCAGCCGGCGAACTTCCAATCCCAATACGAAATTACCATTCTGCCCCTCAAGCTCCACCCCCCACCCCTTCGTCTTCCTCAAATGCACCGCCCCGTTCTCCGCCTTCACCGCCTCCTCCACCTTACCGATAACCCTCTCCGGCGACTCCTCCTCCGCCGTCAGCAGCTCCACGTCCTCCGCCGCCCTGTACCTGCTGTCAAACAGGCCGGAGAGATCCAGGCCCCTCGAAAACGAAATTATGTCGAACGCGTTTAAATCACGCAGCTTCTTCTCATCCTCCGCCGGACCACAACCACCACCGCCGCCGCCAATTTCCTTCACCTCTCTGTACCCCTTCCGAAACCACGGGTCGCGCTTAATCTCATCAATGGTGATCCGGGTCTCCGGATTCGTGTCGAGGATCCGGGTCAGGACCCGCTTCAGATCCGGCGACATCCACTTAGGGCACCGGAATTCCCCCTTGTAAATTTTCCGGTACATGTTCATCAAATTGGGATCGTTGAACGGTAAATAGCCGGCGGTGAGTACAAACAAAACGACGCCGCACGACCAGACGTCGATCTTCGCGCCGTCGTAGCCTCGCTTCGCCAGAATCTCCGGCGCGACGTACGCCGGCGTTCCGCAGAGCGTGCGCAGAAGCCCGTCGTCGCCGCCGTCGCTCCGCCGCAGCGCGCTGAGGCCGAAATCGGAAACTTTCAGGTCGCCGTTCTCGTCCACCAGCAAATTCTCCGGCTTCAAATCCCGGTGGTAGACGCCGCGCAGGTGGCAGTAGCTGACGGCGGCGATCAGCTGCTGGAAGTATCTCCGGCCGAGATCCTCGCTGAACCGCCCCTTGGCGACTCTGGCGAAAAGCTCACCTCCCTTGACGAACTCCAAGACGAAGTAGATCTTCCTCTTCGTCGCCATAACTTCGAAAAGCTTCACGATGTGGCAATGGCGGAGGCGGCTCATGATCGAAATCTCCCGCTTGATGTTGTTCATCAGATTCGCGTTTCCGGCGATTCTGCTCTTGTTGATAACCTTGATCGCCACGCTCCGGCCGGTCTCCAACTCCCGCGCGTGGTACACCTTCGCGAAGGCGCCGCAGCCGAGGAGGCGACCCACCTCGTACTTGTCGAACAGCTTGTTGTTCTCCGGCGACACCATCCCCAGAAAAAACGACGACGGCGACTCTTGTCGCCGGTGACCGGCGGCGTCGACGATCTCCATTGCAGGAATCGGATTGGGATTATTGGAGTAATGTGAAGCGATAGTTGGAATTATTGGGTGGAAGATTCTTTGAATGATTCGTATTAATGAATGAATGGTTGTCCGTATGTATGTATGCTCGAGATGGAGCCCTTTGGTGTGGGGCAGAGGCCTTTTTATCGTGACATTCAGTGTTCACAAAATGCATATAAATAATAAATAAATATATATTACTCCGCTATTAAAATTGAAAATCTTTTTTTTTTTTTTTTTTTTTTCCTTGCCAAAGATAAAATTCAAAAATCGAAAATCGTAGTCAGAACTTTTTCGGACACGGGAAAAGCCATAGATTGGACGCGTCCCCACGCGCTGATCTGCGCGTGTTGACACGAAAATTAACCCGGTTCGTGTTAATGATACGCTGCTCAGATATTCTCAGCATTATGCTTTTGTATTAAGAATTAGTACGAAGTTGGCCGCAGAAATTTATCGCCCGCCAAATTTATTGCTAGCAACTTACAGTCAGTCGTGTGTTTGTTTCGAGGATTTCAAAGATTTTCATTCTTTATTAATTTGTTCTTTTTAAAAAAAATAATTTCCTCGTCTTATAACTAAATATTCATTTGCCTTTTACACATAATTTAAAAAATATTAATATTATATTAAAATATGATAAAAATAAAGTAGAAATGACTAAAATAATTTTATTAGTATATGTGATATAAAGGTAATGGCATTTGTGTAATATATTATAAGTTGTAAGAGTATTTGTAATGTTAGGTAGAGAGTACAGTTACTAAAAAAAATGAAATAGATACTTTGTTATGAAATAAACTAAAATGAAAAAAATTGATACTTTGTTATAGGACGAAGGGAGTATTTATTTTTTATTTTTATATTATATTAAAAATTATTTTACATTTAAAACATTACATCAATACTCATTTATATCACATCATCATTATTCAAATCTCAATTCAAAATCCAATCCCTTGACAAACACACCTTGAATTCTTTTATGTCTTCTTCTTTTCTAATTCGTTAAATAAAATGCCATTACAAATTGTTCTAATAATTTTTATTTTTTTATTTTTTTATTTTTTTGCCTTCAAAGTAGCCCAAGTTGCATTCTATAAACCAATTTTTTAAAATTATAAAAGCAATTATAAAGGGTGTCGGGAATACAAGTCAATTAAAAAAATTAAAATTATAAGTGTTTGGTTTGAATTCCATATTCTAAATCCTACAATTTAAATCAATTTTAGAAAGATAATATTTCCTCCGTCGAATTGAAAGGTTACTATTTTATATTTTCGTCTGTTCCAAAACAAGGTTACCATTTTCTAGTAATTATACTACCTACCTAACATAGTAAATATTCTTTCAATTTATAATATATTATGCAAATATCATTACTTTTATATTACACTAAACTAACAGGAGTATTTTTATTTTTTTTTACTACAATTACAATATAATACTAATATTAAAAAATCTACCTTCACAAAATAAATATTAATAATAATAATCCAAAGATAAATCGTATGTTAAAAAGTCCAGGCAACATGTAATTTGGCAGGTTTTAAATGACAGTAGTATATCTGAAAAATATCTAATCTAATGTACATATATATTACAAGAACCAACCAACCAACCAACAGTCATTCATCACCCAGCTGGCTGCTGCTATTCTTACCACTCAGTGCTTTTACTATCCTTGCTCCACTCTCTTCAGCCATACACGTGTCCATTTCCGTGGACGGCCACAAATTTATATATATATATATATATATTTAATTTAACATTATTATATTGTACTAGTATTATTTATTTACAAAAATGCCTCTTCTTCTTCTACCTTCTTCATTTTATTTTATTTTATTTTATTTTCTGAGTTGAGGGCGGCGACCGGCTGAGGAGGTCGGAGGTCGGTGCTCATATTTCTTCTTCTTCTTCTATTATTATTATTATTATTATTATTATTATTATTGTTTTGTTTACTGTTTCAGACTATTATACAATTTATTTATTGCCTAAAAATTTATAAATGATTTATTAATTTAAAAAACTTAAAATTATTTTGACTGTATTCAATGGAAATGTGTAATTTTACTTAATGGCTTGGCATATAAGTAATACACAGTGTAGATAATACAGTGCAATGAATAGTTTGATGTTAGAACAAAAGTGTGCATGAATTATTTTTTGAAATTTAAATTTAAAGAAATAGTATATATTTTTATATATAAACAAAAATGTCCCATTCCGAATTTATAGCTTATCGTGTAAGAAGTTGTCGTACTTATCTTTTCCACTTATAAATAAATGATCACGAGAATAATATCACAGCATATTCTTAGCTAGCTAGACATACCTTTTACATTCCAGAATACAAATTCAATTTGAATTAGCCATTCTGAGAGTTCGGAAATAATTAAATTTTTAGTTTATTTTGCATCTAATATAATCAATTCATTTATCATAACTATATTTATAAATACTATCATTTTATTTTACATTCTTTTAAATTATCTCTTGGTTAGGTTTTTTCACTTGTATTTGTACTCATTATCTACCGTCATAAGTCCAACTCTACACCACCGTATCATCCCTTATCGGACTATTATTGGTATACGATCTGCAAGTTCTCGGAAAGTAGAATAAACATATACGATAATTTCAAAATTCACGTGAAATGAGATCACATATGGACAAAATCTTTATAATTGAAATGTTAGTATAAAACACACGTCCAATAATTTCACACGGCCATGTGTAATGAATTATTTCTTACATCTTTCTCATTATTATTATTATTATTATTATTATTATTATTATTATTATTATTATTATTATTTTCCCACAAATTAAAAATTCACTTATTACTGATTTTAAAATAAGAATTAAAAAATCTCTTTTTTAAATTGCCAAAATTGTTTGGTGTGATTTATAATAGAGTTTCAACCCTATTTATATGCAATGTTCTTTTTTTCTTTTCCAAAAGTATTTTATTGAATTATTGTCTTATTCAAATATCGACTTAAAAATATTTCTTTTACTCAATAATATTATTTTAATTATTTTAAAATAACTCAAAACATTAAAATATTGTATTTGTTTCCTTTGATCAAATTTTTATTATGTATTACCAATCATTTTTTAAAAATAATATTTTTTTTCAATAAAATATTATTTCCAACTTACTGTGTAAATCAAAACTAAAATTCAGAAATTTTAGAAAATTCAAACAATTATTTTTTCTCTTCAAAATTGGAAGGATATTTGAATATTAGATATTTCATTTCAAGATATATAAAAAGTTCAAAAGAATTGTGTTTTTTATGTTCATTCATGTATGTTTAATCCATGTATATGTATATTTATTTCACCTCAGAATTTTCAATAATTTTTAACATTTAAATTTAAAATGGAACATATCCATGATCTTGGTTTGCTTTTTTAACATTTAAAATTAAAATCAATATTATTTACTGTGCATAATTTTTAATAAAAATATATTATTTTCTTTAACAAAATATCATATTAAATTACTATTTAAACAAAAACGAAAATCAACATACTATTTTAAATTAAATCAACTTTAAACTACAATCAACAAATCTAAAAATTTTGGTTTGGTATTACCGTAAACTGAAAGAAACAAAGGATTTGTTCACCAAAAATATTTGGTGGTATGATACATTATTAATATTATAATAAATACAATATATACTTATATTAACATGACATTTATAATATATATTATTTGCTCACAAAAAATAATAATTCAATATAAAATATTAATTTTTATATTATCGTTATATTTTTTATACTTTACATCAAAAATAAATTAATCCAAAAATATTAAGAGAACAAGTCCATTTATGTTGATTTATTTACATTAAAAAAATAAAAAAAAGTAATCAAATGCCATATAAATTTATTTGATTAGATTTTTATTTTATTTTTATTATAGATCTACTGCCAAAAAAAAAAAAAAAGCAATAAGTACACAATAACTAATTATCTAATTAGGAGTATTTGTTCGTAACTGTGGCCCATATTCATTTTCACTTAAGAGTTGGCAATTAATAATTATTCATTAAACTATTAATGTATGTATAATGTTGGCAATAATTTTAAGTTAGGTGCATGCACCTGCCAACTCAACCAACGTACACTTAAAAACATTATTATTATTATTTATTTATTTTTATGGTCTGCTTGACAGCCTGCCTGGCGTCAACTAATTTCCGCGCTAATATTTACTACTAGTATTTTCAAAACAAATCAAAACATTTTCGGATAGCGACTGCGAATTTATATAAAAAAAATTAAAAAAAATTAAAACACATTTTATGATACTTGGGAATAACTCAGCAGGGTTGGACACTTGGGAATAAGACAGAACCTGCAGAATATACCCCGATAAATATAAAAGTATCTGCAAAGGTGAAGCATGCAGCCAGCCACAAGAATTATTAACTCAAAAATCTACTTGTAAACAAATATTATGGACTTCTATTATCCATGATAATGCCCTAACAAATTTGTTCCTTCAATAGAGCTAACAATATAGCTAATTAATATCAACTGCAAGAACTCACCAAGAATAGAATTCATACAATTTCGATGAAAGAAAATTTCTAGCAAAATATTACTACACTAGTTCTTCAAATAATATCAAAAAGATGGCACTTAAATTGGTTTTCACAAACAAGCTAGTTAGACTAACCATATAACAGCCATTTCTCACATTCTATAAGCAATTTAATCTTACTTCTACAAACAAATCAAAATCACATGTTTGGATTGAATATAAGATAGAGAGATACACATGTTTGGCAATAATCACTCTCCCCTCCAACAAACCCATTAAGCTTAAACAACTAAAATGGAGTTCATAATAATTCTTAGTGAATGGGTTAGAGATGGGCACAGCCCTCCCCTAAGCCCAAGAATAAGAAAATATAAAACCAAGAAGCCTAAAGATACGAGCTTTAACTTGGGCCATGTAATAAAAAAAGAAGAAGATACTTTTGCATATTCCTAACTTGGGATGTGTGAGGCCCAAGATTAGTAATAATACTAAAAAATTACAAGTAAAGCTGCTCGATGGTAATTTAAAAAACATACTGCTACAAGAAAAGAAAAGGATGTCTTGATTTGAAAAATAAGAAAAAACATAAGAAAGAGGAAAAAGATTCCTGAACGATAGGAGGACTGACTAATTAAACCCATTCAATGGCCACCGCATAAGCTGCTTACCATTTTGTCTCCACATCTTACCGGAAAACCCTCCTAATAGTTGCTAACGGCCTGCCCTGCCTGCCTAGTCCTTGCTCAAATACCCATTCATCTCCTCTCCCTTACGCTCTCCTCTAAGCTCCACTGCCAATGGCGGAATCGGAAACGAGGCTTCCATCTCATCAACCGGTAATTAATTAATTAATTAAACAACACATTGCATTGTAAATTTGTAATCTAATCTAATCAATTCAATGCTCTCCTCTACTATATACATATATATTCTAATTGCTTCTGCGATTGAAGATTCTGGAAAATGAGAGGAAGAAGCTCAAGTACCTTGATTTCGTCCAAGTAGCCGCGGTGTACATGGTCGTTTGCCTCTCCTCCCTCCACAAGTACGCCAAGAACCACTCCGGTCCCCTGAAACCCGGCGTCCAGACCGTCGAAGGCATCGTCAGAACCATCGTCGGACCTGTGTACGACAAACTCCACGACGTCCCTCTCCATCTTCTCAAGTTCGTAGATCGCAAGGTTAGGTCAAAACTTTTCCCCCAAATCTCCTTCCCAATGTCTCTAAATATATATATTTATTTATTTATTTATTTTATTTTATTAATTACAAATTCCGTTAGTCACGTGACTCGCGATGGTGTGATAGGTGGACGACTCGGTCATCAAGCTGGACCATCACGTGCCGTCCCTTCTGAAACACGTGTCGCGCCAGGCGTGGGAGGCGGCTCAGGAGGTCCGCCGGAGCGGCTTGGCTTCGACCGCGAAGACGGCTTACGTTAAATACGAGCCGACGGCGAAGGAGCTCTACGGCAAGTACGAGCCGGTGGCGGAGCAGTACGCAGTGGCGGCTTGGCGCATGCTTAACCGGCTGCCGCTGTTCCCCCAAGTGGCTCAGGTGATGGTGCCGACGGTGGCCTTCTCGGCGGAGAAGTACAACCAGGCGGTGTCGTACGCCGCCGGGAAAGGCTATACGGTGTCGTATTACCTTCCGGTAGTGCCCATCGAGAGAATCGCCAACACTTTTCAAGAACGCAGCAGCCTTGATCAGCCGGCGCCCAACGGGCCCTCCTGCGTCACAGTTTCCCAGTAACAGTAATATTTACCATTTGATTATTATCACCATTTTTGGTTGCCTGCAGCTGCTGCTGCGTTCACCCAATATTTTCAGTGTATTGCTGTCGGATCTTAATAGTTTATTTAGATTCTTTTTGGCCCCTTTTCGATCCTTGTCTCCTTATGCAGTGCAAATAATCTAACAGGAAACACACAACAGGAATATATTGAAGAACATTATACAATCGTTATATAGTTTGATGCAACTACAAATACATATATATATAGAGAGAGAGAGAGATATATGAGATGGATGGATGGATGATTGAATCATGAGGCATTTTCAATGAACAAATCCTTGCAAAGCTCTCTGTAGAATCTGCAGACGAGATCGAGGAAGAGAGGGGACTTGAGGTCCTTCCAGCAACGCAGAAGCTCCTCCACGTCCACCAAGTCCTTCATCTTCCCCTCTTCCACGATCATCTCCACCAAATAATTCTCGAAGCTTCTACAAGCATCTTCCACCTGATCACTCCTCTCCGGTCGGCTCAGCTTTATGTACGCCGGAGTCAGCGGCGAAGGGCAAGGCGCCCTCTCATAATGCAACTCTGACAAACTGCTCTTGATTGTCCTCGTCGTCTCCATGCTTCTCTTCCGCAGTCTCAGAATCGAGAGGATCTTCGATAGGCCGCCGTGCGAGGGCTGCTGCTTGCGGCGGCGATGGTAGAGCACTACTCTTCTTAGGAAGAAGGGTTTTCGTATGCGGAGCTTAAATTTGATGGTGCGTAACAGCAGCTTCTTACATGGCATCAAAAGTTTCGATTTCAAGGGAAGGATTAGCTTCATTTCCAAATTATATATAAATAGAGTAATTATGTTGAAATTTGATAAGAGTTGTAGTGCTGATGAAGCAAAGGAAGTAATTAAGAGAATGGCGGTTAGGAATGGTTGTACTAGTATTTATTAAGGAGTTGTAAGTGTAAGTAATACTACTATATATATGTAGTAATGTAATAAAATGTATGTGGGTGGAGTGGAGTTCACGTCGGGACTCAGAAAGTGGTGTCCCATGAATGAAATTATACATATGCCCACTATTCTTGTAAGGTCCTGGACTCCAGCGCCGGATGAATGGATGGGCCGGGCCGTTTTTGTTTATTTGGGCCGTCGCTAGGCTTTCTAAGAAATACTAGTAAAGATGACCCATAATGAGTGGTAAATCCATAACCTGGAATGGCGCACAGTCACGAATCCTTTTAATTTTTATGAATTGCATTTGATTATAATAATTTATATATATGATTATTATTATACAATATATACAAATAGAAACACAAAAAGAATATTGTAAATATATATATTTTAAATTGTGGGGCCATGAAATGCGTGCAGCAGCAAAACTGGGGATGCTTATTAACAACTTTAGTGCATGCCATTGCCATTGCTATTGCTTTTGTTCCCTTGAGGGGGCCCACACTGTCCAATTATACCCACCCTACCCAAATACTACTGTCTCAATTCATTATTAATCTCATCATCATTCATCGATCCTCGATATATATATATATATAGATATCATCTGCCTTCTTCTGCCATCTGCTCCTAATTACTTAATATTCTTCTTCTTCTGCATCGATCCATCTAAATCGATTAAACATAGATAGATAGATGATGAAGGGTAATTACAGGAGGTTCAGACTGTCAGACATGATCCCAAATGCTTGGTTCTACAAGCTCAAGGACATGACTGCCACCATCAGACCACCACCATCAACAAGATCCCATTCCCAATTACCCAATTCTCATATTCTTCATCCCTGTCCCATCACCACCAGGAAATCCACCCACCACCACAACCCACCCACCAATTACACCAGGAGATCATATTCTTCTTCTTCATCATCATCATCATCCTCCACCTTCTGCACCAAGCAGCAGAAACAACGACCACCCCGGAGAAGAAGGACCATCTACCTGCCATCCCCTAACCACGACGATCAAATTATTCATGATAACGACGAGGAGGAGGATATCATCATCGACGTAGACGAAAACTCCCACCCAATTATCAAAATCAAAACTAATAGCCTCCCCGAAGAATTCAATATCAATGCCATATCGTCCCTTCCCCCAATTCTCACCAAACCCCTTGGCACCAACAAAACAAATTACAGATATACATCAAACTCAAGCCCTGCCGACGACCGCCACAGAAAATCCATTTCCAGCAGGCCGGGTGTGAGAATTCGGGGCAAGAAAATCATCGAAACGCGGCGCCGGAAAAGCGTGAAGAAGACGAAATTAGAAGATGATGCGAGTTCGAGGAGGAAGAAGAATCATAATAATAATAATAATAATAATAATAATAATAATAAGATGATGATGGAGGAGGAGGAGGAGAATGATCGGGTGTACAGTACTGGTAGAAGATGCTTTGCCGTAGTGAAAGCTTCTGTGGATCCCCAAAGAGACTTCAGAGAATCAATGGTGGAGATGATTGTCCAAAATCAAATTAGGGTTTCCAAAGACCTCGAAGACCTTCTGGCCTGTTATCTCTCGCTCAATTCCAATCAGTATCATCAATTCATCATCAACGCCTTTGAGCAAATCTGGTTCAATATGCATCCATCCATCCCCCACCATTAATTATAATAATTAATTAATTAATTTCCCTAGCTTTTTTTTTTTTTTTTTATATGTAATTATTTGAAATTTATGGATATCAATTATTTAGAGTATGTAAACTACTTTTTTGTCACATATTTGACAATTGTGTCAACTATTAATATATTATAAAATAGAAAGAAAGCAAAATCCATTCTGTATTGATTTTTGAAGTGTCAGTCACATTTTATCTGTACTCCACTACATATATCACTAGTTAATTAGTTTAATTGCATTCTCCAAAATTGAAATTTGAAACTAAATTTAATAATAAAAGTCTTCAAAATTAAGGCACTGAATATATATATATATAAGTTAATTAACACGATATAGTAGTTACATTAAACTCACATTCCCCCGAATAATGGTGGATTAGAGATTTGCGAAAATATATTTATTTATTTCAACCCTATTAGATAGATGTTTTTGTAATTTTGAAAATTTATACTAAAATAATATATGTGGAAAAAAAATTAAATAATTATTTTTTTAAGAATAATATCAAAAGTTTTAAATATATATATATATATATATAGGTGTGTAAAGTGAGTGTTACACTTTGAGACAGGCATGAAGAATTTATGAGCACCAACAGGAAAAAGAGACAAAACAACAAAATATTTAACAGATTTTTGTTATTCTGTTTGTTTCCCTTTTTCAAATGGTGTATATATATATAATTAAAAGGAGGTCCACAATTTGAGTGTGCAAAAACTAACACAAGAATTATTGTTAGATAAGGCAGACAGACAAAAGTAAAGCCACTTTAGGGTTTTTGTACAAACGAAAGAGGAATGATTGAGCATCATTTTATTTTATTACATAATTCAATTTGCAAATGCATATTAATTATTTTGCATGCTCTTCTGGAATTTGCCTATATATAATTAAGTAATAACTTAATAAGATTATATTACAAGCTAAGGCGCATGCCATGCTGGGATTTCATTATAATCATTAATATACTAGATTACATGATTTAGAAGAGTTAATTATATATAGAGAGGACTAAGTAAATTAATATTTAGTGTTTGGTTTTAGGTTTTGATTGAATTATAATTTTTTATAAATTAAATAGCCCTATGATATATCATAACATTTTAAAAAAATAGTACATTTTTTTTATAGAAAATCATAAGTGAAAGTTATAAAGAAAAAAAATGTATTTGTTAGAGATCTATACATAAACATGGTAAGAAACTAAGTGTGTTTGTTTGAAGGATTTTGGTGGATTTCCACTATTCATCCAATTTTTTTCCCCCAAAAACATCAAATCAAACACCTATTTTTCATTTTTTATATTATACTAAAAATCAATTTTACATTCAAAACATCACATCAAACCCTATTTATATCACATCATACAACTATTCAAATTCAAAATTTTTACTATTCAAATCCCAACTCAAAATCCAAACCTCCAAACAAACACACCCTTAATATATTATTATTATTATTATTATTATTATTAGAAATTGAATAATAAGAAGCTTGTGTTTAATTTATCAATCCTTGAATAATCTTACAAAAACTGTCCATCAAAATTCAGCTTCATAGTACACAAATACATATATATTTATGAAACTTGTAGACGAGTTTCACATGACTTCCATAAGGATGAAATATAATCATTCATAGCATCTGAAAAATCAATAAATAATTTTTTTAAATTACAAAATACTCGATTAGAATTAGAGAAATAAAAGGTTTGTCATTCTGTAAATACCTTTTCTTTCCAACTCCCAAAAATAAAATTAAAAATCCAAGATCCATTTTTTAGGAGACCATAAATCAGTGACAAAGAATATGTCCAATTCAATTCTCAATATATACAGACAAAGGTCCAATAATTGATGTTGCACGAGACCAAAAATTTTATTGGCAGCAATAATTCCAGGACATAATAAAAAGTCGACGAATCTTCAATAATCGTTCGGGCATATATATATATATATGCAATCTTTGCTACGACATCTTTTTGTGAATGATTGTAGATGGGAATAATTTGGTTCATTATTCATTGAGAGGACAAGAATAAGGTACAAGCTAGCTTCTTCATCAATTAATTATTCACATTATTCTTCATAATTATAATTAAAAGTGTGATAAAATCGATCGAAAGATTTGCAAGAGTTCGACTCAAAAGTTATACTACAAAATTTATAAGATAAAACATGCTTCAACAACACGACCTTGATAGTGAATCGGGATTCAAATTATTGCAAATTTTGCTAAAAGAAATGTAAATATGAAGTAATATTAGGGTTTCTTGTTTATATTTTTTAATGATTTTAGAACTATTCATTGATATAATATCTTAAAAAATATAATTACATCTATAACATTTATTTGTTATTTAAAATATTATTAAATTTATTTTTTCCGTCCGAAATCAATATATTTATTTTTCTATTTTGATTTGTTCAAAATCAATACATTTATTTTTTTTCTTTACTATTAATTTTTGTTTTACAATTTACATATTATTATAAAATATAATCATCATTATTAAAATAAATTATCTATTTTCTAAAGTTAAAATTGTAAATTTTCTTTTATTGTTTAACATATATTTATAATATTAATATTTCAAATTTTATTTGCAAAAAATAAATGAATGCATATATATTAAGCGAAAAGAGTATTATCTTTTATCCCAAATATCATATTCAAAATCTATGTATATCATAGGTTTATTCACTATTTATCATCTATAAATATTATTCAATGTAATAACAAAAAAAAAAAGAAAACTTATTTAAACAAAAAGTTAAATACCACTTTATTTAAAATTAATTTCAAACCATAATCAAACAAATACCATATTCAATATTATTTTTGTTTATACTTTTATTGTTTCTGCTTGATTCTAAATATGAATATTGTAACATATATATAATTAGAGCATATTTAAGAACGTGTTCGTTTTTTGAGATAATATAAATGAATATTTTTGTATGTGAGATACGAGAATTGTGTAAAAAATATAAAAAATAATAAATATATATGATATATTAATATTTTTGATAATTCATCTATATATATATATTGTTAAAATCACACACTCTAAATATTTTACTATTATTATAGTTGTTATGGTATAACTCTTTGAACACCATTTCCACACTCTAGCTCCATGTGTGTGTTGGCCAAAGAAATTTTGGTAAAATACCAAAATATAGCAAACGATTTTGTTGTACCTAAAAATATATATAAATATTCAGTTTGGCTATACGCAACGTATATGCACTCTTACGTACTTTGACCATCCTATTCCTTGCTTCTCCATTTTTTTTCAAAATTTCTAATCTATTTGATTATCATATGTTTTTGGAATATGAATTATTGTTTGTTTGAAATTTTTTTGAAATAGATCTTGGTTTAATAAGGTTTTATGATACGATGCAACATTTGATTTAACTAAATTTCAAATATATATTAAAATATTAAAAAAATATATTTCTCAATCTATTGTATATTCAACATAGATTTTATCTTACACATCTGTTAGATAATTTACAAATTACATGTAATTCCCTATCATTTTGAGTTTTTAAATGTGAAATTTTGATAACATAATGCTGTTCTAGGGGAAAAAATAAAATAAAATAAAATTTGAAGCAATAGAGAAAAAGTTGTATATATAAACCTACCCTTTGTATTTGTATGTTTTATCAATTTAATTTTCAATTGATCACGTCAACTATTTTATGTCAAATCATATTTAAGACTAATATCCAATTCAAATAAATATAGCAAAGAGGTATAACTAATCAATTAAATATAATATACATATATATTGAATAAAGTTGTCAAAAGGATACAAACACAATGCATTTATTTGTATTTACATCTACAACATGAATATTCCTACAACCACATACATATAAGCTACAATAACGCTAACATGCAAATATGGCATCCCCCAACAAAGGCCAAAGCTCCCGGGTTCGATCCCGAACGTGACGTGAGTGTGTGGGTAAAAATATGTATATATATATAGTATAGATCGAAATCGACAAGAATTGGACGCTAAACTCGCCGACCACGATAGTCTTGCCTTTTGTTACGACTCGTGAAGTTCATCGAATACATACCGCTCACTGTCACATGCGAAGCCCGGGATGAAGCCTCGAGTGGAGACTGAAACCCGACATTTTCCACAGCGCCGACGGTCTTAAACAGCCTTCGTCGGTTCACCTCCTCCACGAGCGACCTGTGGAGTAGCTGGCTTCGGATGTCTACTAGCGACTGGTTCCTCATCAGCGCCGGCATTATCCCCGAGCTGCTCCTGATTTTCGTATCCTTGGTTCGCCTTGGGGAGAATTGTTTAGGACTTTGAGCATCTTCGTAGTGATCGTCTAAAGAATTGTAACCCCAGTTGGAATACTTCCCGGAATGGGATGAGCTTTGCGAACTGGTGTCGTCGAATGAATCACCTGCGAAAAATAAATAGTTAGCTCTATAGGAGAAGATAAATGAATCTATAGATTTTGTGTTAGATTAATTAGATTTAAGTCTATCAAGTCTGTTTTATATTGCTTATATATAGACTTTTTATTTTGACAGTTTCCGCAAAATATTTTCACAGAATCGAACAAATTCCGGTGGTCATGAGAAGTACCTTGAAACCAGTGGCTGCCGCCGCCATGGGGCTTCATGTCCCTCCGGTGAGAGGCTATCGACCCCAAGGCCGAGACTTGGGATGACGAAGAAGGCGAGAAGAGAGTGTTGTGATCGTTATCTTCGTCTTGAAAATTTATTATACTGAATTGAGCCGGTCGAAGATGATAAGGATGATCGGACTTCCAGCCTGGAACGAGGCCGGAAATCTCCCCATCGATCATATTCGCTATTTCGGATGGCCTCCAGTCATTTATCTCCAGCTCCTTCACCATTTCATTCGCAACGTCAAGCGGAGTATCATTTACAATGTCGAAGGGAAAGAACACGTTTCTCACAGAACCTGCAAACTCTCGAGACTGTTAGCTGTGTGAATCTTGAGCATCGAAACAATTCATATATATATATATATATACTGCAAATGTTAAAAATAAGGACTGAGAAACAGAGACTCGCCTTCTTTATCGGCAAGCTGCACTTTCAGGAAAATGGTATCGTCCTCGTGGTTTAGCTTCCCGGTGATGGTCATGTTAGTCCTCGGTGAATCATCATCACTCAATTGCAGACGCTCGAGTTCAATCCTATCGTTCAAGAATGGCTTTTGGTTCTCAATGTTATAGTGGAGATGATCATCGGAATGAACAACAGCAAGGAAAGGGTCGAGCATTAGTTCTTCCGCGGACAATCTCTTTGGTGCAACCTCCAAGCACTTCCCAATGAATCGTTGAGCGTCCAAGTCTTGGACTTTGTAGAATGCCCGCGGCTTTTTTCCCTTAAATGAAACATTAAATGGCACGGTTTCAATTTCTGATCACGGTGTCTAGATTTTGTTTTTCCTGACAAACTGTAGTATATGCTCTTACTGATATCACTTTCTTGTATATCTGTGCTGGATTGGTGCACTCACTATAGGGATACTCCGACGTGATCATCTCCAGAACACACATTCCGAATGAGTATACATCAACAAGTTCGTTGTAATTCTCTTCGTATAATTCTGGTGCCATGAACTCGGGAGTTCCTATAAAAGTTTAGACAAGAACTAATTACTAATCAAGACAACGAGTAGAAGCAACGACATCTTATCATAACCAAGCAAGAAGAGCAGCTACCTATGACACTGTGTGCTCTATTCGATCCTCGGAGAATTGCTGCAAGGCCAAGATCACCAATTTTCACTTGTCCTAGGTGACCATTGACGAATATATTATCGCACTTAAGGTCTCTATGTATCACGGGAGGATCATGGCTGTGCAGATACACAAGACCTTCAAGTATTTGCCGAGCCCAAGTCTTTATAGCTCGAATATTCACTCGCTTATACTTTGCTCTATATCTGTGCCAAAAAAAAGAAACAAAATCAGTTTGAAATTTCAGAACAGGTAAACTATAAGAATTGCTACCAGGCCACATATAAAAATGTTCTGTTAAACAAATATTCTGTCTATACAAATCTTGTAATTCAACGGCTACACATCTACTCTGTTAATAAATGATTTTATTTGAAACATTACTAAATTTCTACAAGAATACGTCCACCTATTTCAGATATTCTACACAATGACATTTTCAACACCTAAGCTCAAGTTTAGGTGTATAGCTGTCTAAGTTGACTAATTACATAAATTCAAATAATAAAATTGTAATCTAAATAAAGTAGAGAGTTGTAGGGAGTGTATATTACTCTCTGAGGGTGCCGGAAGTGAACATCTCGGTAATAAAATTGAATGTTCTCTTCTCCACATCGATCCACGAAGTGTAGAATCGGATGATTGATTTGTGGTTGAGTGTGCCGAGAAGGTGGACCTCGGAGTAGAGCCGTTGCAAGTCCTCTGGAGTTTGAAGCAAATCAGCAAGCCTCACTTGACTCCATGCTACTTCCACCCCAAGCACCTCATCAATTGCCTTATAAACTGTTTTCATTGCTCCCTTCCCCAGGATTTCCTCAAACTGTCAATCATTAGTAATTATAAGAAAAAAACAATATGTAAGGGATTCGTGTTGTATGGCAAATGAATACCAACTGGTTCAAAGAGAAAATCCTTCGAACACAACCAATCAATACTTGTTAAGCAGATTGTAAGTAAATATATCACCTGCTTAAGGCCAACAAAAATGAAGGAACAGAATATGAAAATCTATGCAATACCAAGACACTCGGATACTCAACAGCATGTTAGTTGGACCTTATACTTTCCTTCACCTTATTCAGAAAATCCCTTACAGGGCTATCCAATTTCCATAACAAGTAATAGTATAAGGACTTTGTTTATCTAGTAAGTAGAGATTCACTCATACTTCCATATTAATAATAATCGAACCAAAGCATACAAACAAGCATCACAGATCAAAAAACAAAGCAGCTTACCCTGCCATATCTACCCGTTGGATCAGTTTCTGCATATCCATCATCAGCTGTTGATTCATCAGCCTGCTCCTCTCTCTTTGCCTTATACATGTTTGCTTAAAACTCTGTTGAAATGAAATTTTGTTATAACCAACCATCCTCATGAAGTAGGATTATTTTCATTGAACTATACAGCTTCACAAAGAATGAGAGTAAATCTGAATACCAGACAAAAAAAACACTTGGGAATTGAATAATCTGAGCAAATAAAAGCCGTACAGTACATAAAAAACATAAAAGGAGCAACCAAGAAAGTGGAATTTTTCCCCGAACATGTTGTTCATGACAAGAAAACGTCAAAAAGGCTCTGGAAATTTCCTTCAATTCCAAGTTCACCACGCACGTTGGCTTTAAATAATTACGATCCCTAGCATCTCGTTTCATTGATGAAATAGTTATAGCCTCGATTGGGAAAAGGAATCAATACAACGAATAAGACCTCCAATACATACAGTAAATGATAAAAATACAAGCACACAGCAAAGCAGCAAGAGATTAAATTATTATTATTATCACTAACTTTTTTCCCTGAAAACTGAAAACAAAATCTTCATCGATTAAAATTCTGCATGCTTCAGAAAATCAAAAAATAGAAAAGCACCTACCTTAATGCGCAGATTAACAACAACAACAACAATATCTACTCCCAATTTCACTCAGCCAAGCACATATTCAGCAAAACTAAATAAACTAAATTCCTCAAATTCAACACCAATCACCTGAACAAGAACTGCTCGATGCTTGCAGCAACGATGAATCCCGTACGATTTACAGCCACTAATTGAAGCTTCAGGAGAAAAATGTATGCATAAATAGAATGGGCGAAACAGAGCAGGTTGAGAGAGGGGTTTGGCGTGTCACTATATATATACAAAGATAGATACAGTGATATACATACATATAGCTGTGTTTGTGCATATGACGGAGGTGTTTGTATTTACGTGCGTAACGGAGTTGGCCGCTTCTGAGAATTACACTGTTTGAATTTTCAACGGCGTTATTTGGGACGTCAGTTCTATTTGTAGACTCACTCTACTGCAGAAGATGTCAATTTTGAATTTTCTTCCTTATCTACATATTTCGGAAATTAAATTAAATTAAATTAAAATTTCTTCTTTATTATAATGATTGCAGTTGGATAATTTGTAAGAGAATGTTGGCTATGGTGTCCAAGCAATAATGTCTTTATTTATTCATATTTTTTAAGGATTGTATTTTGGATAATGTATAAATTTTTATTTTATTTCTAAAAAATAAATATTGATTTGTATTAATCGAAGTATCTCGTGACAGTGAATATTTAGGGAGGGTTTACTTGTGTGTGTGTGTTTTTTTTTTTAATATTTTTATGTGTAAGTTTATCTAGTATTTGAAAATTTTTTATGAGAAAATTAATTATTGAAATCTTTTAATTCAGTGTAGGTGCTAAATGATAAAATTATTATTGAATAGATTATACAAATTTACAAAATTTAAATATTAGGTCGATTTCAATACATATATAAGTAAAATAAAGCAAGTGAAGCAAATTGTATCAATTTTCAATATTATTTATAATCCCTATTTGTCAAATCAATATTTTGTTTTGTGTGTAATGCTTCTATACTACAAAAAAAAAAAAAAAAAAACCATTATATTATGTAATAGTATAAAAGTAAACACAAACACTCTACATTATTGTAGCTGACAAAATAGGAAATGAAAGGAGAATTTGATCAGAAAATTCAATAACAAATATACAATTGAATTTAAAAAAAAATAAATAAATCTGTGTTACTTTAGAGTTTAATTTTAATTTTTAGTTTGAACTTGATATTGTATAAATACATATATATATATATATATACATATATAAACAAAACATTACGATAATTGTATAGAAAAAAATAAAAAATAAAAAATAAACTAAACCCTACAAAGACAAAGTAAAAAAATAAATATTATAAATAAATATCAACTAATATATAGTGTATTTTGGTTGTCTTCCTCATTATTGATTTCATACGTAGATACAAGAATTTCAACAAAATACATCTGCCAAGATATAGGCAAGATTATATAAAAGTACCGAGAGTTTAGAAGTGTATTGAAATATTTAAATTTATTTTTTAATATTTTAAATATATATAATAATAAAAAATTATCAGTAATATTTTTAAAGAATTGTATAGGATAATCACGAAACAAACACACAAAATACACAATGGCATTAAAATAATATGCAAAGCTGCATATTACACAAACAAAAATCTTTTGACCCTAAATGAAAAGCCAACTTATGGAGTATTATCATTTTTGTTCAATAGTAAAAAAATAAATAAAAGTAAAAACTGCCTTGTCTCGAGTACAATTTATAATACACTTGGTTTGAAAATTATGGAATTCGATTATCTCAATAATAATTATTGTAAAAACACCCCAAAAATAAATAATAATTGTGACGAAAATTCAGTATATACATACATAGTACCTGATTTTAGGTACCTGACAATATTGGTTATCCAAAATTTCATTTTCATGGGTATACATATACATATACATGTATTATATATCCAACTTGAGCTGCTGAATGAGCTTATAGTCAATTGAATATTAAATCTATATTTAAAAAAGGTTTGAAATTAATATAAATACAAATAAATAAATAAATAATTTTTGGGTTCTTATTGTGCTTCAAGTCAAATGGTAATTCAATATATATATTTAAAAAGGGTTGAAAATATACAAATTGCAGTCACTGTAGAATAAATAAATGGTTGCTTTGGTCACGGCTACACTGAATCTGATCAATCAACAATAGACACCCCAATAGCCTAATGATAATTGATATATATATATATATATATTTATATATTGAGGGGATTTATTATTGTTATTATTATTTATATTCAATTTTCTTAACTAGTAAATTTATGAAGCCCAACCCAACCCAAAGCATATATTGTGGTGTGGAATGCTTTCTAGCACTTAACAAGGTTGTAATAAAACTCAATGATTATGCATCCTAATCTTATTCCTAATGCCATTTTACCACACATAATGCATGTACATTTACTATTTCCATCTTTAAAATATTGTAATTAAAAACTACAAATATATATAAAAAAAAAAAAAAGAAATTGATATATTTGGTTGTCCATTTTATATAAAATATTACATTTAACAAATATTTTTTTTTAAAAAAAAAAAACCTCCGTAGGAATCATTTGACGACAAGTATGTTGTCCTCACCAATTTTTTTAAGTGTAATTTACAGATTCCTCCTTTTGACTTGTCGCTGTTAAATTATAAAAAATTCTGAGAAAAATATCACGTTTTTTGAAATCGTGTTTTGGTGGGGACACAATTAATTACGTGCACAAAAGAATAAATATATAATATATGATAGAGAAAAGAGTTGGATTTGTATGTCTGCCACAAACATCTCAGGCTCAACCAATACATCCTTCCTAGAAAATATTCAAAACAAAAATAATGTATAAATCATGTTCATTTGGAATCAATATTGGAATATCCTATAAAAATAAACCAATAGATATCAGTCACTTGTAGATGATGTTTGCAACCAAAATATTTCCTTTCAATCCATCAAAGTTGAACATTAGTATTAAACTATGTGATACTTTGTTAAATCAATTTAAGTAACACCAAACAATAACATTTAATTCCGGATAATATTTCTCCATACATAGGAGCTAAAGTAAAACATCTGTCTTAGCATCGAATTAGGCGGGCCGGCTAACAAATTAAATGCGCTCGTCCGGACATCCCTGACGACCTTTACGATTGTCGCAAAAGACAAAGCAATCGAATGTCGGATGTTAAAAACACGAAATTTTATGGTAAGTTAAAAAGAAAAGGGTCATATAACGGCATGGCATACGGAAAACCATCAACAACCTAGATCAAACTACATGATCTCAATCCGATAAATTCCAAAACCAAAGCTCCCGACTACACTACACGCGCGCACGCTATTCTATCGACCGGGCATTGTCACAAAAGGACAAAAAAGTTACCTGACATCATAGATGGATAACTCTCTCCGGCGAGCTCGCCTTCGCCTTTGTAACTAACCTAAGAAAGTCCTCAGCTTTGTCAGAATCTACTATAAACACATGTTCTTTCGTTCTTTCGCTGTTTTATACAGATGTGCATTTTATTTTTATTGACACAGGGGTGGGAACTCGTCTTGGTTCTTAAGGTGGAGCGTCCCATCCGCAGCCCTGGAAGTTCAAACATGTCAATCCGCGACAAATATTTGAGGATGTAAATAAAAAAAGGAGTCGGGAAAATTATTTATACCTCGGTCGCACGATTTCCATCCTTGCTCGCCTCTGTGTTCTCGGCGAAGAACCCAAAGGAGATGCGCCTTTAACATAACCAGATCCGTCAAGCATGTCTTCCGCCAAATTCCCCACAGATCCGAATTCAATTTTACACGACGCACCTGGATAGACATTGATTGGTTTCCTGTCTCCGACCAACCGAGTGGGTTGTTTCCATGTGCTCGATTTCCTTTGTCCCTGATATTTGCTTTCATAGTTGTGGTATTCGAAAGCATCTGGATCTCCACGAGCAGGATATGTGCCATTCTTGTTCTCGTATTTGTGAAGATGGTTGTGGTTCCCGGATCCATCGTTCCTTGCCAACCTCCCGAACGAAGGTTTCTCTACACAGTAAACACTCTGCAAAAAGATATCAAACATCGGCGAATAGCAGAAGCGGGAAATAAAATGGCATCTTTAGATTGTTAAGAAAAAAATTATCTACCATTTGCGGGAAGTACGTGCCGGTGCCTCGAGCTTTCGTCTTGCCTTCGAATTGGAATGCGGTGCCGAACAAGGCAGAAGTAACGCCGGGGTGAACTATATGATCGGTCGATATTTTGTGAACATTCATCGCAGGTAGCGTATTCTGCCTACCCAGGTTGGATTCAGAGAGGCTGTCCTGTTTCGTTTTCTTGTTCTGAGTCCCGTCCACTAAAGATGTAGAAGATGAAAACCTGTAACAGAAATGACCACGAAGTAAACTTCTAATGTGACAGTCGTAATCGCCGGTTAGGTCGGCCAAAGGATCGATAGCTTCCAATTCCCCGCCGAGGATCGTTGGAGATGAGCTTTCCAAAATACCGGCTTTGAGGGCTGAACCCGAATGCATCAGACAGACAACTTCAGGATTGTCCGTAAAACAGTGATTCGCAGCGTTCATTTCTGCGTGTTTACCTCTGTCCTCCAGCCACGACTTTAATCCGAACTTCTCAGCAGATGAGTTCATATCGAAGTGTTGCAGTTTATGGCAGAGGTTCTCGGAAAGATAAGTGGTGTACCTCTCACTCGAAGTAGATCCCGACTGGCCATTCCTCAGTGTCGAATTAGATGTTTCAAAGCTATCTTTGTCCCCGTTCGTGCTCTGTCCAGAGATGAAGAGACTGTCGGTGGAACCACAGCCTTCCGGCGAAAGTTCTGTCTCATAGCCGTTCCATGCCTCTAACTTACCATTGTTGTCTAAGTCACTGTCGGACGACTTCAGAGGTAAATCGTACTCAGATGACAATCCATCGGGGGATGATAAAGAAGCAGTAAACGAGTCGTCGTCGTCAAAATCGAAACCAAAAAGCTGGAGACGACTTTGGTATTGCTCCCCATGCCGTGCACGGGTATTTGCAAAAAAATTGTATATCTCATCGGCGACTTTGTCTTTCGGCTGCATAAGGATTTGCCTGAGTTTGCGAGCTCCGTATTTAAGTGCACTCTGTATGCGATAGAAATTACCTAAAACAGAGCACCGAATATCATCAAGTTGTATCAGAATCGACAATATAGTAACATTGTATGTTTCGCTAAAAAGAACATTAATAATTCACCTCTGTTTACGCTACGTCCGAGGTTATTGTAATCCTTAAGAGGATCGATTATATTGAGGTGTTTGATCTGAAAAGTTTTCGAGCTGGTGTCATCCCCTCTGCTAGAAACAGAATACATTTCCAAGCTCTTCTCCAAGAATTCTTCACTAATCAACATATCTTCCCCACGACTTTCAGGCATCCTCACTGCGAACAAATCAAAGAATACCTTTACATTATAAAACATTTTGTTAAAAAGCGAAAAAGTAAACCAAAAAGGCGAGAATCTTCCAAAGCTCTTACCTACGATATCGGGTAGAGAAGATTTACAAACAGGACCTTTTAAACTGATGCAATAGTTTTCCCAGTCAAACCCGCTGTAGTAATCCAAAAATCTAAAGAGTACCTACAAGAAAAAACATATCGACTATAAACTCAAATATCAATCCATTTCCTTGGTGTTATTACAGCTCGTTCACGCTAAATTACCTCCAAAGGTCCATTCATTGACGAATGGAAATTTTGGAATATGTAGAGGATGAGAATTTCCAAAGCATATGTAGAAATCAAGCCATGGTGCGAGCCAAGTATTCGACTCTCATAATAGCACCATGTTTTAATCAGTATAATGCTACGCTTAAAGAGATGACTTCTCCCAACTAGACGATCCACCTGTACAATCAATTAAACATAAGACAACAAATGTACAGTACGCAATCCAAACAGCGAGGAATTCCAATCGTGCACATAAATAAAATGTGACGTAATCCGAAAGCGAAATTACAATAATAAACTACCAGAATTAACCTTGAGGATCCAGTTTAAATTGGACAGATCAGATTCGTTTTCACTTTTGCTTTGAACCAAATAATGAGGGAAATCAGAATCAGGTTATATCTGCCGTATGCTCAAATATTTCGCCACATAAAACCAAAACCACTGAACAACAAACACTTTGCTTCCTAACTTAACAAAAATGAAGTCGTCATTGCTACCTGTTCGAGGAAACAAAGCGTAGACAGTCCACCCAGCTGATTAAAGGATATGTCCATAACAGTTCCTCTCACTAGGCATTTCACGATCTTAACCTGCCATCAGTGACGACACGTAATCAAGTCAGAAGCTTCAAAAACGGCGCGCACATCATTCAGTTAATAAACCAATAACTGCCTACATGGATTTCAGGTAATAGAACAGGATCCATATCAAGATTATTCTCGAAATGCGAGAAATGGAGATAAAAAACTAGAGTAATTCAACAACAGAATTCAAAACACATCGAGGAACAATATTATACAGCAGGGACAACCTCGGCGTCAATAAATTGAGTGTCCTTAACTTCATACTCAGCGTTTTCATTATGCTCTTTGTCCTGCAGAAGAGCAAGAACATCATGGGCAAGAGATTCGACAGATCTTCCACCTTTAATTACAGTTAAATCGATATCGCCATCAGGTAGATACGTCTTCAGCGGGACAGATCCATAGCAGACAACCTGGTATTGACGAAAAGAAGTCATAAAACTACAGAATACTCCATTAACAGCCTAAAGATTCGCTAGTCTTTTCACAAAACAGACAATACTCCTACTGTTCAAGAAATTCAAAGCACAAAAGGCAATCATTTGTCCATTTCATAAGATCGCATCCAAGGGACCTCGTACAGCAGTATCATCTAAAGCAATTTATAATATAAACAAACAGAAGAGATTTACGAGGAAAGAAAAAATGAAAAATGAAAAAAGAAAAAAGAAAGATTCACCTCACAGTTCAGACGAGTGTTGACGAGTTGTTGAACATAATCAACGACGATTGTCCTCTTCTCTTCAGAGTCGAGCGTAGGGTGCACCCAATTAAGCACGTGCTCCGCCGCTTCCTCGGCAACAGACAAACATTCTCCGCTAATCGGCGGCGGATCAGGCGGAGGGACAGCCTGCCGCCGTAGACGGTCGGCCTCCTCCGCAGAACCGCTTGAATTCGCCGCCACAAGTTCAACCACTTCTCTCGACATTTATAATTACAGGAAAAGCAATAGAAAGATCCGAAATCAGAATCTAAAAGGGGGAGAGGCCTCCGGCGGATTTACCGTCCGTCACTTTTCTTGCATCCATATGCCACCGCATTTGCCGATGTTTCTGGTCCTAAAATTTCTTTTCCTGACATAAGAAAGGGGAAAAAGACAACGATTCCAGAGGAGAAGAGTTGGGACTTTCAAATTAGGGGTCTCTGCATACACGCGAAGCAATTGGCAAGGATTAAGAGAGGTTTTTCAACGCAATTGCTTCACAAACATAATTCAAAACAGGGGCAAACTAGAAATTCGGAGACGACAACGAAAAAAGATTTGTCTGTATTCCATCTTCCTCCCAAACCATTACCCCCTTCGATGACAAGTCAATAATCAATCCATCTCCTTCCTCAATCCTCCCCCTTCTCAGTCCCCCTCCCTCTCTCTCTCTATATATATATATACCTCTATATCTATGTGTATTATAGAGAGCGAGAAATCGTACTGAGTTCTAGATTTTCCGGTGGCCCCCTTTTTTCACAGCTCGTGAAAACAAAATTGCGACAGAGAGCGAAGGAACCGCGGCGAGGGGATGATGGGATGGAGAGGGAAGAGGAGAAATGGACGCGTTTATATACACAGGGCGCTTCGGTAATATTCTAAACGGCGTCGTCTTGATGGGTGAATGGATAAGACGGCGTCGTTCTACGATTTGGTGGGTCTTTCATTGGGCTCGCTCGAATCGATTACGGTTAGAGATTTTGTATTTAATGGAAGGTTAGTGTGGAAAAGGGCGTAATAATATCAAATCCCAAATTATTTATTAAATTTTCTTTTTCTCTTATTTTTTTTGACTTTTCTGTCCCTCTTTCACACGCACACATATTTATTTTCGTATTTGCCATAATATATCGAAAATAAGTACTATGATATATATATATAAATATATATTATATATGTATTGCCCCATTGTGGGCCCCGCGTGTATTGTTGGCATCTTGTATTGTAACTGTAATAAGCAGCTCTTTTGCAGATAATATTTTTTATTGGTTTAATTGTTTATAAAACTAGTCTCTCTGTCTTTAATATTGGTTTTTTTCTTTCGTATTATACTCCATCCTTCTCAATTTAATATATATATATATATATATTTTTTTTTTTTTTTATTTGTGATGGAGTATTTGTGCTTCTTTTTTTTCAGTAATAATTTAATATGATATATTTTGAGTAAAAATAATACTAAATTTTTTATTAAAATGGTAAAAATAAATGGCATTTAAATTCAATTTTAAATAAATAAATCAAACTTAAATATAAACACAAACCAAACAAACCTAGGGTATGATTGATTTATTAAAAACTCAAATTAATAATATTTATAAAATATTATATTCAATATTATTTATATCAATATATATATAAATAAATAAAGAGAAAAAGAAATAACTAAATAGAAAAATTATGCTAAAGAAACATACTCTTATTTAAACAAAAGTTTTTGTTTTGTTAAATAGTTTGAAAGATATTTTTTAGGTTAGATGTGTGAATAATATTAAAATATTATAAATATTTTTTCTATAAAAAAATTAATTAGAATTTACTTTTTTATATTAAATATTATTTATATATCGTCAACTTTCTTTAAAAAATCTGAAATTATTAATTATGGTATCAAATTAGTAATTTTGATCGATTAGTGGATAAAATATAAATGTGTTGGTGAATAACGGTAATACTTCAAATTCGCAATTATTTTAATAAATTTTTAAAGTACACGAAAATTATAATAAAACAAACTAAAAGTAATAGTTGATATTTGAAGTCAATTTACGATTCTTCGATAGCTTGTCTCATCGTACAACTATGCATTAATTATCTTAATTATTATTATTTATTAAAAAAATATATTTGATTAATAAATATCTTGACATGATCGATTAAAAATATATATATATAGAGGAGTATTTGTTTTGGATCTATTACCTACTATTTCCAAAAATTATTTTTACAAAATGAATATATACAAATAATAAAAATCAACAAAATCACAAAAAATATTATTAATTGTAATATTTCAAAATTTTCTTTATATGTTTTACGGTTTTAATGTTAAATAGAAAATTCATAAGTTTTTTTTTTTTTTTTAATCTCAATTGCAAAATAATGTTAAAATACAATAGCGTGTTTAATAAAATATCTTTTTAAAAAGCATATGCAATGAATTTGATTATTTTTGTTTCTATTTTCTCATAAGTTGGTTAAATGTTAAAGTTTTCAAGCAACACATTAAATTTGGAGAATATATGTCAAATAATATATATACATATAGTATTATAATGTAACCATAAATTATTGTATAGTACTATTATTATAAAAAATGAATTTGAGCTTGCATAACAATAGTTTTAGTTTATGTAACAATTGTTGGGATATTTTATACGATAAAGTAGTGTATATAAATACATGTTGATTATTTTTAAATTTCAATTTTTGTTTAAAATTAAAGTTAATGTTGTATAAAAATGAATTTTGGGCTTCTAAAAACTAATAAACTATATATATGGGTTGGAAATGAATGTAATTGCTTTTACTATGGGTTTGTTCTTTTGATTTTTTCAAATCAAGATTTATATTATTCCTTCTATATGGTTCTTTTTTTTTTTAAATAAAAGTGAATTATTATTATTTTTTTACAAAAAACTATTTGAAAATATTATTTAAATAAAAATTTTATTTGATATTATATTTAAAATTAATTTTAAACGACTAACAATTCCTATAAACTTTTAGAATTTGAATAATTGTATATGAAATCTAGGTTTTGTTATTTCTATATTTGTTTTCACAAAATTTTTTAAAAAAAATTAATATAGTACACGATATTCATTATTTTTATATTTTTTTATATAATTTTCTATACTTTACATACAAAAAAAAATCATTTTCAACAATCTCACAAAACAAATATACCTAACAATGATCAATAATTAATAAAAAAATTCAAAAATTCCTAAACATTTAAAAACGTATATTTTTTTCATATGTCAAAAAAACAAAATGTCTTTAAAGCTTGAAAATAAATTAAACTCTAATAATGTATAATATAATATTTTATGAAAAATAAATAATTCAAATAATAAAAATTTGGAATTTAAATGGTAAAGAAACACACATCATATATGATTATTTATTTAAATATATATATATATGTATATATATAAATGGCAAAGAGGGTATAGTTTTTTTATTATTATTAATTTTTTTCGTGTTTTGGTTATTTGGGTGTTGTTATAAATAGTCATGTCTTAATTAATTTGGCAGTAATGAATGTTTAATTAATTAAAATGGATAATTAATGAGGGTGGTTTGGTAGCCTCGTAGGATAATTACTCTTGGATTTGGTTGACCTTATTCATGTGATCCTATAGGATTTGCGTTTGACTATGGTAGGCTCTTTTTTTCTGATTTTAATTTTTACTCTTTTATCATTTTAATTCACTTTTAAAATTTAAAATAATTATTAAATTTTTATATAAAATTATTAATTTATTTTTTTAAAAAAAGAAAAGTAAAGTATTAAAAGAGGCAAGAAAATAAAGAAACAATTTGGTTATTGTTTCAATTCCAGTTGATCTTATACTTTTAATTTATTTTTTTATAAATATCCATTATATGTTATTTACTCAAAATTTATTCCAAATATATATTTTTTTAATAAATAAATATTTAAATATATAATTTCTTATTTGTTTTTAAAATTAATTTATATTAATTATGAATAATTTTTTGTACTTTTATTTATTTATATTATTATAAAATTTTATTCTTTAAAAATTATATTCATGTGTATATATTTTATTTAAATATAATTATTAAAATAATTAATTACATATTTTAATTATATATAATATTTTAATAATATATATAATACACTATAAATCAAACATTAATTAATTATAGTTTTTTTATCATATAACAATGTTAGGAGCACTCTATTGACATACTCGTATATTCATGAGAAATAAAAATAAAAAATTTTAAATTGTGTGTTTAGTTTCTGATTTTTTTCTAATAGTAATTTAATACTACTATAATGTATTATGAGATGAAAAATATATATATTTTTATATAATATAAGGTATAAATAGTGTATAATAAAAACTAAATTTTCGATCGGACTTAATAAATTAAAAATACAAGCAAAAGAATACAACAATTAAATCATAATTATTAATTTTAATTATGAATATTTTCCATTGAAAATAGAAAAATATTTTTATTGAAAACAAATATATTAAATATTAAAACATGTTTGATTTATGTGTGATATGATATTTTATTAAAAATATATATTTTTTCTATTATTAAAAACTATATGAATTAATTTAAAAAAATAATAATAAAAAATAAAAGAAATCCTTACATTTCTTTTAAATATGAATCACACTTTTGTCTTTAACTTTAGTTGATATTAAAAAAATAAATAATTAAATAAATTAAAATAAAAAATAAAAAATAAAAAATCATGTGACATTTTATTTATTCATATGATAATATAGAAACTTGCCGTTGAAAATTTTTCGACTAAATCTAATAATTTACAGATTAAACGGCATTAGGATTTGAATAACGACATTTTATTTTTCATTTGGTCAATGTTAGTGGATTTGTTTAGTTTTTGTTTAGGTTTGTTATTTTTTTACTTGTATGTTATTTTAAATAATAGATTTTTAATAAAAATAAAATAAAATAAAATAAAATAATAAATATTCCCTCCGTCCCAAACAAGGTGCTACATTTGAGTTGGATACGGGATCTTAGATGAGAAGTATTAAGTAAGATAATTAAGTAATTAGGTGATGTGATTGAGAAAGAAGTGTATATTTTAATTTTTTAATTATGGTGATGTGATGGGATAAAGTGTGGGGATATAGATTAAGTATAATTAATTATTTCATAATTTAGAAATATTGCAGGGTATTTGGAACATACCAAAAAAAAAAATATTACGCAATGTTTGAGACGGAGGGAGTATTATTCATTTTATCCATCAAATTTATATATGTCTAATATGTCCTTCTATTTTTCATTTATAGGAAATACTTCAATTTTTACATATTTTTTTAAAATTTTTGTCATTCAATATTTTACTTATTAACTTACATATCACTAGCATTTACATATTTAATTTATCTGTTTTTTTATTACTATTATTATTCAGCAACTCACTCATATATATATATACTCCTTTTCCCTTAACAATCTATCCATTTTGGTCCGTCTCATAACAAAGTATCAGTTTCATTTTTTTTAGTAATTATATTATTTACCTAACATTACGAATACCCTTCTAATTTATAATATATTACACAAATTCCATTACATTTATATCATACAATACTAATAGGGTTAATTTAGTCTTTTTACCTTTATTTTTATTTTATCCCAATATAATACTAATATTCCTAAAATCTCGTGCATAAACAAAATAGATAGATAAATTGGGGAGGGGGGAGTATATATATTTTTAAAAAATTCTTTATATAAAAACCAACTAATATAATATTATGTTCATTAAAATTGGTGTCAAGCTTATATTAAGATTTTATTATTTATTACTCCTATTTTATTTTTATTTTTTGACCAAAAGGATTATTATTACTCCATTATTTTACCCGGAAAAAAAAAAAGAAGAAAAATCTATTGTTCCATATATAAGTGGTCCAAAATAAAATAAACATATTTTTTTTTTCCAATTTTTCAAATGAATTATTCAATATTAAACACTAACAAATAAAGAATTGTCCTAATTTGTGATGGGATTTCTCTTGTAATTATACTGAAACTATCCACACATTAATTTCTTGTAGATATTATTTGCAAATGTGGTAAAGTATATCTTCTCTAATTACTTGACAAAATTATAAAATATAATAATAGGAATTAATTTTCACATTGATTGTGTGGATAAACTTTTTTCACACCAAGGCCATGGACAAGTTAAATGTATTTTATGATAATATCAATATTAATGATGTTCAATAAATAAATAATAGGCAATAGTTTATATATATTATGGGTTTGTTGCTCTAAAAAAAAATAAAAATTCAATATATATATTAACATTCAATTTTTATATTATTTTTTAAAAAATAATTTTATTTATTTTCTTAGTAAAATCATTGTATAAAATATTAAAATATGCCATCTAAAACAAATTAGTGTGCACAAATATATTTCATGCTGCTATATTTTTCTTCTTTATTATTTTTTTATTTTTTATTTTTTATTTTTTTGGGTATGAAAGAAATTCAGATTTGAAGTATAAGAATATTTAAACAAAATCATAATTTCAAAATAAGACATTCAAAACTCAATTTTTATTCCCATAATTATTCAACTATTGTTTTACCAAATAAATATAAATTTGTTACAACATCCAATCCCATTTTACCATAGATAGTATACATTGCAAAAAAAATTTAGTAACTGAAATCCCTTTTTTCCTCTTTTTTCGTAAAATTGTCATCATATGTATATTTTTTTTCTATTGGAGGAATATTTTTCCAGATTTGAAAGGAACATATATTTTAGGATAATTTTATTCATTATAAAAACTCAACTTGAAACTATATTATTGTAATTGATGAATATCCAATAATTTTCACTCATATTGAAAATAATATATACACAAACTTACATAATAGTACATAATATATAATATATATTTTATCTAGTAAATATTAAATATTATTCTTTATATTATAAATATGATTAGTGTATCTAATATAAAAACATTAGGGCGTGTTTCTTTTGATTTAAAATAATCCTCCCTTTGTCCCATGTACCACGTTCACGTTGCCGTTTCTGTCTGTCTGACATACCATGCCATTTTTTTTTTTTGGAAAATGATTACACACTTTAATCTCATTTTAAACTTTTTAATTTTATTTTTTTAAAATTTTAATTAAACTAATTAGTTATCTTAATCTTAATTTATAATTATTTATATTATCGAATAATTATTTTCACTAATACATTCTTAATTATCTGCTAACACCTCTCATAAAATACACTGTATAGTGTAGCACGGTAGGTGGAAAAAAGAGAGTATAAAATAAAAAATAAAGAGTCAAATAAAATAGAAATTTGAGGTTTGGCAAGTAAAGAAACATACCCCTAAACAAATAATAATTTTTCATAAAATGGTGTTAGACTAACTTGGCCCATTTTCCGAGCACTTTAGTATACAATTTAAATATAATTTTATAATAGCCCATTAAGGCCCAAACCATTTTCTTTATTTATTTTATAATTTTTTTATTAGAGCGGTGAAGTCTGAAGAAACGATAAAAACAAATTTTATTGTCGTGTTTTGTTCAGCAACATTGTATATTAAAATCGCTCAACGATTTTAGATGTAATTGGATGGAACTGTACAGAGTGTAACCGGACGCTGAGTAAACCAGACAATTGGTGTATCCAGCTAACCATGGTTACTTTCTTCCTTCCATAAGCTCCTGTTTCTCTCTCTCTTCATTTCCTCCATCGTCTTGTTCGAATCTTGCTAATCGGAATTTCAGACTGTTTTTCCCCCTTTTTTTTGTTCCTCCTTTATCCAAGAATCATGGTGTAGAAGAGATTCTGATTTGGAAAACCTGCCTCAAGCTGTCGCAATCGTTTGGCTAATTACAGTAATTTTTAGCTTACTTGTCTGCAGGTTTGAGTTCTTCTTGTTGGATCTGTTCGTTCCGTATGAATGGAGGCGCAACGAACAGTGGATTTCGAGCATAGAAGCATGGATAAACGACCTCGAAAGAGGCCTCGTTTAACAACATGGGATATGCCTCCTGCTGTTGTTCCTCCGGCTCCTCCGAAGGTACTAACTCATAGGTTTTTGTACGTTTTTTAAGGAATTTTGAATTTGTATGAATGTATGCTACTTGAATTATTTAATCTCGTTAATTGATTAGTTATTAGCTTGAAATTCATGAAAATTCCATCCATATTGTTGTTGCACATGCTATACTTGGGTCTGTGGTTTCTAGGGTTTGTAATTCCAGGACTTTTTTTCAGATTTTTATAATTCTTCAAAAAATCGTAAGCTGGAATAGATTTATTCATCTTTTCTTTTTCCATATCAAATGCTCCTCGGGATCAATTGTTAATCAGCAGTGAGATTCAACTGTAGAGTGGTTAAAAAGTTGGAAAGATATTATTTGCATAGAGGTCACTAGAATGGGAGTAGCTATACTACGTTGTGTGATTGGTGATTATGAAAAGTGGAAGAAAGTTTGGTGATAAAGTTAGCAAGCAAAATTAATGTTTAAGTTGGTTTGAGTGTTCCCAAAATTATCTCTTATACTTCCCTTAAAATTGAATTTGGCTTCTGTGTAGATCCTACAAGCTGTATACTGTGCCCAAGGGCTTGGAGTGGCCCCAAACTGTTCTTATTCTTCTCTATATTATAAGGGGATTCCTCGTAATGCATCTCCACCATGGAGACCAGATGATAAAGATGGACATTATGTTTTTGCCATTGGAGAGAATTTAACTCCTCGCTGTAAGATTTTTTATTATTTTTATTAGAGATCCATGTTGGGAAAATAAAGCGGGAGAAAATCCGAACAAGGGAAAATTCAAATTTGACATAATTCAAATCACAAAACCTGAACAGGCAGAAATTGCATCACAAAATCCAGTGCAACGCGAGGCTCGAATCTTGTGATTCGATTTCTGCCTGTTTAGATTTTGTGATTCAAATTCTGTCAAATTCGAACGTTTCTTTGTTCGGATTTTATCCCATCTCATTTTCTGGTTTTATTTTCCCAACAATCCTTTCATTCTGGTACCTTTAATTTCCAAGCATGGGCAGCATCGGTAGCGGAATATTCTTTCGTCATCAAGAAAGGATGCATATTAAGTATTGAATATCCGACAGGGTTGAGTTTGTGTTGTTGGAATCTTTCTTTTGATTATTGCATTAAATCAAATTTGTACACTAAAGAGAGAAAGTGCACACTGAGGAAACAGATAGGATAGGTCAATTAATTGGCTATTGCATTGCCTTCTAGATTGGAAAAAATTATACTGTGTTGCAGCAGTAATAATATTTTTTGAAAAATGAATACCTTTTTACTTTTAATCCGTTGTCTTGGATATTAAAGTTTTATGACGAATTGCATGATTATGACATTCTGCGTCTAAAAAGACATTTTTCACTAACATCACTCCTCACATGTTCCAAAGCAAAAAAAATTATCTAGCAAAGAAGTCCTGTTATGTTGTGAAATATTCAGAAAATGTAGCCTTATAATAAATGCTCCTACAGCACAATGTTTTCATCGAGCCTGACGTAAGAAGTAAAAAATTATGGTGAGCTACTGTGTACCATCAATGCTACGTATCATTTTAATCTCAATAAGATTAATTCTTTAAAAATTGAATGGAGATTCTTAGTCAATCCCTCTACTTTTTTTAAAAGTATTTTGCTTCATAATGATGAAGTATTAGGTGGAGTACACAGAGACTGGATGTTTCTGTGTTCTTAGATCTTGTTACACATATGGTGCTTTTGTGCATTATTGATTTTCTTTATACATTGCACTTCAAAACGAGGGAAATAATAGATTGATATGAATTGCTATACTTATAAAAATGGTAAGACCTTGAATTATTTGCAATGATTTTCTTTCATAGCATCTACGAGGACAACTAACACCATTTCTGGCTGTGCTTCATTGATTATGCCATTGATGCTGCTGCTATATTTGGTTTTGATTGATTTTTTTTTTTTTTTTTTTTATTACCTTCATCAGCTTTTATCTTTTCCTGATCACATCATTTCCTTGTAAATGCAGATCGCATACTCAGTAAAATGGGAGAAGGTTAGTATTTTACTTCTTTTTCCCTCATTCTGTGCAGACATGTTATGGTACTTTTAACATTTGGTTGTATTTAATCTCATGTGGTTGTTTCGTAAATTATTTATCATTAATTTGATGAAACTGATGCAGGAACTTTTGCACAAGTCCTAGAATGTATAGACAATGACAAGAAAGAGATTGTTGCAGTTAAAGTTGTACGTTCAACGCGGAAGTACCGAGAGGCTGCCATGATCGAGATTGATGTCTTACAGAAACTATCAAGGCAAGATGTCTATGGCATGCGGTAAGACTCTTCCTTCATTACCCTTTATATATCAACAGTTGAAATTTGGAGTTATATTAGCGGTAGTTGTTTGATTTTTTGCAGTTGTGTGCAAATACGGAATTGGTTTGACTATCGTAATCATATTTGTATTGTAAGTATTTAATGTGATTTGTAGCATGAACTTGTATGTTCTTCATGGCCCAATATTCTGTATGTTAAATCCTTTTGCATGAATTTAAATGGTTTTAACAGGTATTTGAGAAGCTTGGCCCAAGTTTATATGATTTTCTACGCAAAAACAGCTATCGTTCATTTCCCATTGATCTTGTTCGGGAGTTTGGCCGACAACTTTTGGAATCTGTGGCATGTGTGTGAACATATCTTTGAATCACTGTTACTTCTTCCCTTCTATCGCTTTAATTTCTTTTAGATGAACATCCTATTTTTGGTATCACTGCAATATCTATAAAATTTCTGCCTTGCTCACCTTCCTATATTTGTTGGCTGTCCTTGCAGTTATGCATGATCTACGCCTGATTCATACTGATTTGAAACCAGAAAATATTCTTCTTGTTTCCCCAGACTATATCAAAGTTCCAGATTATAAGGTGATTACACTTTCATACTCATTTTTGCTTTCTACCTTGTTTCACTCCACATCTCTAGCTCTTCAATAGATACTCCAGTCTCGTGCAGGTGCTTACTCTGCTTATTTTGCCTGTTTCTTTATGCCGTCAATTCAAAGGTCATTTTAATATTTGTATTTGTTGGATCCTATGAATTAAGTCCAGAATTTCACAAATGATGGAACATTTAGAAGAGTGATCTTGGTGAATAAACAGGTTCTTTTGTCTTGTGTCATGTATTATTAACATTACATATTCATTCTATAGGCTTATATTCTGTATTATATTGTTGTAAAATATCCTTGATTAACTGTAGAAATGGTCTGTGATTCACAACATGATAAGTTGGCCGTGCCTAATCTTTTGTCCCTCCTTTTATTGTGTGGAATTTTTATGTGAACTTCCTCTCTCTCTCTCTCTCTATATATATATATATATATGTTGCTTTATACAATGTAAATTCTTATGAGTGATCCCTATTTATTCCTCTTTCTTTTGAAGTTCCTCCGCAGACCCACAAAAGATGGTTCCTACTTCAAAAACTTACCCAAGTCAAGTGCTATAAAGCTTATTGATTTTGGTAGTACTACATTTGAACATCAAGATCATAACTATGTAGTGTCCACACGTCATTATCGTGCTCCAGAAGTTATCTTGGGTACTTTCTGACTCTTACATTTTCCCTTCTTGCAATTCAACATTCCCCCATTTTACTCACATGGTCGTCTTGTATATCTCAAGGACTGGGTTGGAACTACCCCTGTGATATGTGGAGTGTGGGTTGCATACTTGTGGAACTGTGCTCTGTAAGTTCCAGATCTTCCATACTTTACATACCTTCTTAATGATTGGTTACAACTAAGCGATTTTGTTATATTAGGCACCTCGCAATTCTACTCTTTTAATAGTATTAAATCTTCTTCAGAGCAAATATGGTCTGTAGGTTATTTTAATTTTACTTAGTTGTCAATTGAATTCCATGTTAACGACATGCAATCAACATTGTTCTGGTATTCATTATAAATTGATGTGCTGGTAAAATATTGAAGATCATGCAAGTGACTTGTTCTTGCTTTAATATTGTTTTGCCTTGAAAAACTATCACAGGGGGAAGCACTCTTCCAAACTCATGAAAATTTGGAACATCTTGCAATGATGGAAAGGGTGTTAGGTCCACTACCTCAACATATGATTATGCGGGCTGAGTATGATATGCTTTTATTCTGTTGTCTCTTTCACAGAATAATCTATGAGGGTGATATTTCATGTTTATTTCTTCATTTCTTTTATAGCCGGCATGCTGAGAAATATTTTAGAAGGGGCTCAAGATTGGGCTGGCCAGAGGGTGCAACTTCTAGAGAAAGCATCAGGGCTGTTTGGAAATTACCCCGGCTTCAGGTGTTTTCACTACGTCTACTTATATTTTCAAATCTATTTTCACACTATTCATCAAAATTTCTTTCTAAAAAACATCTCATCCAAAACTTATTTCTCTATTCAAAACTTCACATCTAACTCATTATATTAGCTTCTTCATGACAATTTCACTTCTCTAATTCCCCATTGCATATGCCAGAATCTGATCATGCAGCACGTGGATCACTCTGCTGGGGAATTAATCGATCTTTTGCAAGGGCTTCTGCGGTATGAGCCTGCAGAACGGCTTAAAGCAAGAGAAGCTCTAGGTCACCCGTTTTTCATGCGTGACCCTAGAAGGTTTGATTATCCTCTTTGAATGGAAATTCTTGCTAAAGATTCCATGATCAAAAAGAACTTCACTTCTACATACCTCACAACTGTGAATGAGATTTGATTGAAAATAATTGCAATTGTATGGAGGCTTGTAAACACTACTGATTTGTTCTGCTGCAGTCTTTGACAACTTAAAATCATTTTGAATCCATTCCCTAATATGTTGTAAGTATACCATTTCTTTCAGGTGTGTATTGTTTGAATCTTTGCTTCATATAATTTCTTGGGAGAAATGTCATGCAATATTATTAGTGCTCTTGGCCTTTTTGTTCTATGTTTGGTCTCATCCTTTTGTTATTCAATTCAAGAAACTTACTGATATTAATGCCCTTGGCAAAATGTGTTTTCTTCTTGTGTTGTCCTGCTTGATCCTGACTGCTACAGGTATAGATAAGAACTGTTCACAGATCTCCGGGTCATATAGCTTGCAGAGCACACATCCGACTATGGAAGTACATATTTGTGGATGGGATAAGCTTCATATCAGATAGTATTAATCTACGAACACCCTCGATGTTGCAGCAATGGCCTTCGCCACAATCAAGGCTGGTAAGTCCATTTCTTCATTCACCTGGTCATTTATGTACTGCTTGGTAGTTTCTTGACTTTGATAATAGGGTATGATTTTTATCTAATTAACTATTTTATACTATACTTAGTTTATCACACATACAATCTCTATTATGCTTAAGTTGGATAAAATGATTTCATATTTGCTATCATGTTAACTGAACATGGTCTTCCTCAGTCATAATCTCTAGGAAGTAATGTTGAGATAACTCATAGAATATTGGTGCTGAGCCATGTTCGGTTTTGAATGTTAGATGGTAATACAGAATATGTATTATTTGTTATTCAAACCAATTCCTTGGATACACCAAAAAAATTTGATGTAGGAGATGAGGATTAGGGTTGAGTATCTATTACATGATGACAGTTGATATTTAAGGATGATGACAAGGATTAGTTTAAGAAGACTGAGATCCATTCATTATAAATACTGATTATTGTCAATAGAAGGCTAATAGTCTCTGGTAGAAGGTAACACTTAACTCTTAAGAGATATATATCATTAAGATGATTTACTTTTGGGTTTGTTTGCCTAATTTTATTTATTTATTTTTATCTTTTATTTTTTACTTTGTATAGAATATATATATTTTATTTTCTTATAAAAATCAATATTCATAATAAAATATTACTTCGAGTGGATGTGCAGGTCTTTGAATATTAATGATTATATTAATACTTATTAAATTTTAAAAAATAAAAATATAAAAATAAAATCTTACTTCCATTGGATGCGCAGCTCTTTGAATATTAATGATTATATTAATATTTACTAAATTTTAAAAAATAAAAATAAAAACATTTATATTAGTTTTTTTATAATACAAATGCAATGAAAGAGTAATTTATGCAAATATAAATATATTTTTAATATTAAATATAATAAACACAAAAGACAAATATTAGGCAGTATTATTTTTTTATATTATCGATACAATTTTTTATATCTCATCTAAGAAAATATTTGCATGTCCAGAAAATATTAGAAAAAAAAGAAGAATTGAAATAAATTTTTTAATATAATATTTTTAATGAAAAATTATATACATTATAATAATATTTTAAATATATAATTACTTTAAAAACACATAAATGAATACACCAAGGAACACACTCTTTGAATGCCAGAGAGGAGAAAAGTGGCCCCAACTTTGGGTGTGACTAATATTTGACAATTCATTTTAATGAAAATACGTTAAATATGAAAATTTCAGCATATATATACTTGGATTATACATTACAAATATAAAAAAATAAAAACATAATTGAGTAACCGCTGGCCGGGAAATAAGTATTTTGGGCATTAATCCCATCAAATTCAATTAGTATTTGAAGTGTACGGTATATCATAATCATATTATGATACTGAAATAATTTATAATCATGTTCATGCACGTCATAATTTAAATTGAAATAGTTACTTTAGGAAAATAATAATAATTATATATATGTAGATGATCCTCCAATATTGTCCTAATAATTATTGTTTTGACTATGTAAAGAGAGTGTCTTTTGACAATAAAATCAATTATATTGAACAAGTAAGCCTATAAGATAACTAAATGAATATGTGATCCAGTGTCGGTGAAGTCATTATCACAATACGATTGTGCCGATAGTGACATATTGTCTACTTTTTATACCAAGCCCTAATTTTCATGATATGATTTATAGAGGAAATAATACATCAAAATATCATTAAACTAAGACTAAAAAACACACAAACCGAACAAAATTATCTCTCAAACCAAATATGACCTTAAATCTACATCAAACCGAAGATAGCAAGTGAAGGACGTGTTTGTTCCCAATTGTTTTACTCATTTTCGTAATTCACAACAGTAAAATATTACTTTCAATTAAAATTACTATCCACGCAAACGTTCAAAAACAACCATATTAGTTCTTAAAACCCTGTCATTCAATAAAAATTTGAAATTTGATTTCAATTTGTTGCAACTTCACAATTCTTATAAATATACACTATTTCATCTTCAAAAATTTACATTCAAACCATTATTTAAATCAAAATCCAAGCCTAAGTAAGCAACTTGTGACTTGGAATCATGCAGTCTAAACAAAAATATTTTTTTCCATCAAAACATCATGCTACAAATTAATTTTATATTCAGCGCTAACCAACTAATTCCTAATTAAAACATCAAATTTAAAATTTATTTTAAATTCAAAGCACTTGACATCCAAAAACTCAAACAAATGCACCCAAAATTTTGTACCCCCCTCTACCCCTTCTATTCATTTTCTTAATTTCTTTCCTTCATCTTATTTACTTACAGACTAATAGCAAAGGAAAGCATCTAAGATTTTGTATCAAATGTCCTTTTATTATTATCATTAAGCTTTCATCAAGCAGCATATTCCTTCATTTGCCGTGTCGTAGTAGTAAACAAATGGTAACTACTATTACTTACTGCAGCACAAATATTTAAAAGACTCATAATAGAATATCAATCAAACACTAGATTACAAAACTGCTACATTTCAAAGATGCAAGAGCATACCTTTTGATTTGTCGGTCGAGGCCGAGCCTGTAGTCGGTAGTCCCTATCATCACATCAATGCCACACCTTCCTTCACCCATTATATAAAAGGGGGTAGTAAATGAACTATAGCATCCTTTATACAAGGACATCCTTGTTCGAATTCCATCCCGGGTCTCTCACAACACCATCAACTATAATACCACCTCCACTTTCAACATTTAATAGGGGCTCGGATTCACTTTCTTTGGCCTAGAGAATCACAGATAGATATGATCAATGCAGCAACTTCGAAAGAACTGATGAGTTAACTATAAATCAATTGATGAGTGATTGTTCACCTGCGAGAGTTGAGCAGATGCTTCAGCTGCTACAGCCTTTTGTTGGGTTTCTATGTTGCAAAAATAAGAGTACAGAACCATTCCGACTACAGCAACCAATATCCCTAAAATGTTCCGCCAGCTAAATGGGTCGTGAAGGAGAGTGTACCCAAATGCCAAGACAAGGCATGTTTTCAAATGCCCTAAGACCTGATATGTGACTGGTGATGTCTTCCCGATTACCAGGAAGGTGCTGAAGTTCACTGAGACCGATATCAAGCAGGAGAGGACTATAAACACCTGTTAACAGAAAGAACATAATCAGTCGTGCACCACTTCACATGATGATGCAGAAAAAGAGTTTTGGTCTTGCCCTCACCAGCACTTGAGGAGTGTAATGGAATGCTAACACATTCTGTTTTGTAAGGAGGCCATCGATAAAAGGCCCAGATACGAACAGAATGAGAGCTTGGTAGGGACAAGATTGATACAGAAGTTGAGTAGAAGAAACTTTGAACTTTTTCTGGATGGTATTTGTCATCTGATTGTATTTAAAGTTAAGATACACTTTTTTGGATGTATACCAAAAATTGGGAGTTTCTTATCAAGGCAGCATCATTTTATCAAAATTGAGAACTCTTCATGAAGCATGAATCAGGGACAAGAAAAAGAGACCAGACAAAAACAGTAAAGGATACAATTTGTGCAACACAGGTTGTAACAACAGCAAGCAGAGATAAAACAGAGCCAAGGACATTGAGCTGCAAATCAGTGACTGTGGCAATTCCAACACCAAGAAGAAGAACAGTGAGGGAAAGCTGCACTTTTCGACTGTAAAATGGTGATTAAAAAGTATTAGTAGCCAAGATTTACATCTAGTACATGCAAAAAGTGAGTATGAAAAAAATCACGATTCATAAGTAACTATTAGTAGCCAAGGAAAATGTGGTGAGAGAAAGAAAAAGAAGAAACTCAGATCTTTCTAAATTTTTAATGACCTAGCTTTTGTCAAAATTCCAAAATTAGCATATTTTGTACTAGCAATTATCCCAACACACTTTCTAAGAAGATACAATGAATTTACTGCAGCTCCAGCGAAATTATATTATTACATTGGAAACAAGCCTTCTGTTATTTGGTTATGGATGCAAAAATAAGAAGGGTATCTTGTTCACATTTAGATATTATGCATAAGGCACAAGTATAATAGTGGATGAAGAATTACAGGCAAGTAATGCATATATACTCATTTTGTGGCAGAATACCCGCTACAAATATCTGAAATCTGAATGATACAAAAGATTCAAACCTGAACATTTTCCTGAAGAATAGAGTTTCTAGGAGGACAGTGCATGGGATGATTGCCAATTTCGTCATCTGAAACCCATAAACCACGAGAAAGGAATTAGGAATGTAGATTAAGGGACTATCAAAATGGATATAATATGTAGTACTTTAGCAGACTAGACGACCTCTCCTCCATTGAACTATTCTGATATTGCTAATGAAATTTCTATTACACTTGGTGTAGTGCTTCATAAGCTAACGGGAAATTGTTTATTGTAGTGGTAAATAAGAAAGGCACCTAGATAAATAAGCTTCTAAGTCAACAGTTTTTTGCTTCGTGATTGAGCACGAAGTGTAAAAACTATTACAACTTGCAGAATCATGTCAGTTATCGATGGGCTGAAAATATAAATTACAGCTGGGTAAAGGAGACGACCTGATAGAAACCCACAGAGTTGAAACCCAGACTAAGATTCAGAAGTCCAATAGATGTTCCATTTAGAATTCCAAATCCCATGACTGCTCTAGAATCAAAAGGTTTGTGTTCAAACCACTTCATGCATAGAGCCACATGAAGGGAACAAAATGTGACGAGAAGATGCCAGCTTGTCAGAGTTGTAGCTGAGAAAATAAAATGAAGACACCAAAGTTGATTAGTTCAGGAAATTTGGAAAGCCCTCTGAAACCACTACTATCTCCGAAAAGGGAAATAGCAAGAAAAATATATACGGCAGTATACAAGCATACTACACAAGTGATAATATAAAGATAAATTCCATATATGAGATGACAAATTGCTGCATTAGGTAACTTGCTTTCATTATTTAGTCAATACTTGATTATCATGTTTTAACGAACAAACTAACCTAATTCCTTCAGGTAAACAGAAACATCATAAACCCGTTCCAAATTACATCCTTCCATCCTTTGTTAAATATAATGACCAATTTTTTTCAAACCTCACTACTCTGCTCAGTATAATTATGATAATCCTTTTTTAGGTAATAAAATGGTTCGCCGCTAACACAAGAACAGCAACAGACAAAAATAGAACGTCAGAAACCATGAAAATTAATGTTTCCAAAATGCAAGGGCGCTAAACTCACACACAAAACTATCATAAATGCAGTTATTATTTCTCAAGATGACGTCAAGACATTTCTCACCAAAAGTAAAGCCAAGGGTGCTGATGAGCGCCTTGTTGCAAATCACAATGGACACTGATGAAACTACAGAAAGACTTAAAGCTCCAATTGTCCCCAGCTGAAATCGCTGGCTGTCGGTCATCTTCAAGGTCTCCTCTCTGATCTGATGGACATATCAAATCATCAGCGAAACCATAATCAAACACACAGTCCACAATTCTTCACGAATTTCTAATGGAAATTACTTAATCGCGATCCTTCAGATGCTCAACTGTCGCATTTCAAATCCATATTTAAATTACCAATATCCAACGACAAATCAACAAACACAACTCAACTTAAAAACGAACAACACCACAAGCAACGAGCTCACGCAACGATAAACATCATCAGCGCAACTTCAACAAAGCACCAAAGGCGAAAACCCCTAAACACTCCAGAAATTCCAAAACTTCAGATCTGCGCTATTCCACAAGCAATCACTCAATTCCACTCCCGCCAAAACCACAACAGCCGAAAACACTTCCTTACACTCGCTCACTCAAAGCAAACAAATTAACAAACAAAGCGATATAAAGAGATAAAGAGCTACAGTACAATGTATACTCACGCTGTTTCTGTCGTATCCTGGAAAGTGCACCAGCAAGGAGCTCCTCAGATCACCGACGACGATGGCGGTGATCCGATCCGAAGCGGAATTTAATACGGGAATCTGAACAATAGTTTCCCAGAAAAAGAAGTGAGAAATCAATGCAAGTAAAAAGTGGGCGAGCACAGAAGTGGTCGAAAATTAAAAAACAAATTAAGTAATTTGCCGCTGCAGGCTAAAAATCTTGTGGGGTCCAAAATAGAAATATGATAAAATTCAGGGAGTGGCCTTATATTTTAATGTTTTGTTTTATTGTCCCGGTAACTTTTTCAAAGCGAGGATCATTTTCATCATTTGTCTATGTTAAGTATGTTTAGAATAATGTTTGAACTTTTGAAAATTTTGTATTAACAATGGTTTTTTTGCTCAAAATTTTCTTTCTTATATGAGTTTTAATATATATATTTTATCATTTATCGTAATTAATATTCAACTTACATTATTTACTATATTATCGACACAATTTTATATATCTTATATAAAAAAATAAATCAAAATACTACACAAACAAATCTTAAAAAGTTTGTTCTAATATGAATTTTAATATTTATTATTTTTATTGTCAAATTAATCTTTTTTTACCTTATACACTTTCCATATCATTGAAAATTTCATTTTTATTCGTTTCCATTTCAAAGTGTATATTTTTTTATTATAGTAGAAGAGTAATTATATTAATATCAAAATATATTTTAATTTTTACATGAATTACAAATATATTATTATATAATGTAATTAATTTATGTATAAAATACAATATAAAAAAATACTAAAACTATTTTACATATTTTCATTAACAAATAAAAAACATGATTATTTTTCAATCTATCGACAATAATTATACGCCCATATTAAAGAATATCAATCAAGTCGATTCAGAATAAAGGTCAATGTATACAAATGCAAAAAGTATAGTCCAACACAGTCTATTATTTATTAAGCTTGATAGTTGATTGATCGATCGATTAATTGGTTAGTGTTTTCATCAATCTCAATAGATTTATTAGTTACTACCTTTAATCGATCAATTAAATGGTCAAAGCAATAGTCATTAATCGATTAATTGAGAAGGAGATAGTGACCTTAAGTGAAGGTACCGAATAGAAAAAAAATGTTTTTGGCTATAAAAGAAACAAATCATGCAAAAATGGGACGATCACATTTTAATCCACAAAATTTTCCTTTTTATTATATATATATTTTTTGTATTTTTTTGTTTTAAATTTGTAAAAATAATATAATTTGATCTTAAATCAAATACAATTTTTATTGCTTTGTTTATTTTTGAATCAATTTACATTATTTATTTCCTAAATATATAGCATACCACTGAAGTTATCAAATTGCTCGAGAATCCTTTAATCATCTCAGATAAATTTTAAACCGAAAATATAGAATATTCAGTCCAATAATATCATGTAAAATAATTATTTTAATTCAAAATTATATTTTATATAAAAACCCCAAAAACAACTATAAAATTCACAAACAAACACACCTAAAGAACACAACCTCTCAACGATAAACTGCCAACATGATCCTAATTGTAGGAAATTATTTTCCACCAATCCCCGTATACTTCTCACATTTATTTATTCCTAGGCCTAGCCCGCATCGGTAGACATATCCTAGCTACAATTAGCCTCTTAATATATATATATATATATATTTTATCCGTTCCAAAAAAATATTTTATTTAGAATAGACACAATAATTAAAGAATAATATCAGTATTTAATTAAAAGTAAGTGTAAAGTAGAAAATAAAAAAGACTAAAATAACTTACTTTTTGAATAATTTTAAAAAATAAGTTAAAGTAATAATTATGAATAATTTAGAAAAATAGAAAAAAAAAAAAAAAGACAACATTGAAGGAAACAGGAGGGAGTATATTTTTTTTATATCCTATTATTATTTTATAGTAATTTTTTATAAAAATAAATATTATAGTTGTAACCAAAAATAAAAATAAAATTTATTAAACACATACATCCAAATTGAAATGATATACGTATATTCATATTATTCATAATAATATTATATTTATTTACTTTTAAACGCAAAATTTTAATATCTTATTTTAATAATAAATGAAATAATTTTAAATCACATTAGCATTCAAAATAATATAAATATATACTTAAAATATGAGTTGCGAAGTGCAAACCAAACAAGATCTAAAAAAGAGTCTCGAGAACAGACCGCGGACTCATTTTGTACGGATAATTCCTCTTTCCTTCTGAAAATTAGGGCTTGCGATTCGATGGGCATTGATCCAGATATTGCAAAATGGGTGTTGGAGTTCCTTCTCAGGCAGCCGCTGAACCACGGGACCTTGAAATCCTTGCTTCGCGTTTTGCCACTCCGGGACGACGATCCCAATTTGAAAAAATTGCTTCTGTTGAAGAAGGTAGAGTCGGACGCGGCGAGAGATTTAATTTCTGAAGAGACTCTGGAGTCTCTGGAGCAATTGGGGGAATTGGAGTTCCGTAAGGGGAAGGAGAATATTTCCGACGCCATGAGGCGGGCGTACTGCGCAGTGGCAGTGGAAGCGACGGTGAAGGCTCTGGCGAATGAGGATGTGGGGGATGATCTCAGCCGGTTCAGGTATTTCGAGATGGTGAAGAGGGTCTGGAGGGGGCGGATGGGAAGAATGAAGGAGATGATGGGGGAGGGAGGATTGGGTTCGGAAGAGCTTTGGGCGTGGAAGGACGAGGTGGAGGCTGCGGTTTGGGATGACAATGTCCATGACGTAGTGGCGAAGAAGAGCCTGGAAGTTAATGCTGTCGAGGCAGTTGATACTTATGTGAAAAAAGAAAGGGAGATGATGGGACCTTCGTTTCTTGAAGTGGCGGCTGCGAGATTGAAGAATGATGAGCTTATGCAGAGGATGAAGCTAGGAGTGGGAAGTGTTGCAGGCCGAGTTTCCGAAAAAGAAGAGTGTAGTCATGATGGTTTGATTGAAGATGATAGACATGGCAGCAATAAAGGTAAAGATGGTTGTTTAATTGGTGAATTTTCTGACTTTTTGGTGCACTGGTTTAGGGCAAGTTCTTTCATGACTTACTAGGTTGCTAATTGAAATAAGGATATAGGTTTGACAATAGTACTTACAATATAAAAAATACATCTTTCACTATATCTTATGATTGAGGAATCCTGGTTAATGTCATTCAGCCTGGTTATTTATACTATTGTAGTTCTGCTTTTGAATTTTTGACAAATCTTACTGCAGTATCAATATGCTACATACCTTAACGCCTCGAGATTCAGGCAATTGCGGATGATACAACTAATAACTATGTTCTGTGTCTGCCATAAAAAGTTGTATCCCTTTATGCAAAATTCAGTTGTTGAAGCAAAGTGGTTACTATGTAATCCAAAAGTAAGGTGCCTGCTTACTCTTGTTGCAATATTTTCAGTGAAGTGATTTCTGGAGATGAAAGGAATGATTCCCGGATTTCACTGCATATTAAAACTGGGGAAGGTGGATGTCATTAGGAATTTGCAGTTGCTCTACAGAAATGGTTAGGTTTGAAAAAGGAAAGTTAAGAGTGGAGTTTGATCCTTGAGTTATTATAAATCTGTTCTAGTTCCTACAATTAGTTGAGCTGTTGCAGGAAAGTGGAATGACTGAGAAGTAAATGCACAAAAATACTGAAATACTTATCATGACTAATTCTGAATGAAAAATAACATAAACTGGTTGCAAGTTGGGTCTTTAAATGTCTATTTTGTTTTGTTGTCCTGTTTAAACTTTTCCGTACATAATTGTTCGGTTAGTGGATTGCATTGTGGTTTTATATTAGCTTGCATGAATCTTTTATAGGCCAATCTATTGATTTTTTTATTGTTGCTCTTCTTTTTTTTCTTCCTTTTATTTATTTAGTTATGGTTTCTGTAGAAATCCACAAAGGAAAGATTCACCTTAGAAACAAAGTTGTTGGATTGAGACACTGTGGAGGATCAGCATCTGGAAAATCAAGAAGAACAAAAATTGTTGATTCAACTGAAACAACAGCGCCCTCATGTCCGAATTATGATTTACAACACAGTGCAGAAGTTCATAGAGTTAGAGAAGCCCTTGAGTCAAGTTCATTGGAGCTCAAAGCTGCTGTGAAGGATCCACTTCCAGAAGCACTACAATATGCAAAAGCCATTTCGAGTGAGGCAAGAGAACGCAAACGTCATCGTCCTGTAGAAGACAATTGCGTTGAAGTCCAACCCATCAGCCATGATGGTGGACGAGAAAAAGGGGTCTGTGATCCTTTAAAAGAGAATTGTGTTGAAGCTAATACTGCAAATGGTAATGGAGTTGATCGAGATATTTCTCATAATGCGAGCAATGTTCGTAAGCCAAGTTTGATGGAAAGGAATGCTACTGCCCACACTTACGAGGTAATAAGCTTGTGCGTGGGTTATTTAAACTTTTTTGTTTTAATTAAGTGGATTGTAAATTCAGAGCCTGCCATGTTTTACAACAAATTCTCATCTTAAGTATTTCAATGAGGTGGTAAGTTTTAAATCCAAGTTAATTGGATGTAGGCATTCGAAATTTGGTGTAATGAACACTTATTGAATGCCAAATTTATTAATTTCTGTTCACATTGTAATCTGTCAGTGTAACACATTTTGTTGAGTCCTGCACAACTCACTTCGTCTGTCTTCTAGTCCGATTTATGTGAAGAAATCAGATATCTTGTTATCATTATAAGCTATGAATTCTATTTTCAGTGGGATGATTCAATTGATCGATCACAAGATGACTCTTCAGATCATCGACGAAGACTTCTCTTACCCAGCCCCATAGTGTTTAATCCTTCTCCCCTAAAGAGACAGGTAAGTACCAATTTGAACAGGAGACGGAAACCCAAGAAATGGAGCCTTTTCGAAGAAGATGCGCTAAGGGCTGGGGTTCAGAAGTATGTGTTCTACCTTATGTTGAATTTATATGTTGTTTCTAGCTCTCCCTTCTTGATCATACCCTCTTTATATATATATTTTAAAAAATCGTGCTTTTTTAGACTTTCATGTTTGAATTTTTTTTTTATTGTTCGGTGTGCTATTATCTTTACTGAGTTGACAAGATTCTCATTTACATTTCGGGATCAAAAGCTGTTTTCTTTCTCCTACATACATCCAAGAATATACTTATTTACACAAGTGTTCAATTACCTCAGGTATGGAAAAGGCAGTTGGAAGGTCATTCTCACTGCCTACCACGACGAATTTGAAGATAGAACGGAAGTGCGTATACGCATCCCTTATATCAATGATTACATGCTAATTTCTCATCTTTGTTATGCCTTACTCAAGATTTCTCAATTCAGATCGATTTGAAAGACAAGTGGAGAAACATGACCCGGCATGGAGGTGTCTGACAGAAGTTCTTGGAGGTAAACTGTAAACTGAATCTAACACTATATCTGCATTTGGGAACTGAATTGTAGCTTACATAAAGTTTCATGGAATGTTGTATCGTTTGATGTTTGTGTTTTGTCGGGCTGGAATCTCCATGGGATAGCCTGTCGAACGATCCGTGCATAAATCCCTAATGTTTCGGTTTAAACTATTTTGTTGTTAGGACAGAAAGCTGTATATTTTGACGAAGTTTAAGCCAATAGCGAAGTAGTACCGGGAAGGAAGTTTGAAAGATGAAAACAATCCCCATGGGGGAGTGAATTAGAATATCAAAAGCTTAAGTGCCTATGTTACATTAGTGGCCTTGTTGAATCCATTTTTTATTTTTATTTTTAATTATTATTATTATTATTCAATTATATATAATACAATAAAAGAAATAAAATCCATTGGTTTGACCTCGTGATGTAGAAATCATATGATGATCATCACTATGGCAAAATTGTTGATTACAATTTTACACTCAGATGGATATCTTCAACCCTATTTTAATTTGATATTGAATATGAGATTCAGGGTGAATTTGGTTTGAATGAGATAAAAGTTTGTTTAAAGATTGAGATATATTTTATTTAGACTAGTTATTACAATACATATTATATTATAGATAGGTAAATAAATAACAATGTGAATTCCATATTGAGAAGAAGATAAAATAAAATAATCTTGAGATGCATAAATGGTTACAAGAGCAACTATTGTTAAAGAAATTGTATTCAATAAATGTATTTAAATTTTATAGGATAGCAAATATTCATCAATTCTAGGGTAGTTTTTATTTATTTTGGGTGCAGGAGCGTGTCGTATGTTATATGGCCACGGGAGTGTCATATCATGTAGAAAATATCTAATGCTAAAGTCAAATCACATCTTCTAAACTTTATTGTAATATATCATATCATATCATCCTCTCACTCACGTATCCATATTTAATTAACTAATTCCATTTTCCATACAAGATATATATATATATATGTATATATTAATAGTATGTAGTTTACACATATACATACTGACATACACACCCCACATGTCCTATCATCATCATCATCATCACACTATGTACCTCGTGACGGACGAATCACCAATTCTATGGAAAAGTTACAATAATACAATAAAAGCCATACGTGTGTGTGGGTAAAGAAAAGCCTAATCCAAATTATTAAAGCTAAACTAGTATCATTCTTCATAAATTCTGCATCAAATATGTTCATCCTGTAATACACGACCATTTCTTTACATCAAATAATAAGTTTTCAAAACAAGCAGATGTACCTGTTAAAGTCAAGTTGGGGCTCATATCTACCAGAGCCACCTATCAATTTATTCCAAGATCGATACCCCCGCACAAAAACAAAAAATAATAAAAATCTTACACATAGATACAAACATACACACATAGATACAAACATACATACATACAATAGAAACGATCTGAAGCTTCAAAAATATCTGATCTGTCCTTTCGTAATTTAATCATCTCCATCTTCATCTTCAGTAGCCTCCTCCACCACCTCTCTCTCTCTCTCTCTCTCTACCAAATACTAATCCTCCCTCACCCATCACCTTCACCTTCACCTTCACCTTGCAAATTGCAATGGCTGCTGCTGCTGCTTCTTTCAGCTAATCACAAATCAAAAACATCATATACATATCTGTGTGTATCTACCATTCTGATCATCATCACATATCCTGCATGTATGTATATATCTGTACGCAAAATGGGTCCAGAGTCCAGACCGGCGCGGCTCCTCCTCGACTCGGACATGATGCTGGCCGGCTCGCCGTTGAACGCAAACCGGACGGTCGGCGGCTACGACCGGGACGCCAATTTCGACAGCAACATGGTCATCATATTAGCCGCTCTCTTATGCGCAATGGTCTGCGCTCTCGCCCTCAACTCCATCGTCCGCTGCGCCCTCCGCTGCCGCCGGACATACGCCTACGACGACCACCGCCCTCCCCGTCCCCCGCCGACTATCAAGAAGGCGGCGCCGCCGCCGCCGATTCCGTACAAGTCCGGAGCGGATGATATTCCGGCGACAGAGTGTCCTATATGCCTCGGAGAATTCGTCGACGGCGAGAATGTCCGGATCTTCCCCGGCTGCGGCCATGGCTTCCACGCCCCCTGCATCGACAAATGGTTGGTTCTGCACTCGTCGTGTCCCAATTGCAGACAACCTTTGAACACACACGACGATGTTAGAGTCCAAATCGATTAATGTGCAGCAAATGGTATTGAAGGAAATGTTTGTTTGGACAATATTGGAAAGATTGTTACTTTATTTTATCTATATCATTACACTATATATATATATATTTAACAGCATTGCAATTGTTGAGCTACCAAAAAGACTAGATTTTTATACACATACACACAGGTTTGAGGTTTCCCATCTCAAAGATTAGCTCCTTCATCACCGGCCGGCGTCCGACACCGGCTCTGGAGCGACGGGTTCTTCAAGAACGTCACCATCGTGGGGACGGAGATTTAAGTCGATCCGTCCCTTAAAGGGTTCCGGCTTGACTTGATTGTTTCCAGTTTCGGAATGGTGTTCATCGAGGTTTGGTTGGTTTCCCGGTTGCGCCGTGCTCTCCTTCTCGGGTACTAATCCGGGGTTGTGTTCTGGCTGTCGTCTACTCTTCTGCTTGGACACCATTTTTATGATCGTCAAATCTTGCTTTCCCTTCCTGCTCCGGGGTTGAATGCACACAATGCACGTGCAGCCTGGACGGTGTCGGGGATGCCTCGCCGTCTCTCCAACGGGGAGCTCATCTCCTAGAGCTGCCGCACTTGCCAACGCATCTAAACCCAATGCCGGCTCCGGATACTCCTCAATAGATGCCTTGTTGTCTGAAAACTTTATGTTTTTTAACTCTGCAAAGCAAAGTAAAATGAGGGGAGGTGTTGAGGACATTATGGAACAATAGGACCTCAGATTCATACCGTTGCTTAAGCTAAAGCATTCTGGATCTGTTTGATTAATACTTTCCGGGGCAGAAGCCGAACATCTGGAAAACAAATTGTTGTTGCTTATGTTAGTTACTTATTCTCAGATAATCGACGAAAAAACACAAACTAGTTGCTCGCGCTGCCTTAAAGAGATATACATATATATATACATATATATCAACAAGAAATGCTTACCGTGCAGGCTGAGTAATGGAAAGCATCCTCTGTCCAAAGATTGGAGGTTCCTATAAGATAAGAATGGTGATAAAGAAAGAACATCATTTAGAACAATTAATGGAGAGAAAACATTTCATGGTATAAGGATGGGGTTTCATTGCGTTACTTCAAATTCTTCGAATTCGTGCCCCTCAATGGTAACAATGGCTGGCTCGGAAAATGGAGAAGGACGTAGCAGCTCTTGTGCTTCCTTCCATGTAATTCTCAGTTCAGCAGCATCATCGTTGTGCATATGAAGCCTCTTGTTTTTAATGTTTTGGGTCCTTTTCTTCTCAGGCAATGTGTTTACATGTTGCTGGACATCATCGGATACTCTGCCTCCATTGTTGCCATTATCCTGGACGCCGCTAATCTCAATTAGACCATCATTCAAACCATACAAGGTCAAAAATGGTGGGTGACAACATACCGGAAGTTTATTTTCAGCACCACCTGGAAATGATGTTTCCATGGAAGTTTTCTCCCTGTTTAGACCCCCCGATTTCTGCACATCCTGCCAAATGGCCAGATTATAAAGCAAAGAAAATGCATTAGGAATTTGACCTACTTTTTGAGAAATAAAAATGTAAGCAGATACAAGAACACCTGCATGTTGACATCAAATGTTGCCTTTCGAGAGCTGAGCAAAAGTCCACCTTTTGACTCTATCCGACTGAATATCACTGTCCAAGAGATGCACCGAGTGCATACATATATTCATTATATGAGAAATCTCTCAAGGGAAATGTATACAAATGAAATCAAGGGTCATAACGAAGAGCTTTCACGTAATCCTCATCATTTATTAGCAACATAACATCCACAAAAGTCATGTAGCTTAAGAAATACATTCATCAAAATATCATTCTCCGAAAAAATTAATTCAGCACAAGTGTTTCTATATACCTGTATCGCCGGCTTGTAGCTGCATATTTTGGATGCAATCAGTTATCCCCTCAAGAACATACATCCTGCTGTTATTGTTCGGCCAAAATCTGAACTGAAATGTCCATTGTATTCCGGTTGTGTCCTGAACCCTTATCGAGACACCTTCTGAATGGTTGATAGTAGGAAGATATGCCTGCACATTTTTTATTATGTAAAAACTAGCACAAAACGAAGAATAGATATGCATAGCTTTAATTTGGTAGTAACAACTCACTTCTGCACATGCTTTGGGGAGGACAAGGCGACCGATTCGCCCAGCATCGCTTGCGCTCAGGACTTTCTCAAACAATGGTGTAATACTGGATTTCAACCTGATGATCAAATGTTAAGGTAAACAGAAGATGCAAATGTAATTACACACAAACAAATGCCAGGGAAAAAGCTATAAAGCATTGTGGATACATTCCAGACAACTGCTGCAGTTCATGGTCCGAGATCTGTGGCCAGTAACGAGGAAGCAAGTGAATGCTGCGTCGCCCCTCAGGGGGTGGCCTGGCAATGGGAATTTTTGAAACAACATTCGCCTCTTTGTTCGTCGTAAGGTTCAGCTTCTGAGGATTTGTAGAAGCATTGTTTGTACTCTGCTCCTGCTGGTTCAGCCCTTTCCTGCTTGAATCACTTCTGTTAATAATTCTAAAATCCCAAAGGAAAAATTAGTTGTAATTAGTAGCGATTCAAAGAAACATCGATTAGTTACAAGCTGCATACTTATTATCAACATCTGGTTTTAGTTTGATTTTAGGAATCCCTGATGGTTCCCCTTGTTTAACATTCTTGTTCTTGAGCTCTGAAGCTGCATCATTGACCTTTATAGCATTTGGCACCTTTGAACCATATTTGTCGACAATGATCCTATTCTCAACAGCAGCTACCGGAGTGCCTCTAATTATACCACCAGCCAGAAATTGAACATTAAATTTGCCGGTGGGAATCTGCCAAAACAACAGAGTGTTTAACTTAAATCAAACAAAAAAATGCAACATTCGAAGAAGACGAGCAAATCAATAACCTGCTCTGGTAACGCCGCCGGATGAGCTTCTGAACGTTTAGCACAGTTCTTGCAGGCAATGCCCCCAAAATCCATGTATTCGTATAGATATCTTGAAGCGATGCATCCACAGTGGATTCGCTGCCCAACAACACAACAATTAAATTACAGAGGAGCAATAACGGAATTTTATGTGTCTCCAAGCAAGAAATGCTACTTTCATTTGATTACCTTTGAACACAGCCTGCATTCTTTCCATCCAGATTCCTTGTGGTGGAACATTTCGCAGAAAACACAGTTAGCATAAGCGGATCTGACATAATCGAGAGGCCATAAGTTCTAGAGATCATCTCTAAACTATATGTGTGTAACAATGAACACAGGGGAGACTTGACGATAGCTTTGCAATGGAAATCGATAATTTACCCGCAGTCGGAGCAGAGGATGGCGAAGCCGCCGGAGTTCAAGGTCCAGCCGTTCTTCCACTCGGACGACGTCGTTGCGCGGCAAGCCTCGTTCATGCATTTGTGCTGCCCCATTTTCTCAATTCTGAAACGCCAATTAAAACCCCCAATCAGTAAGGAATTCATCCCGACAATCAAAACCCTAGAAATTCTTCACCCTCCGCCAGACAAAAATCAATCGAAATCCATACCAAAATAGCCGCCCAAGAATGAGGAAAATAAATAGAAAAGTTCCGCCTCACCTTCTTCAAATCCGCAAAACCATAAGCGGGTTCCGAAACCTTCAATTGAATCTGCCGCGAAAAATGAAATTGACGATGATCTTCCGTTTGTCGAAACAAGAAAACGGATAGAAACCTGAGTAAGATAGATAGGAAAAATGAAAAGCCCCAAAAAAACGGCGGCGGGCAGGCGGTGCACCGATTTTGGGGATGACGCGAAACTTCAATTCAATGGAATAAAAACAAAAATCAATGCATGCAGATAGATGAAGAGTGCAGAGAAAGAAAGAGAAAGAGAGAGCAGTAGTAGTTGCATGCACCACAGTGAGTGTAGCAGTGCAGTCTTTACATTTTCTCCCTGGTCCATCCATGGCATCTCCATCGATTCAGCCGCAGCTTCAAATAAGTTGTTTCACAAAAATGGTCTTTTCTAGCTTTTGCATTATTTATCCAATAATATTACATTAAGATATTTTTTCCAAAAATAAAAAATAAAAATCCTCTTGGTTTTAATTTTAAAATAATTTCAAATTTATAAATCTTTGACCGAAAATTTTAGAATATGTTTTTTTGGTTTAGTTTGAAGATATTTTGTATTTATATAATGTTTATTCGGATGTTTTTTAAATAGTAAATTTTCAAATTTCAATTAAAAGTATATTTCATGTTCTTTTGAAAAAACAAAAGAAAAACAAAATTTACTTTAAAATATTTCTAAAATTAGGGACTGAGTACGAAATTAACTAGGAAATTAAATGATAGTGACGTGGCGGAGGTGGGGTGGTTTGAGGTGGTGCTATTTTTAATAGGAGCAACCCGAGCAATTGTTCAAAATACTTCAAGAGGGGCTATATTTTTTAATTTTAGCTATTATTATATATATTAAAATTTATTTTAAACTTTATTTTATAATTTTTCAATAATTATCGAGTCTAATTTTAATTTTTAAATTAAATTCTACTTATAATTTTTCTCGCCTTTAAAATACGTAAATATTTATAAAGCTTATAATTATTATTAGATATTAAAATTTAATTTAAATTTTATTTCATATTTGTGTTTTTACAATTACCCAATCAAATTCTAATTCTAATAAACTTTAATAATTTTTCTTTTTTTTTTTTCTAATTTTATATTCATAGTCTTTAGAATTTTTAGTTATTATTATTGAGTTATTAATTTTATAATAGTCAAAATATTGTAAAATTTTATAATAGTCAAGATATATATCACAAATTAGGTCCGGCATTTCACTTCTATATCAGTCCGTCATCCCTTACGGACACATATATTTCATTTATTGTATATATGATTAATATAACTTTTTTTTTTGTAAATCTTATTATTATATTATTTGTTGATAGTATTTTGAAAAAAAAAATATATTTATTCACAAGCCCTATCGTTTTTCTCAGGATCCTGAAAAAGTCTGGTGGTGCGTATATTTAAAATTTTATATATGTTATGTATCGTATAAAAAATATTATATTGATATTGTATTAAATCATTTGGTAAATTAAGCCCTATCGTTTTTCTCAGGATCCTGAAAAAGTCTGATGGTGCGTATACTTCAAATTTTATATATGTTATGTATCGTATAAAAAATATTATATTGATATTGTATTGAATCATTTGGTAAATTGTATAAAAATTTCCATACTAGTATTATATTTAATTTTGTAGTAACAAATTTTTAACTATGCTAATATATTTCGAAATTACCGGCGTACAGTACTGAAATATACAGCAGTATATAATTTAATATTATTATTGTATACAAAATACTATACAATATCTGAATATCCTACCTTATAAAAAGTACTATTACTAAATAACATTCCGTAACCATATATTTTTAATATTTTCTTTTGGACTTATCTAATACATAATCTTGTTCTTATCTTCCTCCTATTTTATTCAGGACTGCATTTACTCATTTACTTAGGTGTGTTTGTTTGAAGGATTTGTAAAGATTTCTACTATTCATCTCATTTTTTTCCTCCAAAAACATCAAATCAAACACCTATTTTTTATTTTTTATATTATATTAAAAATTAATTTTACATTCAAAACATCACATCAATACCTATTTATATCACATCATACAACTATTCAAATTCAAAATTTTTACTATTCAAATCTCAACTCAAAATCCAAACCCCCAAACAAACACAAAATAAATTTATTTGGATATATATTACTCCCTCCGTTCCACGTACCGTGTCTGCTATACTGTAGACACGGTATTTTAAGAGAAGTGTAATTAGTAAATAATTAAGAATATATTAGTGAAAATAATTATTCTATAATATAAATAATTATAAATTAATATTAAGATTAATCATTTTTCTAAAAAAGAAAAGTGATATAGTACGTGGGACGGACAAAAACGGCAACTAATATTTTATTTATTTATTATGTTGCTTTGAAAATATTGTAAACTGATGTCTAGAATAAGAAAATAGATTCTATATAACATGATGAAATAAATTATATAATACAGATAAAATAAATATGCAGTTGTCTAAAATAAAATTATATAATATTTATACTCGCAAATATGTTGTATATAAGCATGTTATACGATATTATCAAATAGAATGTCCTATGTGAGATATTATATCAAATTGTTAATTCGAATGATATATTTTTATTATATTAATATAAATAGTGTATTTTCTATGCAATATTGTATAATATCTGCTAAAACACAATAGGCTGCAACTGATACACGATAGCTACTAAACTTATCATACTAATGCTTGTTTGAATTGAATTTAAAAATAAATTAAAATAAAATTAAAATCAGCTTGATATTATATTTAATTAATTTTTTATAAAAATAAATTTAATGTGTTTCTTTAGTATTTTAATTTAAAGTATTTTTTATATAAAATTTTAAAAAATCATATCAATAATATAAAAAGTAATTTTTTTGTTGAATTATTTATATTTTATTAAAGAATAAAATGAATATTTATATTATATAGACATAAGTATATACTAAATTGTTCATTAATATTTCTCATAAAAAAATTATTGGGGGAACAAATTCATACTTGTGTTCGTTGGTTGTAAGATTTTTGTAAAATTTTACTATTTATTATTTTTTTTTTCTTAAAATTATCAAATCAAATACTTATTTTTTATATTATACTATAAATTAATTTTTTATTTAAAATATCACATATATCACGATATACTACTATTATAATTTAAAATTTTTACTATTTTGAGGCTGCTGTTGTCCCGCTCCCACATCAGATGCAAAACCGATAGCGTCACAGTCGTACTATAAATAGACCAGACCACGGTACTGTAGGTCTATTATCCATGGGTGTGTTTGCTGTATTTTGAGTTGAATAATTATACGATGTATCTGATGCAAAATTAATTTTTAATATAATATAAAAAATAAAAAATAAGTATTTGATTTAATGATTTTAGAAAAGATAAACAGATGGGATAAATAGTATATTGGGGTAGAATCCCAAACAAACACAAATTAATTATTTGGGGTGAAAAGAAAGTTCATTTAAACAGCTTGCTATAAATGTAGGTGATGTTCACAAATGCAAAAGGCTTTTTTTTTTTCCATTGAACGATTGCACACCCCGCCAACACCCCGTCTCATGATCACAATAAAAATAATTTAAATTACAAACGCATGTAGCATTTTCATAATGACAGCAATAATAATCATTATCATAATCTCACTTAAGCAACAATAGAGGATTAATAACAACTAACATCACATCGTCCACAGTTCTTATTCATACCTCTACTTACTTTTCAACACCTCGGCTTCATGACAATGGTGGAATGCTTCAATATATGGAGGCTAAACTGCCCTCCTTTCTCCGTCGTGTCAAGCTTCGCCTGCCCCGCCGGCGGCGACATCTCGAAGTTCTGCACGAGCCGCCCCACCGTGATTCCAAGGATCGGCAATGCTAGTATTATCCCGGGGCAGCTTCTTCGGCCAACACCAAACGGTAGATACTTAAAGTCATTGCCATTGGCCTCTACCTTCATCTCCTCCTCCAAGAACCTCTCGGGCCTAAACTCTTGAGGATTCTTCCAATGGGCCGGGTTGTTGGCGAGCCACCATGCATTGACGAGGACCTTACTCTCGGCAGGGATGTCGTAGCCACGGAGCTTGGCGTCGTGGAGGTTCATGTGCGGGACGAGTAGAGGAATGGCCATCCGTAGACGCAGTGTTTCTTTGATCACGGCTTGGAGGTACGGCAGCTTGTGAGTGTCGGGCTCCGTTATTGGCATGCCGTGGCCGAGAATGTTGTCGAGCTCGTCGCAGAGCTTTTGTTGGACCTCGGGGTGGTTCACTAGCTCGGCGATGGCCCATTCGATGGACCACAGGGTGGTTTCGATTGCTATACATGGAAAAAAATGGCAAGAATTTAGTTTAGCTTTCACATCATATGCCTAACATAACATTTCTTATAAGATGAATTGTGAAGGAGGATAGCAAATACGGCAAGGAAACCAGCAGCAAGTAGGGACAACAAATTCAAAATGATGAATGCAGCAGCAACAACTTTAGACCACAAAAGATGCACCAACTAACGTACGTGTCTTTATTGCTCTTTACCAACCCAATTCAATGAAGCTAAATACTGCGTTCGATCGAGCTCAAATAATAGGTACTGCTTTATTTAATACCAATTAATTTTAAACGGAAGTCGGATCCCTTCCTATTATCAACTTTACATAAAACTTTTAACCTCTACTAAAATCAATTGGTGATAAGAAAAATTTCGGACTTCTAATCTGCTAAAATCAATTGACTATAAGTGTATAGGTTCTTCGCTCTTACAAATCAAATGAGTTCTCACATTTTTTTTCAATATGAAATATATTCCAAGTTCTCTATCTTTTGAAATGATAATTTCGAAAATTCACACAAAATCAATGCCCAACCCAAGCACTATGGATTTCCAACCTAAAACCAAAGGTCTACCATATTCCACAATTTTCCAAATATGTAATATATTCAACAGCCAATTGTATTCTAGGACAGTGAATTGAAAGGTGCAATCGACGGATGACAAATTTGACACGTCTGAAATACGGTCTTTTGTCTCTACAATTTTAATTGGTTTGAAATACCAAACTCCTCATGCGCACAGACACATGGTGGTTGAGCCAAAATAAATTAGAAATTGCATAAAAATAAATGTTGGGGATTCGATACATATTTTCCTTTCAGATATCATATCAAAACAAGCCAAAATTCTATAAGTACTGGATAATATGTTTATATCATTTCAAATATTTATTTTTTGAAAAAAACAGAGCATTTAAACACAACTTAAGTTAGGGTAGATGAGAAAATCACGTGGTGGAGAGACAACCACCAAAAATCTAAGGAGGGTAAGAATCCCAGAACATTGGATGAAGTAGATTTGACTACGGATCTTTCTTCGAATCATCAAGACAGCCAGACAAGGATGTGGTAATTTCAAGTTTGGATTGGTATTTGAGATCAAATATATCACAGCTACGAGAAAACACAACTACTGTAAAGTCACATCGATACTTGACTTGTACGATGTTTATCGGGAGCAGAAAATTCAAGAACATACCGAGTATAGGTTAAACGTTAAACAACAAATGACAGACAGAGATCAATAGCATAATAGTGATTATGGTGACGATGTATGAGATCAAAGTAAGAAGTTGTTACCTGCAACGTTGATGTTTTCGACAATGTAAAGAACATTGTCTTCGTTGATCTCGCCTTTCTCCTCAGCTTCTAGAATGTGATCGATTGCACATTTCAGGCCTTGGCTGCTTGTGCTTTTAGTGCTTGCGAGTTTCCTGCAACGTTATTTGATGTTAGCACTATGGATGAAATCTACAAAGATCTGCCCTAATTTGAGAATCCAATTCGAATTTCTTAGTGTAGAAGTTAATCTTCTGAACAGCATATCGTCGTCTCTGCAAACTGAGATGATGCTCAAGACGATGGAATTTCAGTGGAGCAAATAAAGGAGCGTGAAGAAAACAGAATAACTGAAAGTGGTGACAAAAACGTGAACAGGGGAATTGAGCGAGCGCGTGAACTTACTTTCTCTCGGAAACGAAGTAGTCCTTGAAGAGCTGTAATCTCTTGTCCTTCACCTCCTTGCAGATTTTCAAGTATCCGCGGAGGAAAGGCCTCAGGATCGGGATGAAATCGCCATAGTTGTACTCGAAGCTCTGCGCCAAGCGACTCCGCTCACCGTTCAATGATTTAAGCTTCAAATACAGGGGATCATTTTCGCTCTCAAACCTTCGATCGAACAGGATTCGGAACATATTGTTGTACATCATCAGCTGAAGCCTCGTCCTCAGAACGATCCCCTTCGTCGCCGCCTCCGGATTCTTCTTCACGTCCTCCACGACCGCGGCGGCCTCCGACTCCCAACCCTGGCGATACTGCTGCACGACCTTGTTGGTGAAGAACGGAACCGTCATGATCCGCCGCATCTTCCGCCAGTGCTCGCCGTAAACCGTGAAAACCATATCCTGACCTTTTCCAGTGAAAATGTCGAATACGACGTTCCGAGTTCGGGAACCGAACTCCACTCCCTGCGTGTGGAGAACCTCCTTCGCGAGCTCCGGCGACGATACGACTACCAGATTACGCTGCCCCATCCGGAGGAGGAACACATCGCCGAATCTCTTCGCGAGGTCGCTGAGATTGCGGTGGTTCAGGTCATCCCCGACCTGGAGCCAGTTTCCGAAAATAGGAACCGGTATCGGACCGGGAGGAAGCTTGAACTTCTTTCCCCGCAGCTTCGAGACTACAGTTGCGAGAACGATGGCCAAAAAGAGGCCGAGAAGAACTTTCTCTAGAAGGAAAACATCCATGGTGGAAATCGCCGGTGGCGTTACCCCGTCGTAGTGCGGTGGTTGAGCGTCTGAGTTGCGAGTGAAGTCACGGCCGATATATATAGAGCGACGCGACAATTTAATAGTAAAATTTAATTACTATAATAAAACGTGCATCAAACCATCAAATTCACTGCCGGTTTTCAATCCAACGGTCCAGATTAGAATAGACCAAATAGGCCAATACTGTGATGTTACTAAGATTTGCCCTTATTTTGTAATAGTAAATTAAATAAAAAATTATTTAAGCTCGGTTCAAGTAGATATTCTTAAAAAATAATAATAATAATAATTAATATTTATCAATAACATTTTTTTAGAAAAATATTACATAAATAAGGCAAAATCTCTTGTACCAAAAGAGTGTAATTTATAAAAATTATTTAGGAGGAATGGTACATTTATGGCGGATGATTAAAATAAGACAAAATTAATACTTTTCCCTTTCACCGAAGATAGTCTAATTTATAAAATAAATGTATAAAGGTAAAAGTGATTAAAAAATATTAAAATTACTCTGACTAATTAAAGAACATTCATAAATTAAAAAATGATATATCCTGACATTGAGAATGTATATTTTTAAAATAGTTTATTATTAAATGATATTGTGCTCAAATTTGGGTTTGTTTGATTTGTTTTTTATGATTTGAATTAAAATAATTTAATATAAAATATACTATTTTATCTTTTTTTAATAAAAAATTGTATTCAGTTGTAAATGTAAATTTAAAACACATATCAAATGCACTATAAGAATGTGTTAATTTAGATGTTTTTTTTAAATAATTCATCAAAAATATTAAAATATATGCATATAACAATAAAATTCAACGAAAACGCACAAAATATATTATTTTTATAATATTATCATAAACTTTTATATATCACAATAAAAAGCTAAAATTAAATAAACAAAGCTAATATTGTTTGGTTTTAATTTGAATTTAGTTCTTTTATTCAAAAGAAGTCCTTTTAGAGGTAGATTGGTAATTGAAATATTTATGATTAATTGGTTATTTAAATTCATTTGCTCTTTAAAAAAAAATAAAATTAATATATGACACATATTCATTATTTTTATATTATCTCCGTAATATGTTATACCTTCACATAATAATTATTTCTTTAAATTATTTCGCAAATAGTAGTTGAATACTATATTTTTAAAATAATAATAAATACATTATTTTTAATTGTCAATTTAAAAGTAATTGCATTTAATATTTTAATGACACCTCATTTCAAATGATTACTACAACGAAATAATAAATTTTAATTACAAATTTTTCTTTAGTTATTGTGCTGCTATGCATCACCAAAGAGGCAAGCATATCACGTGTGCATCTAATCATATAGTATTATGTTTCGGATTAGAAATTTTTTTAAATTAAAATTAAGTTTTATATAAAATAAACAGATACTTATAACATATGTAAGGATTTTTTAAAGTGGGCCTTTTAATTTTTTAATTTTTTTTTTTTACTATATGAAAATATAAACAAACATATTTTGTTAAGTTAAATATAAAATATATAGGTTAAGAATTACCACGAATTTTCCTGTCATTAATTCACAGTTATGTCATATTAATGTTATTAAAAAAAAAAAAAAAGATATATTGTGGATATACACTTTCAAGTTTCAATCAACTACAAATAAATAGCAGGTAAATTACGAAATTGCCCTAGACCAAACCCAATCGAACCAATTAAGAAATAAAAATTATTCATTACTATACCTAAATAAATTGCATCAAAATTGCGTCGTACTGCATGTAATAATTCGATTTTTTTGTTTAAAATAAAAAGGAAATATCCGTAATTATCCATAAGAATTCGAAACGGCACGGCGGTTGCACCAAAGGTTATCGGAAAAGTAAATATATACACTATTATTTTTATATTATTATAATAAAAAAAAAAGAAAGAACTTACGAAGTAACCACGGGAATAATTAAAAAGTCGTAGCGGTTACTGATTTTTTCAAACAATATTGCTCAAATCTTCAATAAATACTGTTCACTTTTTCGGTTGGTCCATTTATTTAAAAGAACTAAATTTATATATTCTTTAAAATTTTAAAGAATAATCAATTATTTTAATTTTAATACGATAATTATTTTAATTAATATATTATTTTTTGTGAACATAATATCCTGAACGGAGGGAATATTTTTTACAGAACTATTATTTATACTTAAAATTGATATTATCTGGGCATTCATCTATATTTTTTTTGAAAAAATAAACATGATGCTAATTTTATAAAATTATAAATATAATGACTCTTTTGTACACAAATACACTCTTATTTGAATCGAAGATCATATATTAAAATACATATTTTATGTATTTTAATAAATTAAAAAAATCAATTGATTGAATTTTTTATTAATTAAAATATTTGCAATATTAATGCAAAATAATTCAAATATAAATTAATACTATTAACATAAAATAATATATATTTTAAATAAATAACTAAAATTTCTGATTTCAATTAATTTAAAATATTTTACATATTTAAAAAATAACAAATCAAACTAAAGCAAATCAAATATATTATAATTATTAATATAAAATTTTAAATATAATCATATAAATATGTAAATATATTTGATTTAATCTAATTAATAAAAAAAATATATATATATATAATATATTTATTATTTATATTTAAACTAAATTTATTCAATTAATCAAAAATTCGATTAAGCAATTCAACCGTTGGGATTGGGATTTAACATCCACCCCAGCACCTTCTATTTAACCGCGTTTTAGAGTACAACGGTGTTTACATTTCTACGCCACGTGGCATGTGGGACCCAGCTGACGGCCACGAAGTTAACGGAGTTAGATGACGGAAGAGCTTTGGCGGATGGTGTGGTAGGTGAGCGGTGTTTGGTAGCCAACTACTTTTTGTTTCTTATTAATTTTTTATTTAAAAAATACATACTAAATATGAAACTTAAATTATAGTACTTTGTTACAAGTGATTTGTTTGGTCATTTTATCTTGACATTTTTTTTTTTAGATTTTCAATATATATTCTAAATTTTCATAAAAACTAATATTTAATATAACATAATATTTTTTATATTATCCATACAATATCATATATTTCAAATAAAAAAATTCAAATTAAAATACTAAATAATTATTTTTTTATAATTCATCAAAGTGCTACAATACATGACACAATGACATGTACCATATGATAGAACAAGTAACATACGACATTACAATAAATAAAATATAATTTATATTAATATAATTCAAATATATTATCTAATAATTATTCACACAACACATATTATTATTATTATTATTATTAGCACACAAAATATATCTATATAGCACACTTAAATATGATCCACAATACATAATTTGAATTAATATAATATATTATTAAAAACTGTAATTATTTTTGTTAATATATTATTAGTTATTTCTTAATTATATTTATGCTAAATTTTTACATTTCCTCTAACTAGGATACCATATCGGGAACAAAAAGGGTATATATTTTAAAATTAAAGGACATGTCATTAGGTGGTTATTATGTGAAATTTATAAATCTAACATAGTATTGAAGGAACAATATATATAAACAACACACGATATATCGACGGACAAAATATAAATTTAATAAACATAATATTATGTAACATATAAATTGATAACATATAATGTAATACTAGACCGTGTTTATTACAATTGATTTTTTAACACAAAAATTAACACCAATAAGCATTGTAAGTAATGTATGTATTTGTTTTAAATTGGCCCAAAATGTAATTTTTTATTTTATTTTATTTTATAATAGATTAAAAAAATAATATTATATTTGTAATTAAATTTGTACGAGATAGGAAATTTTAAAATACTATTGAATAGAATGGCTTTAATCTGTACAGTGTGTGATTATATTTTAGTAAATTAAAATAAAAATAAAAATAAAAATAATTTAATAATTAAATAAGAACTATGTAGCTGGTAAATAAAAATAAATTATTTAAATAAGACAAATCTAGAAGATAGATATATAAGCCGAGACATGTTGGAGGAATGAAATATTTTAATAGTAGCTATAGTTACTTTTTGATATGTAAAATATTATAATAATTGATCTAATGTAAAATATTAATATAAATAAAATACGATTTTAAGAATATTTATAATATACTACTCCCTCCGTCCCATGTAATATGAGTGTATTACCGTAGACATGTGAATTTAGGTAAAGTATAATTAGTAAATAATTAAAAGTGTATTAGTAAAAATAACTATTATTTAGTAAAAATAATTATAGATTAAGATTAAGATAAGTAAATAGTTTAATTAAAATTAAAAAATTAAAAAATTTAAAATTTAAAATGCGATTAAAATGCATAATTATATTTTAAAAAATATAAAAGATAAGTTACGTGAAACAGACAAAAATAGAAAATAGAAAGTACAATAGAACACATATTTATTAAAAGTAGAAAAAAAAATAAATATTTTGAATATAAACGATGGAAGATAAGTCGATAATAATGATGGTGCGGATAGTGGGAGGGAGTTGGTAGAAGAGTACAAGTAGGCACGGTTATGACACGTAGAAGCCACAACAAGTGTCCACGTCACAGGGACTAATATGCAAATTAGTTTCACGGTCTCAATCGACGTTCCACATGAAACCAACTAATCATCTTAATATTTACTAATATATATTTTTTGTCCTCAACTCAATGAATTTTATTGTTCGGTAAAAATATATAAAATTATTTTGATAAATTTTCTTTTACAAGTTAAAAAAAATAAATAAATATTTTTTAAAACAATGATACTTTGATTAAAACATACAAAAATAATTAAACATATAAATATTGAAATAAGATAAAGAAAATATTAATGATAGTGTGATGAATTCAATTCTATTATTTATATATAGAATTAATTGTTGCGAGAGTGACTCCAAATTATACCTCCGGCACCTACAAATAGACATATTTGATTTAGATATGAGTTTCAATATGTTGTGTATTTATTTTTTATTTTTTAAATAGTAAAAAAATATTTTTAAAAGGTAAATATATATATAATATAAAATATAGAGTTTTATTTTTATTTATTTTTATTATTTTTTTAAAAATTCAAGTGCCAAAGAGATATCTAACCACTGAATTTTAAAAAATTTGACCTATTATAATATAGAGTTTATACTAGAGAGGATTATGAAAACAAAAGGTTGACATGAAAACATTCGATTAATTCAAACCTTCTTAGGGTTTGCTTGTTTTTATTTATTTATTTATTTTTATTTTATTTTTTATGTCAAACACACTTGTACTTCCTCCGTCTTAAAAGTATAGTATTCTTGGGTTGGACACGAAATTTAAAGAATATTGATATTATATTGGTAATTAGTAAAAAGTACATTTTTATCATTATGAGTATATATATTAGTGTAAAAAAAATGGCAATTGTGTAATAATAATGAAAAGAGTATGTATAGTTTTATGGTGATATGATTATTGATGGAAATGAAACTATTATTTTAGAACGGACAAAAATGGTAAACAAGACTATTGTATTGAAACGGAGGGAGTACTATTTAACCGCTATAGTTTTTCGACAAAAATAGTTTTCTTCTGAAAAAATATATATTTTTTTTTATTTAAAATATTATGTTTGAAAATTATTTTTGATAAAAAAATATAAATTTTATTTTACATATAATAGTATTTATTTTTATTTAATTTTTTATTATTTTCAAAACCATTCAAAATAATAATTTATTTTAAAAATATATCTAAATAAAAGTAAACCCTCTATTTTCCTATGAAATGTAAAATACCTTATATGTGTTCACTACTGCTGCGGATTCGTTGTTGATGCAATCAAAATTTAATCGAATCAACATATTATATAAAAATAATTAACATATATTATATACTATTATAATATAATTACAGTTATGATACAATATATGTTAATATAATATTTTATAACACAGTATATAATATGTTATGTAAAAAAAATATATTGATAATCTTTATATGATATGTATCAAATTAACACTAAATCCTAATCGCGTTTGTTTACTATGGAGTATAGAGGATCATATTGGCATAGTTACCTTCAACTATTAAGGTCACAATTATTTATAAATCCTTAATTACCGTGTATGTTACACTGTAAACACAGTATTTTAGGAGAGGTAATTAGTAGATAATTAAGAATGTATTAGTGAAAATAACTATCCGATAATATAAATAATTATAAATTAAGATTAAGATAACTAATTAGTTTAATTAAAATTTTAAAAAAATAAAATTAAAAAGTTTAAAATGAAATTAAAGTGTGTAATCATTTTTCAAAAAAGAAAAGTGATATAACACGTGAAACGGACAAAAACGGCAACGTGGACCTAATATGCGAAACAGAGGGAATACTTTATTATATCCGCACTAAATTATTATTATTACTTTTGTTTTTTTTAGAAAAAGTAAATAACTATATTTGTCCGTGTCATCAATATTGTTTTATACTGTCTCCGTCTCTCGTTATAAAAAAAAAAAAAAAAAAAAAAAAAGAAAAAGAAAAAAAGTTTTAATTTTTGTTATGACTCCATCACCGTTCAATTAATTAACAGATACAAATACAGCTGTGTTGATTGTAACGGGTCGGGTCGATCCAGCCTCAGAATAGAATCACGTTACTGTCTGTATGTCTGTCTGTCTCTGTACAAACTAAACACAGATTGTATGCTAAATCTGAAATTGGCTGAACTGAACAGATTGCATATATAAATATGGGCTCCAGTGGTCCGGCCCATACTCATCAGTATATAAATAATAAATGTATTTAATTATTATACATGTATATTAATGATTTTTAAATTTATTATAAATTAAATTATATTCCTTGTTCCAAACATCTTGCAATAAATTTTTCTTTTTTCCTAAAGTTACTAATATTTCTAAATTTAGAAATAATTAATTATATATATATATTAATATACATTTCAATTTATTCTATTGCATCACTTAATCTCCAAATTATAGTATTTAATACTCCCCACCTAAATTTCCGTGCTGAACACAAAATGTTGCACAGTGTTTGGAACTGAGGAAGTATTAGTAATATATAAATATATTTTCTAATTTTTTATACTCTCTTTGTCCCATAATAATTATTACAATATGTGGTTTTATTTTAGTTCAATCTTATATTAGTTGATATGATTCTATTTTTAATAAATTATATTAATTTAAAATAACTTTAATAAATATAATTCAATATAATTAATTTTATAACATATAATATGTATTATTAATCATATAGAATTAATTCAATTTTATTTTTATTTATTTATTTATTTTTAATAAATAAATTTTTATATTTATATTTAAATTTATTTTTTATAAATTTAATTTATATTAAATACTGTATCACTAATAAATTATACACTAAGGGTGTGTTTGTTTGAAGGATTTTGGAGGATTTCCACTATTCATCCAAATTTTTTTCCCCAAAAACATCAAATCAAACACCTATTTTTCATTTTCTATATTATACTAAAAAATAATTTTACATTCAAAACATCACATCAACACCTATTTATATCACATCATACAACTATTCAAATTCAAAATTTTTACTATTCAAATCCCAATCCAAAATCCAAACCTCCAAACAAACACACCCTAATTGTGAAGACGTCAATATTATTCATTTTTTTAAAAAATATCATAGTATTAATATATATATATATATATACACACATATCAAATCAAATTCTATGTACTTGTTTTATAGATCATTCGGCATCAGCTTTACGCACACGTAATGTAACCATATTCCCTCAACAATTCAGTTGTGAGCGACCAAACGGACAAGGTGCTAGAAAACTCGAACCATCGGAATACATACACGTCATAGTATATACATATACACGTATTTCGTTTACAAACTCTAGAATGTATTCATTTTCAGCTGAATTGAGTAAAAATTTTAAATTTTTTATTTAATAATATTTTACTATATTATATTAATAAGAAAAACTATATCCAAATTTTCTTAGAAATTGAAACGAAAGACAACCCTGTTTATTAGTAACTCGTTCAAATTTTACAAATGTGGTCTGGTCTTGTCTGGTCCATATTTGAACATCATCAAAAGTATACAAACATACAAAAAAACACCACACACATTATTAATCAGTAAGTACAACATCAACAACAACAACAAGAAGAAGCCGTACTACAATGTCCAAATCACACAAGCACACATCTTCTTACCTCGCCGTTGCTGCCATCGGTGGTTTATGCGCAAAGAGGGCTAGTCGAAGCTGATGATACTCGCCGCGGTAATACTCCGCGCAGAACGACAGTTGTCTGATCGCTTCCCGTTTCCCCTCAGCCGCTTCGAGAATTAATTCTTGTTTCCTCTCCACCTCCGTCTCGAGTTCTCCGACTCTCGACCTCAGCTCGTCTCCCGATTTACGCGCCCCCTCGACTTCATCGCTCATCTCCGCAATTCGCTCGTCTTTCGAATTCATCTCCGCGCCGAGCACGGCGATCTTACTCTCTAGACCGTCTTTGACAGCAATCAGTTCTTCAACCCTTTGATTTAACTCGTCGATCATTTCGTCGCGCTCGAATACGTCGGCCATCAACCGCTCGATTCTCCCTCCGAGCGCAGCCTCCATCTCATCCTTCGCAGCTCGGGTTCGGCGAGCTTCTTCTTCCAACGATTGGGATCGAAGATCCAATTCTTTTATATGATCCTCCAAATACGCTCTCTCCTTCGCCATTCTCGTCATTTCAGCCTGAAGTCGCCCGTTTTCTTCGGATAAACTCTTGTTTGCATTCGACATCGCTTCTCTCAGCCCCCGGATTTCTTGGTCTCGGTCTGCCAGATTGGATTTGTACCGAGCAATACGATCTTGCAGCTTCGCCGCATCCCGTTTCTCTCGATCGATTTTGTTTTTCCACACAGAAACCTCCTTTTGCGCAGACTTGAGCTGTTCTTGAAGATTATGCACCAAGTTAGCCTTACTCGTAAGCTCCTGCCGTAAATTCATGACTTCTTTTTTAAGATCGGCGATCTGATCCGGCTCTAATCCAAAACTGTTGGAATGATTCTCCTCAACGGCGCCTTCGGAAGAGATATTAATGGAATCTCCCACAGATTTATACTTTTGGAGCTCTATCGTCAACTGCACGATCTCTTCTTCGGATCGTTGGATCTTTTCTCTCGCAGTGCACAGCTCCGACTCGTACGCCGCAATCTTGGAATCAACTTCGGTGTTTTCGCTGCTCGATTTTTTAAGTCCTTCGGAGATCTCATTTTGTTGCCTTCGGAATTTCTCTTTCACGTCCCGAAGCTCTCCTTCGAGCTCAATGACCCGACCGCGCAACCCATTCTCGTCGCCACCGTTGCTCCGTGTGCTCGAGTAATTGTTCACAGACGAGTCGTCTGATTCCGAATCCGAGTCCAATGTGGTCGATGTATCGTCCCCTTCTTTACTATTTAAATCAGACCCGCTTCCTCCGCTTCCGAGAAAAAACTCGAACCCAGCTGCACGAGGCCCTGACTTGCTACGGCTCGATGGGGTCGTCCAAGGAGGTTCGGAACCAGCATCGGATATTCCGGAGCCCTGAGATTGGAGATCTGACGGAATGTTTTTCCTAAGCTCTCCGGTAACATGACCGTACCGCTCGGCCAATGCTCGATACATCCGATGGAACTCCTCCACAAGACTGAGCAACTCGGGCCTTTTCTTAAAGTACAACTCAGCCTTTTTGGCGAAGGAATCCGCATCCTCTTCTATGAGTTTTACCATTTTCTTTACATTCTGATCCATATCTGAAATTTGATTGTTATTTCCCCGTCAATTGTATAAAGTACTGATCAATTTATAATATATGAATATATTCAGCAAAGGAACATATATATATATATCCAAACTGTATGCTACGATCGATGAGCAAAATAAAGCAAAATACATCACCTTCGAGATTTTCTTGAAGCCACTTTGAGCTTTTGGAGCTAATATGACTATCCCACCAAGACAAGTGAGATTTCTTCAGTTCCATTTTCATTCTACTCGGCTTCACCTAAACACAGTTTTGACTTAGATAATGTATCTGAGAATCGATTTTAAACAAAACTTGGAATAGCAATAGAGTAGAGTTAGGTTTCTTACATTGCCGGATGCCATTATTAAAAAATTGATGCCTCCGCACAACTTGGATGAAGCACGAGAAGATGATCCCCCTGGCGGCTGAGGATGGTATGGATATTAGAACAACTTCATATCGTTGTAAAACTAGCTACAGATAAATCCGACAAAATATGTCACAGAATCAAAATATATATTGAACAGACCGCCTTCTTCACATTAAAACCTGCAATTAAAAGTTTGTGACACATAATCATATTGATAGGCAAAGGTCAATAAATTAATCTGCCGGCCAACAATTCAAGAAAATAAAAGAAACAATCAATCGGCCCCTACCTAAGATTATCCTCAACATTAGAGCAATAAACTGTGTTGACTGGTACAATAATTATGAATCACATGACTGAAAATTAGAGTTAACTGTTTCTAAAACAACAAAAATTCAAATTTAATCGAACTTTTTATATAGAGCTATTTTCCTTTATGCATGCAAACTGACTTAAGAGCTCGTTTCAATTTGATCTGTAAAACTAAGTAAAGTACATATATTGAACCCAAGCTACTCGACTTCGAGCGAATCCGAGTTACAAAAAGCATCACTGATTCAGAAAATGAACCAAACTCAAGAACACATGGTTTGAGAAAAAATTTTCACTAATCATAATAGAATTTTGTTCGACTCCATTTGACCCAATCGCACTTCAGTTGCTACTTACAAAATCAAAATTGTTTTTAAGTATAACAACTAATTTTAGAAAGGAGAGTTGTTGTCACTTATGTACTCTCAATATAAAACTTAGTAAATTTAGCAACAGCAATACATATATATATATATATATAGATAGATATAGATTGTGTGTGCATACACAACAAAACACAGCTATACATTCACGCGGCCATGTTCTTCACATCACACACACTTGATTGACTTCATAATTATTGTTCTTAATAATAATAATAATTTAATTTATATTTAGACAGTTGTTACTTTCCTTTAATCAACACCCATTTCTCCAAAAAAAGAGGGGGGGGGGGGGGGGGGGGGAGGGGGGAAAGAGTAACCAAATACACAAATTGCTGCGAAAAGATCCTGCAAGAAATCAGCGGCCCATTAAAAATTTCCAGGAAATCAAAAAAGGACAATTAAAACCACACCTTTAATTCAAATTGCTCAACAAAAGTGCTTATAATGAATTATTTTACAGGAAAATGAGAAGATGCAACTACCACAAGGATGAATAGACTAAATCCATACTAAACATGTGATTGTAATTCAGTATAATAAAATAAGTTGAAGTATTTCCGAAGCCTAAGTATTGACATATCACCGATTAATCTATTCATGAACAGATTATTACTGTTAAAAATAAAAACGAAATCAGAGAAATCGACAATCAAGGGTTTCTGAGATTTAACGAAAATGAAATCGAAACACACAGTCGGCAACAAACCTCAGATCAGGAGCAAAATAGACTAGGCATATAATCGAACAGATGGTGGGCAATCACAAACAAACAAAAAAAACCCGACGCGTCTGGTAAATGAATCAATCAATCAATCGAATCATTACAATCCAGAAATGGCCACAAACAGCGCGATGAAGAGAACGGTTAGGATATTTTGCCAAAAATAAAACTGGGGAAAGGACTAGAGAGGGACTAACCTTTAATTGTATCTCTCCCAAATCCAAAAGGAGTCGACAAAGCCTGCGGAAAACAACAAAAATAATGAAGCCTCCGGCAAGAGAGACAGAAAATGGATGTGAATCTAAGTAGGAGTGCACTGTATTTGTACGTATAAATGAATCTTGGGGGAGAGAAAGGAAGACAGAAAAGGGTGGGAAACGACGGACAACACACATTATCTGTCTGTATTTTGCGTTCGGTTTTTAAGGGAGTCCTGGAGTTGAAGGTCCTTAAAGATCGAGCCGTTTACTTTTGCGGGGCCCTGGGGGTAATCAACGGTGGATGATGCCTATGGAGTTGAAGGCCCAAGCCGCCCGATTGTCCGGGAATTGGTCATTCTAGTCAAAATAGTTTTAAATTTTTTGTTGATTATTTTGACATTTGTTAATTACGAAAAGACGGCAAAATTAATTTTCTTTTCTTAAATAAATGCGAAATTTTGTGTTTTTGGTTTCGTTAAGACTAATTCATTTATTCTTTTAGTTATTAACTCATTATACAATTATATATATCATAATTGTCAAAGTTTGATATATGACATTTAATATAGAAACAAGATATAGTATTATTAATTTTTTCAACATAAGCTCCTTTGAATTAAGTAAAATATCTTGAATAAAATTCATTTCCTGTAAATATTTCAGTCGAATATAATATGGTGTTATTATGACGATATTTAGGATACAATATTTTATATAATGTTTTCGTAGTCTATATACAAATTATATACTCCCTCTTGTTGAAGTTGACACGAAAATTAAAGAATAATAGTATTTAATTAAAAATTGGTATAAAATATAATATATTCGAAGAATTTTAAAAAATAAATTAGAATAATAATTATAATTAATTTAGAAAAATATGAATAATTTTGTTATAAAATAAAACCACAGTTAACAAATAAAAAAACAGACAACTGTTTTGAAATAAACGATAAAGAGTATATATAATTAAATTAGATTGACGTGTGACGAGGTTAATTGTTGCATGTAGTCGTGGCGGTGACTGACTGCCACCTCGCATGTACGCTTTCGCAATTAATTATTTAATAATTATTTAGGCCAACCAAAGTCGGTGATCACGACCATTCGTAAATATTTTCTTATAGTAATTAAAATTATATACGAATATTATGAATATTGCTAAAGAAAATTTCAAATATGCCGTGCAGGCTGAGGCCGATAAAAAGAAGGAAAAACTAAAATAAGACTATGCAGCAATAAACAATAAAAACATATATCCCATCTACAGATATAGAAATCAGTTTTTATATTTTCCATTCAAAACATTACGTAAAGAAAAAAATACAAACGATCAAAATAAATTCGAGCATGGCTAAATGAATTCAGAAGAGTTGAGGATTAGTTTGAGCAGACAACAACAAAGTATTCATCTAAATTTGCAAAGGGTAGAGAATAGCCAAGATATCTGAAAACATTACATCGAATACAGACTTTCATTTCCTTGATTTGCAGAAATGATCCAAATTGATGATATTCACAAATTGAGATAATATGTTGGTACTCTTTTTTCCCCTCCAAAGCAGAAACTAAAACAACATTAGCATTGATAAGGTTTTAGGACATGCCTGACACTGAATAACTATCATCCCATGGCATACTTCTGCGTCCAGCCACGGGCGGTGGACTCGTATTTGGCCCGATCCGTCTTGTACATATGAGCGATTTCAGGCACCAGAGGATCGTCGGGGTTTGGATCAGTTAACAATGAGCAGATGGACAATAGGACCTGATCCACATCAAATACCAATCATGTAAGTTATGAAATCTTGAAGATATCAAAGATGCACTCACGATCAGAGACCCTTGGAACAGTAAATTCCGAAATCTTGAAAAACAGCAAGATAATATCTACTAAATTCCGAAATCTTGAAATAAATGCAGACATTTTATAAGATCACCTATGTTTCTGACTAGCTGAGAATTTGTTAGTGTTATCTTCATTTACCAACACATAAACGTACCAGACTTTAAGAGCTATTCATACCTTGAAAATTATCCCAAAAATGCCTATAAAAGCCGTATCTGAAAAGCAAGAAATTATGGGTACCTTTGATATGGTCAAGGCAGGACTCCACTGATCTTTCAGGATGTCGAGGCAAATGCTTCCATTGCTGTTGATGTTTGGGTGAAACACCTTCGTCCGAAAAGCAACCTGTTACAATTAGTGTATTTATGTCATTCATTGGACCACATATAAAGCTCCATAGTTCATTTTTTTACGAGTTTTCATTTTCAGATAGCCTTATGGTAGTGAGATCTAAAAAATAGTATAATTAAAAGAAAAAAAGAGCAACCATGGTATTTCATGCTCAAAATGAAAACCAGGTGATTTCAAGGTAATAAACATTAGCTTCAAAATTGTGACCACTGATGTGAGTAGTCATTAAAGGATCCAACAGCAATAGTGACTTTGTGTTTGTGTGTGTTTCCCCAGAAATAGAAACAAACAATCTTTAGAGCATTCTTTCGTATATAGCAACAAATGTTCGGTTGATTGATGTAATGAAAGATTTCCTAAACAAATAAAAGTCGTACCTTAGGAGGCTTAAAGGGATAATCAGGAGGGAAGTGAATTGAAACTAAAAATACACCTCCAGAATAAGGGCTATCTGAAGGCCCCATGATTGTTGCTTGCCAATGAAATATATCTTCTGCAACAGGACCTACATTTCACAGACGAGATAGATAAAGAACACAAAATAACCTCATGATGAGAAAGGATATACCCTACCCACAAAAATTCAGCCAAACTTGCACATCAAGTGTGTAGAACATACAAATATTTCAAGGCTTTGATTCAAAAATCATAAACATTTCCGAATTCTTGGTACAATACTAGAATACCATTACAAGTGGTCAACACACAGAGTTGAAACACTCGATTATAAAAAATAGCATATTCAAATTAATTATGTGCTTAATAGTGTATACCTTATATCCATCATCCTATCGAAACAAATATATAAAAATCATAACGGAACGGTCATTTACATCATCTAACATATACATATACATATAGAAATCACAAGGTTCCTGCTAATTTATACAGCATCCTGTGATCCAATGTATGTAAAAAATACATAATCCAGCATTAAGTCTTGCCAATCAACATCAGCACGAATTCTGAGCTATAAACACCCTATGATGCATTTCAGGAGTAGAGACAATAAATCAGACAAATCAACTAGTTCTGTTCATTTTGCTTTCCGATCCAATAAGCCTTGAACCAATTGCATCAAAACAAATCCAGAATTTTGGGACAGGGCCATGATCCACATCACTGAATTCGGAATTCAGTAATCACAAGAAGGATTTAATACCAGATTTTAGGAACACAAATCAATGAAAGACTTCTTGATCCACGAGGGATAACATTTTATAAAAGAGATGCCTAGATTTCTTGAACAATTTAATATGCAGTTGTGCAAAGGATCACACTCAGAAAAACACCCTGGAAATTTGCTGAAAATGAGCAAACACCTATTGTTCTTCCGACCAAATATTGACAAAAGTGTTCTCAATCCTTTCTGTTAGATCTAAACTATTGACATATAACAATCAAAGATTAAATCATAAATCTGAGACCTAACTACATGAGATGAGATTAGGATAGCATCACATCAACCTACACTCAATACCATCAGTCAATCCATCCATTCATACATATTCCCATTCAAGCAAAATCAGGAAATTAGCACATCAGATCTGGTAGTCATCGCTCATCGTCAGCTGTTCTAAAGTGTTCCTACAACAAGCAATTCCCCCTTCCATCATGGACACCAATAATCACAGACAGGCACACAATCTAAACCAAGCAACCATATGCAATTCCAATTTCCAAAAGAACATAATAAAACAGTACTGGTTTTCTTACACAGACAGTAACATCACAGCCATCAGCGTAATTGACAATTCACAAATAACTATTGACTCAATCTAAACCCAAATCACATACCGGCGCTGCAAGACGTCGGAGGGTCCTTCTGCAAATCCTTCAGCTCCTTCAGTATCCTCTTCGACGCCATTGAAATGGGAACTCTCTCACCTTCAACTTCAAAGTCCAAAGTCCACAAACAATTAAGAAATAAGGAAAGTAAAACTAACAAAACCCAACAGCAATAGAAGCACAATTGCAGCCACAAACAAGCGCTTACCTCGTCCAAAGAAACGGATAATTGCAGTCCGGACAATGACAAAAGAGCGGTGAGGGGAAATATCTTTTTATACACGCATAGTGGGTAGTGGGTCGGATTAAATCAAATACTACAAGGATGCAATCAGTGGTAACGGCGTTCTAGAACATTCAGCGTGGGGTTAGGGATAAAACAAAGAATTTTGGCGTGCAATCAACGCCATTTCTTCAGCTTTATGCTTTGCCCCAGCTGGAGGCTGGCGGGGGTCCGGCGCCCTTTTGTCCCTTTTGGCCGCGCTTGCCTTTTTACAAGAATTTTCTATATTAGGATTTCTTCTTTCCAAGGAAAAGCAGTATATATACCATTGATGGTGAATAATTTGTGATAAATTTTCAGTCTAAAATACTGAGGTGAGGTGAGGTGAGGTGAGTGATGACTGAATTGGGGCATTCCATGAAGTGGAGAAACAGATTTGAATTGGGCAATTTTCAACTCTCAAAAAGTCTTTTAATTTCGTCATTAATTTTCAACTCTCAAAAAGTCTTTTAATTTCGTCATTAAAAAAAAAACTTATTTATTTGATGTTTTTTTTTAAAAAAATGTTATATATTTAATTTAGTATTATTTTAAAATTTTAATATTATTATAAAACTGAGCTTTATTATCACAAATTTGAACTTATAATTTTTCGCTTTCATCATTTTAAAAGTTATTTATAAAAAATATGTTAAATTTTTTTTAAAACAACAATTTAAATTATACCAGCTAAAAAAATATATTGAGAGATAGAATGTGATTTAACAATATTGTACAATACAATTTTTTTTATGATGTGACAATCCGCAGCCGTTCATTTTTTTTTTTATTTTTTTAATAATATAGAAGTTGAGTCGCTACCAGCTATTCGAAAATGTGCATTAAGTAAACTTCTGACCGAATCTAGTACCCTGTAAACTAAATTGGACAAGAAAAGAACACTTTTTTATTTTGAGGACGTGCTTCATTCATTCATGCACTCTCAATAACATAAGAATAGGGTAGGATAAGCTCTATGTTGAATCAAACAAGGCTATTGACCGTGAGGTCCAACATTTTCTGCGATTTGTCTGCTGCACATAGTTACGTGTGATTTGCTTTGTAAAATCTAGTTTGCATATTATTAGATACGATTGAGCATTTACCTACAAAGCATCCGATAAATAGCGACTGCCAGTTCCATAATTAAACAAAAAAAAAAAAAAATCGAAGTTAACGAACAAATTAAAACGAATGGAATTAAATCAAATCAAATCAGAATGAAATCAAGGGGTTCGCCCATTCAAATCTTTGGACCTATTATCGTCGGAGGATTGCCGAGTCTCCGAGCTGGACGCCCGAACCTCCTCGATCATCCGAACCACTTCATCCATGGACGGCCGAGCATCAGCCACCTTGGCGACGCAAGCCATCGCAATTTGCAGCATCTGCACCATCTCCTCCTCGATGTTTTCGAACCTCATCAGCTCCACATCAAACACCTCCGACGTCCACTCCTCCCGGACCACCGACTGCACCCATCTTGGGAGGTCGACAACGTCGTCCTGGCTCGGTGACTGGGCCGGCTGTTTCCCCGTCAGCATCTCCAGCAGCATAACCCCAAAGCTGTACACGTCCGATTTCTGCGTGTGTTTCTGCATTTCGATAGTCTCCGGAGCACAGTACCCGGTGTTACGCGATGACAACGAGGCTGGATGGTTCATCAGTGGCGCCAATCCAAAGTCGGACATGCACCCGTAAAGATCTTGATTCAAGAGAACGTTCGATGATTTAATGTTCCCGTGAACGAACTTCGCGCCCCCGACTGTGTGCAAATACGCGACCCCCCTCGCCGCGCCGAGCGATATTTTGACCCTCGTTTCCCAAGCTGGCGACGACGTCCTTCCGGAAACGATCTTGTTTCCTATGCATTCGATACAATCAGAAAATGTTCGATAAAAATTAAGGTGAAATAGTATATATCGATACCATGCAAGAGGCTTGCGAAGCTGCCAGCCGGGTAGTGATCGTAGACGAGGAGCTTTTCGTCTTTGGAATAGTAATACGCCCGGAGAGGGACGATGTTCGGATGCTGCCCGACTCGACCGATGATTTCCATCTGTTGTTCGAAGTCTTTCTTCCCGACTATCACTTCCTTCAGCCTCTTCACAACCACTGTCGTCGACTCCTCGAGAACAGCCTTGTACGCCGTCCCGAAGCTGCCCTTCCCGAGCACTTCTGCCGATGCGCGTAGTAGATCCTCGAGGTCGAAGTTGTACGAACAGCCTTCGAAGAAGACTAACTTGTTCTTGTCCGGTTCTTGCAAGCCGCTTCCGAACTCTTCCTGCGGCTTGTCGCTCCTCCTCGCGGCGCCACCAGATGACTTCACTTTCGGCACAGCCGTATTGTCATCGCGCTGTTTCTTAACGCAACATAGAAGTAGTATCGCGACGAGGAAGATCAGAGCAAGCCCTCCGACTGCAATGGCGATTATAACGCCCACCGGAAGTTTCTTCGAGCTTTTTCTCGACAGATTTGGTGACGGCGAAGGAGGAGGAACACGAGAGCAAGGATCCAATGGCGCGCCGCATAAAGAGTTTCCGGAAAATGAAGATCTCGGGAAGCCCCGCAACGAAGGCGGGATACTACCGTCGAGACGGTTGTTGCTCACATCGAATCGCCGGAGAGGCGACGAGCTCAGATCGGGAATACTCCCGGAAAGAGAATTGTTCCGAAGGCTCAATGCGGTGAGTCTCGACAGCTTCTGAAACTCCGGCGGAATGTTCCCGGCGAGAGTGTTAAACGAGAGATTCAAAACAACGAGTTGAGGAGAAAACCCGGAGCTCGGGATATCGCCGGAAAAGGCGTTGTTTTGGAGGAAGAGGTGAGTGAGGGATGGGAGCGAAAGAACTTCAGCCGGCAAGCTTCCGTTGAGTCGATTGGATCGAAGGCTGAGAATCCTCAGGCTGCCTAACTTTCCGATCGTATTGTTAGGGATCGAACCAATTAGCCCGACTGCCGGTAGACGGAGAGCGATCACACTTGTGCCATCTGCATTGCAACGAATCCCCACCCACGACGCACACACGGAGGACGACTGATTCCAGTTGAGCTTCCGGCCATGGGGTACGGCAGCTGAGAAAGCTAGAAGGGATCGAACGTCCGAGGCCAAGTCTGCGTAGGCGAGAGGCAGAAGGCAGACAACGACGAGCAGCGTCATTACACGATGGAAGCAATGTTTCGCGAGAAATTTTACGTAGGAAGCATGAATTCTGTGGGATTCTCCTGAGGAGGGATAGCAAACATAAAATCAATCACAAAAGTGAAGGAAGAATCTTTGTAGTAAAAATCGAGTCTTTATCGAACAACAGAAGATTATTATCGAAAGAAAATCGAAAGAAGAAGAGCAATTTCACGCCAAAGTCACAATCTTGATGATCAAACTATTGATGGCAATGTTCTTTCCTAGCCAAGAAGTTCACAGCACGCCTCGACAAAGAATTAAACGAAAGCTCGAGATGTTTTCATCATAAAAGCGCGAATCATAATCATCGTCCATACAATTTACATCATTACTCAAATAACTTTTGTATCACAAAAAAAAAGAAAAAAAAAAAGCATAATCGGTTTAAAGAGTCCGGAAACAGCTGAAAAAAGAAATGAGAAAAAAAGGGCCCTTGTAGGCAAAAGCAAAGGTGTGCCATTTATAACAATCTTGAAGCTCACTAGAGTGATCAAATTCCAACAAGCTTATGTTGGGAAACAAATTGCGAATACTATGCTTGATCTCATGAAAAAAGAGCAGATCGATCCTTTTCTAGTCGCACGCGCTACAAATGATTCGATAATGAAATACAATTAGAACAACTAGCTACATTGCAAACAATGACACCGAAGGAATTGCAAGGAAAGGATACATCTTTTAAAATGGCCACTAATCGTATTAATGTAAAGTAGTCGAATAATTTAGCACAACTTTTCATTCAATCGAAAAGATAATCATACCATAAATTAAGCATTCTTTGATTAAATGAGTGTAACTTTCAAAGATAACATAATTTGCCACTCTCCATACTTAAAAAGCCTAAACAGTGACTAGAACTTTTAACACTTTATAGCTTAAATTATTCGAGGGGACCAAAAACAAAATGGATTAAACCAAGTTAAGGGGTTGAAGCTGGAAAAGAATCCAAGAAGCTTTTTAATGAGGATCATCTAAGCTTGAGTCAAAAATGTGCTTTTGCAATCAAATGCAGCCAACAATTAGAGTCATTCTAAACATGTAACATCTCTAACATTCAACAATCAGATCTTCAAGAAAACCTATACGTATATATACTATGAACAAGACATTGTAATAAAGAGTAAAAGGGTCTGTGGATAATACCTTGAGGCATTCCGGGGAATGCCAGAAAAGAGAAATTCCGAGCAGGGATTAATGAGAATGCCCAAAACGAGAGTCAAAAGTCGATTTTGTTTGGAATGGAGAGGTTCCAAGAAACCCTATTCAAAACGCAGAAGAGACAGCAGCAGCATTGGCAGAAGCCATTTTAGTCAAGAATTCACACCGCAAATGGGAATGGAATGCAGAGATCCAAGAAATCAAAATCATGAACCACTTTAATCTCTGCTGCAGCTTTCATTTCTTCGATGAATGTGCTGGAAAAGGGCATAAAGGAAGAAGGAGAATAGGCCAGCTCCGGCGTGGGGGTCGGGTTGCGGGGTGGGTGCAAATACAAGTTAAGTCCGATTCACTCAACAGCTGAGAGAGAGAGAGAGAGACGACGAGGAGTGAGAGAGGGCTTTTTTCGTGAAAGAGAAATATATGAAACAGAGCAGGGCCTGTGGGTTTTGAGGATGCAATTCTTGGGAGATCCTGAGAGCTCCCACAATTGAAAAATCTATACCGTCCATTGATGGAATCCTCCACATATCAAGGGTTATAGTGCATTCGGGAGCTGGGCTCCATGGACTCTTGTAATATATAAAAATGGGGAATGTTGCTATCATTACTTGTGACAAATTAAAATCATTAAAGTCCATCGTCTTTAATTCTTTTGGTAATAAATAAAGCAATCTTTGAACACAAATTCAAATTTAGGACACTTAATTAATTATTTACATTTGAAATTTAAGCGTGTGAAGTTTATATGCATCTTTTCAATTAGTAGATTATTAACCTACTAATATCTAAAAGATATTTAATCATCTATCCAAATGAATTTTTATTATTTTAAGTTAAGGGGAAAATTAATGTGAAGGTTCAATCAAGTGGTAGACATTTGAATTATAGGTGCATGCATGTTGTAATTAAAACAATTATGAACCCACATTTAAAAAATAATACCTATTTATATATTCACCAAAATTAATTATAAATAAATGAGAATCGAGTTAGAAAGATATGGTATGTAATGATTAGACAAAGTGTATCATGTGTGTATAATTATTATATTTATTAATGTAAGTGAGACAAATATAATTAATTCTTCATACTTTATAGTATTAATTCGAAGGGATACGAAAATGCGTGATTGCATTGATTAAGAAAACAGTAGAGTTGGTGGGCTTTTATTAACAATTATTAAAAAAAAAAAAAAAAAAAAACTAAAAATGAGAATTGCAATTTAGCCCCTCAACTAACAGAACTAATCAATCAAACACCTTATATTATACATCAACAATGTATACAATGAACTCAATCACAAGCATCAAACAATATACACAAAATCTCCATCAAACCAAAATGTCTAAAAGCAAAGAACAAAAGAGTAATTCGAACAGCGGCCGCAGATTCCCGCATTATTCAAGAAATTGAGAATCTCCGACGGCGAGGCTTGGCCAGCTCCGGCAATCCGTCGTCGAGATTCGACGTATCCTTCGACCCGTGCTTAAATGGGTTCAATTTCCCCAAAGTCTTCGACATCGTCGAGAAGAAAGTGTGCGGCTTCTTGGCGCTACTCGTTGCTTTCGATGACGTCGCTTGAGTTTTTTGTATGTCTTGTATATACATCTTCATCTTTAGAAGCTCCGTCCGCAACGCCTCGTTCTCCTTCACGAGCGACACGTCAGCTTGTAGCTGTTTTCGCGTTGCCATGCCATCCGGCGCCTTGTGATCTTCCCCAGCATTGCTTCTCAGCTTGAGCTGATCGTAATATAGCGCGTGGAGGACAATTTGCACAGGTAGTCGTTTGTTTTGCGAGGCGTGAACCCGAGCTTCGTACGATAGTTTTAGCGGATCCATCACGCTACAAACTTTCTCGCGCTCGATTTCATCTAGATTCGGATGCGCCTAAAATCGTCGCAACATAAGGGATCATCGCGCGCTAAAATTAAATCGAATAAAATGTTACGTAACGACGCTAACCTTCAAGTAGATGTCGATGGCGCGGTAGAGATCGTCGTCGATCTTTCGAGAGGCTTTGGGCACAAGATTCGCGATCCCGTTAAACTTGGCGATGTTGAGATCGGCGTACGTAGCGATCTCGCCGAGATATGCATCGACTGTTTTGGCGACTCTCTGCATTGCCGTCGACGACGCTTCTCGAAAGTCGGCGGTGTTGAACACGGCGACGTTTTTATCCTTCTCGACAAATGCGGAGATTATCCTCCTCACGCTCTCGAGATCAAACAGCCTCTCGCCGTCGTAGGTGAACGACAGGACAAGAAGATCGTCGACGGTGACATGCTCCAAGATGGCCGATATCCGTTTCTCGAGCTCGTTCTTGCAATTGTTCTGCGACTGGAGGAAGATCGCAGTCCTAAGGAGACAACATAGGAAGTTTATCGGGAAGGCCGTCTTCTCGGAAGGTAGTAAGGAAACTATCGATTCGAGAAGCTCCCGTTGTCCTGCTCTGGCCTCGGTTTCTATTACATCGGACGAACTTACGCCATTGCCGGTGTGATCGCGCACGAGGTCGTGCAGCGACCTCTCCGTGTATGTAATGATCGCGCTGGCGATCGTTAGGCCTTTCGCGCCTCTCGATTTCATTGCGGCGATGATCCTTTCGAAGAATTTAATGTTTAGAATCGTTAGCTCCTCTGTCCACCAATTCGGCGGCGATCGGGTCGGGAAATTCGCCTCGACGCAGGCCTAATTGATCGAAAACAGAGCATCGATCCATGATCAATTTTCATTACACAACAACATTAATGATGAATCCTATGAATTGAACATACATGACTGCTAGTTATAGATATGAACATCAATCAAACAACCTTAATTAATCAACATATGTAGAGTACCTTTGCAGTGGTGGTGTCGACGCATCTTTGGACAATGTTGAGATCCTCGGCGAGGGGGAGAAGATTCTGGCAAGATTTAAGGACGAGGAGGGCGCCGGAGAAGGTGGAGAGGGCGACCTGGGAGAGGAAATCCTCGGTCCGGCTGGCGAGGTTGTTGTCGCAAAATTTTTCGGTCATCTGGAGGTACTCGGCGGCGCATCGGAGAGCGGCGACGTTGTGGACGGTGATCTCGAAGTTGACTCCGTAGCAGAACTTGGCGGCCTTTTCGAACATTTCGGGGCCTCCCGGAATGCCCGAAAGGTCGATCCTCGTCAAATCTGTCTCCTTCGAATCCAAGATCAGTTGCCGTATGCGGTTGCTCTTCGCCACCAGCATAAACTGAACACCACAAAATCCACCGACGAAATTAATTAATTATTTGATAATTGTTTGCTTCAGACATGATATTAATGTATTATTGATTTTGAAACCAAATTACCAAGAATCGATCACCATAGCATACCTTGTGGAGGGAGAAGTGAGCTTCCCCAACGGTAACAATGACATCAGCAGGAATTTCTTGGGAGAAAACCCTAAATTCAAAATCAAGCAAGAACAGGCATCAACGAAGACTTGTATGATTATTGTTGAACTATGGAAGAAATAAAAAAATAAAAAATGCATACGTACCATTGGCCTGTTCTTTCCATTGCAAGGGAGTGTCTGGCGGCCATGAAAATGTGGGTTCTGAGCAGAGTTTCAGATTGGGAAGACACCTTTAATTTGAAGGGATTGAAATATTTGTTTGTATGCATAGAGTAGAAGTAGGCACTTACTTACCTTGCAAGTGGATGATCGTTTGTATCACATGCATTGTTTATTTATTTATTTTTATCACTTTTTCATGATTGATTACTATCAATTTGAACTTTCTGAGGTTAGGGTTTCTTCTCTGTAAAAAAAAACATTATTGGTTGACAAACAGTACAGCAGATTATCCCAAATTTGTAAGTGTAGTTTTCAAAGTTTGGATAATTCCATTTATTTGTTCTTAATATTCATGTCACTAAACAACAAATACATGGTTTTAATTTTACCAGTGTTTTTCATCGACCAGAAAATGGTTGCGCAAAAGGGACAGGAATTGGGTCAAATCATGTGGCTGGATGGAAGGACTTTCACTTTCTGCATATTATTATTATTATTTATTAGTAAATTTAATAAATAAAAAAAAAATGCAGAAATATAATTCTGGCAGTGATGAAATGAGTGGCTGGCATGGATTTCCAAGCTTGGCTGCCGGAACGCCACGTCAAACGACTTGATTCACGTAGGCCCCACCTACCCTACGATTTCAGACAGGAATGGTGTGACCACAATGTGGGCCATGGAAGTATCTGAAAGTAACCAATAAGAAGAAGTCACGTGTCAATCCAATCAATTCCCTCCAGTCCCGTGAGAGGAACAGATGCCCAACCACTAACGTGATATGTGCCTTCCCAAACGTTGACCCCAAATCCTTGTTATTTTTTGTCAAAATAAAAAATAAAAAAATAAAAAAAATATCAAATCAAATATATATACATTTTTTCATAAAATATTAAATCAAATATTAATTTTTTATTTTTTTCAAACTTTCAAATTTTCAAAAATCTAAAAAAAAAAAAAAAAAAAAACTTATCTAAACAAATCCTAATTATCCATTTATTTCATTAGAGTATTATCCATCTGTCTTTCTAATTTTTTTAATTTTTTAGCAAAATTTATTTTTGATCTCAGTTCATTACGATATATAGTATATACTCAATTTTAGTCTTACCACCACTAAAATTTTCATCAAAATTGACTCCAATTCATATATATATATTAATTATTTTTTATTCCACCTTCGAATTTATAGTGAAATATGTTGATATATACATAATAGAAACCGAGGTGGCGTGTTAATCCAACAATAATCAAATTATGTTGGAGATGGGTGGACAATGGGTTTAGGCCCACCCACGTTATAAATATATTTAATTGTTTATATATTGATTATTTTATTTATTTATTTTAAATTATATTATATTAAAATATTTTTAATTTTATATTGCATTCGTTCCATTATAATTAAAATTATTATTTTTTATCCGTGAATTTAAAAGTATATGTTTTTTATTATAATGAAAATAATCAAAACGTTCATATAATTTATATTCATATTGTAAAGGAAAAAATTTTAAATTTTTTTAAACATTTTCACTTATTAATAAAATATTATTATTATTTAATTTATTAAACTCAAAAAATAATATTTTGAAATTAAAAGAATATAATTCTTTTATTATTTTATGAAATCATATTTATATTACCTATATTTTATTATTAAATTAATTTAAAATAATTAAATATATTTATGATTAGTGTGGGCCTAAACTCATTAGGCAGCCTCCACTCTCCGGTGTCCGTTCATCTCTATTTTTAATAGAATTTGATTTTGAACACATCACACTAGTGTTTGTATACAAATAATAGTCACTTCTACTGACATGATATATTTATAAATAAAATAACAAATGCCTGACAATATATATTAATATATAGTATATATAATACTAACTGTTTTAAATTAGTGTGTTAAAAACATTGATCACTTGACACTGTGGCCAATAATAAATTACTATTAATTAATTACTTTAACGTGACAAAGTTAAAATGAATTGTTAGAATTTTAAATAAAATAGGGATCTAATCCAGATGATGCGTCTCCCTATGGAACCAGACCCAGTCCAATCCCCGACCCGAATCAGACTCAGACCCAAACCCAATCCTAGACTCAAATCTAAACCACACCCAGGCCCAGGCCCAGACCCAGACCCAAACTCGAACCCAGCCATAATCCAGACTAAACTAGATCCAAACCCAAATCCAGACTCAGTCCAGTCCAAACCCATTTCTAGATTCAAATCCTAAAAAACACTAGTACTATTTTGTTATATTGATTTTTTTTTTGAAAAAATATATTTTTATATATAGGTTTGAATAAACAAAGCCTTGTAATATTATATTAAAAAAAATAATTAAAGTATACTATTAATTAATAATATAACAATTGAAGAATAGTCTTACATTTCAATTTCATAAAATATCAAATGAAAATACATTATATTAATTTTAATTATTATTATTATTGGTGTCCTGCCTGCGTCGTCCCAGCTCGGTCTGTAGTCGCAAGAAAACTGCAGCCAATAAAATATCATGGCCATGGCGATGGTGGATTGATTACCTAATTTGGTCCCAGCATAGTATAGTATTGTTTAGTTATTAGTTAGTGTTAGTTTTTTGTGTGAACAGATTCAATTATCTCCAAGTTGAAACGTCGCCGCAGAGAGAAATGAAAAAGATGGCTGCAGATACCGCGCTTACACTCATCAGCCTCGTCGTCATCATCATCAAAAATAATTTTCTACTTCCCCCTACCTATCTATCTATGGAGAATCGGTCAACTCCACCTGCGTTTCTCGCTTTTTGCTCACCCTCTCTTTCAACTCTTCAAACCTCTTTTTTCTTTGCCAGCAAATTACTACTGCTGCACCTGCTCTCTGTTTCTTGTATGAATGATTCCTCTTGCGTGTTCGTGTTAAGTCACGCCGTTCTTTTAAGGTATTGTCTGCTCTGCCATATTTGTTGTTTTAAACCTTCTTTGCGCATAATATTTCTTTGTATGTTCATAATTTTTAGTTTGAGTTTGTCTTTCTGAAATTTTGCAGCTTATGGTTTGGCAACAGTTACTTGCTTCATTAATCCTTGTTATGTTGTTAGTTTTGATTTATTCTTGTCGTTGTTTTTATCAGGTCGATGCCAAATTGCCAAGCGTTCGACAACAATCAACCTTGGAAGGATGACCAAATTTGTGATGTTGCAGCCAGTTTCAGTAGAGCTTAGAATGATTTTAATCATTTGTTTTTGTTGGTATTTTTTGCTTTCGGGTGTAGCTAGCCAACTAACGGATCCGAATGAAGGTTGCAGTTTACTACATCCCTCTGTTTTCCATTAGTTACTTTGCTACATGCAGTCTTATTTCATCTTCGGGATTCTCTGTTCTTTAGCTCTAATTGTCATCTGATGGCTAAGAGTTTTGCGATGCTATCTGACATCATTTTTTTTTGAAATTTTCCCATAAATTTCTCTTATGTTTCGTGTCCAGTGTCTGTATACATAGTAAGATACTGCCCCTGGATAAAAATTGATGCTCATCGATGGTCATATTATGAAGTTATTATGCAGTATATGTTAGCTGCCATAAGAATTCTTTCAGTTGAGTCGAAATTTTGCCTTACATTTGTTTCGGGCACTTAAAAATATAGATGGCATTTTTGTGCCGTGATAACTTTCCTTCACTAGTAATATCATATCATAATAGCAACAAACAATCTCTCATGATTGACGCTCTGCATGTAATCTAGTTTTTGTATTTATTGAAATTTGTCATCATGATTAATGGTTTATGTTGTTTCCAGTGAATGCACTGCGGTCTATTAGAGGAAGTCTAGTTGATCGGTTTCGACATCTGGCCTCATGGAACAGGGGAGATCCATGCACTTCAGGTTGGGAGGGGGTTATCTGCTATAATAGCTCGCTCGAAGATGGCTACCTTCATGTTAGGGAATTGTGCGTCTTTTATTTTTTTTAAATAAAAACTTAGTAGTGTTTCATAATGAGGTGCTGTTTGTTGGTCTTCTCAAATGCAACATTTATGTAGCTTGTATTCCAATTGATGCCTTCCTGGTATTTGTTTTTTCTTCTCAACAGGTTGCTATTGAATAAGAACCTGTCTGGAACTTTATCCCCAGCACTTGGTCGTTTATCTCGATTGAGGATATTGTCAGTAACTTGTTTGATATTATACTCAGCGGTATAGTTTTGTCTTTTGTTACTCATTCTTGTTTGTTCTTGTTGTAGAGATTTTATGTGGAATAAAATCAGTGGCTCTATACCAAAAGAGATAGGCAACCTTACAATCCTAGAGCTGTTGTAAGTGGAAGCTTCTAATTCGTTATTCCTTGCCAGTTTTTCTTTTTTTTTTTTTGTCACTATTCACTATGTTATTTTTTTAGATTTGGTCTTCTGTTCTATTCCATTAACAATTCTCCAAAAATCAAAATGCATGCAAAAAATAAAAATCTCATTTGGGTTTTTACTGAATATGTTTACCCCTATGAAAATCCACTCAATTGTTTTTTTCATTACTTACTAATAGTGTTTATTTGCTTGTTATTACAGGCTTTTGAATGGAAATGAGTTAACAGGTGCTCTGCCTGATGAGCTTGGAAATCTTTCAAATTTAAACAGAATACAAATTGATCAGAACTACATATCAGGACCAGTGCCCAAGTCATTTGCTAATTTGATTAAAGCAAAACACTTGTATGAATTTCGCATATTTAATTTACCTAATGTTATCCTTAAAGTGAATGTGGTTCTTAGAGATCCTCACCTTTAGTCATTATTTCATACATTGAGCAGCCACATGAACAATAATTCACTCAGTGGGCAGATACCTGCAGAGTTGTCACGACTTCCGATTCTTGTTCATCTGTAAGCTGGATATCGATGTTTGTTTATTTAACATCCCCACAACATTTGATCATCTGGTCCCAGTTATTGTGGCTTGATATTTATGCAGGTTGCTTGATAATAACAATTTATCAGGACCTCTTCCCCCAGAACTGGCTGAAATACCCAACCTAACTATACTGTATGATCCTATTGTCCTGTTCAATGTTTTGCATTGCTTGATATTTCATTGTGGTCTTTTCCATCTTCATCATATCTTGTCCCATATTCCAGAACAAAGTCTTAATGAGACTCGTAAATTTCTTTTTAGTCTTGGTTGATTGCTACACCATATCCATGATAAGTTTGGTCTGTGTTAATATGTATGAAGTTTCTAAAACCGAATGTTGTCATAACATTACACTTAAAGCAAGTCTTTACATGTGAGTTTGCAATGCTGTAAACTTCTAAGAATGTTGTCAAAGATTGGATTCTTGACAAATATCATGTTCGAAAGTAGATTTAAGTCTGCGCTGGTTCTCTGTTTCCCATTTAAATTTAACTAGTTTCTTCTTTCCTTTTTTCTATGTACAACTGTACACTTTCGCCCAATTTTTGTTATCTTGAGTAGTTGGGGACCATGCACCTAGCATCCTCTCTTAATTTTATCTTGTTTGTTGACAGACAACTTGATAACAACAACTTTGGTGGCAGTCCAATACCCAGTTCATATGGAAACATATCCAATTTGCTGAAGTTGTAAGTGAATGCAATATTCTCTTTGTTACATTTTATACAATTTCTTGTATGCAATATACTAGCAATTTTTTAGTTTCTCAAATTCTTCCCTTTCTTTAAGTTTAAACTCTTGTCACAAGTTTTGAAGTAGGAGGAATGTACTCGAGTTTCTCTCTCTCTTTTTCTTTATAATTCTTTTTCAACAGTCTGCTTTATTTGCATGTATCAGGAGTCTGAGGAACTGCAGTTTACAAGGTCCGATTCCTGATTGGAGGAATAGTCCACGTATTGCTTATATGTGAGTAGCTGGACATGGGAATAGTCTGAGTTATTACTTTCTACTCAAGTTGAATATATATAGCCCCCTATCAAAGTTGTCGTTGTTTTTGCTTTTTTTAACCTCTTAAACAATATATGAAACTAATATGCAAATGACTGTACTAATATGTACAAAATACCTTTTTTGGGAGGTAGATTGCATTTTTGTGAAAGGGAGTTATCAAACCTGTTTGTATTTGTGAAAGGGAGTTATAAATGGGAGGTAGATTTGCATATTTATAGAAGGGAGTTATCAAACATGTTTGTATTTGTTTTTTCCTGTCTCGACTCCACTAGCTCGGCATATCTAACTAGTCGTTCGGTTTTGGGCTGATCCATTCGTAACCTTTTTAAAACTTCATGGCTGTTGAACAGTGGCAGACTATGTCCTTTTATTTACCTTATTGTTATATATATTATTTTATTTAATAATTTTTCCATTGTGGATTTCAGAGATTTGAGTTTCAACCAGCTTAATGGAACAATTCCAAATGGTACTCTCTCTATAAATATTACTACTATGTAAGTTCCCAATATCGCTTAGAACCTATGAAATGAAACACTTTTTTTTTTTCTTTTTTAAGTAAGTAGAAATTTGCTTAAATTATTATATAATTGTACATGCAGTGATCTGTCAGTAAACAATCTGCATGGAACTATTCCCACCAGCTTTTCAAGCCTCCCATTTCTACAAAAACTGTGAGCTATCATTCATTCATTTGGTCGATTTTAATTACTTACAAAATGCAATGAACTAAAGAGACACAATCCAATCTATTCTCTTTACAGGTCATTAGCAAACAATTCATTAAACGGCTCTATTCCATCAAGCATATGGCAAGATAGGATATTAAATTCAACCGAGTCACTTATTGTGTAAGCTCCAAATAAATTATGACCATCAGTAAGTTTGTGTAATTATACATATGAACTCAGTCTTGTTGCTTGTGCCTTTGTGAACTTTGCAGAGATTTTGGGTACAATCAGTTTACCAATATTTCAGGCAGACTTCTCTTCCAACCTAATGCTACAGTCGGGTATATCATTAAAGGCTTTTTATTCACTTCCAAAAGATTTGTTTTCTTTGCTGAAAATAAAGGTCTGCACAAACACTTTCAGGCTTCAAGGAAATCCATTATGTTCGAGTATCAATCTAGATCAATGTGGGCCACACAACAATGATTTCTCCAATGTCTTAATTAATGCAAGCGTCATTGGTTGTGCTCCTAACTCATGCCCGCCTCCTTATGAGAATGGCCCTGCAAGTCCCACCGTGGCCTGTTTTTGCGCTGCTCCCTTGTTTGTCGGATACCGGTTGAAGAGTCCTGGATTCTTAAATTTCATTCCATATGCCAATACTTTCAAGGAGTATCTAAGTTTTGGTCTTAATCTGGATAACTCCCAGATAGGCATTGATTCAATACAATGGCAAGAAGGACCCCGCCTTAGAATGTATGTTAAAATCTTTCCCAAGCAAGGTGTTCGGGAATTTAACAGGAGTGAGGTCTTACAGATCCGGGATAAGTTTAGTGGATGGAGGATCCCAGATAATCAAATATTTGGACCTTATGAATTTATCAACTTCACACTTTTGGGACCTTATGAAGGTACATAGATAGCCCATGCAAAGCTTACATGAACACGAGCAACTTGGAATCATTATTTTCAGCTGATTCTTGCTTCCCTATTTGTTATTGCATGGCATTTATTTGTTGTTTATTTTGCAGAATTTGTTTCCTCGTCATCATCTAGCTTAAGCAAGGGTGCACTGGCAGGCATTATAGTGGGGGCAATAGCTGCAGCTGTTGCTCTATCTGCATTGGTTTCACTTATTATCTTGAGAAGGCGCAACAAGAAACACTACACATCTTCAAAGAGGCGACAATGTGAGTCCCATACAAGTTAATGGAAATATAATAAAACTTCCCATACAATATTTGAATGATTTATTTTCCTCTAACATATTTCATCGTTTTGCTATTTATTAAAATAGTTACACAAACCATGGTCGTCAGCACTCATAGTCATTGATTTCGTACTCCCAAGCTATTCAAATTTCATCTGATTGGTCTCATTCAAATTTTCATGTGTTGTTTCGTTTTATCCTTTAGCCTCTACACCATTATTTTTGCTGCTTTGTGAGAAGTAGATCATATGGGCCATATCAGTAGAGGCAACGATTGACCTACAAAAATCACACCTTGTGCTTTCTTATATAACTCATCTCTTTTGACATCTACCAAAGTTTTTTATCACAACTTTTTCCCCAGCAACAAGCATCTTGTCATCGTAATTAATGCTCTATTTCTAGGCTACACCACTCCATTTTGCTGTGGAGTGATAGATCTCCACTTGATGCTTTGTTTGCCATTTTACAAATATTGCTGATTTGCTCTGGCATACATTCTTTTTTATTACCCTTGGAAAGCTTTCTAACAGAACTCATTTGATCATACAATTTATAAGCTAAGTTTCTATGAAGTATTAGTGTAGCTTGAGGCTGCAAATAACTGCTCACGTTTACATTGATTCTCTTCAATATTAGTTCCTATCATCGCTCTGACTTTGAATATTTTCCACATGCACTAATTCACCACCATTTGTGAGATGTTTCTTTTGGTGTTCATGATTTAGGCATAAATCCTTGAAAAACATATGTTGCTTGATTCTTTCGTGATATATTAATCGAAATCTTTCCTGGCCTTCTCCTTCAGCAAAAAGGGGCTCCATGAAAATTGATGGTGTGAAAGATTTCACTTACAGTGAAATGGCAACAGCAACAAATAGTTTTCATGACTCGACTGTGGTTGGGCAAGGAGGTTATGGCAAAGTCCATAGAGGCATTCTTGCTGATGGAGCTGTGGTGGCCATAAAGCGTGCTCAGGAGGGGTCATTGCAGGGCGAAAGGGAGTTTCTCACAGAAATAGAACTGTTGTCAAGGTTACATCACAGGAATCTGGTTTCGTTGATTGGCTACTGTGATGAAGAAGGCGAACAGGTACCTACCTTCCTCAGACAAAATTAAGATGTTGCCATTTCAGCTTTATGCTGTGCATAAATTTATTGTTATTGTGTACCTTCATTTAAACTGATGAGAATCCTTATTTCTCATTTTGTCGAAAGTTAGGGAATCTCATGTTTATGTCACTGCTTTCATGTTGCAGATGTTGGTTTATGAATTCATGCCTCAGGGTACCTTGAGAGATCACCTATCCGGTAAATTTTCAAATCCTCATTTCATTGAACTTCATATTACACTTCTGTAGCTTACCTTTGCTTAGGCTCTTATGGCTGAATGGCAATTCATTTTGGTATTGCAGCTAACACTAAAGTTCCCCTCACATTTCCTTTGAGGATAAAAATAGCATTAGGCTCAGCCAGAGGCATACTTTACCTCCATACAGAAGCCAATCCTCCAATATTTCACCGTGACGTAAAGGCAACCAATATATTGCTCGACTCTAAGTTTACTGCCAAGGTTGCTGATTTTGGGCTATCGAAGCTAGCTCCCATCCCCGAGCTTGAAGGAAATGTGCCTTCTCATGTATCTACAGTTGTCAAAGGGACACCTGTGAGTAGTATTTTACTAAGATCAATATGGATCAGTGACATCCTGTCTTTTTATACATTTTCTGTAACTTTTTGTGGCGTCTTGATGTGCTGACTGAACACTGTTACTTGATTTTCGAAGGGATATCTCGATCCAGAGTACTTCTTGACTCATAAGCTGACGGATAAAAGTGATGTTTACAGTCTTGGGGTGGTGTTCCTGGAAATGTTGACAGGAATGCACCCAATTTCACACGGCAAAAACATCGTTCGGGAGGTAAGATACTGTTGCTTATGAATTTTACTTTTGGGGGCCTTGAATTTGGACACCATTCATGTCTTCAAGGCTATGTCAATTTTTCAGTGTTGTTAAATGGATTTGGCTAAGGTTAGTCTGTCTGTTGCTTATGAATTTTACTTTTGGGGGCCTTGAATTTGGACACCATTCATGTCTTCAAGGCTATGTCAATTTTTCAGTGTTAAATGGATTTGGCTAAGGTTAGTCTGTCTGTATCAGGTGAATGCTGCTTATCGATCAGGGATGATATTCTCCATCATCGACGACAAGATGGGGTCATATCCATCCGATGGTGTCGAGAAGTTCATAAATCTTGCACTCAAGTGCTGCCAAGAAGAAACCGTGGCGCGACCATCCATGGCCGAGGTGGTCAGAGAACTGGAAAACATATGGCTAATGTTGCCCGAATCCGACACCAATATAACATCAGATTCTTCGGTCAGCAATCCCGGCAAACATATGACACCATCTTCATCGTCTGTTATGAAAACCCCATTCCTATCCCAGGATGTCTCTGGAGGTGATCTTGTCAGCGGGTCGATTCCCTCCATTGCGCCACGATGATGGCAATACGATGCCCGCAGCCATCTCCTGTCGCCATTTATGGGATTCTTACATAGTTTTTGTACAGATATGTGTTTGTATGAAACTGCATTGTAGGTGTCCTATCTTTGTATGAAACTGCATTGTAGGTGTCCTATCTTTGTATGAAACTGCATTGTAGGTGTCCTATCTTTGTATGAAACTGCATTCATACTTGTCTTTTTAGAAGGTTTCAATTCTGCAGACAAGAAATCCGAAAGTACCGATACCAGATACATCTCCCTACTTGGGTTTATAAGTCTAAAACAGAGCCAAATACATCTCCCTACTTGGGTTTATAAGTCTAAAACAGAGCCAAACACAATACAGACAAGTCTAACGTCTCTTAGCCGGCGCTTAAGCCGACCAACTAACATAGGATAATTACCATCATTATGGAATTCGATAGATTGTAAGAAACTAAATGAACTAGCATTCGCGCATATAGGTTCTTGCACCTTGTTGGTGATTCAGTCATGCATCCTCGATTGGTGGGGACTGTTTTCCGGTGCTTTTAATCATGGCTAGCTCTCTGAACTGCTCTCGCTTGTACATATCTTCTGATGCATCCTGTGGAGCGACTCAAAAACCATTCGTTAATTTTTCTGCATAAGAACAGTTGGGTATTTCTAAATGTACTAAATATATGTTTTGACATTAAGCACGAGAATTCTCGAATGGACAGTTGACATACCACAGGTTTGAGTATCTCTTGTATGATGTCCCTGGCATGCCTCAACTGTGCATCAACGATGTTTGGGGGCGAGGATGCCTCAATTATAATGTGCAGTGGCTCGTTCAGGTGTTCGTGGCCGGGTTTTCCCCTCAGCCTCTCCTCCTTAAGTTTAAGCATAAACAAAAAAATATTGTTAACAAGCTGCGCCACCATAGACGAGAACAAAAAATTGTATGACGTTGGAAGAATATAGAGAATGTTTTTTTTTTTTTTTTTCGAACCAAATTAAGGATTAGTAAAACATTTCGGTGAATAACAGGATATACCTTCTCACGGTCTCTTATTGACCCTTTTCCCCTTATAATAAGACGACAACCAGTAGCAGCTTCAATTCTTTTCAGGGAATTTCCACGAGGACCAAGGAGTCTCCCAACGAAATTGAACTGTTTCATTTCAAGGATAACTCATGAGAATTTAGATTCCTATTTTTACTGAAAGAAACTGAAATTTCAGTTGCTATTTTGCTTACACTTGGATATAGAGCGACAGGGACATCGATCCTCAGTATTTTCTTCTCTGCTGATGAGGTCGAACTTCTGGCTGCTGATTGCCAGTCCACAATAGTACCCGGCAACACACCTAATCCCTGATAGAGATATAATATGATGGTTATTTTATCATCAGTTGCACAGAGACATATGCTTCTAGAGTGTGCTAAAGATTCAGATTAGAATTAAACAATTTGTCCCGAGGATATGATCACATAATCAACATAAGTAACTGGAGAGTATTAGCATTCATTCAATTAAGTACCCTCACTTTCCAGGGGATGTTAAATATGAATTTAAAACATTGATGGGCAGTAAATTTGAGAAAATTTTCTTTAATGAATACCACATTGAGTATGAAAACACTGGAATGGATGAACATTTCTCATTTCTCTTTATGTCAACAAATTAACCGATTAAGATCAAGAAAAGAAATTTATATTTTAGTAGAGAGCCATATCAAGGAGCAGGGAGAAGACTTACAACTCAAGCTCAAGTACTTATACAAGCATTTACAGTAAGCTAGTTGTACATAAAGTTTAATTATCTCAAGCATAGAGAGGGCAGACTTTAATTAAACCAAATATGCACAACAATATTCAGAGTAACAATCTAAATCTAATGATGGAAAGACCAAGCTCCAAGGCTAACCGATTAAGATACTGCATATGATGATATCTTATGAACTTGGAGTTTGTAGCCCATCATATTTTATGCTTACCTCAGGTTGAAGGTTGTTCCAGCCATTTCCACTCCAGTTACTGCTTCCTGCCATCATATTTGGAAAAATCAATGGACTTGGAGCACCAAAGTGTGGTGTGCCAATGCCAGTAAAACCATGGCCTGTGAGCCTCCCAGAGACGCAAAATATCTCTGTTGTTTACAAAAAAAAAAAAAAAAAAAAAACCATTCATTATAGTTATACAGAACTTCATCCATAAGAGGACATATAACTATGGATGTGATATCTCACAAAAAACAAATAAATAGAGAACCATGAAGAACCTCTTTCTGGATTAACAGTACAACCTCCGAAAAACCAAATTATTTAAATAGAGAACCATGAAGAACCTCTTTCTGGATTAACAGTACAACCTCCGAAAAACCAAATTATTTACATCCAAAACACATTCGACACTATAAGTGATATTTAAAGAAGAATGAAACTTAGTAAAGACTACTCCAAATACATGTTCATGGATAATAAAAAAAAATAAAACAAAAACTACATATCTCATATTAGCTTATGTCCTATGATCAAGTAATGAGTCAAACAACCTATATAAATAGAGATCTTTATCAACCTACAATGCTGTGGTGCACAACGATATATTGATATTGTTTTTGTTTCAGTATGCAGATGCACAACCTACCTTTTACCATAAAGAGGTGTTACATACTGAACTAGGCTTGATCAGAGTGCTACAACACACACAAGTCTGAGCTCTGATGCATATTGGTATTATTATTGTTTTCTGTATGCAGATGCAACCTAGTCGAGATCAACATTCTACAACACACACAAGTTGGAAGAATACTTATTGTAATGCGACACACAACATAAGTTGTTTTAAAAGTAATTTGGTCATACTTCAAATGCACAATACAAAGACAGCTTCACCACCAAATACTAAGCACAACCAATGTTTTTGTATTTCTAGAACATGCGGTTTTCGTTATTGCAAAGCTATTATATAGTACATTAAGCTCAGTTATTGAAGTCAATGCTGCATAGTATCAGAAGAAATCCACAGAGATGATACTCAATCATGACCAAACTAATTACAAACAAAAACATTTCAGTTAAGTTTTACGATGATCTGATTGCAGGAAGGGAAAAAAAAAAAGAAAAAAAAAAGGATTTTTTCATCGAACTTTGGAGTAATCTATAATGGGTGCTCAATCACATGACACTTGCACTGGCCTCTTGCAAAATTTTATTGTATATTAAGAAAAGGAATTTTTTTATTAATTTGGAAATATCTCTTCATTTTTGTCTGTCTTTGAAACACACAACTCGTGAAATCAAAGCCATTACGTAATTTCCACCGCCTGCACTGTGTTCTAGAGAAGGCACCAGATTGTACTCTAAAATTGTTCACTAAATCACTGATATGGTTACATCAGCCACTGGCAATATGATGCATCTTGAAGTTTCATCAAAATTTTATTTTGAAAATTTAATTGACAAAACTAAACTTATTTTCTCTGCCACAGGACCTGGCAATATAGTCACCAGAAATTTCGACACCAAATACATCGATTCTATTAACTAATGAATTATATTTGATTCCACGTGGTCACGGAAAAATAGAAAGATCACCTAACACTCAACTCCCCATTCCTTAGATAAAACATTTAGTGTGCCTTGACGCATGCGGAAGGTATCTTTTGATAAATGCTTTAGGCGCACTGAAGATGAGTAACGCATAAGACCCAGTTCCGCTACTTAATTCTAGCGACCACCTAAACTTTCAATGCTAGTAAATTCATGGATTTTATTCTATTATTTCAAAGAAAAAAATGTTGAAATCAGTTTCACATTTATCCACAAACTGTTTATCTTATAACATCATTAAGAATTCACTCATAACACAAGAAAACTGCTAAGAGCAGGAAATAAATAGGAAACAAGATCTGTGAATCAAACAAATGATCATATAGATCATGATTAATATCACAATCCATTCAAACAAATTATAGAAATGACCCTTATAAAATGGATTCTTACATGCTATATGCTTATTTAAGCTCAAGCCCAAAATTCATTTCCAAAAATCTTAAAGATGTGAACCATAAGAAGACAAATACAGATTAAGGGGGGGCACAAAAGAAAGAAGAAAGGAAAAAAGACCCCGAAATCTAGGTAGAAATAGAAAATTTGATCATAGAACCAAACCATAATCCAAGAGTCTGCCACAGTTTGGAAATAATTGTATTAAAGGTTCCAGATTCTGCCTCTCTACCAGTAGCTCTGTCAAGTAATGACTGCAAGAATCCGATCACAACAAAGTTTGATAAAAGCTTTGATACCCTTAGCACAGACATAAAAGAACTTGCAGGAAAAGAGAGAGAGATGGGTAGTACCTTTCAAGATGTGAGTCAGTCCTTATCTGCGGAGAAAGGATGCCTCTAGCAGGAGAGAAGTTCATACTCTGAGGAAACAAGCTTGCCATGGGGTTACACACTCAAAAGAAACAAGAGAGAAATGGTGCTAGAAACAAAGAAATGTGAAAGGGGATTTAGAGAGAAAGGAGAATGAAGATTGTGCTTTTCAATTGTTCAGAGAAAAGACAAGAGCCGAAAGCTGAGAACGAAAAGAGGGAAACGGCTTATATTCATGTGGGGCTACCGGTTACATTAATGTGACCGAACTTTCTTCTCTAGTAACAGTAAAAGTTAAATACTCATCTACTTGCTTTTCCATTTATAGTTAGGATGACGTCTAGTTTCTGGGGTAAGAATTTTCAATTAAGATTTTGAATGAACGTGGAAGGGTAGGCAACTAGGCATTGTGGGCGACATTCAAGAAGTAAATTTAGGCTGGCAATAATCAAATTACCCCACTATTTATGTAGTTATTATTTGTCTACCCTGTTCTATATTGTTTCGGAATAAAGTGTCAAGAAAAGACGGAAATTCTTGCCTATCAGTGGAAAGAACAAAATAACAGAGCTCTCATCATTTTTCTTGTATAGATTTATTTCGCATAGGAAATTATAAGATCTTAATCTCTAGATTATTTTTCGGTCTATTCAAAGTTACAGAGCCTAATGCTAGAGCAACTGAGTGATCTAAAACTATACAAACTCAAGTTGAACTTGATAGATGTCTTTTGCCCCCTAAATTTTTAATTTCATGTTACCCCACTTTCAAGTGTAGTCAGAAATCAGCCCAACAATCAAACCATGCTCTAAGAAAACTGGATTTATTGATTGCTGTATTGGACTTTTTGAATAGTAAAAAGAAAATTGTCAAATAAACCCATGAATTCTTGAAGAATCAATCATCTTCCAATTTTATACATAATAATGAAAACTTTATCAAGACTAAAATTTCAAAGTTTAAGTGCCTATTACCTTTCACAAAATAAAATCTACTGCACTGACAACTTTTAACTTTTTTTTCTGCATAATAGATCAATGATAAAATTTTGAGCTAACTCAGTGACACTACATGCCTTGGATCTGAATTCAAATTCCATAGTTCATTTCAAAAATTACAAAAGCAGCTTTAAGAACGATCAAGCATGAACTGAATTGAACCTCGGAAAATCATAGTAACTATTTAAGTAACATTACGGCTATATTCTCGTTGAGGTTTTTTTTATTTTCTTTCTTTCTTTTTTAAAAATTTTATTCAATCTTCACAATTCTCTATAAAATACACTAGATCCTATGTCTTTGAAGAATGTAATGCAGATGGAGCCTTTAGAAATTGAAATACTTACATGTATGCCCTCAATCATATGTGATATCATTAGTTACATAATCCCTAAATAATAATAATAATTACATCACACAAGCCTCAACCAGAATTTTATTCATTTCTAATGTTCAATTATAAAATTAAACTGTCATGTGCAATATAGTAATCACCAATTTTCAGAGCTTCTACCACCATTAAAACTTTTGTAAATGAACCAAATAATGGCTGGTGAATTGCTTTCTGAAATATTAACAGGTACTTTATTTAGTCATTAGATAATTCCCCGATTTTGAACATGATTAAGCAATGCATAATATAAAGGTGTGATCAAGATCATAACCGCATAGGAAAGAATCATATCACATAAGATGACAGCCAAAGGCAATGAAGGATACCAGCACAAGAGTCTCAAGGTTTGCAAATCCATTCTCCACCATTGGCCTATAATCCTCGTCTCCAATGCCACAGGCATCTGTGTGCCACAATGCTCATCCATGGTCGCAGCAGATGAATCATCACACCCCACACACCTAAGAGGCCCAAAACTGGTGCAAAGAGGATGGTATCCCAAACACCACAGAAAATGCTTAAGCATGAGGCTCCAACAAAGCTGCCCAAATTCCAATTCCGATTACCTAAAATAACCCTAAATGCCCAATTTTCGCTGTCCTAAATGCAAAGCAACTGGACTGCCACGCCTTAATACAAAGAAGCGGATAGAAAGCCTTGCCAAGCTTGGAACAGTGGGATGTCAAGGTGCGCGCCATTTCCCTCTCACACGTCTGCACCATCGGAGATGAGAAACGAAGCCGGAAGAATCGACGAATTGCTGACCGGAATGAATCCTCCGACAACGCTGGGCCGAATTTTATTTCGGACTATTGGGCCGTTATTTATTTGGGCCACTAATATAGGCCTAATTACAACTCAAGGACCAAATTAAACAAACAAAAAAGACCGTGCTGGCACGTTGGAGCTGGACCACATTAATAGAAATTTGGAAATGTAATATTGAATATGTTCTTTAATTTTTTATTTATTTATTTGTTTATAATTCTATTTTTCTTAATAAAAATATATTCCAAATATAGGTATTAATTAAAAAATAATAATATTTAATGTATGGATTGCTTTTTCTACTCAATTTTATTTTACTTAAAATTACTACTTATATATATAGAAAAAAAAAAAAAAAAAAAAGGAAAAGGAAGGAACACACTCATTTTCAAACAGCAAGCGTAAATTATATATAATTATTAATAAATATTGGAAGGGCAAAAAGACAAAAAATTATGGATTGCTTTTTGGATTTGGCAAATGTAACGAGAAATCAATTGGAGATTTATTTAGAAATTTGGTCTACACTTTAGAGATACAATGCATCAATATGTATGGCCTACCCAATATTGCCTTTAATTTTTTGTTGTCAAATTACTTATTACTTTTTCCATTTTTAATTAATTTTATTGCACACTTGTAACATGTGTCGTCGTCTAATTAATTGTTCTTCAGCATTAATTTATATATATAATAAATAAAAAAATTATAGTATTAAAATTTTGAGTTAAATTCTAAAAAAATCACCTTGATCACGGGTATTTGTGTGTATATACAAGTAGAAGGTTGACAAAAAAAACAAAGGATGAATGAGTAGTGATGTGGCATCACTTTTTGTTCCCACATATTTAATATGCAGAGATTCTGTGAAGATCTTCTTCCACAAAATCCATAGATATATATATATATATATTATCCTTTTTTTCTTATTTATAACCCCAAATGCTTTCTTACTTTTCAATCTCCTCCAACCCAACCCCCCCACCCCCCCCCCCCCCCACCCCCAGGCTTAAGCTGTTCATACATGCATAGTACTCTTAAGAGAAAGAAAGAGATGCATTTTCGAGAATTCTGTAAGTTGTGGGTAATTTTTGTGTTCAAGTTGATATTATATATATATATGTATGTATGTATATATTTTTTCATGTAGATTTATATATATATATATATAACTATATACTCACAAGATTCCATGATTACAGATCCAAATTACATTAAATCTAAAATGAAGTATATATATATTACAATAGTAGGCTCTAGGGTTAGGGTTTTCATGCATACAAGCCAACTTTCTTTGATTCTTTCCCAATTGAAATTACAAACGCAGCATATATATGTTATTACATAAGCAAGAATTTCATTTTATTTATAATGATCTATCATTAGCTGTCGATATATATATATATATATATATATAGAGAGAGAGAGAGAGAGAGAGAGAGCTTCCTTCGGTCTAACCGAGAGAGAATGAGGGTTTGAATTTGCTGCCGACTCATTCATTCAATCGCGGTGGATAAATTAGATATATATATATATATACAGAAGAAGTTTTAATGCCATTGCGAATGTGTGGATGATTCGGGAGTCGAATTTCATCCTTTTTCATTTTTGCGTTTGGACTGAAGGGAGCTCCCTCCCTCTTTTTAATTTAATTTGTTGATAGGATCGCGTTCGTCAACTAATAATTATTCAATTCCAGATTAACATATGTAAACTCATTTTAATTGAATTATATTATATTATTATTATTGCTTGCTTGCTATGGTTTGAACATGTTGCATATATATATATATATATATATATAAAAAATATAATCAAATGTATTTTATAATACCGCTGTGTTTAGCCTACTGACATGATCAAATAGTCCATGCATATATATATATACAATATATCATAATGTTGTATCGTATAAAAGTATATAATGTACAATTTATATATTGTATGTATACTTATTGAGCTTAAATAAATACTTCTACCGTCCACAAATTAACGTCCTATTTTTTTTATTTAAAATGTCCAACAATTATTGTCCCATTTCTATTTTTATAAACAGAATTGATTCTTTTACCCTTACTTTATTTACCCTTTTCTTTTTCTATACACAAAGTAAAGGATAAATTTGTTATTTTATATCAAAAATCCTAATTGTCTAAAAATGTCTGTAAATATCAAATAGGACGTTGGAAAATGGACAGAAGAAGTAATATATTGTCTCATGTTGAATTATATTATATGTTGTATACGATAATCATCGTATGTTGTTAAATATGTATTGTTTATCTTGTTAATTTGTGTTGATTGAATCAAATCAGTATCATTGCACAAAGTAAATTTTTCACTTTATTTTGGATGCTGCTCTTCGTCATAACCCATGTAAATTTTCCTTTCAATAACTAGTTTATCTTCTATTGAAAACTCATTTAGTTTGGAGAAACTATTATTTATTTTTCCTGATAAAAAAGAGTGTTGGTAATTATTAGTATTAAATTAATCTTATCCTAATAAAAAAACAGTGTATATCTCTTCTTCTTCCCCCACCCCTTTAACTCTACATGTGAACCGGAACTTTTTAGAATTTTCACTAATTCGTTCAATAATAGTATAAAATTGTATAGTTTTATCAAAATTAATTGATAATTAACTTAAGAATTATATATACTATTATATATATCATTCACATTTCTTTACTATGATATTTAAAACCGTAATTTTATTCTATAAAAACTATATCATATAAAATAAGTGAATTACTATTTAAGAGTCACCAAAAAATGAATATTTAAGCATAAGGGTTAAGGTTAGGGGCAAGTAAGAATGCAAATGCAAGATTAATTAATAATCATATCAGTATACAGCAAAATTAATTAATTAATTAATAATCTCTTTGTATATAATTACATTCCTAATCTCATTTATTCAATCCCTAATTATATTTAAATCTTGCACAGAAACAATAATTCACAAATCTAATGTGAAATGAAGATTGACTTTCAAAAGAAAAAAATGATCTATTGACTCTTATTATTATTATTAGTATTATTTAACCCTATTGTTGCAGGGTGTCATGAAAACACTGAAACCTGTGACGAGGAGGTTGCCTTGTCTTGTCTTTGTACACACCAATTAAACCTTTTTAATTAATTAAGGACGAATATATGAGTTGACTACAGGAACCAAACCCACTATTAAAAATTAGTAATTTAACCGGACAGCATTAATATATAATCTTTCTCTATCATTTTAGAGTCATCACTGAATCCATCCAGTACCAAATTGCATCTACAGACAAGAGCTTTACAAACACATCTAAAATGGCCAATATGTGATGTGTATATATATATAATAGATATATAAAGATCATGCTAGAATGTATGTCTAGGCTATATAATGTCCGCGCGCCAAAAGAAGATTAACTTACAAATGTTACGGCGACCTTAAGCTTTCTTCTTCCCGAGTCTCCTAACATCCAAATCCATGAGCCTCGCGGATGATCGGGCAGGTTGCATGCCCAACAGTCCAACGGATTCCGGGATATCAAGATCGACACTCTTGGAAGGGCCAGCCAATGCCCGCTTCATGTCATGCTCGTTCATTTGATGGACTTGGAATTTCGACTTGTCAATCTGTTGCTCATTTTATGGCCACAATGAATAAGATATTGAATCTAACATACAGAGTAGATCTTTACAAAGAAACTGAACCATCCTTACCAGTTGGTTGTGATAAATAGAGGAACATGCAATGGCAACTCTTTGCTGCAAATCCTCTACCTTCCTCCTTTGGTACTCGAGATTCTCCACTTCACTCGCCTTTTCCCCGGATTGTTGGTATAATGCTGCGGGCAATTAGTGTCAGATAATTAGATGCTTTACAAGAAAACCGAAGCAGTTTCATTCTCTCAATAAAACTAATTACATTTAGCATATCACTTATTATGAAACAAGTCAAAAAGACAGGCAAGCAAGTGTACCACCTGTCAAATTCGACAGAACCCAGTTTTGAGTTGGAATATCGTAAAGCTTCTTGGCCAATATTAGGGCGGATCTCAAGATCTCTCTAGCTTGCCCTGTGTCATGTAGAGCAAGTGCTAAATTTCCCAACACTGTTAAATACTGGGAAACAAGTTGCAGATTTCCCAAATAAGTATGAGTTGTCTGCAAGCCAGAAGCCAGTCGAACTCTGCATCATGGAATACAAAGAACAGATTAGAGAAATATATATATATATATATATATATGTTCTTCATTCTTACACATTCAACAATTTGAACTTTCTTTTTTTTATATAAATAAACTAAGGCTCAACTCTGTATTTCTATGTTATGGTAATTTTGTAGTTTTACTTGGGATTCTATTGATTTTCAAACTTTTTATTGTTTATAAGGCATTACAAGTCAAGTATTCTATTGTGATTTGATGAATGAAATTATTATATAGCACTATCAGGCTCAAGATTGGTCCCAAATTGTAGGTTATACTTTGCCCCAGAAAGCCTAGAAGTCACTGTGCGCCATGGCAGCATCTACAGCATAATACATTATTATCCGAACCACAACACTGGCAAGCAATAGCATCACTCAACTGTTCCTTCAAAACATACTCAAACTTAGCACAAACCATCACTGCAGGCTCCCTTAATGGATATTTAGTGCTTCTACTCACAGGTGGATTTGAAAACCTAGTAGCAAAGTGAACTAGCACAACTTACACCCTCCAACCAATGGATGGAAGAGAAATCATTACACTTCTACACTAGTTACGTCAGATTCTCTTGTTTCAACTGCTAACTGTATGGTTTGCAAGTTGCAGTAGGTTACATGGAAGGTGAAAAGAAAAGTTTAAGCACATGGAAAGCTACTCGAGTTATTTGGCATGAAGTTAATGATGCAATATAGTGTCCTATATTATTACGTTGAAGTTAAGAGGAAGTGTCATGTTAAAAATATCCAATAATATTTCCAAGTATATTTGGGATTATCCATAATAAGTTATTAGATTGTTTATTTTTACAGGTCCGTAATTATGGGATTTGATTTTATAGTGTGTTTTGATTGCTTAATATAAAAATCAATCCTTTTCCAAACAACATTGGAAGGGTTAGGAATATGCGATGTGATTTAGTGTTGAATGTTTACCTGGCCTCTTGTAGGTTTTGCTGCCTCATGAGGAGAAATCCATAAGTATACAGAGCACATGTCTTTTCTCGCACCCCAATAAAAGAATCTATCACTCCAAGAACAGGTCCAATCAACTCAACAACCTGAGAAACACCAAGGGCTTGCAATGTAATCTTGACATTCTCATTCACAAAGCTATCATGTTAAACTTTAAGAGGGGGAGACAGCACCTTTTCTGAAGATTCAGCATCTCCAATGCAAATATAAGATACTGATGCATAAATGTGGCTCATGGCTTGCATTGATTTGCTTTGAGTCAACTGCAATGAAACAATAATATACAATTGAAAAAACATTATACCATGCCATAAGAAATAAACACATATCAAAGAGCACACACAATAAGGTTCCTAACTGCAGTTTGAATACTGAGACAGGAGCAAAAAAAAAAAGGGGGGGAAAAATATGTTATACAAACTATGAAAAAAATATGTATTTAAATTGCACACAGGTTAGTGTAAAAATAGCATATGAATAGAGAGAATCATGAGGGTACCTTTGATGCTTCAATAAAATGAAATGCTGCTTCATTATAGCAGCCCACGCAATGTGCATATTGGCCCCTTAGCATCTCAATCATACTCTCACAAGCCTGTAGGATGGTTGGAAACCGAACAAACCAATTTCTCATCTGAACTAAAGCCTGGGACAACAATTGAAATGACATCTGAGAAAAGGCATTCCGGGGAATATCATATTCATTGGGAAAACACAATAAAAGTTTCACGTTTATATGAATGGAATTTACACAATTTGGACATAGATTTCTATTTTGTTATAGGGAACTGCAAAAGGATTGTGAGCTGTCTCATCCTAATTCATATGGACAGTTTTAGATGTATAATTTCAGGCTTTTCAACAGATGACAACATAAATTTAGCGCTATGCATCATGTAAGACAAGCATAACCACTAATATAGAAGTAATAACCAACCTCTTGCGCTTCCACAAATTCAGTTCGAGTAAGATCAATTATTACTTTATTTTCAAGGAACTGCATTAGAAGCATTAAATAAACACCAGCCATCCAAATTGCAGAGTGCTGCAACTCCACCTCTGCCATCCAGTACATTGCAGAGAGCACGTGTTAATAAACCTTCAGTATTGCCATAATATTACAGAAAAAGATGATCATTATAAAATAGACCATCCTTCAGTGGGATTTTTACATAAGATTGTTAAAAAAATCTTTGCAGAGAAATGTCCCATGAATATAACCCACCTTTGACCCCATCAGTAATTCCCAACTGCAACAGCTCCCCTGCAAGCAAAACAGAAATTTACCACAAGTTCAATTCCATGTAGTAGCCACAGGTTAAAATAAAATTTTAAAAAGCTTTCTTTGTGTACTGTTGCACCAAGCTTTGAAGTTTAATATATGATGCTCCCTTTTTACTAGGCAGTCAGTCATACAGATGATACTGAGAATCATAAATTCTTCAAAATTCCAGGAATAATGGTAATAATGAGTAAAATGCGGAGCAGCTAACATGAAGTACAGTCAAATATAACCAAGATATGAAGACTATATCACTTCAAGTCAAACCTTGGATTATTTGTAAACCAGATTGAATCCTCTTCAGGCAATCCTTAAAGAGCCCTTTTGGCCTGCTAAAGATCACTACCATAAGATCCACCAATGCATAGACTGCACTCTTTGGAAGCCATTCCCCATCAATAGGAGGTGGAGCCAACTCAAGCTTAGCAGGTAGTGCTCGCTTCACATTTCCAAAGTAAGCTGGCTCCAAGGTTGCTTTTCCAGTTGAATTTATTCCCACAAAATTATTAAGTTGCTCCTGAAGCTTAGATTGCTTGTCAGCAAGAGCAGACCTGTCTCTGTAGTTCAAGTCAGAGCGCAAGAGGCTGTGATTTAATGCATCAATTTCATTGGTGAGATCTTGATAATGTTCCATACTCTGCAAATCAGACTTCATGACAGCATCCAATCTGTCAATATGTTGAGCAGCAGTTTTGTAGTCGCATATCCGGAGTAGATAGAATAATTGCAGCAGCTCATGATAAAACAGGAGACCAAGGCAATGTTGTCCCTTAAGAACAAGAAAGATGTTAACTCTTTAGTTGTCATTCAGGTAAAACCCACAAGAAAGAGGAATTTTTTCACAAAATTACAATCCAGAATTACAATAACAATGTTACAAAGATGAGGATGTCATGATTCTGATTTGGCAAAGATCAAGACAATCTACTAGACCTATTTCTTATTTTGAATTAATTTTTTTTATAAAGTTTAAATGCAGAGTTGCAAATCTACAGCTTAAACCCGTTGTTACCAAAATTTCTCACTATCAAGATATTCCAATACCGCCAATTAAATACTACTGATCCCAGAGCTTGGATCATTGGATTCTATTTCATTAGAAGGCAAATGCAAAAACAAATATAAAATGTACTATAATTCTGGTTTCAAAATATTCAATAGCTAGCAGGAACTTTATGGACCCTACATGTAGTATTTTGTGAATCGTGAATCTGGTATAGGTGGTGCATAATCTGAGACTTAACAGAACGCCAGGCAGGTTACATTAGGCCCACGTTAAAATCCAAATGCAATTATATCACAACAAACAGTCCAAGTGGGGTAGGTTAAAACAGAATTAGAATCCAGCTCAAGTGTTAAACCTGCTTTCAATACTTTCTTCACAAAATGGTAGTTTCTTCTGGCAATCTATTTGAGAAATTGAAGAAACACTAATATAAATGGAGGAAAAATTTTTTTACTTTATCAGGCTCAATAGATTCCCATATTGCATTGCACCTGCTGACAGACTCCTGTACCAGACTTGTGCTCTCCCATTGCATCAGATGCACATGCAAAATAGATGTCGCAAAAAACATCTGTTCCAAAAAATAAAGAGACCTAGAATTAGATTCCTAGGAGTAAATATCATCTCCTTCAAGAACATTATTCGAGAAAAAATCATGAATATAAACTGATTACTGAAAGATCAGCACAATAGGATAATATGTCACCTTTCCACATTTTCATGCTTTGGACACTTGGGTACACTATAAGAAACCAATGTTTATAACAGCTAACACCAACCTGCAACTCTGGATAACACATCTCTGTTGCACATCCAAGCCCCTGTTGCAACGATGAAACTGACCCTTGGTAATCTCCCTCAATTATAAGTGCATTTGCTAGCTGAGAATTGAAGTTGCATGACCAAAGCCTCCCTGCAAACCTTCAAAGGCATGACCTTACTTTTAAATTAATCCTCAGCCAATGTTCCATGAAGAAAGAAAAAAAATAAAATTACATATATACACATACATACAGATTTCACTCATACATAATTATTTACTACACCATAACAATGTAAAAAATAGTGATGGATTATTATGTAACAAAATGTGACAGAGATCGAAATTCAGCCAAAATAAATGCACAGAAATATTACAGAAGAATGAATTCAAAGCTTACATCATATCGTAAAAATGCAAAAGTAATGTTTATTAGAAGACAAAAATGTAGTATCAAATAATAGATGGAAATCTATGAGAAAATATCTTTTGGCACCAAAAATGTCTTCCTACACATAATTACATATTGTTGATAGACTATAATATATAATTAATGATGCATTTTCCTATTAGCTTAAAATTTTAGGTGAGATGGTTATTTAATATGATATTAGATCGAAAGGTCTCGTGTTCGAGTTGTCCCACTCCACCCTTTGTGCAAGGTTTGTTTGAGATAGATCCCCCTTGCACGTTAAGGGAAAAAAAAAATTAAAAAAGATTCCAATGACATAAGTAGCCGCATTTTGAAGATTACAGAAATCTCAAATCTAATGAGATGAATCCCACTTGCACGTGAGGGGAAAAAAAGATTCCAATGACATAAGTAGCCGCATTTTGAAGATGTGGGCCATGAAAGAAGTATCAAAGTGAAAATTAAGATTTGCTGCTTGATCCTCTAAAAAGAAATATGAAAACAATGCTCAAGTTCAGAATAAAGTTAAAAATATAAGTATTCTGAGTGAGTTTTTAAGTAGAGGTTTATTCAAGACATCTCAAATACACAGCTTTGGAGGATGTGCTTAACTCTTTCAACATCTTTTAATATTTTGATATGAGGATTCAGAGGAAATGTCAACTCCACAAGCAATATATTCCTTTGTCTTTAGCGATAAACAAAGAGTTAATTACCAAAACTCTGAAAAGCGAACATGGAACAGAATAACAATAGCTTCTTGAAATTAAAAGTAAGCATACCCATCTCCAGAAATGGCAGAAAGCTCTAAACCCTTGCTTAATATCTGTTTTTGTGAAGGAATTGCCCCTACAAGATGGTAGCACTGACTCAGCAGGCTATAAGCTCGGCACTTCAGCTCAAAGTACGATGGAATGGACTTCAAAAGAAGTTGCTGCATCAAGTCAAGATCCATTAGAGAATGCAGTAAATTTCTCTCAATAAAAAGCTGAAGTAATACTATACTACGAAAAGTTATTCACTTAATGCCACTTGCAACAAGTCTTGGTAGATTACAGAAATTTATCAACTAAAAAAGTGTAAGATAAGTTGGCTAACACCATGTTTGAATTGTAAAGACCTCTACAAACTATTATAACATATACTGAATTTAATGACAACTAAACCAAGAACGTAGGGAGTCATTCCTCATTCTCGATCCGGTGCCGACAATATACAGGCCATATACTGCAAGAACATCGTTGAAACTTTGTGCATTTGTTCTAGGTTAATGTTCTTCGAAGTTCCTCAAAGCACACAAATCTGACTGCTTTGTGAGTATCAAACTCAACAAACAAAACTATCTCTTTAAGCTTTGATTTGAATCAAAAAGGAAAAGCATCCACAAATACTCTTAACACTCTCCACAAAAAGAAATTAAAAAGAAACAACCCTGGAAGCTGTCAACTGCAAGTAGAGCAGGAATTCACATACACAGTTACAATTTGAGCAGATAAACAGCAATCTTAGACTTCAAAGCAACATATAAGAAAATAGAGAAATGGAAAAATCACGTACAGAGCGCTCGAGGTGCGCTTTCGCGTGATTGACATTGTGCGAGTGCTTGAGTAGAAGCGCCGCTACGCGGAGGCGGGTTTTGATTTCGATAATAGGGAGAAACGAGACGGGGCTCTGGCAAATGGCCTCGAGGCATTTCACCGCCTTCCCTATCTCCTTGCGCTGCTCGTGGTGCTCCGCCAGCGCCCACAGCCCCTCCGCCACCGCTTCCATCGCCGCTTCGAGTCAATTACTGCACCGTTTCTCCATATACTTTTCACTCCCAAAAATTCCCGAGCAAGCGACCTCGGTTGAGTTCGACGAATATAATGAGCATATTTTTAATATTGCAAATTTGTTTTATGCTAGTAGTATTTACTTCTGGAGTCCAATTAGGGCATAGAAATATTACCATAGTATATTTGCACATTGGCCCATTAGGTATATATAAATCCCAAATTCCCCCTCTTCCGGTGCTTATTTCTAGAGCCGGCAATGTGTCGATTCGTGTCGGGTTGACTATTTTAAACGGGTTAAATTATTCAATCCTAATCCGATCCGTTTATTATCGAGTCGGATTCGTGTTAACCCGTTTATTATCGTGTCGGGTTCGGGTTGACTCATGTTGACCAGTACACATAATTAAGTCTAATTTTTTATTCAAATTAAATAATTTTTTGTTTTGTTGTCGTGTTATGTTAGTTTTTATTGGTTTTAGCGTCAGAATTATTAAAATTGAATTTAGTTTAAATTAATTTATGAAAAAATATTAAATTATAATTATTTTTATATATAATAAATATATTAATCAATATTAATATATTATAATCGGATTGTCCTGTCGGGTTTGAGTTGAGAATCTCAATCCTAACCCGACCCATTTATTATCGTGTCGGGTTGTGTCAACCCGATTATTGAATTCTGTCGGGTCATTTTTTGCAAGCTCTACTCATTTATAGTAATCCCTCTCCTCAGTCTCCCAAAGTCTCACTTTTATTTTATAATTTGTTAAATTTATTTTATTATTAATTTTGATAAAATAAAATATTGAATTTTAATTATTACTCTATATTTATCACAATATTTATTGGATTTTTTTAGTTATTTTGTTAAATTATTACACTTGCAAATAATAATGAACTACCCAATATTCGGTATATTGGATAGGTAATATGTCTTTGATAGAATTGACCTGCCCAATTTTTGTTTTTTACTTTTGATTTGAGTTCGATAATTAGTACTTTAACTTATTGTATATATAATATGTCTTCTATATAATTAATTGTAAAATTTTAATGTCTTCACACTCAGATGTACAGACATGTTCGGATCTAAACTGTTTTGATATTTTTAATATGATTTTTTCCAACTTGATGGGAACTATAGGCTGAAATACAAAACGAACCTCAATCGTAGTAGGAAATGCATTTCCTCAGCATCCCGATCAATACATTTACACAACGTACATAAATATATATATATATATATATATATTTTAACAACTACTACAAGCAAAAAAACCTTACAAAAATCAGACACATCTCATGCTCTTCAATCATACATTTGAAGATGTCTTGGGAGGAAGAAAGGGTTCCCACCACCCAAATTCATACTTTCTGTACGGCGCTGTCCAATTTTCCGGCTTGTCGAACTTCAGCTCCACAGGATCGGAAGCCAGAGCTTCTTCCGGACTGTCGGCCTCAAAGCTGTCCTGCAGAACTCTGTCCAGTCTCAACTTCATGAACCTACACATAATATGCATTTTCGAGTTCGATTCAAATCATCATCACAAGTATACAATGTAATGCTATATGGTGAAGAAAGTACAAACTACAGATCAAAATGCCGTTAAAGAATTGATACAGATTAGTCATTTGTAATAAAACTGAAGTAAATAGACACGAATGAATTCTGTTCTAAAAATTGAAAAAGAATCCCATGAGGTTCTTTGGGAGATCATCTCATACCATCGACGGGGTAGCTAAATTTATCCCACCATTTAGGCAACTAGGAAGGATCGGTGATCGATTCCCTTTTGTCGCCCAAAGCGAAAAAAAAAAAAAAAAAAATTATCCACCATAAGACATGATAAATGAAATGTAGCATGAGTAGGATATCATTTCAGCATATGTTCAACTACAATTGTATCAAATGGGATGAAATCTTGTTGGGACAATTAAACTTCGCAAAAAAACATAAATGCACAATTCTTTATTTCATCGTAAACCCCAATAATAATGTCTGAAAAACCACACCCAAGTAATGACTTGTCCACTCTTACAAGACTCCACAACCATATAAATTGTCTCCCGGATATTCATTCCAAACCACCTGTGACCTAGACACTTGCAATTTGACATGATTTCTAGCATCCATCCAACACAACATGATCATTTTTGCTCGTAATACAAAGATATGCACACACACACACACGCATATATATATATATATAAAGTCGGCGCTAACAGCTCTTTTAACATATAGTTCTATCCTATCAATTATAACAATGCCCGACTTTTAGATTTTCGTCAGCTTTTATACCATAAAAACAAACGAAGGTTCGTGTTAAATAAATTAATCCATCCAATTTCATCTCATGGTTTACGAGTATCTCCTAAATGCAAGATTCTTCTATTCATGTTTACCAATAAGAACCCCACTCAGACCTATTAAACTAATGCAAGACAGCATAACTAGGACAAACCAACAAGTATATGCAGAGCATCAAATCGAGGTCAAAAAATACGGCAAACTAAGCACAGGCATGCATCGAATGGTGAAATTTCTTACGTTATCCATGGACCATTGGTCGAGACAAGAGCAACAGCAGGCCTCTTGAGGCGCTTGGTAAGGTTAGGGAACTTATCCAAGAACTTGGGTTCGATCACAAGCCAGAAATCCTGCTCTTTGTCCCGCTCCCCGAAAAGCCGAAGACGCTCCGCCATTAGCTCCTGGAAATGCTCCTCCTCATCCAGCATGAACTTGGCATTAGCCACGACGAAGTGGTACTGCTTCCTTCCGGAGGACGCTTCCTCTTCCTATTCCCTCGAAAAATTAAAGCAATTGATTGTAACTAACCGAGCGAATGTACAAACAACCACCATCGAATTCAATCGCAGAACCCTAATTATGAAAAAAAAAAAAAAAAAAAAGACGATAAGAACGAGTACAGTTCGACGGAATGTGGAGAATTATGGACCTTTTCAATTGGATCGGAGGAATCCACCGCAGCCACCGCTGTCCTCACAGGATTATCCAGTTTGAAGCAGCGGAAGTCATCGGAAGATTTCGAGAGATGCTTCGTCCTGACGGTGGGGGGAATTAGAAAGGGTTTGGGAGTGGTGTGGGCAGCGGCATTCAACCGGTGCGTGCTGAGACAGCCGAGATTCAGAGTAGTCGAAGCTAGCATGACGATCAAAGAGGGCTAATCCTTTAAGAAAATTCGAAATTGGAGTGCAGTGTAGTCGTCGAATCAGCTGAGCTGAAGATTAGAAGTAGAACAGTGCAGTGTAGTGTAGTAGGGAAGGAGGAAGACGGTGCAAATTTACAAGAGACAAACAACCTTATCTTATCCCTTGCCCTTATTTATTTTTTTAATTTTATTTTGTGTCGTATATTTTCAAAATATATATATACATATAGTTAATTTAGTTGATTCCATGTGACACTATAGGATAATAATAACTTATTATGCTGTCATGTAATAAAATATTATGTGATGGGGGATAAATTTGTGATCATAAAGCTATGATTTCAAATTTCTACAATTGATAGTTCATGAAATAATTTTGATGATTCTTTTTTGTTAAATAATAAATTAGATATCATATTTTATAAAATTAAAATAATACAATTTTTAAAAATTTTATAAAAATAATTTATTTTTACTTTCACAACTATTTTTAAATATATTTTTACTATTGCTTCTAGCTAAATATAGAAAGAAGTACATTTATAATTTTACTATTACTTCAAGCTAAATATAAAGATAATAAGTATATTTATAATTTGAAATGTTTTTATTCCTAATTTCTAACGCCTACAAATTTATGAAATCATAAAAAAAAATTAGAGACAGTTTATGAAAATTAAAACATGAACAAGTCTAATACAAATTTTAAAATACTATAAAACTAAAATATTATGCAATTTCGCCTTCCACGTTTTACTAATTTTAAAATAATGGACATATCTCAATCTTGTTTAAATTCAGGCAATCTTCAACGTTCACTCCATCTTTGCAGTTGCTACCGTTAAATTTTAATTTTTTATATATTTTCTATATATTCTTCTTTTATATTATTTTATATAATTTTTCATATTTATAAATTACACCCCAACTTTAATTTATTTTTACGTTAGATCCATACACATATAATTTATAAATTATTTAAAAATTACATATATAAAAATTAACATTTATAATTAATAACTATTACAAATAAAAATTAAACATAACTTTTTACACAGTAAAATTACACCTTAATTTAAAAAATAAAATTACATATCAATTTTTAAAAAATAAAAATTATATCACTTTTCAAACAGTAAAATTATATATCAATTTAAAAAATAAAATTATATATTACTTTCCAAAAACTAAAATTATATCACTTTTTAAAAAAAAAATTATACATTATTTTTCAAAATAAAATAAAATTACATACAAACTTTTAAAATATAAAATTATATATCATCTACTAAAAAATTAAAATGATACAATACACAAAAAAAAAATACCAAAAATATAAAAAAAACACCGCAAAAACTCAACTTGAAAAATGGAGTAGAGTAACCCTGTAGATTCCTGCAAAAATGAGGGGATTTGGGGGTGAGTTGGAGCCCCTCCCCCCATTTTTGGTACAACCGACTAGGAGATGATCTCATGGCACATAATTTCTCTCTTCCCATAATTTCTCTCTTCCCTTGAAGTTTGAATTCAACTTTTGGACGTTACAGAAATAAAATTAAAAATAAAAACAAATAAATAAATTTACAACAAAACATAATACCAAAAAAAAATAAATAAATAAAAAAACAAATGCTTTTATATTTTTGATAAAATGCAATTTATCTCCGACATAAATAACTCTTTAAGCATTGCCAAGTTCAAATGCGAAATATGCAAATATGAACAACCAAGTACATAATAATATCAATGCGAATTCCAAAATACTAAATGACAACATACAAACAAAACAAGCAAGGTAGCTAGCTAACCTCAAATCAGACAAGCTCAATGAAAGCCATGGGTGCATTGTCTCCTCTCCTCGGCAACGTCCGGATTATCCTCGTATACCCGCCCTCTCTGTCTCCGTACCTCTCCCCCACCTCCGCGAACAACGCGTGCACTATTTGCTTCTCATAGATGAACCCGAGCGCTTGCCTTCTCTTGTGAAGAGACCCATCCTTGGCCAGCGTGATCATTTTGTCGACGTACTTTCTCATTGCGCTTGCTCGGGCTCTCGTGGTCTTTATACGCCCATACTTCAGAAGCTGAGTTGTTAAGCCTCGTAGGAGCGCCTTGCGCTGATCTGGGGGTCGGTTTAGTTTTGGAACCTTCCTCCCGTGCCTCATGGCATATACACGGCTGCCATTGTTGACCCCGGAGAAACACTGTTCGAAGCTCGTTGATTCTGCAAACTTGAGTGAGTGAGTGTTGGGAATATTTTAATCTTATTGATCTGAAAATTTAAGAGGTCTCAAATTCTAATGAATAGCATAAATTTAGCTAGAATATTGCTTATAATTCAACAATGATTCTATCGATAGTGGATGATATTGTATGAAGTTCGAAGTAAAAGTTGTAGAAATGGAAACAAATTACGAACATGGTAGAATCAAAACATTACTGGATGACACAATGATGATAAACGTTAGAATAGACAGAGATGGACAACTTATTCTAGTCGCCAATTCGAATTTGGCAAGAAATGATCCGATTGCGACTAAAATACATAAACACAGAAAATTATCTCTCCCACTTTTAGACAATAAGTCAGAACAAGGATGATTACACATAGAAACATAAGATTCATCATCTATAACACAATTCAATCAAAGCAATTGAACATAAAATGGACATGAAAATCAGTACATCTTTCTTTTGCGTTGAATTCGTCGTGTCTACCGTTCAAATTCACATCTCTAAAAAATCCAAAATTTGGCTCTCCTTCAAGGTTAAAGCTCAGCAAAGATACATTCCATTCCATTTTGCTAACATCGAACATGACTCCTGTTTGGAATTAGCTATAGACTACCAACGGCGGCAAACCATCGACTTAAACCAATACAAACTCAAACATTCACGTGTGACGACTATTCAATAACACACCAACATCCATTTAAAACTATTTCAAAACTGTGTAAAGTGTAAAATATGTGTTAGAAATTATGTATGCTTTTGCTAAGATAGGAATTCAATTTATAGTGAATGAAATGTAGAAACATTGAAACTATGTCATCTCTCTATCAAGGCATCTAAAGTTCTAAACAATCAATCTGATCTTTTTACACTACCAAATTCCAAATGCAGATATATACGTGTATTCTAACAGAAGAAAGTATCTAACACAATAAATGAAAACAATGGGAAAAAAAAAAAAAAAAAAAAAAACCCTATTACAAAGAAGAAGGCATCTTCAAAACAAAGACATAAAAACTCACAAATTGCAACCATTTACAACTCCTAGACGCACAAATACGGATTAGCACACATTAAATTGAACATTCGAACGAAGAAAATTCAGTACCTTGATCGGAAGAGAGGGCCAGAAGGGGGTGCAAAGGTGCTAGACCCACAAAGGCGTTGAGAGGCCGCGGGCCGGGTCTGGACCTGGACCTGGACAATCTCAGCCCGGAAGGGGAATGCCCGGTCAGACAGCAAGGAGAAGGACGCGACGGAGATGAATTGACGGGCGGCAGAGCCGCCCGAATTGCCGTGAAACTCCACGGAGCAGAAGACGCCATTTTTGTGCTCGTTTGCGTCTGCTCTCAGTAGTGAAGATAACAAGTTTTGCCAATAAACGGATAATTTCATAATAGCCCTTTCATTCTTTACTTATTCGTTTCAAGCCCGCATATATTTTTTTTCCATTCGTTCATTAATATCATTTTTACTTTCAGAAAATAGAGTTACAAGAGTAAAAAAAATTACCGTATATGTTAGACACTGTAAAAACATAAATATACCAACACACCATGACTTACATTTACTTCGCATACTTTGCAAGTTATTATGTTGGTATTAAAAAATTAGATACTCAAAAAAGTATCGACTGTGAATTATGTACGAACATATGATTCAATCTAAACATTTAGTAATTTCAGTCAGATTTTCTTACTATGATCTTAAAATTCAGTTCTTCTAAACAACACTATGTGATCATGTTTTTCCATTTCTCACAGTATAATTGTGTCCATATTTTTCACTATACATCGTCGAATTGAATATCGTCGACTGGCTAGTATCGAACCAGGGACTAAGAATGGCGCCGCGGCGCGACAAACTTACAGGCAATATTAGCAGCTGTGCAGGGTCATTTCAGAGTTGTCAAACCTATCCACAGTGTCGAGCCTTCCTCAACGTCTTCGTCATTCCTTTGGCGATTTTCCAGAACCACACGAGGTTCATCACCGCCAGCGACAAAGGCACCGTAATCAATGTGTAGAAGCACAACCAGAAGACGGCCTTCACCTGAGCTCGAATAATGTAACGGAGCAACAAAACATTGCATCACATCGTTGAATGAGAGGTAAGAATAGCGAGCAGTTATAAACATTCGATTGTGTGATCACCTGATCGAAGTGAACGAACATGTGGAAGGAAAAGTACACGAACAATAGAATCCTCGCAACCTGAGAAACATCGATCAGTTACATTGTTAGCACCCATCGAATGAATGAATCAATAAAGCTAATGTAACATTTTGGATAGCTTGAATCTTTGGAAATCGAATAAAAAGTTCGATACATATATATAGAGAGACAGGCATAACTACCAGCCATCCGATGAACAAGGCAACGCCGTTTAAAATGTAGATCTTCGAATTGTTCAAGCCAGCAACATGAAGATACCTACACACACACACACATATATATATATATAAGTTCGACTAAGAGATAGAACGAGGAGCCAGTCGACAGAATTTATGCTTGTAGAGGATACATACCATCGCAGATTAACGAATGGAGTCGTGATTTCAGTGAGCAGAATCATGAGCGTGTAGGCTTGTGCTTGTCCGGTCAAGAGGGATAGAACGATGGAGAACACGGAAAGTCCGTGATGAATGAACTACACCAAGAAAAGACGAGTATGTTATGCCATCGCCATTACCCGAAAACAGAACAAGCAGTCCAACATCGACAAAAAGAACGTCGAGCTATGGTCAATATTACATCGATGCAGCATAGGGATCGATAATATTGGACAAGCCGGGGGATTGTGTTTATATACTTACATACTCCATCCCGCCTAAAGCTGGATAGTGATAAACAAGTTGCGCCAAATCGGCGAGGAAGTATCCGATGGAAACCTGCGCCGTTAGGGAGTCAGTCAGGCTGTAAGAAAATTCAAATCTATGTTGACTAAACAACGAATTAGGCAAACTAAAAGCATAGAGATGAAGCATTCATACTCCGAGTACAGTGTCGGACAAAGTCGATGTTCTGTTGATCATCATCTCGGTTTCAGTATCGACAAACAGATCCGAGAAGACCAAGAGATACAGAGAAGAAGCAGCCACAACAATGGCGTGGAAAGTAGAGCATCCTCTGCAGAGAAACAACGAGTTTTCGATTTCGAAGGAATTTCATTAGTTCAGAAGCAGATGAATATCAGGAATTCAGGATTACCATGAAGTTCGCAGTGTATCTATGTATGTAAGTATATAACCTGTTGTTCCATTCGAGCTTCTCTTGAGGGCTCAGTTTGGGGTAACCTTTGAAAAACGAAGAACTGAATGCTGATGTGAAGCCAAACACCTTCAACACCAAATTACAAATTTCTATTACTCAGAAAAATTGGAATTGGAAACAAACAAACTGTTCGATTCGATATCAAAATCTGTTGCAACTTGGAAGTGAAAATTCGATTCAAATCGGAGCATTTCTAGAAATCGAACTTTGCAATTCCAAGACTTACAGCTCTGCACATAATAATTCCGGCGGAAACGGAGAAGAGCCAGTGTAGCAAATTGGCCGGAACAATAGCGCGAACCGCCATGATCCTCTGTCTCCAAGCTTGAACGGAGGAAAACAAATGCTGCAGGAGAAATTCCGGAACGGTCATTCATGCATATGGTGTGTGCGTGCGCGTGCGTATTGATAATTCAACAAACGTCGCCACATTCAGTTAGGAATTTACCAGAAAAAAGCAGAAAGGAATTCAATGGAGGTCTAACTGATTCCCAACCAACTGCCACCTCCACGAGAAAAAACTCAACCGCAAAAAGGGGAGACGGAAGCCTATTAAAGAAACCAGGCACCATGAAATGATGGGGCTATGGAGGAGAAAGTTGGAATAGGGGTTGTTGGGAAGCAGCCATGGAAATGGATTTCTTCAGAGCTTTGAATGGATAAATGGAATTATTCATGGCTGAACTTGACTAACAGAAAGTCAGCTGTCAACACAATGGCTTTTCTGTGGAGGATTAAATTTGGATCTGAAGTGCACCTATAACAAATTTGAATCTGAATTTGAACAAAATTTGTATTTCATCGAACAAGAAGATCCATAATAGTTTTCTGGGAATCTGAATCAAATACAAAAAAGGCTTGTTTTGTCATTAAACCAATGCAACTCACCTATAGCAGTCTACAGTACAAAATCATAAAAAATAAACAAAAAAGAATCTTCCATTATTTTGTTGTCCGAGGGTACAAAGGAATCCCTCACTCACCATAGCCCGTTCATCGATCGATGGGGCAGTGCAAATTGGAACCAATTGTATGCAGTGTCTATTCTATTCTCCGACAGTCAGTCCAAACCCGAACTTGTAGTCTTTCTTCCTGTGATCGATCTGCAAGACATGGATTTCTAAGTTATAGAAAGATGGAAAAAGAAACCCGAGGGGGTGGAGTTTATAAAACTTTTTGGCCATCATTACCTCAGCAGAAAGAAGAAAGTTAAGGCCCATGTTAAATCGCTCTTCGAGGAATGCAGCCACAACACCATTGGAATCAATCTTTCCTCTCAAACGGCACTACCATAAAGACCAGGGAATAAAATGTTAAGAAGCGAAAGATACATGAGATATCCGAAGATAGTTGTGGGTCGAAAAAAGAAAAATTGCAATAAAGCAATCAACACAAGAGCCTTCCAATTGCGGTGAGAACATTTGAAATCTAATTGCAACAGAAAAGAATAGGAATTCATCGTTAAGTTGGATATAGAATTTCATGAAAAAAGCTCCAGACACCTGAATCGAGGACCTACAATGCAAGAAACTTGAACTTTTACCGAATGAAATTTACCTGCCTAAGGATATAATCATAACCGAAGCTGGCTGTGACATCTCTAGACATGTAGTTATACATGAAGTCCGAGGCCAGAGAAACCTAAATGCAAAAGAAACAGCTCAGGAAATGAAAGAAGAATGACAAAAAAGAAGTGTAGAACATTAATGTATTAAAAAGAAAATAATAAGATACTTATTTCACCTTTTCGGACACTTTCTGGACATAACTCAGAGCAACCATACCAGTGCTAGCAACTTGACCAGTTGCAACCTGCATAAGAAAACGTCTATAATTTGAGACTGATTCGATGACAAATACCTTACTTAACTGGTTAAAGCCCCACAATAAAAACATGTAAGCTTCCATTTGTATTAACCACTTCCATGAAAACATGGCCTCATACATGGGGATAAACATTCAGTAGCATCAGATGCCCCCTCTTAAATCAGGAATTTATTGCACAATGACTTCAACACTAAGGAACTGAAAAGAAAATTGAAGTTGCAGAAAGAAATTGACACTCTCTGCTTTGACAAATATATAAGGGATGATAAGCAGATGGAATATTATTAAGAATTCAGACTTCAACAAGTTGTTCAAATAATTTAAAAAAAAAAAATCGAATCAAGAATTGCACCATCTTAGCAGTGTTGTAACGCAGAGCATATCCGATGCCAGATTTTCGATGTTGACCAGCCCAGAATACTTCACCACCCAAGGATAAATGAGGTGTCACACTCTGCAAACATACATTGGGAGGAAAAAAAAAACAAATAAATAAAAGAAGTCGGTCAACATTGTTGAAACTCATGCCACAACTTTCTCTTTCCTCAAGTCAATGCTATAAGACAAGTGAAACATTCAAGTTTCTTGAGCTGCACATATTCAATTGATTAGAGAAAACTAGTATGTCAGTGCTTACAGCCATTACTTATACTAGCTTTTCTCCTGTGGTATTTTCTAATAATGGACCAGCCAAATTCTATGGAAAACTCAAATTTCAGTCACAGTGCAATACAAAAGGAAAAAGAAGTACAGTTCACATAACTGAAAAGCTAGTTTGAGAGTGCTATCCATGATTCTACAAATAAAGTGTCATTTGCATTTAAATGAGAAGTGATGACATTAGTTGAAGCCTAATCGCAACACAATACAAATGAATCCAACCAGCACTTAGAAGACACCAGGATCATCTATTACTAACTTCAAAACTGCAAGTGGAGATCACTTAGAATAGTTGCAATATTTAATTCTACTCTTTCGTCAATTAATTTGACAATGGTAGCTGAAAACTTGAAATATTCTCTCATGATATCCAACTTACTGAAATTTAAACGTGGCTTCATTAATCTTCAAACAAATATTTTTCAAAACAGCATATCCATCATTCACCTGTATGTAACTTGCTCCAAATAAGGCACCATTCCCCACTTGAAACTGAGTCCTGTAGTCTGATCCCTGTGCATAATCATAATAAGCTGTTTATAACTTCAATTACATAATCAAATTGGCACCAATTGAAATGTATGAATGTCAGTGTAATATTTGCAGGATATGCTGAACCATTTCAGTTTAGGACATATATAGAAAAACTTCAAATGCATTTCAGGTGCTCCAAAACCCCCCTTAAGATTGAGACTACCAACAAAGCACTACCTTGTAATCAAAATTGAACATGCCATGCGACATATGTGGCTCATTTGTTAGCTGCAGAGAACAGATAAGACATCATTTAACTTGGCTGGATGGACATTTATATCTTGGAAGAACCATTAACAGTCGTTGGCTCATAAAAAAAAGAAACATATAATAAGCCAACTTGAGCATTGCCCTTGAGAGTAAGATCCTCAGTCAAATCACACTTCAGTCTTGCATTTAATCTCCCATCTGTCATCACTCTACCAAATAGCATCAACTGTCAAAAGAATAAGAGATTCTTCAAAGAACAATCGAGCAAGCTTTTCGATTTCAGAAATTGAATCGGAACCCTCAAAAATACCTTAGGGTCTATAAAATTAGCACCAAACTCATAGTGTGCTGTTGGAATCTTAATAGCTTCAGCAGACTGGGAAGGAATCTCTGTAGGTCCCATCATCACACTGATACAAATGAAAAAGCACATCAATTACAACTAAATTAGAGCCGCAATCTGGGTAATGTAAATGAGATAAAAGATCAAATCAATATAGTAAATGGAAAACAAAATCACCTATGGCTGAGTGAAAATTTCTGATTGAGTCCTTTGGTAAAATCAAACCGCATTCCTTCAAAGAGCTCAGGCTTCAAGGACACTGCCAGTAATAACCAATGCAATTACAAAATAAATATTTGTCAAAACTTTCTTGCAATCTTAAATTCTTCAAAATGAAAATTGATGAACCAAGTATAAACAACTTCATTTAAGATTACAATTCTCAGAACGCAGTAAATATTCACTGCTTTTATAAGTTTCTACTTTCAGTTAAACAGGATATTTTCGAGCTTCTAATGGCCAAAGTCACTCACTAAAGAGAAACTAAGAAAACTAGCTATAAAAAACACTGAAAATTACAGAATGGCTTAAAATATTAAACCCTATGCTCCCATCAAGCTCGCGCAGCTGCCAACTCTAAGAAGTTCATATTACCAGATTACATAAAACCGAAACGGAGTCTCTATTTCTACGCTCAAAAAGCATTTCAGTTTAATTAGGGTTTCCGAGCAACACAATACGGGGGAAAAATGAATCGCGTGCCCTCGCATTACTCATATAGAAATCTACATATTAGCCATATAAAAACAGAAACCAATACAACAATCAAAATGGAAGAGAGACTGAAAATAATAATAATAATAATAATAATAATAATAATAATAATAATAATAATAATAATAACAATAAAAAGGAAGAAGCACGAACTGAGAGCTTCCCGATGAATTTCTTCATACGGAATGGGACAAGGCAGACTTAGATAATCCACCTTCTCCTGCTGAGGCAGGGCAGCATCGGCCGAGTTCGAAGCTGGAGCGGTCGTTGCGGTGGCTGGCGGCGGGGAAATGAGCGTTGCCATAGCCGGTGTTCACTGCCGATCCCAAAACAAAGTGAAACTCTCTTGATTCTGATATCAGAATCGAATCAAAAGGAAGAAGAAATCCGACCTCCCTTGTTCGTTTCTTCTTTCAGCAGCTGGTGGGAGCGGCTCGGCTGAGACTGACAAAAACCCTTCCTCCTAAATCACAAAACCCCAGGACGCAATATGACCCGACCCGTTTGTAGACGTAATGGGTAATTGCGTTCGCATACACGTATACAGTCGTAGCAGGGAAGATCACGTGCCATGCCAACCTCGTGTGCGGAAAGTATTTTTATATTTATATTAATAAATAATTAGTAAATATAGTTTTGTTCACCAATTTCTTTATATATAATATAATAATATACTATATTTAATTCCATCATGTAAAATTAATATTTTCCAATATAAATCAACAATATACTATGTTTGTATTTATATTATTATATGCTGTTGCTTTTTTAAAAAACGAAATCGAAGACAAAAAGATTATGTACATTAATTAACAGTAAAAAAACTAATAGAAACTAAAAAAAACACCTATTATCAAATTTCTATTAATAATAGATATTTTTAACTAAAATTAATTAATATTAAGTATTTACTTATGTAATTCAATATACGAATTTAGTTCTAAAATATACTATAAAAAAAGATTAGATATACATACACTCCTAAGTAATAGATAACACACTGATATAAGTGGACAAGTAATTTACTAACGCTTTTCATTTGGATATATAAATAAACATTTTAGTAATTTCAGAAAGGGAATAAATATTTGTATATATATATGGAAAGAGAGAGACCTCATAATTCATAATCTAGGGATATATTGTGCATCATGAAATGGAATCTACTCTGGCTTGACAATCAATCGAATATATCTCGAATTAGAACTAACTAACCAATCTTTTCACAAACCGCACCATTAATACATATTTCTCAATAAAATGAAACCAAAACAGCTTCGAAATAAATAAAAAAAAAAAATACAAAAGAATTGAGTACAAAAATGAATGAACTAACACAAACAAATAATAGTATATATGATAACAAGCAGTATTAAACAAAACAAATGCATTTCACATGAATCTCTTAACTTGAACACAATTACACAGACACACGCACACGTACACGCACACGACGCAACAAATGAATAAGGTCGACAAAGACAAGGAAAACCAAAAATGGGGGAAAGAAATAACACCATGACAGGCAGGCGGACAGACAAGAAGACAATCAATCACCTGGTTCTGTGTGCGTCGTCAAAGGCAATTAAACTTAGTCATATAGCAGCACGAGGAAGAGAGACGAACAGACTGACGACAAAACAAGGCTATTCTATACCAAACACTCGTTCAAGCCATACCTCCCTTATATCTGTGGCCTCGATATATCAAAATATACAGTTGGCATACATGTACACAAGCCATCCATCCACGCATCCAAGTGGGCATTGATGTCTGTCTCTTTTCACAACCGGGACTTTGAAAACAGCCCAAAAAGATTGATGCATCCATCCAATCATCAATGCAGATAAATATTGTGAGAATAGTCTGAGAGTTTACTTGGATCATATAGCGCAGTTCATAGGTAGCACATAGAAGATCAATGTTTCATGAAAATATTTAGAAGAGCTCCTCGGAGTTAAATTTATTCCAGGCTTCCTGTTTAAAAAAATAAAATAGTTTGAATTATCAGGAAATTTCATCACAAAAATGGCAATGAAAAAAAAACCCAGGGAAACCAGCAAATTTATTATGCAGAAAAGATCGAATAAAAGAGCATGATTGAATAATACCTTGAGCAGGTCAAAGACCTTTTCAGCAATGTACTTCTGTTGGAGGGTGGCACCCTTTTGTTGGACCTTGTCGGGGTGAATGCAAAGAGTAGCTTTTCGATAAGCCTTTTTAACTGCGGCACCCGTAATGAGATCTGTCAAAGAAACAGGCTGCCAGCCGCATTCGGGCCAGAGCACCTGTCATCCAGGAAAAATCATTAATATGCATATTCATTGCACAAAGCAAATGCATTTTGATACAACTACGCTGTCAGAAGCACATGGAACACTAAAAAACAACACAAGTACAAAATTTGAGTTTACTTCCATCTAAATGGTAGATGTGGAATAAGAAGATATTTGGACATACATATTGCAGAGTCGACAGCAGAGCACGCAAATTTCCTTCTTTTCCGGCAGCCCAACGCTTTATTTCAATATCTAACGTCTCCGCAATCCTCTGTAATCAAATTAAATTTTATCAAACAGATGAAAAGCCACTACAGCTGAACCAGATATAACATACCAGCAATCCCAAACCCTCAAAACAGCTTACTCTTTTAAAGTTTGAACACAGTTAAAGAGCTCAAGTTTAAATAATAAAGAAGCAGAAACTTCAGCTGAAGTCTGAGTAATTGTGTCCATCTCCCAACTATAAAATGGATGAGACTTAAGTTTTTCTGTCAAAGAAGTCACATAGTAAATTACTTCTAATTTTCTTTAGATTTTTATCTAGTACCTAGTCTGTCAAAATAGCCTTAACAGTGTAAAAATACATTTGTGAGCATTCATGATCTATTAGTACTTGCAATAAGAATCAAAGTGACATTTGTGAATAAAATGATTGTTATCAGATAAAGAAGCATCAATGCAAATGTCAGAAACTTTAGTGCAAGCACAAGTATAAAAATATGCAATATGATGCACATGTGATCTTAACCAAATCACTAGAAAGAAAGCAATATATTTGTGGTTTAAACAATAGTAGTAAACTAGACACATACACAGTTTGAGGCATAGATTGCATGATATTTCAAATAATCAACAAAGGATATCACTTAATGATCTACTTTTTAGTGGAAACTCACATGTCTTTCTTCTTGTTCTCTCAGCACTTGGAGGTCTCTCTGATTCTTTTCAGCCAATGCTTTTGCCTGAGATAGTACAGCCAAAAGAAAACAGGAAATGGATGAGAGAAAAGAAGTGCTCAAATATCATAAACTTTGATGAAATTGCAGAATTAATTTTTTTTTATGGAATTATAAAATTATTGTTTGCAAAAGAATGCGGATACCGCTCGTTCTTGAGTGCGTTGGTGTCGTTCCAGCCTGGCTCTTCTTCTGTCTTCAGTTTCCCCTTCAACATCCTGGAATTCTCCAGATGGTGCAGCTATGAAAGGAAGATCATTGCAACAGCAGAAACATCAGTCCGGAAGTAAATGCCTAGTAACATTTCATACTCCGCGTGCATGCAAGCTAATATACCTCCAAAAATAGAAGATAGGTCATCAAAATTGGTAGTGGAAGATGCTTTCTTCATGGTAGATGAGGCTCCACTAGAGGGTGGTGTCTTCTTTGCAGCTTCAAATCCACCCTTGCTCTGGAATTGTTGGTCGAAAAATGGATCCTGAAATATAACCCCAGGAAAAGAAAAGGTACCAAGGTGAATGAAGAAAGAGTAAAAGAGATTTGTCAAATTACCATACCAGATTTGGATGCTAGTTTACAAAAACCTACACCTATTCAAAACATCTTCATACTAAACTTACTGAAACACCACCACAGCAAACATGTATTTCTACAAAATATATTTTGCCATCTATACACACACAAAACTAGAAATTTACTCAGTGCAATATAAACACATATACACTTATTCAAACCTATACACACATTATTAACTAATAGTTCTCCTAAACCTTACCATATGTCATTCAATCATTTATAAACAAAACAAAAAAGAATATACCTAAATATATATATATATTAAATCTACAATCATAACTATTGAACCCCATGATAAGACACATGATTTCACATTCCAAATTAACATCCAAAGCAATGTTTTAAAACTGATACATACGGTTGTATTTGTTCTTGCTCTTGGTGCACTGCTTGCCCGGCCCATGCTGAAAAAGGCTTCCAGATCATTATCATTCTTTTGTTGATTCATCTTTGCAGCTGCAGCGGCAGCAGCCCTTTCTCGAGCTTCTGAAGCAGCTCTCTCCCTAGCCTCAGCTGCAGCCCTTTCAACAGCAGCCCTTTCAGCTCGACGCCTTGCTTCTGCTTCAGCCTTTGCTGCAGCAGCTTTGTCTCGCTGTTCTTTCTCCCTGGCATCTGCTGCAGCAGCCCTTTCCCTAGCTTCTGCAGCAGCCTTCTCTGCTCTCTCTTTAGCTTCTGCTGCAGCTCTTTCACGTGCTTCAGCCTGTGCCCTCTGAACTGCAGCTCGTTCTGCACGTTCTCGAGCTTCAGCATTTGCCTTCTCGACAGCAGCCCTTTCAGATTTCATGCGAGCTTCAGCTGCTGCCCTTTCCCGTGCATCAGCTGCTGCCCTTTCACGTGCTTCCCGAGTAGCCCTTTCTACAGCCTGTCTAGCCTTCTCCCTTTCAATCTCTCTTATTCTATCTCTCTCAAGCCTCTTCCGCTCTTTCTCTTCCTCTTCCCTCTGCTTCCTTTCATGATCTAAGACCTCCTGAGTTTCCCTAAATTCTCTCTCCTGCCCCTCATGTTCATCTTTTTCCCCCTGCCCAGATTCCTTATGTCTGGCAGCCTTGGCATATTCCCTCTCGCGCACTTCTTTAGCATGTCTAAATTTAGCCTCGGCTTTATCCATGGCATCCTTCATAGCAGCAGCCGAGGCCGCAGCAGCAGAGAAAGCATCAGGATCTGCACCAAAGTGAAGGTTAGCACTGTCATCAAAACTCTGCTGTGACCCTCCCATGGCAAATTCCTCAAGCTCATCAAACTGTGAAACTGGGGTACTCTTTGCTGCAGGTTTGCTTGGTTTAGGACTTTGAGATTGTTGGGAATAACTTGGCGTTGAAGAAAATTCACCACCCCTCTTTCTCAATCGTGAAGAATAGGAGCCACCTTCTGACCTCGAAGATTGGCGAGGTATGGGTGGAGGAGGCCGTGATGGCGGTGGAGCAGCTGAAGGTTGTGTGAAGAGAGGAATTTCTGATACACTAAGCCATATATCATCAGTCTGAGGTTCTTGACTAGCTTCTGGAGACATATCAGCATGCGAGCCTGTTTCATAATATGGGGGAGGTGGAGCAGTTTGACCAAAAGATTTCTGAAAATCTGTAGAAACATTTGGCACATCAAATAATGGAGGTTCCTGAAAACTGTCTACTGGAACTTTCTTCTCTGCATTGTCTGGATTTTTAAGGGAAAAGTTCCCTACAGGTTCTCTGGCAGTAGCAGATTGGGGTGTTGCTGATCTAGCCGGGCTCACATCCTTCCCTCTCTTGTTCCTCTCGGGAGAAAAAGCATGAGCAGATTTTCCCATAGTGCTTAGGGGATCTAAGTCACCAAATGCTCCACTGCTAACTGATGAAACTTCAGCTCTTGCACTTCTAGATTTATTAAGCTTGCCTATCTCCTCCAATGGATCGGTGTACATCCCAGATGAAGATTGCTGATTTGAACTTGACTCCAAAACTACAAAAGGATTCTGCATGGTATCTTCACGTTTAGAACTAGCAGCTGGTACGGAACCCCATCTGGACTCAGGCGTTTGTCTGTGCCAAGCACAAAAACGAAGATGCTTCATTCAAGTTGGTTTAGAAGTATAAAGCAATTAATAATAAGTCACATTCTTGGTTTCACAATAAATTATCTGGTGTGTATGAAATCAAATTCAGAGAGCGAGAATTCAAGAACAGCAAACATTGCAGAGAATCTGAGAGTAGATCAGGATGGGACAACGTAGATCAGGATGGGACAACGGCACTTCATGACAAATCAAATGCTGTCAGAACTTTTATATATCATACATTTTTTATATCAATCTCTCCTCCTAAAAACTAGTTGTATGACTACAGAATAAGTTGTTAAGAATTACTTAGGTCTAGCATAATTCGCATTAATCTAGGATGAAAGCTCTCTAGGGAGAAGGAAATAGAGCCATCTACTGCCTCCAGTAATCTGTTGAATAATTATTTTAGAATGGGTAACCTATGTAACCGTATTCACATTTTCTCTTCACTAAAACATCATCCAAACCCTCTCACTGTGACAAAGAAGGAAATGGTGTAAATTGAAACTAGTGTGGTACCAAGACCATTAGATTCTTATTCAAGTAGAAAATGATGAGTGAGAATATAGAATTTCACTTCCTTCATACATGACTCAAACATTATTTTCTGTCAGACAGCAGTAGAAATACTTTCTTTGCACCAGAAAAGTTACTTCTTAAAGATACTGCAACAAATACATGTGTTAAATGGGCCCCACAAGCACCTAAAAATGGAACTTATAAACTATAAGAATATTAAACAGAGCAACACATTATTCATAATTCCCTATATGCTAATTTCATAATACGTATGCAATATGCCACTTCAAAAGTTCAGTACAAGGTTCAGTGAAGTTGATAAAAACTGTTACAGCCTATTGTTTCAAAATATATGCTTCCATGAATTCAAACATCGAGTAAAACCTTCATCATAAACATAACATTTGAAATAAACCAGGACAACATTAATCTTTGCATAAAAAGAACAAAGAAAGTGGCATGAAGCGTTATTTTCTAGCAGTTCCTCGTAATTACAAGCTCTCTCTCTGTTATGCAAGACCAGCATATCATACACAGTAACATTTTGAAATTTCGAACCATTATAGAGGAATATTTAACAGGAACTAAAACAAAATACTCATGCTATCCTTACAATCTCTCTAAATCAAATGTTTGTTAGTATTTTAATTGACCCGTTTATGAAGATTTCTTAACAGGTATTTCAATGACCTGTAATCATATTACCGACATCAAGAAAATTCAATCCTTACAATTAAAAAACTTCAACCTTCGAGTAAACATTTTTAGTAGTTGTATAGTGTTAATAAAAGCATTTAAAAGGCATTAACTCCCAACATCAAGCATTTTCCAGTCCACAAACTAAATCTCAAAGCTCCAAATATAAAAGTAAAGTGTAAGTAATTTCTTGTAGAGGTACTATGATCATTTCTGACGCCTTATCAATGGTTTTTCCAACTAACAATAAATATAACACATCACCACTTAGACTTCATCTATGCAATTCCTACAGTTTTAAGTCCAAACCAATCATCACCATTAAGATTTATACCTGCTACTAGCAGCAGAACTCCCACTTCCAAAACCAGCTAGCAAATCATCAAAACCGTCTAAATTTGCATTGCTTTTCACACTATTACTCTTCCTGCTCTCACCAAACTTCTCATTACTCCCCAAATTCCCCAATAGCTCATCCAAACCGCTGCTCTGATTCTGATTCTGATTTTTACCTGTCGCTGGTGATGACATATATCCAAACACATCGTCCTCAAACCTTACCTTCGACCCCTCTGATTTGCTCTTCAAACCGGGCAACCCATCGAATATATCCTCGTCATAAACGGGCTTATCGTACACCGGCATCGATGAGGGCTTACTACTACTATTGGCATTCTTCGGCTCACTGGCGCCCGATGATTGGAAAATAGAATCATAATCAAAGTCACCGGTCGGAGAGAAATTGTCATTGTTCGGAGAGCTCGAGCTCGATCTGTACTTTGGCTGCCCGCCGAAGACGTCGCTGAACAACGGATCGTCGACAGATCGTCGATCCGCCGGATTAGACCTCATCGGATTGGCCTTACCACGGGCCCCGAGCCCGAAGTCGCGGGCCAGCACATCCAGATCATCCATATGACAAAATCAACTGCCTGATTCGGCTAGCAGCCGCAGATCTAACAAAAAAACTGCTCAAGCCAGTAGCTGGATCCACAAGGAACGCAATCGAAGGTCCAATCGAATAGATTCGTCCCCGATTACAAATCAGCAATCATGAGACGGTGATTGGGTCGGACTTCGGGTACGGCACGCAATCTTCCACCAGATAATCAATTTCAAAAACGGTGAATCCGCGTGCGGGAAAAAATATACATATATAGCGAAATCGGTGGATCAAACACGATGGATGATCAATTAATGGGAATCGAAGACGAAATTGAATTAGGGTTTCTTGACGCGCTCCGTTTGGGACACATATGGAATGCGCCCTCTGTTAATCCCCTCCGTTGAAGCTTTTTTCCCTTCCCCCGGTTTTTATTTTTTTTTGTAGTATTACATTCGTAGTACAATTTCTTTTATATATTGCTGCGTCATAATTATTTTAATGGAATCAAGCAAGTTTGTCTTTTTTTTTTTTTTTTTTTTTTTACGAAAATTTGAAATTAAGTTCACCAATTAATGATAATTTACAATTAGATATTCAATCTATTTACTTTTTTTTTTATGGTGAAATGTATTATCAATATAAAAATACAAAAATTCAGTATCTGTCAGATATATCTCCATCGTTACCTCATGGATGGACGGCTAGGATGCTTGCAATAATCGTGTTCAACAACAATTTATATCAGTAAACGGTATTGTATAATACAAAATATTGTGCATATTTTTAATACTCCCTCCGTCCATTTACAAGGTTTACATTTACGTGAGTAGTTAAAAGTAGTGAAATGATATTTTTATCCTAATTTTTTTTTTTTAAGTACTAATGCGATGTAAAGTAAAGGTATTTGTGAAAAAAAAGTAGGGTATTTAATGAAATGTTAACTTTGTAATTGGACTTCCAAAAATAAAAATATGTAAACATTGTAAATGGACGGATGGAGTATTAAATATAATAATAAAAAATAAAAATAAATACTTCATTGAGTGACAAAAAAAAAGTATTATTTTATTCATCGAAGTCATATATTTAGAAATAATACTTCCTTCGTCCTATAACAAAGTATCCATTTTTTAATTTTAATCCGTCTTATAACAAAGTATCCATTTTTTTTAGTAATTGTACTTTCTACCTAACATTACAAATATCCCTACAACTTACAATATATTACACAAATGTCATTACCTTTATATCACACGTACTAATAAGGTTATTTTAGTCATTTCTACTTTATTCCTATTATATCCCAATATAATGCTAATATTTTTAAAACTACGTGCAAAAAGAAAATGAATACTTAATTCCGAGACGGGGAGTACTATGTATTACTAGCTGGTAAATGTAAAAAAATACATATTATTCGAATTATTATATATTTAAAAATAATAGATTACTTAAAAAATATATAAAAAAAATAATAAGAGAAATAATTAGATATTAAATTTTCAAATTTTGGGGACAATTTTTTTATAGTAGTTTAAAGACCAAAACATGTACAAGTTAATATAAATAGTTATATTTATAATAATTATTATAATTTCTATGTTGAAATCAATGTGGAATAAATATCATTTTATTTTTTTACAAAATATGTCATACTATGTTCTATGTGATAGGGTTTGATTTTTTATTTTTTTTTAATGTGTTCTTTATATTATATATACAAATTTGCATTAGTAATATAAAATTAATATTTTACGTTAAATAGTTAACTTTTTATAAATAAATAAAATATTAGCATATTATATATTTTGTTAAAATATATATATTTTTATTATAATTAATAATATTCATAAATAATCATTTTATTCAAAAATAAGTGAACAATCCGCATATTTTTAATATAAAAATTAATATTTTATATTAAACTGTTAATTTTTTGAATAAATAAATATATAGCATACTATATTAATATATATATTTTTATTTTTATTTATTTTTTATAATATTTATTAAAAATTATTATCTAAATTATAACAAAGTCGACAAAAAAATATGTTCAAAAACATTAATCACATAAATTCAAAAATTTGATGTCCCGACTATCATTCAATAAAGTTTGTTTTTACTCAATTCCCACAAAAAATATCATTCTTTATTTTATAAAATATATAAAATTTTAAATATTAATTATAATATTGATAATATATTCTCAATTGCATATAGTTAATGTACTATGCAATAAAAAGATTTGTGAGTTGAAAAATAGATAAGTTGAAAATATAAAACAAGAAAAAATTAAATATTAAGATAATATGAATAATTATAGAAATATAATATAATGTTAATTTTAAAATTAGTTTTTGATCAGGTTCAAGATCAAATTTTAAACAAATTCATAATAAAATTTTAAAATTCATAACTCACCTCAAATATTAATGTCATATTAATATCGGCAAAATCCACCTCAATTGTCATTCATAGCATCATATGATACATCAACAAATAAATACAAATTTTTTCAAATCACAGTATATTATATTATTTTACGAGTTTTCATTATTTAAAAAAATATCAAATTAATATATTTATATATCACACCAAAAAATTATATCAATTTTCTTTTAGATTTATTCTTTTACTATTTAAAATTAAAATCAATAATTACAAATCATTTTAATAAAAATATATATTTTTTTTACAAAATATCATATCAAAAATATTATTTACATTAAAATTTGAATTAATATTCGATTTTATTTCAAATTAATTTCAAAACTTTACTAAATAATTTATAAAATCGAAACTCAAATCCATATACCATTCATTGTTTGGAGGTTTGAATTTTGAATTGAAATAATTGTACAATTTGATATAAAAATATTTTGAATGTAATTTTTTTTTAATATAATAAAAAAATATTTAATTTAATATTTTAGAAAGAAAATTAATGAATAGTAATTTGTTTGTAAAATCCCATAAATAAACACATCCTAAATATATTAAAAAAAAAAAAACAAGTAAGAATATAATATAGTTTTATTAAAATAAGTATTCTAAAATGAAATTATAACTGCCCAAAAATATGGGATTCACTTGCCATGCCACCCATTCTTATGGACTTATTAAACATTATTTGATTTAATTACAAAAAAGCCAAAAATACATTAAAACATATATGGACAAGAAAAAGACAGCCAAATAATATAGTAAAATACAATCTATTTTGGACTCTGCCTTTTTTCTCTCCAACTGCTACCTTGACGAAATCTTCAGTAAAATCCACATGATTTTCTTTTTTGATAATTTTGACGGCATAAATTGAGGGAAGCATTGGTGAAAGATGAGATTAACTTGGACGTCCTGATCGAGAGATGTCCGAAACTGATGTCTCTTACAGGTAAATTTTAAAATTATTGTTAGTTTTTCGTTCTTGTTTACAGATTTTGTTAGGAATTTTTGTTGATAAAAGACTGTTTTTGTTTTTTTTTTAATAGATTTATTTTAATTTCGAAGTTAGGTTTTAAGATGATTTAGGGATTTTTGTGTTTTGGATGATTTTGAATTCTGATAAAATGATGTTTTCTAGTGACGAACAAAAGTGTAAAATTGAGGCGATGATTTTCTTTCTATAAATTTTTATGATTGGGATTTTCATTTCCAATTTAGAAGGAGATCATTTTCCCTGAGAAACACAAGTCTGTGGAAATATAAAAAATAAAATTTATTTAAACGGTTATTTGTTTGTGATGTTTAATAGTGAAATTTTATTTGAAGAACATTTTAGAAGATTCGTTAACTTTATTTTCTATCAGAAAAGAGGATTATATAGTATTTTTTGTATAGTTGTGGAAATTCTATGGAATTCTTTTGATATGGATATTGAACTGCTTATATCAATATGATCGCATCTATTTAAGGGTGGGGATGTTTATGTTTGATAGAGAATGGTCAGAGTGTTTATTAGATCTATTTCATATTGAGTTGACAACACACATAGACTTGAATTAATACAGTTTATATGCTACATTTACATTATGTTGTTGATCTGTCGATTATCACTAATTAGAACTATATCGGTACCTTGTGTTGAAATGGTTTAGCTGTCGACTAGTTAGTATGTAAGAATTAAATATATAGAAATCCCAATTCTTTTCCTTGAGAATTGTGGACAGGAAGTAAATAGTTTAGCTATTGTATTTAAAAATTAAAGGATAAACAAAATTATACAAAATCGGTATTATATATATAAGGATGATTAAATGTATTCTATTGTAGTTTTCTATGAACTAATCAGCACATTCGTTGATAAATGCAGCTGTGGTTCTTGCGGATATGTTCTCAACTTAACATCATCGAATCGTATTTTTTCGACTATTGGCTCCAAATATCGAAAATTCATCAACAAGGATAGTATCTCTTTCATTTCTATCGATCCCAGTAGATTTACTCAGGTAGATGAACCAAAGTGTCTTCCCATATTTTTGGGACGTAACCGATCAAAATCCAAACTTCTTTGTCGCAATTGTGGAGTTCTAATTGGTTATGGTTACGGAGATTCAACTATTCTCAATGGTTTTGATTCGACAACTTCGTCTCGCCCATCCTATAAAAAAATTGTCGTAAAAGTTCAAGCTTTGCAACCCTGCGAAGATTGATAGTAAAAATAACCATGGTGAACATAAGTTCGTCTACCTCTATTCTACACTTCCCGAATGACTGATCACGAGGCATTTGGATTAACATGTCGTCGTTGGCTTCATATTCAAAATTTAAGTCGTCGATCACTGCATTTTGAATGCTCTTTCACTAATCCAAGTGTGTTTTCCTTATCCCGACCTTCATTCGCCGTAAATGCTCTCTATTTGAAGAAATTGCTTCTTCGTTTTTCTAAGTTACAGTCGTTGAATATATCGGGGTACATCAAAGTTCCGGATTCGGGCTTATCTGTGTTTCTTAACTGCGGATTGAATTTACAGAGCCTGTATTTGGATTGTTGTGGGATTTCTGATACGGGGATTTCTTACCTTGCTCGTGGATGTTCTTTTTAAGGATTATTAGTCTTTACATGTGTGATATCACTGATATGGGATTGAAAACTCTCTCCACGAATTGCCTATCGCTACGAGATGTGAATCTTTCACGTTGTTGTCGAATAACCGATGATGGAATTAATTATCTTTCTAGAAATTGCCGGCAACTTCAAGCTGTCAATATATCTCGATGTATAACCATCGATGGCACTGGCTTTCGAGGTTGCTCGGATACTTTTGTTTATTTAAATGCTAGCAAATGTAGACTTGAACAAGAAGGCGTGCGATCTGTCGTTAGCGGAGGTGGTTTGGAGTACTTGAATTTGTTGACAGTGGTCGATTCATGGGCATGGGATAGCCTTGCTCGAAAGTGTTCTTGTTTTTAGATTGAAAGTGGTCAATTTTTGGAATTGTAGAACGATTGGTGACGATGATTAGAATGGAATGTATCTTTGTGTCATGAAATAAGACTGCATGTGAACGGATGCCAAGCGTACTTGCTTTGCCCTTTGATAATTTGATACCAATGATACCATTAAATCCAAACTTGGCCATTGTTCTTTTTCTTGTTAACTCGATTTAGTTTCAGATCACCCTTAAAAAAAAATTAAATTTACTTAAATAAATTCATACAAAGATACACTTGTTTTATCTTACAAACAATCAAAATGCTATTTAAAAAACACAAATAAAAAGTCTAAAATTCAAACCGAAACCAAACAAAATTTACACTCAAAATCCAACAACAGATTTTATTGAACAACATAAGATGCGTTGAAGCCGACAACCAGTAACAAACAATATTACAAGCATTGTTCTAATGTGACAAGTGGATCACAATTTTTTACAGGGTGGATTTTTCATCCTCAATGCAGCAACATGGTGTTGCTTTTAGTTATGCAACTTTTTAGAACTGATTATCATCAGCTATAAAAGTAAAGAACAAATAAAATCATATAACCTGATTGACTACTTGGCGTCGCCGCCCCATACACTATCCCAGGCACCGCTAGGGGCAGCCGGTTTGGGTCCTTCGATAAAGTTTTGAGGTCCATGGGGGTTGTGAGGTCCTGGAAGGCCCTCCATTCCAGGGGGTTGAACTTTCTTTGGTTTTGTTTTGATTCCCAATATTCTAAACACAAATCGAGCAAGCTCGCCGTATAACATTCCAGACCGATCAAACAGCTGCAAAAGAAACATCCATAAATTCAATGGGAAAATCCTCCATGGTTCTTTTTACAATATCATAAAATGGAGATGTAAATTTAGGTGGATGGATGTATGGGGAAGTCACTACCTGAAGAAGGGCTGACATAAACATATGGAATGCCTGGGTGTTTTGGTCAATCAGCATTGCGACGCGACCAAAGAAATTCACCACACCTTGCATCTGCCATTGGCGATGAAAAGAAATATAATCAATAGTAGAGCTAGAAAATTAATCGATCACTGCATTGGCACATACTGCCCTGTTGAGCTTCCTGCCCACCACGCTATCTATAAACATTAACAATATCACTCTTTTTTCCAGCAGGCAGGGGGGGAGGTGGGGGGATAGGTCCAGTGCACATTAAAATTTATCATCCATCCTCGATGATTTTTAAAATAATGAATTTTCCATAATTCAGACTTTTTAATTTCCCTCATTTAGATTTGTACTTTACTAATTGAGCAAATTATCAAGAAATGATATTAGTCATTGCTTGATAATTTAAATACTAATAGCATCATAAAACATATTAGCCATGCCACAAGCTGGCAAATTATGATGAAAAGGATCGACTGCCCCAGAAGAGATGATCAAGAACCAGCTTACCACTCTCATCAGCGAAATCCAAAAATTCGGTGGAGAAGGAGGACCCCCAAATGGACTATTAGGATCTTGCTCGCCAAAAGGGCCTCCCATGCCCATTCCATAGCCTCCCATTGGACCTCCTCCATAACTACTGTTGTACATCCCCCCCCCATACATACCACCTCCATAGAGTCCTCCACCATAACCTCCTCTTAACATGCTATTTCCATACATCCCACTGTTGTATGTTCCTCCATATCCTCCGTATGATGAACCATACATTCCGCTCCCATATCCAGAATTATAGTTCATCCCTGAATTATATCCTGAAAAGCAAAAACATCATGCAGTATCAGATATCACATAGGCATCAAATCACTAAATCAAAATACAGAAATAAAGTGAATGCAAACATTATACCAATTACCAAGTCCATATCCCACATTAGATTCTGGCAGTTGACACTTTATACAATTATTGGAGAATCTTCTAGTTCATATGTATGTAGCTTCACAATCTTTTTCAAAACCTTTTTTTGTGTGTGTGTGTGTGTGTGTGGAAGTATCAAGGATTAAATCAGAATATATAGCCATCCCACATTCATTGCAAGAAGAACCAATAGGCTTAACAAACAACTTAAACATGTATCAGCTATGGCATTGTTAACAAGCATTCAGGCTCTCAATCGGCTTTAAACAAATGAATGCCAAAGGATAGAAAACCCAAACTAAAGTTTCCAGAAAATTCGCATCATGGAATCAGATAAAAATACAATTAAAGAAAAATAGTCAAAAGGAACTACAGATTTTACCAGAAAGAGCAACCTATAGTACATGAACAGTTTTATCGAAGAAATTTTCATTCAGACTCCAAATCAGTTTTGAAGCAGGCAAATCTAAAATTGGTCCCAAGCACAAATATGGTTGTATATCATGCTAAACCCCTCTCATTCAATCTGCACCCCTAATTTTGAACCAAAAATTCACCACACACATGCAAAACCAAAATTCATTAAACAACAACAACAACAACAAAGCTTAAAACCCATCTGACGCAATAAATTTTCACATTGCATAAAAATAGCATATACCTCCGTATGTGCTAGTCCCATATGTCTGTTGTTCCCAAGGTCTTGTAGGCACTGTCCTCCCGAGTGCGTTCGTAGTAACAGCTGTATTCCTATTAGCAGTTGAAACAATCTCTCCAGGTTGAGCAGTTCCAGAGGCTTCTACTACATCACTAGTATTCCCACCAGACGGTGGTTTAAAAGGCGCAGGCCCTGAAGAAGAGGAGCCAGCCTTCTCCCATGGTTTTGGTGGGCTTCCTCCTGCACAACAATTTAGATCAAACTCACGTATGAGCCAAGGATGACGAATAATACTTGCCGGACATTAACACAAACGAGAGTGCCATTAATTGGATAACAATTCAAAGCAACACACAAGCCCACGCGTATTCGAATGCAAATCAACACCCAAAAATGCATAATTTCAAAAACAGAAAAAGGCAGGAATCCCACAGTCGCGCTAAATTTCTCAGAAGGAGTTTGGTAAATCGGTTATCGACTACAATTATCTTTTAACAGACATATACATAATTTTCAATCGAACGACTAAAATTATTAATCCGACAAATCAATCAAACAATAAAACCCCAAAAGCAGCGAGCACTAGAATAAACCCCAAAATTCAGTTCCCCAAAAAACAAAAAAAAAAAAATCCAAAAATCCAAAAAAAAATGATAGTTATTCAAAGGGATCGGAAATTTATCCGCGCACCTGATGCCTGCCCGCCGTTCTCCATGGAAAGGAGACAGCCGCCGAAGACGAGAGAGAAGAGCGAAGAGAGCCGAACAATCGATCGGCAACCAGTGGCCAAACTTTATCTCGAAATTTATCAGTCCTTATTTTCGCGAAGCCCGAGAGAAATTTCAGGGTGCAATGACGAAATTACCCTTTTATTTCCACTATATCTAAACGCGGTGCCGTAGCGTCGAGTGGGCCCGGTCCACACCACTTTACCGGCGGCCTGCCCAGTTTGACCCAAGTCCATTTGTATGTTGTAGTTTTTTAATTATTACTCTCTCCGGTATGTATAAGAAGATAAAAATTTATTTAATAATTTCATTAATATTAATTAAACTCTTTATTTATTTTACTATTATTTTATAATTATATTTATTATATAATAATTATTTATATTAATATATTTTTTAATTATTTATTAATTATATTTTATTTAAATTCTTGTATTTTATTTAAAAATAAATAATTTATATAGAACGGAGGAGTATATATTTTGTTATTTTTGTTTGTCCATATACAAAATATTTATTTTTTAAAAAATATGAATTTCATTTGGTGTGTAATTAATTAAATTGATTTATATTTATTAAATATTTTTAAAATTATTTATTTTTTAAAATAAATAAAAATAAATAAATTTTGAATGATTCATGCGTAACATGTAATATATTGTGTAATTAATTAAATTGATTTATATTTGTTAATTATTTTTTGATTTAATATATTTTACCAAAAATAAAAAAGTGTCTATTGTTTTTTTTAAAAAAAAAAAAAATGTCAATTACTACATAATGTAGAACAGAGGGAATTCTATTTTACCTTGATGTGTAAAATTAATACGAAGATACCGATGTAATAAATATAAGTGTGGATGTATTTGCAATGTATAATGAATGTCTATACATACTAACAAAAAATAAGTACTTTATAGTTAGATAAAAAAAAAATATGTCAAAATGTATAACTATGAGATGAATCACACAATATTAATTTTATTTGATTAAATGTAAAATAACATAAAATTTAAAATATGAATATTATTTGATAAATTGATTCTACCAATTTAGGTAATATTAATTGTCCTTAATACAATGAGATTTAATTAGTACTTGGATTTTAATCAATTATAGTAAATGTATAATTAAATTTAATCAAGTAATATTATTTCATCAAAAAAAATAGAAAAGTCAGAAATTCGGAATACATTGGTTGTGTTCTTTTGTGGGTTTTAGCACAAGTTTTTACTATTCACATTATTTTTTCCCTAAAAAATATCGCATCAAACAATAATTTTTCTTTTTTTATATTATCCTACAAATTTATTTTACATTTAAAACATAACGTAAATCTATATTTATATCACATTAAACGACTATTCAAATTCAACTTTTTACTATTTAGAAATTCAACTCAAAACTTAAAACCTACAAACAAACACACCCATTAGTTTATTTTTATAAATTATATTGATAGTAACAAGGTTAGGTATAAAATAAGTAAATATTTTGTAACATATTACAATTAGATTTAGATTAGAAATAATATACCAAATATTTTGGAAATAATTGAATGTATGGTATGATATAAATATTTCAATATATTAATATTTAAAGACAATTGCCAACACAATTAGAATATAAATAATATACCAAATCTATTTGAAATAAATAATTATCATTTGATATAATTATTTCGAGATATTATTATTTAAAGACATTTGTAATGTAACCAATACTATTAGGTTGTGTTTGATACAGATAAATAAGGTCAGAGAAATGGAAATGATATCATTTATCTTGTTTGTTTGAGTCATAGAAATGGAACTTGAGAAATAAATCATTTCCATTTCTCTGTTTTTACCACATGCAGAGAAATAGAGAGAAATGATGTTGGAATATATGTTTTTTTTTAATTTTTAATTTTTTTTGTACTATTTAATTTTTATAATTTTTTAAAAATTATATTATTTTAATTTTACAAAAAAACAAACTTAATTTATTTTTAAAGTATTTAACTTTTACGATATTTTAAGAAATTGTACTAAAATATAATCTTAAAAAACATTGTATATAATTTATAATTTTTTTTTAAAAAAAAATTTACCAAAAATATTTTTTTATGAATTATCATTCGTTAAAACTCTCTTTTCTATCGGATTAATCATTTATTTTTGTTTGCTCGTTCATATATCTGCATTAACTCTCATTCTCTACTCAATTTCTCTCAAATTCTATTATCTATTATCATTTATCTGCAATTCTATTCTCTGTACTAAACGCACTCCCTTAGAATACAAATAATATACCAAATCTATTGGAAATAAATCAATTAATCATATGGTATAAATATTTTGATACATTAAAACTTTACTAATTATGAAATAAAAATTTAAACATTTAATTATTACTTTAAATTCAACAATTATTATCATATTTATTATATTATAATTTTTACTATAATTAATTACTAAATAATTTTCTAAAAACACCCACAATTACTTATTATTATTATTATTATTATTATTTTTTTATCAAATTTCTAACATATTAATATTAATATTTATTAATTTTCACATGGAACCCAAATAGATTATTTTTACATAAATTGAAAAACAAGTGTACTACAACCAATACAACACCACACTATAGGGCAGGGATTTCAAATTTTCAATAACAGAAGTTTGTTACTGACAATAAATAATATTTATTTATATTATAATATAATTTTGATTATACACGTGTATTATTAATTTTTTTAAAATTATATTGCATAGAAAAATAGAGTGGGGCCCACTTTGTTAACTGCGGGGCCCACCGAGTTGGACCTACTGCTTGAATTGTAACCGATTTTGACAAACTTATGCACAGTGAGAAGTTATTGGTAAGGTGATGCTGACTAACCATTATTTATTATTTCAAATTTAATAATAATAATTATTATTATTATTTCTATTACCGTACGTTCAAACATAAATAATTTGTTATAATTTGTTTCTAAAATTTAATGCAAAGCGGTTACCCTTTTGTTGGTTTTCAGTAGTTATTGGACAGATGATATAAATATTAATATTAATTAGTCATTCTGGTATTGGAACGTGACGAAAAGACTCTTTTACCCTCAACTGTATTTTTTTTTTTATATTTTATTTTCAAATGTTTTGGGTCTACACAGTTTGTATTAATTAAAAATGAATTAAAAAAGGGGAAAGAGGCTTTATCTGCTCCTTCGGTGCCTTTGTTTTCTCTCCGGCATTCAGTGCGCCCGTGGATTCCGTCGGAGTTCAGCTCGATAATCTCGAGAATCTCGTGTGGGTGTGTTTTTGCAGGTTTGGGTGGTGTTTACTTCAATGGCGGCCAGCGCCAGTGCTCCGTCCGAGTGTCGCAGCAGGACCAACAACGGGAGTAGCAACGGCGGGAACAACGGCGGCGGCGGTGGTGGAGGGCGGGAAAATGCGAATAGAGGAGGAGGCGTACCGCCGACGGAGAAGTCGATGGCGAGACTCCCCTCGAGACGGCGCCTTCGCCACAATCCTGGCTTAGCGGATCAATGGTCGTCGCACGAGCAGGCTACGCTAGTGGAATTGCTCTCCAAGTGACCTCCTGCCTCCTTTTTAATTTTTTTTCTGAACTAGTGCGAGTTTGGAAGTTCATTGTTTGCTGCCTTTCTGTTCGGATTCTTTTTATTTTTTATTTTTTTTTATGAGGATTCGAATTTGCCTTGCTTGTGTTCGTTCTAGTTGGATTTTTGTAGGTTACTTTTCGTGACGGTTTTTTTTTGCTCTGATATGAAGTTTGGTATCCATGGAGTGAGAAGAAATCGTGCAATGGCGATCAATCTGTGGTCATCGAGATTTCCAAAATATATTTAACCCGTGAATTCTGTGTGAATTTGGAGATGGGAAATTAACTTGTGCTTGCTTGCTTGTTGATTGCTTTGTATTTTGTTTGATATGCTAATCACTTGAAATGAATCTGTGGAGTGATAACCAAGATATGATATAGATAGAATCATGAAACTAGTGATCTGAAGTTATTTGACATGTTAAAGGATTTATGTAATCTGAAACTTCTTACCCTGGGAACTACACAAGATTTAATGGGAATATTCTTTCCAACTCTAAGTTCATGTGTTTTGCTTTGTTTTCCTGATTAGTTCTAGGTTTCTCTCCTCCCTTGAACTGTTTCTTTGTCTTTTCATAGATTCGTTCCTCGATCGTTTTTCAGCTAACGGTTTGCTTTTGTAGCATTAATGCCGACAAGAAAGATTGCATTTGCATTCACTACTTGCCACGTGTTTCTTTTGTCTTTTTGTAGATTCGTTCCCGATCTTCGTTTTTTCTTACTAACCGTTTGCTTTTCTAGCTTTGTTGTCGACTAATAAGTTCACATTTGCAAACAGTATCTGCCACGTGTTTCGTGCTGCATACTCACAAGCATAGTTGTATTGTGCTCATTAAATATTCCTCGTTGCTGTAGTCAATAATGCTTTTCATTACTTTTTGCACGTGTTGCTATTTTGCGGATGATTGGCTATGCCGGCTACCATATTGTTGTGTGGGGTTTTAATCAGGTTACGTTGACACAATATTTTATGCAAAGTTGTATCATAATTATTTTGTCTTTCTACTATTAAAGGTCGTACGACAAATAAGCACTTTAATATGATGTATAAATAGATATAAGATCATTTTCAACTTGTACCCTGGAATGAGCACGATTTATTCATACTTCATTAAGTGCTTGTTGTCATGGTCTATTAAATAAAGTCTGAATCAATCTATCAGAAGATAATACTTAGAAAGATTTACTGATAGTGATCTGTTGGTTTTAGAATACTGTGTATACTTTTTTTTATCTCTAAATAGATATAATTTCCTTTTGTATCGATTGCTTGTGATGCATTAATATTTGCTATATGTTAACATGCATTAGTTTTATTTGTGTTCTCAAAATTGGATAAAAATTTCACAGACATTCAACAGAGCCTGCTCTTGTTCGCTATGCTATGGTTTCTCAGGCTTTGAGGGATAAAACTGTTCGGGATGTTGCACTCCGCCATAGATGGATGAGTGTGAGTTCTTCATTCAATATTCAATATTCAACCTTCATATCTATTTTATCATCCCCATGAAATCTTTTGGCTAACCATATTGATGTTTAGGTATGGAAGTAGCAAAAATGTTGGTAGAACATAAAACCTGCTATAAATCGGCGTTGGCTTTTTTTTTTTCATAAAAGAAAAATGTGTAATGTGACATGAAAAGAGTACAAATCAAGCTCTTAATTCATGTCATTTTACCGTAAATAATTGACATTTATCATAATTTCTCATTCCCCCTTAATTAAAATTGTGGGCAATGTCTGAAGAATTAAGGGGGTGAGCTTACTGATGAGCAAAGCTATATTTTTTTGTAGTTCTAAGTATTTAGATAACTTAAATGATGTATCCTTTTTCATTAAAGGGTTTTCTGAAAAAAGGAAGTATCAGAAATATACAGTGATATGGAGAAAATAATACTTTTGCCCTGTTTACAATGTGAAATATGATAATGACAGATACAAGAACACAAGTGGAGTTGAAATGAACCAGCCATTGAAATCTTATTATTATTCTCAGTTAACTGTAACAATGATGAATTTTTTACTCTTTTGCAGAGAAGGGAAAATGGCAAGAGACGGAAAGAAGCTCTCCACTCTTCAAAGAAATCTAAAGAGAAAAAGGTGATTTATATAGTTCTTTGTATAGCCATTCATAATTGTCGTAGTTAATACTAAGGCTCCCCGCTCTAACCTCTACATGTCAATGTGTGAATATTTTCTGAGTATTTCAGATGAGCATATATGTTGCCGTTTTTGCAATATTGCATGTGTGCTTCTTCTTAACAGAAATGAACTGGAACCTTTCAGAAGTTATCTGATTTTCTAAGTGTTGTTTTGTGATATTAATTGTTTTATTTGTTCTACTAAATAAATTTAAAGAACTAAATTTGTTAGCTAGATGCTTTGTTTTTGCAACATCTTATGTCCCTTATCTGTTTAATTTTTCTTTCTTTCTTTCGTTCTTCTTCTTCTTCTTCTTTTGTTTTGATTTCTTCCTTATTATTTTGATTTTCAGCAAAAAAATACAGAATCACTTCCAAAAACTTCTCAACCTGGAAACATCACTGGCCTGCCTCCTCATGCTCAGCCGGTGGAGATTGATGATGGAATGTCGCTGAAAGGTCAATCTGCATTCTTGTCTCATTCCTGTCTCACTCATTCGGGAAAGAAGCATACATTTTTTTTTGCAAGTTACCTGCTGATTATCCCATTTATTTATTGTTTTACTTCTATTTCAGATATCGGCGGAGTTACTGGTCAGCTTCTTGAGCAGAGTGCTCAGGCTATGGATCAAATTTCTGCTAACTTTTCTGCTTACAAGGTACTCACAACTCCTATGTTGTGTGGAATTAGTTCTATCTGCAATACCATGGACAATATGCTACATATTTTCATCTTTTCTTTAACCTTCTCTCAATATTTTCACCTTGAAACGCAACTTTCCAAATATAGTTATTTCCTTTCTTTTAATGTAGTCGAATTCAAATTATTGCTTCTATAAATAGACAGCTGATATATTTGTATATATTCATAAAACTAATGATTACGGATGAACATGCTTACCTTACTCTTCAAACAGAAATATGTAGCGGTCATAGATTGTGGATAATGATAAATGCGATCACCTTCCCCCCCCCCCCCCCCACCCATTATTCTTACTGTTTTCGGACTGTGTATTACTATAGTTATTGCATCTGTTCATATTAGCCTTATATTTTAATCAATCAATCTGTTTTTTACTATTACTGTATTGACATCATCTTTGATATTTCGGCTTGCAGCTTCAAGATAACATCAGCCTCTTTTGTCAAGCTCGGGCGAACATCCTCTCAATCTTGAACGAGTATGCCTATAAATACTACAAATCCTTCAATTGCTTTCAACTGGCGTAAATATTCGTTGATACACAAACTGCAGCCGGCTTAATCTTGTATTTGCATGCAGCTTGAACGAAGTGCCGGAAATAATGAAACAGATGCCTCCTATCCCTGTGAAACTGAACGAAGAGCTTGCAAACACCGTGCTAGGACGACCACCAACTATGCCGAACAAACCTTGACAACCTCGCCCCATCCAATTTGCTCAAACTCAGCGACGATGACTTCTGCAAGCTGTAAGTTTGAGCCTTCGAATAAAACTGGGCGGGTGGCATGAATCCTGTCCGATGCTTCTCGATGCATTCAGCAATATTCATGCCATGCTTATTTTCGTTTTTCCGTTTTTTCATAATCCATGTCTGCGCCGTGCGTCAATGCGCGCGGTGTGGTTGGGAAGACTGTGCTCATTGGAGCAGCTAGCGTAGAGCTTATGTTTAGCCTTGTAAATGAGCTTAGGCTATATATGATATGGATCTTGATGTTGCAATCAAAGGGGCATTATTTGTGATGTCCGAAAACTATTATTATCCATTTTGAAAAATCTTGATATCTTTTAGCCATGCTTTCTTCGACTAGGGATGGTAATTGGTGATGTTGTGGGGGGATTCTGTTAGAAGTTCTAAATTTATGGTGGGGTTTGAGTTTTTAAAAGTTAGAAGGCTTGTTTGGATGAAATGTTTATAGAAATAGAGAAAATAAATACTATTTGAGTTGATAAATAGGGAAAAGTTGAAGCTGATTACTAGTCTATTGTAAAATTTGCCTAATATTGAAAATGGGTATGAGCCCCAAGCCCCCATAATTTGTTTGGTGTTGGCCGAAGTGCTAGCTTATGTTTTGGCTCGTCTAGTGCAAACTCATGATATTTATATATATAAAAAAAACTCATATGATATTCATACATATATTCAATAAAAACAAATCCATTTTGAAGACTTTTATTTATATGTATATTTTTTAAAATTTTGATATAATTTATCGATATATATGTTTTAATATTAATAATTAGGGAAAAAAATATTTTTTGTGTTAGTATAATTAAAATTCATCAATTTTGATTCAAATATAAAAATCTTTATCAATTTTGGTCATAATATAACCAAAACTATCATTTTTTGTCTCAATATAACAAAAATTCATCATTCTTGGTTCTAATATAAATTTTTTATCAAATTTAGTATCAATATAACCCAAACTCATCATTTTTTGTCCCAATATAATCAAACCTTATATTTTTTTTTTGTTATACCGTAAATAAACCGACAAAAAATGCTGACGTGGACTTGCAAGATTTTTGTAATTTCTTCGAATATAAATATAAGGTTTGATTTCTTTTCACGTCAACCATTTTTCGTCGGTTTGTCGACGGTGGGACAAAAAAAGATAAGGTTTAATTATATTGAGACAAAAAATAATGAATTTTAGTTATATTGGGACTAAAATTGATAAAAAAAATTATATTAAAACAAAAAATGATGAGTTTTGGTTATATTGTGGCAAAAAATGATGAGTTTTGGTTATATTAAGACCAAAATTAATAAAATTTTTATATTGACACCAAAATTGATAAATTTTTGATTATATTGAGACTAAAAATTATTTTTTCCCTAATAATTACTTAGATATTGAAGTATTTCTTTTAGTCGCTCCGTCGTTCAAATCTATTCTCATTTTTCTTTTTACTATTTTTCTTTATCAAAAAAAATAAATTTTTTTATTATTATCTATTTTTCTTAAGATCAGTGTCCTATCAAATGAGTACACAATTGGACGATGGAGGGAGCAGTATTTCCTAAAATTAAAATCTGTATAAGTATGACCTTGCCGGCCCCATACAGGGCCCATAGTATAGTTGCTAATAAATTAGGTAATAAAGTTACGATTTCTTTTTTGGCAAAATAAAGGTCATGCCTGTAATTTTTTGTGTTATACTCTGTATTACAAATTATTTATTTATTTATTTTCCTTTCACGTTTTAGCGGCAATATCAATAAATAAATAAATAAATAATGAGGGATGAATGAGACCAGTGAGTCAGTCCAGCGTAGAGTCAGCACAGCACAACACAGAACAGGCGCAGCAGCAGCAGAATTGCTTTTGAAGAAAGAAACCCTTCCTTCCTTCCCCACCCCAACCCCACCTGTAATTTTCACTCCCAGAAGTCCCTTTTCTTCTCGCCAATTTCTCTGTAAGAATCCCCTTTCACCGCGCCAAATAAACTCCCTCTTTTCCCCTTGTTGAATTATTATTGTTTTTAATTTTTCAGTTACTAGGCGGGAGAGGAAACATCGAAGAAATGGTGGAGGCGGCGCGGCAGCTGGCACCGGAGGAGGAGAAGCAGGCAATCAGGGACATTGCTGTGGCCGCCGAAGCCCAGACAGGAGTCGGGGATATTTTCTATTTAATCACCCAGAGGTATTATACTATTTGTTTTTTGGGTAAAATTTTCATGGGTATGTGTTTTTCAGTAGATCTGCTTTGGGAGCCGACTTGCGCCTTCGTTGGGTTTTTCTTGGGCGGATTAGTAGGGTTGTGAATTGGAGATGTTTGACGGATTTTACTGGTAGGGTTGTAGGGTTTTTCTTGGGCGGATTTTAGCCCAGACAAGAGTCGGGGATTAGTAGGGTTGTGAATTGGAGATGATTGGGGGAGGGTTAGGGTTTAAGAGCGGAGTACTATCCGGATGCTGGGAAAGATAGTTTTGCTCTTCGTCTATGTTTGTTGATGATAATTGGTTGTTGTTTGGGGTGTACTGTGGTTGTGGGCAGCTTGATTAATCATGCTCTGTTCTTTAGATTTAACTTCTGATTGTTCAAGTTCGCGAGAATGCAGTTGGTTTTTGCTTTGATTCATTTCATTGCTGGGTTGAGAAATTTTCACTTCTAATTAATCAAAATACTGAACTTGAAAGAAAAACGTTGATGTGCTTACGTTAGGGGGGGGGGGGGGGGGGGAAATGCAACCATTTCATAAAGAACTGTTGAATGTTGATGATGATACATATATATATATCTGTATATATGGGACAGTTATTTTAACCTGCCATTTTACTACCGGCTACGACTGAGCTTAATACTGTAACACTGCATATTTGTATGAAAAGAGACCAGGAGATTGAATGCCTATCTTGCTGCAGGGCATTAAGTTTTTGTTCGCTTTTTTTTTTTAAAAAAAAATGATTCAGAGTGTTTGAATTAAGTGAGCTTTATGGCTTGACATTTTAGTGAACATGATGGAGAGGGTTGAGGGGGAAGGAGACTTTGCTTCCTTTCCAATTAACTTCATCTTATCATAAATGTTAAAGTGAGAAACCCAGAACTATCTCTATGATTTTCCTAGGAATGTGGATGTTTCTGTTTTGTTCATTTTGTGAAGATACAAATTTCATAGGATCACTACCATATTTTTCTGATGTTTTCCTTGTTCCTAAACCCTATAGCTCTTTTCAGCACTTAAACTCATGAGATAGTTCCTAAATTAATAAATTGAAGGCTTATAATTTTGACTTGCCTTTCTTGTACCTGTGATTGATTCATTTTCCTTCTGATATTTCTAATGATAGATGGTGGCAAGAATGGCTTGGGTACGTCAATCAAAATCAAGGCGGCAATGTAAATGATGGGTCTTCCTCTGAGCATCATGATTCAGTCAACTCGAGTGCAATAAAGAGGCCATCTTCCATTGACAACTCTGATTTGATGGATGAATCAGTGTCTGAGGATCCTGCTATGGGTATTGAGATTCATGATACCTTAGTAGAAGGGACGGACTATATTTTACTTCCTCAAGAAGTCTGGAACCAATTGTGGTCATGGTAAGCGATAATTGATTTTCTTTCACTTTATCACACATCAAGTTGTTTGTTCTCTTTTTGAAAAGAATTTTTTTAAATAGTACCCCCAATGAATACTCTCAGAATATTTCCACATTTATGAATAAAATAATCTATGGCTTCAGAATGGAGGTCCTTCTTCAGGACATTTTAGCTTTTTATAATTTTTCTATAGTTATAAAAGATCCACCATGGCAAGGCCTTTGTGCCATTTTGTATGATAAGGTGTGCCTTTTCCCTGGCTCCGAGGCGTGAAGCACAAGTGAGTTATTGTTGTTACCTTAATTTTATAGTAAATGTTATTTTTAAAATTGTTTATTGTTAATTTTTTCTTAGCATTCAACTGAGTTTGCTATTAATTGGAAATAGATCAGCATGAAAATTTACTTCACTATCGAATTCTAATATAAAAAATAAGATGTATAAATTAAATTTTTTAAGAAGACTTTTAAAGGAGATGGAGATATCACCAGAGTCATACAGTATATATTGGTTGCATGTAATTGTATATTGGTATTTACAGTACCCCATGTGCTATGTTGTGCACCATGCAATGGCAATGGCCTTGTGCTAAGCTGCACGTTGCTCTATTTACAACTATAATATGACCCTTTTCCCTTGTAATATTTTTGACATAATACATATTACTTAGAAATACATTTCTACCGTCTTGCAACCAACAGACTCAAAGTGTAGAATTATGAGCCCTGACATAGTCTCCCTAGGCTGCCATAAACATAAAAATGAAATATAAATGAAAAATTCTTCTTGAAAGATATCCAGCTAATTACTAGAATGGGGTCTAGCTCTTAATCTTTTTTTAACGCACACCAATGCTGGGGAAAGGAAGATTAATAGATCAGCTTGATTTCATTCTAGTAAATCACTTATAATTGGTGAAAATCTATATAATATTTGAATAATAATATTCCTTTGTTGAAATGGAAATAATGTAATGTCTTCAAATGCTTTGTTACTTCCCAAAAGTTCATTAAAGAATATACCAAGATCCATCCCTTTTGTCATTACCCACCTTACTATGTAAATCAGATTGGTAGAATATTGTGTTTTCATTTATGGGCTTCTTCGACCTTGCACCCGAAACACATATTTTGGGGCCCATATTGCGAGAAAAGGTAAGTTCTTTTGTTAATATTATTTGTAGTTTTTTGTTTTTTTTTCTCCTGCATTTACTGCCTCCCCCCACACTGTTGCCCATTCCGTCTGCTTCCCACCTTCTTCCTCTCTCTCCGGACACGTGTTTATTTCTCCTTAAGCATTCCTCCTCTTCTAGATTTCATCAATTCCTCATTTCCTCCCTATATTTTTATGCCATTTGCAACATTTTTATTCACTATTGTATGTTTTTTTGGTTGGTCTAGGAAAAAAACATCCTAACACATTATTTTAGTTTTTATGAGGTTGTATCCATATGTGAGCAGGTGTAACAAATTTCCTGAGAACCTGGTGTTATTTGAAAGCTAATTTCTGACCAATGATATGCCACACTAAAAAGGCTGGGGGTTAAAAAGAACTTCAGTCCTTGAAAAATATTTAAAAACAAGTGGCAGGTAAGGCGCGGATGGGTGGCATCGTGAGGAGGCAGTAAATTAAGAATGTTTTTGTTTTTTGTGTTCTTTTATTTATTTAAAAATAAGATGCACACTTTCTCTAGATTGTGTCTTGTAGCTCAATTTGGGCACCTGGAACATATTTCCCGGGTGCAGGGTTGAAGAAGCCGTGTATGCTAATGGATCTATTCTACGATCTTTCAATTGACTTTTTAATGCTCTTACGACAATAATTTGTTATCATAATCCTGATTGTAATATTTTTTACAATCTACCCAAGAAACGCAAACCCAATAAGGAGAAGTAAAACGATGAAAAAAATTGATCATTTGATTTTTCGGTGTAATTTTTTCCTCTCTCATGCCAAGCATAGCCTATATTTCTTTCGAGATTGTGCCAGAAGACAACTGGATTCTTTAGTTAATCAGTTTCTCTTGCCCAATTCAGGTATGGAGGTGGTCCTGTACTGGCTCGGAAGGTAATAAATACTGGTCTTTCACAAACGGAGTTGTCCGTGGAAGTTTATCCCCTGCGACTCCATTTGCATTTGGTACCTAAAGGTGACCATTCTACCATAAGAATTAGCAAAAAGGTATCTTTTCTGATCTCTTCTGTCTAGGAAAAAAAATGAGGCTTACATTTTATCACATCAGCACTTACTTTTGATTATTGAATAAGTTCAATGTGATTTTCAGGAAACAATTGGTCAACTTCATCAAAGAGTTTGTGAAATTTTTGATCTTACAACGAAACAGGTAAATTTATCTCCCCTAATAATTTGTTATGTATGTTTATAAGTTGAAACATACTAATTTATGAAATTGAGTCTTTTTGTGTCAGGTGTCCGTTTGGGATTACTTCAGTCATCAAAAACATGCATTGATGAATGATATGGAAAAGACTCTTGATGATGCAAATATTCAAATGGATCAGGATGTGGGTAACTTTATTCTTGCTATTATAAAAAATATTCTTTCCTATTAACCATACAGTTGGTCTGAGGTATCAGTATTATTATTATTATTATTATTATTATTATTATTATTATTGTTTTTTTCTTTTTTATGTTACTGAGTTAGAGAAGACTCAGGATTTACCTAGCACATAATGGTTTCATCTAAGCTTAACGTTGCTTTCAAAATGTAATTGTTAAGGCAATGATGTTGTTTCATCCATCTTTGATTTGTGTAGAGAAAGTGATGCTTTATATTGAGGACTGGAAAAAAAAAAGGACAAAATATTTGAACTTTGGAACCTTATTATTATTTTTAATTTTTGCATGAAATGATAATTTAATTTAATTAAAAGCTACATTTTGATGTTCTATGCTTTACAATGTCTGAAGCAGATATTGGTAGAGGTTACTGATGGTAAGATTGAAGGTGGTTTTGGTTCCGGCCAGCAGAATGGATCTTTACAGAATGGAAGCCTAGCTGCAGTGCCTGTACACTCAAGTTTCCCAACTTCTGGAGGTCTAACTGTGAGCAAGTATTCATCAAGAAATGGTAGTTCTGAATCCCAATTGAAAAACCTAAATGTAGAAAGGGCATATGGATCAAGTGGTGTCAGCACCAGGGGGTCTTCTAGTGGTCTCACTGGACTGTTGAATCTTGGGAACACTTGTTTTATGAACAGTGCAATACAGTGTCTTGTTCATACGCCTCAATTTGCTCGGTATTTTCGTGACGATTACCATCAGGAAATAAACCTACAGAATCCCTTCGGCATGGTTGTAAGTTTCCCACCTTATTCAGTGACCTGCATATGCTTGTATTTCTGAACTTCAATGGTTGGTTATACAGCATCAAATAGTTGCTAAGAAAATTTTTGGGCTTGTAGAGTATAGAAACTACATGCCATGAAACTGCAGTTAGCTAATGCATAAAATTGTTAGGTTAGAGTCTTATATCAAATTTGCAATATTATTTTTTAATGGAGGGTGATCTTTTGATGGGGCCTTATTATTTATATCAAATTTGCAATATTATTCTTTAATGGAGGGTGATCTTTTGATGGGGCCTTAATTTTAGCTTTCTTCTTTCAGACATGGAAATTGAGATGGACCTGTATAAAGAATACTTCTAGGTTAAGAGAAAAGATGCTTGCTAGTATCTCCGTGTGGGGACTATTCTGCTAATATTCAACAGTGAATAGGATTGATTTGTGAGGAAGTGATAACTTTCCTGAAAGTTGGTATATAATCTGCAGGGTGAGCTTGCTGTAGCATTTGGTGAGTTACTTAGAAAACTGTGGGCCCCAGGACGTGCTGCAATTGCCCCCAGGCCATTCAAGGCAAAACTTGCTCGCTTTGCGCCACAGTTTAGCGGATGCAGTCAACATGATTCGCAGGTTTGATGCCTCAAGTAAAGCTTTCGTTCTTTTTTTTTGATAATTTTGGTTCTTAAATTTACTTCAAGAAAGTTAAATGAACAATTGAATTTTTCCTTTCTTTGCTATAGGAACTTCTTGGATTTCTGTTAGATGGACTTCATGAAGATCTGAATCGTGTCAAAGAAAAGCCTAAAATAGTTTGTAGGGATGCAGATGGTCGACCTGATGAAGAAGTTGCAGATGAGTATTGGGCAAATCATATTTCTCGAAATGATTCAATCATCAATGACGTATGCCAAGTAAGCACGGCAGACACTTTGTATCATTCCTTTAGTTTTTCTTTGCTTACTTGTAGATGAATTTCATCATGCACTGGCATTTATTTCTTTGAGGCTGGAACAAGGAAGATTAGGGTATGATCTTTAGCTGTTTGCCTGTAATGTTCTTGTTTATATTTCGAAAAATGATAGCCAATTGACTTCTTAATAAGTAGGGGTCCAGTTTTGTAATTACACCTCCGCACATGTTAGTCCAGTAGTTCTATTGAAAGGCAAAACATGATAATAATAAAAGGACAATTCTTTGATTTGTTAAGCAGTAAAATGACTTTCCTCACATATGTGGAATTAAATAATTTTACCCTCTTCTGCGTTTAATTTGAAATGGTTTTTCCGCTTTGCAGCTTGGAAGATTTGACAATAGGTTACACTTTTACTGCACCAATATTGTAAATACTTGCCCCCAAATGCGAAACAATTAGTCGTGCATTATCACTGTGTTTTAGGAAACTATTTTAGGATGGGGTTCTTATACTGGTACTAATGATTTGTATTATAAATATCCTTTTCCCTTGAAATAGATAAATTATTTGAAGGCTGTGTTGTAGTTCTTCAGTCCGTGGTTAGTTATGCATGCTATTAGAGCCCATCAACACTTACGGTTTGTTTGGTTTTATTTTTTATTTTTTTTTTAAAGTTACGGTTTAAATAGTATTTTGATATGATTTTTTATGAGAAGAAATATTGTATTTTTATTGGGAACCGGGTGCAAAGTGGAATTTTTTATTTAAAATAAAAAATGAACACACCTTTAATCTGCTTTGAAACTTGCTCATTGACCTCAACTGCATCAGCAAAACAATTTAATGTATTTATTAAACAGCAAATGTAGCTTTGTGCCTAAAAAACTTTTTTATATTTATTTTTTTATTTGCGTTGTATTAAACATTTTTGGTTGTTCACAACCTTTATATAATGTTAGTTGCGGGAAAAAAAATCTTAATTAAAGTAAGAGATGTTACTAAGTTCTTGGCATTTGTTAATTGAAAATTTCAGGTTAACTACCTGTAAATTCTGTAATATTTCATTACTTTATGGATATTACGGTGAAGTTAACAATACCTCACTCTGCATCTCCTCATGTCAACTGACATTATTTTCTTCTGTTGCTCCACCCAAACATGTTCTAGATTTTAATTTGTCTGGTCTCTTTTGTTCCACAGGGTCAATACAAGTCAACTCTCGTCTGTCCAGTATGCAATAAAGTTTCAGTTACATTTGACCCTTTCATGATAGTATCCTTGCCTCTTCAGTCTGCTACCACTCGGAGTATGAGTGTTACAGTATTTACCTGTGATGGAAGTGCCCTACCGGCAACTTACACAGTAGCTGTTCCCAAGCAGGGGCATTGCAGGGATTTGATCCAAGCCCTCAGTAATGCTTGCTCTCTGCAACTAAATGAAAAACTTCTGCTTGCAGAGGTTGACAGTTTAATTTTTTTTCTCCCTATTGTTTACCTGATTGAATTGATGTATGGATTGGTAAATTTATATCATCTTTGCACTGTTTGCAGATAAGAGGCCACTTGATTTACCGGTTCTTGGAGGATCCATTTATATCATTATCTTCTATAAGAGATGATGATCATCTTGCTGCCTACAAGATCCCAAAAGTGCTGAAAAACACAAAGTTCCTCCAGTTGATACATCGACGCGAGGAATCGTATGTATACTCGTTCCATACAAAGGAATTTATTCTTACCTGCATTTGAATTTAGGATCTTCATATTCGGATATAATAAGAATTTCATAAAACTTGCTAGAAAATTTTGTATTATAGTATATTTTGAAGTATACACCTTTTGCTTCAAAGTGTATTTTGTCATTTTAGTGGAACAAGTACCATTTATCAAATCTAAATCCTTTGTTCCAACCATTACATGTGCATAATGTGTGTTGCTTTCTATGCTATATTAATATATCATTCTCCTTTGTCTTGAATATTCTAGGAGTACTGGCACTTCTCAGAGCACACTTGGATGGAAGCCTTATGGAACCCCTCTTGTTTCACCAATCTCCTGTGATGAGGCCATTACTAGAAGTGATATTCAGAAGATAGTTCGGACTATGTTATCTCCCTTGTTAAGAGCTAAACCTTCAGGTGCCGCAGCAAGTAGCAATACATCTATGGCAGCATCCCCAAATCAATCTGATACAGATTCTAATGCTGCTGATTCAACCAAAGGAGACAGCAACAGTTCTAAACTGTTGTCCTTGGATAAACTTCCATTGCAGTTAGTTGATGAGAACAATGCTTGCATCGATTTGATGGTGGGTGACGATAAGGTGGTTAAGCTGTCCTCATCTTCAATGTCTATACTTGTATTTGTTGACTGGTCTCAGAAGCTTTTGGGGAGTTATGATACCAGCCATATTGAAAGTTTACCAGAGGTTTGTAAATATGGTCGTGTAAACAAGAAAGCTCGCAGCGAACCTCTCTCATTGTATACTTGCTTGGAATCATTTCTGCGTGAGGAACCATTGGTACCTGAAGACATGTGGTATGCTAATTTATTTTATCTATTGTGTTTCCATAATTATGCTTACGAATACATTTAATTTTTTTGAGTGCACATGTTAGATATGGAAAAGATTTTACTTCAGATTGAGATAGTTCAATAAATTAATACTTCCTAATTCATCTTGTTCTTCTCCCTTTTGGCTGTCTGTTCTGCATCTTGTATAACATTGTCTCTGTGTTGCTGTAAAGGAACTGTCCTCAATGCAATGAGAAGCGCCAGGCAAGCAAGAAGTTGGATCTGTGGCGGCTTCCCGAAGTTCTCATCATCCATCTAAAAAGATTCTCTTACAGTAGATCAATGAAGCATAAGCTAGACACATTTGTTAATTTTCCCATTCATGACTTTGATTTGACAAATTATGTCTCGAACAAGAACAACAGCCGGCGTCAGGTCTATGAACTATATGCCTTGACGAATCATTATGGTGGCATGGGAAGTGGGCACTATACGGCACATATTAAGGTACTTAATGTAAATTTTTTTCCATATTGTTTATGTGCTGATGGGTTATACTTTGAATTTGAAGTCTCTATGGGCATTTCAGATCAAAGTTTGAATTCTATCTTATATCTTGTCACATCGACAATTGCATACATAAATTCCTCCATTGAATTCTTTTCTAATGGTTTTACAAGTTGATCTTGTTTAACTTAGGGAAGCATTTTTCTTACATAACATATCTCCATGCAGCTTCTGGATGAAAACAAATGGTACAACTTTGATGATAGTCACATATCACCCATCAATGAAGATGAAGTGAAGTCGGCTGCTGCATATGTGCTATTCTACAAAAGGATAAATAGCGACAGATCTTCTGCAAGTAATGGAATCTACTCTGCCATCGGAAGCCAAAACCTTTCCTCCAACACCTAGCAAGTATAGATTCATGCCAATGTCTGTACCATTACTGTTCTAAATATTTAGGTAAATTATACAGTCCATAGGAAACCATGATGTCGGACTCATAGTAAGTTAGCAAAGGCAATGGAAGAGCTGAAAATGAAGCACTGTTGTAGATACATGATACAACCAAACCAGCTGCAGTGGTGATAAACCTTTGAACTGACAAAAAAAAAAAACAGTAAAAAATAAAAAATAAAAAACTTGCATAGCAGTATTGTTTTATGTGTGCTTGTGGTATTTGTGCAATAGTTTTCATTTTTATTTGCCTAAATTCTGTCATGAAGTTTGCATGCCTAGTAGTCACAGCGATTATCGTAAGTTATCATATGCTAGCCTAATGCATTATTCTTGTGTTTACCGATGCCTTTACCAGGAGCTATATTACTGTTTGTATGCTATTCTCTACAGTTTTGTCTAATTTAGCTATGAAGTGTGCTGCTTCATTACATAGCCTATCTGTCTGTGCTTGGTGGTGTTAGTCGAAATGAGAAAGGATGAGTAATCTGTGATTGTTTCACCCGATTCGAAGGTGCCTATGTTTTGCATTAGGAATTCTTGATCAAGACTGGTTTGATGATTGGATTTCCAAAGAGGGATGAACCAGGTAACTTAAATTACATATTTGGTGAGGATCTGATGGCATGTTTGCATGATAGGGTTTACTTAAATAAAATGGATTCTTTTCTTTTTTGCAATCATAGTCATTTCATCTTTTAGGCATACCTTAAGAGTTTTACATTTGGACTGTATAGTATGTGTGGATATATATATATATATATATGTTGGATTAATTTCAAGAACAGAGTCACTATAACTTCTTTTCGACATAGCTATAGATAAGCCTTCGGCAAATGGATTATCTCTTCTCTTCTCTTTTACAGGACTAAATGTCTCGAGGTGTATTGTTATTGACATAAGAACAAATGTGTTCGATTCACTGCACCGTGTATCTCCACTTTGTCATGTCTTGTTGCTAGGATTTGTTCGTATCCATGAAATATATACCATGGGTGTTATTCATCCTACAGAAGTACTATAATATCCAACTCCTTGAAGGTTCTTGATCATATAAAATAGAAGAATCTTTCATTCATACAAAGTCCAGTTAGGCACATGCAAGAAAGTCATAGCCATGTAATGAGTAATTTTGGCCCACTAAAAATGATCACACCAAACCTGATAGAACTGATGTTTTCAACCTTCCAAACACTTCCTATTATAAGAATTTTACTTCAAACACACTTATGGTTATTTTGTGCAACTTATATGATTTTTTTATGCCTTCTTTTCACCTATAAATCAATCATTCATATTTATAGCTATCTTGTTTCCCATAATTCCAGTAGTTGGTTGCAATCATACATTTGTTGAAACTTGTCGCAATTCTTTATTCTCACCCCAATGTTAGTTCACAACAAAACATTCACCATACACAAATATATATATATATATATATATATTGAGAGAGAGAGAGAGAGAATAGAACAACACTTAGTCAACTACAATACCTTCAATAAAAAGCTATAGGATGTTTGTTTCCCAATTATTTACACCAAAAGATCAAAGCAAGAAGAAAGAGAGAAAAGAAACAACCCAAAGATGCAATCTTTTATCAAATTCAACAATACTTTCTTCTTGATCTTCATCTTCTTCTTCATTTCCGTATATGTCCATTCACAAGATTTATCCAATTCATGCAACTCCCCTCTCACTCTAACAAGTCCTCTCCCCTTTGCCACATCCTCGCTCCATTGCGCCTCCGTTTGGTCATCCGAAAAGTACGTCCTCAGAGTAAGCAATCACGACACGAACATCTTCATGTTCACTAACCAATTATAATCCAATCTTAATTTTTTTCCTTGTTGCATTTTTTTCAGTATGCCCAAGAATCATCTAATGTGTGGAACTTCATACTCTCTACGCCTAACCCCAATGCATTCGTCGGGATTGGATTTTCTCCCAATGGAAACATGATTGGCTCGACTGCCATCGTTGGATGGGCCAACGCCGATGGAACTACCGTAATCAACAAGTACTTTTTAAGGGGGCAAACGCCGAGTCTCGTGGAGCTTCAACCATCCAACCAAGGATTGAAAATTGGAAATTCTTCGGCAATTTTAGAATCAAACCAACTCTACTTGGCTTTCCAATTGATCGACACCAATCCTAGCACACGGTTGATATACTCCGTCGGGCCAACCGGACGAATCCCGACCGGGCCCGATTACCGGCTTACTCAACATAGGACTATGATCAGTACTGTCCTAAACTATGCCACAGGTTAGTTTTGTACATAAACTCTTCTTCTTGCATGAACTTGATTATATTTCGTATTTCATGTTAAATCAATTACTAATTCTATCTCAATATAATTAGAAATCGAAAAGTCGATTATTTAAAAAATTAATTAAAGTCACAAGAATTGTGTTCTTGATCAAAGTTAGTTTAATTTTTAAAGCAATGTTTAGTTTAAACTATTGGAGTTGAATAATTAGTTTTAGGTGTGGTTTGATGTCATTGGTTTGACTAAGTAATGAAATGAACCTTTCAACCACCATTGTGATCATCATGTTGGGAGGTAAAAGCTATCATTTTTATTTTATTTTTTTGGATGTTTTTGTTTAATTGTTTGTGTGTGTTTCTTTAAATTTTTTATATTATACGATATATATACTTTTATTTTTATTTAAAACATCAAATTTAGTACCTCTTTTCATTACAAACGTCACCATCTAAGAACTTATGTTTTATTTGATAAAATTACACTATAAAATTTTCATTAAAAAAAAATAAATTTGAAAAGCCTAGGTATAATACAAACACTCACTTCTATTTATATATGAGTTGGTTAACAACAAATGTTATCGTGATTGTCAAATTGTGTGATGTGATGATAGGAGTTCATTTGTTTTCTTCTTCATGTTCATATATATGTATAAGTGTACAAAAATTAAAGGGTTAATAAATCTCAAATAAGAGATACAAACTCAGAATGTGTTTATTACATGGACTCAGAATGTGTTTATTACATGGGCTTTTTTTTTTTTTTTTTTTTATTATTAAAAAAAATCACAAGTAAATATATTATCATCCTTGCATCACCAAATTGGGCCAAGTCTATACATAATTTTCAATTATGTGTGGGCAACTTGATACAACCATGCCTAATAAATTAAACAAACTACTTAACAATGTGATATATATTATCATTAATTCATTTGAATAAATTGCATTGATTGATTTGAATTGACTTTAATTTTCTAAAATGAGCATATCTATATGCATGAGTTGTTCAATTGAATTATCAACCCCTTGTTATTACAACTTCGCATGATGCAATTTATATGCATAAACTATAATGCAAATTTCAATAAAATAGTAAGTTGTTACCAATTTAATCGAAAAATTCATTTGACCAATTTTATAATTATCAATAGGTCAATTTCAAACACAAAGCTCCCCACAAGCAAGTTTGAAGAGGAGCCATGGAATATTGAATATGTTAGGTTGGGGAATTCTAATGCCTATAGGAATTATGGTTGCTCGGTACATGAGACGATGGGATCCTCTTTGGTTCTATTCTCATGCCATTATACAATCCATCGCATTTTCTCTCGGAATTATTGGAGTTATATGTGGTTTGGTGCTCGAGAATCGTCTTGATATTTCTGTCAATAAGCACAAAACACTTGGAATCATTATTCTCATTTTCGGTACCCTCCAGGTAAAAAAAGAAATTCTATATATCATATTGGTTATAATGCTGACTAAGCGGATTAACTCTTATCAATATATTGTAACAATAGACACAATACATGATTGTTTTGTTGTTTATATCGTTAACATGCGCTGTCAGTTATATATATTATATATATATATGTGTTGTGTCAATATGTGATATGTGCAGAGAGATTAATAGTGAAATTTAACATAAATTATGGGTTGTTTGTATTATGCTAACATGAGATATAATCAATCATAGCATGTGTTGTGTGAACTATTGTCCTGTGTTGTTTGTTTATATATCGTATTTTTATTTATACTATCAATTAAACCGAATGTTAATATGTCTATTTGTTATGCATTGTCCGAATAGCTATGTACACATTTTAATTTTTGGTCTGCGTTACTCTCAAATAGGTTATGGCAGTTTTACTTCGACCCGACAAGGCATCGAAAATTCGAAAGTATTGGAATTGGTATCATCACAATGCTGGAAGAGTGGTTATTGTTCTTGCTGCTGTAAATGTGTTCTATGGAATACATTTGGCAAACGGAGGGACGAATTGGAACACTGGTTTTGCTGTTGTTCTTGTTATATTGTTTGTTATTTCACTTATTTTAGAGTTGAGGAGGTGCTTGAAAAAATAAAATATTTGTACTTTTTAGTTTATTTTTTTTTTTAAAAAAACATTAATATATGTCTATTATTGCATTTACTTTGAATTCTTCTTGTGGCTTGTTCTGTAGTTATGAAGATTGTAGTGTGATTGGAGAATTATATAAGTATAAATTTATTTGGAATTTATAATATTTGTTACGATTTCTATGTACAATGTGTTATTACATCATTTTTCTCCCCTATTTTTTATAATGGTAAATTGATAATGTGCAATCAACAGGGAAAAAAAAATATTATATTCAGTATTTAAGTAATTATAATAATATGGGGATGTATCTCTTAATAAAATATTTTATAATAAAGTAACATATGCACCCTATTTATCCAATGTATATGACGTGAGAGAACAGAAATTAGAATAGATAACGTAAGGTCCATTATATAATGTGGCCCGATAAGATTGGGCCCAAAATTTGAGGCCCATTTCTGAGCTAGGGTTTTGGGGTATTTGAGGGTTCCTGGCTGCACATTTTTGCTTCTTCTCGCAGAGCCTTTCCCCGACTCCTTCAGCGGAGCCGTATCCGGCAGAGAGCAATGGTGAGTTTTCCGTTTCCTCTGTTACTCACTTCAGTTTATTTCTGTCTCTGTATATGCGTGGTATTTGCAATTGATTATTTGTATTGTGTGTGGTGAGAGGATGGGGAAGGAAGATGCAATTTTAAGTTGAAGCTGTTAGATTTTGATAAAAGGTGTTGATTTGTGATAATTGAATAATGTTTACCTAGAGTGTAGTATTTTCGGGGTTTCGTTATATTCATGATTCTGGTTTGGTTAGGTTATTCGTTTGGTATTTTGAATACGTATATTTGCATTCCTGCTGTTTTTCCTCTTGTAACGCTGAGTGTTATTGTACTTTGCTTGTTTGATTGTTAATTTGTGCATAAATGAGAATGCTTATCCTGGTGAAATTTGTACTTCGCTGTTGAAACATCTTTGGATCTGTTTTGGTTGATGTATATATTTTATCTTATTTGTTGAATATTTGATTATATGAATCCTAGTTTACATTTGTAGTTTCCCAGTTTAGCAGGTTGTTTATGACTATTTATGGTTTATCATCAGTGTTTTAGAAAACTTTTAGCTGAATAGTCTGATTCTGTGTCGTGTCTTAATTTCTTGCTATTCAAATAATTTAGATAGGCACGAATAAGACTTGCAGGTGCAACAAATGATTGTCCTTCATCTTCCACATATATATATTTCTTGTATATTTGCTAAAAGCAAGAAAAAAATGGTATTTACAGGCATTTTTCAAAACTCAAAAGACAAGGGCTTACTTCAAGCGATTCCAAGTTAAATTCAAGAGAAGGAGACGTAAGTTACTGATAACTTTTATATATCTATTTATTTATTTGTGACTACACTTTTTGTCATTCTAACATCCTGGGTTTCCTCTGTAGAGGGAAAGACTGATTATCGGGCACGAATTCGCCTGATCAATCAGGACAAGAACAAGTACAACACTCCAAAATATCGGTTTGTTGTGAGGTTTACCAACAGGGATATAATTGCTCAAATTCTATCTGCTAGCATCGCTGGTGACCATGTTCTTGCTGCTGCATATGCTCATGAGCTGCCACACTATGGTCTTAAAGTTGGCCTGACCAATTATGCTGCTGGTATTGTCCGCCAACATATATCATATGTCTATTATATGTGTGTGTGTGTGTGTGTGTGTATTTCAGAATGCCTAGGCACAATTAAAATTCATTTGTGGTTCTTCTTTTAGCATACTGCACTGGACTGCTTTTGGCTCGCCGAGTTCTTCAGAAGCTTGAAATGGATGCTGAATATGAGGGAAATGTTGAGGTAACTTGGTTTGCCACAGTTCCACATACTAATAGTTTTCTGCCTACTGGATTGTGCCTATGTGAGTGTATTTGTGTGCATATTTGTTGTTTTGTTGTCTTGGGTCAACTTAAAGTGTATGTTGAACTGTTTCAGGCCACTGGTGAGGATTTCTCCATTGAACCTGCTGAAACCAGGAGGCCATTCCGTGCACTTCTGGATGTTGGCCTTGTGAAAACTACAACTGGAAACCGAGTTTTTGGTGCTCTCAAGGTACTGTTTGGCTGTATAAGAACTTGAACTGATGTCCTGTTAGCTTGTTATTGTGAAAGATGCTGTTTCCACTAGATTTATATTTGAACAATTATTCATTCTATTTACTTGAGCGTGATTATCCAAACTTCCGTGTTGCTGTTGTAGTTGTGAACAGGATTGGCTATGGATATATGTTTTTAAGCAAAATATTCAACATAAGATGGAAAAATTAGTTTGATGTGAATGATTTAGTTTGGGGGATTACATGCAGGGCGCTCTGGATGGAGGACTTGATATTCCCCACAGTGAGAAGAGGTTTGCAGGGTTTAACAAGGATAACAAGCAACTTGATGCTGAAGTGCATCGTAAGTATATTTATGGTGGCCATGTTGCATCGTACATGAATGTAAGTATTAGCTGGCTGTAATTTTTTTGTTTTATTTGTAAATAAATGTTCCTTTGCTTTGGTTTGTCTGATCTGAAACAATGGCAAGGAGCATACCTACGTAGTGTGTTGCAAATAAGTAAATAAAGTATATTGTGTTGTGTAGGCTTTGATGGAAGATGAGCCCGAGAAGTACCAGTCTCACTTCAGTGAGTACATAAAGAATGGCATCGAACCAGATAACATTGAGGCAGTGTACAAGAAGGTCCATGCGGCAATTCGTGCTGACCCCTCACAAAAGAAATCCGAGAAGCCTCAACCAAAGGAGCACAAGAGGTAAGCTAAGATCTTCTCGTGTGAACTACAAGGAAAGATGCTTGTTTAGTGTTTATGTCTGTCTAATCAAATTTGTTTCTTGAATTGCTTTGCAGATACAACCTGAAGAAACTGACATATGAGGAGAGGAAGGCTAGATTGATTGAGAGGCTAAATGCTCTGAACTCAGCTACTGGAAATGGCGAAGAGGACGAAGACGACGATGATGATGAGGATGATGAGTGAACATCTTCATTTTGATTTTAAATTATCAATGAATCCCTTCCAATTTAGGAAGAATGGTTTAGCACATTTTGAGTTGATTGTTTCTTTTGCTTTCCTGACATTAAATTACAGATTCGTAATCATTGAATTGCTTTCTTCTGAAGCTATGAAATTAGCCATCTGCTTTCTTCAAATTCGTTTTCTTGGAGACAAGATAATATTTACAGCCATTGTTGATGAATTTGTTGGTAGTCAGTTATGATTTCATAATTTGGTTCTTGTTTAGTTATCTCGCTGCTTCAATTTTGGTCCCAACTCATTGATGAAAATTAGGATCAAGTGATAAAATTCTCATTATATGTTGCACAGCTCTTCTACCCTTTAATTAATGAATGGGTTTGACTACAAATGACATGCCTGCCTAGTTTCTTAATATTTTGTAGCAATGAGAGAGTGAGGATTGATTCTATGAATAGGGAAAGATGATTGATGGGAAAGGAAAGGATAAAGGAGGGGTGGGGTGGTATGCAAAAAGATGATGATGGAACCTCATCAAAAAGTGATCCATGTCTTGAAATTTTTCTTGTTGGACTCAGAAACACAATCAACTTCCTTGTGATTGATGGCTTCACATGGTGGTGGTTCCCTTTCCCTCCTTCTCTCTCTCTCTCTCTCATGATTTGAATGGTAACCCCCCCTCTCTCTCTCTTTGCTCTTTTGAGTGAGAAGAATCTTGCATTATGGAAAATGCAAGGAAAAGGGAAAACCTTCATTCGTTCTTGGTGTGTATGTATATATATTATATAGATAAAAACATGTGTGTTGATGGGATGGGGTTGGGGTACAAGGGAATGTTCAAAAGGGACCCCTTGGGATCCACTTTTGGGGCCAAAATGGCTCTCATTCCCAAGTGCTCGCCCTCATGTCCTCTCCTTTTTGACCCTAATTCATTTATTCCCATTCCACAAAGGGTTTTGACTCTTGTTAATGTACCTCTAATTAATTCTTCATTTTCACATCGCCCATTCTTTTCTTACACTTATTTTATAGCTGGAAAAGTCTTTGCAAAAGTTGGATGGCTTCACAAACATAAATATACACATATTTTTTTCATTACATTTATTGCTCTTGCACGAGGACATCTCCATTTTCTTGGATATATCACCAATATTCATTCCTAAGACAATAGCCCACATGACACTTTTTATACACACATATATATCTATGTGTAACTTATATATCACTATATGCTATATATATATATATATGTAACAAACACTTCCCTTCAATGGGCAAAGCAAATACTACTCTACAATTTAGACACTTCAAAATTTTTCACTAGCAAACATTAGGTCCAAATCCCACGTAGCCATTAGCCCCATCAAATGTGATTTGGATGCCTTCTTGTTGAATGTTTCCTATTATCGACAAACTTGATGGCGATGGTGCAAATGCAAAGCAAAATGTGCCCTTCTCGTCCACCGGAATAATGAAGTTCCGGGCGGGTAGGGTCAGGATCGGCCCGCCCGACAAAAAAAACGATACGGTCGGAACCCGGACTGTCACAAACCCGTTTAGATCATAGCACGTGTCGAATATCGAAACCTCCGGAGCACGTGGCAAGTTGGCGGTCTGTGCCATAAATGTGTCGCGGAACGCCGCGTATGCGGCCGCCGGCAGCCGCGTCACCGCCGTGCCGGTGTCCATCACCACCCCGCCGTTGCCTAGCTCGTCCAGACGGAAAATGTCCTCGGATATGGGTACCCGGGTACCGCCCACACCCAGACCCGATAACCCGATGTAGTAAAAACTCGGAGCCCGTGGATTCCGGAGCAACGGGACCCATGCAGCCCCGACGGGCAAAGTGGATCGCCCGAATTCCAACGACCCGGATGATTCGGTGCCCCGACTCACCAAACAGTAGCTGAACACGCCGCCGGTCTGGCCGCCCAATTGGCCGACGAGCGACATCGAGCCGCCGCCGAGGCCTAATAAACCGGCGGCGCCTACGAACATCCCCCGGTTCATGTGGCCGCACCCGATTGCGACGTTTTGGATGGTCATGTGGCCGACGGTGAGAGTTTCTAGAGCCAATGTGCCTTTGGTGTACGATCCGTCGCCGTAGGAGACTTCGTACTTGCACCGGCCGGCGTGGCAGCCGGAATTCTCGACTTGGTCGCAGACGGTGGAGGAGCAGGAGACGCCGGAGAAGGAGGCGGAGGCGGCCGGGTCGAAAACCGGGTCGGACTGGTGGTAGCATTGGCGGCAGGGCTGGCATTGGACCCACACGATGTCGCTGCCGGAGTCGATGACCATGTATTGGCTCCGGGCGGGACTGCCGACGCCGATCCGGACGAAGTACTCGCCGCTGCCCTGGTCCATGCCGGAGACGACGTCGGAGCCGAAGTCGGCGGCCTGGTAGACGTCGGAGGGTCGATGGCTGCGGCGGATCAAGGCGGCGACGCGGCGGGCGTCTCTTTTCAGGCGGGCGTCGAAGCGGCGGCGGTGGTCGTTGTGCCAGGAGGATGGGAGTTTGTCGCGGTGGAAGAGGTGGAGCTTGGCGGTGGTGTTTTGGGGGGAGGCATTGTCGCCGCTGTCGGTGTATTGGTTGGTGGTGGTGGTGGTGGCGGCGGGGCGGAGGAGCTGAGTGGCGGTGGCGATGGAGTCTTTGACGTTGAGGTGTTCGAAGGAGGGGTATGCAATTGCGTGGCCGGCGCCGGTGGTGATGACGGCGGAGGCGGCGGCGAGTGGAGGCGGGGGGAGGAGTGAAAGAAGAGAGAGGAAGGAAAGAAAAAGAAGAAGAAACATTATTATTAATGGCGGTATGGAAAGGGGTTTTGAGGGGCAAAGGCTGTGAATTGTGGGGAGATTTATTTATGTGCATTGGTTTGTGGGGGTGGGGTAAGGGGGGTGGGATAATTGAGGGAAATTATGAATCTACACCGTTGATGAGAGGGGGTGGGAACGATCGACGGTGGAGATGGAGTTGGGTGCTGTGGTCCTTGGACCTTCCAAGATTTTGTAAGAGAATTGTAGGCTGCCTTTTATGTGTGTGATGTTTGTGGGCTTTATGTTGTGTAAGCATGAATATTCACATTTCTCAAAGAATTGGTTCACACCATATGTATCAAAAAATGAATGATACTTTTCTTGTTTACAAGTTCCTTTCTTTAGATTACGAATCACATTTATTTACTTGTTCAGCTATCATCAATATTCATATGTAAAAGTAACAAAAGAATGTTATTGTTGTGACTCCCATCCCTCGTATATTTATATATTAGGGAACATTAGGGTTTTATTTAATTTTTTTGTAAAAATTTTGATACTATTCATTACATTCATCAATAATAATTTTTTATCACATCAAATATTATTTTATCTCACAAAATATCAAATTAAATATTCAATTTTTTATTATTAACATTTTTTTAAATTCCAAAATTTCTATTATGGAGCCTAAATAATAAAAAACCAAAAGAAATTCAAAGGGAAACGTTTGTTTATGTTTAGGCGTGCCATAAATGTTTTGGGGAGTTTTTTATTTTATGAATAATTAATAATAAATAAATAAATAAACAAAATTTTAAATATGATACTCTAAGAACAAATATTTTATTATATAATACGAATAAATACAGCTATAGAAAATGGAGTATTATAATAGGTATAAATAGCTTTGAAAGCATATTAACTAATTGCCTTATTGGCAGTCATGGTCATGCATGCATATATAGAATGATGTGGTCACATATATATACTCAATTCAATTCCTTGTCTTATTGTATTATTACATCAAACTGCTCATCCACCCCACTATATATACACACACACAGATATATACAATATACAGAGAGAGATTACTATTGTATGTTTCCTTTTATGAGTTTGAAAAAAATTTAATTTGAATTTATATTAAAATAATGTATGATAGGATATTTTTGTTAAAAAAAATATATATTTTTTTTGAAAAAATTTTAATTTGAGTTTATATTAAAATAATGTATGATAGGATATTTTTGTTAAAAAAAAATATATTTTTTTTAAAAATATAGAATTCAAATAAATAAAGAAACAATCCCTTAAATTTTAGAATGATTTTTACGAGAATTATTGCATATATATATTACGGTATGCTTTATATGCTTTATGAATTAATATTATTGTGTCAACTATTGTACTGTAATGTTATCTGTATTATATTAATATATATTTTATACTATTGATTTATAATTTATATGTTGTTTGTGAATAATTCTTGTCCTGTCGTCACGCTGTTGAATAATTTTATTGAACACTTTAACCGCCTCTTTGTAGGTGGCTTTTGGTGCTTGTTGGGCTGGAAGGAATTTATTTGAAAAAAAAAAAAGAGAATGAGAAATGCGATTTTAGTGTATGAAAGGTGGGACCATTTATATTTTATAATGATTGTAATAAAAAGCGTGTTTTGGTACAGCACCACACCTACAATGATACACTACACTACAATAGTACAATACAATGCTAATAACTAATATGCAATGATAACATATAGACGCATGCACGACTTTGTCACGACGTTGTCCATTATGTATATATGGCATTTAGAGCGGTTAAACCGACCCGTTCGTTGAACTCGGTTCGGTACTTATTTGCGAACATTAACGAGCCAAGTCGAACAATATAAACAGGTTCGTTTGGTTAATGAAAGAGTCCGAGCTTTGTTCGCAAACGTTTGTTTAAATAATATATTTATTATAAATATTATATATATAATTATAATTTATAAATAAATAAACAAAATATTAATTTAAAATATATAAATAAAATAATTTTAAAATTTCTTTATAATTTATATATAAATTTAAAAAAAAAAATAAGACAAACGAGCTCGAACAAACTCGAACGAGCTTAATCGAGCCTAAATGAGCCGAACACGAACACGAGCTCAAACAACAAAAATTCTTAACGAGCCGAGCTCGAACACTACGAACGAGCTCGAAAACTTAACGAACGAACACGAGCCTTGTTCGCGAATGTTAACGAACACTTAAAATTTGGCTCGGCTCGGATCGTTAACAGCTCTAATGGCATTACCAAAATTATTACAACCTTCATACTTTATACTTTTAAATATAATTTCTAAAATTATTCTAAATAAAATATAAGAACAACTGTAAAAAAATTTACCAAAATTAATAACAAAATTAAACATCACAAATTTTATGAGACGAAGGGAGTCCTAATTTAAAGGTTCAAAAATAAATAAATAAATAAAATATGCACTAGTTATTTTAAATATAAATATACAAACACTTTATAAAAAATTAAACAAAAAAAAAAAAATCCGGTTTGGCATCTGTTAATGAATCAGTAGAGTGTAAGATTAAACTTCATTTTAAGCATAAGGATCTCACAAAATCTTCTTTAGTCACACTATAATGGAAGCCTTACCTCACTATTTTTGGTGTTATTAATTAAATAAATTCTTTTAGGGTTATAGGTTAGGTTAGGGTTAGGGTAGGCTAATTACACTACAAAAATATAATTAAATTAACCCCAACTAAAATTCGACTACAAAGTTCAATTTTCTTGATTCTATAATATCTTAATTAATTTTTTTTAATAAAAAAAATTACCAATGGGAGTTAAATTAATCTATGACAAACATATCAATTCAATATTAACTTCATATTTATTTAACAAAAGTAATGACTCAGCATAAAGTGAAAGTATAACATACAATAACTCAATATTTACTAAAATACTAATGTAAAACTATAAAATTGAATTGCAAATATTATCAAAATTGCAATTTTAATCTTTGAAGCACAAGTGTTGCTAAAAGATTGGGAAAAGTTTTTCAAAAAAGTTTTCAAGATAAAAATAATAATTTGGTGGGCTAATAATATTTTAAAATTCATAAAGTGTGTGTTTTTGTGTTAATCAAATAGCCAATCTTCCCAAACATGTTTGTACGTGTTACATATATGTGTGTGTATATATATATATATATATATATATTATGATTTGTATAACACACGTCGTAATGTAAAGGTGGCAAAACAGTGTGCAATTTTTTTAATAAAATAAGTACATATATGAATGATATATATGTATATTAATTAATATCGTGCATGTATATGAGACAAAATGAACCAGATTGGATTGGATTAGAAAATATAAAATAAATGAAGTGGGAATGTCACCTTGAGGAAAAAAGTTGCAATAATTGTGCCATTATTACCACCTAAAAGTTGCTTTCCTTTAAAAAAATTATTAATTACGTTATTAAATTAAATAAATCTTTGATTATGCAAAAGATATATATTAATGCTCATATACCAATTCTTTTGTGGATTTATTTATTTATTTATTTATTATTATTATTAATTGAAAGGACAAATCTACAAACCTCTATGATTAATGATTCGTGTTTTATAACTAATAATAATAATAAAAAAAAAAAAATTTATGCAATAGCTGCCCTTCGAATGTACATTTGTAAACAATTATTAGTAACAGTGTGAGTTATAGAGTAGAAAGTATTGAATCCATAAAACTATTATACAGATGAATCTTGCATAATACATAAAATATGTAGTTTTACATACAAAAAATTTATTAAATAAAAAATGTATCTTTAAATTAATCTATCATTTGAGTATTTTTTATTTTTTTTAAGACAAAAAATAAAATAATATGAAATAAAAATGCTTCCCACATAATTTTGAAATAAATTTATACCAGCATAATTCACATTCAGACCTTTCAACTGTGTCAAAATAAAAATAATCACCAGCTCCAATTTTTAAATTCAATAAAATGAAAAAATCATTTTATCACTTGCATGTTCATTTCATTATTATATATTAAACTGTAAATTTGTAATTATTTTTCTTATTCACTCGTCCAACTTTATCTCTAGTGTTTTATTATGATGTTGTTATTACTACTATTATAGTCTATATATAGCTTTGATTTTATATTATTTTCAAATATGAATTTTCGAAGAAAATTTATATTATAAGCGTGTGTATTATATATAATTTTGAAATAAATTTTCTACTTGTTGATTTATATATATATATATATATATAATATTTAATACTCCATAGATTTTCGTAATTGTCACTGATTAAGCATAAATTCACATGTCATGTCAATTCGACTACCTCTTATCGGACAAATACGTATTATTGATCGAGCTAATTAAGGTAATAGTTGATGAATAAATTAAAAGTATCAATATGGGAAAAAAATTAATATATGAGTCACTTTCATTTAATTTAAATTATGAATTCTAGAAGAAATTTTGTAATGGCAATTAAAGGTAGTGCAATATTGGCAGACAGGATAGAAGATTTCAATTTTAATTAAGATTAGATTTGGATTATCAATTATATGTATAAATTAACTTATAGGTTAAATTTCATTAAAAAAAAAAAAAAAACAAAAACAAAAAATAATAAATCAATCAATGATTCATTTCTAACCTCATATTATGCCTGCTTTGATTAATATGATTGCAATACTTATTATTATCTTAAATGATTGAGTGATCATACAATAAATAATAGAATACTAGTAACATGAAAGAATTATTGAATAAAATATCCTAAATTTAAAAAGACATTAGTTAATTATTGATGAAATACATGATAAGTTTTATTATAAATTTTGGCTTAAGATAATTTAATTCCGGTAAATTTAGAAAAACAAAATAATCATATCTAATGCTATTATTATTATTATTATTATTATTGCCTCGGACTTTAATGATTTAACTTAGAATGTGCTTACTTTAAGTGATAATGTAATTTCCATGTGTATATTTTAATATATTTATATATAAGAAAATTACCATTAATATATAAACATATGACATATTTGATATCAAATAATCATGGTAACTTAATATATTTAGTTTGCATGGAAATAAGTGTGTTAAAATTAATTATTTTCGCGATCAATGCTAAAAATTACAAATATTATTTTTAACAATATATTCAACTCTATAGTCACGCACAATTCAGATTTTGACATGTTAGTCCATCACATACTAATCTAAAATTACATAGTCTCATTATTCAATTTTAAATTTTATTAAATAATTTTATTAAATAATCACTTCACACAAAAATTTAAATTTTAAAAAGATTAATATACTAAAGATTGTTTAATCGTCACGAGCATCATCTACTGCCTGTGTATACATTTTCATGCTAATCTTTATAATATCTCCAAATCTAATAAATCCAAAGTAATAAATGTTAAATAGCTATACAATAAAGATAATGAAATAACACCAACTTCCATGTTAAGGAACTCATAATCATATCCATCATAACAAACATCGGCAAAGGAACCTTTCTTGTGAAACAATTTTCAAAAATAGTTGACAGTGCAGATATAAGCCTGAAACTTCATCTGAAAGCGCTTTAATTAAAAAAAAAAAAATGTTAACTTTATAATTTTATTATACTTAAATATACACACAATAAACACAACTAAATATAAGAAGATTATCTTTTTATCCAAAGCGTACTCGTCAGAGTAGCTGCAGCATATTTTCACACTATAAAAAAAAAATAATAATAATAAGAAGATTACCTCAATCCAATTATCCAAATGTAGCAGCCTTGCGCAACATCTCTCCTTCAATAATTGCTGTGTTCTTCGCTTCTTCGGAATCATCAATTCAGCCAATGATAAGCTTTGATCATTTTAAATTCAGACAAGATCACTAGAATTGGCACTATGTTGAGCTTGTTTCAATACTTACGGATGAGACTGAAGTGGGCCAAATATATTATGTAAAGTTTTTCATTAACCTTTCAGCCCAAACATCAACAAAACATCAATTTTGTATGTTGAATGTTCATTATTATAAGATAAAATATATATTAAAAATTGTGTCGAAAAAATATGTGGCAAACAATTCCAAATCTTTAGATATTGGAATTGTCGCATGCTATATATATATATATATATGTATCTGTTTGAGTTGTATTTCAAGCACAAATTATTACTACTAGATTTTTATAGATTTCAATAAAGGTTATGTTTGTTTGGAGATATTTTTTTTAAATTTACTATTCATCGATTTTTTTTTTAAAAAATATCAAATCAAATACCTATTTTTTTATATTATATTAAAAATCAATTTTCCATTCAAAATATTCCATCAACACCTATTTATATCACATCATATAATTATTCTACTTTAATTTTTTGACTATTCAAATCTGAACTCAAAATCAAACTCCCAAACAAGCACACTCAAAATATATTCTCACAGTCATAAAATTGTAGACTTACTTGATCGAACACAAATTTTAACAAAAATATATAATAATTATTATTTTTTTTATAGTAAAAAAATGTTTTTTTTTAATTTAAAAAGTACATAAAATCTATTTTTATGACAATTAAAAAATAAAAATAAATACAAATTTGAATTAGATATCAGAGAAAGTACTAATTTTTATTTTTTTTAAAATATCTATTTAATCAAAATCAAACAAACTTTTCTTACCATATTTCTATTTTTATTTTTTACTATTCAATTAATATGTATATATTTATAAAAACTATACTAGAAGTGAATTTTTAAATAGAATATATGAAAGTATAAATATTTAAATATGTAAAAAAAATAAAAATAAAAAAAAAAAAAAAAAAGAAACGAAATGTGTAGAGTTTGTAATTGTTTATAATGTTTTGTGATTGAGATTCATATATATTATTAGAAGTATAAAATATATATATTAAAATAATTTATAACATTATTTATTTATTAAAAAAATAATAATTGAATATAAAATATTATTTTTATAATTTTTAATAGATAAATTAATTTTTTTAAATGTAAATATTATATTAAAATATGATTCAAATCAAAATCAAAATAAAAAAAAAAATTAGGCACAAGCTAAAACAAACTAACGGTGGTCAAAATTAGTTTACAAAACTACAAAAATTCGAAGTTAAAAAAATAAAATAAAAAAAGGAAAATACAAGAAGAAACGAGCGACGCAATGTATGAGCCACTAATATACCGCCACGTGTACTCCAAAATACGAAGCCAATTGCAAGTGCCCTTGAAAGCATTCTACCGTTCTTCAAACACTCCAGATTCCCGATCCAGCAGAGCCCGAATACCCCGAGATCCTCTCCAAATTCCCCTCCGTCGACAACTACTTCAAGAAATTGTTGGCATTCCTTGATCGTTCAATTCTTACCGCTGTATAACAGTGCCCGAACGCCGGGAGGCAGTTGCAGGGGAGGGTTTTGGTTCGGCGCCGATCAGTCCACGAATATCGCGGAAACCCCCCGAAATTTCATGCTCTTTCTCTGAAGGCACGGTCGTTATTCTTTTATGTTTTTAACATACCTTATTGACGAATTGAGATTGGGTTCGTTGCGGTCATAATCGTCTTATTGTTCTGAGTAATTGGCGTGAATTTTTAAAATTTAGGGTTATCGGGTTTGCTTCTATTTGTTGTCCGTTCTTGTTTAATTTGGGGCGCGTTTTACCTGTGAAGAGTACCGTCTTTGTTTTCGTTCACTTGCCTCGTTTATGTGATTTTATCTTTTAGGGTTTTTCTGCTTTGATTGTGATGTGGCGAATTCGAGATCCCGCTGACCTAGTTGAAAAGAAAACAAATTCTTAAAATTGCTTCAAAGTGTAATTTGAAAACGAGCAATTTCTGGTTGGGGGTAGAGGCACCAATACAATATTGTGAGATAGAAGTTGTCAGGATCCTCACTGTCTGGTTTAGAGTTGCCTGCAACTAAGCAAGTGTTAGCTATAGCATATACTGCAATATGGTGAGAGGAAGTAGGGTAGAACAAATAAATCATAGCACTAACAAGCGTGAAGAACTGCTAGCAAATTAAACCTATGCCTTTTAACACACGTGTTTTAAATAGATATTCCTGCCATTCTATACTGTTTTCACATTGGACTTAATTTTCCGATCGCAAATTGTTGCTTGCCATCATTTTGTTAACATTTATTATTATACTTTCATTCCACCATTCTGGGAAGTTGTTGCTACTGATCCATGTTCCATTCAACACGGACAAGTTTGTTGTACTCCCATGTTCAACTTGTGGGGTGTCCCATGGTATTTTGGATGTGCTTTTTATATTTATTATTGCTTTCCTTCTTTCGAAAATGTTTTTTTATTATTTAGTTGGAGATAAAAGTATTTTAGTTCCTAACATTTATATCACAAGACTGCTCGAAATATTAAGATAGTTGTTGGTAGTATACATTTCATCCTGTTGGATTATAGATTGGATTTTCTTTCTATATTTAGCATCATTTTCCAGTTTTTATAAATATATTGCTTTATTGGATAGCTCAATAGGAAAGAAACATTTTAGTTCCTAATAAGTTCCACACCATGGTGAATAATTCATATACTGCTTCTAGGTGTATGACTTGACTTTCATAGAGTTGGGAAAGCTGGTTATGGTTGTTCTGTTATTTTATTATAGTTAATTTTCTTATAAATGTTAGTAACTTTTATCGAACACACCGAGATGGTACCAGAAGAAGATAGTTACAACTGATAAAGGCATTTCTAGGACAACAAAAATGGAGAGGTCCAAAGGACATTTGTATGCACACAAAAAAATGTCATTCCTCTCTGAGTGTCATCATCAGAATCTAGCCATCAAAGCTCATTTATTTCTTTTTTTCTATTATCCAAAATAGCAGGAAGGCCTCTACATTCTGCTTCCATCACTCGCTATCTCTGACTAGGACAGCAACTTCCCAATCATCATTTTCGTTGTATCCTAACGCACTCCTATAATAGTGTCGTCCACGACCCCCTAATCTCTGCTGTCTTTGAGTATCAATTTTTATACTGCATCCTCAAGATGCTTCCCATAAAAAGAGAGACGCTAAGACTTGCCAGGGCAACAATTTACTGGTTTTGATCAGTTGTCTTTTTCTAGCATACAGTTTGCCACCGTTTTTATCTTTGGACTCCCATTCTGTTGTTGTACTGTCTATTAGCCACTAAACCTTGTGTTCAAGCTTGCCTTTTTCCCTGATGCGAACTGACTCTGTCTCTATTCTCTGATTAATGCTTTATCCTGTATCCATCATTGCCATGTGTTAGACAACAGATCTTTATCATAATTGATTTTGCTTTTTCATGGATAAACCTGTTGTTTAATAAATACTGAAGCCAGAAAATTTTAAGTTAATTATTATTTTCCTTGTGCAGCAAGTCCTCTGGCAGTAATGAGCTGCTTTCATATCAGGCGCTGATTGATGGATCCTGATAACAAAAAGTTTGGAAGAGGTAGTAGTAGTAGTAGTAGTAGTCATAAAAGATGCTTGGTGCCTTTTCATTTTACTTCTTTCTGAGTTTCAGCATTTTACGAATTGGCTTTAGTGAATGCTTAGAAAGCATCATGTGATTTCTATAAAATGAGTTATGATAACTTGTTGGCCTTCTTTTAGTTAAGCTGACATTGTTCTTTGATTATGACTGGCAAGAAAAGTTTTGATTACATATAAACTATTCAGCATTTCCTCATTATGTAGTAAATGTGAGATCCTCTTCTTTAAGCAACTTTACAGATTGATTGGTTTGAATCTTTCGAGAAGATCAAATGTGTTACAAAAGTTACAAGTAACTGCATAACTTAAATCATGGAAACATTTCATGTAATTACTTAGATTGTAATTGATTGCTCAGCTGTTTTGTTGAAACCATATTTATTAAGATAAAAAGGGAAATTTTGGAATGCATAGGAGTTCTTGTTCATGTGGTTTAAACTTCTCAAAACTCAGCTTACTGATGGAGTTGTTGCGTTGTTTAATAATATTATAAACTGAGTGTTGTTCATTCTTTTAATGAAGTCTGAACCCTAGAAGAAGTGTCTCTACTTGGCAATTTGTTTTTAGTTTGGATTGTTGACTATTTATGACCTACTCCTGTAATTAGGGCCAAGAGAGCTTACAGGTGCTGTGGATCTTATAAGTCACTACAAGTTGTTGCCACACCATGAGTTCTTCTGCAAGAGGTCACTTCCTGTCTCAATCTCAGATACACACTACCTTCACAATGTGGTTGGAGATACAGAAATCCGAAAAGGGGAGGGAATGCAATTGAGTCAACTCATTCAAAGTTCATCCACTTCTAGAGAACCTAACATGCGCATACAGCCCTTTGACCTAAATATACTTCGAGAAGCCTTTCAACTGAGGGAAACATCCCCGATTGATCTTCCACTTGTGAGTTCTATTGATTTGGTGTGTAACTTTAGATTTTTGCTTAATGATAGTTGCTTACAACTTTACCAGAAGACGAGACACATTCTTTTATGACATTTAAGTGTTTGTCTTTTGTGTTTGATTTGCTACTGTGAGGGAACTGATCTCTGGTCTTGTTTACAGTCTGAAAAGGGTACTCCTACCATTGCTGGGAAACCAAAAAGCGAATCTAAAGACAAGGAGAAGAAACATAAAAAGCACAAGGACAAAGAAAAAGACAAGGATAAAGAACACAAGAAGCACAAACATCGACACAAAGATAAAAGCAAGGACAAGGAGAAGAAAAAGGATAAATCCAGTCATCATGATTCTGGAAATGACCACTCAAAAAGGCATCATGAGAAGGTTTGTAAACTATGTTTTCTGCTAACCCTTTTGAAACTGAGATGGTCTTATCATGCCTTGTTATATAATGCACAATGTTAAGATTGTTGATCATTGCCAACCTCTCTTATAAATACATCAGTATTACTCGGTGGCAGAGAAACAAGAGGATTTATGAGTTTATTTGTTCAGTAGTTTTGGCCAAGTATTATTTCACTGATAATTGTCGTTAGATTCTTGATGGTCCAACTCCTACTCATTATGAAATATTTGGTACACACTTAACGAAGTTGTGGTTTTGTGCACATAATTTTATTATATATTTATTTTTTCAGAAAAGAAAGCATGATGGAGATGAGGAAGGCAATGACATTCATAAACACAAGAAAAGTAAGGTAAATTTTGGAACTGATACTTTTCATTGGACAGGTTATGAATCTTAAGCTATTGCTCTAGAGTGCTAATTCATAGTGATCATTATTTTTCAATTTTGTTCCTTTACATTTTCCTGAATCACACATATGACAACTTAAATTGTGCAGCACAAGAGCTCAAAGATCGATGAAATTGGAGCAGTGAAAGTAGCAGGCTGAGAAGTGGTGCTTGATCTTTTAATGTTATCATCAGATGTTGGAGTTGATATTTGAAGTTTGTTTACTATAGTCAAGTTATCAAAGGTGCATAAAAACTTGCTAGTGAAAATCTATTTCTGTTCCTATTTCATCTTATTCTTTCTAATTGTTAGACTACTTAGAACTAGTTGAATTTAATAATTGTGCATATATCTACTTATTTAAGGTTTAAGATAGACAACCATATAAAATGCTACTAGAATGAGGCTGAACAGATGGTCCCGTGTATGATTTTCTTGAGTGAGAGACATCATCATTCATTGTTAAAATCAACAGGTTGATAGAGAAAATCTATATATGTAGAGGGATGATGAAGCTACTTAAAATTTTAGATTCGACAGTTGTTAACACATTTAGATAAGATAGTCCAGTAATAATGATGGTAAACATGTCTCGAAAGTGTCCATGTCCCTGATTTTGATTAATTTTGTCCTTCAATATTTGATTACGCATATTTTACTTTTGCTATATTGAAACTTAGAGAAATTTACTACTCTGCTGTAATCCTACTTAAAGAAAGCTGGCAACAAGTTTTATAAGCTAGATCAATTTTTGCTTTAATAATTACAAGGGACTGTATATATGAACTAAAAACTCTCTAGAAGCAGCCTCCTGAGCAATTGTAATGGATAAGATCTCTCACCTAAATTTTAATCAGAAGTATTGTATTGGCTTGGTTTTACTTTAATCTTTATGTACGTATGTGTGTGTGTGTGTGTGTGTGTGTATATATATATATATATAGAGAGAGAGAGAGAGAGAGAGAGCTTGGAGGGTTTTATTTGTATTTCCTTTATTATGTTGTTAATCTTTTTCCTATGATAATGTGGAAGGATTCAATCCTTATCCAGTATCCTATGCTCAAAAGAATGCGTTTTTTTTTTTTTCTTTACCTTTTTGGTATACTCTGTTGGTTGCATAGAAGTTTTTCTACGTGAATACTCTTACATCCCTCATGATATGATAACATTATACTCTTACATTTACTAATGTTTTTACATACCTATTTACCGCTGTTTATTTATTTCTTTTTAACAATTCAATTTACATCCCATATCCTTTTTTGGTCAACAAAATTGTTACAATGAAACTTTGGATAGCATCTATTTTAGCATCAGGTAGCATCCTTCACACAGCTGCACTTTGCCTATCTTGATGCAATTTAGACTTACTGAAATTTTATTTCTATCCATGGGATCAAAATCTAAAATTGTGATCTAGTAAGACTAAAATTTGAATAATTTGTCATATTGGACCACAAACTGCTATTTTCCCAGGTGCTATCTGTGCACAGCCTTTTTTTTAGCTTTGCCTCTATAGGGTGAGAGTGCTTCTCGTTTACATTCAGTTCCCTTTTTCCCCATGCAGAGCTTCATATGGACTTAATAAAGCTTTCCAAGGTGAAATCCGAGGTACAAACTGTTGAAAAAATTGGACATTTATGTGCTGTAGTGATTTATCTGATCTATTCCATTCTTTGGTTTGTATTGATGCAACAAACTCCCTGTGTCATTTCATAACCTTATTTTTGTCAACGTGGTTCTTAGGTCTAAGGATTTTGAAATAGTCGATTCAGTCAGTATGTAGCTTTAGAATGATCGACTTAGGTGCTGTACCACTAATGTGTTTTAATTTAAGGTATGAAGATGCTATGTGACCATACCTTATCTGTAAGGATGTGCGAATATGTACTGATACTTAGATGAATTAAGATGGATTTTATACTAGGTACAATTGTAGCGAAACAGCGTGGCAATTTTTGTCTTCGAATCCGCAACAGCTGCAGCAATTGTATACGTAAGAACACTCCCTACCTGACATGTTTTGCTCCTGCTTCTTTGGCTCGCTATTGTTTAGGAACTTTCAGAATAACAAACTTATTCATCATGTTTCGACCTTTCTTCCATTGGTGATACTGTGCTATTGCAGTTTTTTGATTTCTATTGTTTCCATGGGGATATAATATATATATATATATATATACACACGCGATGAGCTGACTTCTGCAAACATTCCTGCTGCTGATGATTTCCTGCACCGGCACTGTGCATATGGATTTTGTATTTATGTTAGATTTGATCTTTATTTTTTTACTTTTTCAACATTATACATAAATATTATATAGTAATGGACCATCTAGTTTTTTGGCGGGAGTATTTGAACAGTGTATATTAAAGTGAGTTTGGAAATTTGTATAGATCATATATATATATATATTGTTTATTTGATTGTTTAAGTTGTCTGTTTTAAATAAAATTCTATACTAATTGACTTATGTGATCTATGTATATAAATGACTGGGTTCTATTTTGTTGATCGTTCTGTTGGTGTTTCACAAGTTCTTAACGGTTGTGTTTAGACATGTCTTGTAGTAAATTTGCAGTTTTGAAGAATTTTGGTTATAGTAAAAATTTTAAATAAAAATAGATATTTGATGTATTATTATTATTATATTATTTTTTATTTTTTATTGAAATAGATATTTTATGTATTATAAATAGAGATGGTGGATGTAATGTTTTTTTTTATAATGTAATAGATAGTTGCTATGAAGACTTATAGACCCTATATGTGTAGTCATAATTTCATGTTCGTGGTATGAAATTATGAATACCAACACTGGTGTGCTGATGATTCGGCGCTTCTCGTTAAATACATCTCCCGCAAAAATGAGAATCCTGATAATATTTCAATGAAATTTAAGAGTGTAATACTACTACTTTATTCAATTTATATTATATAAAAATAAAAATAATATATAATGTATTTAATTACAAACAAATTAAACTAAATTGTTCTTTAAAAAATAAATCACATTAAAGATATACAAACACAGCCTATGATGTGTTTCGTTGTCGGTTGACAATCAATTTGCAATGTTCCTAAACATTTTTAACTCATCTTTTTCAAAAAATTTTATTATGATGTTTCCTCTCTCACAAGTAAATGTGACATTTTTTAAATAAAAAATAAAATTTAAGGGAAATTTTCCATTAATATTAGGCCCATTGGGCTTTACGTTGGACCTAAAAATTGAAGCCCAATAGGGGCATGGGCGGTGGGGAAATAGCAAGTCCTGGAGTGGCAGGAGCAAAAAGCACAGGTCAAAGGCTGAGTGAATGAATGCATGTGGTGTCAGGGCAAGAGTGTATGAATCCTCACGTTCCCCAACATTCCTTCACTTTCCTGTTTTCTCTATGTTTCCGTCGCTCTAGGGATTTGCATTTGCTCTGGTATGCGCTCCGCGAGATGCCGTGAGTTTCAATTGTTCGCCGGTACGCTGCTTCTCTTCTTTGTCCCTGCTTCGTTTGCTGCCTCCCGTGAATGTTGAAGAATTTCGAGAATCTGGTGAGGTTTCCGTCTGCGTTTATCAGTTTTGAATTATTGCTCTACATATTTTTCCTTGCGTTTAAGTTTTTAACTTCGCGGTTTGAGATTTGTTAGTTGCTGTTGTTGCATTATAAGGAAATGTGGAGTTCAACGCGTGCTATGAAATGAAGATATTTGGTTTAGATCTTCGTTTCTGACTAGTGATTTTTCACTTTCGTCTTCGTTGTTTTCACTTAGCATTAGGATTTTACCTGGTGTTTAATTACTTCTTTAGGTCACTTCTTCTTGTTCTTCTGGTTATTTAATCTCCATCTCTTTTCATTCACGAATTAATCGTTATCAAATGCCCTATATTTGAGTTCTTTGATACATTTATATATTAATGTGAATAAGTTAAATGTAATCTTTGTTAGACTAATGTTTATTGTACCATGTTAAGCACAAACTGGTCATTTATATATTTGTAAATTTTTTATTTTATTAAATTTCTGGATATATTTTTATGTCATAAATTTTACAAATTATTATAAAATATTGGAAACACTATTAGTGTAATAACATGACATAATATATATTTTCTCGGATGATATGTACAAAAAATTTCAAACCCTAAACCCTACATATTCATTTTAGCATGTAAAGAATTTATGTTAGTGGGTTCGAGAAACCTTAAGGATGTTTTCATTTTGCTTAAATCAGATCTTGTTGGACGTCATGTACATTTGTCTCTGTTATTTACTTATTTATTTTCAAAATGTTAATTCATGTTCATGGACGCCATTCAACATATTAAGCATTATCTTATTTTTATCAAATTAAGGAGTATCAACAGTTGAAAATCTGTTACTTTTTTTCCCATCAATAATTAAACTAAATAAAAAGAAATGAATGGGAAAAAAGGCTAATTTCGGAAATCTTGGTTTGTTGTTTGGCATTTAAGGTGTGTTGGCTTTGAAAATTTTGGAATAGAAAATAGGTCTTACTATGATGTTTTTAGTGAAAGATAAGTGTATAATAGGATGTTTTAAATAGAAAATAGTTGAATATGAAGTCTTTTAAAGTTACATAGTATTTTTATTATAAAATAAATAGTGTGAAAATGGATGTGAAACACAAACCAATTTATTGTAGAGTTACATTAACTCTATTTACTTGGAATTTGGTTTTAGCTTCTATGCAACCCTCACGCCTCCTTTCAAAGATACATTATTTTTTCTCATAAAACATCACATTCAACCATAAGTCAAAACCAAACCCGGAATCAACAAACACATAGTATCTATTATAAATCTACATTTTGATTAAACTTTATAGGTCTCTGTGTCATGGAAGACAACTTATGTGCTGCTGCATTAATGGACTCCACAACCTCTAAGATAGAACAACTACAAAAAGCATTTGCTGAACTTGAAAGTCATCGGGCAGTCAACCTCAATTTGAAATGGAAACAGCTTGAGGAACATTTTCATGGGCTTCAGAAATCTTTGAAGAGGCGATTCAATGAACTGGAAGAACAAGAAAAGGATTTTGAAACAAAAACAGCTGAGTCCAAAAGGATATTGGAGGAACGGAAAGCAGCTGTCGTTGCCAAGGAGCAAACTTCACTTCAGAAGCTTCAAGAGCAGCGAGATGCTGCTGTCTCGACCATTTGGACTACCAATAAGAAGATTGAGAAGCCTATTTCTTTGGATTTCAGTGTCACCAGCTGCGAGGACCAAGTCGAAGCACGGGTTGATGACCATACAATGCCTGTAGTTACTAAAAATAGGATAAGTGCTATCAAGAAACCTCATGAACATATAAATGTGCAGGTGAAGTTTTATCCTGAGCTCATTAAATTGTGTCAAGAGATGAATTCTGATGGACTCCACAAATTTATATCAGACAACAGGAAGGATCTCGTTACATTGAGGAATGAAATTCCTATTGCATTGAAGGCTGCACCAGATCCTGCCTCTTTAGTTTTAGACTCTCTTAATGGTTTCTATGCTTTAGCCTTAGATGTTAAAAAAGGGTCGAACCTTCTAGGCCTCCGCAGAACCTGCATTATGCTGATGGAGTGCCTTTTCAGTTTCTACCAGAACGCAGGTGCCCACTCTATTTATGATGTTATTTCAGAAAATGCTAGGGAACGGGCAAAATCCATAGCTGAAGAGTGGAAACCAAAGTTAGATTATCTTGATATGGATGCAAGCAACGGGAATTCCTTGGAGGCTCATGCCTTTCTACAACTTCTGGCTAGTTTTGGAATCAGTACAGATTTTGATCAGGAACTTTTGTTCAAATTAATTCCCATGGTGGCTCGCCGGCGGCAGACAGCTGAGTTGTGCCGCCATCTTGGCCTTTCTGATAAAATGCCAGGTTGGTTACTCTGACTAAGTAAATTTATTGGTTAAGATTCCGTTTTACCCTTAAAAATGGTTGCAAAAGTCCTTATCATGAATGCCATATGTGAATACATATGCCCGGCATCTTTATAATGTTTGATTGTGTTTGAGCTGATGTATTTCTTTTATCTTTATGTTAAAATGTCACATACCATCCAAGAAAGTTGTGGCTGAAGGGTAAATTTCAATTATGAAACCATTTTTTTTTTTTTTGTCATTTGTTAAGGCTATTTATATATTCAAAATTATTTATGTATGTTAGATTATGTTTATCATTTGGTGTCATATATTTGCTTGCCTGGAGGATATGATGCTACTTTCAAAATTGTCTCAAATCCTAATACTTTCATTTCTATTCAAAGTAGCTCATTGTTTTGTCCTGGATTAATTTTGTTCGATTTAATATGCTTGAATCCCAAAATTTGGTTCCTGATACTATGGCCATATTATTTAAGTTCTTTTTCGTTCACATAGGTGTGATTCATGTGTTGGTAAGAAATGGACGACAGATTGATGCTGTCAACTTAGTCTTTGCTTGTGAGCTCACCCATCAATTTTCACCAATCTCATTGCTTAAATCATACTTATTCGAGGCCAAGAAAGTACATTCGGTCTCCAAATCTGGAAATACATCCCCAGCTGCTTCTTCACAGGTGCATATACTATACCTGTCCTCACTTAATATGATGGTGAAGTTATCTGATATATATATATATATGCATATATACACACATATTCTATATATATATTTCATGTTTATATTTCTCAAAATTTGATTGGTTCCCTCTATTTTTCTTCCAACTTTGAATTTTCTTGTCCATAGTTTTATTTTTTTGATACTTTGTTTTAAAAAATAGCTGCAAAATTTATCATCACAAATTTAGCAATGTATTGAAATCCTTGAACAGAGATTGGTGATTTAACGATTCTCTCTTATAATGCACTTTTGTACGAATGAATTAGAACAAGGTTGGTGATTGAACTTCAAATGTTACATACACCAACCATAATACATAATGTTACATACACCAACCATAATACATGTGAAATATACAATTCATATATGCAGTGGATTACATATAAAACATATTGATTTCTCTTCTCTTCCCTTTCAGAATGAGAAAGAGCTGCTGCTAGTACTGAAAAGTGCGATCAAGTGCATTGAAGACCACAAGCTCGAGAGCCAGTTCCCCGTAGGTCCTCTCCACAAACAGGTGCTGGAAATCGAGAAAGCCAAGGCAGCCAAGAAACAAGAAACAGAAGGTGCAAAGCCACAGTCCAAACGATCAAGGGCCAATACCATCGCCCGAATTGCTAACGCTCCCAATGATAAGAACCACCACTACCCAACAACTGAAAGGTACCCTCACTACGTTTACTATGCAGCTGCACCGGAGCACCACTGCCTCCCATCATACATCCACGCCCGACCCCATCCCCATCCCCACCCCCATACCCATACCCCTGCAGTTTACAACTTCTCTCTGAGCCCGGCCAACTTTTTCGGCTACCAGGCTATCTACATGCACTGATCCATTTCAAAGGTTAGTGTTTATTAATCCTTTAACCTGATTTTTTTTAGCATATTTAACATGCTTGCGCATAGGATTTACTGTTAATTAATTTGTAGAAGCTGATTATATTAGCACATGTATTGTTTCAGGTCTTTTAATTTAGTGTTTCTTCCATTGTTGACATTTGCTTTACTTCTTATTATTACATAGAAATGGGTTGGGTTAGACCAGATTTGGACCTTTCTCGATTAATAATCTCACATCATTTATATTTATAGCACAAAACCCTTCATCAATCAATTAGGGGTCATATAGAAGAAGAATCTCATAAAGAGGGTAGAATATTGGGCGTCAAATTACCTGGTCTGGGTAGAGGAAGCATCAATTATAATCTCTGCCAGCTGAATGTTACCACCTCCCAAATTGGATGCCTTGTTCGAAGGCAAGAAAGAAAAACCATCGAGAAGCTTTGTGCATTTTAAACCCCATTTCTCCATTAGGAACTCGATGAGGTGATGCCCACTAGACAGATATATATGCATATTGTATTTGTTACAAGTTAGAAGAATTCATAATATTACCAAGAAATGAACAAGGAAGTCGACATGGTTGATGGTTCAAGTACCTTCTGTTGTGATATGTGGTGATGAATACAGAATCCTGGCATTTCCGGAGTAGGAATGTCACAGTTGCAAACAGATCCTCAAATGCTGAGCACAAGCACACGTTGCTAGTAAGAGAAACCGAACCAAAAATGAAAATGAAAATGTTGCAGCTAAGAAGGGTTCCATCAGTCTTACATACCACTAACATTATATAACACATCGGCTCCAAGGATGATGTTAGGGCACAATGCAAACACATTTGCATCCCATAGACCCCAAGTGAGCCCCGATACCTGTTGCCAAGATAGTGCATGAATGAATTACTGTTATTTGGTTGGTCCAGTTCAAGGTCAAGTGTTCGAAGTTGATAGAACATGAATCAGATGCAGAATCGACTCATGACTGACCAATTGCCCAGTGAAACAACAAGGAGCGATCACTTACCTTACAGTTGAGATTGTTCAACTTGCAGACATTCATCATATTAGCCAGCACCTGGAGTTTCATTAGAGAAATTGAAACTGTTAAAAATGGATGAGTAAATAAATACAATTCATACAAAGCAATTAATCCTATACATACGATTGTTTTGTTGAAAATTGCATGGCGCATGGAGTTGGGAAATCGAACCTCGGATCTATTTGAATCGTCGGTGAGTGTTACATCTGCGCCTACTTTAGCAGCAACTAGCCCGGGCAACGAAGTTCCAGCACCAAGCTGCAGAAGAACACAAAAATCAAAGGAAGAATATAAGAAATGGTATATTCACACACATATATATGTGTGTGTATATATATACAGTATATAGTATATAGAGTCCCAAAAGAATATAAGGATAGTGAGTTGAGGTGAGGTGACTTTACCTCGACAACGTTTGCCCTAGAAAACCGTGACTTCTTTTGCCATACATACTCGGCTAGTATTATGCTACAGGGCCACACAAACAGTCCATATTCTTCTTTCATATTCTGCAAGGAGACATCCAAATACGCTTAATGTTTAATATTTTGGTTTCGCTTCCCAATCCCATTCTCTTGATCTCAAGATACACAAGTGAAACCACGGTTGATACCTCGATGATGCTGATGGAGAAACCATCCTCATTGCTGCCAAAATAATGTTCAGAAGATGTGATCATGTCTAGGTCGGGTGACGATTCAGCAAAGTCTTGGCCATCTTCTTCAGACGACAGGGCCTGGAATGGGGGCAGAATCTCAAAGGATGTAATTTAAAACCTATATCAGGAAAGAAAGAATTCAACCAGTTTTGAAGATCAGGAGAACTCAATGCTCAAAACTGATTTGTCAGAAAGACTTGCATTATAGATGGTAATTAGAATCTTCATCCATAGTTTGAACAGTATGATGGCTTCTGAAGGCGTTAGAAAGAAAATTACCAAGAACCCAAAATATTAATTTTCTAATACATATGGAATATGATATTCCATCATCCATATTCAAGTGTTCATATGAGTGCCTAGTTACATTACTGATCATTATATATTATGTGCAAACTACATCAGATAAATAAATAAATAACCCAAAATCACTTATATCTTAGTTTATGTATTTAGATGTAAATCAATACAGAAAACTTAGCACGCATAATTTACTAAACATAAATCCCACAAAACTAGCTTTATTTGTCTTATATGAACATAGAGTACTCAACAGTGCAAGAAAACAGTCAAATCATGACCCTCTCTATTCTAGTTCAAATTTACTTGTATTCTTGTACAATCATTCACCCAACACTTTTGAAAATTAAGGATCAATCTTTATCATCAATCATATGCTCCAATTATTATACATATATAAATCTAAAAAAATAATAAACAAAATCAAATCAAATAAAGCTTCCAAAAACACCTACTGTATATTGCCACGCTCCGAGGTTAGAAACACAGTATTTGTTCAATTTAAAGTAAAACACAATATGCTTTCCTTTCACAGTTCTTTGACTTATTGATTTCATTTTTTGGTAGCATTTAAATGAAAGTGCAATAGCAGAAATTGAAATTGAACACAATATGCATAAATTTGCTAACACAAAATCAATTTGGAAAAACATATATTTGACAAAATTCAGCGAAGATAACTTCAAAATTTCTGAGTATATTGAAATAATCAAACAAAAATGTTCTCCTTCTCCTGGTAAAATTTGCACTTTTTAACTGGTAGGCCTGTCCATTCTCTCCTATTACCTAAATCTTCAATCTGACAAGATATAACACAATGGATATATACACAGACTTTAAAATTTGAAAGTTCATGAAATCAAAAACGCTATAACTTGACCGGAATTTGACATGCAAAACTTCAATCAATGTCCCAAAATCTAGATACACACTCCTCCTTGTCAGATACCAGCCGAATTAGAGTATGCATATATGCAAAATTTTGCATAAGTTACAGTCATTTCTTTATCGAGAATACCTACTTGCAGTTTCCCCTTTCTCCACCTCTTCAACCAAAGATGCATGTATCTCATTTCAAGGAATAAAACTGAAAAAGGCTTTCATGCAATTCACTCTAGTCGAAAGATTATCTAGTTCATAGTAACCAGTATACAAGTAGAATCCACTCTAGACAAAATACTTACTAATTTTTCACACATAATCAAACATTCCATTTCATCAAAATTCATCTTACGAGTAAAATTAATCTACAGCTTAAACATCAGCTCAAGCGCGTGAACACCAAAAACAAATTATCAAAGTGACCACGCCTCCGCACCTCATAAACCTTTATACTTTCAATTATGAAGAAAATAGCATAAGAGAGGCCAATCGTAATGAATTATTATCCCTAAAATTACCAAATACACTACGTAAACGAATCTCCCCTGAAATATATTTATATCTCTGTAGTTACCTCATTATCATCATCTTCATCCGTCTCCAACTTCCTCTTCTTGCTCTCGTCCGTGGATGCCATTAAAAGTTGCTCCACTCTTACCAGTAGACGACGGTTGCCGCCGCTGCTTCTCCTTTCTTTTCCACTATATATAATAACGACAATAATGACTTTAAAATGAAATATAGAACAGCAGTTTTCATAGGCCCATTATGCGAGGCTCAATAACAAACCTTTAACCTACTATAGACCATTATACGAGGCCCAATAACCAACCTTTAACCTAATATAGGCCCATTATGCGAGACCGAATAACTAACCTTTAGCCTAATATACGCCCATTATGCGAGGCCCAAAATCCAACCTTTAGCCTAATATAAGCCCATTATGCGAGGCCCAATAAAAACCTTTAGCCTAATATAGGCCCACTGTGTGGGGCCCAATAGCCAACATGGCCTAATATGGGCCCATTATGCGAGGCCCAATAACCAACATCCTATGTAGGCCCATTATGCGAGGCCCAACAATCGATCTTTAGGTTATATAGGCCCATTGTGAGAGGCCCAATAATAACCTTAGCCTAATATGGCCCATTATATGAGGCCCAATAACTAACATTTAGTCTTATATAGGCCTATTGTGAGGGGCCCAATACCTAACCTTTAGCCTAATATGGCCCATTATGTAAGGCCCAACAACCAACCTTAGCCTAACATAAGCCCATTATGTGAGGCCCAACAAACAACCATTAGCCTAACACAAGCCCATTGTGCGAGGCCCAATTAACCAACCTTTAGCCTAATATAAGCCCATTATGCGAGGTCCAGCCCATTAACCAACCAAAGCCTAATATAAGCCCATTATGTGAGGTCCAATAACCGACCTTTAGCCTAATAAAAGCCCATTGTGCGATGTCAAATAGCCCATTAACAGTTCATATTGTGGAGTCGATCCCCGATCGATATTAATCTTCCTTTCGACAAAAATATTACTCTGAACCCTAATTCCTCTTTCGGTCTGTAATTGGGATCCGATTTCTCGTATGGATTCTCTGCTCGCAAATTACGCCTCCTCAGATGAAGACGACGGCGAAGAACAACCGCTGCCTACAGCGCCTGCGGGAAAGCCAGGGAGATCGAAACCGGAATCGATAGCCGGCGGCAACGTGGACGGAGACTTTCTTCCGGATTCCGGCACGAGGCGCGGCGGGATCTTCGGTTCCCTACCGCCTCCGACGAAATCATCACTTTTCAATTCGCTTCCCCCGCCAAAATCCGATCATTTGCCTCTCCCTAAGCCTGAAGGAAAAGTCGATCGGAGAGCAGAAGCAGATGAGCGCGAAGGGATTTCTAACCCTAACCCTAAGTCATCGTCTTCTACATCGTTGTTCTCTTCTCTTCCTTCGCCAAAGTTGACTGCGCCATCTTCTTCTTCTACCAGCTCTAAAAAGGTTGTTCAATTCAGACCTCCGACGATGACGAGTGCTTACGCCGCTCGTGCTGACTATGAAGATGATGATGAGGAAGAGGATGAAAAGGAAAGGCAGAGGAAGAGATCAAAAGCATCGTTGTCTACATCTTCTGCATCGTCGTTCTTGTCCAGCATTCCTGCCCCCAAGCACTCAACAACATTAGGTGCACTGCCCTCGGCATCCGGTACTGGAAGGAGATCCATGCTTGAAACTGATACTCCAGCCTCCAGTGCAAGTACAGTTGGGGCCGAGGTTGCAAATGCTGATGATGGATATACGAAGGATCAGTCTAGTGAAATGGTGTATGACTATTCTACCCAGGCTTATTACAGTGGTTATAGTTCGGTCTCCAGCAGTGGCGTAGGTGTGAATTCAGATGGTTTGAGTGGCGAAAGCCATGCTTATTATGGCACTTATAACGTTGGTTCCACAGCAGGAGATGATGCGAATGTTAACACCAATTTAGGATCCTATGAAGGTGTTGATTATTCCTATGTGAATGAGCAAAATGTGGGATATACAGATTATGACGGTGGTTATGGTAATAATGCACAGTATGAGGATAATTGGGTCACTGTTTCTGCTGTGCCTGAAGCTTCGGGAGTAATTGAAAATGTCCTGCCGGTGCCTGGGAAGAGGGGCAGGAAAGATGTTCCACCACAAATAGTCGAGGTGAACCAGGATGAGTTGATGAAAAATCGGCCAAGACAAGACCAGGTCAAATTAACTGGGATTGCATTTGGCCCAGCATATCAGGTAGTTTATCTTATGTTTTTTATGCCCATGTGAATTATCTACTTGAAATTCAGCTTGTTTTTTTATAAAAGTAAATCTAAAGATATTAGGTATGATTGCAAATGTTTGAATTTTTTAAGTGTGTGTTTAAGATGGGTTGAGGAAAGAATTATGTTAAGACAAACCTGTGTGTCCATGTAACCTAGTAACCGGAGAGTTTTCTGTTTGTGCATACTCAGAGGTGTTTTATATGATTATTGGGCATATAATAGTTTGTAACATGTGAGCTATAAGATTTCGCATTATTTTCAAATTATAATTGTGTTATGACTTAGGGTTATTGAAGAGAAAATTTATTTGAATCAATAAAAATAGAATACCACAGAGAAATAATAAAGAATAAAATAGTAATTATCCTAAGTGACTACGGCGCTTCTCCCTCTTCTAATATAGACCTGACTTTACCCAACTCCATAACAAGTTGTCTTGAGCTTTATGTTTGTTAGTGAAGAAGTTGTGGTTTTATGCTCTTCGGCTTTGTACTTGAGAACTATTCTGTGGTATAACGAAAGTCAGGGTGCAATTGTGGAAAGCTCTCATGTGTTGTGATTTGATTAGATATAGTTAGCACCATCTGTTTGTTGTTGTCTTTGGCATGTTTTCCATTGCTTAAGTGAAGTGATCTGAAAAAACCATTTGATGTTTAGAAGCCTATAATTGCCCATAGTGTTTTTTCCAATCAAAATATTGGTGATCCTCTCTTTGAAAGAAGAAGGTTCTTGAAACATTTGCCTTCTTCATATTGCTATATATCCTCTGGAATAAATTATATTAAACAAACTTTTGTTCCCTTTTCTTTTTGATCCATACTCTAATGCCATTCTTTCACAGTAGTGCAAAATTTCTTGCATCTAACATCATCTTACATCCTATGTTATCGTGTAGCCTACATCAACTAAGGGTAAACCCACAAAGCTGCATAAGAGAAAGCATCAAATCGGGGCTCTGTATTTCGACATGAAACAGAAGGAGATGGAGCTGGCCGAGAGACGTTCTCAGGGCCTCCTCACCAAAGCTCAAACCCAGGCAAAATACGGATGGTGAGCTCATTCGCAATACCACATTATACTCCAATTCAGCTTTTTTGCACTGCCCCCTTTGTGATTGTAAAGCAGAATGTTTTCACTTTTCGCAACTCTCTCAAATTAAAATCTATTGTCATTACATTTTGCTGTGCCGCTCAATTATTATAGCTCGCTGTGGTGTGGATTATGGTCAGTTTTTAAGTTGCAATGCAGTGCCGATTGTGTTGTTGCCTTAGCTTCTGCATTGTGCTTTTTATTTCTTCTCCTATTGTCTACCAAAAAGGGAGACATTTATAGCAAGGCAATTGGGGTGAGTTATGGATTTTAAGAATCTTAACCAACGGGTTTATGATTTTATATTTTTTCAATTTTTCACAAGCTTAACTATATTGTAGTACTATCTTTCAACTTACTATTTTTTTCAATTCACAATTCTTCGGCCCATTGACATCCCTAAACATTAATGGCTTTTTATTGTTCTTTCAAGCTTTGTTTCCCAAAATTGTAAGAAGTATAACAGACAAGTGAGATCTAGGTTAGTTATCTAACATTATGCATACAATTAATTAGCTGAGGAAATTGTGCTACTGCCTACAAAATGTAGTCTATACTATGGTGGTTTTGGACATTGAAGAAACAATGACAATTTGATAAAACATGAGCCGGGCACAAGTTATATATATACATAATGTAAAAAGCTTTGTAATTTGCCGGATGTTAAAAAAGATAACGTATCGGTGTTACCTGAGGACAATCTGCAACCACATGAAGGATGGATTCAGACCGATCTCCGCAGATAGGATAAGTAGAGCTATTCAATGATCTGATTAGCTTCTTGCAAGTATCCGCTGTTCCTAAATTGTATTCCTCCAGTAATCCAGATGAGATGTCTTTAAGATGTGTGATCCCATAAACTGCAACTATAGACAATTTTGGTCATTATTAGTATAAATAGTTAAACACACAAGCAAGTATACTAATAATCTAAAACTTTCCAACTTATATCAATCAGATCACAAACCCATATATTGGGGAGCTACAGCTTCACCTCTTACTTGGTATAATCGTCTCCACATTTGGGATAAGTTTGAAAAACCAGAGGAATAACTCTTTTTGCTCATCAAGTAATGTAGGCAGGCTTTGTTGCAGAATTTTATCCATCGAAGCTTTGCCTCGCTCAAATGATGATTAATGCTCCAGAAATCAGTTTAGCATACAGACAACAAGTAGAGAATTTCCATCATCCAATATACGCAAAGGGCACCTATTTATTTCCTCTTTTTCTTCAAAAGTGAAGCAGCCCGCAAAACCAGTCGATCAACCTCATCAAGGTCTTGCGATTCCTCCCCATCTTTTTCAGACATCCTTTGTGTTCTGGAATCGGCTGATATTTGACGCAGGTGTTCTTCAAAATCCTGTCCGTTGTCATGCACTTGAATCTTATCCAACTCATCAAGGTAAAGAGGCTTTTCGGGTTTCTCCTCATTCTCAGCTTCTGAATCCATCTCAAAAATATCGGATAGAGACTCAGAATCTGAAATCAGATCAGAATCTGCACTTGAATTATAGTCATCAGTTATGTCACTTTTAGCCAGTAGTTCTCTCAGCCTTTCGGATCCCTCCAAAACTTGGCTAGAGTGGCTTTCCAAATTTTCGTCGGCCGTATGTTTTTCTTCATTCACACCAATTTTTCTTTCGGCCTGAGCTCGAAGCAGCTCCAGATCTTGCTCAAGTTTTGGGATATATCTCCGAATAGCCCTTAGAGCATCCCTATACTTGGATTTGTCCAAAGCCTGTATAAATAAAATAATAACAATAAATAAATAAAGCCATGAAAATAAAAAAGTATACAATATTTAACATTTGAAAGATGATCATACCATTTCATTTAAAGTATCAAAGTAACACAAGACATCATCCAATACGAGGGTAAGATATAATTATTAGTCCTTTTCAATTTTTACATTTATGGAACTTTTAGTCACTCACTCATTCAGGCAATGTTCCCTTATAAGACCTTAAACATGAAAATTTTTAAATGTCCAGAATTGTTCGGCTATAGCTTCAACTAAAAGTTTAGATTGCTAAAGTGATGCATGATTCTCATATTTATTTAGTTATTAGCCATTTCAAGAAAGATAGCTTTATGAATCTTTTAACATTGATAGCTACAAATATGAGTCGTACAACTATGGAAAGATATAAATGAGAATACCTTCTTCCTGGATAGGGTTATCCTTGGAGACATTATCTCTGTAGGGGGCTGGGAGTAGTTCTTCCCTCGATACATGATAATCGTGTTGTGATCCTGAATATCGAGCACAATCCCACCACTCAACCTCGCTAGCTCTGAAGCGATGCCCTCCACCTCCTTGGGAGAGAAAGTCTTCACGATGACTTTCAAAGTCTGGTGCTTCTTCCAATGCAAGTGCATGTTCAATATGACACCCTGATATATCCCGCGTCTCCCAACTGGGACATAATTCTTGCACTTCTCTCCCATCTTCAAAAAGTAGAAGTGTTCTTCGGGAGTCAATATCTCGGGATCATGGGTGGTTTCGGAAGTGTGTTTAGGTATGATTTTTTCAAGAGCTTCAGTTAACCTCTGTTCTTTTCTTCTAGCCTTGGTAAAGCATCAAAACCGCTATAAGAACCATAAAGTTACAAGTGCTAAACAAAGAAAATTGGGAAGGACATCCTAGCTCTTCTTCTGCAGTATACTTAAGGGTGTGTTTGTTTGGGGGATTGGATTTTCAATCCACTATTCATCCCATTTTTTCCCCCAAAAAACATCAAATCAAACACCTATTTTTCATTTTTTATATTATACTAAAAATCAATTTTACATTCAAAACGTCACATCATACAACTATTCAAATTCAAAATTTTTACTATTCAAATCCCAACTCAAAATCCAAACCCCCAAACAAACACACTTATAGAAATCAACACTGGTTATATTGCAGATTAGAAATCAACACTGGTTATATTGCAATCATATATTCATTCTTTCATCAATGCCATAGAAAGACAACTTGTTTCTACCATAAAATCGTTATGGGATTAATCCGGCGAAGTGTAAATGGCAGAGCGTACAATAAGTATGGTAAGACTTTTCCAATGACTAAATGATAATAAGACAATTAAAGAAGACTACACTCAATTAGGTTATCAAAGGCAACCAGGTGCAGGAATTCACAAACATGACTAAAACAAAAAAAAGATATATATTTCATAATATGCAAAACAACTTGAAAGATGGGTGTTAATCACGCCAAGCATCATCAAGATTAACAAACTTTGATTTTTCTCACTCTAAATCTTCAATAATGGAAAGCATACAGCTTTTTTCCAGAAAAGAACAGTGGTACACTATTCATCTTTATTTTAATTAAACTCATCAATAACTCAAGCATACTGAAGCACTTTCCCAGCATGAATAACTCAAACTTGAAACTATGAATAAAAAAAGATAATACCGGTAATGTCCAAATTATAGTTGAAAATTCATAATCACCCAAATATGTTGCTAGCAAATACCACAGTTCGCAATCCCCATAACCACAATTCTTACTTCGTTAATGGCCAATGTACCAACAACCTTTTCATAAAAGAAACAGTACAAGTATAAAAAAGTTTGAAACTATGAATAAAAAAAGAAAATACCGGTAATGTCCAATATTGAGACAATATAATGGGGGACTAATTTATAGTCTATTAGCCTTCAAGTTTCCACTAATGTATAAATTCACTGTACAACTAAGCCATGTTTACTCTAATGAGAAAAAACATTAGGCCCCATTTGATTTGAGGGATTTGGGTTTAAATTATTTCAAATGATTCCATCACATTCACTAATTTCATTTGGCAATGCGATGAATTTCAAATCATCATAATTGGTTGTGGATTACAAATCCATCCACTTTGATATTTCAGAAGGTCATTACATTTCAAATACTTACTGCAACCAGATGGTAGATATTAATTATTTAGTATTGCAAAACCAAAGTAAGTCAAATTCATTTAAATTTACCCTCAAATCGAAATCCATCCAACCAAACGGAGCCTTAGAGAAAGAATAAGAATAATTACCCCAATATTTCGCTAATTACTCAAGAAATGAATCCCATCAAAGTTTCTCATCGATGAACGAACACGTTGTCAGGTTGAACTAACAACCTAATCCTCAACATAAGCATAGTCCTAAAACTAAGTTGATTGATAAAAACTCTAGAAGTTTGTTTAGCATTAGACTCATAAAAAGGATCCCAATGAACCATACAAAAGAAAGTGTACACGACAATAGTCGGATGAGTTCAACACCAACCACAAAGAACCAAGCACATACAGCCTACTACATACATACATACACGTACAACCATGAAGAACCAAGCAGATTAAGTCTACTACACACACACATATATATAACTAATAAACAAAGGAGAGTTATAAATTTCAAAGAAACATAATGATTAAGCCAAGATTAGAACATATTTCTACCTTCCCCAAGCACATACAGCCTACTACATACATACATACACGTGCAACCATGAAGAACCAAGCAGATTAAGTCTACTACACACACACATATATATAACTAATAAACAGAGGAGAGTTATAAATTTCAAAGAAGCATAATGATTGAGCCAAGATTAGAACATATTTCTACCTTCCCCAACTTGTAGAGGATTTTTTCTTCAGGAGTCATTCTTTCATAAGTCGTCTTCTTCTTCCACCTGAAATGCTTCAACCACCTCACCATCGCCCTCTTTCCCTTCAGTTTCTTCCTCTTGTTTACCTCACCCTCACCACCCTGCTCCATAGGTCGCTCCACATTTCCCATAACCCGACCCGAGTGAATCCACTGAATACCCCCGACGTCACACCTTCTAGCACCTATTCCCCAATGCCGCGAGTTCCAGCTTCCAAAAGCAACCGGAAAATTCTTCTCGCAAATATTCAAATATCTAAACCAAAATCATAGTCGAATCAAATTCTGCTCAACCATTTCACAATAAACGCAGATATCACGTAACTTTTTATACTAAATCCCTAATTAAGGGGGGGAAAAAGCACCTAGAACTCCTAAATGCGAGGCGACCATGAGCACAGGACGGCGCTAGGGATGGAGACTTGGACAGGAAGCAGAGAGATTTGCGTGCTAAAGATTTCACCGCCATTTTTGTCCCCTCCAGAGTTCCGCTGTCTCCTGACTCTCAGTTCTGCGCTGTTGCCGTTGAATGGCGCTGAAAGTTGGAATGCACTTTTTTGGGCCTTAATTGGGATTTTGGGCTTACAACTTTGGGCCTCCTTTTATACACCTAAAATAAATTGCCATGTTAATTTAGAAACGGTATAATAATAATAAATACGAGTAAATAATTATTGACTTTTATGCATTAACTCTTTGATATTTTGTTAGTGGAATTATTTTGCAATGATATTTTTTTTTAAAAAAAAGTATACTAAATTTTATGGTCCAAAAGATTCTTAATACTCTTATCATTTTATCGGTGTTTTTTTTTTTTTTTCGTGCTTACATATTTATTTTTGTAATCTATAAATTATATGATCAATATTCTTTTATTGGCTACCCATGTTTCCCGCCACTTATTTATTTGTATTTCTTTTTTCTGCGGCGTTTTATTTTTAATAGCAAGAAATCTGAAATTCATTCGCGACTTTTCGAGAGAGAGTTTGCGTTTTGATTATACACAATTCTGCTATCGGATCCATTCCTGGAGATAATCAATTGGCGTTGATCTGTGTTGATTCATCATTCCGAGCAGTTTCATTTCTATTTCGGAGCAGTAATTGCAGGAATTTTCATCTTTTTTTGCCGCGGATTTTTTAATTTCTGGTAGGATTGAGGTTTTGGAATCTGGTTGCTAGGGTTGAATTTTGACATGGAAACGGCGAATTCAGACCTACAACGCGTGTTTGCCATGTTTGATCGCAACGGCGACGGGAAGATATCAAGGAAAGAGCTGAGCGAATCGCTGGAGAGCCTGGGGATCCACATTCCGGAGAAGGAGCTCGGGCAGATGATGAAAACAATCGACACCAACGGCGACGGATACGTCGATATAGAGGAGTTCGGAATTCTCTACGCGACGGTTATGGAGGACGACCAGAACGGCGACGAGGAAAGCGACATGCTGGAGGCGTTCAATGTCTTCGACCAGAACCGCGACGGATACATCACGGTGGAGGAGCTACGCTCTGTGTTGTCGTCGCTGGGGTTAAAACAGGGGCATTCGCTGGAGGATTGCAAGCAGATGATCACCAGAGTCGACGTCGACGGCGACGGTAGGGTTAATTTCGACGAGTTCCGGCAGATGATGAAAGGCGGCGGATTCGCCGCGTTGAGCTCGTGATGTTAAACAGCGAACTGTTCCTCAGATAAGCCTTTCTTCTTTGAATTTCTACGGTTTTCATTCCAATTAGGTTCGAGAAGAAATGAAGAATTTTCATTTGTGCAGTGGATACGTATAACTGCTGTACATACATACGATACCTTGGATTGGAGAAACACGTTGTGTATAATTTAAAATTATACTTCTATCATTATACTCCTATAATTTAAAATTTTATTAATTTTTTAATATATATACAATAAAATATCTAATTTTTTTATTTGTAATAAAAATTAATTTTATATTATAATATCACATTAATATTTATTTATATAATGTAATAGTACATTCTTTTAAAATTTAATTTTTTATCATTCAAACTATTAAACTCAACTTTCAAACATAAACAAACATACTCGTATTCCACCGTCTCACATATCTTTTCTATTTTTAAAATATAATTATGCACTTTAATCTCATTTTAAATTTAAAATTTTATAATTTTCTTAATTTTAATTAAACTATTTTCATATCTTAATCTTAATCTATAATTATTTTTACTAAATAATTATTATTTTTACAAATACACTTCTAAATTACCTACTAATTATACTTTACCTAAATTTTCGTATCTACAGTGATAAGCCAAAATATCCGGAACAGAGGGAGTATATAGTATTTATTCAAGAAATAATCCTTATAAATATATAATTATTCGAGTCCATGAGCTGCAAATAAATAGAATTATTAATATCAAAAGTGTAATATGTCAATTTTACATTTAAAATATACATCAATACATATTTATATCATTATCATACAATTATTCCAATTCAAATTTCAATCCAAAATCCAAACTTTCAAACAAACACACAATAAAAAATGAACAATTATGTTTGTTTTAGTTGTAAATTAAAATTAATTTGAAATGTTCAGATATTAATTTGAATTTTTTGTTTGAATAATGTTTGATGTGTTTTTATAAAATCTTTTTTTATTATTTTTATTCAAATTTTAAAAAACTGTAAAACACTTTCTTAAAAATAATTCGAAAGCAATATATATATTTATCAAGGTTATTTTTGTATATATATATATTATTTTTTAAAATTAATTCTAAAATAATGGATCTTTTATTAATTCAAAATAAGTTGTGATACATTTATCATTTTTATTAATTAAATTAACCCATAATTACAGATTGCTTTACATGCATGCCTAATAACATCAACCATTGAGCACTAGTTTTATTACATCATTTGCTTCTTGTCACATTATGAATGAAGATTATTTGTGTTTGTTTGTATTTTTTTCAACTCTATCATCAAATTAGTTATAACTTATAATAAATTATACTTTTTATTAAAAATTATCATATAAATATTTGTCTTACAAAGATAAATAAGAATTGCATCAAATACTTCTTCAAAAGATAATAGTGAAATACATTCCCTTATTAAAGTAAATAAATAACATATCCTAGAATCACATATGGACACAGACATGATTTGTTTTACTAACTTTTTTATTTTTTTCAATACGATTTCCAATATATATATATATATATATCATCTTATCATATAATTCAATATTAATATAAATTATTATTTTTTATATTAACTATAGATTAAAAAAAAAAAGAAAAATAATCTAAAATCAACAAGAAACAAACCCCCACTCCCTCTCTTGTATTCAAATGAGTTTATGTTACAAGTGATGAATTTTATCATTTAATATTTTTTATTTTACACCTTTCATTTCATAATAAATAAATAAATAAATTACATACATATATAGGGCAACATAAGCTATCATTATAAATATATGGTTTAACCTCGTATCAATAATTTTGCTTCCACTATATATATATATTTATGCATTCATGCCTTGTTTTTATATTTTTTATCATAGGCAAATATTTTCAAATTTAAAATAATCGTCTTGTAAATCTAACTATTCTAAACCTATATAATGATTAATAATTTATTTCATTATATAATAAAAAAGTTTAATTTATTCGATAAAATAATAATAATAATAATAATAATAATAATAATATTTTAATTTAATGATGCCAAACACAATTATTTAAAACTTACAAAAGGTACCTAAAGAATTCATAGAAAACAATTCATACTATTTCTATATAATTCATCATTATGATGATATATACATATATATATATATATGGAGAGAGAAATAGAGCAGCAGCAACCTAGAGTGAGAAGCCAGCAAATAAATGTTGGTGTGAGAATAGAGTAAGTAAATAATTTGCAATAAAAATAAGGTTTTCTCTTTTCCAAATTTTTATACAATATTTTTAATTTTCTAAAAAAAAATATATTAAATGATTGTTTTATACTGCCTCCATGGTAGATAATATAAGCCTATTACTGTAATAAGAGAATATAGGTAAAATATAATTAATAATTAATTAAGAAATATATTAGTAAAAGTAATTATTATATATTAAAAATAATTATAAATTAAAATTAAGATAACTAAATAATTTAATTAAGATTTTAAAAAATTTAAATTTTAAATTTTAAAATATGATTAATGTGTATAATCAATTTTTTTAAAAAAAAAACAAACGAACGAAAATAAAAAATAAAGACAAATTATGTGAGACAAATAGAGTATAATTCACAAAAATAAAGATACAAAAGAATAATTCTACAAGTCTGTTTACTTGCGTATTAGAAAAGAAATGAAGAACTGTTTTTAATTTTAAAAAAAATAAATTCAAAATCAGAATTTTTTTTCCTAATTTTTTTTTATATGGTATGAAAACGATTATAGTTACTCTTTGGCAAAGTGCAATCAAACTATTTCATCCGTCTCAGTAATGGTGTCACAGTTGTCGTAATTAAAAATGTTTTAGTAAAATTAATTATAATATAATAATAATTATTATTATAAATTAATATTAAAATAATTAATTAGTCTAATAAAAATTTAAAATATGATTAAAATGTAAAATATTTTCCAAAAAAAACATAATATGTAGGACATACGAAAATGAAAGCGCGTCATGATACGTGAAGGAGTATTAGTTATGAACATAAACCAAAATTTTTATTGAAATAGTATGTATAGAGGCTTGTTATAAGTATATTGCATAAATTTTAATAAAATATTAAAAAGTCAGTAAATAATTATTCATCCACAATAATATCAGAATTCAAAAAATATATTAGCAAATCCTAATAATTAATTAACAAAAAAAGTATTTGGGTCTAAAATACTAAAAAACACAACCCAACATTTCAACAATTATTTGATTTAGAAACTAAGGATGTGTTTGTTTGGGGGGTTTAATTTTAAATACACTGTTTATTCTATTTTTTTTTTCAAGAATATTAAATTAAACATCTATTTTTAATTTTTTATATTATACTAAAAATTAATTTTACATTCAAAATATTACATCAACACATATTTATATTACATCATACAATTATACAAATTCAAAATTTTTACTATTTGAATCTCAACTCAAAATTCAAACTCTCAAACAAACACACCGTAACAAATCTAAGTGAAAAAAAAAAAAAAAAAAAAAAAAAAAAAAAAAAAAAAAACATAATTAATAGTCACAAAATCCATCACTATCTTCACATGCAATTCTTCCAAATGTGCTACATCAGACACACTTACACATCACATTTTTTGTATTATTATAACTCTCTCTCTAGATATACACATACATAATTATTTTTTTTTAGAGATTGATATATTTTTTATTTTAATTTTGAGTAATAATTTAAGTTTAAAAAATTTCTATGAAAATAAATATATTTTTTTATAAAAAAAAATCATAATTATTACTCCCTCTTAATTAAAGTATTTCTTTCTATTATTTTTTGTTATTTCAATCAAAAGTATTTTCTATGAATATTAATTAAAATTCATAATTATCACTCCCTTTTAATTATTTTATTTTTTTGTTATTTCAATGAAAATAATCATACATTAGTATTTTCTTTCACTTGTTGTCTTTGTTTTAGGTTGTATATAAATTAACTATGAATTGTATTATTTGTTCATTTGTTATATTTATAAATATTAATCAAATACAAATACAATTTATAATTATTTCAATATAATCTATAATAAAAAACCAACACAACTAAGTAAATTTATTTAACACAGTATATATTGTTTGCATCTGTATCACGTATTAATTATTTTTTAGCTTATGTATCCTGTTGATTTTGTTTAATAAGCATAGTAACAGCGTCAAAGTCCGAGGATTGATAGTGGATTAAGTATTATGTTATCTTTATTATAATATAATTTGTATTTATTTTAAAGAAATATATTACTTTCATCTCAATTTAAAATATCATTTTTATTATTTTTTTATGTCATTCATTAATATTGTTTTTATAATATAGTAAAAGTATTTTACATATAAATACCAAAATATTTTATTTTTCACAAATTATAAATATATTATTATTTTATTTATATTTTATAAAAAAATATCAAATTATTTTACATATTTTTATTAAATAATAAAATATTATTAATTTTTAATTTATTAAAAAAATAAATGATTCATTTGAAATGAAACAAAGTGAGCATATATATATATATATATGATAATTTGAGAATTCGCAATCACATAAGTAATAAATTCTGATCAAATCTAATAATTTACAAATTAAGATCGATGGAACAAATATATATATATTTTTAATTTATGACATAAGAATCTACAAACGCGCGCCGGAAGATACTCACCGGATATTTCGGACTCGAAGTCCAGCCCACTTGCTGTTGCCTACAATCAAAGTGAGGTGTTATTTGCCCTGCTGGATTTCAATTTTTTATTATCTTAATTAATTTCCACGTCATATTTTCCAATTATTGCCGTACTTATCCCTCAGTGTCGCTCTGGACTTCGAGTCCTCAGCCAGAGACTACTATGGACCTTCCAGTACGCGCCTCCCCACAGTAACTATTCTGTACCCTCAGAAAAAATAACTATACACTTTCATATCCCCATTTTACCCCTCAGGACCTCCAATCATATTCTCCGGCTCACTGCTCCGCAATAGCAGGAAATCTAGATTCCTTCTCCTTCACTATCAATAAGTACTCGGTTCTCTTGATCCCTTCTGTATTATCCCTGGCACTTTCCCTCCCGCCGCCGCCGCCGCCGCCGTTGTCGCCGCCGCCGCTCCTGCTCCGACGGTAGTCTCCCTGCTCAATCCAAATTCCAGAAAGTTCCATGCCACAGACCTGAAGATTTCAAAAGAAAATGTTATATTTGCGCCATTTCCTCCTCATCTCCTTTTCGATTCTGTTAATCTGTTCATTGTTGGTACCGGTGGCGATATCCGACGAGGCCCCGAAATTTTCGGCGTACGAAATTCTGAAGGCCCACGGGCTGCCGATGGGGTTGCTCCCCAAGGGAGTGAAGAATTTCAGCTTTGATGACTCTGGGAAATTCCAAGTCCACCTAGATCGCGCCTGCAATGCCAAGTTCGAGAACGAGATTCACTACGATATGAATGTTTCCGGGATCCTAAGCTTCGGGCAGATCAACGAGCTATCCGGAATTTCGGCGCAGGATTTGTTTCTGTGGTTCCCTGTTCTCGAAATCCGAGTCGATATCCCGAGTTCTGGATTGATTTACTTCAATGTCGGCGTTGTTTCCAAGCAATTCTCCCTGTCTATGTTCGAAACTCCGAGGGATTGTTTGGAGGGACCGCGTTCAGATCTTGTAGGCGGAAGGGAAATAGCGCAAACTGTTTCTAAGGTCAAAGGATTTTTTTCCCAAAAATACCTAGTGCTATTCTAGGGTTATCATGATTGGTCCTTTTTTCTTCTGTTTCTCCGATTTTGGGTTTTTTGTGTGAAATCTCTGCCTGTCTTTGGTTGCCTTTTGATTTTTGGAGTTCGTGTTTGAGATAAATATTTTAGGATAGAGAAAAGGTGTATGGGAAGCTTCTTCATTGCTGCTAACGTTTGAGTCCTTAGGGAAGTGAGAAATGAATTGTATAGTTTGGCTACAGAAGCCACTTTTTGCATTTGGTGTAAAAAGGTAGGGTTCTTTTGCCTTGTGTGGTTATTTTTGCACTCAAAAAGTGATTTTACCTCTTATGGAGAATCCATGAGGTTCTTCCATATTCCATATTTACACCTGCCTGTACTGTATTTAAGTTTCATGATTTACTTGTGTGAAATGTCTCACTTTTTCCAGATTTCTGAACTTGATGCCATGATGCTAAATGTGTTTGAACTGGTAGATGGATGAAACAATGGATTTGCTTTTATGTTGATGCTATAAGTTGATTAATTAGCCTTATGTTCGAGCATTCACAGCGCCTGATCTGTGTTTTGTCATCAGATTCGATTAGGGAAGTTGGAGAATCAGCATGGTGAAGATAATGCTGCAAGAACGGCGTTGTAGATTATGTCGGTGGGAGATGATATGATGCACATTAGCTCAATCATGTTATGGAATTTGTGTATGTACAGATCTGCAAAGTCTGTTCTGGCAACCATCGTATTTCTTCTTTCTACTGTTGCATGTTTGCTGTTCATTCTGTAGTCATGCCGAGTCCTCTCCAAAACATGGTCGACAAAAGGAGGCATTCATTCAACAGATCAATCAATGGCAGCGATACAAAACTAGTTTAAAAAATCTTTGGATATTGGGGCAAAATATCCATGGGGGAGAGCATGTGCATTCGTGGTTCAGGTGATGAATTTGCCCCCGAGTGTTCTATAATGCGATTAAGGATGTGAACTTTAAGCACGATTCTTGAACTGATTTATCTTTTTTCTTGTAGTATAATGATAGATGTGAGCTCACTTTGCATACTTTGGTTGTGGATGAAATTAAGGAATAAAAGTACTGCTTTTTCATCATTTTTAGTTTCGAATTGATATCTCTTGTTTGCATTTTAAGAAATGCCACAGATCTTTACTCCAAGAAGAGGGTAAGAATCCGAATCATATATATTGTCGAACGACTACTTTTACATCTTACCGAACTTGTCCATACTTGTTTCTCAGCTTATGTGTGGTTTACTGCAAATATATAAATCTTTTCTGATTTGTTTTGTGGGACATTGTTTTATTCGAACGTTTGGTGTCGAAATTTGTTGTAACTGAGGATATTGGACTGTTTGCTTCTTACTGGTGGTGGAGTTTGTATTGATTGTTTGCCATCCACTGTCATGACAACATACAAAAATTGATGCCTTCTTCTTCTTCTTGATTGAGATTGTGGTTATATACATTAGCTGTATGTATATTTGTTGAGAATGATGGATGTGGGAATTATTGCATTTGGGGTGGGGGCAAGAAGGATGGAATATATGCTGCTGCTGCTGCTGCTGCTGATATGTATTATTATTATTATTATTGTTATTATTATTATTATTATTATTGTTATTGTTATTATTATGGTCTGCAGAAGAAGATTGTTTAGGCTTTACAGGACCATGGGATTCTGTTTACAATAATTGGTTTGTTCTAAAGTAGTTTTTGTGTTGATTTGATTAATCACACACTCACACTGACACTCTCACTGGCTGTTTGAGATCATTGTAATGCCCCCCTCTTGTCTTCTGTGGTCCATCCTACCCTGTCTGTCTTCGATTCTCATGTCTCTTTGTGTTTGCGTGGAAGGAATTGTTGACATTTGCGAAAAGTTAAGAGTAACTTTTGAGTGTGCTTTTTTTTTTTTTTTTTTTATTTTTTAATTTTAATTTTAATTTTAATTTTTATAGAGTTTAACAAATATTGTATTTTAACGACAGCTTCGATTTTAATAAATAATAGCAACTGTGTTAAGAATAAGTAGATGTAACTATTTATGTTTTATTATTTTTTGATGTCTCATTAAAAAATATCTATATTCTATAGTAGAAAAAATGATTTATATCAAAATATTAGTATCTCTTATAACAATATATATATTTTTTGTATTTATAAGACAAAATGTCAAAATTATTTTATATATTTATATTAATTAATAAAATATTATTATTTTTTGATTTTATGAATATATATTAAAAACAGAAACAAAAGACAAACAGTTCATTGGAAAGGAAAGATCAAATAATATGTTTAGAGGAGATTTGGAGGATAAATGTATCTTTTTCTCTTTCCTTCATCTTAAAAATAAACCTTATTTATTTGTTACTAAAAAAAATATATTAATTATTATTCATTTATATAAAAAAATCCATATCCAGAGTATACGCATATCTCCTATTATGGAGGAACTATGTTATTACACTTATTTCCTTGTACATATCGAGAAGTAAGAAGATATTTTCTTATTTGTCATTTCTTACTTAAATATCTTTCATATTTTTTTGGCTTCTCATGATATTTTGTGTGTTAATTATAACGACGACAAAATATGAAATTGACATTGCAAAAAGTATCATTCTCTATTCCACTTACTATGATTAATATACAAAACTAATTTATTAATACGAATGCAAAAGAGAGATATATATATATATATGTATACATTAAATATAAAACAACACACATAATCTTTAAATATTGGAAATATGAATAATTTGTCATTTCAAACCATATTATTATTTCTCTTTTCTTTTTTTTCTTTTTGCATAATTAAATTAATGCATCTATACAGCCACACAATTTATTTCATTAATAGCTATATAGTTTCTGTCAAATTTATTTCAATAAGTGCTACTATAGCTAATTGGCTATCAACCTATATTATTTAATTATTTATATCAGAAAAGTGATTATTAAATTACTAAATTAGTATGTTCTAACAACCTCCAAACAACCACAAACAATAATAATAATAATAACAATAATGATAATAATAATAATAATAATAATAATAATAATAATAATAATAATCTCCAAAGTATTTAATTAGACGACGTGATTTAAATCTCAATCCTCTTTACTACTCCTATAATACTAAACTCACAATTTTAAATACAAAATAAATATTTAATGTAAATATTATTTATATTAATATATATTGGTTACAATAACAAGCCCAATTCCTGCCTCGGCTTTAGATAGTTTTCCCTTTTTTCGGCTCAATAAATAAATAAATAAATAAATAAATATATATATATATATATACGTGTTTATTATTATTATAATTAGAGAATAAGCCACATATCTTAACAGACTTATCCCCCTCCTCTTCTTTTCCTCCGCCGTTCCCTCGCCGGAAAACTTCCAAATTCCGGCGTCGAGACAACCTGCTGAGGAATTCAGCCAAAAAATGCCCCCAATATCATGCCTTACGGTCCAAACCGCATCCAGAACTCCTCGATTCCATGCCCCTTGCTATTTGCCGCAAAATTCGATTCCGTTAGGTTTAAAGAGCAGTGTTTTTTTCCCGATTCAGAAGAGGTCTGATAAGAGTGTAAAAAATGGCTCGTTGGTGATATCTGCGTGCTCGACTACATCGCCTTTTATCGGCAAGGTTGGGGCTCAGAAAAGAGAGGGTAATTTTTCGCTGTTGTCGTTCGGAGTGGACCCTAGGATCGGCGTGGTTGCTGAATCAAAACCGGATGCTTCTCAATTTTTATCTGCTCTGCTTCCGTTCGTGGTGGCTCTCACCGGCATCATGGCACTGTCCAAGCCTTCGACCTTCACTTGGTATGCACTGTAAATTTTTTGCTATTTACTCAAAAATCTGTACTGCTTTATTGTTGCTTGATGCTTTCTGGATATACTTGTGCTCAATTTTCTAATTTTTTTGGTATGTTAATAGTTGTACGTACTAGGTATGGTGTTCATGTAGTTATTCCCTTAGCGCAAGTATTACTTCTCTCGCTAAATGTCGTAAGATCTTTGAAACCGCTATAGAAGTAAAACAGAGTAGTCTCAAATAGATTTCCAGATATTTTAAAATGCTTGAATTTTCTGTTAGAGACAAAAGAGATAATAAGTTGTTCATGGTTTGAGCAAAGTTATCCATGGTGATTGTTTGTTTCCTTCAATTGATTTTACTCCGAATATCCTTAAAATGCTTTTTAAAGAAGTGTATGTATTTTTCCAGTGTTTTTTGTTAAATGTTAGAGAAACTGCAGGGTTTCCAAGGAAATGTATGCACCTGCACTCGGAGGGATTATGTTGTCTATCGGAATTAAGCTCTCTCTCACCGATTTTGCTCTAGCGTTTAACAGGTCAACTTTTATTGTTCTAAGCATTTTGATCTTCATTGCTGGCTACGCAGTTTCTTGGTGAATTGGTATCTGAGATTTGTTGGTGTCGTTTTTAATTTGTTTGCAGACCACTTCCATTATCAATTGGATTTATTGCACAGTATGCACTAAAACCAGCACTTGGAGTGTTGGTTGCACAAGCTTTCCGTGTTCCGCCTATGTTCTATGCAGGTTTTGTTCTGACTGCATGTGTTGCGGGGGCTCAGCTATCAAGCTATGCCAGTTTCTTGAGCAAGGGAGATGTGGCTTTGAGCATCCTACTGACTAGCTCATCGACCATTGCTGCAGTTATTGTGACTCCTCTTTTGACAGGCCTTCTCATCGGCTCCGTTGTTCCAGTTGATGCTTTTGCTATGTCAAAATCGATCTTGCAGGTGCCAAATCTCTTCAGGCTGAGTGTACTTGTTTGATTGAAATCATCTTATATGATAATTTAGAAGGATTAATAAGTTTGAATAATTAGGTTTTATCAAGGGTTTCAAGTCATCATTCAAACTAAACACACCCTTAAAAGTTCTTGCTAATTTTCATGTGATTTTTGTTTGATAAACCATTCCTGGTTTTTATTATCTGATTAATTACTTTTTTCTGGGTAATTTTTTACAGGTGGTTCTTGCGCCTATCGCGCTTGGATTGGTGTTGAATACTTATGCCAAACCCGTCGTTTCAATCCTACAACCTGTGATGCCTTTTGTTGCGATGATCTGTACTTCGTTGTGCATTGGAAGCCCTCTTGCTATAAACAGGAACCGAATCCTGTCCATTGAGGGTCTGAGATTGATCGGTCCAGTGCTATTCTTTCATGCTGTGGCATTTACTCTGGGCTATTGGATCACCAAAATCCATTTTCTAGGGTAAGCAGCATCAATATGTTACAGTTCACTTTCCATTTTATTTCTACGTTAAAATATAATGCAATTTAAAGCTGATGCACATTAATTTTTTATTCCATAATATCCGAACTTGTTGTCAAGATTGATGGAAAAAAAGCAACTTGGGTGTGTATGATTACAGGTTGGAAGAAGAAGTTTCGCGAACAATCTCACTGTGCACAGGAATGCAAAGCTCGACGCTAGCAGGGCTTCTGGCAAGCCATTTCCTGGGAAGCACACAAGCCGTTCCCCCGGCATGCTCGGTGGTTGCAATGGCTATCATGGGTCTTTGTCTGGCATCGTTCTGGGGCAGCGGGTTCAGAATCAGAGACTTGCCATGGCTGGTGATTCCTCGACGGACAGTAAATGCATGAGTTGAGTTGAGTCAGTTATGGAGGTTGCTCTACCCTCTATATATGTTTTGATTATTTTCCATGATCCATCAATGGAAATGGAAATTGAAATGGAAGGTCGGGTGAATTGCTTATTGCAGAAGAGGAAGAAAGGAGAAGAAGAAGTACATAAGGAAAAGAAGGTATATGAAAATAGTTAAGAAATATCGAAGGTATCCATCCCTTAATTACTCTTAATTTTCAGTGTACAGCCAGCCCCCAGCCCCCAGCCCGCCCTGTAATTTCTAAGGAAATATCTCTAGTTTTGGCTCACGTGACTTGCAGAATATGCACGTGCACTGGTTTTTGTTCTCAAGTAGTATCTCATTTTAATTTAATTAAACTATAGATTGGTTTATTTACTACTGCCACAATATTATTTTGTTACTATCTGTACTCCATTTGTTTGTGGTTTTGGATTTTAACTTTAAATAATTATATTGTACTTTAAATTTATTTAAAAAAGAATAATGATATGATATTTTTAAGGAACAAATACTTTTTTGGATGGTAACTTAAAATAGGTACCCAAAAAAATAAGTAATAGCTCCTTGAATCTTTGACTTTGACAGTGGCATTTTTTATTTCTGTGTTTTTAATAGATAAACATGTTTGTTTATAAAAGAATTTAATCAAATCTTTATTTATATTATAAATTAAAATTTTAATTAACTAAATTATATTCAAAATACAAACAAATACGTGTATTTATTTAGAAATATTTCATCGATGGACCCTAAAAAATTAGAGATTAAAATCTTAGAAACCGCCGTCTGTGGGAATCGAACCCACGACCACATGGTTAAAAGCCATGCGCTCTACCGGCTGAGCTAAGACGGCTCTTTTGAGTATAATGAATTCTAAATTGTATTTGATTGCTTTTAATTATTATGATTATTTGGTAATATAGGAATTTACAATCACTATTATTTGGATATGCACTGAATTTGAATTTAATAACTGCAAAGTATGTTAGTAATGAATATTAAAAAACTCAAGGTGATTATTTATATATTAAATTTAAAAATTTTAATTTTTTCTTTAATAAACCATGCTTAATGCCTATTATGAAATAATTAAATAAAATCAAATATTTAAAAATATCAAAGCAAAGAAAAAACGCACAAGTAAACAACCTCTCATGTATTTGATATAATTAATAAGGATTCTGGAAGAGATGATCTACTAGTTTAGTTTGAAGTGAGTAAGTTTAAATATTTTTAATGTTTTTAGGCCTTCATCGTTCACCTAATACGATTTTTTATTTATTGATTATTACCGATTGCATTCAAGATTAATAAATTATATTGTAATTTTAATTTTTTATCTTAATTTTTTAAAAGTATGATTTACTTATAATCCCTCATTTATATTATATATATAATCATATTTTACAATTCTTTATCTTTTATAAACTTATTCATATCAATTATGTATAAATATGTATTTTATTTCTTTTTCTTACATAAAAGTTATATTTTATACAAAATAACATTCATATCAAATATATATTGTTAAAATATAAAGTTTAAAGCATTCAAAAATTATTTGTAACTTAAGTATATGTTGTTATATCATAATTTATAATCAAATAGTATCTTACTACTTAGCAAGAAAAACAAACTTTCAATTACACATAATTTGCAATCAAATGCACCCTTTTGTTATGTTTCAATGGAAATACCTAAAAAGAAGTTTAACAATATCATTAGCTATGTAATAACAATAAATGATTTCACTGGATGATTATAATATTCAGCACATGTAATGAACTTTCACTAAAAATTATTAATATGAATATATTAACAATATATGTTAATTATACAAAATAAAGTAATTAATTTCCAAACCTTTGAACGATTATATTCTAATATGTCGGGGAAAGTGATTAATCGAACAAAACATATTCGAACACTTTAAAGGGCCCACTCTATAAGCGTGGGCGATTCACAGTTATAACAATGTTTTAACAACGAAAGACAATGCAGAACATAAAACAATAATGAGACAAGGTGTTTGTTAACTCGGTTCGATTATCAACCAATCTATATCCGAGGATATCAATCCAAAAGATATTTCACTCACCAGTGCTGATTAAGGACAAAAACAACAACAACTCCTTCAACCCAAAAAGCTATCATGGTTAACCTAGAAAAATATCTCAACAGGTTCACGTTGTCACAAACACGTACTAACAATGACCATACAACAGAGCAGCTCAGAGTTTGATCATCATCTCCGGTTGGAACTCCATTATCTCCGATCTTTGTCGACCTCTCCTGTAGGTTTCAGTGTTAAACAACAGTTCAAAACATGGAGAAAATGAGAAGAAATGTGAGAGCACACACAATAATTTCTCTCTCTATATTTTGGCTCTCAAACCTCACTCACCACCAAATATTTTCTCCTTTGGTTGTATATATCATGCAACTTTGGAAAGAAGACACCTCACGTTAATTTTCCTTAGCATAAGAAATGATATAGTGTCATTCAATGAATCTACACGAGTCTGACCATTCTCAAACTGTCATGTTTGACTCACGTGGACATCTAAGAGATTGGACACAATGAATAAAATCAAGCACACAGATTCATACTGCAGCACGATTGCAGTAACAATTTTACTGCAACATCAGACTGCTTGAAAAAAAAAAAAAACACTTGATGCAGGACAAAAAGAAAAAAAAAAAAAAAACATATTTGTCCATGTACCAAAAATAACAAAAAGTTTTTTCATTCAGACAACATCTTATCCAATTTCTTATAAAATTAATAAGTTGTTAAAATAATTCCGTCAATTGAGGCTTTTTAATATATATATATATATATATATATTGAAAATTTTCACAATCTTCAAATTACTTTAGTTCAAACTTTATTATAATTACAACTTAGAGATGACACAAAGTAGATTAGCAATTTGAGGTACCAACTCTATTTATTATGTAACAAAGCCAACTGAAAATTTGCTTTAACCATCTATGGCCTACAATAAAATATACAAATAAAGACTCCCTATATCGATCTTAAGGTATGCTTTACTTTAGTATAAATATTGTATTTTAATAATAGTTAACTGTACCTTATTTATATGTAAACACTATTATGTCATTATGATTTAATTTGATTAATACTGACATAGGTAAGTATAAATTTGACACAATTTATATAGTGTAATGTGTTATAGTCTTAAAATAAAAGAGAATATGAATACTTAATGTTTAGACAACAAAAAATAACAAAATAGATATTTCTTGAAAATTTTATTATAGGATGCACAATTCTAAGGTGTAGTAGTACAATTTTTATACTCCCTCAGTCCCTTGTACTACGTCACTTTTCGTTTTTTTTAAAAATGATTACACACTTTAATTTCATTTTAAATTTTTTATTTTATTTTTTTAAATTTTAATTAAACTAATTAGTTATCTTAATCTTAATTTATAATTATTTATATTATAGGATAATTATTTTCACTAATACATTCTTAATTATCTACTAATTACACCCCTCCTAAAATACCATGTCTACAGTGTAACAGACACGGTATCTTGGACGAAGGGAGTATAAAATATTGCATTCTATTTTTTATTTTTATTTTTTACTTTAAACCGAATTAGAAAAAACACAATTTTAGATTTTGTTATTTTAAAATATATATTGTGCAATATGATCGTTTATATTTTTAAAATAAATATATATATATATATACATGATATCAAATTTAACTATTATTTAAATAAAATAAAATGTACAAAATATATAAAATTAAATTAATTAAACTTAGCGCATAGCACAATGTTGAATGTAGGGTTACGTCTAAAGCACATTTTTAACTTCCCAAAAACCTTCCCTTTTTCAATTTTCAATCTTTTTACTGCACGGAAGACATGCATGCATGTAAAGTTATACAAATTGGTTAGGGCTAAATTACGGATATATCTGATTTGTATTTCAAATATAAATCAATATTATTTGATGATTTTCAATAAAATAAAAAATAAAAAAATATATATATATACTATTGATACAAATAGATAATTATTCTTTCATCTTTTTCATGTGGTAATAATAAAAATAATAAAAAAAAATGAACATAAGTGTGTTTAGTTATATTTTCTTTTCATTTTAATATTTGATATATTTTATAAGATGAATATAGTTGTTTGATATAATATTTTAAATTTTATATTATATGGGTTTTTCAAAATATAAGTAGTAAACAAATCAAGTTAAAATCACAAGGACAATTTTCTAGTTTTTTCATTTTAATTTTAATTTTTTTTTTAACTCAACAAATGTGATTATTAATAAATATATATATATTTTTAGTTAAAAGTACTTTACTCTATAGTTATATTAAAATTATATTTCTTTTTTCATTTATTTATTTATTTTTTTACCACAACAAGATAATGAAAAGTACCTAAAATCAACCAACTAACCGATGCTTTTACACCAAACTTAAATGATCATTAAATACTATTAAATGCTGAATACCTAAGTAAAATGGCAAACTCCGCATTAAATATTTGGTATTTACCATCGCTACGTAATGATATAACTGTTCAAGAGAAATTGTTTGTTCGGTATTATTTTGAATTTATTTATTTCATGGAGTCAAATCAACACTTAGTCAATACATATAATAATATCATATAGCGCATACTGCTGTATAGCATAATTTATTTTATACTATAGACAAATATGTACGGTCTAGTTCATATTTATATTGTACTTTATAAATGAAATTATTGTACCAAAATAAACAATTGCGTGTGTTTTGAAGTATTTTAATTTAAATTATTTTTTATACTCTTTTCGTCCCATAAAGTATCCATTTATTTTTTCATCTAATTTTAAAAATATTAGTATTATATTAGAATATAGTAAGAATAAAGTAGAAATACTTAAAATAACCTTATTAGTATGTGTGATATAAAGGTAATGACATTTGTGTAATATATTGTAAGTTGTAATGGTATTTGTAATGTTGGGTATATAGTACAATTACTAAAAAAGAAAATTGATACTTTGTTATCGGACGGACTAAAATAAAAAAATGTATATTTTGTTATGGGACGGAGAGAGTATAAAACATGTGAATTATGTCATTAATATAAAAAATAATACTCCTTTCGTCTCAAACACCCTGCGACACTTTCTTTTTGGTATGTTCCAAACACCCTGCAACATTTCCAAAATAGAAAATAATTAATTATACTTAATCTCTACCCCACACTTTATCCCCTCATATCATCCTAATGAAAAAATAAAATATATATTTCTATCTCCATCACATCACTTAATTTCTAAATTATCATACTTAATACTATCCACCTAAATTCCCGTGTCAAATACAAATGTTGCACGGTGTTTGGGACGGAGGGAGTATATTTTATTGAATACTATTTTATTAAAAAAAATAAAAATATATTCCTTCCCGTTTAATTTAAAGTTTTTTTGAAATTTTATAATAAGTTAAAAAAATAATAATATTTTATTAATTAATAAAATATATAAAATAATTTTGATATTTTTATTTTTCATATTTATATAAAAATTTATTTCATGTAAAAAATTACGTTTGTATTTATTTAAAAATTAAAAGATTATTGGTAATAGTGTGTTATCTTTATTGTAATAAATAAATACTTTTAAATAAATGACCAAAATAAATTTTTTAAAAAAAAATCATGGTAGAGGGAAGCAAATTCGAGTATTTTTTTAAGGGTGTTTTTGTTTGAAGGATTTCGGTGGATTTCCACTGTTCATCCAATTTTTTCCCCCCAAAAACATCAAATCAAACACCTATTTTTCATTTTTTATATTATACTAAAAATCAATTTTACATTCAAAACATCACGTCAAATCTTATTTATATCACATCATACAACTATTCAAATTCAAAATTTTTACTATTCAAATCCCAACTCAAAATACAAACCCCAAACAAACACACCCTAAATGAATTTGAAAATAAATTAATTTAAATTTGATGTTAATATAATATATAATAGAATATTTTATAAAAAAGAATTTGTAATTTTTTTGAAAAACGGAAAAACAAAATAGTAAAATTCAAGATTTATGGGCAAAAGAAACATATTTTGCACTGTAGATACAAAATAAGATTAGATTTCATTTCATTGGCGTCAGATAAAGGTGACGAAGAGCTGCAGAATTGAGTTGAATTGTAACTGATACAGAGAGAGAAAGAGAGGAGAGAGAGAGAGAGAGAGTCCATCGTCTTCCTCCCGGAGACAGTCCCTTGTCCCGTCTCCTGCATATTCTTAGATATTTGGGCTGCTTTACTTTTTCCTGCTCTTTTCTTCATACCCCACATTGCATTTCGCCATCGCCATCGCCTTCACTGCTTTCCCCAAAAGGAAATAGCTGCTCAGTGAGAGAGAGAGGCCTCAAAACGATTTTCGATTTCTCATTTACCCCAATTCATTCCCCCCTATATAATTTGGAAACCAACCACACAGGAAAAGCCATCCCCTTCCCATTGGGCGCTCTGAATATCTCCGCACATTCGGTCCCAATCCTGCTCCCTTCCCCATGGATGTACGTAAGCAACTAATTCCGTGGTTTCGAGTTTTTTTACATGGAGCCTGTGTAATTAGGGTTTCGTTAATTTGATCGATGAATTTTAAATTATGCACTTTACTGTTTGGTGGGGGAAGGAATTCAATTTCAGGAGGCGACGCGTGCCTGCGTTCGGGAGCTGGGATTGCGACGGCAACCTGCCGTTCACGCAGTGTTTCGAATCGGCGAGGGAGGCCGGCCTGCTCCGGTGCAGCTATTCCGGCGAGGATCGTGACTTGTACGTCGCCGGCGATCTGTACGAGAACGATGTTGTAACTCCCGCTGTGATTGTTGTACCTCGCCACAGGGTACAACTCTTAGCATCCTATATATGTATCCATCCATTCTTTTCCGATGAATTGAGATTCTTGAATTGATCACTAAGCAATTCATCTCTCTCTCTCTCTCTATATATATAATTTTATAATTATATCTTTTAGCGTTGATTATGAGTGCTTTTTGTAGGCAAAAGTAGGATATTCAAAAGAGAAACAAAGGAGGAAAGATGATGATGATGAGTGGGTGATGTGGAATTGTGATGGTGAATTCAAAGAACCACCAAGCCCTGTCTCGGCATCTGTGGCTCTGCCGCCACCGCCAGCGGCAGCAAAGCCAGTCGACCAAGATCTGTACACCATCTCCCCCGACCTCCTCCGCGCCAACACCAAAAGGGTATATATAAAAACAAACACACACACACACATTGCTTTGATTCGATAAATTATAAAGGAAGTGAGCACAGAATTCGACAATCGACATGTATTAGGACAATCCGAAACTTGACAAGATCCAAACAAAAAAGTTTTTGAATATCCTCAACATTGCTAACATCTACTTGTCTTGATGTGCTTAATTAGACATGTAATAATCTTTGATTTTTCGGTCACTATAGTAAATGAAATTGAAATCCGGGGAGCTTTTGAAACTCGATGAATGTAGTGATTGGATCGAGGGATCTTTTTATCTACTTGTTGTTTTGGTTTAAATGTGTTTTGGTGATATGTAAAAATTGTGTTGCATTTTTTCGTGCAGAAGAGAGGATGGGGAGTCTTTTCGAGCTGCCTGCGCCCGGTGTGTCTCCGTTGAGTCCCGACCAAGTATGAGTTTGCCGTGTCGATGCATTCAATACATTCGGCGGATAATGTGAGACTATATATATATATATATGTATGTATGTAGTTATACAGCAGTAAATCAAAAACCAGTGGTAATAGTATGATTCAAGATAAAAAGCCATGGATTAGTTTGAAGATGATCACTCTTGTGTCATGATAATAGTAATTGAGGATCTATTGTTATGTTTGTTTTCCTTTTTTTAAGAAAATAATTAATTTAAGCTTCAGTTATTAATAATTATTATTATTTTTGATATCGCAGAAATCGGGAGCTGCTCTGGGTAAATGAATCTTTATTATTATTATTATTATTATTTTAAATGAATCTTTGATGGTCTGGTTTTTAGCTGTACTTTTTGTTTTTGCGCTGTTGTGTGGTAAATTGAAAAAAAATAGGTGATCGTGGAAAGTAAAAGTGATCAAATAATGTAGGACTTGTGTTGGGTTGTTTATTGTTTTTTTTATTTTTTATTTTTATAACGTGGGAATCCGTAAGCCGTAGTAGCTACTCAAAGGTGTACACTGGATAAACTTTCGGCCGAATTTAATACCCTTCAAACTAAGTTCATCAGGAAAGTCACGTTAGGCCAATCATATATTTTTGTTTGTATTATACTAGTTGAGTAAGGGAATTGATTTATTATGACTTTCTTTCCTTTCTATTTTTTTATATAAATATATTGTTTTTTATATATGTAGAAGACTAGATTAACTTATTATTTAAATCTAAAAATAAGAAAAAAAAAAAAAAGTGAACTTATTTATTTCGTTACTTTTTAGGTATAGAATCACGTGAAAACGTTTTTCCTTTTTAAATATATTAACTTTTATAACTATTTATTTTAATATGTAAGCTCTTAATTACAATAACTTCTTTGCTAGCGTATAATAAAAAGTTAGTTCCGACATAAAAAAAATAAATAAATAAAGTAAAAAGTTAGTTGAATCATATAGAGTCATTCAATGACCGAGTCAAACTCTGCCTGACTGAACCCGGTCCAGCCGGTACTAACCTGGGCTTTAACTGTTTCATGTGAGGACCATCTGAGATGTCCACGTCGCCTGCTTCAGCTTGTGGCCACTTTTGAATATGTAACCATCTAAGGCTATCGATTCTTTTAATTGTTTTTTTCTTTATATATTATCGTAACAATTTTTAATTTAATTCAATGAGAGAATATATCAAATAAAATATTTATTTTTTATTTTTTATATAAAATATAATTTTCAAACACTTATCACATCAAATCAAATCAAATACTTACGACAATACATTTTATTATTCTTAAACATTTTAATACAACATTTATAGATCGAATTCACAAACTCGCGTGCACAAATAAATCCTCGTGCGCCAATCTAAAGCGTCCGAGGTATGAATGTCTTGTAATTCTTCCCGGCACTCCTCTCGGACAAGTTGGCCATAGCCGTTGCATCGAGGGGGAAGTAAAATGGATAAAGTTCATACCTAATATAACAAGTGGAGTACACAACCCTACACCCAATCTTGTCTTTACAAAACCTTTCGAAGTTCCCGATCCCGATTGCTAGACATTGAGCGCAATTTATGTCCGATAAGTCCCTGGTGCACTGCGCCAATCCGTACAATGTTAGGAATGTCGAAATCTTGGTTTGCCCCTTCCCCAAGCCTTTGTTCCCTGCCTTGGTCGCGTCTGATCGGACAACTTGCATTAAGGCCCCGAGCTTTTTGTTGAAAGTGTTGGGGTCGTCAGCGTTCGCCACGTTGTAATAATATATGCCCGAAGTATCGACTTGTCCAAAGAAGTTTTCGAGCTTGTATCTTAGAAAGCAATAGTCGTACCTGTTGAAAATACGCTAATTTATAAAATATATATCATATTAAATTATTATTTAAATATTAATAAAGAACACTTATAAGTTTTTTTTTTTCCTCAATAGATAACAGCCATCTAGATTTGTGGTTATTTTTTTATTTTTTGTGATCTAATTCTTTTTATTTTTTTAAAAAATTATACACTCTTCATCTTTATTACATAAAGTGTCTATTTTATCTTAAATATATAATTTAGAAAATATATAATTAGTAAATAGTAAAAAAAAATGTATTAATAAAAATAATTATATATTAAAATTAAGATAATTAAATAATTTAATTAAGATTATAAATATATATATAAATTATGAAATTTAAAATATTATTAAACTGTATAATTATTTTCAGAAAAAATTACAAATTATGTAAAACAACCGAAGTGAAAAGATTAGACACTCCATGTGAGAGAAATAAGTATTATTTTTTGTATTTTTTACTATAAAAAGCAAAAAAAAGAAAAAAATACAACAATAAATACACATTCATGTTAAAATTCTTGCATAAAATATTGAGCTTTTTTTTTTTTTTTTTTTTTTTAACTAAGTATATTAACAATAGTTCTGTTTTTTCAATATTATTTTTCAATTACACTAATAAATCTAAAATATTTTATACAAAAATAAATTAAAAAAAAGTCAAAATACTCATTATAAAAAGATAAATATTCAATTAAAAATAATATATTTTATATATTTATCACAATTTTTTTTGTACTAGACACAAAAAATTAGTTCACCAAAACGCTAAAATATAATTGATAACTTATAATTTGCATGAATAATAATAATAATAATAATAATAATAATAGCAGCAAATGTTTTCTTAATAAAATGCACAAGTAAGAAAATTTCAAATATTTTCATAACACGTATCATGTAGAATTCAAAAATAGCGGGTTGCAACGGAGATAGTCGGTCGCAACTTTTATTTTTTTTTTTTGTTATTTTGGTAGCAATATACTATTAAATTCATTTCAAAATAAAAATTATAGATTAAATAGTACTATTAAAATTAAAAAAATAGGCAGTACCAAATCTTGGCGTCGGCTTGGACCGGACAGAGCTTTCGGATGTTTACGGTAGCGTCGCGGATGCAGGCGGCGCAGTCGGCTTTGGGAACGTCCTGGCGGCATTGGGCGAGGCCAAAGGCTTCTGCTAGTCCGGCGCCGTAGGAGGTTGCGCTGAAGCCGCCGCCGTTATTGGTGGCTCCGGCGCCGACTTTGTCTACGAGGATGGCGATGTTTCTAGAAACCTCAGGGTAGTCTTTTACTTTGGTGTCGTCGCCGCAGAGATGGTGGATAGGGTCTGCACTGCACGAACTGTAGAGGAAAAGCAGGGAGAAGGAACTGTAGAGAATAATAATTAGGTTCATCTTCATGTCGATGCAAATTGCAGCAAGAGATGATAGTAGATTGGGAGTTTATGACTTATTTTTTTATGGGTGTTGTAATGAGCTGAGGAAGACACTGCTTTATACATTTATATTTACATGTACAATTTTTTTAATGATATTATTTATTAATATACTTCGTCCGTCTCATTGAAAAGTTACCATTTTTTATTTTCGTCCGTTCCAAAACAATGATACTATTTTCTAACTTGATAATTGTACTGTCTACGTAACATAATAAATACTCTTTCAAATTACAATATATTATACAAATATTATTACTTTTATATTATACTATACTAACTAATAAAAATATTTTTATATTTTTTTATTATAATTTAATATTTATTAATATTAAAAAATTTATTTGTGAAAAAGCAAACGCGGTCCTTCCTATTGGATGGAGGGAGTATATATTTTCAAATGCGCAAATTGTTAATGGATTAACACTATCTAGGTGGAACGCGATTTATTATTGTGCAGATATTGTTGACTATAATATTTGTGGGAAATTCAGCCAAGCTAATTTGTTTGTGGAAGATATTTTGACCCATTATAGTTTGTCTTTTATTATTATTATTATTATTTATTTATTTATTTATTTATTTATTTATGTGTTATATACATTAGTGTAGAATGAAAAGGTTTGTTTGATTGTGTTATTTACAGTAATTTAATTGTTTTTCTCTTGAAATATCATGTTTTATATACTTTTTATTAAAAATATTATACAGTATATAAAAAATATATTTAAAATACACCAAAATATAAAAAACATCCAAACAAACCTATAATGATTTATAAATTTATATATTTTTACAAAATAAAATAAATTTCATATAAAAGAAAATAATTTCAATTTCTGTAAATTTATAAAATTAAAAATTTATTTTTTAAAAAATATATATTAATAATATTGTAATAAATTTCTATATTTTACATGTAAGGTAATTTACATATAGCAAAAAACAACTTCAATTGTTTTATAATTTTTAAAAAAATAAAAATACATTAAAAACTTACTAAATAATACAAGAAAAAAAATCATAACATATATAATTATTAGTATTATATTCATATTATGAGAATCACAAATAAGTATTTTTAAAAAATGCCCAATGTATTAGGTTTGGCTTGGGTTTAGGACCAATTTCGGATAGCCGCAAGTTTCCACGTCATAAAAATAAAATAAAAAATAAAAAAAGCCCCAATGTAGTGAAATGAGAGGTAAGTGTAGAGGCAAATGAGAAAATAAAATAAAATATATTGGCTAAGATAAAAAATGATAATGTATAATGTTTTTCAAAAACTAGATTTTAAGGTTTAATAATTTTTTTTTTTAAAAAAAAACTAATTTATTAATTATTAAAATTAACTGCCTAACTAGTTAACCAACTAAAAATTATTAGATAAAATATATATATATATTTTTTAATAAACTATTTTTTCCAAACAGCTCTAGAACAATGTTTGACTTATTGTCTTTGCTCTCGTTATATTCTAGAAATAGCAACTAGTCTTTTTGCATGGTAAAATAATAGTACTATTTTTAATTCCAACACTTTTACTAGTCTTTTAGTTGTAGAATTAGTATTTCTTCGTGTGTGTGTGTGTTTACCTATAAATTTTTATTCTGGTTTTACTATTTCTACGCGTATGAGTCCAACTCTTACACCACCATTCTAATATTTTTATTTGTATGTATAAAATATATATATATATATATGTCAAGTTGGGGCACTTAGTGTGGCCACAAATTCCGCAATATTTGAGTGATTCCACCCAATAATTGTTTTGAATTATGTCCTCCATTTCAGTAGATTCCATTGTCACTATCATTGAAATAAATATATATATATATATTTACTTTCTGGGTTTTATAGAAATGATTATTATCCTATTTTACAAATTCACTAGCAAATTATTTCTAGAAGTTGTTTTGCTGGTCAGCCGGGCCGGTCCAGAACTACACCAACCCAGACTGTAATACCGGTTTCGAACTATTTTTCTTATTTTGGATTGACCAGACCGGCCTGCTTTAGGCCTGTTGAACTTCGGCCCGAGTTAAAAAGGGCCAGGATCAGAGGGACTTATGCATCTCGGGTCGGACCTAATCGAATTATACCCACGCTATTATTTGAAGATGTTGGTACAATTAAAGAAGGCCCATATATTTTGGGCCACCAAATTTGGGCCCAAATGCATTAAAAGCCCAGTCCTAGTATAAAAGCGTAAAACCCTAGTATTGTTTTTCTATTTATCGCCTCTTCGCGAACGCTGCCCAATCTCCCGCTGCCCAATCTCCACCACAGAGGCCAGAGAAGCGGCGTCGCCACCACCAGGTTTTGGAAATTACTTTCATGTTTAAATTTATGTTTCGTCTTTGTATTCGGTTTCGTTGGTGGAGATATGCATGCTTTATTTTGCGACATTCCTCTTGTTTGGATGTTGTGCTTGGGTTGAATTAACTGAAACTTCCGCTGTTGCAAATGGTGTCTATTTGTTTGTTTTGTCTTTGTAAGTCGCTTCGTATTGGTTCTGGTTCTGGTTCGCTGTTGAATGGTGTGAAGGTTATACTATATCATGGAAGGCTTTGTCTGTCTATGTAGTCTTGTTGATTGAATCTTCATAATTCTCGAAAGTTGATTGTATCTACCAAATTATAAGCTGTGTTCTTTGAAACCTAGGGATGTTTGATGATGAAAATAATTTATTTTGATTTTGTTTTCTTTTCATGAATCATGCAATTCAAACAAAGCGATACTATATACTATTAAAATTGAAAATAAGCACTAGAAATTTGTATGGCGATGTTTTAAGATGCATAGCAACAAAGTATTAGTTTATTGAATCCTGGTGGAAATTGAAAATCACTCAATAAATTTGTTTGATGATATTTTAAGAAGCAAATCAAACAAAACGTTATTGCAACATATAATATGTGAGATAGATTTTTTTTATTCTTTTCTAACTTTAGAATTTTATTACAGAAGCCATGGCTGTTCCATTGCTGGACAAGAAGATTGTTAAGAAGCGCGTCAAGAAGTTCAAGAGACATCAGAGTGATCGATTCATCTCAGTGAAGGTATCTTCCTACATTTACACTGCAATTGTTTAGCTGAATGGTGATGTTTTTAAGTGCCTTTGCAGTTTCTGCTGCTATCTGTTGTGTATCTCATGGTCACATTGTTTAGCAACTGCATTTGTCTCTTTGGCACTGGAATATGCTTTTTTAAGCTTGCTACTTTTTAATTTTTCCTGTTTTATTGTTTCTCTTCACAGTCTGTAGTAATGAGATAAAGAAATCTCTTTGATGCATAGCATATGTATATTCTATGAATTCATTCTCTACCTTTGCAGCACTCATATTTGATAAATTGATACATTGTATTTTCCACTGATGCATGCTGTCGCTGATTATAACAAAAAATAAAGAGAATTAGACAATCTGTTAACCTGATATTTTGTATTCAGTGGCCTGTGTTTGTGTAAGCTACAACTTCCAAATTGCACTAAGTTCTTATGCCCCTCTCCTTTAATTAAATGCTGTTGTTAATCTCAACTGGCTTTATATGATTATTTGTCTTCTGGCTTTCAGCCTAGCTGGAGGAGGCCCAAGGGTATTGATTCCCGTGTCCGAAGAAAGTTCAAAGGATGCACCTTGATGCCAAATATTGGTTATGGCTCAGACAAGAAGACGCGCCACTACCTTCCCAATGGGTTCAAGAAGTTTGTTGTGCACAATGTCAGCGAGCTCGAAGTCTTGATGATGCACAACAGGTTTACTAAACATTTGTTTCCTCTCAGTTCTCCTCATTCTAGTTTTTGACTTACATTCTATACATGGGCTCATTGCTGACCTTGTTCTATGTATGTTATGTCAGAACCTATTGTGCTGAAATCGCACACAACGTATCTACCAAGAAGAGGAAGGAAATTGTTGAACGGGCAGCTCAGTTGGATGTTGTTGTGACGAACAAATTGGCCAGGCTGCGCAGCCAGGAGGACGAGTAAGCAGGTCGCTTGAAGTGTTATTTCTTTGGTGACTGTTTTTTATTTCTTTACTTATAATTGAAAGATTGAATGAGGAGATTTTGGGGCAAATTTTGTTTCGACTTAGCTGCTATTTTTTCAGACATCTGTTTTTTGTATGGCATGTTATCTCATTATGACTTGCAATGATGTTTTGTTTTGGTTGTGGTTCTTTTTGGTTTGTTTGGCCTTAGCCTAATAGTTATTGGTATGCAGCTTGAAATATAATGTCTATTATATTTAGAATTAAATTCAAAATTGATCTTTGAAGTTTGGGCAATTGGAAGAGTAGTATTGTGTAAGGAAATTGAAATGGAAATATTGATCAAACGAAGAGAGTTTGATTATTTATGTGTTTATTTTCATACTGTGTCGTGGACATGCTATCTGAATTCATATATTCTTTTTTGCAATCATAATCACCAGTGACGCCGTGACGGACGCTCCATTGTTAAATTGAATACGGAAATTGATTAATTAATTAACTGCCAATAAATTTCCATCTAACGGTGACGGAGGCAAGCGGCGGAGTTATCCGAACCCTGTACGCTGTCGTTTTGCGCGACTGAGTCGGTTAACTGCTACTAATGAATATTCAAATTGCAAAAACGAAAAAGATATAGAAACTCTTGAATTCAACATATTGCCAAAACCCTTACGACTCAACGATGTCAATAAACAATATATAGACAGAACACTGTAACATTACATATAAGGAAATTAGTATTTCGATGATAATTAGAAGATTCTACAAGATTTATTCCATAAACAAATCTTTGCTTCAATCTTTTATTGATTAATCAATTAATATTTATATCACAAAGTAAAGCAAACATATTCATTTTCCTTGTTTAATCTTTTCATTTATTTAATTAATTTCCTCAAAATATCTGTAGGGCTTTTTGATAAGCACAGTAGACGGAGGACCATACACACAAACATACATATGATAATATGATTGGGCATTGTGGTCCCACTGAGATGAGATGAGATGAGATGAGCATTGCATTACATTGTATTGGTTGGCCTTTTTTTAATGGATGGATCATGGTAGCGTGCGTCATCGGTCGGCGATCTTACCTGACCCGACCTCCATTATTGAGAATTGAGACAATAATAATAATAAATAAATTAAAAAAGAAGAAAAATAATTCCTCTTATACTAGTAAGTACAGTACAGTATATTGAATTCAGAAGCTCTGCTCTTACATGAATATGAATGATCTTATCCGTTTCCTGTGTCGTTCTCGAAACTTTTCGTTTCTTTTCTTGAGGCCACTTAACTAATTAGTACTACTACTGCTGCCCTTTCTGCTAAGCTAATTCAATCCCTTCAAATCCTATCCATCCTAAACCCTCCATAAACCCTTGTTCCAATTTCATTTCTGAAATGGACTATTGCGGTTTTTCTTCTACCCTTTGCAAAACCCGGTTCGCCCTTCCGCCATCGGCCTTTTGGACCCCTCCGATCGCCTACAGGCTGCGCCCCTTCGTCGTTGCGGCGGTCGGCGTCAAGTGCGAGTTGGGGGGATGGACCGCGCCGCTCGAGCCGAGGTCATCGGCTGGGAGGCACTTGAGCGGCATGCTGTTGGATGATCGCGACGCCTTCCGGGCGGCTGCTAGGGCCGAATTGGAGCGGCTCGCCGTCCAGACGGATGGAGCCGTGGCGCGCCTCCAACTCAGCCGTGGCTCCGATGAGGCTCCTCTTCACAGGTGAATGGCCATCAATTCTCACACACATATGTATATATATATATATGTATTTGTTCTACTCTGCTGCTGCATTGACCATCATTTCTTATTTGGTAGCTAAGATTCTTGATTCAATTGGAGTTTATTCTTTAATCTGCTCTGCAAACTTGAAGGTTATTGAAAGAGTAGCAGCATTCTGTTCGATTCCATCATAAGTAAATCAATTTGATCAATCGAAGAGTTTGTTAAGATCGTTATTCACATATATCTCTTTATACATTTGACAATTGCTTGCAAAGTATCTGTTGTATGAATTCAATTGTACATCTTTGGATAAGCGCAGAGACTGTCGAGAATGGCACGGGCCAACGAGGGTGTACTAGTGCATCGAAAATGACTAGTACTGCCACCGGGCGTGTGCCTATCGATAAATCATTGGTTGGTAATGCCAGTCGATTTACACGCAGCATTTTGATTCTTAACATTTCCCGGCTAACATCGAATTGTGATCGATCCAATCAATGGCAGGCGAATCGCCGAGCTGAAGAAACAGGAATGCCGAGCAGCAGTTGAAGACGTGATCTACGCAATCATACTCCACGAGTTTTATCAGATGCGCGTTTATTTGGTCCCCGAGCTTTCCAAATGCATCTGCAACAGCAGGTTAGAGATTTTTCCGTCCAAGGATTGGGAGCTCGAGTCGATCCACAGCATCGAAGTTCTTGAGATGGTGAGGGATCACGTGAGCTCCATTACCGGATGCCGAGCGAATTCCTGCGTGAAGGAATGCTGGGCGACGACGAAGATCCGATGCTCGTGCCTCTGCAAAATGTACACCGCCTCCGTCTTGTTCGGCTACTTCCTGAAGTCGGCTGCACTGCGCCGTCGCCTCGAGTGGAATTTAAACGTCGCCAACAGCGCTCATTCCAGCTCATCTAATCTTCCTGTTCCATTGGGATCGAGATCATTTATGAGGATGGGATTCGACGAAGAGAGCGTGGTGATATGCGCGTCGCCGGAGTCGAAGGAAGCGGCAAATGTGGTGGAGAGGCGGAGCTTGTCGCTGTTCGGCGGAGTCGGGGAAGAAGCGGTGATTACGACGTCGTTTGGGAGTGTGAAGAGGCTGATGCTGGAAGGTGTTGCCTTTGGGTGTTTCTTGTGGGAGAGTGAGGATTGGATCAAATCTGCTGTTGAGCCTCTCTATTTGAATATGCTGCTCCGGGAAGAACACCTCTAGAAATACGTACAGTCTTTGTATGTATATATGTGTTTATATATTATTGTTTGAGAAAATAGGAGTAGCAATTGTAGTGTAGATCTGTTTATACTTTATAGTGAGTGTTTTTGTGAATTTTAAGTTTTAATGGCTATCAATATAAATCAGCTTCGAAAATTTAGAGGGATGTTGTGTTACCATTTTTGGGGTGTAAAGAATGCATAATTTTAAACAAAGCCCAAGCCAAATGCAACCTATGTTGGCATGAATGGATCAGCCTACACTGTGGTTGTGTAAAAGACATAGGGTGTGTAGAATTCTAACAAAATTTTACTATTCATTCAATTTTTTCTCTCTAAAAACATCAAATCAAACACCTATTTTTCATTTTTTATATTATACTAAAAATCAATTTTACATTCAAAACATCACATCATCACCTATTTATATCACATCATACAACTGTTCAAATTCAAAATTTTTACTATTCAAATTCCAACTCAAAATCCAAACCCCCAAACAAGCACACCCTAAAAAACTTAAAAAGAGCACATAGAATGACTTAAAATTCTCTCTTCGTTCCAAAATTAGAGGGCTTTGAAAATCCTATACACTCTGCAACTTTTTTTTTTTTAATTCTAAATTTACTGCAATATTTTTAAATTTAGAAATAATTAATAATACTTATAAACATATATTAATATACGTTTTATTTTATCTTATTACATAGCTCAAATAAAAAAAACAAATAATTATTTTTCTCTCATATCACATAACTTAATATCTAAATTATCTCAAATTATCATACTTAATACCCCACCTAGATTCTTGTGTCAAACACAAATGTTGCACGGTGTTTGGATCGGAGGGAGTTTTAATTAAAAAATTATAATGTTATTTTAAGAATTAATAAGAGTGTATAAATTTTGTTGATATTTTTGTCTATTAACTTTATATATAAAATAATAATATGTTTATAAATCTAAGTAAAAATATTTTGATATTATTATATGATTATTTTTTTAAAAATAATAATAATAATTTGAAGTTTGACGGATAAAAATAGTAGAAATGAGTATTTCAAATTGACACGAATAAAGTATTAATTATTCTAAACAAATATAAACAATTAAACAAATTGTAATAAACCAAATAGTACTTCGAAATTGATTTATGTTAATTGGAGTTTTTATTTAAATTATATGGAACCCGTAAAATTAAGTATGATATAATATTTAAAATGTAAACTTTTAAATTTTAATATAATATAAAACTAAAATATATATATTTATTTAAATATTTTTAAGATGAAAAATGATTAATAAATGGTAAAATTGTGGTAATACTCCACAAACGATCACAACATATTCTTCTCAATTTTTTTGTTCACGCTTGTTTCTTCTTTTCTGATTTCTATAAGTCAAAAGTAATCTTGAATCCAAACAAATATATATTTTTTTAAAGAACATATATATATCAAATTTTCCTTCCAAATAAATATTTATATGTATTACTCCATATAAAATTATATTTACAGAGGTCAGAGGATTGGGTCAGCTCAAATTATTTGACATTGTTTCAGTCAAGTCATCAATCTTCACGTGGCTTTGAAATTTTGGATAGAATTTGATAATTTAAATACTTTCATCCATCTAATTTCCATTGTTCTAAAGTATATTTGCACAATTTTTTAGATAATTATCTTTTTATTATGAATTGATAAGTTTGCCCTTAATTGTACGGTAGAGATTAAAAGTAATAAATAAATGAAGTGTAAAAATATAAAATTTGTGTTTAAAAAAGAAAATATGACAATAATTATTGGACGTCCGAAATAAAAAAAGTAAGACATTAGTTTGTGGACGAAAAGAGTATTATATATAATTAAAAAATATAATATTAATCTTCGACAATTTTGTTCAATTTTGTTTGTCTTTTAATAATATTTATATCTTTCTTTTCATAAAATATTATACTACTATTTTTTATTATAAAAAATAAAATTTTCAATCAAAATCCCACCTATTAATATCAAGACTAAAATGTTTTGACCATAAAAATTAGAAGATGGAGGAGTACTACTTTTAACTCAAGTTTTTTTTTTTATATCAATTGTATATTGTATGTGACAGTAGTATATTTTTTTTTATTCAAAATATTATATTTCCTTAGTCTCTTAATAATTTATCAATTTTTTTATTTTGGTCCGTCTCATAATAAAGTATTCATTTTATTTTTTAAGTAATTGTATCGTCTACCTAACATTACAAATACCCTTCCAAATTACAATATATTACACAAATATCATTATTTTTATAAATACTAATAGATAATTTAGTATTTTTATCTTTATTTCTACTTTATTCCAATATAATATTAATATTTTTAAAACTCCGTGAAAAAAACAAGATGAATTAATTTGACTTTATTAACATAATTGATAATTGGATTAAGAAAATTAAGGCCATAAAATAAATTACATATATCCACAAATAATTTTCTTATTTGTTAAAGAGGCTATGTAAATATTTTTTAGTTTATTCGACTCCAGTTTGAAATTGATTTTAAATAATATGTTTGATTTAAATTTATATTTAAATAATATTTTATAAAAAAGTAAATAATATAAATTTGTATCTAAAATTATAAATAAACAAATCCTTTCTTTTATTTTTACTTGTTCAATTCTAAATAATGCAAATTAAGTGCCAAAAGTCAAGACAATGTTTTTTACACATAGCGTTAATTGACCAACATTGATTTTGCGTGAAGATTAATCTGATAGTTGACAACAATTTTATTATTATTATTATTATTAAAAAGTTATTTTTTAATAATATATTTTTATTATAATTTATCTATTTAAATTATTAGTTTGCTTTCATTTTTATTTTCAACTGTTATTCTGCATTTCATTTGGGATCTTACTAAACCAAATTTTATTTTATTTTTTAATATTATTATTTTTATTTAAACAACATCAAGACTAATGATTATATGTTGATACTTTGGCTTACCTATGAAAATAAATAAATAAAATTAAATCCCTTTTATGACTTCAAGAATTCACCAAAATAAATAATTTTTAGAATAAACAAGAGAAAGCGACAACTAATAATATCCGTGAAATTGTGATGATAAGAAATTATTTACCTTTCTTACCAAAATGTATTACTATATAAGAGATATATATAATATATGTAATTACATATACAATAATAGTATGTAATTGCTAATAAGACATGTATAATAAATGTAATTACCAATAAAATATATATGTAATTACTAATGATATTCAGTAGTAATATAGAAATATACTCATTAATTTTTATTTTTATTTTTATTTTTTTTATCACTTAAAAAAACAACAAATATAAGTTTATGACCCATTCTCCTGAAGCGGCTGAATAATTAAAATATTTCTGGAAAATCAGTAAGGAATAATATTTTTTTAAAAAAAATTTCCGTCTTATGATTTTTTTTTTTATATATAAAGGGGAGGAGCAAAAATGGATGACTTCATTGATTAAAATCATAAGACCATGGAGGGGAAGCTTATGCGTACAGTGCAGTACAATGGCTATGGCGGTGGAGCTTCCGCCTTGAAGGTAGAGTTTTGATTTTTGGTGGTTATAGTTCTAGGAGGAAATTCTGGTTTCAATTGTTTGTTGTTCTCTTAAAACTGAATGTGGAGTTTGAAATTCCCGTTGTCTGCTTAAAGCGTGTTGTTGAGTTCTTCGTTTAAGCCGTTTGCTCTATCGTAATCGAATCTCAAATTGTTGCTTCGTCTAATTTGTGCATGCTTCTGGTATATTCCGATTTTTTATATTTTTATTTTGTGTGGTTCATCTATGAAATGAATTCTCTGGATTATACGGATTTGTGAAGCGTTGAGTCATTTTCTCAAACTTTTTAGGGCTAAGATTTCGTATTGGATTGCAAAGTAGCACTTGGGCAGATAGAATGGAATTCCTCCTTGGCCTCTCTAACAATTGCTAAGATGCTCTTTAACATCTAAGTATTTGTGTAGCATTCGTGTTTTGACATCTTAGTAAACTGCAAGGCCCAATATATGTGTTGCAATTATGAGTGCTTTTCGAGATTCATGTCATCAAGTTTAAGTTATTGAAAATTTTAACACTCTAGCAGCATGTTGAAGTTCCTGTTCCTAGGCCTGGTAAAGATGAAATGCTGCTGAAAGTGGAAGCGGCGAGCATTAACCCTATTGACTGGAAAATTCAGAGCGGCATGCTTCGCCCTTTGTTCCCTCGGAAATTTCCTATGATACCTGGTAAGATTACAGCAAATCCTTAATTAGTGTGAATCCACTGAATTGTTCAAGCAAAATATCGGTTAGAACTATGCTCTTCTGCTTTAAATCCATGCCCTATAGGATACAATAAATCATAGCTGAGAAATCATGTTCATTATATTATTTAGACATCAACTTGTTCCTATCTCAGATTTTATCGTTTATGGCATAGCATACTATCGAAAACTTTTCCAATAATTGGCCTCATTCTTATCTTTACCTTACACTGGAGCAGGCGGTGATGTTGCCGGAGAAGTGGTTGAGGTTGGGGAGGGAATTAAAAACTTCAAACCCGGTGATAAAGTTATCACCGTGCTGAACCCAACTGTAAGCACTCCAAAATTATTCAAGAATTTACCGAACATCTCCATGTGAAATGAACAAATGTTTCTTAACAATTTTCATTTTCTTCTGCGATTCATATCTTCAATAAACAGTCAGGAGGTGCAATGGCAGAGTACTGTGTGTGCAAGGAGACTTTAGTAGTTCTGAGGCCTCCCGAAGTCTCCACGGCCAAAGGCGCAGCCCTCCCCGGCGCAGGCCTAACAGCTCTAACAGTCATCACCGAAACTGTGGGGATTAAACTCGACGGAAAGGGCCCCCAAAAGAACATCCTGATCACAGCAGCCTCAGGCGGCGTCGGTCTTTACGCTGTTCAAATTGCAAAGATGGGGAACGCTCACGTCACAGCCACGTGCGGTGCCCGTAACATCGATTTAGTGAGAAGCCTCGGAGCAGACGAGGTTCTCGATTACAAGACCCCAGAAGGAGCTGCTCTGAAAAGTCCTTCGGGCAAGAAGTACGACGCAGTGATCCACTGCGCTACTGCTACGCCATGGTCAGTCTTCGAGCCGAACCTCAGCCCGAATGGGAAAGTGTTCGATCTCACTCCCAAGTTTGCCGCCTTCTGCACCGTCGCCTTGCAGAAAATCACCTTCTCGAAGAAACAGCTGGTGCCGTATTTCCTCGCGATTAAACCGGAGAACTTGCAGTCCGTCATCGAGTTAGCGAAAGATGGGAAACTGAAGACGGTGATCGACTGTGAGGTTCCTCTGAGTAAAGCTGAGGATGGTTGGGATAAGTCGATGAGCGGCCATGCCACCGGTAAGATCATCGTCAAGCCTTAATTTAGAAAACTAAATTTCAATCTTGTTGTGGTGTGGTCTGGTGTGATCTGATGTTATGTTGAAGAATTTTTAGTTGCAAGAAAGTTGGCTGTATGGTTGTTTGGTTTATAGATCATATGTATGTATTTACAAAGAGTCGAGGATGTTTTCTGCACTCTGTCAGTTTATTTTTTATATGCTTTAATTTAGTAGTCTTGTTAATTTCTGTTCTTCAATGGAGTTAATCTACATTACAATTTACCTTCTGGAACTCGCAAAAACTGAAACGATACAATTCGATTATGTATGCGGATCGACACGTTGAGGTTTTCGACTCTGAACTAGTGTGACTTATCTAACGGGCTTAGTTTGTAGGATAGATTCGGCTGAAGTTTACACCAGGGGTGTGTTTGTTTGAAGGATTTTGATAGATTTCCACTATTCATCCAATTTTTTTCCCCTACAACTATTCAAATTCAAAATTTTTACTATTCAAATCCCAACTCAAAATCCAAACCCCCAAACAAACACACCCCAAGTGCATTTTCGGATAGCAACTAACTTAGATTCCATGTTTATAAAAAAAAAATAATAATAATAATAATAATAAATAAAAATTAGTCTCAAGACATCATTCATAGTTGGCCTAATGTCAGCGGATTTTTATGTTATAAAAAAAAAATATATATATATATATAATAAAAACTAATATAACAGATAAATAATAAACCCGACGATGCAGTAAATGGATTGAATTAGAGTTAGTTAAGTAACCTATTCAACCTGAAGACCTATTTTCGGCTTAATAATTTACGCAGCAGCCTGTAACAAAAGGAAAATAAGCCGCTGGCTGATTCAATCTTATAGAGAAAAAGAATTGAAAATTAGAAATAATTCATTTGTCAAAATACACCTATAAATAAATCATAATTTGCAATTGAATTTTAAAACAAAAAAAAAGAATTAATAATTAATAAATAAATCATAGTAATTTGCAATTTGCCTTTCGACTGTTTCGTGAAAATGCAGAAAACAACTCGGGGCCAACGGAAACTATGTCCAACATTAAAAGAGCCCTAATTTGATCTGCAATTGCAATAGAATCCCTCCATCGCGGCTCGTGTATGTTTCTTCGTGCAATCGGACCTGAAGGCCGCCTATTCAAGCCTCATTTCCAATGGCTGTTGCCGTTTTGCTCTGCAACTCGTCCACAGCAGTCAGACGACACCGTTTCTACAATCTCGGCCTTTTTGAAGAATCCCCACTGGGAAAAGAATCAGCGTCTCAAGTCCCTCGTCTCCCACTTGAACCCTCTCTTGGTTCCCAAAATCATAAACCTCCACAGCGAGGATGCCCCGCTCTGTCTCGAGTTCTTCAAATGGGTATGCAAACACTCCACTTATTGCTACGATATGGACAGTAGAATTAAGTTAATGTATATGTGTGCGTCCGATAATTTGTACGCCGTCGTGGATAAATCAATTGTTTACTTGATTAAAGACTGCTGTAGTTCTCACGACGACGTTTTGAAGCTCATTCGCGCCGTTGAAGAACTGCGGCGAGTTTACGGTTTTTGGATAAAGTATTATTGTTTCAGTCTGCTTTTGAAGCGTCTGGCGAAGCTTGGTATGGGTTTGATGGCGTTTTTGGTGTTCAAGAGAATGGCGGAAATTGGATTTGTGGCGAGTGAGATTGATTACAGGAATGTTATCAATGCTCTGTGTAAGGATGGACATTTACAAGCTGCACTAACTTTCATTTCTAGGGTTTTGAAACTTGGATTCGATTTGGATGTTTATATCTATGCTTCATTAGTGTTGGGAAACTGTCGAATTCTTGATCTAGCCGAGGCATTTAGAGTGTTTGCTTTGATGGGCTGTGGTGCTAATAGTGTTGCCTACTCGATTCTTGTTCATGGCCTATGCGAATCGGGGAGGTTAGACGAAGCATTTGGATTGAAGGAGGAGATGAGTAGAAATGGCTGTCGACCGAGTACCCGAACATACACAGTCTTGATTAAAGCCATGTGTGATAGGGGGTTGGTTGATCGAGCATTCGTTTTGCTAGATGAGATGGCGAAGAACGGCTGCAAACCGAATGTCTACACCTACACAGTCCTATTAGATATGTTGTGTAAGGAGGGGAAGATCGAGGAGGCGAATGGAATGTTTAGGAAGATGCTCGAAGATGGGATGAATCCGGGCGTCGAAACTTATAATGCTCTGATAAATGGTTACTGTAAAGAAGGAAGATTGGTTTCGGCGTTTGAGTTGGTTAGTGTAATGGAGAAGAAGAAGCGCTGCAAACCGAATATCCGGACCTACAACGAGCTCATGGAAGGGCTGTGTAAATCCGGTAGGCCTGATCAAGCCGTCGTGCTTTTGAGGAAGATTGTTCGAGACGGGTTGTTTCCTACCGAAGTTACTTTTAATATTCTCGTCGACGGGTTTTGCAGGGCTGGTCGGGTAAATGCAGCCCTTGGTATTCTACAGTCGATGAGCTCGTTCTCGATTGAACCCGATGGAGTTTCTTATACCACTTTGATCGACACATTTTGCAAAATCGAAAGGCTCGAGCTAGCGAGCGTTGTTTTGGGAACAATGATGAAGATTGGAATGTGTATCGACGAGGTGACGTGGACTGTTATTATCGATGGTTATTGTAAGGCCGGGAAAATTAGTTACGCCGTTTTCCTGTTCGAGAAAATGATCGAAGAGTGGCGTTTGACGATGACGGGGCCTCATGCTTTCAATGTGTTTCTTCATGTTTTCGGCGAGGAAGGTAATGTTGGCGCGAGAAATTCGATGCTGGCGAAACTGTTGAAGTATGGTTTGGTTCCTTCTGTTGTGACTTATACCATATTGGTTGTTGGGATCTCCCGAGTAGGTGATATGGCTGAGTTGTTTGCGATGTTCGATCTTATGAGACGAGATGGGTGCCCGCCGAATATCGTTACGTATACGGCTGCCGTCGCTGGTCTTCTCCGGAGGGGAAAAATTGACGGCGCGAGGAATATTTTGGTCGAAATGAGGAAGGATCGGGTATCGCCGAGCGACGAAATTTATGGTATGCTGTGGGATAAGTAGTCTGTTGCAGAGTGGGGGATTAGTTTTGAATGAAAATTTGATTTTTCTATATATAATATATATATATATATATAATTTGATGTTTTTAAAGAAAAAAAATCGAAGAATGGTAGAAAATCAATTGCATATCCGGCTACATTTGGTATGTCGGGATATTATATGAGCCAGGAGGCTTTCTTATAACGCTGCGAAACTACAGATTAATACCTTGAAGTGTTATGGTAGGAATGGGAGGGTATTTTTGTAAATTCAGTTGAAGTTCATTTAATCCTCCGTTACCTATAAATGAACCCAATCACCCACTGCGTAACGATAAAATTGATTCAGTCTGCCCTATTATGGGAAAATTTAAATAAAATAGCAGATTTAATGGAATTAATTGATGATAGGGCATACTGATGGAGCAGATTTATTTCCTATTTTATTATTGACATTATTGTCTTTTATTATATTATATATATATTTTTTATTATATATTGGCAACAACCATTCTGCGAAAAAAAAAAAGTAAAAAAAAAATAATAATAATAATAAGAATAATAGCAACAGTAATGAGCAGGCAACAACCACTGTGCAAACAAAGTACAACATCATTTATTCAACTCTCGTACGTACGTACACACTCCAGTTCAGTTCAGTTGAGTCCAACATCGTAAATCCCTCCCCCTCCTCCTCCCATCTACCCTCCTTCCCTCTAATAAATAACCCATCCTCTTCCTACAGACACTGTAATAATGGATCCAAAAGCCAATGGCAGCAATCTCCACCTGGTTATGTTCCCATTCTTCGCCTTCGGACACATCTCCCCCTTCATCCACCTCTCCAACTACCTCTCCCATGGCCGCCGCCTCAAGATCACCTTCTTCTCCGCCGCCCCAATCGTCCCCCGAATCCAACCCTTGCTCCAAAACTCCGACATCGTCCCCCTCACCATCCCCCCCGTCGACGGCCTCCCGCCGGACGCCGGCAGCACCGCCGAACTCACCCCCCTCCAGGCCGAGCTCCTCAAGGTCGCCCTCGACCGGATGCAGCCGCAGATCAGACAAATCCTGTCGGAATTAAAACCCCGCCCCGATTTCGTCATCTTCGATTTCGCCCACGAATGGCTCCCCAAAATCGCCGCCGATCTCGGAATCAAGTCGTGCCTTTACTGCGTCTTCACCGCCTTGTCCAGTGCTTACCTCACCGTCCCCGCCAGGCGCCCAGATCCCGCCACGTCTCCCTCTTTCGAGGACCTGAAGCTCCCGCCTCCCGGGTTCCCCGAGACCTCCGTCACCGGGGTCCGGACCTTCGAGGCCCGGGACTTCGAGTATCTGTTCAGGAGCTTCTACGGCTCGCCCTGCGTGTACGACCGCATCATCGCCGGCATGGCCGGCTGCTCGGCGCTTGTTATTAAGACCTGCTACGAAATGGAGGCGCCGTACATCGACTACATCAAGTCGCAGTTCAAAAAGCCGGTTCTGCTGACCGGTCCGCTCGTCCCGCCGCCGCCGGCCGGCGAGATTCTCGACGAGAAATGGGCGAATTGGCTGTCGAAATTCGAGACCAAATCGGTGGTTTTCTGCTCGTTCGGGAGCGAGACGTTCCTCAACGACGATCAGATCAGGGAATTGACATTAGGGCTTGAGCTCACCGGCCTCCCGTTCCTGCTGATTCTGAACTTCCCCTCCGGCGCGGCGGCGGCGCTGGAGAGGGCGCTGCCGGAGGGGTTTCTGGGGAGGGTGGAAGGGAGAGGCGCGGTGTCGACGGGGTGGGTGCAGCAGCGGCAGATCCTGGCCCACCCGAGCGTGGGGTGCTATTTCTGCCATGGCGGGTTCAGCTCGGTGTTGGAGGCCATAACCAGCGACTGCCAGGTGGTGCTGCTGCCGCAGAAGGGGGACCAGTACTTGAACAGCCGGCTGGTGGCCGGCGATTGGGGGGCGGCAGTGGAGGTGCGGCGGAGGGATGAGGACGGGGGTTTCGGGAGGGAGGATGTGCGGGGGGCGGTGGAGAGTTTGATGGTTAGGGTTTGGGAGAATCCGGTGGGGAAAGGGGTGAGGGAGAATCAGAGGAAATGGAAGGAGGTGCTGGCGGAGGACGGGGAGGGTGGTTTTCAGGACGCTTTGCTGACGGACTTCGTCGACCAGTTGGAGGGGATACTCCTTAATTCGTAATTACTATTATTGTGTTAATTTAATGACGTCATCATGCATGTCATTTTAATGAATTTGATGTTCGATAATAATGCATGGATCCTTAATTGCCAGTGTTGTCGTAGGCTACTATAATTGTTATTTTTCAAGGGCTGGTACCAAAAATTGGGCACTTTTTTATTAGCAATCGGTCCGCTTACACACACATATATATATATATATATTATGCAAGTATACATACACATACAATATATACAACCTGTATATATATATATATGCATATATACATACATATACATACGTGTACGTATATACCCACCTATTATGTTCACATTGTCTTTTTTTTATCCGTTTCTCATCTCATGTCTTTTTTTTTTTTTCGAAAAATGATTATACATTTTTTATTTCATTTTAAATTTTTTAATTTAATTTTTTTAAATTTTAATTAAATTAATTAGTTATCTTAATTTTAATTTATAATTATTTATATTAATTCATTAATATATTTTTAATTATCTACTAATTATATTTATTATAAATTTTTGTATCTACGTTAACCCAAACATTCAAACGTGGATGAATGGAGTACATTATATGTAAGTGGACTTTGGATACATTAATGCAAACATCCAATGTGGGTAGAGGGTGTACATTATATGTAAGTGGACTTTGGACAGGTGATCCGATGCCGGGAGAGAGGGGGCTGATGATCCCTCCGGGGTTACATATAGGACTGAATGGGAAAATCAATCAGCAAATGTGAAACACTTAAATTAAAGTATTTATTTTTATTTAACATAATACTATCATTCCAATTTATTTTCAATTTTTTTAATTGTCATTTAATTACTCTTGTTTAATTTTTATACTCTGTGAAATCAGTATACAATTGAACAACAAATAAAACATATATTAATGGTAAATAAAAAATATATATACATATTTTGTATTTATATGTTTTGTATGTTAAAATCAATTCTAATATGTTTATATCTTGTTTGTTTTTATATATTTTTTTATTATATATGTTATATTATATGTTGTGTGAGCCTTGTCTATATATATTATGTTAATATAATTTATATATTATTTGTCTTTATATGATATAATATGTGTATTTATATAATATTATTATATTTTTATCATATGTTATTTGTAATAATATTTTATTAATTAATAACAATATGTAAGATGATTTTAATATTTACCTACAAAGAAAACTAATATTGTAATAGAAAAATAAAGATGTTTTATATTTATATATAAATTACTTTTATTATAATAAAAAATTGCTATATAAAATACAAAATAAACACATTCTTTTAATATAGACAACTACTATATAAGCAAATTTTAACAGATTAAATAAAACCAAGCAAACTACAACTATTTGTTTTAAATTCTTTTCTTCATGTTAATAATTATTTGATATAATAAAAACAAACAAAATCCAAATTTACAGAACATAAATCTACTACACATATAAAACATACACCTATTGCTGCAAAATCTATGCAAAACTCACACCTAAAAATAGAACCGACTCGCACCTAAATATAGAATCGACATAAATAAACAAGGCCAGAGTACAAATTCAACCCCACTCCAAATTAATGACATATTCCATGATCATCCACAATTAATTGTTGTTAACGTTGAACACCTCATTAGCCTTGGACAGAAGTACTATAGTTGTTTTTATCCAAATTTAACAACAATAGATTATGTGAGTTTCTACATTACTACTAATTGACAGCAATCCGGTGAACAAATAAAGCACATAGTTAAGTAACACAAGGGATTTAGGTGAGCCCATGTACAATCAAAGAATCAATATCCTTGTCACCAAAATTTGGAGATCAAGGACTGATCTTATGGTAAGATATGCGAACATTTCATGTGATTTGTGTTTGAATTCACTCCTAAGGGATTATATTCAGGCACATGTTTACAACAGAATAGCTACCAATGTTCCAAGAACTTAAACATATAACATGACAAGAGAAGAGAAGTGAAGCATTCCATTACTCTACCAAAGATAATTCTCTCAGGGGTACTTCATCACTTCTTAGCTTATCTAGAATTCTAAGGGATTCTTGATCGGGTTCCAGGCCCGAATCAAGATACTGTTATACATTAATATGCACGGGAAAAGTCTTCGCTTTTTTTCCCTATGCTTCACCAGCAAATAAGCTTAGAAGGATTATGTTGGTTACTTAAGGATCAGATATAGAACAATGAGATGGGGTTAGTTACCCTAAACCAGCCGTCGCCTACCTGGCCAGCTTACTCATGGCCGCGTTAACCCTTTCATCTGTTATCAATTTGTGGCTGTCGTAAAAGTCTAGTATCTCCATTGCAATGTTCTTCACCTGTCAAATTAAACCAGGCAAAATAATAGAAAGAATGAGTAAAGGTGGAGAGTTAGACATATAAACATCCCAAACAGGCACGCATTGTCAGTGGGAGGCCTTATGAACAAATAAGTTCAAATATGAATGAAATGAACTCATGAAGCAAAAGGGCAAGTATCCATGATGATGCAAATAAAGACTTAAGGTTAACAACCAAAATCTAAATTTGGAGAAGTGCAAACCCTTTCCACTTATTGTTGTGTATAATGAAACAGTTTAGGAATAATAAGCATGATGATGATGGCAACGGTTCACAATCCTTTTAATTTATGTTACATAAATTGAAGTATAGTATAAACAATATTTATGTCCTATACTGCAAAAGAAAAATGCAAGAAGTATAAAAACGGACGTTTAAAACTGACATTCATGAGTGGGAACATTAATCGATGTAAATTCCATAATTGACCAACATAAAATAAGGCATGATACATTTCCATGGATGTCTTAAATTCAGAGGTGATAAGAGGCTGTAGCCTTGTGTAGATTAAAGTATGATGTATGCCTACGACCATTCCAGAATTGCAAAGATATTACTCTAGTTGAAATCTGAATAACCAACTGCAGCATGACATTAAGTTATTTATCATATTGTGAATAGTGTTAGTATCCAGCTATGGAACAACTTTAGGATTGTACAGATTTGTGGTCATGAAAGTCTGATCATATGAACACCAGCTAGCAAATTTGAGCAAACAAGAATAGTTATCGATGGAATAAAAGACTGATATATTTGTGAGCATTGGTTGTGTTTGGTTCTTGAAATGGCAGTTATATGTGTATGCCTTGGCCCTAAACATTATCGGGGAGTCCCCTAGCTGAAATATCATGAAACATGTAAATATCTGATTAGATTTTTGTCAATGTTGACCCTGCAAAATATCTTCAAAGTCTACAGATGAACACTCAAAAAAGTTTCAAGAAGTTCAAGACTCTGGTGGTAAAGCACACTAGTTAACCAGGTTAAAACATCTAAAACAAACCATAGAACGGATATTTGTGATGTGCCATATGATTATTTGGTCAGTTGGTTTAGTGAGGCATCACTATACAACAACACATACGACTGTACCACATCATACATTGGGATGTGATTATGCAAATAAATAGGCAGTTCTAAGGTATAATTTGTACTCAATATCAGTTGTTCCCAATTGAAAAAATGAAATAAAATTCAGGATACTATTTGAGCTAGCCGAATTATATAAATCTCCAGTCATAAATCAAATTCCCTTGCTTTTAATCATATTGATCTTGCAATTTGCAAACCAAGAATGAGGACAAAACAAAATTTAAGTTTCAAATGAATTCCAATCTAGAATGACAAGATAGGATGACTTGCCACATTCATGTCGACCTGGAGCTCCTCAAACCAGGCTGTGTTTTCTTTCTCCTTTTGGACACTTGCAATATATATGCAGGCTAATGAAATCAAATAAGGAGGATGTATGAGAATCAGATCCATCTTGTAAGTATCATTCACGATTCCCCTGCAGCATGCCCACAGACAAGTGCAAAAACGTGTCAGTTCAGTGTCCATCACACTAACTTCAGTGACATTGATCCAACGAATTTCTGTTTTATAATAAGAAAAGGGAAAGACATCTGAAAATCTAACCAAGTTAATTGAGTCGCATCATTCATTCCAGCGTCTTGAAGCAACCTATAATTTAGTAGAGTTGCAGTTAGGGGAAAAAATTATACAGGTTTTGGATTCCCAAAGAGAGAATGCTTTTATGCAATGCATCACATTGCCACGCGTCGATCATCTGAAAGGTTTCCTACTGACGAGCTGGCGTGATTGCATTTCATAGGAAGAATTAATGCAAAGAAAAATACAATAGAACTTAAATATGGAAGAAGATGGGAAAGAAATTTGAATCAATCTTTCAGTTGATTAATTTTACCTTTGTTCAAATTGACGAATTTTGAAAATACAGCCAGAGAAAAATTAATGAATTGGGATTGTAGATTTAGATTTACTCTATGCAAATGCCCAGAAAATTCCAGTTTGGTTTATTAATAAAATTTTATAACATATTGAACACCAATGAATGTAAACAATAAACAAGACTGTCCCTACTATGGTTAATATGCACGCGTGCACACACACACGCATATACATGTGGAGAAACTTACTGTGGTAGTGCCCGATAAGGATGGAAAACCACTAAATAAAAATCCAGGGCTTCTAAAATTTTCATTTCCATTTCCAGTATCTCTTTTATTTCCAATCGATACTTCTCATCTGAATCTGCAAAACAGAGGGTGGCTCCTTCAAATTTGCAATACAAAAATGTTGATACATAACGGTGAAAGTGAACTGATATCATATCAATCACAAAGCATATTAGAATATAGAAATTACACAATTTCTTGATGTAAAACACAAGAAGTCTTGCTTGCACGGTGCTTTCTTCAGCTTTTGAGGCCAAGTACAAGCAGGTTGGAGCAACTAGACGAGGATCACATTCAGTCATGCTTCGCCTGGAAAGATAATAATTGATAATTTTGAGAACAGGAACCACATTAAGATGCAGAAACAACTGTAGAGAGCAAGAAACTTCAGGAACATTCACTCCGTTCTCTCAACACTATTTTTTAATTTCGATTCCCCAAAAATAATAATAAACAATACAAAAATTCTTTTTATAAAAGTTAAAAAGTTAAACAAAACTTCAAATACTCATTTCAAAATGTCAAAAAGTCAAATATTCAACTTACTATAATATATTTATACTTTTGACACAACTCCTCATACCACATACCAAAAATCAATCTATCTAAACACGTTAAATGAACGGAATTATTTTGAAAGCTGTGAAAGTAACCCCTTGATGTTTGTCGTGTGTGAAAACTGTCTGACTAAGGGTGAATAGGACTAGCATTTAAGATTCGAAATGATGATAGATTAAGGAGAAGACACCTGGCAACCATTTACCATTCAAGAAACAGATAATCACATGGCAATGGAGCAGGAGGCAGCAACAAAGTAATGCTTCAGAATTTAAACTAAAAGCAATTAAAGCATACAATTAAATTTTATCGGTATTTCTTTTACCAAAATCTAGTCAGAGAGTGAAACTCTAATTATCAGCTCCCATGTATCATAGTTTTAAAAAATTATAAGTCATTGTATTGTTAACCTATTAGTATATTTAGAATTTCAAAGGCAAGCCTAAATGCATGGTTGTTGCCTAACAATAAAGAATAGACGCAACATACCTCACATAAACACGTCTCATGTATGCAATAGCAGTAGCCACAACCCTGCAAAGTTAACCAACATGTATGAACACGAAAAAGTGGTGGGAAATAATAAATATATATGTATATATACATTTATATAAAGAAATAAATGAAGTGCATTATTGGAATTTCATTCTACCTTCTGGATTTTCTAGTTGATCATATCATCAAATGTAAGTAAAAATAGGAGCAAGTAGTTCTAAATACATAGTTCAGTTACTTTAATTGGATAAAAATTTGAGTTCATTTATTTGCCCAAATGAAAGAATAGAAGAGTCTAAAATTAAAAGCATACTTTGGTTCAGTGCTAAAGAGCTTCATATGAAGAAAAAATTATTTACTTTAAATTAAAAAGAAGCCCATTGTAAAATTAACCATTTGGTTCCTCCAAGTAAATAAGTCAAAAGAAATTGAGAAGATTCAGAGGCTTATAAGCTTCTTGAGTGTATTCAATATGAAGACACTCTTATCTAAAGCATTATGCTTACAATATTGCATTTCACATTTTTCAGAAATAAACGGTCTATTTATACAACACACTTTCCCTCATTTGGTGCTATTCATTTTTAAAAAAATATCACATCAAATACACTTTTTTCATTACAAAACATCAAATCAAATACCAACTTTTTTACTTTTTCCAAACTTCCAAATTTCCAAAAACCTCCAAAAATCACTATCTAAGCAAACCCAAAAAACTGGAAAAAAGGAATATCAAGAGAAGCTAAAACAGGATAAAACCCTAACCTTTGCCGCACTTTCACATTCTGAGCCAATCTTGTAATATCTGGCCAGTTGAAGGTTAATAAGATAACAGAAATCCAAGGTTTTAAGAAGTAGGGAACAAGCATCAGTACATCAAATTTCACATTCACATTATAAGCTCACAGTAAATTCAGCAAGAATAACAGCAGTAGATTCAAGCCATCGCAACTCGGTAAAATTTCACAAAAAGTTCATCAAAACATCAAATTCATAGATATTCAATTAAAAGAAATGGAATTAAGGCAGTTCTCTTAATATTTCGTCTAGTATTCAAAAACACTGCAAGAAATTCGAAAGATCCACCCACACACCAAAAAAAAAACGCCATCCGAAAGACAAATTGGATTTATACTTACAATTAGACATGTGCAGCTTTATGAGCTTGAAATCTTCAAGAGTCAGACCCCTTTCCTTATCGAGTGGATGAACGACATCGACCTCTTCCGCGTCCAAGAGTTGTTTGCTAACGAAAACGGAAGTTTTAAATTAAATTAAGCTTACGATGGAAAAAAAATACGTGATCTATCGCAAAGGAAATAGAATAATCTGGCATCGGGACTCACTAGTGGGATGAAGCCCAGAAATTGGCCGCCATGATTGTGTGAAGAAATGGCGCTGCTTGAGATGATTATGATCAATCGGGAGGGATAAATGGGGTGGGTTTGTTTTGTGCTTTTGGGTTGAAGGAAATTTCGATGAAGTTATATCGAAGTACATATCGTTAATAATAAATTATTACTATCTCCGTCCCCCCAAAACCGTTTTGTTGGGAGTTAAGCACTAAAGAATAATATTATTTAATTTAAACTAAGTATAAAATAGAATATAAAAAATTAAAATATATTTATATTTTTAAAAATTTAAAAAATATATTAAAGTAATAATTATAGATAATTTGGAAAAAGTATGAATAATTTTATTATAAAGTCGGGATCATGATTACTAAATAAGAAACAAGACAATTGTTTTAGGACGGATGAAAATAGAAAAACAAGACAACTCTTTTGAGACGGAGAGAGTATTATTTTTTTAAATAGTGGAAAATCGCAATCTAAAAGCTTCTGTTTTTACTTGTGAGGTTTTAATTTTGGATTTTGATTTTGAATAGTAAAATTTTGAATTAAAATAATTGTTTGATGTGATATAAATATGTGTTGATGTGATATTTTGAATATAAAATTAAATTTTAGTGTAATAAAATAAATAAAAACTGAATATTTGATTTGATATTTTTTTTAAAAAAATAGAATAATAAAATCAGTCTAAAATTTGGCAAGTAAATACACATGAATTAGTTCACCCATACTACCAAAAATTTTATAAAAACAATAAATAATAATAATAATAAAATTTATGACTTACAATAGACTTAAATATAGCTGTCTAATTCATAACAAATTGTATTTTGAAAAAATTTCTCAAAACGAACGAACTGATTGTTTTTTTTTATCATTGGTAATAAATATATATATATATATATAAACACTACTAAATTAATATAAATATTTATAAAAAATAAATTATAAATCATAAATCCAAGTTACTATCTTCAGACACTTTTATCAAATAGAACATTGATCCGTTTGATTTTTATTTAAATTGAAATTTTGCTTTAATTTTTAAAAATAATATTACTTTAGTATAATATTTCATTTAAAATAATATATTTATATTTTAAAAATTAAATCATACTTCTCCCTATTAAAAAATATAATTTTAGTAATCAAAGTTTAAATTCAAGTAAACTGAGGCCTTAGGGGTCTGTTTACGAAGGATTATTTTTTTTATTTTACACCTGTAATGTTTTGTCCTTTATATCGATTTAATTCACTTTGTTATATTTTTTCATATATTTTCTAATTGATTTATTTCTCTATCATTATTTTTTTATAGCTTAATTTCAATTAAATTTTTATTTGAATTTGAAATTGATGTTAATATGATATTTTTGATATAAAATTAAATTTTTGGTCAATATAAATATATATAATAAATAATCCTCCCTCAGTCCCACATACCATATCTACGATTCTGTTCGTGTCCCACGTACCATGTCACTTTCATTTGGAAAATGATTATACACTTTAATCTCATTTTAAACTTTTTAATTTTATTTTTTTAAAAAAATTTAATTAAACTAATTAGTTATTTTAATTTTAATTAATACATTCTTAATTATCTACTAATTACATCCCTCGTAAAATACCGTGTCTACAGTGTAACAGAAAACAGTACGTGGGACGGAGGAGTAATAATTTTGCTTAATATTTTTTAAAAAATGAATAATAAAAATCTTTAAATAAAACTCCAATCAAAACACTAGCACTAAGTATATATAGACAAAAGCTTTATTAATTATTTAACCAGTAATAATCATTTATTACTATTTTTTATACTTCACCATTTTTTTTTTTTATCATTTTACCTATTATATTTTATTTTATCATATTACTATTTTATCTTCGTCCAAATAAATTTACATAATTTTATCGAATAAAATATTTCTATTGATATTTTTGTTCAAATCAACAACTTTATTTCTTTTTAAGTCTATAATATAAATTTTACTCCTTTCCTCTCCTTAAAAAAAAAAAAAAAATTAATAATAATAATAAATTTACTCCTTCCCTCTCCGTTTTTTTTTTTTTTAAAAAAGTGTTTATTATTATTATTTTTTACTATTTCCTAAAAAATATTATAATTTTATTTAAAAACCCTACAATCTATTATAGCAAGATAATGATTTAGTTGGAAAAACTAAAAATTCAATTAAAAATACATCCATCATGCCAGAAAGCATATATATATATATATTGTTGGATTGTTCGATTACAAAACTATTTAATTTAAGAATATCTCATTTTTTCATAAATGTTTATATTTTATTATCACATTATTATATTTATACAAAAATAACAAAATTATTTTACATTACTTTTAACTATCGACTACAATTAAAATATCACTTCATTCGTCCACATAAAAAATAAACATTTACTTTTGGCTTAATGTTTAAAAAATAATAGTATTTTAATTATAGTGAATAGTTAAAGTAATGTAATGATATTTTTACCCTTACTTTTAGTGTAAAAGTAATTATGTGTTGTAAAGTAAATGTATTTATGAAAAAAGTAAAATATTTAATAAAATATTTACTTTGTAATTAAATTTTTCAAAATAAAAATATATATAGTTTATAAGTGGACTGAGACAATATTATTTTTTAAATTCCACTCAAAAAATAAATGCACGTTTAATCGCCAGACAAACTATACCATAAAAATGTACTCAAAAAATAAATGCATACTTAATCGCCAAACAAAGTGAGTATACCTTAAAAATGTAGAATATAGATGACTTGATATGTAGGACATGCTATATGACCACATCAGCCACAATGAAGAACATAAAATTTAGCACGGTGGTGCCGGGGTGAACGTACGACCGTTGCGTATTTTCTGATAGCGGCGGCGGATTTTCACGATGTGTCTAACAATTTTTTATTACCACATATGCCTGAACTCCACCAACCAGTTCCACGTGTAAAAACATGACTGCGCCACGTATGGCTGAGCTTGACCACCCTGTTCCTGGCCCACGAATCCATTCATAAAATAGACTGCAAGATCGGTATGACCGTATCTTTTAATGTCCACGTGTCATACAGATCTGCCACGTTTCTATTAAAGAGCGAGTGGTACGGTTGAACCTGACATGGAGATGGCTGGATTAAGTTTAAGCCAAGGGACTAGGGACCCTTAATTTTGGATTTTGGAAGCGTTAATTCCGCATTAATCAATCAACCGGCCGCTCGCTCGCTCTCCGCTCGCCACGTGTCGAAACCTCACTGCACCTCCACGTCTCTCCTTAATTCTATTCAATCATACCTTTCCACAGCTTCAAATTCAGTCCAACCCTAACCAGGAGAATTCGTTCAACGCCTCTCTCTCCCTCTCTCGACGCAACAAATTTTTTCAGTTGAATTCTGGGCGGAAGAGTGCGATAATATGGATGCATTGAAGACGCCATCGGAGAAGGAAGGAAAAGAGGATGATCTCGAGTTGAGTTTGGAGCTGTCGATAGGCGGAAGATATGGTTACAGAGAGGAGGATAATTCACAGGGGAGACCGATGGATTTTCCCGATACCAATGGCTGTAATCTAGGCGGCATTTTCAGCGTTTCGAGATCTGATTTTCGTTGCAATGGAGGAGAATCTAGGGCGGAATGTTTGGACTCGCAGAGGAGGAAAGAGATTCAGGCTATGAAGAGACAAGTAGCGAGGAGAAAACGAGAAGAAAGGATTAAGAAATCTCGAGTTGTGGAGGACAAAGTGTACCTGGAGGCACAGAAACTGCAAGCTAGGGTTAGGGATAGAGAAATTAGGGAAAGAGATGGTTTCGCAGAAGATTTGGGAAGGAAGGTCGCGAATGGTAATGGCTATGAGAATGTATGCTTGTACCCAAAGGTACAACACGGCTATGCACACCCGCCGGTGAATGTATCTTCATTGGAGCGGAGTTCGTCCGATCACCAGAGCATATCACAAAAAGGTAAAAGAGAATTAAGATACTCTAGCATTGTTCTTCTTCTCTGCGTTTCTCTATAGTGGAAGTTTCTAGATTTGCTGTTCATACGGTTTTCTGATCGATTGAAAATGAACTATTCTGTATTGAGCTACATTTGCACATGAGATTCACATCAATGTGTTGAGCATAATCATCAGAGTTCATAAACTCTGTAAATCATACGATCTTCTAGACTTCAAATTTATTCTAAAAGATCCTTGTGGTTTAGCAGGAGGATGCAGCAGCGACAGTGGGAGCCAATCGAGTCACCAAAGCAACCATACGTTGGGAAAAGCTCCATTGGAACACCTCCAAGCTCGCGCCGAGCAAACCATCTCACAATACATATGGAGCAAATTCACAGAAAAATCAACCATTCCCCAAACCAGCACAAGAGAGAAGATTGCATCAACTGCATCAAAAGAGACAACCATCCCCTGCACTGCAAAACCAGAGAAGAACTTCCCCAAAGCAACATCTCCGGCAGCATACATGCCTTGTGTCTCGGCCACCGGAAATGGTCCGAATGGCAAAACAATCACCGGATTTCTGTGCAAGTACACAAACAACGAGGTCACCATCGTGTGCGGTTGCCATGGGAACTCGTTTTCGCCAGCTGAGTTCGTGGAGCATGCCGGAGGCGTCAACATTTCGAATCCATTGAGGCACATCACCGTGTTGCGCGGCGGCGATTTATGAGTTATGTCGTTCCCGTGCTCCTGCTTGGCTTCCTAGTTTATAAGGTGCGGATGTTTTTAATTTTGAACTCCTCCTGATCATTTGGATCATTCTTCTTATCGTTAAGTGAGGAGCTCGTGATGTTTGTCTTGTTGGAATCAATCTTAACTGTATATATTTTTGGATTTAGGATTGTGATTTTTATTTTATTTTTGTACGTAGAAAAAATAGATTTTTTAAGAAAACAAAAAAAATAAAATCATACAATTTATTTTTTAAGAAACAAAAAATACATAGCATATTAAAATTTGTATGCAAAATTGTTAGATGATTTATACGACAATGTCACATAAAATTTTAAATTGTTACTAATGCACATCATTTTTATTTATTTATCTACACAAAATGAGATTATTTTTATACGTACATACATAATTATGTAAGTTGTGTGCGGATAAATAAGATATAAGGCCTTAAAATCATTATTTTATAAAATAGGTAATAAAAATTACATTAATTCTCTATTTCATGTAAAATAAAATAAATTGTCATTTAATTTTTATAAAAAGAACTGATTATTTTTTCATTTATTTTATTAAAAAATATCTACAACATTTCACCCATTTATATCCGTAACATTGGCATAATTCGGCTACTATTTACAGGCAATTTAAATTTTTAAATGAAGAAAGTATTCTATATCTATTTTAATACTCCCATCCAAGTAGAAAGTATGTTTTATATCACATTCTTTGTTTGTTCCACAAAAAAATATGAGCAAATTATTACACTACCAATTATAATTAAAATACTATTATTTGTTAAATACAATGCTAAAAAATAATTATATATTTTATGTGTGGACAGATGGAGTATTACACAGAGAATTTAACAAAATAAAAAAAAATTACAAAAGACTATGCATTTATAATAAAACAAGGTCCAAGTGAATAATACTAGTTGAATTTTTTATTTGAAATAAAAAAACCAAACACACTCCAAAGATAATTTCGTATATATTAATTTATCAAATTGAGAAAATACTATTGGCGAGTGGTTGAAATAACATATTTTACTCTTTCCGTGCCAGATAATTTGTCCCTATTTTCTATTTTCGTCCGGTCCCACATAATTTGTTCATTTTTTTTTTGGAAATATAATTATACACTTTAATCTCATTTTAAATTTTAAATTTTATAATTTTTTTAATCTTAATTAAACTATTTAGTTATCTTAATTTTAATCCACAATTATTTTTATTATACAATAATTATTTTTACTAATACACTTCTTAATTACTTACTAATCATACTTTATCTAAATTCTCATATCTACGGTAATAGGCCCATAATACATGGGACGGAGGGAGTAATTTATTGAAATAAATACTAGTGAGATATAAATATATATTTTTATTATATTAAGCCCAATATCAAATTGAATATTACACAACTTTGCGCCCAAACAAATTGGAATGTTAATTCTCACGTTATAGAAACAATAAAAAATAGAAAAAATAAAATTGGAGTGTAGTTGGATTAGTAAAATTGATCCCGCACTAATAAGGGTTGGAGAATTATATATATATATTTATTTGTTGTTTCTCAAGGAATTTTCTCTTTTCAGTTTCTTATTATATTTGCGTTAGCCCTCCGCCTCCGCGCCTCTTTGAGATCTGCCGCTCCGCCTCCGTATTCCTCTTAAACCCTAGATACAACCGCCGCCGGTCCTGCGGGCATACTCGCCGGACTTTCCATATCTAGAGAATTTGAAAGCAGAGAAAGAGAGGGAGAGAGAGACCGCATCCGGTTTTGCTCTCGCGCTCGCTCAATCCTATCCGACGCGCGTCCAGGTAATGAACTGATTCGAAGATCTCGTGTTCGTGATTATACTTGAAAGTTCTAGATATTGTGTTTGTGGTATTAGGTTATATGATTGGTACATAAGGATCGGCGAAGGTTGTATGTAGACACTGGCTGGTTTGTGATTGAATTTATATTTTGTGGTTAGGTATTTGTCGGATAATCGATTACTGATGGCAGCAGAAGCGGCGGCAGCGGCATCTCAGCAACCTGTAACTGCGCAAGTTGTGAGTGTTTTTTTTCCGTTCTTATTTTTTTCTGGCGCTTATATATATTCTTCTTCCTTTATGGCAATTAGTCTTTTGATATATACGTGTATATATATATATATATTCACTCCCTCAGCCAAACTTATGCATTTCCTTTGTAATTATTTTGTTGATATACCTTGGATCAAAATTTGTTTTGAAAATAGGTTGGGAATGCATTCGCTCAGCAGTACTATCGCATACTGCACCACTCCCCGGGTCTTGTTCATAGGTTTTATCAGGATGTCAGTAAACTTGGTCGTCCGGAAGAGGATGGTTCCATGAGCATCACCACCACCATGCAAGTAAGTTTTCTAATACGTCCAGAGTTTGCTAAATGAGTTTATGTTCTGAATTTGGGTTTGGCTGATTCTAGAAAGTGTCTGGTGATGGTTGATTGTTGAGTCGCTGAACTGCTTATTTTGCTTGGTAGTCATTTCCATGAAATAACGAGTGGAAGAGAATGCATGTTTTTTTTTTGGTTTGCTTTTGGTTCGGCCATGTGCCAAAATGACAGTAGGTAATACAATTTCATGGTGGATTGGAAAATGGCCATCTTCATGATTTCTATATACTCCATATTTGAGGTGTTTGAATTGTCATCGTTTTGTTTCCTTAATACCATAATATTTATTGTATTAATGCATTCTTCTTGTTAGAAGCATGCAAGCAAAAGGGTGATGGTTGAGATTTTAACCAGTTTCTATTGGACATAATGAGTATGGCTCAACTGTGCAGGGAATCAATGATAAGATTGTATCACTCAATTACGAGGAGTTTAGAGCTGAGATTAAGTCAGTTGATGCACAAGATTCTTTAAATGGTGGTGTTCAAGTTCTTGTAACTGGTTATCTGACAGGGAAGGACAACACCATCCGCAATTTTTCTCAAACATTCTTCCTTGCCCCACAAGACAAGGGGTACTTTGTTTTGAATGACATGTTCCGATATGTTGACAATGCCACAGTCAATCCATTACCTCTCAATGATGTTGGGCTACCCAATATTGTTGAGCCAAATGCTGCTGATCCAAGTAACTATGACAGTCTCGATTCTAAATTTCATCTTCTTTTATTATTGTTTGAGCTCAACTTTACATTTACTGTTGGCAGTTCCTGCTCCAGCTCAAGAAAATCATGTTTCTGAGCAGATGGCTCCATCTGCTGATGAAACTGTTGCTCAAGAAAATCACATCGCACCTGAAAATGGAGATGTGATTAGTGCTGAAGAAGAAGTCCCTGTTGCTGAGGTCATTAATGAAGTTCAGGATGATGCACAATTGGTGGTTGAATCCAGTGCCAAAATTGAAGAAGTGCCTAAGAAGTCGTATGCTTCTATTGTAAGGGCCCCCTGATTTTTTAGCAATTTATCATGTCATTATGCTGTACAGCTTCCCGTTGGCTTGAACCATTTGTAGTTTATGTCTAACACTCTGGTTGTTGGTTGGGTTCCTTGTGGTTAAGTTTTAATTTTCATCCGTATGCTTAGTATAGCTTGTGAGATTGGCATTTCTTTTTGTTCTTGTCTGTACGTCTAATGTTTACCGATATTAATTTAGGTTATGCATCTGAAGCAAAATGCTGGTAGCTTCTCACCCCCTCCAGCTGCTGCTCGTAAAGCACCAGCAAAGAGCGTGGAGCAAGCAAACCTGTCTTCTGTATCCACAACTGAAGAACCAGTTCCCAGTTTGGATTCTACGTATAATGAGCATAACCAAGAGGGTGAAGGCATGACACTCGCATTCTCTTTCTGAATTTATGAACCTGTCTCACGTTTTTCTAAACTGATATTTTTGCTGTTCCCCTGGTCTCATTTTCTCTACTTTATGCAGCTGATGGTTGCTCAATATATATTAAAGGACTTCCAATGAATGCTACTGAATCACTGCTGGAGGAAATCTTTAAGAAGTTTGGTACTATCAAGAACGATGGAATTCAAGTTAGAAGCAACAGAGTATGTTCTAGAGCCTGACTTTAGTTAGTTTATGACATGATATGTAGCAGTCTACAAGTATTGAGAACAGCAAACTGATATTAATTATCATGTATTTTCTGCAGCAACAAGGGTTCTGTTTTGGTTTTGTGGAATTTGAAGAGGCAAGCTCCGTGCAAAAAGCCCTTGAGGTATGTCTGTGGGGTTTCTTGGATAGGCTGCAATATAAATTAGGTAGCTGAAAGTATGGTAGTACGTTGTGTTCTTTCCAAATAGTGGAGTATAATTAGTGTTAGGAGCTGTGTCAGCTAAGTGACAAACATTGTTTATATTGTTTATGTGTTTTATGCCTTAGTCATTCTTTTTTTAAAATAAAAACAAAACCATTAATTAACTCGCTTGATTTGATACGATATGCATGCCATATTCTGACACGCTAAAGCCATTTATATATAAAATAATAAGTTATATTCTCAATTAATTGAATTTCATTTTCATATGATAAAGTTGCTTTGTAGTTTAATGTGATACAAAAATGACAATTTTGTTAAATTAATAATATAATCTTATTGTGCCCTGCCTTGTACAGTTTCAATATCTGAGTATCTTGATTTTTCAGGCTTCTCCGGTTCCCATAGGTGGGCGCCAAGCGGTTGTTGAAGAAAAGAGGTCTACAAATTCTCGAGGCAAGTAAATGATAGGAATCCTGCATTATCCAATCTATTGATAATATCTTTTTGCTCTATATGAAATCTTTTTTGGTTCACCTCCAGGGAATAATCGAGGGAGGTTCCAACCTGGACGAGGTTCTGGGTTCCGAAATGAAGGAATTAGAGGGCGTGGTAACTACAGTGGTGGCAGGGGTTACAACCGAGGTGACTTCAATGGCAGGGGTGATTTCGGAAACAGGACTGGCAACCGGGGAGGAGGATCCTCCAACCGTGATGGATATCAGAGGTCCGATAACTTCAGCAACAATGGTGGTGGGCGTATGAACCGAGCTGGTGGGATGTCTAATGGCACTGCAAGAAACACTATGCCTCGGGTTCCTGCTACTGCTTGAGGTATGCATGTTGGAACCAAGTCAGGGTGTGAGATTTCATTAGGCATTATTTTCCCCATATAATTTGCCAATTCTTAGTAGCCAAATACCCACCACCCCACCCCACCCCACCCAATGTCTCCATCCATCATATTTCAGCTCCAAAATTTTTGTCAGCAGAATCTCCAACAAGTACTAATTTGTCTGAAAAAGAGTTTTCCATTTGTTGGTTAGATATGGTAGTTGAGATTTTAGTAGAGGTCGGATCGTTCATAATCATAGGAATGGCAGGCAGGCAGTTCTTGAATCGATTCCAAGTTGGGCAATTTGAATTTCAGGTGAATGTCATTGATGTCGAAGGATATGTGATATTAATTCTCCTCTTATTATAAATGATCTTTCGTATAGGTAGGTCTGTCTGCAGAGGATATGTTTATTTAGGCTTGAAAGAGTATTGTCCATTTTGTTTGTTGCGATTCATTGAAGCCATACATACATAAATCATGGGATAGGGTTACATTACCACTAAAATAACAATAAAGGATAGGGTTACATTACCACTAAAATAACAATAAAGGATTTCTTCACACTAAGTCGTATTTTTAGGTGGTTTTTTTTTTTTTAATAAAAAAAAAAATAATATATCACTAACACAAAATCTATAATATATGTATATTTTTATATTATCAATATAATTTTTTTTTATAATTAATTTTAAAAATTATATGAAGTGAATAAATTTCATAATATTTTGAACTATTTATTTACAACAATATTAATACAAAGATTGTTTGTTAATTAAATTGCATAATGTATATAACAAAAGTCTCGTTATATTATATATTTATCTATATAAAATTCTAAAAGATCAAACTTTAATCAAATTTGTTTATTTGATAAAAATATTAAAAAAATATATATATATTGTATTTGATAAAATTTTCAGATTAGTGTAAAAAATTAGTAAGAAATTAAAAAATATATTTATTAAGATTAAAGAAAATTATATATTATAAATTTTAAAATATATAATTTTTTTTAAAAAAATAAAAGATATGTGAAAAGAATTGAAACGAAAGTACTGAACACTGTAAAAGAGTATAATGTAATCTGTGTATAAATGAAAATATACGTTATAGGATATTACTTATTATGGATAATCATATATAAAAACAAAAAAGTAAAAAATAATCAAAACTACGTATTTTTATTAAAAGAATGAACAATATTATTATTTTTATGGAAACGGAGGGCCTAATTGATAATTAACAAAACTAACTATCAAGCCTAGTTTCTTTCTATCTCTCCTCTCCTACAGAAAACTTGAACAAAACTCCATTTCTTTCAACTATTTCAGCTATTCAATTCACACATGCCACAGTGCACAAATATAACAAAATTTTCTGCACAAGTGGGGAAAAAAAATAAAAATAAAAATTATTGAGCAAATTCCATTTTGGCAATATTGGGTATCACAAAGAGGACAAAACCCTTTTCTAATTTCATGGATTCGAGTGCATACATCTAAATACTTACTACTAAAAAATAGAGTGAGCATGACATGAGATCAATGTGTGTAAGGAGAGTGCTAAGCCTCCTAAGTTGTTGAAGAATTAGCTTTGCTAATCCCACAACTTTTAACAGCTTAATTGAGCTAAAAATAAAATCAAATTATAAACCAAAATTGCAAGCTTTCACATACTCGTTTTCATAGTCGACATACTTGGTCCAAAGAGGGCGGAATTGGGCAATGGCAATGTCCAGCCAAGGCTTCATGTTTCCGTTAAAGTGAATTACTGCAGCATTCTTGATTTCATCCATGCTAATGCTTGGATTGTATCCAAGCCCCAATACGTGCCACGATTTGTCCAGTGGCCTTGTTGTGGAGTAATAAGTGATCAAACCTGGGGGCAACGTCCCTAATTTCCAGAGCGTTCTGTTCTCATTCTGCACACAGCATAAACAAATATAATTAGCTCAGCAACAATTTGCAAGGTATAAAAAAACTGTGACTGGACTGGTCCGACTCATGCAATCGAGCAATGTATGTATGAATCAGAGAATTTTTGCACAACAAAAACAGGGCACATAATCTGTATCCTGATCATTACAGAACTTAGAATCCTCGAGTTTGATGAATACTGTGTCATAAGAAATAAAATGTAAGTTGAAAGCAAATGAGGTGCACACTTTTTTGGGTATTCCCAAAAAATTGAGAACTTAGCGATACTATGTACATTCCTTCACAACAAATACCTCCTTTAATAGCTTCATACTTAATATGCATATATACACAAAATATTTTATTTCAATAATCAGCTCCATATAACTTCGAAGTTATACACACATGCACAAACAAATATATATATATATATATTAAGAAGTGTGTCATAATAAACAATCAAATCATGAAATAATATACATATATATAAGCACATCAAAGAATTACTACAACATTGCTGATATGAATCCATAAAAACAAACATTGTTTCATGCAGTCAAATACTTTGTAGGAACTTTGTAAGGTTTTTACTCACCAGATTCTGCCAGTAGTGGTACTCTTCAGTACACTTCTCCCTCCGCCAAGCATCCAAATCGAAGAAATTCATCCCATAAGCCCATGCACAAGCCTTCGGACTAAACCTAGCTTTGATAAGTGGATGGGAGAAATTCATATACTGGGCATAGCGGTGAAAAGATCCAAAGCATGTCTCTACAGCACCATTCACCTTCCCGTCCATGTCTATCTTCCACAGCCCAGTCAAATCTCTTTGAACAACGATGTCATCATCCAAGAATAAAATCTTGTGCAAATTTGGATACATTTCTGGCAGATAGAACCTGAGATGGTTCAATATTGATAAGTATTTTGGGTTCCTGAACTTCATGTTTGTCGTGTCCTTTGTTGCATTCTCAAGCTTATTCTCAAAGTAGAACTGCTGTAACTTAGAAGATTCGAGCTGTTTCAGCACTGGAACATAGGACGAGTTCAGGAATTTGTAGTCTTCGACAGCCTTCACTTCAATATGTGCACCGCTATAATCTTTCATTTTAAACATCACCTGCATAGACCCTAGATTCATTTTATCTGTTACGACATGGAATACATGCTTCCACGGCTCTTTTGTGTTCTTCACTGCAGAGTTTACTACAACAGATGCAGCAACCACATTATCCGAAAAAATGGCATAGTGGTAAAGCTTTGGGTCCTCAAGCTCTGGCTTTGGGGGATTTGCTTCATCTGAATACTTCTCAGGATGAGCAATTCTCTCTTCCATCAATCTTAAAGCTAAGCAATGCAAGCTCTTTGGAATCGACTTGGCAGCAATTAAACTCGAAAAAGCACCCTGTTTCTTTGCTTTTGTTAGCTGCTCATTTACTGCAAAGATGGTATCCTTCAATTTATGAATTTTCAACTGACTATCAAAAGATTCTTTTGCCTCTGCAATCACTTGCCGGGTTAACTTAATCCGTTCCTTAACCTCTTTCTCAAATCGTCTGAGCTCAGACTCATCAAACAAATTACGATCAGATTCAAACAATGATCGATACGACGGCTTGGACATCAACTCAGTGAAATTCAAAGAAAGATCAACAAAATTTCTAACAAGCTTTGAGTTTTCAAGCTTGAGTTTTCGGGCGTATGAAGCATAAGATAATGCTAAAGCTTTGTGATCCTCTGCTTGTTTGCGAATCTGATCTAGCCGTGGTTTCAACGGATCTGACTTCAACGCCAAAATTGATCTCCCAAAAGGAGGACGGAATCCAGAAGAACTACCAACAACGCCCTAAAATTCAACATAGTAAGGTAAACATACTTGGCACATTTTCCTGTACACAAATATTCATGAAAGAAAACCAAGAGGCCAAATTGACGTCAAACGCAAGTAATTCAACAGAAAGCAGGAATACGTGATACGAATCATACGTCAATCAGTTTGAAGAAGTGCAAAATAGTTTGAGCATTAAATTGCTAAAGACTTGAGCGAACTGTAAATCACATCCACCACAAAGATCATAAATGCATAGCAAACGCACGAAGACCCCTACTCAGCAGGTAAATCATCCTCATTAATCAATCAATCACAACTGCGAAGGGAAACCATATTAATTACGTTCACTCTACTTTCAACATGAACTCCGCACCAAATAGCATCAGATTCCAGAACAATATATATATATACATGTATAGGTATATATATAACACTCACGGATTCGAGATCGGCGTGGTCGGAGGCAGCGGGGAACAGAAATGATACAGTGAGGAAAAGCGAAACGGCGACCAGAGAACCGACGAAGCATCCTAATCCCAATGTGGAGCCTCGGAGTGTAAGCTTGGTGACCCCACGCGCCGCCGCGTTGCGGCGGATCCGGCCGGCAATTACAGCCATTGATTCTCCAGAGGATTAACGAGACTGGCTGTGTGAGATATGATTGATATTGTTTATGTGGATGCTCTAGAAGGAGGCGGAATAATATGCGGCAGGGTTCGTTAAAAATATTTGCACCCGTAAGCTTTAGGCGTGTTGTACCCTGAATGGAAGGGTATATTTGAATTAAAAAGGTACAACTTGCGATGCATATGAAGTCGGTGCAGGCGCACACGATTTGAAATAACGAATGATTTTCCAGCTGTCGGCAACTGTGAGAATGGTACTATTTAAATTCCCAAAATATAATTATAGTTTAACGAATTTGTTATGGAGTATTTATTTGTAGTTGGAATTAAAAATAATATAATTATATAAGTGTGCTTTCTTATTGTGTTTAAAATAAGTTTATTTAACTATTACGTATTTATTTGTTATAAAATAATAAATTAATAATGCCATACGCTATTGTATTGTAACAAAATATAGTTTTTATTTTTATTCTTATATATGTTATTTTAATTTATTATATATTTTTCACCATTTGGATGTGCAGAGGGAGATAGAAGCAATCATCTTTTCAAACCAATTTTGTCACAGAAATAAATTCAAAACTCCACTGGCAAATTCTGATTTATGAAAAGAAAAATCACAGTGAAATAACAATAAATGGAAAATAAATAAATTCTTACAAAGTATAGGTGAATCTATTACTTGCATTGTCGTGAACCTTCTTGCTGTTCCTGTGAAGTCTCTGCTGCTTCTTCCTCAAATGACCAAACCATCGAAACTCTTTAATGGCCATTGAAATCCTCTCAAGATTAGGTCTTCCAAACCTTAAGAAATTTACATTTCTTGCATTCCACTTTAGGGCATTCGACCAACATACCTGATCATGTCCAACTCTGTCCTTCACTCCCATTTCATTGAGTTTTTTGTGATGATGATGATTGCTGCTGCTGTTAATCTCCGGCCTGGATTTTGATTTCAATTTCATCGACTCCCGTTCGTAAGTCTCCCACAACAAGTCCATCCCTTCACCTCCATCCACACTCCGCCGTTCCTCGTACAATTTGCCTGCCAAGGTCCTTGTCCACTCTCTTGTTGTGGATCTGCTGGTTCCATCATCATGATCTGGAGAATTCTTGTTCTTCGAGGAGCTATTCTTCTCAATTTGGCATCTGGTGTTGGAATGGCATCCGCTTGGAGCATCGCAAGTATGGCTGTTTCGATCATTCTTCTTTTCCATGTCAGATGGAATCATCCTTCCAAATTGATCCAGCAACCTCAATCTTCAAACTTAAATCATTTAGATAAGTTTTGTACTTGATCAAGAATGAAGTCTTTCTGAGATACTCAATTCAACTGCTCTGGCACATTCGATAAGATCTTTGCAGATGGTTTCCTTCTCGCAAGGCGTCCTCCATAGCTTCAGCTCAACCCAGTTTCAGAAGACTCTCTTACATTCCATACGATGAACATTAGTGTTTCCGAGAGCACAAAAGCCTGCTGCAAGCTAGCATATAAGGCAATGAACAAACATCACAGGATGAGGGAAAGAATTAGAAACTTGAATGAAAATGTAACAAATATTGTGAGAATGAAACAATGAAGGAACAAAAGTGGACAAAGTCAGTAATAGGAGAAGACTAGAAGAAAATTGAGTCTTGGGAGGGAGGACCAACTCAGATATTTTCCCTGTCCCATTTTAGTCATAGTCTAGAGAGATAGAGAGAGTTATATATAAATATATATATATATAATATTATCTTTTAGACGTGTTGAAAGAAAAGAATTGAAAACTGGAAAATGGGGAAGAAGAAGAAGAAGCAAGAAGATTCTTTGTATTAGCAAATAGAATCACAAGTGTGTGGTCAGTTTACTTTTAAAGTAGAGAACATGGCGTGATTAAGGGAAGGGAAATTAATCATGTCAGAAAGCAATGGTGTCATATGATATTCAAGAAACACAAAATCAAGTATATGACCATGTAATGTGAGAGAAATGCCATTAATTTACCTGGTAAGACAGAGAGACAGACTGACTGACAGATCCTAACTCACCTGGGATCATTTATCTTTTTGATTGTGCTCCATGTGATCACTACAACTCCATTACCACAGAAACAGGGTTAGCATAATATGCAAACACACAATATCCTCTAAAGAAAGAATTTGAAAAAACAGCAGTTTGCAATGGGAACAAAATTGATCAACTAGGACGTGTTCGACAACACTTCATAAGACTTATTTAATCAAAAGTCACAATTTATCGACCAGTGTACTGTACAATAAATCGAATGCATCAACAAGTGATTCACCTTAAAATATTGTCAGCTGGTGTTATCTGTTCCTTCAATGTTAATCCCACTCATATTTTGATAACTTCGGTCAACTGATTATAGAGTACGACTTAGAGGTCAAAATTTCTGAAACTCCAAATCACCTTTGAGTGCTAAAAAATAAAATTAAATGGTGAATCAAAGGTATCCTGATATGGCTCCATATTGAATAAGTTGTACTAAAATGAAAATAGACAGACAGGCATTTTACCCCTTAATCCCAATTAACTTTCCTACAACAGTAACACTGAAAATCAACATGCAAAGACAGGTGGAAGAAGCACTTAAGGCATAAGCCTCAAAATATAGCGAATAAACTTCCGACTAGAACATAAGATCAGACCAGATTGAAATTCACAATATCTGCTTATAAAAGGCACAAATCAAAACCAATGTTTAACACGAAATACAGCAAACGTAGTGATCCTCATGAGTGAATATATTCATAAATAATTCATTCCCCAACAATCCATAGAAATGCCCCAGATACCAAGTATTGACCTGTACAAAACAATCAAACAATAGATTTGAAAGGAAGCAACTTATCCAACAAAATAAAAGCTCTGTATCATGAGAACCACCACATCTGCAGGAGTTATTACAATAGGCAAATTTTATATCCAAAAGTCTGGCACCAAAAGTGTGACCGACTAAAACAGTATCTTGAAGGTAATTCTAGCCAGCATCTTTTCAAGTACACGTCCAAGCCAGACTTGCACCATGGATCAATTATTCTGTCATAACAGGCTTATTTTCATTTGCCTTTGGCTTCTGGTCCTTTGGTTTCTGCTCTTCAGTTTTCCTAGATTTGAGCAAGTAAGACAGCCATCAGATAAAATAATGATAATATACATTTAAGCAACAAACTTCTTTTTAAAATATAAATAAAACTTCACGTAAATGCATGCTCCATACAATTAAAACTACAATATTACGCCAACAATATGTTGAATTTGAATGTAAGTCAAACGGTGTAAATGCAGCACAAAGTAAAAACACAATCAAGAAAAAATTGTACTTTTTCCACAAGTACATAAAAAAGTTCTTTAAAGATAAAAAATAAAAGATACACTAGAATTAGTCATTTCAGTTTTACTCTAAAATTACGAAAATTTATAATTTTGGTTCATCAATTTACATTCCCACAGCATTTGTGGTGTGGACTTACATTTCATGTAAATTGGATTAGATCAAAATAGAAAATGGATTGTGTGACCAATTACGGATAATAAACTATGGGACTAAAGTGAAATGTGGCTTTCCGGTGACACCAAAGATGTGATTTTTAGCCCCACAAATCTACGTGCATAGTTTCACGAAGATATTGAATTAATAAGGATACACAGCAATCCATAGTCCAAACATATGAACGAAAATGCAACCTGCATCAATAACCTAAAAACTTCTACTAGCTATAATGCTACTAATCCATACACAAAACTTCGAAGCATTAAAGCTACAAACCAATACAGAAAAGCTGTAACGATAAGACATTATAACATCTTCTGAAACCAATAATCACATTCACCGAATAAGGGCAGCATCCATGTTAACATAAAAACAGTATTAACCGTGAAAATTCTCTCGGTATATACACAAGTATTCTGTCAAAATCACAGACAATTCAAATCCCCTCGGAAATGAACGAAAATTCAAAAAAATACAAACAGTACCAGTCGAATAAAAAATAGCTGAAAATATATTCATACAAATTTGGGTCAAGAAATACCTCTTGTCGGATGTTGCACCCTTTTGGCTGAGGAACGACCTGAAAAGCGGAGAATTCACGTCGTAGATCATGTTTTCCCCTTCGGATTACACTGCGGATTAAGCACCAAACCCTAATTTTGTTCCCGTATGAAAACCCTAATTTGTTTGTCAAAAAGCGTCTATGGTAACTGCGTTACTGCGTAGGAAGAATTTTATATAAGGATTTCCCAATGGGCTAAAAATTGTAGCCCAATGAATTGGGTCATTTTATAATTGGGCCTAGGTAAAGCCCATTAATTTCTAATAGGCCCATTTTTTATTTTCTGCTCAATAGCCTGATTTTCGACCCACAGAAAAATTTATGAGCTTTTGCCATAGCCCATCTGTTTCACAGCTCATAAGCGAAATCGTTGCCGCCGTGAACCACCGCCGACTACCTTGATTCCGTTCGCACACCGCCTCCGGAAGCTGTCAAATTGCGAATGGCTTCAGATGACTCTGGTCAATTGAACTCTCCGTCTCCAGTTTCTTCGGCGTCAGAACTCTGGAAAGAGCGGATTCTCATCCCTACTGTACTCGCAGGTTTTTCCTCTCTTCTCTTAGGCGATAAATTTTGGTTCGGCGGAAGAAATTTGTGGATCATGTGTTTTTGGCGGTGAAATGGATTGATTGTTAATACAAGAATGCGTGCGAACGACTGTTGGTCTCATTGAATTTTGCTGTTGTGAAATAGGGATTGCTGGAGGGGCGTTTGGGTTAATATCGAAGCATCGAAAAGTTCACGGCCTTCAAAAGATATCAGCGACGTATGCTACTAATTTTGCAATCGTTGCTGGCAGCTATTGCGGTAGTCTTTTACCTTGGTTTGAAATGTGTTCGATTTAGGAATGTTTCTTAGCATTTCAACATCAATTCTGTGAAGTATAGCAGTTAAGATCCCGAGCTTGTGGCTTGAATGGCGACCGACTATTCATTAATTCTGTGAACAAAGTGATGCTTGATTGTTTGGAGATACATTTACATGTATCTTTTAGTGTTCGATTTTGTAGCTTTACAAGTTTTTGGTCTTCCTATGGCGTATTTCAATGTTGCGTTTTACCTTTATTTATCACTGCTTTATGTGGTTTGATTGTAGAAAAGGATCATACATTCCTGCCGTAGTGTGTTTTTCTCGGCCATCACCATTACATATTACAACATGGTGTGTTCTTGTTTTATTCCATATTTCTTGTCCTCTCAAGGATAAGTGTAGTTTGAGAGTTTGATCATCAGTCATCGACAGATTTACAATGAGGTTTCTTATTGTTTTGGTCGCTTTTACAACCCTTGAACACATACTAGGAAACAAACAATTTGTCTTGGATGTATATGTATTTCGAAAAATCATGGAAACTGTATCCATTTTTTCCACCAAAACATGATTATCTACTTTTGTCTTGGATGAAATGAAATCTTAGGCATGGTATGTTAAGACCTTGCTTCTTTTCTACTTGCTCAAATTCAGTTGTTATGGTGACAGGAGCGCGTGAATTTGTAAGGGTGAGTCGGACCTACAAACCAGACGACTTGCTTAACTCAGTGATAGGAGGTTTCGGAAGTGGCGCACTTCTTGGACGCCTTCAAGGTAAAAAATTCCATCATTTTGTGTTTGTGTTGGGAGTAATGCGCTTGCGCCTTTTGGTTGAAGTGCTTGCACAAATGCTAATCTGAGATTGTTGACTAGTTGAACTGGTGATGTTACACCTCATCTAACAGTAAGGCAGAGTTTACAAAGTTTAATCAATTGGGACATGTAAACTTTCTACTTAATCGACGATGTCGGGCTGCTTCTAATATCTTGTGGTGTTCTGTTTGTCAACCTCTATGCTCTTGTTGTGGATTAGGGGGGCAGCTAGGCGCAGTTCGTTACTCAGTTATTTTTGCTGTTGTTGGGACTGCTGTCGATTATGCTACTCTAAGGCTAAAGCCTGTCGCGAAAGAATTGATTGAGAGCAAAGATAGATGGCTGAAATTACCAGAGTGGTCGCCAATCCAAGTTCTCGATGAAGAAGCTCTTGCTGCAAAACGAGCTCGGGAAGAGCAGGCTTACAGAAAAATCCACAATCTCAAAGGAGAAGAATCCTAATGGCTTCATTCTACATCACTTATATTTTTGGCTTTCATCTGTTATTTGTATAACTCACTTCTGTTTGGATCACATAGCTATGAGTTCAAAAGTGCAGTTTTGTATTTTTTGTTTCTTTCTATTGTCTGCAACAATAGACAAGTATGGGATTGCATATCCTATTTTTGTAGCCTGTTCTTCCAATAAACAGGATAAGAAAAGTAGTTTGCAGTAATCTGTCCTACATATGCTATCCCATAATTTTGTTATGGAATCGATCATTTTCATGACATCAAACTCACTATCTTAGCTAGGTGCGAACCAAACGATGTCAACAAGTACTATAATTGAATAATACACAATATCCAAACATCTCTAGCTCTATGCTTGCCCAAAAGAAGATATCTATGTATCACATGTAATGCAGAAACAATTAATAAAATAAATTACAAAGCATGCAAGTAAAGCCCCAAAGAAAATGCTGACTATCTACAAAGGATGCATCTAAAGAAAAATCAATCAATCTCGCATGTGGTTAAAAGAGAAGTAGTAGAGTATAACAGGATGATCCCAAATCTGTCACCATGATTACTTCCAAGGATAGAAATCATAATTTGCAATTAGAAGATACAATATCTTACAGGTTTCATCAGTTGATGTTCGGAAGTTCCTACGACAGTAATGAGACAAGGGAGACGAATTCCAGAGTAACACGACCTTTTGACCTTGTGTTGATAACAAAATGCTCAGGATATTTCCTTAGCAGCATAAGCAAACCATACCATGGTTTTCCCCTGGCTTCTACGCTGGAGTGATCCTCAGATGTCAGGTACCTTCTCACACGACTATGATGCCATATATTGCCAAATTGTTCCACCAGCTGCACAAATGTATATCATTAAAGAATTAGAAAAGACTGAAGAAAAGATAATGCTGACTTCTAGATGCAGGTACTGTAGTGTTAGTAACTATGGCACAGGCATCAAATTGTCGAAGGAAAAACTTAGACAGGCTGCGCCATATTAAATACAATGACTACACAGTGCTCCATATTGTACAAGTGGAAATGGCAAAGGAAACAAGGCCAACTTTGAGGTATGTACTTTTATTTCGTGCACGCATACATAGGAAAATTAACATATGCATATCCAGCAAGGAAATATAGTATCACCCCATTATACACGCATATCACTTTATTATTATTAGTGCATTATACGATATCAGCTATATCTTATTTATTATGAACCTATAAACAACAGTATTTTCAAAGATGCAAAATTACACTAGAAGATCTCTAAACTTAAACCTGATTGCTTAATCAAGGAAATATAATATAAAGTCAGCACCCATAGACATAACTAGCATGTACTTCCCTAATATTTCCTTGGCATGTCTTCTAGAAATTAAATAGACATGAATTGGTAGCCCCACAATTGTAAGTCGCAAAAATGAGGTAGACATCATGCATGACACGTGGCACGATAACCCACTTATGTTCCCCAGTAGGTTTCAGCATACATTCTGCTTGCTAATCACCGAAGTGTGAATGCACTACCTCTTGACACAACTTACATCATAGTCTAAGTTGGGCATTTATGCTATTAAGGCCACGACACATCGATACTAAACTATACCCCAATAAGTTTCACTTGAAATTCTCAACCAATTTCATATGACAAATCAATATCAAACTTTGAGATAATATTATCATCAACTTATAACAAAAAGATTTCTCTATTGTAAAAAGCTAACTTTATATAAATAAAAAATTAAATTTATTAAATTTGCAAGTTTATTCGACATTAGAATTGAATTTGTTTATTATCTTTATATTATAGATTTACAACAACCTATTGTATTTTATATATCTTAACTGAAATCAATTCATTTCAACAAAATGTCCAAAAATATATTTTACCATCCTGTATAGTTCAAGAAAACCAAATCAATTTTTAAGACATGAATTAGTACTAACTCAACATAAATACCCACGATCTAATTATATTATCAACTTTTCAAACTTCCAGCATAATAGATTAATAAATTCAAGTTTTTTTGGAAAAAAATTTTCTTTAAAAGTTAATTATTTACTGCAACATAATATGATGAGAAAATAAAATCTTATAATAAGCACACTACATAGTACATAGTATAAGTAAATTACTTTTGTAGGGCGGACTACAAGATAAATATAGATTGTGTTAAAAAAGTGTCGAACACAAAAGGGCAACATTTGTGCCTGAGGTTAACAATAACTTTTATACCAATCTATACTTTACACATAAGATAGTCAATTCAACAATGGGCCATGGAATGTTTTCTTACATAAGCGTTCTTAGAATAAATTAATCTTACTTCTTCAATAAAGAAATCTAGTTATATATTCCAAATTCAATAATCATCTGATTATTACTCCCCATTGCAATTATAAATTAAATTTATTCACAGCCACACTTACCCATAAGTTTATACATTAAATCAAACCAAAAATCTCATGCATTATCACGTCATTCAGTAACAATAATACTATAACCAATTACTATCCAATATTATTAAGCTTATAACCTACGCCCATGTGTGCGTGTGTGTACGTGCACGCGCACACTGCTTCGCACCATTATACCCAAAATTGAAAACCAAAAAATCTTAAAAATTCAAAATTTACAAAACACATGGATAGTTTAACAAAAGGGTTACAATTTAAACAAGGAACTAAAGTTGCTTATTGATGTACTGATTGGATTCCACAACAAAAGCGCTAGCTCATTGCCATTTAATGCCTATTTCTATTTATGACAAGCAAAAGTCAAAACACACAAGGGACATTTGGCATAGCCACAAAAGAACTTCTTAATACAAGTATAATAAAATTGATGGTGAGAGATTGTTCCCATTATTAGGTAAGACTATTTTTTTTCTATTTTTTTTTTATTTTAGATTCCCTCAATTGTTAATAAAATGTGGTACAAATCTATCTAGTGGTGCATATTTATTACGACCTCCAGTTGGCATGTGGTAAAATATATTTCATATAATATTGTGGTTCACATTCAGCAATATATGCAAGAAAGAAAAAAGTCTATATGGTAAGAACAATGAAATGTGCTTTTATTCCATACAAGCTATTATAGTTATTTATGACCCGCTAAGGCACTTTCGCAATGTTGGCACTAAACTAATACTAGTCCACTCCTATTCCACAGGGTTTTGCTATGGCATACAATGATAGGATGTAGGTTAAGAGGAAAACAATGAACTTTATTGAGGATTCGATGAATTAATTCTTCTGACATCAACGAAAAACCTAATGATCCTCCCCCTTGTATAGGGTGTGTTTGGTTTTGATTTGAAATCAAAACCAACATTATTTAGCCTGCACGGTTTCCAATAAAAATACATTGGGTTTCTTCGCTTAGTATTGTTGGGTGGTACGATTCCCCATAAATATTATTAAAAAAATACAATACACGCATTAACACAATATGTATCCTATATATTTCATCCACTAACAAAAAATCAACAATTTAACACAAAATATTATTTTTTATATTAACACAAATTTTTATACCTAACATAAAAAACGCATCCATCCAAAAACACAGAGTGAACAAACCCACTATTCTCTATTATAAAACATTACACCAAAATAATATTTCAACCAAACTCAAATAAATAAATAGCCCATATATTTGATTTAGATGGACCCTTGTATATATGGGCCCATTTACATTATCGACTCAAAGATTCACTAAATAAATAAATGACTAAAAAATAAAATAAAACAAAAGCCCACTCTAAAGATGACAACTTGTGCCCACGATAAGTGAACTCAATCCTTTCATCATTAACATAAACTTTAATATTGTCCGACCTCATATCATACCATTACATACAACAAGAACCTTTTGCATAGGCACTCACAAAAACAAGATACAATTCATTTTATATTTTGCTATGAAATTGCCTTATGCAGTCTGTAGTTTTTTTTTATGAGGATAATTTTCTGGTGTTATACATTTAATTGTATGACGAGATAGCATGGAAATTTATAAAGAGTGATGCATTTATTATATTATCAATGAATAGAAGTTTTATGGAAATGATGGCTATGTTACTACCATGCAATTGCTTCAAAAGGTAATTTCTTACGCTCTTTGTAATATGCACAATAGCGATATGTTTCTCGGAAACTTGCAATGCATTTATTTAGAGACTTACCATTATTCAACTATAACTATAGTTGACTGAATAGTTCTAAAAACAAGAAGGGTGTGTCTGATTTTTTCAGATAAAAAACTCCACCATTCAACTCGCATAATTACCAATAAAAATATACTGTTTTTTTTCTACAAACATCACATCAAAATATTACCTAAACCAAAACTCAGATAAAAAAAAACTCAATATCAAATCAAAACCAAACAAACCCTAAAATTACGGAGCTATTTGCATTAGTAATTAAGTTGTCGTTTGTTCTTTTGTATTTCTAAGCTCATTTTTTCTATTCCATTTTGTTCTTTTCAAAACTATCACATCCAATATTTATTTTTCCTATAAAACGTCATATCAAACAACAATTTTCACCACATAAAACACACACTTGGGTGTGTTTGTTTGTGGGGTTTGTGTTTTAAATTGAAATAGTTGTTTAATATGATATAAATATGTATTAATATAATATTTTGGAAGTAAATTAATTTTTAGTGTAATATAAAGGATAAAAGTGTGTCTGATTAGTTCAAATCAAAAACTTCACTATTCAGCTCGCACAATTATCAATAAAAATATACTATTTTTTTCACAAACATCACATCAAAATATTATTTAAATCAAAACTCAGATAAAAAAAAAAACTCAATATCAAATCAAAACCAAACAAACCCTAAAATCACAAAGCTATTTGCATTAGTAATTAAGTTGTCAATTCTTCTTTTTTATTTCTAAGCCCATTTTCTATATTCCATTTTATTCTCTTCAGAACCATCATACCCAATATTCATTTTTCCTACAAAACATCATATCAAACAACAATTTTCACCACATAAAGCATGCACTTGGGTGTGTTTGTTTGTGGGGTTTGAGTTTTAAATTGAAATAGTTGTTTGATATGATATAAATATGTATTAATATAATATTTTGGAAGTAAATTAGTTTTTAATGTAATATAAAAGATAAGGGTGTGTCTGATTATTTCAAATAAAAAACTCCACTATTCAGCTCGTACAATTATCAATAGAAATATACTATTTTTTTTTTCACAAACATCACATCAAAATATTATTTAAACCAAAACTCAGATAAAAAAAACTCAATCAAATCAAAACCAAACAAACCCTAAAATCACAGAGCTATTTGCATTAGTAATTAAGTTGCCGTTTGTTCATTTGTATTTCTAAGCCCATTTTCTATACTCCATTTTATTCTCTTCAAGAACCATCACATCCAATATTCATTTTTCCTACAAAACATCATATCAAACAACAATTTTCACCAAATAAAACACACACTTGGGTGTATTTATTTGTGGAGTTTGGGTTTTAAATTGAAATAGTTGTTTGATATGATATAAATATGTATTAATAGGTGTTCGATTAAATATTTTTTAGAGAAATTTTTCATGAAGAGTAGAAAACATAGTGGAAACCGTACAAGCAAACACAACCTTCGTTGTTGTTTGAAATTGATTTGAAATATGGTATTGAATTGAGTTTTGGTTTGCATAGTATTTTAATGTGATGTTTGATGTTTTGTGAGAGAAACTAGTGTATTTTTATTGGAACCCGTGATGAATAGTAATATTTCTTATTTGAAATAGAAAGCAAACACACTCTTGGTTTGCTTAAGTTTAATTTCATAAAGCATTGATATAACAAATATGCTCAATTAGTTGAATCATTAACGTAACTTTACTAAATTTGAGTGTTACGGCTTTTGTACTAAGTATACCATGCACTGTTAACACATTTTTTCCCAAATTGTTCCATTACATACATTGACATAATAGACCCCTAATAAATCTTGGTTTTGAAGAAAAGGTTCTATCCTTAGAAAAGCACTTTGGTCTATGATTGGAGAGTACCAACATACAAGGGTATTACCCTCCACAGTATATCAATTGAAATCTTAGACCTCATGAAGGGTGAATGTTTGGAAGCCTCTAGATGGATTTAACGAGTGAAAATGTTGAGACTACATGCATGTATTCTTTAGAAGGAAAAGAATAAAAATAAATTAACCCACTATGGGGAAGAGGGTGGAATATAAAAATAACCTGATGGACACAGAATGAGTAAAACTTATGAGTAATTAAGCTCTAAAGCCTCCAAAGAAAAAGAAAAAATCTTCAATAGTTAATACCCTACTTCCAGCATAGAGTGTTCACATAGAACATCAAGTTACATGTGTTTAATTATTATCATGAGCACCTGCCTCAATAATTAGATGGCAAAGAGTCAACTAGGAAAGGGTGTATGATAAACCACCTCATTTATGAAGTACAGATTCACAATCTTTAAGACTGAGAATCGACTCCAAAATCTAGTATAAGCATGTAAAAAGAAATTGGTGAGCATGAAGTGCAAATCACATGCCAAAGGTCTAAATCAAATTTGATAAGATCCAATGCTAATTCCGCAAAACACAGAACAAATAGAGATATGCAAGGTCATTTAATGTAGCTGCATCAAATGAAGAAAAGGAATATCAAAGAAATAAGTAGCTCAATTCAAACCACGTTTTACTGTCTAGTCATTAAAATATAGTTATCTCCTCAGCATAACTTTTAATTTTTAGGGGAAAGCTTAACCTCAGAATGAAGCTTCTCCAGCGGCATCCATTCTCCAGGACCACATAAATCAGACAGCACTGTAGCCACTGAGGTCACCACATCCTTTTCCTCTAACTGAAGGAGTTGCTGGTTGTCAGCTTCCCTATCATGAGATCTTCCCTCACCCCTTTTATCTGCAAAAATCAGATCAAACCTTGTAGATAGTCAAAGCAATCAGGAAAAAAAAGAAAAAGATAGGAAAGATTAATCATACTTCTCTGCCATATTAACAGATCATCAAATCCAACACTTCAATTTTTGACTAAGCAAAAACTACCAAAAGCTTAATAGTTGCAATGGAAACTTTCTTGGCTATGCCTAACCCACACATTGAAAAATCATAACTAATAGCAGAATAGATTCACTAACACCATTTCATCATATGTCCAGGTTACTACCTCTTTGAACTAACAGACATTCTCAATCAGCTTTGACTTGTGCAAGTACTTATATGAGATTATAGATTAGGTATGCAACACAACATAAGCAATTGATTAGCAGTGAAAGCTCTTCCGGTAAATAAAAACAACCAACATAGCATTCACATTCACCCCCACATGATAACAAAATTAAGTTATGTTTGAGGCTTTGGAGCTCGGGAACAAATGACCAATGAGTAATTTCTCAGAGAATATTTAACAAGCAAAATCTTCAGATAAAAACAACTCACCCAACTGCCCTGAGGCCACAGCTTTCCCACCAGAACCATACCCATAACCACCGCTGCTGGAGCCATCAACCCCATCAAACCTCCTCGCCCTCTTCCCTCCTGACTGCCCATCCTCCCCAACACCATCCTCCTCATTATACTCGCCCTCATAATACTCCTCCATCCCCCTTCCAGTTCCCTTCTTACCATAAACCACTCCTCCAGAACCGGCCGACGGGGGCAACGGCACACGCTGCTGCGGCTGCTGCTGGCCGTGACCGCCATGATGATACTGATGCGCCGAACTCCCCATCTGATAACTACTCATGTGATGCCTGGGACCAATAAACCCGCCGAGGATGCTCCGAATAGGCAACAAAAAGTAAAACTCCTTGTCCCCGATTTGCAGAAGGTCCTGTGAATCGAGCTTCACCGGAGGGTTACCAGGGAGATGAAGAACCCCCTCGACGAAGCAGCCGTTCTTTCCCAGAACCTCAAGGGCGAATCGACGCCGCTGGAAATCGTAGAAAATGCGAGCGTGGTGGCGGCTGATGTTCATCCCGCCGCCGAGGGAGGCGAGGTCGACGTCGACCGTGGATTTCTTAGAGTTGCGACCGAGGATTATGGAGTAGGTCTGCATATAATACTCAAAATCTTCACCCTGCAGCTTCGCAAAGCCTGCCTCCACATCGCTGCCGCCGCTGCCGCTTCCCATTTGGCGAGATTAGAGCACCGATCGATTTTGCGCAATTCAGATTAGATGGTATATGGAAACTGAGATTGATGACGACGGAGAAGTTTCAGATCGGCGCGGTGCATTGATTAGCAATAGAAATAAAATAAAAGGCAAGTACTGGGACGTGTTTGTTTGGAGTTTTTTAAGAATTTGTGAATTTGTTGCCCCAATCAATTTTTGGTCTCCTTAAATATTTCGTTTTATAAAATAATTATACAATTTAATTTTATTTTAAAATTTTAATTTATAACTTTTTAATTTTATTATTTTAATTTTAATTTATAATTATTTTATTGATATATTATTAATTATTTATTAATTATATTTCTTTTAATTTTATTATTTTAATTTTAATTTAATAATTATTTTATTATATAATAATTATTTTATTGATATATTATTCATTATTTACTCATTATATCTCTTTTAATATTTTTATGTTTTCAATAAAACTGGCATGATTTCAAAGACAAGTATAACAAATATATATTATTATAAGTATTTTTCAAAATATAATTTTTATATTATTAATATGAATTCAAATTAAAATACGATCCCATCATTTATTATGATTAAATGTGTTTGTTTGGGTCTGTTGAGTTAAGATTTAAATAATAAAAATTTTTAATTTGAATAGTCATACGATATAATATAAATAAGTATTGATGTAATGTTTTAAATGTAAAATTGATTTTTAATATAATATAAAAAATAAAAAATAAATATTTGATTTGATATTTTAAGAAAAAAAAATTAATATTTAAAATCCAATCCTCAAACACACCCTAAGAATATAAATTAAATCAAAATTTTATGATTTAAATTTTAAACACTCAAGGTGCGTTCTTTCAACGTTCTTATCATACAATCTTTTAAAAATATTAATATATTATAGATATTTATTATTTTTATATTTTTTATATAATTTTTTATATTTTACGTAAAAAAAAAAATATATATATATATATATATATACATTCAAATTATGTCAAAAACAAACACACCCTTGCAACTTCCCTGTATATTTGCGAAATAATATTTTATATTATGTTGTAATCTAGAGTTATATTTGATGTATTTCAGTACAAATATTTGGGCTAACTCTTTAGGATGTGTTTGTTTAAGGTTTGAGTTTTTGGGTTTAAATTTTTTAACAATAAAAAGTAAAATTTAAATAGTTATTTTGATATGACATAAATAAATGTATTGTAATATTATATTTTAAATGTAAAAAAAAAATTATAGTATAATATAAAAATAAAAAAAATTAATTAATTTTATATTTTTCGACATTGAGTCTCGAATGTTTCAATAAAAATTAAAAATATTCTTATTATGAAATATAAATTAAAATATTATTTCAATAAAAATAAAATTAAATAAACTTTATGTATTTTTTATTTATAAAATATTATACTACTTTAGTCTTATAGGACGAGTATAATGACTTTTTTGTGTGTAGATTTTTTATATTAATTATTAAATCAATACTTAGGACACATAAAAAAATAACAAAAATATTTATGTTAGTCCAATATAATACAAATATAATATATTTTGTGTAATAAATTATATAAATATAATTATATCAAAAGATATGGTGTCGTAATCATATGACATATATAGTATCAAATATTATTTAAATTAAAATTTTTAAATTTTAAATTAAAGTTAATTGAATTTATTAAAAATAGAAAAAAAAAAAATCATTTTTAATTGGAGGGGAAGAATATTACAAATGACTTTCCCTTCTCGGTTTCTAATATTTTCTATTCTTTATACTTGACAGGTCACAACTTTTCATTTATTAATGACCTTTCATTTATAAAACTTACCTTTTTCTACCAACAATATATATATATATACTTGTAAAAATATAGCCTGTTCATAATGGGCTATAGTAAAAAAAAAATAATAATAATAAAAATAAAATTTTATTATTAAAATTAAAATTAAAATAGTATAAAAAAATAGTTAAGGATATTTTAAAATTCTAGCTAGTAATTAAATAAAATAAAAATATAATGTAATAAAAGTAGTGTCAATTATGTTGAATGAAAGGCAAAATTTAAATGTTAAATATTTGACTTTGTCAAAATTAGTAATGAGATAAATTGAATGGACGGCTAATGAAAGTAAATTTTTAATCCATTTCAGTCACATATTAACTTTTTTTTTTTCATTTTTAATCCATTCCATGTAAGATATGTTTTTTCTATTTTGGTAAATTTGATAAATTTAAATCAATTTAATAAAATTCTAAATCTATTACACATAGATTATTTTTAAATCTCTTTATTTCTATATATCTTTATATCTATATTTAAAACTTTTCATATTTTATAAAATAAATTTACGTTAATTATAAATAAATATAATTTTTATTTATTTGTATTATATAATTTTATTTTTTATAAAATGATATTTCTATTATTGAAATATAACGTTTTAAACACATGTTTTAAAATGTTTTTATTTATATATATTTATATTAATTTTTATTTTAAAAAGATTAACAACACCATTTATATAAAAAAATAATATTACAATTACTGTAATTAACCTATTAAATTACACTATTTAAAATATTTTGTTCTTAATCTAAATGATCGTCTTATCTGTATTATTATTATTATGCTAGATTATTTGAAATTTTTAAATATAATTTATAATATTTTTAAATAAATTAGAAAATTTAATGAAAAAATTATCTTGACATTAATTGGTCTTATTTGATAATTTTAATAGTTTAAAGTAATTTCAAATTTATTTATCTGTATAAGGTGTGTTTGTTTTATAAAATAGTTTAAAGTGATATTTTCTTTAATGTGAAGTATATAAATTTGTATATATAATATAAAAATAATGAATATATGTAATATTTTTTAAAAAAAATTGAACATTGTATTTTTTCACCTAAAAAGTAAAATAAAATTGTATTCTTATTTGACAGTGATATATATAATTATGACTCGATTTATTTTGAAGGCTTTTAGAGGGATTGTGACTTGTGGTTTTTAGAACTATTTTTAGAACTCATTTTGTATTCTTATGTAACCGTGAAAATTTGCTCATATTCTTGTTAAATTTTGTTTTTCTAAATAAAATAATTTATTTAAACAAAAATTAATTTTTTTAAAAGAAGTGTTGTGAATTAGAAGTTATTATTATTATTAATTAAAATAAAAGTAGATGAAATAAAATGTAGATGTGTTATGTAGTGATTATTTATTTATTTTCCTTAAAATGATATCCTAAGATAATATAACAGTTTCGACCATACATGTTGAGGATGAACAAAGTGAATTATGAAATAAAAAGAGAGATATATTATGTAGTATTTTACGAATGTAAGCTTTAGTCTTTGTCTAGTAGCCTTTAATTTTGTGTTTTTTTTTTTTTTTACTCTACAGTAAATTTTTGAAACTTTCCGTCAAAAGAACACATTTTTACTTTTTCTTAATATGTTTTTTATTGCAAAAAAATTCGAGATTTTTACTATTTGGACTATGCGTTTTAAAAAATATATATATTTTTTTTTTATAAAATATCTCATCATACATCATTTTAATACTAAACTCAAACCAAACTTTTTTTTAAACCCATCAAAAGAAACACACCCTAGTTATCGCTTTAAAATACATATTTTCTATATAATTTAAAATTTAACATTTAAAATTTATTTAATTTTATGCAGCTATGTCTTTACTCGCATGTTAAAATTTTCCATTAAATTCTATTTTTTTCGCATTTAAATTTTAATTTTGCAAGATAGAGTCCAAAAATTTATATTGGATTGCATCTTATACTTTTGTTAGTAATATAAAAATAATGACATTTATGTAAAATAAAATAAATTGGAAGAATATTTATTATACGTAGCAAATTACCGAATTATGAAATAGTAACGAAAAATGACAATATGAAAGGAGTATATCTTATCATTTGATTTACAATTTTTTTTTTCTTTTTTTTTTTGACTGAGAATTTGCATCAGTTTGATTTACAAAAATTTAACTATTTACTGTGAATTTATGCTGCTATTGATTAGTGGACTAATTTCACTTTTATTTTTTTAAGGAAAAAATAAAAGAAAAAAGAACAAGAAAGAAGTGGGGGAGGCAGGGGTTCTAACCAAGATTCAGATGCAGATGCAGTGTCAGATTGCCTACCAGTTCAGTAGCAGTAATTGCCCGTGGTCACAAGAACGATCCACCTCTGCCTTCCCCTTCCCTCACTTTATTGCCCACAAAATTCGATCCGATTCCCAGCGGAGATGCAGACGTAGACGCAAAGCCCTCCTTCCTCGCGGATCTTCCGCGTGGCAAGAATCGCAATTTCGCCCCAAATCGAGCCCATTTTCTCAGCGCCCACCCTACCCTCCGCTGCGGTGCGGTGCGGTCCCACCCTGGGAAGTTGGGGAGGGGAGTTTCGCCTCGTTCACATCGATCGATCGATCGATCCATCCACGTTACAAAACCAACCTCTCTCTCTCTCTTCTTTCTTACACTCTCTGCTGCCTGCCCTCTCTTTTCCCCCTCACACAACAGATCCTTCTGCTCTGTGGCATGCAATTCTTTGAGAATTGCTAAAATCTAACCGCCTTTCAGCTCCTCCATACACCGATTCTTCCACCAATGTTGCTCAAGGGAGCCGCATTTCCGCCTTGCGGTGCCGTCAGCGTCGGCGAGGGCCAGAGGAACACACGCCTCTGCGGCTCGATTCGTCGGCGGTGCGGCGACGGCGTCGTCCGGTGTGGGGCTCGGAGTGGGGCGCGTTTGCTGCGTGTGGCGGCGGTGGCGACGGGCGAGCCGAAGAGCAAGCCGCAGGAGCCGAGCCTGGCGGACCGGCTTCGGCTGGGCAGCTTGACTGAGGACGGCTTTTCTTACAAGGAGAAGTTTATTGTGAGGTGCTATGAGGTTGGAATTAACAAAACCGCCACCGTTGAGACCATCGCCAATCTTTTGCAGGTTTCGTGTCCAATTTTTGTTTCTGGTTTTCTAGTATTTTGTGAGGTGTTGTGTTTCATAGCGATTGCTTAGCTATTTGTTCATGGATTCAGGTCATTCAGACCATTTCCCCCAAGTTCATATGGTTTTATAAATTGGAAAACTGATAGATTTGGAATTGGGAATGCATGCATATGCTCTTGGCAAAGACGGTTGCTTTCTGATTTATTTGCCATGATTTGGGCAATGTAGGCTACTATTGTTTGTACAATTTCCCCCTAACTTGTAGTGTAAATGATACAAAAGGATCGACAAACAAGGTTGGGATTTAGGGCTTTGGTTTGGTCAATTATTTAGGCATTAGATAGGAGGGTAAGTAGAAGGGCAGTTTATTTTGTTCGAAAAAAAGTTCAGATGATTATTGATGTTCTGTCCTGTTGTTGTTGGTGTTCTTGTTTGATTGTGGGATATAAGGAATGGTTTTTCAAAGATGAGGTGAGTGAATATGCCAACACCTCTCTATGACAGATGGCTTTCTATGTGTAGTTGGATACTTTGTTCGAATGCTTGTTAAACGTCGTAATTTTGTTTGTTTTCTGCCTTGGTGCAATTACATCTTTCTTGGGATACCTTTTTCATCTTTGCTTGTTTTTGTTAATTGTTCTATATGCCGTTAATCTATGCAGGAGGTTGGCGGCAATCATGCTCAAAGTGTTGGTTTTTCAACGGATGGATTTGCTACTACACCGACCATGAGAAAACTACATCTCATTTGGGTGACGTCTCGTATGCACATTGAGATCTACAAATACCCAGCCTGGTAATGTTGCTTGAATTCGTACCCAATCATGGCAATTCCGAGCTTCATGTTGTGTGACTTTCATACGTATCTCTTGAAACAGGAGCGATGTTGTTGAGATTGAGACGTGGTGCCAAGGTGAAGGCAGGATTGGCACCAGACGTGATTGGATTCTCAAAGATTGTGCCACTGGTGAAGTCATCGGACGGGCAACCAGGTCTTAATAAATTTCATATAAAGATTGTCGGTTAGCTTGGATTAGACAATGAATCACAGAACAAGGATGGAAGCAAACACAACACACACGAAGCAATTTAACTCATCCTGCTTTATGCCCGTGAATCTGAAAATAATGTGCCACACAATGTTAAATTTGGGATATATTGTTTAGCTATAATGGACGATAATGTTAGGTTATATCCTCTCCCAGTGTTACATTGATTGCTACTCTATGCTGTTAGATGCTTAATAGTAGTTCAGACTCTTCGGGAATTCCAGAGTAGCTGTGATAACCTGTCATATTATTGCAGTAAATGGGTGATGATGAATCAAGACACCAGAAGGCTTCAGAAAGTCTCTGATGATGTCCGCGACGAATACCTAGTTTTTTGCCCCAAAACACTTAGGTAAAGCATTTATTTTCTATTCATTAACACGATGTCCGCTACAAATACCAGGTTTCTTTTGCCATATCTTTCTTTTCTTTTCTTGTAATGTCAATAACAGATTAGCTTTCCCCGAAGAGAATAATGCCAGCCTGAAGAAAATTGCTAAACTAGACGATCCAGCTCAGTATTCCAAACTCAGGCTTGTGGTAAGTGATCTTGCGCTTTTATTTACACGAGTAAACGTGCGTTGCACCTTCAATAACCTGAAGTGCGTATTCTGTTTTGGCAGCCTAGGCGAGCTGATCTTGACATGAACCAGCACATAAATAATGTCACCTACATCGGATGGGTTCTAGAGGTTGGTTGCTATTTGCTACTTCTTGATATTCTAATTGCCTACGATTGGTTTTATTCGTCTCGTTGCTATCTCTTGAATTTACTGCAGACTTGGTCATAAATTATGCTCTGTAGGTGCTACATAGGTTGGTCATGTATGTGGTTCAGGGAAACGACTTTCAATAAGTAGCCCCTCTTCTAGGCAATTTTAAAGTAATAGGGCTGAGTAGGGATTAAGTTATAACATCGGATTAAATATAGTCAACCTTCTACACTTATGATCATATCTCATTTATGACTGGTGCCCCCTTGCTATTCTCTGCTCGTTTTCTTTAGACTTCGTTCGTATTTTATGTAAGTTTGGTAAAATAGAACATTTAATGTTGTCATTTCAATCTTGGTTTCATCAAAGCACTTCTTTAGGTTTTGGTCTGACTCTATGAATTTTTAATTTTGAATTTAAGTCGAAGATTATTTAATCTTACATGATCGTGTGCTTTCTAAATTCCTGGAATTTACTCACCCAACAAATTGTAAAGCTCTTTGAAAATCTTTGAATTACACAAACTGAGCCCTTTACTATCTTGCTCCATAAGTGAAATCCGGTCGTCCAATTTCTCTTGGTTTAGCGAGCACAGTTTCTGCTATTTGACTCTCTTTTTATTTCCCCACAGAGCATGCCTCAAGAAATAATCGACACCCACGAGCTGCAAACCATAACATTGGACTACAGGCGCGAGTGCCAGCATGATGATGTGGTCGACTCCCTCACCAGCCCCGAGCCAACAGTGGCTGAAACAGTTTTGGAACTTCAGGGAACCAACGGATCATCTTCTCCAGTTGGTAAAGAAGAGAACGACTGCCTTCAGTTCTTGCATTTGTTAAGATTATCGGACAATGGGTCTGAAATCAACAGGGGTCGCACTGTGTGGAGAAAGAAACAGGCTAAAAGATGAGCTTCGCCCATCCATCCATCGTTGTGCCATTATAAGCTGTGGGAATAATGGGAGCTCCCCCCTTTGCTTGCTCGCCCTATCTTCGGCCACTGCATTGCTCCCCCGTCTATCTCTTCTTTTGTTGTTTCTGAATTTTCGCCCTCGACCTCGGGTTCGAACTAGACATTGATAATCTATGTTTGATGTTTTATGATTTGAAGACATTTGGGATATAGAGTGTATGATCGAATGCTCTTATGGCACACTTCATGACTTCCTTTGGTTCCTGTAATTTTCACATGTTCAAATCTCAGGGGAAATGCTTCTGTGGTTTTCAAACGTAAGGTTGTGTTGTTTGGGTTTTCCTATTTATATTCTTTTTTCCTTTTAACATATTAAATTAAATATATATATTTTAAACTTTTATATTATATTACAAATTTATTTTACATTCAAAACATCTCACCAATCTATTTATATCATAATAAACTACCATTAAAATTTTTACTATTCAAAAATTCAAATCCAAAAACAAAAATTAACAAACAAACACATCCCAAATGGATTAATTCAAACAAACACATCCCAAATAGATTTTCTATTAAGGGTGTGTTTGTTTGGGGGTTTGGATTTTGAGTAAAATTGATTTTTAGTATAATATAAAAAATAAAAAATAGGTGTTTGATTTGATATTTGACATAAATATATAGTAATTAGGTTCAAGTTCTACCTAACTCAAGAAAATTATAGAACATGCTGAGAATCGGTAATCTCAATATTAAAATACTTTCTCCATCGAGTATTAATTGTCCAGTTATATTGGAAATTAAGATAAATAATTTAATTAATATTAACAAAATTTTAAATTATAAAAATTAAAATGCTATTCAAAACGTAAACGGACGGGAGGGACTACTTCGCAAGGGCTTTTCTAGATATTTCGTAATTTTCAGGGATCGTATTGCAATTAGGCTAAGTCTTTAGTGACGGTGGAAGCCACCGTGACCGCCAAGCAACTCCGCCGGCGATGGATGAAATCTCAGAAGCTCAGGCGCCATCAGCCTCCGATGCCTCGAAATCCGACCAAGATTTCGACCCCGAGACCATGCGCAAGACCAGACCGGGATTGAAGCGTTTGATCCTCACTCTAACTGTGCTCGTATCGTTCGTGTTAGGTCAGAAAATCTCTCGTCTACTGCTCTGAAAGTCCTTCTCAGCTTTTAAATAGTGAAGTCAAATTGTCGTGCTTATACAGTTTTGCATTTCTTTTTTGAGTGCAGGTCTTCCATTTTTGTTGAAATCAGTGGAAATTTACAGATCACCGCTGCCGTTCCGAGAAATCGATGATTTGTCGGCCTCGGTTGAGTCAAATCATCTGCATTTTCCATGCAAGCTTCAAGCAGTTTTTGTAGATACCCTTGGATCTTCGCTTTCTGCTGATGAGTTATCGGTTTCAATTGAATCTCAAATGAGACAACTTGCCGTGGAAGATTTCAATTCCTGTGGCGCTTGCAGTTATAATTCCAGTGTTTCCGTGGCCTTAGAATCCGGCTCTGGTTGTTTCCTCAGCGCCAATAGTATGAACTGGAAATGCGGCGTGTTAAATGAGCTGAGTAAGTATGAGGATTCCGGAAAATATGATGATAAGTTGTTTGATGACTATCTGCATTCGCTGCTTAATGATAGAGGTAACCTCAGAATTGATGGAACAGTCTATACAGTGATTGTGGTTAGAAGGGGTGAGGAGGAGGGAGTGAGGGCAGTTGTTGGGAAGTATAGGCATGCGTGGCTTGTGGGTGGGATTCCACAGGAGGATGCTGTTAGGAAGGTGGCAGAGATTTTTGTGAAAGTGTTTGTTAATGGAGGAAAAGAAGAAGGTTCGATTAGCGGGGAGTTTATGCCTGTGGGGGCTGATGGCAGGATTGTGCTTTCCTTCAATTTGCTGAATGCCAATCCACAAGATTGGACTTTCGACTGGTATGGAACTTTTGTTGATATTTCTCTGTTTACATGGTGTTGAAAATGATAAATTTCTGCACTTACTTATTATTGTGAGTAACTGTGGGTCTTGTACAAGGAGGACCTGTTTAGCTGATTTCTTGTTCAGCCCAGCCAGTGTAATATTCGTTGTCGAAGTCATAAACTGATGAGTTAATTCAACTATTCATAGAGTTGCAAGTCAATCATTTTTGGGAAAAAAACACAAACAATGTTTTATCCAATTTCATCATAGATGAGAGTTGGCATGTCTGCTGTATTACAAAATGCACAAATAAAGTAATTGTTTCCGCAGGGAATTCCAAGAGATGGATGATGAACTCTTAGCTCCTATAGCCAAATCTTTGAAGCCTCTTGCGGATATTAGAGTGGAGAGCCAGGTCATGCCTATCTCTTGTTTATCTCTGCTTTCAGTTTCAGTTGTTTTATCAGGATGACACCATTGGAATTAATTGGATTCTTAAATTTCTTCTGATTACACAGGTTTTATACCACACCCCAAAGTCTTCATTTTCCAACTTTGATGACAAGCTGGGCAGCTATATTTTTACCATGAAAGATCTTCCTTTCTTTGTATGTTTTCCCTGTGCTTCCTCTTTATTGGAAATTTCCTATTAGGGAAAACCGCATAGACAATTTATTGATGATACTATAATGATAGTTTGACTATTTAATTGAACTATATTATCTTCATGTTTTGAGTATTGCATTAAAAGAGATTCAATTAATTAAGGTTAATTGCATTTGGTAAAACAAGAACCTACTATTATTTTTGTTCAGTCATATCATATGTTTATTATTTTTTCTCTCAGTTTCTTGAATGTTTTCACTATTATGAACACAATATAGCATAAAATTTCCATGCATGGTAAAAGTTCTGTTATAAAACTGATTGCTTACAAAGTAACCTTGTATGTATCAAGATAGACATTAATACATTGATTTGATTGAATGAAAAGGAAAAAGTAGTGGGTATATTGTTTATGGTTGAATTTCCCTAAATATGCTTCCTTGTCCTTGATTAATGATCACTAGCATACTAGCTTGTTATCACTGAAAAACCTGCTGATTATTTTCGTATCTGTTGACCTTTGTTAGTATTGTCTGATGTTATCTATACGTCCTTATTGCATTATATTTACATTATTTCTATTCTACTTTGGTCAGCCATTCAAGAAATGATCTTTTTACCTTTACAAAAATACTTTAAGTTGTTTCTCGACTCAACTCATCTGTCAAAACATCATAGGTAAACTCAAATGAGTGGCATTTGGATAGTTCAACTGCAGCTGGAGGGCGCTCGAAGATTCTCCAGTTTGTGGTGTATAATCTTTAACTCTCTTGATTTTATTTTTATTTTTATTTTTGTAGTTTGATACAGCAGCTTGTGGTATATGATCTGTAACTCACTTAATTATCACAGTTAGAGCCTCCAAATTTTGTCATATAATCTTTAGCACTATTTTCAATTTGTTTGGATCCGCAAAATAAACTATTATGCAATATTTTTGCTTATAATATCATTCAGTTCAACCATATAATAATTTTGTTAGATATAGTTATTGTTGGAGTCCCTGTTTGAAAGAATAAAAGAGTGGATGACAGCAACTTTAACAATATAATATAATAAAATATTCTTTTGATTTAAAGCTCCTATGCAGTCATGGTAGTTGGCTTCTGAGTTATCATGATTCAAATTTAAATTTATTCCAGTATCAGTAAGTACCCTATGATCTGACCTGGAAACTGTTGAATGTCATTGCCTTTTGATTTGGTTCCCCTTATGCTAGATACGTGCCATCTGCATCTGAGTGTCCACTTCAACTGCAGCTCCCAACTGGAGAAATTTCTGCAACTAATGGATATATATCTCCAGTGAGTTACATGTGTATGCATCATGTTTACTCTCTTTTTTGTCCCCATGAAATCTAATGTTTATCTGTTGTCCACTTTTAGATGTGGGGAAGTGTTGTTGTTTGGAATCCTTCAGCTTGTTTGAATGATTCGAAAGTAGAGTCGCATGTCAGACAAAAAATTTCTCCTGAGGTAAGTTGCTGTTGTTAGCAATGTATGGAAAAAGGTTGTTATTTTACTAATTAACCATCACAAAAATTACTGAGGTGTGGGTTTTTGGCCCCATTTCTTACTTTTCAATTTTCGTACTATATATTATATTGTAGCATGTTAAAATTTGGCCACAATTTTGTCAACAACTACTCTTGTTTTTTAGAGCGAGAATGTTTCTAAGCTTCATGCACTGTATTTTCTTGATTACAATTTTATCGGTGTTCAAAATATGAGTCATGCATTACTTTGTTTTCAAGAGACTAATGATTATTGATTAAAATTACCATGATAGATTTCACCAAATGCAAAATTATAACATTTTTTTTCAACTAGAAACCGTAATTTTTATTATTATACTGAATCTAAGATCCCCCCTTTCTTTTTCTTGGTAGTATACACGAATTGGTTATGAAAACAGCTGCAGTGCATGGTACCCTTCCTTACATCAATCAAATCTTGTTCTTGTATTAGGGATCATTCTATGGAGACTTCAACCAGAAATCATTTATTTTTCTCTAGCGAAATTTTCTTGCTAACATTTAACTTACAGAAATATATCCTTTTCTGATTAAGGGGGTTATATATGTAATGAGTATGCAGGAATAATGAAAATCTAGTTGATGTTTCATAATACTTTTTCATCTATGCCTTTTGTCCAATCCGTGCACTGAATTACAGTGTAATTAATTGTTTTTAGACCTTGGTAATCCTTCCTGTGCCCTGTACAATATTATATATATGCCGGCAACTTTTTCAACTTTATTTCAATTTTCTTTCTAAAAAACAGGATCTGCGAAAAATTTTTGAAGTCTTCGTAGGTCAGTTGCGGCAACTCTTCAGTCTGAGGTCCAAAGACCACTTTGGTGATGTATCAGGGACATTTCGGCTATTGACCAGTGAAAGAGGCTTCACTGAATGGTGAGAAACAAGCTGTGGGTGATAAAAAAATGTGGCTTTAGAAGATGAAAAAAAAGTAGTTTTATGCTTGAAATACTATATCCTAATTGCTTAATGACTTCTTGATCACAATAGAGAAAATTCTGTTATATCACTTCATATGCTGATAGTAAATTAAAATTTTTATCTACTATATGATTGCAAATTGCCTATTTGGTGATTGAGATGTTCCATAGTAAAAGCACTCTTGACAAACATAATGCTCAACTCTTTCTTAATTATTGAATCATTCCCACCCCCCAACCCCCGCTTTTTGTAAGATGTACTTCTGACTCTATGTTGGAATTCATGGAGATCCATGTTCTGTTTTGGGTAGTGAATGTGAATTACTGGGTTCTTTTTGTCGAGCTTATGATAAAGATCAGACAAGACCCTGGGAAAATAAGATGCTAATTTTCCAAGTTCTTAATATTTGCCCAACATTATAGTAGTGAATAGCTGGATGCAAGATATATTTGTTTCCATCGTGTCTCCTTAGATATCTCTGCTGGTAGTCTGAGATTTACTCCAGTGCTTGCCTGAAACTGATCACATATTTGTTGTTCTGGTTTGAAGGGAATTGGATGTTTTGTCACGACAGCACACGTGTTTTAATCTTCTTCAATGTGCCACAACTCTTGGATCACTTTCTCGATTGGTACATCATCCATGCACAGTTGCATATATATATATATATATTTATTTTTGTTCTCGACTATTAAGCATTCAAGATAAAATTGGAAAACAGGTTCAGTCACTTCCAAGAATGATCATTAAGGATGAAATTGGCAAACAGGTGAGTCCTAGCAGTTATTTCTTTTATTTTTTTCTAGTGTCTGTTATAAGTGAAATTAAATTTTGCATTTCCACAGATGCTGATACTGCAGTAATTTAAATTATTTTATGTTTGTATCCCAATAGTATGAAATGTATGCAATGAGGTGCGATTTTTGTTCTTAATGGTTTCAATCTTGATAATATTGACTTAAGACTCCTATCAAACTCCTGGGCTGTGATGTTGACAAAATTTCTCTCTCATCCTCAGGTTTTTTGCTTGACAAGTTTCTAACCTGCTGTACGAACATCGATTCTTAACAAATGCATGTCCTTAATAAATGGTTGAACCAGCTTATGGATACATCATTCACCCTCCCCAGTGAACTAATTATCTGTTAGGATTTTTTCCCCACTGATAAAAGACTGGAAATTACAGCTTTTAGTTCTATTTCAATTAGACATACGATATGTTTATCCTCTTTTCAATATCAAGCAGGTAAAGTATTCACTTGAAGCTGCAAAATTGGCATTGAGCAATATGTCTGATGGATCTTATGATGCCTCTGCCGGTATGGTTACTATTAAAATTTGGCTGTGATGATGGATTGTTGTATAGTTGCACCGAAGATATACGCTGACATATGTAACACCTTTTGTTTCAGTTTCTTCGAGACAAGCAAGGTCCTTCGCTGAAGACGCATTTTATCACCCATCTATGATGTCTGTGAGCTACTACTCATTTGAGCATTGTTTTGCTGTCTACTCAGTAAGTCTTAACACTCTTCTATACGTTGATTATGTAATACGTTAATCATATAAAATAGAGGACGAAAATTGATTCATGGTTAATAATAACTTGTTTAGCGAGGTAGGGGTGAGCAAAATATTCGAAATTCAAAAATCCAATCCGAACCAAACCGAAATTTAAAATTTGGTTCGGATTTTTCGGATTTTTGGATAGGTTCGGATTGAATTTTTGACAAATTTCGGAGTTTCGAATCGGATCGGATTTGTATACTTAAAATCCGAACCAATCCGAAATCCGAAATATAACATTTTAATATATATATTTTTTATTACATATATTTAAATATTTTATAAGAAAATATTATATTTTAATATAAAAAACTCAAAATTATTAATTATATTTTAATATATTTAATTTTTATACATTATATATATTTAATATTATAAAATATAAAAGAAATTTAAATTTTTTTAAAAATAATTAAAAATATTTAGAATTTCGAATTTTTCAGTTTGGTTCAGATTTTTTTAGTTTGGATTTCGAATTTTCGATTTTCGGATTGGTTCAGAATTTGCCGGATTTTGCAAAATCCGAATCGAAAATCCGAATGCTCACCCCTAGAGCGAGGAGGATTCATGCAATTCTAAGCTCACCAGTTATCAAAATATATATGCTTATGAACTTTATATCTCCACACATTTCTAACATTACACCTTCCTTGTGAAAGAGCTGGAATTAAAACAGCTCAAAAAAAGTTGAGAAAACAATTTCAGGGTCTTCTTGAACTTAATGTAGAACTGAACTCTCTCTAAATCTACCCTGCCACACGTGACGCACCATTTAATAGCTCTGCTTTCATGAATTTACGATGTTTAGTGACATGGTTTAACAACATTCCATTTATTTAGACCGCGATGTTAAGAGTTTTTGTCTAATTGTCTGCTCTGGTTCTTGGCAGCCCTTCTTTCTTCCGGTTTCTCTTCACGTGCTCCTCGCTGCCTTGAGAGAATGGAAAAGATACAAGCAGGAAACCAGAAAATATAATGCCTGGAAAGTCAAGAAGTTGTAGACATTTGTGTTAAGCGACGATAGTCACAAATCAAGCCCCATCCCTTAAGGTATGAAATTCTGGTAATATTTTCCGGGCATAAGTTCCACAATTTCCTACATTGCATTTGACATTTTATTTATTCAGACAATTTCATTGCATATGTGATTTGAGCATAGTATTAACTGCCTATTGGTTGATTTTATGCATGCTTTGTTGCAGAATGGGCCAAACAAGTGTCTCCAGGTCGATATCGACGAAGGATATGTCACGGGATCGAACTTTAAAGGAATAGAATCATGATTGGCCTCTCTTACATTTGCTCAAAATCTTGTATCTCGTCTTTCTTGCAAAAGTTTGGATTTTACCTGATATGTAAGTCTAGTTTGATAATTATGTCTGAAATTCAAATGCAACCATTTCGTGGATATTGGGGGAATTTTGGTACTAACAAAGATACCTTTTTTGTGAGTATTTATTTTATGGTCCAATCTCGTGTGAATTGAGTACATAGAACTAGAAGAATAGCATATAGTTCCATTCTTTTTCATTACTACTCTTTTCTATATTTCAATTGCAACTTTTGCATTTATTTATTTTATCTCCTATAGTTTTATTGCAAATATTTATAATATATGTCCATTATATCATCAAATATGTACCCAAAGTTAAAATACACAAGAAGAGAGCCTGTTTATTTAAACTAGGGTGAGCCCAACAGATAAATTTAATATTTCAAAAGGCCCAAATCGTGGCGACGGAAATACTGTAGTTTTTACATTTTCTGTTTGGCTGTCTGTTTGTTTGTTTGTCTGAGAGCGAGTAATAAAATAGAAATCTATTGTGTGAGAGAGAGAGACAGACAGAGAGAGAGCGAAGAGAGTTTTCTGGGAAGCCAGTCGACCGCGAAGGGGACGAGGCTGACGAACAAATTCTACGTTGGAATCTCGCGCGGGGACGATACACACATGCATTTCTATGTATCTATTCATCTCCGTTGCCGTGGTGTAGTGGAAATGCTTCAATAATTGGACGTGGTCTAGGGCAAAATCGTTTTCAATTTCCCCCCTCTGCTTTTAGCTCAAGTGCCGTGTGCATCAGACGCAAAACCCTAGGCGACAACCGCGGAGTCTCGAAGGGTCTTCTCTTTTTTCCACCCCAGGAGCGCAATTAATCGCAATTGAGGTATTATTCTCTCCTCCCCAGCTCTGGAAACCCTAGAAAATTTTGGAGCTGTGCTTAAGTTGGGATTAACCTAGAAAAGCTTCCCGCGCTTTGGGTTGATTAGTGTAATTAATGATGGCGGAGTGATCGAGGTTTCCTTTTTTTTTTTCGTCCACGTGTCCGTTTCGATACATTTTTGGTTGAATTTGCACCGAGGGTTTCCGGTGTCTACTTGTATATGGGCACATGCAAGCTTCTACAAGGTTCGCGTCTGACATGGCGGATTTTGTGAGGCGTTGCACGTAGAATTAACTGAGTTCTTTCTTTATGGAGTGATTCTACTTTTCCGATGCTTTAGTTGATCGCATGCAAAAAAATGTGAACACGAAGTTTCTTGGTCACTCTGTTTGAATGTCTGTGTCTTTATACTCTCTCGAGTCTCCTCAACTTCTTTCTTCACTTACAATCATGGCCACAGATATGGCAATCGTTTTTTGTTGAGGTTGGGACTGCTTTCTATTCCTCGGACAAGTTTTGATTGAATTGTTGTATTAGGCATGTGTTTGTACTGGTACTTTAGTAAAATTGCTTTATAGTAGAACTTAAAGTGAAGCGCATGCAATGTGGTGCCACCTGTTTATGTAGCTTTCTACATTTTTCTGCTGAGCTTGGGAAATGCCCAGGCGCTATGGAACATGACTTCTGCGGTGCGCATTTGATTATTTTGTCGGCCTTTGTCTTTGCATGTAATATTGTATCAAATTTCACTGTACGGTTATTAATGTACATTGAAAATTTGAAGGAATGGCTCATCATGCAGTGTACTAGAATGAAAGTTATTTGTTGTGGAACAATATAAGATAAAAATTCTTGGGCTTCTTTCAGATGCTGTAGGCATTTGATTACTTTTTCCACCCTTTGCCTTTGCCTGTAATATTGTATCAAATGATACTGTACAATTATTGCGTTTGTGGAAATCTAGAATGTAACACTTCATGCTGTGCATTAGTATTTGGAAATTTAGCTTTTGAACAATGTAAAATCTTTATTGACTTTTCTATGTTATTTTATTTTATTTTATATCTAGTTCGAGCATATTTAATGTAATTTCTTAGGTCACTTCTTGTTGGCATATTATGTTTAAGGCCATTAACTTTTTTTTTTTTTTTTTTTTTTTTTTTTTTTTTTTTATGCATTATTGTAGATATACATTATTTTTGTTGGAACACAGTCAATCACTTATTTATTACTATTGCTCTTTGATCAGTTCTTTTGGACATAACTATCATTCTTTGCTTTTAGTTAGTAGTTGATTACCATGGTAAGTATGTTTCAATTGTAGTGCTTCCAAAAGAATCCCTTCCTCATTTGGACTCCTGCACCATATCTCTGAAAGAATCCCTTCCTCTTTATCATTCAAAAGGATGAAAAAGAAATGAATATATGCTTCCAAAACAAAACATTCAAACATATTTGTTCACCTGTTGTCTCATTTCTGAGTGCTCTAATTTTTTCTTGTTAACAATCTTTTATGTTCTTGTTTGTTAGTATTTTGATTTTGGCATGACTTGATCGAGGGAATGCTGGCTGGCTTTTGAATTGGAAGTGCGTGGATGCTGTTCCCATCTTGTTCTCTTAGTCAATGCGGAGTTTGATTCTATGGGAGAAGTTAATGAAGGTGGGATTGGTATTACTGACAAAACTTCTCCCAGACGAGCAGCAATTGAGAAAGTTCAAGTCGAGCTCAGGTAATAGGGCAATGCTTGTGGATCTTACGTTGGGGAACATACATTATTTTCTGCAAGATGTGTGATCATATCACTGAACAATTACTGATGCTGACAGGCAACAATATGATTTTCGGGAGAAAAGGCAACGGGAGTTGGAGTTTCTTGAAAATGTATGGATCTAGTAATTTCATTGCATTTCCCAAGTAGAATTAAAATTTATCCATGCTTGGTTATTTCATTGGCAGGGTGGAGATCCCCTAGAATATTTCAAGGATAGGAATACTTTTTCCCTTAGTGTCCAGTCAACTTCATTTACAGGTCAACATCCTGAGCAATATGTGAGGTATTTTACATGACTTAACTTTTTATTGATTATCTAATTGGCTGTACATCATATGAACTATGTTTGTGTTTTCTTTTGTTTTACAGTGAAGCAAAAGGTAGTTTTGCATTGACTGCATCTCCTCATGGAGATTCTGTTGAAAGTAGTGGTAGACTTGGGGCAATTCCTTGTGAGCCCAATAGTGCGGATAACCTTATGTTATTAGAGGCAGAACGTACATTTTCTGAGGGCAATATAAATTCATCACATCCCAGAAAGGGCGACACTTTGCTTTCTGCAAAGTTGGCTCAGGTAGACAAAAAGCAGAGAACTCAGGAAAGTGGGGATTCCGCTGCTTTTTGCATCCCTAGACAAGCTTATAAGCGCCGGAACAGGTCCCGCCCCAATCGTGATGGAACTAGGTCAAGTTCGACCAGTGCTAATCCAACTTGTGGCGATCATGGTTCCTCTTTACCTTCTCTTCATGGCCCCACTGAAGTTAAGAAATCAATATCAGATGCTGAAAATCAGAAAACGCCTTCAAATTGTAGTAATAAGTCGACAACTGCAGCAGATGATGCCTTTCAAAATATTGAATCAACAGAGAATAAGCAGGATAAGTCAGTTGATGGAAGGGCTGCTGAATCAACTTCACATCTTATTGAAAGTGTTCCAACAGGTTTGGCATCAGGTGCTATTGCTTCTGCAACTGCACTGGATGGTCAACATAATCCACAATCAGGGGATTTGATAATATCTACCCAAGTGGAATCTGATGCACCTGAGGCCATTCAGGCAATGGAAGAGGTGACTTATTCAGTTTCTGAGTGTCAGCAAAGTGTATTAGCTGCTAATGTTGATAACCTTCCCAGTTCCTGTGATATGAATGGTTTTGGAACCCAAATGGAGGGGATGGACAATGATTCTACAAATAGCAGTTCTTTACGAGTCATCAAGGGCTTGGATTCTGCTTCACCTTACCCCCCAACCAGCTTAACTGTTGATGGGAATAGCAACAATGAATTATGTACTATAACGAGGAAAATTGACTCAGATGGGATGATTAAGGATCAAACAGGTGTACCTGATGGCACTCTAGTTGTCCAGGGTGATGAATTTGTACAAGAAAAAGAAACTAATGGTGTTGATAGCTCCACACTAGTCAAGTTGGAGGGCAATCATTCATGCAAAGGTCTGGAAGAGAATGGCTTTAAGATCTTAGTTGGTGAAGCAGTATGCTATAGTGGATCTGCTTCAAAAAATGAGGTGAAGGATAAAGTTGTTCGTGGAGGGATGGAACCCAGTGAGACCACTCTTTCGGAATCAGGGGGGAAAACCTCTGAGGTGTTGGAAAATAAACATGGGTCACATAATGGAAGTACTTTCAGTGTTAAGCCTCTGGATTCTCCTGACATTACAATTCCTGGTCTTCATGATGGTGGTACTCCTTCCCAGCCACCTCAGAAATCTTCTGGGCCTGACTCAGTTGACGAGGAGTCAATCTTGAAAGAAGCCCGTATTATTGAGGTTATAATAACTCATTTACTCAATACTTTTCTAGTTGTGTTGTGATTGAAACAAGTTTTAATGTAATATATTGTTAAGCCCTAAATTTATGAAATGAATAGGCAAAGCGAAGGAGGATCATGGAGTTATCTGCTGCTCCTCCTCCAAAGCTACGCCAGCTGAAATCGCATTGGGATTTTGTGCTTGAAGAAATGGCATGGTTGGCCAATGATTTTGCACAGGTTTGATCTTAAATACCCCAGATACTTTTGTTTTTGTTTTTTTTTTTTTTTTCATCTCCATTGGAATTATAATTAACAATACCCCAGATACTTTTGTTTCACATTCAGTATTCTGCTTGCACAGTCTTTTTTTGGTAGGTTGTATATTGTTTTCTGGAAATAGTAAGTTTTTTTAAGAGTTTCCTCATTTTGTAGGAACGAATATGGAAAAAAGCTGCTGCTGCTCAAATTAGTTCCCAAGTTGCTTACAAATATTCGTTACGAAAGCAAGAAAGTTCTTCTGGTTTGTTGGGAAAGAAACTTGCTCATAACTTGGCAAATTCTGTTCTGGAATTCTGGCAATCTGTAGAGGTATATTATCATGGGGTTACTTTTTTTATGATGTAGTTAATATGCTTCTTTCTTTTTGAAATTGATTTACAGTTCTGCTAAACAAATTGTTATATAAATGAAGTGCTAATGAGAATATGAGATACATGCGGATCAAGGTCTAACTTGGAGCTCCTAATGGTTGTGAGTTAAAAAAGTCATTGTCTTTTGAAATCACAAGTTATATAAGTAAATGTTTCTTAGGTGTTTTTGTAAAGCACTGTTCAGATGGTAAAATATGCATGATAATTTTGAATTATAATTCTCTCCCCATTCAGGGAACATCATTCATTGATTAGCTCTCCTTCCTTTCTTCTCCTTGTGTAACTTTGCTCGTGTTACCCTTTTTTTTTTTTTTTGAGGCCTAGGGTGATGACACATGTTAAGGCCATCACTGATCTCCATCTTCTAACTTCTTCTTTTTACCTATTTGCAAATTTACAGGAGACAGGAAAAGTGGTGGAGCAGAAAAGTCAAGATGATGGAGAACATTCTCTGAAGGCATATGCTATAAGATTTCTGAAATATAACAACAGTATTGCTCATACTAAAGCTGAGGTGCTTTCAACACCAGATAGATCAATTGGTGTGGAAATTCCTGACCTTTCGTGGGAGGATAAATTGACAGAAGTATGAATTGTCAACCAAGTATCTTGTTATTTTGTGTTTAGCATGATATCCCCTCTTATATTCTACCCCACTCCTCCCCCGACTTAGTCACCTTATACTGAGCCTGACCTTTTGTATGAGCTAATGTCTTTTAAGCTTTTCTTTTTCCTTTTTACATGTTCTGTTTTATGCTTTCCCTCCCCCCTATGAAGCTCTTAATTAAATAGGTTTACTTATTCATTATTTCTGTCATTATCATTCAGGAGAACCTCTTCTACACAGTGCCTCCTATGGCCATGAAGACCTACATAAAATCAATTGAATCATTCGTGTCGCATTATGAGGTATTAATACTTAGTTCACCTCTTTATAAAGGAAAAAAGAATACTTAGTTTGCTATCTCATTACAATTTACAAATAACAATGTATTACTGTTTCATCCTTTGCACCCAGTTGCAGTTTAACTACAAGTGATCTGTTGAACTTGTTGAATAATAAGAACAAGTTGGTATTATTCAATCATGAAGTGACCCGAACAATTAAATGGGTTACTCATGAATTTGCTTGTTACTGGTTGAAGTGTTAATTTTGTTAGCATATTGTTTACTTTGTCTTCCTCCCGAGAAATTTCTAAATAATGATGGGTATGCATTTTAGAACATACATAACCATTTTCCTAGATGAGCATTACGTGGTTGTTCGCAAGTATTCATGCTTACTCTGTCTACAAAATAATTGTATAGGAATCAAATAATGATTTTATTTTATTTTTTTTTTATTTTTTATTTTCTCTAGCAGGGTACCTATAAATATGCATAAAATTTGTGAAGAAATAATCTCTACTTCAAGTAGCATGTGAAATTTTCATTTAAGTTGTCCATAAAACTTGTTTCAACATAATGATGGACGTGCATGGTCTTGGATTCTAATAAATGTAGCTGGTCCTTTATATTAGACGGGGAGTAGTTGTCTGAGTTGGGTGGTTCATTCTGTTTTACAAATTTGGGTCTACAATACATGTTTTTCGGAACACATTAAATACCTTAATCATCTATAAACGTATCAATAACACAATTTATTTAAAGTAAACCAAAAACATTTTACATGTTTATCTGCTACATAATCCCGTTTATTATTATTATTATTATTTATATATATATATATTTTGTGAAGTAGATGTTGAAAATTCTTGTGGGTTTGTATGGAAACTTTGATGGGTCTGGTCTGCTGTATTTTCAGTCCCGGAAAAGGTGTTTTGGAGTCTAATGAAAAACACAGAGATTAAGTGGTTTCTTTTGCTTCTTGATGCATTTAGAAGATATAATAAAAATATTATTTGAAACTTGTTTGGTCCAGAGTTTCTGGATATGATGGAAAATACATGGGCTTAATGAAGCCCAACTATAATGTCATGATAATTCTCTTCACACTACAAAAATCTCAGTTTTATCCGCACTCAACTATTGAATATCCCTGCTATCATAATTTTATACCATGCGTAATAGCACATGTGGCACGTCATTGCTCCATTTTCTATGGCAGAGGCATGCCTTGGCGAAATGGTGTTTGCCACAGTTGTTTTTTGGTCCTAATTAGTTTTATTGGTGTCTAAAATTTCCAGATGTCAGACCTTTTCTGCCTTAAAAATCATCTTCCCACTTCTCTCCTGCATACTTCCGTATCTGCTTCTCTTGTTCTGCTTCCAATCCTCCACTCCACTCTCATCCAATCCTACACTCTTGCATTATGTTAGTTTTATTTTATTTCATTTAAATTCAGTGTAGGTATTGTTTTAATTTTTGTTAGCTTTCCACTAAGTATGTCATCATTTGAAAATATTGTACGTTGACCTATAGCATACTTCTGAACTCTAATACTAAAAACACCATATAAAGTAATTTTGTAAGAATGCTAAAAGTGATGTCACAACTCACCAGACTGCATATATATATATATTTGCATATTTATTATATATTAAAACTTATGCTCCGTGCCGGTGCCTTGTGGCATTTACAACTCTCTATGTATTGTTTTAACATAGGGGTAAATTTGTCAAATTATCGTAATAACCTTCATAATTTCATTTTATTATATACAAAACAACAGGTGTATAAATGATAAAATTAACTTCATGCGAAATAATATTTTTGGACTTCTTATTCTTATTTTAAGGAGAGTAGAGTAGATTTATTTACAGAAGGATTTTTTATCTCATAGTTCGGGAGTATAGGATATTTTATAGTGAAGATGGAATAATCTTGAGCTACGAAAGCTATCTATTCGGAACTGAAACTAAAGCAGTTGATAGTCTGCGCTGCCTAGGGCGCCGCTTTTCTGCGAAAAAAATCTGCCAAAAAGCTGATTTAAAATTTTCATTTCCATGAGCTTTCTCTAACCATTTCTCTCAAGACTCTCCTCTCATCGCATTGAATTTACCATTAATGTTGCAAATCTGATTTCGTCAATTTCTTGAAAAATGAAATTAATGCATACTTGTAGAGAATCTTGTCGACTCTATGGTCCATCTTTGTTAGACACTGCTTTATATATAGTAGGAATATACTATATTACTTGCTGGTAAGGAACAACAAAATGAAACAGACATTCATAGAAGCTTGCTATAAGTACCTCAAATCATGGTCCGAGGATGAAATAGTTCACATTTTTTCTGCTCTTTGATGCTATGGCCATGGGAATGGGACTATTTATAATACTGGCTAATGAATTGAAGTATGGCTTTCAATATTGTCACCAAACTAACTCACTTTCTTGCTCAGAGAATTGGAGGAAACATTCAAGAGGAGGTTGAAACATCTGGATGTGACGTTATTTCAGGTAAACCTGATAATACTGCTGTTAGATTCTTCCTTGTTATATTTTGAAAATTGCTTTTATCAAATCTTCATTTACTACAGAGATTGAATCTCAAGATAATGCTTATTACGAGGATGAAGGCGAAACAAACACATATGACATTTTGAGGGCACCTTCAAGAAAGGGTCAAAAGAAGAGGAAACAATTGACCCATGCATATGACATGAGAGCGTATGAAGTTGGCTCAGATATGTTGGGTATACACTATTCTGAGACTAAACGTCTGACACAGCAATCTGCTTTACCGGCAAAGCGGGCAGGTGGCAATCTTAATGTGTCAATCCCAACAAAACGCGTTCGAACTGCTTCCAGGAGAATTATCAGCCCTTTCAATGCTGGAACATCTGGAGGTGTTCTGGTTTCAACCAAAACAGATGCTTCTAGTGGTGAGAATAATTCATTTCTGGATGATCAGGGTACTCCATATGGTGGATCACTTATTCCTAGTGGTTTGGAAGTTGAGTCATTTGGGAACTTTGAAAAGCAGTTTCCATGTGACTCTACAGAAATATCTACAAAACATAAGAAGAAGAAGAAAGCAAAGCATCTGGTATGAAGTGACATCAAATTTCAATTATGTGCTGGTAATTTGTGCTTTTATTGGGGAAGAATAATTGCTCCCTCAACTAATTTTCATTTGGTTTGGCATTGTGTCAGAATGTTGCATATGAGCAGCGATGGCAGGTTGATTCTTCTTTTCAGAATGAACAGGTGGGTCAATTTACATTGTTTGACTGATCTATATTTTTCAGTCTGGAAGTGCAAAGCTAGATACATTATTATTGAAATTTCCTTCTAACTTGATACTTATAATACTGTGCTTCATAAATATTGTTATGGATAGGATGCTAGCATTTTATATGGAATTAAAATTTTAGAATGCCATCATCATTTATAAGGCGTTGGCTTGGTAATTGCCAATCTTAAGGGATCAAATATGATTATATTAACACCTTATTCATCTTGAAGGTCGTGGAATGAAGTCCTTACTATTTTTATGTTTTCATTTCTCACATAAGAGTATAATTTTATTTATTTTTATTTATTTTATGCTTGTATATTTGTGAAGTGTTGATTGTTTTATGAACATATCCAGAGAGATCACCTGAGGAAGAGTTATCAGCTTCACACTAATGGCGGCAGTGGTAGTGCTTATTCTTTTTGATCTCTTAATAATATTGGTGGTGTTTGATGATGAATACATCCTTAATCATAGCTGATGTGCTTACATGTGATTTTTGAAGGCTTATTAACTCATCCCTCAATGAAAAAGTCCAAGGGTATGCGGCAATCACATGATAACTCTGTTGAGAATATCACACCCGTTAGCGGGTCTGTTCCTTCTCCAGTAGCCTCGCAAATGAGTAACATGTCAAATTCAAATAAATTTATTAAAATACTTGGTGGCCGTGACCGGGGTAGGAAACCTAAAGTTCTCAAGGTATGTGTGGTTCCATACTACCCCTTTAGTTTTTCAGTTGTTTATTGTGTGCATGGTAGAAACCCTGAAAACCATTTTAATTTCAATCAGATAACTTCTGGGCAACCAGGTCCAGGAAGTCCCTGGACACTTTTTGAAGACCAGGTGAATTTTTTGTTTACTGACTGCATATGCACATAAAATAATACATCTGCATGTATCTTGTTCCATGGGAAGGCATTGTCATGTGCAATATGTTCAACTTTCTAGGCTCTTGTTGTCCTGGTACATGATATGGGCCCGAACTGGGAGCTTGTGAGTGATGCTCTAAATGGTACAATGCACTTCAAGGTAACTGTGTCTTAAGTCTTATTATATCTCTTATCTTGTGTTTCTTTACAAAGATTATGCTGCACTCTGATCTGAATGAATTCTAACCCAAGACTTCTAATGTGGATTATTGGGAATCGATCACTCGAGTATTTCGTAGGGGGATTTTGGAAATCTTTTCTTATGACGTGTACAATTTTAATCAGATGGAGATGCAAGCTTCTCTTGAATCTCTATCATTTAAATCCTATTATTCATATTATGCAATAGAGTACATACCGCAAAGCTAAGGAATGCAAGGAGCGCCATAACTTTTTGATGGATAGAACTTCTGGTGATGGAGCAGATAGTGCTGAAGATTCTGGGTCTTCCCAACCTTATCCTTCGACTTTACCTGGCATTCCCAAAGTAAAATTTCTTTCTCCTCTTTCTTCTCTAACATAGTATAATCCTTTTACCTGTAACCTAGAATTTTCCATTTTTTTCATATAGGGAAGTGCCAGACAGTTGTTCCAGCGTTTGCAAGGGCCAGTGGAGGAGGAGACCATTAAATCTCATTTTGAGAAGATTATCATCATCGGGCAGAAACAACATTATCGTAAATCTCAGGTATTTTAATGAAATTAAATGTGATATACATTCATGTTCCACTTTTATATTTCTTGAAAATATTTTATTTTTTGTGGACTTCTCTTTTGTTTGCTAGCTTTTTTTTTTCTTTTTTTCACTGTAGAACGATCTGCTTCACTCTTTTGAGCTTTTTAGCTCTCTGTGAATGCTTATATGCTGTGTTTATATCTTTACTTGTTAACTGCAGGTATACTTGCCTTTGAGTTGTGTTTTGCTTATTCTTACTGTTGCATGAATACTCCCATGTTTATTTTGAGAGCTAGGTAGATAAGGAGTGCTAGTCTTGGCTCTATTTTCACAGTATCATGTTAATTTAGATATCTTTTTATTGTTCTGCGTGATGATTGAAACTGTGAGCGAGTGGTTAGAATTTTGGAGGGGTGGTTTGTGTATGTGTGTGCGTTTTTTTGTTTTTTTTTCTAAATAATTCTGCTTTATATTTTGCAAACTAAGATCTTTCGTAAGGTTGCTGGTTTGTGTTTATCCCGATCATGACATTTTTTACGTTGCAATAATCAGGGTTTGGTCTTGCAATCTTTTATTTCATTATGTCTTTACTTGGTGCAGTATTGGCAAAACAAAAATTCATCTGGCTGCTCATAGTCATTATATGCTACGTTATTGCTTGTAATTAACATTTCCATATTTGTAATTTATTGAATTTTGTAATGGACATACTAATAATCATTTTGAATGAGATATTATTAATTATGTGATTGTGGATTACATGCAGCTTGATGCTTATATGGTTTATTATTTTCCCTTGTTATTCATTATGTATTTTCCATGTTGACATTATTTCTTTTAAGAATGATAATCAGGACCCAAAACAACTTCAACCACCTCATAATTCTCACATGGTTGCTATCTCCCAAGCTCGCCAAAATTTCCATGAAGGAGGGAATTTTACGTAAGTGATTTCACTGGTTTGATTGTGTGCATTTGGAGTTGAACTGTTCATGGTTGAACTTGAAATTGTAAGAGTTGGTGGAATGTATCTTTATAAATAACTGACTGGCTGTTTATTCCTTTTTCCTGGTCCTTTCGTCAAATTCACTACACATGATCCTGTAAAGTCCTCTGGATCTTTGTGATGCTACCACGCCTGGACCTTCCACAGGGTATCCAGGGCAACATTCTGGTGGGTCAGCCAATCCTAATCAGGGTACTGCAACTCCTCTCCATCCTGCACCTGGTGTTAGTTCTGTGTTGCAAGGATCCCCAAATACTATGCTTGGCAATAACTTATCATCATCATCAGCCACTCTTAATTCGTCTGTCAGGTAATAAGATGTAATGACATAACCTTATTTCTGATTCTACTTTTGTCTTTTGATAGGGGACACATTTATTTTGCTTGCCTTTCTATAGGGATGGTAGATATGGGATTCCTAGGTCTGCGTCATTATCAGCTGAGGAACAGCAGAGGATACACCAGTATAATCAAATGATGTCTAGTAGAAGTATGCCTCAAATATCTCCTTCTGGTACTCCACAAGGAATGGATCGTGGTGTTCGTCTCCTTCCTGGTGGTAGTGGCATGGGTTTAGTATGTGGCGTTAATAGAAGCATGCCAATGATGAGGCATGGGCTTCAAGGTATTGGTTCTTCTTCTATTACAAATTCTGGAAATATGGTTTCCTCAGGTATGACATCAGCTAGTGCGAACTCTGGTATGGTTTCTGTGCACGGAAGCTCAATGTTGAGACCTCGTGAAGCATTGAATATGATTCAGGTATGTGATTAGATCTTCTGGCGATTAACCTTGATTTGCCTACATGATTTGAAACTTTAACTGGGAAGGCGTTTTGAGATAAATCATATAAGCTCATCGTTGCTTTATCTTCTGTGCTTTATGGGCATGAGATGTATAGTTGATGCATCTTTTGAAAATGTCCTTGTCAATATAGTCTTTCCTTTTCTATCTGAAGCTTTCTCTAACAATGAGAATGAATTATTTTGGCACTTGTCACTTGCAGAAAGTGCATGTATGCTACACACAGAAAACAATGCTCCAAGGATGGGTTACAATTTTACATAGGCAATGGAACTTGTAGGGTGAATAACCACTTAATGCTTTAGTAATCTGTTATTTAGATTTTTGTATCATAAGTGGAAAGTTGTAGGATGTAGTAATATTAGCTTTCAAGGAAGTGATGATTGGTAATTCCACTGAGGCCTTGAGTGGGAGAGTATCATCTCACTCAAGTGTAAGTTTTAAGATAAAAAATGTTTTTTTTTGCACAGTTTAAATGTTTAGATTGTGATATGTAAAATGACTTCTTCAGCACTGAATTGTGGGGAAATTGTCTTACAGTTGAAATTATTTCAAACCATATCTTTTAATTAATAGAAGAATTGCACAGTTAGATTGTATCTGTTTGACAAAAAATTTGAAAAGAGTTTCTATTTGAACAGTTTGAAAGTTCTAAGAAGATAGAGCTTTTGATAGGAGGGAAGAATTTCGAATTTATGTTACAAATCCTGTGTAGCAGAGTTTTCGAAATGGCACGTGTTTGGATTATGCATTTTTCAGGTTTCAGAAGAATGCAAACATAGGTTTTTTGGTTGAGCTGCATCTCTCATGCATCCCTATTCTACAGTTATAATGTGTACTCTTTAGTAACACTCAATTCTCTGTCTTGTAGCCTGGCCTGAGTCAGGATTCACTGCAACAAATGATGGTACCTGATCTTCAGATGCAGGTCTCACCAGGAAGTAGCCAAGGAATAACCCACTTTGGTGGGTTGAGTTCCTCCTTTCCTAACCAGACTTCTCCCTCCTTGACGTCGCATTCTCTCCATCACCAACCACCACATCCAATGTCTCCGCAGCAGCCTCAAGGATTTAGTGCTCATGATCTACATATTCAAGTACCAGGAAATAATATCTCAAACCCACAGCAGCAGTCTTATGCAGTTCGCGTGGCTAAAGAGAGGCCACAGCATCGTTTTATGCAGCAGCAGCAGCAGCAACAGCAACAGCAGCAACCACAATTTGCAGCATCTGGTACTATAATGTCACATGTACAATCACCGTCTCAACTTCCTATATTGTCTCCTAAAAAATTTTCTCAAGGCCAACTGCAAACAGGCTCTGTACCAGCTTCACTATCGCCTTTGGCATCAGCATCGTCTTTGAATTCTATTCCACAGCATCAGCAGAAGCATCATGCGCCATCCCAGGGAGTTGTACGTCATGCACAAGGTGGTGGTAGTGGGATGACTAATCAACCCAACAAACAAAGACAAAGACAGCACCAACAGCTTTCTCAGGCTAACAGGCAACATCCCCAGCAAAGGCAGCAGCAACAAGCTCAGCAGCCATCTAAGCTTTCGAAGGGAGCTGGGAGAGGAAACCTGATGTTGCAGCAGAATATCCCAGCTGACCCTGTTGCAGAAAATGGAGTTTCTACAAACCCAGGGAACCAATCTGCTGAGAAAGGAGGGGCCACACATCAAATGCAAGGCCAGGGCTTGTATACTGCTTCAACACTAAATGCTGTCCAACAACCAGCAAAGCAGTATGGGGCTTCAAAATCATCCAACCAATCCATGCCTCAGCAAAAAAGGAATTCTGGCCAGTCTATCTCATCAGCGAAACACATAAACCAACCTTCTTCTCATATGGACGGTGGCAGCCGAAATCATGTTCCAGCAGTTGCTACAGGTCTGTCAGCTAGTCAACAGTCCACTGGTTCTTTGTCCATGGCTGGTTTAAACCATCTCCAGGTGCCACTGCTGTCGCAACAAACGCCAGAGATTCCAAAGCACCTGGCTGTTCAAAGATCTGGTCAACCTAATGGCCAGGTCAATACTGACTTATTGAATAAGCCAGAAGCCAGAGATTCAGATACTGATAAGAAATCATTAAGTAGTTCTGCTGAGATGGATAAAACGGCAACATTGTGTTCGGCTGCTAACAATGCAAGAAACGTGGTTCAGGTCTCTTCAGCTGGTTCAGAACCATTATTGGATCCACAGACTTCAAATTCAGCAACGAATTGTTCCTTGGCATCAGCCCCCTCAGTTGCTAGTGCGTCTGCTCCTCAGGAGAACCTGGGGATGTGCCAGAAACTGTCGTCAGCAAAATTGCCATCAATTAGGCATGACACTAGTACACAATGGCAGCATCAGTCATCGCAACACCAGCAGCCAAACTCACCTGTGCTCCAGCCTCAGCAACACCAGCCGCCACTACATTCTCAGCAGCAGGCGCAGCTTATTAAAGCAGGGAATGATAATTTGTATAGTAGGGCTGGTGAACACAGATTGGAATGAAGCACATCCAACATTTGTGTACGGTGGTTGGTCCTACCCAATTCTGATCTGCATGCTGTTGAAACACCGTGTACAGGTATCATTTTTAGAAATGTCTCTTTTTGTTCATTGTTATTCATGTTTTTGAGGTTCTTTATATTCTTCTCCAATTCCATATTTTAAATGTACATGATTTCTCATTCCAGTCTGAATTTTAGATTTGATATCTGGCAAAAGAGAAGAATGAAAAGGAAGCTGGTAATATCTTATATATCTCTCTTCAAATCAGCACTAAAATTATTCTCTAGCAATGTAAGTCTGTTGTGTCTACCATACTACTCCAGAAAAAGTCTTCCTCACCCTACTTATGTGTTGAACTTATGTGTTGTGTATGTTACTATAAATGTGATGCATGCATAGAGATATACCCCCTCAGTTATTCAAAGTTATGCTCACTTTACTTTTTGCTTATAAAAGATGTTTTTGTTTCCTTTTTTAGCAAAAAAAAAGTACATTTTTTTTGTACATTTTTACTATAAAAGGCAAAAAAGAAACAATTATTACCAATTTTTTTAGATGAAGGAGGGAATAAATTACAAATTATGTGGCCAGCAAAAATATGTACTTGGATAGTTCTTCTGCATAGCTGTATGAGATATATGTTCAAAATTTAATACTAGAAATCAATCCAATATGGTCTAGTTGGGTCGAATTAAGGATTCATTAGAAACTTCAGTTTCCTGCGCATTTTACTATTGCATTTTGTTTGCACTCTCCTTTATTTATAGAAAAAAAAACTATCATGATTCTTGGAAGATTTCTTCTTTGTTAAATAGGGAATTCTTGAAAATTAGTCTGGTTAATCCATACATTTTGTGGTTCTGTAGGAGTGGCAACTTCTCATTTGGCAAAATCAAGAGTTGTCCAAGAAATTTATGAACGCGGGGCATCGAATTTTTGGAAGTATTGTATATGGACATTGCTGCCGTGTAGGGCTTGTGGGAAGACGAGACTGTAGAGGTAGTTGTACAGGGTCTCATCTTTCCTTTGGCTCCATTCCCTTATTGTTTTAATTTTGTTGCTCTTCTTTTTGGATGGCTTGGCTGGCTCTATTTGTTTTTGCCTGGTTAGGTCGCCATGTATTGTTTGTTGTCGTTGGTTGATATTATTATGGCCCCAAGGCTTTGGAATTTTTGTGAATATATATTAGTCTCGTGTATTCTCTAGCTAATTTGCATTCCTAAAAAAGTGATGATGAGCTATTACCCCTATATATCTATGTCATTGTTCATTCTGTTGTTTGTGGTCAAAATCTCTCGGTAATAATAGAGATTGACCAAACAGGATCAATCTTTGGCTAGCACTACCAGTTCATGGGATTATTTTGGTTTGAGTTCATAGATATATATGGTAATCGTAGGTCACTGAAGTCAATTAGTAATGATGGGACAACAATTCTGTGATTTATTTATTTGTTTTTAAATAATAGTTTGTCTATGATTAGTATAAGTTTTTAATGCAGCATCAATAGTCATTTCTACCATACTTTTTAGACTTGTAGTCAAAGAAGTTACTACTATTACTTTTATGTTTTGTTAATTCTAGAGCATCCCACTGGAATTTCATAATCCTATTAATTATGGGTCAAAGTCACGCTTCCTTGTTTAGCTAGCTAATAATAATAACAAAAACTTAATTTTTATGGATAATGGAGGTTATATATATGACGTTCTTCATGATATATTTTTCTATTAAAACTAATTAAGTTGAGAAAACATTGACTGGAGAACATGTACAGTAGTATATCATTGATATCTTGTTCATTTATTTCCTCTGCCAAAATGTACTAACTAACAAATTGCATTGCAAAAACAAACCTGATCATCTGTTCTCTACGTACACTGATCAACTCAAAAAACAAACAAACAAACAAATCAATCAATTCGATCCAATGCTCATCATCATCGTTATCATCACTCATTCATTATGATCAGCAGCTACCTGCAATTCATTATCCTCCTCCTTCTTCTCCTGCTTCGAGAACTTAAGAACAACCCCACCATTCTCATTTGGCCGTGACTCCACCCTACGGTACGCACTGTGATTCATTGGCAGTTGATTCGGCAGCGATAATGGCGACCTCTCTATTTCGGAAGGAATAACCGGCCTGTGATTCAGGAATGGCGACTTCCTGAAGTACTTGATGACGAAGTAGGAGGAGCCTTCGGTGAGCCGCTCATCTAGCATACTGTAGATATCGATCTGGTCGCCAGCCTTGAGTCCATGCACCCTCACGTACTGGTCCCAACCGTGGGTGAGGCGGTAGCTGACATTTCCGTCGTCGTCCTCACCGGGATACTGCCTCAGCACCATGCGGTATTCTATGTCGTCCGTGCCGGACATGGAGATGACCTTATACTGCACAAGAGATGGATTGTCGACCAACTCAGGCTCGTCGCTTAGGGCGGCTGCCTCGTAGATGTCGTTGAGGTAGAGATGGCCGCCGGGGACGACTTCCCTCTCCGTTAGGACCTTCGTCACGCAGATGTCGTTGCCTGGTAGGTTTCTGATCATCCAAATATAATTATAATCAATTTGGGGATTAGGGTTTTGGGGATTAATTAATTAATGAATTAGTTAGACATAAGTTACCTCATCCAATTGCCTGTATCCATCTGCACATGATTAGGAGGAGGAGTATAGGACCAGTCCGGCCGATCTGCAAAGGTAGGCACACTGATGCCGATAGCTTCGCCGCCGCAGTGCGGCGGACGAGGAAGCGGAAGACGGTTAATATTCTCCTGAACCTGCAGCATCATTGCGAACTTGAAGTCGTATTCTTCTTGAGCCAATTTCTTCTTCAACTCCAATTGCTTCGCTGAATCATCTGATTTTTCTTTATCATCTTTATCACCATTACCGACGTCGTCGACCTTCTCATTCTTCTTCTCGTCGTCGTCGTCGTCGTCGTCCAAGTCTGAGTAGTCTAAGTAGTCGAAGCCACAGGTGAATCTTAAATCCATCGACTTAATGTATACCTTGTTAGGATCGTCGGCAACCTTGGCCTTTCCCTTCTTCATGTACCTCTTGCGTCGGACTTTTTCTGACTCCCATTTCTCGTAGTGGTCCTCGCCGTTCTCCGGCTGGAGGTTTCCGTTTACTTTCTCGGCGGTTTCGTTATGATCGGCGACGACGATTTCGCCGCCGTTTACTTTCCCGGCGGTTTCGTTATGATCGGCGACGACGATTTCGCCGCCGTTTACTTTCCCGGCGGTTTCGTTATGATCGGCGACGACGATTTCGCCGCCGTTTACTTTCCCGGCGGTTTCGTTATGATCGGCGACGACGAATTCGCTGCCGTTTACTTTCCCGGCGGTTTCGTTATGATCGGATACGACAAATTCGCCGTTTACTTTCCCGGCGGTTTTGTTGTGATGTTCGACGATGATTCCGCCGTTTACTTTCCCGGCGGTTTTGTTGTGATGTTCGACGATGATTCCACCGTTTACTTTCCCGGCGGTTTTGTTGTGATGTTCGACGGTGATTCCGCCGTTTACTATCCCGGCGGTTTTGTTGTGATGTTCGACGATGATTCCACCGTTTACTTTCCCGGCGGTTTTGTTGTGATGTTCGACGGTGATTCCGCCGTTTACTTTCCCGGCGGTTTTGTTGTGATGTTCGACGGTGATTCCACCGTTTACTTTCCCGGCGGTTTTGTTGTGATGTTCGACGATGATTCCGCCGTTTACTTTCCCGGCGGTTTTGTTGTGATGTTCGACGATGATTCCGCCGTTTACTTTCTCCGCGGTTTCGTTTTGATCAGCGACGACGATTTCGTCGTTTGCTTTCCGGGCGGTTTCATTATGATCGGCCGCGAGGACAGTATGGCCGGGATTTACTTTTCCGTCGTCCATTTGGTGATGGACGGATGGGTGAATTTGCGTAATCTAATTTTTTGAAGAAGAGAAGAAGAAGAAAACGAAATGGAAATTAAGGGTTCGGCTGTGGGTAGTTCAGAAATGATAGGGTTTAGAAGGGATTTTGAATTTATTTGAATTCCGAGTAATGAGACGGTTTGGATAAAGTTTCATATATCTATATAAATGAGTTTCGTAATTTTATTTTTTATTTAATATTTAATTGAGACAAAACTAATTTTAGTCTCCTGAATTTCACTAGAAAAATTTAATCCATTTTTAATTTACTGTAAAAATTTCGAATGATTACGTCGAAGATTAAATACGATTTTATTTCACATAATACGAACTTGTTATGTACATATTTCAATATGGATGTATTTCCAATACGTACGGGTGTATTTAATCGCACAACACGGCCATATCAACAAATGCGTATGAACACGGCCGTTGTGTCTTGTTCAGATAAACATTGACGTGTTTGCTACTGAACACAATCTTGTTACACATTAAACACCGATATTTTTTCATCGAATAGTCATGCATATATGAAACGTACATTGAACACAAGCGTAGTCATTATAAATACAATCATATGTCACGGTTGAACATATAATTTACATTATGAGTTCAACTAAAAGAATTAAAGGTGACCGATCAATCATCATCTTAACTTAGAAGATATAATTTACACCATGAGTGAATGTGTGATATGAATGTGAAAATTGTGAAGTCGACGTAGCTTGCAGAAAAATGAGTTGTTGTTTTGATTTGATTCTACACAATTTATAAAGGAATTTAGGACAAATATAGCTGAAAGCATTAGATGAAATATATCACAACAGCAACCATACAGGGCGAAGAAGTGGGCACTATAAATAACTTAAAATGATGTTGAAGAGTAATATGACAAATTGTGGGACTATTCCGAAGCTTTGGAACAGTCTAATCCTAGTCGAATGTATTGATGAAATTAGAAAGTAATTTTATTAATGACGAATGTAGATTTAGCAAGTATTATGTATGTTTGAACGCCAATATGTGTGCGTTTCAATTTGGATGTCAACTTTTTATTGGTGTTGATGAATATCACTTGAAAGACCTTTGTCAAAATGTTTTCTTGATTGTCTTAGGAATTGATCCCAATGAATTGTATCCCATGTTGTATGTTGTTGTCAGGAATGAGAATCCCTAAACTTGAGAATAATTTTACTTTTTTGAAATATTTCGAACATAGACCATGATAATTATATTATTATATCCGACAAACAAAAGATCTCATGTTTACCATAGAAAACATATTTCTCCGATACGAAAATGATTTTGTATTTGTCATTTGTATGAAAATATAAAAACAACGTATCTTGCAATAAAATAAAATATTAATTTGGATAAGTATATAATAAAGGGAGATTCAAATATTGAATTCAAAATGCATTACATTGTCATTGATTGGCTTAGTGACAAGTTGGTTAATAAGGTCATTCAATTAAATTTTTTTCTTTTTTCTGCTTGAGCATATAATTACCATAATAATATTACAGTGCAGTATTTACTGTTGCACCTGATATATAATTTCATTTACATAATAATTTGTATGAACATATATATACATTTGAAGATATTTTGGAGTCTATTGTGCTCTATGCTCTCTCTGTCTTCGCAGCTTCCAATCCAAATTGGGCTTTAGATCGACCTCAGCATTAAGCCCAAAATACAAATATATATTCTTTTTTTTTTTTTCTTTTACACTATTAAAAAAAATCGAAAAACATACAAAAAGATGACTCTTAAGCATGACGTCAGCATATCAGCGCACCATCGGATCCATCGAATAAAGATAACGGTAAGAAGCAGACTCGAAATATATGCACAAATACCACCCAAATTCCAATTAATTAGTATACTCTCAATTTAATATACATAAATATATCAAAATTATAAATACGTGCAAAAAATAAAGAAAGCACAACAAAACAAAACATGTTTGACATACAAACCACAACAACAACAATAATAAATATCATAATAATAATAATAATAATAATAATAGAAACACTCCCCATTGCCAAGATATTTCCTTTCCCATTTGGATCAATTTCCATTCGAAGTTTCCTAAGAAACCAAATCTCATCCAATCACAAGCCACTACAAAAAATCCCACATTTTCCTAAGGCAAACCTCTAAATCTCCACGCCATTTTTGTCCCAATCTCACCATCACCTTCCCTACAAATACCCCATCCCCCCCCACCCCTACTCCCCCCTCCTTCCTACTCTCATACACACACATACAGATACATACAATACAAATATATATATATATATGCATATGTTATCAGACAGTCAGCAGCAGACATGGGAATCCTCACAAGGAAGAAGATAAAGAAGCAAGACAAACCTCGGAAGAAGAATCCTGTCCTAAAGATCGTTCATCCCCGCGGATACGTCGAGCTTTTCCGCGACCCGATCCCGGCCGGAGAGATCATGAGGAGGTACCCCAGATACTGCATTGCCAGGCCCGACGTGTTCGAGTTCCCCTGGATCGTCGTCCGTCCCGAATCCGTTCTTGTCCCCGGGAAGGTCTTCTATCTCGTGCCGTATACTACTTTGGACAAGCTGCTTAAGGCCAAGACACAGCAGTTGGAGTCCCTCAATCTGTCAGCCAGGCCTCGACAATCACGTTCGCCCATTAAAGCCCTCGAATGGGTCGATCAGGAATCGAGACGCGGCGGCAACGGGACGCTGGAGGGCCGTGTTTCGGACGGCGGGAGTCGTTACAAGCAATCATTCTACCACACATGGAATAAAATGAAGAGGAATCTCATGACCGATCAGGAAAGGTTCGATCGCCTGGATTTGGGGCTCGATTCGCCGTTTTCTGAACCGGAAAGTGGCGGATACGACACGAGCCCTGAACCTGTATATTCTAAACTGAAATCATGTCTGAGGCAGCCAGACAGTGACCGGAAAAGACTTAACCTGAGGGTGAGTTTTGCAGATTCTGTTGTCGTCGCAGGGAGCCGGAGGGAGTCGCCGAGTCATTCGTCAGGAGAAAGATCGGGTACTGAGTAACAGTCGAATCTTGGTTGCAGTCGAGGCTTTGTTAATGGATGCACTTCGGACAACTGCGAACCACCTGCACAGACCATTCAATTTTTTTGTTCATATGATGCAACAATCTTGTTGTTGTGTAAGAAGATCGTTTAGTAGATTCGTCACAATCAAAGACGAGGTATGTTTATGGTACTAAACAAGAAATCTGAAATTAACTAAAGGACATGAAGAACTGCACAAGTACCTATCAAAGTTGAGTCATCTTTCCTTCAAATTTCTACTATCATCAAGATTCTTTCGAAGTCACTATTTGTCGAGTAGGTGATATTCTAGAGCAATGTATAAATATACACAAAAAAGATGCGCACGTAACAATTTAAACTCATAGATGAGATAGCAATCGAACATGCTAAGTAATCAAAGAAGACAAAATAAGGGCGGCATGGTAAATAACAAGCAAGAGTATGATGATCGTGTAAGAAACTAGATACCTGAAAATGATCTTCGTCATGTTCTTTCAGTAAACCTTGATTCTGATCTAAGTGATTGCTTTGACGCCGGCGAGGTTGAGCCCCTTGAAGAACCATGGCCAAAGATGTTCAGCTTCACAAACTTTTTTGAAAAGGAGCTCAAGAGTTTCCGGGAAGTGGATCTCTCCAGATTTCTCTTCATATAGACATGATCTTTCTCCAGGTCGTTTAATCTCATCCGCATTCTTGCAAGCTCCAACTTCAAGTCCCGATTCTCTCGCCTCAAGGAAGCATAGTTATCCCGTGGGGACATTGCAGCACTGCGAGCACCACTGTTGATTCGCCATGATTGGTGCATTGGCTTCGGATCGTTATCCGGATAGGAAGAAAATAATGAGTTTCGAAGCCTTAGCTGCTCGTGGTAGAGCACTTGAACTATTGATTGGAGAGGTAAGCGCTCGTTTTGGGCAGCATGTGCGCCAGCTTCCTGTGATAGTTTCTGGAAATCGATCAATTTACACAGCTTTCTCCTCTCCTGCTCTGGCAAATTCTGATGAGCCTTGGCAAAATCAAAAGTCGCAAATTAGTTAGAAGCTGCAATGGATTGGAAATCCAAATGTAAACAAGAAATGAAAAAACGTGTAAAGATATCATTCACTAGGATTAGCACTTACTTTTAGGTAGATGTCGATTGCTCGATACAAGCCATCGTGGAGAGTGCGAGCATGTGCAGGTAAAGATTCTGCGACAGCCATGAACTTTCCGAGCTTGAGGTTTGCATCAGGGGCGATCTCCGCCAGGTAATTGTCGACCAGTTTAGAGACCTTGAACAGAGAGGTTTGGGAGGGCAAAGGGCTGCCTGTCTCAAAGACTGAATCACCATCATCATCATCCATGTCTTCATCGCTGTCGTCCCGCTGACAGAAATTTACGAGTATTCTATGGATCGTGTCCACATCAAACAAGGTTTCTCCAGCATGGCGGAACAGAGGTATCAAAAGATCGTCGAGAGTAGCCATATCTAGCTGGGATCCTATCCGCCTCTCAAGATCGAGCCTACATGCAACCGAGCAGTCGAGCATAACAGCAGTGCGTAGCATGCCAAAGAGAAAGGTCATGGGAACAGCGAATTTCTCGACCGGGAGGAGGCTAACTATGGTCTCGACAACTAGCCTTTCGTGGTCGCCAAAAACTGGATCCACTTGGGACGACTGAGTATTGGTTTGGTTCCATAAGCCCAGCTTTTTTATCAATTCCCTTTCTGCATAGCTAACGAGCGAAGCTCCGATGCTTTCTGGTCTGACTCCTCGGCATTTGATGGCAGTTATCACTTTCTGGTACAAATCAATACGAAGAACGGACAAATCTTCAATCCACCAGTCTCGCTCGCAGGTTGTTTGCTTACTCATTTGAAGTCTCCCTGAGCTGCTGTACTCTAGCCGTGAAAAACTTGAAGCGATCTGCTCGACGCAAGCTTTGGAGGCAATGGCGTCAATGCATTGGGTGATGATGTTGAGCTCATCAGCGAGTGGGAGCAGGCTCTCGCATTGTTGGAGAACTTCAATACACATCTCTAGATTCTTGCAGACCACGCTTCGAAGGTATTCTTCTGCTCGGGAGGCGAGGTTGTTCTTCGAATACTCTTCAGTCATTTCCAGGTAGTCTGAAACGCAGCAGAGCTGCGCGACATTGGCAGCCGTGATTTCAAAATTGATGCCATAGCAGAACTGGGCTGCAAGCTCAAACGACTCGGCGCCTCCGGGGAGGTTTTGGAGCTCGATTCTGGATCCATGTGAGTCACGATGCTCTGCAACCAGCTTTCGAATTCGTCCACTTCTTGACACAAGAGGAAACTGCAATTGGAGGAAGCTGGAATGCATAAGGTTTACAAGTAATGTAATAATTGGTGGGATTATACATACATGGATGAAGAGCCTGACCTTATGCAATGAGAATGTACCTCCGTCTACTTCGATGATTATATCGCTAGGAACGTCTCGAAACACCCTACAAAAACATAAGAAGAATATTCCTGAGATTCTAGTTTTGACTAAGCACAGACACACACATACATCAAGAACATCCTCTTCATCTCCTTCAACAGAATTGCGGCAGAAAATTAGCACAACTAGGAAACAAGTTCAGTAGCGTTGATCATAACAATTTGTGAAATTTTCAAGAACATTTTGTATTCAAAGCATCAAAGCAGTGGCACCAAGCAATTACAGCAGGATCAATCAATCGATCAAGAGAAGAATCACATGCTGAATACTAGAGCTCACAAATAGAGAATAAACAAACCATTCGCTGCAACGTTGGCGGGCGCTCTTAGCCATCTGCTGGTGATGATGCTTGTCCATTGAAGAGGATAATAATCCCGACTGGAAGTTATCTGGAGAGGAAACAAAACAAGAAGACAGGATTGGGCTGACAGTGTCTTATTCAAGCATTTCGTCGAACACTTTCTGTGCAAAACTGTACAAAGGGTTTCCCCTTTTTGTGGGACATGGACATGCCAGAAAGCACCACATTCCTTGCCAAAATTTTGTGCCCAAAAAGTGGCCTGAATAAAGCAGAAGACCAGTGTATTGTACGCTTGTGGAAGACTGCCGTGAAACCATCTCTCAATTCAGATATTAAAATAACAAAACAGCAATGATCATTACCTTGTTCAAGCATTTGTCCCCCGAACATAGTGACTCAATCATGGATTAATTCCCCTTTCCTCGCATGCAAACAAGCCATCAAATACTACTCTCTCTACAGACTGACTGGCTGACGATATACTGCCTCCCACTTTACCTATTCGCTGTAAGAAAGATATACAAACCTTGTGCTGTGTAATATAGAGGTGGTAGGCTTAGATGTATTTGATTGTTTTTTAATTTATATAGTAAGTGAGTATGACATTTTATTTAAATAATAATGTATTTTAAAATTCAACTATAGAAATTTTGGTAATAAAAATATTTGTTTTTTCTTACTAATTCCATACTTCAAAACAAAAATTGGTGTGGGCTACAATGCATCAAATCTAGGGTGCTCGTTTTTTTTTTTCGTTTTTGCCTATTAATTTTATTTATTTATTTATTATTTTTGTAAAGATAACATTAATTGTAAATATAAAAAATAATTTAAAATAATAATTCTTCTTTTATCCAATTGTGTGTTTGTTGATAGATTTGTTTATTTGAAATTATATATATACAATTTTTTATCATTTTAAATTAAGTGCAATATTATAATTAATAAACTAACATAAATAGAATATTTGCAAAATAGAATTAAATAATAAAAATAAAATAAAACAAAGATAAAATTAAAAATAAGATTGGTATAAATTATCAACATTTGCTTCACATTAAAATGATGTTAATTTTCAAATGTACCTTAGAGTCGATTTTGAACTAATGTTTATTTGTGTGACTTGGATTTGGATTTGAATTTTACTACTTTAAACATTCAAAATATTAAATTAGTATGTATTTATATTATATAATTATTTTAATTTAAAATAATCAAAACCGAGCCCACAAATAAACACACCATCCATCACACAAATTTCATAGATATATATATATATATATATAATAAATAGAAGTTAATAAGACACTGATCTGTTTGGTGTGTTTTATCTTTTTTTTTTAAAAAATAATAATAAATATAAATTATTATTTAATATGATATTTTAAGTAAATTTTATAGATAATATAATAAAAATAAATAAATACTATATAACACAATGTTATGTAATAAAAATAAATAAATTATTATAAATAAATGTAAAAAGAAGCTAGAGAAAATGCAAACTGGCAAACCAAAATAATTATGAAAGTAAAATAATGATAACGTCGGGCGTGATGTTTCTTCCACTCCAGACGTTCTTTTATCATTATTTTATTATTATTATTATTATTATTATTATATAATTTAAATAAAATCTATGAAGACAATTTTGGAGACTAGCATGCTTGTGGGTCCCACACTAAATATAGGAATTAATATATTATAAGTAATAAAAAATTCTAATTGCATATATGTATCAAAGTTCAGCGTATTCATACATAATTGAAACTTAAAAACATACTATATATATATATATAGAATAAAATTTTTTATAATACAAATAAATAAAAATTTAAAAAAATATATATATAATATAATATAAATTTATAATTAAATTATACAAATTATTGTACATTTATATTATTATATTTATATCCACACATTAAAACTCATCAAATTTCAACCAAATTCAAACTCAAAAGAAACATCAAAATTTAAATAAAAACCAAATTCAAATCAAAATTTTCTCAAAACCTCGTAAAAAAAACACACCCCTAATATCTATATGTTTCATTTTATTGTAAAAAGCAGGGTTATTGTATTATTTAATTACAGGTTGACAATTAAAATAAATTATGATGTTATTACACAGGATTTTAGTTTTAAAAATCAAATTAGCTATAGCATTTCAGTTATAACATCATATTATATTTTAGTTGCATAATCAAAACTCAATTTAAAAGGCCGGGACTAAAGTTTAAAAATAATACAATATATTTATATAAAAAATAAAAATAAATTATGCACTTATTTGTTATCCAGTAAATTTTTTTATAGTTATCCTATTTCATAAACGCTGCAAAAAAACGAACTAAAATAATATTGATATCTATATACAGTGACGGAACCAGCTTTGCGGCTTCCGGGCAAAATTGTTATGTTTATTTATTTTATTTTTTATCGTTTATTTTTAGATTCAACTTATTTCGAGTCTCTTTTTTTATTTGAATCAGTTGTTTCTGTGTGTAAAAAAATAATATAAGAACTTTCTCGTCGATTCATTTATACCAATTTGATGTCATCTTAACTTTTCAATTTTTATTAATACTATAATGTGGTTGTGAAGAAGAAAAAAAATGAACGAAAATAATATTTAAAATAAAATATTTATTTTTTATATAATATATATATAAATAAAAATATTATATATTATTATAAATTAAAAATTGGAAAGGACTTGGAGGGTTTAGGGTCAGTTGACCCCTCAAGCCCCAATGTAGATCCGTCATTGTTTATGTTGAGGTGCAAAGGTTGTGAAGAAAATTTAATACTAAGTCCCAAGTGAACTCCACTAGATGAAGCTTTTTGGAGAATATCCAAAAATAAATCCGTGCAGACTCAGTCCAAAGTCGACAATATCATACTAGTGTTGAGTTGATTCAGTCCCAACAGTCTATATATATTATATCCCACAAAATTTTAGTATTGTTTTTATTCACTTGAATTATTATTTTGATATATGCATATTTTTACCTTCTTAATATATTTTTCTAAATTTTTAAACATAAAAACCACTCAAACAACTCACAGGGTATGCAATTTTTTGAATAGTGCAAATAATCAAATAGTATAATATATAGCATTTTTCATAATTCATGTCATGCTCAATTTATTTTTTGTTTATATATAAATTTTGGACATTATTCTTTGATTTAAAAAAAAAAATGAATAACTTAAGGCACATTGGATTTGACACAGAGAATCACTTCATTCAATTTTCTCTCATAAACAGATTGATTTAACATAATTATATTTATTTAAAGTTCCATCAAACTCTTGTATATAAATTTTCTAATTTAAAATTTATATTCTGATGAATCCAAGAATAATTAATTATAAAATATCTGCCAGCATGTTAAAAGGTCAAGCTCAAGCATTAATAGACAGACTCCTGAAATAGAAACCAAATTTGACCTATTAATTAAAGCTGATTCATAATTTTAATATTTAGTGACTTAAAAGTTAAGGAATGTTTGAATTTTGTAGCGTTAAATACACGTTAGATGTAATTATATACTCCCTCCGTCTCATTTAATATGGGTGTATAGAAACGAGAATTTAGGTAAAGTATAATTAGTAAGTAATTAAAAAATGTATTAGTAAAAATAATTATAGATTAAGATTAAGATAAGTAAATAGTTTAATTAAAATTAAGAAAATTATAAAATCTAAAATTTAAAATGCGATTAAAGTGCATAATTATATTTTCAAAAATAGAAATGACAAGTTACGTGGAACGGATGAAAATATAAAATAAAAACAAATTATATGGGACGGAGGGAATATTATTTAATTCTTTTGTCCTGTTTGGTATACGCGGTTTATTTGTCCTTTTTATTAATTTGAGCTGAAACTTGAGTTCAATTTTGATGTGTGGTGATCCATATTATGATCTGTTTATATGTATTGTTAAAACTTTATATTATTACTTTCTTCCTTTTTTTCTAAATTTTTATTCAATATTTTTTTTTTAATTGAAATGTTCACCTTTATTTAAAACAAAGAACATTTTATTTACATATTTTAAATATCTATTTTTTACTTAATTCTTTATTATTTTTAAAATAATCATTGTGGAACCTCTAATTTAAACATTATTTGACTAAAAAGGTTAAAAGTGGGACACGCATACAACTACCATATATTTTCTCATGATTTTTTCTTATTAGAAATTGACTACTTTGGCTTTGAGGTTTTTTTTTTTTTATTTAATATTTTCTTCATCTGATTAAAATGTAGTATGTATTTATTTTTTGTATAAAAATTTAATAAATAATAGCATTTAAATAGTAGTTAGTGGTGGTTTTATTTATAAAAACTTCTTATTTTTATAAGCCCGCACCGTACACATAATAATAATAATAATAATAATAATAATAATAATAATAATAATGAAAAAAATAAAAAAAGAGTGAGAGAATAAAAATAAAACTGATAAGATAAAATAAATACTAGCAGTTAACAAAGTGGCAGTGACGATAATTTAAATTCAATAATAATAAATTAATAATGCATGACGTAAATATTATACTCAACAGTAGCGTCCCCGGTTTTGAGATCGAACCGGTTGGTACGTGCCTGGGCGTAGCCACGTGCGAATCTGAAGAGGCCGCTGCCGCCGACGACCGGCATCTCCCTGACCTTGTTCATCACCGGATTCCTCCCCAGGATCGTCAGCGTGCTGCCGTTGTATTTGCCGTAATCGAACGCCAAATTCATCGACATCAGGAGGCCGAGCTCCTCCTGCGACGCCATCGCGTAGAATCCCTGCGCCTGCCCGACCCGCTTCGACCCGAGGTCCGGCCCGAGTGTTAGCGGGTTATCGATTATGTTGACCTGCCCGAACCCGGTCTTCGTCGGCGACTTCACGATGGGGACTGAGGTAGGGTTCCGGCCGCTTATGACATCGTGCCAGTACAGCCGGAAGTGGCTGATTTTTGGTTTCAATTTCGCTGTGAGGTCGACTTCGACTAAGAGGCCGTCGTCGCGCTCCGGCAGGGCCGGGGAGGTGAGAATGGCGAGCGTCAGGAAGGAGAGGAGCGCAGTTCCGACGGCCATGGTTGGATCGATTGGGTGAAACTGAAACTGAAAGTGGGAACGAATGAATGTCGAGCACTTATATAGTAGTCTGCTTCCTTGGCTCGCTCCACGAGTACTGTTCACTGTTTTTTTTTTTTTGTTAGGCGTGGCAAATATATAATTAATATTAAAAATAATATTTTAGGTTAATTATTGATTTACTAATGATAATATTTAGTACTATATTGTATAAGTATATAAAAGTATGCCTTTGGGAATATATTGATTCACAATGTATAATTTTTTGTTATTTTCTCGATTATACTTTAGTAAGTTAGTTTTTTTTTTTTAATTAAGAATTAATTTATTATATATTTTTTTAGAAATATAAGACAAAAGCAAACCCATTTAAACGAGCCTCTAAGCCTTTCACTTTTTTTTTTTTCATTTCTTTTTAGATTTTAACTCTCACTCACACACGTAAATAAATCTAAACTAAACAAAATTGAAGTAATTAGATAAATAATAATAATAATAATAATAATAATAATAATAATACAAATTTCAGTTAATTCTTAGAATAAATAAATAAATGCAGAAAAAGGTGGAGGAGAGAAACGGCGTGGGTTAGGTGAAAATAGTGTGTTTCCATTTCTGACGTGTTTGTCGGTTCCGAATATTTTAACTCATCCACCCACCCCTCCTTCCTTCATTCTTTTACTATCAAATTTCAAATAAAGGTCTCTAGTGCCTAGGAAAGTTCTTGTTGGAATTGCTTCACTTTTTTCTTTTAAAAAATAACCCCTTTTCAATTTAATTTTTTTTTAAAAAAAATGTGAACAATCACATCTATTAAAAATATTACTATATTTAATTTGTTATTGATTAGTGAAATGTAATAAATAAAATTAAAATGTTAAAAGAATGTGGGGATCTCGTGTTAATCCCGTCACATCAGTATAACGACTACTTTCGTACGATTTTAAGGATTTTATTTATTTTTTGTATATTAATTTTTTAATATTAATTATTATATCAAAATATAGTATAATTTTAAAAAAAATTACAAAAATATTTTCATTAGTATCTTATGATACTAATAAAATGATATTTATACAAAAATTATACAAATATAAGAATAATTTGAATGTTAAATATAATGACACAAAAGATAAATGTGACTCTTATAAGCGAAAAGAGTATTGTTAGAATATGAAACTGAATTTACAGTGATATATTTATATTTAATACATACATATTTATAGTGATATATAAATCGTCTAAATAAAGCAAGAATCTACGAATCTCTTAAATAAGATAACTATTATAAATATAACATATTACTTCTAAATATATTTTAACAAGTACTTGTAAATAATTTCAAAATTGTTAAAATGACTACGTAAACATAGTTTAAAATTAAATCAATAATTAAAAACAAAATAAATATTTGTTTTTCAATTTTAATATTTGTACAGTGTAGTCAACATATTACAAATTGAAAATAATTTCAAAGTTGAATAATATATTTTTTAAAAAAAATAATAATTATATTTTAAATTTTATAATATACATTTGAATTTGTGATAAGGTGCACAAACTTCAAAGTTGAATGGATTTGTTACCACACTAATGATGGAGGATGATACCAAAATATCAACATACACTTCCATTAATTCCAACTTAATATTGACTTGCATGTTTTAATTTGCCCACTATTTTATTTTGTGGAAAGAATAATTTATCAACCTATCAAATTTGAGCAAACATTTAAATATTAGATCCGACAATGCAAGTCACGTCGGGGCTTTGAACCTATAGTCTCACGGTCATACGTCCAACCTCTACACCACCACCAGATACAGAGTGGTTTGAGTTTTGAATAATAATTTTTTTTTAATGAAAATAATTATTTTATATGAATTATATGATATAAATTGGCGTAGATATAATATTTTGAATGTAAACTTTAATTTTTGTATGATTTTTATAAAAAATATTACTCCCTCCATCCCAAAAGAAGTATCTTATTGAGAGTTGACACGTGAATTAAGGAATAATAGTATTTAATTAAAAATTGGTATAAAGTAGAACGTAAATGACTAAAATGTCTTTGCTTTTTAAAGGATTTTAAAGAGTATCTTAAAAATTAGAGGTAGTATGAAAAAAAGTAAAATAATTTTGTTATAAAGTGGAGACCACGGCTACTTAAATAAGGAAACAAAGACAATTGTTTTTGGGACGGAGGGAGTATTTGATTTTTTTTTTTAAAAAAAAAAAACTTCCAAACAAACACAACCAAACTTATTTTGCTTTGATATCCCAATGAATTGAACCGTCTACGAATTGGGCCCAAAATTTTATGAATACTAAAACCCATAATGAGTGGGCCCAATTGTCTTCTCAATCAGCTTTCATTATTAGTATTATTATTATTATTATTTTAAATTTACATTTTAAATTGAAAGAACGGTTTAATATATTTTTACTGATATTTTTAATTAAAATATTATTTTTAATATATAATATTTTAGATGATAAAATATATTTTCATTTGATATCTTTTAGTAAAATCATTTCTTTATTTTCAACAATAATTTTCCCTAAGAAGTTATATTCAAGATTAAAATAAAAATAAGAAAAAAAAAATTTAAGTCTATATATATCTATCAAGGAGTGAATTTATATTACCTACTAACATATTTTATAATAAAAATTATATTATATTTATCTTTTTGTTACATTATATTTAATTTTTTATGTTATTTTATTTTTGTGTAAGTATAAACATACCCTGCCCTAATTGCAGGGTAATTTGGGAAGGTGGGACCAAAGAACATTTAATTGATAGCCTCCAAATTCATATGGACCATTAATTAAGTCATACAGCTGTTTTTCGATTTATATAAAAATTAAGAATTAAATCAATAAGTATAGCATGAATTGGTATATGATACTCCCTCCGTCACAATACATAGTCTTGTTTATATTTTTGTCCGATTAAAACAATAATTTTATTTTCATAAATAATTATATCAGTGTAAAATTACTTTTACTTTTTCATTATTATTACACAATTGTTACTATTTTTTTACACTAATACACTCAAAGAGCATAAAAGTCTTTTATCAGTATTTTTTGCCTAACAGAGGGAGTATTATTAACCCATATTATGTATCTATAATATATTAATATGTATTTTATGCTTATCAGATCAGTTCTAAATACATACTCCCTCCGTCCCAATACAATACTTTTATTTATCATTTTTGTTCGTCCCAAAACAATAGTTTTATTTTCATAAATAACCATATCACCATAAAATTACATCTACTTTTTCATTTGCCACTACTTTTTACACTAATACACTCACAAAGGCAAAAAAGTCTTTTATCTATATTTTTTTACCAACTACCAATATAATATCAATATTCTTTAAATCTCATGTCCAACTCAATTAAGACTATAGTTCTGGGACGTAGGGAGTATAATATATCTTGTTTGCTAATTAGAGCTAATCAATGTTCTAATCTTGTGTCAAAAAGCTTTCTTTATTTAAGTTTTCTTTTTATCTATTTGGATAAAAATAAAAAGAAAATAAAAAAAATCATTATGTTTAATATTATCTATTAAAAATTGATATAATATTTTTGCTTACAAAAAACTACTCCCTTCTTGTATAATTTGTCTACTTGTCCACTCATATACATATTAAGTAATGTAATCGATCCGTTCACCTAAAAGACTTAACAGTTTGAAATAGTAAAAGAACAAATCAAATATATTCATATTAACACGGTATAATATATATTATCAATTTACAAAAAATTAACAATTCAAACAAAAATAATAATTTTTTATATTATCAATACAATTGCATATACCTAATATAAAAAGTAAATTAATGTAAAAATAAAAAATGAATAAACTCTTTTATATATTTGTATATACATCTCTTGTATAACAAATATATACATATATAAACTATTATAACCACAATAATTGATAGAAAAGAAAAAAGTAATAAAAAAAAAATATATCGATACGAGGGCACAAAAACATATAAATATAGAATAATTTTCTCCATGCACATCTTGCACTTTCAAGAAGACTCATTTATATTTATTTATATATAAAAAGTGAATTTGTAGTGGCTTGCATGGTCACATTAATAATAATAATAATAATAATAATAATAATAATAATAATTGAATCAAATATATATTTGTAATTTGATGTATTATTAAAAACATTAAATATTTTATATAAAATATTAAATTAAATATTTATTTATATCATATCAAATACTAATAATTTAATTTAAATTACTTCAAAACTTAAAAAATGAGTAGTAAATGGAAATTGATTATAATAAAGAACATTTACGTAAACACTGGGCTCATCTCTGATCATATGTCACACTTCAAAAATAAATAAGGCAGCTAAGACTAAAGACGATGTCTCACTTTATATCAATGTAGTATTTCATTTATGAATTATTTTATTATTATTATTATTAATGTTAATAATTCTCACTAATATAATTGGAGAAAATACTTTTGTATTGTACTTATCATTAAAAATATCTTTATATTTGTATAATTTTTCGTATAAATGTCATTCTATTAGTATTACAAGATACTAATAAAACTATTTTTGTAATTTTTTCTAATTTGTACTATGTTTAGATATAATAATTAATATTCAAATATCAATACGCAAAAATTAAACGAGACCCTTAAAACCGGACGGGGGTAGTAATTTATTTTTATAAAATAGATCATATAAATCAAATGATTCACTAATAGATAAATTAAGTAGACACATGTAACACCCACAATCCAAAGGATTAATACTCCCAACTCCCTCCAACCCCACCTCTCATTTTCACTTCTTTCTCACTCATCCCATCATCTCTCTCTATCTCATACTATTAAGAGTTGCAATAACATATCCCTCAATGGCCACATCCAAAACCCTTTTTCATTTCCCCTTGATCCATTCATTCCAAGATTAATTGCAAGAAAAAAAAAAAAAAAAAAAAAAAAAAAAAAAAAAGAAGAAGATGATGATGATGATGATCATCTCCAAGAAAGTTGTGTTCCTCAATAGTATGATAATATTATTATTGTTAACCAATGTTGCAAATTGTGACGTTCAACAAGACAAGCAACGTTGCGAGACTCCGGTTCTCGGCATGGCGACGTGCCTGCCCTACGTGACCGGGCAGGCCCGTCTCCCGCCCGTCGACTGCTGCTCGGGATTCAACCAAGTCTTGGAAAACAACCCCGACTGCATATGCTTGTTGATCAAGGATCGCAATGATCCTTCCCTCGGCCTTAACATCAATTCCACCCTCGCCCTTACCCTCCCCGCCCGTTGTAAGAGCACCGCCAACCGCACCATCGCCGATTGTCCTGGTCTGTAAATTAATAAATAATAGTATTTTATTACCTTAAATTTTTTATATCCATACTTGATTCAAGATGTGGGAGTAATAATTAGGTAGGCTTCCAATTTGCTCTATATGATACCATCTACTTTTAGGTTGATGATGGTCATGTTTGTGGCCACAAATTGAGATCTATAAATTTATTTATTTATTTATTTATTGTTGTGCAGCAATTTTACACTTGCCACCAAATTCAACCGAGGCTAAGGTTTTTCAGGACTTTACAAACAGTGGAAATGAAACCAATGCTATGCCTCCAGCTTCTTCTGGTAATCATTATTTATTAGTTTATTTTATTTTAAAGCTTTTTATATATATATTTTTTTTTAAAAAAAAAAAAAAAAAAAAAACCTTTTTCAAAGTGCTTTGATTTTTAAGATATTCGAAAAAATTCATTATCTTGATTCTGTATAATTTTATATTCATTATTTAGTATTGTTGTGTTGATATGATTTAACAGAGCAATTTAAAATTTAAATTTCAATTTTTGTATTGCGATCTCAGAGTAGATATTAATTTGGTTTAGTCAGCACAATAAATAAAATATAAAATGAATATTTAACAACACATTATACAATATAAATCACATATTTTGACAACACGAGATATATATAATAAATTTATATATTTTTATATTTGCAAGTTCAAATCTTCTTGCATATTATTATAATTCTTTTTATTATTATTATTATTATTTTATTGAAATTTTAAGGAAATTCAACTACTACTATGGCCGGGAATGTTAATAGCCAGAATGGTGGCGGGAGAGGGAGAAGAATGGCATGGCTCGGGACTGAAGTGGTCTCAATCATGTTGGTTGCACTTCATCTTTTCTTTGCTAATTTTAATTTTCGAGTAATTAATTAATTAATATTGCTAAACTTACATGACTGTAATTTTTTAAAATTAATATTGCTAAACTTATCTAGCCTAATTTGTTCCCACATCAAAAAATAAATAAATAATAAAATATGGAAATAATAGTCGCAATTTATTTTTGTATTTTATCTTGTGAGTAGAGTATGGGCTTGATGATAGACTCAGGTTTATTATTAATATATTAGTAAATAGATTGAATAAATATAATTAAGACAACTCAGTTTAGTGTCTTACTATTATAATAATAAATTTAACAATTATTTAGATTAAAATTCAAAACGAAAACGTTAAACCAAACATAACGTACCTTTAGAATGCTTAAAATTTAATTATAAGTTCAAATCGAAGGTCACGAAAACTGTGAATCCAATATTTGATTAATTGAAAATATTTACAGCAAATAATTTTACTCGAATCAAATTCAAATTCAAATTCAAATATAATACTATAATTATTAATATAAAATTTTAAATATACAAGATACTCTATATTATTCAATTTGGTTTCATCTAATTAATCGAAAACATATAGAAAGTTGAAACATAATCGAATCTCATAAATAAATAAATAAAATTAATTTGTAAATCATGGAAACGACGTCGTATAATCCCGATCCCCTTCAGATTTATATAGCTCAAGTACAGAGACAGTTTAGTGAATCCCGCTCGAGGATTTTGCCCCTGCAATGGCTTCTTCTTCTTCCTCTTCCTCTTCCTCTTCTTTGTCTTCTTCTTTCCGATCAGCAGTGACGGCGTTGATCTGCATCTGCATCCTCTCGACAGAAGCGTCCATGGGGGAGGTGGAAGACGTGCACGACCTGCTCCCATTGTTCAACCTCCCCAAAGGTCTTCTTCCAATGGACATCAAATCCTACTCCCTCTCCCCATCCGACGGCTCCTTCAGAGTGGAGCTCAGCTCCCACCCCTGCTACGTCCACTTCGACGCCAATCTCGTCTACTACGACAAAATCATTACAGGAAAACTAGGGTTAGGAAAAGTCACCGAGGTTTCTGGAATTCAGGCGAAGAAGCTCTTCCTCTGGGTGTCGGTCACCGCCATTGCCGTCGATGGTGAGATGATCGAGTTTCGTGTCGGAGCTCTCTCCCAGAAGTTCCCCGTCGAGGATTTCCAGGATGTCCCACCCTGCTCTGCCAAAGCCCTCCAACTTGCTCGTGCTTCTTCAATTTGAATTTGATTAATAAGGATTATGATAAATTGGTAGATGGATATGGATGTACTTCTTTGATTTATGAATTTACTTATAATTTCCACTCAAAACTGGACTCTATATTTTTTTGTTTATTTTCTTGAAGAAAAACAAGATTTCAATGTAGTATGGATTGTTGCCAAATTATATTAGACAACATGGGAGGGAGGGATGGCTGGCTGGCTATGAAATCTAAAATGTGGGATTGGAATTGTAATAATAACCAGAAGAAGAAGATATTTGCAGGCAAATAGTAACACAATATAAAGTAAAGCAAGCACACAGTAGAGCAAAAGCTCATTGCCAAATTATAGAGATATATATATATATATATATATGTGCAGCTACTCCTAAGGTGCCGGAAGAAAAATAGGGACTGCCAAACAAGTGACTATAGAGTAAAGAGAGGAGTCATAGAAAATACATACTTCAAAATACGATGATGATCGCAATCAAGAACAGGCCGAAGAGGAAGAGCAATCAGTCGGTCGGTTGATTAGTCAGTCCCACGCGCTCGTCACAGGAGGGCCATAGCCTCCGGCGTATCCACCATTGTTGTACCCACTGCTCATGCTGCCCCCACCGTATCCACCATTGTATCCGCCATTGTATCCACCATTGTATCCACCGCCACCATGGAAGTCCATTCCACCTCTATTGTAGGATGAATCTCTTCGGAAATCACGGCCACCGAATCTTCCTCCAGAGCCTCCCCCGCGGCGGCCCTTCCCATGTGAAGATCGGGCTGCAAAGCGCAGCAACCACGCGGGTACCTCTTGGTTTGATTCTTGCATCAGGTCTGCAAGAGACTTGGCCAGTGAGGAATTGTTGTCGTTGAAGAATGCAGTTGCCAGGCCTGTTTTGCCAGCTCGCCCAGTGCGTCCAATGCGATGGACGTAATCGTCGATATCATTAGGAAGATCAAAGTTTACAACATGGGCAACATGGGGAATGTCCAGGCCCCTTGCTGCCACGTCAGTTGCAACGAGGATTGGAGTCTTGCCGGTCTTGAAAGATCTCAAGGCATATTCTCGCTCCTGAAATGCACCCAGATTAAAACTTATTGGGGCTTCAAATGAAATATTTCACAGTCCACATAAATTAGGATAAAGCTATCTATTTAAAAATAAATTGCCATCTGTGACACAACATATATAACAAAACTGAAAAAAGAGCAGGCCGGCATATTCATGGAAACTGCCATTCCCAATTCCTACAAATCTAGGACCCGAACAAAACCAAGAGTAACATTCTGCTTTATTAACTGCTGTTCCTATCAGTTTTGGAATCGTGATACTAGTTCAGAAAATTTTCAGCCCAATTCTTCACATTTTTAATGTTTTTAATTCATTACTAATACAAAACGTACGTATCAGTAGGCATAACATTAAAAAAAAAATACAAATTATGTGTATATACATATTATATGTAACAAATGAAGATGCAGCTATGGCATGACTTGTCTCTTCAATATGCCAGACTGTTCCTAAATTTTCATCACAATGACCTGCATCGTACATTTTTTTCTTTTTAATCCAATTTACTTCAACTTTTTAATCCCAATAAAGCCATATATCACCATTTTCATTCACAAAGTCTGATATACGTACTTCAAGAAAAACAAAACATAAACAAAAAAAATCTCAAGATCAGTAAGACCAAGGCCATAGAGAATATAAGTCACACGAACCTGCTGTGTTCTGTCACCATGAATAGAAGTAGCAGGAAAACCACTCATGGAGAGCCAATGTTCAAGTGAATCAGCGCCTTTCTTAGTCTCCACAAAAACCAGTGTAAGAGCTTGCTAAATATCAGAACCCAGAAGGCCAGGGTTAGTATTAGTAAAACTGAAACAGAGGAAAATATATGCATATTTATATATATATATATATAGAAATAGCATAAAAAATGCACTTTAAAATTTCTTGTCAATAGTAGAAGTAAAATTCTATAAAAAAGTAATAGTAGTTTGTAAACAGCCTTTCAATTAAAATAAGACAAATGGCCATTCAGTAAATATAACAAAATCATATGACTCGAATAGAATAATCTCCTGTAGTTCTTTTATATTATATGCATGCAGATCAAGAATGTATGTTGATGCATAGAACCCGTCTATTCTAGCAGTGTCCTAAAGTGCAGAGTATTCAAGCCATCCATCTGTCCAATTCACCTAATGTAATATATTCTCACCTTTGCAGGAATACCGTTCCCTCTCTGCGCATGAAGGAGGTCCATGAGGTGACTTCTTTTATCTGTCTCAAGCACATACTCGACTCTTTGGACAATCAAGTCAGTACTCGAGCCAACTCTTCCAACAGCTAGAAAGACATAATCTGCCATAAAATCTGCAGCCAGACTCTGCATACCAATAAGGAATGGCAGAAAATATTCAAAAATACAGAAAAGTAAAATTGCAAACAATCGGCATATAGGAGCCTCACATTGATGAACTACCTATTGTACTCCATCATTACTGTCACTTCACAAAGTCAGGAATCAGGATATCCAACTTGTATATTTCAAATTTTCATTTACACTTTTAGCCATGGCACATGATTTTGATGGGTTCAATGGCGATATCACATATGCAGCGGCTAGGCAGAGAAGAGGGTGGAAAAAAGCTTACCTTATTCGAAAAGTTTTAGAAAGGACCAAAATGAATTGGTTCGTACACCAAGTTGCCAAATAAAAACAAAGACCTTACTAAGTCCAAAAACACAGAATTCAAAAGTCATTGCATGTATTTGGTTGCTTCTTTCTTGAGAGAGGAAAATAAAATATGTTTTTTGTCTACAAGGTAACAAATAAAATCATTTGTTTTGTTGGAAACTTGCAATTGATGCATGTATGATAAACAGTAAAAAGAATGATTATGCGATGGGGTTAAAGCAAATTAGTCATATCCATTCTTGACACCTTCAATATCATGTATTATCATATTGTTCGGTGCATAAAAACAATAAAATGTCATTCGTATTCATGGAATATAATTCATTTTTATGCATTCCAGTCCATGGACATATATATATACACATATATATATTCAAGGTCCATGCACACTTATATGGAAACAAAAGTCCGGCAAATTCCCATATTGATAGAACATAGATGTTACGTTGTCCTAATGCATCATAGTACTGTTTGAATGCAATTCTATAAATGTTTTAGACTGGATTCATGGATCCACAGCTCCATGGAAACTATATTCCGACATTAAAGAAATAAAAAACTTTGGGTTTCATCTCACGATACCTAATCGTCACTCTTCATCCTGTTCCTAGAACTGCAAACTGTTTGGTGGATATTTTAGCAAGAAAGGGTGCCCGAAAAGGACAGACTTTGTCGCATGGCTGTAGTTCTGCTACGTAATTAGATAACCTCTTCATCCTGTTCTGTTTGGTGGATATTTTAGTAAGAAAGGGTGCCCGCAAAGGACAGACTTTGTCGCATGGCTGTAGTTCTGCTACGTAATTAGATAACCTCTCCTAGGAAACTGCTACTCTCTAGTCTACACCTCTCAAGCTCCAAGTAAGATTGCTCTTCTAGCATATACCATGTTAAATCATTCGATTAAATCAATGTGCTTTTCTAAGGAAACCAAAAAAAAATGAATCCAAGTAGATCAAGTTAATGTCTAACAGAACAGAGTATATACCTGAATTTCTTTTGGAAATGTGGCACTGAATAGCAATGTTTGTCTTCGACCAGGAGAAGGCATGTCCATCTTTTGAACAATTCTCCTTATCTGAGGTTCAAAACCCATGTCCAACATTCTATCTGCCTCATCAAGGGCTAAGTACCTAATCATTTGCAATGAAACCTTGGCTCTTTCCAACAAGTCCACCAACCGCCCAGGGGTTGCAACAAGTATATCCACACCCTTTTCAAGATCTCGAAGCTGCCAAGAATCATCTATGAGCATTGATGCCAGAAAAGCTGCTTCTAGATTCAAAGAACAGTAACTAGAGGAAATTGAGACAAGAATCGTTATGTCTGAAGTTCAATAGATCAATGACATCAACTAGGGAAAGTTTATAAGTTCTTGCATGTTTAGCAATCAAATGAAACACCTTAGAAATCTACAGGGAATACATTCTTTAAAAGCATTATCTCATCTCATTACAGAGTAAACTAGCAGGGGTGAGGACTCTAATTCTAAGGTAATAAAGGTTTACAGTAAAACAGATATTTTCCCCAAATATCTCCTCAACTCAATGCCATACTCTCCAATAGCCTAAGCACTATCCGTATGAAAAACTCCAGTACACAGCACAGGAGAACAAAACAATGCACATAAAAATTAATCACCACACTGAAATTGACATCTCTATTGACAAGACACAAAGACGAAAATAGTAACAGATACAGAAAATGCTCAAACAATGCCATAAATTGTTGCGTTTTGATGGGAATATTGCTATAATGCTAGTTCAAAAATTTGCATTCTCTAGTCCACATTATTTATTTGAAATTTGATAAGAAAAATAAATTAAAACATTGGGTAAGGATAAGAAGATTAAAACAAGATGATACTAATAGCAGATCTAACATCTTGAGAAAATGGAAGAAAACCTGTTGAACGATTGAAGCACCACCATAAGCAACCACCACCCGAACTCCAGTTTGATAGGCAAATTTCCGAGCTTCTTCATGAATCTGTACAGCAAACCCATCTTGGATTTATCGTAGAACAAACTTGTGCAAATGTAAGAATATCTTTTAGCACAGACTCACTTGAATTGAAAGCTCCCTAGTTGGGGCAAGAATGAGAGCAACCGGAAATGCTGTGCGTGGCACTCGCGGTCTCAGGTAAGAGTCGTTGCTTTTCATAATTCCACTAATTATTGGAAAACAAAATGCTGCCGTCTTTCCAGATCCAGTCTGTGCACAGGCCATCAAATCTCTCCCAGCAAGTGCTATTGGTATTGCATGCCGTTGCACAGGTGTGGGCTTCACGTATTTGCACCTCCTAATATTTTCATTTAATGAATCACCTAAATCAATTTCCGCAAAAGTATTCACTGGCAATGGAACATCCTTCCCACTTGTCTCCACAGGAATATCCTCATAAGCATCAAAATTGATTCCTGTATTTTCATGTGTTTCAAACTCTAGTTCTGCATCAGCATCATCTTGAAAAGGATTGGCCTCTCTTTCCCTTCCACGATCCCAGCCACTGTTTCTGTTGCTATTCCAACCCCCAGAACCACGGTTGCCACTAGCTCCACTTCGATCTCTCCTATAACCAGCTGACTGTATTTCAGCAACAGGAGGGCCAAAAGTTCCCTGGGCATCATTGGCCAATGCAGGACCAGAGTGGTAAACTGGATCTGACGAAGGTGGTCTATTCCTTAGATGAGGTGGAACATAAACAGATTGAGGAGGACGAGAACCTGTTAGAACACCACCAGCAGCAGAAGCTCTCTCAACAGAATCAGACCAAGAAGTCGGCATGCTCAGAAGGACCACAAAATCCAAAATTTATTCTCCCAATCCGAAGCCCCCGCAATCTCAATGCCTTTAAACCCACAAATCCCTGTCCAGACACCCAAAACAATTCAAAAAAAGCGTCAATGTCCAGAAAATATCCCCAAAACCATCGGTCATCGAAAAACCTTCAAAAAGAAATACCAAATCATACATTTATGACAAAAATCCTCACCAAATCATCCCGCGCAACCAAAACGTAAAAATAAAAACCATAAAGCCAATTCCATCACACCCTAATAATCACAAAACCTGGTGAAAAGAACGGCATAAATGCAGCAAGAAGTACACCCAAATAACAACAAACGCCATACATGCAATACTTCAGTAACAAAATAATATTAATAATTAACTTCAAAAAAAATAATAATAATAATCAACCAAACCCCCACATTGCCAAATTTCACAATACAACGATTAAGCGACAGAAACAAAGTGCGTGCGCGTGTGCGTCTTGGGAGTGAAGAGGAGACGTACAATCGATTGTAAGGCTGAGGAGAAAGAAACCCTAATTTTGGTGAGAAGAGGACGAGCGATCGCAGGCGAAAATATCTGTTGATTCTCCGCTGTCTCTAAAAACAGAGTCCGTATTTATTCAGTCCGCGAATTTATACCGATTACTTTTTGACGGCTTCACTCTCCATTGTTATATATATATATTTTTTTAATTAATTTATTATAAATAAATACACAGCTCAAACAAAAAGATGTAAAATGTGTGTGATATACAAATAATTTAAAATAAAATAAAAATACAACTTAATAAACCACAAGTAATTAAGGGTGCTTTTTGGAAATTTTTAAAAAACTTTTGCTATTTCTCAATAAATATATATATAAAAAACGTCAAATATTTATTTTAAAAAATAATTTTTATATTGATATCAATATTTATTTATATTAAATAAATAATTGTTTTAAAATTTTTATTATTCCAAATTTCATTGAAAATATAAAGTCCAAACAAACACGCAATCCATGTGATGGGCCTCGTTTTGGATCAAACCCAATAATGGTGGATTTTAATTTAATTCAGGTAATTCTGAAACATTACAACAAAAAATAATAATTATTGAATTAAAATTAGATATTACTGTATGAAATAATGTGCTATGATATTTGAGGTTTTTTTTTTATTATTATTGAAATATTGTGTAGATAATATAAAAATAATAAATGTATGTTATGTATTTTTTTTTTTGAAAAATGGGTGGGTCAAAAAAACACACCCTATATTCTCTTCGCTATATTGATGAAATATTTTTCCTCTAACTCACATAATTTGTTATTTTTTCTATTTTTGTTAGTCTCACATAATTTGTTATTTAATATTTTGGAAATATAATTATATATTTTAATTAAATTTTAAAATTCATAATTTATATTTTTTTTATTTTAAATAAACTATTTAGTATCTTAATTTATAATTATTTTTCTTAAATCATAATTATTTTTACCAATATACTTCTTAATTACTTACAAATTACACGATGCTAAAACTTGGTGTCCTAACTTATATGAACAAATTAATTGAGACGGAATGAATATTAGTAATCAAATTGATAAAAAATATTATCTCCGTCTCGCAACATATGATTATTTATTTATTTTTTTTTGTCGTCTTATAAAAGATGACTTTTTTTAAATAAATTTATTCATTTTAAATATAATTAATAATGTTGCATCTGTCTGACTCTAAAAGCAACATTTACTTTTTGCATATTGATATTTGAATATTAACTATTATATAAAAAAATAGTACAAAATTAGGGAAAATGGTAAAATACTTCATTTGTCTTATAATACTAATAAAAAAAATATTTGTATACAAAATTATATAAATATAAAGATATTTTTAATGTTAATAATAATGACGCAAAAAGGTAAATGTTAGAGGTGGCCGAATTGAGTATAAATCAATTTAATTAAAATTTTAATCTCTTATAAAACTCAATACTCATTTATTCATCTCTCACTTTGATAAATAAATATTTTTATTTATATTTAAAACTACTTATTTTTTTATAAAAATAATTTTAAATTAATTAAAAACAAACAAATAGACTTTTTTATTTATTTGTATTATATTAAATTTTATTCTTTAAAAAATTATATCTATATTGTACATATTATATTGAGTTTGACGTTAAAATATCAATAATACTATTTATATACAAAATAATAAAATAATGACAACTTATTATTAAAAAGGGAGCAACAGTGGGGCATAAGATAGCGAATCACAAGCTCCAAAGCAATAAAATATATGCATGTTATGAAATAAAAATTATTAAAATAAAAATACAAAAGAATATATTATGAACTAAATAGTATTTTGATATAATATTTTTTTAAGAAAAAATAATATATTTTTATTGAAATATATGTAAAGTGAATAGTATTAATTTTAACTTTAAATATTAAAAAATTGAACCCATAATTTTAAATATAATTTTTAAAATAATCACACCACCCTTTTTCGAAAGAAAAATAAAAAAACTTGAAATTTTATTATATATTTTTTATGAAAAAAAAGATCTATAGCAAACGCACCCTAAATATCATAGATGGAGATAATTTATTTACTGAAAATATAAATGAAAGTATTATTTTGAAAATACTTTAAAAAAATATAATAGATTTAACCATTTGATATCTTATAGGATATACAGTTGTTCATATTTTATATTTTCTCGGTCCAATTTTAAGTTATATATTTTTTATTTTTGTTAATCTTATAATAATTGTTATTTTTGATAAATTTTACTTAATGAAAATATATTTATCAAATATAAATCAATTTAATTAATTATAGAATATATAATATCATATATCATTCGCTCAAAATTTCTTTATTTTTATATTTTGTAAAAAAATAAATATTTTTAATTACATTTAAAATCTCATATATTTTATAAAATTAATACTCATTTCGTTCAATTTCTATTGTCTTAAACTATACTTACACGATTTTTTTAGGTGATTGTCTTTTTGCTATATATTGACAAATTTGTTCTTAATTTATGGTAGAGGTGAAATGTAATAAATGAATGAGGGTAAAAATGTAAAATTTTTGTTTAAAAAATAAAATAAGAAATAGTTATTGGACTTTCCAAATAAGAAAATAGAATATTAGTTTGTGAACGGAAAGAGTATATGTTAGTTATAAATAAATAAATTTACTGTTTATTCTTTTGTATTATATAAAGTTTTATTATCAATAAAATAATATTTATATTGTGGGTGTGTTTATTTGGGGTTTGAATTTTGAGTTGAGATTTGAATAGTCAAAATTTTGAATTTGAATAGTTGTATGATGTGATATAAATAGGTGTTGATGTGATTTTTGAATGTAAAATTAATTTTTAGTATAATATAAGAAATAAAAAATAGGTGTTCGATTTGATGTTTTTTGGAGAAAAAATTGGATGAACAGTAGAATTTTAACAAAATTCTACAAACGAACACACCCTGTATGTTTTTTTATTGTGATATAATTTTTAAAATATTTAAATAAAGATTTCATTTTTAAAATTATATATAATAGTAAATTTATTTTTAAACTACCTGTTATTGATTAAATAAGAAATAAAAATTATTATTATTATTTACTATTATTAATTAATTAAATATTTTTATTTTAAATATTTAAATATTATTATACAAATTGTCAATTATGCCTATTTTGTAATTACTGTATACATTATTATTATTATTATTATTATTATTATTATTACTATTATTATTATTACTCCCTTCGTTCTGTGAAAGAGTGACGTTTGTTTTTTGCACGTAGATTTTTTAATATTAGTATTATATTTGATTATAGTAAAAAATACAAAAATACTCCTATTAGTATAGTATAATATAAAACTAATGAAATTTATGTAATATATTGTAAGTTTGAAGAGTATTTATTATTTTAGATAAGTAGTACAATTACTAAATTAGGAAATGGTAACGAAAATGGAAAATGACAACCTTTCAATGAGACGGACAGAGTATTATTGTTACTCATTCCATCCCAAAAGTATAGTCTTATTGTATTGGACACGAAATTTAAAGAATATTGATATTATATTGGTACTTGGTAAAAAATAAGAATAGATAATTTTTTCGCCCTTGCGAGTATATTAGTGTAAAAAATAGTGACAATTGTATAATAATAATAAAAAAAGTATGAATAATTTTATAGTGATATGATTATTTATAAAAATAAAACTATTATTTTAAAAGAAACAAAAATAATAAACAAGACTGTTGTATTGGTACGATAAAATTATTATTATTATTGTGATAGTGCCGTGGCCGCCGCGTAAACTTACATTTCACATATATGTACTATATCTTATTAAATATTGAAGCACCGGTCTCACTTTCCGTTCTTATAAAAGTCAAGTTAATTAAGTATTTAATACCTGCCCACTCTTAATAATTGAGTCCAAAGTTGACTGCATCCGTATCTTTTATAGAGAATATTTTCTCCAATTTAAAATTTATTTTTTTAGATTTTGTAATATATTAAAAAAATAATATGTTTGTTAAAAAAATAGTATAAATTAATTTAATTAAAATTTTAATTTTTTATGCGTAAAATTCACTCAATTTTTTTTTTTATAGATATTATTTAAAAAGTATAATAACATATTTATATCAACATAATATATAAATATTTTATTAATTAAAAAAAAAAAATAATTTAAATTATAATAAAAAAAAATTTAATAGTTTATACTTGATGTATAATAATAGCCAAAACTATTATTACCTATTTTGTGTTCGAAATAAAATTTAAAAATATATTGAAAAAAATAGTTACTTTCTCCTGTTCACGTAAACTGTTTTTTTTTTTAATATAATTTATTATTTATTTTGAAAATTACGATTATATGTTTTAAAATTTTAAATTTTTTTTCTTATACGTGGACAATTTATATAGATGTGTTTCGTTTATTATTACTTGAAAAAAAATATAATATTCGTAATTATACCATACTCACTCATTAAAAACAAAAAATCAATATAAATAATTAAGTATTGAATGTAGTTTTCGTATAAAAAAATATTTTATTCGACGTACTCAAATGGGATCGTCTGCCCGGCCAGTGTGGGGTTGATGTATGACAAAATATACTCAGTACGTCCCTTGGAAGATGAAGCTTTGTTGCTCGAACACCGTATTTTAAGTAATATAGGTTATTAAGTTATTAATAATAACTTAAGATAATATTTTATTATTTTTTTATATGGGTAGTGTTGTTGATATTTTAAATTTTAAAATTATATTTCAATAAAATATATGCAATATGGATATCATTTTATAGATAATAAAATTTTATATAATACAAATGAATAAAAAAATATAATTATTTATTTATCATTATCATAAATTAATTTTATAAAAAATAAAGAGTTTTAAAAATAGATAAAAATATTTGTTAATTAAAAATAAATAAAAATATATTTAAAATTATTCAACTTATCAAAAATGAAAATCGGTCATGTACAAAAAAAAAAAAAAATGGGATCATATTTGACGGCACCGAGGAAGTATTTTATTTTAGTTATGACAACACCAACATTCGATTTAATTAAAGATTAAAATGCAAATAAAATTTTGTTTGTTTAGTTTTTGATTTAATTTTTTTTATTTGACGTGAACATACAAAAACCGTATCACCAAAACAAACACAAACTTGTGTTGCAATTTTTTTTTCTAAAATGAAAATACATTTTGCACACGTCAATCCCTACTGGCTGGGACAGGAGATCCGTGCGATTTTTCGTAGAGTTATAAGTCCCAAATGTGCTATATTTAAGTTCGGCACGAGATTTTAGATGAAAAATATTAAGTAGCATAATTGAGTAATAATATAATATAATGAAGAGAGAAATATATATATATATTTGATTAGAGTGATGATATGAGATAAAGTGTGGGAATATAAATTAAGTATAATTAATTATTTTTTAATTTAAAAATATTTTGAAACGTACCAAAAAAATAATATTGCGTAATGTTTGAGACGGATGAAGTATTGGGATTAACAAGATGATCAAGTTTATGAGATCCATGGACCTCAACGCCAGAGTGGCTTTACAAACCCAAGGCGCCGGAAGTCCTGGCTGCTCTCAAGAAAGACCCAAGAGAAAAAAGAAAAAGAAAAAGAAAATAAATGACTGGACAGTGACAGGTACCGCTAGCTGTCTTCTTCCTCATGGCGCTCAACCCTCTGAAACTCAAGCCATCCTTTGGATCTGCAGAGCTTCATCAGCAAAAACCATCCGATTCCGGCGGCGGTCATCACCCCACTCACCATGAACACCGCCTTCGTGGCGATCGCCATTATGTACACCAGAAACCCCGCCGGAACCACGCACAGAACCACCAGCGCCGGCAACGGCAGCGGCACTTTGTACGGCCGCTTCAGCTGCGGCCATTTCTTCCGCAGCCATAGAAATGAAGCGAACTCCAGAAGCATCCCTAAACTGTAGAGAAAATTCGTCGACGACACGATGTCTGTGTAGCTCAGGTACGACATCCCCAGCGCTATCGCCGTCGACGCCCCGATCCCCACCCAGGGGGTGTTGAACCACCGCGACCGCCGCCCGAAGAACTTCGGAAGAAGCCCTAATTCGGCCATTCCCAACACCTGGTACGCGCAGCTGCTCAATTGCGCTTCGAATAGACCGATCGACGAAAGTACGGCGCCGATTTCTACCCAGTATTTCAGCCAGTCGCCGGAGATTGTCCTCGCGGCGTCCGCCATGAATCCTGCCTCCCACTTGCTCTGATCGACCACCACAGCGCCGGTCACTGCGATAAGAGGAATTAAATACCCCAAACAAGTAAAAATCACTGCGCAAAGAAGCCCTAACGGAAACGATTTCTTCGGATTTTCGACTTCTCCGGCGAGAGTACTGACATTATCCCAAAAATTCAGATTCCAGAAGAGAGTATTGAAGAACAGATTCCAGTCCTTCTTCACCCCCTTCTGCCCTAAGCTGATCCAGCGATGGGGACGAATTTGCGGAATTGCGATTACAGACATTAGAACGAAAGGGGCGAGGGATACAATCCCTAATCCGACGGCGACGTACCCGACGATCGTGAGGCCTGTGAAATTGAGAAACGCGAGCGCCACAGTCGAAATCAGGATCGCGAGGTTGCGGGGGAGGCCGGAGCCGAAGATCGGAAAGATTCGTTTGAGGTAGTTGATGCAGAGCGCCGGGAAGGCGGCGATGTTGATGACACCGCTGAGGAACTTCCAGGTTCCCATTAGCGACCCGAAGAAGGGCCCGAAGGCCCGGTCGGCCCACACCACGAATCCGCCGTTGCCGGGGAAGGCGGTGGAGAGTTCGGCGGTGATTAGGGCTTCTGGTATGCTCCAAATGAAGGGGAAGACGAGGAATCCGATGATGGCGAGGAGCGGCCCCGCCGCCTGCACCGCCGGCTCTTCGCCGTACGGGCCGCCGGCGACTTCGAAGTAGATGAGGAAGATGAGAGGGATTAGGGTCAGCTTTTTGGTCTTGGTTCTTGTTTTGGTTGCGGCGGTTGTGATGGGGAGCTCTGGCTCTTTCGGCGGCGGCGGCGGCGAGGCGACGGCGGCGGCGTCGGGCGGCGGTTTTGCAGCCATGGGAGGGTTGGTGAGGTTTGGGGATAGGGAGGAGCGATCTTGGATTTCGATTCGATTTGAATTTGAATATTTATAATATCTTAATATCATTATTATTTTTAAAAAATTTTTATTATTTAAACGTAACAATAATGAAACGTATTATATGGTGTTTGTTTATCTATTGATATTTTGATACATCCACTACACCACCGCTCAAATAATATTATATTTATCGATGCGCATTTTCGGATAATAATTAAATAATGTTGATAATACATCAATCAAATTTCGATTCAAATCATTGCAGTTGATTACAAATTACTTCTAGTTTTTATTTTTTATTTTCGTCGCGTTTCTTGTTCTTTTTTTTTTAAAAAAATTAATTATATATTTTAATTATATTTTAAAATTTAAAATTTAAATTTTTAATCTTAATTAAATTATTTTGTTATTTTAATTTTAATTTATAATTATTTTTACTAATACACTTTCTAATTATTTACTAATTATACTTTACCTAAATTTCTGTGTTTACAGTAATACACCCATATTACATGGGACGGAGGAAGTATTCGTTTATTTACAGTATTCGGGTCCGTTACCCTTCCTTTTGTTTACTTTAGACTTTAGTCAATTATTTTATTTATTTATGGAAGTTTCTTAAATATCGAATTAAACAAGATATTTTAATTAAAATATTATATTAATATTTATTTATTTATGTCATCTATGATTCTATTAGCAGTATATTCATAACTCTATTTTTTGAAAGATTTACTATGTAATAACATCAACGTAAGCATTTTTTTTAAAATATTCAATCATAAGGCTTTCTATATAAATATATTATTTTCTATAATATGTGTATTTGCATTTATATTAGGATATGATTGTTATATGCCACTGTTTATTTTCACATTTGTGTTTGTTTGCAATATATTTCCTCTATCCATTTTCTATCGTCTAAAGTATATTTGTATAATTTTTTTAGGTAATTATTTTTTTTATATGAATTGACAAATTTGTCCGTACAAATTAAAAATAATAAATAAATAAAGAATAAAAAAATAAAATTTGATTTAAAAAAAAAAATAGAATGATAGTTATTAGACGTCCAAATAAAAAAATAGTATATTAGTTTTATTTTTTTAAATATCAAAACACTTTTATTTCTTTATATTATACTAAAAATTAAAATTAAAATTTTTTATTATTCAAAATTCAAACTCCAAACAAAAGCAAATTCCTATTAAAGTAAATATGAAATATTATTGTTATTGCAAATGCTGATGTTGTCCGTGAATAAATATTTAATTATGTAAATATTATCCAAATAAATTAAATAAAATATCTTAAATATTACTTTTTGAAAAAATAAAGTAAATAATATGATAATTTATCAACTTTTCATTTTAAATAGAAAATATTTTTAAAAATTTAGTGAAAATTAGTAAGAAAGGACATGGAAGATTTAACAAGTTAATTTATTATTTGCCTTTCAAATTATTATTTTCTTTATCTCATTTTAGTTGTCTTGTTTGTTTGTAGATATAAGAATATAAACAATGTATAATGAATAAATAATTAAGGGTTCCTTTCTTTTTTAAAAAAATTCAAACATATTCTCCTAAAAATTTAATATATAATATACTAATTATTTTTATATTATCTATACAATTTTTTATACTTCTTCGTAAAAAAAAATCAAATCAAAACACAAAACAAACACACCCTAACAAATGTATTAACAAAATAGTTATTGTACAATATAAAATATTATAAACTAATTATTTTATTTAAGATTAAAAATATAAATCATACAATTTAAAATACAATTAAAATATATAATTTTTTTTTAGAAAAAAACAAAGTGGAATAAAAATAAAAAATACACAAATTATTTAATAAAATAAAAAATATAGATATGAGATGAAATTTAATATTTATTATATAACATATATTATCTTGATTCTGTTTATTTTAAGATATAAAAATTGTAACTTTTTCTTTAAAAAACACTCACATAAATTCAAATCCAATATTTGTCACGCTGGTTTAGTATAATTTATTTTTAGAGTCTAATTTGCAGGATAATAAATTCGATCAAAAATTTAACAAATGAGATACTTTGAATAACAATTGTAAATTTCTGCATCATCAAAACAAAATAAAAAAATGACAAATTAGGAATATATATATACTCTTTTAATTCCATAAAAATATCCATTTTACAATGGTCATAATAATTAAATATATATAATTTTAAAATATATTATTAAATATACAGATAATTATAATTAGAATGAAAATAACTAAATAATTTATTTAATAATAAAATTTAAAATTCTTATAATTATAAAAGTAAAAATAAAATTATATGAGATAGTTACTTAAATCTCGTTTTTGTCGTTTCCCTGCCGTAATAAAACTTCCAGCCAGTAGAATGTCGAAGAATCCAATGGAATCTCGATAAACCTTCCAACTCCACAAAGTTAGCATTCCCACCTCTGATCCAACACCATGGGAGGAGTATCTACTCAATTCCCACCACTCCTTCCCCCGGAGGATCAACACCCTCACACCGCCGCGCCGCCGGCGGAGAAGCGCTCCAACAAGCTCGCGCTCCTCCCCCTAATTTTCCTCATTTACTTCGAGGTCGCCGGGGGCCCCTACGGCGTGGAAGCCGCCGTCGGCGCGGCCGGCCCTCTCTTCGCGATTCTAGGGTTTCTAATTTTCCCCTTCATCTGGAGCATCCCGGAGGCCCTGATCACGGCGGAGCTTGCCACCGCCTTCCCCGGCAACGGCGGATTCGTGATTTGGGCTCACAAGGCGTTCGGCCCCTTCTGGGGCTCGATGATGGGCTCCTGGAAGCTCCTCAGCGGCGTAATTAATCTCGCCTCTTATCCAGCCCTATTCGTCGACTACATCAAGCTCGTCTTCCCCGTCGTCTCCTCCGGCGTCCCTAGATTCGTCGCCGTCCTGTTTTCCACTCTGTTTCTATCCTTCCTGAATTACACCGGCTTGACAGTCGTCGGATACACCGCCGTCTGCCTAGGGTTAATTTCCCTCTCCCCATTCTTAGTCCTTTCCCTAATTTCGATCCCTAAAATCGATCCCCGCCGCTGGCTCAGTCTAGGGCAGAAAGGATTGGGCAAAAACTGGAGATTATTCTTCAACACTCTGTTCTGGAACTTGAATTTTTGGGATAACGCCAGCACATTAGCCGGCGAGGTAGAACAGCCACAGATTACATTCCCTAGGGCTTTATTCTCCGCTGGAATTCTCGCTTGTTTAGGCTACTTGATTCCTCTCCTCGCCGCCACCGGAGCAACACCGCTGGATCAAACAAAATGGGCGGACGGCTACTTCGCCGATCTAGCTTCCATAATCGCCGGCCCCTGGTTAAAAGTCTGGGTCGAATTCGGGGCCCTTTTGTCGGTGATCGGGCTATACGAAGCTCAATTGAGCAGCTGCGCGTATCAAATCCTCGGCATGGCTGATCTAGCAGTCGTGCCGCGGGCATTCGGGCAGCGATCCAAGTGGTTCGACACCCCTTGGGTCGGGATCATGCTGTCCACTCTTGTTGCATTGTGTGTTTCGTGTTTGGAATTTTCCGACATAATATCATGCGTGAATTTCTTGTATAGTTTGGGGATGTTGTTGGAGTTTGCATCGTTTCTCCGGCTGAGGCAGAGCATGGCCGGAGTGGAGCGGCCGTATAAAGTTCCGGCGGGGATGCGGGGGCTGGTGGTTATGTGTTTGGTGCCTTCTGTATTTTTGGTGTATGTTTTGGCTGTTGGTAATGGGACTGTGTATTTGGTTAGCTCCTTGCTGACTGCTGCAGGTGTGGTCTGGTATTTCTTGATGAACTTTTGCAGGTCGAGAATGTTGGTCGAGTTTGATGGGGACGACGATGATCCTTTCTTGCATTTGAATTAGACAAGACAAGACAACCAATTTGGTGTAAGTAATCTTGTTTAATTTCTATTGTTTGATCTGATTAAGATCAAGTAAATTTGATCTGATTGAAGACATTTTTATATGTATTTGTTTCTAGAAGCTCTTTAGTTAATAAGATTGTGTTGAAATTTTATGTGGGATTTCAATTTGTGTATCTGAGGGTATGTTTCTTTAGACAGGAATGGAATGAAAAAAATTTGGTTTGAATTTGATATTAAAATAATATGAATGAGATATTTTTGTAAGAAAAAAAAGTATATTTTTTTCCGGAATGAACGAAGAATATTGAAGATATTGCGAATTGCAATGAACCAATCCCAATACACAGCACTACGGGTTTAAGTGGAGGGACTTTACCCTTATAAAAAAAGGAACTTCATTCATCATATCCAATATAGGAAAATATTCCACACATATTTTGGAAAATTTAATATTCCATCTGTTTGGTCGACCTTTTCTTTAATATCAGATTATTTAATTAAATTATTATTTTTATTTTATTTTATTTTTATATTAAAATATTATTCTCTCTATTATATTTTAAATGATATTTTTTATTTTTTATATACTTTTTTTTTATATTAAATTAAAACATATTTAATAAATATAAATAAAATTTACTTTAACATGTAACAATATAGGATTTCTATTTCTCTTAACAAATATATATTCCTGTGTTTGTGCGATGTCCTTTATTTTTTAAATACAAATTTTAGGTTGAACAAATTTGTCAATTTATAACAAAAAAAAAAAAAAACAATCATTTAAAAAAATAGTGCAAATATACCTTAGGACAAGGAAATAATATTTTTATTTACATTTAAAATTTTATTTATTTTATAAAATTAATTTATATTAATTATAAATAAATGAATATATATTTTTTATTTACTTATTTTTATTTTTATTGTAATATAAATTTTAAAATATTTAAAAATTCTAATTTCTTTTATTCATATAAATTAAAATATTTTAGAAGGAGTACTCCTTAATCGAAGCTCCTTTGAGATTTTCGTAATATATTTTAAAATAGTAATATTTTATTAATTAATAAAATTATAAAATAAAATTATAAATTAATTGTATATAGTTGATTTGAAGTGCTGGACAAAAATATAAAAAAAAAATAAAAAAAAATAAAAAATAGAATTAAAAGGAAGAGATTATTATTCATGTTTTTGCAAACAAAATGGTACTCGATAATTGAGGGGAGCAGAGGGCTTAATAACTAATTTGGTCCAAATTCCCACAATGCTGTTGCATTTAATGCATCACGTGCAAAAATAAAACTACAAAATAATTGGAGAGAGAGAGAGTAATCTTGAAAACGAGTGACTCAGTGAGCCGAGCCATTCCGAGTCAGCTGAGCTGAGCTGGTCCGTCCATCCACATCGTCAATGTCATCGCGCCAATGCTATTTGTTTGCCTCCCTTCCAAGTTTGCGACTCGAAACTTCTTCGTTTCTCTTCTATTATATTCTATACTATACGCGCCATCCATGCCTATATATAATAAGGATGTGGATCTACCAGAAAGGTGGCGTTTCTCTTTTGTGCGGAGACATCTGATCAGCCTCGCTCGGACGGAGCAACAGATCTCGATCTCGTTAGGTTAATATTGATTTTTGCCGGAGCAGGACGCGCTAATTCGCTTGTGATAGTTTTGGTAAATTCCTTTATTAAAAACGAACGTGTCATCGGAAAACCTTATTTGTGATAATTCCTTGTTCTGATTACACAGTGGTTTGGGATTTTCGTCGACTTGTTGGGGTTTCGAAAAGTGTATTGCGTTCTGCTCGCGGAAATGGTGACGTCGCTCGAGATGAACGATCGTAAAAGTAAGTTGATTTCGTTTTGTAAGCGCAAGCTTCGCGGCAACTGGAAGTAATTTTGTTTGTGTATGTGCGTTAGGGCAAAAACAACAAATGTAGGATTTTATGGTTCTTTCTCCTGTGGCTTAACAAACCAGGAGTGAACGTCTCTCTTTTTTCTTTCCTTTGTATATAAAAGTGCATGGAAATAGTTTGCATCTCATCAGCTGGGTTTGCGATCCTTAATTTCATTATTTGCATCAGAAATTCGCAGGATATCCCTTCCTCATTTGGCAAATGTTACTACAGAATTTTTGTTCATGAATATATATATAATTCATGGGACTGGTTACGGTGATGCCGGACAGATCTTAATGATATTCATAACATAGATGTTTCTGTTGTCAATTAATATATATATATATATATATATTGAAGTTGGTTAACATATAATATGCGATGAGCATCAACGGTCATGTATTGTTAGTTTATGACATATGTTGCATTTGTATTTTATTAATATAGACTATCAATTGTCTATATATTTGTTATGTCTTATCCATGTATATGCCATGTCTTGGAAGTAGGATGTCGAATGAAATCATTTAACACTCTAACAGCCGCCGTAATTCATATTATATCTTGCTTGATGTATCTTGAAACAGAAATCGGGCTCGGTTTGACGGGCTTTGGAGTTTTCTTTTCATTTTTGGGGATCATTCTCTTCTTTGATGCAGGTCTTCTTGCAATGGGAAATGTGAGTAAGCTTTTGTAGTACTGTGTGATAATTTTCTCATCGCCCACCTTCATCATCACCATTTCTTATATTGTCTGATGCAGATCCTATTCTTCTTGGGGGTGGCATTAACAATTGGACTCGATTCATCTGCCAAGTTCTTTATGAAGCCTTCAAATTTCAAGGTTTTTGTTTGTTTGTTTGTCAAAGATGCATTGCCTCTTTGTTTCTTCGTAACCACTCTAGTTTCGGGGGCATTTTATTTTGTTTGCAGGGGACTGTTTCATTTGGTGTTGGCTTTTTCTTCGTCATATTTGGATGGCCCATAATTGGGATGATTGTTGAGGCATATGGATTTGTTGTGCTCTTCAGGTTTCACACACAACTCCAATTTGTTTCGCATTAGATCTGTACTATGTAGTGGTATTAGCTGATTCATTGTTTTTGCAGTGGGTTTTGGCCGACGTTGGCTGTCTTTCTGCAGAGGATACCAGCAATTGGTTGGCTCTTCCAACATCCATTTGTGAGATTGGTATAGTAGCTAGTAGCTTTCCTAATTTTTTACATCATGTTTGTTTAAGATGATTTGATTCAGTGTATATGGTTTTAGTTTAACTTGCATCCGCTGGTGTTGTGTGCAGTTTCTTGATCGCTTGCGAGGGAGAAGGGTGCCTGTGTAAGAATAATTTACAGAAATGCAGCCCAAGAATAATGTATATTGTGCATTGCATTTGGGATCATCACATAAAGACAAGAGTTTGATGTGATGAAAGCTGGAATGGCTCTCTTAATCAGCAGATGAAAAACAGACAGGTAACATATTGATTTTAATTAACAAAACATATACGAGTTAATTGAAATTTTGTGCTATTAGTTTATACTAACTATTTCATCATATGTTTCATTTATATAAATATTTGAGGTATTGGCATGCTGAATGATGTTCATATAGCATACTAACAGGTTGAGTTGGAAACCATAATTATATTAATAATACCGCGGGTTATCACATTATTAATAAAAAAAAGTCTAAATATAGGTTGATAGATATTGGAAGTAGGCTTGGGTATAAGTTAAGATACATAGGAATGATCCTAATTCACAGCAGTAGCAAATTCTGATCGATTGTTATTGCAATCCAAATATGGCAAATAAATCAGCCATATCAGATCAGATCAGATCTTGCTATGCAATTTCTGAAGTTCCTTCCTGAACTGATCCCTAAGCACCCTCCGGAGCAACTTATTCGACATTGTCCGAGGGAGCTCTGAAACTGTCCTTACAAACCTCACCTTGAACAGAGGATTCAGGTTTGTCTGAATGGCTCTCGAAAACTTCGTCTTCAGGACATCTGTTTCCGCATTGAGCCCCTTCTTCAACACCACAAAGATGGCCAGCTGTTCCGGCCCTCCTTCTGGGGGCGCCACGCTTACTGCAGCTGTTTCCATGATGCTTTCATCCGCAAGGTTGCACACGGCCTCGATCTCCACTGAACTCGTCTGCATTGTTCAATTCAACCATCTCAGTTCCATCTAAACTCTGTTTTGTTTAAAGACATTATGGGTCGTGTAGGGTAGGAAGACAGATGGTATGAGACTATCAAGTATCAACCCCTACCTTAATGCCTCCGAGGTTCATAGTGTCATCGACTCTGCCCTGCACCATCAAATACCCCCCAATTGTTCTCTTCAACATGTCTCCGTGTCTCCTAAGTTGCTGCAACAAGAGGCCGCGCTTCTCAGACATTTCATTATCAAAACCAGAACTAACAGCGCAGTAGGAGGAAATAAAGAAATCGACTATATGAAAGGCTTCATTGTTAAGCATACCATTCCCTTGTACAGTGGCATACCCTTGAAGTAAACCTCCTCGTGGTCAGCATTCAGCAACCTGTCGGTTGCACCCATGTACCTGGGAAATAAGCCTACTTCGCCCACACAAGGTTGATCATCCGGCTGCCAAACAGGAAATCACATAAGAGGATAGTCTTCAGCTATATCCAACGGTTATTCAGTCATGCACATGCAAGAAGTACGTTACGCCACTTACATAAGGGTTCCCATTTTCGTCAAGAATGACTAATCCGGTTCCCATTGAGGCAGAGCTAAATGCTCCAAAGGACTGGGGTTGCAGAAGATTTCCTTGAATGTAAGAGGATGAAAGTTCTGTTCCTCCACAGCACTCGATAATTGGCTTGTAATATGCCCTTGATGATAGCCATAGGTCATCATCGACATTGGATGTTTCTCCAGTTGTAGAAAATGTCCTGTAAAGCGGGAGTGTGTGCACATACATTCATGGTTTTAGTCATTCCTTACTATCAACAAAGTCTACATTAATATCGACAGTTAAGTGTGTATGCTACTTTATCTTTGTCCAATCTAAGCCTTCCATGCAATTTGTTGTCTTCCAGGTCCTCACCAAGCTAGGTACAGTCCCTAACATTGTTACACCTGCATCCTGGAATCAAGAACAATGCAAACTACAATAAGCAGAGATTATCATTTAAAAATCCACAGCCTAATCTACTCAATGAATCTATCAACAAAACAATTCATATAATTTTTGGATTACTCAAGTAGAGTAGTTTCTCCACATGTTTACTTAATCCTAATGGCTATCTAAATGATAAGTTTACGCCAACTAGAGCTGTTTGGGCGAGTTTAGCATCTCATCTATACCTAGAGTGGTTCGGTTATGCACTTGATCATGAAGGATATTGATCTCTCATAACAAATATATATTCTTATAGTTTATAAAATTATATACACGCCATAATTACCTAGCAAGATGTGCTTAATTAGGAGGTTTTAGTTACCTGGACAAATTTTCCAAACCCATGGTCGAGAGGAGACCCGTGGTAGAGTGCTAGTGTTGCGCCAGTTAGGAAACATGTGTAGAGTGTAATTGGGCCCATAACCCATCCTAAGTTTGTTGGCCAGCAGACAACATCTTCAGATTGAACATTGAGATGCGTCCATGAATCAGCAGTACAACGAATTGGAGAAAGTTGAGTCCATGGTATAGCTTTTGGCTCTCCTGTTCAATGGTGGACAATGCATTTGTAATCTGGAAATGCAACAGAAGCAGCATGACACCTAAACTGTGTTGAGAAGAAAGAACTACTAACCTGTGGTACCCGATGAAAATAGGATATTGGTAACAGACTCTATGGGTTGGTAAACTGGTGAAAAGAAATTTGAGCTGCAAGAGACACATTTCAAAACGCAAAGTTTTTTGGTAGAGGAATGTGCAGCTGATTGTTCATAGACTTTTGCACACGCCACACAACGACCACCTTCTACACCATATATTGATGGAGTTACCTTGTTAGCTGAGGTGCAGAGGACAGAAAACTTCCCCATGATATATCTTGGTTCCTTAAGCTAATAGCTACATCTTTTCCAGTTGCGGGGATAACTATAACAATCTCTGGATCACTTTCGACTACTTTACTGCAAGGAAAGATAACAACTTACATTAAGTGTGGCTTTTGCAGGAACTGGTGAAAGGCAGCAAGGCATGCATGTACCGAATCTACAAATCAACTCAAAATAATAACATATTTTGCTTTGATTAGTTCTATCCAACCACCAAATCACACAGATAAATTCTCACTTGAAGAAATATGCACTTCCAATAATTGTATACAGGGTACTATTAGGTTGGGTTAAAGTAAATGACAGTCAGAGTATTACCAGTTAGCCTATAAACATGATCACATCTTTTGCATCGCTATTCACAAACATTTCAATAGAATAACCATTCAGCTAAAATGTCTGTAATACCTGTACAAAGGAAATCTCCTCCCTCCCCGCACAAGAAAATCCTAGAATTGTGCCAAGTTAGAATCATTCAAATATGAGATATTTGGCGATTTGCCATGTAAGAGGGAACCTCATTTATCAACCTCTGTATATAGATGAAAAGGTAAGTTCTTTGCACCTACCTGCGTAAAAATTGCCTTCGCTTTTGATATACGCAGACGAGTAGCAATTTCCTTTGGTGCAAAGCTGTCAGCAATTGATACAACAACAAGTCCTGCAACTACGATTGCCAAGTATATTATAACTGCAGTAACAGTCATCTGCATGTCAATGGCGATTGCATCTCCTTTGTTGAATTTCAAGCTCAGTGCAGTTGCTACCACCCTACTCGAGAAATAAAGACCATTAACATACTTAGAAATATGCAGCCGATGAAGCTTTATTACATACAAGGCTAAATCTTAATACGAACACTTTCTTGCCATTCAATGTTACGGGCAAACAATCAGATATCTCCATTGTTTCGATTCTCAAGAACATTAGGTTTCGCTTAATTCATTCCAATGTTTATTCACATCTCCCAAAAATCGAATACATGTATCTGATCCATCCAACATAAACATAACTTAGCCAAATAATTTTCCTTTTTACGTAAAAATAAAGAAAATTCAAGCTTTCAACAATCATTCAATGTAAACTCTATTTATGCTCAAACACAACTAAGCATTATACCCTAATAATGAACAATCACTCTACCTTATCACACATATATAATTCGACTCTTTTGTGAAAAATATAGTTTTATTCACGGCAATTTCACACACTAAAACAATGCACTATTTTTTCTTATTGTAGAATGATGTAGATCAATGTCAATAACTGAAAGCATACATTACTTGTTCCCGGAGTTCCTTCAATGTCATGCTTTTGACATTAAGATCATCGCAGCCTTCGTCTCTCCACACAATGGCTAAGCTATCATCGTGCTTCTTCAAATAACTGTTTGGCTGAATACAACAGTCAGCAATATTCAAAATTGCACCAGGCAGCCAGGTTCCGTGAGGTTTGGATTTATCAGAGGTGTCTAAAATACACTTTGGCGGCAAGGAAAATTGAACGGAGAGCTCCTTTAATACAAGCGGCCAATACATCTGAAAAATACAAAAAAGACCGTTGTCTGAACTAAATGGCGGAGTCAGCTTCAACATGTGTAAGTGAAGAAGGCCTTGCCTCAGGATGCTGCACAGAGAACTGCTGAAATTGTTTGAAACTCGTGATTGGGTCCTTGTAGGAAGCCCCTAATAGCCTTGGACCATGAGATTCCATGATACGCCCCAAATTTGTATGTATAGCCTGATGCCTGGTGATAAAAAACCACGAATCCGAAGAAAGAAAGCATAAATATTCAATCTTTAATAATTAATGGTAATTATCACAAAAGATAAAAAACAGCAATATGATATCCAGGGCTAATGCAACTCTTGCTCAAGTTTAAGATGTGATACCTTTTAATACAGCCACATTCTAACTGACTTTGTCATATATAGGAGGGTATATATGATGAATATGAACCAGATGGTGTAATAACTTAACATTTCCCAAAAGATGCCAAAAGCTTCTACAACTCTAAACTCGCGAGGCATAAATGTGTCGTATCTACATTTTCTCTCAACCATGTAACCATATCCGCACTTTTCAGCTTCTTAACCACACCTCCTTAGGCCATCACTGTCGAGTACAGTTATATACACTACTAACGTTTACCTATTCAAAATATCTACTTCATGATCTTGATATGTGCTTACGACGTCATCTAATGAAGTTTGAATAGAAATATCAGTCAACCCTTTTGGACAACTCACCTGTGCTGATGCAGATGCCAAGAACAAAGTGAGAATGCTGCTGCTAAATACCAATTACTTCGAATTCAACTACATTATCCTAATGACCTAATTCATGTAGAAGAAAACCAACAATTCCTTGGCTCTTTGAAGACATAACAGGAAATATGGTAGTTTAGGGCACATAACCAAACTTTCAAATAGGGTTGGTTCGGTACGGTATATCGAAACTTATACAGTATATGGTACCGAAATTTTCGGTATGATAATTTATCATATTGTTACTGAACAGAGAAATCGGTATACCAAAAAATCGGTATGATTTATATTTTATATCGTACCGTACCGATTATTCGGTATGCTGAACTATCCGTATGTTATCGGTATATACCGATTTATACCGAAATATTGAAACTTAAACAGTATCGATTTATACCGTATTATACCGAAATATCAAAATTTAAACGATATTGAGATATACAGTATTATACCGAAAATTAAACAATATCGATATATACCGCAGTATCAAAAATACCGAATTAGTATTTTTTTACTATTTAGAATTATTAAGAATATATTACCATATGCTTCCTCCACTTCTAAGGATCACATTTAGCTTTTGCATCATTATATTTAACATTAAAAATATCCTTATATTTATATTTATATGATTTTTTTGTACAAATATCCTTACACTAATTTAAATATTTTTACAATTTTTTCTTAATATAATAATTAATATTCAAATATCAGCATAAAAAAAGTAAATGGAACCTTTAGAACCTATTGGAGGTAGTATTAAATATAAAAAATAATAATTTTGGTATTTCTGTAAATACTGAAACACCGATATATAAAAAATAATTAGGAAAATATATGGTACCACGACACTGTACCGAAATTTATGGTATACCGAATATTCGATATTATCCATATATTTTCGGTATGATATGTGCTGTATTTCGGTATTTCATTATATTTTCCCACCCCTACTTTCAAACACGGAGTATCGAAAATCTCTGCAACTAACAACCTTTGGGGACTATGCAGGCACTCTTCTTCTTCCACTCGACAGTGTTCACCTTGATATTTAAATAGCCAGAATGAGTGTGAGAGAGTGAGTATCACTTACAGAGAGGGGAACCAGTAGAGAGGAGGGCCATGGATGGCGTCATCTCGGTCACGGTAGACGGAGTAGTAGACGAGCTGATGGAGTGCATGGGGGTGTTGTGGCTTCAGGAGCTTGCGAGCCACGATGTGGCGCCATACCTGCTCTGCACCGCCGGGATTGGCGAGTATCTCCTTCAGCTCCCTCTCGAAATTTGTGGATTCCTGGACGGAGAGTCCGCATCTCACCAAATCCTCCATCCCTACTCGGCCGCCCACCATTTCTCCACCAAATTAATTTTCAGAGCACCTTCTCTGCCTGTACTTCTTTCTAGAAGAGGCCGGAGTAAAAGTGGTAGGTAGAGGCAGAGGTAGAGGTAGAGGCCAGCACCTGCACCTACACAGAAATAATAAAAAGGAGATATTTTGGCAGTACATAAGAGTAGTTGAAGAAGTAGGTGGAAGGAAGAGTGTTTCAACTACCATTCATGAGTTCCTCCATAGCCTTTAAATTTGTGATATTTATCTTCGCCAGTCTCCAACTGTTTACATTCAAAATAATCACAAATGCCACAAATGGATGATAACATTACAAAATATGACCAAATGGCTGCAATTCTTCATCATATCACAAGGTCTCAAAGATGATTATGCAACTTAGTAACAACATTGGATGAAACAAATAATACAACACAGGAACAAGAGCTCTACATATCTTGTAATAAGTTGCTGATTACTTCAAAGCTGAGCAAGAGCAAGGGCAAAAGCAATCAGGGATATGGAACAATGCCTCAGGACAGATCATTTGATTCCCAAGTGCCATCTGAATAAACAAATTTTCCCGTGCACATAGCACAACATCATTTCATGACCTTAACTGCATTGGATTCACCTCGCGAATCGTAGAGTCCACTCTGCAGCTACTTCATCGTGTTTAGCCCTGTCGGCCAAGTATAACTCGGCGATGCCTGGAATAAGTGGTTTGTCTGCAATAACCCGAATATCAGACTTTTGGTAAATTCACAACACATCAAGGCATCAAGAAAACACCCCGTTTTAAGGATCGGAAATGCAGAGAATGTTTGCATTAAAGATATGAAGTGCTCACAGGGGTCCGGGTTGGTAAATATTGATCTGAGCGCCACCAGAACTTTCGAGATAGTTAGAGCTGGACTCCACCCTTCTTTCAGGATTTGCAGACTAACATTTCCGGCAGGATCAACATTACAATGGTAGATTCGAGTTTTAAAAATGACCTGCATAAGATAGCAGATACTCAAACATCGAAGTGTTTACAAAGAAAAAGGAACACAAGATGGCTGGCCTGTCTAGAAATCATCTACCTATGGCCATTCCCATTAAAGAGCATACATAAGACCATGAATCTACAAATAGTCTATTGCATATGCACAGTTGTGGGTTTAGAGTTTTTAGCTATGCTTTAACCGTAAAATGATAACAATTATGGGTAATGTAGTAGAGTAAATATCCGTAGCATCCTCTACGGTAATGACAAATATCTCAACATGGTAATCAAGAGAGGAGCCTTTCGTCGCAAATGCAAATCACCCATATGTTACTTGGTAACGGTAAGTCACAGATAATCAACTTAGTTCTGCATTGACAAGACTATATAACAATGAATACCTTGGGTGCTGTGAATGGATACTCTCCCGGGAATGTTATATCAAGAAAAAATATGCCTCCTTCATAAGGCGTCCCTGCAAATGAAATGAAAAGGATTAGCTCAGCATAATTAAGAAGAAGATAGATAGAATCCATGGCATTTATCACATGTCGCATTTAAGTTTGTTCAGAAAGAAGACAACAAAATAGAGAGAATAATATGTAAGAGGAAAGTCAGACATACAAGACGCTGAAGATATTATCTCATTAACTTAATTAAACATCATAAAACGAGCATATAGAAATGCACGAATTAATCTTGTTCAATATTTCTCTCCAAGACATCCGTGTGCGCTACAACAGATATCGTTTTCCTACAACGATGGATTGTAATGCATACAGGAAACAATATGGTCATGAACAAATTTAACAAGCAGGAAAACTCAAATGCAGAAGATAACTTTAGCATTGCTATTGCCATTGCTACATAGTCCATGCTTGGAAAAATCGACAACCCAAACAAAGTTCAAGAAGTTCGACAACACTAGACAAGTAAAGTTAGAAACTCTTATGAGTAGCATGAAAATAATACTCTATACCAGAAACTCGAAAAATCTGGTTCAAAGTCTAACTATCTCATAGAATTTTTGGGCTCACAAAATATCCATTTGCAGGCAGATGCAAAGATGCTAATATGGCCTTACTCAATAATTACAAGCACCACTATTGCTGAATTCTTGTGACCTTAACAACAGATCATCATCCTTCACCACAAATCACCACCAAAGGCATCATCCACCTAAAAATGGTTCACTTAGGGCTAAAACTAAAGAAACCAACAATTAAGAAACCTACTATGAACACCATGAACAATCTCTTTTTCCTTAGGAATCAAGACTAAATGTATAAAGTTAGTTATTGCTAGGCACAAGATTAAGTACAACGCTGCTGCTGTGGCAATGGCAGAGTTCAACTCATGTTGCGGTTGGTACAACCACTAGTTAGCACAGAAGATATAGAGATGGAATATGCTACAGAGGCGATAGGACAATACCGGAGGGACCGAAGAGAGTGGCGACCCAGTGGTAGAGATTGTCGCCTTTGGGACCGGCGGAGCAGTCCGGCAGCGGGTCCATACTCAGCTCCGACATCTCCTTCTGAATTCTCTTACCCGAAGACGATACCGAAGTTGCAGACGGCCAGGACCGTCCTCCGCTACATCTTCCGCGGCCGGTCGACATCATCGGCAGCCTCATGACCCTACTTATCTTGCGCTAAGAGGAAGCGATCGTTTCGATCGAAATGTATATATTCAGGCCTTCAGGACCGTATTGTAATTAATTGATACTATGAGGGTCCCTATTTAAATTGTTGTCCCAACCATAAAAGCTGCGTCCTTTGAGCTCATTGTTTTCACTCCGAATCAAATTGGAACTTCTTCTCATCAGGTTTGGGTGCTTAAATCGAAATAAGAAATTTCAAACTTGATTCATTTTGGTGGAATTGCACTCTGCTCTGTTCACTCTTCAGTTATTTCATCTGTTAGGGTTTTGGATTCCATGACTTGTTTTGTGTGATAATTCCCTAATCTCTGCATGGTTTGGTTGTTGTGCTGTGGAATCCAGCGTGATTCTTCATGAATCGATGATTTTAGGTTGAGCAAAAATGCAACCATTGCTTACCAAGTGTGCTTTAATTGCTAATAATTGATACTACTTGTCCTCCAATTGAAGATTGGTTCTTCATTAGTGATGTCGTCAAGTTACCAATTCAGATCACTGATCTCTCCCATGAATGAGAAAATTTACATGTTCTATAGGAGTCACAAAAATCCCTGAATGAACTGACGACATTCTTCATTAGAGAACTCGTACATTCTTAATTTATTCATTCACTATCATCATGAAGTAGTTCTAGGTCCATGGTGATATGTTGAAAATTGTCGAGGAATTTACAGATGCTTAATGTGCTTATAATCGACAGATGATTTCGAGTAAGGTGTTCTTACTTGAAGTCTTAGATATCATGCAACTTTTTCTAGATGGATCATACATATAACATATGTGCTGCAGTCCATAATTGCATTCATCACTAACTTATTGTTGAAGCTGCATGTTTAATTCACCATGTGTTCTTATGATTTGGAGCTTTCATCCTAAGTAAAAATTTTCACATTGATTCCTTGTTCCGAGTTTCTGATCTCTGCGCTGCAACTTAATTCACTTGCAAACCATTATCTTGCAAGTGTTGTTGCCAATCATGTAATCCTGAAATCGGAATGTGGTGCAGTAAGCATTGTAAGGTCGGGACTTCATTAATAGTTAGAACTACCTAAAACCAATACCTAGTTGAGTGAAAAAAAAAAAAAAAAAAAGAACAGCTCATTGTCTAGGAACTGCAGGATTGGCTTCATACATCTTGAAATAAAATTGTGGGAATTCTTGGCTGCTGGTATCACTGAATATGCCAGCCTGATCAGTAGGTGATCTCTGATATATATTTATTTCATTGCATTATGTTACTCCCCTGTTTGATGGTATAGAGACCTATTCCTATCTAAAGAAATAATATTTGCTACCATTGGCCCTATTATTTGTCAAGTTTCATTACAAAATTTGTTTCTGCATGCAATTAGTAGTTAACAGGCAAATAATACTTCCCATGGGAGGTTGTTTGTTAGTTGCATTACTTGTCAAAATCAGTGTAGATTAGACTAATCATTGATTGGTTGTATAACTTTATTTGGTTCAGGTTGTACTTGTTTATGGGTATTGATATATATATATATACATATATTTGAAATTTTCATTAGTGGTTTGTGTGAAATACATGAAGGGTTGATTGTGACATTTAAGAATTTCCAAGTGTGGTGTTTATGAACTGAACTCTGAGATGGATTGGTTGTAGTGAATTGGTGCATATAAAATTGAAGCAATTAGATGCACGATATGATATGATATGAAATGAGTTGTGTGTTGGCAGTGGCAGTGTGAAACATGAATGCATGTGGCTGCTAGTACTAGCGCTAGTGCAGGCTAGGACGACAGCGTGTCGATCTTGTCTTATTTTGGCCCAAATTGGAACCGGTGAAAGTTTATGTAATATTATTGTTGAGTGGTGCTTTAATTTAATTTAGGAGAAAATGTGAAGTCAATAGGTCTGGGCTGGAAAGGGCAATTGTGCCGCTGCATAAATTTGTGGAAACTCACACTGCTGACTACTGCTGAGTTGGTGTGTGAATTACTTCCTCCGTCGTCCCAAACATCGTGTAACATTTGTGTTTGACACGGAAATTTAGGTGGGAAGTATTAAATATGATAATTTGAAATAATTTGGATATTAAGTGATGTGATTGGAGTGAGAAATAATTATTTGTTTTTTTATTTAAGTGATGTGATGAGATAAAGTAAAGTGTATATTAATATATGTATAAAAATATTATTAATATTTTTAAATTTGAAAATATTGGAGTGAGTTTGGGACAAAGAAAAAAAAAATATTGCAGAATGTTTGGGACGGAAGAATACGTTACAGTGTGTATATATATATATATTACAGAAAGTTCATGTTGACAGTATTGAATCAATGTGGTGTGCCAGTGGTATTAAAAGTTTAAGGCATGGTGGATTGACTTTTGACGACATCTCATCTCTTGGTAGAAATAGAATACATGGGTTGACTAACACCATATGTGTGCAAGCAAGCTGCTCTTTGACTGCTGTTCATAGGTTCAGCTTTTGATATTATTTAATTTTTAAAAAATATTATATCTATTTTATTTTATTTTTTCATAAATTTTTGTATTAAATATTAATTCTTTTGCTTTTTTTTTTTTTTAATTTTTTCAAAATTCCTAAACGGAGTTGCAAGCAACTAATGTAATATTTCATAGTATTTAATTTAAAATATTTTCTTTACTATCTGTAGAAACCTAAGGATTTGATACTATTATTTTATTTAAAAATTTAAATTATTAGAATACATATTATTTATTTAATTATTTATAAATCGGGAGTTAAACCAATATATTTGTTTGGGGATTGGATTTTAAATCTACTATTCATCATATTTTTTCTTCCTAAAAATATCAAATCAAAACACTTACTTTTTATTTTTTATATTATACTAAAAATCAATTTTACATAACATCGTATCAACACCTATTTATATCACATTATACAAATATTCAAATTTAAAATTTATCCAAACCTCTGAACAAACACACTCTTAATAAGTTTGGAAGCGGGCCTAATAGATACATTTTTTTAAAATTTAAATTTTATGCCAGAGTTAAAAGAAAAATTTTACAGTTAAGCAATACTTTAATATTTATTATTATTTTATTAGTTAATATATACATAAATATATTAAAATTTAAATATTAATTTTAATAAATTGGATGGAGTTAGACATAATACAAAATGTTTTGAATTTATTTTTAGAAATCTAAACACAATTTTATTTTTTTTTTTACCGAATTGAATTTTTGGAATGCGCTTCTTTTTCAAGCTCTATTTGGTACTTAAACCGATGCGTAGTCCGTAGATTTAGTTACAGCCGTTGGATTGTGGGATAATGGATGGTTTGGATTGATTTGAGCGTGATCACCTCACTCGTATCCCACAGCGACTTCTCTTCTCGCTCGCGTTGACAATGGAAATGTGTTGATGACGTGGCGGGAGAAAAAAAGGTCAACTGATTGGGGCACGCTGCTTGTACAGTTCTTCCTATTTTCACGTAATTTGTTCCTATTTTTTATTTTCATTTATCTCTCGTTATTTGTTTTTTCTATTTTTGAAAATATAATTATGTACTTTAATCGTATTTTAAATTTTATAATTTTTTTAATTTTAATTAAACTATTTACTTATTTTAATCTTAATTTATAATTATTTTTACTGAATAATAATTATTTTTACTAATACACTTTTTAATTACTTACTAATTATACTTTACATAAATTCTCGTATCTACAGTAATACACTCATATTATATGGAACGGAGGGAGTATGATTTGCGATTTCCCAAATCTTGTCACACCACCAAAATCCACATTAAAGTCAGTTTTAAAAACAAATATTATACTCGTTTGGAAAATCAACCTTGTCTTCTTTTTTGGACTTTTCTGTATATATTTTATGAAAAAATTATATATGTATTTTATATATAATTATGAGAATTGCATGATAAATAAATAAATAAAGAGAACAAATTCCAGTGAAGTCAATGTTATGTGAAAATAAAAGGATGACTTTGAATTTTCAGTACACAAAAGAATATATATATTGAATTTCAAGTTCGAATTAACCTTTATGCACTTTTTATGTGTTTTTGTCCTTTTCGTCGATTAATCCAACAAACGGAAACATAGGTCAATGCTTTGTGGGGTTGTACCATGGAGTACATGCCATCCAAGTCGGTGGAGAAAGCGCGTTTTTGGCGCAATATACTAATATTGAAGTAGTTGTTAAGTCAGGAATGCGACTTTAATGTGCCAGCGACGCTGCATCATGCACTTCTGTCGCCTTCCCATACTAAATTTATTCAACACCTTATGACGTGTCGCCTTTGCCTTTAGGCTTATTTATTTATTTATTTGTTCCATATCTTTATGCCAATTTTATTTTATGAATCATTTTTTGTATTAATAAAATGTATAGTGAAAATAAATAAATAAACACAGCTAAACATACACTCGAAGGGTGTGTTTGTTCGGGAGATTGGATTTTGTGTTGAAATTTAAAAAATAAAAATTTTGAATTTGAATAGTTGTATAATATGATATAAATAGACGTTGATGTGATATTTTGAATGTAAAATTGATTATTAGTATAATATAAAAAATAAAAAATATATATTAAATTTGATATTTTTAGAAAAAAAAAATGGAATGAAAAATCTCCAAACAAACTCACCCCGAAAGTTCTTTGCGAGGTCTTAAATTTGCGCGGCGCCGACAAATAAGGTGATCACACGTGGAACAAACATAGAGGCCTGTACGGCAGATCAGATCGTACGGCCCATCTGGCCAATGTGGTGTGGCAATATCTTCATCCACGCTGTCTTTTATTTTTAAAAAAATAATTATAAAATATTTTTATCACTTAATTCATGGAATGTATTTATTACACATGAGCATTGCTGGCAATTAAAATTTATTAGTGATATTTTGCAGTATTAAATATTTTAGTTGATTATCATTTGAGATAATGCTTGATGCGTGACACTACATCCCTTCTTTAAAAAAAACTCAATTTTAAATTTTAAATTATTATAAATATATATATATATGAATTGCACATTGTTTATAATATATTAAAAAAATCAATATCGTGCTAATTTGCTTTAACCACCTAAAAATATAGGGAAGTAACATGTTTTCATTTAACGAGACATATTTTGCTATTTGAAAATATATATTGTCCATTTATATGTACAAATATGTTGTATGAATATATTTACTGTGTTTAATACTTTATCTGTCATTTAAATTTATATATTTTTTTTTATAAATTGTCATTGAAAAATATTATCATTTTTTTTAAGTAAAAAATTATTACATTTTTTTACTTTTTTTTTACTATAAAAAAAGTAATTATTATTAATCACTTTTATTTAAAATCGTGCTCGATTAAATAAGCGCACATTTGCATGACAGATGGAGTAATAATGTACATTATATAAACATTATATTATATGACATTGTATTATATGCGATCAATTTATTTATAGTGATGTCAATCCCTTCTACAGAACTTCTGAGAATTTTAAGTATGTTTTGAATTTTTATTTAAATTGTGACTGTGTAATATATTTTCATTAAAATGTACTACTCTCCCCGTTTCACGTAATTTGTTCATATTTTCTATTTTCGTCCGTCTCACATAATTTTTTATTTTCTCTTTTGGAAATGTGATTATACACTTTAATCATATTTTGAATTTATATTTTATAATTTTTTTAAATTTTAATTAAACTATTTAGTTATCTTAATCTATAATTATTTTTACTAATATATTTCTTAATTACTTACTAATTATATTTTACTTAAATTCTCGTGTCTACAGTAATAAGCTCATATTACATGGGACGGATGGAGTACATAATAAGTAGTTTTTAAAAAATCGAAAGTAAACATAATTATATATTACCTTCGTCCAACTATAAGTGTCTCATTTATTTTTTACGTGTTAATATTTTAATATTAATTATTATATTAAAATGCAGTACAAATTAAGAAAAAATTTAAAAAATACATCTATTAGTGTTTTATAATACTAATAACAAGACATTTACACAAAAAATTACTATACAAATATAAATATGTTTTTAATATTAAGCGCAATGACTTAAAATGTAAATGAAACTTTTAAAACCGAACGAAAGAAATATATGTTTTAGCCAGTAAAATATTGATAAATATTTGAAAGTATTTTTTTTGGATCTAAAATAAATATTTGATTTAATATTTAAAAAAAATATTAGAGGACATCTTTTATGAAAAATAAAATAAAATTCAAAAAATTATTATTGTTGTTGTTGTTATTTGGGGGATAAATCCCCCAATAATATATCAGTGGTTGATTAATATTTTAAAAATGCCCCATTTAAAATTCCATCTTAGTTTATCTATTGAATAATGCAGTGTAGTTCTGATTTGGGGATAATTTATTCTTTTAAAATTGCAATATAGTAATTTATTAGGGGATCAAGAGATCTCCAATTTATTTCCTGTTAGGATATAGCTGGCAAACATTAATTAAATAAACATTATTATTTGCACTAATTATACAAATTATTCTTCCGATGATCCACGCAGAGGAGACATCTAGGGTATGTCTCTTTTGGTTGAGTTTAATATTAAAATAATGTTTGATGGAATGTTTTGTGAGATGAAAAAATATATTTTTTTTCGACAGAATTCAAATAATAAAATTTGGAAAAATTGGGGTAAAGAAACATATTGTAATGTGATACTTAGATTAAATTTTTTTTAAAAAAAAATTATATATAATAATGTGTGTGGGTGTAACACCTTGTACTTGTTGTATATATAGTGAAGTGTTATTTGTTACGTGAACATGTCCTTTTGTTTATTAGATTATTTATAACTTTGTCAACTTTGTGGACCCATTATAAGAACTTTCGTCCAAGTTTCGTATCCCCTAATAATAATAATAATAATAATATGATATTATTTATATAAGAAACAATAAATATATTTATATATATGTATATTAGAAGAAGTTTTTAAAAAAATCAAGATAAACAAGAAATTATGCAAGTATTTTTAATTTCTAATAAAAATATATATATATATATATGCAATTAAAGTGTTAATGTCATTAACATCTTGTCATGTATAAAAAGTTGAATAGAGTACTCTCTCCGTCCAAGTAGTTAAAAGTAGTGTAATGACATTTTTGTATTTAGTAGGGTATTTAATGAAATATTAACTTTCTAATATGACGTCCCAAAATAGAAATATTTAAATATTGTAAGTGGACGAAGGGAGTATAATTTATACAAATGTATAAATTACAATTATATTCCAAATCACTTTGACATTGGATCTATCTAATTTTATTTAAATAATTTTGTTTTTAAAATATATTTGTGATTATAATTGGTGATGATTCATTGCTACTATTTATTTATTATTTAAATAGATAAATTAAATATAATAAATACTCTATATCGTCATAATTCATATTACTTTTTACCATTTTTTTATTTTTTAATTGTATTTGCAATGAAAAAACAAATATTAAAATTATCTACATATTTTTACTATCTATAAAATATTATTATTTTTTAATCAACTAAAAAAATAAAGGAATATTTTCCCTTGTCAAAACTGATGAAGTATTTAATATAAAAAAAATACTTTCTCCTCATTTCAAAGTACTATTTTTACCATTTTTGTCAGTCAAATGTCAAATTTTTTTTTTTAGTAAAAGTAATTATACACTTGCAATAAAAGCCCAAAGGGTTCCTTTCAAAAGCGACTAATGAGTATTTATTTATTTTTTTTTATGATAAGTCGTAATAATTATGCAATAAAATAAAATTTAACACATTTTCATAGAATATGTAAATACAATTGTTATTGATATTAATCTTTACTAAACCAATACTAATTTATATATAAAAATCATCAAAAGTTTTGCACTTACAATTTAATCAACATCACAAATTCACTTTCACATTAATACTTACATTGTAATTACTACAGTTTGTAATATATTTTTTAATCATACATTTTATTATAATTTATACCTATTCAAGTTTTATTTAATAAATATGTATTTTTTTAATAAATTATTAAAACATGTACAATTAATTGTTCAATTATAAATAAAAATAGTCAATTGTAACTTGCACAAATTATAAATATACTGTAACTCAACTTGTTTCAAATTATTCGAATTTTCTAAAATATTATTAATGTCAATAGAATAATTATTCCAAATTGATGAGGCTCTTCCACTGTAATTGATTATAATTAAATATTTAATTTAAAAATTATCTAAAGTAATTATCCCAATATTATAATTGCAATTGAGGGAAGAAGAAGAATAAATGTATATACTATACGTATAGTATACGTATATACGTGTACATATACGTACACCTTGCATGGAGATATATATATATATAGTGTGTATGGATATAATATAATAACAATAAATGTACAGTGAAAATGGAAAAGTACCTCACTTTGTCCTTGAATATCCTCTTCCACGTGCTTATCTTTCTCCACCCACCCCACGCCACCCCACCCCAGGCCGCCTGTCCCACCCCCACCTCTCTGTACAGCTTAGCCACCTTGGTATCATATTCATATGTATATGTTCATGTATGTACATGTGTATATATATTCAGTTTTGGTCAGCCGTCGAGGGAAGAAGAAGAGAATAATAGGTTACAAAATTTTGAGACGGAAGAAAACAGAGAAGCGGGAATTGAGGAACGTTTTTGCTATCGGCTGAATTGTGCTCTAATTTCTGCTCATAAAGAAGTTAATGCTCAATCCTTAGCGATTGACTCTGTTTTTATTCCGGCATCCTCCCTTTCCGGCTGTAGTTCGTGCATTCTGGTAATTTGTTTACTTATTTTGGCGATTCTGTGATTATACGTTTGATTCTGACTCGTTGTTTTCGTGTGATTGTCTGTTCGCGAATTGTCATTTGATAGAATGTGAATTGTGAGGGGAATCGCGGTTAGGGTTTATGATTAGGGGTTTCGATTGCCTGGGCATTCTGTGTGTTCTACTGGTGTGCGTATTGCCTGTTGATGCGATTGTATCATTTGAAACTGTGTAAACTTTTCTATGGCATAATTCGCGTGCGGGGAATTGAATCGGAGGTCGTTTTGTATTTCCATTTTGCTGCATCTGTACTGCTTATTTTGCACCGTGGAAACTCAATCCATTGTTGCTGATATAAGTTCTTGTGCTGTGTCGAATTGAAATTTAGGTTCTGCCCAAATATTTGTTATATGGTTCCATCTTGATTTCCAGCCCTATTTTGAGTAATTGTTGCTACATTATTGGCATCCAAGGTCTCTAAAAGTTGTTTCCATCGATTTCAGAATTGCATGGGTGTAAATTTCTCGTCGCCCTTTGGGCTTGTGTGTGATCTAGAGAATGGTTTGGATTCTTTCAACCAAAAGGGAAGTGATCAATCTCGATCCCCCAGCGTCAAGGGCGGATCTGTTCCGTCCAGACCGAGCCAAACTCAAAGCCGAAGATTCATCCAAGTTCCATCTGAATATGAATGTAGGTCTGAGGAGTCATCGAGCCTATTGTCTTGCTCCGGCAGCTTGACAGGGAAAATTCCCAGCTCCCCTGTTTCCGATCCAACCAGCCCAAAACATGAAGCTGCTATTAAGTTGCAGAAGGTTTACAAGAGTTTCCGGACTAGAAGAAAGTTGGCTGATTGTGCAGTGCTCATTGAGCAGAGTTGGTGGAAGTTAATAGATTTTGCTGAACTAAAGCATAGTTCGATTTCTTTTTTTGATATTCAGAAACACGAGACTGCCATTTCACGGTGGTCACGAGCAAGAACAAGGGCTGCAAAGGTAATCACAAGCTAAACCATTACATAACAATATACATGTCTGTATATGCAAGGGAGTTTGGTAACTAAACATACTTATCTTTTGTGTTGCAGGTTGGAAAAGGCTTATCAAAGAATGGAAAAGCCCAGAAACTTGCATTGCAGCATTGGCTTGAAGCTGTAAGTATAAGTCTCTTTCACTTTTCAAACTTTGTTAATATTCGGGGACGGTTCTGATTACTCCAATGATGTTAAACAGATTGATCCACGACATCGCTACGGCCACAATCTACATTTCTATTATGTGAAGTGGCTGAATTCTCAAAGCAGAGAGCCTTTCTTCTACTGGTAAAATGCTTAAAGAATTTGCAATTTCTTGAGGATTGATAGCCTTATTTATTTGCGATGATGAGAAATGAATGTACTTTCGTGCAGGCTCGACATAGGGGAAGGGAAAGAAGTCAATCTTGTGGAGAAATGTGCTCGCTCGAAGCTTCAACAACAGTGCATCAAATATCTTGGGCCGGTTTGTGTCCCTATCACATATGGTTCTCTCAGAACATTTCCCAAAAGTTTTTCTTATCAATAATTTCTTCATTTTACGTCTGCAGATGGAGAGAAAGGCCTACGAAGTTGGATTGGAGGATGGAAAGCTCTTCTACAAGGAAACCGGGGAGCTTCTGGATACTGCTAGCGACCAGAAGGGTTCTAAATGGATATTCGTCCTCAGCACCTCTCGGACCTTATATGTCGGGAAGAAGAAGAGGGGTTTGTTTCAGCACTCGAGCTTCTTGTCTGGAGGAGCAACATTAGCTGCTGGGAGGATAGTCGCCGAAAAAGGTGTCTTGAAGGTATATATCGGATTTGTTATTCTTGCATTTCCTCTTCTTAATGTCGAAGCATCGACTTAGTTGCTAATTACCCGAGGCTCTATTGTTAACATCTATTCGGATTGCTGCAGGCAGTATGGCCTCACAGCGGTCACTATCGCCCCACACCCGAAAATTTTCAAGACTTCATTTCATTTCTTCGGGAGAACAACGTTGATCTCACCGATGTTAAGGTACATACATACATTAAACTAAACTAGTTAGATTATCTCAGCAGTTCTTAATTATCCAGCTGGTAAAAAGCTTTTGTGCTCAATCATTTTCTCTCTTTTCGACCAGCTTGATTCTATCGATGATGAAGACGACAAATCATTCGGAAAGCATATCAGAAACAACTCCTCTGAAGATGATCTGTTGGTTACAGACCACCTGGATCACGAAGAAACCGATACTATAAACTCCACATCCAAAAGGGTCGACTCGTGGGAAGAAGAAAACAACACCACTGTTGTAAAACATCCCAAGTTAAAAACAAGTAAACTGGCTGTTCTTCAGATACCCAGCAAAGACAAATTAGTCGAGAACATGAAGAACGAAGAAGTTGCTGTATCAAGCGCAGGAATTTTCCACCTCGATTCGCCCTTGGACAGCCCCAGCCCCATAACCGAACATTATCCATCATCAACCTCAAAGCTACAGGAAGACATGCATGAAGAACATGATGAATCTCAAGAAGAGACTATTACAGAGGACTCGATTTTGCAGAGAATCAACTCGCACAAAGAGACGACGTCGTACCAATTAGGGAAGCAATTGTCTTGCAAATGGAGCACCGGCGCCGGACCTAGAATCGGCTGCCTGAGAGATTATCCTACAGGCCTTCAGTCACATGCATTGGAGCAAGTACACTTATCTCCGAAGAGTAAACGCCGGATAAGACTCGACTTCCTTTCGCGGGCCTCGACGCCGGTCGGAAGTAATCTCTCCCGTAGCAACAGCCGATATCTCGCCCACAGCTCACATCTGTAAGGTCATTCATGCACTCCAGTTTGCCTTGTAGAGCTTGTAAATCATTCTTTGATTCTTACATTCTTTTTTGTGAATAGAAAGAATGTTAGGACAGCAAAATAGAGGATAGGATTTGGTTGATCCTTTTTTAGATCGTTTTTTGGTTCCTTTTCAATGTAACACTTTCTTGCTGTGAATTGTGATGCGATCATCTTGGAAACATTCATCTTTTGCAATATCTAATTATTTTGAGAGCCTAATCACTAGATAATTGTAAAATTTATGGATGGGCCCAAAATATTTAATTTTTATTGGACCGGGCCCAATTAATATCTTTATTATGTAAATGGTAATTAATTAATATTAAATTAAGTTAGTTGTAATATAATTTGAAGAATATCTCCCATAGCCTCATCATCAACTGTCGCTGTCTGTGCGCTCTTCCTTCTTCAAGTCAATCTCAATAAGTAACTGCACCGAAATCCCCCGTCAGTTCGCCTCCAGATCTGATCTGTGCTAGCATTTTGGTTCTTAATTTGCTTCGACTGAAGCGGAAGATCCGAGTTGTTATGGTCTATTCTGTCTCTGGCAAAAGCGGCATTTCCGATCACTGGTGAGTGACCTAAAATTTTCCTTTCCGCCGATTCGCTTCTGATTACGGAACATTAGATTTGTGAATTCGTGATTTGAAGAGCACATAGGTCTGTTATTTAGTTCAATTTCATATTTAGGGTTTTATGAATTCAGTCTGAGGTCGATTTGGGAATTTTGGGGTTTCTGCTTCGATGAAGGAACTGAACCCAACGGATCCGTTTGGGCAAAACGTGATAAAGCTCATTAGCAATGTGTGCTTCTCAGTATTTGTGTTCTCTGTGCTGATTTTCACCGTAATTGCCATCACATACCAACCCCCTGATCCATGGGAGTCTGCCAGAGCCCTGACTATGGTTTTCACCGACGTAGAAAACGCCACATTCCAGGTGGATACGTCGGTGGTGAAAACCGGGGAGGACATTGCTCTAGCTCCGGTGGCATCGCCAGGGGCATCAATCACACCGATCACCGAATCCACTGTGGAGAGATCAGAGGGGGAATTGTTGAAAGATGCGACCTCGAAACCAAGCTGCGGGGATTCATCAGTAATTAACTGTTCTGATCCTGGAGTTTTGATTGCAATCCAGAAGTTTAATCTGAGAGTGTTTAAGGCAATCACATACTTGGATTATCAGCCTCCGGTTACCGGATCTACGCCGGACGAGTGTGATGTGTCTTGGAGGTTTAGGAACAAGAAGGAGAAGTCATGGAGGCGGTACCGGGATTTCCGGAGGTTCAAGATGGGATTTACCGACGATTGTGTTTACAAGGTTGACCACGCAGGGCGGTGGCATTCGGGGCTAAATGCTCGACGTCCGAGGATTCGTCCGAGTGGTCCGAGAGGGAAGGTGGTTCCGGCGGTTAAAGATGACGAGATTAACGACACGATCCCGACTTTGGGGTCGGATTCGGCTTTTAGGAAGGGAAGATATTTGTACTACTCAAGGGGTGGGGACTATTGCAAAGGAATGAACCATTATCTTTGGAGCTTTCAATGTGCACTCGGCGAGGCTCGGTATTTGAACCGAACATTTGTGATGGATTTGAGCATCTGCTTGGCGTCGACGTACATGCAGAGCAATAAGAACGAGGAAGACAAGGATTTCAGGTTCTACTTCGATTACGAACATTTGAAAGAGACGGCTTCGATTGTCGATGAAGGTGAGTTCATGCGGGATTGGAAGAGATGGGACAAGACTCACAAGGCGAAGATTCCCGTCAGAAAGGTCGCAAGCTATAAAGTGACGCCGATGCAGCTGCGGCGAGACAAAAGCACGATTATTTGGCGGCAGTTTGACGCGCCTGAGCCGGATAATTATTGGTACAGAGTGTGCGAAGGCCCAGCGGGGAAGTACATCCAGCGGCCGTGGCACACGATCTGGAAATCGAAGCGGCTTATGAATATCGTCTCGGAGATCAGCGGAAGCATGGACTGGGATTTCGATGGAGTCCATGTCGTCCGCGGGGAGAAGGCTGAGAACAGGGAGAAGTGGCCGCACCTCGACGCAGACACCTCGCCAGATGCCATACTCGCAAAGCTGCAAGGGTTGGTGGCGCCGTGGAGGAATCTGTACATTGCTACCAACGAGCCTTTCTACAACTACTTTGATAAACTGCGGTCGCACTACAAGGTGCATTTGCTCGATGACTACCGGAACTTGTGGGGGAACGCAAGCGAGTGGTACAATGAGACGCGGCAGCTCAACCGTGGACGGCCTATTGAGTTTGATGGTTACATGAGGGCTGCCGTTGACACGGAAGTGTTCTACCGGGCGAAAAATCGAGTCGAAACATTCTATAACTTGACTATGGATTGCAAGGATGGGATCAATACTTGCTAAGGTATATGGGAAGTGTTGATAAATTGGTGTTTTGGCTGTCGTTTTTGTATGTGATTTGTATTGGAACTCAAAACTGCGATGTTATATATATATAGTTGTTTCCAATTTTGTTGTTCTTGTTTTGTTTTGGCATCTTCTCCTCTTCCATCTTCATCCTGTACCAAAAAGGAACGAATAAACTCCATACTGTCCAAAATTAGCTGATACGCCACGCGAAACCCTAACCAAAGCGAATGAGAAAACTGAAGACGATGAAGATGAAGATGAAGATGAAAGTTAGAATTATTGAGAACGAGAGCAAACGCAGTGGTTCCTCTTCACAACCGAATTCCGTTGAGAGGCCTGCTGTATCATAATCAATATCCTCCACGGCCAACAGTATCTTGACGCAAGCATCTAACAGTAAAGTCTGACAGAAGAAGCTGCATTCAATTTCCATCAGTCAATTCGCCGGCGACGGAATTGATGGTAGTGCAGGTGGATATGCAGGTAGGCTGCAAGGGTATTGCGGTAACTTCACATACCAAATTCAAGGTTCAAATATATATCGATACACGTGTGTTATGGGTGTGTTTGTATTGGCGCACACCTTTATTACGTGTATTTGGGAGGGATATATATATATAGTAATATAATAGAGTGAGAGGGAGAGAGTGCGACATCCCTGGAGCGCACAAGATATCAAAAACCCTAGAGCAGAATCTCATTCTCGGCGACCCGGAGCGCTATGGAGGCCGAGTCGACGCAGCTCCAGCAAGCTCAATTGGCGGCGATTCTGGGGCCGGACCCGGCGCCGTTCGAAACCCTCATATCCCATTTGATGTCCTCGGCGAACGAGCAGCGCTCCCAGGCCGAGTCAATCTTCAATTTGCTGAAGCAGAACGATCCCAACTCTCTAGCGCTGAAGCTCGTCCACCTACTGTCGTCATCGGTGCACGTAGAGGCGCGTTCCATGGCGGCCATCCTTCTCCGGAAGCAGTTTACTCGGGATGATTCGTTCATCTGGCCGCGGCTCACCGAATCCAGTCGCGCCACTGTGAAGAATATTCTGTTGTCTTCCATCCAGAGCGAGGAGAACAAATCCGTTATCAGGAAGCTCTGCGATACGGTTTCAGAACTCGCATCTTCGCTTCTTCCGGATAACCAGTGGCCGGAGATTTTGCCCTTCATGTTTCAGTGCGTTACATCCAATTCCCTTAATCTGCAGGAATCTGCCTTTCTAATTTTCTCCCAATTGGCGCAGTGCATTGGAGAAACGCTGATTCCGTATATTACAGATTTGCATACCGTGTTCTTGAATGTACTGAATAATCCGTCCAATCCGGATGTAAAGATTGCGGCGTTGAGCGCTGTTATTAATTTTATACAGTGCTTGTCGAATTCAAATGATAGAGACAGGTTCCAGGATTTGCTGCCAGCGATGATGAGGACTTTGACGGAGGCACTAAACTCAGGGCAGGAGGTGACTGCTCAGGAGGCCCTGGAGCTGCTGATAGAGTTGGCTGGGACGGAGCCCAGGTTTCTTCGAAGGCAGATTGTGGATGTCGTGGGTTCTATGCTTCAGATAGCTGAGGCCGAGAGTTTGGAGGAAGGGACACGGCATTTGGCTATTGAGTTTGTCATTACACTAGCTGAAGCACGGGAGAGAGCTCCTGGAATGATGCGCAAGCTACCCCAATTCATTAGCAGGCTCTTTGCTATATTAATGAAGATGCTTTTGGATGTGGACGATGATCCTGCATGGCACAGTGCAGAGTCCAAGGATGAAGATGCAGGGGAGACAAGTAATTATAGTGTTGGGCAGGAGTGCTTGGATAGGCTGGCTATCTCTCTCGGAGGAAACACCATTGTGCCTGTAGCATCTGAGCAGTTACCGGCTTACCTGTCTGCTCCTGAGTGGCAGAAGCATCATGCAGCCCTCATTGCCCTTGCGCAAATCGCGGAGGGTTGTTCGAAGGTATAAAATTTAATGGTTTTTTGTCTCTACTGAAGGATGCGAGATTTTGAGGCCGAGTATCACAATTTATTGCATTTGTCTTTATTGCTTTTGTCGGATTCTCCTTTCGGGTGCAGTTGGATCACTCTATTTGTCGAACTGGAAGAATGTTTTAATACAACTACCGATTGAACAGTTCTGTCAAAACTTAATTTCTTTTATTCTAGGTATTGTTAGGCACCTGAATGCTACACTATCTCTGTTTATAATTGAAACATAATAAATAAAAATTACAGAATTAACATGTATATCAAGTTTTTATCATTTTCATATCCTTTCAAGTTAATTATCATTCTAATATCATTGTAGTAACATGATATTTGTACATATGGCTGCTTGGTGGTTTTATGATGCATGGTGGCTCAATGACATTTATTAGTTAACCACATTGTGTGACTGCTTAGTTTTAAAGCACGTCACAGAGGTCCTGTGCTCAATTATGATATCAGTACATTCATTCTGATTTAGCCAACACATAAGTTTGGTGGTCTATTGCCCTTTGGTTGCTTAATATATCTCCCTCACATATTTATCATGTATGATTACAGGTGATGATTAAGAATCTGGAGCAAGTGGTGAACATGGTTTTGAGTTCCTTTCAACACCCTCATCCTCGCGTAAGATGGGCAGCTATTAATGCAATTGGTCAGCTGTCAACTGACTTGGGCCCTGATTTACAAGTCCAATACCATCAGCATGTCCTCCCAGCACTGGCTGCAGCTATGGATGATTTCCAAAATCCTCGAGTTCAGGTATGAATTGTTCATTTGAGCTATCATATTTTCCTTACTACCCTGTCCTCACACCCCTAGTTGTGAATGAGGATGAATTTTATTCAGATCTAATGGAGAAATGCTAAAATTTATATTTAAGAAATCTGTGATAGAATGTTTGGGTGTGTTTGTTTGTGGGTTTGGGTTTTGGGTTTGGATTTTTGAATAGTAAAAAGTTGAATTTGAATAGTTGTTCGATGTGATATAAATAGACGATGATGTGATATTTTGAATGTAAAATAAATTCGTAGTATAATATAATAAAATAAAAGTAATTATTTGATTTGATGTTTTCTGAGGGAAAAAAGAATTTGTATAGTAAAAACTTTGTGTAAAATCCACAAAAGAACACAACCTTCAGTTTTTGGGTACTATGTCCTCATGCAACCAATGATTTGTCACAAAATGTCTAGTAAATCATTTCATCCGTGCAAATTACTGTTACAAACCAATTCTGATCTTCAAGGTCAATAGGCTTGTTTTGGGTCTAACAAGATTGATAATTATAAATCTATTTCATCGTATATCTTTAGCAATCTTATTTTCTTGGCTTGTGAGTACTGTAGTTGCTGAAAGCATCAATTATTTATTTATTTATTTATTTTTTCTGGTTATATTCTCATTTGATCAAATCGAACTTCTGATGGTCAATATCTTTCTGCATTTTATAGATCCAATATTTCTTATTTTCTCTGTTCCTGCAGGCGCATGCAGCTTCGGCTGTGCTCAACTTCAGCGAGAACTGCACCCCTGAAATTTTGACACCTTACTTGGATGGGATAGTGCACAGGCTGCTTGTGTTGTTGCAGGTGCTAATGGCTCAGAACAGGATGTGTTTCTAATAATCATTCATGGATACTTTTTACCATGTTAGTTTGGAAGCAACATTTTAACTTATGGTGTATGAATTGCAGAACCCCAAACAGATGGTACAAGAGGGTGCTTTAACTGCTTTAGCTTCTGTTGCTGATTCGTCTCAGGTTTGCCATTGTTCAAAATTTCTTTAAGATTATAGTGTTGTTGCTTTGCCCAAGTACTGATTTGTAAATATTGTTATGGCAGGAGCACTTCCAGAAATACTATGATGCAGTTATGCCCTACTTGAAATCTATCTTAGTCAATGCATCTGACAAAGCTAATCGCATGCTTCGTGCAAAAGCGATGGAGTGCATTAGCTTGGTTGGAATGGCTGTTGGAAAGGATAAATTTAAGGAGGATGCTAAGCAGGTAAAAGATCTAAATTTTGGATCTCACTTTATTGAATGCATTGAATTATGCCCGTATTTTCTGTTTGAATGATAGGACACTTTTACATGCACCCTTACAATAATTTAATTATGTTGATAGGGGCTAAATGCTTAATGCACCCCATGATCTTATTGTAACTTGCAACTGCTACTCTGATTATCATTCTTTGATGTTTACTCATATTTGTTTTTACTTTTTATTTGCTTCAAGGTCATGGAAGTGCTTATGTCATTGCAAGGATCACAAATGGAAACAGATGACCCCACTACCAGTTACATGCTACAGGTATACCCTGGTCTCGGAAGCTAAAGAGTTTGATATTTTATGTTTTTGCATAGCCAAGTACTAACATACATTTTGTTCTATATTAGGCTTGGGCTAGACTTTGCAAATGCTTGGGACAAGATTTCCTCCCTTACATGAGTGTGGTTATGCCTCCTTTGCTTCAGTCTGCCCAACTAAAGCCTGATGTGATTATTACGTCTGCTGATTCAGACAATGAAATTGATGATTCAGATGATGAAAGGTTATATATCTATGTTCTTTCTTTTTTGTTGAGAAAAGTCTTTTCCTTCCGTAATTTGAAAGGCATTTGACCTAAAGGATTTAAATTAAAATAAATAATTACAGAATCTTCATTCTCCGTTCTATTATATGATGGATCTGAATCAACCTATTCTTGGTATTCTTAAAAGCATGTGGCAGGGATTAAATATATATTCTAATTTTATTTTGAATTGCCTTGATTGTGATTATTTGTGTTCATTTGTATTTGTTTATGCTTGCCTGCACTTAATTGTTATTTCAGTGGGAGCTGGGTTAGTATAATGATGAAGGATGATATGGAATTGTTTTTGTTCCTAGACAGTAAAAGTCTATGCCTTTCTTCCATTACGTTCTATTTGGAGTTCATACCAAGCATTGCTTGTTACTTATTTATATTGACTGACAAGAAGTTGGTTTTTCATATTCTGATTAGGGTTTACTTCTGTTTGGTAAGTATAAATTTAAGAAAGCCTTTTATTTTAGCTAATGGTATTGAATTGGATCCTTGGGTATAATTTGGTGAAAGTTCTTTTGATTGCATAAACCACTTCTAAGTAGCACATTCTGGTGACTGATATATATATGTATATATATTGCTACATCTTATGGAATTAAAACCTATTTTTATCATCCTTTATTATTTTTTTCTCTGAGCATACAGGCTTTCCTATTATCATGTTTTATATATTTTATTTGCAAGTGTGTGCTAATATCCTGCTTATGTTCATTTTGTTAACTGTATTCTAATATTTTTATCCAACTTCTGTACATTCCAGCATGGAGACGATCACACTTGGTGATAAAAGAATAGGGATTAAGACTAGTGTCCTTGAAGAAAAGGCCACTGCATGCAATATGTTATGTTGCTATGCTGATGAATTGAAGGAAGGTTTTTACCCATGGATTGATCAGGTTGGTTAACATACAATGCTCCTTTTCTGTTCCTGTAATATAGATAACAAATCAGGACTTGTTGGATTTTGTGTAGGTTGCCCCAGCATTGGTTCCCCTTTTGAAGTTTTATTTCCATGAAGAAGTCAGAAAAGCAGCTGTGTCAGGTAGCAGGGTTATATTTTTTATTTTTCCTTGCATGCAATTTTATATGGGCACCTAAATCAAATTAGTTGGATATGTTTCATTTCATTCTGCAAAGAGTATAGGGAATCGTGTCTTTAATATAAAAAATAATATTTTGTGTTAAATTGTCAATTTTTTGCGAGTTTATAGAGTATGTATATTAGATATATTGTCATATTGTGTATGTATGTGCATATTATAATTTCTTTTAGTAATATTCATTGGGAATCTTGCCCCAAAACAAATGTTGGGTGATAATATTTGACAAATGTTCATTGTTTTTTCTAGCAATGCCGGAGTTGTTGCGATCTGCTAAATTGGCTGTGGAGAAGGGAATTGCTCAAGGCCGTAATGAGGCATATGTTAAGCAGTTGTCTGACTATATACTTCCTGCTTTAGTTGAGGCTTTACACAAGGTGGTGATCTACACTTAATTAAAAAATTCTATATCTAGATGAGCTATGTTTTTTGTGATGTTTAATGTGTGTGTTATGACATGTTTACTTTATGCTGTCTTGCAGGAGCCTGATATAGAGATATGTGCAAATATGTTGGATGCACTTAATGAATGTCTGCAGGTGCATCATTTTTCCTTGTATAATAAAATATACTGTCAACTGCAAATTACAACCTGTCAATATTGCATGCGCACGCACACACATGTATATATATTTAACTTTATTTGAAAATCTAGTAATTATTTTTTTTTCCATGGGTGATGGTACCAGAGATAAGCCGGACTGTTGGCTTTACAGAATTTTCATTTGTGGGGGGTTTGGTCATCGGGAGAACAGGATTTATATCTATGAGCTTTGCTGTTTGCTTGTTTACTACTCTATTATATATATATTTATCCAGAAACTGTGGGTGGTCTCACAATATAGTTGGTTACTTACATTGATCTATTGGAAACTAACATTGGATTGGATACATGGAAGTAAGAAAGATCTGAATAATTTTACTGTTAGTTGATTTTATTTTATTTTTTTTTAAAAAAAATGTATTAAAATAGATGTTTAAAGCCCTTGCAACTGTATCCACTAGAAAATGATGGTTTAGTTTTTTACTTTTATCCATTTTTATATGAGATTCAATTGTTATTGACTTGGTTTTGTTTTCATTTTGTTTCTGCTCACAATGATTGATAATTCACTGCATAAATCTCTTCCAGATTTCTGGACCACTTCTAGATGAGAAGCAGATTAAGAGCGTAGTGGATGAGATAAAACAGGTGATTACAGCTAGCTCAAGCAGAAAGAGAGAGAGAACTGAGAGAACAAAGGCTGAAGATTTTGATGCGGAGGAGGGTGAATTGCTTAAAGAGGAAAATGAGCAAGAAGAAGAAGTATTTGACCAGGTTAGTTTTTTGTTGCTTGCTGATATTCAATTATCTAATTCAAATATATTGTGTTGAATTCTTAAACTGACTTTGGTTTCCCTGGTTCAGGTTGGTGAAATCTTGGGGACCTTGATCAAAACATTCAAGGCTTCTTTCTTGCCTTTCTTTGATGAACTGTCATCGTACTTGATGCCGATGTGGGTAAGTACTATTTTTTACTCTGTAAAAAAAGCTTTATATAGTTATATTCTACCTCCCAGGGCCCTCCCCCCTGGTCAGTCAACTCAATTTTTTTTCTTGTTTTCATTTAATTCTAGCAAGAGCTTCATTTACAACGTTGCATGTTTATACCTGCAGGGAAAGGATAAGACAGCTGAAGAGAGAAGGATTGCCATTTGCATCTTTGATGATGTCGCTGAACAATGCCGTGAAGCAGCGTTAAAGTACGTGCACACCATCTTCCTTTTTTTGGAATTTGATTCCAATTGTGGTTTTTCTGATGCTGAGATTTTTTATGGAAACCAGGTATTATGATTCCTATCTTCCATTCCTCTTGGAAGCATGTAATGATGAAAGCTCAGATGTTCGACAGGTTTGCATACATTTTTAACATAATATACATTCATGATATTGAGCATTTCTTAATTTTCCGATTCCTTTTTTTCTCAGGCTGCGGTGTATGGACTCGGTGTATGTGCAGAATTTGGTGGTTCTGTTTTTAAACCACTTGTCGGGGGTAAGATGTGCTTGCTCTTTGATTCATTGTAGGCATTTTCATTTAATAGTTTTGATTAATTTTGTTTATTTGCTTTTTTTGTTCAGAGGCTCTTTCGAGGCTGAATGTTGTTATAGGGGATCCTAATGCATTGCAGCCTGACTGTGTGATGGCATATGATAATGCTGTTTCAGCTCTGGGAAAGATTTGCCTATTTCATCGTGACAATATTGATTCAGCTCAGGTATTTTTCTGACAGTTACTTTAGCATAGAAATTGCTAAATTAGTATTCTTTGTTGCTATGCTTAAATTACAACTGAATTTGATTAGAAGCCTTGTTATTAATTATTTTGTAGGTGGTTCCTGCCTGGTTGGGTTGCTTGCCAATTAAGGGTGATCTTATTGAAGCAAAAGTTGTTCATGATCAGCTTTGCTCAATGGTTGAACGGTGGGGCTTTACACTACAGCAAGCATTTGTTAATTTCATACATACATTTCTGCTTGGTGTTGACTTGTGTTTACTTGCTCAGGTCTGATAGGGAACTTTTGGGTCCTAACAACCAGTATCTTCCTAAAATTGTCTCTGTATTTGCTGAGGTCAGTTCCCTGTGCCATTTGTCAACCCAGAGATCTCACCAGTACATGATTCCAGTATTATAACCTATATATAATTATTATAAACTTCTAACAGCTTATTGGATTAAGTTGCTTATGTTTGAACAATTTTAACATGTGAAGCTTATCATGAAAACCCAACATTTGGAAAAAGATAACGGCGACTAAAATACACATGTTCATTGCTCATATATATTTTATGTATGTGGATCACATGCATGTACTTTTAGTATTGAAAAATACTTTTTGTTGCAGGTTCTATGTGCTGGTAAAGATCTTGCAACTGAACAAACAGCTAGTCGAATGATTAATTTATTGAGGCAGCTCCAACAGACACTTCCTCCAGCTACCCTTGCCTCTACATGGTCATCCTTGCAGCCCCAGCAGCAACTTGCATTGCAGTCAATTTTATCATCATAGTGTTCATGGCTCGAAAAGTAGATATTCCTACCGCTGGAGTTATTTCTTGTGTCCTGGTTTGTCCTCATCGTATTTGTTGCTCAATTTTTCACCAGAGTGATATTACAACATTCATTTGCATCCAGTTTATGCAATGATCAAAATGGAGGTTGCTTTGCCAAGTGTGTGGATCCATTGCTTGAGTAAACATGAACAAAAACTCTATGTATCATGTGTATAAATCAGTTCTGGTCTTTGTCTTTTTTTTTTTTATTATTATTTTTCTGGTGAATGGAAATGAGCTCAACAGGAGGGTAGAATGGGGGTCGATGCTATGTGGTCTTTGTCGCTTCGGATCTTTATGATTCATGAGAATTTTGTTTGTCAAATTGAGGTGCTTTGGATGGTACCTGTCTCAGTTTTGATCTGATCATTATTAGGTTTATATAGCATGGATTTTTGTAGTGCAAGGATCGAATACAAGTGATTATTCATGTCAGTTTTGGTATGTTAATGTTTAATTAAATTTTGGTTTTGCAAAATTGCCTGCAAATGCTTATATGTATACAGTTTGTTGCTGTTCTTCCTGGTAATCTCCCTTGATATGTGTATGATCCTTTCTTAGACAAAATAGAGCTGCAATTTTCATTTTTAAAACATCTATTAAAGCTGCTGCTAAAGGGCCCAATTGAATTTAGACAAACTGTGAATCTATGATCTGATGTGCATGTTGATATATATATTGCCTTTGTTTGTTGCCTACTGTTAGGAAACCAATATCAGAAAGAGGTTTCCATTTCTGCACCACAAAGTGCTTCTGTCTTCTTCAGAATACCTTTGCCAGCAAGTATTTGATGAAATAAACAGTCGATCAATCGCTGTCATTCTTTTGCTGATTTTACTATAGGTGATGATCATTGGTGGCAAATCAATTCCAAGATTTTTGTACCAAGAACCCCTTTTCAGATCACCCACCACTGACACAGGGGGGGAAATTAAAAAGTAGAAAAAGCCCAAAGAAAAACCTACCTGTGCTTTCACATTCTTTTTCTATTATCTATGTGGCACAACAGTGCAACATACTTGTATAATAAAATATGCATGATGTGGGTAAAATGGAAACAAAAAAAGTGGTTGAGTCTGATAGTTAAATGGGGTCTATTGCACATGTAAAGTTGAACAGCTGCCATTGCTTTGGGCATTTGATTTTAATAAGGTAACAAGTCCCACCCTTGCATGTAAAACTTTCTTTATCCCACTTTCTTTTAGATTCATCCCCAAGTAATGACTATAGAATAAATGGATTGAGTTGCATATACAGATCATCAGCAGATCAATCTTTTGATATCCTTATTTGGGATAAAGATCATCAGCAGCCATAGTTTCCAGTTACCAAAGGAAGATTGGGCCATAGCAATCAGCAGCAACCAATTAATTCACTACCACTGTCAGTGTATCATCATTGCAAGGAATAATCACTCTCCCCACCCCCCACCCCACACTAGTCCTAATTTGGACTAACATTGGACATGGGGATCATATTGCAGCACATGTTCCTTCTCTCAATATTTCTTGTCTAATCTCCAGCCCAGAATGCTTATGCAATGCAGACATTTCAGGCTGACAGCATTGGGATTTGAGATTGGATTACAGCCGCAAATCCCATGTTTAGGCAGCAATTCTAATTAGATTCTTGTTATGATGAACTAACCTCCATTTCTGTGGTCTCTGTTTTAACCATTGGAATAATTTTTTTAGGTTTTTAACTCTTCTCCCTGCTAAGTTGTGGGGTAAATGAACTGCCAATTGGCTTTTTGAGGACGAAAAAAAAGATCGAAGTTGGAAAAAACATTTAAAAAGAGTAATAGGAAAAAAGTGGAATTACACGGAAGAAAGCACCAAGAAGGGCATGTAATGGGTGTGCCGCCACGTAAGCTCCTCACCTTTCCCTTTCTTCAATAAAAAGAGGAAATATTTGAATCAAATTCCATTAACACAACCCCAGCCTTGCCAGTTGCCTTGCCACCACCACCGCTCTTCGGTTATCGCGGCAGCTTCGACTCACTCTGGAGTTCAGGATTTCCTCTTCTCTTCTGGTACTGCTATTGCTCACCCTTCTTTTTCCAACCCCTTTTCTGCTTCTGTTTTCTTCGTTCACCGCATATTAATTGAGCAAGTGGGAAAGCGGGGGATGGGGTGGGGTGGACAGGGCAAGGCTGCCCTGGGGCCGATGCCCAATTCATTTATTGTTCGACTTTTCTTCGATTCAAACGTCGTGTTTGTGCTCAATTATTAGCCTAGTTGGTAGCATCTTTAAATAGGGTTTTTTTTTTTTTTTTTTTTGGGATTTTGGTTTGTTTATCAGTGGTATATGCTGTGAGTTTTTTTTTTTTGGTACTCATTAATTTTACTGTATCGTTTCTTCTTCGCTGAAAATTTGAAGTTTTTTATGATTCTCTTCCGCTGATATCTCAGAGGCGATGAACCCTATTTCTTCGTTTACGTTTATAGGAAGAGAATGGAATTCTTCCTTGGATTATGTTGCTTTGGTAGATTTAGCTGCAGATGTTGAGCTGTTAGCATTGTTTCTAAGGAAATCTCCATTGTTACAAATTTGCAATTTCTGAAGGGATTTGGGGTAGAACTATTTTTAAATGGACGAGAACTGGTGGTAGGAAAGATTGATTTTTTTTTTTCTATTCATAGGATAGTGGGATAATACAAATGAGGATATGGAGGAAAGTAGTTGCGTGTGGTGTGACAGATATTGCGTACTTATAATGATTGTGTTTTATGCCGGTTGCTTTGCTACTCCTTTTGTGTATATAAACTTATTCCTTTTCGTTTTCTTTCATCTGTTTCATGCTGTCCACTTTTCACCAAATGTCATCTATCATGGGCTCAATACACACAATTTGGAACAACAGACCATAGGTCTTCTTTGGTGAGGAAACAGCGGTGCAGACACGTTAATCTGATTGTGCTGAGAATTCTAGTAGCAAACATGTCAGGTGGCGAGGGCAGACAACTTTCAGATAATGATATACAAGTGGTAAGAGTTTTTGAGTCAGAAACTTTTTGCATTGCTGAACTTACCACTCATTCAGAAAATTTGGGACAGAAAACAGGGACATATTAAGATTTTTGTGTGTGAAACATTACTTATAACGGATGTTTGTGTCTGAAAGTCCATGCACCGCTATCTATGGCCTGCAGGTTTTATCTGGTGATAATCTTTTAGAATAATCTCCTAGCGCAAATATGAGGAGATCTCTTGTTTTCATGGATACTAAAAATATATTGCCCTATACCTTGTGTTCTTCCTGGCTGATCTTATTTGCCACTCAAATGCAAAAGAATTTTTTTTGTTATAGCAAAACTGATCATCTATATGAATTTTATTGTATTCAGTCGCTTCTTTACGCTAATCAAACCATCCAGGTAAATTGATGAATTACCTGTTGGAATGTGGGATGTCACTTATGGGGTGAAATACTGTTGCTTGTTTCTTTTTGGTGAGGAAAGAGCACATGATCACTGTTCTTCATGATGTTTTAGTGTGAAGAGCACAAATTTTCAAATAAGGGTATGATCTTCATGATATTATAACTTGACTCTCTTTTCTTTCTCTCTCTTTAAAAATAAAAATCTTTGTTGGAGAAATAGGTACCTAATGAAGTATATTGGCTTAACAAATTTAGTAGTAGTTTTGTAAAATGTATATTCGATTCCTGAAACAAAATTATATGATTGCATGTGTTAAGGACATTGAACTCTTAGCCCCCCACTATCCATAGGCATGCAATTTTGAACGGTTAATATTATTATATGCATCTCATTCTGCTGAAAATGCCAAGAACTATCTGTAAGGTGATCATCCATTCAGCTTGAATAGTTTCTGTGATAGGTATCTTGGAAATGATAGCCTAATTCCTCCCATAATATTTGAATGGTTGTTTGTTTGAAGTTGAAGGATCTTAAGTATCTATTATGAGAGCCATGAGTTTGTGATGTTTGATTTATTTGGGAATTGGAATGCCAACAGATCTAACCAAGTGTAGGGAGATTGTCTTTACTGATTTCTAACACCTTATTTGAACTATAACATTGGGTATCTATTCTTTGTGGTGTTAAATTGCAACAAACTAAAGTCAATAAGAAGGATGCCCTCTCTTGTCCCCTTATTCAGGGTATGACGTATGAAATTATTGTAGGCTAGAACTTATATTTTGATGGCCACGGCATCTTTCTGCACTGGTTAGTACTAATATTTCTGGAAGATTCTCAACTCCATCATACATCATGATAGAGAAATTGCATCTGTTATTTCACTGTAGAATTCGTCAATGTAGATTGAAAGGGCAGTTTCATGTTAATTATGAAAAATCATTTGACAGGAAAATTTAAATATCCAATATCATAATAAGAGATGCAATTGCATCTGTTATTTCACTGTAGAATTCGTCAATGTAGATTGAAACGGCAGTTTCATGTTAATTATGAAAAATCATTTGACAGGAAAATTTAAATATCCAATATCATAATCAGAGATGCTTGCAGATTTTCTTATTATTGTGTTAGATATATCCTATTTCAGGTGCAAAATCGTATAGAACAATGTCTCCGACTTTACATGTGCAAAAAGGATGTAATAAATACCCTCATTATCCAGGACAACATCGATCCCCAATTTACTGAGCTCGGTATGTTTATCTGCTTTTTAATCATTGATACATAGTGATAATTCCTGTAGTGCCACCATAAGTTTATTGAATCTATAATTTTTTATTTATTTATTTATTTTGGTTATCATGTGTTGTCTGTTATTATTGAATCTATTTGTTATTATGTAATTCTCTATCCATCTGTATTTTAGGAGAAAAAATTTCTTTCAATTTGTTCATGTATATCTGTATTCTTTGATCGTTGTAAGTGTACAAATCTGCCCGTACCTCTCTTTGTTTGTCCACAATCTACATCTTCCCCTTTTGTTTTATATGATGAAGCGATTGCATGAGCATTTATATTTCTATATTAATTTTCATTTGAGTTCAAGAATTCTTGAATAGAAGTGTATAGACAGGCAAATGATATGTGTTCTGTGACCATGCAAATACTGGGAGATGATATTTCGCTCTCTCTGCTGTATCATATATTTGAAATGGAAATAAGCAGAAGAAAAATTGTTGTGAACTGTGAAGTTAGATTATTGTTTTCCCAATCACATGTTTATTTTGTGGGTAGATGAAGATATGTTGTTTTATTATGATATAACTCACGATCATTCTTAGGGAAGTAGAAGAATGGCACCCCACGTACTTAGTGTGGTTCTTTCATCAGACACCATTAGTTTTTTGCATTGTTATTTGGCTTAAGTCATTTAGTCTGTGGTTCTTTCAGGCACATACTTCTTGTGGACAATTGGATTTTCACCGGAACCCATTAGTTTTTTGCATTGTTGCTTAAACCCAATTCTTAAGTATCTCCGGATATTAGCGATCTTAACCTCAAAGTCCAAAGCTTGAGCCTTTCTGCAACTGCTGTTACAGAATTCGTATGGTTTTCACCCTACTTTAGGTTTGACACATTTGAGTTTTTGAATCTGTACCAAAGAAATAAAATGAATTGTGTAAGACTGTAAGTTGGTTGACAAGTAAAATTCTCGGGTGTGTTTGTTTGGGGGTTTGGATTTTGAGTTAGGATTTGAATAATAAAAATTTTGAATTTGAATAGTTGTATGATGTGATATAAATAGGTGTTGATGTAATGTTTTGAATGTAAAAGTTACTTTTAGTATAATATAAAAAATGAAAAATAGGTGTTTGATTTGATGTTTTTTGGGGAAAAAATGAGATGAATAGTGCATTTAAAATCCAATCCCCCAAACAAACACACCCTTGATGTTCCTAGAATAATTAAAGTTCCAGTAGAAAGTGCAATCTAAAGCTATTTGATAAAAAATCTATTACTCAATATGTTTGATTGAAAGAATAGCACTTAAAAGCACCCTACTAAAAACCCATTTATTCATACTCTAGAAAGTAGATAAAATCTGTCTGGCAGTAAATTTTAAGATTTTAGTTCCTTGCAAACTGCTTTGGCTTTACCTTGTACGTAAGTGCTTGCTCATAGTCCTTTAATAGTGAGAAAATACAAAGAGTTTGCGGCTTTATCCGTTGTGTGATTTTATAGCAATCCAACTCAAGCATTTTCAGCCCACCTTGATTCATTCAATGCTTGCATTCCTAGACCCTGCCTAAACTACCTCCTTTCAACCCTTAACAGAAATAGCAAGTCCATGAACGTCATATGATATAGATATTCAAGCATGCATAACATCTGAGCTTTTCTGTTTTCAAGGCGGATTGCAATATTGCTACCATGTTCATACAATCCTCTGTTTTACTATGTGTTGGTGTTTTAGCCCTTCATACATGTAATGATAATCTTGACTTCATGTAAGATTGTGGATATCTCCTGTAAGAATGATATGCTGTTATTTTTCCAGTTTGGCAGAGGCTTGAAGAAGAAAATCAAGAATTTTTCAAGGCTTATTATCTCAAATTGTTGGTCAAAGACCAAATAATGGAATTCAACAGGCTGCTTTCAGAACAGGTGGAGCTGATGCGTCGTATTGGATTTAGCGGGATTTCTCCTATGCTCACATCGAACGGGATGCATGTTTCGCCAAGTGAGCTGCTTTTTTTGTACATACTTGAGTGTTACAACTACCATCTTCTTCTTTCTCACAATACATATAGTTATCCTTGATATCTTTTCTAAGCTGTATGTGTCTTCTGTTAAAATTTTAATATGTCAAATGCTTTATCTTTGTAGATACTTGTTAACTCTTGTTCAATTTTATGGGGTCACCCATCATCACTGAGTTGATAAAGTTTCTGAAATCTCTTGGGATGTATATAACTATTTTGTTAACTTGAGAGCTGATCTGATATCTAAGAATGATCTTATCTTTGTTCCAGAACTCTATCAGATTGTTGGCATGGCTATAGGTTTTGTTTATATCGATAATGTTTTAAAGGTTAATGGTAATTATTCTGATTAGTTTGTTTATCAGTTTGCATGAAATGCAAAGATAGTAAATACACAGTAGAGGCAGTACACAAAACTGGTTGCAGGAAACCTCCCTGTTAGTTGTTTGGTCAGTACAGAGGATAAGGTCAATAAATATGCTTCTACAATTGACATTTAAAGAGCCAAAAAATACCCAAAGTTGATTGAAAATCTTCCATTCTTGGAAGTTCCAGGCAATTAGGATGGTGAAACTCAAAATTGAATTGATTCCTAATGTTATCTAGAATGGTATATTGTTCCCTTGTGCTTTCTGATTTTAAACCATGTATGATTCTATGATTCAAGTTTTCAATTGATTCATATATGATGAAATTTCCTCAACTGTTCAAGATGTTTTGCTTCAATATAAATAACTGCTATTTATGAAATAAAGAGTTATTGATTTGTTAAGTTGGATTGTCGCCACCTGAGTTTCCTATAAAGCAAACTGTGGTGGTCTGAGAGCTATCTTACACAGTTGGTTGTTTATATAGAGCTTCATGAGTCGGTTGATGGTCAACCTTTCTTCTGACAGCCACCTGCAGTTATTTTGGGTAATTTACCATAATGACATGTGTTTTTTCTGAAGAAACTTACAGAGTGTCTCAATTATACAGCACAGCACATATCCATATCTGCTCCACAGAACATCAGACCTCTGAAGACAGAAAACATCCAGCAGGAGAGTGTATTTAACAATTGTGGATCGGTTATCCAGCCATGTGTGCCGGTAACTGTTGATGGATCTGTTCATAACAGAAAACTTGATGTTCCTCCAAACTTGTTCATGCCGCAAAACACAAGTGTGGAATTAGCTCGAACTACAAATGAGAAAGTTGTCAAGACAGAAGCTGGTTATACTGGCTGTACGCCTTTCGATTTCAGTCCACCTGGAAATTATTTGGATTCCCGCCCCCTGATGTGTGATGCCTCTGTGTCATCTTTCAGTAGTGTAGATTCTAATGCACAGCATCTGAATGGCACACTCCTGGATGCTGACACTTCCTCCTTTGGGTTTTTGGAGCAAATTCCTCCAAGTTTCAATCTCCCTGAGATGCCAACTGATTTCGCCACTAGTTCTGGTCTGATATCTATCTATATTACTATTCTCTGCAGGCCACGCCCCCACCCCACACGGATAGCAATCTAATATTTGAGTATTTACGACCCTTTTCTGCTATTTCAGATTTGCTGGAGAGTTATTGTAGGGCTCCCTTCCTAACACCAGATGCTGCCACATTTGCAGATCCCCGTGGTGAGTGAGACATTGCTAATCTCCAAGCATTCCATTTTGTATAAAATATTACTGATTTCCATATCCTGACCTGCAGGTGATGTTGAAAGGCTGGACCCTGAATCTGAAAGTTTGAGATTTTAATGTTTTGGCGGCCACCATTAAGAATCATCCTGTTGGTAATTTCCTCAACCTATTCTTACATCCATTCATTATTACCTCTAATCTTTCTTCAGCATCGTCACGCAGTCCCATTTGTCCACTGTGCTCGAAAGAAATGTTTCTTCCATTACCATGACCAACCATGGATGCGCATCCATAGTTGTTGTCCGGCATTGTTTCTGTTATCTACATCTTGTTGGCTTGCTCCTGCAGGTTCAGCCAGACTTTAGTAGGATGGAGAGAGAGAGAAGTACTTGTATATTTCAGACATTGCAATGGAGGAGGTTTCTCTGATGATGTTAGAGCCAACATGAGCTCTTCTTCTTCTTCTTTGGGTGTTTTCTTGCGGTTTTTTTAGGTTGACCTTGTAAGTAATTATGGAAGTTCTGCTTTGCTTTCTGTGTATGATGCTGCAATTAAGGAAGGCTGTGTATGTGTACATTTTTATACATACAACAACAATACACAAGTCATGTTTTGTCTTATTTCTCTTAACCCCATAAATTGATTGATAGTTTTCCCTAGAAAATATGTGCGATTATAAATTCAGTGTCCAATATTGCAAGGGAAGAACAAAGATGAACATCAAGAAAGAAAGCAATACACCATTGATTGACTTCATAGACATGTAAACATGATATTGTCCTCAATATAAGCAGCAGAAACTTGACTTGGATAGGATCTTACAGATTGAAGAAAACCAAACTGAACACAAATTTGAGAAGAGTTCGAATCAAAGACCAACAATGCAAAACACACATAAAGGTAATCAATCCCCTTCAAGATTTAATGGAGTTATCTAGTCATCATCTTGTTTATTCCTCTTCATACTCCTCGTCTTCATCGACACCCTCCATTCCAACTTCTTCATAGTCCTTTTCGAGTGCAGCTAAATCTTCACGGGCCTCGCTGAATTCGCCCTCCTCCATTCCTTCACCAACGTACCAGTGTACAAATGCCCTCTTGGAGTACATGAGGTCGAACTTGTGGTCGATGCGAGAGAATACCTCCGCAACAGCCGTGTTGTTGCTGATCATGCACACAGCCCGCTGTACTTTGGCAAGATCTCCTCCGGGCACCACCGTTGGTGGTTGGTAGTTGATTCCACACTTGAAGCCCGTCGGGCACCTGTTCATTACATTATGTTCACAGATTTTTCAGAACCAAAGATATTTTATCGATTATTGCTCCACGAATTAATGGTTTTGAGACGGCTTACCAGTCGACAAACTGAACGGTCCTCTTAGTTTTGATGGTTGCAACAGCAGCATTGACATCCTTGGGGACAACATCGCCACGGTACATCAAGCAACAGGCCATGTACTTACCGTGCCTTGGATCGCATTTAGCCATCATGCTTGAGGGCTCAAACACTGCATTTGTTATTTCAGGGACCGACAGCTGCTCATGGTAAGCTTTCGAGGCTGAGATCACAGGGGCGTACGAAGACAACATGAAATGGATGCGAGGGTATGGGACAAGGTTGGTCTGGAACTCCGTGATGTCCACGTTAATGGCTCCATCGAACCTCAGGGAAGTTGTGAGGGAGGATATGATCTGAGAGATCAATCGGTTCAAGTTGGTGTAAGTGGGCCTCTCGATGTCTAAAGACCTTCGGCATATGTCATAAATGGCCTCATTGTCCAAGAGCACCGCAACATCAGTGTGTTCGAGGAGGGAATGGGTGGAAAGAACACTGTTGTAGGGCTCAACGACAGCTGTCGACACCTGTAGTTGAAGAACACATTAAGCATTTGTAAAAATAGATTGTAACTTGATTGCAAGAAAGAAATAGATAAGCACCTGGGGAGAAGGGTAGATTGTGAAACCAAGCTTCGACTTTTTCCCATAATCGACTGACAACCGTTCGAGGAGCAATGACCCCAAACCAGAACCAGTACCACCTCCTACAGCATTGAAGACCAAGAACCCTTGCAAGCCTGTGCAGTTATCGGCTAACTTCCTTACTCGATCTAAGCACAGATCGACGATCTCCTTTCCCACTGAAACATCACGCGCATATTATCAGAGTAGTTACTCAAACACTAATTCTTGCAAAGCTACAACAGGAAGCATACAGCAAAAAAAAGTCTAATTTTGGATTCTGCAAATTGAAAGATCATCACAAACCTGTATAGTGTCCTCTAGCAAAGTTGTTGGCAGCATCTTCCTTCCCGGAGATGAGCTGCTCGGGATGGAAAAGCTGGCGGTAACCGCCAGTGCGGACCTCATCGATGACGGTAGGTTCGAGGTCAACGAATATGGCTCTGGGGACGTGCTTTCCAGATCCGGTCTCGCTGAAGAAGGTGTTGAAAGCATCGTGCGCCACACCTACAGTTGTATCACTGCACGTCACCACGCACAATAAGTCAGAATTAACAGATCACAAAAATTCAAACGCGCATCTGTTGCCTCAGAAACCAAACAATGTCCTCTTCGTAAACAAAAGCTGTAAATCGAACTTTGCTCTATCATTCATCGTTGTATTGAAGTATTCGTTACATAGGAGATAGATCTGCCTCGGAAACCCTAATTACAGCACGAATCTCATTCAAATACCTCCCTACAAAAAATTCTCAAATTCTCCCTACGTAAAGAGGATCTAGATCTGACATTTTTTAATATCTACTGTTTTTCCTCTCTCCGTCAACAGGTAAACAATCAAAAATGGAAGAAAATAGGAGAAGTTAGAGAGAAATAGAGAGTACCTGGGCATCATGCCATCGGGCTGGATGCCATGCTCCAGGCAGTACAGTTCCCAGCAGGAATTCCCGACCTGAATCCCAGCCTGACCAATATGAATGCTTATGATTTCTCTCATTTCGAAGAATCCCCAGATCCCAAATAACCCAAACCCTTCCGATTTATATCCTCCTCGTCCTCGACAACAGGTTCAGGTTCGGACCTGCAACTTGTCCTCCTTCCGCCTCGCTTTTTCTCAGCAAATGGGCAGAAGAGCGCAACCCAGCGAGGATATAATGACACTGGATTTGGCGATGATGCAGTTCGCAGTTTTGACCCCTCCCCTTGATTCTCTCTCCTCCTCCGCTCTCTAACCCTATTTTTAATTCAGTTTCTATAATATTATAATAATAATAAATAAAATATCTGGGCTGGGCTGGAAATTAAATGAAGATTGAGATTGGTGGGCCCTCCATATTTCGACCTTTCATCTTCACTTCGGGCCCACCACCAACACCTCCTTTCTTTTTACTATTTATCTTCAATCAATTATATACTAATTAAAACTTTACATATACTAAACGTGACATGTCATCCATCATTTACACTTCTCTTCAAATATTTTTTTTACATCAAATAGGTTCATTTTTATAAATTTAAACAAATATATATATATATATATATTACTACTATATTTTTAATAATAATAATAACAACCACCCCCCCCCTTCCGTACTATTTGGGTTTGAAAATAATATATAGTTAAATTTATATGTGTGTGTATATTTCACCTGTAACAGAAAGAAACAGTGAGTGGCTACTGCTTGCTGGCTGCATAATAATAATAATAATAATTAATCATGGACAGATAGATAATAGATTCCCTTAGAATTATGCAAGTTGGGATTGTAAGAGGGACCACAAATAATGCACTCAATGCCAACAAGTCAATACTATTTTCTTTGTTTTTTATTTATTTATTTATTTTTTCAAAGATGATGTAAGAATTCGCAGCCGCTACTCGGAACTATGTATAGTAGATGACCTGAAAAGTCGGAGGTTTGAAAGTATAACCTCGTGGTCACAAGTTCAACCCCTACATCACCAGACCATCCCTTATAGAACATTAAAATTTTAGTAGTATGTATTGTGAAATTAGTATTTACAATATCATATTAAATAATTTTTAATTTGTTCACACAAATAATATTTTTATGACATAGTTTTCAATATATACAATATTTATAACTTATTCTCTTATAAAATTCAATACAAAATTTAAGTATATTTATTCTTTTGATTTGTAGACCAAATCTCATATATGGCATACTTGCAAGCATTTTTTATAAGAAAGTAGATTTTTTATATTTTCAAATAAATATGTATATATTATTATAAATGTATAATAATGAACAGCAAACTATATGTTGAATGTTCGAGTGGCATGTGGGGTGGTGTCATATAAGCCATATTCTATCTTTTAAAAAATAAAAATATATACCATTACTGTTTCATCGCATCAATATATTATTTAAAATAAAATTTAAATTCAAATAAAAGAACTAAACAAGCCCTAGAGTTTAAAAAAAAAAAAAAAAAAAGAATTTTAATATAATATAAAATACAAAAATATGTTTTGTAATTTATTATTTTAAATTGAAACACATTTATAAGAGTAATTGAAATCTAATAAGAAAACATATAACCCAACACAGTCACAACCTCAAGCTGAGACAGATATTATTTTATAATTTTAGAATTAAAAACCCCATTTTTTTGTCCTAAATTTTTACAATTACTTAATAACGATTTGGGAATTCGAATGGCATTCAAAATTAAAAGTAAAAATTATTTGACATATTTGTAAAGATGCATAAAATTAAATGACATGTGTGAATGCAACGCCTTTATGGGTTGTCTCTCACGTGCTTTTGTTATTATTTGTCTTCCCTCTATTATTATTATTTTTTTTATTTTTTTTTTATGACGTGAAATTCATAGTCGCTACTTTAAAGTATCAATTGGGTAAATTTTCGATTGAATCTAATACCCTGCAAACCAGATCCGACAGAAAAGTAATACTAGGCGAACCATATATGACAGGTGACCTGAGACGTCGGATGTTTGAACCCATAACCTCACGGTCTTCCCTCTATTATTAATACATATAATATCTGCTTTTATATATATATGCATTATTTATATACAATAAATAATTTTTATTTAAAATTTTACATAATAGAGTATATATCTTCTTCTTTTTTTTTTTTTTAATGCAAGACATCAAATTTAATACATATTTAAATCAATTCAAATACGAGTAAAATAAATATATCGACGGATGCTTAGGGATATATATTCTCTAAATTCAAAATATTCTAAAATTTAATTTTGCTATATACTCTAAAATCATATTAAAAAGAGATCTGGATTAATAGCTTTTCATTTTATAAATTAGGAGAATCCTAAGGGTGTGTTTGTCTTGGGGTTTGGATTTTGAGTTGGGATTTGAATAGTAAAAATTTTGAATTTAAATAGTCGTATGATGTGATATAAATATGTGTTGATGCGATGTTTTAAATGTAAAATTGATTTTTAGTATAATATAAAAAATAAAAAATAAGTATTTGATTTGACATTTTTAGGGGGAAAAAAATGGAATAAATAGTAGAAAATTAAATCCAATCCCCCGAACAAACACACCCTAGTGTGAGATATATTCAACAATACTATATAATAATTAGTTGAATTTTATTTTATAAAAATGATAAATTTTGGACATATATAAATAAGAGGAGAGCTGAGCTCTACATTGATATGATTAAAACAAATATATATATATATATATATTATTTCAATCATTTTAATATGTTTAAAAAGTATAGATGTTTATATTATAATTAGTAGTAAAAAAGTTCAAAAACTTGCATGTTATTGTTATTTAAATATATATATATATTCACTATATTTATTGATAGACAACATATATTTTTACACTCATATCTATTTTAATCTACATTTTAATTACTAATCTTATAAGAAAATATCTACAGCAAAAGTACAAAAATAATATTAAAATACTATTTATTTAGTTTAATCATTGTTTAATTAATTAATTAATTATATTTTTCCAAATTTTGTATATGGAGAAAGTACAATCTTAGCAAACATATTTAAAATTAAAAACATTGAAAGTACAACACAAGCAAACAACAATTAATAAAAAATTATTAAACTCCTAATTTTATTGAATTTATTTGAAAGAGTAGCGGTGAAATTCAATTGGGCTACACAAATTTCTCATTTTATTTGGGATTGGGAGTCCAGCCCATTTGGGAGACGGGCCCAATACCACAAATAAATACTCCTTACTAGCATTAATTGAATTGAACATAAATTTTTAACTAATAAATTAATAGCATTAAATATTACTTCATCAGTCTAAATTTTATTGTCCACAGATTTTTTTAGGTGATCGTTTTTTTATGAATTGACAAACTTGTTCTAGAGTAGAGATTACGAGTAATAAACGAATGAAGAGTAAAAATATAAAATTTATGTTTTTAAAAATGAAATAAAACAATAGTTCTTTTATGTCCCAAATAAAAAAATAGGACATTAGTTTATGGACGGAGGGAGTAATTAATGCACGCATGCATGAGGGGCTTAATTTTGAAATCTGATGAGTGATTTTAATTTTGATTTGACAATTACATACAATGGAGGGGTTTCTTGGGCACTTTGATCACAATGTGACACCATTATTTATATTATTCAATAAAATAATAATAATAATAACAGTTGTTGTGTTATGTCAATGTGTTAAATTTGATGTAATTTTTCTTGGTAGTTATTGAAATTTACAAAAGTATTACAGAAATTACAATATTGTTTGGATGAGATTGTTTTTATTATTTTGAAAATATTTAATGAAAAATAATTTATTTCTTTGAAAATATAGATTTTTAAAAAATGAACAATGTAAAGTAAAAAAAATAACAAAGCCAACATGTTGAGAAAAAAAATATATATATATATATATATAAATAATCAAAAGAAAAATACAATTAGAATTTGGGTATGATATTATAAATAAAAGTTAAACCAGATTGAATTGATTACTTAAAGTCAATAAGATACACTTTCAAAGCGAAGCACACTTATATAGAAAATTGAGTCACAATAAGCTACACTTTCAAACCAAAGCACACTTGAATAGAAGAACAATGAGTCATAGCCATTAAAAAAAAAATAAAAAATTAAACAGAAATAATAAATATTACTCTCTCCGTCCCAGATACTATGTCATGTTGCCGTTTTTGTCCGTCCCACATACCATGTCACTTTCTTTTTTTGGAAAATGATTACACACTGTAATCTCATTTTAAATTTTTAAATTTTATTTTTTAAATTTTAATTAAACTAATTAGTTACCTTAATCTTAATTTATAATTATTTATATTATAGGACAATTATTTTCACTAATACATTCTTAATTATCTACTAATTACACCCCTCATAAAATACCGTATCTACAGTGTAGCAGACACGGTATCTGGGGTTGAGGGAGTATTATTAATATTACCATCAATTTGATTAGAAGTAATGGTGACCTAACTCAGGTGTGTTTATCTGTGATTTGAATAGTAAAAATTTTGAATTTGAATAGCTGTGTGATGTGATATAAATAGGTCTTGAGCGTAATGTTTTGAATATAAAATTGATTTTTAATTTAATATAAACAAATAAAAAATAGGTGTTTGATTTGATATTTTGAGAGAAATAAGATGAATAATGGATTAAAAATCCAATTCTCCAAACAAACACACCCTAGTAAATAAAATCATCACCAAATTTTGTCAAAATTTTATAAATAAGTGGGGAGATATTCATCGTTTGAATAAATTAGAGAAAATCAAAGTCTTACAAAAATACAAATTACATTAGATTAAGTAGTATGGGTATTAGTATTTCATTTCACTATTATTTAATAAAGTATTTGATAGAATATATAATTATATATGATTCAAAATTCGGGCCCATGTAGATGCAATATATATTTCTTTTTTATTTTTTTTGAATGATGTAGGAACTTGCAATTGTTATCCGAAAAGTGCACATTCTTTATCTGTGTGGACAGATTCTAAATAAATCTCATTTTCCTATTATCATCGTCGTCTTCAATTAGTTGTCATTTTCTTACTACATTAATTCCATTATAAAATAGTCAAGAATTGAGACAAAAAGCGTCATGGGAAACGGCATTTCTTGTTGCTAACTTCCCCTCCCAGTCAAGTTCAAGCCGCAAATAAAAAAACTCATATTCCTATTTGGTAGGGATGGAAAAAATATTCAAATTGTGGAAATATTATCATATCGTATCAAGAAAATAAAATATACTGATAACGGTATATAGTTCGACATTTTTTCAGTATATATTGAAACAGCGAAACTATCGAAAACATTCTATATTGTTTTAGTATTTTTGTATTTAGTGTATAAATATATACTCATAATTCAATCTATTTATACTAAAATTAGTATTTTTAATTTTTTTTAACATTACAATAATTTATTATTTTACTATTTTAAATCAAAATCAATACTATTTTTTTATAGTATAATTTCAAATCAAAATATACCAATGAAAGTATATATAAAAGTATTTTAATATTAATGATTAATTAATTTTATTATAATAAAAATTAATAATTTTTACTGATATAAAACAAAAATGATAAAAAACAATTTCAATTAGTATTATATTGGGATAAAGTATAAATAAAGGTAAAAAAAAAAAAAGAAAAAGACTAAATTAACCATACTAGTATTGTATGATATAAAGGTAATGACATCTGTGTAATATATTTTAAATTATAAGAATATTTGTAATGTTAGGTAGACAGTACAATTACTAAAAAAACGGAAATAGATAAATTGTAAATTGTTAAGAGACGGAGGGAGTATAATTATAATTTTATTTTATTTATTTATTTTTTAAAATAACAGTAAAATATAACTATTTTAAAAAAAAAATAGAATTGATAGTTATTAAAATATAATTATTTTTGTAATTGAAATTTTTAAAATATCGTGTACATTGTGCGAGTGGATGAAGGATATTATTTTAAACAATATCATAGATTTAAGAACGATCAGTATGAAATAAACTTGTAATTATAAAGTTACTAGTTTAAACATTAGACGTCCTTTAATATTTTATCTCTCACACATCTTCTAATATAATTTATCTTCTCAAACTTAATTTATAAATTATTAAATTACATAAAATTTACTCAAAATACGATGAAAAAATAATGAAAAAAATCAAAGTCTATCCAAAAAGCAAACGTGCTCTTAGGGTATTTTTTTAATTGAAAATATGATTTTTTTTAAAAAATTAATATATTATATATTTATTATTTTTATATTATTTTAAATAATTTATTATATTTTACGTAAAAATATATATAAAAAAACAATTATTTTCTGCCACAAAAATGGCAGTTTCAAGGGTTTTTCAAATTTCTAATTAGCAATGACCAATAAATTAGCACCAAGAAATAGCGATGGGTCAAAGCAACCAAAGCTGGTCCCACAGTAGTAATTGGGATGGCGACTCGTTGGTGGAGCTGGGGTGGAGATGGGATCGGAGTGGTGTACACTTGAAGTCTGCAGTGGATGGCTGTCCAAAGAAATACTAATAAAATATTAATTTAATATATATCATATTCTTCTATATTTGTGCCTGCCCTTGTTAACCAAACCCTCGTTCTCGTCGTCTTCATCGCCCATTACTTTAATTCCTCCCAAATCTCTCCCCCCTTTGCTCAAGGAATTCCAAATCAAGAATAATGGGGGAAGAGAAGCCGAAAACTGGAGGAGTGTGGCCTGCCGTCAAGCCCTTTGTTAATGGCGGCGCCTCTGGTATGCTTGCGACCTGTGTCATTCAGCCCATTGACATGGTCAAGGTATCTTCTTCTTCTGCATCCGCTGGATTTGATTGCGGCTTTAGGGTTTAGATTTGATTGCGTCTCTAGGGTTTAGATTCGAATTTTGGGGTTTGTGGTATCCAGGCAGGGTTTCAGATCCAGGATCAGATGGGTCTTGTCTTGTATTGTTTTGCTCGTCAGGAACGAATCCGTGAATCTTGTTGTGGATTTGATACTGTGCTGTTCTGTTTCTTCTGAAAAAATCCTCTTGTTAGATTTTTTCATTTTTGTTATGGGTTTAGATCTCTGGTGTGTTCGCTGGGTTTTGCATTTGTTTGTTGAAGAATTGCACTTTTCTAGAGCGTTGTTTGGGTTCTCTTTGTGCGATTAGATCGTTGCAAATTGAGCATGAACAAATTCCATGGAATGGATTGATTTGAGAAGTCTCTTTGAATGCTTCCAAGAATTGGAGGCTATTACCTCTGATCTGTCATGTCTATCTTCATTTCAGGTGAGAATACAGCTCGGCCAGGGATCAGCTGGCGAGGTGACCAAGAACATGCTCAAAAACGAGGGTCTTGGTGCCTTTTACAAGGTTTGTTTGTTTGTGCCAAATAGGCCTCACAACATCCCTCTACATTCCTCTTAGATACTGTTATACCTTTTGTTATGTTCGGGAGCCAAAATTGTGTATAAGATGATTTGATTTATGGGATTGAACTTGACCAAGATGGTTATATATTTACGGTGATGCATTGCATCGGACTTTTTTGGCACACACAATACCTACATTCTTTTTATCTTGTTTGGGATGCTACCGCTTTTAAACTGCTGCCAATTATAATCATGTATAAGGCATACTGTACACATTCGAAGGCTTCACCTGCTATATTATTAAGTGCTTGGTTTTAGGGTTAAAGTGAATTTGTTTTAGGTGATAGGCAGCCTGACTCTTTAGTATACAGAATTGATGAAGGCAGCGAAACTTTTGTGCATACTTTTAGCTTATCATAGTTGTGATTGCTCGGAAGCACTATTCATGCGCCTAAAGCTTTCTTACACTAGGACACTCACTTTAACACAGTTGTAATGCGTTTGTTGGGCGTGTTTTTTCACCTCTAAAATGTAAGAAAATGTTATACTTGCTATTCAGTATGTCGAGTGCTGTGCTTGTGCTATGCTTACTAATAACCATGATGTTTTTTTAGGTTTTTCTATAGTTTATATTATCTATCTAAATCCAACACATCTTGAATTAGTTAGAGCTTATTTGTTTTGTTGTTTCTACAGGGTTTGTCTGCTGGGCTTCTTCGACAAGCAACGTATACAACTGCACGGCTTGGATCATTTAAGTGAGTACATTATCTTGATTGTGTCAACCATAGCTAGTCGTGACCATGTTCAATTAAGCGAGAGGATTCTCTCTGGAAGTAGTTGATAAACCTTTTATGTTGAATTTTTATTATATCATGTAATTTTGGATAATGATCTCTCTAGTTGTCGATGTGCTTCATGACTTGGAAAAAATCTACATGGTTTCGTGAATGGCTCAAATGTTTAGCGTGAATTAAATGCTGTCTGAAATTGTCAAACAGGATTTTGACAAACAAAGCCATAGAGGCAAACGATGGGAAGCCCCTACCCCTTTATCAGAAGGCCATATGTGGATTGACTGCCGGAGCAATAGGGGCATGTGTTGGTAATCCTGCAGATCTGGCGCTCATTCGCATGCAGGCCGACGCAACCCTACCTGTTGCCCAAAGGCGAAACTACACCAATGCATTCCAAGCCCTCTACCGTATCGTTGCTGATGAGGGTGTGCTTGCCCTATGGAAAGGCGCTGGCCCGACTGTGGTGAGGGCCATGGCTCTCAACATGGGCATGCTTGCTTCTTACGACCAATCTGTGGAGTTCTGCAAGGATTCACTCGGTCTTGGCGAGGTTGCCACCGTGCTAGGTAAGATAAGATAAACTCGTAGAACGTCATTCAAGTGTTTTGATTGCATAAAATATATGAACCCTATTTGGTGTCGATACATTCAGGGGCAAGTTCGGTTTCGGGATTCTTTGCTGCGGCCTGCAGCCTGCCATTCGACTATGTCAAAACCCAGATACAGAAAATGCAGCCGGATGCTACGGGAAAGTATCCCTACACTGGATCACTGGACTGCGCCATGAAAACGCTGAAAGCAGGAGGACCTTTGAAGCTGTACTCAGGATTTCCCGTATATTGTGTTCGAATTGCGCCTCATGTCATGGTATAATTGCTGTCCCTATCCTTCACCTGCCTTCGAACACTGTATCTTTGTCCCGATTTCTGACAGCCGGTCGCGGTTGTTGTTACATTGCAGATGACATGGATATTCCTGAACCAAATCCAGAAGATGGAGAAGTCTATGGGATTGTGATCAGGATGCTGCTAATCTTGAATAATGCTTTGGTATCTCCTTGGAGGGTTTCATGACTTTGCATCTTCAAACACTAAGATTTATTATTATATCATTACAAAGAACCATGAACATTTTTGGAATTGAACTTGAACTGAGACTGAGATTAAGAGCAGCCAGCCGCCAGCTACCATAGAAATTGGATTCTTAATTATTATTATTATTAGATCTCAAAAATTGATGACTGCTTCGGCCGAATAATTTCAGCAGTGATGAGTGTTCTCTATATGAGCATTGTTGATTACGTGTCTGTCTGCGATTGGTTCAAACAGACCTATGGCTTGTTCAATTTGCTTTAGAGCATGCCCAAATTCATTCCATATGTTTTTGGTCTTATTATAATATACGTACTTTTTTATTTTTGAATTTAAAAAAATTTGAATTTTTATGTTCAGTGAATCGAATTTGTATATGGTGGTATAAACTCAGGATCAATGAAACGAATTTGATTTGTTATCATTTTTATTTGTTTTTTTAATATTTAATCAATTAAGAATGACCATTCATAAATATTTTTAACATGGATAACTGAGTGTGAATTGAGGTTGAAATTTTAGCTGTAATATAAAAATTTATTGGTTAGTTCAGCTAGCAGGTCCGATGACTCTGTCAATTTTTTATTAAATAAATATTTGTAAAATAAAAATTATTATTATTATATATAAGTAAAATAAGTAAATAAGGGGAAGAGGGGTGGATGGTTCCTTCTTTGCAAACGGATTGGTTCCCGACAAATAAGTGAGGCGACGAGAAAAGAGGGACGGAATCGGATTGCAAAGATAACGAGGAATTTCCAGGCAGAAGCTGGATATGATCAGGGAGATTTGTGTATCCGCTCGAGTTTCTTGCCTTTTTCTCTTTAATTTCTAGGGTTTTTGTGTTTCCAATTTAGCCAGAATCGTATATTTCTGTCGGAAGTTGGTCGGTCGGACGGCCGGCGGTTTCAGGTTACCGATGCGAATTTCTATGGACAAACATATGTGTGTATTGTTGATGTGTGTGTTGGTGGAATCGGCGGCATCGTTTGGATCGGCTTCAACACCCTCTGTCTGCCCTCGTGATTTCAACTCCTTCCTCTACGATCTCAATTCGCAGTGCCCGTTTTCAAATCCCTTCTCTTCGCCACCTACCCAGGTATTTCTTGGGTTTAATTTTTCCTATTTTGCTGTGTGATTCGCTGTGCGATGTGTAGTTTGAAAATCACGTACTGTTTGTTTTTATTATCTCTTTCGTTTCACACGCTCGCACACATAACACCATCTTGTTTAATTGTTTCTGGATTTGATTTATTTATTTATTTTATGCTTCCCTTGTCCTTGGGAATCTGTTTACCCGTTTCTTCATCACTGTAGAAACAAGTACAAGAAATGGTTTCTTGAATTTGCTATTTGAAAATTGGCCATGAATAGCAGTTGGATTTTATTCGACGGCTTTGTTGGAAAAAGAATTTCGGTGATATATCTGACTTGATTTTCCTCTTCTTTTGGAAGCATCTTGATTTGTTTATAAAGTAGGTCGGTAATACGATTATATAGGATAAGGAAAAGTCTTTGGTTTCTCGGGTAGACCTTTAGGCTTTAATTCAGTGTTTGTGGAAGTTTGTTGCGTGCTTATGGTTGACCTTCATTCTATCGGGACTATTTTAGATTATCAGATGGATGTAAAGTTCATGTGGCCAACTGAATAAGGCTATTTGAAGCTTGTAACATATAAAGGCTTTAATCTTATGATATATGAGCAGTTAGACTTATTTATTTGATTGAGATCTAGAGGCTTAACAGGAATCTTATGTTTTCAATATAACAAAAGGATATCCGAGCTTAGCGATGAGGATAAAGTTACATATTGAAAGCAGACACTTCATGGCTCATTTAACCCTGCGTAGTTTATTAGTTCCTTCTTGTAGGACTACCAGTCATATTGGCGCATGAGATCAGTTTCCCTGGGCTAGAATGAAGCTAGCGTATCTTGTGTGACAAAATCATATTAAAATATTTTCAGTGATTGAAAGGCACTGTTGCAGTCTCTTGCATTGTGTCCTAAAGCAGTCATCATCCCCGGAATTCTTTGAATGATATTTCAGCTTCTTTAATGAGTCGAAAATTTACTCTCTCTCCATTGTGGTATACAAATCATGGATTGATGACCGGAGTAAAAATCACGTCAGATAAACCTAATGGTGTGATCTATATTATTGCATGATGATCTTTATTCTACAATATAATAATTATTCTCAAACTGCTTTCAGTGTCTATGATCATGGCTTTTACCTGTGAGAAAATATTTGGTCCGACTTTTTGTGGTATGACAGCTCTTGTGGTTGGTTTGAATTACTGATGCCATATTATAGCTGCACTTGCTATGTAAAATTAAAATTGCTAATAGCTTTTCATTAGTCTTTTTTAAAAAAAATTAAATAAAATTCATAGTTGTATAAGATATTTCATTATCAGCTGAATAATTTACCAAAATATATTTATATATCACTGAAGGTGGATGGAGATTCATTGGAGAAAGCTGTTAACTCCAGTCAGAAAAATGAATACACTGCTATTCTGTTTTATGCTTCCTGGTGTCCTTTCTCAAGCACCTATCTGTCGAAGTTTACAACTCTCAGCGCCATGTATCCTTACATCAAACATGTAATGGTTGAACAATCTTCAGCCATGCCAAGGTGTGTGGATAGTATATGCATTCTTTGAATATTCGATGCCCTCTGATTATTATTATTTATATTATTATTATTATTATTATTATTATTATTATTATTATTAACCTTTTCTTTATTGTATATAGCTGGATTATATTTTCTGTTGACTGACACAGTTGTGTAAAGTGTAAATTTTGTATTTCTATAGATTATCATGCAATGATTATGTTATAAGAAATGTACTTAATTGGGTATGTGTTCTTTCAAGTAATTATAAACTGGAAGTTTTTAAATGGCTGGGATTGAGTCAATATTGAATTTGTACTCTTTTGTGTGAGAAGGATAAGAGTTATGTGAGAAACTATGTTTTCAGTTATGGGAATCCATGCAAAGTTAATATATTTGGCAGAGTTTATTCACTCTACCTGTAAGAGGCTGAATCTTTATTTTCTAACCATTTGTAGTATGTCATAGTTCACCAAATTTATGTAGATCCTTGTAAGGATTTGCCACAGTTGCATCACATACAGTCTGTTTTGTGTGGTGTTCATTTGATAGATGCTCAAATGTAAGATATTATAGATTCTAATGACGCAACAATGGGGCATCACTCTTGTAACTATGTTCCTATGAGTCCAAAAAATGAACTGATTTGTGACTTTTTGACACTTTTCATCAGTCTCTCCCTTGTTTTATTCAATTTATATTATCTGTGCAGTGTATTCTCTAGATATGGGATTCACAGTGTACCGGCACTGCTGATGGTGAATCAGACATCAAGGGTGAGATATCATGGTCAAAAAGATCTCCAGTCGCTTGTAAATTTCTATAAAAGAGCTACAGGTAGCAACTGCAGTATGATTCCTATTCTTCTTCTTGATACATAATGAGTTGATATTTCTCCTGTATGTTTGGAAGATAAAATTGTCTAGCTATTTCATCTTACATCTGAATAATACTCAGGGCTACATCCTCTGATCAATTTAGTCGAAGAAACAGAGACTCCAAAGGATTCTGCAGGTGGTTCACATGTCCTTAAACTCTGGGATGGAGCGTCACTGAAGGTGACATTCGCGAAGGAACCTTATCTGCTGCTTTCTGTTATGTTTGTCATCCTGAGGGCTTTCCTCTACCTTTTCCCGGAAATTTTATCGCGGTTAATGGCACTATGGATGGCATACATTCCTCGTCTCAATCTTTCAATATTTGGAGAGTCGAGGCAGGTCTTAGGGCACGTGCTACATCTGATTGATGTGAAGAGAATTTGGAGCAAGCTGAAAATTTGCAAGACAAGGAACTTCCACCAAGGGGCGAGAAATGCGGGAGTTTGGGCATCATCCCTATCCTCGGTGTCCCTGGGCAAAGCTCTGTCATCCTCGTCGTCTTCTTCATCGACCAGAGGGCTGTGAGCGACCAAATTAAACAACCGGTATGCTGCTCTGCTCTGCTACTTTTTGTAAACTCTTTGGCGCTCGATCTTTGTGTGGAAAAGCTTAAAAAAAATGTTTGCTAGTGGGGGGCAGTGAGGAATGGTGTAAATTTTACGACATCTATGTATTCCTCCAATGCAATGCAATGTACATGATCATCATCGTGTAGTTAAAGTTGGACTTTGATTTCTGGCCTTCATTTCTTTTTGGTTTCCACTTCCATGCTCTTTAATTTGGTCTCTTGTTCTGTTCCGTTCTATTCTCCCTGCTAACTTACTACAACTTAACACTTTACAATTCAAACTAAAATTTAAAATCAACCCACAAAATCAATTTCTAAGTAAACAAACCTTCAAAAATTGCCAATGTCATTGTTTTAAAATTGTATTGTTGAATAATGCTATTAAAAATGATTCTATTGAGTACTTAGTACAATATATGTTTTTAAAATTAACTTCAATACATATTATAGTTACTTAGAAAAAAAAAACAATTAAACAAAATTTATTTTAATTCTTTACTTAATGAAAAAAAATAAAAAAATATGAAATCAAATTAATTAACTATAGAATTCAATACTGCTTAGATTGCATGAAAAAAATCAATTAGGTTAATCTTGTGATGGAGGGATATTTACTCTCCTCTCATTCATCTTTTTTTTTTACTCGGGAGCGTGCTGACGTGTAATGAGCACGTGCTACTAATGGACTTCTGGTTGTTTGTTATACTTAGGCCCAAAATTTGTAAGTTTATCGGGATTTTATCAATATGGCCCAAATAATTTTACTTGCATATATCTATATCTTTATACACCGTAAATTAGAACTCCATATAAACGTCCAACTCTCCTAAACCCTAGTTTCTGCTCCGGAGCTTCTTCAAAACCCTACTAATCTTCCCTCTTGTTGCTTCGGTGTTTCTCTGCTTAAATTCTCGGCCATCATGGTATTCCTCTTAAATTTTCACTGATGCCGTTTCATGTTTTATGTTTTATTTTTTTTATTTTTGCCAAGTATTTTGGGGACGATGTCTTAGCATATTATGTGTGTGGAGCAGACTGCAGAAGCTGTGAACCCGAAAGCGTATCCATTGGCGGATGCGCAACTCACTATAACTATCCTTGATCTGGTTCAACAAGCAGCCAATTACAAACAACTCAAAAAGGGTGCCAATGAAGGTGTATATTGTTTTTCTTTTAATTTGTTTTGTATGCTGCTGCCTGGAGGGCTGTTTTTAACGACTAATTCTGTACAGCAACGAAGACGCTGAACAGAGGAATTTCAGAGTTCATTGTTATGGCAGCGGATACTGAGCCCCTTGAGATTCTTCTTCACCTTCCACTTCTTGCAGAGGACAAGGTAAGCTCTTAGTTTTAACTTGCTTTTCAATTCGTTAGTGTGGATATCTATAAATGGTAATTAATTGCTTGTGCATTGGCACCTGGGTGTTGTTATGTGAATAGACTGATGGTGATTGTTAGTTAGAGACAACATTGAATTGTATGAACATGTAGCTTTAATAATTCTTTGAATTCAAGGGAGTGTGTATCTGCCTATGAAACGTGTGTTCTAGTTGTTGGCAAAATAATGCACATAATTAAGGATATGAAAAGCTTAGTGCTTACAACAGTAACATAAATTAGGATTATCATAAATAAGGATTACTTAGTTAAATGTGTGGTTTTGTTATTTATTTTTTATTTATTAGGGACAAATAGGATTAGTTAGGGCCTATTTTGTTTTTATTAGTTAAATAATGATATAAAAGTTTTACCCTTTTTCTTTATGAGTTTCTCCCGACCATAGCCACCTGCCCTCATTCCACACTTTAGCCACCAGTAAGGCAGCGGCTGTTCCTCATTGAACTGTTTTATTTGTTCTATCTCGAATTTTAGCGCTTGTATTGCTGTTTATACATAAAATGGTTTGTTTCTTTTTATTCTTATATGTATATTTTATATTGTGTATTTGGAAGTTCAATCTTGTTCAATATTATTTATGTTTGTAAGGCATATATAAATATTATGTGCACATATATGTTTATGTTGTATATTAAACTATATTAATAGTTAGAGGGTCTGGTGTGCTGCACCAAGTGCTGTTTACAACTATAGTTGTCGTAGGGTTCTTTGTATATTTGTGATGTAAGATAAAGGTGCTATTTAGAAGTAGAATGTGTGACAAATGATATCCTTCCAGTGGTTTTCACAGAGTCTGTCTAAATCCTCTGATACTCCTTTTTTGTTAAACTTAGTGAGTGATCTAAAGTTCTAAAAACCCGTACAGCATTTATGGGAAGGAAACAGATCAGAACTTTTAAGAATTGATAGACATTTTGATTAGTTTAGGCAAAATTCAAGGAACGATTACATTTTCAGATGTAATTCTTGAGTTCTCTCTGAAACTAAGCAAGAAGTTATTCTCGACCTTTGTATTGATAGTGGAAGGGGGGCTAAAGAAGTGACATTGCCTAAATTTTGTAACTATATGGTTGCAGTGGTTATTGTAAAAATTTTTTTAAAAATATATAAGGTATGAAACTTTTAAGCTTGTAAAAGAAACCTAAAAGTGAAATTGAAATTTCATCAAACTCGATCATTGCTCGAGACATTCTAATTTTAAGGTATGCCTAATTAGTCTCAGATTTTTCAAATCTATAGAGCCTTCTGCTATAATTTGCATACTTTTTAAAACAAAAGATTTATGGCTATTTGCACAGAAATAAAAATTGAGTGGAGCCACATAAAGAAGAACCACTTTTAAGGGCTTAGTAGAGAGCTATGATAACCTTACAATATCTAGGTTGTTCCAATTGTTTTATGTCTCTTTCCTTCCCTTTTCTAGGGCTTGTGGAGGAATGAATATTTTATCCAAAAAAATCCTTCTGGTGAGAAGATGCCAATATGCATGCATAAGATGCAACCTCTCACAATTTCTATATGTTACTCATGGGGATTTCTCATATTATAGATACATTCTTCTAGACATGTGTCGAGTAGGTTCTCCTGATTTTCAAGTAGCCAATAATAATAAGATTATTGGTGAAGTCTAAGGGTGTGTTCTTTTTGTCAAAAAATAAACACATTTTCCCAAAGAAATTAATGTGTTACATACATTCATTATTTTTATATTACTAAACAATTCCTTATACCTCACATCAAAAAATATTCCTTCAAACCATTTCATAAAACAAACACACCCGAAAAATTCTTAGAATTTTACCGCTTTCTTCAGCTCACTGCCTGATTAGTTTATCTTTTATTATGAGCTTGTTATCTACAAAATTTCTATTATGTGAATGAAAATAGGGTCAAATATTTTAACATTAGGAAGGTGAGATGCTCTAGTTAGTGTTTGTTGTGCCATTATAGTGAAGAAATTTAGTTTAATGGGGTATGTGTTAATAAGATATTTGCAATTTGAGAAGATTGTATGTAATCCTCTCCCCATACACTTAGTATAAACTTATCACCCATTTAGATCTCATGTTTCCAGCTTGACAGGATATGCTCTCTATTTGTGACATAAGCTTCTTTGGAACTGTGCTATGATTAGGACATGTCATGCAGTGATTGACTCTAATAAAAGAAAATTGATGCTGGCGCATTAAAAATTTTCTTTTGGTTTTTTTCTTAGATTATCATCTCATGGCTGATTTGTTAATTCCATGTCACATTGATATAATACTTGTCATGATGGATTATAATACAAACAGCAATATCACATATAATTGCAGAATGTTCCCTATGTTTTCGTTCCATCAAAGCAAGCTCTGGGTCGTGCATGTGGAGTTACCAGACCAGTCATTGCATGTTCTGTGACTAGCAACGAGGGAAGCCAGTTGAAATCCCAAATACAACAATTGAAGGTAATGATCATCTCTAATCAATTGTAACAATGGCCATTAACATTCTTCCTCAAGTACATTTTATTGTATTTTTCAGGATGCCATCGAAAAGCTCCTCATCTGATAAGGTGATGCTGTTTACAGTGTGATGGGCCTCTGGAACCAAGCCCGAGGCTTTGACTGAGGAAGTTTCTTTACAGAACGGTTTGTTTCGAAGACTTTTTTGCACTTTACTTGCCTGTATCATTATTGGTAGAGAATTATGTGTGCCATTTTACCATGAACGAACACAAGTAAGACATTAGCTTGAACTAGAATCCAAGAAGTGTTACCGAGTGAAATTACTTGTGGGAACTGTCTTTTATTCATTATTATTCCATATTCTGAAAGACATTGGGAAAAAGAAAAAAATAGTTTGAAGTACCTGGGTTGCAATGTTAGGCTTACTCATTCAACAAACCATACCGGAAAAAGGCAAGATAAAATTGAAGTATAGGCCATAGTTGCTGCATGACAATTTTTATTTTTTAAAATAATATATAATAAATACATATATGTATATATATATTTGAAAGTAGAAGTTATCATATGATTGGGAAAATTTAGTGGATAATATGATTATGGTGATAGAATTGTTGTATAGCTCAGCTGTCTTATTTGACCATTGGTGGGGTGAGCTGAAGTTTGTTGAACCATCGAGGGAGAACTGTTTTGCATCAGCTTATTTTTTATTTTTTAATTTTTCATTGCTCATACTTTTGGGTATACTTTTTTTGCCTTGTAACTTGTACCATATGTTTGAAATTCCTGTCCGTGGATTTTTCGCCATGTTTAGTTACACTAGTGATCTTATATTTTTACAATAAATTATGGCTCAAAGATTATTTTATTGGATACTAGTAAAATTACCCTAATACTGTTATAAGCTCCTATACCTATAGTATCGAGATCTTAGATCGTGTCTATTAATTATTAATAAACTTTATTGCACAACAATTTTAATATTAAAAAATATATTGTATTAAATATAATTTTTTAAAATATATTATACTAAAATTATTTTTATACAAATTATTATACTAAATATTTATTCATATTATAGTATTAAATATTTGTTTCGTGAGAATATGTTCACTTTAGATTTTAATTTGTCTACTAAAAGTGTGCTCATTATATTTAGTAATATGTAGTATATATTTTAAAAGTCGATACCTTTTTTTTTTTTTTTAATCTATTTATACAAATGTGTTTGATGGGCTTTATATATTTAGTACACTTATTCCATTTTAATTAAAAAATTGTATTACTAACCTCATAAATTTACAAATAATATTAAAATATTATTTTTCTTAATCTTTGTATTTATAAGTTTTAAGTATAGTTTTATAAGACAAAGTACTTGTTTTTTTTATCACTTTGTTATAATTTTCAAAATTCTCCTAAATTGCGTGAGGAATATTTTGAACTCCAATTATAGTTTGTCCAAGAAATTAAAAAAAAAACACTCAAGGAAAGTGTTTCTTAAAAAATTACAAAACTGGTATTTTAGTTAATACCTTATTGGGCCCAGAGAATTCAATCTTAATGGGCCCAAAGTTCCATATGGGCTTCAAACTTTTGTAAAATACATACACTGACTTGCCTGCTCCGCAGTCCGCTCCATCCATCTCACCGTCAATTTTCATCTGACGGTCAAGATTCTTTCCGCTCAATCCCGCTCCATCCTAAGAACCCTTTTTCTTTTCCCCTAAAAAATCTACACTCACATGTAATAAAAAAAACAAAAAAATAACTAGGTTACTATTCCAATACTTACACGACACACAAAGATGATATATTTATTTATTTATGGTTTGTAGAGAGAGAGCCCAATTTCTCGTTGTGAATGTCGATTTGATTGAGCAAGTGAATAAAATGCATTTGCTACTTCTACAACCAGTCTATTACAAAAACAAAATAAAACAAAACAAACGCCCCTTGCGTCGATATTTAGTTGCTTTCTTAAGGTACAAAGCAGGGCAACCCTTATTAAGCACCCAGCAAGGAACAAGAACCACCCTTTGGTGCTCCACTCCAACCTGTAACGCTCTCTCTCTTCTCTTTCTCTCTCTGTATTGCCTTTGCCCTCTTCTTCTCTCTTGTGGAATTCTGCTGAACGCTGTGGTGCTGGATTGCTGGAAGGCGGGCTCATTCTTGGCAATCTTCATTGGCACTGTCGTCTACCTCAGATCTTGAGGTGGGTTTGACTTTTCTTCCTTGTTCTTCCATTCCCCGCTTCGCTTTCGCCTCTCAATTTGTGTGTGTTCGGTTCCTGACTGAGAGATCTCCAATGGGGGGCTTTCAATTTTGTTGTTGCTGCAGATTTTTGCTTTTTTTCAAGCGCAGAGAATGGATAAATTGCAGTGGGGGAATCGGAAGCGGCTGAGGTGTGTAAAAGTAAAAGACCCGTCTTTGAATGGAAAATCAGATGGCAACGGCAGCGTCAGCGGCGGCGGCGGCGTTGTGAAGAAGAAAATAACTTCCAGAGTGGTAGAGAATAGCCACAGCAATAATGTTAATAGCTGCAGCAAAGATGGGCGTCCTCTTCCTCCAGTTCCTTCTCCTCATCGCTCTCATAGGTAACAAGAAGACAGATTGAATCCTTGCTTTTTCCTTATCTTGTTTCTTCCTTCTATTTTTTTAAAAATTATCTATATCCTTATCTGATTTTTTGATGAATTATTTTGGAGAAATGAAGGATGAGTGTTTAGATTTGGATTCCGGTATTGGGGTTTGGGTTTGTCCCTGTTTTTCTGATTCAAGTTTCTTGAAAAAGGTTGGTCCCTTCAGAAAGTATTTGCAAATTTTAGATTTACTTGTGCAAATCCTTTTGTTATGGAAGGATCAGAGTTGGGTTTAGCATTCTGTAAAAGAATTTCATGAGTTGGATAAACTTGAGGATTTCTGTGGGTGCTTGTGGACTGTTATTTTTTTGGATCTGTTTCATAATTGGAAAAAGAGTCATGTTGAAAGTGGGAAATTAAGAAGATATTCTTCCTAAAAGAAACTGGCCTTCTGCCTAATTCTTGATTTCTTTCCACAATTGAGCACAATGAGTTTGGTGGTTGTCTGAAATGAAGCAGTATTTACTTGAACTGAAAATGAATTGATGATCTTCTCAGGGATTTGGGGATGAGTAGATCTTCTTTGAATGATAATCGAAAGGCTTCAACATCCTTGTCGCCTGAGAAGGAAGACAGATATTACACAACAAGGGGGTCTGGTGGGCTTGATGATGGTTGCAAGGCATTGTTTTCAGATCCAAAGGAGGAAAAGAAAAAAGTTGTTTGGCCCAAGTTGTTAATCACGCTGTCGAGTAAAGAGAAAGAGGAGGATTTTATGGCGATGAAAGGTTGTAAACCGCCACAAAGGCCGAAGAAAAGGGCCAAGATGGTCCAAAGAACCATATTGGTGAGTGAAAATTTGAGACATTCACATGAGCTGTTTAATCGTGATTTGCGTATTGTCACGTTTATCTCACATCCTCGTGTTTCTACAGTTGGTGAGTCCCGGAGCATGGTTAACAGACTTGTGCCAAGAGAGGTATGAAGTGAGAGAGAAGAAGACTTCGAAGAAGGTAATAAGTTTTAACATACCAAACTGCATTTGTCCAATGGTCTTGATTTATCACATTCCTTCCTACAAGATTGTTTCTTTTGCCTTAAACGATTTATCTTTTCAACAAATGAACTCATTTTGTTTACAGAAGCCTCGAGGATTGAAAGCTATGGGGAGCATGGAAAGCGATTCGGAGTGATGGACTGGTAAATGCAGAGGCAAAGAGCTCGACCACCATTATTTCTTTCTCATCATCTCATTTTTGGAATATGCAGAAAAGAGCATACAAATCCAGATGCAGTATTCGAGCATTCTCAGAGATGTAATACTGCGAAAGTAAACATAACCTATTGCTAGTGAGATATCGCCCCTTTCTGCATTTCCATCCTCCCTTTTGTTGGGTTGTGTTGTTCCTCTACTGTATTAACTGCTCGTGCTATTCGCGCGCACATTGCTCGTCTTAAGAAATCATCTTTTAGTTCAGTTGCATATATATATATATATATATATACATATCGCTGAGCTGACAGCATATGATCATATTTTGATCCCATCTTGCAGCCATAGTTAATTAGTTATCTGCTTCAGCCTCTTTTTATTGAAATTTCTTCATTTGTTTGTAGCTTCTGTTTGATTCACTTCAAAGTTTAATAATGATTGGTGACATTGTGAGACATGGTTAATTGTAGCTGTCAAGCAATCCCCAGAGACTTGTTTGTTTATCTTCATTGTTTTTGTATTTTTCAACAAACTTAGGCAAAATTACAGGCTGCTTTTGGGACAGCAGAAGGGTCAAAAATTACCATCACAGAGGTCACATTTTACAAGCAAACCTAGCAAAATTACAGATAAACAATAGAAGAGCAGAGAAGGGAGAATCAATCGAGACTAAATTGGATTGATTAATCATAGATTGCTTGTCAAAAGGGTAAGGCTGTTCATCCATTTCTTCTTGCCTGTTTTTCATGGGCAATTAGGGTTTCTACCAGGGCCTCCGTAGTAAAAATAATGTCCCCATTCCTTGTTGTGGCCAGGTTGCACATCATAACAGTTGGATTGCTCTGTGTAGGTGCCAAGATCCTTTGGAGGCTTAAGATTGTTAGCCTTGTCCACCACTTGGATGTTCCGGAAATAGCTCGATTTTCCGAACCCTTCTTCCGGAAAATGCCCGCTCCCCATTTGAGTCGAGGTATGGCGCCCGTCTGGCCGTGAATTCACCACCTCTCCGCCCCATTCGATCATGGATGCGCTGTCCCCCAAGTTGGAAAACAAGATTGATGGCCAGTAGCCCATCACATGGTCATCCCCGAACTGCATCCACCAGTTCCCGACTTTTGGATCCTGTGTATATACATAAATGTATGATCAGAAGCAAGAAACTTCAGGTATGGTGAGTGGCTTATAAGATAGTTTTCACCTTCCAGATGAGAATGCTAATGTCGTATTGGGAATTTCGAAATGCAGACACCGGAGAGATGCTTGCGCCCATTGCTATGTCACTGCTTACTTGAATGAAGCCCGAGCAGAGAAGGTTGTAGCACCCCGTCGCTTGATATGCATCGCTCTGCATCACAACAGTATGTCACACTTGATCCTTTTTGGCTCATATAAGTTTTTAAAAAGAGAAGACGACTTTTTTGTATTAGCTTACAGTCCAGTAAGTGAAGAGCCTGGTGTTGTTGTCGCCGTAGAGATCCGGGCTGACCTGAAACGAATTATATAGCTTGAATCCATCATACACTATGATCAGGGCTGTTATGTTATGAATGATACCTGCCAACCAGCTTCAATGCTGTTAAGATCTTGGCCGAAAGAACCTCCAAGCAGCCACATTTGGGATAAGCTGAATTCATTAGGCTGCTGAATCTTAGGTTCCCAGACATTGATTGTTGCCTTTGCTCCATAATACTTCCCGCCTTGGACGAAAGCTATGGCGTGCTGCATAAACAAAAAATTTCATCATCTGGTCATATGATAGTGACGTGTTAATTCATCTTCAATTATGACTATAACCTGATGGCCACTCTGGTTCATGAAGTCTGCTGACCGGGGCTTAGGGAAGCTTCTGTGGTTCTTCTTCCCGTAAGTTTTGATGGAGCTCGCCCGGAGCACGTCGTCCTGGCTCGTTCTTCTTATGGGGACAGTGTCGGGCGGACACCGCCGGCCGCCGGCGTGCCAGAGCTGAGTGACTGCAGGATTGGCTGTTTTCTTGTCTTTGTGAATTGCTTCTGAAATCTTGACATCGTCGAACAGCCCTCCGGGGATCGACTGGATGAGCAAATGTATTTAATTCAGGTGTTGTGATGATGGAATTTTAATTGAGTTGAGGAAGAATGGATGAATTAGGGGAACCTGGATTTTGTGGTCTTTGAGGAAAGGATGATCGAAAGCGGGCTGTTGGGATATGTGCACGCAGTCGATGATGTCCCCGTCGGGGCTCTGCATTTGTACGAGAAAGAGAAGAATTGAGTCGATGAACAAACACATTTATTTAATTATATACGGAGGGACCTGACCTGAATTGATTTGATTGGGGGCTTATTGAGTCTGTCCAAATGATTCTGAAGTTGAAGTTGAAGTTGAAGCTGGACGTTCCTGGGAGCAGCAGATAGTAAAGGTAGCAGCGCGAAGAAGACGATTAACAGCGCCGGCGCCGAGTGGCCGCCATTGTTGGAACAACTGCGAGCTCTGTCCATGGAGTCGGGTGAATGAATGAATCAACAGAGAGAGAGAGACACACACAAACAGAGAGCGCCGGTTTAATACTACATAATGTACTTTCCCTGAAATGGTGCTGTGTGTGAATGTGAATCCAGATTTCAATAAAGATGGTGGAAAGTGAGTCCACCGCCTCCTCCACCTCCATCTCCATGGAAATGGAACCATATATATATATATCAATATTTTAATGATATGCGAGAGAATCTGCGTCGCTATCTCAAAATAAAATTTTTAAATATAATTATTTGGATAATGAATAAATTGTTGTTACTAAATTCAACACATACAATACAAATACAATACAAGCTAAGCTACTCATTATTGCAAATTGCAAATTGCAATGCAGCTGTAGCATATAGATACACATAACACAAGTTGGCTGTATCCACAAAAATACACATACACACGTGTACGTGCGTGTGTGTGTGTTATGAGAAGGAGTTGTGTTTGATTAGGATTCGGATCCATTATTGGTATCACTATTGTTATTGTTATTATTATTATTATTAGTATGTTTCCAGTTTGCATTGCATGCATGATTGGCGCTGCACATTAATACACCAAATTATTTAATTATTTGTTGACCATTCCTAGAAACACAACTTTAGATAATAATAATATATGTGCACTATATCCATATATTGACTCTTTACAATTATTACTATTTTTTATTAAAATAATTATGAATTATAAAATTGTAATTGTAATTAAAGTGTCACCTAAAGTAAACTGAAATTCAAAAAATTAAATATTTTATATGGAATAAAAAGAATATATTTTTGTTTCAGAAAAATATAGAATGTAAATAATGAAATTCGAAAAATGAATTTAAAAGAAACATAATGATTGTGGATGTGATGTGAATCCTTGAAAATAATCTAAAGTTTATTCTAGGGATGGCCATGACCATGATTGGCGTTCGTTTCTTTACTATCCATGTCTGTGTTTCTCAAAAACCCCTGTCCTTTCAACATAAAAAAAAAAAAAAAAAAAAAAAAAATTGTTTGAATAATAAGAAATTTGGAATTTGTTTGATTTGTATTTCAAATTTGTTTTTTTCTATCATCCAATTTACATATTTTTAATAATAAATATATATATATAGTTATAAAATAAAAATTAAATTAAAAATTTGAATCAAAGCCGTAGAATTTTTAAGAAAAACGTCGTATATTATTAGTGGGCTGAGACTCTTCAAAGCCCATTTATAATTTAAGTATATAAAGTCCAGCTTCAATAACAAGCCTTCCATAATCAGCAGCCGTACATCGTCTTCAGCGGCCATCGTCGTTGTCCATGGCCCAATACAAATGTGTAAAAAACTTGTTTGTCCAGTCATTCCCTCTCTGCGGCTATAAACAGAAGCAAATGTGAGTAAAGGTCTGCACCGGCCTAATCGGCGACCGTCTTCTACCCAGAACGCCTCGCCCAACCTCTCTGCCGGCGAATTGCTTCTTGGTGTGGTTAAATCTTCACTCGACGGAATGGTATGAATTTGAACGATGAAATTCTTTTTATTCATTAACTTACGGTGAGGGTATTTGTTCCATCCGTACCGAAAAGGAACAAATTTGAAATTTCTAGCGTTTCAGTAGTGGTAAAGATAATGGGATTTTGGTGTTGTCTTTACTGTGAGAAGGGAAGCCTACTTGATGGTTAACCTGAACATTTGAAGACCCTGGTTAATGTAGCGGATCTGAACTTAGTTGATGCGGTTCAGAGCCTCGAGTAGCCTTGTCAATATATGTTGGAACCTTAACCATCAGAATGTACAGACGCCGAGGCACAAACCTTTTATGCTCGCCAGCATTGCTGGTTTCATGTCTCAGCGGTCATGCAATCAATGCCTTTCCACTCTCCTCGCGAAATCGTTGCCTCCAAATACTCGGCTGTACAAAGCAAGAAGTTTACTTGGTGTCCTACTGGTTGAGGGCATACTCAACGCCGGCAGTGACATAACCCCACCAGCATCATCTCTGGCATCAAATCTTGTTCAAGTCTTTGCCCAGTTGGGCTGTCCAGAGGAAGCCCTACTCGTCTTTGACAGGTTCCACTGCATCGACAATATTTCCTGTAATGCTATTATGCGGGCCTATGTGGATGCTGCTCAATTTTCTCAAGCAATCCAGTTCTTTGATGATTTGGTATTCAAGCTATGTATTGTACCTGATAATTACACTTGGCCGCTTATCTTAAAGGCCTGCTCAGGATTATGTGCACTTGAAAAGGGAAGAGAGGTGCATGATTTGATCCGGTCCTTTGAGAGTCGTCACTGCTTAAAAGTGAATGCATACACAAAATGTGCCCTGATCGACATGTTTGCAAAATGCGGAAGCTTGGATGAAGCTCATAAAATATTTGATGATATGCCTCGGAAAGAGAGAGATCTTGCTTCTTGGACTGCCATTATATGTGGAACAGTACACCATGGGAAGTGGTCTGCAGCAGTATGTTTGTTTAGAAACATGAGGCTGGAAGGCTTGCGTCCAGATCCAGTGGTGGTTGCTGCAATACTTCCAGCCTGTGGCCGTACAGAAGCTAGACATGCAGGGATGTCTCTACAAGGCTGTGCTGTGAAAAGTGGCTTTCACCATGATTTGGTTGTTTCAAATGCTGTCATGGATATGTACTGTAAACTCGGAAATGTTGATCAAGCGTACGGTATGTTTTGCAAAATGCTCAATAAAGATGTCATCTCTTGGAGCACCTTAATAGCTGGTTATTCACAGAATTGCCAACACTGGAGAAGCATTGAGCTCTACCGTGAGATGCTAAATCTTGGTGTAAAACCCAGTGTAGTTATTGTGTCAAGTATCCTCCAGACGCTTGGCAAGCTCAACTTATTTGAGCAGGGGATGGCAATGCATGGCTTCATTCTGAAACAAGGATTTGACTTTGATGTTGTTGTGGGATGTGCTCTGATATTCATGTACTCGAGCTGTGGTTCCATTGGAGACTTGAATATGCTTTTAAGCAATTGGTCGGATAGGGACATCATGATTTGGAACTCAGCCATTGCAGGGCATGCTTCTTATGGGAATTCTGATGCTGCACTCAACACCTTTCGGGATTTGTGGAAGGCTGGTGTCAAACTGAATTCCATCACTCTGATGAGCATCCTTCCAATATGTACCAAAATGGGGGCCCTTAAACAGGGGATGGAAGTCCATTGCCATGTACTCAGAAGCAATCTTGCAATATCTGTTTCAGTGGATAATGCACTAATTGATATGTACTGCAAATGCGGATACCTACATTATGGACTGATGATTTTCGATCACATGATGGAAAAGGATGTTGTTTCTTACAACACAATGATTTCTGCCTACGGATTCCATGGGTTTGGAAAGCAAGCGCTGATACTATTTGATGAGATGAAATCTTCAGCCATGCAACCCACAAAAGCGACTTTTGTAGGCCTTCTGTCTGCTTGTAGTCATACTGGCCTAGTTCAGCAGGGTTCGTCTCTCTACAGTTCCATGATTAATGATTATGGCATAGTGCCCAACATGGAACACTACTCATGCATGGTAGATCTGCTAGGTAGAGCTGGGCGCATTCACGATGCGTGTGACTTCATCAGACGAATGCCTGAGGAACCAGATGGTAATGTTCTGGGATGCTTGCTAGCTGCTTGCCGAATTCACAACATGATGGAACCAATGGATGCCCTTGCGGAAGAAATACTGCAAAGTCAGTTGGAAGATACCGGGTATCATATCCTCTTGTCGAATCTCTATGCATCCACAAAGAAGTGGAAAGATTCTTCAAGGGTTAGAGCTCTAATAAAGGAAAAAGGCTTAAGAAAAAAACCTGGAATGAGTTGGATACAAACAGGTCACTGCACTCATGTATTTGATGCTAGAGATACAACTCATAGAGAGTTCCACAAAATACAACACATTCTTGGAATCTTGTCACTGGACATGAAGGAAATCTATGCAGTGGATCCTTGTCTCTCTGCCCCTTCACTTTGACGATCTGTTTAAAGAAGTCTACTGCAGTTTATGAGCTGCCATTGAGAAATATACCACAAATGTATTGGAGTAATATTTCTCTTGCTTGAATCTTCAAAGCAAAATGGATGCAATGTAAATGCATTGTACTCCACATAAACTTGAATCTCTCACGATTCAAGTAATACGTTCATTTTTTGGGTTGGTCTCTCTACAGTTCCATGGTTAATGATTATGGCATAGTGATGTTTGTGGGACACCAAAGTTCCTTCAAACCATTTATTTCAGGTCAGTCTGCAATCCTTATCTGCTCTTGAATGCTATCTGCTCTTTGTTTCCAAAGATCTCTGTCCTTAACTATATTTTTCGCTTATTAGTTTCTTTCCTTGTTGTTGTAAGATCTGAGGCTGTGCCAAATGGAACAACATCCAACCTACACAGGAATGATCAAATGGAGCAAATCTTGGTTTCAATAACCCGTCGATTGCCGAGACTAAGATCAATTTTATGGCTCAAATTTTGTGGAGCTGAACAAATGCAATGCGAAGAACAGGTAATTAATTAACTGCACACAAAGCTTGAATTCCAGAAATTTTCATTTCAATAATACTGATAAAGTGATAATGATAATCACAACACACAGGATACGTACATATGTTGCTGATAAAATTCATTTTCTCGTATACACACGTGTTTCATTTCATCTGTGAAAAAGTCGTCTAATCGGAATGTGCAGAAGAATAATCATAGTCTCGTCTACCCCCGTAGTACTGCGTGCTACCTGAAGATGCCGACGCGGTGCCGCCGCCGCCGCCGTCGGAATCGTCATCGCTGCTGCTGCCCCCGTAATATGAATCAGGGCTGCGAAGGCGATGAGGATAGGGAGATACGCAGAGATAGGTCCAGACGTAGAGCGCCCACCGCCCCAACTGCCGGAGGGGGAAGCCGATCACCAAATCGAGAAGTTGATCGCTGCTGACGCGGTCACGCTCCGGCAGGCAAGCCACCTGCTGCCACAACTCCGCCGATACGCTCGCCGTGGACGCCACCAGCACGCCGTTGAACGGCATCTTAGGTATGATTGATTTTGGGTTCTGCACATTTACTTGCTATACTTAAATATGTATAATTTCGTATAATATACTTTTTCTTTCTTCTTATTTTTACTTAAAAGATATTTATTTATTTGCTTGTTTGTTGACGAATGACGATGATTGGATAGATGGATTTTTATTATTTCTTTGCTGTAGAGAATAGAATATGATGTTGATGCCCCACCCCACTTACTCATCATAAAATTATCATGTCTACCAAACCCCATAAATCAAGACTTGATCATACCTTAAATTAAAGACAAATCATAGTGAAAGAATTGAATTCACTCATAACAGTAGCATCAGAAAATAGACAAAGTGAATTGAACACAATAAAAACCCAGTCCCAATTTTCGAATTCTTGTGAATAATAAATAATAGTATTTTGGTGTTGTCTATTGGGGAGTAGTCTTGAGGACAGGGAACGCAATAACATCCCTTATACTACCTGAGTTGGTCAGCAGCATTACAAGCCTGTCAATGCCCAGCCCCTGCAATGGCACAAAACAATCTTCTTCTCATCATCCCAATTTTCAGATATAATCAGAGCTCAACAACTACATACCATGCCGGATGCCGGAGGCATGCCGTATTCCAGAGCGGCTAAAAAGTCTTCATCAAGGCTTACATCGTACACATCTTCGTCTTTCTTGGATGCTTCTGCATTCTTCTTTTTATGCTGCCTCACTTGCTCTTCCAGCCGTCCTCTCTGCAAACCACCCGAACAGATTCAGGATGTGTGTGTGGATGTACAAGGATTGGAAATTGTAGGATAATTACCTGGTCCAGTGGATCAGTCAATTCAGAGAAAGCATTTGCCATCTCCCGACCACATACAAACAGCTCGAACCTCTCTGTCAGCCCTGCGCGTCTGAAGACCATACAAACAACTGTAAGATACTATAAAATACTATTTGGCTACTATGGTTATTGTAAAAGCTTGAATACCTTCTATGAGGTTTGGCCAGCGGAGATACTTCAAGTGGGTAGTCTAGGACAAATGTGGGCTGCAATAACTGTGGCTCCACGACTAGTTCAAAAACCTGGCCAGTACAGCATATTTTACATCTCACATTATACGGTATTTATTGAAATTGAAACTAGATAATTCCGTCTGTGAACTAAGTTGCGCGGATCAACCTCATTCAGTAAGTGTCCAACAGATGGGCATGCTTCAATTAAACTTCTGTTTTGATTAACGAGCTCAACATCCAGTGTTTGCAAAGTAGCTTCTTTTGCTGCAGTAAGATCATCACCAAATGTGTTAAAATCAATCCTCGTTGCTTCTTTGACAAGATTATGCATGGTCTCCCTCCTCCAAGGTCTTTCTAAACATATTTCTACATCCTGCAACAAACAACGAAGATGTCAATTGTCCGCAATGAAAACCAAAATGAGAATTCAGTCCTATGTTTCAGATAGGAAAAAGAAATATGAAGGAAGGTTAATCTTATTAAAATGCAGCCAGACCATACAAGAGGGGTAAAAGAATTACCTGATAATCAAGGGTAAGTTTCCCATTGACGGCAAGAGCACATCGCGTTATAATTTCTTCCGCCATATTCATCATGCTTTCATAATCTGAATAAGCTTCATACATCTATCATAGAGCAATTTATTGGTAATTTAATAGAACAGGAAAAGTATCACAACTAAGGCATAGGATGTATATCGAGAGCAAGCAAGATGGACGGATCCATACAGACTTACCTCAATGGTGGTAAATTCCGGATTGTGACGAGTTGAGAGGCCCTCATTTCTGAAGATTCTTCCTATCTCGTATACCTTTTCAAATCCACCCACCTGTCAAAAACATTAGTTGGAATGTATTAATTACCATAAATGCTCAAGCAATAAAGCAAGCTCATTGTTTTAGAAGTAATCCAAAAAGTTAGAAGCAAGGGGAGGGCTAAAATTTTATAATAGTCACAATGCATGAATCAAGTGATGATTATGAAGGTTCACAAACAGAAAGCTGCTCAGATTGAATATTTTTTACGTGAACTTAGAGAAAAGCTTCCATGAGAAATTTAGAGGTGGCGAAGCAATCTCACCAGCATTCTTTTCAGGTGGAGTTCAGTTGCAATTCGGAGATAAAGATCTTGGCCAAGAGAGTTGTGGTATGTAATGAATGGCCTAGCTTCAGCGCCACCAGCAGTTCCCTTTGACAAAATCAATCAAATACTACTTCGTACAATGATTTCAGGGAAAAGGGATCTAAATCTCATAAATGTCTTGCATGATTTTCAAATACCTGAAGAACTGGAGTTTCGACTTCAATAAAACCAACTGATTCTACTGTCTTTCGTATTTCTGATATAATCTACTGAAAACATGACAAAGGTTATCGCCTTTCCAAATGCAACTAGAATAGCTTGCAGTAATAAATCTGAAAAGAACAACAGGAACTAACCTTAGCTCTTTTCCTAAATACATCAGCTACCTCAGGATTCGCAATCATATCTACATACCTTTAAACAAACAAACAAAGAGTATGCATGAGAAAAAAAAAAAAAAAAACTATATATGTGGGCACTACCGGTAGAGATGGTGGCTTGATTTAGCAACAAATGAATAAAGAGAGCTTGATATCAAGCATGATATGCACAACATATTTAATGCATGCATGATCATAAATTGAGCAAAGAGAGAGTCTTACCTTTGACGATATCGTTTATCAATGTCTGTAAGACCATGATATTTATCCGGCAAGGGAAGCAATGTTTTTGTTAGGATTGTAAATGATGTCACACAAACAGATAACTCCCCTGCAGTGAAAAAAAAAAAAAAAAAAAAAAAAGAAAAAGAAAGAAAGCACAAAACTAATACATTAAAGGGTGCATGAGTTAATGAAGTTATTTTAGCAAAAAAATTATAAAATTACACGGAAATCAAAGGAAGAGCAAAACTCTTTTCTAATATGTTCTTCACTAGCCACAATACTTCTGAATTTTAAAGTAGGTCAACAATTTAAAGTTTTGATCTTACTGTTATTAGTTTGCCCTGCCTTTTTAGGAATGAGTTAACAAACTGCCATAACACAAAATTTGATAACAAACTGTCAACAGGTACCTTTTTCTGTGCGCTTAATTGAGCCTCTTGCACCCAATATATCACCGATATCAACTAGGGTTTTCAAATGGTCAAACTGCTCACTGAGTAGCCTTTCCTTCTCACAGTAAAGCTAAAACAAAAAATCAATATCTTTATCAAACTGAATAAAATAAAATAATGCACACCAACAAATTTTGTAGAATAAATCGATATAACCACATTGGTATTATTCATTTTAACTTGCATATCCCTGAATTTTCTAAAGCAACAGATGATGCACCCAAAACTAGCAAATTTCATACCATGTGAAAAGTAATATACACCAATTGTTCATGATTATGTATAAGAATTTGAATGTTGAGAAAGAGAAGGCTGATTAAGCAGGAAATATCTATATATATATATATATATATATCGAGAGAGAGAGAGAGAGAGAGATGCCCCAATCTAATGGCGAGGACTGCATTGAAGCATAGATCAGCTAAATTTGTGACATCTCATACCACATTGCTTAAAAAAATGTTAAGAGGTAAAAGTTAAGACTGCACATAGAGCTTCACTTACTGACAACAGAGAATATTATTGGAAAATAAGTACAGAAAATTAGCATACTCAAGCCCACAGAAGTGTAAAGAAAGGAAACATCAGCAGAGCATACAAAAAGGTTACCAACTAGCAGCATAGCAACAGCCAACAGCCACGAAAGGAACTGATGATGGATTCCAGCTGAAGCTATAACTAGAAACTAGTTTTCTTGATATGTTAACCATCTTTTTTACATTGCAGATGTAACTTATGATTTTGAAACAACATCTAAACACTAATATGCATACAAATAACTGCAACAGAGAAAGTGTATAGATAGGCATATCGGATATTTAAATATTTAACAGGAAACCTGGATTGTGCCCGAGTCATCCCTCAATGTCAAAAAGGCAAGCTTTCCAAAAGCTCTTCGGGCCACAATTCGTCCAGAAACAGACACATGATCATTGTCACTAGCTAGCTCCTCGCCATCTCCCAGATTTTTATATATCACTTGAAGCTGATTTGCTGTATGGGTGCGATCCCATTTGTAGGCATAGGGATCTAAGCCCTTGCTTCTTAGTTCTTCTACCTAATATTATCAGGAGCAGTCATAGGAAAGTCAAAGCGGCAAGAACTTCCTTAGTTCATCTAACTAAAATGATCAAAATCAGTCATGTGGAATCAAAGGGCAGGTGAATACAATGCCACACAAGATACTATAAAAACTGTTCAGATTATTTGATGATGAGAGCAATTCATTTCAAGTTTACATTCCATTTCCAACGAATTATAAAGTTCAAGATCTCAAAGTTCAGAATATTTCTACGTGTGAACGGTTCAACTCTCTTAAAGCAGCACCATGAAAAACAATTCACCATTGTATAATGTCCATAGGGTTAGAAGGCAAAATGGATACAATGAGTCATATAGCAGAATCTTTAACAATTAAGACAAACCATATGAGAAACAACTCCCGTAAGGCAGCAATAGTAACACTAAATGGATCATGTTAATCAAGGGAAAGATCTAACTAACTCAAGTTTCTTTATAAAAACATCCTTCACAGTTTCAAAAACAATGCCCAATTAGTTCACGATTTCTCGAAATCAATAAAACGAAAATAAAGCAATACCATGGCGCATTGTTTCTCCTATTCACACTAAATTTTCAAGCACGCATTGCTTATACTATTATTAGAAAGGTGTCCAATATTGCACCTTTTTTATACGTATGGCGCGAATGGCCTCTCTGTCAGAGGTGGAATTCGTCGAGGATGAAGCCTTTCGGTTGCGACCGCCGGTCACGACCGCAGCCGCGCCGGCGGAAGAAGACGAGGAAGAACAGCATCGTACAATGAAAAAAGGTCGGATTTTTCCATAAAGATATTGGTTTTGGTTGAACTTAGAAGAGACCGTAAGCTGGAACAGCTGCTTCAGCCTCAAAGGATGCAGCGCCACCTCCATTTTGGCTCCCCCCTCTGCTCCCTCGCTCTGCAAAAGACACTTTTTTTTTATCCTACTTCTACTCCACCAAGGATATACATTTCGGGCCTGAAATCAATTTTAGCCCTATTTTTGGGCCTACAGTTATAGAAATAGCCCATTAACAGAATATTAGGCTTATTATGGGCCTACAATCACAGAATTAGCCTGCTATCCGAATATTCGGCTTATTCATTATTCGTTAATAAATCAATTATCAATTTACCTTTTACCTTTTACCCAATTTTCTTATCAAACTTCTAAACCCTAAAATCTAAATCTGAAGCTAAATTAACCTCCATTGATAGGGTAGTATAAACTCAAACTATTGACTTTTGTGCATATTCTGCTCGATCCTTGTGTTGCTCAATGTCGTCTTGCATTTTGTTTTACTTTTGTTTGATTGATTATTACTACAAAATTACCGTCTTCTCTGATAGAGAATTGGTATGAATGATGGAAGTCTAATAACGCCATAGATTGTCAAAGATGAAGGTTTACTATCACAGAGACTGCAGCGTACAAATCATGAAGCCGTCAGCTCTATACTTATATATAGATACATATATAAATATATATATGCATATGAACAATGCATAATTCCAGATTTTAAAGAAAATGATCAGCAAGACTTACCATGCATTACAGTCTTCCAGAACAGCACAGTAATCCCAGCATTGTTCCTAATTATATATATATGTATGTATATGTACGTGTTCATAATCAAACTCCTTCATTAATTCGATTCGATTCGATGCTAAATTAAGTGCATGATTGTGCTGCTGTAAACAAGATCGATCCAACTTCCATCCGATCCTCTTTACTTCAGCCTCTCGTCGTCTAATGAGCAATACCTCATCAGTTACGTCTGCATATGTACGTATGCAGAGAAAGAGAGAGAGGGGGGGGGGGGGGGGGGGGGAGGGTAAGCGAGAGAGAGTGCAGTGCGGCTGAACAAATGAGAAGGCGATTAGTGTAAGCGGAAATTCGTTGGAAGCTTACAGGGGTCATGAAAGGAGAGGGTTCTGCACTTACCTGGCAGCATTTGGAGCCTCCTCCATAAGAACCCTCAGCTCCGACGGTTTTCAGATCGCAGGCACACACTTAAGCTACGCACACTCTCAGACAATAGATAATCAATGGCGACAAAGAGGAAGCTGGATGCCTACGACCAGCACCAAGAGTTCCTGCGGTCCATGCTGCAGGAAGCGGGCGACCATCTCACGTCCCGCTTCTACACTAGTCCGCCGGAGCAGAGGCAGGTTTTTGAGGGTGGTGAAACCTACGCCATTGTAAGACCCCTTTTTTCTTGATTTGATTTTTTTTTCGTTTTCTTGTAGATCTCAGTTAGTTTTGTATATGTGATCTCTGTTTCCATGTTCTAACTTTTCTTCGTGATTGAAGCTTGAGAAGCTGTCAAGAGTTTTTTGACATGAATACATATATATCTACTTTTAATTGATTTGGCTGGATTTCTTTATATGAATTTATTTGTTTATAATTGTGTTGATGCTGTGATTCAGTATCATTAGACGTATATTTTTGTCTGTTTGATAAATTGGAGGATTTAGGAAGTGTATGTTTGTTGAATTGGAATTAAATAGATTCTTCTTTTTCTGATATCTTGCTGCAGTTCAAATTCATAAGATGTGTATGTATGTGAATATATATGGAGTGATAAGTGCACATTCTATCTTGCTAGTTAAATGTGTGCATCTTGATTCTTTTGTCGTGTTTCCTGTTTCTATGGAAAAAAAAGGTATTCAATGAAAACGATCTGTCATATGTTGGTTTTCATGTAAAGGAACTGTCTTTTTTCGTGTTTTTGTTGCTGATTCTGTTATATCTGTCATTTATGATCGTTGGAATTTTATTCCCTCATGTGTTCTGAAATCGCCGCGTGTAATAATCAATGCCAGAATATATGTCGAATTGTGTCATATTTAACAGAAGAACATTTTAGTCAATCATATGGATTCCTGGATGGTTGAAAAGTTTTGGATTTTGGTGGCCTTTGCGGCTGTCAGAATTGTCGGGAAAATGTTTTAAAGTGACTGTATTTATTCTTGTATGTTCTATGAATTATTTTTTGTCGTGGCCATGCCATGTTTTGTCGTGACCACCGCATGAGGAGCAACAATAGCAATAGATCAATTCTTTTGCTGATGAATAGAATATCCTTTTCTTGAAAAGCATGTCTTGATTCCTTAAATATGTCTGACGAAAAACTCTATGTGACTCCTCATTGGCTGCAGAGTATCAAATTTATCATGTCGCATACTTTTTCGATATGTAAGAGAATCTTGGCAGAGTGCCGCCTTACGTGTTCATTCTTACTTTAGTGTTTAAACTTCAACTTGAACTTACACGTCATGACGGAACGAATTTCGATAAATTCTGCCTTAGAAGTTTGTTAGTTTTGCACTACTTGCTCACAATTCCGATAAATCTCCTATCTTTATAACATCGATAAACTTGTAACTATTTCATCTGTCCGAGATATATAATTCAGCAAAAACTTGTAATGCTTATTGCTATGGTTGTTTGACATATGTTTTTCCAGGTGAAGATGAATGAGTGGTTGATAACAAAGGGGATTGAAGGAAAGACGACTATGATGTATGATGTCCATCAGTATCTTCAGGTACTTTCCGGATATCTTCTGTCTTCAGTCAATCTTATAATATGGTTCAAAAGTTCTGTTATGTGGACAACCAAAATGAGGTGAATCGTTCTTAATCCACATTCTTAACCTTGTTTTCTGCAGAACAAGCTGAACATATGGATTCCTGGGCTTGTCTGCGAGGATGCAGGATCCGCTCCACCTGCACCTGCACCAAATGTTGCGATGCAGCAGCAACTGGGTCCATCATCCTCCTCTGTGCCAAGCATCCTGGAGGAGTCTAACATGAACGTTGATGTTCCTGAATAAATTTCTGTCCTTTGCTATGCTCTGTAAGACTGATATTGTATTGTTCATGTGTGGAATGAAATTCTCCCGATTTCTCAGTCTTGTCTTGTCAGAGTCATGTTTCTCGAGCGACTTTCCCTTAATGCTAATACGCTCGTGAAACTTATTTGGTATATAAGTTAAGTGTGCTTCACTTATTCAAGATGTTTTCATACTTCTGTCATATCATATGTTTAACTTCTGAATATCTTTGTGGCATTGACACAAGAACATCGAAACACAACAGGTTTTTCTCGCTAAAATGAGTAATATTTTGTTCATATTCAGTGCATGCCTCGGCCCTGGCTCGATTGCGACTTTACGTGATTCCATCTTTTCTTTGAGGTTCAAACAAAAAAGAAAGAGAAGACAGGGAAATAGAAACTTTTTGTGTTATTCGTTCCCTTGGAGCACCACCTTTAATGGTTTCCATAATCATTTGGCTCCAACCACTTTCCATGTTCCTGAATGGCAATAGCCCCACCACTTCAAACCCATGATACAATCCTGTGAAAAAAGGCAATCATGGCAACCCCACACTATAACCAGTTTTCAGGTATATTTAGCAAGAAATGCTGTCTGAAGTGCACACCTCTGAAAAAGGATACACTAACTCCTATTAATAGCGTTCTTGTGCCTTAATCTTAATGATGAAATGGGATAGAAAAAGCAGTAAAAGATGCAGCCTTTTCAATCTACTTTTAAGATTTCTCCTGGCTGTTGATGCAGGTTAGATGTTGCCATTGATTGTGGCTCATTAAAGGCCAAACATTCACTCATTTCCAAAGGCATCAAAGTTTTTGCTTTGTCATCCAAGCATCTTTACTTCTTCGAAGAAGAATGTGGGGTGGGTTAAATAGAATAAGCACACATGTGAAACTTTTTTAGGAGCATTCTCATCATTAAACACGATGTCAAGAAGAGCAATTAAGGCCTCTGAATTGTAGCATATAATAAACTTCAATCACAATCCATAGTGCAAGTTTCTGCTGGTGAAGTCGGTAGACCTTTTTAGTTTTTACCTTTTTCACTATTTAATAATGTGAACAGTTGCATCAAGAACAGCACTTGTACCTAAAACCATTTTAATTTATTAGTATATATTGCTTAGAGTATAGTAGACCTGTTTATATGATGGTAACACCTATTTACCTGCTGTGGTTCGATGCTTAACGGCTCTAAATTAATGAGACAATATTGGCCCTGATTGCAAAGGGTTGGTGAGGATATGATAGTCCTATGGTTTATGTCACTTTTGTTGCAATAAAATAAATTCTTGGTATCCATTTCCTAGTGATCCCTCTGTAGCAGAGGCCTTTCCAACTCAAACCTCCTGATTTCTTTTTGTTCTTTCTGATCTTTGCTTCATGTATTCTCTGAAACCTTCTGTCTTGCCATTGCTGCCAGTTTGATCTTTTTTTACTGGGGGTCATGAAGATGAATGCAGTGTCTCGTTTTCTTTAGTGGTTCAGCAGTTATCTTCTTGCATCGATCCAGAAGTCAATCTTGTGAATATGAAATTCAGATGAAGGACACCATTTCCATGAGGGTTCTGTTTTGCAAGATCAACTGTCCATTAATGTGCTTCTGCAAGCCCTCTGCTGCTCATCTTTACGCTACACAGCCCCTTAAATTGGAGAACAGTCCACACATAACCCATTCAACAGATAGCACTGTTTCTGATATATTGGATAAAGCAACTTCAGGGATTAAAGGAGAGACTGTTAATGGCAAGCATGAAGCTGTGAGTGTACTCAGAAGCTGCATCAGGAAACTCCCAGCTCACTGCCATGCTGACAAGAAAATAGTACAGTGGGCAGATGATTTGGGGAATGAACTTGCTGAGATCAAGGAGTTTGAATCCAGGTGAATACTATTTTATCACTTTTCCCATGAAGTTTCTTACACCATCTAAAAAAAGTTTGATGAAACCTTTACAGTAATGTTCAAACCTTGTCATCAAGTGCTGCTTCTGTAATACAAAATTTTGGGCTTAGTGAAACAGGGGACATAGCCAATGGAGAGGAAAGTAGCTGTTGTTTTTGTGTGATTCTCTGATGCTGAGACCAGACCGGTGTTGTCGAGGAAAACTAATACCATTTGAACGGTTCCATAGTTTATAGACTGACCACAAAGATGCATGGTATGAAGTTCTTCTGTAGTTGTATTCTTGATTCTTTGCAGCCAAAAGACTACATTTAATTGTAAGTCTCAGAGACTAACCAAAATCAATTTTCATCTACTGTAAAAGATGGAGATATGTTTCATGAGCAACCAAGATGTTTTCTTGTGGTATTATGCCTACAGGCTGCAACAGCTTCTCTGTTTCTTGATTTCTTTTTGAAGATTATTGGTTAAAGACACCATGGGAGATATGAAACCCTCTGCAGATTCATTCATGTTGATTAAAATTCTTTGCTGCACAGTAGATGCATATGGTTGTAATTTACAGTATTTTTTCCATTTGACAACAAGCTTGATTTAGTCGAATGCTTATTTTCATCTGATGTGGAGGCAAGCATGGTTGTGCAAGTGTAATTCTGCATTTTCTTGAAAGGGTTTAAATTTCAATCTCAATTGGCTTCTCAATATTTTGACGAAAAGTTTGTGCATCATGAAGAAATGATTAAATAGGATCCTATGGGCAATGTTTTATAACCACACAATGACATAAAGCATAGTTATAGCTGATACTCGGCCAAGGTTATTTAAGAGCAGCTTCGAAGAAACTGTGTTGATCATATAATTTGCCTGCAAACTCTACAATGAATTCCCGCGTCCAAACAAGCTCTGTCTAATCTACTACTCCTTCCAGGAAAACAGATCTTGCCGAGGTGATCACCTAGTATCCGTAGCCTGATGCAGAGGAAGAATAAGTGAGCAATCGAGGCTCTTCAAAGTGCCGCATAATAAAGTCGCATAGAAAATACTAATCAGGTACCTGAGTTGTCCATTGGATTTCCTGTCACTACAGGTTCCGGCTCCTTGATCTCGACCACCACACAATCTGACATCAAGAATGTCTTGGCTACAGAAGCAGCGTGTTCTAAGCAGCACCTCACGACCTAAATCAAGAAATGATAACATGCTCAGTCCAAAAAGGTTAACTTCATAGAAGTGCATGACAGGATAAAATGTTAAAGAACACTAAATTAGAGTCTGCGCAATTTTGAGCATTAGTTTCAAACAGGAGGCTCAGATGAATTGTGTTATTAAAAATACATTTTAGCTTGTTCCCTAGTATAAGTAACACTCAGAACTCCTTTTCGGTTGGCAAACACAATAATTTATGGATGGAAAAAAACAAAACAGCATGTTCTACCTTGGTTGGATCTATGATTCCAGCAGTCATAAGATCTTCATATTGTCCAGTAGCAGCATTGTATCCATATCTAATATTGTCATTCGAGAGAACCTAAACACATAAGATTGAGTTAAATGTCATGTTCAGTGTGATATATGATTGCAAGAAACTACAATATGCAAGATTGGATGGGATCATATTCGCGGTAGAGCAACTTTAGCCTCTAGGTAAGTATGAGAATTAAGTATCCACGCACCTTCTCACTAACAACACTTCCGTTAACACCAGCGTTCTTGGCTATCAACTTCAATGGATAACTCAAAGCTCTTTTGACAATATCTGCTCCCACCTGCATCAAGGTTTAATTGAGAACAATTTAGGCCTAGAGAGATTAGAATCATAGAATGGATCATTGGTAACAATGTTAAAATTTTACCTTCTCCTCATCACTTTCAAGAGTTTCCTTGATAGCATCAACCTTGGATGCAAGCCTTAACAGGGCACATCCACCTCCAACAACAATACCCTCCTCAACGGCTGCCTGCAAGTAAGAATATTGCAGTATCAAAATAAATGCCTTTAAAAATACTAGGGGTTTATAAAGATTCCAATAACAAAAATTGAAGAAAAACGAAAGTAGTTCACCTTTGTAGCATTTAGAGCATCTTCTACTCTAAGCTTCTTTTCCTTCAGTTCAGTTTCTGTTTGTGCTCCAACCTTCACAGTTCCATAGAAGAGGATGGCATGAACAAATATTTTCACCAAGTCATACACTCTGGGAGGATGGTAATATTACCTGGATAACAGCAACACCTCCTGATAGCTTAGCAATTCTCTCATTCAGTTTTTCCTTTTCATAGTCTTGGTCTGCTGCCTGTTGAAAAAGTATTGTAACTCTTAGGCCGTAGGCAAGCCATATGCAGATCATAATCCATAAAGTAATGAATCAACAAGTCAAGAAGCACACCTCAATAAGGTTTTTAATCTGAGCAACTCGTTTATTTACAGCTTCTTGAGAGCTCCCAGTGCCGACTATTGTTGTGGTGTCCTTAGTCAGCACCACCTTGGCAGCATGGCCCAACACTTCCTTATCAGCCTTATCTAATGTCAGCCCGATTTCATCCCTGATCACAGTTCCTGTGTGCCAAGAAATCATTTTCTTAGAAACAGAATAACAGGAAAAGAAAGACGAGGATGGCTTCTGAACACACGGGATAATCAATGGAGTAAAACTTTGAAGGCAATTTAGCATGTAAGAAACAACCAGCAGACATGAAAAGAAAAACAAAAGTGTTACCTCCAGTTAAAATTGCAATGTCATCTAGATACTGACTCTTTCTTTCGCCAAAACCAGGAGCTTTGAGAGCAGCAACTTTTAGTGCCCCTCTTAGTTTGTTAACAACGAGGGTTCCTAATGCTTCTTGCTCAATATCTTCAGCAATTATGAGAACAGGATAAGCACCTTTAATAGCATCTTCCAAGACACCGATAAGATCTCTAGCATTGGTTATTTTCTTGTCAACCAGCAGTAGCTGCACAAGAAAAACATTTTATACCACATGCCTGAAAATTTTCACATGTATAGAATAAACAAGCACCAACCTTGCAATTTTCATATTCAACGGACATTTTCTCACTGTCGGTCACAAAATAGGGAGAAATATAGCCACGTTCGAACTGCATCCCTTCAACCACATAGAGACTATTATCAGCACTTTTTCCCTCTTCAAGAGTCACAACCCCTTTTCTACCAACTTTGCTCAATGCCTCAGCAATCATGTTTCCCACTTCATAGCTGTTCCCGGCACTCACAGCAGCAACATCTGCTAGCTCACTATCTTCCACCTGTAATCCCATAGTTATTAGTGAAATATTGCATCAGTATTAAGTAATCTTCACACTGTTTGCAGAAAACAGAAATCAATTGAACACCTCTTTTGAGATTGACTTGAGCTCGGAGACCAACACTTTGGTGGTTTTTTCAATCCCTCTAGTGATAAGAACTGGATTAGCTCCAGCTGCAACCACCTGAAAACACATGAACAGATCAAATTAGATGGCAGGGTTACAGCATTAATTGAAGCAGCATAAAGGACCTGCACATACCTTAACACCTTCGGTAATAAGACCCTGTGCAAGAACTACAGATGTTGTTGTTCCATCCCCAGCTAAGTCATTAGTCTTTGCTGCAGCTTGTCTCACTAATTTAGCACCAATGTTCTCAACTGGATCCTCCAATTCTACCTGTATGAATTCAAGAACTATCGTTTGTCATGCTTAGCTAGATAAGAATCTGTCACAGGACAAATAACTTTTGCTTATAAGACACAATAGACCACCAAGCAGACTTAAGATCATTATTGGAGTGCTGGCTTCAGCTTGTTTGAAAATGTCAGGAATTAAGCATACCTCTCTTGCTACAGTAACCCCATCATTGACAATTTTGGGGGCACCATATTTGCTCTCAAGAACCACATTTCTTCCCTTGGGACCAAGGGTTACACCAACTAGGTCGGCCAGTTTATTGACACCAAGCTGACAGCAGAAACCCCCTATTAATAATTTCATAAAAAAAAACGAGATGATCAGCTTAGCTTCACTTTTTTTTTATGACTAACCTGGAGTTTCTTTATAGCTGAGCCATCCTTGTTGAAATACAAATCTTTTGCAGCTGATTTTATGTGAGAATATCGTTTTTTGGGGAGTGCAATGCTCCTTCTCCTGCCAAAAGAACTAGAAGAGATAGAAACGAAGGACGACAACTTGTTTGGTGGAGTAGCAATTTTATCATCCAGAACCCTGCAACCAGGGGCAGCTAATGATGCAACTGCGGATATCCCAGCAAATGACGCCATTTACTTCTTCAAGCCTTGACATCAACAACAAATTTCAATTCTTGATAAGTAACAGAATTATAGTGCATTGCAATAAATGATAAGTATAAACAAAGTTAACAAGTACTCAACAACCCTACAGAACTTCTGCGTTTCTAGCTATGAAGAAAACGAAATGCTTGTTTGAGATATTGGTCTTTAGATCTAAACGGATACATTTCTTGCTTAAAGCTAGCAGAATTTGGTAAAAAAACATTACAATACACTTTTTAGGCTTCAATATCAATCCAAACCCACATAATCTCTCATCCAAATGTAAGGGGATTGGATCTGAACTCGAAGAATGAATACGTACCAACAATACCACAAAAAGTAATTAATCTTATCAATACGTAAGGACAAAAACAGTCTTCACCACAAAGAAAGGCATAAATCCACACAGAAGCGACCCGCACTCCACAGAAATGTTCACCAACAAACAATCACTGCCCTACACAAACCCTCGAGCCAAAAACTCTCAAATTGTTTGTTGTTGTTGTTGGGTTTTCTTTTCTTATTCTTTTCCCCTTTTTTTCCCTTTTTTTTTTTTTTTTTTTTTTTTGAGATAAGAAAAACACGAGAGAGAGCTCAAATGTGTTAGCAAGAAAAGCATCGAAAAGGCCCGAAATGAGTACATTAGAAAACATAATATTCGATGTAAAAACAAATTAGTTTAGAGCAGAACACCAGAACACAGGTAACTCAAGAAAACCCATCGACACTGCAGACGTATAAACAACGTCAAGTTGAAAGCAAAGATACATAATTTCCACTAAGCCGCTGACCTTAAAATAGATAAGGAACAAGATGAAACTGAAGGCTGATAAGGGTTTATGAGACGAGCGCCGCTGACAGTGAAGAAGAGGGCGTGTTTGGAATCAAGACTGCGCGCAGCAATTCTATGGATTTTATAGCAGATGATATGATAGGGTATGGCAATGGCAAGTGGGCGCTGTGAACTGATGGGTAAGTCATCAGGGAGTAATTTTTGGTTCTAGAAATATCCGCTGCATCTCAGCCGTTCGTTGTGGGTATGCTCTGCAGTGCAAGAAGGCCCAAAATGCTGCTGCTAGAAATGGGCTGAAACCATGCTGATATTTCTATGGAAGCACCTCCAAACAACCATCAATCAAGAAAACACACAAATGTTCTTTTACAGTGGTGAACAGAAACATGAGCCACAAAGCAACTCTCCTAATCATCAAAAGCCACACACAATTATACACTTGCAACCACAAAGAATATGAACACAAGTTTGATCATCACTCTGTAAAATCAAATTCCTAATCAGTAGAGTAGTTTTTTTGTCAGAACCAAGATGATCTAAGCAGGAGCATCATCAACAAGAGGGGTCTGGAGAGGTTCCAAAGAATCGACAATGTCTCGCATTAGAGGCCTCGCTTTTGGGTTGTCATTGAGACAATGATAAGCTAGCATAGCTGCTTTGTGCACGCCCTTTGTCGGGTATGCGCCTTCCAGCTTCGGATCAACAATGCTTAGCAGCTTCCCTTTTTCTTTCAGCAGAGGGAGTGCCCAATCCATAAGGTTCTGTTCTCTGGCTGGTCTGCTTTTGTCCAGAGACTTTCTGCCCGTAACAAGCTCGAGAAGAACTACTCCGAAGCTGTACACGTCGCTCCTTGGAGTTAAGTGGCCTACCATGCAGCCAAGACATGTGTCGATATGTTTAGAAAACCAGAAAAAGATTGTAGGAATGTAGACTGGTTGTCATATACCTGTCATTATATACTCGGGTGCAGCATAACCGTATGTTCCCATAATGCGAGTGGAAACGTATGATTTGTCGCCTTCCGGCCCATCTTTAGCTAGGCCGAAATCAGATAGTTTTGCATTGTATTCCTGCACTTTTATTGTTTTTGTGTCAAACAATCTTCGACCGTGCTATTCTATTATTGCATAGCCATGGACCAAATCACTGACTAACCTGGTCTAGTAAAATGTTGGATGTCTTAAAATCACGGTAAATGACAGGTTTCTCGGCGCCGTGCAGGAATGCTAAGCCCTTTGCCGCACCATATGCTATCTTCATTCTAGTAGACCAAGGAAGAGGATCTGACACTTCTGAAAAGAGACATACTTCTATTGTAAAGACTGTTGTGTAACTTGTAAAGATTTTGCGAACACAATGCTGATCAAAACAATAAAACAATAAACTTGGAGCAAAACAGAGGTTGCGAAATGTTAGATAACTTTTTAAATGGGAAGAGATATCTAACTTACTAGAAAACAGATTGTTTTCAACGCTGCCGCGAGGCATGTACTCGTATATTAGAACTCTGTGTTCAGCTTCGCAGCAATATCCGATCAATTTCACCAGATTTGGATGCGAAAGCTGCCCCAGAAAGATTACTTCGGCCTGAAATGCCAAGCAGAGTCAGCAGCCTGAGAAGTAGCTCATATCGATTGATGAACTACAAAAATCAAGATAGAAAGCTACTTATTAATTTACCAGCCATTCCCTGTGCCCTTGATAGCTATTATCTCCATCATGAACCTTAACTGCAACAGGGATTGGCTGCTGAACTTGTTCTCCCGAGACTCCTGGCATGAAGCCTTTGTACACACTTCCAAATCCTCCTCCACCCAACATGTAATCTTGTCTGAAGTTTTCGGTAATGGCCTTCAGCTGGTCAAATGCGAATACAGTAAGTGGATTAGCAGCCATACTGCGGCGTAGGTCTTCCACTTCTTCAGGATTTGATGGGAATTTGGTGTCATCCTTTCGTATTTTTTCTGAAGAATTTCAAGATGTTATTCTAAATGAGACAAAATGCATGTTAGCGATAACTATAGAGGTTGGTTGACACAGGACTATTTCACAAATAATTCAGATACTGTTTCATCCTAGAAATATTGATTCAAGAATGGCTGTCCCCTGCAGAACTTGCCTAACAAAGAATTTAAGAAGATGAAAATACAAGGTTGAAAAAGACAGAAGAAGATTGGCAGAGCCTAAGATAACAGAGACTTATGTGGCATGAATACATAAGTAATCATTCAAATTCATGAGCAAAAGTACTTAAACAGGAGAGTGAACAAAAAACAAAAAATCTTTAAAAATATCTTCATCTCATTTAATACCGCAACCCGAATATGACAGTCAGGAATACAACCCAAGATTGAAAGAGAGAGACTAATGATGAAGAGATGAAGATGATAAAATCACCTGACTTTGCACTGGAGGAGACTCTGTGTGTTGATGGTTCCCACACACACCAACAATTCCAATTACCCATTAAACCCTACACAATCAGCAAACAAAAACACACAAAAGAAGAAAACCCCACTTCTTCACTAACTCAAAAAACAACCGCCATCCCAACCCACACCATTCATCTGAAAAACCTCAGCACCATACACAGCCAATAAATATCTCCTCAGTAATCAAGAAGGAAAACGCGTTAGAAAGGGAGGAAGAAAAGAAGAGATCATGTACAGAGACGGAGAGAGTGACAATTAGTTGGTGTTGATGAAGGCAATGATGATGGCTTTTGCTCATTTGCTGGTGGCTTTGACGGAGTGGCGGAGTGAGCTGTGAGTGCAGAGAAGTAGTCAGTTCGATTTTTGACTCCTTTCCTATGGTGCTTGAGTTGGGTTAGTGCGCACCGGGCGCATTTTAATACTTTTCCATCATTCCTTTTGCTTAGCGTGCGCATCCATATTCTACTCCCTTTTATTCTTTTCCCTCAGCTCCACCTTCTTGCTTTTCTTTTGTGCAGATTTGCATAACATATTTATATTTCACACAAAAAAGATACCAGTGGATCATACAAAGTAGGACAGAATATGCATTCCCTCAAATGTGTGTGTGTGTTGGACGTGTGCTCCTGCTGGAAAGGCAAATTAAAATTCTTTCAGTCCCTTTCAACACAAGGGCTGAATTTTTTCATCTAGGGTGCTGTTTCTGAAAGCATGTTAGACCCTTTGGTCAACAAGAAAGTATCAAGTGCATGACTTACTGGAGATGGAGATTGGAGATGGAGACGTGATATAAATCTAGAAACCGACGGGGCCGACCCACCTAACTTCCTCCATAATTTCAAATTCACCTGAATCAAAATCAGGACTCCAGATAAGGAACTGAAACCTTCACTGTCATTGAATAACCTCCATATTGGACCTCACATTTTTCCTACTATGTATGACTGTGTGGTTTCTTCCTGGAAATCATTCAATCAGTTAAGCTTCAGTTACTCATCATTTTGGACTTGTTTCTTGTCATGTGTAAACAGTGTAAGAGAGTATAGACACTTTTCTAACCTACTGCTACAGTTTTTATCTGTTTTCTGGTTTTGATTTAATAGATACTATTCAAGAAAAAGTGCATTAGATTTACATATGTATGTGCTTACAGATTTCCCACCTACCGATTTGTCATGTAATGCCCTGTTTCTGTGGAAATTATAAAAGCTAAAAACAATGCTCCATTCTAACAAACCAATTCTGCATGCAAATTTATATATAGTGTTCATCATTTTACTATATAGTAATACAATTTGATGCTGGAAAGAGCATTGTTACCTGTGCGTGCTGCCCTGGCTATACGTATATGTTGAAAGTTTGCTAAATATATTTCTGGTATCACTGTGCTATGTATGCAATATGCAAATATCATCAGTCCATGTTCTGAGAGTCAGCAGCAATAGAAGGTTGTAGTAAGGTGATTGATTGGGGAGCCTATGCTCGATGTTGATATCAATTACTCCACAACCATGGCTACTGCAAAGTAATAGCCTTGTGGTTGCAGTAAAAACATATGGAAGTGTTTCAATTTCGTCGGGTTAATTGTCATCAAGTAGTAAAATGGAATGATAGGCATCCATGACAACAGCCACTTGCAAGTTCTCAATCCAAACTTGTAACCTTACCATGGGAAATTTCTACTTGGAAGATAGGTACACAGCTAAGCGTGGCGTAAAAGAACACGAGAATGAGACTCTCCATCATAGTCCTATAACCACGCAACACGATACACTTGAGTCACGCAATGTGTTGGGACACAACATAGGAGCCTAGGCAATGATTTCTATAGGTAGGCGAGGATATCATGAACAAGAAAACTTATAACTTGTACCCAGACAATGCGTATACATGGATGTCCCTTTAACTATTAGCTCCTAGAATGGTATGCCATACAAAGATTTAAATATATATAACTAAAGATTTCCTAGCTTTATGGCAATGGAAAGTCGTGTGGATCATTCACAGACAAAGCAATAGAGCCATTAGACCGTATATCTCCCTTGGTATATCTAGATAATATGTAGTTTTTGAGCTTAGATAGACACTCAAACTCTTCTAAATAGGTGTATTGATGCAGGCCAATACTTTGAAATCCTCATGAGTGCAGTCTATACCTATAACATTGAATGTTTTTAAAGTATGCTTCTCTGATTATATTCTTCCTACATGTACTAGAGTACTGCTTTCGATCAAACTCATGATTTCCATTTCTGGATTACAATCTAAGAATAGAAATAAGCCGAATCATTTCTAAGTGTTGAAATAAGACAATTGTGTTTTAGGCCATAAAAGCTCTTATCATAAAACAAGTGAAATCAAAATCCTTGTGGACTCTGGAGGCGACAATGTCTAAATTATATCTTCTTTAACCATTCTTGTTTCATTATTCTTCATCTATTCTTATCTACAAAAGTAAAACAAAGTCCATTAAGAACCAGAGCCCTCAGCTAAAGTTGGCTAAAAAGTTCCTCTGCATCCCTTTCTTTTGAAAAATGATGAAGTCACATGTATTCATCTTTGTTGTGAATATAATATTTTATATGGAGCTTCACAAAGACTGTTTCATGTTATTCTTCACTGAGAGTAGACTCGTAGCGTATGATAACATATGCTGAGATGATAGGAAAGAAAGAGAGAAATTGAAGATGTATTTTCCACCAACAACAACAAAATTGCAGTAGTAAAGAAAGTATCTTAGTGTCTTTTTACCATTTTTGTTTTATATATATATATATATATGTATATTGATTTTCAGGTTAGTCGAATTCCTTTGAGTACAAGCAATTTATGTATTGTATTGTATCTTCCTCATGCCAACCCTTTTGGAGTCATCGTCCACTTTTTACTCTGTAAGTATATATAGCCAAGGTTCTATACTTTTTTCTCTTCCCATTGAGGCAAATGGCAAGCGGTTCCCGCTGTTATTGGGGGCTGTCCCTCTCACTTACAGCACTTTTTGTATCTCACTCAATATCCACCACTTCTCATGTAGTTTCATTGCCTACAGTTGCTTCAACTGTTTCTGTATACTCAAGAAATGATTAATCACATCTCACTTTGTCTTGATTTGTTTTTCTAATGTTCCACAGGTTTATATTGTCTATCTCGGCCACACTCATGGACGTGATCCTCTGCTTACATCCGAACACCACTTTGACCTCCTGAGCAGTGTGTTTGAGAGGTCTCCTGTGAATCCCACATTATATTTTTCTTGTCATTCAACTAATGTTCGTGTGTATGTGTTTGGAGTCAGAATTGTTACCTTGAGCATCATTTTTCATTGCGCAGCAAAATCGAAGCAAAGAAAGCCATGTTATATAGCTACAAGCATGCATTTTCTGGCTTCGCTGTTTTGCTTGATGCCAACCAGGCAACAGTCCTTGCAAGTAACATACCAGATTCTTGAATTACATCTGCTGCACAATTAAAATGTTTCTTGCAAGATTCAATGTCGATGTCACTAGTTGAGGAAATGCTAACACAAAGGTTGATTCAGATTCGAGGGGGGTGATATCTGTGTTCAAGAGCACGACACTTGATCTGCACACCACGAGGAGCTGGGATTTTATGGGACTTTCCATCGATTATTCTTGGGGAACACCGATTCAGCTATCCCATGGTGATGACATAATTGTTGGCATCTTCGACTCAGGTACTAAATGAGGCAAGCTTGTTATTTTCTCTTTTTTTCGTTTCAATTATCGTGATACAAGTGCATTGTAAATCCATAGCTATGGCTACCATAGTTGAAGCCCACATAATATGATTCCTGTGTATGGAATGATGATAATAAAAAGTTCCGATTTCTTGTTCATGGAAGGTGTCTGGCCGGAGTTAGCTAGCTTCAAGGAGGAACCGAACATGAGACCGATACCAAAGCATTGGAAGGGAAAATGTGTTGGTGGGGATGAGTTCAATCCCAAAAAACACTGCAACAGGAAACTGATTGGAGCAAAGTATTTCCTCAAGGGGTTTGAAAAACAATTCGGGCATATCAATAAAACCGAACATCAGGAGTACATATCAGCCAGGGATTTCATCGGCCATGGAACTCACACAGCTTCGACGGCCGTAGGATCAAGAGTGAGAGATGCTAACTTGTTTGGTTTCGCCAGAGGCATTGCTCGAGGAGGAGCCCCCAGAGCTCGGCTAGCAGTATACAAAGTATGCTGGAGTATAAATTTTGACGGGCAGTGCACCGAGGAAGATGTATTGGCAGCCTTTGACGAGGCGCTGCACGATGGAGTGGATGTCATATCAGCCTCTTTCGGAAAACCACCTCCATTAAGACCATTCTTTGCTTCAAGCTCTGATATTGGTTCATTCCACGCCATGCTGTTGGGAGTAAGTGTGGTTTTCTCAGCAGGTAACGATGGCCCCGATCCATCTCTCGTGGGAAATGCCAATCCGTGGAGCATCTGCGTGGCTGCCTCCAGCATGGACCGAAGTTTCCCCACGTGGATCTTGCTCGAAGATGGCACCTCTTTTGTGGTAATTCTTTTGTGCTTTACACACATGAACTATTTCCGCGACTGCATTAGTTTAACTTAGAGATCGCTGCCGTCTTGTTTAGGGTGAAGGTTTGATCAGCAGCCGCATAAGGGGAACCTTGGCAAGAGCTACAGCTTACTTCAAACAGGGGTGGGTAGGCGAACCTTCTTAAAAATGCGGTCGACGCCACTCTTTTCTTGCTAATAGCGCATTGGTTGCAGAATCTGTGACAATGCGAACTGGATGAAATCGTCGGCTGCAGGCATGATACTTTTGTGTTTCTCCATGGATGGACCGGTGAGCAGTTTAGACGCAGAGTTTGCTGCGCGCAGGGCCAATGCCGCAGCTTTGATCTTCGTCCAGCCTGTAGCCAAGCCCACCGCGGCCATTAGCATTGTACCTGTTGTCCGTATCGACACCATTCAAGGCACAAAGTTACAATTGCTGCCTACGTAAGTCAAGCATCGCGCTATGCAATAAGATCAAGTATAGTTAATCAATCGATCATCCTTACTTGAATAAGTCTTTTAAAAAAAATGAAGCGGCACCAAGGCGATGATAGCGCCAAGCGACACGGCCTTCGGAAGGTCACCGGCACCAATGGTTGCAGAGTACTCTTCTAGAGGACCAAGCTCAATCTCCCCTAACATTCTCAAGGTACATATCAGACCTTAAACTGTTATAACTTTTGAAATATCGTATAATCCATAATTCTCCGGACAGCCGGATATCAGCGCGCCGGGGACCAACATACTGGCGGCCTGGCCGCCCAACGTCTCTCCAACCGTGTTTGGATCAGATTTTGATAATCGATCGGTGGTTTGGAACTTCGACTCCGGCACGTCGATGTCTTGCCCTCATGTATCCGGCGTCGTCGCACTCCTCAAATCGGCATACCCTGAATGGTCCCCTGCTGCAGTAAGATCAGCCCTCGTGACCACAGGTAGCAAACATCGTTAATTACATATTATATAGTTTTCCAACAGCAGACTATTTATACATAACTAACATCCATTGCATTCCATGCAGCGTACAACGCCGACGTCGTATCTGGCGACGACATATTGGTGCGAGGTTCGTTCAAGTCTTCGGACGCCTTCGACATTGGCGCCGGACACATGAACCCCGTCAAGGCATTCGATCCAGGGCTGGTGTACGACGTAACGCCCCGAGACTATGCACATTTCCTCTGCAACATCGGCTACACCAGCGAGCAGATACGCGCCATGGGAGTCTGCGGACCGGATAGATGTCGTGACAAATTGGAGCCAGATTGGAACTTAAACTACCCTGCGATAACTTTGTGGGATCTCCGACACGCTGCGACGGTCCGGAGGACCGTCCGCAACGTCGGAATAAGGAAGACGGCGGTGTACTTTGTCAGAGTCGAGAAGCCGGACGGCGTCGAGGTTGTGGTTTGGCCCCGAGTATTGGTGTTCTCTCCGTGGAAGGAAGAGTGGAGGTACTACGTGACGGTGACGACGGTGATGCCGGCGTCGCGGCGACGGAGAGCGGCGTTCGGGTGGATTATTTGGTCGGATGGATTCCATAATGTCCGGAGCCCTTTGGTGGTCGGAATCGGCGGTGAAGCTGGGGGGTCTGTGGATTCTAACGACACCAACATGGCGTATTGATTTGATCATGAAGTTCATGAATAAGAAAGATATTGTTAAGAAGATGATCTTATTGATGATCAGCAAGGGCTATTTTTATGGTGTGGTGTTGTTATGTCATGGTTTAATGTTGGTCTGTTTTGTTCATGTAATTGATCGACATTTTATTTCGAACTAAATAAAATGGATGCACAAGGTTATAAATTATCATACCTATGTAAAATTAAATGGATGTGTCTGGTCGGGGTTTGGGAAGGAGATAAGGAATATTGTTTTATTGGAAGATTTCTCCCATAAACATCAAATATCAAATAGTAGCAATTGTTTTTTATTATTTTCTCTTTTTTTTTTTATATTATATTTAAATTTAAGTTTATATTTAAAAATGTCGTCTATTTATATAATATTATTAATTTTTTCTTATTATTAACTCTTCATCTACTATCAATCAATCTATTTTATTATTTTTATATGTAACAATTAATGTATCTATTTTATTAATAATTGTACTCCTCATTCATGAAAATATATATATATTCCTATACCTACAATATTAAAATATATATATATATATATATATATTATTAAAAGGGTTGTAGTTACATGCTAATTAGTCTGTGAAAAAAAAAATCACAATAAAAAATGACAACGAGACAATCAACATTATTTAATCATATTTTAATATCTTTAAATAGGAATGAAAATTTCTTGTTCAAGCAATTTTTTTTTATTATTATTATTATTATTTTACAATCCATGAAGAGACAAATATATCTTGTTCTGTAAATGAGTTGAACTTGTGACCGTGAAGTAGGATCTGATTTGTAGGATATATATATATATATATTTTTTTTTATGACGTAGGGTGTGAACCCAGATATACTACAAAATTCTTAAAAACAAAGAGATTTTTTTTAAAAATACTATTGAACAAAATAATTTTATATTATTTTAAAGTATGATCAACTCGAGTTTTTCTTCAAGGCAACACGAATTTATTCAAATTCAAACCAAAACCTCAATATCTTTTTATACAAATTATTTAACCTAGTCTTATTGGATTCAAAGCTCAATAGGACACGCCATAAAAAAATATATTATGAAATACCAAGTCCAACTTCATGAAAATTAAAATCTCCAAAACTATCAAAAACCATCAAAGCCATATCAAATTTGTCTCCAAATCACCCAAAATTTCAACTAAATCAAATTGAAGACCAGATTTCTTTAAATTATTATAAAGAAATTGAATTAAAGAGCAAATTTGTAAATTTTTTGAAAAAACCATTCAAATCAAGTTGACTATCAAATCCGTCCGAAAAAGATAAATCTAAATCAAATCTAATTTGTACGTTTATTATTTTAGCATTTTTTTTTCTTGTCTACAATTATACATACTCTTAGTATTAATCTCTTATAAAAAAAAGTAAAAAATAATACACTATACTTGTGACTGAAGTTGTATTTTTTATATTTCTGAAAAATTTCTTTATATTTTAACATTAAAAAATCTCATTCCTTGAGAAATAGTATAGTAGTATAAGGTGAATTAACGCGACAATATGTTAAATTAGATCAAAGTTTATCTATAATACACTCAGATGAATAGAATACTAGAAATGCTATAAAGAGAAAAAAAATAATTTAGATGACCACAAAATCAATTTACATATTACTTTTTTTTTTCTTAAATGTCGATAAGATGAAAATCTCTCAAGACTTGGGAAGTTCAATAATAGTGGTTTTGTAAACATTAATTAGGATAAACTCTTAAAAAAAAAAAAACTCACAATAATAATAATAATAATAATAATAATAATAATAATAATAATAATAATAATAATAAGCAACAAATACGCACATAAATATATACCATTTAATTCTTAAAAAAAAGAAAAAAAATAGGAAAATTTATTTTATATGTGTCTATGAAAGAATGAAGTTAGATATTTTGGTCCATTTATTTTTGATACGTGAAGAAAAAAGAAATATCATTCCCCTCCCAATATGGACGTTTTTTGTCCTTTTTTAGCAAACCGAATCCCAGTGGCGACAACAACAATTTAGTCACAACACAGACCAATCACACAGAAGGACGTTTTGTTTTTGGCTAATAGGGGAAGACATTCAAGGAAAGAGCGTCACAGGCGGGTGAAATAATTAATGGTCAGGATCCGTATATAGAAGGAATTCAGGGACCGAAATGAAAATTTTAAAGTTGGTGGGATTTGAATCCCCAATTTAAGAAGCAGCAAAACCCTCGAACCAACTCTCTTTCTCTCTCTCTCCTCCCCCCCTAAAACAAGAAGCCTTCGTTGCTCTTGTTTGGCGGCCGCCGCCTCGCTATCCGCCTCTCCGTCTACCCTAGGGGTTATATACACTCCTTTTGAAGCAGGTGTCTCCCCGGCTTTGTTCAGAGGCTATGGCTGCTGTTGCTCCTCCCGCAGATCGTATCCTTTCGCTTAAGAACTGTGGCGGTGGTTTGTAAAACCCTTTTACCTGTTAGGGTTTCTGCTTCTCCTGATTTTGCGTTTGATTTCTACGTGATTCTGCTTTTATGACTGTGGGTTGATTTCTGTTTGTTTTTTCACGTCTCAGTTATTTATTTATATTTTCAAGTGGTTTGTGTATCTTTAGATCTGAGTTTGTCTGATATTATGTTGTGATTTTTCGTTGGGTTAACTGTTCTTGGGTAGAACTTGTTCGTAAGTTTCCGCAAGATTATTGTTCTTGGCCCTTGCGCGTCTTCATTTCTGAGGGGTTTAGTTTCTTGGACGCTGTTGAATCATTAGTATTATTTTCCCATACCCTGCTCAAGTTTGATTGAAGATGTGTTCTCCCTTGTGATGCTTTCTGCGTTGGTGTTGATCTTCCTTCAGTGATGTGTTTTCTTTCTTGTTTACATTAATTTCACATTCGTATGTCATATCCAATTTCAAAAGATGACATTTAAATTGGAGGTATCTCTTTTTACTATGAATTTTAGTATTCTACGCCCATCCAAGTTAATCATTCCTACTGTCTAGGAGTATTCCTTTACTTTCTCCATAGAAGCTGCAGATTTGTTGAAGAAGTTATCGTTGGATTCACAGACAAAGAATCTTGAAATGCCAGATGCCACCAAAAAGGTGACTTTGCATTTTTTTTTCTTTTTTTTTTTCTATTAGAAGATTAATTCAAGAAACGCCTTTGTAGGATTGTTAATGATTATTGAATGGTGATATGTTTGCAGCCGTCAACAGACTCCAATAACAGGGCTAATGGATTCAGGGTGGAGCGATCTCTTACACCACTGATTCCTGATTTTGTGGATCCAACTATGTGCTACATGCCTAATGGTTATCCTTCTCCTGCATACTACTATGGCGGTAACATTCTTCCGTATCTTTTCTTTAATTTCTAATATATATTTGTGTTTACTTGTGTTTCTTATCATTTGTTGTGATTTTAACAACACTGTTATCAATTTAACAGGATATGATGGTAGCACTAATGAATGGGAGGACTACACCAGATTTGTTAATACAGAGGGAGTGGAGATGACTCCGGTGTGTCATGATTTTTTCAGCCATGCTCAATCCCTTGTTGGTATTGTTTTTAGACTATTAATGCGTTTATGATTTGGTTGAATATCAGGGGGTTTATGGAGACAGCGGATCACTTCTATACCACCATGGTTTTGGGTATGCACCTTATGCCCCATATGCACCTGCTGCTTCCCCAGTTCCAACTGTGGGACATGATGGCCAGCTCTATGGATCTCAGCAATATCAGTACCCACCTCCTTATTTCCAGTCCCCAACCCCAACAAGTGGTCCATATCCAACGCCAGCTGCTCCCTTAAAAGGTGAGTTAGTCACCTCTGCAGCTGCGGATCAAACCTCTTTGTCTGTGGATTCTACTAATTCAAAATCCAATGGCATTGCTAATAGCATGCATACAAAGGGGAACAATGGTACAGTACCAGTGAGATCAACACAGCAAAATTCATCTATGAAAGTTAATGGTTCTTATGGGAAAGGTGGTTTTCCTGGGGGAATTCCTGCCTCTGGCTACCATGACGCCAGGGTTGGATTTGATGGTTTACAATCAGTAATGCCATGGTATGAGAGTCCATACTTTTCTGATGGACAGCCAAGGCCTTTGACGAATTCTTCATTGACATCAACAGTTCCCAATGGAACTGGAGTTGGATCAAGAAACAATAATTTCCGACCACAACTGATGGTATGATAATTCTATATAATACCTTTTTTTGGTCTTAGTTTATTATTCCTGAACAATCTTATATTGCTCCTGAATACTTAAATGAAAATGATCCCTGCCTTTTCGTATGGGTCAGCTGATGATGTATTGCTATAATTTCATTAGCCTTAAACTGTCTCGTTGTTTATACAATAGTAAGTTATAAATCTCAGCTGACCCCTTTTCTTTCATTGATTCTCTAACTCCAGAATTTATTTTGTTTCCTCCTCAGGGGTTGCATCACCCTAGCCAAATCTCAGGAATGAGCACAGCTAATGGGTACATGAGTAGAATGTATCCTAACAAAATTTATGGCCAGTATGGAAATGCTTACAGATCAGGCATGGGCTATGGTTCTTATGGTTATGATAGCAGAGCAAATGGAAGGGGCTGGATGGCTGTTGATAGTAAATACAAACCGAAGGGAAGAGGAAATGGGTCATATAATTACAACATTGAGGGCATAGATGGCTTGAATGAGCTGAACCGGGGGCCTAGGGCCAAAATCAGCAAGAATCAGAAGGGTTTTACGCCTGTGGCTCTTTCTGTAAAAGGTCAAACCATTCCCATAACTGTAACAACTGGCGGCCATGAGGAAAAAAAATCAACTGCTATCCCGGATCGGGAACAATACAACAGACCAGATTTCCCAGAAACTTATGCTGATGCAAAATTTTTTATTATTAAGTCATATAGTGAGGATGATGTCCATAAGAGTATCAAGTACAATGTATGGGCAAGTACGCCTAATGGTAACAAGAAGTTAGATCTGGCCTATCTGGATGCTCAAAAAAGACCAGGAAGCTGCCCTGTGTTCCTTCTCTTTTCGGTAAGTGCCTAAAGTTCAGCAAGAGCTTCATATGGATAGTGCTGTTTATCCTTTTGTTTCTAATCTATTTTCTTTGGTGGTTCAGGTTAATACTAGTGGTCAATTTGTTGGTGTTGCGGAGATGATGGGGCAAGTTGATTTTGAAAAAAATGTTGGATACTGGCAGCAGGACAAGTGGGTTGGTTGTTTCCCTGTGAAGTGGCATATTGTGAAGGATGTGCCCAACAGCCTGCTGAAACACATAACTCTTGAAAATAACGAGAACAAGCCCGTAACCAATAGTAGGGACACCCAAGAGGTAATTTTATGTTTTTTAAAATATTGGTTAAAGGTTTATTTTTTAATATGTGTGTTAACATGGCAGATATTCTTATTATTTAATTTAATAAAATGCCAACTACAGGTAAAACTGGAGCATGGTCTGCAGTTAATCAAGATATTCAAAGATCATGCTAGCAGGCTGTGCATTCTTGATGATTTTGATTTCTATGAGGACCGGGAGAAGAAAATGCTGGAGAAGAAAGCCAAGCAACAGCAATTTCAGAAACATGTAAACAGTGATCTCTGACCTTTCCTAGTTAACAATATTGGTTTAGTGGGGATAACTCATTTTTACTGGCTTTTTATTTTCAGGTGCGGGTATCTGATTGCAAAAACGTCCAAGATAGAATCAAAGAAGGCACAAATGGAGATCTTGAGCCCAAAGAAGTAACCAATGTTATTCCATTGCCGAACAAGCAAGCTACTCCACTTGTGCATGCAAATGGGGATAACCAGACCACTGAAAGTGTGTCGTTAACAAAAACGGGAGCAGACATTCTCAAGAATGTAACATCTGCGGTTGTTCCTGAGAAGAATCTTGTAGGAAATGGAATTGCAAATTGTTGCTAGCTTCATCAAAGATGGAGGGGGGCTGCGCTTGCAACTTGATGAATACATGGCAAAATATTGGGATACTGTCTGGTTCGATTCTTTTGGAGGCTGCCGTCAGATGTTGGAACTGAGGATTAGAAAATCCTCTGATGTAGAAAACTCTGGGAAGAAGAAGCATGGGGAGCGTTGTTGATGGGTGCTGATTCTTCCTCTTGGTGGTGTGGGGTAGGTCGTGGGAAGTTTGTGATTTTATGAGTTGTATCTTTTATTTTTTTTAATATGCTGTTGCCTTTGTTCTTGTGTTGATTTTCTTTTTTCCTTCCTGCAATCCATCTCATCTTCTATGTTTGTGATCCTTTTTATTGCAGTTTTTTGTCAGATTTGTGAGATGATGGTGATTGTTCCTGTCTGTCTGGATTTGTGTCGCTAGATTCGATATATATTCTGGTTAAGGCTTTTCATGGAGTTGTTTTTCTCGAATATATTTATTTGCATAAAATATTAAACTTTTTTGTATTTGTGGACTGTGGTGATAAAATTCGATAAAACCTGCAGTCTAATTTCTTGGCTCTGGTTCTCAAATTTTATTTTATTTTATTTTATCCTTTTAATTTCTGAAGGCACATGTATTATGTTATTCATTCATCCATTGGTCATGAAGTGCTATTATCCATATTGTAGGCTAGGCTGCCAAATCTATTTTAATTTAATCCACAATTCTGCAGGAATCTTTCATTAATGGTCACTTTTCAATTATATACGCTCAGCTCAGACTAGATTATACTAATAAATAATTAGATAAAATTTAAATCCAATAAGATTGGACAACATCATCGTCACCAAGTGAATATCCAAGGAGACGGCACGGCACTGGCAAGAATGAATCTCAATCAGCGATAGACTCGCCAAGCCTGTAGCCATAATTATCACCTTTTCGCCTATTGCTTTTTCAGCCCAACCGATTCTCTGTTAATTGGTTTGGATTGGATTGGATTGAGGAGGGTGACGAAGGTAAACAAGCTTTTCTAGATAAAATTGGAGATGGCCAGCAGCAGCATCTTTAGAAGAATCGGCGGATTGGTGGTGCTTTCTTCGAGAAGAGCGTGTTCGAGAGGACTCTCGACGGGCAGCGAGGAGTTGATTAGTTCCCGTGGGATTGGGACCGCTAAGCCGATTAATCTCTTCTCCGCCATAAATCAAGCCCTTCACATCGCCTTGGAATCTGATCCACGGTATCTCCTCCTTTCCTAATTTCTCTATTCAAGTTTGTAATACTTTCGTTGTTGGAGTAGGTTGTACAGCTTTCCGGAGCTTGTTTGTTAGTAGGTGATTGAGATGTAGTGTTTTTAGGTTTGATGCACAAATTGTTGTTATTCTGGTCTCTTAATGGCGTTGGTTCTTTTGAATGGTTTGATTTCTGCTGTCATTGTTGTTATACCATGTGAGCCCTATTCTTTGTTTGAGCCGTGTTTGATCATCCTGTTGTTTCTGTTCAGTTCTTATGTATTTGGGGAAGATGTTGGCTTTGGTGGTGTTTTCCGTTGCACCACAGGATTAGCCGATCGGTTCGGCAAACAAAGAGTTTTCAATACTCCTCTCTGTGAGCAGGTGCCATTGATTCTATCTGGAAGCAGCATTCACTCATGTCTTCGCCATATTTCGAATGATTCTTCTTGCATTCAAGCACAAACTAACGAATGATTCAGCTTAGCATCCATTTTATGTATATTCTTTCTTATGCAGGGCATCGTTGGATTCGCTATTGGTCTAGCAGCTATGGTGAGCTTTTCAGATTTTGGTGATTATGCAAAATTTGAGTTCCTACAGCTGAAAACCAGTTGTTTTGTCTCCAAATTAGTATGTCTGGATCTCATTCTTAACATTTCTCATGCCATTACAAAATTTCAGGGGAATCGAGCAATAGCCGAAATTCAGTTTGCAGATTATATCTTCCCAGCTTTTGACCAGGCATGCCCTCCTGCCATTTATACACACAGTCCAGTGATGGTCCATGTATATAAAACTAGTTAAAAATTTGCCTGCAGATTGTTAATGAAGCTTCTAAGTTTCGTTACCGCAGTGGTAATCAATTCAACTGTGGAGGTATGCAGTCGACAACTACCCAGTAATTCCGGTTACCTTAATTTTTTTTAATCCAAATTCTAACATGATTGATTTTTCCAGGTTTAACCATCCGAGCACCTTATGGAGCAGTAGGTCACGGTGGTCATTACCACTCACAATCTCCGGAAGCCTTTTTCTGTCATGTCCCTGGTATTAAGGTATTGGTTTCAGATGTTGTGGGAAAACTTCCTGTTCATCTTCTATGCAATTGTCCCTTCCATGCTTCTTTACATCTCAGTGGCTACCACCGGGCATGCAAATACACGACCAATGGGCATAAAGGACCTTAAGGTGGTAGTTGTTAGTTTGGCTCCCTGTTCGTGTACACTCCTGGGATTCCTTAACTGTTCTAAGATGTTACCCACATTAAGCTGTTTTCTTGTCAATCCTAAGAGATCCCTGACTGAAAACTAGAAGGCCTAAGAATCGTTTCGGTTGTGTCTATATAAGCTGGATATCTCATCCTAATGAGTGAGAGATACTACTGTAGTCTCTTCATGTCTGAAACAGCTAAGAAGTCTTTAACTCGTCTTGGTTTCTTGTTTTTAATCTGTTTGCTTTCTTTTAGGTGGTTATACCTCGCAGTCCTCAGCAAGCGAAAGGACTACTGCTGTCATCCATCCGTGACCCCAATCCAGTTGTATTTTTTGAACCAAAGGTATGTTAGTCTTTACTCCCTTATTTATATATTTTTATCGGGATTACCTCGATGCAATCCAGCCATTTAATGTATGCTTGAATGGTCACAGTTGCTGTACAGACTTGCTGTAGAAGAAGTGCCAGAGAAAGACTACATGGTGCCTTTATCTGAGGCTGAGGTACTCTGGTTTTTGATTCCTTATCTATGAATGGTTCTGTAACTTCAAATAAAATTCCCAATTTCCTTCAGGTGATTCGAGAGGGGAGCGACATAACATTAGTCGGCTGGGGAGCACAGCTCTCGATTATGGAACAGGCCTGCATTGAAGCTGAGAAGGTAGCCCATGTTCCACATGATCCCATCTTCTGTGGTTCTTTTTGCACGCTATAGTATGATTTCTGTTCTTTGTTTATATTCATACACGTCTGGAAACTTTTGTTGTGTCCTTAGGACGGCATCTCCTGCGAGCTGATAGATCTGAAAACTCTAATCCCTTGGGACAAGGAAACTGTGGAGGCCTCAGTCAATAAAACAGGAAGGCTATTGGTGAGGTTTACTTCAAGATGAAGATCATTCTTGTCGTTCTACTCATTTTCCCTTTCATTTCTAACGGAAGTAACTCAACCAGGTTAGTCATGAAGCTCCGGTAACCGGTGGATTTGGTGCTGAAATCTCCGCCTCCATAGTCGAGCGATGCTTTCTAAGGGTAAGCACACACGCACCCATAGTTTGCCCGTTCACCTTCCATTCCAGTCTCTGCTTTCTCTGCTACAATGAAAAGTGTTCTTGTGAATAAATTTGATGGGCAGTTGGAAGCTCCAGTTTCGAGAGTGTGCGGGCTGGATACTCCATTTCCTCTTGTATTCGAGCCTTTTTACTTGCCATCGAAGATTAAGGTAAGTTCTTAAGCCTCAGAATTTATACGAGCTTTCGAATGTGAGAAGAACACAAAACACCATTGCTCTGTCTCCGCAGATCTTGGATGCAATCAAATCGACCGTGAATTACTAACTCGCCGGCCAGCTGCCGGGGTAGATAGATGAAATAAAACTCCAGAAGAAATCCATGTTGGAGAAGATTAAGGACTGTATCTACAAATGAACTATGTGATGTGTTGTTTCATTGTTTGTTGAATGGACACATTCACTCATAATATATACATTATGTACACTAGCATTACTTACAATGTGTTTAGCATGATCTGTTGTAACAAGCTAATATCACTAATCTAAAATTTGAACTTGAATTAAAAGTAGTTTTGTTTTACTCTTTAAATACTTTGACCAAATTGTGTACTGCTTGTATGAAAATCGACTTTTTTTTTTAAGAGTATTTTAGCAAGTGGTTGGACTTGAAAGGGAAGATGGATAGATAAAAAAACATTGCTGATTATAAAAATTTAATGATGATTTAGTTATCTGTGTTGATATTTTTGTAAAAAAATAAAATATAAAGAGTAAATTATTATAAATTTAAAGTGATTAGTTATTTACAAGTTCGATGAGATATTGAGGACTTAACAACAATTAATTGTTTATTTTATCTTTATATTATTCATTATATGTTCTAAAGATTATATTTATATTTATTATTATTTAAAAACATATATAATATTCAATATTATTTAGATTTATTAAGGCAAGTTCAGTCATATATTTTTTTAAAAATAGAAATATAATTAATTAGGACAGGCTGGCTGCCTAATGGGCTGAAAATAGGCCGGCTCGGCCCAATAGAATGTGTAATACCAAGAATACCCTGAAAGTTCAGGTGAGATTTGGAAAGTAGGAAGGGCAGTTTGGGTAGTGACAAAAGGCATTGCGGATCGGGATAAAGCAGCCCCCCGACAATCGACTCCTATTCCCCCTTCGATCTCTCCTCTCATACATAAACGCAGTTGGTAAGCTCTCTCTACAATTCACCCACATATATATGTATGTGTGTGTATATATATGGGGATTCTTGATTCGTTCTTCTGCGGCTTTGCCGCCATGTACATGTATAAAAGAATAAGACCTTTGAAAATCTTGATCCGCCGCCGAAGGCGTCGTTGTGAACCCTAGATCCTTCCAATTATTTATGTTGTTCCATTGTGATTCAATTTATGCTTTTCTTTCATCTATTTTCCGGTTACGGCTGATGTCACGCGGTGGCTTATGGGGGTATTTTGAGGGTTTGTTGTCTTGGGGTAGGAATTGTTTTTGGGTCAATGTGGTGTGTCTCGTTGTTGTGTGTTGTTCTGAGCTGTTCCTTTTTTCGGGGGTCGGGTTAGAAAACGCGGGAATTTTAGAGGCGGCGTGGAGAGGCTGCCGGGGCTTTTCGTTTATTGATTTGAGAAGCGATTAGTGGGATGAATTCTTAGGTTATGAAGATGACTACTGTCGTGATGGTTGACTTGGTTTGATGTTTCCATTCTTTATCTGTAGGTGTTCTGAACTGGTGGTAAGATCTGCTCGAAATTACGCAAATCAAGTGATTTGTCTGATGGCTGATCCGCAGGGCTTGGAAGGGAATCAACCAGTTGATCCCGCCAAGCACCCTTCTGGAATCGTTCCGACTCTCCAGTACGATTGATTACAGTATCAGTATCTTTGTTATATATATATATTTGGTGTTATTTTATTCCAAAACTGCAATATCGTTCACTTAATGAGTCACTTGTCTAAATGTGGTCTTGTTTTCCAATCTGGACATTCATGGAAACATTGTTGAGTATTAGGTCTTAAGTGACATTGGCTAACGGTTGAACGGGAATTAGAGAATTGGTTCATCCTTTACACGAGTGAGAGTTGTGATTGTGATGAAGAGTCAACCCGGAGGGTGCAACATTCCTTTCCTTCTTTCTTCTTCTTCTTTTAGTAACACAAAATTTTCGGAAAATGGAGCCAAAGCATTTTGGTAGTTAAAGCATTGGGCAGTGGATACATTCACAGATACTTTAGTTTGGGCTTTTTTACTTAGTTTAGCATGGCATTTAATTCAGGCTTGGTTGGCATTTATTCGATGTGTTTCTTGGAATAGTTGCTATTAGGTTGCTTGTGTATGAATGCTCTCTGATTTGGTGTGCATGCAGGAACATTGTTTCAACAGTCAATCTGGACTGTAAATTGGATCTGAAAGCTATTGCGCTGCAAGCTCGAAATGCTGAATATAATCCTAAAGTATGCTACACCCATGATAAACTATTTGATGGATGCTTTACTGTTCGGGCTTCCTCTAATAATTATGACGTTATTTAAGCAAATGTTAAATACTTATGTTAGTTCTTATTATAATTCCAAACTTGTCGTCTGTTACAATGATTTAATTAACAATTTGAATGTACTTAATAACTATTTTTGTGTGGGTGGTTTCCTTTGCTGTGGCAGGGATTTTAAACGTATATATATACATATATATTAATGTTACCGTTTTTTCTTACTTTTTTAGGGAAGGTATCTCTGGCACAGGTCAACTAAAAATATGTCATAGTTTGTTATATGTATTTGTCTTATTCACGGTATCGTTTAAGGTTCTTCCGGATTGTATTTGTCAAACCTCTACCAAGGGTGTATAAAGTTGGAATAAAATTAAAACTTCTCATTTAGCCTTTTATTTCTTGTTGGTTGTTATTTTTACCAGCAGTGTAAATTTCCCAATGTTTGAACTTTCACTGTTGTTTTTTTGGCGCTTCATATCTAATAAGTGCTCTTTGTGAGATTACAGCGTTTTGCTGCTGTGATTATGCGGATTAGGGAACCAAAAACAACAGCTCTTATTTTTGCATCTGGAAAGATGGTAAGTGGTACTTCCTTCAGGTTATTCTTGTGAATGTGTAGAATTTGGAATCAACATTAGACTTTTACTTATTATATAGCATCTGTATTAAAAATGCCAAGTGTAGGTGCTTCTTTCATTGTACCGACATTTCATTCCTGAATATACTAATGGTCTTTCGATTGGTTTTTTTGTGGATTATTTTCTTCAGGTGTGCACAGGAGCCAAGAGTGAACAACAGTCAAAATTAGCTGCTCGGAAAGTATGCTTCTCTTAATTTATCACAATATGAATTTAGTTTTTCCTTGATTTGATACTAGTTGAGTCACAAAATCTAGATATAATCAATTTCTTGTAAATACTGTATCTTGTTATTTTCTGACTTACCATGAACCATTTGAATATTCTTCAGTATGCTAGAATCATTCAGAAGCTTGGTTTCCCAGCTAAGTTCAAGGTACTGTACTGTTCTCCTTATCAGCTTGACTAGCCGTACCTATCTGACAATTTTTGCTTCTTCATAACAGGGTTGCATGCTGCTGAGTTTAATCTTCCTTTTTGTTCCCCTTTTTCTGTAGGACTTTAAAATTCAAAATATTGTTGGTTCCTGCGACGTCAAATTTCCCATACGTCTCGAGGGTCTTGCATATGCTCATGGTGCCTTTTCGAGTGTTAGTAATTTATTTTCATCTCTCATTTCATTAACTTCATCTTTGCTCAGTAAGTGAAACAGGACTATGGGTTAATGTTTCTCCTTTGACAAGATAGAGTCAGAGAAACTTTCTTCTGCAATATTTCTAAAATTTCATTTGAACATAATAGTGATTGCTGTCATTTAAGTTGGAATTTTATCTGTCAATGCCTTTACTTGCTTGATACTTTCTTTTTTTTCACTGGTAATTCTTTGATATCGATAGCTCTTTATTAGTGATGTCTCCACCACCAGTTGTTTATAAATGTGTGTGTTTACTTTTGGAAGTGAGAACTGATTTTCACATTTCAAAGTAGTAGCTTGTTTGCCTGAGACTTCTGTTTTTCATTAGTTTACAGTTTTGAATCTATATAAGTAAATGGATGGTAAAGCCAAAAAACTCAAATCCTAAAATTCTTGCTTTGGTTCTGTCCTAATGTTTGACTCACTTCGGGGTTCACAGTAAGTAATGTTCATTATGGTATCTAATATGGTATGCGTGTCTTGCTTTGTAAAGCTGTATTTTTGGTCCTCAGAGAAGAACAAGCATGTGTATATATATATATATGTAGCTATTGCTCTCAAGTTTTTGATATGGTACTTATTTAAAATTTTCTGTGGGTACAGTATGAGCCCGAACTCTTCCCTGGTTTAATATACCGAATGAAACAGCCCAAGATAGTTTTGCTGATTTTTGTTTCTGGAAAGATTGTACTTACAGGCGCAAAGGTAATGGCAATAGCATGTTTTTTCCTCTTTGTTTTTATCTTTCCTTACTACTTGTAAGGTAGTAATTTTAATCTCTCTATTCTCTAATGCATGCAGGTTAGAGACGAGACGTACACTGCCTTTGAGAACATATACCCTGTGCTGACGGAATTTCGCAAGGTCCAGCAATGGTAAGGAATCTGAGAGTATCCAAACTGTATATACATTCATTTAGCGTTTGTGTCCGACTCATAAACTATTGTGTTATTCTAAATATAGATACGTCGAATGGGCAATGAAAATTGGAAAGAAGAATGCTGGGACAAAGAACTGCCTCTGCTGGTGTAAATACCCATGGCAATTTGCGGTGGTGGGATCAAATACTGGTGGCTGAAGAAAATTCCTCCATTGTATTTCAATCACTATCAAATGTGTATTAACAGATGATGGAGAGTTGCTAATAAAACTGTAGTGTTTGGGACCTTTAATTATACAGACAGTCAGCAATATATGCAAACGATTTTGATCTGAATTTTCTTTACCTTTCGATGTATTGGAACAACAAAGTTAGTGTACATTCTACAGACAGGGTCTCTTTTCATTCTCTAAACTTCCAGAGTGGCCTTGACTCTATATTGTTAGTTTCACCACACCCCCTTGAACATGGAATCTTGAACAGCAGGGTTATGGTGACTGCAAAAATTCCTACCACATATCCTAACCCAAAGGGGACATTCTGAAACCATGAGCTAATCTTTCTTCCTTGTGTATTTTGTGTGCTGCTGCTGTTGTTGTTATTCACTTGGCAGGCTCTTCTTATTTGAGTTCCACAGAGTTCAGGGTTCCCTTCGAATGAGGCCGCGGGGAATGTGTCGAACTGGCCGCCTCTCGGAATCTCTCCCCGGAGATCATTCCCGGCGACGGTGAAAGAGGATAGGAAATGGAGTGCTGTCAGCGAACTCGGGATCTCTCCGGCTAGATGGTTATTGGACATGTCCAATCTCTCCAGGTCTGTTAACTGGGACAGCTGATCGGGAATGGCGCCGGTGAAGTTGTTGTAGCCGAGGTCCAAGATGTGGAGAAGCTTCAGCCGGCCGATTTCTGCCGGGATGCTGCCGCTGAGGCTGTTGTAACCGACTTTCAATCCTCGGGGGAGGTTGAAGAGGCGGTTATATTGCAGGCTGTCGAACAGGAATGGTAATGCCAGGGAGCTCAGGTCGGAGCTGCTGTTATCGGCTATCAGAGACGGCAGGCGGCCGATTTCATGTGGGAGTTCGCCGGAAAGGTAGTTTTGAGTGAGGTTGAGGACGAAGAGGCTGGGCATGTCGCCGATCCACGAAGGAATCGGGCCTGAGATTTTGTTGTAGGAGAGGTTCAGGACTTTGAGCTTCCTCAGCTTTGAAATCCAGGAAGGGATTTCCCCTTTCAATTGGCATCCTCCTAGGGTTAGAATTTGAAGATTTTGGAACCCATTCAGATCGTAGAGGTCGCCGTCGTCGGGGATGGGTTCATCATGGAAGCACCTGGAAAGGAACAGGACGGCGAGGTTGTCGCAGTGTAGGAGAGTCTTCAAAGCCCCGACAACATTGGTGAGGTAATTGTCGGAAAGAGAGAGGTGGGCCAGAGGCTTTAATGAAGCCATACATGGCGGAACTTCCCCGACCAGCTGATTGTACGCCAGCCGGACTGCCGTGACGTGTCGGCAGAGGCAGAGGCTCGCCGGGATGGCTCCGACGAAGCTGTTGTTGCCGAGATCAATGGCTTCCAGCAGGCGGAGCTTGGAGAAATCAAGGGACGAGATTTCTCCCCCAAAGTGATTGTTCCTGAGAAGTAAGGTTTTCAATTTGGAGCAGTTCGTCAACGAATGCGGCAGCGTTCCGTTGAGGCTGTTGGTGTGGAGCTGCAGCTGCTGTAAATTGGAAAGCAGGCCGATTTCCGGCGGGATGGCGCCGGTCAGGTCGTTCACATGGAGCTGTAGAACTGCGAGCCTGGAAAGCCGGGTGATGCTGCCGTTGATGGCGCCGGAGAGGCGGTTGTTGGGGAGGGAGATTTCTTCCAATGTTGTCAGGGTGTAGAGATCGTCGGGTAGGGTTCCGGAGAGAGAGTTGAGACCTGCCCGGAGAATCCGGAGCTTGGAGCAGTCGGCAAGTCCGGCGGGGATGGGGCCAGAGAATCCATTCATGGAGAAATCGAGGATCTCGAGGCGGGGAAAGGATCGGCAGAGGGAGGAGGGGAAGGGTCCGGTGAAGGTGTTGTTGCTGACATTGAAGAGGATTAAGTTGGGGGCGGTGGTGGTGGAGATGGAGGGGTCGTCGTTGAAGTGATTGGAGGAGAGATCGAGGGTTTGGAGGCGGCGGAGGGAGAGGGGGAGGTGGCCAGAGAGGTGGTTGTTGGAGAGGTTGAGGTGGGAGAGGAATGTGAGGTTTGTGAGGAGGGATGGGGGGAGGGTGCCGGAGAGGGAGAGGGCGGGGAGGGAGAGGGCGGCGACACGGGAGTGGGGGGTGCAGGAGACGCCGTCCCATCGGCAGCAGTCCGGTGAAGTCCAGTTGAGGTGGGGAGGGGAGTCCACGGCGGCCAGGAATGAGAGGAGAGAATGACGCTCGATTGGGTTGCAGGATTTTACAGAGTGAGGCAGAGGAACAAGTAGGAGAAGAAGAAGATGGAAGAAGAAAAAGTTCATCTTTGAGAGAGAGAGAGAGAGAGAGAGGGATTGTGAGTGTAGGTAGCTAGCCCAAGCCCATATGATATAATTCTTGATTTTCTTTGCGGTGATAGTTTATTTGATTTGATTAAGAGAATGTAAGGGAGGGGTGGTGGTGGGGACGAGAGAGAGAGAGAGAGAGAGAGAGAGAGAGAGAAGGAGGTTTACCTGGTAAGAGGGCAACCCTTAAATTAAGATACGCCAACAATGTCAATGAACTAGACAGACAGTAATATAAAATGATTCTGTGTCAGTCTCTCTTGTTTAGTGAACAATATACTACTACTACTCCAGTTTACTAGAAATGGCTGTGTTGACTTTTTCTTCTCACTTTGATTTGGAGTGGTGATGTGTGTATGATCCATGGTATAGAGATAAATAAGGAAATCCCATTACTATTGTTGAAAGTGCTTGGATTATTAAATACAGATACAAATACAATTTAACTGAGCCTAATTAATAATAACAATAATATATAGCTTTCCAACTACTCTTAACAACACACTATGACTCATCAGCTCACTTCTTTTTCCGTGGTAGATAGTAATATTATTTTATATACACAATCAAGCACTTAGAGTTGCACTTACTTGGATCTCAAAATTTAAATACAATGACCGAGACTTGGAGTATTTTATTTTCATCTCTCTCATTCTATATATAATCTATTAGTATTATTGAAGAATGGTGGACTGGCACCAGAAAAAGAAGTAAAATAGGTATTATTATTGTTATTATTAAACAATTTCATAAATAGCCATGATAGTTATATTGAAGAACAGCCACACCTCACCCAATTTTTTGTATCTTAATTTCTTTGATCTAATTTGTTGCGTAGTCATAGATAGATAGATAGATGTAGTCAATCCTCCACGACTACGCACATCATCCAGCCAGACAATGTGTCATTCCTGTCCAGTCCAGTCCAGTCCAGTCAGTCAATGCCCTTTTTTTTTTCCTCCAAGGAAAGACTCCCCTCTGATTAATATATTCCATTACAAAGACTTAACCCTTTTCAAGAACCAGGAAGGATGGCCCATCTTATTATAGTTTGGTTGGTGAGGGAGGAATTCTTTTTCTGTTCTGCTAAAAAAGGATAAATAATAAGAAGAAAAGAAAAGAGAAGAAATGATGGCGCAATGGCAATGGGCAGTATAGTATGACCTTTTCCATGTCCATTTCTTGCTGGTGTTTAGTTCGATCTTATCACATGATGTGGATTTATTTGATTTGATTTGATGTGATGGGATTTTTTATGGTTTCTGAACAGACCAGGAAATTCAACTACTTGCTTTCTTGCGTGCTTGTCAACTTGACCATCCATCCATCCATCCATCCTATTTTGTACTCTTCCCTCCATCAACTTTTACTTCATTTTTTATTACTACTATTATATTTGTACTAACTAGTTTAATAATAAAATTGATTAGGATTATTAATAAGTACTATGTAGTAATACATAGAAGACGCGTCCCCTCCATTTTTTTATTTTTTATTTTCTCCAACTCCCAGGTCAACTCTCTAAAGGGCCGGGCGGCCCGGCCCATACTTAGCTAGCAGGCTGCACCTAATCATGACTCTCAGCCCTTACACTTATGGGGGCATAAGGCCCATTCAATGTTGTAATTACAAGTTACAACGAGAAAATAACATATGTGTATATAACAAATAAATGTTCTAAATAATTATTCATAAATTTATTATTCGATCATTATTATTTTTGTATAAGTTTATTATAATATTTATATTTATTTTTATCTCATAATTATTTTAAAATAGCTATTTATGTGTGCAAATACTATATTATCATCAAGGTAAGTAATAGTAAGAAGTTGGAATATTTGAGATTTGAACGAGTCTTACTTGCTATATTTTTGAATGGGACGTAATAATTAATTAATTTATTTATTGCTATTAATATAGGAGTGTGAACTTATCTACCTGAGTTTTGAGATTAGATGACAGCCGTTGGATTGGCCGCCTCAGTATGAACTGGTGTATTACGCCGGGTGTATGGAAGTCGATTTAGTCGTCGCTGCTCTCTCTACATTTTCCGATGAAGAATTGATGAAGAAGAAGAAGCAGAGGAACTAATTTGGGGAATCTCATCGCGATTATCGAAATCCCGACACTTGTCTGCCTTCCTCGATCTCATCGAATCGCATCTTCGGTTTCTGCTACAATTTCCGACGGTAGTAACCGTTTTTCTTCTCGGACGAAGAGAAATCAGGGTTTCTTTCCTTTTCCGAGGATGAGTTTGCCCGTGGTCGATTGCCGGAATTTGATTCAGTTCTGCAGGGCTTTTCACCTCCACAACAGTAGTCCAATCAATTCGAATTCATCCCGGCCGAGAGCGGCGCGTTTCGTCTCCGATTCCGTAAACCCTTTTTCAAACGACTTCTGCCATCGCTCTCCCTTCCTTGCACTCGATCTCATTATTCTGCTCTCGGTGCTCGCGTCCTTGGCCTTCTTGTTCCTTCCCTACTTCAAATTCTTTCTCTTCGATCTTCTTCCCTTGATCCACGGTTTCATTCTTGACCTAATCCTCGATGCGCCGTTGCCTTATTTCGTCGGGTTTCTTCTCGCGCTGCTTGGACTGATTCTCGCCATGCTTATCGATATTAGGCTCAGGAAATGTGGGAATCCTCATTGCAAGGGCTTGAGGAGGGCTGTTGAATACGATATCCAGTTGGAAACTGAGCAGTGTGTTAAGCATTCGCCGCCATCTGCGGATGCGTATCAAGGAAACCATGGGGCTATGCAGCTGGAATTGGGACAGGATCGGAAGGAACTGGAAGCCGAATTGAAGAAAATGGCGCCCCTCAATGGAAGGACTGTGCTAATTTTCCGAGCTCCCTGTGGATGTCCGGCTGGTAGATTGGAGGTTTGGGGGCCTAAAAGAATTCGTAGAATCAAGAAATAATCAGCTTCAGTTTTAGATATATATATATGCTTACATATAAACATATATGCTATTTAAGAACCAATATATACATCTCTTGCTCAGGCTGTTTAGTTTTACCTTATACAATATTCAATGGATGATGTTTTACTGGGTTTAATAAAATACAGTCTTTTGTGTTGCTAGAGACTACTGGAAATGGTGCTCATTGTTTTAACGATTTCGATGATCTGCTGCCTAATGTGTATCTTTATTTGTCATATGCATGGTTGTAGACAGCTGAATGGTGTTTCCTGAGAGTAGAAAGGATAGCTCATAGCATGATGTGCTGCAATGAAACTTAGGCTTCTTTCACACATTTTTTATGTTAATGAAGTTATAAATCTTTGTTTTATGCTGCAATACTAATATTTTAATCAAACCTTGGGGAGCCGTTTCATTGCCGTACAGACTAATCTGAAATTTTATTATGGAATATTATCATTTCATCAATATAACTTTGCACATAGTAGTTAAGTGTTGACAGGGCTGAACAATGTGCCCTGATGTTGGAAGAGATCTGTGTCCTGAAAATGTTATTGGCATAGGCTATCTCCTCTGGGCAATGTAATTTGTTTGCCTAAATGAAATGAAGGTATTATCTTAAACGTTTTTGTCCGAACTTTGACAATTACGAGAAACAACGGCCTCTGATATTTGTTTATATGCTGCAGTCAGTTTGATAATTGGCATATGAAGCCTCTGTATTTAAGTTCCCATTGGCACTTGATTGAGTTTGTTTGGATGAATGTTGTAGGAAAATATACAAGGGAGAGTATGTTCTAGCTTTAGGGGTTAAGTGATAATATATGTACTTCAACAAAATGGCATGTTCGAGTGTCTCATTATGTTTCCATGAACTCAATTTTTCATAGCCATTACTTTTTAGGAAGATTTTTCTGGCTACTGGAGCAATTGAAGTATTTTTCTGGCAAGTTAAATAGTTATGTTTTGTTCATTTATGCTAGAGGTTAATTCCCTGTACTATTAGTTAAACAGTTATTGGATTAATTTTCTTTAACCTATCTGCACTATAGTTGGGTAACATATATTGGAACAGGAAGACCGCAAAACGCCATTATCCAACTTGTATATTGGAGATAGGTGGCAAAAGTCTTTTCTGTGCAGTTTCTTCCTTGTGATTTTAGTTTATAGTATGCTAAGACTTTAGATCCGGACATTCTGGAGATTTCATATGTTTAATTGCTTTCAACAAATTATCTTCAGCACCATAACCTTTTATTAGTAATATTTCCCCAGCAAATTATTCTAGTTGTTATCAACATGTTTTGGAACAATTCTTCATTCATTTGTAATTCATGTCACTTGTAGCACAATTCATATTCGTCTTTGCTTTCCTGTGAGATGTGTTTGTTAAATCTGTAGTTAAAGTATGGAGTTACACTATATTGAATGCTCTCGTGTCTTGGTTCTTGATTTTTAATTGCAAATAACCTGTTATGTTCTTACATGCCCTCCTGTCCATACTTACAGAACTGCATGTGCTGATATTTCTTTCTCCTGTGATTTTTCAAGAGGATTTTGTTTTTTTGGGTATTAGTTTCTTCAGATTTTTATAGGTCCTAGTTACTTGGTGAGGACCAGTCTCATATATATGGGCCATTCTAATTGAGTATTGTCCTTGCGTGGTGCATTGTAGACTTTATTGTCAGGCTTCCTGCATTGTTGCAAAATCCTGTCATAGATATGAAGAAATATACTATAAGATCTCTGTCGTGCTGATATTTTGTAACTTGCTTTTGAAGCCTTTCTTCCATTTGTTTTCCCAGCTTTATTGTCTAGCATTTCTTCACTTCTTATTGCTTTTGGTAAATAAGATTGAATTTATTGGGTGATATTAATGCGGCTTAGTACCTGAAGCCAAGAAGTTCTATTCTATGTTCTGATGTCCCAATCACTTCCACTGTTCAGGATTACGACAGAAGAGGCTGGACTGTGAGAACTCTACAGTTGATCTTTGTTACAGTAAGAATGTTAAATCTTCTCAGGGTTTTCATGGATCTCCCAACTACTGCCAGAAAAATACAGCTTGGTTGGGGACCTGCCAGGTGAACTTGCAGAAGCTATCCTTCTCATGTCCAAGGTTGTCACTTATCTTCCTAAACACACACATATTAGCCTCTAAGCTATTAGTAAGAGTTAATGTGAATAATATGTATGGAACATAAAGAAGGAATAAACCAGACCTAAATTTCCTTGTCTGTAGTTGAAGTTGTGGAGGCTTTATAGTTCGTTGAAGTAGGAATTTGTTTGAGTTTGGCATTGATGGCACTAGGCAGTGTAATTAATTCTTGTAAGTAGTGCAGGATTGAGAGTCTTCAAATTCGTACACCTTCATATTAGATCAGAATTATCGACCATGTTGGAAATTAATGGTAAATTTATTGTATTTTCTACTAATGCATGTAAGTTTCCTCCATTAGGTTCAAAATCACAAATGTAGTAAGACTCATGCCAATTTGCGATCGTGGTGGTGGCAAGCTAAGGAAATGCCGTAGCAGATATGATGGATGCTCCAGTCTTCGTTATGTTGTAGATGTTTGTCATGTGTGTTTCCATCGGGGTTTGAAATTTGGATTTTGACTTGAATAGTAAAATTTTGATTTAATATATTTTGGAGATTTTTATCATTTATTTATTTATTATTGTGAATAATAGAAATACAAAAAAAAATTATCCAAAGGATCGCACCTATCTATTGTGTTTCTGGTGTTCAAATAAATGGCTTCTTAATGTTAGAAACAATGCTGCTGCAGCAGCTCTTCTTTGGCTAACTACGAAGTCAAGTTCCTTGCCATATGCAGCAAGTAAAGTTGATGCTGGGTTTCAAAATTTTTATTTCGAATAAAATAAATGAACTTATTCAGAATATTTGTGAAAGCAAAATTAATAAATTGTATGCTTGATTCTTAATAGATATAAAAATATAGCATTTTTGTGTAAAAGATTCTCAAATTGGTTTCGTAATTGCATGTGTGCTTACCGTTACCAGAATCAATACGAACAGGCTTTAAAGTAAAATTCATGAATTGATACAAAATCTCCAACAGTAGTAACCTCTTAAAATTAGTAGGACATATAAGAAACCATAATTTATTTTTGAAAACTAGTAAACGAAAAATTAAAAAAAGGGAGAACAAGAGGTAGTTGAAAACGGGAAGATCGGCGACAAGAATGGTTCAAAATGAAACAATGGGTGATGCAAAATGGTCCATCATTGATTTTCGATGGTTATATAAAGCCCCAAAATCACAAAACCAGACAGCCTCTTCCATCCCTCCAACAAGAAGAAGAGAACCCACCTTCTTCTTCTTCTTGGTTCGATCAGAACCAACAATAATAATAACCATATATATAATTTAATAATACTATATTCTACTAATTTATAATTTTTTAAAAAAATATATATATAGTTTAGAGCAACATCGATCACCATCACATTTAGATAACCGGAGGATGCGTTTGTTGGTGACATTGCTGGTGGTGGCCGTCGGACTGTGCGGCCATGGCGGACTAGCGGAGGACCCTTACCATTTCTACGAATGGAACGTCTCCTACGGCACGGTTGCGCCGCTGGGTGTGGCGCAGCCGGTGATCCTCATCAACGGCCAGTTCCCGGGGCCTAAGATCAACTGCACTTCCAACAACAACATCCTTGTCAACGTCTTCAACAACCTGGACGAGCCCCTCATCATCACCTGGTCCGGAATCCAGCACCGGAAAAACAGCTGGCAGGACGGCACGCCAGGGACAATGTGCCCCATTGCTCCCGGGACCAACTATACCTACAAATTCCAGCCCAAGGACCAGATCGGCACCTACTTCTACTTCCCCACCACCGGCCTGCAGAGGGCCGGCGGCGGCATTGGGATGTTGCAGGTGCTCAGCCGTGATCTGATCCCCGTGCCATTCGATCCACCGGCAGACGACTACGCAATCGTTCTCGGGGATTGGTACAGAAAAGGGCACAATACCCTGCAGAGGATCCTGGACTCCGGTCGCTCCATCGGCAGGCCTGACGGAATCCAGATCAATGGAAAGTCCGGCAAGGTCGGGGACGCGGCAGCCGAGGCGATGTTCGTGATGGAGGCGGGGAAGACGTACAGGTACAGGGTCTGCAATGTGGGGATGAGATTGTCGGTCAATTTCAGGTTCCAGGGGCATTCGATGAAGCTGGTGGAGATGGAGGGATCCCACACGGTGCAGAACGTCTACGACTCGCTCGACCTCCACGTCGGCCAGTGCGCGTCGGTGCTCGTCGTCGCCGATCAGACCCCTAAGGACTACTACTTCGTCGCCTCCAGCAGGTTCTTCAAGGACGCTCTCTCCTCCGTGGCGGTTATCAGGTACAAAGGCAGCAACGCGCCGCCGTCGCCTAAGCTTCCGCCACCGCCGCCGGAGAACACGGAGGGAATCGCCTGGTCGATCAACCAATTCCGGTCGTTCAGGTGGAATTTGACGGCCAGCGCCGCCCGCCCAAATCCTCAGGGATCGTACAAGTACGGGAAGATCAACATCACCCGCACAATCAAAATCGTCAATTCGCGGTACGAATCCAACGGGAAATTGAGATTCGGCGTCAATGGCGTCTCCCACGTGGACGACAAGGAGACTCCGCTGAAGCTGGCGGAGTACTTCGGATTGGCAGACAAAGTGTTCGCCTACGACCTGGTGAAGGACGAGCCGCCGGCGGGGCACGAAATTAAGCCGGTGGTGGCTCCGAGCGTGGTGAACGCAACTTTCAAGGGTTTCGTGGAGTTCATTTTCGAGAACCACGAGAAGACAATCCAGAGCTGGCACCTGGACGGGTACTCGTTCTTCGCGGTGGCGATCGAGGCGGGGAAGTGGAGCCCGGAGAAGAGGAAGAACTACAACCTAGTGGACGCGGTGAGCAGGAACACGATCCAAGTGTACCCTGGGACGTGGGCGGCGGTGATGACGACGCTGGACAACGCCGGAATGTGGAACCTGAGGTCGGAGATGAGGGAGAGAGCGTACCTGGGGCAGCAGCTCTACATCAGCGTCCTCTCGCCGGAGAGATCTCTGAGAGATGAGTATAACATTCCTCCCACGCAGCAGCTCTGCGGCATCGTCAAGAATCTCCCGCCGCCCGCTCCCTACACTTAACTTTAACACCACACCACCAATACGTACATACATACATACATATATATATTCTCTGTACGTAAATAATTGATTAATTCTACTACTACTTTACTACACTATTCATTGCTACTTAATTCATTCTTTCTTTATTTTAAATAATTTATGTCAAATGCACCAAAACATTCCTCAAACTTGGAATATGTAGAGCCTAACACCAATTGTCCAAAATGAAACTTCAAATTGGAGGATTTAAGAGTTGGGGGCAAACACAAGATGTTCAGCAGAATGTATGGTTAAATTCTGGCTGTGCACAACCAATGCAACAAAGGAATATATATATTGCATAGTCACATTTGATAAGGCAGTAGCACATGTAGACCTATTAAAACAATGTTTATTGTCCCCAACAACATCATTCGGACACTAACTTTTGTTGATCTAAGAGTTATTTTCTACCCTCATGGGGTGAAAAAATTATATAAAGAAGAATCAAGAAGGTGGAGAAGTGACTGGTGGAGGTGGTGGGTACCTGAGAAGTTGCTGCAGCAAGCGGGCAGCAAGGCGTTGAGTAATTCCCCCGACTACACGCCCACCAAGACTCCGGGCTTCAGGTTCTTGCAGTACCTGCATGCACAACAATTATTAACAATAGTTCTCAGTTAAACCAATTGTCCCATATAAACAATTTCATTTGTATCATTGAGAACAAGAATGCTTGTAAGATCATTTGACTATGGCTTGAGGTCCATTAACATATCTGTTCAATTCCAAGTCAATAGTGTTTTGCGATCTCTACAAACAACGTACACTGACACGGGATAATGGTTCCTAAATATAACTATATAGAAGGAAGTCAAGGCTCCGGAATTAAAACACCAAAATAGCAAACACGGAAGCATTTAATTGTTACCTCCAGTATAGGCAGCAGTATGCTAGGATCAAAGCTATTGGAGGATCGTAGAAGTTCCCATATTCTCAACACTTGGGCTCTAAGCTCTAACATGCTTTCCAATTCGGCAGTTTTCATTCCCAATGTACCAATTGCACTGACGTTAAATATAAATGGCTGTATAAGACCAGGAATTGAATTGTAGGATTCAGCCACCGAGCCCATGATAACAGCCTCAGTAACACGAACAGCTTCTTTAATAACTAAAGTCCTAAGTTCTTCTCCATCGGGTCCCAACAATAGTTTTAGAACTGGTTGTAAAGCATCTTTTGCATTGAAATCTCTGTCTTTTTTGCCCTGAACTAGCAAGTTTTCAAGCCTATTCCATCTGACAAAGAAAAAAAGGGTAGAATCCATAGTCAGGCACCACAACAGTAGGTAAAGTCTGTTCAGCCAGTGAAATATACAATCTAGCACATAAAACATGCCTGAATTTTCCATCCTTGAAAAGCAGCTCAATAAGAGCATCTCTAAGATACGGATTGGGATCGGTAAGAAGCCTTTTTGCAAAATATGGATATGAAGCAGCCAAAACCTTGAAATCAGGGTCAGCATAGAGAGCCAAACCTTCTAGAACTGTGAGCGACCTTAAAATCAAGGCATAATATGCAGGCACTGCAAGAAGTGGCAACCCTTAGGGACAATTTTATTGTATAACAGCAGTACTATAACATTGAAGGAAAGCTGCCCAGCACACTCATTTCCATGATCTTCCAAATAGTTAGCTGATTTCAATAAGAACTTCAAAACTTACTACAGCTGATTAAAGAAAGTTACAGTGAAAAACGGGGTAACGATAATTATGAAAACTGAAAGTACACGGAAAGAAGATCAATGTAAAACCCAATTAGACCTAGAAAAGATGCAAGTATTATACTAGTCTGCATGTTAAATGTTTCCAAAATGAGGAAATAGCAGCAGTTTTAAACTCTAGACACCCAAAGCCAGGTTTTCCCAAGACACAAGCACATATAAGCGGGACAAAAAAAAGAAATTAACAAGAAAACCAGCATTATCTCTTTAGAATACTAGCTTTTTAATGCAATACTTCCAGACAGAGGTTTCAGATTTATAAAGCTATTCTGTGTAATGCAGTCAGTGTTTATGATTCTATAAGAGAGTTGATACTCACCATTAAATGGGTATTGGTACAGAACTGCACCCAAACCATCCACAATGGTTTTGAAGTTAAGCTCACTCACAGTCGAATTTAGTGCATCGTCAAAAAAGTTCCTTAGAGCTGGCACAATTGGAGTTACATCCACATCTGGGGACAAAAAGTCTAAGGCATAATAATCACGAGCCATGGCTTCATAGTCCCTATTAACCATGTGTACAACATGTCCAATAATGGCAGATCTTGCTCTTTCAGGAGTCTCACTCATCATGCCAAAATCAATAAAAGCAAGTTTCCCGTCAGGTGTTGCTAACAGGTTCCCAGGATGAGGATCTGCATGAAAATAGCCATACTCAAGCAGCTGTCTGAGACTGCATTGTATGCCGGTGTTCACTAGATCCAGAACTTTGAGCCCTTGCCTCTCAATTGCGTCTTGCTCATTTAATTTAACACCATCAACCCACTCCATCGTCAGCACTTTTCCACTAGTATAATCCCAGAAAATATCTGGCACCAGAACCTCAGCTTTGTCCGCATACAATTTTTTAAACCTCCTTGCATTCTGCCCTTCCTGCATAGACCTGTCAAAATTATCATTCAAACCTACTAGTTTTACAGTTCACATACTAGATTAATGATATATTTTGTATCTAAGGCCTATACTAGTTTTAAATGACAATGTAAGACTTGGTTATGCATCCAATGACAATGCAAAATTGAGTCAACTACTAACCTGCACATAATTGAGTTCCTGATAAACTCGTCGAGCGAATTCATCTATAAGAGCAACAACATCACTTGAAATGATGTCGACATATTTATTAATGAGAAAACCTAAACCTCTAATTAGGTAAAAGTCTAGCCCAATAGCTTCTTCAATACCCGGCCTCTGCACCTTCACAGCAACTACCTGCCCAGAATACTTCAGCTGTGCCTTGTAAACTTGGCCTAGACTGGCAGCAGCAATTGGAGATGCAGATATGAAAGAGTACATAGAGTCGAGCTGGCGTCCCAATTCTTTCTCTATACAGGAAAATGCTTCAGCATCTGGAAATGTAGGTAAAGCATCCTATACCAACCAGGAAATCAAATTTATAAACACGGCAGCCTATCACAGATGATGGGAAGAAAGATACAATTAACAGATTTTGTTTTTTAGTTGTCTTTCATGGTTCTGTTATCCCATAGAAACCTTCACACCCAAAAGCACAAAGGGTCCCTCGTTATAATTTCAACAGCTAAAATCTCATCAAAGTTAGACGGGGTTGTGCTTTGGTGCAAAGGGTGGATACAGGCAAAACAGTACTTCTGACTAATGCTACGATAGCATTGGTTAAACACTAAACAGTAGAAGCATAGAGAAAGTAACTGCTAGGACAAAATGTAGTAACACCAAGAAAAAGGGGCAAGAAACAGCTCAATAAACAAATTAAGGGTTTAACTCGTATTTTAAAGAATTGCTACCTCATAATACCAATGTCTTGTTTTTTGTCTGCACATAAGAGAGGGTCATAGGCAACAAAATCTCTTTGTCTGTCAGTGACCTTTCTTGATATGGATTTTCCATATTAACTGTTGTTTACTGGATTGATCTGTTCTTGTATTTAATTTCCTCAATTGTTCATATAGATTATTTTCTACTGCTATAATCACACTCTAATCCAACACATTTACGTATCTATACATATATGTGCGTGTGTTTATACTATTTGACATTTTTATAACCTTCAAAAACACCCACTATATGACCCGTCAAAAAATCATCAAACGATTAATCTTCCTTCCTTCTTGTGTCCATTAAAAGTAATAATCATCAATGACGGTGCAAAACAACACAATATTTCCGGAGGCAAAGAGAGAGGGTTACCTGCAGCTCAGAAAGCTCTTCGATGTATACAGGCGGGCACAAATCAGGCCTGGTTGATAAGCCCTGGCCAATTTTGACGAAAGTCGGTCCCAATCGAGTGAACGTCTTCCGCAATTGAATCGCCCGCTTTCTCTGGTTCCGATCAAGCCGACCGTTAACTTGGTCGAGCCACAAACTGAAGGCAAAAGCACCCAATCCGGTAAATATCTCCGCCGCCCGCCGCACCACCCTAATCGGCCGCGACCCGTACTTACTCGACAGAAATTCCGGACTGTAGACAGAAGCACTAGCCGCCCGGGCCATGGCCATGGCCTCTGCCTGTATATCATCCGCCCGGTCCCTGCTCAACGCTCCAGAGGATGAATCCCTCACCCGCACCAGAGCTACAGGAATATTCCCATCATCGGCAGCACCATTACCGCCGCCACCAGTAAGGGATGGCACAGGCCTCGGCTTCGCCTCCACCAGCGCCGCTCGGAGAGGGTGCCCTTTGACCCCCCCTCTCCTCCGACCAGAAACCGACGCACCCACACAACAAGGAAGGGACAATGTTGCGGCACTCATCAATTCGCTCGGAGACCACACAAATCAACCCAAAAATTCTTGAGAAATAGGAAGTAGCAGTCGATTTTATTGACCTACTCTACTGTAAGTCTGCAACACAGCTAACAGCTTGCTTCTATTTCTTTATTTTCATTTTTTTTTTTTTTATAATAAATCTTGATAAAAACAGTAAAGTTGTAAAACTATTTTTATAAGAAATCATTTTGGAATGAAATAATAAAAATATAATAATACATGGAGTAGAAAAATTTCTTGAATTAAAAATGACAACAATAATTATAATATATGGAGCAGAGGGGCTACAGAAAACGTGTTGGGATTAAATGCACATAAAAAAGCGCCGTGCGAGACTCTTATAATTAGGTGGCGTGGAAGCAACAAATCTCTCTACTTAATGCTCTAGATAACGTTACCTAAATTTGATTTTAATCAATCTATTGTCCTTACTTGTCTTTTTGAGTAAAGACTTGTAATTTTATTGAAATTCAAGTCTCTTTATGACTATTGATTTTACTATATTTACACTTTACTCATTTATATTAATTTTTATGTTGGAAATAAATTATTGTATTATACAATTGAATAGTAAAAAAAATCTTACTTTTTATTTAGGATATTTTATAAATTATATTTTAAAAGAAATAAAAATAAAGTAAAATGAATTGAAAATAGTATAGGTTTGTATAGTATCAATAAATGAAATCTCGACATGCTGAGTAGCATTTCTAGGACGTTGGCCGCAAAGTTTTAAATCATCAAATAAATACATATGCTCTTTTAAAGATTTTAAAATACTAAAAAAATAGTTATTCAAAGTATTAAATATATATGCTTTTAATAATATTTATAAAAATTATGCTGTTCTAAAAAGCAAGCCCAAGAGGTGCGTTTTTTTCTTTTTTTTTTTTTAATTTTTTTTTGAAGAGAACACCCATAGTCTAAGTTATGGAAGGACATAGTGCATGTGACGAGACAATCTACCAAACTTGTGCACTCAGGCCATTCTTGACTAATTAGGGAGCCTTTCACAAGCCATATAAATTTATTTGTAAAGAGTATGTACCATTACCTGAGCATTTATTAAAAATAGTTGTCACCATCACAACCAAACCATCAATGTAATCTGAGATGAGTAAATAAAAATAAACTCACACCTGCACGGGCAGCTGAAGGAATCCAAACAGTAGCAAAACAAGTGAAATTAAGTCGATTACAGGTGCCGTCTCAAGGTTCAGAACTTGTACTTGAATGCCACGGCAGTCACAAAATCTGCAGAAATTCAACATCAAAACTTCACAGTATAATAATAATAATAATAATTATGTTCAACAAGGGCTTAAGAGAAATGATCCAAGATGCCAAGCTGCGGAGAACACGTTGAATAGGCCACTCTGATTCAGGAGCATACATCAATTATCCAACATATCCCCATCAACGTTCCCTAGAAGAACGCCAAGTGGACCTTGAAGCACCAAAGGAAGAAGGTCTACGTTCATCTCGCCAGTTGTCTCCAGGTTGAGATGTTCGAGCCTCAGTCCTGGCACCACCTGACCATCTATCTGGTTCAGGTCGTGAGGCCTGGCCACCTGGCTCAGCAGCAGCAGCAGCACCTCCTCTTCTAAACTTTGGAACGTACCTATCTGCTGCTGGAGCTGGAGCTGCAGCGGCAGCAACAGCTGGAGCTACCTGTGATACTTCCACAGGAGGGGCCATGGGAGAAGGCTCAGTCCTTGGTGGCACTGCAGCAGATCGTCCCAACACCTCTTCCTTCCATCGTTTTTCTTTTTCCTCTAGCTCCCTCTCCCGCTGCCTCTGCTTCTCCGCGATTTCATCAAGCTTGGCCTTCCGCTCAGCCTCTTCCTTTTTCCGCCTTTCCATCTCTGAAATATCCATCAAACACAGAATGCAAGCGTTAATAATAATATTAACAGCAAATAGATCAGCAATACAAATGAATAAAAAGACTGATTTTATTGTACATATTTTTATTTTACTCAATAATAAGGGTTAGCATGATAGGATGCAAATAGGAATACATAGGAATATTGATTATTGATCATGGTTGAGTTTCCTTCTCTACAAGACAAGTACCTTGCATCTTCCTTAACTCTTCCTCCTCGCGCAGTTTTTTCTGCCTTTCCTCTTCAGATCTCAGAAAATATATCATTTTCCTCTTTGCATCTCTTTCTTGCTTCCGTGCCTGAATAATTTGATGAATTCTCTGTTCTCTCTCCTCCTTCAGCCTGTCATACTCCTCTTTTCTTTGGGTTAGTACCCTTTCTTGGAAAATTTTCTGCATTAAATTCTCAAATTGTGAGGTCACCTGCCTAACTGCATGTAAGAAGCATGCATAAGCCTTTTATCTAGGCTTAACTATTATAATAGCATAATACAATCTGAAGCCACTATCATGGCTACGGGGATAAATATGGTGATGATTTTCATCTAGTAGTCATTTACTAAATAAATAAAAGCTAAAAACCTTGTTTTCTATCATCCGGCTAAGCCTTCTTTTCTCCTCCAGATCTCCAGCATGCCTTTGCCTGCTTGCATTAACTTCTTGCTGCAAGGACAAGTGAACTGGCAAGCTTAGATTTCACAGAACATAGAAGCTAGTGAAAGGGTATGTATTAGATTTGACATAACAACTCTAATAGAAACATACAATACAATTATGCAGTAAAGTAAGAAAGGTAAATTAGTGCCAACACAGATTTTATCCAGTCTAATAGAAAACTGTACGAGGCAAGGACAATTTACAAAACAAATTTTTTCAAGGACACAACGAAGGATGCATTCAAACCTGTTGTTCCAGTTCATGGAGAGCTTCTTCTTCAGCTAGACGTTGTTGGAAGGCAGCTTCAATAAGCGGAGCTGCTTCTTCTCTCTTTGCACGTTCCAAATAGTCCATAGTCTTTGCAAGCTTCTGTAATTTTTTCTCCATTTCCTGCTTCTCCCTAAGCTGCTCACTAAGGGCTAGTTCCATCAAAGATTGCTTGGTTATCTTATCCTGAATAATAATATTATTAGTTAATTCAAACTCATATTAGCAACATATCAAAAAATACTGATGTTTGAATGCCTGGCTGACTCACTCCTTCCAAAACAGGTTTCTTCCCTTTCTTCTTACTGCGCTTTTCGGCTTCTTGTAGTAAGGCCTGAGCTTCTTCAAGTTCACGTTCCTCTATTTCTCGGCGAATTCGTTGATTCTTCATTTGTTCAAACTCAGTGGCAAGCCTCCTTTGTTCAGCCTCTTCCGTTATTTTCTGTAATTTCAGCCTCTTCGCTTCCTCTTCCCGTTCCTAGACAATTGTGCATATTAATAATATCGAGTTAGATGCACAATCACCATTCAAGTTATAGAAAAATACACTATAAAACACACTCTCGGATATACTAAAAATGGATACCATCTCCAAAAGCTGTCGTTCTTGTTCTTCTTTGCGCTGTTCAATTAGAGACTTGCGTGCTAACAGCCGCTTGTGCTCTTTCTCAACCACTTCCACTAAATTTGGAAGTCTTTCCCCTAACTTTGAAACTCCCTTTACAGGAGGGTGGATAACAACCCTTGCTTTGCTAAGTGATTCAGCAAATAAAGACAGATGATCATGTAGACCTTCAGATTCAATAGACTGCACAAAAGTAATCCTTTATCTAATCAGTAACGTAACAGACTCCCATATTTTAAGTTGGAAAAGAAAATGCATAACGACTAAGTTTAAATAACAGAAATGAAAGATACTAGAAAGGTTTAAAGAGAGATGCTGCCAAGGCAAATCAGGTAGCAAACTTTCTGGGAAACTCCCTTTGTGTGTCCTGGACCGCATTTAATCAATATTTGAATATACTTAGCCATTATAAAGTAAGCCTTGAAGCCCTTAAAAATACTCTTCGTCCCACATGGTAAAACATTTGGTGTCCCACATATGGTAAAGCATTTCGCTTCCGGCACAAAAATTTAGATGAATAGTATTAAGTTGATAAATTGGGAATTTGGTGATGTGATAAGAAAGAAATGTATATTCATTTCTTTTGTTTAAGTGGTGTGATAAAGTGTAGTAAATTATTCTCTATTTTGAAAATGTTGCAAGATATGTAGAACTTGTCAAAATAAAATTTGTTGCAGATTCCCACGTCATTATATATATAGGGTCAAAGGAATATTTGCAATGATAAAAACTTGTTGATAATTGATCATTTGATATTCTTGAACGTCAAATGCCAAATCTGGACTTATCATTTTAGTTGTATATGGTAACCATAGTTCAATTTGTTAAGCATAGCTACATATGAAACCCAAATGTTACTAAGCGCCTTAGGCAGAAAATGACCAAATTGTGTGCATGCAGTATTGTTTACATGATACCACTCATTCTATCCATGTTGATTAAATAAACTAGGACATTATTTACTATGAGTAACATTTACACGATGTATATGATTTTAGGCATAGCCAAAATCTATAACTGAGGGAACTTACGAATACAGCACCCTTTCTATAACCAAAGTGCGCATCTACTGATCAAGTACCAACATTTTGCAGCATATTATAACAAATAATCAACAATAAAGTTCTTACCTTGGTACCAAAGAAGAGGGCACCCTTCCTATAATCCAACTTCATGGCTAAGAAATTATTCTTGACTGCATCCATAAAGATCTTCTCAACAGTAGAGAAATCAAAGAAAGGAATCACCTGTGATAGGTTATCAATTTTCATAGACTGATATACTTGTGAGACCTGCACATGGGGAATGGTTATCACGAAGTCATATAGCCAAAATCAAGCCTAACCACTATTTTAGCCACTGCATTAGATCTGTCATTGATGAAAACAAACCTGCTGTAGCAATCTAAGAGCAGCAAGCTTCTCAAGGGAAGGAACATACTTGGACAGCTGCACATCAGGTACAGCAGTAGTAGCAATTTTGCCTCCAATTTTAGAGATCTTTGTTAACAAGGGCTGCACTTTCAATGCTAGGTCTAAAGGATGAAATTCATTTTCCAATACATGGAATAGATCCTTCACTTCCTGATGCACACAGTTCATTACACCTTTTGCCACCTAAGGGAAGTTCATAAGAAAAACATAAGCATCTACTGGATGCAAAAACACACAAGCAACAAATATATAAATCAAGACACCATATCGCTGCTTTCTCGTATAACAACCAATTTACTGAAGCTCTTCAAAATACAAGAATTCCATCCATTATCAATTAAAGGGGAAAAGCAAAGAGTAATCAAATGAGCCTATGGCTTACCAAATCCAAAAGAAGAGACGACCTTGAGAGCTGAAACAAAATCAAATAAACCCATTATGTAGACATCAATCAAAAGGAAAATATTAAGTCAATAATTCATCCAAGAGATATATTACCACTTCTCTGTTTTCTGGTTTGGATTCAACATCAAATGCAATAAGGCTTGCTACCCTCAATCCTCGTTCTTTTTCATGTTCAAGCTCCACATGAGATGCGCCATATGAGCGATCATAAGGGAGAACAGACAGTGTAGCTAAAACTACCGAGGATGCTATCAACTGTAAATCCTTCTGATTTAAATTCTTGTTAAAGCTCTTTTGAAGAGAGAAGAGCTTGAGCCAAGCATACGCATGATAGAGGTGATTGGATGACATCCAGAATATTTCAGAGAGCTTGGAATAGTATACAACCATAAATGGAGCTTTAGGCGTCTTTTTAACCATACACATCAAACCATGTATATCCTCAATTGATCGAAAAGCTTCCTGCAAAAAAATAAAATAAAAACAAAGCAATAATGTCAATGACAAGAAGCAATCAGGACTCTCTTCAAAGGGTCTTGTAAGTTGTAACCAACAGTCTGCTAACAAGGTGCCAAGGTAGAAAATTGAACACACCTGCCAAAGCTCAAGCTCAGTAGCAACTTTCAGTTGATCAAACCTTGTGTCAAGATACAACTGCAAACTTTCAGGAGCAGTAAGATCAGGTCTATCTCTCTGATCTCGATACTTGTTCAGATTTGCTAGATGATTCCTAATAATTTCACACAACCTCCGAAATTCCGTAGTTCTTTTGTACTGCTTGCAGAATTGAAAGGCACGATGTGCAGTCATCTGTGTATTTAAGATTAAAAGGTCAACCAAGCAAAGATCAAACATAAATTGGTTAAATGAGAAATTTAATTTACTTAACAAGATAACTACTAACTAGACATTTGATTTTTAAAAAGCACAAATCAAAAGCACAATACAAGGTTGAATGCTACAAGATTAATATAAATCAGGCCTTTTTGGTAGCAAAGAATCAAGATCAAGCAACACACTCACATAAATAAAGCATGCAACAAGCATTTAAGTTCAACTGCACTAAGTATCAAATATCAACCAAATTGAAGATGGAGACCAGTAATGTTTACAAGACAACTTCATAATTTGGGTAATTTAGAGAGAAAAAAAACCTTTGGGTGTGTTTGTTTGTGGATTTGATTTTTGATTTTTGGGTTTGGATTTATTAATAATGAAAATTAGAATTTGAATAGTTATTTGATATGATATAAACAAATGTTGACGTATATTTTGAATGTAAAATTAATTTTTAGTAAAATATAAAAAATGTAAAATAATTGTTTAATTTGATATATTTGGAAGAAAAAATAAAATTGGATACTAGGAAACTCACCGCATAAAGGGTTTCCAATCTTGAGTTATTGCGCAAGATCTCCAGGACAGTTCTGTAAGTTTCCCACAAGAACTTAAACCATGGTGTTACAAGCTCCCGGTCAGATCTGTCTTTACCTTTTTCCCCACTAACATAGCTCAACATTAGATCTTCAGGCCTTTTATCTGCTTCTAAATCATCAATATCTAAAGCCTCTTCCAGGGCCTGCGCCTGGTTGCGTGCATTTTCTGCTTTCTCAGTAGCCAACTGCATGAAATGCTTTATCACCTCTTCTAGAGATGTAATGTTAACCTGCTGGCAGATACCGCGGTACTGGATAAGACCATCCTTTGCATGTCTTCCCCTTCTCATGTCAACACATAGCTCCACATACTTGAACATTATCCTCTCATGTGTTCTTGTCCAGGCTCTATACCTCCTTGAGGTAATGAAACTATGAAGGGCTTCAAGAGCTTCTTGCTTTTGTCCAACATTGATCAACTCTGCAGCCACATATGCATGTAGAAAAATTGAGAACATATGGAAAAAGTTTGTTGCAATCAAATGAAGATAAATCATGATACTCAACTGCATAAAACTATAATGTGTATTGCCCACACTGCATGCCCAGTGTATGAATATAAAAAGAATGAGGCAGAACAGGTAGATCAGAAAATATACAATTCAGACTTTTGCACAAAAACCCGTATGTAAGTATTACTCAATACTCCCACAATGGCTCATACCAGGCACAATGGAAATTAGGCATAATTATCCATAACTTTCATGAACCCTAAAGAGTAGTTAAAACACATACTGTGTTAACAATGACAAGATGTATGTTTATTGTGCATCAAGCCAGAAGGAGTGGGGGTAAAAGGGGGGGGGGGGGGGGGGGGGGTTAGTATTCTGCAAACAGGATAATTGCATCTAACCTTCAGCTCGCTTCAATGCATTCTCAGGTCTGGCAAACGTCGCCATTTCAAAATTCCAATAGGTGTATAATTCAGCTGCAAAATCACAAAAGAATAAAAGTTGAATAATCAGCCATAAGAGTATCATGATTTGAGAATTGTGTAGTAAGACCCATCAAATAAACAAAAGAAGCGGATAGATGAGCATCCGCAAATCTATGCCTAATAGCTTAGAATCAAACCCACTAGATTGAAACTCCTAAACCACTAATCCATATGGTTTCGCTCTTCCAGATTCGACATCATATCACCCAGACCCATTCATAATTATAATCGCCTGCCAGTCTAACTTAAAACGCCCATGGCGTTCTATAAACAAAAATAATGTCTTGCGTTAATTCCATACCTCAACAAAACTCCATCCAAACTCTCAAAACCGCGAATTTAGATTAAAATGAAGCTCTACTGCAGAATAAATCCAAAAATACCAACAATTACTGCGCAAAAATAATAAAACATCTCTTTTTTTAAAAACCCCAACTTGATTAAAAAACGACTCGCCTCGTTTCAATTAAAACAAACACAAGACGTATCATACGCGAAAATCTCCGTTGCGATCTTAGCGAGTGAACTTACAGCCTAAAATATGACGGCGCCGGCGGCGACGCGAGCGATGTCTGAAACAATTGAGGCCGGCTACTGCAGATTTCCTTCAGGAAGATTAATCATGAAATTTTTTTTCCTTTATATAGTACCCTAAAAAAAGCCCTAGCCGGTTTTTTTCTTGTCTTTTAGACTTGGGCCGAAATTGTCTGAGAGGCCCAGCCCATATTGAGTAGTAGGATAGATTGGTCATTGGTGACCGTCCGATATAACCCATAAGATCAATGGGGAGCCGTTATACTTGAAGTCATATAAAAACGAAGAAAGGGATGAGATTTGAGGAAGACGAGCATATATCGGGAAAAGCCCGCCTGTCTGATCCGAAAATGTCTTGCCTTTCTCTACCTGATATAGGAATTGTTGTTGATGTTCATCCGTCCTCCGATCCACCGCCAATGTCAAAGTCACCACATTGCATTCCCAATGGGGAACTGCTGGTGCTAGAAGTTAGTCACTCTCATCCTTGTTCGATCAGCGACTGCGCGCACGCCGCATGGAGAGGAGAGATCCAGCGGGGGGCATATCGGTAGTTCTAATCCGCCATCGTTATTGCTATGACGACGCTGCAAACCCTTGGTGGGTCCTCTCGTTGTGGGTGGGTGCTGGGCCCTTCCCTCGACAAGATAATCAAGAATGCTTCTTGGAGGAAGCACTCTAGTCTCGTGGCCGCCTGTAAGTCGGCCCTCGACAAGCTCGAGTCGTTGGCGGACGACGCCACCAGCCCGGCGTCGTGCACTCCTCTCTACGGACTTTCTTCCTCGGATGCGGAGTTGCTGATTCAGCCCCTCATCATGGCCCTCGGCACTGCCTCCCCTAAGGTCGTGGAGCCCGCCCTTGACTGCGCCTTCAGGCTGTTTTCCTTCGGCATCATCCGCGGCTGTGAGATTAAAGAGAGTTCTTCCCTCGTTTTTCGCCTGGTGGACTCCGTCTGCAAATGTTCTTCCCTCGGCGATGAGGCCATTGAGCTGGATGTGCTCAAGGTCCTGCTCTCGGCTGTCCGGTCCCCCTGCGTCTATGTCAGGGGCGATTGCCTCGTCTACATTGTAAAGACTTGCTACAATGTCTATCTAAGTGGACGAAGTGGCACCAATCAGATATGTGCCAAGGCAGTCCTGGCACAGATGATGATCATTGTATTTACCAGGGTGGAGGAGAATTCCATTCTTGCCAACTTTAAGAATGTGATTGTGTTTGAATTGCTGGAGTTTTCTGATAGGAATCTGAACGAGGGGAGTTCTATACACTTCTCGCAGAACTTTATTAATGAAATTGTGGAGGCCAAGCAGAGCCCTGCTGACATGAAGTTGTTATCTGTGGATTTACAAAATGTATTGAATAATTCCAAGGAAGAAACTGGTGAAGGGAAAAGTGAACCTAGTCCGAGTGGTTACTCAGACTTTCGGGAGGATGGTTTTATTCTTTACAGAAATTTGTGCAAGTTATCCATGAAATTTTCATCAAACGAGCAATCGGATGATCAGATCCTTTTGAGAGGAAAAATTCTCTCCTTGGAGCTTTTGAACGTCATCATGGCAAATGCAGGTCCAATCTGGTGCTCGAATGAGAGGCAAGTCCTCAATTTTGCTGACGGTGCTGTACACTTAGCTTGGTTTCTGTGGTTTCATCTAGCAGACCACTTATATTCACCAATGTCATCCATGTTGTGGTTTTGATCAAGTAGACTAATTACACTGACTGTTCGTGACTGAGTTAAATACAAAATACCTTGACATGGCAATGCTGAAAAAATGAACTTCATCCAATGCCTTCAGATTATTTAAGATGAACTATTCCTTCAAAGGATGTGACACTGGACGATGTAATTAAGATTAAGAGATCATAACCGATTCAACATATTGTTGGTATAATTCATAATATTGAAGTTGACATTGTTAAAGTGATGTGTGCATATAGTTCAACTTTAGTTGTCATAGTTGTTCTATGTTTCATCCTTTGTCGTCCTGAATATGAAGCTTTTTGTGTTTCTTCTGACAAGCTATTTCACTGTTCTCTTAATAGGTTTCTTTCTACAATCAAGCAGTATCTATGCGTATCACTGTTGAAGAACAGTACGCTATCAGTTATGACGATTTTTCAACTTCTTACCGCAATATTTCACAACTTACTATCAAAATTTAGATATGGCCTGAAATCAGAAATTGGGATCTTTTTCCCAATGTTAATTCTCCGTGTATTGGAGAATGTGCTTCAACCTAGTTTCTTACAGAAGATGACTGTTCTGAGTTTGGTGGAGAAGTTCTCTCAAGATTCTCAGGGTATCATCGATATTTTTGTCAACTATGACTGCGATGTGGATTCTCCAAATATATTTGAAAGGTAAAGAGGGTTAAGTTCTTTTTGATTCACCGTGTCATTTTCTTACCTTCTAAGTATATATGTTAGTGAAAATCATTTTCTTACCTTCTAAGTATATATGTTAGTGAAAACCATTTTCTTACCAACAGCTTGCGTGAACAATATAGGGACTGTCTAATAGTATTCACTTATTAAAATGTAACTGGAAAATAGTTTTGACACAAGTTTATCTACAAATGAATTTAGAAACACACATCTCTACTCTTTCTCTAATTCTACATGTGACTGCAAAAGCATGGTAAAAGTAGAGTACTTGTGTTTGAATTAGTCTCTTTGAGAAGTTTTGACTTCACTTCTATTTATGTAGAATATTTACCCACTTTTTAATCCCAACTGGATTGATCAGATCCTGCCTTGTTTTCAAATTATCTCAAGCTTGCATTCTTTCTGAAAGGCATGAGGCGTTTTATTTGCAATTACTCATTATGGAATATTTGAAACCATGGACCTTAATATGTTTGACATTTCCTCTAGAGATTTTTCCTATATTAGGCTCCAGGCCTGAAGCTGTAAGCTTACATTTGCTTGAGCTTGTGTTAGTTTTCGTCAAATCATCAAGGGGTTTTAGGAATTGTTTATAAATTGTTGAGATGCAGTGTGATATTGTGCCGAGGTCTGGAATGGAAATGGTCCAAGTTTGCATTGTGATGGACTGTGTGCTTCTTAAAACATGGCTTCTGCGTATACAGAACATGCTAAAGTAATTTTTCCTTCACAGCTATAGAGTTGTCATCCTTTCCCATCATTCTTATTCTTCTTGTTTCCTCATGCTAAATTATAACAATGTGGGATGACTTTTAGGAGAATCTGCATAAAGGTGGTATGTGTTCGAGTAAAATGCATATGAATGATTCGTAGACATTGGCATTATCAAACTCACATACCGTGCATTAGATAACCTATTCCAAACAGTTAGCAAAATAGATTTGGACCTACTCTTGGTGCTTTCAGTGAAAGAGTTTACCATTTGATTGTTTTAGAGGTTCACATAATTCAAGATTTTCCATGAATTTCCACTAAAATGCTATTCGAAAATGTTTTATTTCCTTGAAGTTGTATTATACTATTTTAATTCCTTCAGATACTTGCAGGACAGTCAATGGTCTTTTGAAAACTGCTCAGGGTCCTCCACCTGGTTCTACCACTTCTTTGTCTCCAGCACAAGATACTGCATTACGCCTTGAATCAGTAAAATGTCTCGTTAGAATAATCAAGTCAATGGGATTGTGGATGGACAAGCAGCTGAAAGTTGTAGATTCAAATCCACAAAAATCTAGTGACAATGAAAACATGAAAGATAACATAAACATAATGGATGAAACGAAACTTTCTGATTATGATCTGCACACAGAGGCGAATTCTGAATTGTCAGATGCTGCAACCCTGGAGAAGCGTAGAGCTTATAAATTAGAAATTCAGGTTTGCTCATTCTGTTTTCTATTATTTGTATTTTTATTTTGTAATTTCAATATTGTTTGTATACTATGTTAAATATTCACCAAACATGCAGAGAGGTATAGCACTATTCAATAAAAATCCTTCCAAGGGAATTGATTTCTTAATCAGCAACAAAAAGGTTGGCAGCTCCCCTGAAAAAGTGGCTTCTTTTCTCAAAAGTACCCCTGGGCTGAGTGAGAGCATGATTGGCGATTACTTTGGTGAAAGAGAGGAGTTTCCCATGAAAGTTATGCATGCATATGTTGATTCATTCAACTTTGACAGAATGGGTTTCGGTGAAGCAATCAGATTTTTCTTGAGAGGATTTAGATTACCTGGAGAAGCGCAGAAGATTGATCGCATCATGGAAAAATTTGCAGAACGCTATTGTAAATGCAATCCAAATGCATTTACTAGTGCAGATACAGCCTATGTTCTTGCCTACTCGGTGATAATGCTCAACACTGACGCTCACAATAGTATGGTAAAGGACAAGGTGTGTTGTAAAAATTTTCTGACTCTTGAGAATGTGATTTTCTGTCTAATTGTTGAATTTAAACACTCTATTCCATTTTCACCTTCTACCTGAGCAAGTTTTCATAGATATTGTTCTGATAAAACCGTACAAGCACATAATGAATGTAAATGATCTGGTTGCCTGAAAATGAAATTTTCACTTTTAAGATTGGAATTGGGTATATTGTCTTACGAATACTGCTGTAGTTCCAATCATTTACTTTAGCACACACTTATATACCTATATGTCTATGAAGAAAATGAATCAACTTTTGTATGTAATATAATCATCTTTCTTTATGTGGCTCAATAATATCTAGAATTCTATATATCATATTTTGTTGTATATTATTGTGCCCTAAAATTGAAAAGTTTGGAAAGGGAAGTCATCATTATGTTATGCTAATTTTTCTTTCACTGTTTAGTCTTAATAACCTAGCTGTGAGGTTTGATTAGTTGAATACCTTTCTGTTTTACTCAAGATGTCGAAGGCCGATTTCATTCGAAATAATCGAGGCATTGATGGTGGCAAGAATCTACCTGAACTTTACTTGAGTACTCTGTATGATGATATTGTGAAGAATGAAATCCAAATGAGCACAGAGTCATGTGCCCCCCAAAGCAGACAAGGAAACAGCCTAAACAAATTATTGGGCTTGGATGGCATACTGAATCTGGTGTGGAAACAGTCCGATGAAAAGGCAATGGGTGCAAATGGATATTTGATAAAGCATATTCAGGAGCAGTTTAAGGCAAAATCTAAGTCAGAGTAAGATCAAAGCTTCAAGAGATGTGCTGAACTATTGTGTACTTTTCTGTGCTCCGCATTCTCTTTTCTGCTATTGCTACATTATTGATTATGCAGAGGTTGATCAACATAAGTAGTGTTTAATGTAGACGTGACCGCATTACACACCTGCTTCAATGATTTTCATCGTTCATTCTGCTTATTTTCCTTTTACCCTTCTTTTCCAACTGCAGGGATATTTATCATGCTGTAACTGATCCTACCATCTTGAAGTTCATGGTTGAAGTTTGCTGGGGCCCTATGCTGGCTGCATTTAGTGTAACTTTGGACAAGAGCGATGATAAGGAAGCTAGTGCACAGTGCATGGAGGGTTTCCGTCATGCCATACACATTACATCTGTAATGGGGATGCAAACTCAAAGAGATGCTTTTGTAACTACCGTAGCCAAGTTCACTTACCTCCATTGTGCTGCAGATATGAAGCAAAAGAATGTCGACGCTGTCAAGGTAATTGTTTCCTCATCTTACTGAGAAATTCTCCAGGCGTGTTTATATGAATTGACCGGTTAGTCTTTATGGTACATCAATATCTAGTTACAGAGCAAGCACATCACTTTATAGAATGGCTAGTAATGCTTGTTCTGGTGGTGTCCAGCGAATCGACGCTTTCTAATTTACATAAAGTAATTTCTTATGCTGTGGAGGCAAATCCTGAGATTTTAATAGTATTTTTGTTTTGACAGGCAATAATATCGATTGCTATTGAAGATGGGAATTATCTTCAGGAAGCATGGGAGCATATTCTGACTTGCTTATCCCGGTTTGAGCATCTGCAGCTGTTGGGAGAGGGAGCACCTCCAGATGCACCGTTGCTAAATTCACCTCGTTCTGAATCTGAAGATAAATCATCAAAGTCGTCATCTTTGAAGAGGAAAGAAGCACTACAAAATCCTGCTGTGATGGCCGTTGTTCGAGGGGGATCCTATGATAGCACCTCTACCAGAGCAAAATCATCTGGTCTTGTCAGTCCGGAGCAGATCAACAACTTCATTTCCAACTTGCATCTGCTTGATCAAATTGGGAATTTTGAGTTGAACCATATTTTTGGTCACAGCCAAAGGCTAAACAGTGATGCAATTGTGTCTTTCGTTACGGCCCTCTGCAAAGTAGCCATGTCTGAATTGCAATCCACCACCGAACCACGTGTGTTCAGTCTCACAAAACTGGTGGAAGTTGCGTAAGATTCTTCCCCTACCTAAATCTTGATAATAGAATCCTTCCCGTGTGCAGCGCCACCAATTGATGCATGCTTCTATCTTATTTGCAGGCACTACAACATGAACCGGATAAGACTGGTGTGGTCTCGAATGTGGAGTGTCCTGTCCGAGTTTTTTGTATCAGTTGGTTTGTCTGAAAATCTCTCTGCTGCAATCTTCGTTATGGACTCTCTACGACAGCTCGCCATGAAGTTTCTAGAACGAGAAGAACTGGGAAACTACAATTTCCAAAATGAATTTATGAAGCCATTTGTCGTCGTGATGCAGAGTAGCAGTTCCCCAGAGATCAGAGAGTTGATTGTTCGATGCATTTCACAAATGGTCCTCAGTCGGTTCAGCAACATTAAATCTGGATGGAAGAGTGTTTTCATGGTAAAGTAAAACTACCTCTTGCATTACCACAACTTGACTATTTTGCAATCCTCGATGAATCCGTCTTTTCCAAACCAGATGTTAGGACATTCTCAGGTGGCTCTTGCAAAAACATCTTCAAAATATGGACTTTCCGGTTGCAGGTTTTAACAGCAGCTGCTGCTGATGAAAGAAAGACCATAGTCCTGCTGGCCTTCGAAACCATGGAAAAAATAGTTCGAGAATACTTCACCTACATAACTGAGACAGAAGCGCTGACTTTCACTGATTGTGTCATGTGCCTTGTCACCTTCACGAATAATAAGTTCAATGATGATGTGAGCCTCAATGCCATTGCTTTTCTTCGGTTCTGCGCCGTCAAACTAGCAGATGATGGAATTGCTTGGAACGAGAAAAGCAAATGTGATGCTCTTTGCCATCCGGTAACAAATTCTGATGATGATTTGGGCAGTGAAACGAGCGCAAACAAGAGCAACTACATGCATTTCTGGGATCCTTTGCTCTCAGGTACGTCTGCATTCAATGGCGAAATCTCTCACCCGTGAGTGTCTTCACTACCATTTACATTTTTCTGCTATTTCTTACAAATTGTTTTAGGTTTGTCGACATTGACATTGGATCCGAGACCTCCTGTTAGGAAAAGCGCTCTTGAAGTTCTATTCAATATTTTGAAGGACCACGGGCATCTTTTCCCGCAGCCATTCTGGAATAGTATTTTCGACTCTGCTATTTTTCCAGTATTCAATTCTACCAAAGAGGCGGCGCAAAAGGATGATGATGGTAATGATGATCGCCTCTCGCCAAAAGCTAGAGGATCAACGCCCTTGGATGGGAACGATTCGGAGTATGAAACTAATGCTCTTGCAGGAGAATGTCTAGTCGATCTTTTCGTTCACTTCTTTGATCAGGTCAGGCCTCAACATCGTCGAGTGCTATCCATATTAGCCATTTTTGTAAGAGACCCGAATCAAGCCGGTCCTTCAAATGCCGGGGTAGCTGCTTTGATGCGTTTGGCTACCGACTTGAAGGATAAACTCTCGGATGAAGAATGGAGCGATATTTTCCTGTGTTTGCACGACGCTGCTGGATCCGATTTACCACACATTACAAAGCTTCTGGAAAAGATGAACTGCATCGAGGTTCCAGACGCGAGTTCCCATAACAACGGAACAGACTTGTCTTCTGATCACGCCGATGCTTCTGAAAATGATACCGATAAAGAGATGCAAACTGCAGCTTATATCATCTCACAGATTAAAAACCATATAGCTGTGCAGCTGCTCATCATCCAGGTACACACCTTCACTTCCTCCTCTTTCGAATATTGCTACAAAATTGATTTCTAGTCGATTCGTTTAAAATCTTGTTGTTTCTCTCAGGTGGTGACTGATCTTTACAAGATGCATTGGCAATATTTGTCGTTGAATCCTGTTTCCATTGTTCTCGATGCGTTTTCATCTATTGCAAGACGCTCCCACGAATTGAACTCCAACCAAATCTTACTCTCCAAGGTGGAGAAGGCGTGCTCGTACCTGGAGATTTCTTGCCCGCAGACGGTTCACTTTGAAAACGACTCTTACCACAACTACTTGAACTTTCTGCACGACCAACTCGCTCACAATGCAGCTCTGTCCAAGGAACTCGACATGGAATCAAAGCTTTTGCAGACATGCAACGAGATGTTACAAATGTACCTAGACTGCGCCGGATTCGGACATAAAGACAATGGTAGTAAGAATTCGCAGAGTTACTGTGTTTCATTCGCCTCGGGGCAGAAGGAGGAGCTGGCTGCTCGTTCGCCGTTGGTTTTGTCGGTGATGCGAGTCTTGGTCGGTCTAGAACGTGACTCGTTTCGGAGGTATATTTCGCCGTTGTTCCCTTCTTTGGTGGATCTCATTCGAGTGAAGCATAGCTCGCGGGAAGTGCAACATTTTCTAAGCAACATATTCCAGTCGTGCATAGGGCCGATAATAATGTAGCCGTGTTTCCCTTTGCTTCCGAGTTTTGTCAGTTTGTATCGTTTTAAACACGGCCGTGTTGTACGGGTATATGGTTTAAATTGTCGTATGCTTGTATTGGACCCTCATTAACTTTGTCTAATATTGGGACGTTGTTTGTTTATTTGTTCTCCACCACGGCCCAAGCCCATTCGTTATTTTAATTAATTTAAAATATTACTTATATTCTTTTCTTTTTTTCATTGTTATCTTTTTTAATAAATAGGCGATTCAGTTTGATGTCAGGGGAGGACTGGAGAGCAATTAAAATGGCAGCCTTAGCGTTTCCAGAATCATTAAAGAACATCAGTCAAGCCGAGGATTGAGCTGAGCCGGAGCCGGCGGAGCGCATTTCCTTTGCTATCTTCTCTACGGTCGTCCATGGCGGCGGCTCTGGAATGCTGGTCGAGCCGAGCCAGCACGGATGAGGATATGGTGGAGCAAGTTCTGATGCGAACACACGACAGATCCGAGTGCCCGCCGGAGATGAATCCTTCCCCTTCCTCTGCCTCGGCCTCCGCCGCGGCGGCTCTTCGGGAGTCTTCTGCCTTCCAGAAGCGATTCCAGAGGCTGACCCGGAATGTGTCGGAGGCTATTGCCTCCCTCAAAAACACCTTGAATCTCGACTCCGCTCGCGAGCCGCCGACCTCCGCTTCCTCGAGCTGCCGGAGACACGTGTGGGGCGGAGTTGTACGGAGCTTGACGCAGTTGTACCCTGGAAGCCAGCTTCCTGAGAAATTGGTGTCCAATCTTCGGAAGCATTACGATTCGTTACCTCTCAGGTGAACCTAAATTGATCTTCTTCCACTTTCAATGCTTCAATTCTTCTTCTTCTATTATTTCAATCAGTGAATAGATTCTTCTCTGATTGATTGATCGATAGCTATGCTCAAGCGGGGTTTGAGATGAAAGACGTGTTCCTACATATAAAGCTGATAGAGCAAGCATCTGCGGAGGATCACCCCGCATTTATGATCCAGGAAATGTCTGATGATGATGAAGCGAATAGCAATGGCGCTTTGTTTAAGCTTACATTTGCTTGTAACTCCGTCGTTTCGTGGCCAGCCATGTCCGGGGCACTCGATAGCTCATCGATTTGCTGTAAGAAGTTACAGATCTTTGAGAAGAAGGGTTTCACTCTGGGAATTGTCATGCTGTTGGTCGAATCCGGCCAGGAGAAGATGTTCAAATCCCGGATCGAGAATGCCCTTAAATTGGCCTTAAAGAAGCCGAGAAATAACCCCATTAAGCTCCCTTTCGGGCTTTGTGGTTGCCAAGAGGAGGCCACTAGAGCAAGGGATCTTGGCGACATCGAAGACGACAGTGGTGACCAAACTTATATAGAGAGTTCAGATTCAAAACTACAGTTAAAATTGCCTCTGCCCGAGGATTCCATCGTGGTGTCTGTGGATGAGTGGCAGACTGTGGTTTCTGGAAAAGATGAGATTGGGAAATGGCTGCTGAACTACGATGCTGTCGAGATTTCGGATCAGATTGGACCCAATACGTTCAAGGGTGCATACAAGGGCAAGAAAGTTATGATTGAGAAGCTCAAAGGATGTGACAAGGGCAATAAGTATGAGTTTGAGGTACGGAAATATTTACTTGAGTTGATGACATGTGGGCACAAAAATATCTTGCAGTTCCATGGAGTGTACGTCGATGAGAATCACGGGTTGTGCATAGTCACTAAATTGATGGATGGTGGATCTGTCCAAGAATTAATACTCAAGAGTAAGAAGCTCTCGATGAAGGAGGTTTTGAGGATTGTCACGGATGTTGCTGCAGGAGTTAAGTTCATGAATGATCATGGAATTGCTTACAGGGACTTGAATACACAGAGGATCTTATTGGAGAAGCGCGGAAATGCTTGCTTGGGCGATATGGGAATAGTTTCTACTTGTAACAATGGCAGTGAGGCTACGGAGTATGAAACTGATGGCTATAGGTGGCTTGCTCCCGAGGTTCGTTCCCTACTTTGTCTCACTACTACCTGATGAGTATTGAATACAATATCATTGATCTTGCAATCTCTTTGTTGATGATTGACTGTTGTGGTGATGTGAATTATGTTTGATTAAGCTTTGATTCTTTCGTAGTTGTTCGTTTTTCCAGTTGATTAAGTGCCAAAAGTTCATTTTGACCTTATGCAAGTTTGTGACTTTTTAGTTCCAAATTTATTTCGATTCATTTACCATGAGGAAGAACAATGCATAATAGTCGATCGATGTTCTAATCTAACTTATTTCCGTACTGGTATCAGATCATTTCAGGTGATCCAGAAAACGTCACGGAGACATGGATGAGCAATGCATATAGTTTCGGTATGATAATATGGGAGATGGTGACCGGCGAGATCGCGTATTCTGCCTATTCACCGGTGCAGGCAGCAGTCGGAATCGCAGCCTGTGGGCTCAGACCTGAAATTCCCGAGAACTGCCCGCAGATCCTGCGGTCACTCATGGCAAAATGCTGGAACAACACCCCGTCTAAACGTCCGCAGTTCGCGGAGATCGTTTCAACCCTATCGCGCGTCAACAACAGCATAAATAAACAGTGAGGCCCCAGAGACAATAACAAAAATGCACGTGCTTCTTGCCCCGAGATTCTCATCGAATAAACATACACACGGCGCAAGAACTTGTGCTTCGCCTAGGCCATATAACATCTGGCGCATATAGATATACATGTATATGTATATAATCGGGTACGGTTAGAGTAGGGGAATTGGAAAAGGCGCGATGTTGTACTAGTATGAATGTGTTGGAATGCTGCTCGGTGCGAGCAAAAGTAGTCGAGCAGGTGGGCCGACGTGCCGACCGGCCGGCCGGCACATTTGGTGTTCTAGGTAAGGGATTATATTACATCATGTGTATCGGCTTTTGGCTTCAATGTCTTGATTGTGGGTATGTGTTGGGGCCCTATTGCTTCTTGTTTTGGTTCCTTTAATTCTTACCTATCCTATCCTATCCGATGATCATCAATAATGAGCCCTTTTGTCCCTTTAAGACTACTTTATGTCACGTTTGGTTTTAACTTTAAGGTTTGAAATTTTGGTGCTGCTGTCTCAACTTTAACATCATTTCTTGTCTTCATCCATCCCATTCAAAGTTTGCAAACAATTTTGACCCTCTAGTATTGTATCCGATCTGAGCTACGATCTTTCACAAAGTTAGACTAAATAAACCAAAGACATCTTCTTTATTTGATTAATTTAATCGAGAGCATGTGAACTTGTATAGTTTTTAATGAATAAAAAAGAGAGTACATGATACTAAAATACTTCCTCTTGTCTATCAAATATATGCTACTATGTTTTAATTGTACATATAACAAATTTTATTACTTATATATTAATAAATAATAATCAAATTTTTACTGTTTTTTTATCTCATTATTTTTTTTTTTGTTAATTTTTAATAATTTTTTATTACTCCGCTCTATTTCTTACTTATTTCAATTTTATATTAAAATATTATTATTTTTTACTTTTGTCTCCAACCAAACAAGTACTAATTTTTTTTGTTATTATTTCCAGTTTATAAAATTTGTATTCATTTGAGTTTGATACAAAGTTTGATTAATATATTATTTATATTGATTGGTCGTGATATAAAGTATAATATTTTAAAAAATATATGAATTATTTAATAAAGTGAAAGAAATTTTTTGATAAATTGAGTAAGTAAATAAAATTTTGATAAATTGAGTGGGTAAGTAAATAAATATAATATTGAATGACAGTATTATTATAATTAGAAATAAAGTGCTTACTCTTTATGAACAAATAGAAAAAGAAAAACCTACAAATTTTGTGAAAAATAGTACTATTTCCCTCCCAATACAATAGTTTTATTTACGATTTTCATTCGTCCCAAAATTAGTCTTATTTCCATAAATAACTATATCACCATAAAACTACTCGTACTTTTTTTATTTTTATTACACAATTGCCATTATTTTTAAACTAATACACTCGCAAAAAAATCTTTTATTTATATTTTTTATCTCTAAGTACTAATATAATATCAATATTCCTTGAATCCGTGCCCAACCCAATTAAGGCTATAGTTTTGGGACGGAGGTTAGTGGGCAATTACGTTATAACTTGAAGCTAAGGAAATAGTAAACACAACTGAGTAATAGCATTATTGTAATAAGATTTAGGGATGAACCCTTTTAATCCTTATTATTATTAATAAGGCAACATTATTGTATGGGCCATGAGGCATCATGCAGGTGCAGCATGCATGTGGGATGAAAAAGTAATGTCATGAAAGCCTTTAAATTGGGACAAATAATAATAATAATAACAATAATAATAATAATAATAATAGTGGTAGTGATAATACCATTATGTTTATAAGCATCAATTATGAATGAGAGGTTAAGCAGAGCCCCTTTTTAGTTATTTGGGTAATTAACTTTAATGATTGCCCTCCCCAAATTTCTACCAATATCAATAATTTATATGAAACAAAATAAATAAATAAATAAAACTTGCTTCTTCCATATATGAAAAAAAATATTCAATTATCCGCGCGTGCCTTGTTATTTTTCCAAAAAATAATAACAAAAATCAAATCTAACTATCATACAAATACAAACAAAACACACCCCTTAAATATATAGTATTTGTTTAAAGTGAATAATTTTAATTTTATTTTTTTTTATAAATTTTTCAAAAAACCCCTTGGATTAATAAACCATTTAATATATCACAATAGAAGCTGCCAAAAATAAAGGTAAATAAATAAATAGAAAGCAGAAGAAGCAAAAGTTTTAAATTGGTTGATGGGAAAAATGTAAAATTATAGAATTTGTTTGATTTTGATTTTAAATTAACTTTTAATTTAAATACCAGTATTTTAATCCTAAATGTGCAGCTAGTGTTATTTGTGATTGAAATATAAAACAATTATGGATTCAAAAAAAATACAATGTAATTAAACAAGACAAAACATACTTAAATTATTTTCTGGAACCAGAAGAAAATCTAGATGGGTTGAGTCAACAAAATTGGTCGAATCTTATTCAAGTGTGCCAACAATATGTGGAGATGCTGCACAAAATGCCATCTTCTAACCCTAATGTAATTAAATTCCTATGATGCACAAGTTTTAATTATATTATACTATCAAATACATGTTGTAAAATTTCAAAGCACTCCATCCTAAATTTATTTAATCAATTCTAACATGAAAGTATGATGCTCTTGATTAAGTATCACAATGCAATTAAAATAGATCATGTGATTGGTATAACTTTATTCACAAATCCGAAGCGTTCTAATAACTTCAATTCTTAGCAGAAAAGTTCTAAACTAGGATGCATGCATGCATGCAAGCAACACTTTTCACGACGTAAGACAGATCGCATCTGCCAAACTTTTACACCCACAAAAGAAGCAATGAATTAATTACCAACACTACGCAGCACAACCACAAGAAATAACACAGCCCTTTTTTGCAAGAAGATCACAGAGATGAAATGATGAAGCACACAGCACATGAACATTATGCCAACACAAAACGATTATAAAAAGATGGCCTTAATTTTCTTTTTTTTTTTTTTTGGTAAAATCATTATTGCCCAATTAATAAATTATACAGATTTTTTTTTTTTTTTTTTTTTTTTTTACAAAAAGACTAGGTCGGGGGAATCAACTGAAGGAACAAGAGGGGCACCTGATGAGACCATGCTCATTGCACGAGGTACAAGTCCTGAAGCCTTCGGATTTCTCGCTGTAGCATTTATGGCTGCCGTCGCAGTCCTCGCAGAGGACAAATCTCATGTCTCCGCACGCCTCGCACGTGCCAGGCTTCGCCGCGGGAAGCAGGCTGAGCCACTTGTGCAGCTCGCCGCTATTGAAAAGCCGCCGCATCTCCTCAGCCCCGCCGACGTACCGACCGTCGATGAAAACCCTAGGCAGCGGCAATCTGGAGCTGTCCGTGGCGCCGAGAATCCTCCGCAGCTCGTCCGCGTACTGCGAGTCGATCGAGATATCACGCTCGTCGATCGGCACGCGGAAGGACTGCAGCATCGATCGGAGGGTGTTGCAGTCCTCGAACGTACGGCGGACGATTCTCAAGCTGGTAAAATAGACCACGACGCATCTATCGGCGCCCGGAGGAGGCTGGATTCGCGAGGCGGCTTCAGCCGTCTGCAGCGATTCATTCAGCAGGAAGGTCGGGTTGGATAGGGTGCGGAGGAGGTTGTTGGAGCTCCGGCTCCGGTGTAAAATTGGGGCATTCCCAATCCCAGGTGCGGCTGGGTCGTGATCGGCGGCGGCGCACGCGGAGCGTTGATCGGAGAGGAGGGTGTGGACATCCTTGAAGGAGGAGCGGCCGAATTTTGGGGGAGCAGGGGCGCTGCGAGATTGAGATTGTGGTTCTGATTTTGATTTCGATCGTGTAAACCACATTGAAATTGAAAATCGAAAATGAACGCGGTGAAAATTAGGGTTGTCGAGTTATGCATCTTTATTTTGCATTAGCTTTCGTTCTCTCACAAGAATGGTGAAACGGAAGGAAGGAAGAACATCCTCGAAATGCGGTGGTGTCAGTCAGTCGCAACACACACACACATACAAACAGCTTTAGCACTTTGCCCCCTAGACATCACAGAAATTGCAATCTTTTCTTCTATAAAATTATAATTTCCCATACAGCAAAATAGGATGATAAACATGCTCCATAAATGATGTACCGTAATCACACAGTAAAAACCATAACAGAGAACGACAAAGAGTGGCAACGTTTAAATTATTAGAGGTTAATTCAATATGAATTTAAACTCTGCATACGATCTTATGGAGGAAACACTAGAATGAAGAGGGTAGGAGTATAGAGATCTTGGCTTACACATGTAGTATGAAGAGGACAAGGTTCAACGGAAGTAGACAGAGATCTGTGGAATATCGACGTCGTTATCTTCGTCATCCTCGCATGCAACAACAATATCCACATGGTTGCGGTAAGGCGGAAGCTCTACCTTGGCGACATCCCTTACAAGATCTGCTATTTTCTTGTCCATTCGCTCTTTGTGACGGGGGAACATGCTGTTATAAAGCAAACAGCTTCCAAAAGAGATGCTGTAGGCATTCAGCCCCTTGTCGGCAAGCCATTGGAGGAGCTCGCGTAAAGTAGGATTGTTTTTGATGACCCACCTGTCCCAAACAGTCCAGCTCATGTTCTGATGCTTGACAACCTTAGGAGGCATAGGTTCAGCCATGGAGAACAGAGGCAGGGCAAGGTTAGCAAACATGTTGCGGTAGTCTTCTAACTTGTGATCACCATCAATAACTTTATAAAGCTCGAGGCACACCAAACCAGTGGCCAGTGCCGTGGAAGTTGCAATGGCTGGAATAATTCGTCCGGCAATGAATTTGGCTTTCAGCTTATCAACTTCAGGAATGCTGTAATTTCTTGCCCTCATATTAGCAAGCCCAGCTATGAAGTCCATGTGGTAATTTGTATCATCATCCTGCACTTGTACAGGGCAAAGTTAGAAGCAAAGTAAATGTATAATTAATATTTTGTATAGTAGTCATATGATAGATGAGATTAAGTCACTAGTCAGGAGAAATAATTGAATTTCTATCAACCCACCCCAAACCAGGTGGTAGGTAAGGAAGTTTAACTACGTAAGAGAGTTCATCTCAAAGGTAGACATATGAGAAGGAATGACTTACTTTCAAGAAATAGAAAGGAATAAACATTTCAATAGAATGAATACACATGAAATTAATAGAATAAAAAGGAATAAACACTTCACTGGAAATTAATAGGAAATAGACGAACCTTCTCAAACTGAATTGGTTTCATCCTGAATTTTGATGGTAAAGTCCTCCGGCGTTGCTCCAGCTTCATGATTAAGTCATTAATAACAGCAGCATCGTCAACAGAAGCAGTCGCAAGACTAGTAGCTTTCTCATCAGTCACAATTTTCACGTCTTCCTTTGGTTGAAATTCGGGAACCATAATTTTATCAACAGCTTCAGCCAATTTCTTAGGATCCTTCACCCAATCAGGTATGGGAATGCCAAATGTCTCAGCCCGTAGTACGGATCCAGCAAGAATAAAATGAAGATGGCTCGGATCAGTTGTGGAGAACTGCAACGGACGAGGGAAACGCTTTGGGGCTGACCAGAAAGGTGCACCAGTGCTGGTTGCAGCATCTTCAGGAAAGGTAAAAGTCAACTGCTTCACCCTGTTTGCAAAATAATCTTCAAACCTGCAAATTAATGATAAAATTAGAGATGCAACATAACAAGTATAAACAAACAGACAAAGGGAATGGAAAATCATATAATATTAACAATTACTTTAGACGAGCCCACATAATACAATCCTGGAATGATTCACATTGCTCACTATCAAGGCACTCAAGTACGCGTTCCAAATTGTCTCTGGCCTGAGCATCCCCAGCATTTCTCATTGCAGATGTATATTCACTAGGATTAGAAAGATAAGCATTCACTTCAGCTGGTGTCTTCTCAAGCAATCCCTCAAATTCTGATCTGGCCCATGTCAAGCAATGATCAATATTGTGAGGGAAGGAGTGCACAGTACACATGGGTGCTTGTTTCTCAGGGGGATCTCGCGAAGCACCATAATTTTCTGTCAGGTGGGGAATCACCATTTGTGTATTGCATTTGGCACCTAAAGTACCGGACTCAAGAAGAGGTTTTTGGAAATACAAGCATCTCTGGTCGACATAAAGCCTGGCATTTACATTGTCTAGGGCATTAATTACAACATTGAGATTCTCCCAAAATGCATCATTAAACACGTCCTCCGTTTCTGGGTTCACACGATTCTGCAAAGCTTCTATGTGGAGAAGAGGGTTTATCAATGAAGCAGCTGCAGCAGCAACAGTGGATTTTGGTTGCCCAATGTTCCAATCTCGAAAGAGGAACTGCCTACTTAGGTTACTCTTCTCTATAACATCATCATCAGTAATAGTCAACTTTCCATTTTTTCCACATGAAACTCCCATAAGAGCTAAATTTTTCAGAAACTCGCAGCCAAGGGCACCAGATCCAACAACAAAAACTTTAGCATCTTCCAGCTTTTTTTGAAGCTTAGACCCAAACACTGAAATCTGGGCATCATAGCGGCTATTTAAGGGTCTGAAATCATTGGGATCTATGGGCTCCGTAGGCAGTGATTCAATTGAGTCAAAGTAGAAGAACTGCACAAACATGACAACAGAGATATTCAGCTGGAATTCATAAACCCTACAATGCCAAAATTGTGCAGTTGCTCCTCTGGCAAAAATGTAAAACCACCATGAGGTTTAGCAGATGTAGTTTCACAAACATGGGTATAAGAAATACTGTTAAATATTAGAGAAACATATTACTAGTTCACTAAAGAAACAGATTAGAGAAAAGTAGATTATAAGGAGACCTTCCGTACATCAAAACGGAAGAAATCTAAGGAAGTTTAATGAGCAAAACATCCAACCACCTTGCAGGAGAACTGTTAAATACTGCCTCTACCTTTGGCCAAACATAAATACCAAATTTCAATTGCATACCAAACAAAGCAGAACTATAAAGATTTAATCATACTCAGCCTCCCCCAACCATAAAACCAAGTTATAGCCATCATGCATAAGATATCAACTGTTACCAACTCCTTCCCCCTCCCACCCACAAAAAGGCAAGTAACAAAGTGGAACAGGGAAAACCCCTGAATGTGAATAAAAATATCTGCAGGGAAAGTAATGATCACCTGAAAAAGTGGATGAAACTTCCCAGAGCATGCCTTCATAACCTCCTGCCCAACAATACCACCAAACATGGCAGCCATAGGATTCAGTACAGCCCGAGCACCAAAAGCAAAGTGCCGGAGAAGTTTGGGATTCACATCATCCAGCTTTCCTTCACCTAAGGTCTCATTTAAGTCACTGGTAATCAAAACTAATCTCTGAGCATCCTCTTCGGAACCAGCTACTGGAAAACGCCCATTTTCAGACACAAATTTATCTAGTGATCGGAATGCCAAATGCAAGAGGGGTGGCCTGTCAAACTTGGAGAAATCAGAAAGGAGGAAATCACCAGGGTCTTGAATTGCTTCCTTCAGTGGCTTAAATTTCAAAACCTTGGGCTGTTTCACCTGAGTCACAATGCCACCTCTCTCATATGTACCGTAATTAGTAGTATCTTCCTCAAGCATGAAAGAGTATGGCCGTGCATTTTTTATCTTTCTTGGTTTTCCATCATTGAGCTCTGTCATTCCACGAACTTCTGAGAACACAACCAGATCCCCATCCTGAAACTCCAATCTTTCATCATCCACACATGTCACAAGAGCAGGGTTGTCATTGCTGATAGATTCAATTATTCCTGTGTGAGGTTCCTCACCATCAACATCAGAGACAGTGAATTTAGGTCCAAAATCACAAAATGCACTTCCAAAAAGGCCCCTAACTTCTGTCTTAATGAAAGCAATAGGGGGTTGGTGACTGTGACAATAATCATTAAAATCAATTGCACTCTCTAAATCAAGGTCAGTAAACACCACAGCCTGCATTTATCAACACTATCAGGATTAGTCATAACAGTAAATAATGCATGCAAATTCATAAAGTAAAAGAGATGGATTTCAGAACAAACTCAAAGGCTTAATCATTTATTTTGAATTTCATTATATAATTAGTACAAGACAAAGATGATTTATTCAGATTAGAGGATGCCAGATCGATTCCACGGAGCTGGTTCAACAGATATCAGGTACAAAACCTAACAGCTTATTAATAATCCACAGTGGTATTAATCAAATTGAAATTACTGTCTTTTATGATCCAGCATGGGGGATATAGGCTTTGTTCTTCCAACAAAAATTTTCAACACATTTCCCCAAAAAAAAGTAAATATATTACACACTTTTATTTTTATATTTCTCACACAATGCTCCATACCTCACATAAAAAATATCAAAACACAAAACAAACACATCCATAAATTCCTGTAATTGTAAATAAGACTAGTATTATACATCTTATAGGTTCCTTGGGTTTTTGAAATATTCGGGATACCAAGTTAGCTTAACTAGACATTACCAGAGTTTTTTCAAGTCTATTTTGGCAGAGGACCTTTAATCATTGTCACAATAGTGCACCAAGAACATATGGTTCAATCAATAAAATTATTATTTCCGTCTCCATTCTCATAAGTCCTAATTAGATCCCACATATTACATGCTTTCACAATGCCACAAAATGTCCTAATGGCTAACAAGTTGTTGAGACTATAATCTATTAGTCTATTTGTTGCAAGCACATATTATTCACTGTGTCTGAGGAATGGAGTACACTCAAGAACACAAAAATATCACTGAAAACTTTTGTTGGTTTGATTAGCATATACAGTCGTTGCACTGATCACATGACATTATGGCATTCTCACAAAATTGTGCACATGCATAGGGAACACTTCCACAGTCTCCTGAGATATGTCCACACACGACATCTACATGTCATCATTCATAGTCTGACCACAATGCATCATGAAAATATGAACCAATATTTCAATGACGGAAAGGTTCTTTTATAATGCTAACTACCAAGTCCTAGAAAGAAACAAAGTTTAGGACACAATTTCCTATTTGAGCATATCAATAAGAAGTCTTGTTTTAATCTGACATAGCTGGGGATGCCTTGGTATTTTACAATTCAAGGGGTCATAAAATGAGAGAAGAATGGGAAGAAGAGGAAGAAGATTAACCTGGAACTCAGAAAGTTGTTCTTTAGTCAATTTTGTTGTCAAGGTAGAGACAGCCACAGCATTATTTAGCTCTTGTAGCTTCTGAACTGAAGCAAGTGCCCTGTTCTTGCCCAAATCTTTCTCTGAGAAAACAAAGTTACTGGCCATATCCCACATCTCTACTGTACCTTCATCATGCAGTGTCACAGACTTTACACCAGCCAGAATGAGATTCTTAGCTGCAGAAATCATAAAATCCACCGATGATGTTATTCCATTGTCAGTAGTAATTTATAATCTAAGAATAGAACATTAAATTTGTATTCATGAAAATCCCAAACATTCAATCCAAGAAACAAAAGATTCCTAAATCAAAAGAACAAGATCAGCCACTCAAAATGATCCATAAATTAACAATGTATTTATCAAGATGCCCTAAAAGTTGTAAGCAATATTCTGGCTATTATTGAATTTGATGGTGCAGAACCAACATGAACGCAGAGGCAAAAGGTTCAATTGGAGTTACACATAATCAAAGTACCATCGGATCATTACATGCAGCTTGAATATGATGAACATCATAGACTCACACAATATTAGAAACTCTTCAGATAAATAGTTTAACGAGTTCGCACAAACACAATATAAGCAATTAGTATAGTAAACCACGGAAACTGTACCAATCTCGACACCAAGGCCGTTGATGCCAGAGACGAGAACATTAGATGCAAAAAGCTTCCGCATCGTCTCACGTCCATATACTGCAAGCTGCCGGCTGTGGAGATCCTCATCAATGTCACGGGGAGTCCCATCATCGAAGGCCATTTCGATGACAGTCAGCTCGCTGCAGCTTCCAGTGATGTTATGATCCCTGCTGCCCACACCAGCGCTGCTATTAGTCTCCTGAGCGTCAGTGCAGTTGGTGGACGAACTGACACGGTGCTTCTTGAGAACACCCTCGAGATCACCTTCTTGAACGGCCTCTCCTTCTACCGGTCTCTTTCTAGGAAGCATATAGTTGAACAACCTGCCAAAAAGCCGCTGAATTCCCATCCAAACCACAATAGTCAGCGCGAAATATGTCAAGACGACAATAAATTCATAACCAAAACGATTTTTCGGGTAAAGGTAGAGTTCATCGGAAATCGGCGTCCGTATCAGCAGGGCAATCACACAGCAAACGACAGATACAAAACCTATCCCGAGGATCCGCCTCAAATACAGCAAACCCATTTCACGAAGCAATCGATTGGAGACTAAAACAGCAGAAAAGCGTTGCGAGACGGAAAGATGCGAAGCAAGGAATAAACTTACCGTCTAGTGGCGCCGGGAGCAAGGAATGGAACCCCGAAGGAATGACCGAGAGAGAGAGAGAGAGAGAGAGGGAGAGGAGTGAGGAAGAAGAAACAACCAGAGAGAGAGAGAGATTCAGAAACGGTGGGCTTAAAATGAGGTGACTTTGCAGCGAATTTTACCGAGTTTACATTTCATAAATACCGAAAATGAGTCACCGTGAAATTTATGACTGCCACGATTCTAATGAAAACAATTACACGTTTTTTTGCCAAGATAACAAACAAATCCAACCCAAAATGCAATTGAAGGAATAATAATAAATACTACAATACAAATATAATATTCAATTTTTATTTTTTAAATAAAGATTTCATTGATCTACTCTCTTTATTTATAAGTTTCGTATTTTTTTATTTAGTTATTTTTATCCTTATTATGATAAAATTTATCCGAGTGCAGATTTTCTATGTCTTCGATTTTCTACTATTTGCACAGTGTATATTATACTATTTTTACTTAGCCTGCGTTAATAGCAAATAAATCCTCTGAGTTGTAACGGAAAAAATATAAAATATTTTTATTATGTTAAAATTTGTATGTACAAAATTAATATTTGAATATAAACACACATAATTATATATACATATGAAATAAAATAAATAAAGAATCCATTTTTATTTTATAATAGCTTCTTTAAGAGAGTCAAGCTATAAATTTATGGATAGTAATACGATCGCTTGATTTATGGTCAATTTTTAAATCATTAAATTAAGCAATATATATTTGATAAAAATTTTGCTAAAGAAACAATTTTTTCTTAATTTTTCTTTAGATACTATTTTTAATATATATTTTATTTTATTAAAAAAATAATATTTATTATAAAATATTATTTTTATATTATGAATATAATTTTATATGTTTTATATAAAAATCAAATAAAACAAACTTTTTAAGGTGTATTTGTGGGTGGATTTGGATTTAAAAATTGAATTTGAATAATTGTTTAACTTGATATATAAATAAGTATTTTGAATATAAAATAAATTTATAATATAATATAAAAAATAATGGTTTGATATGATATTTTATTTTAAAAAAATAAAAATTTAAATAATAAGTTTTTTTGTTAAAACTTAAAAAAAATTCAACATTAATTTTTTATATATTTTCTATTTTGTTATAGTATGGGTCTGCCGCCGCGGAACTGCTCTTAATAAATTTAATCTCGCACTTAATATTCTCCAAATTAATTTAATAAAAATAAATCATATTAAGTAAATTATAGATTTGACAAATGAACTTTTCTATTTTAAAATTGTATCAAAGTAGTTAATGTATTGTCTTATAGCGTGAAAATTTGACTTGGGACTTTACCCTGTATAATATGTATATACATATATTGTATTTTTTAAAACATTCTTCTATTATGTTTTTCTTTTTTATTTGTTATAAAATAAAAATATTTTTGTCTCCTTTTTATTTATTATAAAAATATTGTACCCAATGGCCGCCGGTGAAATGGAATACGTATTTATTTTGAAAGTAAATAAATGAAAGAATCTAACTCAGGAGCGCAGCCGCAGCGGCGACGGCACAGCTTCCTCGCGGAAATGGCGGCTTCGTATGACCTCAAATCCACGCGCATTTCTCAGCTGCTGTCCATATATATTTGTCTGGTCTACCTTTCCACACTGCGCGGTGTTAAGGGTATTGGCGTCAACTGGGGCACGGCGGCGTCGCACCCGCTGCCGCCACACAAAGTGGTGGAGCTGCTGAAAGCCAACAACGTCGCCAAAGTGAAGGTGTTCGATGCTGACCCCCAGGTTCTCCAGTCGCTTTCTGGCTCCAACATCCGTGTTACCGTTGGCATTCCTAGTTCCATGCTTCGCAGCCTCAACTCCTCTTTGAAGGCCGCGGAGAGTTGGGTCCATGACAACCTCACTCGCTTTGTTTCCGACAGAGCCTCTAGGGTTCTCATTGAGTGAGCATTTCAGTTATGCCTCAATATATATCTGATATAAAAAGTTTTAGCTGATATTTTGCTTTGATTTGTTGTGTTTGGGTTCTCGATCTATGTAACATCCTTGCTCCCATTGTTTGCTGAGGTTTAGTTCCAGTGAACCATTGATTAAGGAAATAGTGGAGAAGATTTATTCTAGTGATAAAACAACTGTGTACATTGGAAAATGACTAACAACTTAGCATTTTGGAGTGATTGTTTGGTCGTGTCTTTGCTACAATAAAATTTGTTTTCCAGTGGAATATTTGGTAACCTTGCTCCTTTTTTTGACCCTGCTTTTGGAGTGTTTTTAGTTTGTAGCAGTGTGAAATATAATTTCGATTTGATATAAAGTGTTATAGAATGATCAAGTGATGCATTTGGTTATAAGATTGATATATAGTTTTAGGGTGTAGGATATAGCCGTGTAATTTTTTTCTATTTTGCATGAATACATTTGAATTAGGGAAGAGGACAATGACTGAATAATTATTGATTTGTTCAATGTTATTTGTGTTCTCATGAGAAAGAGAAGGCCTTCATTTTTGTGAATGTTACATTTGGTAGACTGGGGTGTTTTACAATTTTGTCTTGAAAAATATAACGAAAGTTTGGAAAATTGTTTGCTTCTATGATTTGTTAGTTTCATTTCCTCTATTGTTTAGTGGTAGCATTTATGCACAATAATATAGTCCATTGTTGAGCTGTTGTTTCTGTTTAGGAAAATAGGTTGCTAAATAATGAAAATCTGGTGCATACCATTTAATCATTGATGCATGCTGCTTGTGCCTTGATCTACATTTTATTATGTCCATGTCACGTTTGACATAATTATTTTGATTGTATGCCATGGGCTCTTCTTCGATTATAAACTTTCAGATGCATTCATTTGCTGATTTTGATTGATTGTGTATGCTTAGGTTTAACATTGGCCCTGTTAGAAAATATGAGGGTGTGTTATTGTGTGTGTGCATTTTTCTGTATTTTTTATATTCAATCTATTAGTTTTCCTCCAAAATATCATAATCAACAATGATGTTCACCTCAAAACATCAAAACTGAAAAAACAAAATAAAAATAAAAACACAAACGAATACACCCTGACTTTTGCCAATATATATATTTAATTAGTGAATTTTGTTCCATTCTCCTAGAATAAATCAGTGAAGAGTTTTGAGTTCTCTCTCTTTAGAATTATCTATGGGATCCCATATAAAGTTGTCAGATAATGGTTGTATTTAGTCCGTAGAATAAAAAATTTCAATAAAAAATTCAAATTATCCTATATCTGTAATCCTCCTTACAAACTGGCCCATCCAACGAGGATGTACTTGAGTCTCTGTCTTTATATTTGTTTTTGTGTCTATGTATGCTAGCTTAATGTACTTAGGACAAGTTGCAGTTATACCAAGGCATGTCAATCCAGGAAAAAAATAAAAGAAAACGAAGGCATGAAAAATGACTACAGCTGATCAGAACTTGTAACTTGGCTATAAGTAGAGAAGTTGCAAGGTTTCTAGTTTAGTGTTACACCTTACAGATGCTTACTTATAGCATTTCTAGGATTCAGTAAGATCTAATGCTTTATCTCCAAAATATTTATTTTTCCTTGGTCAGTATCCATCTGGTTTGCCAATTTTTTATTTTTTTGTGAATATGGTCCTACTCTCCCCCTCATTTTCTGTGTGCCTATGTCTCTTTGCTCATTTTTTAACATATATTTTCATAGATATGTTGCCCTTGGAGATGAACTATTCCTCCAAAGTTCTGGCGAGCAATTCTACCCCTTTGTTGTTGGAGCAGCTGTTAACATCCAGAGGGCTCTGTCCAAGGCCAACTTGGCTGAAAGGGTGAAAGTTGTGGCTCCCTGCAGTTTTAGTGCTTTTGTATCTGAATCTGGTCTGCCATCGAAGGCAGGATTCAGGCTCGACATCAACAGAACCATGATTGAACTCCTCACATATTTGAACAAACACCAGTCTCCATTTTTTGTTACATTATCTCCTTTCCAGAGTTACCATGAAAACAAGAATGTTTCTCTTGACTTTGCCCTTTTTAGAGAGAAAGCACATGCTCGAAATGATGGCCACAAGTCTTATAAAAACAGCTTTGACTTGGGCTATGATATGGTTGCTTCAGCACTATCCAATGCAGGGTTTCCTCAAATCAGTATAATCATTAGTCAAATCGGCTGGCCTACTGATGGAGCACTGGATGCTACATCATCTCGTGCTCAAGAATTTATGAAAGGCTTGACTGATCATCTCCGCAGTGAATCTGCAAAGTCTTCAAAACGACAAGATCTACCCACAGAGATATACATTTTCAGCCTCTTAGATGAAGATAAGAGGAATACACAAACTGGTGGTTTTGAAAGGCACTGGGGTGTGTTTACTTTTGATGGCCAAGCAAAGTATCAAATGGATCTTGGTCAGGGTTTGAGAAAGCTGGCGAATGCACAAGATGTGGAATACCTTTCAACCAAATGGTGTGTGGTGAATAACAACAAAGACTTGTCAAATGCTACTGCTCGTGCAATGGAGGCATGTTCCACTGCCGATTGTACTGCCATTTCTCCCGGTGGCTCCTGTTACAACCTCAGTTGGCCTGGAAATATTTCTTATGCATTCAATGCTTACTACCAGCAGCATGATCAAAATGTGAAGAGTTGTGATTTTGCTGGTTTGGGGTTGATTACTACTGTAGATCCATCTGAGGCTACTTGCAGGTTTCTTGTTGGACTCAAGACTTCAGTTTCCCCTTCCTTTCATGATACTGCATTTCTCTGTTGGATAATTTCACCACTGGTCTCTATGCTTTTGTGGTTATTAAATGAAAGGTGGTAGGAGGCATTTCTTCTCAGGACAGTAGAAAACACCGTCTTATGTTCTGAGGTTCGACGGCATCATGACTCATGAGTTTGTCTCTATATCCTTTGTTAAATCAACAATCTGCGGTAGAGTTTATGCTTCATTCTAACGGGTTTTTGTATTGTCAGGTGTTCATTGGAAGATATAATTATTCTGATGCAAAAAAAAATGCAGATCTATGCTACTGCAGGTTAGGTTTGATTTGTATGTAATGAATTGTATTAGAAATTATTTCGGGCATTGCTAGGCCATCTAATTCTGTTCATCGGCAATCTTGTCGGTGCCTGTCTTATTTTAGAGGGCATTCTCATTAACATTATGGAAATGAAAAATATGTTGTTGTACACTCCAGAGAAAGGAGATTTTTGAAGAGTATGTATTTAAAAAAAATTATAATATTAGCTTTGTTGGTGGGTTAACTATAATAAGTTTTCTTTTGTTTGAATTTAATTCCATAACTAATTAGATATTGTGTTTTAGTCATCTAGTATTGTAATCTCACATGTGGCATACGAGAGTTGATATGCCTCGCTGATGTGGACTTTTTCTGGCTCTAATGTGGCACACCAAGTAAGCTCTAGGTATGCCAGGTTGGAGTTAGATGACTAAAACAATGACATCGAGCTAACTACAAGATTAATTTCCATCAAGCAACAAACGACAATCATATTTTTCGTAAGTACTTATCCTGACAAAATATTTTGATCCCAGATAACAATGCTCACATAATGTAATGGAGAATGCTGTCTAGTTTCTATTTGCATAATATTTTTTTGTTCACCTTTTTGAACTTATAATGTTTGTAGTCTCTAGATTTGGATCTTCACTTCTTAACATTATGAATGCATATGTCAACCATATTTTGGCTCTCCTTGCAAATTCAGATATGACCTAAGAATTTTCATTGCAATTGGTTTGGCTTTAATCTACTCTGCACATAGTTTCTGGTTATTGGCATTGATCTTATTACAAGCCTATTTCTTGGTAATCAGATGCAATTTATGGGCCCTATTTGAGTTGCAATAATTTTCTCCTTGATGCTCTTCACTAAATATCTAGGTTGTGTGCATTGTTTTTAGAATCACTTAAGGTAACAACAACTTAAAGCCGTACATTACTTCTTCAGATCTTTGCCTAGCCCATATTAAAAATAAAAAGGTAAAGAAAAAATACTCGATTGGATCTTATAAATAAGCAGCTTGATATGGGTCGTTAGAAGAATAATATTGTTAGGGTGGTGTGCTTGAATATGCTGTGGATTTGGAAAAAAATGTTTGATTACAAATGATAGATATAATAATGTGAAAATAGAAAGAATTATATGATGGTAGTTCCCTGTTATGAGTAATTGCTGATTGCAACTAGAGCATATTTTAGATTATGCTTTTGTGTGGGCATGTAGTAGCACAATAGTACCCAACTTCCCAGTAGTGAGATTCTCCTATCTCTATCATCAAACTCAATCCAACCCATCCCATCCCTACCCAACAAACAGTCTACTAAAACTACACCCCCCCTATGGCTAAATGGGTCTTGTAATATAATATTGAGTGATGGTGGTGTGAATGAGTTGGAATAAGTAAGGCAAGCAATATAATTAATTAGTTATATACTATATATTATGGGGGTTGGGCACATGGGAATTTGGAAATGTCAAAGATTGCTCTCATCTCCATTCCAAACATCCACATCCCCAAAATGGAATCTTCCAAATCACTAAGCATCGCATTTAATGCCTCCTCTCCTTTGTTTTATTTTCTCTAAGACGGTGAAGATGTCTGTTTTTTTCCTTTCTTTAATTCCATCAAGGTTGAAACAAAACAAATTAGCAGTAGACAGCAGCAGCAGCAGCAGCAGCAGCAGTAGTAGTAGTAGTAGAACACACACTTCCATGCACACACCCCCACCATTAAACTATTCTTTTACAACCTTCTTATCCTGCACTAATAAGCTCTCTCTCTCCACTCTTGTATCCTTTTCATGATTTTTATAACTACAAGAATCATTCATTTCTTGTCTTTACTTCTCTCCCCCCTCCCCTCCCCTCCCCTCCCCTGAATGGTCACCATTTGTCCATTTTCATTCTGGGCTTCATATAAGCTTTATGAGTGCTGTTTGTAGTTGATATATGTCATTCTTGCTTAGGGTTTAATTGATCTTAGCTTAGCTTATTAGCTCAACCTAGTTTACAATGTTTTGTGTTCTAACTTCACATATTGAATTTGTTAGCTGAATTGATCTTGAGTGAACATAGATAAGCCTAAGATTCTAAACACAACTAGCTGTACATGAGCTCTACTGTATGCGTTGAGAATATTAAAAAAGACAACATTCAAGGATGCCATGGTGTTGTGTGTATATATGCGTGTGTCACAGTCTGCACACACACGCTAACAGTATTATATATATATATATGGAAAAATATTTAATTTATTCATTATTATACAATTGATGTAGTTAGAGATATATAGGAAATTAGAGAGAATTGGTTTCCTCGGAATAGCAGATTAGAAGCTTGGAATCATGTGATGAGCATTAAATGAGATGCTGAAGGAATCCTTCCTAGTGTGTGTTTTAATTTACAGATAGTGTTGCAGAAGCCCTCGTGGTGATCTAACATATACATAATAATATATAAATGAATTTGAATTTTATTTTGTTTTATATATCTCTATCACGATGTGATAAATGATACTTAGAATAATATAGTCTTCTTATTTAATTCCTAATTTGCACTATATATACTTGTGCATTTATTTATCTCTTCTTTTTTTAGCTTTTGAAGTTTGTACTTGTCTTGGATTTCAGCTTCTTGTCGGGTCTCATTAATTGCTGTTTTTGTTTCGAAATTATAGTTCCAATATCCCCCTAATTATTTAATCAGTATAATAATAGTAATATTATTACTTGTTCAGAAATTTTACTTTATGTAAAACAATGAATGCCAATGGATCACCCCATTTAACTTTTGATTGAAATGATACTTTGTGTTCTTATCGAACTTCATTTTTTTCTTTCCTCATGTAAAATATATGATTTGATCTATTTGAATATTATTTGGCTAAAACCTAATGTGAAGAAGATCTTTAGGCATGTTCTATTATAAGTTATGCCAACTTACATATATAGCCATTCTTCCAAAATTGCACTGAATCAATATTTGATGTTTTTGCCAATCATATTAGCCTCGTACATTTTAGTTGATGAATTTTGTCGTAATTATTCACATATGAATATAATATAAGACAAAATAATAATTAGACATGCATGCAGATTTGCTACTCAGACTCGGGCAATATATATTTAAAGCATATAGAGTTAATAAGAGTCTCTATATTCAAGAATGGCTACCATTGGTAAAGTTTGTGACTAAAATTAACTATAGATGCAAGTTTATTTCAAATGCAAAAAAATAAAAAAAATAAAAAAGGGAAAAAGAATTGATAAGTTTGATGTTGGGATATATGTAGGGATGGATGGATGGATATATGTGATGTCGTCCAACAAACATTCAATTCAATATTTCAAACAAACGAAGATCAATGATATCTTTTATAATTTAATTGGAAGTCTACAATATAATGAATGGCTAACCCTAACCCTAACCCTAACCCTAACCCAAAACCCTAGCCTAGCCTAGATCTTCTCAACCCCATTTATTGCTCTTGTCTTACCTGACCTCTATTTATTTTTAATTTTTAATAAAATAATATTACTACTTGAAATTCCCATCAGACCCTCCCAATTTTCTTTGCTCTTCCCTTCAAGCCATTGACACCTTCAAACATATAATATAATATAATATATATATATATATATGGGTTTAAGTCAAATTAAAGCAATTTGTAACAGTAGCACCGAAGATCTTATACACATATATATGTAAACGTGGCGGTGGTCAACCTAGCTAGCTATTCCAAGAACACACACACACGACTAAAATGTCTATTAATTAGGGTAATGTTAGAATTGATATATTTATGCGCATTGTAGCTTAACTAATACACACGTATCATCATCATCATCATATCATATCTACTCATTGTGTTGAAAAACAATCCAACTTAAACAAATAAAATACCATATGGGATATACAGATCTGGTGTTGATGCATTTATTTTAGTTTTTTTTGTCCAATGATATATGTTTGTTCATTCATTAATTAACTGAAATAAACAAAACCCATCTATATTAGTATTATTTACTACTTGTCCAAAGGTAGAAAAATGTATATTAAAATACTTATTATTAATTAATATACATTATTGTTAGATATGAATATTTATTAGTAGTGACAAATGTATATTTTAATTCTAACTAATGTGCAACTATATATATTTGCTTAAGTTTATGTATGTAATGTATGAATTCATTTTGCATAATAATAATATTATTATTATTATTAATGAAACAATAAAATAAATATGAAGATATGAAACAAAGGACAAGCAAGCAAATAAAATAGTAGAAGTGGTATTTTAATTAATTAATTATCACAGATCAATTTTCATGAATGCCCCCCCGACTATAAATAGGGTATAATTTGTGGGTGGCCTTCTCATCTTCATCTTCATCTTCATCTTCTTCTGTCTTCACTGTCATCTTCTTCCTCCTCCAAATTTAACTAGCTAGGCAATAATAATATCAATAATACTCCAGAGGACGCCTGCACAAGCTCAGTTTGCTTGGTTGCTTCGCCATTTTTACTTGTTGGCGTTGTTGAGGATTGCTAAATTAAGATCAAGAACAAGATCAGTAAATTAGCAGTACTATATAGCTACTGCTAATTAATTAAATGGGAGGAGGAAGCTCGCCGTGTGCTTCATGCAAGCTGCTGCGACGGCGGTGCGCCAAAGACTGCATCTTCGCACCATACTTCCCTCCCGACGATCCTCACAAGTTCGCCATGGTTCACAAGGTCTTCGGCGCCAGCAATGTCAGCAAGATGCTGCAGGTAAGCTCAATTAATCATATTATCATAGATTAAATTAAATTATCGCTAGGGTTTTGCACTGTCTGCTCCAACTTTAATTACTAATGGCTGATTCTGCGGCCATGGCAGGAGCTTCCGGTGCAGCAGCGGGCAGACGCAGTGAGCAGCTTAGTGTACGAAGCCAACGCAAGAATGAGGGACCCCGTCTACGGCTGCGTCGGCGCCATTTCTTATCTGCAAAACCAAGTTTCCCAGCTCCAGATGCAGCTTGCCGTAGCTCAAGCTGAGATACTTTGCATTCAAATGAACCAAGATCAAGAACAAGATCCCAACATTAATATTAATCCGGTGGCCGACATCGTCCTGCCGCCGGACTACCATGACCAGAAATCATCGCCATCGTCGTCCTTTCTGTTGGCTACCAATAACTTCAATAACCTCCAACAGTATCTGGGAATGGGAGGAGGCACCATTATAGCTTCCACATCCTCTAATTCCTCATCAAATGTAATGCAGCATCAGCAGCAGGATCCTCTCAAAAGAGAATCCCTTTGGACTTAATTTTGAGTTCATTAATTAATGCTAATTATAATTAATAACCATTCTCATGATCTTAGCAATATATATATATATATATATAACTCTTAATTACTTGTTGCCAATTTGTTTGTTGTTAAAACTAATTTTCCATTTCATACTCAGGTCATCTCTAGTATGATTAATATAATTAACTACCTCCTGTCTATAAACGTCATATATTAATTAATTAATTAATTAAAATATAATTAGGAGTCTGTCGACTGTCTGAATTAGCTAGCTGCTTCTATTGACTTTAATGGCACCCTTCCCTTTCCCTTGTTTTTTCAATTGTGGTTTACAAGAGAGAAGAGAAAGAAAAAACATGAGTATATACAGTGATCCATGGTCTTAAATTTGAAAATTATTGCAGCTCCCACATGGGGTTTGAGTGTATAATTCATTTGGGTTCACAACACCCCACACCTCCCAGCTTCATTAAACAATTAATTTCATATCTGTCATTATTCATTAAATCATTAATTAATTAGTTGTGGTTGTTTTTTCATGTAGCTAGCTTCAAAGATTTCTTCATATCTTTAATCTTTTATGTGCTATCGAAGTTTCCTTTCAACTATGAGACGACAACAAAAGAGATATATTTATATAGATGACAATTTTGGGATCACTGAACTTTTTATTAATTATATTTGAGTAATCTTCACACAACTGAAAAAGTTAATGTCTAGAAGAGGAGGGCAGATATACACTTGGTTTTAATCAATATATTATGCTTGTTTAATATGGAGTAGTTCAAACAAAGTGCATAAGAATTCATACTGCTGTGATTGTATATATATATATATGTTTGCATTGAGAGTTTTAATTTGTTGTAGAAAATACATTCTATGTGCTTATTATTTCATTGTTTTAGGCAAAGTTTGGGATTTTTTAAGAGCCAAGATTCAGTCTAAAATTTGAAAAAAAAAAAAGTGTTAAAAGGGCCCATTTGCAAGTGAAAATAATTTTGAGAACAATTTTAGGCAGATAGAATGTTTTGAGCTCTGTAATTTCTTCACAGAAAATGAGCTATGGCTCTCAGGGCATTTCTTGGAAGTATAAACACTAATTCAGACTATCCATTGCCACTTCTTATTCTGCACTTATTTTTGGAAGGTTAACGGTACAATGTATTCTCACTCTCTTATCGAAAGATTTGAACAGTACACTCAAAACAAATGTTACACAACAATTTGAATGTTCAAAGGCAAAGCCTGCAACATGTTCATGGTACCATAAAGAACAAAATAAATGGATAGATATGCAGAATGTTTGAAACAACCACACACAAAGACTTGCAGGAATTCAAACGAATGGAAATGCACTGAAAACATCCACTCTAAAGAACAACACTCCTCCGGGGTGATTGTCTAGATTAGACAGCTCCGCAGCTCAATGTTGTCTCGACAAGCCACCCTTTGCACTTGGATAATCGACATCTTTTTTAAAAGAAAAAAAAAAAGTGTTTCAGTTTGTCATAGCATTTTGCAGGAGATTTCTTGCATGACACACAATAAAAGTGTATTTACTACTCTTAATAAAGGTACCTTTCAAAATACATTCTTTTGCAAATCATCGAGACCAGGATCTATGTCGTTTTCTTTGTCTTCAAAAATGGGAGTGTCAAGCGAGGGTGGTTCCTGTACAATATTATTATCCACAAGTGAATATTTGCGACAAAAAATGAATCCTATGAGTGTAAAGCATGGCCAATAAAGGGAGGGAATTGATAAAAAGTACGATGGAATTAAATAGATTAATATCAGTGATTAGAAGTACAACGTTTGTATTATTACCATGCAACGAACAAGAGCCCAATTTATGCCCCGGAAGAATGGATGTTGCTTGACTTCATTGGCTCCTTCTCGTGATCCAAGTCTGTTTTTGGGATCTCTGTGCAGCAATCGATAAATTAACTGCTTCGCTTGAAGGCTAACCTGTAGCATCAAAGTGTATCAAAATAATATCAGCTTGCTAGAATGAGTCTAAATTGATAAATCTCAAACTTTGCCCAACATAAAATATATTGGCACCTCTCTGCTTTTTGGAAACTTAAGGTCCTTGTGTAGAATGTTGGCAAATGTTTTTTGCCTAGTCTTTCCCCTGAATGGTGTATATCCATAAATCATTTCATACAAGAGAATTCCTACAAGGCAAAGAGAATTAGATTAATTAATTATAAGGAACGATTATGCAAATAAGTGTATGCATCTAATAACAGTAGCTATTGCAAGCCATATGGCTGAGCCTGCAGTTTGATAGCAACTCTATACATATGCACAATACCTAGAGCCCACCAATCGACTGCACTCGTATGGCCTGCTCCAGTAACAATTTCCTGTTTCACATAAACAATCTAACTCATTAACAAGTAATTTCCTTATTGCAACAAAAGAAAAGAAAAGAAAAGAAAAGAAAAAAAGTGCAGCAAAAGAGTGGGAATTCAATTTCCTTATGTAAATCCAACGAATGCATAGTCTTAGACATAGCAGTTGGAAGTTCGACTATGTGTTCAATCTTACATGATCTAAAAGTTATGAACGTATAGATGAAGCAGAGTGAGAGTTTAAGCTCAAAAAATACTAACCGGGGCTATGTATTCTTCAGTGCCAACAAAGGAATTTGATGCTCGCATTGGCTCTGCCATAAAAATTGGGGCCTGCTGACCTTTTTGGTTTTTCAGATGCCTTCTCTTTTCATTAATCTCTGGAATCAAAAGCTGCATGGAATAAACAGTGCTTCAAATTTTCGATTGATTGTAACTTTATCTTCAAATACTTTGATGAATAGGTTCACCGGAGCATTTACACAAACCTGTGGCTTACAAGAGGTCAAACAGGACAAATCAAAGTCTGTCAAAGCAACATGGCCATTATTCTGAAGCAAAATGTTTTCTGGCTTCAAATCCCTGTAGATAATACCTGCAGGAATAAAAGATAATTATCGAGAATAAGGAAAAAATGCTAAATGTGACAATGACTATTTTGCGTATTTGATGTGTGCAGGTAAATGCAGATACATTTTTCTTCTTATAATTTGCAAGTGGGATAATGTTCCTCAATAACTAATACATATTGAATTGACGTTTCAAACAAGATAGAGCTTTAGAGGGTTCAAGTCCTTAGTGCATGCTTCTAGTTTTCAATTCACAGGAAAGCTTTACCTTGGCAATGAAGATACTCCAGTGCCACTATGACTTGAGTAGCATAGAATCTACAATAAATAATAGCCTAAATCAGCCATTACCAAATTAGATCATCAGAAACATAAAGGCAATCAGGTCATATTTGCAGAAAATCAAATACCATTTCGTATCTATCATCGAGGAAGACAGAGCACCTATTTAGTTGAAGATAAGAGTGTTATACCTTACAGCATCTTCTTTCAGAACCTTTGTCGGCTGTCTATCAAGAAGAAGAAATAGCTCTCCCCCAGGGCAGTAATCAGTTATCAAACAGATATGAGTGTTGGTCTGCAAAGAAATTTTTGTGGATCAGCCAAAAGCTTTAGAGAGATGGGCCTAACAACAGCAGATGTTCAATACAATTCTATTAAAACAAGTAAAGTTTCTTTAGAAATCCACTTAAGTGTGACAAAGTAAAGGTTCAGCGATTCGATTATTTTATCTTCTAACCTGAAAAGAAGCATACAATGCAGGAAGAAAAGGATGGTCCAACATGTCTAGGATTTCTCTCTCTGCACATGCTCTGTGCACCTGCAGGTAGGGAGACAAGCGTATTACTATATCAGTTGGCATCATAGAAAGTAAAATAAATGCGGGTATGTATGAGCTACAAAAAAATGACTGAAATAAATGCTGGTAAGTGTCTACAAAATATGGCTCATGTTAAGATATGACAACAAAATATACAGTCAACTTATTTGCTGCTAGTGTCTTTAATGGGAAAGATCATGCAGCTGGAAAGTTAAAAGTCAGCAAGATACCTTGTTTCGGTTCAACATTACACCCTTGTCCATTGCTTTCATGGCAAAGTATTGCCCCGTTTCACATAGTTCCACCAGATGCACACTACAAGAAAAAGAAAAAACAGATTTCTGCAAATTGCCAAATTTAACTATAAACACCAATAAGATCTGTAAACAGAGAATGTAACAAAGGATTTGTTTTGAAAAACCAGAACTTTATTACATTGAAATGAGTTCTAGTATACGTATCATTCATTTTAGAAAAATAAAATTTTTGCATCATTCATAACTATTTCATTCCACAAAATCACACTATAGACTCAAAAATTTCCAAGCAAAGTGACTATTTGTTGATGATACGATAAGGGGTTATGAGAACAGAAAATGAGTTAAGCATTTGTAATGGAAACAAAGTTATATTCAATGCGCATACCTTCCAGTGTCACCAGAACCTAGAGGTTTTATTGGCTTAAAATGTTTCAAACCTATGGCTTCCCCACTATCTTGAATCTGCAAAGTATAAATATAGGTATATAATCAGTAGAATTTGATTAAAAAATCCAGTAAAAGGTAAAAAGGAGAGCTCCACTACACACAATGACAGTTAGACTGTTTTTAAACCTTGATGAGATGTGAGGTCAATTCATATCCATTACAACATCCAACAATTATGACAAACGTGTCAATGCATGTCTACTAAATCTTTCAACATTTTCAGCATTTTAATAATGCATAATAATGGATAAGGAAAGAGAAAAGAGAAGAGAACTTGTGCAAGTGTGTATGTGCAATTCAGGTAAATATACTCAAAGCTAAGAATGTTTCAATGTAGATGATTGCCGCTAGAGTTCTTATGTAGTGCGTAAGCAAGTTTTGAAAAAATGATAGTTGTCAATCAAACATAAAACATCTACCTGCTGAATAGCTTTCCATGAAGGGCTATCCTTCCTGTGGGGTTTAGGATGAACAACTTTTGAATGATTGTTCCACAAGTCTTCTGGTTTCTGAAGGTTGAGTTGAATAGTAGTGAGATCATACTGGAAATCGAATACCCCCAAAATGTGTTGCATGATTGACAAACAAATTGAAATACTACCATATTGGCATCTGGAAGCTCTCTGACAGCATCGTCAATATTTTCAGCTGTTTGTTTCACCTGAGAATGTGCCAATGTAACCAATATGTCAGAAATCTTGTACCGAAAACAAAAGCTTCATTTAAGTTGGTAAAATCCACCTCAACTATCAAACATCATTTGAATTAAACAAAAACAGGCATTAGCAGACAATTTTAAAGGAGTGATTGCTAAGAAAGGCGGTGAAACTAAGAGTACTATGCAGAATCAATTTACCTGTTTGGCACCTTCTTTTGCCGTAGCCTCAGGGATACAGTTATGGATTGGCTCCACATGCTCACTTCCATCAAGTTGAACCCCAATAAAATACTGCACTTCTCCCTATTCAAACAAACAATAAGGTGGCCATTAAGGTCTATCTTTGTCATTGGTAGCACAATTAAAGTGTCACCTGAATGCATACCTTTTGATCACGCATAGGCTGTAGATGAAACAAGTTCCAAAACTTTTTGCCTGGAAATTCAGGCAAAGGTGGGACAGGAAATTCTCAGTTATATTTGTCATCTGTAGTTATTAGAATTATACTAAATATGCCATATCATATTGCTTGCTACTGGCTCGGGTTTATCAACATGCAAGATATATTAACACAATCTCTTAAAAAATATACAGTCATTCATTATCCGATAAAGGTAAAACAGTCAATAGACCATCAAAGTCTGATGAAGCATACCACGCTTTGTGTAGTTAATGAGCTGGACAGTGACCTCTGTTTGGTTATCAATTGCATTTCTTATTTTTCTAACAGTAGTAGGATCTGTCTCAGGGCCCTGAAGAAATCTGAACAAAAGAAACAGAAGTTATACATATTTTTAATGTATCATTACGAATTAACAAGTTAGAAACATTTTGCCTTCACACAATCATCATTACATATGAAGTTCGTATCGTTTTCAAGTTTAAGATATGGAATAAAAGCCCCCAAAATAATTTTTGTTTTTTTTTTGTTACAAGACTTGCAGTCTAGTTTTGAAATTCAACTCCACTCCCAAACAAATAATCACATAAGGTTCATAGTTTTGAGTTCATTAAGAATTTTCAAAGAAACCGAAAAATAATAAAAGGAAAAGCAATCAAGATATATCCATTTTGCATTCAGAATTCGAAGTGTAATCCAATAGATCTAAACCATAACCAAAATTTACCTGCAATTTCTACCCAAGATTTCTTCTCGGCTGTACTCTGTCAACTCCAAGAAACTATCAGAAGCAAATATCTGGCAATCATACCAATCAAAATTGTCATCGGCAGTGGAAAAGATAATAGTCTCAACCAACACACCCTACAATCTTCAAATATGACTGCCAGTAAATTCACTTACAATAGGATTGTCGGGCAACCTTGGATCTGTAATGACAAAATTTTTCTCAATACGTTCGAGAGTGGTGGCCAAATCAATACCCTTCCTCATTTCCTTCTTCCTCACTTTATCATCCACGCTGTCCGGTCTCCCATCATCACTCTCCGAAGTGTACCCATTTCTGTTCTCGTCGTCAAATTCGAAATCCCGCTCTGCCTCTTGGTTGGTACTCCCCCGTTTCCCTTTCTTCAGAATCCTTAACATGCGAAAACTTAAAATTCAGTAAACATGTACATACTCACTGAAATAGAGAAAATTTCGCCAAAGAAAACTTACCCAATGAAGGATCGACGATTCGATTTCGACGGAGCCTTCTCCGGGAGCTCGGGGAGCTTCTGCATTGAGCTCCTAGTGCCGGCATGGGAATGCCGGCGAGGAGGAGCCGAGTTCTCAGATTTTCGACCGGTTTTGCTGTCAAAAATTTCATGGTCGCCGGATTTTCTGAGGAAGGGGCGATTGGTTGATTCGCTGAGCGCCCTTGGCCGCGGTTTCTTGACCGCTTGCAGCAGCTCCGTCACTGAGTTCGCCGCCTGCTCTTTCTGGCGAGCTGCGCACCAAAAAAGAAATAAAAAATATATATAAATTATAAATTTTAAAATATAATTATATTAAAAAAAGAAATAATAAATTATATAAAAAAATAAAAAATAAAATAATAGAAAATTTTATGTAGGACGAAAACAGCACTTTATAGCTCATTCTATAATGTCTGGTTTAGGCCACTGCATCACTAATCTTTTGTGCTTACATATTTATAAATAAAATTTCAAAGAATATTCATATAGGAGTATTATATATTTAGCAAAATAGTTGACTTGACTAATATATATATATATATATATATAGAGAGAGAATAAAATTAGTGAAGGAGTGGGCTTACCGTCGTAACGGATCAAAGACTCAGGGAGCCCATTGGGTCGGGTCATTTTCTCCTTGGATCCTTCAGTATGCTTGCTCACTTCCACTTGCATTCTGCACCGTATTTTGTTTTGACTTAATTACTACTACTATTTACTATACTCCCCATAAAACTAGTAACTTTTTTACTTTACAAATATAAATTTAATTTTTTTAAAAAATATTATGATCAGATTCCCTGTCTTAATCACCTACTAATCATTGAAGTTATTAAAAAGGTGAGATAAGGTAGGGCTACATCTACTACGTACATGGGCCCAAATGCAACAGTAATAATATGGGTAAAAGGCCATTCACAAATTAAAAAGATGGCGAATACTACTTTTAATCATAAATCAATATGTAGGGATATCCACGATCAATTATCATAGAAATTAATATCAAATCAATTAAATTTATATTGATTCATTCCTCAGGGACCATGTAGCTAGCTAGCTAGCTTAAAAGGATATCTATCGTCGTCAATCATGTTCATGGACCACTGTGTTTATTGATTATATGCTACTATATGATACTACTTACATATATCCTGTCGGGATGAACAGTTAGTTAATATGTGTGTTGAGGAAATGGTTGTATTGTATACCCAATATATTTGAGGACTTTGCCGGCGTCGTCTTTGATGGGCGCAATGGTGAGAAGGTTCCAGAAGGGCGTGCCGTCCTTCTTGTAGTTGAGGAGTCTCCCGCAGTAGTTGGATCCACTCTCCAGTGCCTCCCTGATCTTCGCCACGTCCGACGCATCCGTCTCCTTCCCCTGCAGAAACCGGCTGCATATATCATCCATCAGCTCAGCTCAGCACAGTTGATTAATTAATAATGGGAGGTAGGGATGATTATTGGATGGATCGGACGTACCAATTCCGGCCGATGACCTCCTTGGAAGTGTAGCCGGTCATCTTGAAAAAGCCTGCGCTTGCGTACATGATTGGGTAGTCCGGCTTCGTCGCGTCGGAGACCACGAATGTTTGCTGGAATGTCGACAGTGCGTCCTTCAAATCCTCCGACACTTTCGGGAACCCTCGCTCTTCATTCATTATTATTAATTAGCTAGCTAGGGTACTAGATCATGATTGTATACTATATCGTCTAATTAATTAATTTCAATTCTCACCGATTTCCGCGTCGGAAAAGTCGCTGGAATCCTTCCCGGCGGGTTTGTTCTGGTCCTCGTCTGAAGTCCTCACTTTCACCCCCTGTGGCTTCCCCGTCTCCTCGTCGGTCTTCAGCACCAGTCCCCACTCCGCCGCTCTCTTAGCGGCGGCGCCGACTTCCCCTTGTGGCGGCGCGGGCTTCTTTTGCCCGTCCTGATCGTTGAACATCTCAGCTATAGTCTTGGACGGCGGCGGAGTCGGGTCCTGGAGGGCCATCCATGAACTAATACCCTCACCGGCATTTGTTCTACCCGGTTTAGCGGAGCTGGGCTTGGGCTCGGGTTCGGGTTCCGGGGCGGGAATGCTGGGCCAGCTCTGCCAGGTAGATGGCCGGAAAACTGGGTTTCCGGGCCTGGTCGGAGCAGCCGACGCCGTATACGACGTCGGATTGAAAACTTCCAGGGAACCTCGCGAATCCCTGGGCAAAGACGGAATCATCGCAGGCTTATTTTTGGAGCTTTGATCGGTGGTTTCCATTTCTTCAGCAACATCAAAAAGGATATATAATTAGTAAATATATATGCATATATTTAAAATGATGGGGCTAGTGAAGTCACATCACATTTCATTTCATGCAAATCATCAAATTAATTAATATTATTGTAGTAGTGGTGGTGATACTTGGAAGGGTAGGGTAGGGTAGGGTAGGGTAGGGGAGACAAGAGGAAACTAGGGGTTCAAATGTGTGAAGTGAAAGGGATAGGATGCAAGTCACGTGACGAGACAAGAACACAGCAACTACATAAAGATGCAGGGATGATAAAGTTATGGCTTAAAAGAGGACTGGGGGTTGGGAGGTCCATCAGCTCAACAAATTATAAAACTTTGATTTTATTTTTATCATGTACACTTGGGAGATGCATCCCAACCATCAAATCTTAACCTTATATATCTACTCTACTGAAAGAGAGATGAGATGAGATGATTCCTCTGATCATGCATCACTACTACTGAGGTAATGTATATAAGATGGAATCAATTAAATGATGATGATAAGCACATACCTACCTTGACAGAGAAGAACGTATAGATCGATGGAGTTAGCAAGAACAACCCTCCTTATATATATATATATACATGCACAAATTAAAACCCTAATGTTTTTATATATGCATCCAAGAATGAAGGAATAATTGTCTAACTTAGGTCTAGGTAGATGAATGGATGGATGGATGGGATGGGTCATGGGTGTAACAAGATGGTTTGGCGTCCCATGCTTGTCCACTCACACTTCACATGGCTGCTGCTTCTCTGCTCTACGTGTTGTGTTACCTTACTTAATTAAATTACCATTAACTCATTACTTATTTATGTACTTTTCTTACCACCCAAAATGAATTCATTCATACATACAGGCTGGAATTGGATAATCAGCAGTTACGACAAAAGACCAACGAGTACTGGCACATATATATATATATATATATAATAGATACTACAAATGGAGGGGATATGGAGCTGAGTTGATCATAATTCATATTCCCCTAGCTGTTTGTACCATATATCATAATTGATTTTTAATATGAATTGAATAGGGCAGGGCACCACCAACATGTTAGTGCATGTGTGCTTTTTGTCAGAAATTTATTTAATTATTTAAATAATATACACGTCTCTTTTTTCTTTTTTTTATGTTTAAAAAAATAGTAATTATTGTATATGCTGCTGCTATATATGTTTCAATGAGTTGATGATGCATGAGAGTAGTGCATGCATGGCAATTGTATTACTTAAGGGATAATGTTGGACGTGGAATTAATAAGATGATATATAAATGGAATGCATGTTTCCTAAAGCTCATCGTCACCGATCAACCAATGGTGAATATCACGGGAGAAATCTTCAATTTTTATTTTTTATTTTTTGGTAGTTAGAAATAAATGAGAAAATCTTGGTATTTACTTATATTTTTTTACACAATTTTATTATATTAATACACTAAGAATAATAAAATTATAGTATAATTTATGCATAAATTTAAGGGATAAAAAATAAGTATATAACATTATTATATCAGCGGAAATAGTAATATTTAAAAATCCAAAAGTAAGTTTGAACAACATTAGATTAGGTGGCAAGATGTGGTAGGGCAGGGGCACGTGAAATCCCGTTTGACAATTGTCCGATTAGTTCATATGCTGCTAGTGCTAAGGGCCTCTAATGTTGCACCAATAAATACAAACGTCAATATGCTTTATCATTATTTTTATCTTTTTTATTTTACAATAAAATATTTTTCACTTTTTATTTGGTATTTCTTTTTTCTTTTTTCTTTCATCTAAAAACAATAAAAATCAAATCATAAAAAACACATTTTTGTATGAAAATTAAAAGTGTATTTCTTTGAGTTTTTATTTTTTTCATAAAGAATTAAATAATTATTTAATATGATATTTTATAAACAATATATTTTTATTGGATAATGTCAAAATTGAATAGTAAAAAATTAAAGCAAAGTCATTAAAAAAACATATCTTGGTTTATTTATTTATTATACATACATAATTTTCAATAAAAAATCTATTTATATTTTAATAAATATATACTCCTATTACTTTTGTTGTTAGCATCGAACCATAAAAATGTTAATTATCTAATAAAATATTTTTAAAACAATAAAATTTTACTTTGTCCAAATAACATTTTAATTCCTCAAAATACTCTTACGATTCTTTTGTGTGTTTTATTACAAATTTTTATTATTCAATTTTTTTTTCAAAAATATCAAATTAAATAATTATTTTTCTATATTATACTATAAATTTATTTTATATTTAAAATATCATATTAATGTTTATTTTATATCACATTAAACAACTATTCAAATAACTTTTTACTATTAAAAATCCAAACACACCCTAAAAAAAAGTGTTTGATGGAGTTATTTTGGAAAAAAGAAAAGAAAAATTATAATAATAATAATAATAATAAGGGAAAAAATCAAACAGTCCCATTGAAATTAAAATGAATCAATTTTGGTCCCGTTATAAAAAATTTATCAATTTTAATTTCAATATAAATAATTTTAATCATTTTTGGTCTATTTTGTAAAACCAACATTAACAGCTGGCATGGATGTGACCGTCCGTGACATGTCATTTGATGTGAACTAAGATAGCCATGATCAATCAAACACGGCTGTGCATTTGCAATCAGTAGTTTGACATGTCATAAACAACATGGCCGTGTGAAATTAGCACACGCCCGTGTTCAAATTTGGTCGGTTTTAATTTTTAAGCAATGTCCTTGTCTGAGTTGCAATTCCCATGTTAGCACATTCTTAATTCCCTGTTCAATCTTTGCTTACTGGTTTAATACACACCTCGACCTTTCTTCAATACCCCGTAAGACGGGTCTTGTAGCAGCGGCGGGGCGGAGTGGAGTTGAATTGTGAGTCGGAGAAGGAGGAGAATTCCAGCGATGGTGGAATCTGGTGGTGGGAAAAGACGCACTGTGGGGTGCGGTGGCGGCCGTGAAGAAGTTTGCTGCAGAGATAAGGGACTCGACGCGGAATGAGGTGAGGGTGTGGCTGGGGATGTTGACAGCGCCGAGGCGGAGGCGCTAACCTACGATCAGGCGGTGTTGCCATGCAAGGGTGCATAACTATACTGAACTTTCCGATGAATCGAGTGCGGTCGTCGCTACAGAGTATGATAGAGGAGGAAGAAACTGGCAACTCGGTGATGGCGCTGAAGGGCCGCCACTTTTCGAAGAAGAAATAAACGCCGGTAGGGAGGAGGATAGAAATGGAAATGAAGAATAATAATAGTATTGTGATAGTTTTATAAGATTTGGATAGAAACAAACTCTTATTTGAATGAATGGTTTGGAGGTATAGAAGACATTCGACCTACCTCCAGAAGGGTTTGTAAGACATTCATTCAATTTGCCGAATGATTTGAACACGGCCGTGTTGTTTATGATATGTCAACTACCGATTGCAAATACACAGCCGTGTTGATCCACATTAGATGATATGTTACGGACAGTCACATCCATATCAACCGTTAATGTTGGTTTTATAAAAATGGGACAAAAAATGATTGAAACTATTTATATTGGGATGATTGATTTTAGATAATAATAATAATATGAACAAAAAAGCATACTCTATTTATTTTTATTTTATTTTATTTTCGTGTATTTCATATAAAAGAAATTTCATTAATGGGCCTTTTATCAATGTTGTAACTGTAGAACAATAAAGTGGCAATTAATTAATTAGAGTCAACTGTCATAATTACATTAGCTAATAATTAGAAATCCACAAGGATTTAAAAATAAATGAAATAAGAATTCATTTAATGTTTCTAAAATAGAAACAAAAGTAACATTGAAAGAAAATAAATGCTCATTCATAACCGATATGTAAATATTTAGAACAGTGTTTTCCAGTAAGAACAAGAAACACCATTTTCTTGGCCAAAGTGTTATATATAGGAAGAATGATTGATTAGGAAATTTGAGACTTACTGGAAAATGGAATAAATTAAGATTGACCATATTGGATTAGGTTGTGTGTTTGTAGAGTTTTGAAATACTATAATATTGAATAAAAATTATGTATTTGATCAACTCTGAATAGAATAGATAATTGAGTGTAGTATGTTATATTTTAACCAAATATAATGTACAAAAACTGTCACAAATAATGAATGAATGAATAAATTTATATACTAATTAGTAACTAATAATCAACAACTACAAGGCAGAAATCTCCCCTGGTTTGCAATTGCCTACCCATAAGAACAGCATCGACTCCTTCTTCGAAGCCAAAATTCTACAACAGTCTCGTCTAGGTGACTGCAAAAAATCAATACAACAAACTAAATTGTAAAATCTTTTAGCAAAAAATCAATGAAATCTATTTTGGATCATCATACATATAACATAACGTACCTTTTTCCACCTGTTGCTATCTGGTTTCTTGAGGACTACAATGGACTTGATCCTGTCCGGCGCGGCGGCTTTCCAGCGGCACGTCGGGAAGTGGTCGCGATGGAGAGTGTAAAATCCGAGCGTCTGGCCCCTCTTCTCGTCGTATTTGATGGAGTCGACGTAGAACAAGTAAGGCTTCTGGCAGGGCTGACGCATCATGGGACGTGTGTTGAATGCGTAGGCTGTGTAGTCCGCCCTTTTGTACCAATTCAAGAATGTCCGAGTCGGCATTTCCAGCTCTCTCGGCGACATCACGCCCTTTATGATCTGGATCACAAACCCCCAAGATATCGAGATTGACCAATTCCTCTTCTTGTCGTAGCATATCGATTGCTGCACCATGCTCGCTGAGTCGTGCTTCGCGTACTCGAAAAGGCGATGTATCGCCTCCAATCGATTCGCCCCCGGGAATATCGGGTCCACCACATCTAAATGGTGTAGCGATACTAGAGGGGCCACCGGGTGCGCCCCCAATAGGCCTAATAGGTTGCCGTACACGTCGTACTGCAAAAAAATTTATTTATTTTTATTAAATAATCATCTCATCTAAAAGTTTAATTAATTAAATTTTATATGTATAAGTACTTGATGGAAGCCGATTTCTTTGGTGAGGGGCACGCCCAATTCGGCCATGCAAGCCTGAATTCGATCGTCGGAGCCGTACAGGCCGGGGTAGCGCTGGATGCACTTGTCCTGCATCTTCTCGAGCTCCACCGCCAGAGGGTAACTAATGGCGAAGCCGCCGCCGCCGTAGGCCATGGCGTAGGAGAAGAAGATGTTCTGGATGTGGCTCTCGGAGGAGCTTCCGATGTAGTATAATTGGTTGTGGTCGTATTTGGAGAGGATTCTCACCAGATTGTCGACGAAAAACACAGTGTCGTCGTCGCCCATAACGAACCACCGGACGTCGTTCATCCCCAGCCGGAGAGTCTCCGACACGATGCGAGAGATCCGCAGCGCCGACCGTTTTCCCTGCCGGTGGGTGTACGGAAGGGACGAGGTGTCATCGGAGATTCTGATCTCCGGCAGGGATAGGTAGTCGTCTTTGGTGATGGTGACATTCCGGTCGAGCCAAACTACCCCCCTCGTCTGCCCCGGCCGCCACCACGCCTTTATGTAATCCTTCCGGAATCGCCAGAGATCCGCCGACGCCGCGATTCCGAACGCGATGTGCTTCGGCTCTAACTCCTCCGGCGCCGGCGGGGAGGAGACGTTGGCCGGGCGATCATTGTTGTTGTCGGCGAGGTTCTCCCGCTGGGAGACGGCGGCCACCGGAGTGCAATTGGCGGCGACGTCTCTGGTGAGGAGGAGCTTGGAGCAATAGATGGAATATATGAGGAGGAAGAGGATGAGGAATCCGGCGACGGAGTTGCGGAGGCCGCCGCCGGAGAAGGAGAAGAAGGAGGAACGCTGGGAAGAACGGGTCGCCTGTTTCATCGGAAAAAAAAAACACTAAAAATTAAAAATGGTGAAATTTTGGAAGATTGTTTGGATCTGTAAAACGTCGTTTGTTAAGAATGAGCGAAGGGAACGGCGCCGCGGGATCGTCCTCGCCCACCAATCCCTCTTATTATTATTATTATTATTATATTTATATTTATACTTTTTTAATAAAAATACATTATTTTTTTACTATAATATGTTAGATTAAAAAACAATTTAAAGTCAAACTAAAATCAAACAAACCGGTAATTACTCTTTGATACTTATGGATGGATTTGAGAATGTAGTAAATGAAATAAGAATAATGGCGACAATTTAGATTGCAACTTAATTCGTTTCTATAGTTTTTCAAAATTTTTATGACACTATAAATTATAGTATATTGCATTCATTTTGTAATAATATATTTTGGATTATGTGAAATTTTTTTTAACTATAAAATAAATGTGGTAAATATTATACAAACAAAATACTATTATACTTCTTACTAAACTATTTAATTTTAATATAAATATGTTAAATATTTATATATTAAATTATAAATTATATTGGATATTAATGTTAAATTATACCAAATCTTATATTAAACTGAAAATTAATCAAATTATATACACAATATTTAAAAGTTTCATATATATATATATATATATATATAGCTATAAAAGTAAACAAACCTTAATATACTGTGGTTAGAATGATCATTATGCATGCATAGTTAGGAATGCTACATTGACTTTAAAAATATTAGGATGACTTTGTTTAGATTATTATTATTGTTGTTGTTGAAATAATAGAACAAGAAACATAAATAGTAAAATAAAATTATCTTTGTCCCATATATGCCATGTTCTCTTTCAAGTGTAATTTTATTATTTTTAACGAAGACATATTTATTTTTTTAGTATTCAGAAAAAAATTCAAAATATTATTATTAGTTTTGATTACTATTATTTTGTTTGTTTTTAAAAACATTTTACTTAAATAAAGAAACCGTTCCATTTATTTCAATGTGTTTTATTTGAATGTGTTTGATCTATGTTTGAAATTGTGATAATTGAATAGCAAAAAGATTTAAGTATATGTAATTATAATTTGAAATTGATTTTTAGTTGAAATAACAAAACAATACTTCTTCGGTTCCAATTCTTTGGCATTTTATGCCGTTAAAGTATAAATAATATAAATATTAAAAATATTTTGATGTTTAAATATAATTATTTTTCTAATAATATAAAAAAAGTATATTTTTATTAAAAATTGAATTGAATATTAATTGTGCTTTTTATTAAGAAAAAATAAAATCATACACATCATTTTATCAGTTAAATAAAAATGAACTTTTTTAGAAAAAAAAAAATAGAAATGAACTTTACAAATACAACATTATTAAATAAAATAACATTTACAGAATTAAGTGATGGTACACAATCTCATATTTCTCACCATGAACAGAATTCACATATAATCTATCCATCCAATCCGACCAAAATAACTGTTCTTTCCTGCATTAAAGAGCTTACAGAACAAAATAATAATCAAAACCATAATGAATAAACCTATAATTGATCAAACTAAATTGAAGAAAATCATCATAAACAAAAAAAGCTCAAGAGGAACTCACATTGTTCTGAGAATCGAAACCATAACAACAATGAGGACACTCAGTTCAGCCTATGCTATGATCCTATCCCATCTGAGGGGTCTCGGAGTTGGAGTTGGAGCTGGAGCTGCTTGCTATAAGTGTGCTCTGGATGGGACTGTTCGAGTGGGAAGAAAGAAAGGCGAGAGCTGTTACCAGGTCGGTAGTATTTGGCCGGAGCTCCGGATCTACTTGTGTGCACATTGCAGCAATCGCCAATACTTGGTATAACATTTTAGACGGATACTCGCCATTCAGCGCAGGGTCGGCCATTTGATGGAATTTATGACGGTCCTTGAACATTGGCCTTGCCTGCCAATCAGCAAAAGCCATCGTCATTTGTTGCTACAAAACAAACTGCGATGATATGATATGATATTATATGCATGCTTATTGCTTCACCGCCCATGAAATACAAGTTTACATAGTTTAAGGATGAATGACCTCACAATGTAACTACTCCAAGTTAGAAAATTTATAAAAAAATTTTTTAAATGATTTCGAATGCTGCTACCCTATGCAAGAACTCAGCACAGATTGCATGCTACTATTAAGATCAACAACTTGATGTTTCAAATCCGAAAAATAAACAAGTACTAACCCATTCAACTAGATTATGAGGTTCTGGGCCAGGTTTTCTATTGTCAAAGGCATTCCTACCTGTGACGAGCTCCAAAAGAACAACACCAAAACTATAGATGTCTGACTTGTATGTTAGCCTGCCTGTCTTAGCATACTCAGGGGCGCAATAACCGTAAGTGCCCATAACTCGGGTAGTAACATGACTTTCGCCACTCAATGGCCCTACTTTAGCCAAACCAAAATCAGATAGTTTCGGAAGATAACCCTCTCCCAGCAAGATATTGGAAGACTTCAAATCACGGTATATAACTGGTGGCTTCATCTGGCTGTGCAGATACTCCAAGCCTTTCGCTGCTCCAGCTGCAATCTTCATCCGCGTGTTCCAATTCAAGTGCTTTCTAGCCAGTAGAGTCCCTGAACCAAAAAAGTAGTCTAAGCAAAGAATTGGAGCTGCTGATAAATCAAAATGTGTGCTTCAAACAACTCACCATGTAAATGGTCCTCTAAAGAGCCGAGTGGCATATGTTCATAAACTATTATCCTCTGATTTCTCTCTGTACAGTAGCCAATTAGTTTAACCAGATTATCATGTTCGGCATTGCTCAATGTTAAAACCTCGATCAGAAATTCACGTTTCCCCTGACCCCCTCGCGGATCAAGTTTCTTTATAGCAACAATCTGCATCACGATTTGACAAAAGACATCAGAAATCAATCTTCTACTGGAAGCTTAATCTGCAGTTTATTCTGCTGTGATTGAATCATGAGAAACAAAAATCTGACCTCACCACTATCTTTCAGGTAACCTTTATAAACTCTTCCAAAGCCTCCTGCGCCAAGAAAATTCTCTTTCTTGAAATTTCCAGTGGCAGTAACTACTTCGTCTAATGTAAAATTCCTTGCTTGGAACCTATTTAGATCCACAGCAGAGCTACGGCTCAAACTACTCTCTACACTTGTTCTCTCCTCCCTGCTGGAATGAATTGCATCGTTAGAGTCCTTCTTCAAGGATTTAGGCGAGCTTTCCTTGGGAGAATCTAATAGCACCAGCAACATAAAAAGAAAGATATATAATTATTAGAACAATGGCCAGGTTTATTGTTTATTAGAAGACAGACAATGGTGCAGCGGCAAGGATGGCGATGAACAACAACACTCACAAAATGGCAATAAAACACTCAGTAGCAATGTCAGGCAAAATGTATAGCAAAAACACAAGATCAGGAGCAATAAATTGGTAATGCTAGAAAACGCCCCTTTCAAACAAAACGATGACAATCAGAAATAAATCGAATCGGAGACGATACCTAAAGAAATAACAATTAATACACCCACATTGTATTGCATACTAACAAACCATCACAACATGAAATTTCATCGATCGCGTATACCCGGCGCCGCCCGATCGGCGTCGCAGTTTCGCGGATTGTCGTTACTTTTCTTTATCCGGCTCCGGCCGGATTCTTTGTTGTTGGTAGACGGCGATTTTGCTTTGCAAAGGAAACACCGCATGCCTTCCTTCTTCCCCTCCGTCTCAACTCAACTCAATCCGACCTCACCTCATACAGGTCGTCTATCTATCTATAATGGAAATTTCTGGTGGGTTATCTTATATAGCCAAACAACAGGATGAAAAGAATTTGGAGGTGAAGCTCCCCAGGATTGCCGTTTCGGTTCGCCATTCGTAATCAATGAGACTCTGCAGCTAGAGATGCAGATGAAACGAACGTATTTGATTTGATGCATCCAAATCCAAATCCAAATCCAAATCCAAATACAAATCCAAATCCAAATATATACATATAATAACTGGGGATAATCCGCTCCTTGTTCAAATTATTCATTTCTTCTATATATTTAACTTAATAAATAGTAGTTTATTAGCGATAATTGTAGTTTCAAATCATTGCAGCTTAATTAGCACTCTCATTTATTTTATGTCGTGTATTAAAATGGAACTGGGGAGAGAAACAACCAAAGACTGAAACTGAAGACGCACATTCAGCGTACTGGAATCCATTGGCAAGATTAAAGGATATACATACACACATACATACATACATACATACACATACATACATATATAGAGGCATGCAGGATGGAATATATAATTGATCAGAAGTTCTCTTTATGAAACTGGAATCTTGTGGACGAATTCATGGTGTACTCCTGGCAAAGCTTTCGTAGCGTTTTTGTTAGCGTGGGACTTCCACAATAGAAGACGCCGATTCGAGTGGCTGGGTGGGTGTTCGCTAACTGTCCGAAAACTTTTCTCCAGTTGGGCCTGGCGAAATGCGTCCTTATCTGGCCAGACACGACACACCTTGCTTTGGTTAAGGAAGAAATGATGATCATTCTAATAATAATAAAAATAATGACTGACTCTGGTTTCAGAGACGACGTCGAGTCCATTCTTGGCGTGTTGCAGCGACTGCACCATGGCGATGAGAGCCGATCGAGCATCCCCTTCCTCGTACACGCTCGTCAGGTAGCTGTGCAGTTCGATCACGTGCTGCAACTCAACTCAACTCAATTGTCAATTGTCGATACGACTACTTAATTACTACAGTACATAAACAACTTCCTTATGCTTACTACATACATTAGCGTCGTATTCGGCAATGTCCTCGAGAACGCCCTTAAACCAGTCGAAGGATCCTTGTTCCCTCGTCACCCAATAAAAGTATGCTCTTTCTGGACACTTCCTCTCCCCAGTTACCTCCTCTAATGCTGCCTGACAGACAGACATTCACAAGATCCATCAATATACTACTATATTGTAATTAACAGAGCTAGCTAGCTACATTAATTAATCAACTTACCCATTTCGACTCATTGTTCACAATATCTTTGATAATGCTGATCATGGGCGTCGCTCCGATCCCCAACCCGATCAGCACAAGTATGTCGTATTTCTTGTAGTTCTGAGCCGGTGCACCATACGGTCCCTTTATTATTATCCTCGGAAATCTACAATCAAAATCGTATCCATAACTTAATACTACACACCTAAATTTACGATTCCTTCAACACATAATTCAAATAAAAATATCACATACTCGTCCCCCGTAGAATCTGAATAGGCCTTTGTTTCCATTCGCATCAAGCTCGACTTTCCTCGTCTAGACTTGGGCTCACAAACCTGCACGCAGATCATTACATTCAAACCAAGTTAATGCATTTTATTTGTCTTCTTTGTTTTCACCTTTGCGAAGCGCTCTCTTAGCTCGGTTGTCCAGTCTCCCAGCGCGCGAATGTGGACGCTTAGATAGTCGTCGTCTGGTGCAGAAGTTATCGAAAATGGATGCCTGTGAGGTTAGCATCCAAAGCGTTAGCAAGTTTGTAGTTCCACAACATTAGGTGCTGAGATAATAATCGAAGAGTTTCGCCGATTTACCACTCAAAGCTCGAAACATCGGGACACCTTATGAATATATACATCCCACTCTTGTATCTGAATCCGTCGGGCTTCGTCATGTACATGGCGAGCACATTTCCCTCGTACAACACCGCCCTAATGATGTCGACTTCGTAGCTGTGCTCATACATAGTGATTATTCGCTCGCCCGTGTAGAGAAGCATCGGGAATGCAACATACATCCACGTCTACACAACAAAGCGATAGATAGATTAGTCGATATTATCATATTATATAATCAATGAGAAGCGACGCGCAGGCCTACCGTCTTCTTGTACCATTCATTGGTGAGGAAAATGATGTATCCATGGATGATCAAGAGAACGTAAACAATGGCGAGCAAATGATGCGTGTACCAAAAGGCGTTGAACCCAGCGAGGCGGCTAAAAGGCCACGGCAACTTGATCACATTCCTCCGGAACCAATGCGTGGCGAGGGTGAACGTAATCAGCATCAGAATTGTCATCGCGATCCCCGTCACGCCGGGGGTCGACTTCACTAAATCCCAATACGATGGCTGGTGGTAGTCGAAGGCAGAGCCTAAAATCGCGTCGAACTGGCTCTTGGGACAAGAAGTTAGCCTCGGAAAGTCGCAGGAGACGTGCATCACTATATGGATCGTGCTCCCCAACAGAATACCGGCGGCGATCATTTTGTGGAAATTAATGTTGTCGTCGAATGGGACAATGCTGCCGAGCCATGTCTCCCTTAACTTGGTAAGAGTCTTACGGCACACCGGCAGGAGTATAAGCGCCATATTGAACTTTACGGTCTCGGCTGCAGCCTTTGCGACGCATAGACAGTATCCCATGACTTGGAAAGCAGCGCGGTGCTTGTACTGATAAAATTTCCATCCGAAAAGAAACATGTTTATCGCGAGCCACAACGTTAGCACCCATATTCGCTTCCAATTCTCGTGGAGTCTTTCGATGTTTCTCGACAAGAATTTGCTGACCGGTGTCCGGTACTCTTTGGGGATCATGGTTCTTGCAAGAGTTTTGGTTTTCTTTGATTGATCGGTGGCGGGATCGGATGCGACAGGGCCTCTTAGGAGCTCCTCAAGCTGCCACATCTGCTTAGGACAAAGTATTCAGATAAAGGAGATTTGTAAAAACAGAGGATGGCTCTGATGTTCTAGGTAAGAAGGAAATGAGCTCGAAATAGGCACCTCGATATATCCTCTGTTGTCGGGATCGAACTTCTCCATGATCAAAGAAGCGTAGGTCGATGCTTCTTCCTTAAACTTGGCTAAATTGTTAGCTGCAGCACTCATCACTAGAACCTTGATCACAAGATTGGTGAGAAGATTTGATTAAACAAAGTATTAGTCGTAAGAAAGAGTTAAAAATTGAATCTTTACCTCTTTAACTTCGTCCTCGGATAGCTGCCCGTCGCCATTTTTGTCGCACCTGAGAAGTAATTAACAACAACGGTTTTCGTCATCATCTTCGATGAATTATTATTACTTACATTTATGTATATGTTGTGTTGTGTTCTTACATGTCGAAGAATATTTGAAGCCTTGTGTCCAAGTCCTGGTTCGTCATGTCTTCCCAGAATCGCCTCAATTCTTCGAGACTTATCCCGTTCTCTGTATCGATGTTCCTCCGCCGCGCCAGGGTCTCGAACAGCTCGCCGGCGAAGTCGCTGCTGTCGCGCATTCCTATCGGACAGCCTCAATCACTCGTCGTCGTTGCAGGAAATTAAAGAAATAATGAATGGATACCTATGCAGATTCCGAAGTTGTCCTTGCAGAGTCTCTGGCCGTCGACGGCATTCTCGTAGAAACGTTTCTCGATGGCTTTCCAGGCGTCCTCCTCCTTGCCGGTCCTCGTCCTGTCAAGAAACCGGAGGCTCATAAGCCCCCTGGTGGCGCCGGATTCGAGCCGGCCCAGCTTCGGCGCCGGGGAGTTGTCCTGAATTCTGATACGTTTCTTTATGCCGCTTGATTCCATTATGGAAGGGCTCTCGCCGGCGCTCGCCGGACGGCCGCCGCCGTCCATTTTTAGGTCGATCAAACCTAATTTTGAATTTGAATTTGAATTTGAATGTTGATTTTGATTTTGATTCTGTTGAGAGATTTCGAGGTTCAGGAGGAAAGGGTATTTATTTATATGAATGGGGGTCCTGTCGTCGGAGGAAGAAAGGAATGAAGGACCAAGGAAGAAGACGATAATGGCGATTATTATTTTTACAATCAGGAACAGAACAGCTACTCAAACACAAACATTCGCTGAACCAACTGCCACATAATTACCTTATTTATTTATTTATTTGGCTTTTGCTTAATAATAATAATAATAATAATACATTTTAAAATCGTATAGGAGATTCGTTACTCATTCGACCGTATTGAGGTAAGTATAAAATAAATAAATTGATGGCTAGAACATTATAATCAAGCATTTAGAATCATATAAAATAATGTATGCCCTCATGCAAATATCTAATCAATTATTTTAAAATAGTGTCGATGCATCGAATTATATATTTTGAAAGAATTAAGGCTACCAGAAAGTTACACTAGAAAAAATAAATATTTTAAGATGAAAATTGTTAAAATAAAATTAAGAACATAAGCAAGCTAAACAGCTTTGTAATTTCATAATTCAAGTAAGCAGAAATGTTAAAAATCCGAATTCAAGTAAAAAAATAGTAGTATTTTAATTTCTGAAACCATTTGGAAATCGAATTATGATATATATCATCATCCCAAATGAATGATTTAGTTGTCTTCAATAATATCAACTAGTTTTTATTTTATTTGGTTTGACAAACTATGGTGTTATTGACTTTAGAACATGGCTTTATGTACAGCTGCGATGCGATCAATTCATGTGGGGCTGAATAAAAACTTTGGTATGAATCTTAAAAAAACATATTCAGATGACATTTTTCATATTTCTTTAGACAAATGCAATATGCCAAAATTAAATAATTATAATATGAAAAAAAAAAAGAAGAAGATTTATACTCTGTTAACAGTGAATTTTCATGTCAAAATTGAAAGAAATCAGAAGGATAGAATTTATTATTATTTATTTATTTATTTTTTAGAATTTGATCGTGCATGTGTTTGTTCAGAGTAGTAGGAAGCACGTCGTTGTTGGAGAGATTTTCGTGACACACCAAAGGTTGACTCAATTGTTAATTAATTATTGCCTAAGAAAATTAATTCATGTTGGTGACATATAAACAATTAAATTAAATATAGTTGCGTTTGCGTGTTGCCCATTTTTAAATATAAACTAACCTTATCTTGGAAAACAATGACGTTGATTTTTTGTTTGCAATTCCCATTTATCAATCATCAATTAATAACATCAGAACTGTCCCTCTCCATCAATTTGACCTTCCCACCATTTTCACTACGTTAGAAATTCAAATACTTTTGCTTTATGGAGAAGTAGCAATTACGGAACAAAAAAAATCGATTTAAAAAATCAGTGACATTATGTTGGTTTGGAAATTGAAGTAACATTTCATTTATATTGAATACGATATGATCCATTTTTTTTAAAAAAAGAAAATAAAAATCAAATCTTGTTTGAAACTGAAATTCAACATGCTTCCTTGTACAATATTTTTTTTTATGTCATATCCATCCATCCTCCACAAATGAATTGAAAAACGGTTGAGAATAGAAGAAATAAGAGTAGCTAGCATTCAAAACCAAACCCCTCTGTACAAACTGCAAATTAAATCTTAATACTATCTTTGTATATTTGTATACTCACCGATGTGGTGTTTGTTTTAATTAATGGTGGTGAGGGGAGCTCTGCTGTCTAAAACATTTTGTTGCTTCACATCTCCATTAGCCACTTTCGACGATTTCCCATCCCAAAATGACTTTAGCAGCTCGTCGAAGGCTGGTGTTCTCAGTTCCTCAATCGAAGCAATGCTCGGGGGATTGATTGGTCTTTTCTTTGGCGTCGAGCATGATGGTTGATCAACCTATATGGTTTCAAACACGATGATGTGATGTTTTCTTGATTGTGAGTTTGGATGAAAATTAAATGCAACGATGATTATTACCGTATACTCTTCCAGTAGGCATTGTCCTGCATTTTCTCTGATCTCCACAATCTTGTGGTAGTGTCCACTGTTCAGTTCCCGCAACTCTCCACAACAAGGAACAATCATGGAGTCGAGGTTACTGCATGCATCGCGATCGAGTTGCAAAGAGCCTGCAAATTTATTATTAGTAGTATTATTATTTACATGTGAACAATGTATGTGTGTATATATATTTATTTCGACGAGGTCTTACGCTCAATGGACGAGAGGAGAGTGTTGCTGGAAGCATCTGCATCTACCATGGCAGAATTCACAGCAGAAGAGAACCGTCCGCGCAAGGTTTCGATTGTATCCATCCCTCCCCTATAACATACACACACCACCCCCCTTAACAGGCCGTAGCAAATATATTTGGTAAAGTAGGATTGGATTATATATATACTTCATCCCGAACCTGACAATTTCGCCTACAGACTCAACGTTGCACTTCTCTAGATGAAGCAAAGACTCTTGGGCATTTTTCCAATGCTGGGAACCTGATTTGGCTTGTTCCAAACTGTGGATATGAGAAATACATTATTAGGAACTAGGATAATCTAGTGTATGAAAGAAAAGATGATGAAAGTGGTGATTAATGGTGTTGCTACTAACCATTTAGAGAGTATTTTTTCCATGTCTTGCTTCCCGCTGTCGACTGAATCTGTGTCCTCAAGATAACGAGACTCGGCACTCCGGGTGTAAGTTGTCCATTCGCTTTTGATAGAACAAGTAGTTTCTTGCATTGTTGACATCTCTTGCTGTAACTTGTTGGTTCTAGTGGCTGCACTCTCCCGAAGTTCATCGATTGCACATTTAACCTAGTTGAAAGAAAGAGTTGGCAAGATAAAGACAATTCCAATACGAACTTAGAGACAGTGGAATAGCCAGCAGCAGTTATTCTATCAATGCACATTCATGTGTAATAAGACTCTGCATCACATATTCTATGATAATACTTAACGGAATTCAGCCTAAAATAGAAGTGCATACCAGTTTTTTCTTCCGAGCATTTGAACTTGCAAGTAGCTCTTCAACTTTTGCAAGTAGTTGTCTTTCTTCATCTGCAGCACACTCCTATAGTGAAAACAGAACTCAATCAGAAACAGATCTTGCACGCATCTGATGATAATATAAAATTGTGTCTCCATTTACCTCAAATTTCTTTTCAAGTTCTGACAACTTCTGATCATTCATTGCTTGTGCCTCATGAACAATTTGGCCCAACTTTGAAGCATGTCCATCTAAAGTGTTGAAGAAGTTCACAGTAATTTTTGAAATTGACCGTGTGGATTCGACGGCTCTGCTATGGGCCTGTTAATAGTTATCATCTCTCACTGTTATATGGAAGCCAAAACAATATCCTGTATTTTTGAATTAATAACTACCAACCTCTCGTTGTCTTTGGGCATGGGCTGTTAGTTTTTTCTCCTGGCTGTGCAGGCTATCTTGAAGATCACTCAGTAAAGTATCAGCCTCTGAAGTAATTCCTTTGAACAGCTGCAATTTTAATTAACAAAAAAGTTAGTTCATATAGATTATTCTTGAACCCCCCATCATATAAGGAGACACAAACCTCTTCCAAAGCCGAGGAATGTTTAGAAACTTCAGAGCTCATTCGTCCAAAAGTAGACTGAGTATTAGAATCAAGTTCTCCAGCCAATTCATCCAATGCCTTGATCCCAGAACCGTACATGGTTTTCAGTTTATCTAGTTGAGCTCGAAGCTCTTCTGTGGCCTGTGTACATACATGACAAGGTTTATTCACAAGGCTGCTAACAACAACTGCAGGTTCTGTTTATCAGTGAGATACTAGGCATACCTCCGTCTTTGTGGATACAAATGAGTGCATGTCTTCTTCCATGTCTTTCAGTTGCTTTTCTTGTTGTGTAGTTGAAGATGCCACAGCATTATGTAATATTTCAAGCTGCTGAGTCAATTGGGATTGAAACTTCCGAATAAGAATTTTGTTATCATCTTCTATTTTGTCCTTGCGTTCTGGAAAATTATTGAGAGAGTTTGGATTAGGAGGAAAAATTTACTTCAGTATGAGAAAGAAACAGGAATTTTTTTGAAGAATACAAACCAATCTTCGAGAATAGATTGGTGACATCTGTTGCAGCATTGTCCAGTTCTGCTCGAAGCTCGAGTGCCCGTTCAACCAGGGCTTTTTCTGGTTGTAAGAAGTAATACAAGGATGTCACAAAATAAGAGAGAGATTTTATCTTGACTAGAAAGTATATGCTACACATTTGGTGTGAACATTTGCGTTCAGGACGAAATTTTGAATATAAGAGGCAAACAAATAAAAATATTCTTACAATAAGGGAAATGACAAGAGTAGCAATCAAATGTGTTTATGTACATTATCCATGTTGTACAATAGTTATTGTTAGTTACCAAAATTGCTAACTTACTTCGCATAAGAAAACTTCTGAACTAAAAGTGATTATTTAATCCTGGAAGCATAAAAAGACAATAGATAAATAACATTGGGGATTTGAAATAGTAACTTACCAGATTTGAGTAGGTTAGATATCAAGAATTCCTTTTCTTTTATTGTTGCATTTGCTTGCCTATGCCTTTCTTCTAGATCAAGCAGTGCATGCTCGGTGTCCAGGAGTTTTTTCTGGTTATTGCAACCAATACCTGGTTAGTTCATTAAAGCCCACCTCAAGAAGCAAAGGCATTATCGTTTAGGAGGTAGGACATTGGAATATTACCTGAGTCATTTCAAGTTTATCACTTAATTCAACAGTCAGCTGTTGCTGAGAAGTGTACAAATCTTGGATCTCCGTTAATTGCTGCAAAGGAATCTCAAGTTTAAGATAGTTCACATTTTTTTAATGCAGCATGACCAAGATCCACTAACAACTTTGCAAAATGTATGTACCTTGTCCCTGGAATCTAAATCAAGCTCCATACGCTCTATTTTCTCTGACATGGCCTGAACATTATGAAAACATAGAATATAAGTATAATATCAACCCTCCATCTTCAATAGTTGCATCATATATACACACTCAAGAGCAACACACCTTTTTCTCAGCTTCATCCTGGAGATATCGATCCCTTGGTATGTAGATTCCATTCTTCTCTCTGGCAGCATACACCTCTAAAAATAGTTTGTTTGCAAGAAAACATCAAATTGATTTCATCTTATACAATTGATTTCCACACACACTTAAAAGAGAAGGAGGCACAATTTGAAACCTTGCTTTAGTCGATCAATCTCAAAATACAAATCCTTGATTAGTTCGGATTTCATCATCTTCTGGTTAACCTGTGAACATATTATCCAAATAATTAATAAACTCGATCAAATATGAGAGTAAAAGTTGCCATAGGATGGATATAAAGAATTCAGAAATTTTCAAAAGATCATGACCTCTGGTTTGTTCTTTATGTTTTTGGCACGGTGAGCATAGTCTAATGTGCTGAGTGTCTCTTCCAAACAATGAATGGATGGAGAGATTGTGGCAATTATACAGGTTTTGGTTTTCCCTCCAAGAGAATCTCTAAGTAGCCTTGTTAGCTTGCTATCCCTGAGATGTTGGATTGCCTGTTAAAATCACTCTGAATAATGGCTGGCCAGACTGCAAAAGACATATACATACCTATATGGCACATGACCCGAATGTTCAACCAAAGCATTTATGACACGGCCAAGCGTCAGCAAGCTCTTGTTAATCTCTCCCGCTTCCCTTGCCCTTCCCTGCAAAAGTTATATAACTCAAATGTCACAATTTCCTTAGGAGGATATTATCCTAATACTCAGCTGGGGTTCGAGTGGGAAAAGTGTTCGCAACAAAGAACTGAAATGATTTAATAATTTCTCACCTCTCTTGCCCCAGAACGAGAAATGTTCTCTGAGCCAGCAAGATCGACCAGATTCAGCTTTCCACATTTGATCATTTCTTCTCCTTCCGGAGTACACTCCTTGATATGAATAGTGATAGAGAAAATAGAATGAGACCGGCTGCTCTGCTTGTTGAGAAGCGTCTCTGCTGTTTTCCTTTTGGCAGAGCCTTTCTCTAAGATCTTATATATTTCATTTGCCGTGGTCACTATCTCCTCTTCCAATCCACGAACAAAAACTCCACCTTTTCCATCCTCCATCAGCGCTATTGGTTTCTTTGACTTATCATCATTGAACTTGGGACACTCTTCTGGTGCCAAAAGATCTGATATTTCTTCATTGTATAGTTCTAAGAATGTAACCTTCATGCTATATTCAGCATTCTGAGCCTCTAATATATCAAAAATTTGTTTGACGGCTCGAGGAATAACTCCAGCATCACTTGGAAAATCGCCATTCTGAGCAGGAAGAACAAAGATTATATCACCAAAATAAAGCGATACATGAAAACAGCACTAAGCAACAAAGATTTGTAGTAAAGAACCAACCAGACCTTTTTCCTAGCTCCACCTTCCATTGTATAGGTCTTCCCAGTTCCAGTCTGGCCATAGGCAAAGATAGTGCAATTATATCCCTCTAGAACTTCAAATACTATAGGACACACTGCTTGATCATACAAGTCCTTTTGCTGGGATGACGGACCAAATACCTAAATGGAAAATATGTGAAATTACATAAATTTTCAATATAGCACATCTAGTGACAATAAAGAATCTCAGAATTGAATGGAGATAAAGATAATAATCTGTTTAGTCCATATACAAAATTCAAAGAAATAAGCACATCTGAACGATATTGGATTCAACCCCATTATGAATTTCAATAGCTGAATCATATTTCACCTTTTTCTTTTATTTTTTCTTTTCTTTTTTTGGTTTATAAATTTTCCAGTTCTTCAACATTTACCTGAACAAACATGCTACTCAAAATACATCAATTTATGCAAACCTTGTCAAAGACAAAAGTCCTGTCGATCTGCTTATTGGCAATATTCTGAACTGCGCATACTTCTCTTCTGTTTTCATTGCAAGAGACCACTGCAGGCGTACGCAATCTCACCTCATCCTCACTCAAAGGCCTAAAATTGGTAAGAAAACATTTTTTTGAGAAAAAAAAAAAAAAAAAAAAGGCGAACGGAGTAATAAAGTATCATTAAATTAGATCGAACAAACCAAAACAGCTAGTGGAGAGAAAAAGAAAAACGAAGTCCGATATTTTTCCTACCTGCATCGCACAATAACCTGTACATTGACTCCTTTATCCTTGTCGTGCTTTCCGTTCAAACTCCCCTCAAACGATCGCATATCTCTCCCGACCTTATCACTCGAACGAGGCGTTTGAGATGGCGATACTGGCACCATTCCTCCAGCCCCTGCCCCTGCTCTTCTCTGTGAAGCCTCCATCCTTTCAAAACACTCTTCCACTAACTCAAATCTAACAAATTCAACAAATTAAAACCGATCTCTCCTCCTTCGGCGCTGCAAATCAAAACCGGATCATCAATTCAACCGAGTAGTCAAATCAAGCACATTCCACCAAATCGAAACATATAAAACCAGAAATCACGCTCTTCATAATCCAAATCTGTGCACACAATGCCAACGAAAATAATACTAATAAAAATAATAATAAATAAAATCAGTAAGAAAGAATCCAAAGATAACTCGAAAAAGACAGCCGATCGATGCTCGCTCATACAATGCCAAGGGAACTTAAAATCCAAATTTCAAGTTCCAAACCAGTCCATCGCTGAAAACGAAAAGCAGCGGACAGCTACCGACACTGTTCCTCCGCATGGTAAATCAAGACGGCAATCATACCGTTCAATTCCAAATCTAAAATATACAAATGGAGCAATACCTACAGTGCAGACGCAGGCCGGCCGGCAGCGTGGAGACGCAGGCGTAGAATGGAAGGCCAATGGGGTATAGTATAGAGACAATATAGTATAGTGGCCACAGATTGTGTGTGAGTGAAAGTAATGGATGATATTTTAGCATTAAAATAATATAAAGCACACTCCGGAGGTAAGGGTAGAAAACAAGCGAAAAAAATATGGCCGTTACGGATGGCGTTTGAATTTTTGGAGAGAGAGGAATGACGGAGTTAAGATCTATTTTTTGTGACCGTTGCTTATTTATTACCTATATTATAATTCAAAATATTAGGGTAAAAATGTAAATATCAAAATATAAATACACCTCTACAAAATTTTATACTGTTATATGTTTAAATACACACTACTTATATACATAATTACTTTTTCTTTTTGATAATTTTAATGAATACTTAAATGATATTTAAATACAGTAAAATAATTTTAAATTATAAGACTTTAAATAAATAAATATTTTTAATTATATATTTAGAGAATTTTTTAATAATACAATAATAAGATTAAAGATAAATACAATAAATAATAGAATAGTGTGGGGTCAATCTCGTAATAAATCTCTACACATTAAATATAAAAAGCTCAGTAAATTAGTTAGTTTCAATTTAATATAGTTAAGTGGTACAATTTTAGGATATTCAAATCTTCTAAAGCATTAATAGGATTGAAGTAATTTAATAAGTTTCATCTTGTCTTGTTTTGATAAATAGGGTTTGTTTGTTTTGAGTTGGAATTTTGAATAGTAAAAATTTTAAATTTGAATAGTTATATAATATGATATAGATGCGATGTTCTGAATATAAAATTAATTTTTAGTATAATTTATAATTTATCCTTTAAAAACATTATACTATTAAAGTTTTCACTACATCACGCAGTTATATAAATAAGTCCAAAATTTTCAAAACACAATAGACACAATTATAAGAGAAGAATAAATCCACTTAGGTGTAAAGGCATAATATTTTTAAAGTTTTGTTTATATATAATAAAGTCGTGAAATTCCAAGAAAATGGAGACAAAGTGATAGTTGAATTATTCATTTTTTTTTATAATAATTTCAAATTTGGTATTTAAAATAATTTTAATTAGATTAAAAAATTGGGTGTATGATACATTTATTTAATATATATTACGATTACATAAAGAATTTATTTGTATTTATATATATAACAAAAAAAATAGATATTAGGTGTTACTTTTTATTTCAAATTTTTTTTTAAGAAAAATGATAAATTAAATTACGAAAAAAAAGAAAAGAAAAGCATGTTCAATAATTCATGGATGGATCAAAAATATTTCAAATTTCAAATCCACTAATTATTTATAGACAAGACAACAAATTAGCTACGCTCCACTAAAAGGGTGGTTTTAAAATGAGCAATTATATGACAACCATAATGCAAAATAAATAAACGAGGGTGGGTTAGTATAATGAAGTTGAAATTATTTTTAATTTTAAGATGTTGTGATGTGGGTTTTTGTTACGAATCCCCCAATCATTTTTAAATTTTGGGTATCTCGGAGCAACTCTAATTTTTTTTTATAATTATTATTTAGCTATATTTTGTATAATTTTTATAAATTTGATATTAATAAAAAGATATATTTTTTTATTGAGGTGAAAGAAGAAAAATGTGATACAAAATAGAGTATGAATGAAGATAGGGAGAACTCTTGAAGAACTTTCTTTCTTTTTTTTTTTTCTTTTTTTTTTTTTAAGAGATCTGTTAAACATATTATATATAATATAATTAATGTAAGGAGAATCTATATGATATAAACATATATATATATATATATATACATATGACATGTGTTTAGTGTTAGTGTAGTAGCTGTTTTCCTTTCCTTTTCCTTATCCCTCCCCTCCCATCCCATGTGATGAAAAGAAGAAAAGTGGGTGAAGCTGAAGGTTGGACTGATCAAGTCACGTGGGCGGAGTGTGTTCGGTAGTCATGTAAGTTTCATTTTAAGGAATAAAGATACCATATTAAGAAGATATTTGAATTTTTAATTTAAAATCAATCGGTAAGTAATAAGTGAAAGAAATTCGAATTTTTAATTTAAAATTAATCGGTGATAAATGAATTAGTCCTCGCTATCCCTACATTTTTTTTTTAATGTAGGATATATTAACAGAATAGCAGGTACGCCCATACGACGTCGTTTCTCCTCTGATCCGATAATCATGTAGACACCTACTAGCTCTTGCTTACACACTACTCGATATTGCCATGACACACACATACATATATATATATATATACTCTTCCTATTCCTTTTTTATTACTACTGCTGCAGTCTGCAGATATATATATATATATATAGCAGAATCTTTTATTAGTTAAAAGTAAACTGTAAATTAGTTCGGACTGAGATGGTCTGATAGTATGGGGTTGGTCTGATAGTATGGGGTTAAACATGTGATTATGAGATTATGAGTTTAATGTTACTACTATTAGGTCCGGAAATAAAAAAAGAAAAAGAAAAACACAGCCTGCCTGACCACAACTTACTCTTGATAAAAACATACATTATTATAATTAAATAAATCAGACAAATAAATTATCCTTCTTTGACGACTATCTGTCCATCTTGTGCATGCACGTGCCCTCGGAGAATTCCACCCTTTATAATAATTAATTAATACTAACAACTAATTAAATCATATATATATATAAAAGTTCAAATGTGTCTGTCCATGGGTAACGCCAGAATCTACTTAGATATGTTTTCTAACTAACTCGACACATTCACTCTTCAAAATACTAAAAAGTTATCTCGTAAGAGATGGTCTGGTGGTGGTGTAGGGATTGGACTTGTGATCGTGAGGTTATGGGTTTAAACTTCCGAAGGCTGAGGTTACCTGCCATAAATGGTTCGTCTTATATGACTTTTTCGTTTGGGCTTATCCAGTGCGCATTTTCGGATAGCAAAAAATTCAATTATACAATATACTAATACAAACTAATAAAAAAAATAATATTGTAATAAATTAGAAATTGAACGCAACCTCCAAATCATGCCTACAGCCAAATTACATTTCCATATACACATACATACATATAAAAAAAATCAAATCAAACCAACACACAGTCCCAACGCCACGCCAAAGCCATCAATTATGGCTTCACACTACTCCTTAACGTATATATATACAACACAAAAACTTTACCACATCATATTCCAAATCAAAACAACAATGGCTGTCTCAACTTTCTCCCTAACTACTTTTCTCATCTCCATCCACGCCGCAATCTTTTTCGGCCGCGCCGCCGCCGGAAATTCGAACCTCTTCCGCGAATACATCGGCGCCGAATTCAACAACGTCAAGTTCTCCGACGTCCCCATAAACTCAAACGTCGAGTTCCACTTCATCCTCTCCTTCGCCATCGACTACACCTCTTCTTCCTCTGCCTCCCCGACCAACGGCAAGTTCAACATCTTTTGGGACACAGACAACCTCACCCCCGACGACGTCTCCGCCATAAAAAGACAACACTCGAACGTTAAGGTCGCGCTTAGCTTAGGTGGCGACAGCGTCGGCGACGGCTTCGCATACTTCAACCCCTCCTCAATCGACTCATGGGTCTCCAACGCGGTCTCTTCTCTAACCAACATAATCCAAGAATACAACCTCGATGGGATCGACATTGACTACGAGCATTTCCAGGCCGATCCAAAAACCTTCGCCGAGTGCGTAGGAAGGCTTATATCGACCCTCAAGAACAACGGCGTGATTTCTTTCGCATCCATCGCCCCGTTCGATGACGATCAAGTTCAGAGCCATTACATGGCTCTGTGGAAAGGCTACGGGCATCTCATCGACTATGTGAACTTCCAATTCTACGCTTACGATAAGGGGACGAGTGTTTCGGAGTTTTTGGACTACTTTGCGACACAGAGCTCGAACTATGCCGGCGGCAAGGTTCTGCCGAGCTTTATAAGCGACGGCAGCGGCGGATTAGGACCGGAAAATGGATTCTTTACGGCGTGTAGTAAGCTGAAGAGTGATGGGAATCTTCATGGGATCTTTGTGTGGAGTGCTGATGATTCTAAAGGGTTGGGATTTAAGTATGAGAAGCAGTCACAATCTCTTGTTGCAATATCCCATTGATAAGTGTGTGTATATACATTTATTTGTATGTCTTAAAAGATGTGGATTGTAATAGCATCGTATGTATGTTATGTAAATTTTTATTGGAATGAACTTGTTTGTTGGATATTAATTGTTGTGCACTTTTTGGATTATATTTAAAATTGGACTTCAAAAGAACATTACCTAAAAATCGATGGGACAATTGAATCGTTTTTCAAGAATTTAAACTTTACATTGTGTGGAAATAGTTTAGTTATTTTGAACAAGCTGTTTTTATTTAAGTTGAATAATTAGACACTTTTTGTGGGTGGAGACTTTTTGGTGTGTAATTTTTTATTTTTTTTATTTTTTTGGTCTTATATTTTAAATTAATGTAATAGTATTGAGATAAACAGATGGAAATTTAAGATTATTTTTAATATATAATGATATATATATATATATATTTATCAAAAATAATTTTAATTGATTAACATGTTTAGCACATCCTCGAGCATCTATAACAAGCTGCAATATGTGACGAATTTCGATCTGTATATGCCAAGTTGAGTATATTTATAGATAGTTGACTTTCTTATATGATAAGTCAACCGTTTCATGTTAGTTGACTTTTGATCTGGTCTTCGTTTTTTCTATTTTAAAAAAGTATGTTGAACTAACCTTTGATCCAAATTAAACACCCAACCCTTTTTCTCATAAATAATCTTGTAACCTTTTGTTGTCCCCCATGATAACAAAATTATTTTAAAAGAATCTCTTTTCTACGTACTTTATCTATAATTACAATTACAAGTTTGTCTGAGTTTGTTAAGCTTAATTTGTTTATCTGTTGTTGCAAAGTTACCCTAGCATATATATATATAAAAATTAAATATTGATATCCGAATGGGCATGTTTTAGTATCTAGATATAAAATTCTTAAATCTTAAGAAAATATGCAATAAGGAAAGGAAAAGAGTTATATAAAGGGAAGTGATCATTGTCTCCATAAAATTTCGTGTATATATATATATATATATATAGAGAGAGAGAGAGAGAGAGAGAGAGAGAGAGAGAGAGAATTGAAGAACCTATGGAGGCAATTCATCGAAGTTGGATGAGCATGAATATATATATTATTGTGGTGTTGGCTCTTTGGCATTTTCCTGGTATGTTTGTTAGCATCATATCACATATATTTGTAATTTCTTTGTAACAAATCTAGGAAGGTTGACGATGCAAGTGAATTCTGATGATAAGATTGTTGCAGCTCATCATCGCCACCTACTTGCTTCTTCTGCCCCAACTGATCCCAATGATGGTAACTAAGTTTATAGATATTGATCGTTACATGACATTTAATTCTCGATGGCATTATATACATATATATATATATATATTTGTATGTGGATTGGATCGGATTACACTACACTATATATACCTATGGTGTAATGAAAGAGATATAATCAAATTAATTAGTTCGTTTGATCATCATGTATATGTGGCACAATGAATTAATCAATGCAGTGATGGGATTGAAGGCCCTCACCATTGACTTCCCAAAGTTATTTGGAGTGAATTTCCCAATGCTCGACGGCGACCCCTGCTATCCCGGCGAATTGGCCTGGATCCAATGCAGCGCCGATCCTGTCCCCCGTGTCATTGCCTTGTAAGCCTCTCTCTCTCTCTACTCTCTAGTTTATCGAATATTAGATTCGACCGGAGATTTACCTGCTAATTCTTATATTATGAAAAAGAAAAAATGATAACAAGTGCTTTGACATATATATATATATATGTTAGCCTGATTTTCAATGAAATTGTTGAAACTTTTTAACTTCATTTTTATTTAATTTGTGCCCTCAAAACCACCCCAAGAATTGTTTGCTATATATCTATTTCTAACCCTCATTTTAATTATTAATTTGCATAGAGTTTTGTTTGGCAGGAATCTTGGAGACATGCAGCTGTACAGAGGACGACCATCGCTTCCTGATTTCAGTTCCATGGATGCCCTTCAGACCATGTAAGTGATACTACTAACTAACATGCACATTAATTAATTCTTCACCAGTTTTTATTCCTCTCAATATTTCTACACTTCAATAATTAGTATACCAATTTTTTTTTTTTTTTTAATTAAAATAAGTTTGAGCTTTCAACTATTTGTAGAGACTTACATGGTAACTTCTTGTCCGGACCTATCCCAGAATTCCTAGGTACCTTTCCAAAGCTAACTTATTTGTAAGTCGTCCAAATTATATATTATATTGTAGTATATGATTATTGGTGTTTGAGTTGTGGTATGTTTTATCCAAATGAAAAAGGGATTTGGCAGACAGCGGATTCACAGGACCTGTACCAGATTCACTATCCAACAACAAAAAATTGAAGTTGAAGTAAGTAATTAACCAGCCACGCCACTAATCATTTATTTACATTGCATCATTAGTAATATTACCATTATTATTATTATTGATTATTATCATGTCTGTATTTTCATGCCACTTTTCGACTCTTACCAAATACACACCTGTCCTCCTCCATCTTGGCGTGGTTATTATTATTATTTTCTTAAATCTTTATATATCTATCTGTCATCGGATCTTTTATCCTTGATCGTCATGCTTGAAGATAGCTTTTTACAGAACTATGTAGATTTTTAGAGCGTATATATATTTATATAAATTTAACATGAAAACGATATTAATGATATTTACAGATTATCAAGCAGCAATCCGACGGGAACATGCACACTGGGTTTATGCACTCCCCCTTCATCCCCAACACCGTCGATCGGAGAATCTTCCACCGGAGGAGAATCTCCGATCCCAACAGGCCCATCTCATACTCCTCCTCTACCCTCCACCACCACTCCTCCGACGACCCAACCTCAGTCCATTCCTCAATCCACCACACCCTCAAAAGAATCCAACGTGCCGCTACCTCCGATCCCTCGAACCACCACGCCCTCCAAAGATTCCAACGTGCCTCTACCTCCGATCCCTCGGCTATATCCCCCCCTCGCCGGCCTCCGCCTTCTTCCGGCGGTGGAAGTGGTGCTAGCTCAGCGAACCCCAATTCCGTGGGAAGTAGGCTGAAAAAGATGAGAAAGAAGCTTGTCAACATACTGTGTTCTCTATTTGGTGGGGGATTCGGAATCGGAATTTTGTTGGCACTGATAAAAAAGCTATGTTGTCGTCGTCGTCCGGACAGGGACGACCCGGGCAGGCCTAAGCCGAATGCTGACCCGGTGCTGTAATCTATCCATAATCCATTCTTTTCAGCTAATTCATTGTTCATATTTGTAATAACAAAGTCGTAAGAGAAACAGGTGAGGAAGACGAAAATGTCGAACCATGTTCGGGGAATTTACTTACTTAGCACAAACTAAATATCTATGAGGTTTTTGCCAGAAATTGCAGGAACATTACACGCTACACTTAACTATTTCTGCTGCTTCTTCCACAAGATCCCAATCCTTCTCAGCATGTTGGCGTTCTTCTTCTTCAACAAATCATCCTCCATCTCGTCACCATACGGCAGCCCCCCGATCTTCCCGCTCTGTGGGCTGTAGTGGCTGTCCATAGATCCCGTCCGCTCCATCAGCTGCCCGTTGTTGAGCATTGCCGCCGCCGCCTCAGCCGCCTTCCTCCACTGGTCAGACTGCACCTTCACCTTCCTCAGCTCCGCTTCCATCGCCGTGTTCGCCGCCTGCGCCGCCTCCAACTGCTCGGCAGCCCTAGCTGCTTTACGGTTGCTCTTGTCGAGCTCCTCCGCCATGTACCCAACCTTCATAACCGCCTCTTTCTCCACAGCCGTCGCAGCCTCGATTTCAGACACGACCTCGATTTCTTTCTTCTCCAGTTTCAGCTTCTCGTTCTCGTCCATTACATTCCGCCACATTTTCTCCTTCTCCGACAAGCTCGACCTCATGCTTTCGATCTCGGCCCTCAGATTTTGAACCTCCCGTTCCATGGCGCTCTCCCTTTGGCCGGAAAGAGTGCTCTCGAGCTTCATCGCCAGCCCCTCGTTCTCCTCGCAGATGCCTTGCAGCTCGGTCTCCTTATCCATGAGGTTCCCCTTCAGCTCCTCGATCTCGTATTTAGATCTCTGTATCTCTGCAGCCAACTCATCCTCCCTCTGGCTCGTCTCTGATTTCATTTTTTCGACCAGTTCGAGCACATCCCTCACCTTAGCCGCGCTCTGCTCTCGTTCTTCTTTGCAACTTATCTCCGCAGCCTCTAGAGCCGATTTCAATTCCTCAACTTCACTTACAGAATCGGTGCCAGCAGTGTGCTTGCTTGCGAGTTCCTCGAGATATTTAACACGGGCTCTCGACTCCTCTAGCTCAGCAGCTACTGCTTTATATGTCTCTGTCGCTTTTATTCCATCCGTCTTGAGCACCTCCACCATCTTCTTCGCCGAGTCCAGCTGCATCAGAGTTTCGTCTACCAGCGCCTGCGCCTGTGATTCAGACTCCTTCGATTCCTTCAACTGGTTTTTCATGTCTTCCATGAGCAGATGAGCTTCCGACAGACTCTCTTTCAGCTTACAGATCTCTGTATGCTCGGAATTGGCAGCTTCAGATTTGGCTACCGATCGCAGCTGGCCTTTGAGTTGCTCGATCTCATCCAGGGCAGCGGCCAATGCAGTCGAATCATCAGACTGCTCAACCTTTTGGACACGCTCGGATTGCACAACCTCCTGCTTATTGAACTCTTCGAGCTTCAGAGAAAGGGCTGCAAGCTGTTTGTTGGATTCCTCGGCGTCTTTCTGCACTTGCTTCTTTGCCGATTCAGTCGAGCATAACTGATCCTTCACGGTTTTCAGATCATTTTCCAGCTGTGAAATCTGAGACTTGAGCTCTGCAACTTTGCTCGGATGCTTCCTCTACCAAGGTAAAAAAAAACAAAGCTTTACTACAACAATATGATGATGAAATTCCACAGTAGAACATTAGTACAAGAAATCTCAAATTCTCCATTGTTTATAATTCTACTTGATCACATGAACCTACTCAGAGACATAAAATACCTCAGATGAGGCAGAACCTCCGGGAGACCGATTATCAGCTACTTTAGGACTTCTCTCTTTCGGGGGTCGGCTCGCCAAATTGGATGATGATGCAGTATGCTCCGAGTACCGTGGCCCTGTCTTGAGCTGACGTGCGACCCGAGGGGAAGCCTTTTGGGATGTTTCGGATGATGCAGCTTGAGGAGAGTTCTTCGGCGACGCCTCGGAGACAATCGATTGTGGAGAGCTCTTGGACGGCACGCCCCAGGAACTGCTTCTGCAATCGAACAAATTAAACTAAAACACATTCGAAAGTGTTGATTGATAAAACATGTTAAGGCAGTGTATACAGTCCTGTCCCGACAAAGAGATTCATTCGAATCAGGCAAAGAGACTTGCCTTAAACCTGAAATCTCCAACACTAACTGTGCTGGAACTGAAAGCAAGAAACAACCACATTACCTAGCTTTAGGAGTCTGCATCTCTTGAATCGTGTGTGGCTGCCCAGCGAGTAAATTAAGGTCGTGAATGCTCAGAGAACAGCAGCAGCAACCTTAAATGCTGCCCTGCCACCAACTGGTGCATAAATACATCAAAACACCATCACAAGCAAAAAAGGGAGAGTGGAAGAGATGAGGTGAAAAATGGAATTAAATGGCAACAATGAAGAACAACCACTCAAGACAGCAAGCAGTCATAGAGTCCATATGAAGAAGTTAAAGGCTTAAATATCCTCCTTCGCCATTTACGTCTTATGCAAAAGAGACAATGCCACATTCGTGTATATTCAAAAGGGGTTGAAAAGAATGCATCTTTCCTTTTTGCCTCTCACCCTTTTTGCAGTCAATTATCAATCAAGAATTCAATTAGAGGCGTGCTGGTTATCCAACTGCATAAATGCAGTCACGGGCAATCAATTAAGCCCCAGCTATAAATGGAGGACCATTTGGGGTATGGCAGCAAGCACCCCCTCAAGGAAGGGCATTATACATATATATATATATATATATATGATTTTTGTCCAGGGGGACATCTGTGGGGACATGGAAAACTGCCTGTCATCAAGGCCCTATTTTGACAGCCTGAGAAACCCCTCCATTCTAGCCGAGATTAATGGCGGACAATTTTGTTTTTTAAAAAAGAAAAAGAAATAAAACTGGGGTTGAAAAAAAAAAAAAAAATTAGAAAAAAATAGGTGCAGTTGGTGGCATTAAAGAAGAAAGAAGAGAGAGAGAGAGAGAGAGAGAGAAAGGAAAGTTCAGTTAGAGGAAATTGAAACCAAACACGATGGGATAAGCCCAGCTAGCAATGCACACTCTCACATGTCCAACAGACAAGTATACTTTCGAACTTCTTCGTACTAATAAACTGAATCTTGGAAGAACAACAAACACACACACACACAAAGCGAAGTAAAACCAACAAATCTGAACAAAGAAGAAGATGCGAGTAAAAAGCCCTTTTCTTTGAGCCAAAAAAAAAAAAAAAAGAGGGGAAAAAAAAAGCTTAGAAAGCTTCCCAAACAGTGAAGTAAAAACAAAAGTGAAAATGCAGGTAAGTAGATTTGCTATCTCCCCTAACGGCAGCTTCTTCAACTCAAATTGAAGATGCAAAGCCCAAGAGTGTGGGTTTAAATGAGATGGTTTGATACTTTCTAGAAGACAAATAAGAGAAGTCAAAAAACAGCAGCTACTTACCAAGAAATGGTTGAGCTTGAGGACGAAGTTAAGAGAAGAAAAGAGCAGCAGCCATTGTTAGTGAGGATGAAGAAACTGGTGTGGGTGGAATGGCCTTAGCTAACAGCTATGGCCTCTGAGGAGTCTAGAGTTGAATAATTTGAAGGGGAGTGGGTGAGAGCGCATGTGCCAAGTGCAACTGCCTATGGGGAAAAAAATCACCCCACCCCCTCTTTTTTTTTTTATAACAAAAATAAGATAGAAAAAAAAAAAAAAAAAAAAAATCTAATTCCTATAATGAAATACTACTTGGTTAAATATATATAAAAGATTAATATTTAATTTTATATTTTATAATACAAGATTTAAATTTATTGTTTGAGTACAATTAAAAGTTTTGGAGCCTTAGTTTGAATACAATTGCATATATTTCTTGATTTGTTATGTGTTTGAGTTTCAAATTTCAAATTAATAAATGTTCTTATTGTTTTAAGTAAAAAGCTTTTACATATTTTTTATTGTTTTATTTTTTACTATAAAAAACAAATAACGTGAATTATTATTTATTCATATTAAAATATATATTAAAAAATACAAATGTACTTTTATATGTAAAAAAAAAAAAGTATTTTTTTAACTAATCGTGACATATATTATAAAAAAATAATAATAATTTAAAATGAACAACACTATAAATTTCTTTTTTTTTTAAAAAAATAATAATATGCAATCTCAACTATTTATAAAAATATAATAAATTTATATAAAATATCACATACAATAATTATTTTATTTAAAAAACCACTTATAGTTATTGTAGTTATTTGTAATTTTTATTATTAAATATATTTTAAATAATTATTTCATTACGAATAATAAAATAATTTTTTTTTTTTTAAAAAAAAAAGAAAGAAATATATATACATATGAATACTCAAGTACACATGTTCACCGTATCATTATAATTCGTTATTTTTAGTTAAGGCCCAACAATCTAAATAACTAAGCCCAAAATCATATTCTTTTATAGTCTTCTATCTCATCATTCCGATTTTTTTTCCTAATTTTTGGGTTCTTATTAAAGCCCAATAGTATGTGTTTAAAATTTAAATGTAAAATAGAAGTACAATTATTATCTAATTTAAGAGTGTAAATTAACACAATTATATATTATCCATAGTAATATTATGTGTTATTTTGTCAATATAGACACAATGTGCTGCTGTCAGCAATATATATAAAATTCATTATTGAAACATAGTCCTATTTATAATAGTACTACATTTGATAACATCAATATCATTTTCATGTTTTCTTTTTAAAAAATAATAATAATAAATAAAAAACAACTTGTGCACCTTTCTATCTAGTGGGTTTGCTTTTCATAGCACAATAAAAGATTTATTGGGCTTTGTTTACTATTTTTAACTAAAATTTATATTATTTATTTTATACAATTTTTAATAAATATATATTGTAGACACTAAAAAAACATATGTCTAAAATCAATTAAATATCACGTATTTTGGAATAAAATAAAATTCTAATAAAATAAATACATGGTATTTAATTATGCACACATGTTAATTTTTGTACAATAAATATCAATCATTAATGCAAAAATTTGCTTAAAATGGAAGATATCGTACAAATATTACGTGCATAAATAGAACCATAATAAATTTGGCAGCAAAATAAATTAATCTTGTCAATAAAGGAAGTATATAAATTAATATCTTCCGAAAAAGAACAATGATATAAAGATCTTGGCGAGAAAGGAATGTGCACAATCAAATCCGTCAAGAATGGAAAACAACATTTGATGGAAAATGAAAGATTATATAATCTCCATCCACGTGGCACCATCCGAAAAGGAAGCCAAGGCCACACATCCCCTATAAATAGGAGCCATGGCCAATTCATTTGAGACACCGAAGTTGCATCAAGGATTTAAGCAAAGGGGTAAGTCTCTAAACTCTTTCTATTGTTCTTCGAAGCGTTCTTCGTCGAAAGTCACTAATTTGGACAAATGATCAAATATTGATTGACGAATCGATGAAGTTAACGTTCTTCGTCGTATGTCCAAGCCGGAGGAAGGATCAAAGCTCTCAAAGCCGTCGAGGAATTCGTCAAAGCCAAGGGAAGGTCTTCAAAGTTTCTCTCAAAACTTCGAGATGTTCATCGCGTTCTTCATAAAAACGCAAATTCTGCCCTCTTCGATCCAAAAGTCAAAGGGACATGTCACCAAAAGCGTTATGGAGCACCAAATCTACCTTCTCAAAAATCAAAGTCCGGATCGTCTAAAGAAGACAACAAATCCAAAGACGATGATCAAATCGCCAATACGGAGACCAATGTCTTCCAAAAGCGGCAAAGCCAAAACAAATGTCAAAGTCGCGGATCGTCTAAAGAAGACAACAAATCCAAAGACGATGATCAAATAGCCAATACGGAGACCAAAGTCCTCCAAAAGCGGCAAAACCAAAACAAATGTCAAAGTCGCGGATCGTCCAAAGAAGACAACAAATCCAAAGACGATGATCAAATCGCCAACAGGGAGACCAAATCCTTCCAAAAGGCGGCAAAGCCAAATCAAAGATTAAGACCTCGGATCGTCTAAAAAAGACATCAAATCCAAAGCCGACGATCAAATCGCCTGCACGGAGACCAAAATCCTCCAAAAGCTGGCAAAGTCAAACTGAAGACCAAACCTCTTCGGATCAAAGAAGCCATCGAAAATCAAGTTGGAAAATAAATCCACCCGGAAAGAGAATCAAAAGACTCGTTTAGAGAATAGGACCCGCTTTAAATTCAAATCAAATATAAATTGTACAAATTTTGTGTTTATTAAAAATAACACAATTTTTTTTCCACATATATATTATTGTATCTTATTATACGTCATATTAATATATTATTCAAATAAAAATTTAAATTAATATTTTTTTTGGATTAGAATCAAATAAATTTTGGATTTGAATAGATTTGTGATTATTGGTTGTATTTAATTATTTTATTACTATTATTCTTGTTGTTGTCAAGGGTGCAAGGGTGTGTTTGTTTGAGGGATTTGTTTGGATTTCAATTATTTATCATATTTTTTCCTTCTAAAAATATCAAATTAAACACCTATTTTTTATTTTTTATATTATACTAAAAATCAATTTTACATTCAAAATATCACGTCAATACCTATTTATATCATATCATACAATTATTCAAATTCAAAACTTTTACTATTTAAATCCCAATTCAAAATCCAAACATAGAACAAACACACCCTAAATTTATTTTTTATCCGCGTGTGAACAGTAGCGGTTAATATATATGAATGTAATACTTTCATTTCTATGATTATAATATATAATTTCTTGAGTGTTTGTATTATATATATATATATATTGATTATAAAATAAACAAATTAATAATGCTACGAAATATATGTGCTTGTGTGATCTATGTCACTCAAACAATCAATTAATAATAAAAGACACGTGTTCCCATCCAAAATAATAATAATAATAATAATAATAATAATAAAAGACATGTGGCTAAAATATAACCGTGTTAGATTGAATATACACCTTTGGATCAAACATGTGGTTAAAATAATGGTTGAGATTGAAAATGAATAATAATAGTATAATATTTATACAAATATTCTATTTTTATAATATTTTTTAATTTATACTATATTTTTATATAATAATTAATATTAAAAATCAACACAAAAAAATAATAGACAAATCTCATACTTTTATTCATACTATAATCATATAATATCAATATTTTTAAAATTACGTTCTATATTAGTTTATTTTAAAAAAATATATATATACACACACTATTATTTATTTAACATAATAATAAACAAAAAATCTTATATTTCCACGTGGGAGATTAACAAGACGCGTCAGATATGTTCTTCTTCATTATCTGTGTTTCTGTCCCAATGTTGACATCTTCAACACAACCCATCCACCATTCGGAATTTACTTCAGAATTTATTAGCGGCAGTACTGTAACTGTAACTATACTGCCGTCACACAACACATTTCTATTTCCATTGTTTTCCACGTGCAAATGCTGCTGCATCGTCCTCCCATTCTTCCTATTTGGAGTATTATAAAACTAGTTTAGCAGCCGAGAGACTGCAGATCGATCAAAATTTAGAGCTGATCAGCACTGCTGCAGAAGAAGATGATCATGTCAACGAAGAAAAGATACGCACTTCTGCTGGCAGCAAGGGACTCAGACTACGTCAACAAACTCTACGGAGGATACTTCAACGTCTTCGTCGACACATTCGGGGAGAAAGATCTAGAAGAAGGCGACAGTTGGGATCTGTTCCGCGTGATCGATGGGGAATTCCCTCAATTGGATCATCTTCATCTCTACCAAGGCTTTGTCATCAGTGGCAGCCCCCATGATGCCTACGGCCATGAATCTTGGATTCTTCAGCTTTGCTTTCTTGTCCAGACCTTGTTTGCTTTGCACAAGAAAGTCCTCGGAGTCTGCTTTGGTCACCAGGTAGGTACTAGTACTAGTACTAGCTAGTATACTTATATCATCATCCATATACATATATATATAATATATGTGTATGTATTGATTTTGCAGGTGATTTGCAGAGCTTTGGGAGGGAAAGTGGGAAAATCTTGCAGTGGGTGGGATATAGGAGTGAGGAAAGTGAAGTTTACTGAGGATTTCTACACATCATCATTATCATCATCTGTTGGTTTGTATGGATCTGGAGAAGTAGCAGTGATTCCTCAGAATCTCTCCATTATTGAGTGCCATCAAGATGAGGTCTCGTTCTCGTTCTTGTTTCTTATCAATGTATGTATATATATAAACTAACCCTATCCTTACACAGGTGTGGGAGGTGCCTGTGGGAGCACAAGTGCTTGCATTTTCTGAAAAAACTGGAGTGGAAATGTTTGCATTTGGGGACAACATTTTAGGGATTCAAGGGCATCCTGAGTACACAAAGGACATCCTTAATAATCTCATCGATCGTCTTGTCTCCAACAATTCCATCCAGGTCTGAACTTCCTTTGATTCATGTTAATTAGTTAATTTGATTGTTAGTGATGATACATTACAAACTGCTTTGTGTACTGTACTGTTTGTTTGGGTTGTAATTATTATTAGTATTATTATTAATTTGGTGCAGAGAGAATTTGGTGAAGAGGCGAAGCAGCAAGCGATGAACTCAGAACCTGCGGATAGACAGCAATGGCAAAAGATTTGCAGAAGATTTTTGAAAATGGGGTGCACCAAATTCGTACCCATTTTAAAACTCTAATAATATTCTGTTTCAAATTAATTTTCTAAAGTAATAATAATTGGATCGATTTGGACCATCACCATAAATGCCCATTTCCTAAATATTTGAAAATTAGAGTATGCTAAGTATGTAACCAAAACTAATTAGATAAGATTATTCAGATAGTTAAAACTTTCAGACATTATCGAACAATATATTGACAGGTGAGGACATAATAATACAACTAAATCACTGTCTATAGAAAACTGTGTCCCACTTTAATTTTATTTTAAATTTTTTAATTTAATTTTAATTAAGATAGACGGAGGAAGTAATTAAAATCCAGAAAGAATAAACGAAATCCAAGGGAGATTTGGCACGCAAGAGTCAACTTGTTAATTAGGAGTATGTTTTAAATCTTAATATAAAACATCAAATAGATTCGAACACGAGTCTCAATAAAAGCTCTGGACTATTTATTATTTAGATTTGCTTTTGCTTTTCAGGTTTATAGTGTATATACTAGTATTATTTATTTAATACAATGATGAAAATGCATATATATATATATATATATTTATTTATACTTTAGGCTCCAAATAAATAGAGTATGAATGCCATTGATCAAATGATGGATGTGATGAAGATTAATAATTCAATATCATCAATCAATTGGTGATGAGACGAAACAGCCAATTAATTAAATTAATTACGGTCAGAAAAAGCAATCCTTGAAGCAAAGGGGGCTGATTCTGGAGTCCAAGACCAGATCAACCACAACATGAACGGTCGGGATCTATCCGGAGTTGAAGTCCATGGAGCTCAAAGAAAAACCTACTAATTACTCGCGTCAACTTAGGTTCTATAACAAAACACACACACTTATTACAGGACAAAAGAAAGCAGAGTGCAATGATTAGGGGGAGTTTGTAAACTTGGGAAAGGGCTATTTGCATTGTCAAGTCTAATCTCTCAGTAGACTAAAAGACATTAAATAGTACCACTGTTACATTAAATAAAATAAAATAAATGAAACATACCCAGTTTCTTATTCTCACACACAAATTGTCAGACCCAATTCTTTCTTGTTGATGTTTCACTGCAACAGTAAAAGATATTTTGATCGGAGGAAATTATTAAAGGGTAAAATAGCACTACTTTTTTTTGTTGAATAGAGAATATTTTTGTAGATAAATATTATGAACAGGAATTAATAAAGTGAAGTGGAAACAGAAAGAGGAATAAAAAGGCCCACAAACAAGTCACCACTAGAGTGTGCACCAGATCTTCAAGAAGGCTAAAACGGATCCACAAAGTAAAATGTCATGCAAAAGAATTTAAAAAAATTTTAAATTTTAGAGCTAGGGACATGGACATGGACATGGACATGGGCATGGGTAGTTTGTTTTTGTAAGAAATTTTGCTGTAAAAAGGCGATTGTAAAAGAACATCAAGAAATGCAATACCTTGCTGCAAGTTCTTTTCTTTTGGTACACACATTGCCCACACACTTATGGTGCACTACTTTATTTTGAAGGTGAAAGAAAGCCTCGATATATATATATATGTATGTATAGCATTATATATATTGATAAAAGTGGTCTCAAAATACTCAAAAGAGGGTCTAACACAGTCAAAAGATAGTCCCTTTGCAAAAAGTAGAGTGAGAGTGAGAGTGAGAGAGAGAGAGGGAGAGAAATATAGCTTAACACACACTCACTGCAGTCTGCGTACATGATATTCGTGAATCAAATGTATGAAGATCGAAATGATCATCATGTCTTGCTTTCCTAAACCCTCCTCTGTTCTTCCCATCTCCATCTTCTTCTTAGTTTCTTGTTTCTTCTCTCACCCTTCACTCTCCTTTGTTGCCCGCAATCCTGAAGGTATTTTCCATTCTTTTGGTTTCTTTACTTAACCTTGGTGAAATAAATCTGTGTATTTTTAATGTTTGGGTTTGGCTTGCAGTTGTAGCTCTGATAGCCATAAAGGACTCTTTGGACGACCCCCATGGAGCTCTCAACAACTGGGACGAATTCTCTGTCGACCCCTGCAGCTGGTCTATGATCACTTGCAATTCCGACAATCTTGTCACCACTTTGTGAGCCAAGAATTCATCTTTTTCTCTGATTCTTTCGATTTTAGCATTTCTTTTGATTTCCCTTACATGATTTGTCTGTGGAATTTGTTCAGCGGAGCTCCTAGTCAGAGTTTATCCGGCTCCTTGTCCTGGATGATTGCCAATCTAACGAACCTCAAACAAGTGTAAGAAACAGCACAAGAAAATCATCCAATTTGGTGTTCATGTATTAAATTGAGGTTCAAGATTTTATTTTTCTTTGAATGAATGAATGCAGATTGCTGCAGAACAACAACATCTCCGGACACATTCCCAAGGAAATTGGCTATCTCCCAAACCTTCAAACGCTGGACCTTTCCAACAACAAGCTATCTGGGCAAATCCCTGTGTCCTTAGGTTTCTTGAAACGTCTACAGTATTTGTGAGTGTCGATTTCATATGAAATTGAATTAAATAAACAGTAAAATTGGGTGAATCAATTAGTGACATCGTTTTCCTTGACTTACATGTATTGTCTATTTCAACGATGGTGTCTGTCTGCAATGGATAGGAGGTTGAACAATAATACCTTGAGTGGGGCTGTTCCTCTGCCTCTAGCCAGTCTCCCTCAACTTACTTTCTTGTGAGTAACAATACTAATATCATCATATTCTTTATTACCTCATGTTTCATTTGTTCTGTTTGTTGCCTAGTGGGCTTCCGATTTGGCTCCTTATGCAATTATGGGATTTCTGCCGAGTTTTTTCAGGGATCTGTCCTTCAACAATCTCAGTGGACCTGTTCCCACTTTTCCCACCAAGACATTCAAGTATGGCTTCTCTATTCCATCATTATTGTCTGATTAATTTGGCCTTTCCTGAATATGAATCCCTGTTAGGACAATTCTTCATCTCCACTGCTGAAGTTAGAAATATGAGTTTTTGACTCTGATATTGCAGCATTTTGGGGAATCCATTGATCTGTGGAGTTCACTCGAGTGAGAGATGTTCAGGGTTGTTCCTGGCTACCCCTCTTTCGCTCTCCATTAATTCATCGTCTGGTAATTACTCGCAGTTTCGGTCGCCATTTTTGTTTATATATGCTCTGGAGACTTGGACACTTTCGATCATGTGTTTGTCTGGTTATGAATTTAGGAAGAATGAAGTCCCGAAAACTAGCCGTTGCTTTGGGGGTCAGCATTGCATCTGTTGCTATATTAGTTGCTGCTTTGGGATTTCTCTTGTGGAGGAAAAGCAAGAAAGACAATCAGTCCATTCTAAACGTGACAGGTGAGTGATTATATGCCACAGTGGTTATTGCAGCCGTCGACATTTCGAAAATCATATCGATGACATTCTTGTAATTTCAGACATTCAGGAAGAGGACCTTGTAAGATTGGGAAACCTCAGAAGCTTTGTCTTCAAGGAGCTGCAGCATGCAACAGACAACTTCAGCTCGAAAAACATACTCGGTATGGGGGGATTCGGGAATGTCTACCTCGGGAAATTGGGGGACGGGACAATGGTTGCCGTGAAACGCCTCAAGGATCTCACCGGCACCACGGGGATATCGCAATTCCGAACAGAGCTAGAAATGATCAGCCTAGCTGTGCACCGAAATTTGCTCCACATTATCGGATACTGCGCCACGCCGAACGAAAGGCTTCTCGTTTATCCTTACATGTCTAACGGCAGCGTCGCCTCTAGACTTCGAGGTACATTAGAAATCGCCATTTTAGTATCTGACGATTTCAATTCTTCGTTGAGTTTCATTTAATTGTACAACAGGGAAGCCGGCACTGGACTGGAATACGAGGAAGAGGATTGCGATCGGGGCAGCGAGGGGATTGCTTTATCTGCACGAGCAATGCGACCCGAAGATTATCCACAGAGATGTCAAGGCAGCTAATGTCCTGTTGGACGACTTCTGCGAGGCCGTTGTCGGTGATTTTGGCCTTGCAAAACTACTCGATCACGCCGAATCTCACGTTACGACAGCTGTACGCGGCACCGTTGGGCACATAGCTCCCGAGTACCTCTCGACTGGCCAGTCGTCCGAGAAAACCGATGTTTTCGGTTTTGGTATTCTTCTGCTGGAGCTCGTCACGGGCATGCGCGCTCTTGAATTTGGAAAATCGTTGAATCAGAAGGGCGCAATGCTCGAATGGGTACGTATGGAATTTTGTTCGTGTTATTGGCTGGCATTATGATGCGATACTGTCGATGAATTTCAGGTGAAGAAGATGCAGCAAGAAAAGAGAATAGAGTTGTTAGTCGACAGGGCGTTGGGGATAAGTTACGACGGGATCGAAGTGGGCGAGATGCTTCAGGTTGCTCTACTTTGTACGCAATACCTTCCGGCGCACCGGCCGAAGATGTCTGAGGTTGTCCGGATGCTCGAGGGCGATGGACTGGCGGAGAAATGGGCAGCGTCGCACGACTACAACGACAGCAAGTCGCACGCGGTTGTTGCTCTGGGTAACGATCACCTGGGGACGGCGGCGGCGATCGTCGACGACGATGACTATGATGCCCAGTTTATGGAGCTGTCTGGTCCGAGGTAGAGAGAGCTGTAAGAAGGAAGGATGGGGAAGGAGTAGGACAAGTGATGTGAAATTTGTTGCTGATATGTTCATAGTCGTCGGGGGAGGAAAGCAGCGTTGTATTGTATTGTAGTGTGTATGAATGTTCAATATTCCACTTCCACTTCGATTTAGTATTTTGATTTTGATTCATATATATATATATATAGATCAACGTATTGGCATATCCTTGTTTTGTTGGATTGTCTTGTTTATGTTTAATTATGATATTATTGTTATTTTTTATTTGAACATTGTGTGTATTTTTTTTTTTTTTTAAAATATAGAGTTTAAATAATAAAAATTTGAAAAAAATTGATTTAAGGAAACAGACCACAGTTTTACTTGTACAAAGTTTTAAAATTTTTAACATTATTTATTTTACCGTATTTTTTTTTAAAAAAAACATATCATACGAAAAATAAGTATTATATAAGTTAATATACTATTAATTTTACAAAACTCTAAAATATTATATTTAAATGGAGCCTTACTCTTTTAGTCTTTGGAGAACTCAAATGCGTTTCTTTGGTTTAATTTGAGTTGTTATTAAAAATTAAAATAATATTTAATGATTTTTTTTTTTTTGAAAAAAATAAAGTATATATTTTTAAGTTTAAATAGTGAAATTTGATTTATTTTTTATATATATATTTTTTTAAGAAAATCACTATGTTTGATGATGGTTTGAAATATAAATTTGGGATTTTTTAAATTTTTTGTTGATATATATATATATATATATATAGATTAGTTATCAAATACGTATTTATTTTTTATTATTTTTATAATTTTCTGAAAAAAAAAACCTTGTATTTAAATGTATATATTCTCTTTTAATTCCTCACGGCATCATCATTGCAAATTTATAATCAATATAATAGTCTCTCTTGATTATGTTTTTAATTTGACCTTCACACATTGTTCATTTCAACTTTTTTATAAAAATCATATTTAAAATTTATTTTTATTTAAATATTACTTAAGCTATTTTTTAGAGGTTCTTTTGCTTTGTGCTTATGTTTGCATTTTAGTTTTTAAATGAAATAATTATTTCATTGTATGAAAAATTAGTTCGTACTTATAGTTTAACATATTTTTAAAGCGAGTATTCAAATAATTAGAAGTCAATTCAAAATATTTTGGATTTTATTATTATTATTATTATTATTATTATTATTATTATTATTATTATTATTATTATTATTATTATTATTGTTGTTGTTGTTGTTGTTGTTATACTTTTGTATTAAAAATGTGTGTTTACTTGTGAATTTTGATGATGATTTTACTATTCTAATAATTTTTTCTCTTAAAAAATATCAAATCAAATACCTATTTTTATTTATTATATTTCACCAAAATTTAATTTAACATTCAAAACATCATCGTCAATACATATTTATATCACATCAAACAACTATTTCAATTCAAAATTTTACTATTCAAAACCAAAACCCAAAATCAAAATCTCACAAATAAACACACCTAGTAATTTTTTAAGAGAAAATACATTAAAGAAAAATGAAATGTAAAATTAATAAACCATATTCTTGTTTGTCACGTTTTAGTTTTGATTTTATTATTTTTAATAATTTTTTTTAAAAATATTAAATCAAATATCTATTTATTTATTTATTATATTATACTAAATTTAATTCAAAATCAAAATATCATATTTATATCACAAAATAAAAAAAAAATCAAAAATCAAAACTCTCCCACAAACAGACACACCTATACTGATTTTTATATATGTACATATATATATATATATATATATATATCTAAACATATTACGTGACGTCGACATCCATGCGTTAAGTCAAAATTGACTTTTATTTCAATATTCGATGACTTTTTATACAGTATTTATAGTGTCTACCGTTCGTATTACCGAACAGTGTGAACACTCCATAATGAAACATCAATTCAAAGAATAATATAATAATATAAGAAAAAAGGGACTCGTTTATTTTTTCTAATTCCCTATTATATTATTCGTTTTAAAATTTTAACATCACACCTAATATATATATATATATATATATTTAAAAAAAAAAAAACCATAATAAGAAATATAAATTTTCAAAGACTAAAAATTGGTATTGCTAAATCTTGTAAAATTAAGTACCTTCCATGTTAAGTTTATTTAAAAAAATTCCATGTTTATTGCTTCTAGATTTATTATCATGTAGTTGTGATGCCAATTTAATAAGATTGCAATAACATATCAAATTATAATAGAAAGTATATAATATAATGATAGACAATAAATAAAATGCATGTCAATAGTCTACAAAATACATCAATACAACACACTCTTATGAACAAACACCATGTTGTATCATATAAAAATGTGTAGTTTTTCATATGCTAATTTGCCTCGACGAGCATTGTAACTAAAATCCTATTTAATAAAAATTGAAACACGGATGAGAATTCCTATTTAATATCTTAAGGTCTGTTCAAATTTTGATTTAAATTTGTATCCCTTTTAAGTCACAAATCCAAATAAAACCTTAAAGAATAATTTTTTTTTTTTTTTTTTTTTTTTTTTCTCATCAAAATTTAAGGATTATACAAATAATCAATTAATCTTGATTCCCTAAAAATACCAAACTCCCGTAAGAGAAAAATTTAGTACGTTATTTTAAAATCATGATCAATGATTTATATTGTTATTATTATAATTAATGTTTTTTATGATTTATAAATCCAATGATAGTAACATTAGTTATATCATGTAATACACAGAAAATATTTATTGGCTATAAAAATCTTCGGATCTTCACAATCAAAATAAAATTCGAGACACAGACAATCTTGATTCGTGCATATTTATATTACACACCCTCACAGTCATACGGTCAAACGATGAAACAATAATCCCGACTTCAACATCGATTTTCATACTCGAAATCGTGTCAATATATCAATGCTCAACACAAAATTGCATGCTTTGCTTTTCTTGAAAATTAAATATAACTCCCACCGAATTCTAGCTGTTTGATTTTCATGAAATTCAAGGACATACTGCCCTTCTTTTATATACATATAACACATTATATTATGTATTGCCTAAATCAAAACAAGTTTCAAGTGTGGACACTGCACATTGCATATAGTCTCAAAAACATCAGTTACAAGTTCAATTCTCAATTAAATTATATAAATAAATAAATAAATAATTCAAACCAATATATTATTAATATAATAAGTGGTATTACATACACAATATATATTTTTTATATTTATGACGATATTGGTCTGAAAACTCTTTCTTTCCCTGCTAAAAACTTATAAGGGTTAAGTGTTTCCTCCCACTTCTCATTTCTTGAGTAACTCATCTTCCTTTTGACATTCAATTGCTCTCTTATAAATCTTCCTTTCTGCTTTGGCTCATCACATATATATCTAAATTAATTAAGGAGAATTTATTGAGCTATCACATATATATATATATATCATCAAGGATAAACCCTAATCCTCGATTTTCATCGGTGATCATTGAAAATGGAATTATCTGTGTTGTTAGTTGACAGTGATGCCGATTTCCTGCTTCAGACCGCCGCGTCGTTGCAGCTCTTTTCGCATAAAGGTAGTCGGGTAATTCCTTTCATTATTGTATGTCTATATATGTATATATTCGTTAATATCGATTATATAGCTCAGCTTTTAAAAGAAAGATGGGTATCATCTTAAGCTATATTTTTTGTTCCTTTTCTTCTGATCTTATTCAGCCATATGCTTTTGGATCTTTTGAGAATTGAGGGTCTGAGAATTTGTAAATTATACTTTAATCTATCAAGAATTTTGTTAATGAGCCCAAGAAATTGTGTTTCATCTTTGATCGATAAGAGCTATGAGATTTCTGAGAGATCAGATCCTCTTACTAAGAAACATATGATCTAGATGTTTGATGTTTGATGTTTGGTTCATGAATAATACCGACATTAATTGATTAATCTTACATTACTCTTTTCGAAATTCAAAGCTTTTTTTTTTTTTTCACCACCACCTCTTTGTATGTTTTTTGCCGTTCGAATATGATGTCATATATTTCAATGTGGTTTATTGTCAGATGAGGAGTATGAGTATTTTCATAGCCATAGTCAATGCTGACACTATGTTGTAATAAATTTGTATTTCTAAAAATGTATATTATTTATTTATTAGTATTTATTTATTTTGGGGGTGGGGGGTGTTAAATTTTTTAGTACTTAATACAAATATACATTAATATATTAAATGAGAATGTTTTTGTTACATGTATATATGAATTTCTTTTATAAGCGAACATGCGCGCAGTATGTTTATAAGTTATCATTAAACTAACACAAAACTTATAATCTTACAACATTTTATTTATTTATTTATTTATTTTTGAGGGAGGAGGGAGCATCGGGTGTTCTAATTTTTTAGTATTTATAGATGATACAAAATCTCAAATTAAATATGATTTTTTTTTTGGTATATATATGATTTCCATTATATCATTACAAAACTTATTACTATAAATTAATTCTTGTGTAACTAATATGAAAAGTTTTGTTTCAGTTATTGCAGTGGAGCAGATTTCAAGTGCTTATTCGATATTATCAAGAAATGATATAAAGTTTGATGTTTTGATGATTGACCTTAACCTATGTGGATTAAGGTTCTTACAAGATGCTACAGATATGGGTTTAACAGTGATATGTGAGTACTATTTCACATACTTATCTAAAATTTTTCACTACATATACGAATTGCATTATATATCATTACAAACTTCATTTAATTTGTCTATTTCCTATGTTTCATAATGAAGTGGTCACTACCGATGCAAATTCTGCTGTAGTCAAGACTGTGATACAAGATGGGGCATTTCTTCTCATGGAAAAACCTATTTTACATGAAGATTTGAAGTACCTATGGCAACATGTGTTTAGAGAGAAAACACAAAAGGATAAGGTTAATGTAGACACAAGTGAAGCCATGATGGCTACAGTAGAAAATCCGTCGAAAGACAAGGCAATTATTGAAGAATCAAGTGCTGAGTATATCCATATCGACTCGAACAAGAATGCTACTGATCATAGAGGCACCTCGCGGACCACAGCCAAACCATATGTCCAATGGACTCCGGAACTTCATCAGAAGTTCGAGGATGCCATTAAGCAACTTGGCGATGGAAGTATGCTTCTTATTTTAATTATATGCCGCACAATAATCGTAATATATATATAGGCTTTAATACATTAAGTTTTTATTAGTTTTAGAAAATATAGAAAAAATTTTGCAGACTTTTATTTTTCTAGGTAACACTAGTTTCATTGAGCCAAGGGATAATTTATATTCAACCCTAGTTGGTATGTATGCATTTCAATTAGGGTTTTATTATAGGGTTACGATTCGACCATACATGTCCTGTTCATTCTATTAATTTTTTATTTGTCGCCCATTCTGATAAGGATGCTTCCCAAAACACATTCTGGAGATAATGAACGTTCCTGGACTAACAAGATTGCAAGTAGCTAGTCATCTTCAGGTACATACATACATATATATATATATATATCTTCTAATTATCATATGTTTTGCATTATAAGTTGTCTAAATAGTTTTATTACATGAATTTTACACCTAATTCCCTTTTCCCTGCTCTTAATTGATCCTTGTCTGGCTGCAGAAATGCAGGAGCGATGGTAAGCTGCCTTATCAAGAGAAAGAAACAACCAATCCCGACTATTCGATGTATCCATTCTCTAGGCTAAATCGCGCAAAGACAACGAGGTTCGGATTAGCCCCGAAAATATCAAATGAGAACAACAACCGGCAAGCTGAACAAGTGCCTAGAGCAACCACAAGTAACAACGTTGGATCTTTGCAAAACATGGGACAACAAAATATCATTAATCCTGCAATTAATGAGATCATTCCCAACCAAAATTTGCTTGGAAATATGATTGGCTCGATCCATGTGGGAACCCCCTTGCTGCAGCAGCAGCAGCATGTTGTTGCAACAGCAGATTATGAACAGATTGCAAACACCTTGGATTTGCAGCAACTTGGGTTTGGCTATGGCTCCTATGCTGCCCAGGTTAGTCAATCAATTTAAATTTTTACTTACATATATAACTTTTGTGATGCATAAATTCTTGGCTTGCATATTGAAATTGCTTTGATCATTTCAAATATATATATATAACTTGAAAAATTGCATAATACAATTTTTAATATTGTGAAAGAACCCTAATTAAGTGGATATATATATACATATGCAGGCTTCGATCAATCAAATGAATGGTATGCAAGATAACAGTTTTTGGGATGGGAATTTTGCATGGGATCAATAAGAGAAGAAGCACAGAGTTAAAAAGTGTTCGATGGTCACTTAGCTTGCTTCCTGTTTATTATTATTATTATTATTATTATTTTGGCTGATCTTATTGAGACGTATACTATATATGATATGATATGATATATATTTGTATTAGTATGTGACCATCTCTAAAATAATACTTGAAATATTATACTACTTGTGAACTATATATTATATTATTTTAGAATGACTAGTTTTTTATTTGAGAAGTAATTTTACTGAATATGATTTGATCAAAATGATCATTTCCAACTCAACAAAATTGTAACATGGATTATTTTTCTTGGGAAATTCATATGATCAGTTAGCAAGTTTGTGTAGTTTCTATTTTGATTTTTACTCTCGTTCATATAAGTATAAAGTGCAATGGCAAAAATGAATGATACTATCAAAATGGCTGTAACTGCAAGATGTATAGGGAATTAATTTCCATTTGAAATAAATATAAAAGGCTCTTCATTTAATTCTACTAGTTCATGAGGTTGAAACTATCGTTTATTATTATCAAATTTTGATCAATTATTTAGGGTTGTTGCCATTGATTCACTTAAATCCATCTCAATTATGTTCCTGGGTGTGATTTGATTTTCAATATGGCCTCATAATTAGCTACAACTATGTTAATAAATGTATATAAGTAGAAAGGGAAAAATTAGGGTGTGAATTGAGGATAATCACTACTATATTGTATGTTTGTCAATACCCTGTTGACTAATTATAGTTGGTATATTAATAGTCAATCAAAATTGCTCGTCGGGTCTAATTTGTGCGGATTTATCTAGTGCACATTTTCGGATAGCTGATTCCACGTCATAAAAATTAAAAATTAAAAATTGGACAGCAAACTTATATTCATAAAATTTATATGCATTACAAATGATGTGTTTGTTTTGTGAGGTTGTTGAAAAAAAAATATATATATTTAGGTAAGATATACCTGTAGAGAATATAAAAATAGTGAATATGTGCAATATATTACTCCCTCCGTCCCACATAATTTGTCCCTATTTTCTATTTTCGTCTGTCTCACATAATTTGTCCTTTCTATTTTTGGAAATATAATTATGCACTTTAATCGCATTTTAAATTTTAAATTTTTTTAAATTTAATTAAATTATTTACTTATTTTAATCTTAATCTATAATTATTTTTACTAAATAATAATTATTTTTACTAATACACTTCTTAATTACTTACTAATTATACTTTATCTAAATTATCGTCTCTACAGTAATACACCATATTACATGGGACGGAGGGAGTATTTTTTTAGTAAAATGCTAGCCTCATATATAATACTCTCTTTGGATAAAAAAAAAATGTGTTCAAAATTCACTCCCTAAAATTAATTGAATAAGTATCTTAATATTATTCTTATAAGTTTTTTTGTACGAGTAAAATTGAAAATTTTATAAGGTTAGTAACATAATTTTTTGATTTAAGTACGCTTGAATGTAATAAATATATGTGCTCTATTGATGGTAATATAAATATAAAAAAATTCAAATTTTGCATTAAGTATGATATGAAAGTATTTTTAATAAATAAACTAAAATGATAAAACAAAACATATTTATTTCACGACAAAAAGAGTATCAAGTTTTAAAATTAATAAGCTCGATCATTTGGTAATAACATATATACTCACTAATTTAATTACCTGAGTAATATTTCAATGTGCTCAGTAAATAAAACTTATCATTGGTAATTATTCTGTAATTAATTTAATACCTAATGCAGAATATGCATATATTTTGTAAGAATTAATTACATACGAAAGGTGTTGGAATTGATATGGAATAATAGCCACTGGTTCAAAATTCAAATACGCAAAGTGAAATGTTTAGCTTGTGACTTGAAAATTTACTGAATGCCCTTTTTAAGAGAAAAAATTATATATATGTACAACTTTTTAAATATCAAACTCAATATATTATTTATTTATTATTTTATTTTTCCACTTTAATTCGAAACTATAATTGAAATTATATAAATTAATTTTCCTCTATGAAAATAACGTAAATAGCAGAAATATATTGAAACGTTGGTCCCACACTACTAATGTTGTTGACCTTCCTACCAAATTTGAATACTTGGACCAATTTGGAGGCTGAACATGTTGGCCACGTGCTTAATTCCGATTGGATGGTTATATGTTGACCTGGCAATTAAAGGAGCACTCGGCCGCAGGTGATTGTAGCTTCAGTGAATTAATATGCGACCACACGGTATTTTATCCCACTATAAAATTCCTCGGCGCCTCTCATTGAAAGCATCATTTGCAGATTTACAAATAAATACTTTTTATGATTTAGCATTACAGTTGGGCTTTGATAGAAGGCGATCGGAGGGAGGAAAGGAAATCTTGGTATTCCGGCGGGAGGCTTGGCCGGAGAAATATAGAGAGCTCACATCAGGTTTCCTTGTCAGGCAGGGGATAAATAGCCTTGGAGAGGATATTATTTTGGATTTTAAATTGAATATGAAGAGGCGGAGCCCTGTGAGGTCGTCGCAGCTGCAGGAGCCGGCGGCGTGCGGTGGCGGTTGCGACGGTGGTGAGGAGATAAGGAAATGGAAGAGGAGAACGCTCGTGAAATACGAGGCGTTGCCGGATTATTTGAAGGATAATGAATTCATTAGGAAGTATTACAGATGTGAATGGCCGCTGAAGGACATTCTTCTCAGCGTTTTCTCATTGCACAACGAGACGTTGAACATTTGGACGTGAGTTGATCTTTCCTCTGTTCTTCACGCACACACGAGTTCCGTGCATTTGATTATTTTTGTCGATTGCTTAATTTCTCAGTTCTGATTAACCGCCTAACCGTCTTCCCATCCGTGTTGAAATTTTCTTTGAACCGTAGAAATTCAGGAAATATCTGTGATATTCTTGCGAACGTCATTTCACGAGTTACCGATTTACCATTTACTCTCCTGGTTACGGTTAGAATACCAAAAGTTAGGGCAATTAATTTTTAACTTTTTGGAATTCTTCCAGTTTGTATTTTCTTTGGAATTCATTGAAATGCTATTACTATAGTGACCTCTGAAATTTAGGTATATTAAATTTGACATTTGACGATTCACAGGCACTTGGTTGGATTTATGATATTTACGGCGCTGATGATAATGAGTTTGAGTGAGACAATGAGCATCGAGAATGTGATGGCGACTTTATTCGGGGACAGAAATGATGGATTGCTCAACCTCAAAATGATGAACCAGTCGAACAGCTCCAGCGCTTTCTTTACGGTAAGTGCATTCCCTTTCCCGTAGCATTTCGTTTTACCATCTCTTGTTTCCGATTCAAGAATTTTTGTTTGAATTAGCAAGGCGGTAAAAAATAGAAGTAACTTCTAGTTCTAGTCAATCAACTTTGAATTCTCAGTAGTTAATACTATTAGTTACATATCTGAAAAAAATATAGTTGTATAATTTACTGAAACAAATATAGCAATCACACTCTCTCATAGACGGAATTACTTTAGGCATAATTGCCGGAGAGAAAGAAAACGAAAAAGTGATTTCAAGAAGTCCAGATAGATCGTACATGTGAACAATAAATAATTTATATATGGGTCCAGAGACCCAGTTGTTTCTATGAATTTGTTCCTGAACAATCGGCCAGGTGTCGGGGCCCCCATACATGTGAAATATGGTCACATCATCAGCAAGCTTTAGATGGATATGGCTACTTCCCCTCCCATGTCTTGTACATATATATTATGAGAAGTTTTTCTTTTATCCCTTCCTCAAATATTCTTGCCAAATATTTAACAATAGCTTTTTGATTAGCTAGCGTAGATGCAAAGGCTTTTTTTTGGCTAATTTCAATGGAAAAAGTTGTATAAACCTATCAAAACTTGATGATATTGTCCATTTCCTTTCTGGCTATAAACACAAGATAAATATGATTGAACTAGCTTGTCGTGCACGAATAGCCTACCGCCCTTACAGCTTGCTTAATGATATATGATGGCGAAATCTTTACTTTCAACGAATATGCAATTTAGACGCTGCTTTCAATTTCCAAGGGTAACTTCTGTGCTCCACATTTTTTATTTGCTTGGAAGTTGTTCATGTCAGGTTGCAGCACGTTTAGGAAAACGTAAGCACGCTAGATGTTGGGTGCATATCAACTTCAAAGAAATTTTATAAAAGAAAAAGTAAATAAAATTGTATGTAGTAAGTAGGTAAGCTAGGAGCTTCTATGATCTGTTAAAAAAACCAAAAAAAAAACTGTGTGTGAATTCTATGGAGTGTTGTTTCCTTCATGCAACAAAGTTTTAATATAATTGGGATCTGAAATATGACTTTCCCGAATCCTAACAGTAATTAAATTACCATTTCTGATGATCTGCAGGGTTCTTATGGAGAACATATTGCTAGATCGTCCACCCTGCTTCCAGCAAAACCGCGGGATTCAATTCCGATATGGCCGTGGCTTGTTTTCTTAGGAGGAGCGATGAGTTGTTTGATCTTCAGCTCAGTATCCCACCTTTTCGCCTGCCACTCTCGTCGCTTCAACCTCTTCTTCTGGCGCTTGGACTACGCCGGCATCTCCCTCATGATCGTCTGCTCCTTCTTTGCCCCAATATACTACGCCTTCTCCAACCACCCCTATTGGCTCGTCGTATACCTGTCCTTCATCACTTTACTTGGCATCCTAGTCGTCATAACCCTCCTTTCCCCGTCTCTATCAAGCAGCCGGTTCAGGTTCTTCAGGGCTGCCCTCTTTCTCTGCATGGGGTTCTCGGGAGTGATCCCGGCAACTCATGCAACAATCCTTTATTGGGATCAATCTCAGATACTCATCTCAGTCGTGTATGAGATAGTCATGGGGCTTCTATACGGCATTGGGGCAGTTTTTTACGTAACTAGGATCCCCGAGCGATGGAAACCGGGTGCATTCGATATTGTAGGCCACAGCCATCAGATCTTCCATGTATTCGTTGTCGCTGCCGCCCTGGTTCACTGCGCCGCCACCCTCAATATCATGGAATGGCGACGGGCATCGACTTACCTTACTCAGAATTTGCAAGCCTCGTAGTTAACATTGTGTGAAATCTAGTCTGATTTGGTTGGTTTGTATATGACAATGCATTCAAACCCTAAGAAAAAAAATGTTGGATGGTCCCTTGCCAGAGGTGGAGAACTCTTATCCACTTTGAACTGTTTTTAAGTTGGGATACAAAAACAGTCGACAATTGAGTGTTGTATCGATCAAGCCCTAGATGGTGCTTAGATTCCTGTGTGCGTACACAGACCACAATTTCAACCCTCATCTTTCCCAGACAATGAAATGATTAAAAAGAGACACAAAGGCACCACAAGAAAAGCTGCAACTTTTAGTAAGCCTTCTGTCCCTCTTGAAATCACACCAATTCTTGACCAATCTCCACTGTACCTGAAATTCATTCATCACATACAACTAAACAAGCAGACAACATTCTCGCTCAAGAAACAAAATGAAAACAACTTGGTTCATTTCTTCCACTTGAATTTTAATATTTTAATGTGTACCCGGCATCGATGAATCCCAGTGCAAACACTGCAGCAGCAGACTGGGCTACGAGCTTGCAGGTGCTATTAGGAAGTTTCAATTGGAAAAGGGCTTGGCTCTTCTTGCTAGGAACTTCAGTGGAGGAATCTTTCTTGGCTGCAGATGGAAGAACACTTGTCCTTCTTCCATTATTTCTGTGGAAACAAAGAAGATAACAAGGTGGTGATGATGATGATGATGATAATTTGGATGTGAGTGACGACATTTTCCTATCCCATGGCCAGACCAACGTCTTGCCACTCTCTCTTCTAACTTCCTCGACTACAATACCTTTTTTTTTTTTTTTTGGGCTGTAATTAAATTTATCTGATCGATATGGGCCGACCCATCCATTCAATATTGGCCCATTATAGAAACATTACGAAAAACATAAAAACCAATTCAAAGAGATTGCTAGGAAAGGTTTAGGCAAAAACCCATTCGTGTAGTGAAGGCGGTAAACGGACCGTTGAAATCTGGCCACTGGAGCTCAGTTAGCACAGCAGCCATGGCGGTCACGACTTCCGATCAGTCCCCTCGAGTCCACAAACTACCTCAGCACACCTACATCGACGCCCTCCGGTGGCTGCCCCACGTCTCCACCTTCTCCCGCCACATCCTCTTCGCCACCTACGACTCCGATGCCTCCTCCCCTTCTCTCCAGACCCTCACTTTCTCCTCCTCCCAAATCGGGCCCTCCCTCGCCCCTCAGGTCTCCATCTCCGCACCTTCCAGAATCACCTCCCTAAAGGTCTCTCCCTCTCCCTTCTCGCCCGCCAAACCAATCGCCGCCGCCGCTACCTTCTCCGGCTCGGCTCTCTTCTATTCCGCCGATTTGATTAACGGCTCTCTGAATCTGGAGTTCGCCGTCCCCGAAACTGGGTTTCATACGGGCCCCGTTTCGGGAATTGATTTGAGCGACAGTGGGTCGGAGTGCGTGAGCGTCGGGGAGGATGGGAGGGTCAATTTGGTCAATTTGACCAAGAAGGGTTTCAGGCGGGTGTTTGAGAGTAATGGCCTGGTTTCGTATACCTCTGTGCGTTGGGCTTCCCCCGTGGAATTCGTGACGGGTGCGTTCGGGTTTGGACTCCATTGGTGGGATCAGAGGAAGCCTGGTGGACCTGTTGCTTTGTTCAAGGAAAATTGGTACTCTAATATATACATATTGATTGTTGATTCTGTAGAATTCGTTGCTTTTGCATATGATATGATCGTTGTCATCAATGGAAGTTCAAAAATGTGGCCATTGAAAATAATATTAGCATTAATCTGATGAAATGTGTGCTCTGGCAGGACAGGAGGAGCTACTTCCGGCGTCGTGCACTCGATCGACATTCATCAATCACGAAAGCACACTTGCCTCGTAAGATTCGATGCTTCTTTTATAACTTCTTGTGGTACTAATTTGTGTTACAATTCTTGTATTTCTTTGTTGGAAATACTATTAGGTTTGGGCTGTTGCTTGATTGAATCTCAAGTTTGATCCTACTTTTGGGCTTGAGCTTTGTTTTTGACTAATATATTTGTATGCGAAGGCGGGAGGTTCTTCGGGGACTCTGTTTGCATGGGATATTCGATCGCCAAAACAGTCTGTTGTACTCTCAGGTGTTGGCTTTCGCGATGCGCCAAAAAATTCTCTAGTAGAAAGCGATGTGTGGGAGGTCCAGTATGACAACTACACGCATTCTTCAAAAATAATTAACTCCTCGTCGTCATCCAGGATTCTGCCAGCTATGATATGTTCGGAGGATGGAATCCTTGGTGTGGTCGAACATGGTACGTCATTGCATTCAAGTCTGTTAATCGTTACTTACCAAACTATGAATACGTCGAGAGCTTCAATTTTGAATCTGCTGAGTTCATGGGCTTATGGCTCTTTCCAAAAATGTGCTGGTGGTTGATTCATTTCAGGCGAAGAACCGGTGGAGCTTATGGCTGAACCATGTGCTATAAATAGCTTCGACATTGACAGACAAAACCCATCGGTACATTAAAAATAAAAAAATAAGCGTATATAATTTTTTGGAAAATTCGAGGACTACATCTATACTCTCAATCATCTGATTGTTTCTTTCTCGGTTTGCAGGATGTGATATGCAGTTTGGAATGGGAATCAGTTGCAATTTTAACCAGGCCATAGGCTTACAATTTAGCTTTTGTTAAGGTTGTGTTTCATTGATTATCCTCGTTGGCTCGATAGCTTGGGCAATTTTTGCTCGAGCTAGGATTATCCTTTGTCTCATGCCTCCTCTTTCCTTTGATCATCCTAGAATTCAAACAGAAAACCCATGTCCATGATGTGTAATGAATCGACTATCTTACATTTGAATTCTATTCATTGAGCTATGAGAATACGTCGAGCATTTCTTAAATCTGGTTGGATTCGTATGCTAATTATAATTGTGGGATTCAAGCCTTTTAAATAAAGATCATTGAAAGCTCAAGTAATGTGGAGCTTCTTGACTATGCATATTCAAGAAACTGTAATGGCAGTTCAACATTTGCAAGAATGAGCCTAAAAACATTCATCCATAAAAGACATAAAAAGGCAGCAAGACAATGAGAAAGCAAGCATTTTATGTATGTACAGAAGAGATTTGATTGAATTAATAATCCTTTGCCCCCGGCAAGGCTAAGAGCTATACAAGAAACTATCATCAATGGAGGAGTAGATTGTTCCCATCTTCAGTGCCATTACAAGTAACATATATATATATATATAGTAGATATAGATATATACACTTGGTGTTTTTCTTCCATCACATCTCTATCTGCCACACATTGCAACAAAGATCAGGAAGGCGATGTCGATGAAGTTGTTGATGTTGAAGTCGAATGAATGGAGGAAGTGGAGGTCCTTGTATCCGGTAACATGGCAACAGTCACTATGAAGTATTCACATCCGACAGGAAGGCCATAAGGATTCGATGAAGAGCCCAACCGGCTCGGTCCACCTTCAGATGATGCCAGCACATCAACCTGATCCCTGATGCTCTCACCTGGATCCGGTGTCGATGGAGGCGACTTCACCATCCTCCGTTCGATATGTACAACCTGCCCTATGATGTAGTCTGGACGGCTTGCAAGATGGTCAGTGAATAAGGCCACCGATTCAGTAGAAAGGTAATAGTGAGGGCAGCTGCGGTTTATAGCCTTGTAATAGCCAGCAGATTTGAGCACAAATGCAGCTATCTCGTGAACTTCCAGCCGGCCAAACGATATCTTTTCCTTGTTCGCCTGTTCATCGATTAGTCATTCATTATTTCAGTTGCTCCGCACATATATATTTATATTTTGGGATCGGAAGAGTTATTACCTGCTTTTCAAGCTGATGCTTTATGTAGAGTGTGTTGGCAATCTCTTTCTTTTCTTCCAACTCCTTGGAGAGCTGCTCGTTTTCAGCTTCGGTTTTAGAGTATCTGTCGAGCAATTCAAGGCACTGCCTTGACAGGCTACTAACTTTTTCAGCAAGGGCGCGAAGGAACTCACGAAACTCAGCAGTAGTTTCATCCTCACTTTCATTTGAGGAACTGATCATATACAGGCATTCAGTTAGTGAAGTACAGTGGACCGATAAAAGAAGCTAGTATAACAACAACTATGCTGCAACATAAAAGATCTATTCAAATTACCGGCGGATTATATATATATATAAATATAGGACATACCTTGTAGCAATGCTCAGCATTCCTCCGAAACACATAACCAAACAAACAATTCTAAAGAGACTTTTCTAACTCATACATACACAAACATTCAAATTCAATGATTCACCAATCATTACATTTTGTCACAATTACCAAACAGACAAGCATGCATGTAAAAACACACATATATGACTGCAAAATTGTTATATATAATGCTCTTGTGTACAGAAGTTAACTTAGACTATAATAATCTTGAAAAGATTTTTACACCACAAATATACAGCACACTTCCCATGTCTACAATATTCCAAAATATTCCTATACTTACAAGGTAATATTTTTACCCACTACTTGGGTTAGCATTTGAATTTTGAAATGAAGGTGACTTAGATTATTGGTTTGTAACAGCAAAAGGGGAATGAAAAAAATGTCATCAGAAATTTTGGATTTGTCATCCATCGGTGACAGTGATTACTCTAAATTACTTGCATGTTGAAACAAATGTAATTATACAAGTGGTTTTATGCTTGATTCAAAATGTAATACTCTAGCAAATGTCCAATTACATGTTTCCAAAATTTTGATCGACTAAAGCACAGCAGAGAAAATAGGCCATCATGATGATACAAGAAAACAAATATTCATCTTCAGGAAACATTCTGAAACAAAGGCATGTAAATAAATATATCAGAACATGAACAAAGAATGCAGCAGCGCTTACCTGCCGAGGGACTGTGCTAAAGCACGCAAAGAATCTGAAAGATTAGTCGGCCCAGCAGATATAACACAGTTTCTCAGTCTTTCAAAAAGGCCACGCATTTTGACAGCAGAGACACGCAATGTACTGTACTCTGATGCCCTACGATCAGCTGCACAAAGATGGGTTTGTGCTTCCTTTCTAGCCTCATGCAGACAATTCTCTAAATGAGCACAATTCATCTGCAAACAATAAAACAACAGAATGATGGATGCATCTTAAATACTCAAAACATATATACATATAACAAATTGTGATGCAAACATACATATATGATGTATCATCTCGTATTTTTTATAAGAGTTTTGGGCACACGAATCAAACAATTTTAGAGTTTTCAGAAAATGCTGTGAAAGCTTATCTGGCGTGCACTTGTTCGCAGTCAAGCTAGGAAAAGTCAGAAAAATATGTTCATCTTTCATGGACTCATTTATTCGTTGGGGAGAACTTAAGAACATCGGCGTAACGCTGTAGCTCCATCACTTAAATAACCCATAACATAAAAGAGTATCCGAAGTTTGGGATGGGATCCGTTGTCCCCCTCCCTACCGTATCCCGCGTGTTCCCTCTCACATTTGTGCATAGATACACACATATGTATGTATATTGTGAGAGGGGACATGAGGGGGAGGGGACAGCAGATCCAGTGTCCCAAAGTTTATATTACAGTTAGCCAATACCTGAGATTCATCAAGTAGCTTCTGACTGACCTCCAACTCTCTTTCAAGATTGGAAACCTCACCAATCAACTCTTGGATCTTTGATTCTGCACTGTCTAATTGACTTGATTTCTGTTCTAGGGCATTTCGCAATTCCATCACCAAGCTATCTTTTACTGTAGCATCCAAATCTGGCTCAGGGGCAGGTTCATGCAACAGAACACCTGCTGGTTGTGATAAACTAACAGCCATATTACTTGCCATGAGTGCCATGCCTTCATCAGGCAATGATGATTCCTTCTTGTCACTGTCGATACGATGGCCTTTATCAAAGTGTAGATCTTGCATCGATGAATCCAAAGAAGGGTTGACCGTTGCAGAGGAATCTGCCATATTGTCATCCAATCCCTCATGCACCTTGCCATGATCAGGGTGAATTGCAGACTTCGACAAACCAGATGGGCAAGTGATCTCTTCCATTGATGCTTCTGACTTGTTATCATCAGTCTTAGCAGTGGAAACTGCAGAATTAGATGCATCCTCCTCAACTGAAAGCTTACGTCCTCTCAAATATTGATCAGACAACCTTTGCTCTAGTTCCTGAATCCGTTTCTCATAAGACTCACATTGCATCTGCTTCATCTTCAGTGCTTCGTGTAGGTGTTTTTCATACACATCTTTCATGTGCAAAGCTTCAGAATGCTTCTCTTCGGCTTCTTTCAATATACTCTCTATTTTACTATCATCAAGAGAGTCATAATCAAGCTCTGCACTCATGAAACACAATAATGCAATTTTGGAAGCCAAATCAGCTTTCAGTTTTGCATTCTCAACTTCCATCTTGCTGGTCCCTGCAATCTCCACCAACTCTGACCCATCAGGTAGATCCTGCCAATCAGACTTTACATGGGAGTCTACTCCACTTCCTTCAACTTCACCTATCTGAGAACCATCATTAGAAATGGATGATGAAGCCCTAGAAGTCCTTGGACTGGCTAATAGTGACTCAGGAGCATACCGATCAATATCTTGAAGATCAATGTCAATCAAATTAGTGTCAAAAGGTGCAATATTGACATCACATGAACCAGGAGTATCATACAATCCCATGGCTGCTAATATATCTCTAGGAATATAAGAGCTTTGTTGTTTTAAAAATTCATCACGCCTTCTAAGTTCAGCATCCCTCTCTTTTGCAAGTTTTTCAGCCAACTGTCCAGCCTTACCCATGTAGATCTTCATTGCTGCTTTCCTTCTCGCTACTTCCGCAAAGCAAGCCCTATAAGCAGGACCAATCCCATGTACCACATTTAAGTGCTCAAATTGATCATCCTGAAACTTCAAAGCCTCGTGGAATAGGGGGAATTTGTAGCGCACACCTTTAATCGTGTACTGAATGAATGCGATCCTTTCCATATAATGGTGCACAAAGACATTCATCTCATTCTTTTTATCAATGCAAAAAGCAAGCAAACGCTCAATTTCTCGTTCACATTCCAGCATTTTCGGAAGGTTACTTTTATCGTGGCTATCATACATAGGACCCAATGCTGAAACAGCATCATGAGGGCGCAGTGATGAGGACAACTCGCCAGAAAGACAGTCATCCACAAGCTTCTTCACAGTATTTACATCTTTACTGTAGCAATTCAGACAATATATCAATTAATAATTACTCATAGTACAAAAATTGAAAAGACACTGAGGAATGGCTCTTGCATGCAGCATACAATGTCAAATACAGAAGAAGGGAAACAAACAGCATACATATACAAGAAACCTAAAAATACTAGTGCCACAATAGGGTGTGATAGCATATACATAAAACTTAGAAACTAAAAAATTTCTTAATGTCAATTGTAAGGCAACTAATTTCTAACATCCTCAAATAATCTCTCTTAAATTTAAATATTTACAATAATGATGATATGTTTTGTATTCTTGTTACAGATATTATTACCCTAACTCCAGGCTAATGTGATCAGGAAGAGATAACTTCCATGCCCTATTTAAAGTATAATAAATCTATTATCAATCAGAATGTAACTCACAAAAGATCATGCAACGACCACATCTTTGGAGTCATTTCCACTTATTATATTCTCTAGACCACAACACAAGTTAAGCAATATCACAGCTACAAACACAAGAAAACAAACAGTACTGGGATTTCCTTCATCCTGTATAGTAATTAGACTTAATGTGCCGAAAACCCAAAATTTTACAAAGTTTCAACCTTTTGGAAAGAATATTTAACTCAAAAGAGATCAGGTCAAGACCCTTCCTCATCCTCTCAACACTATATCAACCACCACATCACTGTACAAAGTGAACTCAATAATCAGAAAATTTTCCCCTGATTCTAAAGGTAAATGCCCATCCCCCTTACTTATATTACATCTTTCAGCATCAAAACCACATAACTACATAAGCTCTGCTTTCAGTTCTCTTCTACACTCAAAATATATTTTGGGTAATTTAATAAGAAATTGCAAAGCAGATTAAAGCATGTTGTTTTTATTATTGGTCACATAGAAGTCTCACAGCATTACATTCGTCATTTTGTGCTATTAAAAAAATTGCATACTTTTTCTCTATACAGCTAGCTACTTTGTCACCAACATGATATTGCATTAAACTAAAATCTTCTTCTCCCCATTACCCAAAGTTCCCATAATAATAAAAAAAGAAAAGAAGACCCAGCAAACTGTTTCATGCTAACATTAAAACACCTGAGGAGGTCCTACCACAATATTCTTGTGGCCTATGGTCCACCCAATAATGTACATAATGCATGCATCTGATAGGATGGTCATCAAGCTGCTACGTAAGGGTATTTAATTGATGCCGTCATGTACCCAAACCAAAATAATTGTACCAAGGCCAACCGTCAGCAGATGCACCCACACTACATTTAATTAGAATTAAAAAGAGCAAAACGGAAACACAAAACATCTGAACTGCTCGACATTCTGTCATTATGTGCACGTACTCATGACAATAAAAAAGGAGCGTAATAAAGTTGGTAGGATACAGATATTGCACATTCCGCACGAAGTCAATTTTCATACAAATCACAAACCATGATTATAGAAAACAGCTATACCAATCAAAATAAGAATGTTCTTGTGCACGTGGGGGGCGGGGTGATAGGAGGACTGAATGAGTAAGTATGAGTAAGAGAGAGAACCTTAAAGCCTGCATTATGCTCTTCTGCTCACTGATAAACCGCTGATTGTCCTTTAATGACGATTCCACATCTTTGATGAGAGATGAAGCCTTTCCATTACAAGAAAACAAGTTCTCCGTGTTGCGCTTCAGATCTCCAAACTCCTGCTTGAATGCTGAAACTTTGTTCTCCAATTGCCTGTGGGAACTGCCGCAGGCCTCCACTGTCTTCCGCAGATTTTCTTCCTTGACGAAATCCAGTAAGCATTTCCGATTATTAGATTGCAACATTGGAGGAAGCCTTACAGATCTCAGCTTCTCCATATCCCTCCCAAAGTTCACCAGAAGGCTGTTATGACACCGATGCTGATGAGAGTAGCGTTTTATAAAATCCGCATAGTTCTGGCTAACAATCTTATAGAAATGATCCAAATTACCCCTGGCAATCTCCAACGCCCTTTCTTGCACCTTCTGCTCCTGCAACAATCTCTCGCATATCTCCCTTTTCGCTAAGGTACGGCTGTAGATAGCATGTCCACACTGAAAATGATACCGAAACTGTCTTTCATATGAAGGCAATGCCTTCAAAGCAGGATCCGAAGCCTCATCCAAAGGATGAGGATTATGAGAAGAAGATGGCACTGGCGGATCAGGTATGTTAATACTCTCAATCCGCTCCGGCGCAGGAGCTGGCGAATTACTCCGCATCCTCGATCTATTGAACAGAAATACATCCCGGTCATCGGATGGTAGCTTGTATGCTGAGAGAGGTCGCTGAGATTCCAGTTTCATGTCCAAGCACAATAGAAGCTGATCATTCAACGGAATCCCACATTCGGATTCTAAAAATTTCTGCAAAGCCTCAACAAGCGTGTATTCATCGCAATCCAGCTCATATGAATGCCCACTCTCGGCAATATGAACCATGAGCTTCCCCATTTGAATCACACCTGAAGCACTGGAACTCATCTCTGGACTGAACCCTAAATAGAATCAATTGAAGTCTCAACCACAATTACCTTAAACCCAACTTCTTCCCTTCTCCGCCGATATCCCAAAAGCAAATAGAAAACCCTTCGGAGGAACCCCCAATTAAATTCAACCCAGCATCGATGTAACGAATTAAACGTTGATTTCACCTCCGATTCCTTAACAGAAGACCTAGAGATTCCAAAGATCCCCAAAATCAACACGAATCTTCACCGCACTCCACACAGAATTCCACCGACGAGAATTTCAACGCCCACCGACGACTAACCGCATAATCCTTCTGGGAAAAGGGCACAATCTTCAGCACACTCACCGAAAATAAAAATCAACGAGACCCCCAATCTCCATTCATAGTTTCAATGAATCCCTGCAATCAAGAACCCCCAACGCCCAACAAAATAAACCGTTTAAAATATATAGCAATAACAGAGAGATTCACAAAATCCACTGAACACCCTCTGAAAAAACTTAGAAAAAACACAGCTTTCATAGCTAAAAGACAAAAGGCAATAGATAGAGTTACAGCGAAGAAAGATAGTAATCCCAACCAACAACTACAAGAAAACAAATTCAACACGAAACCCAAATAGATTCATATTTTTTTTCCTGCGTGTATTCCCGCACACCTTGCTTGCGTTTAGCTGTCGTTCTACAATGGCGTAGACCCACCGATCATATTATCCGCCGAAACACTTGATTACAACCTAACCATTTTAGTTCAATTTTTAGTATGGGATTGAAAGCGAACCTTCCAATTGAAGCAATCCCCAGTAGCAGCAGCCGTTTGTTGCGTCGTCTTGCTCAACAGAGAAGGCAAAGAGTCCTACGGAAGAAAGAACTGGAAATTGCTTCCACCTGCCTGCCGTGCTTCGTTATATATTTGCCCAGCAATTATTTGGACTTTTTTTAATATATTATTTTTGTTTCTTCGATTTGATATATGGTAATAATAATAATAATAATAATAATCATTTGTTCATATACGTATCCGAGATTCGGGGTACTAATTGCTCAATACACTGTAATTGCTCATTCTTGAGAAGGAAGAAAGATTATTCATAAACCAAGTCTACCATGAATGTGGACTCCTTCCTTCTCCTTTTTGCTGATATAAATTTCTTGTACAATTAATCTGCTAGCTTTATGAGTTGGGTTGTTAGACTAATCTCATTCTTAATTTACTTTAACTTCTATTAATTTTCATAATTATAGTTTATTTATGTATGTTTCCTTAGGGCATGTTTGGTTGCCTATTTCCAACACAGCACCACTACTTATTAGTACTTTTAATCGAGAATACTACCTCTGTCCCTCTAACAAGAGTATCGTTTGTTTATGTGTACGTTTGAATATTTAGTATATTATATTGATTTGTAATAAAAATATCCTTATATGATGTAATATATAATTATATTGATTTGTAATAATGACAAAAATATTTTTTATAAAAATAATAATATTTATGTAATATATTACAAATTATAATAGTATTTAAACAGTACAATTACTAAATTATAAAATTATATTCTTATTTTAGAATAGAAAATAATATCCTTGGTTAGTATAAAAAATACAATTATTTGAATGAATCGAATGGACGTGAAAATCCATTAAAAAAATAATTTTAATGATTGTTTTAAATAATGAATTACTAGGGGTTTGTTTGCTTAGTGAAATCATTTAAAGATAAATTTCTTTTTATGTGAGTACAGGGTATTGAGTATGTTAGAATATGAAACTGAAATTTTTTATTTCAATCACAAGAATACGCATATATTTATAGTGATATACAGATCGTCTAAATAAGACAAAAATATTACGAATCTCTTAAATAAGATAATTACCATAAATGTAATATATTGTTTTTAAATATATTTTAACACTCTTCATCAAACTCAAAATATGATTGAACAAACTTGAGTTTGTCAAAAGTGACCGAAAAAGATATAGTCGAGATCTTCTACGTATGAATTTGAATTCGCCAAAATTGACTGAGAGTGACGTAGTCGTCAACTGGATTAGAATCAGAAGTAGAACTCTCAACACCGTTATAGTTGAAGACAGGACTCGCTCGCTCACAACAGAACTAGAGCCGAAAATAGGACTCGCTCACTCTATAGAGCTAGGGTTGGAAACAGAACTCCCTCGCTCACAATAGAGCTAGAGTCGGAAATAGCTCCCTCGCTCTCAATAAAGTTAGAGTCGAAAATATGACTCTCAACGGTGTTAGAGTCGAAAGTAGACTCTGTCAGTGGAGTAGTAGAGACGGAGACGACATGAAAATAACAGCATGTCAGTGGAGTAGTAGAGACGGAGACGACATGAAAATAACAGCATGATTGTGAATAAAAGCAAATATGTTAGTAAAATATAAAAATATATACGAGATATAACGGGTTATGGAGGTACCCGGAAAGAATTTGACTCTGATACCAAGTTAGAATATGAAACTAAAATTCTCTATTTCAATAATAAGAATACGTATATATTTACAGTGATATACAAATTGTCTAAATAAGACAAGAATCCTACGAATCTATTAAATAAGATAATTACCATCAATATAATATATTATTTCTAAATATATTTTAACAGAGTTAAAATATAAAATAAATAAATGTATGTGATATATTATTTTTTCTTTAGAAATGTTTTATTGAGAAATGTGTTAAATGTTTTTTGAGATCATATTAATGTAATTTTAAAAATATTTAAATAATTAATTAAATATTATATTTTGTAATATAAGAATACTGTAATTTAAATATATATTTATAAATTAAATAATACAAAAAATAAATAAGCATATTGTTATTTTTCATTATTCTTTTCTTTCAATTTTTATATATAAGGAGAAAAATAAAAAGAGAAAAATCATTTAATTCTCAAGTCTTATCTGACTTAAAAAAAATATTTATATTTCTCTGTCTTTATTTCTCTATACTAAATATACTATTAAAAATATATCAAATGAAAATATTATTTAAATAAAAAATTAAATAACAATTTATTTCAAATCATAACAAAATAATCTTAGTAACAACATGTTGCCGCACAAAATAACGATCGCATTGTGCTTTGAATCGTCGCAATTAAGATTAGTAGAAGAGGACTGTGGAGCATCAAGATCAGACATTTACCAAAGAAGTCATGGAAGTTTGAATATAGAAGCGATACTCAATTCAACACTAGACTTGGTGACAATAATTTGCTTTTTACTACACCAATAACTAAAAAATCACTAAAAAGAAAAGGGCAATGTCTATACTGCGGAGCTAAATCTAAATGGCTGACTAGATGTATTACAAAACTCAAGTAAAATTATGATAATTTTTACTGTCTTAATCCTTCAATATTATATAAACAAAGCCATAATTGTTCTAAATATATATATAATATCACAAGCAACATCTCAATTGTTCCTTGTTAAAATCCAAAATTTAGCTCAAACTTTCACTTACAACCAAACCAAACACACCCTACTTGCTATAAATATATCATTAAATAGATGTGGTTGTTGTTAGATATGGTTGCTATGAATATTTGATGGATGAATACAATGGATTGATACGATTTTTTGTTAATTTTAAATTTGATTAATTATATAATTTTAAATTTAGACTTAAAACATTTAAAACTGAACTAACTAAATTTGATCAGAATCTCCCAATAACTAATTCAAATTATACATATATATATATATATATATATTCAAATTTACTTCTTTCTATCAACCTTCCATAAATTAAATAATCTCATATTTTTATTGCCTTTGGCCTTATAATTGTTTTGGTTCGTTTATAAAAATATGCAATTTTATCCTATAAACTATCATCAAATAAAAATTCAAAGTAAATACAACATTGAACTAAAAAAAGAAAAGAAAAGAAAAAGAAAAAGAACACCCCCTAATTAATTAAATTTTCATGGATTGAAGTAATGCAAATTAGTCAAGGTGGAATAATCCTCCCAAATTCATTTGCATTTAGTCAAGATTTTGGGACAATACATTCTTATCACCTCATATCTTAAAAACATTTACTATTGTATGTGGTCAATGTCGTGTTACACGTTATATATATTATTTTCACTTTGACTAATGTTTCTTGGGGTTAAATTTTCAATAATGCTAATAATAACATAAATCCAATATAAAAGATGTATATATATATATATATTTTTCTTTTCTTTTTCAACTCATTTGGTATATAATCTTAATAATAAATCAATGATATGTATAGAGTGTTTAAAGATTATTGTATTTCAACTCACTTTACTATATAATATAATTCTTTTTAGCGATCGATCGATCTCATTTAACAACATTTTTGGATCAAGATGTCCACATCTGTAAGTACATCTCCATCTCCATCTCATTACAAGGCCATCTAATTTTCCTGCACACATGCCATGTGTTTCTTTCTCATTTTGTAACCTATTTCTGTAACTGCATGCCTTTTGATCGTCTCATCAACATATATACACAGAGACAAATATAGGTTTGGTAGATGTATTAAATTACAAACAATAAATAATTAAATTAAAGATTGTGTCGTATCATCATGTGGGCTAGTGGATCTCATCGATCTCCAAGGAGATTATTAACTATAATGGTTTGCACGAAACCTACATTATATATATTATTATTATTATTAATAAAATAATTTGCAAAAGAATGTAAAATATCACAGGGCAAACATGTGACTCTCAGCCTTTTGACGTTTTTGTTTCTTTGCCATTTATTCACTTTTGTCCTAATCACGTGTTCCTTATTCTTAAAAACATCAGAATTGGAGGTGGTTGTGCACTGAATTGAATTAAAGGTATTTTAGGATATATATATATATAATTGGGGATGATTTTATTATTTTTCACTGAATTTTATGGACTATATATATATAGATATTATCATTTTGAGCTGTATTGATGATAAAAACTAAGTATTTAATCAATATAAAAATATAAATTTAGGAATTATATAATCGACAACGCAACCTTTGACTTTTTATTATTTGCACACTTTAATAAAACATGAAAACTAAAGGCTTGCTATAAGAACATATATATTTGTGTTGGGCTTTAAATAAATACTAGCCCAATTGTTTTTTCAGATTTATTTACTGATTATACATATAGTAAATTTTATGGAAAGTAAAAAATGTAATTTTTTGTGGACAATTAAATATTTAGTATATCATTTTATAAAATAAATAATTTTTAAAATAAATCAAAAGTAATCAAAGCTAGCATTTTATTTATTTATTTATTTTTATCAGAGAGGGAGAGATATTTGTTGGTTGGTTTGACGTCACAAGGAGCCAAACTGTAGCTGCTTTGCTGATTGTTCCTCCACTGCTCTCCACTCCTTCCCGCTATCTTCTCAGCAGCCAGTCGCCATTCCCGCTGTCCAACCAAGGTACGATCTCCATTTGCTCAACGAAACATTGGATGTTTTTCGTTTTCGTAATGGGGATTTCTTCGTTTCCTGCTGAATGCAAATGAATTCAAACACGTAGCTTCAATTGGAGCTGAGGCCAGTTTAGTGCCATGGCCTCTCTGAAGCTCTCTGTTTCTCTCGATAACAACGCTTACGAATCCAAGAAACGCCGCTGTGCTTTGACTTCCGTGGCTTTTACTTCTTGCACGTTGTTTCCTGGTTATGTCAATAGAAGTGGGGCGCCTATCGGGAAGTCATTTTGTGAATTGAAGCAACTGAGGGTTCGTAAATTGGAAAGCGAGTGTTTGGATCCAGCCGATTCTAAGTCAGATTGCGTTCAGAAAGATAATGGTAGGAAGAATCGTATGGGTGATGATCGTAATTTGATTTTAGAACGCTCAGATTTTCGAAGTCGTGAAGGTAGAACGAGTATCTGGAGGAGGTTCCGGAGTGTGAAGACCGTTAGGAAAACTGTGAAACCGAAGAATGAACAAAAGTCTTCGATTGGTGAAGAAAAACGTGTCCTTAATGGTGAAATTTCCTTAGATTTTCAAGATGTTGCGACTGAAACGAGCATTAAACAATGCAATCTGATATTAGAACAACTTGAGAAAAGCAGCGATAGCAAGGCTTTGAGATTCTTCGAGTGGATGAAGCTCCATGGGAAGTTGAAGAACAATTCGATTGCCTATAATTTAATTCTTAGGGTTTTGGGCAGAAAAGGGGACTGGGATCAAGCAGAAGCCGTTATTTATCACATGCTTACCGACTCAGGTTGTGTGGTCAATCATCAGGTCTTCAACACCCTGATATATGCTTGTTACAAGAATGGACTTGTGGATGCTGGAGCTCAGCGGTTCAGGACAATGTTGGATCATAAGATTCAGCCGAATGTTGCTACTTTTGGTATGCTTCTGTCTCTTTATCAAAAGGGTCGGGCAGTTGACGAAGCAGAGTTTGCATTTAATAAGATGAGGGATCTGAAAATAGTATGCCATTCTGCTTATTCGGCCATGATCACAATTTATACACGCCTCGGCCTGTATGACAAAGCAGAAGATGTTATTGGTTTTCTGAGAAAAGATGGAGTGGTTTTGAATAAGGAGAACTGGTTGGTTCTATTGAATGCTTATTGCCAGAGGGGCAATTTGGGTGAAGCTGAGAAAGTGTTGTGTGCAATGAAGGAGGCTGGATTTTCTCTCCACATGGTTGCATACAATACGATGATCACTGGATATGGGAGGGCGTCAATGATGGATAATGCAGATAAATTGTTCCAAAGCCTTAGAGGACTCGGTCTTGAGCCGGATGAGACAACATATAGGTCTATGGTTGAAGGCTGGGGTCGAGCAGGAAATTATAAACAGGCAAAGTATTACTATATGGAGCTCAAGAGGTCGGGCTTTAAACCCAATCCTTCAAACATGTACACAATGGTAAAATTGCAAGCCAAGCATGAAGATGAGGAGGGCGCTGTCAGGACTATTAGTGACATGTTACTGGTCGGCTGTCCAAAGTCTTCCATTCTTGGGATTGTTTTGCGGGCATATGAGAAAGCTAACAGACTCAATAAGATACAGTCGATATTGGAAGGCCCACTTTATGATCATGTACTTAAAAATCCGACAACTTGCACGATACTTGTTACAGCTTATGTCAAACATTGCCTGGTTGATGATGCATTGAAAGTTCTGAGAGAAAAACTGTGGGAAGATCCGGTATTTGAGGATAACTTGTACCACCTCCTCATATGTTCATGCAAAGATTCTGGTCATCTTGAGGATGCAGTCAAAATATTTACTTCCATGCCCAATACTGCGACGCCAAACTTAAATATCTTCTGCACCATGATTGATATCTACAGTAAAATGAACCTGTTTCCTGAAGCTGAAAATCTGTACACTGAGTTGAAGACTTCAGGTGTCGAACTGGACATGATAGCCTTCAGCATTATAGTAAGAATGTATGCCAAGTCTGGGTCTTTGAAAGAAGCCTGCTTTGTTCTGGACATTATGCAGGCACAGAAGAATATTGTTCCTGACTTTTATCTTCTCTGTGATATGCTCCGCATTTATCAGCTTTGTGGAATGCATGATAAATTGGCCACTATGTACTATGAAGTTTTGAAAAACGGTGAAATTTGGGATGCTGAGATGTATAATTGTGTCATAAACTGCTGTGCCCAGGCATTGCCGGTTGATGAACTTTCGAGGCTTTTTGATGAAATGATTTGCCGAGGATTTGCACCTAATACCATTACAATTAACGTCATGCTCAATGCTTATGGGAAGTCCAGGCTATTTGAGAGGGCAAAGAAGGTATTTTGGATGGCTAAGAAATGGGGTTTAATTGATGTTGTATCTTACAATACTATTATAGCTGCGTATGGGAAAAACAAATACTTGAAGAACATGTCAGCTACTATTAGGAAAATGCAATTTGATGGCTTCTCCGTCTCTCTTGAAGCCTACAATTGCATGTTGGACGTGTATGGGAAAGAAGGTGAAATGGATAAATTCAGAAGTGTCTTGCAGAGGATGAAAGCCTCTAATTGTGGCTCCGATCACTACACTTACAATATCTTAATCAACATCTATGGAGAGCAAGGATGGATTGATGAAGTTGGCCATGTACTGGAAGAGTTAAAAGAATCTGGAATTGGTCCGAATTTGTGCAGCTACAACACACTGATAAAAGCATATGGGATTGCTGGAATGATGGAAGATGCTGTGGCTTTGATCAAGGAAATGAGGCAAAATGGAATAGAACCTGACAGGAAAACCTACACCAACTTGATCACAGCCCTCAAAAACAATGATATGTTTTTGGAGGCTGTAAAATGGTCCTTGTGGATGAAGCAGTTGGGATTGTGAGGGCTGTATGAATGCCGACTCATGGTTGTGCTCCTTTACACTTTGTTCCATCTCCTGCTCAGAAATTAATGCCACAGTAAGTATTATTTTTCCTCGTAATTAGTCTGAATTTGCTATGAAGAAAATGCTCTAAACGTTACTCTTTTCTAGGAGATGACTCTCGACATTGCATAACGGGGAGCAGATTCATCGAACACATACAAGTTCTGTCGTGTGTTTGGTACTATAGCCTTATTATAAACTAGGTATGATGTCTCTACTCTACAGCACCTTTTACCCATACACCCTAAGTAGGATGAGCTCCATCTTTTGACTGTTAATATTTTGTAATTGATGTTAATTTTGTTATAATTGGAAAATACACTCATTATCTGTATCATCACCTCTATACGAAAATATAGAAAGCCTTTTTACCCATACATGCACAACATTTTCTTGCAGTCTTTTCTGTGAATTACAGTATCAGTATGTAAAATCTGTACAGAAATCCATATTGCATTGTGATTCTGTCATATACATTGGCATATATTAAGCCATTTGCCTCTGAAAATTTTCTTCTTTACCAGATTTCTTGATCCTCTTAAGAAACCCTACAACTTGATCCACATGGATTACATACTACATATAATTTTAATGGGTTGCCACAAGGTTTTATGAGGAGTCACAAAGCTTCTTCATGTACATGTTGTGTAAGCAAAATGTCATCCTTTCTTGCCTATGATAGTAGAGTGAGAAAATTAACTCTATTGTGAAGTTTGATTCCCATTTCTATTAGCATTTTGTTTTAGCTTCTGCCCACAAGCCCACCTATTGGTCCCTTCATTTTGTTCATGCCACCAAAATTTATTTCTCTCTTTGAATTTATTAGTTTTGGTAAAAGGGACCTCAACTATACATCTACCACTTATCTTTTTTACTTTTATTCCATTAATTTATTCAACTTTCTCTACTTGCATTTTCAGATGAAATTTGTAGTTTCTTGTTACTGTAGCTTCCAGAGTGCAGATCAATAAAGCAATAACTGATGATCTTTAACTGAAGACAACACAGGAATTTCGTCAGTCCCAAACTGAGGTTACCAACACACAAGAAAAGTAAGAAACAAACCACTGGCGCCATTCATAATTGAAAAAAAAAAAAAAAAACACTCTTGAAAGACGAAAGAAAGACAACACTGAATCAGCTTGTTTAAGTTCATGGCTTCTTTGGCACATTCCCTCCGCCGCCGCCGCCAATACCTCCACCAAAACCTCCTCCACCATAACCTCCGCCGGCTCCACCTCCACCGAAACTGCCGCCGCCCCCAAATCCACCACCGGCACCCCACCCACCGCCAACACCACCACCTACGCCTCCACCAGCTCCTCCTCCGATGCCGCCACTGATTCCTCCTCCCGGGCCACAACCAATTCCTTTATCCATTCCTCCACTTCCACCACCCACCCCACAACCAACCCCTCCACCCCCACCAATGCCGCCGCCCGAACCACCCCCAACCCCACCCCCTCCACCTGTCCCACCTCCCGATCCACCGCCAATCCCACCACCACCTCCGCCATTCCCTTTACCTATCCCACCTCCATGACCTACACCGCCACCGCTGCCACCCCCTATACCTCCCCCTACTCCATCATGGTGATGCTTTTTTCCCTTCTTGTGATGATGCTTTCCCAAGCCATGACCTCCACCACCACCACCTCCACCAATTCCGCCACCACCACCACCACCGATGCCGCCTCCAACACCGCCACTGCCGCTTCCTACACAGGCTGCAGGGCTCCCATCATCGTTGAACCACTGCGGCTGCTTCTCAATAGCTCCACCAACTCTCCCCGATACAGTCTCCGCCGCCACCACCGCCGCCAAAACAGCGATCAGAAACCCCGCCGGAAACGTTCTCATCCCTCCCACCCTCTTCTTGATCATTCCCATTATTGTTCCCCTGCAAGTACATATGATCTCTCACCCCTCGTGGCTTTATAAGCAAATTGCCAAACCCCACCCCCCCATTAATTACAAACATTGATTATATATTCTCCCCAACCAATTATCAAATAGCTCGAATACCCAACACATATTGTACGTGAATATATACATCACATATACATATATATATGTATATGTGTATGTATATGTGATCCCTTACCCTACCCCGTCAGCATCCAATTCCATGCATGCATGCAAGCATTCATGGCCACCTCTCTCAAAGGGAAATTCTTTTGTCATGGGAAACAAGAAGCCTGCCTTGTAATAATACAAAAAGTTGTCTAGTTTCGGGTGCTATTGACTTTCCTCACAGATTGTGTTAGCAGCTCAGCATCACTTTTTCAATTAATGCTGTTCCTGTTCAACCAGACGATCTCTGGTTATTTGAGCCACAATTAATTCGAATCATGCCTGCTGTAATTTATTCAAATTCGATTTGCAACCAAATGTGAAACTTTTGCCAGCATCAGCTCAAAATTACGTAGCATTTCATCATCAAGATGATACATCAACGGGTTGAACAAAAGCCAAGAAACTATACATAATACCTTCTTCTCTATCTTAACTAACAAAAGTTCTCTTTAAAAATAAATAAATAAATAAAAACGTAAAAATTGCATCTATACACGTCGAAGTCACAGTTAGACGACCATTGAATCAGAATTATGATCCAATCTCTTGCTAAGACCATTATTCTTCTCTACTCTTTTCTGAGTCCTGAGCAGAAAATCAGTACTCAGTTCTAAATTATTGCCGGCAACCTTTGCAAGATCGCACATAATATGATCGGTAGCTGGAAATTAATTTCAGGCTTCACCTCTCACTGTGGATCCCGAATCAGAACCTGAGTCTACCCAAAAAATTTTGCAGAGAGCAACGGGCGTGACATCATTATTTATACCCTACGGACGGGAAAAATCCAAAGCAACCAGTCCCAGGATAGATATCTTCAGCTTCCATCCCTTGCCCGGGTAAATCCCATGGACAGGCAATGGCGCCATCATGGTACAACCTCTCTTCAACAGATTAAAACACTCCACCAGAGTGTAGGCACAATGAAGGATCTGATTAGTTGAAGAAGTAGGGAGATTCAAGAACCCTATTAAGATCAAAGTCTCCTCTAATGGGGAGAGGTGGGAATGTCAGTGTCGGGTGTGATGTCTGGAAGCTTTCGAGCAGCTGCACATTCAGTCAGCATTAAAAAGTGCAAGTAAATCATCTTTATGACAAAACTTAACCAGAGTTTATGTAAATTAAGTAAAAGTTGAAGCATCAAGGGTGTCGATCATAAAATGTTACTCAAGGGGTTTAATTGCTTACATTTTCCAAAATTGGCTCACTGTACAGATCCACGAATTTTTGCCTTAGTATCTGATTCATTCTGTCGACATCACATGCATGGGTCCAAAATGAATCGTGAACGCCTGTATTATGTAGATCATGAGGTCAATAAATATAGTTCAATCCAACTGACCAAGAATAAAGCCACTTCTTAGAAATATAATGATGGCATGCGAACCTGCAAAGCACAGGCCGGCATCTCGGCAAGCAATGGCAGTCATCATCATGTGGGAACCATCTAGTGAGTGCACAAAGTTGGGAGGGAAGGCAGTTCTTTGCTTCCTTACTTCAACCTAGAACCAATCATTTCAATACGATAACATATACTAGCCATGGCCACACAAGATAAATTAGGGAAGTGTTGTATCCAACTTACAGATTCCCCCTCGCGCTGCAAAGCCAAAACCTGAAGAGAAGTTCTAATCTGCATTGCATATGGGAAACCAAAAACCACATTATTGTAACAAAATTTGGAGAATGCAAGTATCGATCTAGTAACAAATTTCCAAATATTTAAAATACAAGCTTCCTTCATGAAGCACTTACAACATGACGTTCATTTTTAAAATAGGGTTGCACAACTGGGAGGCCAAGTGGAGTTGTCCAACGTACAGGTTCATTTGCTGATGCAATAATCTGAAAATTTTACAAAACAATTCTTAGTTAATAAAATTCACTGAACATCAGAAACTCTTCACATCATGTTATATTTCATGAGACTTCTTCACAAACCTTGGCACAGTCACCAAGCCAACCCATTATAGCTCGTGCAGCTTCAAATAACTCCCCAAGGGCAGCCAGCGTTACCTGTGTGCAGTTTTTAACACATTAAAATAATGTAAGAAAAATCCTTTCTCTTAGTTCTAATCAGACCGTAGCCAAGGATGCATAAGTTACATTCTTGCAACAAGGTTAAGCCTTTCTCTGATGCTCAGTACCACATTCTTTATAATATTTTTTGAATGAAGTTATCCTATGACATCTGAGTATCTAACTACATTTACACATTTTAATCCTCAACAGCTGAATCAAAATATTTATTACTTTATCTGGACCAGACAGAAAGCAGAGTAGTCACTAATCAATACTATCGAGTAGTCAAAGACTTGCAAGGAACAGACTGACAGGGAGGGAGTGGGAAAAAAAAATAATGTTCTTGATGTTACATATATATATATAAAAACTATTGTTTTGGTTCATGATACTCACTTTAGCAGCATAACATGATGCTTTGAAGAGCAGTCTGTCATCAGTAATGAGACCCTTCTCCTGCAATCTTCTTTTGATCTGCTCGCGTGCACCAACGTAAGTGACACCATACACAGATGTCATCACCGTCTGTTTAACGAGTTTCCTATCCACCTGAAGAAACTTCAAATCTCAAGGTCTCGTTGCAATGAATTCTTAAGACCTTACAAGTAACACTTTAGTTCTCTCAAAACCATAATTTACAGAAAGAAATTTTTGACCTGGCCGATTAAGAGTTTGGCTACCATAGCTGTTGGATTTGTCTCTGGATTCTTCTCACTATCTTTTTTCATGATGATATGAACCCTGAATGACAAAAAACTATGTTGACTTACCCAAATGGGTAAAGTGATAAAAACTAAATTGAAAGAAGCAAGCATTAACGGAAGAAGAAATCACTAATCCATTTAATCGCATTATCCAGAAGGATTGTAAGGAATAATTTAAACTAAAGCTGTTCCCACCAACCAATTAAGCATTTTTGGTCATTTCTATTAATTGATTTCTTATTTCCTGAAACGACACATAGGGAGCAAAAAAGTTAATTCTGATTGGCCTTTAAACAAGGTTCTGTTGCTTAATTCTCGTTTTGGACTTCAGCAATTGTCTGGAGCTGTATCAAAATCTAAAACTGCTCAGCTGGAAGTAAATTGAAACCTGAAGCTCTTTATTAGATTACTACCAGTAAATTAGTAATAGATTTCCGCATATCCAGGCACAGAATGACCACTAAGATGTCCCAACAATTAGACCATCCCCAACCCATTCTTCATTTTTGCAGTAGCTACAGTAAAAATGCAGTTGATCTACAGTAATTTTATTCCAACCGTAAACTTCAATTTTTCACTCTAAAAAGTATATTTCCTATATATTCCTCTTTTATATTATTTTATATAACTATTTATATTTATAAATTACACCTCAATTTTAATTTATTTTTACAATATAACCAAAATATATATAATTACACATTATTTTTAAAAAACTATATAATTATATATCACTTTGCGAAAGGTAAAATTATATCACTTTAAAAAAAATAAAATTATACATTATTTTAAAAAATAAAATTATATCACTTTCCAAAAAATAAAATAATATATAATTTTTCAAAAAAAATAAAATTATATATAGTTTTCTAAAAAAATAAAATTACACAATATACTCAAAAAAAAAAAACAAAAATACACAATCACCACAAAACACCACACAAACTCTACTCCAAAAATTGAGTGGAGTGTACAGTGTTACTCGGGCTGCAAAAATGGGGGGGAATTTTGGGGTGGGTTGGAGCCCCTCCCCCCCAATTTTTGCACAACCCACTGTGCAGTGGGTTGGAGTTGCCCTTATGCTTCGAACAGAAATCTTTCAATACCATTTACCTGTCTTGTGGAATCAAGCATAAATATATTTTGACTTTAAATTTCTAAGAATGCTTTAATTATATGATTTCCTATACCGTTGATGTAATTGGGGTTTTGATTGGAGAAGGCAAAGAATTGTGATTCAGACCATAAAATAGCCTAATTTCAATAATCCACTTTTGTTGATTTCTAAAACTTAAAAACTATAAATCTAAACAATTAAACAACCTCTCGGCAATTTCTGAGTACACATCAGCAGGTTTGTCTCCAGCAACTAAATTCACAGCAGCAGCTTCAAACTGAAACACAAGACAGGTACTTGGTAAGCAGGATCCAAACAAAACATCAAGGAAACTACTTGCTTTTAATTTGAAATTGCATATAAACAAAGTAATTTAACATATGGCATACACTGTCCCTCCCTAGAGCTGAATAGTGCTGAAGTCCATTGCATGACCCATCCTATGATTGAGAAAAAAAAAGTCAGGAAATTAAAATGTGGGTGGCGGGGGGAGAACAGTAATTTTAGATAAATAAGAGGTATAGATTCCTTATCTATAAAACAACCGCACCTTGCCCTCCCCCACCCCTAGCCATACAAAAATAAAACAATCTATAACAAACATAAACCAATATCTGCAGTAAAGGCTGCCATATGGTAGTTGCAAATCATGTCCTGTACTCAGAAACCATATTTAACTAACTTTTATGATGTATCAAGGCATACCTGATGAATAGGCAAGTGAGAGATAACAGTATGTGGAGATGGACTTCGAAGGGCTTCTGATAGATTAATGCAAGCAGCTAAGCACTGAAAAGGATCCTCAGCCTTTAACCACCACCGATTTCCATTGAGAGGGTTATCAGCAGAATCCAAAATCTCTGATATATTGTTTTCTACAAATGACAAGCGTCCATCATACGAAAGCTTTTCAACTCCTCCTCCATAGAGGTTTGCCAAATGTATTTTTAGCCATCGTAAACCCGACGTTCCCAACGGACGGCCTTCAGCAAATTCAAGAATTCCTCTACACAGATCACAACTAAGGTGATTCAAATGTGGGTGCATGGGATATGCACGTCCTCGAAAATCAAGATTGTGGGGATAGTAAAAACCATCCTCATCTTTCATCTTTCGAGCAACCTGATTTTACAGAACACAGCTTAGATACCATTTTGTCACATAAGAATAGAGGTGTGGATGTGCATGTGTATCAGTGTATGTGTACAAGTGCAAGTGCATGTGCATACACTCATAAATTTGAAACAGAAGCATTACCGTATGATGATCTTTCAGACCAAATTTGCATGCAGACAAAAATTATTTATATGATTATAAAAAGTTATAATATATTTTCTTTTATTATTATATTACATTGATACATAATTTAAATATATTCAAAAAATTTCAAATTAATATTCTAATTCAAATAATTATTTTAAATAATAAAGCCCAATGAATTTATTTACCCAATGGCGAGTTAGGAATTATAATAATATTAGCTTATCCCATTCAAATCATCTGAAAGGAGATGAACATTAAAATTACACTAGGTTAAAATTTTCTGCACAAGTAAATGAGAAATTGTGTTATAAATTTTCTATTAAAACTCATCCAAGCATTAAATGAAACTATGGAATCAAATAATATTTGCAATGGATCTATCCAATTATAAATTCGAAACTAGGAGCTTGTTTACTCTAGGTTTTTCCCCAAATTTTTATTATTTAATCTCTCATTTCCCTCAAAAACTTCACGTCTGGCATCCATGTTTCATGCAAGACATCACATCCAACCACTTCACCTCAAAAAATCATAACTAAAAAGACCAATTAAAAAAAAAAAAAAACACCCTAGGAGTCCAACTGATTTCAGATTCCACAGACTAAATGGTACCAGAACTGCAGCATTATGTGCAATCTAAGTCAAATTTACTTCGGACAGTAGAACATAAAGGGACTTACAGAGAGCTTTAGTTCCGTGTCACATCTTTGAGAATGCCTCTCCTGATTGATTTTCTTGGCCTTCCTCATGCTCCATTTCCACTTCTTTACTTCTTTCACATCATCTGAAACCAGCTCGGGCAATGGAACCTAGAATACCACACCCCAAATAGCACTAACACTTGAAACACATGCAATATCGTGTTCAGAGAATATATGAATATATACATGCACCTACATCATTCCGATTCACCAGACCAGCTATATTACCACCAGCTGCCCAAATGCTCTCCACTACATCTAAAATCTGCTTGTTCACTCTCCACTTAGTGTTCCCTAGAGTATCAAGGGCCTGAATCAATGAAAACCAAACATGATTACAATCTTTAACACATAAAACGAACAGAGAAATTAAGCAACAAGTATCTCATGAAAGGTGAAGAGTGAACTTGAATCACTCAAGAAATGATAAACAATGTTGTGAGAAGCTGACACTCATTTTTACAGGGCATTGAAAACTAATTAAGTTTAAATAAGGCGTGTTTGCCCTCACTAGCAAGAAGCATATATTTTAGCCATTTTATAGGAAGCTGGATGTGTTCTCACTTTGTTTGTATAAACTAGTCTACACAGAAAAACTATGTGCGTAACAAAAAATTTTTGATAAATATAACTACACCTCATAAACTTTTTGCATTTGTTTTGCTGGAGTGGTTTTAATAGCCTCCTGTTGCTTTTCTGACCCATGAGTACGCATCAAATATGAAGGCAGATATAGGTAACCGCCTTTGGCATACCTGAAAGAATGCTAAAGACAATAGGGATGAGAAGAAAGCTTAAAAAATAAGTAGCAGCTCTGGTGATCCTCTGCCCTGTCACTCACTGAGTACAACAGGGATTTGATACTACAGAACCATACAAATTACTTGCTATCTCTATATTGATTATATATCTCATCACTTCGCTACAGATAAAATAAACAAGATATATTACTCAAAAGGTGGAGCAAAATATACCCTCGCCATTTATTGGGTCGTACAAGCATTGGCACATAAGGAATAATCATATGCCTAACCTGCATAAACCATAGAATACAAATGCTTACATTAATATTTAAGAAGAAAAAACAAAAAGAAAAAAAAGGAAGTCAATCTCAGAAGAATAAACCAAAATCTAGTTTCATTTCAACATAGAAAGCATAGCTTGTCTTTACTCAACAACAAATTTCAAGAAATAATTGACTCTCAATTCTCAAGTATGAGTTAGAAAAGGAAATTGGCAGTTTGGCACAATTCATATGCACCATTTAATTAGCCAAATATAAAAGTTTTCCAAAATGCTTCCATTAAGAAGGAATAAATTAACACTGGTTTGACTCACAGTTTTATCAAGCCCATCGAGGACCAGAGGATCACATTCTATCACTCCATACCTCTTCACAATGTTCTGCCTGAAAGAGAAAAGATAGGCATTCATATACAGAAAACTGGATTTCAATTAGTGAACTATCTTCAGGTAATGTTTATTCCAGACATTAAGACGTATGTAAAGAACCAACAAATGATAAAAGCGTGCATAACACTAGCCAGCATTGTCAAGGACATCCATAACATACATAATGAAAAAATAACAATAAAAATCATGGGAGTTATTATTTTTTAGCACACTTTGTAATTAGGATTCTCACCCTTGCTCTTTCATTGCCACCTTGAAAATATGCCGAAATGCTGGTCGAACATCAGGTGGACCGTCAGGTGATTGACTGACTGGAGTTTGTACATAAGCACTTTGTGTTAACAACTCTATCAAACAGCATCCTAGCTGCACAACATATAGATTATACCCCACAAAGAAATAAAGGTGCCGAATCACTAATCTCTAAATTCTCAAATATTGTTATAAGAGACTGAATGAAAGTGTTCAAACCTTTGCCTGTTTATCTCGGCCCCAGGACTTAGGTTCCTCGTTTCTTACAAGCTTCTTCACTTCAATCATCTTGTTCCTTTTAAGTAAGCTTTGTACTCTTTTTCGCATAATTGCAGTTTCCTTACTTGAATCTTCTTGGGTTTCAGCCACAGTATTCGTTTTCTCACTCTTTTTTGTTTTCTTCAAGAAGTTTTGAATTCTAATCTGGCCAAAGAAATACATTTACAAACTAACATTTAGGCAGAATCAGGTGTAGGCTTATGCGACAGGGGTGGGAACATAATTAAATGACATAGCTTCATTGTCGAAAAAGATGGAACTGAATGAAAGTATCAAATACTCACTTCATGCTCGATTGCTATTCCAATTTGAATTGCAGCCTCAACCACGCGCACACATCTATCATCCTTCCCCCCCATCATCAGCAATCCCATTATCTTGTGCATCACAATGACAGCCATTTTCTCCGCCGGCAAAGCATTTATGTATGGGGCGAAAGCCTGCCTATGCTTCCTTGGCTTCTTTGAATTCTGCCTTTTTTCAATAGCTTCCTTCAAAGGCTCAAACCACCCCAACATCAACTTCTTAACATGAGGCAGATTCGGAGCCAATTTTTTCTCACACATTTCCCTCTCCAATTCACTATACTCGTGCACCTTATTCTCCCAAGCCTCCGTCTCAGCCTTTACCTGCCTCCTCCTAAGCAATTGGTACTTCCGCCTCTCCATTTCTTGGAACTCTATTTTGACCCCAACTCCATTCTTGCCCCGGTACAGCAGGCTTTTCATAAAGAAGGAAGCAATCCACGGGGGCTCTCGAATAAAAACCCTGCCTTTGGATTCTTTCTTGGACTCGGAGGGATACGGGTACCTCTCTGGGATTACTTGTAAGGTCGAAAGCTTGTCTGGGCTTTCGGGGAAATTGTCGTCGGTAGAGTCTGCCACAGGGGGCGGCAAAAGAGAAGCAGAATTATGAATGGTCGGAAGCTTCAAGGCGTGGGGGAAAGAGGAAGAAGACGGCTGTGCCCCCTGCGGAAATCCATTAATTTCAGGAGTTGTCTTCATTGAAACGAAATTTAGCTTCTTGGGAAGCTTCCATTGCGAAGAATCGCGGGTGGCGTGGCATTGAGCTCTAGGGCCCGGAGAAAATGGCACTATCGAAGCCAGAATTGCGCGAAGATGGTGCGGTGGCTACCGCCCTGACAGGCCGACTGTGGATAAGAGAGAGATATGGTGGGAGAGACGATGAAGCCAATTCCAAACCTCTCCTAAACCCTATTGCAAAACTGCAGATATTTTACAATATCTTCTGCTGCTAGTTTAAAAAATAGAAATAGAATAAACTGCTGCTTCAGGTGTTACAATTTGGTGCCAAATGTTTTTAATAGTATTATATACATTTAATTGGGCCAATCCTACGTGAAACGTAAGGCCCATCAAGCTATAAGAAGCCCATGTAGTATACTTTGTCAAGAGCCCTAATTTAAAATTTTCTCAATTGATTTTTCAAATAAAAAAAATAATAATAATGTTACTAGCTTGGTATTAAACAATACTAATGAAATTGATAAATTCATGGTCGGTGTAAGAAAATAAATATTTTTAGCAAACATGCACCTTCTTTAGACTTTTTATGAGTCTACCATTATTATTTATGTATAATTATTTATATATACACACACATAGTGATGATGGCTTGACTCCATTTGTAATCATTCTCATAAAACTGTGCAAACTCATTGAAAAGATAAATAGAGCTTCGATTTCAAATCAGTACCATATCTTATTTTTATTTTTTTAGAGAGAAAAATAAAAATGAAGCCACTATTTCAATAAAATAAACAAATGAATTAGAACACATGAGCCAATAACTCCCCCCTGCCCACACTATGATCTTTTAACATTTTATATAGTGAGTGCTGTAATAATAGTCATTTGCATTTAATATTTGGCCTTTTCTAACTTTCCTCTCAAATCTCCAACATATTTATGCAATAATTGTATCATATTTAGTACTCTTGACTTGTTTACAGTTACATATAAACATTAATGGACAAGTTGTGTTGAGGATATGAAGTAGATAAAATTTTCAGAAAAAGCTCAAAGACCCTTTTGAGAAAAAGCTTGTCAATGTGGCCTATGAGCTAAATATATTGACAATGTGACCTATATTACACACACACACATATATATATATATATATATAAATATAAATAAATGTGTGTATTGATTAAATTGAAAACGAAGGAAATTGCTAGTATCATATATCATCCCATCAAGTGGGCAACATGTAATATAAAGTCACACACATCAACAAGTGGCCTAGTTAATGTATAGTTACATATATACATACATAGTCAAATTTCAACTCCATTTCCATAAGTAATTATAGGGTTTTCTTTCCATTTACAATCAGTACAATTGAAGTCGTCACCAAACTTCAAAACTAGGGTTCCACCAAGATTTCATTTGATTTGATTGAACTCACCTATATATTTTTGTTGCCCTAATAAAATTTATTTAATATAGACTCAAAAAATAACAGTTAGTAAATTCTGAGGTTATAAAAAAATAAAGTGTTTGTCATTGGCCGACATGTGCACCGGCAATGCATCATTCTAATTGAGCAGTTCATCCTCAAACCCACGAAGCATAATATAGCATGCTGTCTTAATTAATATAAATATAAATATAAATATTTTAATTATATATGTTTAACAACTCATTTTCCACTAATCGCACTATTTAATTAATCTTTAGCAGCAGCAAAGAAGAACAAAATTAAAGCTAGAGATAGTTAGGCCTAATGACATGTCCACCAAATTAATAAAATAAACCTCACACTTAACAATTAATTAATTTATTTATTTATTTATTAACGTCGTCAGCTATAACTCCCCACGTGTTGAACGTTGATTGTCAACTATCTAAGGCGCCAAAGGTAACCTCCTCCACCCTTCCACAGAAGTTAGGCATCTAAATTAATATTCAAAATTTCATTTTCTGATATATATATATATATACACACATAATACATACGTATGTATATATGTATATATATAGTTTAACAGTGTGTGCTTGCATGGTGCAATCTTGTGCAACATTACAAGCCACAAAACCTCAAATTCATCAAACTCTTGCCATTGTTACCTCCTTAAAAACTTCAAATTCTTTTTGATGGGGTGGTGCAACTTTTCCATGTTTGATCTCATCTTCTCCATTGTAGTTCTCTACGCCGTGCATTCGCGCAACGACGCGCGAATCTTGCACGACGGCCTATCCCTTCTTTCCTTCATGTCGGGGATTACAAACGATCCTCAGAACTCTCTGCTGAGCTGGAGATCATCATATCCTTCCTCTGCTCATAATCTGTCCCAAGTATGCGAATGGTCGGGCGTGGGATGTGATGCCAACAAGAATCGAGTTGTAGAGCTGAACTTGAGCCATAAGTCCCTCCATGGAACCATCTCCCCTGCCCTCTTCAACCTCTCAGAATTACAGATTCTCGACTTATCTGGAAACTTCTTCCAAGGATGGATTCCAGTCGAGATCGGTTCTCTTTCCAACCTCGTAGAGCTCAGCTTATCGACCAATCTTCTCGTGGGAAAAATTCCTGCCGAGTTGGGATTTCTTAAGGAACTTGTGTATCTCAATCTGGGAAGCAATAAGCTGTCTGGTGAAATTCCTACATCACTTTTCTGCAATGGCTCATCTTCCCTGCAATATTTAGACTTGTCGAACAACTCACTAACCGGCGAAATTCCTTTAGATAATGGATGTGATCAGCTCAAAGAGTTGAAGTATCTTCTTCTTTGGTCGAACAGGCTTGTGGGAGAAGTCCCTTTAGCCCTTTCAAATTCTTCAAAACTGGAGTGGCTCGACTTGGAACAGAATCTGCTGACAGGGGAGCTGCCGTATGAGGTTTTCGCTTCCATGTCGCATTTGAAGTTCCTGTACTTGTCCTACAACAACTTCTCAAGCCACAATGGCAACACTGACCTCAACCCCTTTTTTGCATCCTTAGTTAACTCCTCTAACTTGCAAGAAATTGACTTGGCTGGTAATAACCTCGGAGGAGAGTTGCCTTCTATTATTGGCGATCTCTCTGCTCTTGTACAGATTAACCTCGATTCTAATCTTATACACGGTCCAATCCCACCGCAGATTTCCCGGCTTGTCAATCTTACCCTCCTGAATTTGTCTAACAATTTTCTTGATGGCTCTGTACCTTCTGAACTCTGCCAAATGGGGAGGCTGGAGAGGTTAATTTTATCGAATAATTCACTCTCCGGCGACATTCCATCCACCTTATGGAATACGCCTCATTTAGGCCTTCTAGACCTGTCAAAAAACAAACTCTCTGGCACCATCCCTGATAGCTTGTGCGAGATACCGCAGCTGAGGAAGCTTCTGCTCTATGAAAACCAGCTGTTGGGATCCATTCCACAGAGCATAGGAAAATGCAGAAACTTGGAGATTCTTGACCTTTCTCATAACAGGATTTCTGGGGAGATTCCAAATGAAGTTTCTGGTTTGACAGGTCTAACATTGTACCTGAATCTGTCCAGCAATCTCCTGTCTGGGAATATTCTGCTCGAGCTTAGCAAAATGGATATGGTGCTGGCCATTGATCTGTCGTCGAACAATCTGACAGGGCCATTGCCTTCACAGCTTGGGAGTTGCACTGCTCTGGAGAATCTCAACCTGTCGAACAATGCTTTGGAAGGACAGTTTCCTGGATCCATAGGGACCTTGCCTTACCTAAAAGAACTCGATGTCTCCTTCAATATGTTAAGTGGGGAGTTGCCGATATCTCTGCAGGCATCATCATCTCTGAAGGCCATGAACTTTTCCTACAACAACTTTTGTGGGAATGTCAACAATGAGGGTGCTTTTTCATCACTGACAATCAATTCTTTTATCGGAAATGGCAGGCTCTGTGGCTCGGTTAAGGGCCTGCAGAACTGCCACAGAAAGAGGCCGCCTCGTCGCCATTTCTTGATGGCGATTCTCCTGTCATTACTCATTACTCCCATGTTCTGCATAGCAGGATATCCTTTAGTGTTGAGATCAAAGTACAGAAAGGAACAGCTGCCTGTTTCGAAAGGCAAGGACATTGTAGACGAAGAAGAAGCAAGATCCGAGGAGATAAAGTATCCAAGGATTTCCCGGAGACAGCTGATCCAAGCTACTGGAGGATTCAGTGGTTCGAGCCTAGTGGGATCCGGCAGATTTGGCCATGTCTACAAGGGAATTCTTCAGGACAACACAAAGATAGCTGTTAAAGTTATCAATTCCAAAGCAGCAGGAGAAATCGCAGGGAGTTTCAAGAGGGAGTGCCAGGTTTTGAAGAGGACTAGGCACAGGAATCTAATCAGGATAATAACTACCTGCAGCAGGCCTGATTTTAAGGCCTTGGTTCTTCCATTGATGCAGAATGGAAGCCTTGAGAATCATCTGTATCCAAGCCATGGTTCAAAACACGGGTTGGATCTCATGCAGCTTGTGAGCATTTGCAGCGATGTAGCCGAAGGGATGGCCTATCTGCACCACCATGCCCCTGTCAAGGTAGTGCATTGTGATCTCAAACCGAGCAACATTCTTCTTGATGATGATATGACTGCCCTGGTCACTGACTTCGGCATTGCAAGACTGGTTAAAGGTGCTGATCCTGTCGATGAGTCCGGATCCTACGACTCTACAGATGGTCTCCTATGTGGCTCAGTTGGCTATATTGCCCCTGGTATGTAATTAAAATCCCTTTCTGAATAATATCCTACTTCACATTTAGTAACAGCTACTAACAATGATAATATATTTCCTGATAAATTCGATGTTTTGGTGGCAGAATATGGAATGGGAAAGCATGCTTCAACACAAGGAGATGTTTATAGCTACGGGGTTCTTATACTGGAGATCGTGACAGGGAAACGCCCCACAGACATACTTTTCCAAGAAGGTTCTAACATGCACGAATGGATTAGGAGTCGGTACCCAAACCGGCTAGAGACAATTATGGAAGAAGCCATGGAGAGATGTGCACCGCGTGCAACAATGGCCCCATGTGACAAGAAGATATGGCGCGATGTGATCCTAGAACTTATAGAAATAGGCCTAATCTGCACACAGCACAACCCTGCCATTAGGCCAACTATGCTTGACATTGCTGGCGAAATCAGCCTTTTGAAGCAGTATCTTTGCAGCCCTTCAACTTTAGCTACCGAGCAAACACAAACGAACTGCGATATTCTTTTATGAATAGAAAATCTACATTTTCTGATGCATCTATCATCAAGTTTCTGCCATTTTTCAGTGAGTCCTTAAGGTTGTCGATAAGTAGAGTCACAGTCTATGTTTTCTAATCTGACAATGGCAGAAGGTTGATGCTACTATGAAATTCTTTAACTCTGATGATATTTATTCATCCAGACAATCAAGAACACTGAACTAAATCATTCTTTGAGTCTACCATTAAGTTAAAACTTAAAAATGTTTTGTTTCATATGCATTCTAGTGGGAAGGTTGGAACTACCCAACTTACTCCTAAATCTGGCTGATATGCTGCACTTAAAAGAACTTTTCATGATTTTGTTATCCAGACTAAATTATTACATATCCTTTTGTAGTGCATTTGAAGATTGTCCTGATATCATCTATAGGTCTGTCTACTAGTGATCCTTACAAAATCTGGTCCTTGCATTGGACCTTCTGGTGTTTAAAATATTTATGCACTTTCTGCCTGCAGGACCACTTGCCACTTATATCTAGTGTGTGTGTGTAATAATAAATAAATATAGATATGTATGTATACAAATACTTGATGAAGATTTTTCTGTATTGATTGGTACAATGAGCTAGTTGAGAATCTAATCACCATTGATGCCTAACTTGTTCTAAGTTCTGTTTCAAGTTCATCCCCCCTTCCTAACAGCAACAACCACTCAAGTTATTGTGGGCCAAGGATTTGAAATAAGGGAAGCACCATAGAGTCGATATCTACATGTGTCTGCAGATATTATCTTAAACATACAAACGTTTGATTGGAAATCAAAAAAATATAGATAAATATACAGTTTCATAGAAGCAGGAGAACATGAGAAGGAAAAAAGTGTTGGTAATTATAGCGTAATTTGATTTATTCGAAGCCTTGAGACGTTCAGACTAGGCAAACACCGGGATGGGACATGTGGAGCGGGTAACTAGTATTGCCGTTCTAGCTTACAAAGATTTATAATAAAAATGATAAATATTGGAAATAGTGTGTGGCATGACTATGACTAAGGTAGTGTTCGTGTTGTGAAAATTGTGCTTGTCCCCACCTAAGGAAGGATCATCTTCTGAAAATTTTTGTTTCATTTTATATTAACAAAAAACAAAAAGAATTGAGAAAATAAAATTCGGGCAAGAATTTACGTCCTTACACGTTTTTAATCTTTGACTTCTATTCTACTCAGAATTTTCTTTTATACCAAAAATTGAACTGTTCTTTGTCTTATTTCTTATACAAATTTCTAATACCCATGAAAAGACGTAAGGTAGAGTTATTATATTTGGAAAGCCTGTTTATTGTGATTCAAAGAACTATCCAATCAACACTAATCCCCAACAAGAAGTAGTACTAGAGTTTGGGAATACTTATCTTCAATTTCCGTACATGTATGGAATGTTATGCTTGTAGAAAGATCTTGGATGGTGACATGTTCTTTCTCTACAGTTTCTTGTTGTTGACTTCTGTAAAAGCCAACCCCATAAAGAGCACCTTAAGTCAACACGGATGAAATACATGACCCATTGACCTCATTTGTGTGCAATCTTCAGCCATAAGTCATACTTCAAAATATGTTAATGTTCGAATTTCTATTTATTATTATTTTCCTAATTTATGCATATAAGTAGTATATACACAGACAACACAATTCTCAAAATGAATAATTATTTTCATGCCGTGAAAAACAAGAAATTAGGAACAATAATGGGATTGCTATCATCAATCTACCTTTTTTCCCAGAGTTGTGTTCTTTTATGGTTTCCTCAGCAGTTCTTGCAAAGTGGAACTGATGACTGCCACTTGCATCTCAGGTTGATCCTAAAATATGGACAGCTTCTAAGGCAAAATTAATGTCTGGTAACATACCAAACAGATTTCCGCATAACAATGTCAACTAACTTTTGTATCCTTTTTCTCTGTTGACCTTATTACTACTTTATTCTTAATAGAACCTTTTCAAGGTAGATTCATAGTAAAATGATTGCACACATTAATGTCAGACTTGATATATACATGTGTACGTATATCTATGGTGTTAACTAAACCAAAATTATGGCTAACTAGATACTTTCCTAACATTGATCTTCATTTTACATTTGTTGAAGTTATAGATGGATACAGAGGTTGGGATAATTACTCAAGGCTGACTTCTAAAAAGCAACTCCGTGAAGATAAATACTATCTATTAAGACAGATCACTTAAAATCAAGTAGGTAAATGAACACTTAATGCTAAGAGTTAGGTTCTCTCTTGTGTTACTCTTTTACAAGTTTTCGACAAGGCATTGTTTCTAGTGGTTCAACGCTAATGGAAGATTTTCTCCATGTCTAACTACATTCGTCTCGTATATTTGAAATTGTTAGAAATAGAGTTTAAGCTACAAACTTTGTGCATGTCGACTTTAAAAGTAAAACTAACCTGCAGCCTGATGGTATCCTCAGCGTTTGGTTGCTAAATCCAAATGGCCCTTCAATACTCGTGTAGAAAATAAATAACCAAACAAAAGGAAGTGATTGTTTAATGAAAGTGAGATATGTAAGGAGGAAGACTTTTACACCTCCTTTTTATCGTGTTTTTCATATTCATGCCATGGGGCTCTTTTATGAAACATGAAGTATATAGAAAAAGAAATTTTTGGATCAGCATATAAAGAAGACAGTAAAAACAACCATTGTTCGACATAATTTTGTATATTTGATAGACAGATCTAAGTTTCGCATCGGTCCAGCAGCTGAGCATGACTTATTTTTTAAAGTCTAACGGAAGAAAGGTTGAGACACATTGCAGCATTGATAGACAGTCATCAAATAATTCATTTAGAAAGAAAAGAGTGGTATCAAGCTAAACGTATGTTCCTCTTCTAAGTATATCAAAAATTGAAAACAATTGATTCAACTGTTACAATCATTACAAGGGAGTAGTTTCTCTATACATAGATCACATATTGGTAAGGTTGAATATACATTCTATACAATAGACTGCAAGACTTCATCACATAGACACAATTTGTAGTACCTGGTGGCGTGTGTCTTTATGCTTGTTCATAGCCAAAAGTAAAGCATTGCCTGCATTGAATGTCAAACATCAATAAAAACATGCAAAAGATAGACAGCTTGGAGAAGAAGATATACTACATACCTCAGGGAGAGAGGAGGATCGGTCCTCTTGCACAGGGGGCTTTTGATCCTTTCTCTGGCTCCTAACATCAGCGCGTAATAAATCTAGTTTTCTATTGATTTCTTTAAGCAGTTTCAACTCTTCCTCTTTGCGAGTGAATTGAGCCAGTCTCTTGGCAGCCTCATGTATCACTGAGGCCAGGTTTGATTGGCTTGAACTGCCCTCGGGTTCAGCAATGCCTGTGGTAGATTCTTGTTTAGCACAATCAATGGCCTCGGGTGGTTCACCAATGCTTGTGGAAGGTTCTCGCACAGCACGGTCAATAGCAGCAATATTGCTCGGTTTACACAAGTGCTTCTCATCATGAGTGGATTGGAACAGTTTCTTCAACCAGTCATGCTCCTCTTTAGCGTAAAGCTTGACAGCTTCCGGGTGGACAACCTCTTTGCTTCCATGTGTCTCAGAATCTCGACAGGCTTTCTTCATTTTGAGATCAACTGGCGATGGCTGTCTACACGTGCTGCAGCTCTCGTCAGCTTGTGGAACTTCAAAAACATCATGAATGCTCGGCGAACCATGACCATCAGCAGCCCCACCATCTTTTGATGAATTTGCAGGACAAATGTTCTGCTCAGTTTCATCTGAAATGGCTGCTCTCTTCGATGTACTCGGATCACCAAAATTTAGCCCGGAAGGAAGCGACGGAGGAGACCTGGTTTCATTCCTCGAGCTGTCTGCATCGTCATCCCCAGTTAACTTTTTCACTCGTACACTCAATTTCTTTATCTTCTCACCATAAGAATCAATGTTTCCGTGAGTCGAACTATCAGCCTTCTTTTCCAGTTCCAAGGACAAGTTTGTTTCCTGGCCTTTTGGAGGAAGTCCCTCCTTTTTACCAGAAATCTTTTCCTTTTTCGGAGAAGTGCTTGGTGTGTCAGCCATAGTCTTTTTATACTTGACAAGCATAGGTTCAGAAAATCTCCTTTGCAAGCCGCCATGAAACCCCTTATTATCTCCCGATGGGGTTTCATTCCTCAAACGGGCATCAGGAGATTTCAAGTCATTTCCATCGGAGTCATCCTCAACATCCAAACCCATGCTTAACAATTTCGACCTATAAGTTTGGACTTGGTAGTCCAATGCAGCCACCTCCATATCTCTTTCTTGGATGATATCTTCAATTACGGCAACAGATTCCTCTGCGTGGCACATTCTCTCCTCAGCCAGCCTCTTGTATTGCTCTGCTTCCATTTTTACAGCAGCCTTCTCACCCTGCAGACGCAGTATCACAGACAATGCTTCGCTAGCCGCTGTGGCAGAGGCTTCTCTTTCGGCATCCAATTCACTGTAAAGCTTCTGCAGAAGCTCTTGCTGGTTGCAGAGCGCTTCCTTCAGAGCCCGTATCTCAGCTTCGGACATCACCATGCCTTGAACAGCCATAGCATGATTAAATTTTTTTTTTGGAAAATGTGTAAGAAATTTTGTACAAAAGAAACAAACCCTAGAATGTCTTCCATATTTAGGAAATGCTAAAATCAATGAAATTATCAGTGATCACCAGCATTAAAAGAAACTATTCTTACCTGTTCCCTGCAGAGAAGAAAGGATCAGAACTATTCCTGCCGGTCAGGCATTTAATCGAATAATTGGGTAGACTGTATAAACCTCAAACCCAATTCAAATCCTGCTCGCAGTATTTTCTCAAAAATTCATGACGGAACGAGGAAAAAAGGTTCCCAAACTTGACCCTCAATTACAGCTGACGGATTCACAAGGATGCAAATAACAAACAAAAAATAAAACTAGAAAAGAATGAAATCCTTCAACAATAACAATTAAGGGTTCTAAAAATGGAAATGCTTTCTTGTTTATTATTTATTGCTTGAAGAAACAGGATTTTCCTTTGCACAAGAATCAAGCAGAAGACAATTGAATTCATGTATATATACACGTATCATTGAATGTTTACAAAGACATAGGCAGGATGAATTATGATGCAACAAAATTCTGAAAATTTGAAAAGAATGATATTAGAACGTTGCTCCATCCTGCCTAAAACCAGCAGCACCCTATAACAACACAAATTTATATCATTTAGTATAATATTTTCTAATCCCCAGAAGAATCATTGGAGAGGAGACAAAAAAGCCGTTAATGTATTGTCATTTGTCTGGATGAGGATAGGCTTGTCTAGCTATTATTAGTTAATATAGATTAAACATTCAAATTAAAATTATATAATTTTATCAAATAAATTTATATTCCAATCGATTGTCCAGATGCAATCCTTTGATCTTATACGATTTAAAGTTACAAATACAAACCACTATATTTTAAAGAATGAATCTTACAAAAGCATTTTACAAGACGATTTCACAGCATTCAAAAATTTCATTGGATCAGCTTTGATAATATATTTTCTAAATAAAAAAATTACTTTAAATCTAAGGTAATCTTACAGAAAATCCCATGAGTGTTTCTATCACTTCACAAATTCACCAAATTCACCGGTAACCTTCAGGATAAAGTTCCGTACAAACACAATCCAACCTAAGCAGTTTTTGCCGCCAAGATCCCTTCCAAAGTAATCCCTATATTAGCGCTGTTGGTCATGAATTTCTTCAACAATATCCTCCAAACATCAGATTTGATTTCCAGTTTATTCGATACAGCAATGCTAAGTACATCCGAAATACCTGCTTCTAATCCAGAATCACAAAGCCCTTCAATTAATATACCAAGTGTTGAATCATTAGGAGTGCAGCCTTGATCCATCATCTCCTTCAAAACTCTGATCCCTTCCCCTGCATAGCCTGCTTTGCAGAATCCTCTAATCAGCACATTGTAGCTGACGGCATTGGGAACACATCCACTTTCGACCATATCGTCCCATAACCTCCCCGCCTCGTATAACTCCCCTTTCTCGCACATTCCTGCAATAAGTGTGTTATATGTCAAAGCACTCGGAATAGTGCCCCTCTCAAACTCATCGAACAATTTCCTCGCCTCCCAAACCTTCCCTTCCTTGCATAGCCAATATATAAGTGTGCTCGATATGGCATTATCTGGAGTACAGTTCTTTAGCAACAGCAATCTCCACAGGCCACATGCTTCATCGACTTTCCCATCCCAGCAGAGGGCATCAATCACCTTACAACATAATGCTGAGCTCGGTACATACTTCTTATCGAGCATATCACCAATCATATTCACTGCCTCTCCAGATTTTCTTTCTCTGCATAATGCCTCAATCATCACACTATATGTAATATCATTAGGCGAAACTCCATTTTCCTCCATCTCATCCATCACTTTTGTGGCTTTAACAAATTGGCCCAGCTTGCAATACCCATCCATCAGAACAGTGTAAGTTGTAGCATCCGGTAACCAACTTCGGTCCAAGATCTCATCAAACACTCTCTTTGCCCCTTCCATGTGACCTCGATCAGCATATCCGGCCATGAGGGTTGTGTAACTCACCACATTCGGAATCAACCCCATACCAGGAATTTCATCCAACAACTTGCGGGCACCCTCCAAGTCACCCTTTTTACACAAAGCTTTTAGTAATATATTACAAGTAAACACGTTGGGCACAACTTGGAACCTCTTCTGACTGTTCTTGAACATAAGGTAAACGGAATCATACATTTTATTCTGAACCAAGGCATTGAGTAAACAGTTGAATGAGCGAACTGACCGCTGAAGACCAAAATCATTGATTCGAAGAAACATTTTGATTGCCTCTTTAGGTTTGCTAGCAAGACCATAGTTTCGAATGAGAGTTATGAACGTATTCTCACCGCACTTGATTTTTGAAACACGCAACTCATTCAAGATAGATTCGATTGGTCCAAATGCACGCCAGCGGCAGAGCTTGAGAATCATAGAATGGTAGGTTTCATATGTATGGTGGAAACCAGGCTGGTAATTACCGGCATAGTGGAAAATTTGGAGAGCAAGATCTAAATTTTGCTGTTGGGAGATGATGAGGCGAAGCCGCTTGGGGGTGAGTTCTTTGGGCCATGGTTTAATTGGGGGTGTGACAGTGTAAGACTTGAGAAGTTGGAATTTTGGTATAGAGGAGACTTGGTTGGGATCAACAGAGCTGGGAAGTGTGGTGAATGAGAGCTTGATGGAGGCAATCCAGTGGAAGGGTTGAATTTTCTGTTGAAGAGACAACATGGTGATGACACCAAGCAGTAATTGGAGAGGGAAATGGATATTATTATTCAAGGCAACCTAAGAAAATTTCTACCCTTTTCTCAAGAAAGCCCTTGAAACTCTACTAGCTTCAACTCAAAAACAAATTAGCACGAAGAAAGACTACTGATGGTAACCACTGAAACCCTTCTTCTCCCAATTACAAGAGATGGAAATCCAACATAAAATGTAAAAACTCTGCATCAAAACAAACACTTAAATAAGCACACCTGCTATAATGATTCGCTGTGCAAGTAATATCTTTTCTCAGACATAAAGGCTTTCAAGGTTGCATATTATCATTATACATGCGCCTAACAACGTTTAAAACTCCAACTGTTCCTCAATGCCATGTTTACGACACAGCTGCATTAGGTTTCTTAGTGGAGCAATTTGGACCGGAGCATTTGGCAGCAAAAAAAAAAAAAAAGTGACGGAAACGAAAAGGGATAAATACGGCTACAAATTTCGAGACAATTTCCTCAGAGCATCATTAGCGATAATCTTAAATTCCAATTGCAACTACATGTAAACTAATTCAAACACTTGGTAGTTACCAGATATCATGTCAATACGTTCGATTCTGCCGTATTGGAGAATAAGAGCTCCAAGCCCCACTGCGGAGTCTCATACTCTTAATTCCTGTAGCGGCGATCCATCAACTGTCGTCAAAACAGACTCAGAAGGTCTTCAAACGACATGATATACAACCCTTGCTGTAGTCTTGTACCAATTCGAGTGGAGGCTGAAGAAGCCCAGCCACCATGGCTGGATGGTGAGGTAAAATTTACTAAAATAAATAGCAATGATCAGAAAATAGTCCTAAAAGCCCAACTGAATTAAAATATAGGCCCAATATTAGGAGCCTATTTTTTTGCCTACGACACCGCTCCCTATAAATATTGTACCGGAACGCAGGAAAGGCGTCGGTTCCCGCGCACAAAATCTAGCTCTGAAGAAATGTCGAGTTTGGAAAAGCAAGTAAACAGCGACTTGGATCCATCTCGCCAGCTCGCTATGGCAATGGCGGTTGTTGAATCTAGCTGCTATCCTAAGCTTGCTCTTCCTCCTCCTCCACCACTACCACCACCACCACCACCACTTGCCTCTGCCACTAACAACGACTCTGATGCCGGCAAATCAGATGTCATAAAATGGAAACTAAAGGTTTTCTGGCGCTATGTATGAGCTCATTCAATTTCCTATGTCTTTTTTTCGTATTTAGATGGTAATTTTGGATTTTTTTTTTGGTAAGTTTAGGCCAAGTGGCGCAAGAAAGAAAACCTTAGACTTAAGGAATGTCTCAAAATTGCTGAAGGTAATCTCCTCGTTTCCTTTCTCACACATGATTGCAATTGATGAATCTGATTATGTGAACTTTTATTTTTACTTTTTAAGTGGTTTTGGTATTTTGATTTGTGATGTTTTCAAACGCGCATTGACTAGTTAAAACATGCATGCAATAGCATGCATAATTTTTAATATTTCTTATTTCTTGCATCAGATGGTATGAATCAGGATGTATTTCCGCAAAACATGTCGTGCAAATGCTATTTATTTGATAATTTGGGGCAGCTAAGCCCTAAGAACGAACCAGATCAGAAGAGGTTTGATGACGTGCTCCGACGGAGATTTCTCAGACAAGGTTTCCTCCATACTTTAATATTCTAATTTATTTCACTACACTGATGTATACTGATGTTCCTTTAGGGAAATTTCTTGTTCTTCCCGTGCTTCTGTAATGCTTCTTCTGTGTGACTAAATTAATTTGTTGCTTTAATGTTGAAGTTAGATTAAGTGAGAGAAAGAGGCGGAGACCTGAAGGCTCCTTCAGGGGATTGGCGAATTTAGGTGAATCTGCCTTTTGGTTTGCAATTTGTGTGTATACATTTTAAACTGAGCTTGTTGTAACAGGAAAATATATAAATAAGTAAAATATAGTTGTTTATAGTACAAAAGAAGTGACGATGAAAATAGTTTCTCTGATGATGGCTAAACAATAGCAATATTTCAATATCAGACTTGTAAGAGACATGGAAAGGTGTTAGTATACATGGATTTTGACATTTTATTGGTTTGATAAGAATTAAAATGGAGTGGATGTATGTGTGGTACCATTTTGTCCATCTATATTCAAGTCATCCTGTGACTTGTATGCCAAATGAGTAAATATTTAGCAACCTCACTCCATAATACTATTGATTTATCATCAATAAACATGCCAATATTTTCTGGTCAGACGAGAAGATGATTACAATTATTTCCAGTGGTCATATTGTGGTTTATAGCATTTACCAGTGAACAAGTCGACCTATTTAGATGATAGTTGACATTAGATTCATTCTTTAATCACATTTTTATTGTTTTGTTACTACTGTGGTTGCAGAAAGTGCTAATGAAATGGAGCAACTGAAAGCTTCTGTGGATTTTCTTGTGGAGCTTTGTGATACAGTTTCTCCTACTGCAGTGTGTTATTCTACCCTGCCCGTCTTCAAGAGTTGCATTATTATGGCATTGGTGATTATTATCTAATTGCCTTCTCTTTATGGGACTTTTGTCACTTCTGTATGCTTTCAGGTAGATGAGGGTTATTTCAAGAATTGGTCACACCAGGCTGTTGACTTCATTCTTGGTACCAAATCAAGCTGAATTATCTAATAATATTTTGAATACAAACTGGACTGTCAAAACCTTCGTGAATAAACTATTTAATTTGTGCTGTAAATTAACATACAATTGAAGGTTATATTACTAAGACTCAATACATTTTCTAGCATACCAAAGTGATAGAGAATTCATATTGGGATGTGTCAAGAATCCAGAATTTTCTTCCATGATTAGAGAAGATTAATTGATATTTTCTTGCATCAAATCAAGTGAGTTTAAAGAAAGGCAATGCATAAAGTAGATGTTTTTAAATGGTTCCAACATACTTTATAGATAGTGCAAATTTCATTTTTACTGTTCAGTAAAAGAAAATTTAAGTTTTTCATCAGGATTGAAGGCTTTTAGTCACACTTTGTTTGTTTTGACCATTGGATGCTATATGCTTCAAAAGTTGCTAAAGTATTGTTAAAAGTAAAAGGTATCAATGATTGTTTGTTTTATCACACCATAGGTTCCAGGACAAATATCCTTTTTTTTATGTCATGTTTTATTGGAATTATGACTATTATTTGTTTTAACTCATTATTTTGTTTATATGAAGCAACATTAAATGGACTATCAAGCACTGGAAATCTGGATGAGAAGACTGAGAGCATTGTGAGTAGCTTAATTATCCGTTTGGTGCGTAGGATGTGCTCTGGAACAGAAGGAGATGGTTAGTCCTTGTTTATGTATGTTCTTTTTTCTTTCCATGCCTTTGGTGTATGTAGGTACATCTTTTCTTTTGTTTTTATTCTACATGCACTACAGTTGTAATAAGATACTATTCAATACCCTCCATTCGGAGCGGAAGCAATTATATCCTTTCCATTGCTGCATGATGTTAGTTTATAAATCTCAATTTTTTTCTTAGCTGTTTATCTATGTTTTTCTCGTGTTCCTTTTTAATTTATTATTTTATTTTCAGAAATAACTAAGAATACCATCCAGTTTTATGTTCAGCACCCGATGCGCAAACTTGGAATAGATCCATATATCGGTCAGCGAGTGATCCTTGCGGTTTCTGAGAGAATTTCCATGGCAGCAGAAAGTTTACTCTTCATGGATCCATTTGATGTTTCCTTTCCCAGAATGAACAACTGCATGTATGCAATGTAAGTTTTAATTTGTTTTGAATTATGGCAGTCCAAATCAATTGATTGCTTTCTTAGAACTTGAATGATAAATTATATTTAGCTTACCATGTCTGGCAACTAAGAAGCTATATCTTTATCAACATCAATCCATATGCATGTAAACTGCAGGATTCAGCTGATCGAATTTCTGATTTCAGATTACATCCAATCTTGGTCGACTCTTGAAGACTTTGATTTGAGTATGTGTTTCATCATCGCCTGTAAACAGCAATGATCATGTTCTACTTTAATATTTAGTTTTTCCATCCAATTCTCACAGTCCTAGTTATTTGCTCATGATGTCATGTAGAGCTCCTCCAAGAGTGGTTGTTTTCTGTCTTCCGTGCTCGAAAATCTCTGGAGCTCTTGGAGAACAGGAACACACTATACATGCTATACATGGATCGCCTAGTGGGCGAATTGACTCGGCAGCTGGGTCAAGCTTCCTTTCTTCAGAAGCTACAACCTGATATTCTTTCTAAACTGTTTGCATGATCACCGACTATTTAGAGGATTCATAAGCACCCTACCATATCTATTCTCAGCATACGTGCACATAAGGAAAGAAGGAGACGAATGAGGTGTTTTCTTTTCTGGTAAGCTCTACATACATATGCTTAGAATCAGTATTAGTGTGCATCAACTCCCTTACAGATTTAACTGTGGAAAGGCTACAAATTGCTTGCAAGCTCCTGCAAAGTTGCTAATTTAGCCACATATGCGTGTGTTTATTTAATCAAAATTTAAACTTGTTTACCAGATTTTTACTCACGCCGGGAGCTGGAAAAGCAATCACCAAAAAATAATGTGCATCGCAGGTTAGCGCCGCAAATTTATCATACATATTAAGCATAGAATTCAAACTTAAAACTCCATGGAATTTTCGATTCCTCTTATTATACTATCATATCACTCTTAATGCATCCAATTTCACCAACATAACAAGCAAGAATGAACAACTTATCCTATCATGACTATACTACATCAATCTAAAAGATTATCTTCCTAGCAACTGTATTCAAAAAATATTTCTTTGCTATGTTCAATAGCAATATTTACTTTCAATTGCTTATTAAAGAATATGCTATTGATAATCTATTGGTGGGATGGGTTTCGTTTTATTTTCTTTGGGATGATAAATTCCTTACTTAACTAAGTGGGTAGAGTATTGCTTTCATACTGCAGGAGTCATTGGTTATTATTTTTAGTTTCTATCTTACTATACTTTAGTAAATATAAATTTATATTTTATTTTCAGGAAAAGATATAAATGATGGGTTTACTTTTGCATCAGAACTTACAATATGGAGACTGTGTACATCATGATTCATGTGTATCTAGTCCAAACGTTTTATCCAAGGTTATGATAATGGTGTTTTGGTTACGAGTCATTATAGCTTCCTAGGTTTCGTGTGGGCTATCTAATTACACCACTCTATCCTAAAAGTAAACCTGGAGGAAGGTAGGAAACCTTACATTCGTATAAGAGAAGGTTGCAAGGAAAAAGAGACTCATCCCTCAACTCCATCCATCCTCAAATAGTGTGTAATAAACATACTAGTTTGTTAATTCATAAAGATCTATCCCTTCCTTATTCAACTATCACATAAATGAGCTATCATCCGCCAATCTTCTATAACCTGTGCTTCACAATAACAGCCTCAACGCCATTATGGTTGTTGTTGTTGATGTTATTGTCCAATTTCAAAATCCTAACGGGTGATCGTTGTGAGAGCATCAAGTTCAACCATCACACCAGCTGTAATGAAACCAAGATCACCAATTATAACAACTCATTAGTATTGGGACAACAAGCTGAGAGAAAACAGCAAAAGGTGATTATGATAAGCTTCCAGACCTCCATGAAGAGATTGATTAATGTCGAAATGAAGAAGAGAAGAATTCCTAGGATACCAAGAAGACATGATAATTCATCTTCATCGTCATCATCCGCAGTCCCAAAGGAAATCATGTCTTGTCTGCCTCCCGCAGGCTATGCTTCTGTGTTCATTTCCTTCGCTTTCTTCTTTTTCTAGACATGCTCCCAAGGCCGAGGGTCATGCTATTGACGATGTGTTTACTCCATAATGAGAAATACATGATGGGTGTGTTCGGTTGAGAGATTTGGACAAAATCTCACTATTCATCCAAAATTTCCCCCCCAAAAACATCAAATCAAACACCTATTTTTTATTTTTTATATTATACTAAAAATCAATTTTACATTCAAAACATCACATCATCACCTATTTATATCACATCATATAATTATTCAAATTCAAAATTTTTACTATTCAAATCCCAATTTAAAATCCAAACCCCCAAACAAACAAACCCGATATAGATATAATGGGTTTGGTATATGTTTTTTCTCTCAACTGTATGTATGTATATACTCGAAAATCTTCATCAAATAGTATGATTGTGATGTATATAGGTGTTTTGTGTGATATTTTGAAAAAATTAATAAGACTACTTCCGGTAAGCAGGCATGTTGGGACTGGACAAGTACTGTTGAACAAAATCGAATTAAAGCGAGCTTTCAGCCAACGAGAAGAATTCAGCTCAAATCCTCAAATACAAACATTAAATAGGAAATATCTGTCAATCAAATCGAATTATTATATTACTATACATATGAGTTACAGCATGCATAACCTGAACATCCAACTCTAATAAGGTTCTTCACTAAAAGAACTACAAATATGTATGTAAAGTGATGCAGCAATATGGCAGCAATATATCACAGCAGTAGTAAATTTGAACTTAAACTTACGCGGTATCTTGGCATTGAAACAATTATGATACATATGTCTTGGAATTGAGTGGTGCCGTATCAGATTCTGAATACATCTGTTTGGAACCGCTGGTCGTACAATTGCCAATGCCCGTATCTTTCAGTATGATAAACAGACCTCGGGATGTAGAAGTTGGGTTTCTTGAAAGTTAGCAAGTTATTCAGATTCAATGCTGCGTTGGCAATATCGCGACTGGTCACATTCGCACATCCTGATAAATCCAAATACTCCAATTTCGGGCACCCTTCAGAGATCATAATAAGGCCTTTTGCAGTTAACTTGGAGAATTGGAGTTCAAGATGGAGAAGACCGGGCATGAATTTTGAGATGGCGGCAGCTTCTGAATCTCCATCCTGAGGACACGCATTCAGATATTCTGATGGAACAATTCCGACATGTTGGGAAGGACTCAGGAAGTTGCGCTTCAGCGTAGAAATGTTAGGACAATTAGTTCCTAAGGTCGCCAAAGATTTGTGGGATATTTCATAGCAGGAGCTGAGATCAAGCTCCTTAATCTTTGGGCATCCAGATGCTATTGCAGCCATGGTTGCATCAGTTACATGGGGACAATGCCTGATCGAAAGAGCTTGAAGATTTGGGGCACTGTAAGTGTGTACAAACAAGTCAAGCCCTGTTATTACATTTCTTAGAAACGATGAGCAAACAGAGTGAAGAATATGAATGCAGTTTTAGGAGAATGATAAGAAGTTTACAAAAGTTAGAACAAAAGAGCAGATTATAGTCATAATCATTAACAGCAAACATGCTTGCAAGAAATTTATGGCAAAACATTTCAATGATATTAGAGGATCATTATTAATAGAAGCAACATTCGATGAGAAGGTAGAAATCCCTTTAAATCAATGGTTTCAGAACCAAATCTAAATCAACAAAACAAGAAAAGGTTGTATTCTATGAAAGAAAATGGAGATTTGATCATCCTCTTTTAAAACGTATCTAGAATTTGTTAATTTGCAGAAAATAGTGTCGATTATCAAGTCGCAAGGTATCCAGCTCGGGATAAAAGAAGACTACCTATTGAATTGAAACTTAGATGAGAATAGCTATTGAATAATCACATAATTCAACCCTAGACAAGGAAAATCCCAATTGTACGTAGCCAAAAAAGAAAATCAAAATGAAACCGTATTAAATCAATCAGAAGATAGATCTGAAAAGTATCAAATTGAGGTGTAAAAATATACCTCTGAGCAACCAACGACAGCGATCGATCCGAGCAGTGCCTGACGCGGATTTCCGTGAGGGAGCCGGCACTCCAGGCGACGACGGATGCGACCATACTATCGATCCTGCGCTCGAATTCTGGAGTCCAGAAGCGAGGCATGTCCGACGCGGACTGGAAGTGAGATTCGAGATCAAGCACCGAATTGAGGCAGGGATCCTTGCAGGCGTGGTGCCATGACTTACATACAAACATGACGCATCGCCATCGATCCTCCAAAGGAAGGCGGGAGAGGATATTGATGAGGCACTCATGAGTCAATTCCGCCCAGTCTGCGCCGGAGGCGGCGATGGTGAATCGCTCCATGTCGGTGACCCCGTCGGCTTCTTTATCATCCATTTCTTGGAGAAATGCTGGTTCTTTGTTGTGTCTTTGCCCATTTATTTATATATACATTATCTCCCTTTTATTAAATAAAATACTTCTTCACAAATATTCATTTTTTTTTATTTTAGTCCCTCCAAAGCAAAAATATATATATATTTTTTAAGTAATTATACAGACAATTTACAATATATTACACAAATTCCATTACATTTATATAAGCAAATGAATATTTTTTTATGGGACGGAGGGAGTATTCCATTCATCTTCTGCCACCCTAACTTAAATATAGTGCTGTTAACGATCCGAGTTGAGTCGAGCCGAGCCAAGTTTTAAGTGTTTGTTAATGTTCGCGAACAAGGCTCGTGTTCATTCGTTAAACTTTCGAGCTTGTTCGTAGTGTTCGAGCTCGTTAAGAATTTTTGTTGTATGACTTCGTATTCGTGTTCGGCTCGTTTAGATTCGATTAAGCTCGTTCGAGTTCATTCGAATTCGTTTGTCTTATTTTTTTAAATTTATATATAAATTATAAATAAAATTTAAAATTATTTATTTATATATTTTAAATTAATATTTTATTTATTTATAAATTATAATTTTATATGTATATATAATATTTATAATAAATATATTATTTAAAAGAATGTTCGCGAACAAAATTCGGGTTCGTTCGTTAACCAAACGAGCCTATTTATGTTGATCGGCTCGGCTTGTTAACGTTCGCGAACGAGCTTTAACTGAGCCGAATCGAGCCGAGTTCACGAACGGAATTATTAATATTCAAATATCAACATGAAAAAAAAATGAGACCTTTAGAGCCGACCTCCGTCCGGCTCTAAAGTCATATTTACTTTTTGTATGTTGTTCTTTGAATATTAATTATTATATCAAAACGTAATACAAATTAAAGGAAAATAGCAAAAATACTTTTCTCAGTGTCTTATAATACTATTACAATGATATTTGTGAAAAAAATTATACAAATATAAAGACATTTTTAATGTTAAGCAAAATGATGCAAAAAATAAATGAAATCTTTAGAGTGGACGAGGAGTGTATTATTTTATTATTTCACATGTCTACAGTCAGCACCATTATTATTTTGAACCAACGTCCAAAGAAACTCGATTGCTATGTCATGGGGATCGATGTTTTTCTCAACAAATATGTTACAAAAAAATTATACCAACGCATTGGAAGAGATATCATATTATCATATCGTATATACTACTACTACTAATAATAATAGTATTAATCGACATCATCGACAACAATCCGATCCAATCCATCGAAAATTATCAAAAGTTAAAAAAAAAAAAAACAAATAATTAAGCATTCATTGGCGTCATATAGTCGGCGTCATCTTCGTCGAGGCGGCCACCTTCGACAAGTATGGCGTAGACGGCGTAGACGATCCCGGGAACATACCCTAACAACGTTAGCACCACGCAGATGAAGAACTCACACTGCATGCATGCATCCATCATATATGTAACGTATATATATAATTATTCCTAATTCATTCATTTTAATCAATTAATATTAATAAGACACACAATTACATATATATATATATATAAAGAAATTAATTTACGTACGCTGCAGCAACCATTTCTGAAGAACACTCCCAAAGGGGGAAGCAGAATTGCAAGAAGAATCTCCAAGAACAGCTCGCACCTCGTCGCCATTAATCAAATCAAATCAAATCAAAATAATAAATTAAATAAATCGATCAATTGATTGAGTGACTGAATCTGTCCGTTGGGGTTTAATTAATTTGTTCTTATTATTTCTTGGGATTGGGAGTGTCTAACTTTTCTATAGGCGAATGAATGAATCATAAAACACCTCACAAAAATGGCAGCCCTTCATTCTAGGATCTATCAATCTTGAAATCAATTATTCTATATATATATATATATATATATATATATGAATCCAACATTAGCCTTAAGGTTGTTAGAAAACATTATAAAGTTTGCCTTTTTCTAATATTGAATAAAAATATATACATATTTTTTAAATTAATATTTTATAAGATTATCATTCTTTAAAATTATGGATTATTTGATTCGACTAAAAATCTATTTGGTTAGACAAAAGAGATCAAAAAAATAAATATTTTATTAATAACATTGTAAAATTAAAATGACGATTGAAAATATTTTTAAAAGTTTAATTATAATTAATAAGGAGAACACGATAATATAATATGATAGTAGTATTGTAATAAATAAATATTGAATTGATTTTAACAAAATTAGTACTTCATCCGTCTGTCTCTAAGATGCCATATTGATTGTATTTAATATTAAAAATATCTTTATATTAAAATATTTTTTAAATTTTTTTAATTTGTAATACGTTTTAATATAATAACTAATATTCATAACAAATAAAAAAAAATCTCTTAAAATCGGACGTAAATAATAATAAATTAAATTTAATAATAATAATAATAATAATAAAGTAAATTTGACACGAAGTAGTACTACATTATGTTTGCTAATAATGAATATATTTATTATTTGTACAACTATTAAAAAATGATGCTAATATTTTACATATATTATTAGATAATATTATTTAATAAAATAATACTCCATTCATCCCCCGTCTAAAGACAAAATACTCTTTTGTCCCACATAATTTATTTTTATTTTTATTTTTTTCACATTATTATAATTTTAATTCTTTTTACGAGTTAAAAATAATATTTCCTCTTTGTTCTTCCTGTCACTTTTTTTAAAAATCATTATACATATTAATTTTATTTTAATTTTTTTAATTTTAATAAAATTAATTAGTTATTTTAATATTAATTTATAATTATTTATATTATAAAATAATTATTTTTATTAATACACTTATTCTAAATTGATGTAATTTACATAATCCAATAGAGAGAGTAAAAAAAAAAGAAAAATCTGATTCGGCGTACGAACGGAATATATTTTAAGAGTAGCAATTTCCTTAAAACTTACCCAACCCAACCCAAGTTTAAAATTACGAGCCATAGCGGCGCGTGGGCCATGGCGCGTGCACTTACTCTATATGTACCGGTGTACGGCAGTTCTCTCCACATTAATATCTTGATTTCTTTCTCGTCTCTGCACAGACACTCTCCACAATCGATATCGAACCCTACGCTCTGTTTTTTCCTTTCTTTAAAAACGCACAATGATCCTCTTCCTCTGCAATGACATAGCGTTGGTTTGATACAACAATGGGATCGCAGAATCAAGAAACTCAACAACAACAGGCTCCAGCACTCATTCCTCACCCACCCCATCACAGCCCGCAACTCCATCAAAGTTCGCACGACTTCCTTTACCTTTTGTTTCGTTTTGTTTGTTTGGTTGGTTGTTTGGTTGTTTTTCTTATCGGTTTAATCTTCTACTTCTCTCGCCCTCGTTTGCGATGTTTTGTTTTGAATGTGTTCTGTGGCACTCGGGTTGATGAACGATGAAATAGCTGTTTTTTGTTTGGGAAATTAATCTGCATATTAATTTAAGTTCTTCTTTGTATATCAATCTGTGTGTATATATATTTGAGTTGTGGATAAAAAGCTTCGAAAATTATGGCTTATCAACCGACCATGGAGTGTTATTTTTAAATTGTTATTTTCCCTCTAATTTCTCATGTTTCTCGTCAGATTTTAATGTTTTTTGAAGTAAGGCTATGAAAACGATGAGGAAAACATGAACATCTATTCCTTTTTCATCGTCATCAGTACCTTGTTACCTTTTTAAATTTTATTTAGTGTAGTTTGATTTTGTGTCTCTTTGTTAACACGAATTGTTTTGGATACTGTTGGTTTTGGATTGTTACAGTCGGCTTGATGGGATCAGAGTTAGGAAGGAACCATAGCATACCTTTCCAAGATAATCATCAGCCATCTCACCTTCAACTTCACCCTCACCCTCAACTACATCCACAAACTTCTCCTTATGCTCAATCTTTAGAATTTCAACAAGCTGTCAGGAGAGAGATGGAAATGTCAAGGATTAGAGATGATATGATCATTGCTGGGATTGTGAGGAGAAGGATTGAATCTGAATTGCGGTGGGATCTGACAATGCCTAGAGAATTGACACTAAGGCCAGGCATTACTGGACTTTCATTTAGCTCCCCAGACATTACAGGACTTTCATTTAGCTCTCAATCTATGGGGTTTGATGCTCCTGCTAGGTTTCCCAGTATGGGGTTAATGGCTGAGGCCAAGTTATTTGACGAGAGAAATATCTTGCCGAACTTTGACAGGGAGAAGGAGAGTGTTAGCGGCGAGAGTCCGCCCTTTCAGAGAATAACTACCAACCTCAACGTTTCCGAGGCTATTACTGTCTCAGAAGGGGCCAAAGAGAAAGAAAAAATTATATTGCAGGTCAATCTTGTTCTCTCTTTATTGTGTATTGTAACCTTAGTGTTTATTTTACATGCTCTAGGTGTTTATTTCATGCTCTAGGTTATATAAGAAAGATCATGCTCTTGTTAGTCACCTTCAACTCTATGTTCTTATTCCCCTTTAAATCCATTATATGCCTTTTCTCCTAAACCAATAATGGGATCTAGAAAGTCAAGATTATTCTCTTAAAATATTATCATTGTCATTGATTCAAGAATTTCTATTTGTCCATGCCTTGTGTTTATAGTTGTAAAGGTACTGAATTTTAGGTGTTTTTTGTTATTACATTTTAAAATTTCAAATAATCTTGGAGCTTTTTAGCATTAAAATCATCTTCCCCTTTTTACTTTCTTTCCAATCTTCAACTTTCACTCCTAAGTCTCATATTGTTTTTATGTCTTCTATTGTATCACAGATGCAAATATCTTGTAGAAGCATACTGCAATGCAAAACATATTGCCTATATGCCATTGACTTGGTGGCATTTGTCTTTTTTTATTTTATAAAATATTTGTTAGGTGTTGTCTTTCATTTGTGGGCTAATTTCTCTTTTAATCTTTAAGATTTAGGAGAGAGATTTATAATATACACAGTTGCAGTATCCAATTCTCATTCTATCATTATTTTATTCTGAGGCAACTCTTTATAGTTATGATTTTTATACAATAAATAGGCATGAGAGTGTACTGATAGCTTTTTTGTTTGCTATATATACATGGTAACATATATATATGACTTCTGGTTGGCAGCCAAATCCTGAAAAAATATCTGGTCTGAAGAGAAAAGCTGCATCATCTACTGATGCAGCTGATGCTACTGAAAATATCAGTAAGGCCATTTTAAAGAAGAAAGCTAAAGCAGAGTGGAGCTGTGCTATCTGCCAAGTTAGTGCCACTAGTGAGCGTGCTCTGAATGAACACTTGGAGGGGAAAAAGCATAAGGCAAAGGAGGCTAAATTGAAAGCAAAAGCAGCTAAAAATCAATTCAAGAAGTCCAAGGTTGAAGAAATTACCAGTCCTGGCACAATAGATGAACTGAAATCAAATTCTGAGCCCTTACCATCTCCAAAAGCTGAGGAGGCAAGCTCGAAAACAAATGACCAAGGAGTCTTCCAGCAAAATCATTCACCAGATAATTTAAGTGAAAGTCATCTTTCATCAGTGCAAACAGTGCCGAAGAGTAGTAATCCTATGAAGGACAAATATGAGTTTTGGTGTGCAATATGCCAAATTGGGACCCACTCCAAGAAAGTTATGGATGGTCACGAGGCTGGCAAGAAACATCTCGCCCAGTTGCGCAAGTTCAATAACAATGATGCAGTTGGTCCATCCTATCCAACCAAGATGATTATAAATCAGGAAGCTGTTGCTGAAAATGAGATGGTTTTAGATTCAGACAAAGTTGGCGAACTCTGGTCCAAGTCAGCCAAACGTGCGGGTAAAGAAGATGCATTCAACGCCGAAGCCACCAAGATTATGGTTATAAATGAGACCAAAGATCTTCCGGCGAGTGATGATACAACCAAGATTGCCGGCACTACGAACTAACTGTTTCTTTCAACAGGGTTACATGGCCTCTAGTAAATAGACAAAGGTAAATGCTTATTTTACTAGGAAATCTTATTCTTTTTCCTTCATTTAAACCCGGGAGGCAATTTAACTGTTGCTGATAGACATTGTTCCATTGGATATGTTAAACAGGTAGCAAACATTGCTATCTTGACAATTTAATGGTTGTGTAAACTAGTGGTAGATACTTTGCTATTATGTCTGTGACCCTTTGCACATACATAACCATTTTCATCCATTTAAGATCTTAGATTGTTCTACCAATTTATACACAGGCAGTAAACATGGCAGAATGAATACTCACCCCAATAGGGTAAAGTATAAGAAAATACATACTGTATTATCTAATCTAAGAATTTGAGTAATCCTAGACTGGACAGCTGTTTCAAGAACACCAAATCATCCATCATCTATGATCACCTAAATTGTTATCATCATGGAATTCACAAACTCGCATATCTTGAGAAAGTAATGTGGAAAGGCATTCAATCATCTGTTCCACTGCCTGCTATGCCTACGTCCTTATGGTCGATCTTTTCCCAGCTTCAAACTCGTAAAGCCACCGGGTCCTGCCAAGAGATCTTCCGTTTACTCCCCACACGAGCAGATCCTTCCCCGGGGTTTCGGCACATTGAAAACTTTAGATCGTTTTGCTGCTGCTCGTCATTGTTTATGTTTAAGCCTCTTGTTAGACTTTTCTTTGATTCCTCGAACATGTTGTTCTGGACATCCTCGTCCCCTGTCTGTACAGACAATGGGCATCTTAGCAAATATTTTCAATGCTGACAAAAAGCTATTCTTGGTAAACACAAGTACTCACCGAGATTTCATTCAAGTCAAATGTTGCTCGATGATTACGGATAGAAGCTGCTAGCCCACTCGGATTATTATACTGGCTCAAATCAAAATCACCAACCGAATAGCTTACGGCTGCGCCATTTCCAGCAAGTGCTAGTGATCTGTCCTTGTCTAGTATAGCCGGGTTAATGATTGGGACAAAAGCTTCGCTATTGATATGCATCTGTCCTCTGTGGCTGGAACCTGAAATCAAATCGAAGCCATATCCAACACTTTCTTTTCCATCAGACGATATTTGAGCCAAGACAGTCGCCGGGGATGGACTCAACATGGCAACTTGTTTACCAATAGGTTGCTTCTTCTTTGGCCGCGCATCTGGAAGTGGAGGTAATAACCTACGCCGTTTTGCCTCTTTCCCGCCAGAAATCAGTTCCTTCGTGTTCTTGAGTTGCTTAAGCGAAGTTGGCATCGATACCACACATTCTTGTGACAGATTCATATCTTTTGTTTTTACAAAGGATTTGTACTTCCTTCGTAGAAATCTGCAGATAATACCAGAGAAACAATAGTTACAGTACAATTACTACTATTAAACCATTTCAGATCCATTTAACTTGCACATCATTACTTGAAAATAATTTCAATGATAGAAACAAAAAGTTGAAAATACTTTGGAAATGTAGAAAATTACGGAAATTATAAGGTCGATGATCTATGCTTACCGAACTTCAGCATCGAGTATACGCCTCTTCTGCTTAGCTACCTCCAATTTACTTCTCATAGCATTAACTTCCTACAAGACAGTAGAATCCAAAATTATTTTCAAAGATATTAGTATGCATTTATTCAGCAATGAAGCAGTGTAATAATCTTAATATGAACACTTCTTGCACACAAACAATAGCAACATAAGATCAACTATGATAAATTGAAGCCCGTTATTTTTTCAACGACATTCAATAGTAAAGAACATCCAATCAAATATTCTCAAAAAGATTAGGGATTACTTGGCTTCGTAATAAAGGGAACTGATAGATTACCCATGAAAAATGAAGCCATAGAAACATAATAAGCCACAAAGGCAGATAAGATCTAATAACATGAAATCAACGTAAGAGCAGAGCTGAAATGGATTAATTATGATAAAATTATGCACTCACAGAATACTTGACCAAAAGACCAAAATTGGGCGAAATTTTCAAGAAAATTTATGAAAACATCATCTAGTCAATAAATCAACCAATAGCTAAAATCAGAACAGATCACAAAAACTAATGGACACCAGCCAAAAGCACTTGATAATATATCCAAAGCCAAGAGTCTGAAAAGATCAAATGCCTGCAACAAACAGATCAACCCCATCCCATCCGAGCAAATTAAAAAAGAAAGAACCTTTTGCAGTTCTTCGTAGTCCTGCACAAGGGTCTCGCGCTTATGTCTCGCCCCGGCTTCTTCATACCCAACACCCCCATAAGGAAACTGCGATTTCAAGACCACCCCTTTACTCGTCTTCTTCCTCGTCATCAGATCACAGACAAAACGCTTCTCTGGATAAAAGAAGGGAATGGATCTTGAAGGGGATCAAGAAAATTGTGTGAGAGAAATGGTTTGGCTAGGTGTGGAGGAAAAAATGGAATAGGGATTTGGTGATTAAAGACTAATGTGAATGGAGGCGGACAAGCAATAAGGAAAGGGCGCAGGCGCATACGTAGAGTAAGAAAGGAGATAGATAGGACAAATAGAGAGGAGAGGAGAGATAGATGGATAGATGAGGGTGGGAGAGGTGGGAAGGTTCTTCCTTTGCTTTCGTTCCTGTTTCTTGTGTGGAAAAAAGAATAAAAATCTGACCAAGGCAAGGCCGAAAAAGCCCACATAATTCGGGCACAGATAAAAACATATTGTTGGGAAAGACAGCAAGGTTGATGATGAAGATGGGGATTTGCAGAAGGGCATTTGTGGCAACCAATTTCTGCCCTTTCCGTGTCTTTGGTGTCTGAGTGTAAATTGATTGGGTAATGGGGCAATTTGGATGACACTCAATTCCATCCATCTATCCATCCCTCCCTCCTCACAGCTCTTCCTTTCTCGCCTTTGTGTTCTTTGGGTTTGTTTTTCTTCGACATAAATTTTGGTCCAGCTGGGCCATTGCAGAGACAGGTGGGTGGCCTTTCCCATTTCAGGGTTTTAGGGTTGAGATTGATGATGCTGAAAAGGCAAGAGAGAGAGGGGGAGGAGAGAGAAAGGAAGGTGTTTCCTGACGTGCCTTGCAGCTGTTGGCAATGTTAAATGTTAATAATAATACAGTCTTCATAGTTTTCTTGATGACCGCTTCGATGGCGATGCCTCTCCTCCTCCTTCCCTACAATCAAGCGGTGGCCCCTGTACGCGAAATTACTCTTCTACCCCTCTCCTCCTTCCTATGGGAATCTTTTCTGAACCAGTCAAGATCCACCCGTTTTTGCCTGCCATGCTATTCCCCACAGCTTTCAGATTTGCAGGCAGTTTTCATTCACGTCCCTTCCAAGGATATTTTCGTAATTACCCATCACCACTTCCCTGCTCCCAGACACAAATAGGTACTTCCGCCATTAATACCATCACTATGCAATCCCACAAAGTTACAGCACACAGACTGGAGATTCCACCCCGCCCGCCCTAGGGTTTGGTAGATCTATCGTTCACGTGAATCTGAACCACTCTCTTCTTCAAACCTACCTAAGAATATATCAACATGTGAGTTAAAGAGGACTGATTTCTGACCCACCCCCTTCAAGTTTCTTCTAATCTTGATTGATAAATTATGAATATTTAGTTAGTTTCGAACTGTTAATAGTGGATTTGTGATTCTTGAGCAATTCTTTGGCCCTTTTTGGTCTCACTTCGTTGCGTGGCCATTTTGAAGAGAAACATTGGAAGGTAGGAATTTAAAAAAGTAGTCTTTATTGGGATCCTTACAGATGCAGAAACTGCACATGGTGTAATAAACACGACTACTGCCTTTATCCTAAAACATAAATAAGCCATGAAACCTCTCTGCCATTTGCCTAGTTTATACTATTCAAAGCTAGATTGTCTTTACTCAATAGCTGCTTGAGTTTGGGACCGAAATGAAAGGGTTTTCTTCTCCACTGAAACCACTTTCAACAACTATTATGTAACCATGGGACAAAAAAGATGACAAAAGGGTTGTCGGATGGGATTGAATAAAAGAACCTTTCATCCATGCTTTGTCCTCGTATGTGTTTTTGATTTGGTACATTTTGTCATCAATTATTGGCCTGAGCAGACTTTGCTCTCATTTGAATGTGTTTTTTACAATATCACAAGATTCACAACAATTTCTCTTACAGAAATAGATGATTACCACTTACCAGTCTTTTAAGCAAATTTTAACAGTATTATTGATTTGTGGGTTGGTAGCAATGGAAAGGGAGGATAAAAATATTGTTATTGTATAATACTAGAATTTTTGCTTAGATCCCCCTTTGATCCCATGCTTGAATTAAAGGTCAGCCATAGCACAGCAGAAACGTGGCAAGCAAAGCATGATGGAATTTGTAAAAAATGATTTCATGCTTCAACAAACCTCGTAAAAATATCTGTGTTTTGAATCGGTTTATCTATCTCCCGACATTAAATTAAACCATAGAACATGATAAGAGAGCGGAACACAAACTATGAGAACTCACTGTATATTGCACACACTAACAAACATATCAGCACCGTTTCTTGGATCCATATTATATAGAATTATATACATTGATGGCTATTCACCTGATCCCATTAATGAATTGTTCATGTTTAAAAGATGTAAATATATATAGATCATTGACAAAATTGATATTATGATTTGAAATGTTGATTGAATTCTTGGAAAGGGTTTTAAGTTGTACATGACATTTCTTCTCTAGATGTAAATGTAAGATACAAAAGTGTATCCAAAAAATTATTAACATTAGGAATTGATCATTTCAATCTCTTATGAAAGCATTTGATGGATTCTACTTTTTAGCAATCAAATCTTTATTCATAAGAATCCTTATTACATCATCACATTTTATATGAAAAAAATTTTCTCATCACCATTCATCATTTTCCATAGCCCCCGGTATCACACCATTGATGGGGATATCACGACCTCCACGGCCACCACCACCGCCAGGAATAGGAGGTGGATAATCGCATCGTCTTGCACAAATACAAACCCAATGTTTGCATGTACCCCCGAGTTTATAGCCCCCGTCTATGCAAGCACCATTGCAACGCATTTTTTGCTTCTTAGTACTGTATAAACCACGGAAACGCCGGCTTCTTGTTGAAGCACTTTTTCGCTTCCGATCGAATCATCAATTCACCTGCACTCGTGTTTCAAAATTCAAAAATCAATAAAAACACCACTTTGATATTTCTGCTTGTGCATAAATTAATCGATTCACAAGGAAAAGTAAAAAACCGAAATATTCGATCTACTATTGATGAAATGCATTTTTTTACTTAAAAAAGGAACTTGTTTGCGCTCAAAAATTACACAATTTGGATATAAAGCTTACTAGTAAATACTAGGATGATCATCAAAACTATTATCCAATTAGACTTGTCCATTTTCAAAATGATGTTAAAAATTGGTGCATTGAAGATGATATATACAAATAATGGAAGCCTTTCTTTTATTCAATGAGATTAGGTTGTGATTTTGTCAAAAGAATGAAGGTAGATTAAATGGAAAATCAGAATATATATATATATATATATTTGAATGCATATCATCTTTAACTAGTGTGTTTCTCTTATCTTCTAATTTTTATCGAATCTCTTCTGATTTGTTTCTTCTTTCTTTCATTATATAAGGAAATAAAAATTAGTAACGAAGGTTTGAAGCATATAGGTTGCAAGCAACTTCATCCCAAAAAAGTGGCGTATATGGAGTGCATTGATTATGGCTTTATACTACCGGTGGTTGGAAGTTTAATTTTATTGTTCTAAATAAGATGTTGCTTAATGTTTGTATTATAAAATTTCTTTTTTTTTTTACCTTCACATACCTTTTAGGATCATAAGCTAAGCTTTGGATTACTTGAGTAAGAATTATTGTCCGCTACAAGATTGACGGTAGTGTAATGATGGATTTGTGAGCGTATTGAATAGAAATATAGAAATAAATCAAGTTTGAACATTCACTTTATTATTTGTCTTTTTTTTTTTAAATTTAAAAATATAATAATACTTTAAAAATTTATAATTTATAATTTTTTTTTAGTTAAACTATTTAATCATTTTAATCTTGATCTATAATTATATTTATTAATGTAGTTTTAAATTACACAAATATATATTACATTAACATTTATGTTAAATTAAATAAGTTATTTTTACACGAATGAAATTGTAATAGAACTATAGAAGTAAAACAGCAGATGCACAGAGTCCAATTGGTGCTGTCCGGAGTGGACGCGCTTGGACCGCACACCAAGTTCGGCCGACCGGCAAATCCTAGTCAGATTCCAATATCGATTTCTCTCCCCCCGCCCCCACCCTCTCTCTATATATATATCAAACGCCTAGTTCGATCTTTCTTAATTTTCCCTTTTTCGCGTTTTTGACTCTGAAGGGGTTTCTTGAAATTCGCCTCATTACAGGGGTGGAATAATTCAGGTAATGAATTTGCTCTATCTAGATTAGCAAGATTTCTTATTTGGGATCTGTGGTTTCTACTTTTCTTTTCTTTGATATATTGCGACCTGGGTTTCTTTCTGTCCCCGTAATCGATATCGATCTCGATCTGTTTGGGATTTAGGGATTTATATGTGACCTATGCTGAATTATGCGTTTTCCCTTTATATTTGCTATTGATGTTGTAAATTAATCGATTAGGGTTTACAGATCTTGTTGAATCTTCGGTGATTTCAGAAGAAAAAATGTAATTTAAGGTCATCGATCAAGTTCTGGTTTCATGTGCCCGAGATCGCCCTTGATAATTTCGCCCTCGCCCTTTTGATGCATCTGATGATCAAGGGATTTATATATTTGAATTTGAACTAGGCTAAGTTATGTATGCAACCAAGCATGAAAATTTTAGGGACTTGTCAAAGCGAATTTTGCTTGCAGAGGAGAGATCTTAATGAATGTATTCGGAAGAATATATGCTGGTTGTTTGGTATTGATTCGGGTCCATGTTCAACATGCTATAACTACATGGTTTCTAGGAATTTTCGGTCGGGGTATGAAAAATCTCTCTGATGTAATAACTTAAACAAAAATAATTGATGGTTGGTTAGGTGCATTTATTGAATCAGTTCATTCACCTCCTGTTGTCTGGTAGTTTGGTGTTTCTGTAATTTTGGAATGCATGGTGCAAGTTATAGTAAATTTTGATCTGAGTATTCAGTTCCATTGCCAAAGCTTCTATGTGGAGGCGGTAAATCTTCTATTTTTACAGACATTTGAATGATTTAATATAAATGCTTAGGGAAAATTTTATCTTTCTGCAGTTGTGACTATTTAACTAAATGAATTAACAAATGATCGGTTACTTTTTAAAATAGGGACGTTCTCCTCATGATCTAAGCACTCTGGTGTTTGTGAAATTGTGGAAATATCCAGAAATTTATATTGAATTCGTGATATGAGTTAGCCTTTTTCTTGCTGTAGCTTCTTATGCGTTTTACTGTCTCTTTTCACACAAACAATTGGATTTTTAATCATTATTGATTGATATCTTTTCCTATAACTCTTGTTATGTTATTGCCATCGAAGTATATGGCTAACCGGAACCATCATATTAGAAGTTCCCAAAAACCATTCAGAAGTTTTTTTTTTTTTTTTACAGTATGTCTGTTTTGACAATCTCCATTCACAGGATTTTCATCCTCTGAATATGTTGGAGCAATTACTGATATTTACAAGAGGAGGTTTAATCCTCTGGACTTGCAAGGAGCTCGGAAATGCTCTTAGAGGTTCACCCATTGATACTCTTATCAGGTCCTGCCTTTTGGAGGAAAGGTCAGGCGATGCTTCATATAACTATGATGCTCCGGGTGCTTCATACACTCTCAAGTGGACATTTCACAATGAACTTGGGCTTGTCTTTGTTGCTGTGTATCAGCGAATTCTCCATCTGTTGTATGTGGATGATTTACTTTCTATGGTTAAGCAAGAGTTCTCCAGCATTTATGATCCCAAAAGAACTGCATACAACGACTTTGATGACATATTTCAACAGCTTAAGAAAGAGGCCGAGGCTCGTGCTGAGGAAATGAAGAAATCGAAACAGATCAGCAAGCCTTTGAATAATAGTAACCTTGGTAGGAAGCAAGGACAGGTGCAGAACAGCAGTGCGGATGGAGGGAATAAAAAAAAGAGTGGAGGAAAATCTGGAAATGACAGTGGAGATGATGGGAATCTCAAAGGATACCCTAAAAAAAATGAAAACAATAATTATGGTAAGAGTGAGGAAGTTCCCTCGAAGATAGATCATAACAATAAAGAGAATGGAACCTCCAATGCTAACGCTTTTGATGTAAATAAGCTGAAGCTTAGGTCCAAAGGTGGAAAAAAAACTGCACCTGTTGCTAACAAGGTTCCCAAAGAGGAACCGAAGAAAAAGGTAACTAAAAAGAACCGTGTTTGGGATGATTCACCAAAGGAGGCAAAGTTGGATTTTACTGATTCTGTGAGTGAGAATGGGGAAGAAAACATATCAGTTGTTGCAGCAGATCAAGGGGAGAGTATGATGGACAAAGAGGAGATAATCAGTAGTGATAGTGAATCTGAAGAAGATGAATCGGGTAAGGACAATAAGGCTGATACAAAGAAGAAAGGCTGGTTCTCATCTATGTTCCAGAGGTATATTTTTCTTTCCTTTTTTATGCACAAACAGAAGCTATTTTCCTACTTCCCATGAGTTATCCATGCCGATTGTAGATACCTAAGAACTATCTGATTTTCTTGATTTATCATACTCACCATTTAGTTTTCTTGATCTTCTTTGTTCCAACTGAAGAAACAGTTTCCCTCTTGCAAACTTGTAATAATTTCACATGGGTCGTTCGTTTCAAATTCCTTTTATGCAGAATTTATGATAAAAAACTGTGTATTTACGGCCATAATAACTTTTTGTGCAACTGCATGTTGGCAGGATCAGAATCATTTTATTAAGACGTTGAAGGAATCTGTCATACAGATATATATATATATATAAAAATATACATGTATGTCAATATATCAGTGTTTGCTGATTTATTTTGTGAGTTCTTATAATTTTTTCTTCTTTGTTGTGGTGTTTTTCTTGATTCTTGTCACTGTAACATTAATTACCAATTGGTTGGAACTTGTTACCATGCCAATGTAATAGTGAACACGGAAATCCTTTCTAACCTGGTTATTATTGGTTCAGCATCGCCGGGAAAGCGAATTTGGAGAAATCTGACCTAGAACCAGCACTCAAAGCTCTAAAGGACAGGCTTATGACTAAGAATGTGGTATGTTACTTTCTTGCAAATTAGTGTATTCTCTTAGCTTTTGAACAATTTTATTGTCCCATATGGAGTTTAATAGCATATTTATGGCTATATCTAAGTTCTACTATGTTTGTTCTCTGTGATCTCTCACTTTGCAATGATTTTCTGAACAGGCAGAGGAGATAGCTGAGAAACTTTGTGAATCGGTAGCTGTGAGTCTCGAGGGAAAAAGGCTGGCCTCTTTTACAAGAATTTCTTCAACAGTTCAGGTGAGCAAGCATAGCTGACCTTCATTAACCTAAGCGCATAGAGAAATTGGGAATTTTGTTTATCATACATACATATATATATATTCCCTTCTTTTCTTTTGCTTATTTGGTGCTTAAATCGACCATTTTAATTCTTCTAGGCTGCCATGGAAGATGCCCTTGTTCGCATATTAACTCCTAGACGCTCCATTGACATTCTGAGGGATGTTCATGCTGCGAAGGAGCAAGGCAAACCTTATGTTGTGGTCTTTGTTGGAGTTAATGGAGTTGGGAAATCGACCAATCTTGCTAAAGTCAGTATTGATTAGAATCGTTATAGAAACATTATGTAGAAAGTGAAAGATGTTCTTACAATTTTCTGCTGTTTTGTTCTGTAGGTTGCTTACTGGCTTCTGCAGCATGATGTCAAAGTCATGATGGCTGCTTGTGATACATTCAGATCGGGTGCTGTTGAGCAGCTGCGTACTCATGCACGTAGGCTCCAGGTAGACCTTTCTATCTAACTTGTAATTTGGTTATGATCGACCAAGCTGAGGTTGCAATTACTTACATGTTCAATTATGCAATCAGATCCCGATATTTGAGAAAGGCTATGAGAAAGATCCTGCCATTGTGGCAAAAGAAGCTATTCAGGAGGCTAGTCGAAATGGTTCTGATGTTGTTCTAGTTGATACAGCTGGAAGAATGCAGGTATACACACACACATGTATATATATATATATAATGTTTACACCTATGTGAACATCAAACTGTCAGCTGATAATCTCCAAGATATTATGAAATTATGGTTTAATTGATATTTGTCAATTTTCACTTTTCAGGATAATGAACCTTTAATGCGAGCTCTGTCAAAACTTATCTATGTCAACAATCCCGACCTTGTTTTGTTTGTTGGCGAGGCGCTTGTGGGGAATGATGCTGTCGATCAATTGTCAAAGTTCAACCAGGTCTGTTAAATTTCTTTACCTTCATAACTTCAGATAATACTTTAATTCTTTGTAGCATTTATTTACCTTCTTCAATATTTGCAGAAATTGGGCGATCTCTCACCCTCTCCCAATCCGCGATTGATTGACGGGATCCTTCTGACTAAGTTTGACACCATTGATGACAAGGTAGGTATCCATATTGAGATCTAATTTCCACTTTGTCATGCTCCATTAGCATTTGAGAGAAATCAACATGAAAAAAATATTTCCATCTCAAATATAACTTAAACTACAACTCAAGATCGAAGATCAATGCTTTGATAGGTAAGATTCAAAACCCTTCCATTCAAATTTGCTATCACGATACTTTGTTGGCTCAGGTTGGGGCTGCACTATCCATGGTCTACATTTCTGGGGCGCCCGTGATGTTTGTTGGATGCGGGCAGTCATACACCGACTTGAAGAAGCTAAATGTCAAGTCCATTGTCAAGACTCTACTCAAATGAGCTAAACCTGGTCTACAATGTCTGTCTTTTATGTGAAGTGAACTTGTTTGCTGTTCGTATCTGAAACTATCTTTGGGACATGTGTTCTTGTGTGCTACTGCTGCACTTTCTTCCTGTCTGTGATCTCACACTACTTTGCCAATAAATGTGGATTGTTCCCAACCAGTTATCTCTCATGTCCATCTTTTTCTGTCTTCCAAAATATGAGGTTTTTTCAGCAGATTATGTATATATATATATATATATATATGTATTTGGTTAGAGAGACTTACAGAAGAGCTTTCGAGCCATAAAAAAGGTGTAGAGAAATCATCAAAATTTGGCTAACATACACTGCGTTCAACTAAAAACTGCTAATTAAGTTACAAAGATTCTTTCAACCCATGAGTAAAATTCATGAGAGATTCCCAAACAAGTATATATTATCAAGGAATTAATTCACACTTAGACCAAAAGAAATTAAAGAGCTAGGCAAACTACTAGGGTGGTACCATATGCTTCCTTCGGAACCTGTAAGTGTACTTGGGCCTCGGTAGCTGTTGTCGATATCCTAGTCAATCTTAACAGATGAGTAGATAAGCCTTGTGAACCAGAAACAGGCGAAAAACCCAATTGCACCGGTCAGCACGAAGAAAGCGAAAGAAACGATCAGCATATACCCAAAGTAGAGAATACCCGACACCAATTTCGTGATACTCAGCTTTGTGAAGAAGTAGAAAGCTGCGTAGAGGAAAAGGTACAGTGCCGACGAGCCTGAGGTCAGATATGATCTCCACCACCACAAGTAGTCCTCACTGCAAAGCTGGAAGTAGCAAAGGACTACGGAGATCTCTGCGCATGTCACGATCAGGATGATGAACACGAGGAAAAGGAAGCCAAATATGTAGTAGAACTGATGCAACCATATCGATGTCAAGATGAAGAACAGTTCAATGAACACTGCTCCGAAGGGGAGTATGCCGCCAATTAAGATGGAGAAGATGGGATTCATGTACCAGGTCTGCTCAGGTATCTGTCTCGGGATTTTATTGGTCTTTACCGGATCCTCTATGACCGGCCTCCTAAACCCCACATAGCTGCCTACAAAAACGAGCGGAACTGAAATCCCAAACCACAAGAGGACTAACGCGAACATGGTCCCAAATGGCACAGCTCCTGATGATTCCTCACCCCATATCAGGGCGTTCAAAACGAAGAAAATGGCAAAGACAATTCCAGGGAACATAAAAGCTGTCTGAAGGGTAATTTTCTTCCATTCTGTTCCTTTGAACATCTTGTAGAACCGAGCCGTGGTGTATCCAGCAAATAGGCCCATAAATACCCACAGCACAAGCATAGCTGTCATTAGTCCTCCACGATTTGAAGGGGACAAGAAACCAAGGGCAGCAAAGATCATAGTAACCAGTACCATTCCGAAACACTGAACACCAGTTCCGATGGAAACGCAAAGCAAATCTGATTTCTGTGGAGGCCGGAAAACATCTCCATGAACTAATTTCCACCCGGTTTCTTCCTGAGCTTCTTCTTGTGTCTCCAATTGGTTGTACTTGGAAATGTCTCGGTAAAGAGTCCTCAACATTATCATCGCCACCATTCCAGAGAGGAAAAGAACAATCATCAAAGAATTGACAATTGAGAACCAATGGATTTGATCGTCAGCCATGTAAAGATAAGTATCCCATCTAGATGCCCACTTTACTTCACTATCCTGCAAAGTGAACAACAGAGCAATCGGTGTGAACTGACGATAATCCTACTTGAGAAAGCATAAATACCAAACCACAAGAACTTGGGAAGCATTACATGAAACTCCACATCATATGTGAAGATAATTTCCATCTTATCGTCAACTTCCTGGGGGGAGTCGGAGCTCGTCACAGTACGCTTAGCATGAGGGTCGCATGATGTTAAGCGTGACTTATCATTCCATTTACCATCATACTCATGCTTAACACTGAATATAAAGCAATAATCAGTTCCAAATCAACACATGATGTGGGAACAAATACAAACCATTAATATCACATACCTGTATGGTTTCACTTCAAACCCGACAATTCTAGCAGTATCTGCTTCTTGATCCTTATGATATTTCACAATGAATGTCAGGTGATTGTTGATAAAGTACTTCTCCTCAGGTTTCTATAAAAAAACCAAGCAATTCATGAAAGAACAGAAACAAATTCAGTTTTATCTTGTTATTTGCAAGATGACATTCCAACAGTAGAGCAATCTGAATCTTACACCAGCGTACTGTCCTTTGAACCCAACATCAAAACCATGCTGATAAGCCACAGCATCCATGTCACGTCTTTTATAAGGCATGACCAGAGGGAGATTATCCAAAATCCTGTTAAACCAGTCAGAGATTAGAATGTCTGAAATCCATTAGTAAGTGTAAATTTACTGAAAATTTTGGTGTACATATTCACTCTATATGCATCTTCAATCTTCTCTTTGAATTCTTTGGCTTCCTTAGAGGTAAGTGTAATATTGCAAACAATATTACACATCTGGGGTTGTCGCATATTAAACTGCATAGCATAATATAACTCTAATGAGAAAAATCCTCTGGAATATGATACTATTTAACAATCACAAGGAAAGCTAAAATGTTGTCGAATGAACAAATCAAATGAAAATAGATATAGACAAATAAATAAGTAGATATAAGTAAAAAGAAAAACTGCACCAAAAAATAAAAAAGTACCTCATAAGGAGAGTTCTCAATGCGATCACCACGAAGAACTTCCCCAAGATTCTCAGCACTGTCAACAATAGTCTTGGGTTTACAGTAAGGAAGTGTATAGTAGGAGTACGGAAGTTGAGTTTTAACTGATGTCAGCTTGTTCACTTTCACCTTGAGCGGATCACCCTGCATCAATAACACAATACCCATATTATTCTTGATATAGGAATGGTACCCCATGATCGATGTAAAGCTTCATCTAAGCATCCACATGATATTTGGTTTTGCTAGGTGAAGGTTGGGGGGCACAATGCAGTTTGAATTAATTGTATCAATTATGGGCACACAGATGAATAGCTGATTTCTCTATTACTAATATAATATGAATGCATAATTGCATATACAACATTTAATAGAATGTCCCTGAAATAAGAGTAATTGTGGATATCTTGTTTTAGTCTTGAAAAGACAGAGAGATGATATAGATGATTACTAAAGAGTAACAACATTGAAATATATAATAATAATAATATATATATATTTTTAAAAAAAGTCAGATAAACAAAATTAACCCAGAAAAGTTAAGAGTTCATTGCATACAAAATTTAGCCTTTAATATTCAAGCTTCAAGTTTTAGCCATTCACCATTAAGCTGAGTACTCCACAAAAATCATAGGTAAATCTGGTAAAAGAACAATCTACGAGAAAATTCAAAATTAAAACTACAAAACAAAAGATCGATCTCTATCAGAAACTTCCTTAGAATGAAATGGTATTTCATAATGGTCTATATGCACTTTCAAGAACTGATACATGGTATCAGCATGTTGAGTATTAAACAGACAACTATTACATTCAATTCTTTTGGTACCGCCAAGAATTAGCTATGTGATACTGGCGCCTCTGCATGAACAAATATGAAAGAAGAGCGTTCTCTCTAAATTTTATTTCTAGTTCCACAAACAACTTCGCATATCATCAACATGTATATAATATAGAAACCAATACAAAGTAATCATGTTCAGTCTTAACATTTCTATTGGCGTTCTGTAAAAGACCTAAAAATAGAACAAACCCTAATTCAAAAAAAGACCCGTAGGATTATTAGCATGGCCCAACTGACCTACAAAAACCCTTGAAATTAATGATACCTTGTCGAAATCCTTGGGAGCTACGCCAGGCAAATAGAAAGAGTGAGCGACGCCGATGAAGAAGACGAGCATAAGGCATACCCCCAACCGAATCGCGGGCGAATTTCTCCCGTACGACTCCATCCGTACTGTTCACAGTCAACAATCACGAAAGACGGTCGACTCCGAATTGAAGATCTGTAGACCAGATCCGAGCACGCAGCCACAGATATGTATATATATATATATAGTGTGTGAGTGCGTACTTTCGAGTTCGGAGGAACCGGAAGCACCGTAAAAATCCAACTGGAGACAGTGAAGACTGAAGTGAACAGCCAATCTCGACCGTTGGATAAGTTAATAGTAATAATTATTACTATAAATAATATTATGCCAATATTAATATTGGTCAATACAATCGTGTAGAGTGTGTTTGGTCGTGGAATTTTTATTAAATAAAAAAAAATCAAACAAACCATTCATAGTCGAGAATGCTTATTAATTATAAGGATGGAATTCCTTCCAATCATATAAGAGATTGGAAATTTATTTATTTTGTGACATTGTGTTTATTCTCAATGACAATGATTTCTTATTTGCATCATCTTACTTATTCTCTTCTTCCATCCTCATCTTCATCTTCTTAATTCGGCCTTCTTCTTCTATCTACCCCCCTCCAGAGAATCCATTCAACCATGGTAGTCACGCCGAACCCCGTTCCGGTTCGCTTCTTTTCGTCCCAAACCGGACCGGCTATGTCAATGTGCGCCCACTCCACCTTCTCATTGACAAACTGCACGCCAGCGCCCAAATTATATTCACAATCTTGATTATCCAAATTTCTTTTTCGACGAGGATGATGACGATGATGATGATATTACCTGCTTCAAGAAGAGAGCTGCTGTGATGGCTCCACCCTGGCTCGGCCCGGTATTCAACATATCAGCCACGGTTCCCGACGTCATCGACTCCCAATAACTCTCCTCCATCGGCAGCCTCCAAACCTTTTCCCCGCTCGCCTCTGCCGCCGACATTACCGCTCCGGCAGCCGCATCACTAGGTGAGAAAACGCCTGTATGTATAAATAAATAAATGATATGTATCCTTAATTGCTTAAATTTTTATGTACAATATAGAAATCCTACCAGCAACGGAAGGTCCTAGAGCTGTGATACATGCCCCTGTGAGTGTGGCAAGATCGACAATCTGCACGGCAATGAACAAGAGCTCGATGCAATGTCAAAGCTAGCAAATGAATAAATAAATACATATGTTAAGGTAAACCTTAGCCTACCTTCTCTACGCCTAGCTTACAAGCGTAGTCCAAAGCATCAGCCAGTGTGAGCCTTCCCTCGGCATCGGTGTTGTTCACCTAAATCAAAACAGAAATAGCGCGCCATCGCCAATATTATCATGTCGTGTGTTGAAAACAAATAACAACTTTTACGACGAGAGATTACCTCAATCCTCTTCCCGTTTGAAGCAGTTACAATGTCGCCCGGTCTCATACCCTTTCCACTGATCATGTTTTCACACGATGCAATGATAAAGTGAACCTGCAGAAACATTGACGATTCTCAAGTTTTCCTTACCAAAAGCTCAAAAAAACAGCGAATGAAAAGGGATCAAGACACCAACCACGACTCCACTAGGCTGGAGTTCGGAGATAGCTTTCGCAGCGCCAAGTATGGCTGCCGCGCCTCCCATATCATTTTTCATGTTCTCAATGCCGGAGCCAGATAGCTTGAGGTTGTAGCCGCCGCTGGATCACATTACATACGTTATTTCGGTGAAACAGAGCCATTATTCGATGTGTGTAATAACAAGACATTTTTGATCATCGACACAAACCTGTCGAATGTCAAACCCTTTCCAACCAAGGCCAAATGAACTTTAGTTTCTCTACTAGGCCTGTCGAAGGTTAAATGAATGAAATGCGGAGGCAGCTCCGATGCTGCCGTAACGCCTAAATAAGCTCCCATTCCTAGCGCCGCGCATTCCTCTGCATTCAATATTGTTGCTTTTATAAAGCTTCCCTCCTTTTCGAGCGATTTTGCTTGCGCAGCAAGTTCTCCTAAGATCGACAACATAAGAATAAATCTATTGAACCAAGTTCGCGCAGCGAAGATAAGATTATAAGCGACAGAAAGACAAAAGAAACGGTGTACAAACCAGGGGTGAGTACGTTAGGGGGAGCGTTTACGAGCTGTTGTCCAAACATGACACCCGAACTAAGACTGTCTGCATATGCTAGACTGTCATCCATCTCCGGCCCGGTGCCAAGTCCGATGATGTCCACGGACGCTAGAGTAGGATCCTTCCATTCCAACTTGTAATGGTTATCCTCAAATGTCCCCAATATAGCTCCTGTCGGATTCATATAATATGTAATTAGGTGATGTATATTTATATAAGTTTAAACTTTTAGGTGAGATGATCATAACATAAATACCGAGAGCTATTGCTGAGGCTGCACGGGCCGGGCCCAGCTCAGCCGGGATGGTTTCCAGCGAGGCAAGGGCGATGCCGGCACTCTGTGCCTGCGCAGACTTGGCAGCTGCAGCTACGGACTTCCCGAGACTCTGGTAATCGGCAGGGCCCAACACAGCTGGCCCGAGCCCGATCAGAACAATACGTTTGGCGAGGCCTAATGTCTTGACGACGACGGTCTGTCCGACTTTTCCGGTGAAGTCCTCCTCGGACGTAACTTGGCGAAGCAATCCACCTAAGAGCTGATCCAGCTCCTGCAAGATTGGATTTTTGAAATCGGAATTGTCGTCTTTTTCGGAGTCCTTCACAGTGACGCCCACAGCAAGAATGTCGCCTGCCCATTTAGCCAAATCGATGTCTTTGGCAGCCAATGAAATCTGAAAAAGAAAGTTCAGGGAACAGATGAACTCTTGTACAGAAAATTGATAAAATTGTATGGATTGAGATGTAGATAATTTTTTATTAACTACTAACCTTTAGCGGTTGGAGTGGGTTCGGTTCAGTAAGGCCGAGCGAGGCCGAGGCCGAGGCCGAGACTGAGACCCGAGCCACGTTCCGGGTAGTCCTTTTCCACGCAATCGCAAAGGAGGCATCCGAAGCGGGAGCAACGAAGAATCGAAGGTTTGATAAATTCGACGAATGGGAAAGGCGAGCTGGCGACAATGGGACGAGCTTGAAGGTAGCGGAGGAAGCGACTCCAATAGCGGCGGCTGCCATTATGACTTAGAATATGTAATGATTGATTATGGATGGACTTGATCGTTCCAAGAACCATCGATATTTATAGAGAAAGAAAATGAGTAATATCGAAGGCAAGGATATATCGAGCACATTGGTCACGTTGGGTTGGCCATTCGGACACGGAGACGACGTGGACATTTCGAGCATGCATGGAAAGTATACGTTGGATGCGCGCGGCGGGCGATTTAGGAATTCGCAACGGTAAAATTAGAACGCACGTGGTGTGCTGTGGGGGAGACATTATTGGTGTGGTCACGGAACTGGCATCATTATTGGTGCTGTAAGGATCGATGTGTGACAACGTATGTAAATTCGAAAATATGGCTTTCATACGGTGAACTATGGATTTGTTCTGTAATTTGTTTATTTATTTATATAACGTGAGAATTCGCAATATTTGAAAGTGTAAGGATTTGAACCATGACTCAAGAGTGAACCTCACACCTATAAGTCTATTGCAACTCATGCGTTTGAAAGTTGTGAAATTAGAGTGCGTGTTTTTGTGAGTTTTAGTTTTTAGATTTAGATTTTTAATAATAAAAAGTTAAATGAAATTAACATAGTGTTTTGAATGTAAAATAAATTTATAAGTATAATATTAAAAAAAAAAATTGTTTAATTTGATATTTTTTTTAAGAAAAAATGAATCTGTATAAAACCCAAAAATAATACAACTCTAAAAACGGACGCATTGATTTATTACATGGTCCAGAATTTTGGCAACATTCTCTTAGATAAGGATATATATAAAGATAGCTCATCGTATGCATGTATATACGCGGTCGGTATTGATAGTGCATCGTGTGCTAAAAAATAGGATATAATATTACTACATAAAATATTATATCAAAAATTGTATTAAATGAACTTTTTTTTTAAAAAAAAAAAAGAATAAATATCTCTCCCATAGAGTTCTTATATTGTTCTCTCTAATGCATGGCGTTCATAAAAGTTTATAATAAGAAACTAAAGGATGGTTTAATGTAATAATAAAAATTGTACTGGTAATTTGTTCTACCAAAAAGAGAATCAACTCGCACCATTTGGACTCAGAATGAAATTACATGAAATCTGAACCTAATCAACTACAAAATTTAATATGAACCTAATCAACTACAAATTTATTTTTCTTGGAGTAAAATCATCCCAAAACCCTAGGTAAACTTTAGCCCCATCAACAATCCTAATTATAGAATGAAACAACAAAAAAAATGAAGGCCATTTTGAACCCTATTCCAAATATGGCTACAATCTAAATCAAAATGGCAGTGTTCACAAAACCAAGACACTTAGATAATTAATAACTTATTGCCACTGTAGAAAAAGATGCATATATACTGCCAAAGTTTCAAGTTCCCAATCTGCTCAGATTCTTGAAGCAATTCCTTCATCATTTATCTTGATGATGCACCAAACAATTTTTACTTTCAAACCACACTATTTTATATTCATGTTTCTTTTAATTAATGTTTTTTTTGGCTTTAAAGCACAAAATTTTCCACACCCTTCTCATTTATTTATTTATTTATTTTACTTCACTCATCTACCATAATGAAACTATAAATATATATATATATTCATACCTTCACAAAACTTTCAACCATGGTGGTGGCTGTTAGCTTAAATCAAAGCATTTTTGTTCTTCACAAAATGCTTCTTCCATACCTCGTTCTTACACTCTTCGTCTTGAAATTTTGCGCCGCCGTCGCCGCCACCGGTGATATGTCGGTTACCAAGCCGATTCCAAAGTTTCCGGCAATCCTTGTCTTCGGGGATTCGACCATGGATGCTGGCAATAACAACTACATTATTACACCGGCCAAAAGCAATCATCCGCCGTACGGTGTAGATTTTCCTAACCATGTCCCGACCGGAAGGTTTTCGAACGGGAGATTGGTACCCGATCTTTTGGCCTCCATGATGGGGCTCAAGGAAACCATCCCGCCATACCTTCAACCAGATTTATCCGACGATGAAATTTTTACAGGCGTCAGCTTCGCATCTGCCGGCTCAGGATACGATGATCTTACGACACTTCTGTCCAATGTAATTCCTGTTTCAACGCAGCTAAGTTACTTCGAGGACTACATTCAGAGGCTCGAAGGCATTGCTAACCGAACTGAAGCTGCAAGAATACTGCGCCGTGCTTTGGTTATAATCAGCGCCGGGACCAATGATTTCATCTTTAACTTTTACGACATAGTGACCCGGAGAATTCAGTTCACCATCGACGAGTACCAAGACTTCCTGCAGAATAAGCTGCATGACCTAATTAAGGTAACGATTCTAGCAAATCTCCCTTACAAATACCTTTCTTGCCTACAAAATCTTTCAGACATTTTCCCTTCGTTTCTTCTTACAGGAAGTTTATCGTCTAGGATGCCGAAAAATCGTAGTCTCCGGGCTCCCTCCAATAGGCTGCATCCCAATACAAATAACGGCCAAATCCCCAATCTTTAGGCATTGCATTCACCGACAGAACGCAGACTCTGTTACCTATAACAAAAAGCTTGAGAAATTGTTGCCGCGCATTGAGGCAGACCTTCCCGGCAGCAAAATCCTCTACGTCGACACCTACAACTCCCTTACAGACATGATCAGTAACCCAAAACAATATGGTATGTTTTAAGACAATAATGCATAGGGTTCTTATCGGGTTTTTTCATTAATGCAGCAACACGTGTCATTTGCAGGATTCGAGGAGACGAGCAGGGGCTGCTGTGGGACAGGATTGGTTGAGGCCGGACCACTGTGCAGTCCATTGTCACCGGTTTGTCAGAACTCATCGGAGTACTTGTTCTGGGATAGCGTCCATCCCACTGAATCGACCTATAGAATCCTTGTATCCTCCCTGACTCTTAGATTAAGTGAACTAGCTTGAAGCATATGATCTCCAGACATAATGATACATCATGGGAGTTTTAACATTACAAAAAGGTTAAAAAGGACAGTCTTGTTATTGCTGTAAAAAAAGATACACAGAGAAATAATTTAACCATTGGTCTCATCTGTCTTTTGATCTTTCCCAATCAACTTCCTTCCCAAATTAACCAGCCAAAGTTCAAAATAAATAATTTGCTTTTTGGGCAACGATGCATACCATCTCACTTGCAGGCAAACTGTGATCAAGATGAGTTCTTCAGCACCCATTCCACCATTGTAGCAACCCCAAACCCTGTCGCACTTCTCTTCTTATCACTCCAGACGGGGCCAGCCATGTCAATGTGCAACCACTGCACCTTCTCATCCACAAACTGCAAAACAATAAGATTTAGTTCACTTTTCTGACTGTTGCAACCTTGTATGGATAGATACGCTCATTTTGAGAGTAAGATAATAATGTGTCGACAATCATGTCAATAAACCAAATGTCACAAGTCACTGTTTAGTTGATCTACCTGCTTCAAAAATAGAGCTGCAGTTATTGATCCGCCTTGACGACCACCTGTATTCACCATATCAGCAACTCCTGACTTCATGGACTCCCAATAACTTTCCTCCATAGGCAGCCTCCAGAACTTTTCCCCACTGACCTCAGAGGCTGCGAACACTTCTTTTGCCAAGTCATCGCTAGGAGAAAAAACACCTGCAATTCAATTCCATAAACAATAAGTGGATGTCTACAAAAAAAAGTGGTGTCAAATCCATTTATTATACAGCCTATGAGTCAAAATTATAGGGTTGCATTTAGATATATTTTTAGAGGTACTTTGGAGTTCTCGACTTGTTTTAGAATAGTAAATAAGTGTTTAATGTGATACAAGCATATGTTAGATGTATTTTTTATATATATATAATTTATTAAATGAAAAATAAATATTTGATATGATTGGTTTTTTTAAAGGGAACTATTGATGAACAGTGTAAAAACAAAATTGAAAACATAAATAAATAGTAAAAGATAATTTCCTTTGTGATATGAATATATATATATATATATATAGCAGAAACCCTACCAGCAACAGAGGGCCCAAGAGCGACTATGCATGCCCCAGTCAGTGTAGCCAGATCCACTATCTGCGTGTTTAATTAAATGTTCAAACTATAAAATGCACAAATGGAATCTGCCATCGCACAGTGAACAATAGAAGGTTTCATTTGTATCACATTCTGTACTGAAGCAATCGAATCCTTTGAGAGCGATAAAATAACCAGCTGACTCAATGAAAGGCAAACTACATCCAACTCTAAAATAAATATAGGCCTCCGCATACCTTTGAAACACCTTGCTTACAAGCATATACCAGGGCATCAGCAAGTGTGAGTCTTCCCTCAGCATCAGTATTGTTTACCTACACATGAGTACTGATAATTATTATGAGATTACTTGATGGGGGTAAATACCGATACCATTCCAAGTTCAATATGCAGAAACAGCACAAGCCCGGATAAATTACGCTGCATATAAAATGAATGAACGCGTCCAACCAAATCTCTTTGCTACTTCCTGGTAGTAGACCATATGCAACTTATGAATTCATCAGCATAAAATTCTCTACTAACAAATGAAAACACTCAGTGGAAAGATAAATTATCCAGAAATGTAGGGGTACAAATGCACATATGAATTAATACTCTGATTTCCATATTAACAAATAAGAAATGCTTACAATATAGTGGCGTCTTTTATACAAAGCAAAGAAAAGTTTAAGTTAAGATCCTTTTTAATAAACTTAAGAAAGAAGATTGTGAACAAGGCACTACCAAATGCACACAATAAATTCAAACCAATTATGAAGAAGCCAATCTCATGCAAAAGACACAAGAAGTTCACACAATGAAGCAATGCAGGAAAATGTACTCACGACAATTTAAAGATGAACTTGACCCTTAAATTGGAACTAAACCCACATCAGTTCTCTGATATTGATTTATTAAATCAGGGCTGGTGATGAGGAAAGCTAATGAATTAATGAGAAAAATGATAGTCTCAAAAATATATCTCTGGAGATGAAATGACAGAACAAGAAAAGAAGAGGAAATTCATGACCTCAACAATAGAGAGGTACCTCAATAGTCTTTCCATTTGAAGCTGTGACAATATCTCCAGGTCTCATGCCTGTCCCACTTATCATATTTTCACATGCTGCAACAATGAAGTGAACCTGTAGAAACATTGACATTTGTCACGTTTTCATTTTCAATCTCCTCAGAAATCTTCAGAAAAGCAAGTGTGATAACTGGAATAGGAATGATCAAATTATCTTTTAAAATAGGAAACTAAACAAGTTGAAACGGAAAGAAATGAAAGAAATCCACCTCTACACCGGCAGGCTTGATTCGGCCAAGAGCTTTTGCTGCACCAAGCACTGCAGCTGAGCCCCCCATATCAAATTTCATCAGTTCAATCATACAGCCTGGTCCTGTCTTGATATTGTAGCCACCACTGGATCATAAAAAAACAAATACTTACTTTAACACATTATATAAGAGATCATTTGCATGATAACAATGTCATATTCTCTACAAAAATAAAAAGGGAAAAACATTCTTGTATGCACAAAATCATGTACTCACCTGTCAAAAGTCAAACCTTTTCCAACTAAGGCCAACTTGGTTTTGACTTCACCAGAAGGCTTGTAACATAAATGTATGAAATGTGGAGGGTTTGCTGATGCTGCAGCAACAGCTAGATAAGAACCCATTTTCAATTCCTTGCAATGTTCTAAATCCAATATTTTGGCAGTAAAAACATCACTATATTCGGAGGCAATCCTTTTGGCTTCTTCAGCTAGTACTCCTGAGGTAGACAAAAGCAAAGTGATTGATGAGATAGGAAGAACTTGACTGCATTATTTGACAAGCTAACAAGCAGGAAAATATATGAGTAGAACTGTAGAACCAAACAGAAAGACAAAGGGGTACCAAAAACCTGGTGTAAGCACATTAGCAGGAGCATTTACAAGCTCTCTCCCAAAGATGACACCAGAACAAAGATTTTCTGCATACTTGAGTTTTTTCTCTAGCTCAGATCCACTACCCAGGCCAACAATGTCCACTGATTCAAGAGTGGGTTTCTTTGATTCTGACTTGAACCTATTATCATCAAATGTCCCAATTATAGCTCCTGTTCATCCCAACCAAAAAGGAAGTACATTAACTTCAACCTATAACTGTAGCAAATACAATTCACATCTCTACAAATCTGGAACACCAAGATAAATACCAGATGCAATTGCTGAAGCAGCAGTTGGCTTAAATTCTTCTGGGATTTCTTCCGAAGAAGCAAGCGTAATGGCAATCTTACTAGCCTGTGCAGACTTGGCAGCTGCAGCAACAGCCTCCCCTAGAGTGCGAAAAGTTGAAGGTCCTGATGCTGATGCTCCAAGCCCAATTAATCCAATCCTTTTTGAACCGAGACCAGGAACCCTGAGAAAGGTTGACTGTCCAGCCTTTCCCGTAAAGTCCTCCTCGGATGAAGCTTCAGACAACAAACCACTCAACTTTGCATCTAGTTTCTGCAGGATTGAATTTTGGAACTTTGAATTGTCATCTTTAGTCAGGTCCTTTTCTGTGACTCCCACAGCAAGTATGTCTCCTTTCCACTCCGCCAAATCAATCTCTTTTGCAGCAAATAAGATCTGATGCAACTCCAGAAACAGGTTAACTAAGTAAAGTAAAAACAACTGAAGTCTCCAACAAATACATATGCATAGTCATTTAATCAGAAAGATTTACAAAGGAAAGGAAAACCCTCCAAAGAAAAATCAGTAGGAAAACATAGATGCCATAAAAATGTTAAAACTTTATCTGAACCTCATAGTAACAGTCTTTTACCAATATAACACGGAACCTTAAATTAGCACAATTCATCAATTATTGATCGCATTAATCGAGAATAGATGCTTCAATTATTGATCGCATTGATCGCACAAACTGGCATAACAAACGAAAACCAACACCAACCAAGCAAATCAGCAAGAATAAACAGAGAACAAGATCCTCCAGACAAGCAATCTAACAATCGAATATAACAATCAAATCATTCATATCCCGAAAGCAAAAATAAAAAAGAGGAAATAACGCCACACCTTGGGCTGATCGATAGTGTTTGGCTGGGTAAGGCCAAGGGTGGCCCGAGCAATGGAGTGAGCCATACGCCTTGCTCGCCTGGATGTTACCGCAAAGGAAATATCCCAAATTGGACCAAATCGGAACTTTGTGAAAGTCAAGCAGCGGGAGCGGCAGTAGCAAGAAGCGGGCGATGACGTCGAAGCAAGGAGAGTGAAGGAAGTGGAGGCGACTCTGATGGAGGAAGCCATTTGTGGGCAGTGACTGATATTTATAAGAGTAAAATTGTAGATATCGACGGAAGGAAGGAAAGGATGTGCTAAAAGGTCAAAAGCTTGTGCATAATCAGGGACGGTTCATTTGGTCTGGGCCGAACTAAGCCCAACCCGGCCCAAACCCAAAATAATTATTACAGAATTCTAGAAACGTCTAAGCACGCGAACAATGGATTATCCACCAAGCAACTACTGCCACTTCAGATCCCACGTCGATTTTCTTTTTCTGTCTCTGCTTTGAATTGGAACGCTGATCGTGTGTGTATGTTTAATTGTATCTATTCATCTGTTGTTGGAAGAAAATTTTGAGCAGGCAAGGATGGTGGCGACGAATTTGAAAGCAGAGACAATGAAGCTGATGGAGAAGCGGAGCGGCCTTGAGGTGGAGATGAACGTCATCATTCAGCGTCTGTGCCAGCCCGGCGGCCCTGGTCTCTCCGGAAACCTGCTTGATTCTGAGGCAAAATTTTCTTTTTAATCGATTTTCTGCAGCTACAACCATTTCTTTTTGAAGAAAAAAAAGAGTCCATTTTTTGTTTGTTCGCTAGCAAGATTGAGTGTTCTGGGCAGTTGAGATTGTGGAATTGGTGTTTGATTAATTTGAGAAATTGGGATCTGTGCAGGGTTTTCCAAGGGCTGATATTGACATTCCTGCTGTTAGAGCCGACCGGAATAGACTTGCTGGTAGTTACTGAAAAATCTCTAAATTTGAGAACTTCTGTGTTGTATGATCTGAAAAATCTTCCTTGTTAGTTTTGGATATCTATGGGTTGCATTGCTTCACTTGCTTGCTTTTAAATTTTTTGTGCTGAATGGGAAACTTCAAATAGCAAGTTTTCCATTTGTTTTGTTTTTAAATTTTGTTGCTTTGATGAATCTATTTGATGCATCAACTATGGAGCTGTATTTTAGTATTGTTAGCAAACATCTTTCTGCAATACTATAGTGGACACTTATCGTGCCAACAGATGCATATTACACTTGGATATCTACTATGTTAACTCAAATTGCATCGTGTCTGTGATAAAAAAGGATTAATGTTATTGACAATTAGTTTTTCGTTATGTATATTCACTTCTGTGATCAATCCTGTTTTGGTATGTTATTATTGCTATAATGGTTATGATCTACTTGATTATGTTGCTGTTGTGCATTGTTTAAAGGACTTTTGGTCTCGAACTGAATCATTAGTTGTTGAGAGGCGAGTGAACTGATTTGTTTGTGGTGCATATATTGATGACTGAATTATGAAATTGAATGTAGGCTGCTTTTGTTTTTTTCTTTTTCTTAATAAAAAATAAATGTCTAGTATGATATGTACCTGTGGGATAGCATGTGCAAGTTTTGATTACTGAGTTGGACTCTTCATTGAGCTATGTCTACTGGACTCACCTTAATTATCATCATGATACATTTACATTGTGTATGATATGTCGTGATATGCATTCAGAAAAGATATAAGCTTATATGATTTGCAGATATCTTCATTTTGCACTCTTACATAAAAGTATGGGGATAGCATTTCAAAAGTTGTCCTTTCTTACCTATCAAACAAGAACCTTGCTCTTGCTTTAATGCTTGAAAGCACAATATAAATTGTACTGACCTTTTTTTTTCTTCACTTTTACAGAGCTTCGTAACGATCACAAGGATATTACGGAGAAGATAGATGCAAACATCCAAGTGTTGCATTCTGCTACGCTCAAACCAACAACACCTCACATTATCAACTCAGGTTGGTAATACATTGTATTTTGTCAGTTATGTGCCGGACCAATTTAAAGAGCTGAATGAAAGTTAATTCAAGAAAATCATGCAAACATGGTACTGCAAGAGAGTAGGATAAGTATTGCATTGCAATTTTCAAAGGAAAACTTGAGGATTTTGGAAAACTATGTATGATGTTTGTATGATTGTCACAATGGAAATGCAAAATGTTAAACTACTTTACAAGTGATGCTGCAGGGACAAATAATCAAGATTCAAACATTAGCGTGTCTTCATCTTTTGGTGATTCTTTTACTGGAAGTTCGTCTAGCAGCATGGATGTGGATTCCGTTGTTGGCAGACCCTTTGCAATGATTGATGAAATAACTGAGGCATCACCAGCAGCAGAAGATGGTTTACAGCTTGGGGATCAAATTGTGAAATTTGGAAGTGTGGAAATAGGTGATAACTTGCTGCAAAGGCTGGCTGCTGAAGCACAAAATAATCAAGGCCAAGCAGTGCCCCTGGTGGTATTGAGGCAAGGTTCGTGCATTAACACGACAGTTACTCCTAGACCATGGTCAGGTCGGGGACTGTTAGGGTAAGTTGAATTTGCATCCCTCTGTATATCTATCAGTTTATTATTTAACAGTACATCAAACCAGGACTCTTCTTGGACCAGCTTGCTTTATTGAACTAATGATTTCTAGGATTTTGGGAAGTTCGTAACACCCGGTCTCTTCCCTCGCTCACACACGCACACACTCACATGTTACCAGTATTAGAGAATACATAATTTATAACCTGCATTATTATGTACATTCTAACAAGTTCGGAAGAGAATGATCAATGGATTTGAAATGTGTTTCATTAACTATTTATCCTTGGACCCTGCTTATGGGTTCAAAATTGTTCTGTATTCTTAAGATAGAATTCGAATTATAAATATGCAACTTTTTGTTTCCCCATTTCTTTCAATTTCGGGTTTAAGAGTTCTTTGGTTGAATAATAAGATTGTTTCTTATGTGCAGGTGCCATTTCCGAATCTTGTCATGATGGTGAATTATGCCTGCTTCTGCTCAAGATGGTTGTGCTGAACTTAGTTTAATTTCGGGCATCTTTGAAATGAATTGTTGTTGGTTTTGCTTGGATAATTAATATTGGAAGACTATATGTTAATCATACTGGCAAATTCTGTTAGTGGCGAGACGAGGATTAACTATGACAATATGATTCTTGCATCAATTTCTTGTTACCAATATTACTCTTATGACAGATGAGCTAAAACCCAAATTCCAAAAGAACACAACTTTGTTAAAATCCCTCTGTTTTAAGTGTTTTTGCAGAAAGCTGTCATTTTCAATCAGTAAATAATGAAAATCTACAATGCAGACTCAACCAGGATGTAGAAAAAAGAATAATTATGTTGGAAGGAAATAACAGACACAGAACATTGTAGCTCAAGTCTTGTATATGGAAATAAGTTTTGCTGCATCAACAGCATATAGAGGTTCACCAGGGCAAGATACCATTCTGTATCAGTTTCATGACCACAAGAAAAACTCCAATTAAACAGGAAGGTAACAAAAGCATCACCACCTTAAAAACATCATCACACTTTTAAACCACTCTGTAACAGATTCTTGGACAGGTTTTACAAACACTGCAAGGGCGATGCTCGTTTTGTGCCGTTTAGTTCTTGGGGCCGATATCTTTAAGGGCGCAGATCTGCTCTTCACCCATTGCAGACTGGACGCTCACAACGAGGTCCTTTCCTTCCTCGAACCCACTTTTAATCTGCACATTTCATAGCAAATTTAAAATGAACTTTTTATGATGTTTTATGTGCATTGCAATAATAAGATCCAAACTATTTGCATACCTGGCTAAGCAGACTGTCATCAGTGGGAAGTCGGAGATCATCTTTGGTATTGCCATTTTCAGTCAGAAGAGAAACCTACAGGGTTTTTTTTGGAAGAGTTATAATATATATATATATATATAGATATATTTGATCAAACTTGTAACAGGGTTGCCTTGGGAATAAATGACTTACGAAGCCATCTTCAGAGATGTCGATGAGCTGATAATCAGTACGGTTGACATGAGGCACCTGAAACAACATTTCATAACATCAGTGGGATTCCACATCCAACTGGTAAATTGCCTGTTTGTTTGAAGACAACATGGGAAAAAGAAGTATGCAGCAAAAGTAAACGAGACACATTACATCACAGTTGTGAGAGGATGGAACAATATCTTCAAGCTTTTTTCCGTTGAATATGTCAATTCCAACAAAGTGACACTTAGCATGGCCATGCTTGCCCGTTTTTGAGGTGGAGACCTCGACAACCTATAAGAGTAGAACACATCAACAATAAAATCAAAGTTCCAGTGGCAGGCAATAAATACATACAGATATAATTATCACAGCATAAATCTTGCCCTCAGCTTGTCACTTGAATTTAACAATTCAGCCATTAAGCTTGTAAGAAAGAAATGCATTCAACTTATTCAACAATCAACATCACGCCTTGCTTCCCAAAGAAAGTGCTGCAAAATCAAAACTTTGATCCAAACATCTATACGGAGAAGATGTGTGCATCCATTTCTTCATTAAAATAAAAATTTCCCTTAAAAGACTCATAAAAAGAAAACACCCAATTTTCCATTAAAAACATATTTCCATGCCCATTTTCAAACACCAAAACGCTAACACAACAAATACAAGCATTTCATTAAAATTTGAACAGGACATTTAATCATGGACAAAACCTGAGAAAATCAAGAAGGAAAGCACAGATTAAAGAGCTAATGAAATTCGCAGAGCAGGGATGTTACATGAAAACATGTATGTGCATAATAAACATTCAGATGGCAATGGTATTATTATTCACCATTGAATGAAAAAAAAAAAAAAAAAAAAAAAAAACTACCCATAAGTGTGCATCTCAGGTCCCAATTCAGAAAAGAAAACACACGCACACAATAAATCGAGACAGTACAGCTACCCGTCTTCATTAAATAGGTAAACACTACCAGGAAGACCAAACAAAATTATAGTTTGACTTGAAAAAAAAATCCATAAATCGTAGAAACGCCACAGATTCCAGGTAGATCCGGCCTTGTGCAAAGAACTGGAACAAATCCCACATATTCAACAACCTTAGATTTAGGGCAAATTCGCGAATACAAAAACGGAGCGATAGGGATCTAAACGAAATTGATGAATAACAGCAACAGAGACAGTTGTTGGTGCGAATCGAACCTTGCAGGGCCTGCCCTTGATGACGATGTAGCCGTTCTTGCGGATGGTGCCAGCCTGTTGCGGATAGGTCTTCGATGCACCAGCATCAGCCTTAGATTCAAAGTGATGCTCCTCGTCCGACATCCTCTCTTTTCCTCTTTCTCTCAGTCGGTCGTCTGCGGACTCACAGTGTTTAGGGTTCAACCGCAGTAGCGTGTACTCTCTATTTTTCACCTTTTAGTGGACGGATGGATTTGCTTTATCCTACTTTCATAAAATTATATTTTTTAAAAAAATATATTTATTTATTTGATCTCACATAAAATATTATTTAGCATTACCAAAGTAGGGTTAGGGCTAAGCAAGCAGCATATTTATCATAAGGTATCTAAATGAATTAATAACTTAAAACAATTCTGATTACAGCTTTTTAACAAAAAAATCCTAATGGATCGATGTTAGAGAAGCAAGAAATGATGTAGAAATAAAACAGAAGGTCAACCTTAGCCTTAATGGCAAAATATAATGTGACTGAAGCGTGGCCTTAAGTTACTTGCAAGTTACGACACACAACCAATGTAATAACCTTTCTTTCTAAACCCGAATCTGTTCGAGATCCTTTAGTAGTCCGACCACTTGTTGCATGCTCGGCCTCTTCGCCGGAGCTTCGGCGCTGCAAAGATACCCGATCTTCAGCGCCTCCGCCATCTGCCCCTCCGGTCCCGTTCCGCGGATCTTCGGATCGATCCCTTCCATTGTTCGGTTTCGCCTCACGAGCACCCGAACCCAGCTCACTAAGCACCCGTCTTTGTCGTCGGGATAAGAGTCGCCCATCGGCTTCTTTCCGGTGACTAGCTCGAGAAGAATGACACCGAATGCGTAGACGTCCGATTTCGGGGTAGGGGTTGGCGGGGAGCCACTCTCCGGCCGAAGGAATTCCGGCGCGACGTACCCCGGCGATCCGCGCGCAAACTCGTCGTCGAGGCCGTTTCCGAAGATCTTGGCGAGCCCGAAGTCAGACAGCCTCGGCTCTAAATTGGAATCGAGGTACACGCTGCTCGCCTTGACGTCTCTGTGGATTATAGGCGGCGAGCAGCCGTGGTGGAGGAACGCCAATGCACGGGCGGTGCCGAGTGCGATCTTGTGCCGGAAACGCCATGTCGCGTGGGAACCTTCCGGACCCACATTTTGTATCCCGTGATTCTCGTTGTCATCGTCCCACGTGTCGGTGCTCCAGTCTTCGGGGGTTTGGACGCCTAGCGGCAAATCATGGAGCAAGTTTTGGAGGTTTCCGTTTTCCATGTATTCGTAGATGGCGATCCTCTGTTCGCCGGCTAAGCAATATCCGGTCAACGGGACGAGATTCGGGTGCTTGATCCGGCCGAGATGCTCGAATTCTCTTGCAGCTTCGAGGTCCGTCAGGGTCGAGCCGTGGACCAAAACTTTAACCGCGACGTGAATGCCTCCCGGCAAGAGGCCGCCGTAAACCGGGCCGAACTTTCCTTCGGCTAACAATGTCCCCCGATCGAAGTGCGATGTTGCCGACAACAGATCGGCGAAGGTGAAATTCAGCAATGGCTTTTCAAAAATCACCACAGGGACAGACGTTGCTTGCTTAACATCGGCTACCCAAGTGGTCGAATCCGTCTGGAACGAAAAGGGTCCCGAGACGGATTGTTCTTCCCTGTAAGAACTTTGCTTCACGGCCCACATTCGGGTCGGTTTCCTTCTGCACCGGAATGCCAAGAACAGCAACCCCACAAGCAGGCAAACGAGCGAGAGACTCAGCGCCAGAGCGAGCTTTAGTCCGCGATGCTTGGAAGATTTTTTCTGGAAGAAATCGGGATTCGCAGCAATGGGGCAGCTGTTGATCGATCCGATGAACGATGCTTCAACAGTTTCAAGATTGAATCTTGATCCGCAGAAGCTTAGGTTGTTGTAAGAAAAATTGAATCTTTCCATTCCTTGGAGCTCTCCCATAAGCATCAAAGGAATGTCGCCGGTCAAATTGTTGTAAGAGAGGTCGAGAACTTTGAGGTTCGCCGTAGCAAGCGGAGGAATCCGGCCGTCGAGATGATTATGCGAAAGATCGAGCATTTTCAAACTACTTAACTGCGAGATATTGCTAGGAATCTCCCCGATCAAATTGGTACGAGACAAATTCAGATACTCTAAATCAGCTAGCATGTCGACTCGAAAGAATCGCTGTCTGGAAAACCGATTATCCGCAAGATTGAGGTGTTTAAGACCTCCGGCGCCGGTGAAATCAAAATCACCGCTCAACTGATTACCAGACAAGTCCAAATAGATCAACCTCCACCAATCGAAATCAGAGTTGAAGTTAACCCGAGCAATGTGGCCATGGAACTGGTTCCAGCTCAAATCAACAACTTCCAACGGCCCTTCAAAAACACCAACAACACTGCCATCAAACATGTTCCCAGAAACATTGATATACCTAATCATTCCCAATCCCGAAAGGTCCGACGCCCTGCCGGCGATCCTGTTCCCGGCGAGGTTCAAGAATTCCAACCGGGGGAACGCCTGGCCGAAGCTATCAGGAAGATGGCCATGGAGATTGTTCCCGGACAGATCGAGGTAAACCAATTCGTGGCAATGAGAAATCCCCAAGGGAACAGTGGATTCGAACCCATTGTGGCTGAGATTCAGGAGCTTCAAACTCCCGAGGGAACTGATGGCTTCGGGGATGCTCCCTGACAAATCGTTGTAAGAAAGGTCCAAGATTTGAAGCCCTCCGAAATTTCCGACGTTGTTGGAGAAGCTTCCGGCGATTATGTTGTGCGAGAGGTTGAGGACGACGAGGGAGCTCAAGCTCCAGAAATCCGACGGCAGAGAAGTGATATTGTTGCGGCTGAGATCCAAAGTCCGAAGCTTCACCAATTTGCCAATGGTGGTTTCAGAAATGGCGCCGGAGAGACCCAATCCGGAGGCATTCAGGCCGACAATGTGCTCCCCATTTTTGTCACAATCGACGCCTCTCCAGGAGCATAAGGACACAGAAAAGTCGTGATCTTGCAGGGGATTTAGGCCCATTTTGGAGAAGAATTCGAAGAGGAAGGATTCATCTGTATTGGGTTGCAGGGAAACCAAAGGTCTGAAGAAGAAAGTTATGGCGAAGAAAGAACCAAAGATTCTTCCAAACCCCATTTTTTTCTCAGGAAATAATCAAGAAAAGATTGGAAGAGATCGATTTATCGAACGAACACTTACAAGTTACACCCCTCCCTAAATCTCAGACAGTCAATTCCAATTAAGCTCGAAGCACCATTAATGCACAATTTCTGTGGCATCTGCAGCATCAATAAAACCCACCCAATAAAGAACCCACCCCACCGCCAAAGCTAAAGAAAAACACCACTTGGGGCATATGAAGTCCATTAAAACCTAATAACAGAGCTTACGAGTAGAAATAACAATAATACCTGTCTGAAGGTGGGTTCTTGCGAGTTAGAACCAAGACATTGGAAGGAAGGTCGAGACTAATTTGTTGAAAGGGAAAGCTGCTGGTTTTGAGACTGAGTGCCAAAAGAAATGATGAAAAATGGATGGCATGGTGTGGTAATGGTATAATTGTGTGTGTGCGCTTTCTCAGGAAACCGTGAGCGGTAAAGAAGTAAATTGACTGTGCACTGTGTTGCAGGCTTCTGGGAGATAGTAGCTGGAAGTTGAAGATGGAGGGGAGAGAGAGAGAGGCCATTAATTGATTGACATAGTAGTAATATAGATATTAAAGAATGTCTCTTTTGGGTGGGTGGAGAATATCTGTGAACTGTTCGGTGGGAATTCAGTCATGCCATATTTACGAAACTCTGCCACTCATCACTCTGCCATCTCTCTCTCTCTCTCTCTCTCTCTCTCTCTCTCTATCTCATTTCTTTTTTTAAAATGTCATTTGCAATGTATTGCATAATTTAAGCTTTCTCAGTTTTGAAGTTTCTTTTAGAGGAACTTAAATATTTTAATGTAACATATATGATATTTTTAATAAAAAAAATTATTATAATATACCAAATAAAATAAATATTTTATACTATATTTAAAAATAATTTAGTATTTTACGGGGATTGGCAATGTAGTAATATTCTTGCTCAAATGTTTTTTTTTTTTTTGCCTTCTGCTTTTATGGCTACCATACTTCTGTTGAAGGGAGGAGGTCATTTAATTTTTATTTTTAAAAAATAGAAAAAAAAAAGAAGAAGAAATAGGTAAAAGTTGACTTTGCTTTCTGAGATGGTTTGGTAAAATGGAATTTGTTAGCTTTTTTGGGTTTCTTTCTTTTACTGTCGTCCCAAAATTCCAAAAGTTGTCTGCCTCCCCACTTACTTTTAGGGCTTGCATTCAACCCTAAATCTTGGACTACACTCAAATCATACATACATATACGTGGTGGAATTTGATATTATTATAGCATATGGCCATTACTTAATTTAATTTATTGATCATTTTCTATTGGGACAGGTAGTAGTCCACATTCCACCATCATTTATATGTATTAATTATTTTCATAACATATTATATTTATATTAAATTGAGCCCTAAGTTAACAAAATTTTAGAGTGAGTTTGGTTTGAAACCCAAATCAAACACGTCCTTACATTTTGAGATATTTTTGTAAACCTATATTAGTTCCCAATATTTTTCTTGATTTCATTTATTAAATTGGGTATTATGGATTTTTTGTTTTCTCTATATTGCACAAAAGTTCATCATATATATGGAATAAGTACATAATTAGGCTCAGCAAGGATTTCAAGATCACAAAAAAAGTTTAGTGACCCATATTCACCATCACAAATAAAAAAATGTACAAACAAATGTACATTTCAAAAAAGGAGAAGTTATTACTTTCCCTTTAAACAAAGAATAATTCAAAATTGAATATATATATATATATATAATACAAGAATAAATGTGTCATTTTATCGTATACTTTCGAAATTAGTTAAGGATTCTAGTACTCTAATGATATGGAGGGTGACAAAATCTCATTGATCATCCAAAACATATCAATTAGTCATTTTGTATAATTTAATAAATAAATAAGATGATGGTGTATAATATTCTTCCCAACAATAACACTTTCATTTTTCACCAAATAAAATAAGTATTTAAATGTGACACTGTTTGACTAATTGTCCACTAAACCCTAAAAAGTTGCAACCACATATCCACTAATTATAACATCCTAATTTCAAACATTCATATATATATATATATCTATATTCTGGTAGTTTGAATGATGTCATACAACAAGAGTACGAAGTAGTTGTTACGAGAGCCTAGCTCAAGTTTGAAAAATTAATTGAGATATTTAGGGCGTGTTCATCCTACTGTATGTCCAAAATTTTCTCCCCAAAAATATCAAATCAAACACTTATTTTTCATTTTTTATATTATACTAAAAATCAATTTTACATTCAAAATATCACATCAACACATATTTATATCACATCGTACAACTATTCAAATTCAAAATTTTTACTATTCAAATTCCAACTCAAAATCCAAACCCCCAAACAAACACGGATTCGTGACCGTAATGTTATAATTGATCTGTGATCATGAGACGTTTAAACTTTGACACCTTCAAGTTTTGGCTGTAGCGAATTTCTACGTCATCATAATATATATATATATATAAACTCTAATATGATAAGATAAAATTGAAAGTAGTATATTGTGCCATCATTTCTCCTCAAATTCAATCACTCGTGACATCAAATATTGTCTCTTTTCAACAGAACCCTCCAAATATATACTTCTAAAACTTTGAGTCCAAATGAGACTAACCATTTGTTCATTTATATTGAAATAAAAATTTCTTTATAATAATTATTATTATTTCTTGCATATATATATATATATGTTATGGTGATGACAAAAAGCATGGGACAGATCATTAAGTGTAGATGGTCCACCATGACCAGAAACTGCTGACTTAACTTGTGCTCACAGTTCTTATCCCAACGTCGTATTCCTTAAGTTTTTCAATTTCAAACTCCCCCTAACTTTTATTTTATTTTTTCAAATCTAATTTTTGCAACATCAACTTACCTGTGACTTTAATGTAAAAAAAAAAAAAAAAAAAAAAAAAAAAAAAAAAAAAAAATTGCAGCAGGGGTTTTTATATATTACCAGTTTTGCAGTAGGCAAGAAGTTAAATAGAATAAAATAATTAAAATAAATATATGATGAGTTGTATATGTAATAAATAAGTGTCGATCAATTATTTCCGAATTACTATATATATAGTTCACATCAATGCAATGAAGCAGACGTAATGAATGATTATAAATTCGATACTAATTACAAACTGGTGCTACTGTCTTAAATAAATAAATATATATTTATATATATATTTCGTTACAAGCCAATCACTTTTACTTTAAGAAAATATATATATATATATTGATGAAATTTTCAAACCATTTCATATTTTTTTTAAAAAAAAAAATCGATTAAAATATATTTGAAGGATGTGAAGACATTATGAAGGGCCCAAAGGCACCGACTTTACACCCATAGAATAAAAACTGTCACCAAAAGTATAAAATGTTAGTGTAATGTTTCTATATATTTTTTATATAAGGTTTTAAATAAAAATTAAATGTTGATATACAATATTTTAAGCAAAACACACCCAGCAAAAGCTTTGGAATTTATTAAAATAAAAATGCTACTCCCTCCGTCCCACATACCATGTCCACATTGTTGTTCTGTCCGTCCCGACATTCTATGTCATTTTTATTTTTTGAAAAATAATTACATATTTTAATTTTATTTTAAACTTTTTAATTTATTTTTTATTTTTTAATTTTAATTAATTAGTTATCTTAATATTAATTTATAATTATTTTCATTAATTACATCCCTTCTAAAATATCATACGTACAGTGTAGCAGACACTGTACGTTAGTACGTGTGACACGGAGGGGGTTACTGGTAAGCTAACACACACAGAAGAATGTCTAAACTTAAAACCTTTAATCATGTGGGCTGAACTATTAATATTATTACTACACTAATCATTACACCAATATTGGCAAATACAGTAAGCTGATCAAGTTAATCGCTTGTTGATTAATGTTTTTTTATTTTTTATTTTTTCTCATAAAAGATGATTAATTTTTACTTTGAATAAATTAATTCATCTTCAACATATTTAATAAATATTATAAATCAATTTAATTAAATTTCTAATAATTTAGTTAATCATGCAAATAATTTTTAGTTGATATACATATTAGTTTGTTTGTCCGACCAAGAAAAAACCTAATTTAGATTCGGAAAATTGATCCGGAAATTTGAACTATATCCCAAACTATTAATTTATAAGTTAGTTAATAATACCGAACTAATTTAAATGAGATTTGGATTTTGGCTGCATTTAGTTTATTATAATTATAGGTTGTGTTTAATTTGTTTATAGGATTGGCTCCAAAGAGTGGCTAAGAATATCTCCAACCGAGGAGATTTTTTTGAGAAAAAAATTGTTTCAACCCACCCTACAATTTTGTAGAATTCATCCGCCGGATCCAGCGGAATACTGTAGCGCGGGTGCATTTTTTTTGTTTATTTTATTCTTTTTTTTATTTTGCTTTGAGCTTATATTTTATATTATATCTTATTTTATTTTATTTTTGTTACTTTTAATTTTATTATTTTTTATTATAATTTTGTAATTAATATTTATAGTAAATTATTTATTTATTTAATATTTATTAAAATTTATAATTAATTGATTATGGTAAAATAATTATATTAAATTTAAAATATTATAATATTTATAAATATAAAATAACATTAATTATGAAAAATATCATAACATTAAATAAAAGAAAAACTTAAGAATACAATATAAAATTATGCGTACAATATTATTCAAAATTACTTAAATAAACTTAGAAATATAATATTGAATTAAACATGCAATATCTAATCATCACCTAAATCGTTTGGATTCTCATCCAAATCATTGAAATATCTAGTCATCACCTAAATGTATAAAAATAATAAAATATTAAAATTTATTTGTAATTTAAAAATTATGTAAAATAAAATATAAAAAGAATATTTTTTAACCCTGCAAAAATGGAGGGTATGGTTGGAGAAGAGACCCCGCAAAAATAGAAGGTATGGTCGGAGATGGTTACTGTAGCAGACCCTGCAAAAATAGAGAAATATACTGTAGACTCTGCAAAAATGAAGTTATGGGTTGGAGATGGTGTAAGTCCGAAGCTATTAGTCCTATCCTCAGTTGCAGATGCAAACAACAAATATGCTTAATTATCTGATGATCAATATTTTTTTAATAAAACAATTTTTTATATATATTATTAAAAAAATATAAATATACATACAAAAAAAACATGAGTGAAGAAACTGATTATAAATTCTCCAAATATTTATTTTTTTTTTCAAAAATAAGAAATTATTGAACAATAATACTCTATATTCATGCTAGCAATTTGAGTTATCTACCAGACTACCATCAATGTATTAATTTTTTAATTTAGTAATTATATATTTGCATGCACTAATAATATACCTAATTTCACAATTATATTATTTTCTATCCATTATATTTTTGAGATATTTTAATCAATATATTTTTACATATTATTCATCACATAAAAATTATTTTTTCCTATCTCACATATAGAAGATAGAGATAGTATTATTTTTTAATCTACATATAAAAAAACAAATTGATATACATATATCTTGGACAATGAGAATATACATATGTAGAATACACAAAATAATAAAATAAATTTATGATGAATTATATGCGAATTCTTTGGAGCCACATACAAGAACTAGCACAAGATTTCCATGGATTAAAAATTTATAATAATGGTTCGCCTCAGGTCACTTGTCACACACGTTCGCCTAGTGTGACTTGCCCGTCGAGCCTGGTTTGTAGGGTATTAGGTTTGATCGGGGGTTTATTCAGTGCGCACTTTCGGGTAGCGACTGCGGATTCCCACGTCATCAAATTTTTTATTTTTTTTTTTATAAAAATGACAAAACCTAATGTGACATAATCGATGGTGTAATTTGCATGCTATTACATCCCACCTAAAAATAAAAAATACTCCTATTAGTCCTATATAAAACCTCACTATAAAATATCCAATTAAATTGGTGCAATATCTTTGATGGGGCTATCTACATAGCAATAATGGGTACTTGTTCGTTAATTATATTGTAGCTCGGCCCTAAAGCAATTTATTTGCGATCTGTTTATATATGAATTAAGAGGAATTAATAAGTGAATTAAGAACATCATATATATAAGTTCAACCATCTTATATATATAGATTCATGAAATTAAATAACCAAGTGAATTTCATGGCAGCAATGTTATCTTCCCTTGCCAATGGTGGCACCAAAGATCACAAAGAAAACAAGAAGAAGATGGATCTCAATGGGGGCCAAGACCACAATGACAAAAATATGATCGAAAGTTTTACCGTGGGAGAACCATGCGACAATGTTAATGCCGCCGATCCATCCAGCAGTCGCTTGAGCAAAATAATTGCTAAATTTCAAGAGCATCTCGCCGAGAGTATTAATCATTCTCTAGGTTTGTAATAATGATACGTGCTTCAATCGTAAATTGTATATTGTTTGAGTTTGATTTAGGTTTTTTGATTTGAAAATAATGGTTTGACGTAATGTATTTTCAAATAAGATAATTTATTTATTTATTTTTTTAGAGAATTATAGAGTAAAAAATTGAAATTAAACCTCAAAAGAGCAATGTGTGTTATTTTGAGGTTTTGATTTGCAAATTATATATAAAATTTGAATTGAAATAATATTTGAGAAAAATGCTTGATGTACTTTTGAACAAAAAAATTGGTTTTTTTTTAGTAATATAATAAATGAAAGTATACAATATACCGTTTTGATTTTCTAGAAAAATATATTGTCTTTTTATATAAATATTAATTTTAACTACTATTAAAACTAAAACTAAAACTCAAACTCAAACTCCAAGCAAACAAACACTAGACGGGCATAAATAAATATACATTGATGATAAGAAAATAATTAGAGTTGAAATACTTTACTTGCATATTTATATATCAATTTTCATCAATAAATTCTTTCAATTTCCCCAAATGAAGTTTTTGTATACTTGTTGGTTTTTTCGTGGGCTCGGTGATCAGGCTTTCCGGGGAATTTGGATTGCAGCCGATATATTGCTTTATCTCCCTTACTTGGTTTCCATCTTAACAATGTTGGCGATCCATTCATCAAGAGCAACTTTGCTTTGAATTCGAAGATGTTCGAGGTTGAAGTTTTGGAATGGTTTGCGCGACTTTGGGCAATAGGAAAAAATGAATATTGGGGTTATGTAACCAATGGAGGGACAGAAGGCAACCTCAAGGGCCTCTTATTAGGGTTTGTAATGATTCCCAATGTGTTAGTTAACATGAAGTTTTATTTCAAATTAGTATTACATTCAAGATCTAATACTATTGTGCAATAATGTTTTGATCGTTGTAGGAGAGAATTATTATCCGATGGAATCTTGTACACTTCCAAAGCATCCCATTATTCTATACTCAAAATAGCAAGAATGTATAGAATGAAATGTGAAATAGTCGATACTTTAACTACCGGAGAAATAAATTGCAACGACCTTAGAGAAAAACTTCTTCTCAACAAGCACAAGCCCGCCATCGTGAATGCTACCATAGGTATTGTTACCGTTGGAGCTTGAATTTCATTGAAAGTTATTTTAAGGTTTAGTTAAAGTTGGATATAATTAAAATATATATACACATACATGTAATTGTTTTGATACATTATTGAAATTGCAGGGACTACTTTCAAAGGAGGGATCGACAACATTAATCTTATCATATCGACGTTGTATGAATGTGGTTTCTCAGATGATCGATTTTACATCCACTGTGATGCAGCTCTGTTTGGACTAATTTTACCCCTCATTGAACAGGTAAACAATTGCAATATTTACTTTGGTAAATAACATCCACCCAACATATATATATATATATATATATATACTTTGTGATTTGTCTTTTAATTTGGTTCTGATTTTGGTTTAACCAATTAATTTAATATAATATTTTTTCACTAGAAAATTTCATAATTGCACCTGAAAAAAATCATCAAGTAAACAGATCCAAATAAAACTAAAGATTATATTTCTCTATGGTAAATAGGAGTCGAATTTGAGCTTCAAAAGGCGCATAGGAAGCATTAGTGTGTCCGGGCACAAGCTATTAGGTTCTCCGATGCCTTGTGGAGTGTTCATGACGAGGAACAAGAATAGAAATCTCTTGGCACAAAATATCGAGTACATAGCTAGTTTGGACACTACAATAAGTGGAAGTCGAAATGGTCATGCAACAATTTTGATGTGGTATGGACTCAACATTAAAGGTATTATGGGGCTCAAAGAGGACGTCGAAATGTGCTTGGAAAATGCCCGTTACTTGAGAGATGAACTAAGGAATTGTGGCATCACGGCGATGGTCAATGAAAATAGCAACATTGTTGTCTTGGAGCGCCCTCTTGATGATGGCTTTGCGAATTATTGGCAACTTTCTTGTACGCAAAAAATGGCGCATGTTGTTGTCATGCCCCATATTACTACAAATATGTTGGATCAATTTGTCGAGGATCTTGTCGAGAAAAGAAGAACTTGGTATGGAAGATTTGATGATCTTCGACCTCCTTGCCTCGCAGCGGAGATCGGCATTTCCAACTGTTCTTGCCAAGTCAAGCATGAATCTTGAAAATTATATGAAAAATCATTGAATGTTGTTAAATAAATTGTTCACATTTTATGTGAAGTCTTTTTATTGTTTGATAATTCATATTTTTTTTTATTTATATATATATATATTTACATGAAGTTTTTTTTAAAAAAAAAAAAAATAGTTTGAGTTTATATTAAAATAATACTATTTGTTATGATATTTTGTAAGAGAAAAAAATAATTTTAAATTTATAGGACGAAGTAAGTATAATATATTAACTTAAAAAATAAATTTAGATTTATTCGTTCAATCATTTTTTTTACACATTTTTTGATATATATAATATTTATATTTTTTTAAAAAAAATATATATTATTTTTAATATTAATAATACGAGTTGTATATATATATATATATAAAACATTTGAATCTAAAACAATAAACAAAGTAGCTCTTTATTTAATAATTTTAAAATAAATTATTAAATACTTGTACTAGATCAAAATTAAACCTTAAAAATAAGTTTGTTTTTTTAATGAATTGATAAATATCTCTGAGCAGTAACTATATATTTTTATGGAATTGAATAATCTTTTTATGGCCCCGAGAAATCAAAACGACAAGAAAGTAACCAATAGTAAGACACAATCCTAAACCCTTATGAAGAATTATATATTTTTAATTGTCCTCGAGAAACAAAAATCATGTTTTATTATTCACCAAAAGGCTCTTTCGGTGGTTCACTTTGGATAATTAATTAATTAATGTATTTCCCATCATTTACAGAGAGATATATATATATATAATTAGAATAAATAGCTCATATTTATTTATTATTATTATTATTTAAATATCACTAATGTTTAATAGATTAGACATATTTTTTTATTAATGATTATTAGATGACAAGGTAAAGAAAGGGAAGATCCAAATAAAAGTTTGTTTTTTAGTTGATGCGAAAACTGGAAAGCAGTCACATCATATCGATCATCAGCCGTACAATCCGATCCGATTCAACATCCCCTGTTGCGCCACGTAGCCCAAATCAATCCTGACCGCCGATGAGTTGACGACATCTCCAGACCCTCTCCCTCTTTCTCTCTCTCTCTCTCTCTCTCACCCGCAGCAAAAACTGCAGTAATCTTAATAATGATCAATCAATTCCTGGACGGGCACGAAATGAGCCACAAATGGTGCCGCACAATAAAAGAAACAAACAAGTAAAGTCGAGATGCGCCTTTATCTCTCCATGCGTATGCGTTCCCTAATCTCAAATGGCCGATTCCTTTTCCGATCCTCGCCGGACCGGCGAGGATTATCCACAACTGTCTCTTCTTACTATTTCACTAAGGAATCAGATTTCTTTGAGTCCCATTGTTCCATTCACTTCAATCATCGCCCTTTTGGGGGGATTTGATAGTCTGACTGTTGATCGATTGATGAAACCCTAACTCGCTTTTTATTTCTGTAGTTAGGTTTTGATCGGCCTTCGATGCACAGATCTGACTGTTTGATGCACTGACTGATACTTTCATGGCTCTATTTTTTGAGAAAGAAAAATGTAAGTTTTTTTTTGTTATTTGTTATTAATTATCAGGAGAAGTACAAGAAAAGAGTGGATCGAAAATGGGGGGAGAGGTACAGAGGGAATCAGACTGACAGAAGAGAGTGAGCACACGTAGACAATTTGTATAAAAGAGTATACCCTTTGTTTTATACATGTGCTCATTCCTCTTCTGTCGGCTCTCTCCTAATCCCTAATCTTCATTCGAATTTGGGCCTTCTCGCCATTTTTATTTACCTCAAGAGCCTGTCACATCGATACGTGTTTGTTTCTTACCTAGGAAGGACTTGAAGAAGCCCCTGTTCTATCATTGTTTCTTGATGTGATTTTAAATTATTATTTTTTAAAAAACCATTAAAGAAAGAGTGCAGTGATATATAGGGTTATTGTGAAATGTTGCTTTTAATGTATCTGTCGGAGAGGACACTCGGGAAGGACCCAAAGGTACACCTAACTTGTTGCTACAGTATTTGCTTAACAGATAAATATTTGTATTTCTTTTCCTGCCTGTTTTTGTGCCCCAAAGGAATTCTTTCTTTTTGCAGCAATAAAGGAGGGCAGAAATTTTTATAAAATCTCATTTCTTTTCTGTCTTTCTTGCTTCTGTTTCTAATCTGATATGGTTATGAATCTGAATCTGCTATGTTATTTTATGTGATTTTTCAGTTGTGGATTTAAGTTATGGCGATATTTGTTTCCTGTTCTATTCGATTGTGTGTAAGGAATAATTATCTTGTCTGAAGAAAATAAGGTTAAGTTTCTGAATATTCAACTCAAATTTGAGAGGATTTGTTTTCTTTACAGTTCATGGAATCATGGATATGAGTTATGAAATATAAGTTTTCAGCTGTAAAAGGCTAGATCTAGAATCATTTTATTTTTATCTTTCCTGGGTTTGTTAGTGTTGATTGTTTTTATTTCTGATTTTTTTTAATAAAAAAAACCTTCTTCGTTTATGATTTTTTCTTCTGTATGCATGTAAATGTCTGAATTAAAAGTTTTTGCTTCGAGAGGTTATTTATCTATGTTTCTCATTAATTCGATTTTATGTTTTTAAAGTTCAGATTTTGTTGTGTTCATAGTTAGAGTGGCTGTTATGTGCAACTTAAACTTACAGGTGTGTGATTTTATTTGCTGTGAACTTGATGTGATTCTTATTAGTTCTTGTTTGTATTTTAATTTGATTTGAACTAAGAGTTTCTTTCTTATATCAATGTCTTCTGACTTCCTTAATGCTTGGTGGCATCAACATAGTTGGTTTGTTTATTACTTTTTATATCCATGAGTTGAAAACACATTGGTAATGAGGCTTTTGATACAGCTCCATGTGGTATTTTCTCCCCAAAGTTTCTTGAGTGTTTTTATGATTGTTAATCTGGTTATTGTAATTAAGTTGCATTGTGCAATTGGATCATTGAATGCTTTGTTCGATGTTAAAATAAATCGACACGATAGACTGAGGTTGAGTAGTTCTTGAATACCAGCATGAAATCCACATATGATTCCATTATATGTTACTTTCCCAATCAATAAAGTTTAAGAGCTTATACAAGCATTTTTTTTGTTCAGGCATTTCTTGTCAAAATGAAACGCAATGGTTGTATAGATTGGCTAATACATTTGTTAAAATTTTTTACATCTTCCTTGATGTATAAATCTTGCTGTATACTGAGTTTTGCTTATATGATGCGTTTATTTGTGATCATGCCGTTGTTTTGGATAGCTTTTACATCATATAACGATCTATTTGTATTTTCCGAAAACGTAGAGAAATTGAAAATATGTCTTCGGGGTACATATCAGCAACTTCTTGTCTAAAGGTTATCAATCAATCCCTTGAGATCTTATATTTTAAATATTACATTGGTTGTGCAATATTAAAATTGTGGATTTATTTTAAGATTCTTTGATATGTTAGGCATGTTATAGTTTTCTTCCTATTTGTACATATGATTTCCTCCGATGTTAAATATACGATAAAAGAAGAATTCATGGGTTATTCTTGATGCTTACCAAAATTTTATGTGGGATTCTAGTTTTCTTTCTACTCATGCATTTGCTTTGTTCCGGTGTTAAATGCAATGTATTTGTATGCTATTTATTCTATATTCTCGTCAAATTTGAAAGAAACCGAAGGTTTATCTAGAGTCTTCATCACCAATCAATTCATAGCATACATGCTTATTACACTTGTGGAGAAGTGAGGATTATAGAGTGTGTCGTGGGATTACATATCGCCGTGTTCAATTATCCATTTTTCCCTAATCAATAGTACAACAAATAAATGAGCATGGCATTCCATCTAATTTATGGTATATTCTATCATTTTAATTCTCAAGAATGATAACATGTGTAGTTGATGATTATATTGACAACTTTATGTATATGTATTCTTTATTGACTAATGAAGAAATGCTTTAGTATCTATTTATTTGGTTTGCCATGCTAAAATGGAGAGGATATCAACCATTTATATGAAGAAAGAGAACCAAATATTGCATGATGTGCTTCATTGCATACACCCTTTTGTCTTGGACAGATCAACAACGTTGGGACTTTATATTGACATGTTGAAATTTGTAGTTTTGTGCTGTATGGATGTTCCTGTGTTACCTACTTCTAATTTCTTGTTTGTTGCATTTGATGACAGTTTATACGAAATTCTTATATTGTGCATATATATATATATATATATAAATTGCTACCTTATCTTAAAATTTTGTGGGTTGCCACTATATTTTGCACATATTGAGTAATGGATTTTGCAAATTCAATTTGACTGCGTGTCATTTTGGGGTTTTATTTATTTATTTATTTTTTGTATTTCGATTTTTAGTTGGAATAATTGTTTGAAAGTAATGTTTTGTTGATGAGAAATTGCAGTTGTAAGTGATATTGATATCAAACACTAGCCTTGAAGAAAAGACCCTTTCAAAATTCCTACTCTTAACTTTGCATTTTTGTGGTTTACATGACCCGATTAAATCGACTTTATTTCCTTTGATTTTTGGAATCTACTTACATCCCTATTACGTTGTATTTGCAATCTTGGAATTGGCATTAATTGGTTTTCTTCTTACTAACTTAATTTGCCAAATGGACTATGTAGGAAAGATAAGAGTTTTTTTTTTTTTTTTTCACTTTTTAAAATTCTAAATTTTTTATTTGAATATGATGTTATATGGGGAAAAAAAAAAATGTATGTTTTTATAATAAATGGTAATAATTGTATAGTTAAAAAGAAAAAAGAAATAAACTTCAAGAGGATAGAACTAAAGTGTGTAGCTTAAAATTGTTGAATCTTTCTAACCCTGGTTTGTGTCTGGTGTTGGTCACGGTAAAAAATTTGTACAGCAGATCTTCCTTTCCAAAATGGCATTATTTTATAGAGATCCCACCTTTTCATTAATACACTACTGTTTTGTACTTCACATATCACTAGATATCGATCTTTTCAAGAAACAGTAGACTAAGCTCCATAGATTTTGAAACTTTTGAAATTTTAGAAATTAAAAAATAAATAAATAAATAAATAGTATTTTATTTTTAAAACAATTATTTTAAATAATAATAATAATTGTACTAAATAGTACTCCAGTATATTTTTCTTTGAAATATAAAATCAGACAATATTATAAAAATCAAACACAGTACTGTTTTGTACTTCACGTACACTGTCAATCTTTATCAAAAATTTATGTCTCTCACTGAAACTGTTGCATTCACAAAATTTAACAGAAATTCCTGAGGCTATTGTGAGTTTCGTATTTATTTAATTTTTCAGCAGAAAATTTTGGTGGCTATAATTTGTGTTTCCTAATTAATTACTTGCAACAAGCAAGCCAAAAAAAAATAAAAATAAAAATGAAGCAACTGGTTGCTCTACAAAATTAGAGAACAGAACATCATCCATATCAATAAATTACTAAAGCATGGTTTTGTGGGAAACTATGTTCTTGGCCCACACAGTTGGATTTTACATTTCTATTATATTCCGAAATAAAATAGTCATACTTAACAAATTATTGAAGTCAATCAATAATCTCAACAAAATTGGTCCTACATAATAAATAAAAAAAAAAATTAATCATTTTACAATGTCAAGGAATGTTCACCTTTATTAGATTGTGATTGATCCATCCCATATCAACGTAAGGGCATACACATGACATATGCACTAAAATAAAAATGGGATATTTGTGGCCATATTAGATAAGAAATTGGTATTTTATTATTTGTATAGGGTCCATACTAAATTTAAAAAATGAATATATATATATATATATATATAAATATTGATTTAAGACAATACAAATGAACAAATTGATTTAAGACTGTTACATGTTCTTTCAACTCGAGCAGTTAACGATCCGATCCGAGCCGAACCGAGCCAAATTTTAAGTGTTCGTTAACATTCGCAAACAAAACTCGGGCTCGTTCGTAGTGTTCGAACTCGGCTTGTTAAGAATTTTTGTTGTTTGAACTCGTGTTCGTGTTCGACTCGTTTAGGCTCAATTAAGGTCGTTTGTCTTATTTTTTAAAATTTATATATAAATTATAAGAAAATTTTAAAATTATTTTATTTATATATTTTAAATTAATATTTTATTTATTTATAAATTATAATTTTATATGTACATATAATATTTATAATAAATATATTATTTAAATGAACGTTCGCGAACAAAGCTCGGGCTCGTTCGTTAACCAAACGAGTCTGTTTATATTGTTCGGCTCGGCTCGTTAACGTTCGCAAACGAGTTTTAACCGAGCAGAATCGAGCCGAACCGAGCCGAGTTCACGAACGGCTCAGTTCGTTTAACAGCTCTACTTTCAACCAAAAAACACACAAAAGTGAGCAATATAATCAAAACTATCTAAACAAACTGTTTACCTTTCTAGATGCCCTAACAATGTTAATGAAAATATATAATTATATATAATTGAAAAAAAAAGTAAAATAACTACTAAAAATCAGACATAACTCAAGGTACTCAACTAGAAGCCTACTCAAACTCAGGTTTTGTTTAATTTGCATTTTTTTTTTAATAGTCTCAACTTCTCTTGAAAAATATAACATCCAACACCTGTATACAACAATTATTTTTCTTCAAAAATATTGAAACAAAAGATATACACCAAATGAAGAAACAGTGGGGCTTCTCAGCAAAACGCTTATAAATTAAACCTTGAGCTTTGACTTAATTAGCTGGTTCAATTAGGCAAATAGTAGAACTTAGATCAGCTTGTTACAACACTATTTTGATGATTCAAACTCTTATATATGAATCTATACTAAATCGAACTGATTATGATATAGATCAAGACACCATCATTTAAAAGACATAAGACATAACAACCAAACCAAATCAAGTGGTTACCAAGCCTAATTCAATGTAGTCTAGAAGTGAAACTATTGCATATTACATCCCGGAAGGAATAATCTGGTGGTCCGAAGGTAAACTCATAACCGTAAGGTCATGGATTCAAATCCCCGCACGTCTCCAAGTCTTGAGCTTAGTTTGATGACCATTAAGTTGGGCCAATAGTTTACCCAGAGTGAGTAGCATGAGTTTCACATCATCCCAAAAAAAAAAAATACTGAACTTTGATTTCTTGAGCTGTAATAATTGGCAATTTTGATCTCATAAGCTCATGAAAGTCTAATGTGATGTTTGAATATTAAGACCAAAACCACAAACTACTCCGAAGTATGAGGCCAGAAGCAGTGATGCAATCAATTACTAAATAATCATTGAAGGAGGCACAAAAATAAATAAAAGAACAAATTTGATCACACAATTGACTTCTAATTGCAAAAATCACATCCCATTTGAAAATTGAATGTAAAGAAGTTTATCTATCAAACTTACTGTCTCCAATCTCCATAGACAATGGATCAAAGGGATCATAGACTTGTCTACACGAGGCTTAAACAAACCATGTCTCACCAATAATTTAAGATTGGTACATCTCCCCCTCCAACTAGGTTGTCAAAAACGAGCAAGAATGGTTAGTGAAAATTGGTGAGATTTTTTTTTTTTCCCGAAAAATGAACATAAAACAGACAAGTCAAAAGGCAAGGAATATAAAATTTGGAGAAACAGAAAATGCGAGACAAACAAATAAAAATGAATATCTAATATGATTGCTGGGTTTTTTTTACCCAAAAAAAAAAAAACATTTAGAGAAGATAGTTTAGCTTGGGTTTGAGAAAGCCCTACAGCTTCAACAAAGAACAAAATATTTTTCGACTGCTATAGCTGTGATTTCGAAATCCTACACTACTGTGAATTAAAAGTTACGATTATCTTATCATCTGTGTATGATACTGTGTGCACTCAAAGAGAAACTAAAGATTAATTGATATGAGCAAAAAATCAAGAAGATTTGGGGCGAAGCACTGCAGTGTTCATCCAGAGGAAAAATGGAAAGGACAATAAAATTTAATTTAGAATAAATAGAATGGGCATGAAAATGAAAAGAGGGTGAGAGGTTAAATCAGTAACATTGAAATACGGTAAAAGCATTGATTACGTAACAGATTTCGTCCTTTCCCTGAGCAGCCTCAAAGGAACCGACAAATAATTAGACCAATCATGATAATCTCTTAGATCTATGCAACAAAAACAGCAACAACAAAAATAATGGTATAAGTAAAAGTGTACCTGAACTGTGTGTCTGTGTTTGCGCCAAGAAGGAAGTAAAAATGGACCTGAAGCTGAAGGCTTCATTAGCGTGTCGAAAAGGAAAAGCAGAAATTGATGTGATGATTAATGGTGGAAAAACCAGAAAGGAAATAAGAGAGGGAAGGTGACAAAAGAGAAGCGAGCACAGGCACCCACAAAGGCATATCTCTCTATACAATTGTCTGCCTGTGCTCACTCTCTTCTGTCAATTTTCTTCCTCTCTCTTCCTCCCCCTCTCTCTCTTCCAACCATTTATTTTCAGTTTTCTTTTGGCCCAAAAATTCTCATCCACATGTGCAGTAAAAGGATGGGTAGATCTGGAAATCAAAGACGACTCCCCTTTTGGAAAGACATCAATCAAATCGAGCTGCAGTTCTGAATCACTCTTAGGGTTTTCCACAATCACAAACCTAGATATGTTTAAATTAATTTATTTATCAGGCAGTAGTAGCAGACACGCACCAAACAGTAACACGTACAGCCAGCAAGCAATTTTCTAAAATTAAGAAAAAGAAGGAATGGTTTGAAAGACTCCCCTTGATCGATGCCTCTGGTTTCGTAGCAATTGAAATGGGAAACATACAGTCGATCAAAGATATCCATCCGCGTCAGAATTGAACAGGATCGAGGGGACCTTTTTCCCAGACTTCCTCACTAGCTCTTGTTTGAATTTTGTTTCCCCCAAATCATTTACTACTCGCTTCCGTACCTGGCCTGCAGACGAACAGAGGGCAGCAGATACCGAAAGGAACAATTAATTGAATCGACGGTGGGATCTACGAGATAACTTGGCAGTGTCTTGCTTGGGGGGATTTTTAGAATTTCATGAGATGGGGAAATGGAGATGAGATTGTGATACATGGGGTTAGGGTTTAGGTGCATTAATGGAGGTAGGCAGTTAGATAGATAGTGGTGTCGTGTGGCGTCGTGTTGGGGCCATTAATACTACTTTTCTCTTCTTTGGAAGTTGTTCCTTTGCTCCAGGGAGAAGAAGGACAATACACTTTTGGAAATAAATCTATAACCATTTTTACGCCTTTCTCGAGACCATAAAACAAAAGCAAATACCAAATAATAATAATAATAATAATCTCTCCTTATCATATTTATTTATCATTTTTTTTTAATAACATAAAAAAATTTATAGCCGCTGTTCGAAAATGTGCATCGGTTAAATTTTGATCGAACCTAATACTTTGCAAATTAGATTCGACAGACAAGTCAACCATGTGTGGCAGGTCACACGCGTCGGGATGTAATATAAATAAATATAAAAAATACTAAATTAATCTTATTAATATTGTATTATATAAAAATAATGACATTTGTATAATATATTATAATATTAAGTAGATAGGACATTTTTACTAAAAAAAAATTGATACTTTATTATATAACGGACTAAAATAAAAAAAATAAATAGATTGTTAAAGACGGAGAGAGTAATAAACATGGAGAAATTAAGGGTATATTTCTTTAGAAAAGTTTTTTCAAATTTTAATATTTTGTTTAAAAAATATATATATATTTTTCTCTTACAAAACATCTTATCAAACATTATTTTCATACCAAATTTAAACAAATTGTTTTCAATAATAACAATTGCGGTCCCATAATAATATAATTGTGTGAATATGCCCCCAACTTGAAACCTTAGCATCTGCGAAATATGGCGTGCCAACCCACAAATTTTGTTCCCATTTAACATTAATCATTAATTAATTAATCAATTTTGCACTGTAGTGCTGCTGTGCTACTGGATAAGATATTTAATTTAATCAGGATTTAATAAATTAACTAATGTATTATAAAATATTTATTTATTTTATTTCTTCTGCTTTGCCTTTGAGTTCTCGTTTAGTAGAAAAAGCATACATACATACATGCTCTGTACGTATTCTTTAATGTAATTAATTGGGTTTGAGTTGAGACTACAATTATACTTCATTCGTCCCAAAATAATAGTCTGGGTGGATAAAAATACGGATAAATGACTTTTTTGTCTTTTTTTAGTGTATTAGTGTAAAAAGTAGTGGCAATTGTGTGATAATAATAAAAAAGTAAAGATAATTTTACAGCGATATAATTATTTATAAAAACGGGACTATTGTATTAAAACGGAAGGAGTACTATTATTTTAATATTAGTGGTCCTAATTTTGCATCTCATGTGATTCTTAGCTGGATCAAATAAATCAATGGTACATACCACAATATTAATTGAAAATAAAATTAATCATGTAAAATTAGAATATATGGATCCCTACAAAAATAAAAAATAAATATATTTTAATGAAATTTTTTTTAAAAAATATAATTGAAAATATTTTTGAAAATTTAATTAATAATTAAAGTGGATGGAAAAAAAAAAGAGAATAAAATAAAATAGTATTATTTGTTGGAAATAAAAATTGACTAGATAATATTTAAATATATACTTTTTTTCGTCACAGATATTATGTCTGCTTTACTGAATATATGAGGAGTATAATTAGTGATTCGATTATTCAGAAATATTAATAAATATATATATATAGATATCGAGGCTTCACTCATAATTTTATGGCCATAAATCCATCTATACACTGTTACCGGACACCGCTCGCGGACCATATCTATTTATTATGTTTAAAATACACTAAAATACCTTGATGAAATAAATGTGCCATGACTTGAATAGTTTGATATGCTATTCAATATTCCCTGAAAAAGTATGTTAATATGAGAGCGAGTTCAACACAAGTTTTAATAAATATAATATTAATTGAAAAATTATAGCCAAATATATAATTAAATATAAGGCTAAATTGCATAAAATTTAAATCCCCTGTAATTTCAAAACTGCGTCAAATTCGCTCGTAGTTTTATAAACTCTGCGTAAAACTCCTTCGGCGGTCCTTATTTAATAGTATTCGACCTGAATGCGTATGTTTAGTCCAAAAAAATAATAAATATACTTCAACATAGTTATTTTTCTCAAGTTTTAAGAGCTTATTTTTACTGTTTTTAGGCTAAATATAAGAAAAATAAATATATTTGTAATTTTAGGGATTTAGAAATTGAGATTCTAAAATTTATTCGCAGTACCGTTAAATAAGAACCACCAAGGGTTTAGACGCAAAATTTATGAAACCACGCGAAAATTTGATGCAATTTTAAAAATATGGGGTATTTGGCAATTTCGTGAAAATAAATTTTGTGCAATTTAACATAAATTTAATGTTAAAGAACACTATAAATTAATGAACAGTAAAATATTTTATTATAGAAAGAAATATATATTTGACTGAGGAAGAAAGTACCCTCCGTCCCAAACATTTGCAATATTTCTTTTTTGGTATGTCTCAAATACTCTGCAATATTTCCAAAATAGAAAATAATTAATTATATTTAATTTCTAACCCACAGTTTATTCTCTTACATCATCCAAGTAAAAAAAATAAAATATATATTCTCTCCGTCACATCACCAAATTTATATATTATCTTACTAAATATTATCCAACTAAAAGTCCGTATCAAAAGTAAATATTGTAACTTGGGACCAAGAGAGTAGTATTTATCATCATAAATATATAATAAACACATATGAGTTATGACTACAACACGTTGATTGAGAAGAGGTTATGAAATTTAAGCGGTGAATTCATGTGTGGGTAAAAGAAAACCCACAACATATTCTGGGCTTAATGACCCAAAACAAACAATGGCCCAAAATATTAAAATTTACGACTTTCGGACAAATTAATAATAAATCATACTAGACGAACTATACGTAATAACTCACGTTTATTAATTTTCTTTTCTCACCTCCTATTTGGACTGGATATTGTTTTCTTTCCTAAAGTCCAAATCCATTGCACCATCTCCCCCTTCTAAATTTTAATGCTTATCTTAATGCTAGTTTCACATGTGTATATATATATATATATTTAAAATTAATAACTCAATATATTTATGATGCTCAAAATCAAATAGAGCTTATCATAACAACAGTGTGCATTATATAAAATGGGCTTTAGTATTTTAACATCATATAGTTTCCAAAAGTGAAGGAATTAAGTCAGTCAATGAAACGTGTAACATTCTGAGCCGTTAGATTTAAATCAACGGCGTCCATCTCTAGGGTCCCACCAAGCCTGCGGTATATATCTTCCCCGCAAATGCGCAGCCGCAGAAGGACATCAGAAATCATGGCGGCCGTAGGTATTGCCATTGGCGGTGCAGGAAACCCTAGGGCTACTCAATTCTCTGTCTCTCCTTACCAGATCAATGTCCCGATCGGGCGGCGGAAGATGGATTGTTAGCAGGCTGCCATTGATTTGATCATTTTCCACAGTGCCGTCATATACGCAACCTCCCAAAACCCTAATTGTATGGTATAATCAAAATTTGGAAAAATCCCCTTTTTAATTTCTTCTCTAACTGTAACTGTAGCTGTAACTGTAGTATTGTTGTAGTACAAAATTATCCTTTCTTTCTCTGACAATGGGATCCGATGAGAAATTGGGGTTTTTGCATGGTAAGTACGAATTGGGTCGGGTTATCGGGCACGGCAGTTTTGCGAAGGTGTATGTAGCGAGGAATCTGCAGACGGGGAAGAGCGTGGCGATGAAAGCGGTGGACAAGGAGAAGGTGATCCGCGTGGGGATGATGGAGCAGGTGAAGAGGGAGATCTCTGTGATGAAGATGATCCACCATCCCAACGTGGTCGAGCTCCACGAGGTGATGGCCAGCAAGACGAAGATCTATCTGGCCATGGAATTCCTCCGCGGCGGGGAACTGTTTGAGAGGATTCATCGCCGGGGAAGATTGGGGGAGGAGGCGGCGCGGAGTTACTTCCGGCAATTGATCTCCGCCGTCGATTTCTGCCACAGCCGCGGCGTTTTTCATCGGGATCTGAAACCTGAGAATCTCCTCCTCGACGAGAAAGGGAGTCTGAAAGTGACGGATTTCGGGCTTAGCGCGCTCTCCAATGGCCATCTCCGATCGGACGGCCTGCTGCACACCACGTGCGGCACGCCGGCGTACGTCGCGCCGGAGGTGATCGGGAACAGAGGCTACGACGGCGCGAAGGCCGACATTTGGTCCTGCGGCGTGATTTTGTATGTTCTGTTGGCCGGATTTTTGCCTTTCCGGGAAGGAAACATCGTTTCGCTATATCGGAAGATTAGCCGGAGCGATTTCAATTTTCCGGCATGGTTTTCGCCGGAATCCCGGAGACTGATTTCTAAAATATTGGATCCGAATCCAGGGACGAGGATCACCATAGCGAAGATCATGGATTCGTCCTGGTTCAAGAAACCGGAGAGGTCGAACCAGGAGGTGCAGGCCGGCGACGAGGCGGACGCCGGCGGCGAGGTGAGCGAAACTCTGAATGCTTTCCACATAATTTCGCTGTCGGAAGGGTTCAATCTGTCGCCATTGTTCGAGGACAAGAAACGGGTGGAGAAAGAGGAGGTGATATTCGCGACGACGAGGACGGCGAGCAGCGTGATTTCGAAGATCGAGGAATTGGGGAAGACGAAGGATTTTATGGTGAGAAAGGGGGAGTCGCGAGTGATGCTGCAAGGACGGAGGAGCGGCCGGAAAGGGAAATTATCGATCGCCGCCGACGTGTTTCCGGTGGCGCCGTCGCTGATGGTGGTGGAGGTGAAGAAGTCGAGCGGTGATACCCTCGAGTACAACCAGTTTTGCACCAAGGATCTCAAACCTGCGCTCAGAGACATCCAGTGGACCACTTCCGCCGCAGCCGCTACTTCCCCGCCGGCGGCGGCCTGAAGTTGCTGTGTCCAATCGTTTGATTTAGTTCACCAAGTACGGACATAATTTCAGATGATTGTTTCCATGCATGAATTTTGTAATAATTTTTAAGGTTATACATCATGTCCTTCTGTACTTTTTTTTTTTTTAATAAAAAAATGGACAAATATCTTCAATAATAAATATATTAAACTATAATAAGGGTCCCACTTTTCATTATCATTATCTTCCTTGTGATTGAATATTATTCACTCCATTTTAAATTTAAGATTTAAGATTTTGAAATATGTGTAATTAAGTATATTTTGAATTTAGATTTTGAATGGATTTATATAGTAAAGATTTTGAATTTTAATAGTCGTATCATATGAGTTAAATAAGTGTTAATGTGATGTTTTGAATGTAAAATTAATTTTTAATATAATATAAAAGATGAAAAATAATATTTGATTTGATATTTTTGAATAAAAAAAATTAATGAATAAGTATAAATCTTGCAAGATTCACCAAACAAACAAGTGGACAATACATGCGAATTAATCATATCATATGTTCCTCAAAACTATTACTTATAATATACATCGGGTTCATCTTAATATTGTACTTTTACATTCGAATGAACGCTTGCTCGAGATCGGTTAAGTGTGATTCAAAGTCGATAACATAGTCAATATAAATTTCTATAGAGTTACCTATAATAATAAAATAAATATATAATAAATTGAATTGTTATACTAAAAATAAGTTAGTATTATTTTAACTTAGAAAAAAAAAAGATCAGTAGTATACACACGAGTTAAAGAAGCTGATTTTCCGTAGCGATGTGAGAACACATACACAATACACTTTCATCGATTTCACACCGAGGAATTTCGACATCGACTAAATTTGGGACTCAGATTCAGGCAAAAACGGATAGCCGCTTAGAGCACAGAATCTGGTAAATACAAATAAAAAAGGAAAAAAAAAAAAACAGGATTGATGGATATGGAAAACGACAAGAATACAAAAGTAATATATAATCATCGACAACTAATCTAACCTGAGCGGTATTCAGTATTCTCAACATGCTTGATCTTACCTGATCCAAACATAATCTGCAGTCGACATTGTGCATTAGTTAGTAATTCATTATGGCGGAACATTGCGCCGACTGCAGCTCCTTCTTCGAACCGTCCTTATCTGTCTTGTTTCTTATCAAACTCCAGCTGCAGGAGGTTTTCTTCATGTGCTTTCTTAAACATTCTTACAAAGTTCAGAAGAATCGACATTACTGCGCAAGAAATCCGTAGTTAGAATAGCATTGCTGAGGTATAGATATTCTTTGGATATCAACAGCTGCCGGCGCAACCAGACATAAACTAATGCTCACCTATTGCTATCTCATCCTTTTTATGAAATCAAAACTACTGTTAGTACTAAGGATTTTAAAAGGCTACCTTGCTCCAATGGGCAACGCGCCGGATCTTCGCCAAAATAATTGATCAATGAGTCCAAATTTCGACCCTGCAGAAGAATCAGGATTCAGATGGGCAAAAAAACATTAAAATCCACACCCACTATTCAATTATTGAGATATCGGTACATACCACTCTGCCATAAAGTGAAGACAGGGACTTCACTTCATCTTCGGCGAAGGAAAGGAATTCGGTCAGAGACTGGAAGAAAAAACACTACTATTACATCTATAAGAAAATTTTAGACAGGCAAAGGTTAAGTTATGTAGTTGAAGTTATCCGTAACTTGTGAAACTAATGATCTGCAAATGAAATCATGCAATGCAAGCTTTGGGTGTCTTAGCTATCATCCGAAAAGTTAACATTGAAATTCTTCTTCGAAGAAACTACACCTTTTGGAACTGGTCTGACACTGGTCCATCACTTTCAGACATGGTCAGCTCTTGAAATACTTTTTCGAGGCCCTTGTTGATGGCTTGCATTTCGTCGGCCAAAAATTTCAGTTGTATCTAATAAAATGGAATGCTTTAGAGCACCAATCATATTTACTATATTTCTGACAAAGAGATAATCATAGAAAGAAAGAACTAAAAAATTACCTTAGATGCAGGTTCAATTGAAGAAAGATCTTGCCAAAAATCAAGAAGCTCCGGTAATTTATCAAAAAGTACCTGGCGAAAAATATATATACATATATATTCGTGACTTTTAGAATTCAAACTACAATTTGGAAGTATGTTCTATCATCCATAGAAACAGCTGACCGGAATATGAATAATGATGATACATCACACTTGTGCTAATAAAGACTACTATAATATCTATCATTCTTCCTTAGAATATGAAGTTAATGATCATTTCAAAAAGGAGAGTAATGTTTTTATAAATTTATGTTTAAAGAGCATCATCATGATTGCATACATTTAACGATTAAGCAATTAAACAATAAATTATTTGTTTTGAGCCACAAGTTGCACTAGCTTAATCATATAATTACCTTCACTATTGTGTTTCGGCAGAATTTAGATGCAAAGAAATGCTAAGCCACACCTTGCAAAGATAATGCATGAGCGTCGTCTTGGAATTCCGGGCACGAGTTTCAGTAAGTTTGAGAAGGCTATCCAACCTGAAGCCAACAGCGGAGCCTGCCACAACAATGTTAGGAGAGAGTAAGACTTGAGGTTTGTTAGAAATACAAAGACTATAACTATTTTGCGAGAAAACTACAAAAATGGTCAACTAAAGTGAATTTACAAACTCAACTCGAGGATATAATGTAGTTGCTGATCGTGCCAGAGCAGATTCCCAAAATGTACTAGTCATTTAGTCATGAACTTTGACATAAAATGAACACTTAATTATATAGGTGCATGGGTAGTAAAAATAAGCAGAATATCAAATACAAACATATGAAATCATGGTAAGTCTAATAATGAAATATATAGCTTCGGTCTTTAAGTTCTGTTTTAAGGAATTATGAAAATATATATATATAGCCAAAATATGCTCGTATTATGCCGCTGATTTCCTTTCCTTTGATTTCAGTCATTATCCATTACAATCACAGAAACATGCAGACATTATTTCAGAGGCTTGGAAAGATTATCAAGCCTTTGATTAACCGAATTGACAAAAACCAAAAACATGCCATCACAAAGAAGATATACTTAAAGCAAAATGCTAAATGCCATATGACCACATTTAACTAACCTCTAGCTGTTCCGTGGTTTAAAGCATTGCCCAATGAAAGTATTGTTTTCATGATTCTCTTCAATTTAGACGACCCTTTGATCTGATCAGGAAACACAGTTGCACTGATTAATGAGCCACCAATATTTGCATGCTTGTGATAAAAAAAAGAAAAAGAAAAAAAACACTCCTTACCTGATCTGCAGCAGAATTTAGAACATTCAAACTCTTCCTGAGGTCAGAAACCTGAGGGCGGCAAAATGGTGAATAGTATAAGCATTAAATTTCCAATGTTGAGGTATATAAAAATGTGTACTTTCTGACCTGGGAGTGAAATTGAATCTTAAATGAATAAACTCTCAACTTATACTCTATCCTTGGCACTTGCATCAGCTCCAAAAAGAACTGAAATCAAGAAGACAAATTCGTAAACATAAAAATATTAGAAGTACCCAATAAACCAACACAATAGGCGACAAACAAGTCAGATGATACAAACCTGTTCACATTTCCCTAATTTATCTGTATCTCCTTTGTAACCCTTTGAAACAGAAATAAATAGATTAAATGCCACAAAAATGATGAAAAAAATCTTTTCTTGTATATCTTTTGTGTAAATTTATATTGATAGATTTGATCATTGGACATGTAGTTCAAGTTTTATTGGATGCAAAAAGAGTGCAAATAACACTTTTACAGATCCCACCTTAAGAATTTCCATCTCATCTGTTGTTGGACAAAACTTGATGAGATTTTCAACCTGATCAATATCTAAGGCAGAATCTTCCAAAGCAAGTACTGAAATCTGTGAAAGTTAACACAAAGCAAAATAGTATATAACAAACTATTGCATAAAAATTGTCATATATGAAGAATTACCGAATCCAAAGCAAGCGTAAACTTTTGATACTTTTGTCACAAGGTTCTTATGCAATCAGTAGAATAAGGAGGACTACCTCTTCATACTTTTCTATTATATAAACCAATATATTATATGTACTCATATGAACATTTAACACACACAAAAATACAAACACTATAAGTAATTACTCACTCCAGGAACCCCATTTCACCAAACAAAAAATAAAGCCAGGTAGGTAGAGTCATCATGTTTTGTGTATAGATACTTTCAGTTCAAGCACTTTTTACATGCGTAACACTAATTGGTCAAAGAACTTGAGAGTTAATCTAATGAAATTTTAGAGCCTTAAAGGGAAGCATAGACAAAATTTTGAGGAGCAAATTACCAAAAATTCCCTATCCCGTAAACACTTTGTTGTTTACTTTTAGTTGAAGAGGTGGAAACTGAACAACAAATGGATGGAAGTGTAATAAAACAATAGCATCTAACTGCTAACAAACTAAACTCGGTATCCAAAAACAAAGGAAAAGGGAGAAAAAAAAATAAAAGCAAATGACTAAAGTGAGCCCGACGATTGTAAAAGCCTGGATGTGTTTTAAGGGCAAAACAGGCATGAAAACAACAAAGATGCTGTTATCAAAGAGCCAACTCACTAGCATATCTTGCAAAGGGATTTTCACTTTTGAGAGCATAATTTCACAATTGTATGCCCGTCTATGATCTATCTGCAAAAAAATGGAAAGAATCGGTTTAGATTTTGGCGGCAATCATACCGCAAAACTTAATCCTTTAGCATGCCAAATTTTAATGATGGCTGGCTGAACATTGGCCAAAACTGGGGTGCGGTGCCATTGATAGGACATATTATTTGAATAGAAACCATCAAATTCAATCCATCAAATAGTAGTTTAACGAGAAGCAGGCAATGTTTACATGGGGCTAGTTTGTGAGAAAAATTCAACTTTTGGAGTATTATAGATTGAGACTTAAACAGGCAATGTAAAAGAAATCATGAAAGAACAACTCAACTCTCCAAGCACCAATAAATAGATAATATATGTATATATAGAGAGAAAAATAAATCACCAGCTGCACTTTTTCAGGTTTCTGCCCCAGTGAACCTCGTGAACTTGGTTTCCTACTTGAACTCCCATCTGGACCTGCAGCTGAGAAAAGAGTTTCAAGTTCTGACATATCTATCTCTGGCGCCCTAATGAAAATTAAAACAAAATAATTAATGCAATGAAAAGAGAATGAAAAACATATAACATTTATATGAATACAAAAATATACACATATATGTGTGAAGAATTAAACATGACAGCGAACAACTTGAGCAGCACTTACTCAGAAGCATCTCCAGATTTTTGACCCTCTGCCCACAAGCTCCCTGAAACTGCTCGTGATATTTTCAACCAATGCAATGGCTTTAATTTCTTTGTTTGGGTGTTCTTTGAAGTTATTGCACGAGAAAGTAACCCTTTGCCTTTAGTTCCAGGTGGAGGGATGAAAGGAGGTGGAGGAGATGGAGAAACAGACAAGCCACTCCCTTTCTTACCAGTAGTAGAGATAGAATTCGATGCACTTCTAGGTTCCTCAGTGGAAAGAACTGGAGGGGGTGGTGCTGAAGGAACATATGCAGAACTAGTAGATCCATGATTAGCATCAGGGGCAGGAAGCAGAGGTGATGGGGATGCTGTTGATTGATTTGTAGGTATTGGAGGAGGTGGAGGAAGAGGAACCCCTTCACCGGAGCTTCCATTAGTAAGCTCCAAGGAAGGAGGTGGATGTGTGCATGAATTATATCCAGTAAGTGGGGGCGGTGGAGGATTAGGAGGTGCACCCTTCCCACCATGCATAGAAGGCAAAGCAGAAGGCACGGCACTTGAAGAAGAAGACTCCTTTAAAGGAGAAACTGGAGCACAAGAACTACCACTAGAAGGCACTGGAGGAGGTGAGGGTGGTGACTGACAGACTGCAGTGCTGTTGTGAGCTCCATCTCCAGAAGCCAAATTTTCTTTTGAAGGGGCAGTGCAAGGAATTGGAGGTGGGCAAGTTGAAAGTTTTTCAGTTGAGTTCTCAATCGAATGGGAGGTAAGAGGAGGCAAATGTGAAGGCCCAAATCCAGAAGTTAAATTTTCATTTAAAGGGGAGGAAGGTGGAAGAGGTGGAGAACATGCATAAGTGTTAGCTGAATCAACTCCAGTGTCATGAACATCATTTGGAGTGAATGAAAAATAGTTCAGGGAAGAAAGAGATCCAAAACTAGAGGATTTCCTCATCTTCACTGTAGAGGAAGAACTCAGATCAACATTACCATCCATAAATTTCTGGAAAAAGTTAGAGTGGTTCGTTGAAGTTGAATCTGTTGTAGAAGCAGATTTAACACCTTCGGCTGAAAGGCTCTGAATCAAATTAGCCTTTTCAGCATTATAGTAAGATTCACCTATTGCCTTTGCATTGGAGTCAGCCAGAGGTTGGCAAGCTTCAACTGCATCATCCAGTTTCAGATCCCACCAGTCGATACTATTAAATATTTCTCGAGCTTTATTGAATGCTTCCACGGGAAGGCCATCCCACTCTTCACTACTACAAGAAGAGTCAACAGGTGTTTTAGTTGGCGTAGCATCCATCTCCGAGAAAAGAACCTTGATTGATATAGCAGATTCCCTAATTATACTGATGCCCCAATAAGAATTAGAGAACCATACTATCAGATAACATTAAAAGCATACCTCTACCTTGAAGTCCTTTGGAAATAGATCCTTTGAATCCCATAATATGTCAATTTCATCATGATTGAGCATCAAAATATTTGACCTAACAAAAGCTGTGTTAAACATTACACGAAACATCACCACTTCCCGGTTTGTGTCTTCATGCAAGTTGGTACACTCCAGTACGATATCACCTTTAATATGACAATTGATAACAATCTTTGCTAATTCACATTCTGCCTGGAAATAACCAAACAAGAGGTAGAGAGCTCAGAAGTTGATATAAGTAGCACCTACACAAGTACACTCTCAATCATAGAACTGATGAATGAAACGCAGTATTCGAGAGTGAACCTTTAATGAAGATTAAAGAAGAATGGCATAACAACCTTTCAACAGAAAAATGAAACAAAACATGGAACATGTATATTAAATTGCATATAACTTTTCAAAAATATACCAATTTTTGCTACAAGTTTTTTATGGTGTGCAGAATAAATATTCTAATTAGTTTTTTTATTCATGAATTCATATATATTTGAGCTTTCAACAATATCTAGCAGAACTTCAAGTTTGCTATTACTGTGTAGGAGATGTTATCAGCTTCATCATTTGTAAAAATTACAAACAATATACATATATATATACTCAATATGAAGCAGAAAACAAGAGGTTCCCAGCATTTTGGTCATCGGCACACACATAGGTATATATTTACATGAATGAGAGTTCAGGTTTTTAGTTTAAGAATATGAATGGAGAAAGTCAAGTGTTACATGAAAAGAATATTGAAACCAAAGCATCAAGTTCACAAAGAAAAATAGCAAGAAAATAATGGATCTGCTTATGCTTGCAGACAATGTGTACTTTTCATCAAGTTATGGTAATGATAGTTAGTGCAGTCACCTGCTTGTAGCGTCGCAGTGTCTTACTATTCTTTGGGGTTGAGAACAAAACCTTTGGTTCACGATCTGAATCAAGCAAGGGATTTTGTCCATATATGCAAAATATTGGTCGGCAGCCATTCTCTCCATCAAAATTAGGAATTGTTCTAATAATGACACAATCCATGGTGAGTGCCCGGTCTTGCGGGGGCCATTCTGTGGCAGCATTCCTCCTTGATACATACTGCAAGTACCTTATCTGAGAAGGAATAGGATTTAGAGGTGAAAGCAAGTACAGAAGATCGGGGGGAGCATGCTTGTAAACCATGTCCAGAGTTTTAACCTCTCCACTGTAAAACTTCCTATAGATCAGCAATGCCGCCAACATAAAAGCCAATACCGGCCAACCACAGCGTTCACAATGCATAAGAAGTAGATTTTGCAGCCCCAGTGTAAGCCAGCTTTCACAAGATTTTAGAAAATGGTGGATAACCTCTAGTGAAAGCAGTGGACAACCTTCATATTGCCGAGGATACTCAACTATGGTCATATCATTTTCAGCAAAAACATCTGCAAGCTGACTCTGGTTCTCACCCTCCCGGAAATTGAAAGCTAAGATTAAAGCATCAGGATAGTTTCCCCTAACTCGAGCAACAATATCTTCCACATAACCCTTGTAATCTTGCTCTTCCAAAGCACCGGCGGTGAAACAACGATTAAATACTTTACAAATGAAGATGAAGCAAAAGCAAGAATTAGACCACTACAGGTTAAACTAAAAGCCCTTTATTCCATGCAAGTTACTGCCAAATAAAATGAAATCACGAAATGAATAGCAACAAAAGACGCATGCCAATTTCATATCTATTTGCTAATATTCACATCAATGGTACTATTTGACTTGAACTGGTAAATCATCAGTTTAACATTACAATCTAAGACAAATATTTTAGGAGCAACAAATTCCAAAGATCCTTCTTCGAAGGTCTATTCAGATGATCCATAGGAGTATGTTTGAGGATGCTGTTTTTGAGTCTATAATTTTACCAATAGACACTAGCAACTCAAACAACGCCTCCACTCTCCCAATAACAATATTAATAACACTCAGTCCATGATCCCAATCTACAACAAGTTCTACACAGAAACCAATAGCAGAGTCAGAAAGCTCACCGTACACTCTCTCGCAGATCTCGAGAAGCCCTTCCGGCGGCTTGCGGTGGAACAACTTCCGCAACAAAGCCATTATCCAAACAAGCTATTCGGCCTTCTCTGGCAGCCGAAAAAGAGATATTTTTATGATTCCTGTCAAACCGATCGATCGCCCGATTCTGGGAATTGCATGCAGACGCGCTGCCTCGGCGTGCTACAGACGAACTTCTCCACAAACGTGTGTTTGTATGATTTTTGCATGAGTAATCAAATGACCATCATCACTAGGCCCGTATTTCGATTTCAAAAACATCGAATAACCCACCCCGGCCCAATATTACTGCAGTGTCGAAATCGCTGTCGGAGACCGGTACGGGAGTGGGAGTGGCGGAGGATCCTGTTTCTGGCATTGCAATTGCAACTACTTCAACAGCGAAGAACATCCTTCTGCCGTGAAGGATGCGTCTTGCAGGATTATCAGGCTAAAATCTTGTTTTTAAACGGAAAATTTAAAGTTACGTCAATTATGGTAATCAGTAATTAAGACGTTATTATGGCACTGGGCCGGGTACTCGCCCAAGCCCATTTTTTTATTTATATTATATATATAAACTCCATGAAGGGTAAATAAGTAAAATGACGAGAAGCCATTGGGCACAACGACCTCTGTTTGCTATTAGTAGTGAGCAATTTGGAACCCAAATCTAAATCCGGAATGAGGCTGCGGAGGGGGAGGTGTTCATAAGGGCGGTTGCTCCTCTCTGTATTTGCCCATGATTTCTAGCCATCAATAAACAGCCCTTCTGTATGTATGTATGTATGTATGTTCCATCAATCATCCATTCATTCATTAATTAAATTATTACTCCCTCCGTTTCCATATCAATCCCATATCTATTTATCGATCTATCTATCTATTCATATTCTGGATAGTGGTGGCGACTGCGGTGGGCTATGATGATGCCTTTTTTTTTTTCTTTTTTTTTTTCCGGTATTCGCTGGCGGAGGGGGTGAAGAAACCGCGCCGTATCTTGGCGGGGCGACCCATGTTAGGGTTTGCAGCCATGGCGGTGTCTGATCTTGTTCTCCCCCCTTCTCCACGATAAGTCCGGCAGATCTGAGCCTTTCGCTTAATTCATATATGCTTTGTGATTTTTATTCAACTTGTTATTATTCCTTTGTTTTCCAGAAATGATGAAAAAAAGAAATCCCTACATATAATTTGGTCGTTAACCTGGAATGTTAGCAGAAACTTTTGTTCTTAGTGTATGGTCTTGCTGCCGCCATGGTAGTTTCTTGTTTTCGTCATTTTTTATTTTTTATTTTTAAAACTATAGCTCCCTTTATGTTAAAACTGACGTTTGTTGTTTGGTAATTCTTTGAGTTTGACGAAATTCAGCTGATCAATGGTCTTTTGTTTCGGACTTCCGTGGAGATTACGTCAATACACTGGATAATTTCAAGTTTTGCAATCTATATTAGATATCTTTTTATTAAGAAATACTTTTAATTTGGACGAATTAATTAGTTCTGACTTGTGTGGATAAGGTCTATCGTTTTCGATAAACAGAAGCTGACAATAACAAAGGGTAAGGATGAATCAATACATTTCACCAGAAGGCACAATCTTGAGTCTTGATGGATCGGAGAAAGGAAGCATGGAGGCCAGTTCTGATAGCCATGAAAGGCCATCCCGGCACAGGAAAGAGCACCCTGGCAAAAGCTCTTGCAAAGGCCATCAAATGCCCGTTAGTAGACAAGGACCATTTCCGGGACTGCACCTACCCAATTCAACAGGCCCTGCTGCAAACTTCACCTGCCATGGCTGCCAAGCTGCTGAACGACCTGTCCTACGAAGCCATGAGGCGGGTGGCGGCAGCCCAGCTTGGCTTGGGGCTGAGTGTGGTTGTTGACTCTCCGCTCTCCCGGCAGGCCCATCTAAACTGCCTGATGGAGATGGCTGCCAGAAGCGGCGCCAGGGTGGTTGTGGTGGAGTGTAAGCCAGGGGATGAGGGAGAGTGGCGCCGGAGGGTGGAGGTTAGGGGCGCTGATTGTGGCGGAATGGGGTGGCATAAGCCGGCGACATGGGAGGATATGCAGCGGTTGCTGGAGGAGTACGGCGGGTGTTGGGAGTTTGACGTCGGAGACGTGCCGAAGCTTGTGGTGGACACCACTGGTGGGGTTGAGGTTGAGGAGATGGTTTCCAAGGTTATTGAATTTGTTGATTCTTGCAATCTTGATCAGGAGTCTCGGGACAAGTAGTTGTTAATGGCAGACCGATCATTTGGAAAATTATTAGAGTATTTCTAATTTGAAGTTACAAAAGATAGAGCATTTGTAGTGTATATATTATTAGTCCTCTTCACCGATTTCATCAAAATCTTTGGATGTGTTTGTCTGTGGGTTTGGATTTAGATTTGTATCTTTAATTAGTAAAAAGCTTCATATATATAAATAAATGTTGGGATTTATTATTATTATTATTTTTTTTTTTAATAACGTGAGAACTCTTAATCATATTTTTAGGTAAATGTGAGGATTTGAATCCATCACAAAAAAAAAAATAAAATAATAATAATAATAATTGTTTAATTTGATAATTTTTTTTAAAAAAATATAAATAAAAATTGGTAGTAAAATTTCACAAATATATATTTTTTTGGATCTAAACGGAGCCTTCCTCTCTTATAGTTGTTAGTTAAACAATATATATAATAATAAATGAAGAAATTTAATCGATAACGCCGGCCCATTTTGGATTTGAACGTTCAGGGTTTGGGTTGTGAATGGGCCGGCCCATTTTCAACACCTGTGCAACATAACGAAATATTATTATTGAATAAAATAATAATAATAATAATATTAATTAGGGCAAATATAAAACCCTTTCGATACAATAGAGTAGGAGCAACGGGGTAGATGCTCAGAACAGAAGAATGAGGGTTCCGGCGGCGGAGGGGAGGTAAACAATCGGAATTCTGAAAGGGTAGTTGCCATTGCTCCTTTCTCTGCTGCAATTCCCCGTGATTTCTTATCTCGAAGTCCAAAAATCAACAACCCTTTTAAATTGAAAAACAAACAAACACACCCAAAGTTGATCGATGATAGCCTCGATCTCTCTCTCTCTCTCTCTCTCTCTCTATATATATATATATATATGTATGTGTGTGTGTGTGCATATTGACACACTCATGATGCGAAGGGCTATGATGATGTTTGGCGATTGTTCTGAGCTTATGAATCGGGCATTGAAATGGATCGAGCCGTATCTTGGCAAGGCGGCCCGGATGGCATCTGCTTGTGCAGATGCAACCGGCGATTTCTGCAGCCATGGCGTGCTTGAAGCCTCGATGCCTTGTCGATCTACTCCACAAATCTGAGCCCCCTTACATAATTTGCCTTCTTTCTATTTTCTCTCTTTATTTTCCCCCAGTTCTCTTTTCTTCTATTTTTTCATGTTGATGCCTTCTTACTTGCAATTTAACCATAAACGGAAGTGTAGGATTAAGTAAACGAACATTCTTAGTGGCTAAGAGCGAAAAGGATGGGTAAAAACACCATTAGCAGAGTCCATGATATTTCAGTGGCAACGATGTAAATAACAGAGAAAAGGAGGGACAAAAAAAGTAAAGCAACCAAGTTCACCTCCCCATTTATGGGCACACGAAACCCTACCTACCTACCAACATCATCAGCCAGCCCAGAAAGCAAGAATGAGGGTTACAGAGAAATTAGGGATTTTCTTGAAGGGTGGTTGCCCTCTCTGTATGCCCAGTGATTTCGATCTGGTCTATCCCAACAGCCCTTCTTCAACAGCAGTAAGTAAGACTGTGGGAAATAAATAAATAAAATAAAATAAATCTCACGCCATGGATGGCGTGGATTCAGCCGGTGGATTCTTGGCTGTCTGTCTGTCTGTCTGCTTGCCTGTCTGCTTCTATGGTTCTGTTCTTTTCTGTTCTATCTCTGAATGAATGAATGTGCTGTGTTGTATCTGTATGGGGCTGTGACGATATTTCGCAATCCTTCTTGCACAACTGGGCTGGTGAATCGGGCGGGGAAGACCCGGCCCGTACCTTGGCGTGGCGACCCGGATGGCCTGCTGTTGCAGGCAACCGGTGATTCTGCAGCCATGGCGTGGTCTGGTTTCTCTTTGCCTGTTTGTAAACCAACAGATCTGAGCCTCACTGCTTTATTTTGATTAATCGCTTTGCTATTAATTTTTTTTCAAAATATTTTGCTCTTGATCTTCTTCTCCATATTTCCTTTTTTGTTTTTTTATTGTTTGTTTGTTTTCCTGAATTGCTGTGTGAAAGTACAAATTATTTGGGAGTTTATCTGCAACTGAGCTGATTCCAAGGATTTCTTTTTTATTTAGTTAAAGGTTTGAGAGATTATGTAATTGAAATTTCTGTTTCTAGTCTAGATATATATATATATATAATAATACATAACATGTTTGTTGAAAATTGCAATTTTCTCTGTCGATTGTTATTATCATATTTATTTTATAAAAGAAGATTTAAAATGGAAGAGAAAATTGAAAAGGCTTGAAAGAAAGATGAAAAGTGGAGATAATTGATGATATCTCTCTATATCCATTGGTAAGTTTGGTTTGTAAGTTTTGAAGAAAAAAAAGTGAGAGAATTGGTACATGGACATATTACACATCATTTACTAATAATCTTTCGACAATGAATAGAGTTAGTATGTTACGTACATATCTATATATATAGTGTTTTTTAATGAAATGTGCACAAACACAAACACAAGCAACTTTTACATTTTTTAGCATTTAATGAAATATGCACAAAATAACAAATTCTAGAGCAAATTTGCCCAATCTCGAGCAACCCAAGTTGACAAGAAAAAACCAAAAACAAAAAAACAAGGCATTTGTGCCAAAAAATTTCCAAAATGGCATATTCATATGTAAATTCTGCAAATTCATTTTAAACTAACATCATCTCACAGAATATAAGGTAAATGTCCAGCTTCCACTTTTCACATTTCTCCTTTTATCTCATGATACAATGCCAGACCAATATCCTTTGTCAAATAAAAGAAAAATAAGAAGCCCATAAGGGAAGCAAAAACTCTACTCTTTAACAGTTCCGAAAGAATGCCATTGGATGCGTTTGAAAAATTAGTGCAGAGCTCTCAAAACCTGTTCAGCATTTAAGGATTTTTGGGGACACTTTGCAGCTAACAGGGAGTCTCCAAACTTTTTGAAATGTGAGCCTGCAAGTGCATAAACCTCATAACAATATACGAGCACTGCCTTAGTACAGGCACCAGGAGAAACTCGTTTTTATTACCGCATGCTGACCTTGTAAAGAATGAAGTCCATAATCATGCAGGGGTCACTGTAGCTTCGTTTTCTTTCATCCAGTCAACAAAATTATCAAGAAGCAAAGGCCAAGCTTCAGAAGTGTCATAATCCCGCAGGTCTGGAAAGCTTATCTGTAAAATATATATGATAATACATGAACAAAAATTTGTCAAACTCAGAAAACGAACTTCAGATCCCTGCATTTAGGTCACTCCCAAAATTTATCATTCCTGAACCAAACAGCTTATACCTACATGGTTACACTTCAGAAACAACATCAAAAACAGGTCGTTTAATTTCGATCTGGCATCATTTTCTAAGAGGGCCATGAAATATGACTGGACTTGAGGGAACATGTCTAAAATAAGCTCCAAAGAGAAGGACGGCATGGGTTTTGCCTCTGTGTACATTCTAAGATCGTTTAGAGGTTTCAGGTCATTAAGAAAGTGACACCATTTTAATAAGAACAATCTCTCGCTGCACGCATGAGTAAGACTAACCATATGTATACTTAGGGCACAGAGTTCCCCACATAAGAGACATGAACAATAAGCAGAAATCTATTACAACAAACTTTATCACGGGATGACAGAAAGAAAACACTTACTGCTTAGTAAATTAGCATGTTTCAAGCCAAAAATATACAAATAGTGCAATATGCAACTAATTGAAAATTTAGAATAGCAATAAGAAATACCTCTTGGCAAAACCGAAGAAAGTTTGTCCACTGATCCATGTTAATTACCTTGTAGTCCTTCTGGGACTGAAGTTCATAAAATTTCACAAAACCATAAGTCAGTCCAGAGAGTAGCCAAAAAGAAAAGGCATCCAGCAGCTATCAGAAGTGGATCACACACTTCAGTGGACACCCATTGTTGTGAAACATGTAACATCTAATTTAAATGCAATGCCCTAAAAACTTAATGTGAGTACTTTAGCGGACCACTGACCTTAAGAAATTCAGTGAATGAATCAACTTGATGTTGATACATGCACCCTAAAACCAAATTTAGTAATAGGCAGGTGCTTTCGATGTCCAAACACTTCTGTTTTTCTTCTGTAAGAGTTGAAAAGAGCAACCAAGTTTCAGAAAACACGAATGATCATAGCTCAGAAGAACATGTGATTAACCTGAAACTCAGTATATCTGCTGAGAACATGTCCACAATGTTGAAAATGCTTACCTGTGAGGCAGTACTGGAATGCATATTTATAAAATCCTTCAAAATTCTCTGGACACAAGACCTTCACATCAACAAATTTAAACAGTTAGCAATCTCACTATTTTTCACCCAGGAAAGGAGTGTAAGCAACAGCAAGAAACCTCTCTCTCCAATACTGGCAGTGCCTTCCTTAGTTTATCGATTGTATCAACTCGAAGAGCTTTTAAGCCTTTTTGCCACTCATCCTGATGAGTGCAGAAAACATGAAAATTTTATAATACAACCCCACAGACAACCACATTTACAGACAAAACACTCGTACATCATAAACATCAAACTGAAAAACTAATTCTACATGGGAGCAATTCAGAGATGAAACAGAACATGCAGAAGGAATAAGCAATCATATAATTGCTCAACAAACTCCATACAATGTTGTATTGGTTCTGTTGCTATATGATAAGGTTATATACTTTCTTCAAATACTTATAATAAAGTTCTCTATCTTAATTCCCAAGATTAAACATTAACCCTTTTAAAAAGAGTGTCATATTTAGTAGATTAATGATTTGCTTTGTAATATAAAGTGTTGAATGGCCGGTGAAATGAAGTCAGTAGCATCAAAAGCTAAAATAAGGATGTGAAATGAGAATAGCAGGTACTAAATGATTTTGTAACCCATAATACAGGCTAACAATGTAAATTCATAAAACCAATAATTTGTGATAGTCCAATTCAAACTAAGAAATAAAGATATCCTAGAAGAATATACATACATCTAATATTTGTACTTTAAGGAAGTATACATCAACCACCGTAATGAGCAAAGAGTATAAGAAGTAAATGTACTTTGGATCTTAATAATAGGATAGCACAAGAAATAATATGTATGATAACAAAAGGCTTGCCTGAGTAAAATATCCCTGCCTTCGCGCATCCATTTTCCTGATGACGAGAGTGCAGATTCAGTTCCACAGGAAACACAAGTGATATCAATGATGAGGGACATTGCACTTTCTGAGATTTTTCGTCAATGAATAACTCACCATGCAAGCATCAAAATCCTCACATCAGTGTGCTCCACCTTTAGATCAGAACATAGTACTTCAATCCCATCTGGGCTGTGCAGCAAATATTGATGAGAACCATTTAGTACGAGCAAATAACAAACACATAAGAACCAGTGTCAATATTGTTTGGACCATAAACCATTGACAGCATTATAACAAGTAAAATCCCTGCTTTCTCGGCGAGATTTCTTTCATTTATTTTTTAGTACATTTCAATGTATTAACTTGCTTGGAAAAAGGATATACAATTATACATATCATTTTTTTTAAGAGCGTCTTCTAAAAAAAGAGGGCACGGACACAGAAAATGGTTAGTTTCTATTCTGTTGTAGAGATGGTTTTGGCGTTGTCATCTGGGAGTATGATGGATAATGGTGCTGGGGATGATAGCTTAGATGAAACAAAAGTTTAAAGCACTAGAGCAAGATCTGCCAAAACAAAAATTATTCATTTTTTCACTAAAAAGAAAACTTGGATCAGATAACTATCGATCATTTGGCTTGAGTAGCATTATCTATCTTTCCTATCCTGATAGAGATCATGAATTCACATAGCCATTTATTTCACATTATAAGTTCAGAAATGTTACGATTTTAGTTTTGGTCCCAACAATATCCAGGTCCTCAGAAGTCAGATGATATAAAAGAGTGCGGAGTTGATATGGGAAAAAATTATATCTTTACTGCTAACATGAATAATTTCATGAGGAAGATGTCTTTTAATTTCCAACAAGAGTGATTTCAAACTTTCAAGGAAAATTAGGTTGTATTAAAGGAAGTGCTGTCATTATATCAGCGCGAACATGTAGCCTAATTCTTATTGGGAACAAAATGAGAAGCCTGGTCAATGTGCTGCTGGAAATCATAGAAAAATCTTGAAAATTGGGAATTTAACAGATTATGGGAAATTAAAGAATTTCACCATATCAAAGAATAACAAGATGACAAGAAGCTTCCAGAATTCACAACCAAGACGAAAATATAAATTTATGACCTTCAAGCGGAAGCAAGAGGAATCCACCAATGCTTTAGATCAAATCACAGCATCCAAGGACAAAAAAGAAAATAAAGCACCACGGAAAGTTTAGTGTTGCCTACAGTCCTTAGAGATAAACATGTTTCCATGCAACCCAAACTGCTATTCAGAATATTCCATTTGGTAGAAAAGCAGTGTGAGGTTATCTGCCATTTAAATAACTACCTATAAGTTATAGAGTATGCTCACAACCTTGTCAGGAATAGAAAAAGCCCATCACTTACATACTCAAATCCAGCATACTGATTGTGAATGTTGCAAATAAAAAAGGACAGAAAGCTAATCAGAAATACTCACTCAATCGTGCCTAACGATTTGTTGCAATATTTGAAGTAAAGTTCATCAATGCGTTCTTGCATCTTGGTTGTAGCTTTACTTGATGCTGCAAAATAAATGAGATGTCAAAAGGTTGAAACTGGATGGCCAACACCTGGCATTCGGGATTAATGTTGTACGCCGAAAAGACAAACACAATCTTCGAGTATGTTAATTGTTATTTTCCAGGTGAAACTTGAAAGGTTCAACTGGATTTTGGGGGTGAAAATGGCATAATGAACATTAAAGTGGGGAAAAGAAAGCAAGAGAACACACTCACCATCTCCTGAAAATTAACAAGTAATCAAAGAAACAACACATGATTATTAAAGTTTTATCTAGCCACATTGTTAAGATGTTTTGTATTCAATGCTTTAGGCCTCGCAGAAACTGCATCGAAAATAACAATAGACGTGTAGTGTGATATTGCTGTCATAACTTTCTGCATCACAGGAAAAGACAATTTTTATATTAACCCAGTTGATTCTCCAAACATATTCATATGCATCCAACACTATAGCGCTCATATGCATAACAATATGATCAACCAATTAATCACCATACTAAAACCTCAGAAAGCTAAGGGTGAATTGATAGAGAGCTTCTTTGCCTCGCTTCAATATTCGAATTCACCTAGAATCACTAAAATCGGCGACTTATTTTATCAATGATAACAAGGGATACTGTCCTCGTTCACAACCTCGGGAATTAATCTTAAATTTTAAACAAAGAAACTAGGAATTTAATTCTCATCGGTGCCAAATCTGTCAATTAACCAAAGAAACGCGAAACTAAACTCAGAATCTCCAGCCCCTCAAAAAGAAATCACGCAGCAACAAATAATATCGGGAAAATAACCTCTGAACATAAAGAAAACAAGAACACAGAGCATACCAGAACGAACACCATCCCGGCGGCCTATCTTCATCGGTCCAGCAGTCGGATTATCAGACTTTCTCTTGGACGCCCGCGTCATCTCACCTATCCCCGTTCAATCAATCCCCGATTTCTTCTGTTTTTCCTTTCTTGAAATTGGAAGAGCGGTGGGTTGGTTTTGGGGAGGTTTCTTGGTGCGGGCGGGGAATTTTATACTTTAGGCGATCGTATGGGGGTGGAAATTTAGAAGACGCGGGTTTCCAAGGGTCGGGAGAACAAATTTTCTTTACTGCGGCGCTGAGTACAGCGTCGTGAATAAAATTGAGGCTTAATTTTAGTAACAAAATATTTTTTTATCTATCATAATAATTGATATAGTAATTTTAATTTTTGATAAATTTATTAAATTAAAATATATTTAATAAATATTTAATTTAATTAACTACGTGATAGTATATAATTTAATATAATTAATAAATATTTAATTTAATTAACTATATAATAAGTACATAATTTAAAACACGATAAATTGAACCTCCGACCAAAAAATAAAATATAAATAAAATAAAAAGTCCAACCCCCCTGACTTATAGGATAAAGGATTAAGAGGTTTGCTGTTAAACTATATTTTTATTTTCAATTTTTGAAATAATTAAATATTTCTTTTAATTTTTTAAATTATATATATTTAAATTATTTTAAAATTATTAATATTATTAATTATATAAAAAAAATAATAAAATAATATCATAATTTATTATTATTAATTAATTAAACATCATTTTTTTTAAATACCAATTAAAAAGATCAATTATCTGAGAACATATTTATAAAGTTAATAGCATATATTTTATTTATAAATATAACAAAATAAATAATTATAGGTAAATTATAATGAATATAATAGTACAAGTGTTTAAACTAGTTTTTTTACGGCTGGGTGTCAAAAGCTGAATATCAGCGCATCTCATTATGGGTAAAAAAATCCCGGAATGAGAAGGTATTTTCCATAAAAATTTATGGGTAAATTATAAATATTTAAAATATTTTTTATTTTTTATTTGTACAAAAATGTTTAGTTATTTACAATCAAACATTTGAACAAAGAGAATGTTTTGTGCAAATATAAAAAATTTCATGTAATAAATAATATTCAGATTATTTTAGGCACTCAAAACTTGGTTCAAAGCACTTCTTAACTTACATACATAAATATTTGTTTTATGTAATATTATTTCCCTCAGGCTCTACAGATCTATTTATTTTTGGAGTATTAATCTTTAAATATTAATTATTATATAAAAAATTAGTATAAATTAAAAAAGAATGACAAAAATTATAATGACATTTATAAAAAAATTATAATACAGTGCCTAAATAAGGCCCTTGGAGCAAACCAAGGGAGTATAAATTAATATTGATATAAATTTTTACAATCATTTTATTTAATATTTTAAAAAAAAAAAAACTAAATAATAAAAATATCATAATTATATGTTTAAAATTTTCTCACTTCATAATATATTTTTGTTATGTAATATAACAAATTTCATCTTTTCACCTAAAATCGAATTATATCCTCAACTAACTCAACCCTAACTATCTACAAATGACAGATTACTTACATGCTTGGTTGGTATCAACATCAGCATCAGCATCAGCAATTGTATCCTTCATTTCTCAAGTACCACAGTGCTGCTTCTGCAGCATGGTGGGCTGCTTCTTTCTTCTTCCTTCGAGATTCTCCATAGAATTCAAATCCCACCTTTGGCCTTTCCGTAATCTCCATCTCCACCTTGAATGCATACCTGACCAAACAGATGCAGATACAGGATAGGATAAGATACCATAAGTGCACAGATTGTGAACACTTCCATTGGTTAAGTATAAGCTTACTCTCTTAGGTGGCCTTCACCAATCTCTTTGTAGCACTCGAAGACAGGCGGCTTCCAGGTGTTAGCGGCGCAGACTTCGTACAGCTTTGCTTTTGCAGATACTGCAAAGGGCGTACCTGCAAATATAATTTTTGATTTGAGAATTATAGAATCCAAAAGTTATTAAGATTGGACAGTACCTGTTCCCTGACTAATAGCATTGCTATCGCCTGCATGTCGTTGAGCAGCTCGAACAAGATGGCGTTTCAGTACCCTGCTCAGAGGATGGGCGACTGGGGCACCGGACAATGACTCGCCAAGGTGATATACTTTTGCAATGTTATTGCACAATGTTGTTTCCCCTACCCCTTGCGCATCGGAATTAAAGAAATGGATAGGCTCGTCGTATCCAATTAATTTGGCTTCCATTTCCTCGCTTTCTTCGAGCACTTCCTTCAGTGATTTTGACTTGCATCTGTACCCCTCAGCCTGAACAATGAAAGCCCTAACCGATGTTAGTCGAAGGTAAGGAAAATGTATAGTGAAGAATTTTCAGAATAAATTACCGTGAAACGATCTAGTAGTTCTCTTGCAACTGTTCTTTTTGCCACTCTTCCACTTATGTCGCAGGCAGAAGCAGTTTTCCCATTCACTGTAGCTGCAACTAAGATTTTGCCATCCTTCTTCGATGAAGAAAATTGAAGTGTCCAGTTATAGAATTGACAAAGTTCTGTAAGATCTCTAAGAGGATTAAGCTGCAGCTTCGAAACATCAACAATTGGATCCAGCAGACGCAGCGTTATCTTCCATAGGCAGCTCAGGTCCAACCCTGTGTCAAGAAATACAGCGCCTACACACGACTCAACTAAGTCACCAAGGACCTGTTAAAACGACGTAACAAAACAATTGGATGTTACGACTACGATTATTTCCCTTAATAAGAACACAATATTATCAGAACCACAACCTTAGGACAAGATTTCTCCTTGACAAGGGCATTTGCTGACGTTGCACGTCTGATGTTAACATATGTTGAAATAGCTTTACGGAGACCTTCAGAATCACACATAAGAAATTTGTGAAAGGATTGTCTCTCTGCTACATCAGCTAATGACACATTGTTCACTGATAATGATCTCAAATCTGTAAGTTGACCAGGTCTCATGTTTGGATACACTGAATAGAGATACGAGGTAATCAAGTAATCCAAGACAGCATCTCCAAGAAATTCAAGTCTCTGGTTCAAGAAGTAAAATATATTTCAGCATTATAATTTGAAAATGTAGATGATCAGAATCATTAACTAGGAACGGAGCGCATACCTGGTAGCAACATCCCAACTGATTGCGGAAAGACGGATGGACAAAAGCCTGGACAAGCAAGCCTCTATGGGTGAACGTGTATCCTAAGTTCTTTTCAAGTGCATTAACATCCAATTGATGAGGAAGAGACAGAAAGGCATTGCTTGCAAAGCAGATACGATCCACTTGTGAAGGTAAAAAGTCTATTTCTACGCCAAGCCAATTGAGGAATGCAATTGCTGCTTTGAAGCCACTATCAACTATCAAAGCCCCAATAAGTGCCTCGATAGCATCTGCAATGGTCTTCTTATTTAACCAGTGATGATTCTTGCTGCATCTAACTTCAGTCTTTGCGGCCCTTTTCTTGTTAGACGGAGAGTGCTCGGTCTCTTTATTGCAGTTTACAGGACATGGACGGGCAAATGTAAAGAATTGACTAGGTTCGAGTGGTTGATCACGTATGTATACCTGAAATACATGTTCTTCACAATCAAACTACTCTCAACATATAAATAGAAAACGGCATGAATTGAAAGAAATGCATTCACTTAAAACATTTGACATCACGATTTCAAGAATTACGCAATTTGATACAACGTAGGCCATAGATGATAGTACCTAAAGTCGAAATGGAAGTGGAAGAAAATTTTATTATGCTAACATTATGTGCATAACGTTAGTTGCACACTATTTGTCCATTGCTATTATTTTTAAGTTCAGAAAAGCGCTACAGTATGTTCAGTGTTAGTTCAGTATGATGTTTCTCGTTTTTAATCAAGATATATTTATGATCCAATTATTTTAAAACTATGAACTTCATAAACTTCATATTGCAAACATTTGGTCTGAAAAGATGGAAAGTTATATCATGAAATTTATGGTCGCATCTGATCTCATATCATGAATATTTATAGTACTTGGAAACATTAATTTGGATTGATTACCTGTAAATTCCTCTTTTTTGACAACTTGTGTAAATTAGTATTGCTTGTAATGTTGGAACGCTTGTTGCTGAGCTGTCCTTCATCTAAAAGCTCATGTTTAAGAAAAAGATGTCTACCAACTGCAAATTTGAGAAATGCATCACCAAGCATTTCAAGCCTTTCAAGAGAAAAGCTCTCTGAACATCTTTCTGTGGTGAGTGCTTCAAGAATCTGATGCAATATCAAAATCAATAAGCCACTTTATATGTGTTACTAGCAAAAGGGATAGTCACGTGCTAAAATAACTTGACGGCCAAACAGAGAGCAAACAGAGGCAATACAAAATAATATAATCCCCAAAACAAATTCTTACCCGGTTTGTAGTAACTTCAGCTCCCTCAGGCAATGAAGGAATCAATTTTGCCTTCAGCTCAGCGGCCACAAGAAAGCCTTCAAGTCGATGCATGATTGACGGTAACAGAGATATTGAACTTCCAATATCTTTAGAAAAACCAACAATTTTCAGCTGACAAATTTCAGGGGGAAGTTCAACAAAATGTTCTTGTTTTTCTCGCCATTCTCCTGTAATCAACCCAACATTTGCGTGATAAAAGATGACATTCATCAATTTTCCCAGACTTAAGATGTAGTTTTTAACACAAACTAGAAATAAAAGGAACAATATCTCATAATCATTTAGGCAACAATTAAAATGATTATGATGAAGCTATCTGAAGTAGCCATCAGCATGAGAACGGGAAAAGATTTAGCTCCAAGATTTAAATCTTGCACCTGTTTGTGCACATGTTCTCTCAAGCATAATCAACTATACCTGATGCCTTTTTCTTCCTCAGTAGGTTAGCCAAAACAAATAGTTGCTTTGCTTTCAGAAGGGGTTGGGCTGGGTGCGCAAGATGAAAACCATACCTACAACCAAATGTGAATCATGAGAAAGAGATAACAATGAAATAGTGACAGAAATACATAGATCCTATAACTGAAAACTCTGGTTCAAAAATCACAAATAAAATCATATCGATGTTAAAATAGAAGTTTGCTTCACCATAAGCTACTGGTAACAGCACATCAAGGGATAGGAAAGAATGAATAAATCATATATTCTGTACTGATCTGTGTGTATGAGCCTTCTTGTATTGAATCTCAACAAATCATTGTTTGTCCAAGGCATATCTTCTATGAAAGTATTATCACATACATGAGATGACAGTAAAATCTAACACAATAATACCTATATTCCTTTCAACACAAATATAACCAAGAACGATACATATTCAGGATTTTAGGTCAAATTTAAGGATATTAGGATGGATATCCTAGATGCAACTACAACCAAAATATATTTAGTTCAAGGCGATACAAAAGTTTAGTATGCCACATGTGGTCTCATTGTCCTAAATACATGGAACCGCTAACACTACCATTTTCCTCAAAATGCATCCAAGTACTCTATGCAAAGGCATGGAACAAAGTATTAATGGCTGACAGGTTCAGTAGAGGATTTACTTACCGTTCTGCATAGTGCTCAATGTGAGTTTTTGAACCATCGTATAAACTATGCCCATTTTTATCTGGCAAAATATCAGAAATAAAGAAGAATGTATCTTTTCCAGGGACATAAACCAAACTGTTCAAAATATTGTCAAAACTCCAGGAGCCATCAGCAAGATGTAGAGGATTGTTCAAATGAGATGCTTCATTGCCAATATCAGTCTTTGGGCATTTGAATATCGGCGATGATAACAATTTCTGTACAAGTGCCCAGTCCACAGAGAATTGGTTCTCATGCTCAAAAACAGGAAGCAGCAGGTAACGTGTCAATGAGCCAGACTCGATGATATCATCTTCTTCTAATGAGACATGTTGTGGTATGAATTCATGCCGATCAAGAATTATTTTGAGGAACATCCGCTGGAACTTCTCAGCTGATGCAATCTGTGAGATTCAAAAGATCAGATGCTGAAACAAATATAGTTATCCTGAACTAATTATTACAGGGGTGAAAGGAAAAAAGAAACTACACCTCTTCTTTATCAAATTTATAGATTCCGGCTGGTATAAGCTGTGTCATCACCATTCTACCATTATCCAAACAAAGATCAAGTTCCATTCTACCAGCCTCTTCTGGGAGTGGTTCCTTCACAAAAAGACCAAATTTTCTGTAAACCCTATCTGCGGGATCAGGACGAAGCTTGATGTAGTAAGAACTGAAACAAATGTGATCCCCAGCTTCTGTCCATGGTTTTTTAAGGGCAGCTGGGACAAGCATCTCATGGAGTTCTAGAGAATCCACGTCTGGGGTAAGTAGAATAATTTACTACCACACTGTTAATATGAAAAATTAATCTGAAAGTTAAGAGAGCTAAAAATATACTGACCAATCCCGCATTCAGATAATTCAGAAGTCAATTCCTCATGGTTCTCTTCTTGCTCTGGCAACAGATAATCTGTGAGTGCTCCAATTTCATGCAATATCTGGCATGCTTTTAAGCAACCATCTCGCCGAGCTGCCTCTTTTGAAGGCTGTGGTGTGCTAGAAATCTGATGAACCGGAGCATTGGCGGGAAGAAGTATGTTGCAAACTATTCCATTAACATCATCACAGTAGAAAAATTCTGGCACTGGATTGAAGTACCTAATTAAAATAAATTACAAATAATCAAGAACCAAGTCAAGCAGCCGGTCCTCGGTATCTAGGTTTCAAACCAGAGAGCACAACAAACTCAAATCAAACAGTAAAATGGGATCATACTCATCATGAGGAAGTGTTGAACAATATTGGTGAAGTAATGAAACACTCAAAGAAGAACTAATGGTTGCCCCAGTGCTTTCCACTTTGTAGGTATTCTCCATGAACTCCCTTGTTGGCACACAAGATTTTCTGGTGGAAATTTCTTTATTCATAAGAGCTTCAGTATTTTTAAAATCTTCAATCAAATTGAGTTGTGTTTGGTTGCCACTGCATATTGCATGAATCAAAGATTAACTTTATCCCTTGGAATCCAAAATTATACTTCAACAGAACAAGTATTCAGTGTAAGAACCTGTCCACCAAGAAAATATATTCTGATTGAGGCATGCGAGCCCGGCCTCTAGATTGTATAAAACTTGAAACTGTTTCTGGAAGATCAAACCGTATCACAAGGCAACAGGTCTGAATATCAAGCCCTTCTTCTCCAACTTTAGTGGCAACTATAATATTCAGCTGACAAGATAATTTAATAGAGAAATATAAGATAGTAGAATTAAGAGCTAAAACGCAATGGAAAATGAAGTGCCTTAAACAACGGTATAATTCACTAGTAATTTTCTTTTTCTATTCTTTTCCCCATCTTCAAATAGAAAGAATCAAATGATAACATGATCTTATTCCATCTCCTCTATGACATTTTATCAAAAGAAACTCCTATTTTCCTTTGCAATCCTCCTATCTTTATGATCACTTCTTCCAAGAAAGGGGAGGGGGGTAATCTACTGTGCCATAAGTATTACCTCATCAGAACGAAATTTTTCGAGAACAATATTTGTATTTTTTCGTGACATGTGCCCAGAATGAACTCCCACAAGAAAATCACACTTCCAAGATGATAGAAATGTTGTGTTCTGAATTAGATTAGACAGCAATCTTGCTGTGAAAATTTTATTCACAAATATTATGCATTTCATATCTCTTTTTACCCTGTAAAAAAGTAAAAAAATTAATGTGAAGTTACAAAGAAAATAAACAAATTAATTAGACAAATAGACATGCTTAAATGTTGGATTTAATGTTTTTGAAAGAAAATGAGATATTAAATAGTAACAAATAGGTAGAAACAGCACAAGTAAAACAAACGCTGAAATCTATTTTTACATCTTGAAATTTTAAATATATTCATTTAAATTCCCATCCAATGGACTTAAATTTGCAGATGTCGAAGAAATATAATATTAAAAATTTTCATAAAATCACAACTGCACTTTTTGTACAAGACTAGAATTCATGTAGAACATGCATCTAGGATAGTGATAATATTATAGATTAGCTCTATTATGGAAAGTGTACCATTTTGCTCTAGATTAATGATAATATCTTGACATGTACATAGATTTAGAATGACAAGGTAGCAACCTGATGTTGGAGAGGATATCTAGAAGCTTTAATATCTTTCTTGGGAAAAAAGGCTCCTTCAAAACCTCTACAGTAACACAAGATATATCTCCCTGTGCACCTTCTGCATGAAAAATATAATAAGAAACCATAACTTAGGCTGTGTTTTAAGATGTTTTGGATTTGAAATTATATATTTTCAGGTTGTATGAAACATCTCATCATAGATTGCATGCTATGAAGATGAAAATGAAAATATAGTCACACAACGAGAAACATTGAAAAAGATTCTTATTAAATTTTTCTTACTAATAAATATAGAAAGAATGGATCGATCATCAAGAAAACTAAGGAAGCCTCTTCCAAACATCTTTTGCATGAATCGTAGAAATATATTCTAGCCATCTGGAAAAAAATCATTCCTAGATTACCTCTAGTGCATTCAGAATCAAGAACTAAGGAAACCTCTTGCAAATATTTTTTGCATAAGTCATCCCTGCAGCTCTCTTCTCCTCCTAGTTCAGTGATCTTGTCACCTTCACCTCTTAGGCACATGTTGCTCGCCTAATAAGAAAGGAAATGATCAGTTAATTCACCTCTCAATAATGACAGGTGTAACTTAAAATGAAAAGTGAGAGCATTGTCCTCGACAGATCATATTAAGGGGGAGAAAAAGGTGCCCAATAATTGTGCTAACCCTTAGACAAGCCCTTCATCTAATCATCTGCCTTCCAAGTAAGTCAAGTGTCATATATAATCCCTCAAAAGAAATTAGAGCCATTCATCATAGTAGACCTACATCCTAGAATTTCTAACTACAAATATCATCACCATTTTTACCAATACTAGCATATTTTAAAATATTTTACTGCTTACTATAGTAATCTTAGGACATACACATCTATCTTAGAGCCTAGAGATTGCAACCCATATAAATGCAACAGTCATTGGAACTTGCACCATGTTAAGAAATGAAAAGGCATTATCATAAGACCGGACTCTCTGAAATGTAATTTGGTTTCAAAGCTCAAGCCTTAGGTTTTTTCCATTCATTTTCTTAACGTTGACTGTTGTTCCTGAGATCAATTCATCCATTCAGCCACTCGACACAACGTTGTTAAGTTGCTTTCCCCCTTGAACACAAGGCTCTACAAGTAGTGTCATCTTCTCTACCTTATTTATTCTATTTTCAAAAGTACTTAATTGCTCGTCATAAAAAATAAAAATAAAAAATAATAATAATAATAAAAAAGGGGTACTTCATTGCTATAACCTGCTAAGGATTGCATGATTATTGTTTGTGTTGACATTTTTTCTAGAGTTACATTTTCCACTAGTTTAATCTTTTTATTTTTCTCATGGCATGTGGTCAAATTCTTTAGTTATATGTCTTCCATGGTAGAATACATTGAGTAAATGTCTACAATTTCAGCTAACACACACCTGAATGTTGTTCTAGACTTTCTGTTTGGAACTTATTCAGTTAATACCTTGTGAAACTGAATAAACAAACAATTTGGGACATGATTTTTCTTATTTCTTAGGAATAAGATACATGGGTATAAAAATACAACAGTAATTGATTGTTCTGGTGATTCTATTTTTTCCTACCTAGGCACGTTAAGTAACAAAAAAGGAAAGCAGAAGTAATGAAGAAAAAACAAAGTCTAGTTAGAATAGTTGTCCGCCCCTTTCTTTATTACTCGAAAGGTAGTCTTAGTAACTCTACCGATCTTTGCCTATGATATTATTATTTTATAACATAATCAGTTACATCCATGATTTCCTGCCCCGTGCCTAATTTATATCCATTAATACTGCCAACAAAAACTACAATGTATTTGTTCAATTGTATTTACCTTTCAAAGTTTTAGTGTTCCAACATAAGGGCACAACGTGTCCCATTCATACAATAACACAAATGGTTTGAATGAAGGAAAAACATAAGTGTCGCGGTAATCCTTACCTGCAATGCTCCCCAAAGTCCAAGATTCTCCAGGCACAATATAATATGAGAATGGAGTTTTTGAAGCAATCTTATCCCAAGAATACTCTGATCATCCTGGTTAACTTGAAGAGTTGATATACACTGATGCATCAGATAGCCATCGATTAGAAATTTGTATATAATAAAATTATAAGTGGAAGCATATCAAACTCATGCCTGGATTTTTATGTCTTCAAGTTTTGTAGCCAAAATCATCAGCGGGCAAGAGTCACCATCTTTGATAGAATCATAGCAATAGACCTTTACTTTAGGTGATGTTACATACTGTTCAAGGTCGCCATCATCCTCAACAGAATACACCTACAGAAATAGCAAATAATCAAATGCAAATTTCTGAAAGAGAAATATAGTACAAGCAGAACTCCAATCATAAAGTTTGAAAGGCCAATTATGAGAGTTATATCTGCAAGCATATAGTGGAAGGATATATAAAGGGAAGGCTTGTTTACCAGCCACCCATATCAGTTTCACGACATCTAAAGGTCATAATTAATCATTTTTTAGGTAACTACTCAGTTAAATCAGAAAATAGATCACAACAGATAGATGTCCAATTCTCTTAACACCTTGGCATGCAACAATGCCTCCAGACCATCAACTGAACCACCTGAAAAAACAAAAAGGTCGGATCAATTACTCAAGATAATCCTAACATATTTTTGGGCTGTGAAAAGAGCACTACCAGACAATCTATGGTCAAGAGGCATACTTCCTCAAGAAATATGATACAGAGAGAACCAAGACCCACATAGAAATGAACACCAGGAATGGAAAAACTAGAAAGTTTAGGGAAAAAATAACAATATAGCAAGATATTGTTTCCAATTACAAATATAACACAGAGTGATGTGAACCAGTTTTGTAGATGAAGACAAAACAGAGGCAGCAGCAACCATAATTGCTATATTTAATGAAGGATTGTTCAGAAAAACAATTTATGCTCGTCTCTCTTTATTCAATTGTATTTATTGATGCTGAAATCGGGTGCTTTTTCCCCCCTCAATCAAGCCTTTAAGATTTGTTCAATCACCGGGTTTGCATTTAAGTATGATACCGATCCCACATGCAAATAAGGAATGTTTCGGAGTTATTTGCTCAAGTAACTTTTAGTTGTTACTTCTTAAAACAAGTTCAGAGGTTAGTTTAATTAAGATATTCAATAATTGTGAAAGACTAACATGTCATTAATCATCGTACTCTATTAAATGAAAGGGGCCACATGGTCATCTAGATCATGGATGTGTAAACGTATTCGCTTGTACAAGGACCAAGAACCATACTTCCAGTTCAAAGAATGTGAGATTTCCTAACATGTACTGTTGAAATAAAAATTTAGATACTCAATACTTGATCATAGATTCATGTTTTTGCAGCAGGTTCGATACTAAATCAGAGGTGAAAGTTAACAGTTGTGGATAGTAACAGAGCAGCTCAACTGAATAACAGCAAGCCGTTGTTCTCTATAATTGCATGAGCATAAATGCAGGTAGGTCAAAACAATTGGCATCATGCATTACCTTTTGTTAATATGGGAGATGCTGTCATACCAAAAATACGAGGAAGCTTCACAAGATCTGTCTTGTAGAATATCTGGCAAATAACATCTGTCAATTAAGACAACAACAATTAACGAACATTTATGTATGATGAGTTTTATAAATCACCTTCATAATTTCAGCGTACGGATGGTTGGTTTCTGGTTGAGCATAATGACATTCATCAAATATCAGAAGGGCAATCTGCTCAATGTTAATGAAGCAGTGGGAGAGACAATATAACAGGATTTGAGGTGTCATAACAAGGACCTGCATATGGAAAGAAAATTACGACTTGAATGTTAGTTATTACACACTCGTCAATCTAAATCCACATATCCAAATTATCCACATTTGGCCAACCACACCTAAATCAGCAATCCGGCTGCACTGAATACCAATGAGAGTACCTACTGCTAACAATACAAGACAAAGTACTTCACAAGCATTTAACACTTGATGCAGCGCAGCAACAATGCATAAATCATTTGAGACCAACCTCGTATTCTTCAATTTCTTTATTCCAGTCATGGTGGTTGCGTATACGTCTGGCCCCACCAGAATAGACTCCAACAGTGAAATCAACAGATTCTTCTATCACCTTCGCTTGCTACCATTTTCAGAAAATTAAAGCACGAAGATCAAGAACGTGCATTGCATTGCTATTAAAAAAACACAGATACTTGAATATAACATAAAATGAGACGCAGTTGATTATTCTTTATGAAAAAAAAGATCTAACCAACCTGCTGGACTAAGGCAATGGTATGAGCAAGGAAAATGCATTTGTCTTTTTGAGGTTTCCTAAACAAGGCCCCCATCTCATACATAAGTAAAACTGCAATGTGGGTTTTACCACAGCCAGTTCCCAAATAAACGATGACATTCTCTTCCAAAGCTTTCTTACAAAGGTCCAGCTGGTACCTGTCCAGAGGAAAAAAATCAAAAAATGAAGAATCATGCTTTGCAGTCTCCTTGAAAAGTCTCTAATTAAGAAAAATAACAAATTCTAATCTAACGAAGAATACCACTAATGGCGTCGGACATTGTAACATTATATATAAAACACATCAACATTGTTCTCTTCTCCTCAAAATCGGAAATACAAAGACGAATCAATCCCTCGATTATCTTCCTTGAATCATTTCACAACCCAGACCAAAATAACAGGGAAAATAAAATTAAATAAAATGGCGGACATACCAAGAAGAAGAACACAAAAAGATTCCATTTGTATTGTCCACTTAAAGCGCGCAACAAGATTTAAAGAGCGATTCATTTTTCTGACTACTTCGTCCCCCGGTCGGAGATTGAAGGGATACGGAAGGTTTAAGGTTTTTCGGAGTTGTCAAGATTCACCGTTTTCACCCACAGTTTTCACCCACTACAGTTCACTGTCATTCTTTTTTGCCCTCTTCCTTTTACTATTGTTTTTTTTTTTTTATTTTCTTTTGTAAATTTCAGTGTACTTTTTTTTTTTTTATTAAATCACATACTTGCTCATTAAGGAACAATTAAGAAAAAGAAAAAGATCCACCCCAACCCCACCGCCTGCAACTCATCGCCATTTTTATGGATGCATCATCGAGCATTCTTCTGGACTGTAAATCCATTTCCCATCTAATGCAACTCTACTCAATCGATTTCATCTTCAAACCAAATCACTAACATTCCAACCCCCCCCCCCCCCCCCCAAAAAAAAAAAAAAAACTACAAAAGAAAAAACAACAATGAACTCGTCGGCGACGCCATAGAAGAGGCGGCAACTGCATGAAAAAAACCACGTACATTCAACAATAAAATAAAATAAAAGACAAGAATAGCATACTTTCTGGCAAGTCTCCTCGGATCTTTCTCGATTTCTCGTGTGCAGTCCATAACGGTAGCGCAGACTTGTGGTTGACTGAGTGAACCTTGTGCAGTGACCCAATGCAGAAGAAAAGAATGGAGGGATATAGATAAATGAGACTTGGGGAGCAAGTGAAGTGAGAGAGAAGACTCTGTTTTGGTCTGAAATTGACATCGGCAGTCTGTTCTCCCTCCAGCGCCGTGATGTAGACAGGCCTCACCTCGGATTTGTACGCGCTTTTCTACTGCCCACAGTGACGTGTACCGGCAATGTGCTTTTCATTTTTATTTTAATTTTTTTTGTTAGAAAGTTTTAATTTTAAGTTTATATTTAAATAAATTTGATGGAATATAAAAAAAAAAAATCAATTTTAATCCCAATCAAACTCTTTTTTTTTTTTTTTTTTTGATTTCATTCAAAAAATTAATATCAAAATTAATTCTATACAAAAATCAAATTATTATTTTTAATTCCACCTTTAAAATTTCAATAAAATAAGCTGATGTAACCATAACATAATCTGATGTAGCCATAACATAATCTGATGTGGCAAGTAATTTAAAACAAACACGCCCATGTTAATAATAACACGATCGTGTTATTTCAATTAAGCAATATATTATTATATTTATACCAACACGGGCGTGTACCAAATTCAACACGCCCGTGTTCAAATTCAAGCAACACATTCAAATGGGCTGCGGCTGTGGCTTACATAATAATGAGTGTGGGTGGGTCCCACGCTCATTATGAATTATTTAATAATTTATGTATGGTATATTTTTTTTTAGTTTAATACTCTCACCGATCCCACATAATTTGTCCCTCAATTAACAAATATTTTTATTCATCTTTAAAAATTTTTATTTTTTATAAAACAAATTAATAATAATGATAAATAAATAAATAAATTTATTATTTATTTATATTATATAAAATTTTGTTATTTACAAACTAATATCTATATTATATGTATTTTATTAACATATAATGTTTAAAATATTTAAAATACTAATAATACTATTCATATAAAAATAATAAATAAATGTATTTAAAATTAATATATTTATAAAAAGTAAAAAAAATTATCTTGTATAAAAAGAGAAAAGGAAAATCATCTAAGTATAATATTTTCAAACAAAAAAATAAAAATAAAAAAATTTGAAACAAAAAAAAAAATCTAATTTTAAATATTATTAAATACTCCCTCCGTCCCAAACACCATGCAACATTTCTTTCTTTTTGGTATGTTCCAAACACCATGCAATATTTCCAAAATAAGAAATAATTAATTATACATAATCTATACTCCACATTTATCCCTCACATCATCTAAATAAAATAATAAAATATATATTTCTCTCTCCATCATGTCACCTAATTTTTAAATTATCATATTTAATACTACTCACCTAAAAATCCGTATCAAATACAAATATTGCACTTATTTGAGACGGAGGGAGTACTATAAATTAAATTTTATGTATATATAATTAAATATATTAACCTAAAAAAAATATATATCATAGATAAATTATTAAATAATTCATAATGAGTATGGGACCCACCCACACTCATTATTATGTAAGCCGCAGCCGCAGCCCGTTTGAATGTGTTGCTTGAATTTGAACACGGGCGTGTTCAATTTGCAACACGCCCGTGTTAGTATAAATATAATAATATATTGCTTAATTGAAGTAATACGCCCGTGTTATTATTGACACGGGTGTGTTTGTTCCAAATCACTTGTTACATCAGATTTCGTTATGATCACGTCAGTTTATTCCGTTGAAATTTTAACGATGGGACTAAAAATAATAATTTGATTTTTGTATAGAATTAATTTTCATAATATTTTTTGAATTGGATCAAAAATGAAAAAAATGAGTTTAATTGAGACTAAAATTAATTTTTACTCTGGAATATATTGTTTAAAAAACAAATTCAAATAATGAAATTCGAGAAGAAATACGTTAACAAAAAATATACCTTAAAAGTCGATTTATTGTCGAAATTTACTATATTACTATGCATTTAAAAAATATATGTATTATCTCCATTTGTTAAAAGTATTCTTATTTTATTTGTAGTTTATCTTTTTCATCATAAAATTTTTATATAAATAAAATGAAAATACTTAGAATATATATTTTTTCAATATAAAATAGTAAATTAAATATTATTAAAATATAAAATTCAATCAAATTGTATCGATTCAAATAAATATAGAAATACACCCTTAGGATTCTATTCATATTTTATATGAATTGAATTTAAAATTTAAAATTTTCTATTTAAATAATACTTTCAATATTTGAAATATTTGTGTCAACTTTTTTTATTATTTATTTGCTAAATTTATTCTGTTATTTTTATAATTTTCTAATAGAATTTTCACAATTTTTTACCTTCACAATTTCGTATTAAAATATTATTTAAAATTTAACTATAAGTATGAATCTTATTTTTTTAATTTAAATGATATTTTTATATAATATTAAAAATATATTTTATTAGAGATATTATGCCTTGAATAATGCTATTTTTATTTAAAAAATTTAAACGTTTGAATAATAGAACGGTTTGGAGAAGATTTTCCATAAATGACAAATGTGTTTATCTGGGATGTTTTTTCTATATTTTTTTACACGCATATAAAATTAATATATTACACACATTCATTATTTTATACTATTTATATAATTTCCTATATTTTAAAAATTTTCTTTTCAGCCATTTTACATAATAAATACACCCTTGGTAATTCAACTGGCTGTGTTTAGCTTGTAAGTTCTTGTTTATATTATTCAAAATTCTGTTACAAAGTCTAATAAGTGATGACCTTGTCCTGTAGAATGAACTACTGTCATGTAGAATTGATGTCCTCAACTCAAATATGACGCAATAATCTAATTATAATATTTTATTAATTAATAAACTTACTATATATGTAAATAATTTGAATTTGATAATTAAGTTTAAAATTTTAAATAATTCAATCTAATTTTACTATACATATTACACTAATCTATATATGGTTTAGAGAAAAGCTTATAAAATGTATTCTTTTAAAGTTTACGTTTATTATTTATTTATATTAGCTTGGACGCTAAGGATGTATTCTTTTTAGTTAATTTTGAAAAAAATTAGTTTGAATTTAGTGTTAAAATTATGTTTAATGAGATATTTTGAAAAAAGAAAAAATATATCAGTAAAATTTGAAAAATTTTGGCTAAAGAAACATATCCTAAATTAAATTTAATGTTTTACAGTAAATTGTCAGTAAAAATATAAAAATCAATTTCCAAAAAAGATAGTATTTTCCTTTTTTTCTCTTTTAGGTACCATTTCAATTTTTTTCCCATATCAATTGCAGGCGAAGAGAATTGACCTTGACTTAATATGGATGTTGAGCAAAAAACAGTGCAATGTACCAAAAGCAGAAACAATGATCACTCATTATCATTGTTAATTTTTCTTCCTAAACGAGGACAGAAATAAAAATAAAATTAATCTCCCTCTCAAATTAGAGATTTTCTTTTTCCAGATATCCAACAAAATATGTGCCCCAAGAATTTTCCAGAGCCCCTAGCCATAAGAATAAAGGGTTACATAATATAAGATCATAGCCCGGTTATGCAATTGCAGAACTACGAGTAGAGCCAGAAGCATCGCACCTTATAACTCAATGTTGGATCACACTAGTTTTGAATCGGGCTGCTGCTCTGGTTCATATTCATCATCAGCATCATGATCATCATCTTCGTCGTTGTCATCCTCTTCATCATTCTCACGATCATACAAACTGCCCGTGGAGCTAATTGTCTCTTCTTTAACATCATCCATGTCAAAGAAATCCGATCCAAACTTCATTTCACGGTGTTTGATCAAAAGCCAGCGCAGCAGCCGGTCTTCTTTGTTCAGGTAATAGAGCTCATTGTTGAAGCTAGGTGGGGTCATCATTGTCAGCTGCATCAGCTGACCCTGCAAGAAATGATAATAAAGATCATGTATACTATTGTATAAAAAGCATAGGAATCTTTGCTTGAATATATTAAGTCTCAAGAGTACGAAAAGCCATAATCTAATTCAGTAAAAGAATCCATATATGAATAAAAATGTTGTAAATCTATGCCTGAAAATGACAAACCTACAACAAACAACGGAATAAGCATGTGTAATGTGGGAGGCCATCTGCAAGAGTCACGGATGATTGCCTCACTATTAACAGGTAAGAATTACAAAGAAAGAGCAACAATCACTGAAGGATCTGTTTAACAATGCTTATACCATTCTTGCAAGAACACCTACAGGGGGCACAAAACCTCAGAGTACTCGCCAGGCATGATAGAAACCAAACATGACGGCAACACATGACTCAGCTCTCTACATGATCATGAACAAATGTAGCAATGAGACCACCTTAAATACGGTGAGAGAAGGGAAGGATCTGAAACATCAAAATGTGTCTATCCCCTTTTTTACAAAGAGGGAAAATTCTCTTTTCCTTTCAGCTATGATATCAAACATTAGGATACTGTATACATGTACCGAAAAGCATAACCGGAGGAACGGAAAAGCTTATTATGCCCCTCTAGAAAACACCAAATACACATTAGAGGAGCCCAAGGAAAACTGCCTGAAAAAGACACACTAAAAACATATTGATTACCTTCACAGTGCATTAAGTCAAAGAGAAAGATATATGATTTAATTTCCCCATCTGATTATAGGTTCTTATCAAGGTGCTTCCACCTTGAGTTGAAAGCAGTTTGGCAATATAATAGTATTACTATTCTACCCAGTATAGATTAGTGCACAATTAAAGGTCTATGCATTGTTATAGGTTCTTCCCGAATGAGTATTGCCACCACTTGGTCTATCTGTTGTTATTGTTGATCCTATTATGGGCATGTGTGAACAAGAGATAGAAGTTACAAGATGTTAGCATAAAAAGTGACAATGATAGTCGGGAAAACTTACAACCAATGTTTGGATAAAACGAAGTGATTAAGATTAAAAAGAATGTTAATCCAAACCAAGAATTAATGCTTAAAATAGTCAGCAAAAGCTTAAAATTAATGCTTCAATTTAGTTGGTAGAATTCACTCCAAATGATGATTCTCTTCCCCGCCATCTAAGCATTCCAGATATTAATTGTTGTGTGCTATCACATGGCTCCATTCTTAACATCATTCATCTAGATTGAACATGTGCATAGACCATAAGAACACTTGTCCTGTGAATGCAAAGAATTAACAACAAACTTTTTTAGATTGCCATGTATGTTAGGATTTTATTAGTACTTTATATTTGTTATATTTCTACTCAAGAGCCTGTAATATTATTCAAATAAAAAACTGAAACTTGAGTTTCTAACAATAAAAGATCAAAAACTTGTTAAAAAAAAAAAACTGCATCAAACACATTGCAGTAAAACCAAGAATCACGAATCAAACCAACTGCTACTGAAGTATCTAGAAATTATTTCTCAGATAATAAGCAGTAGAATGATAACTTGTGATAAATATAAGCAACCAACATAGTGTATATGAGAACTGGTAGGCAGTGGGGTCTGTTCGAGGGTAAGGTCAGATTCATTGAAAAAGATAACACGGCAATGTGATGGATATTTGTATCCCTTTTTATTAAAAATTTTAATATCAGTCTGCCTTGTGCAGTTCTCTAGCTCCAGGATTCATAATAGGAAACTTCTGTGACCAAATGGAATAAAACAGCAGAAATTGGGGGCTATGCATTACTCATATGGAACACACCTCCTCTGTTTAAAATCAATAAGTATCATATTTACTAAGAATGAAACAGCAGTAGCATAGGACAAGATAATAAAACTTTTAGATAAATTAATCCAATAGAAGTTCATCATTCCATAGCATCCAAGAAAGTGAACACGCACTTACCTGATAGTATCTTCCATCCAATTTCTTTATACCGTATCCCAATTGAACATTTCCAAAGGATTTTACATCAGTCAATACTCCATTTCTTCGGTACACATGCTTTCCTATCCTTTGTACCAAATCCATCAGGAGCTCTGATTTTACATTCGGTTTCAACAGAAGCATACAATCATAAAGAGGCATTTTCCCTTCCAAGTGACTCAAGATTACAAATCTGTAAAACAGTAAATTTGTATTGTACAAATGAGTAATTCTCTTCTCAGTAGCAACGCTTGAAAAAAAATGGAGCACCAATCGAACAGCTCCCCAGTCATGTAACATGAAAGTGAAGAAAACATCATATATCAAACATCATCAAGCAAAAATAATCCTCGATTCAATACGCTATCATCTTCGCCGCAAATCCCCATAATGAAAGACTCCAAAACCATATAAACCACAACTCAGTAAACCAAATCAATTAAAAGGCTCAACAGCTATCTGAACCAAGTCCGCTAAAATCAAGTTCATATAAATCAAAATCAAACGCACAATAAGGAAAGTGTAAAATGAGAAGTTCGAGCCTATTACTCTTCTAAAACCAATTACTACAACCCCTATACAGAAGCTCCAATGACTTACCGAAGTTGTAACAGAATTACAGCGGGGCGAGATGCAGGTAGCCGAGGACGAATCGGCAAAGGCAGACAGGCAGAGGTCTAATTTCTTACCAAATCCCGAGGGTTTAACTATTCGAAATGTCGTTTCCACCCCTAGAAACCACTCTAATTGCGATCTCTATCAAAAAAAAATAAGGGTGAGTTTTAGCTATTACGTGTGTTTGTTTGAATTTTATTTTGAAATTTGAATAAAAAAAATTTAAAAATTTAAATATAAAATTCATATATAATATAAAAAAAAATAAAAAAAAAGACGTTCATATTAAAAAATTTATAATAAACTGATAAAGAATAGAAAACAACTCTAATTTCTAAAAGAAACTGTACAAATTTGTAATTAACGGCGGAGAGTAGAAAGTGGAGCTTTCTTCCTCGGTAATAACTTGCAGTTGCACAGTAATAGTACAAAATAAATACAGTAACTGTGGATATGGTCAAATTAATTTAATTAACAATGGTTTTCCAGAACCAGTGCTTCTTCCACAAGAAGATCATCTCTTCAATGGGGACGCCTTTCGTCTCCGGCAATAGGAAGTAGACGAACACCGTCATGACGACGATCCACCCGGCGAAGAACAGGAATATTCCGTACTTGAATGCGCAGAGCAGCGAGAGGAACGCCTGCCCGATCGCGAACGTGAACAGCAGATTCACCGCCACCGTTATGCTCTGCCCCGCCGATCGTGTCTCCAGCGGGAATATCTCGCTCGGCACCGTCCACCCCAGCGGGCCCCACGACCACCCGAACGCCGCCACGAAGAGGCAGATCACCGCCACCACGACGATCGAGTAGGTTTTCGACAGCGCCTCCTCGCCGCCGAACTTGACGCCGAGTATCACCGCCACTACTACCTGGCAAACCACCATCTGGATCCCGCCAGTGATTAGCAAAACTCGGCGGCCCACCCGGTCCACGGCGGCGATGGAGATGAAGGTCGACGAAGCCAGCACCGCCCCCGTCAGCGCCGACGAGTAGAGCGAGGCGTTCCCCTTGAACCCCATCGTCTGGAACAGCACCGGCGCGTAGAACAGGATGGAGTTTATCCCCGTCAGGATCTGGAACGCCGGCATAAGGATCGCCATCACCAGCTGCGCCCGATTCCGCCGTTCGAGAATGTTCCTGAACGGATGCTCGATCGATTTCGCCAGCTCGCTCGCGTCGATCATGTCCTGCAGCTCGGCGTGGACGTCGCCGGTGCCTCTGATCTTCTCCAGAACTCTTCTCCCCTTCTCTTCCCTCCCCCGCTCGATCAGGCTGTTGGGCGTCTCCGGCAGGAGGACACCTCCGACGGTCATCAAAACCGCCGGCGCGGCGGCGAGGCCGAGGGAGAGCCTCCATCCCCATGGATGGAGCTTCTGCGTGCCGTAATTGATCATATTGGCGGTGAAGATGCCGAGCGTGGTGGCCAATTGGAACATCATGTTAAGGCCTCCCCGGAGGTGAGTGGGCGCCATTTCTGAAAGGTACAGAGGCACAGCTTGATTGCCGAATCCGATGCCGAATCCGAGCATAATCCGGCCGAGGATGAGCATGGGGAGATTGGCGGCGGAGGCGTCGAGAGCGGCGCCGATCATGAAGCTGACGCCGCCGCAGATGATGCTTCCCCGGCGGCCGAATCTGCGGGTGACCGGGGAGGCGAAGAGGGAGGAGACAAGGCCGGCGAGATAGAGGGAGGAGGTGAAGGCGGCGAGGCCCTGGTTGTTGTACTTGCAGTAGTTGTTTTCATGGGCGTGCTGTTTGCTTCTGTAAACCTCCGGGAAGAATTTCTTCAGGAATCCATCCATTGACGTGACTCCTCCTGTTTGTTGCAACTTGCAAATTCGATAAGGTTAAGGTAACTAAAAAGTCATGTTGAAGGCGACAACAGAAAGTAGAGCAAAAGTAGCCTGAATCACTTGTACAATTAATCCCCATCATCATCATCATCGTATCTCTGATTCGATTCATCGATTTTGTCCGCCATAATATTATATCACAGTTTCAGAATAACCAATCGAGAAATTAATTGAAGAAGTGAGTGAGTACCGGAGATGCCGATGTCGTAACCGAAGAGGGATCCGCCGACGGCGGCGACAAGACAGGCGACGACCACATAAGGTGTGACTCTTCCTTTATACTCCTCAGCTCTTTCCTTCGCCACTCCCGCCGGCGCTATAGATCCTCCTCCGGCCATCTGTATATCCAAAACGACAACTAACCTAATTAAACCTGCTATTATACAAGAAATCAGTTTCCGATCCTCAGATTAAAGATGAGCAAGCAATACAGTTAATTCAAACATGGCGTTTGCGTTGGTATGCAGGAACTGGGCGGATTAACTGGGAAATTAGGTTGGAGTTTGGCTGAGTGGTGCGCACATGGACAAGGTGGGGTGGGGTGGATGGTGTCGTCGTCGTGATGGTTTGTTTTACTCAGGCAGGCGGCAGCCATGGTTCTGACCGTGTTTAAATAATGTGTTTCTGTCAGAGTACGACTAAAATAGAGAAGGGTTTGGTAACAAGTATGGTGGATGCCATATGCATTTATGATTATTATCTTTATTTGACTTTTAGGGTTGGTTGGATTATGTGCGCATTCAATTTCCCTGTGATATTAATTCTATTACATCTCTACATATGATTTTTTGAATGACTACAAATTACATAAAAAATATATATTGAAATTGCATTATTTCTTAATCACAACACTACCATCAAATCACATTCAAACAAATCAGGTTTGTTTGTATTGTCATAAATATAAAATATATTTTTTTTAAAAAAATTAATTTATTATATATATTTATATTTTTATATTATCTACACAATTTTTTTCAATTATTTTACAAAACAAATAAATTCTTTCTTTTTATACCAAAATAAGAAATAATATAATGAATATATAATATTATTTAATTAAATTAATGATACTTTACAGTCCAAATATTTATCAACTGGGCAATTGCTTTACAACTTGATACTTAAAAATGGATTCATCACTAAATTATATGTAAATATAATGATAAAGTCAACCTACTTGTTTATTTGTCAACTATCACTACGTGATACTTAATTAAGCAATTTTTTCATTCACTTTCAAATAATTTTTCACACTATTTTACTTTGGGTGTGTTTACTTATAGGTTTTTTATTCTATTTTTTTTTAAAAAAAATCAAATCAAACGTCTGTTATTTATTTATTATATTACACTAAAATTTTATATTATATTTAAAACGTGACATGAATACATATTTATATCACATCAAATAATTATTTCAATTCAAAATTTTACTATTCAAAATTATCACCCAAAATTAAAATCTTATACACACACTTTAACTTTTACTATTCCCACAAAATTATGAAAATATCTGATATGATATTGATACATATATATATATTAATATAATATTTCAAAAAAAATAGTATCAATTTTTTTTAACTATTTATACTTCATTTATTATCTAAATATATTCTTTTTTTTTTATCGTCTAAATTTATTTTTATTTATAATAAATAAATACCATTTTTTATACTTTTCATTTACTTAAAAAAATAAAAATTTATAATTTTTAAAATTCGTGTTCGATCAAATAAGTATACAATATTACCACAAAATAAATATAAACAAATTGCAAAAACCTTCTATAATATATTTAAACGTAGACTTTATAATTGGGCAGTGAGACAACTACACGTCAATTGGAAAAAATAAAATAAAATAAATAAATACTTATATATAATGTAATAAATCAATAAATAATTTAACTCATACGCCACTCCAGTTGCAAATATATACTATAGTTAGTTAGCAATTGAACGTGACAATTTTCTCATTACTCTATGACAAAATAATTTTGTTACCTAATCGAAAATAGAAATATAACATCAAAGTACCACTTGAGTACCAATATTTATAAGAATATAAATTAATTATTAAAAACTAATAGTAAACTATAAATACGATTTTCTTTTCCCATTAAACGTCCATTTTAATGTTTACCATATATTTCAATAACGCATTTAGGTCGTATTCAACCCATCAACTCAATTTATTCAATTTTAATTTTAAATATGCAGTTGCTACAATAATTTTATTTTAACCATAGCTCCAGTTTTCACTATTATTCTTTAAATATTCAATTTTCTTATTATTTTAAACAACTTTTTATTTTTATAATTTAAAATAAAATTTTTAAAAATTTTAAAAATAAAAATTAAATTTAAAAATCAAATTTATAATTTCCAAAAATTAACCCAATCTACGTCAAAAAAACCAATCCAGCGTAACGACGCTGGGTTGGAGATGCACTTATTATAATAACTTCAAAAATATTACTTGAAAATTAAATGGATATATACATTGTATTTTATCTTGAAAATATTTTTAAAATTTGATATATTTTATTTAAAAATACAAAATTAAACTTTTTTTTTTTTTTTAACTTGTAACCATATGTCCATGCCCTGTAAGCAAAGGAAGTCATTAAAGTACTGAGGGTACAGTCATTATTCAACTTTATTATTAGTATTATTCTTCAAATTTATTATTAGTACTGTTATCCAACTTAAGCTAATTAATGAGCAATTCAATTTATTAAAAGAGGTGAAAAATAAAATAAAATAAAATTTCAAAAGGTAACTCACAATATATAAAACAATTACCTATATCTTTTATTTACCAGGGGTAATATAATATTTGATTATATCATGAAATAATTCAAATTAAAATAAAATAATTGTTCTAAAACAATCGAGTATGTATAATATTTGAAAAATTAATATATAGAGTTCATGAAATTCTTTTTAAAAAATAGCTTACAATTAATTATTTGACTAATTTTAAATTATTTAATAAGTTAAAAGAATAATTTAAAGTACATAGTTCCATTCTCAAAAGTAAGAGCATTTCTAAAGAAAGCACAGTGCGTGGAGCAGTTAAAAAAAGCTTCCCTGTAAATTAGGGCACCGACGCTTCAAAATGACATAAATCTGCAAAATATCTTCTGCCTATATCTCCTCCTCGCCATTTTCTTCAATTCCACATCTGCACGTCAACCTTCGCCGCTGGTGTTTCATTTTCAGGCGACTATTTCAGGTTAGGTTTCTTGAATCAATTCATTGCTTTCTGCGCTATTTTCATCTTAATTATGAAACACGCAATTTTGTAATCGATTATTTTTTTTTTCCACCGCAATTGTTTCCCTTCCCCTTGCTCGATTTGAGTGACCCAATCCTCAAGATTCACTAGCGGTTTACGAAATTTTTTAATCAGATCTTGACAGGAAGTGAGAGTGTGGCCAATTACTGATCTCCGCCGTCGAGATCCGTCCCGCCCCGCCCGTAAATCTGCAAAAGATGGATTCCTTCCGAAAATTGAAGATCTGGACTCTGCTTCTATTCGCGACGGCTTTCGAGGTCGGATTAGGGTTCTATCTTCCCGGCAGTTACCCTCACAAGTATACCACCGGTGATTCCTTGAACGTGAAGGTCAATTCCTTGACTTCGATCGATACCGAGCTCCCCTACAGCTATTACAGCCTCCCATTCTGCCGGCCGATGGAAGGAATCAAGGACAGCGCGGAGAATCTCGGCGAGCTTCTCATGGGCGACAGGATCGAAAACTCTCCTTACAGATTCAAAATGTTCACCAACGAGACCGACATTTTTGTGTGCCAAACGAAGCCTCTGTCCGCCGATGAATTCGCTCTCTTGAAGAAAAGGATCGATGAGATGTACCAAGTGAATGTGATTCTGGACAACTTGCCGGCGATCCGGTTCACCAAGAAGGAGAGCCTGACATTGCGGTGGACCGGTTATCCGGTCGGCGTCAGAGTGCAAGAAGCTTATTACGTCTTCAATCACTTGAAGTTCAAAGTTCTAGTTCATAAGTATGAGGATAGCACTGTTGCCAGGGTTATGGGCACCGGCGATTCGGCCGGGGTGATCCAGGGGAGCTCTGGATCGGAAGCCCCCGGATACATGGTTGTCGGTTTTGAAGTAGTGCCCTGTAGTTTCCAGCACAATCCCGACTTATCGAAGAATTTGAAGATGTATGAGAAGTATAGGAGTCCAATTAGCTGCGATCCGGGGACAGTGTCGATGGCGATCAAGGAGAATGAACCGCTGATCTTTACATACGAGGTGTCGTTTGTCGAGAGCGACATCAAATGGCCTTCGAGATGGGATGCGTATTTGAAGATGGAGGGAGCTAAAGTGCATTGGTTCTCGATTCTCAACTCTCTAATGGTGATCACTTTCTTGGCGGGGATTGTGCTCGTCATATTCTTGAGAACGGTTAGGCGGGATCTCACAAGGTACGAAGAGCTCGACAAGGAAGCGCAAGCGCAGATGAATGAGGAGCTCTCAGGATGGAAGCTTGTTGTGGGCGACGTCTTCCGCGCGCCAGCTCATCCGGCTCTCTTATGTGTAATGGTCGGAGATGGGGTTCAGATACTCGGGATGGCTGTCGTGACAATCTTGTTCGCAGCATTAGGGTTCATGTCCCCTGCATCTCGCGGCGCGCTGATTACGGGAATGCTGTCCTTTTATTTAATCCTAGGTATTGCGGCTGGCTATGTGGCTGTTCGAATGTGGAGGACGATCTTCTGTGGAGATCATAAGGGATGGATTTCGGTGTCGTGGAAGGTTGCCTGTTTCTTCCCCGGCATCTCGTTCCTTATCCTTACAACCTTAAACTTCCTGTTATGGGGCAGCCACAGCACCGGAGCTATTCCCTTCTCCATATTCGTCGTACTGATTTTGATGTGGTTCTGCATCTCGGTTCCCCTAACCCTCGTGGGCGGATATTTTGGGGCTAAAGCGCCTCACATCGAATACCCTGTCCGAACCAATCAAATCCCCCGTGAAATCCCTCCCCAGAAGTATCCATCTTGGCTGTTGGTTCTCGGGGCGGGCACCCTCCCGTTTGGGACGCTTTTCATCGAACTGTTCTTCATAATGTCGAGCCTGTGGATGGGGAGGGCGTACTATGTGTTCGGGTTCTTGTTCGTGGTGCTTATCCTTTTGGTCGTGGTTTGCGCCGAGGTGTCGCTGGTGCTGACGTACATGCATCTGTGCGTCGAGGACTGGAAATGGTGGTGGAAGTCGTTCTTTGCTTCGGGCTCGGTTGCGTTGTACATTTTCCTTTACTCGGTGAATTACCTGATTTTCGACCTCAAGAGCCTGAGCGGACCTGTCTCGGCTACGCTCTACCTCGGGTACTCGCTGTTCATGGTTCTTGCGATTATGCTGGCGACGGGGACGGTGGGGTTCCTGTCGTCCTTCTGGTTTGTGCATTACCTCTTCTCGTCTGTGAAGCTCGACTGAATCGATCGATCTGTGTTACTGGTTTTTGCTTTGAGAATTTTGTTGTTGTTTTTGTTACAATGTGTTAGGGAGATGATGAGATACAAAGACACTACCACCGCAGTTGCTGCAGCATCCACCATGTTCATACACACACAGTTACACACTCACACCTCTTCTCTTTATGTAACTTTTTTCTTTTCTTCTTCATTAAGTTCAAATGCTTTTGGATCATAGTATGAGGTGATCAGTCTTGGATTTGATCGTGGATAAGCTGTAATTAAAATCGTTGGATCTCAATTTTACATTTCACTAAAGTCGAAACCATAACCTAGCTACAATTCTTCATTTCGATTTGACTTCAAAAAATGAGTAAAAAAATTCAGCTTTCTACAACTAATTTAGGGTTTAGGATACGCAAAATAGGACACGGAAGTGGATTCACAGTCACAGACTGCAGCCACAGGTCATTTATTTATATATATTTATCTTACCTATATTTCAACGGCAGATCATTTTCTTTGTCTTTTTAAAAGGGGTCAAGAACGACACCTCTTTATGTCTCGAATAGTTTGTCTGTTCAGTGGAATTGTTTAACGATATATTTTTGATCGGTATAGAAAATTGTTTGAATATATTTTAATACAATATATATACTCCTATTAAAGTTTATAAAATACACTTTTATTTATTTGACGCTATTTATTTTTAAAAAAATATCACATCAAATATAATTTTTTATTAAAAAATATTAAATCAAATACTAACATTTTATTTTTTTTTTCAAACTTTAAAATTTTTAAAAACCTCCAAAAATACCTGTGTGCAAACCCAATTTGTTTGGAGATTTAAATTTTGAATTGAAATTTAAATAGTAAAAAATTTAAATCAAAATAGTTGTATGATGTTATATAAATAAATATTGATGTAATATTTTGAATGCAAAATTAATTTTTAATTTAATACTCCCTCCGTCCCATTAGAAGAGTGATGTTTGCTTTTTGCACATAGATTTTTTAATATTAGTATTATATTGGATCATAGTAAAAAAGATAAAACAAACCCCTATTAGTATGGTGTAATATAAAAGTAATGACATTTGTGTAATATATTGTAAGTTGAAAGGGTATTTATTATGTTAGATAGGTAGTACAGTCGGTAACCTTATTTTGTGACGAACGGAAATAGAAAATGGTAATCTTGGAGTATAAAAAATAAAATAAATATTTAATTTGATATTTTTAAGAAAATTTTTTTGTGTGAAAGCCTTCCATAATTCTTAAAACAAACAAATCCCTTTTTTTTTATTTTTTTTAATTTTTTTTTTACATTTAAAAAACAGTACAACGTATTACGTAGATAGGAGGTTGACCGATGGACTGATTTTAAGTTATACTCCACGACATGCAAGCATGGTCCAAAATACAATATATATATATATATATAAATACAAATATAAATATATAAATAAAAAGCAATATTATTACAATCGCAAGCATCAGAAAGCCAGTAGCCTTCTATATCGTATGCAATAACCACCCAAACACAAGTACAAACATTATATTCTTCTGCATAAACGTGCCGAATCCAAACATTAAAAAAAAAAAAAAAAAAAAATCTATAACCAAGCATGCAATGCAACAACCCATTACATCAAACACGTAATTATAAAAGCCGGATATTTGATTTCAACATAAACAAAGTTTCCAATCGGGCTTACGCGCATTGATAGCCCGACGGGGCCTTCTTGCCGCAGAAGTTCAAGAGCAGGCTGAGGGACACCGGGACGTTGAGGTTGATGCCAAGGACATTAGCCTTAATGGCAGTGCAGAGGCAGACGGCCGCATCAAGATCAGCTAGCCCGCTGATCAATGAGCAACAAGGGCTTTTAGAAGAACTCCCGACCGTCAAGTGGAGCAAATTGTTTAGCACATTTGCGCACACCCCTAATTTAAGGGTGTCCCGGGGGCAGCTTCCCGGCCTCGGGGGCTGGCGCCCCCCACCATGATTTCCGCCACCGCCACCGCCACCGCCGCCACAAGAGCCACATTTGGTGGGTTTCTTGGGCGGGGGTGGGCACGGGGCGTTAGTGGCGGTCGCGGTAACGAAGAGGAGGATGTTGAAGAGAAGAAAAAGGGCTATGGTAATTTTTGAAGAAGCCATTGTATTTTGGAGCTAAGTAATAAATTGTTGCTCCAAAATTATTATTTTTTTTAGAAAAGTTTTGATTGTTAATAATAGGAGGTGTGATGGAATGTGAAGTGAATTGGGGCTTTTATAGGCCAAGATTTTGGGTTTTATTGTTAATTTTTTTAAACTAATTTTGACAAAATATCACGTCGGGATTGCTCTACCTATGTACTTCCAAATTCTTGTGTTTCAAAGTCATGTTACAATAAAAAGATAATTGTTTTGAATGAATGTTAGGCAGCTTGAAGAAATGTATTTTTTAAAAAAAAAAAAAAAAAAAAAAAAAATTATTGATAAATGAAATAAGTTCATTTATATGGAATTGGCAAAGTTGTGTGACAAGGGCATGAGCATGTGGAGTTTGGAATTATCTGCAATTATGTCAATAATTTCGGTCTTAATATTCATAATTTTTGTAAAATCAGTGATTCAAATGATTCCCTGATCGATCAAATAAGATTTAATAATTTGTCAATGAATTCACATTTTCAAGTGGGTGTAGAGAATATTTGTTGTTTTCTAACATCATAAACGAAGCACTCTAGAACACTATATATATATATATATGTGGTCTAAAATTCATCCTAATTTTCTTATTTTCTTTGTGCCCCTTAAGCACGTTACAAGTTCCCACATGGTCGTTATGGATCGATCTAATATATCATCGAGTAAAGTTATATGAATGTGTTTATTAGAATAAAATTATAAGATTATATGATAAAAGAATTTTAAAAAATTAAAGAGAATAAACCCATACAGATTCGATTCGATGCATAGTTTTAACTAATAAGTTGATGAGTTATGCAATAGTTTTTAAAAGCGATAATTGCTCGTGTACATATATATATATGCATGAAAGAAGAATTACAAAATTATCGATGTAATAATACTATAGGTACATGTAAAGGTAGGTCCCTCTTTTATTGAAATTAACGCGCAAAAGACTTTAACCCGACTAAACATATATATATATATGTATGTATGTATGTATAAATTTGGCTGGAAACAAAAAACAGGAATATTGGATAACGAACAAAATTAGATATATGATCAAGTTGCAAATATTTGGACAAAAAGAAAATGTCTTGACAGGGGCATGGCCTCACAAGTAGAGGATGGATATATCATGTACTTTTCACGATTTTCGATTGTCGAAAATGTGAGCATATGCATGTCCTAACCGAAGAAGTAGTCAAGAATATAGAGTTTAGAGGCAACGACCCACCCAGGATCGAACCTGGACCCAACCTAAAGTGAGGGATGTCTCACCGCTTGATTTACAAGGAATTGACAATAATTCAAATAGTTAGTAATACATAGTAATGCGGACAAAGTGATAGATTATAATTGAATAATGGGGTTTATAAATACTACCAGTCCAACCATGAAGTTCACACATGTTTTTACGTTATTATATTTAATATTAAAAATATTCATATATTTGTATAATTTATTTAAAAAATATCATTGTATTTGTATTATAAGAGACTAATAGACGTATTTATGTCATTTTTTTCTTTATTTGTATTGCATTTTAGATAAAATAATTAATAATTTAAAAATCAACACAAAAAAGCCTGTGTGGATGGATGGTGGATATTTATATATATTATCACTTTTTTTGTTATTCTTGAAAATTCAATGTTAATTGTTTGTTTACTTAAAACTTTGATTTTGTATTTTAGTTTAAAACTAAAATCCAAATAAAGAGAGTCTCAAACTTTAGGGTGTGTTTCTTTAGTCACAATAGTCCAGGCTTTTACTATTTGAGCTCTGCATTTGTCGAAAAAAAAAAAAAAATTTGTTTTTTTTCATAAAATATTTCATCAAAAATATTATTTTAATACCAAATTCAAACCAAAATTTTTTTAAACTCATCAAAAGAAATACACCAATAATTTTAACAATCTACAAGAATCACGGAGAAAACAACGGTTTGCTTTGTATGGGTCTATTTACTTGTAGGTTTGAATTTTAGATATTAATTGAAATTATCATTTAATGTAATATAAATAAATATTAATGTGATATTTTTAATATAAATTAATTTTTAATGCAATATAAATTAATTGTTAGGAGAAGTTGAACTCGACTTCTTCCATGAATAGTTAGATCATCAATATATTTATAATGATATATTTCCTATAATACGAGTGAGACAATAAAGAAAAGAAACTCATCAAATAACACGTCTTTTATATATATTGATTAATCACTCAAGACATGTACACAATATAATACATACTTGTATCCTTAAAAATAACAAACCAAAAAATAAAAAATAAAAATAATAATAATAAATCACACTTCAAGAAATTAAAGGAGAGATTTAATTTGCAAGATGCAACACACACAACAAAAGGCTTAATTTGAAAAGAGTAATAAAAAGTTATATAATTAAGCTAATTAATTTATTATTTAATATTTAAGCACATTGATAGCCAGAAGGAGCCTTCTTCCCACAGTAGTTCAAAAGCAAGCTTAGAGAAACCGGGACACTAAGTTTAATGCCCAAAACATCGCCTTTGATCACTGTGCAAAGACACACGGCCGCGTCCAAGTCAACAAGGCCAGAAATGAGCGAGCAACATGGATATTTTGGCGGGCTTCCGACCAAAGTGTTCACCAAGCCATTTAATAAGTTAACACAACTTCCGAGCTTGACGGTGTTTATGGGACACTTTGCCGGTGAAGGCCTCCCCCGGTGGCCACCACCCCCCCGGCTTGGGGTTTTGGGCACCGGAGCGCAAGGAAGACGATGCCCGGCACTAACCATTGTGAAGAAAAGTATGTTGAAGAGGATAACAATGGCAATTGATGACATTTTTCCCATATTTTGAGAGCAAGCTAATACTTAATTAAGCTGTGTAAGGTTTGGTTTATTTTTTTGTTGGGACTTTGGATAGAGATGATCGATATATGTGATCATATTTCAGGGTTTTATAGATGAAGGGTTATACATATAAGAATAATTGATTAAAAGATGTTGCCAGATGTATTCAAGCTGGAAGTGATCCCGATCAGTTGCTGGCCATTACAGCTTGGCTTGATAAGCCCAATACGAGTTTGTCAATTTTCTCAATTAATTTAATTTAATTAGTGTCACATAAATTGATCCATCTTTTACTTTGATATGAATTCTCAATTTTCACATGCAATAACGTTGGAATTGAACATATATATGTATATATTTTATTTAATTATATATCTAGGCTGCATGCATACTAAATACAACAAAATTGGGATAATTTAGTAGTGTACGATAAACTTATAATCGTGAGTAATGAGTTTAAATTTTCGACGACTCCAAATTTGACTTGTCTTCGCCTAATATGACTTCGTTCAATCAAAAGTTTATTCAAAATATACTAGAAAAATAACAATTGCAGATTCTTACGTCATTAATATATATATATATATATACACACGACACAATAGCTTCGGAAACTTACTAATTAGAGTTAAAGGGTAATCATTCTTTATATATATATATATATATAGTAACTATCATGAAAATTCAATATAATATAAGGTCGTGTATGTATTTATTAATTTGTGTAGGGACCGAGATTGATATAAAATGCATGTGATTATTTAAATGTGCACTGTTTGTTACGTATCTAAAGGGGGAGTGTCCACTTCAATTGGCCATAAATTTATAACTAAATAACTAATCACTCATGCATCAGGCTGACGTGTCCAACCAGCCAGGTCGGCCGGGTATTTTAGCGGGTCCGGACCAGGCCGGGTCTAGATGAAAAGGATATGCCCCGACCCATTGGGATGTGTTATTTTTTTATTAATTTTTTTTTTCTCTCTCTCTTTATTTTTTAAAATATTACATATTATTTAAGATATGTTTAGAAATATTTTGATATTGCTAGTGACGTTTTTATAATATATATTTTTAAAAAAAATTAAATTAAACAAATTTTTTCTTGGAAAAATAGTTTAAAATTATGTGAGTAAGGGTTTATAATAAGCAGAGCTACTATATTAATTTCTCATGAAATAACACCTGGGCTTAATTTTAAACATTTTGGGATGGGCTCTCTATTATTATTATTATGTAAAATTTAAAAACAAACAAACCCTAAATTAAATAAAACACCTATTTGTATGATTGCATCATATTATTATATTAAATCAAGTTTTTATTGTTTCAAACAAATGTTGGATGGCGTTCTTGGATCATCGAAATTTAAAGCAGTAACATGGAATTTAATTCCATTGTCACAATGAATGGAAATTAATTAAGGAACTAATATGCAATTAAAACAGACATGCAGCATAGCCAAAAACGATATATAATCAAGAATTTCATCACCATTGATTCCCCTAAACCCCATATCATATCATATACCTCAATTGGCATAATCGATCACACCCAAGAAATTAAAACAAACTGAAAATAATCAAGAAAGCAAAAAAGGGTTCAAAAAAACCAAATCCAACGGTGGTATTTTCAATTTCCTCGGATCGATCAGATTGATCGAATTAAAGAATGAATGAATGAATGAATTAATTAAAACCAAACCTGATAACGATAGAACAATGCAGAAGCAGCATCATTGTGATTCTCTCGATCGATCATGATCGCACAGATTCAAATGCGTCTGCGCCCGCGTGATCGTCGTCCCCGACGCGGCGCCGGAGGGAGAGACGGGGAGCGGCGACGTGGGGGAGGAATTAGACGGCGGCGCGTTGGCCATAATCGCGAGGCATCCTTCACTCCATGTCCGGCGCATAGGGTATGAGATACTCTTGTGGGCAGCGGAGTGCGCGCACCGGCTGCGGCGGTCCTTGTGGAGGGCGCATTTGCAGTTCTTGTGGTAGGGCCGGCGCTCGATCCCCATGTCTCCGGCGGAGATACACCCCTCCAACAGGCCCCGGATCAGCCCCTCTCCGGCGGCCGACATCGCCGAATTAATTAAAAGATAGATCGACGATCGATGACAATTAATAATGTATTAATCAAGAAATGGTAGCCGCTGTATTTTGATTGTAAGATGTAAATTTTAGGTCTTTTGATCGATAGGTATGGGAAGAGGAAGGAGAGCTTAATTGATTTTGAGGCGTTAAAATGAATGAATGTCGGCGCCAATTTCGGCGGCTGATGAAACTACTACTCACTATTATAAATATAATAAAATAATTATATACTACTACTTTAAATTTAAAATAATTAATGAACATATAGTTCTTTTCATTTTTTTTTATAGGGTTAAAGTTTTATAACTATGTTATGCAATAAATTAATAAGCTCTTACAAACAAATTACCTGTCTTTGTTTCCTCCTATTCCAACTCCTACTTTGGCATCATCTATTACTAATTACCTACACCCTTGCACTACCTCCAACTACCTTTATTCCAATTATCGATTTTTTCACAATCTACCTTTCTACATATATTGTGCCATGGCATGGCAGGGCAATTTAATCTCTGTGAATTAATATCTTGACCTATTGGTCGATTGGCAAGATTCAAATAAGATGAATACGATTGCAGAGGACGTGTTCTTTCAAAGCTTCCAAGGAAGCATATCCGCAAATTTTCAGGACAAAGATCGAAGGCCGTACCACAAGAACTGCTCGTGTGCGCTACACAACGACTCCAAACTAACTCCTGGATGTCCTCATCGGAAGAACAATGTCGCGGTCGTGAGGAAGCCGTGGTACAAACCGTCGCTGTCTGTCGGAGCCCCGCAGTTTCTCCTCTTTGAAAAGAATAGAGAAGAAGAGAGCATTGGATTGAAGATTGGGAGGATTGATCAGTGGCTTCTAATGTAATGTGAGAAAGATTTTAAAGAAATTGGTTGCAATATTGGTGTCTAAATTTTTAATTCTTTCATTTGTTTTAATGTCCGATTTTAATGAATGAAATTAAATTTGTTGCTGTAAAATTGCATTACTATTGTTAATTAATTGTAATAATTGAGACACTATTTTTGTTACAAATATCTGAGAAATGTGTGGCGGCCATGGATTCCACGTCAGCTTCATCTTCTTCATCATCATCTTCATCTTCTTCTTCTTTCTTCCGCCACCGGCGATGATGGCCTGCTGCGCCTCTATTTGCTCCTCCCTCCCAAATCCACCTCTTCCTCTCAACCGCCGTTCCCTAATTTTCCTCTCCACGGCGGCGCTGCCATTAACTCCCTCCTCCTCCTCCTCCACCACCGCCGCCGCTCTGCCGGCGGTGGACACCACCGTCACCGACAGAGTATTCCTCGACTTCAGCGTCTGCCCCTCCTACTTCGTGAACCGTACCCTCGGCCAGAGCGACCTCTCCCTCTGCCCGGACTCGGAGCTCCTCGGACGCGTCGTCCTCGGCCTCTACGGCAACCTCCTCCCCATCACCGTCTCCAACTTCAAATCCATGTGCAACGGCTCCTGCGGCTCCACCTACAAGGGCACTCTCGTCCAGAAAATATTCCCCGGCCAGTTCTTCACCGCCGGCCGCCAGGGCCGCCGCGACAAAGGCGAGGTGAAGCCGCCGGCGCCGGCTCAGCTGACTCGGAACACCGAAACCGTCGACTCGAAAGCCTTCCTCCTGGAGCACTCCAGACCGGGTTTGCTTTCCCTCTGCTTGTCGGAAAACGACGACGACGACGACATTAAACTCAGCCCCGATTACCACAACGTCGAATTCCTCGTCACCACCGGCCCCGGCCCCTGCCCGCAGCTCGACAGCCGAAACATTGTGTTCGGATCTGTGCTCCAAGGTAGTACGTAAGACACCATATCTCCTAATATAATCTCTGCAATTAATTTCAGATACTGAATGAATACATTTACAGGCCTGGATGTAGTGACGGCCATAGCTTCGATTCCGACATACAGGCCGGCGCAGCGGATCCGGGACTACAACAATCTTGCGCAGCTCCTCGGAGACGAAAGGGCGAAAACCGCCAGAGCCATATGGAATCGACCTCTCAAGACTCTCTATATAAGTGACTGTGGAGAAGTTGAACTTCCAAAGTCTTCACTTTCCCCAACTCTGCCATGAAATCATAACCACCTGTAACTCTCTTCTAAATTTCTAATTCTATTCATTATACTAGTATATGATTATGATCCACACAAATTAATTTTAATCCCTTCTGTTGTATTTAATTTGTCTAGTAATGGCCCAATAATATATATATGATCTATTTCATTGCAGAAGATGTGCATATATATATATATATATAATTAGTTGTTTTAACTAAGTTTGAATTTGTGTCCAATAGTTAACAAAAGTGGAATTGCGTTGGACAATGATCTAATTATAAGTTGTTGTCTCCAAACACATTGTGTGTACGTAGGACAGGTCTCCATTGATTTGATCTCCTTGGACTGTAATATATACTACTACATGATACGAATATATTTATATATATGTCTGTGACTGTCACACATATTGGTACATTAAAGGTGACAGATGATTGAGCCTCCCCTCCCTCCCACCATCAAGACGAAGAAGACATGTGTGAATGAAAAAATGTTCTTTATTGCATATTATTATTATTATTATTATTATTCTTATTAATTCGAGATGGGTTTCGTATGTGCACTACTAGCCTTGGGCAAATTCACTCCATTATATTGGGCTTCTATAAAAAAAAAATATGTATATAAATTAATAAATGCCCAGGTTGTAATTCAAAGGCTGAACATATTTCCATTTTTGGGCTATGTTTAGGTATAGCTATTATAATAAATACTATGGGAGTTGGGCTTGCCTTGGTATAATGACTGTCATAATTTAAAAACGCACACAGACAGACAGACATTCAAAAATGGTTTGACATACAAAATTTAACCCTAAATGCAATATTAGTTTACAAAGATTGAGGCTCCAATAATTTGAAAGAAATCAATAATAAGCTGTTCTTGAGAGGGGAGAAAAAACAAGAAGCAGACGAAAAGAAAAAGAAATGGCTGGAAGCCACACACGTCTCTGCCATTATTATCCATCAATGGAACAGAATAATAATAATAATAATAATAATAATAATAATTTAGAAAATAAAAGAAAGAAGAACAGTTTGTATGGAAGTAGTGTAGTGTGTGTGTGTGTATATATATATTAGTAGGTAGGGGACCAACCCCCCACCCCATGCCAATTCAACTGGAAGAAGTTTTCTGTTCTCTGTTCCTATTCCTATAATCATCAATCCATCCTACTATTACTATTACTTGTTACTCTCTCCTCCCTCCCCAGTGGGGGCCCACCGTCGCCTGCGGTGGCGCCGCCGCTCTCCCGGCGGCGAATGCCAATCAGGCAGTTCACAAGTGGGGTGGGCGTGCTATGGTATGGTGGTCCTGGGACGTCGTGGTGCTTTTGTGGTCCATGCAACCACCGTCTGACGCGTGGCGGCTGTACGGAGCATCCGTCAGTGTCGCCGACCGCTGCATGGTGCCATATATTGCGTTTTCGGCGTGTTATTATATTCATCTATTATTGTCTGTTTATGTAATTATACAGTACTCCCTCATTTTCAAAGACCTGGCAACATTTTTTTTTTATGTCTCAAACACTCTGCAAAATAAAAAATAATTAATTATATTTAATTTTTATTTTATATTTTATCATCTCACATTATCTAAATAAAAAAATAAAATATAATTTTTAAATTATCCTACTTAATACTATCCACCTAAAAATTGATGCCAAAAGCAAATATTGTACCTTATTTGGGACGGAGGGAGTATATTGGATTTTATTTTTTATTTTTTTATTTATATATATATATTAATCGTAGTCTTCAAACATATATGTCTTATCATTTTGATCTACAAGAGTCAAGAAAAAGAAATTGACGTAAATTCAACCTGTGAGGATTTTGGACATTATTCAATGGGATCGTTACAGGGAAGTTCTTGAAACAAAATTGTACAAATCACAATCAATTGATTTAGATTATCAATAAATAGTTTTGATTTTATTATAAAATTTATGGCACAAATATTGTCTCGTTTGCAATAAAAATTATCATATATAAGTCTATATCACAATACAAATAATAATAATAATAATAATAATTTTGATCGCACATCTTTACATATTTATCCTCAGTGAGACTTGTGATAAAGGAGTTAAGCATATTGAATTGGTCCATGGGAGTCGGTCTTAAATGGCCCTAGTCAATATATATATATATATATATTTAAATTGAATATATTTATATAGTTATATGATAATGGAAAAAAAGTATTCGATTAAAATATATAGTTGATTAGACATTTTAGGAAGAAAAAATTGTGTGTTTGGTAAAAAAGAACATAATAATTTATTTGTCTTCTAAAGCGTTGGGAAGAAATTGAGTGAGCTACCATTTTTTCCTTTATAAGTTTTGTTTTATAACAATTTAGGAAAGACGTTTATATTAAGATTATATGCTAAAGAATTATAGATTAAATTCAAATCAAATGTCCAATTAAGTCAAAGGTAAATTTCTTTTTCACTTTTCACCAAAGGTTAAAAAAAAAAAAAAAGGAACTTTATCTACGTTCATTTTTCATTCACAACGTTAAATTAATAGGGCCATTCTTCAATTTTTTCAATAAGTAATTAATATATTTTAAATATATATACATATATTGTCGTTGAATTTTGTATATCAAATTGTGGTATTGTAGAAATTGCAATATTTAATTTCCCATATAGATTAAACTTCAAGAATCTGATTTTATTTTATTTTTTAATAAATTGAAGATGTAACCATAAAAAAAAAAAAAAGAAAAAAAAGAAAAACACAATAGATAATAATAAATGTACAATTGAATAAAAGAGAATGTGAGAAGAAAGAATTTTTAATTCCATTTAAATGATATGAATTCATAATTTCAAACATGAATTAATTGGAGAAGTTGGAAATACGTTTGGACTAATAAGTCATTGCAATGAATGAGTAGTTCATTTTGGACCTCCAGTGCCGTCAGAGCTATTACGATCTGAGCCGAGTCGAGTCGAGCCAAATTTTAAGTGTTCGTTAACGTTCGCGAACAAGGCTCGTATTCGTTCGTTAAGCTTTCGAGCTCATTCGTATTGTTCGAGCTTGGCTCATTAAAAATTTATGTTGCTTGAGCTCGTGTTCGTGTTCAGCTCGTTTAGGCTCGATTATACTCGTTTGAGCTCATTCGTAGTGTTTGAACTCGGCTCGTTAATAATTTTTGTTGTTTAAACTCGTGTTCGTGTTCGGCTCGTTTAAGCTCGATTAAACTCGTTTGAGCTCGTTCGTAGTGTTCGAGCTCGGCTTGTTAAAAAATTTTGTTGTTTAAGCTCGTGTTCGTGTTCGGTTCGTTTAGGCTCGATTAAACTCGTTCGAGCTCGTTTGTCTTATTTTTTTAAATTTATATATAAATTATAAAGAAAATTTTAAATTATTTTATTTATATATTTTAAATTAATGTTTTATTTATTTATAAATTATAATTTTATATGTGTATATAATATTTACAATAAATATATTATTTAAATGAACGTTCGCGAACAAAGCTCGGGCTTGTTTGTTAACAAAACGAGTCTGTTTATGTTGTTCGGCTCGGCTCGTTAACGTTCGCAAACGAGCTTTAACCGAGCCGAATCGAGTCGAATTGAGCCGAGTTCACGAACGACTCGGTTCGTTTAACAGCTCTAAGTCCCATCCCTTCTCTCATCGTGTCATATTTATAGTATTTAAATTAAAATTTTAAATTCAAGATTAAAATTAAACTAATTTGAATTCATACCATATCATATCATCTAAGGTCATTATAATTTGTCAACTCAAATTTATTATTTTGTTTGCTTTTACGCACGTCTCTCATTTCTTTTACCATGTCAATTTTCACATTACATTTTATTTAACTAATTAGTTTATTTCAAATAATAGTTTAGGGGTTTAATGTTATTAGTCAGAAGTTGAATTTTATTGATAAAATGTTATTTGTATGTTAGTAAGATTATTATGTAATAAATATTTAACTAAAAATAAAATTTAAAATTTATACTTCCAATAAAGAGGATAAAAGTATACTTTTAAAATCTGTACATTTGAATGCAATATATATTCAATGTGAACATCTTTTACACAGAATAAAATTTTAAATAAACAATTGAGATTAAAAAAGAGAGAGATGACATTGTCAAATTTACGATCAAACTTACAACCAAATAGATATTATAATATATTGGAATAAAACTGTGACAAGTGTCCCAATTACTTGTATTCTACACCAATTAATTTTATATGAGGTAATGAATGGGTGTGTTCTTGTGAATTTTTTTTTAGATTTTTATTTTAAAAAAAAAATAATATATTATACATATTCATTACATAAAAAATTTTGAATTATAATAATTGATGTTGATTGTTGGATTATTTTGTTAGCGTTTTGGTTTGAATTTTTTTTTATTTTATTTAAAATATTAAAAAATTAGGTAGATAATATAAAAATGTTAATAATCTCTATTGTTTTATTAATTTATACTATATAATAATATTAAAAAATTTAAATACAAAAAACGATGACACTCTTCTTTCAAAACATAAAAAAAATATTTCATGTTAAATATTGACTTTTTGTAATATGAAAAAATATATATTGTGGGAATTATGTCAATAAAAAAATATTTGGCAAACAAACAAATTATATAAAAATAAAAGTATAATTTAGTATATATACTAAAATATAACTTAAATTTATGAATTCTACAATATTTTTGATTTATAGTTTGGGTTACGTGAAATATAAAAAAAAATTCATCCTAATATAAAAATAAGTATTAACTTTGATTAAAATTTCAATATTTTTAAAACTTGTAAAATTTCAAAATTCTAAAGAAAATCTCTAAGGGTGTGTTTGTTTGGGGGTTTGGATTTTGACTAGGAATTTGAATAGTAAAAATTTTGAATTTGAATAGTTGTATGATGTGATATAAATAGGGTTTGATGTGATGTTTTGAATGTAAAATTGATTTTTAGTATAATATAAAAAATGAAAAATAGGTGTTTGATTTGATATTTTTAGGGGAAAAAAAATTGGATAAATAGTAAAAATCCATCAAAATCCTTCAAACAAACACACCCTAAATGTATGAAGTATAGCATAATACTCCACTGTCCCACTTATTGTACTATTTTTTTATATTTATTGTTCCACTTATTTTATTAATCTTTTTTATTCTAAATAAATAAATAATTTTAATTTATAATTATTTTTATTATATAATAATATATAATAATAAGAAAGGACGTAGCAGTACCCCAGCGTCAATCAGCAGCACCGGTCATTTCACTCCCCTCGCACACGACGTTCATTTCATTTCCTCTTCTACGTCTACTTATACTTGTACCTACACCAACCAAATTAATTACTATTTCTTTATTTCATTAATCACCTTTATTTTTATTAATAGTAATAATTGACAAATGTTCATTAATAAATGCTATTATATGTTACTGCTCTGCTCTTTACATATTACCAAACCAAATCAATCATCCACTTATTTTGTCTCATTCCATTTGACACACCAAATTGCATTATTTATTTAATTTATATATGCACAGTTGGCGGACGGAGCAATATTGGGGTTATAAAAATCATCGGGTCGGGATGACGTGGCGGCTCTTCCCTCACTATACGCCGTCGTATCGTCTGTTTCGATTATTTATTTATTATTATCATCATCGCTCCCTGCTTGCTTCTGGTTCTGGGTCTGTTCTGGAATCTGGACGCGCTTCATTTCCCTCTGATTGCCGGTGCTGTACCCTGTGCTGACATGATTGTACTTTTAATTACTCCTTCCTTGTAAATTTCTTTCTTTTATGTAGTACTCTCACAGACTCATATAGATTATTATTATTATTATATTATAATTATGATATAATTATTTTTATAATTGATTTATATAAAGGGGGGCCGAGAGGGAGAGGTTACTTTCATTTTCTTCATAAAATTTCAAGAGAGAGAGAGAGAGAGAGAGAGAGGGAGGGAGGGGTTCAGTTGTCAACACCAGCTTCCCTGTTTGTCTGCAAGTCCTTGTAATAGAGATATATGGTCACTGTATGTTCATAAGGACTTCTGAAACTAGGGTAATCCAAACATGGCATTCCAGGACCACCAACATCACCTCCACCCGGAAATTCCCCTCACCCTTCCCCGCTACTCCTCCGATCACCATCCCCACCCTTCTTCCACCACCGCCGCGGCCTTCCGCTCAATCCTCCCAGACCACCCGGACGACAAGCCGCCGCCCACCACGGCTTGGCTCAACACCAACTCCGCCATCCACCACCAGTGGCTCCCCACCCAAAGTCAACCGAGCCCCCACACTCCGCCGGAGAACGGCGATCACCGCCAGGACAGCGGGGGCGGCGGCGGGGACAACAGCAGCGGCGGAAACACCAACTGGGAGAAGGAGAAGTGCAAGGCGGATATCCTGAACCACCCGCTGTACGAGCAGCTGCTGTCGGCACACGTGGCGTGCCTCCGCATCGCTACGCCGGTGGACCAGCTGCCCAGGATCGACGCCCAGCTGGCGCAGTCCCACCAAGTGGTGGCTAAGTACTCCGTTCTCGGCCATGGACAGCCGCCCCTTGATGATAAAGACCTCGACCACTTCATGGTACGCTGCACCCACTCCTCCAATTAATTTCTTCCTGATTATTCTTTCTGTTCGTGAACCTCAATTATTCCTATCGTTTTTGTCCATCGCTGATTCTGTTTCCTTGATTTATTGGGCATTTATAAACACTTCTTTCGTGTTCCTGAGGTAGGGTTCTCCAATTTGCTGAATTTACCACGGATTCCACTATGTGTTTTGTCTTACCTTATATTGATTTCTAGCAAATCTGCAGGTTTTACATAAAACGCTCACATCTCTAAAAATGAATCCCTCAGTTTTGAATCTTCTTATATGAACTGTGTCCGAGAGCCTATCAGGGGAACTTTGATTCAAGAATTACATGATCTGTCTTCCTTGTCATTCCATCTTATGTAATTCAGGACAAACCTTAAAAGACTTGTTCAAATAGGTTGCATATTTCTGGCCTGAGTTTATGTCGAGTTGTCTGGATTTATTTGTTGCTGGTTTCTGCAGCTGTGAAATGATTATGCAACAATATGAATATATAAAAGCTTTAGAGGGAGATTTGATAAGCTTATTGCTTTCCACTTAGCTCCCTTAATTTATGATATTCATACTTGATAAATATGGCAAGCTGCCTACTGCTATTCCGACAGCCTAGAGCCTAAGACACTGATTGTTGGTATATAAATCTGCCCAGATTGGTTTCTAGAGATTAGGAAAAGAGCTAGTGGTTTTACAAAGTTTAAACCAAGAATCCGAACTCATTTCACCTTTAGGTTTGATTATATCCAATCTGCTTATTTTTGCAACCGGCATCGAATCTTACTGTTGCTTTACCATGAGTCATAACCACAAATATCAACGGGTCCTTGCTTGTGTGGGGTGCTTCCCTTTCTTTTGATATTTATTTGTGCCATGATTCTTGAATGGAAGAGGACAGGAGTTTAGTTCCATAATACGAGTAGGAATATCTGATTGTTTCATCAGAAGAGGAATCACTTATATTTGAATCAAAAATCTATATTTTAGTGCTTTGGAGAATCTCTTTCTTGATTTAGCCCCACTTACTGCTTGCTTTCATGTGCTTCTAGAATTCCAATTCTCCTCAAAAGTAATATTGATTATCAGAAGCAGTATCTAGTGGCATAAAGATTTTTTACTGGTGTTTTCTTGCAAAACCTTTTTTTTTTTTTCCGAATTATGATCTGTTTTGTTAAGCTTTGATGTTAATAATTTTCTATGATATCTCTTCTCCCTTCTTCATGTTGCAGACACATTATGTTTTATTGCTATCCACTTTTAAAGAACAATTGCAACAACATGTTCGGGTCCATGCGATGGAAGCAGTCATGGCATGTTGGGAGCTTGAGCAATCATTGCAAAGCTTGACAGGTTATATTAACATCTGGTTCAACGCCTCGCGCGTTATTGCATCTGCTGTTGCACACAGAGTTGTTATACTATTCCTGATACAATGAATACCTTATTGCTTTCCATCAGCATTGTAACAGTCGAGTCTTTGGATGAAGGAACAGATTACTTCATCTCTATTTGTATCACTTGTCATTTAAATGTATTTATACGTATACATCATAACTTAGACATTCAATTCATAACCTCTATTTTGTTTTTATCCTTAATCATCCCTCTCTGGATCTTCGTGGGATGAGCTGCAATTTGATCTGTCTTGTGATTCTTTTGTCACGTTTCAACAGGGGTTGCCCCTGGTGAAGGCACAGGAGCAACCATGTCTGACGACGATGAGGACCATGCAGACAGTGAAATGAATCTTGTTGATGACAGCCTGGATGGACCAGACAGTATGGGATTTGGTCCTCTTGTCCCCACCGAAAGCGAAAGATCCTTAATGGAACGCGTGAGGCAAGAACTCAAACATGAGCTCAAACAGGTACATGAAAACTCATTGATCGGTAGTTTGATTTAGAAGAGCTTGTTCTTTAGTTCATATTACTCCAGATCATATATGCTCCCTTCTTTACAGGGTTACAAGGAGAAGATTGTCGACATAAGAGAAGAAATTCTCCGGAAGAGAAGGGCAGGGAAACTTCCCGGGGACACCACATCCGTTTTGAAAGCGTGGTGGCAGTCTCACTCCAAGTGGCCTTATCCCACCGTAAGATAGCCAGCCATTGCGCTGCATTATTACAATTTACATCCCTTAAATCATCGAAACAATGTTGTAATCTCACAAATGTATAACGTATATATGATTGTAGGAGGAAGACAAGGCACGGCTGGTGCAGGAGACGGGGCTGCAACTGAAGCAGATCAACAATTGGTTCATCAATCAACGGAAAAGGAACTGGCACAGCAATCCCTCGTCTTCCACCTCTCAAAAGAGCAAGCGCAAGAGGTAAGGTTCTTCAGTCAAAACTCTTGTTCACCGCGCTTTTGGGGTCAGGAATGCCAACCTGATCTCGGGATCAATAGTGGTGCAGGTGACAAGACGGCCTAGCTGGCATTTCAGTTACCCGAAGTGCACTTTTGTGTATTTGTTCCAATGCCTTAGACAGACACAGTTAGCCGGACAAAAATGGGAGAACTAACGGCCGTGGGATTACTTCTTTAGTTTGAGCTTCAGTTGTCTCGGAACATTGATCCTTTGCCTTGCCTACAGCAACTGTGATAGCTTATGCTTTAAATCCTTGTAAGAATATGCAAAGCTACTTCGAAATTTATATATTGTCTGGATATATATATTATATATATTGTGGCATGGTCGAGGACTATATATATGTCTTAGTTGGACCTGATAGGTGATTGTTTTATGTATGAAAAGCTTCCTATCTGTATTTCTGCATATTTCAGTATTCCAGTTATTTTCACACTCATCCTCATATTTAGATTTGAGAGAGAAATTTCTATGCAGCAAATCAAAACATTGGTGAGATTGTGTGTACACTTGAACTGGAAGTAAGGTAAGAAGTCACAGATTCCTCTGGGACCTCGATCTGAGGAGTCGGGCCAAGGCGCAAGCCAGCGACATCGCGGGGTTGACGCGGATGGTTCTATTGAATTCCAAGCACACGCTCATGTGTGCGTGCAGAGCTTCTTCTTGCACAATGTCTCGAATGCCTCCGAGCTTGTAGGACTCTTCGCAGACAGCTTCGGAGCACAGGCCGCACACCCATTTTCCGTAGAATCGAGCTCTGGTGCCACGAATGTAGGCGCCGGTGCAGTCCTCGGAAAGGCCACAGCACTCGCACTCGATCTCGTTAACCTCGGTGGAAGCAGCAGTGAGATGGTTGGGAAACCTTATGAGATCCATGTAGTTGAATATGCTCCTTTCGGGGAGCTTATCCGAGGAGCCCTTTTGGACCATGTCCAAGGATAGTCTTCGAGTTCCTCTATTTGGGACCATAGTTTTGTCTTCCTCTTTGATTCTTTTTTGATTAAAATTGACCTTGAAGCCTACATTCGCGGCTATCCTATATAGAGAGAGAGAGAGAGAGAGAGAGAGAGAGAGGGAGAAGTCTTAGTTCACAAGAAATTTGTTTTGTTGGTGTTGATTGGTAGTGATGAGTGGCCATATGATGCACGAAAACGATGTGCAGTAAATGAACAGTGGTTGGAAGGTAGCTCGGTGAAGAGGGGCGTGGTTGTCAATGGCGGTTGTCAGTATATATGTGTGTGTGTGTGTGTGTGTGTGGAGCATCACGTGAGTCGCGTGTGGGCTACTAGCAAGGAGGCACAGCCAGCCATTGGAGAGGGACTGTTGAGGAGTTAGGGTAAGCTAGCCATTGGCAATACTTAATTTGCATGGATCACATGAAGATGCTGTATGATGGTGAAATTAAAAGCTACAGAAGAAGAGAAAGTGCAAGATAGATAGATGATGATGATGATGATGACGATGATTATATATGCCAAAAAATCACTTTTGATCTTAAGATATTGTCCACCTGGTGTCAAATTTGTGATACCGTTTGGATTGGATTAGGGTAGTTTCTTGATCCGCATTCATTATATTCTTTAGGTGCTTTTGTATTCATTGAGGTCTTTTGTGAGTTGTTTCAGTCCATCAGATGAAAACTATAAGTTTATGATGCTTAAAAGTGCATTTATCCCATAAAACAACTAGATTCTCATTCTATATATAGGAGGAGGGGGTCCTTCTTGTGATTACTCGTTGGATTATAACAACATTATTAATAATATAATTATATAAAAATATTACATAATAAAAAATATATTTTATTTAAAAAAAAAAAAACGCTAGAGAAGGCCGATTATTTGATGTTATGTTATGATTAGCATGATATGATTTTCGTAATAATTTTTAAAATAATGACAGCTGATTTGGGCAATTAGTTTTTGAAAATGGTATTCTTCAAATACTTAGTTATAAATTTATCACGTCACCAAATTTAACAAAGTAAAAATAATAAATAAAAAAAATTAATACTTAAATATTATCATTCAATCAATTTTTATTTACAATAAAAACTATTGATTTTATTGATTTTTTTTTTAAATTTTCATTCAGTTTAATTATTTATTAAATTTCTAAAAATATCTAACTATTATTTTATTTTTCGGGGTGTGTTTGTTTGGAGGATTGGATTTAAATTTAATTATTCATCCCATTTTTTTTCTAAAAATATCAAATCAAATACCTATTTTTTATTTTTTATATTATACTAAAAATCAATTTTACATTCAAAACATCGTATCAACGTCTATTTATATTATATCATACAACTATTTAAATTCAAAATTTTTACTATTCAAATCTCAATCTAAAATTCAAACCCCCGCACAAACAGCTCTTGCTATATAATGAAGCGGGTATGGGTAAGTCGTTCGGGTCAATTGGGATGGGAGCGGTTAATAAATAAAAACTGCACGTATTATATAGTTTTTTTATTTTTTTATACAAAACCCTGAGAAAATATTTTTGCAAACACAGTTTCTTTTTATTAGTTTCCCCAGTTCCGTCGCCGGTGGTGCTCTGGTTCCTTTGCCTTTCGGTATGCTCAGATGTGCTCAATATCCTCTGCTCTACTGATCTAAGTTATGGGCAGATTTGTTGAATTTTTTGTGAATTATCTTATTTGTTACCGGTGCAGTTCTATTGGGGATCCATATCGATATTTTAAAGGGGCTACTTTCTGTCAAGGAAACCGTGAAGAAAGGAAAAGAATCTGCCTTAAACTGCGCCGTAGTTTCTTTGGGCCTCCAGAGGAAGCAGAATGGTAATTTTCTCCATCTGGTATTGAATTCCTTTTTATAACTTTGAAATCTCGTGTGTTTAGTCCGAGGGCCACGATATTCTTAGCGTGTTTGATTGGAATGTTGTATTGTAATTATATTAACCTTAAGAATCGATAGAATGTAGGAAGGTCAATTTGGGTACATGTGCCAGTGTGGATTATGGATCAATGCCTTATGCTTTGATTCATATGTCTTTCTTATGTTATTGTTGATTTTAATTTTACTTAATTATGTGAAAATTATTGTATAGATATTTGATTTATTAAGTTTATATGTTTTAATTATCAAATAAGCTGTATTCATTTGATGATGATAGGTATGCAAGTTGATTAATGTTAGGGCTTAAGAGTTATTGAAAGATGAGTATGAATAGAATTGAGTTTGGATATATTAATCTTTGAGATAATTGTTGAAATGTGTATCCTGTGAGTTACTTTTGTGTAATTGTATATTTAGTTTATTAGATGTTTTGAAACTTATTTAGGGCGTTGAGGTTGGCTTTCTTCATGGAAGCTCTTCAAAAGGCACATTTTAAATCTTAATTCATGAATCAGTGTTATTTAAAGTTTGCGTTGCTAGCCCTCATGGATATCTGTATAACAAGTTATTCATTGTGGATCTTAAAATTCCTACTATCATTTTCTAATGGTGAATATTAATAGGTGAGTAGTCACATTGTTGTTCGAATGCAAATTAAACTTACTGTACCAAGGTGTGTTTGTTTGGAGATTTTGATCTGTAAAATTTTGAATTTGAATAGTTGTTTGATTTGATATAAATAAGAAATAATGTGATGTTTTAAATGTAAAATTAATTTTAGTGTAATATAAAAAAAAAAAGGTATTTGATTTGATGTTTTGGACAATAAAAAAATTGTGAATAGTAGAAATACAAACAAATCATCCAAACAAACACAAACTTTTATTTTTTTATTTTTGCATTTGCCATTGGGGGGTTGCTGTGGTATTGGAAACATGAATTAGGGGTGGTAGAGAACACATTTTAAATTGTGTCTTGAGCTCTGGGAAACCATCTCTTTCTTACTCATTTATTCATGCTTTATCTGTATTGAACTTGTGCCTGCACATGTATGTTATGTACTGGTTGGTGTAGTCGTTTTTCGTGACCAGGAAATTAACAATGGGGAATCACGGTAACATTTCTGTTAAATGTCTGATCTGGTATATCTTTTTTGTTTGCTTTGTCAAATAGCACAGTTGCTTCAGAAGTATTGTATCCACTTTGTAAATTCTTATCTTTATCAGAAAATTAGTTTTAGATTTTGCTAATTTTTACTATATTATATATATATATATATATTCTCCAGGTACGTCTGCAGCCTGATCCATTCCTCAATGAACTTACCAACATGTTTGAGAGGACTACAGAAAAGGGGTCTGTGTGGGTTACATTGAAGCATTGTCAGTTCTCTTATCTATCTTAACTTTTTACTCCTGGAAGAACTTTAGTGAATGTACAAATGCTTATTTTGATGCTGTTTTGTGGGAAATTGACGAAGCCATGATAGTTTTTACATCATATCTCCAGCTTCTGACAAATCCAAGGTCAAAAGAAATAAGATGAAGACAGCAGGGGAGAAGATTGAGTATAAGTGCCTGATTCGTGCAACCGATGGCAAAAAGAATATTTCAACTATGGTAAATATTCACAATTTTTTATTTTTTCCTTTGTGTTAATGTTGCCCATAGCAATCTACTCCTTTGGAGATACGAAGATGATTCTTATGGTGTTATGGTTGTTATGCCCATATGATTTTAAATAATTACCATGTTACTGTAGGTAATGGTTCTTATGTTATATTTTATGGTGTCATAAGGTGCAGTCTGCGAGTCTCAACACAAAACCTCTCATTTATTGTCGTGATTGCATTGTGAAAATAATCCTTACAAAATGATTTGACGCTCTGTTTCTGTACTTTGTCAATGGCTTCTTGCTATTGTCGAGAATGATCGCCACTAAAGCATTTATGTTTTCTTCATTGGGATCACAGGTTGGTCCGAAGGAACATCAACGCTTTCAGTCTAGTTATGCGACAATTTTGAAAGCACGGATGACTGCCTTGAAGAAGCGCGAAAGAAAGGATAAGAAGAAGGCTGCAGATTCTGATAAAAAACAAGACTCGAAGAAGAAATCTTCTGTGGCTAAAACATCAAACTGAAGTATTCTCTTGGGGGTTAGTGTTTTTCCTATTTATGGTCTTTGACAGTATGTGTTCTCTGATCTATAATTTTCCATTGAGACTGCATTGACAAATCCTTCAAGTTTTTTTATGCTTGCGGATCTAACATACAAAAGAACGTGTTGCAGTTTTGACTGTGTGCTTGGGTATTTATTTTTTGATATTCCGACAGTTTTTTTGATATTTTTTTCCCATACAAAATGTTTGGTCTTGCCCAATTAAGCAATTAGCATCCTACTATTAATTTTCATGTTCCTTCACTTTGTTTTTATAAATATTATTAAAAAAATTATACATATCAACACAATATATAAAATATGTATCTATTTATAACAAAAAATTAATAAATTAATAATTAATATAATATAAAAAAATACAATAAAAAAAATATAAAGTGGGCACACCATAGGACAATTTTTTTTCAATTTTGAGTAAGTTCGATTTGATAGTTCAGTGTTCCTTCAAATATTTGGCCCATTGAAATGTATAGCTACGGCCCAACGACAGAAATGGGCTATTTTAAACCCTAAGGGCCAGGTATAATAGAGCTTAAGAGAGCTGGGTCAAGTCCAATTCTGGCTTGTTAAAATAAAAGTAGACCTGGGCTAATTTAAACTGGGCTGGGCCTGGGCTGAGCTGGTTAAAAGAGGTGGCCCACACTAGCTCTGCATAAATATATATATGACAGAACAAACACTGAGGACAAAACCCTAGCCTCAATTCGCCTCTTCAGTTTCTCACTGCGTCTCCGATCTTCGGCACCCCTCCTTCGAATCAAAGATGGTAAATTCGTGATGCCTGCTGTGAATATCTGTCTCAGCGTTAATCGATTTCATGGGTGATTGAACCAATTCGTTGTTTTTTGTGAATAGGTTCTCTCAAACGATTATGATTTGCTCAACCCGCCGGCGGAGCTGGAGAAGAGGAAGCACAAGCTCAAGCGTCTCGTTCAATCCCCAAATTCTTTCTTCATGGTACTCTTACATTCGGTCCTTATCTTCTTTTTACAGCTTATTGAATTTCTCATTTTTCCTATTAATATGCTCTCGTTACTGTAGGATGTGAAGTGCCAGGGTTGCTTTAACATGTAAGTTACTTTGCTATTTGAATTTTCTCGAAATGAAAAATCTACATGATTTGTTCAGACAGAATTTCCTGGTGGCAAAGTAATAATAATAATAAAATTGATTTTCTGCTAATCTATGTGTATGCGTGCTATAAATTCAGCACAACTGTGTTCAGCCATTCACAAACGGTCGTGGTCTGCGGCAACTGCCAGACGGTGCTGTGCCAGCCGACAGGCGGGCGTGCCAGGCTCACGGAGGGCTGCTCCTTCCGGAGAAAGGGCGATTGATTTTGTTGGTAGACACTTTCATTCTTAAGAGGGCTGAATCCCTAAGCGATCGTGTTTTTTTTGGTGAAATGTTCTTGTATTCTGAATTCCTCTAATGAGTTCTTGAACAGTTCTAAGTTATCAGTATATTTCCAGTTTAATATATAATGTAGAAAGGTTCTTTAAAATATTCAAGTATTATCGAATTTGCTTTGTGGTTTTCGTTTATTGTATGTTTTGTAAGTGTGATCTAGCTATTAAAATATGGTATGTTGTTGAACTTCTTAATCTACAAGAGCAAAGTATAGGCCTTTGAGAACAATATGAGATGTAATCTGTGAAAGTTCATTTTGTAGTTCGAGTTTTCGGTTTAATACATTAGATTAAATATTTTTTAATAGTCTCTCCATGCTTGTCGGAACTAGTCAAAGTGCCCTGCAAATTAGACCCGACAAGGTAAGTTAGATAACCTAGCGGTCACAAGTTTACTCTCCACACTACCATAACCTAACGGTCACAAGTTTATTTCCCACGCCACCATACCGTTCTTATGGGACGGGAATGCATTATTTTCAGAATAGTTAGTATTGGTTGAATGTTGCAAAATTCCCCTATAAAGAATGCAATTTTGTATGTATTTCATGTCACTGACTGATGCAGTTCTTAGTGTTAAAAACTTAAAATGGTACTGTAAGTTAAATAATTTGTGTTGTTTGATCAATTATCAATAAATATATGTGTGTATAGTTGAAAACAAAACTTGTCACAGTTACATTCATTCACTTTTTTTGGATGATGTGGGGCTGCTACTCGAAAGTGCGTGCGCATTGGGTAAACTTTCGGCCGAATTTAGTACCCGCAAATGAGGTCGGTCACAAGTCTAATTCCTACACCACCAGGCCATACCTTACGGGATTACATTCATTCACTTTGCTCTATACAAATTTTTGGTATATGGTTGCTTTAGTAAATCAATGCTCTATTAATATATGTTGATGGAATACAACGAAACGTGGACTCTAGATCCTTAATCACATTAATCTTTTTTCTGTAAAGATCTAACACAAAGAACTCTAGCAACATTTCAAATAGCTGCTGAGTTGTATTTTGTTCAACACTAATCAACCAGTTATATATTCCTGTAAAATATCAAAGATTTTAAATAAAAAATTGTCATATTAATCTCTATTTAGTTAAAAATAAAATTAAAATACGTATAAATACAACCTATTTCAAAGTAGATTCTATATTATAAAAAATATAGGGAGTACATACATTGGTATAAAACGTCCCCCAAAATCTGAAGGCAACCTTGCCTGCAACAACATAGCAGGCCTACATCATCATCATCTTGATATATAAGGCAAGTGAAGTTTCTTTCACCAGAAGCTATTTAATTGCTTCTGAATCTTGGAATTATGAGAGGACTTCCCACCTTTGTCCTTGTAAGTGTTTCTAGATGGTATTACTTTTCTTCTCCCCTGTACAGCTTTGATGGCTGTTCGTCGTTGTTTACTCAAACGTTTTGTAAGCTCAGGATCTTCTTCTTCTTCTTCCTCTTCTTCTTCGGATTCTTTAGAATTCTGACTGGACTCGGCTTTTCTATCAACCTCAGAACTGTTGTCGCCTTCCTGACTATCTACCATAGGCTTATGTACATTTTGGATGGATGAATCTGCATTTCCAATATTATTGCTGCCCTCTGAGTTTGTTGCAAGTAGATATTCCTGCAAAACCACCATCTTTCTTTAAAAATGTGCAAACAGTTCCACTAGCTAATTCCGCAAGTAATGTTCAGAGTTAATAACATAAATTTACAGGTATTTGATAACATAATATTAGGTAACAGATTGCCAGCCATACAAAATGTAATTACTGTGTCCTATTGATGATGGCTGATATTTACAACCTAAATAGCTAAAAAGACCACTTTGAAAGTATATAATGTACACGGTAGCTTGATATAGTTACCTCCCCAACCAAGTTCAAGGACTCCAAACGTTTTGCACTTGTGTCATTTATTTGATCCACAACATCCTCCTCATCAGTTTCTCCACAATCAGATCCATGATCCTTCTCAACATCACCATCAACAAACTGTAGATATGAAAAAACAAGCAAGTTTAACAACCAAAACTTCATGCCTGCCAACTGCCATTGAATATACATGCTTATTATACCTTCTCTATATCATCTTGGTCCTTCCTAGTAAAACCACTTGCTTCAAGTTCCTTGTCCAGGAAACCAGAAACTTTCTTTATGTCAGAAAACTGAGGTCGGCATCCTTCAACTGAATCTTCTTCTGAATCACCATCCCTGCCCACATCTCCATCCCCATCTTCATCTTCATCTTCATCTTCATCAAATGTGAGGTTGAATCTAGAAGAATTACAGATACAAATATAGAGGGAATATTACTATATAGGGAAACAAAGTGTCAACCCAATATCACATGTTGAACCGAATATATAGTAGGTTCTGACACCTTTAAACCAATAAAAGAAATCATTACTCTAATTAACAAGATGGCTAATAAAAAAATGCTGTCGTAACTGTTATGAAATGCATAATTTAAACTAAAGATTTTCTCATTTGCTAATAAAAAACTCAGGCATATTGTGAAATATTGCACTTACCTCTTTCTAAAGAACTTAAAAATGCATTCAACGTCGCGGTCGAAGTACCTGAATAACAAGGAAAACAAAACTGATATAAATCCTATTTTAAGAAGCAGATAATAAAAGGAGGCGTTGAGGGGATGCTCAACATGTCATACATTTTTGCATTTCGATGAGAAACAGAAACCATCTGTGGAAAATCAATCATTGTGACCTTCTCATCATCGTCTATCTGTGGGGGTGGGGAATTAATTAACAGAAATGGGATTCATAGAAAAATAGATCAATAATTTAAGAGAACACAAAAAAATTCTTATACAATGAAAACAAGAATGTAGGGTAGCATATCAAACCTGTTAGAAAAAGCAAAGGTGCAGAGTAATCCGAACAAATATGACAGAAATGTTCAATAAAACAAAGTAAATATGTGATTTGTGCTGCAGAAGCATACCATGATGTTAAATTCATTGAAATCACAATGAATGAGCCCATGCTCTGCCAGACGAACAACAATACCCAGAATTGACTCAAAGACTGTGTCAGGATTTTGCAATTGCTTAACCTGCACACTGAATGCAGTAGAATGTCAAATACAGTCATGATCCAAGAATCATGAATGCCATTTACTACCTAATAAGTGACACTTTCATATTTTGTTCATGCTCTTCTGAAAATTTGAAGGAAGTTGGAGGGGAATGCGAAAAAATTCATCAAACACCACAATATATAATTAAAAATAAAGGAGTTATAGCATATCCTAATATAATACCACGAAACCAAGAAAACAAAACATATATTTAGCTACACATTAGGGGTTTCTTTACTTGTTTTTTTAATATATATATATATATTTACTATTTAGTTAAAATTGTAAAACTTATATCTTCTACATTTATTTACATCCAATACTCTTTTCCATTCAAAATACCATACAACAACTATATTCACCTTAAAAACATCAAACGCAAAGACATCAAAACAAAAATGAAACACAGAGTAGGTTTCTGCTAATTTTCATCTAAACCCTTGACCGTTCCAAAAACAGAATCAAAGTTCACCCCATTATATTTAGCCAGGATTTTAATGGCACTGACATCCACTATTCTAGCTTCAGAGAGCAGGATAAAATATCAGAAGCCATTGGCTAAATATTCTCAATCTATCATCTGTTAAGATCCTACCTGCAACATGCAATTCTACACGTTTTCAACTAAAAAGAATTTTTAAGAGCAAATAGTGAGAATCTATCACAGGTGACTGCTTAGAATACAAGAACATCATCTGCAGAGTAAAAAAAAACCATTTATTTATAATACTCACAGGGGATAGCCTTGGACAAGAGACATAATAACACAATGCCGATTGCAGTCCACAGCATGTGGAACAGGAAACCCATGTTCGTCCAAAGCCTGCAGCACAAGGAACAAACAGTAACAAGACTACTCTAACGCAGATGAGTTTGGCCATCTCTTCCAATAATGCAAATTGCAATTAGAAAAATATCAATAAAAACCAGACACCTTCATAAAGGCAAATTCTTTGAGTGCAGCTAGCCTTGACAAGTACAGCCAATTATAGCTACTTCGATGCCTCAGATAATCACGTTTGGACTTTACTGCTCTAAAGGATACTCTACCAAGCCTGTGTAGCTTCATGGCAAGAACTGTGCCATCCTCTGTAGCAACCTCAAATATATCTTCAAAATAGAGCATAGGTGGTGAAACATTAGATAATTTCTGTATAAATATATAACAAAACCCTAGAAAGCGAAATAAAATAATACCCGACTCCTTCCCGACACCAATTTGACGACCGACAGAAGCAAAAACTCCACGGTTAACCAATGTCTTAATTGCAAGAAAATCATAGCCCAAGTATGTCAGCCGGAAGCCGTCATCTACACCAACACCATACAACATTGAATAATATCAGACAGACGACCTTAGTTAAAAGAGTGTGTGAGCTTATTCAATAACATGGGAACATTATGAAGGTAGGCAAAGCGACCAAATGAAGGAAGTACGGAACTCACATTTGGAAGAGTCATGGTGCAATAGTTTGTTCTTCAGCAAATTCTTCAAAACTTTATATGTACCGCCATGCCTAAATTCACAAACTCAATAAACCTCAATCAGATTAATCATATGCACTGCTCGCTGATAAACCACATAGTTCGCGGAAAGAAAAACTCACTTGAGGGCCGCGATTCGATCAATCAACTCCGACGGCACAATTTCATGCTATATCCATCAATTAAATAATTATATTCATCATCAGTACTAAAAGAAAACGAAAAAAAAAAAAAAGCGATTCGAAAAGGTACAAACATTGCGCATGCCCATCTCGACGGCAGTAAGAACCCTGAAGTCATCCTTGGACAGATATCTCAAAGCGTTTACGTCCAACTTCATTCTGAAATCGAATTAACACAAGAATAGCAGCGGCGGCGAAGGCAGAGCTGCGAGAGCTAGGCGTTCTTATACCGTCCCTTCCATAACTCAGCTGTATATGTGTATATAATACACGCATTTGTTAATGGGCTGGGCTTTGTAGTGAGCGGGCCTTATGGGCCCAATTTTCAATTAACCAAAGCCCAATCCATTAATCATTTTAATTATATTTTAAAGTGTATATTAGCGTTTCTTCAAATCATACGTAGATTTTTATTACTGAACCGAAGCGAGACAAAACTATGACGATTCCGAGGACAGCTTGTCGCCGGCGGCGGCCGAAGTTAAATGACAAATCAAAAACTGCCGAACAGAAGAAGAAAGAAAGACAGAAAAGCAGATCATACACGTGAAGAAGCAGAGCTCCAAGCTGCGTGTCGATGGTTTATACATTGTACGTATCATTTCCTCAAATGGATATTATCTGTATCGCTTTCAGTTTCTTGGTTTATTAGGAGAACAAGTTTCCAGAATCAGAAGAAGCAGGTTACAGTAACTGGAGCCTAAAGTTTTCTGAAAGTGGTAAGAATTTAATTATGATGGATTTCCATGGATAGTCAAGTAGTTTCTGACGCCGAGCAACAATGGAGAAGAAGTAAGGCCCACGTCAGGATCTCGAAATTAAGACATATAGGCATGCAATTTGTCCTATTGACACCCAACCCCAAAAAGGTTCAAAACCCTACCTAATACAGCGGAAAGAAAGAAGGAAGTTTTCAAATCCGCCGCCGTTCAAGAAAATGAAAGAAGAAAACAATTAATTAAAGTCGACGCCGGTCCGGATTCGTGCTTACTTCTAGCGTAAGAGGCTGAAACAAATGGATTGAAGAATTGGGGATTTGGGAGCTTGGAATCGAAAACTTTTAACGAGAAGGCGATGCTGAGCCTGAAAGGTGGGACTCGGCCGCCGTGGGTGGGTCTGGGCGCCGCCGTGTGGGTGCAGATTGCAGCGGGGAATTCATACAACTTCCCTCTCTATTCGCACTCCCTGAAATCCGTTCTGGGTTTCAATCAGAGGCAGCTTACTCTGCTGGGCGTGGCGAATGATGTTGGTGAAAATGTTGGCATTCTTCCTGGGCTGGTCTGCAACAAGTTCCCTCCATGGGTAGTCCTCCTGATCGGAGCTTTCGCTTGTTTCTTTGGCTATGGAGTTCTCTGGCTCGCTCTTAGCCAAACTGTTGCTTCCATGCCTTACTGGATGGTAATTTCTTTTCTCGTCCCTGTTATCCCTTTGATAGATCGATACAACAGTCGATTATATATCTCCTTGCAGTGATTAAATTTAGTAATCTTACATCTCGATTTGTTTGGCTAATGTAGATCTAGTGGTGGTTATGATGGATAATTTGTGTAATTGCAGTTATGGTTAGCTTTATGTATTGCAACAAACAGCAGTGCTTGGTTCAGCACGGCGGTGCTGGTCACGAATATGAGAAACTTCCCGCTGAGCCGGGGGACGGTCGCCGGAATTCTTAAAGGCTACGGTGGGCTCAGCGCTGCAGTGTTCACTGAACTTTACAGTGTACTGCTCAACAACTCTTCTACAAAGCTATTGATGTTCCTAGCGCTTGGAGTTCCTATGCTTTGTCTTATGATGATGTTTTTCGTTAAGCCGTGCACGCCGGCGGCCGGCGATGATAATCCTTCCGAGCACTCGCATTTTGTTTTCATTCAAGTTGCTAGTGTTCTACTCGGCGTATATGTTCTTACAACCACGATACTCGACGAGATGCTACCAATAAGTGCTCCGGTAGGATGCGCTTTACTTCTCGTCATGGTGCTGCTTCTGATGGCTCCGCTCGCTGTCCCTGTCAAGATGACGTTCTGCGCGTCTGATCGAATGCGGTCTTCTTCTTTGCAAGAGTCCGACAAAGCTGAGGCCCTTCTGGAAGCTTCTTCGTCGGCAGCCAGTCTTCACGGCTGTAATGAGAGTGATGGCCTGTCTGAAATAGACATGCTTCTTGCCGAGGGTGAAGGGGCTGTTAAGAAAAGGAGGAAACCTCGAAGAGGGGAGGATTTCACGTTTTCTGAAGCTTTGATCAAAGCTGATTTTTGGCTCTTGTTTTTGGTATACTTCGTCGGCGTTGGTTCCGGCGTCACCGTTCTAAACAACCTGGCGCAGATCGGAATCGCTCAGTATGTGCACAACACGAAGCTCCTCTTGTCCCTCTTCAGCTTCTGCAATTTCGCCGGTCGACTTGGCGGTGGCATTGTCTCCGAATATCTCGTCAGGTTCGCTGTCGCATAAACTAAAAGTTAAACTATTACGAGGCTCGATTGTTCTAACAAATCGGAGATCAAATGCAGGTCGAAAGCAATTCCTCGAACCATCTGGATGACGATCACACAGATGATAATGGTGATCGCGTATCTACTCTTCGCTTCGTCTCTCAACGGCACTCTTTTCGCTGCAACTTCGTTGCTCGGCATCTGCTACGGCTTCCAATTCTCAATCATGATCCCCACAGCTTCGGAGCTCTTCGGCCTTAAGAACTTCGGTTTGATATCAAGCTTCATAGCGCTGGGGAATCCGGTCGGGGCGTGCCTGTTCTCAAGTCTTCTGGCTGGATTCGTGTACGACAATGAGGCGGCGAGGCAGCACTCGGCGACCTGCTTGGGTCCGAACTGTTTCCGGCTAACTTTCCTCGTTCTGGCCGGAGTATGCACCGTCGGAGCTGTGCTTAGCATCGTGCTGACTCTGCGGATCATCCCGGTGTACAAAATGCTTTACGCCGGCGGATCGTTCAGGACACCGCAGCCGAGTTCGGAGCATTGAGAGCAATGCAATGTAAAACGTTTTAAGATTGTCCGTACGCGGGGCGGGCTTCCCATCGGACATTACATTGGTAGAGGCATTGTAGTAGAACTAACTCGAACACTCTTCTACGTATATGGACACCTTTGTAGTATTATTATAAGCTTGGTAGTGAAATTATGGCCTTTTTTTAATATTAAATACTATAAGAAAAGTCTTGTTAATATAAAAAAAATAATAAAATCTTTTAATTTAGATATATTATATATTTTTTCTATAAAAAAATTAATTGGTGAATCAATAATACTTTTTTTTTTAAATAATACTTTTTAAATATATGTAAAATTAATTCTAAAGAACTCGCCACCAGTCAATCCCATATAATCAGTCCACCGTAGCCCCCAAGAAACGGCCGAACACATTCATCCCAACTGCTGGTTTGCTATATATTGGGACGGCATAATCGCACTCCGTTCAGGCAGTGGCAGTGAGTGATCTTTGAGAAATAGGGATGGGGAAACTGAGAATTGGCGGGGCGTGGAGTGGGGTACTGGAAGTGGAGTTGGATGAGTGGACAGTGATCAAATTGAGGGAAGAGGTGGCCAATCGATCAGGCAGCAGCGGGCCGCAGTGCATAAACCTTATATGCGCGGGCAGGGTTTTGAGGGATGGCGCTGGCACCGAAAATTTAACTCAATTGGGGGTGAAAAACAATGCCAAAATATTGGCTTCCAAGGTCTCCGTCGATCAAGCCGGCAAATCCGTCAAGGATGAATTCTTGGCCGAAGAGGAGCGGTCCAAGCGCCTTTCCCGAATTAGGTAACCGTAAATTTGTGCTTTGATTCACGCTGGTTTTTTATTTTCAGAGGAGTCATTGGGTTTTCCTGTCACTCTGTGCGTGCTCTGAAATGATCCAGTTTATTTTAGATTTCTTTGTTTCCCTAAGAACTGTGTTGCCTGGAGCAATTGTTTGTTCTGTGCATATGTTTCTCGCGATTGTCTTGGTTCGTTGGAAACTTTAAGAATTTAATAGTTAATGACATGGCCAAATGTTGTTCTCGGTTCACTGTCCTATCATGCATTTGTTATCTACTTTGTGTTTTAGGAAAGATAATTTTGGGATGAATTTATCGTCTAAATTGAATTACTTGATTCTGAGATGAATTTGAGAAACGAGTTTCGACTCCCAGCATTTTGTTATGTCTTACCCCTGTGTTGTATAAATTAGAGAATGGAACTGCCTTAGTCATTGGTTTTGGGATCTGTAATGATCCTGTAGATGCTTTGCCTTAAATTTATTTAATGGGGTGGCTATCAGGCACAAGTTTTTACCTTTACATTGCATATGGTTTATTTTCTTACAAAGACAATTTCTCTGAGATATAGTGTAATAACTACATCTATAACTTCTTCGGTTCAGTTTATATGTGATTGATGATGAGGTAGTAACAAAAACAAAAAAACAATCTTGGTATTATTTCCTTTGCATCTTCTTTATTTCTGCTGACTTCACATGCTGATGTTAGTAAAACCAATTTGAGTACCTCTACAGGATAGACCTCCACAAAAATTTTAAGTGCAGGTGATTGAGTTCAATAGTTCCTCGTATAAAGTTATTGACTCTTCAGAGATGTTGTAATATGGAGAAGACAGAGAACCCTGTTTTATGTATGAATCGATCTTATTCCATTCGAATTCCTTCTCCCGATACTTTCTCCTACTGCTTGGTTGTTTGGCCATCAGGAATATAATTTAAAATTTTAAAAAGCCAACATGATTTCCTTTCTCAGTATCTATTTAGGATGGAAATTGTTTTCCTTATATTCTTTGGTTCTTCTGGTAACATAAGTACAATTGCAGGGCTGCTGCCACTGCGTTGGCTGGCAGACATGCAGATGGCTCATTGCCGGTGGAGGACTTCAATCTAGAGCTTGAAAATCAAAGTGGAGAGAAAGTGCAGTTGGGATCCGAGACTGACCAAAGGTAAAAAAAATTATGATAAGCAGCTTGGTGCTTGGCTGTTTAATTTGGGATAGAAATTGATATAAAAGACTAGTTTCAGCTTAGAAAGGTGTATCATAGTATAATTTTGTTCTTGAATGTCCTTTTTATATACCAGAGCAATAATGATGGGACTTATGCTTCACGCAAATGCAAAAGCTCTGATAAGAAGGCAAAAATATAGAGATGCATTAGAAGTGCTCGTCATGGGTGAGGTATGTTATGAACAATCTCCTTGCTCATGTAAATAAGTAGTTAGTATGTTACAACTAGCATTGCTATGCATTGCCTTCTCTATATGTGCTTGAGAGGTTGTGGTTTGGGCCATGAAAAGGTTGGAATGTGAATTTTGAATATCATTCCACATGTGCTTGTAATACTTTGAAGATCATTAATCAAGATTCAAAGCACTCAATAAGATATCCCTGCTTGATTCAATTTTCTTCCTGCAGGAGGCTTTCTCACTGTGTGACCCAAAATTGATAGAGGTGAGCATGCTTCTTTGTAAGGTTATTGGCTTTAATGGGATGAAAACATATTTCCCCTCTATCTTTTGGCTGATGCAAGTCTCCACCATTTGAGCTCATATCATGGAAGAATCTTAAGTGTTTCCCGTGTTTGTGTTTGCATTTCCAGATGGTTGACAACGTGTCAATTCTTCAAATAGACATGGTTTGGTGCTATTTTATGCTCCGTGATATCACTTGGCTCTCAGTAGCAGGGGTTCGACTTGCAAAAGCCAGAGAAGGTATTGAACGTGCTCATGGAAAAGAATCTGCTCGCTTGAGGATTCTGCAAGGAGGCCGATATCCTGAGTTAGCTTTGTATGTTACGGAATAACTTTACTATTTATTATGCTATTGCACCATCTTGATGTTTACTTGCTTTTAACTTAAGTTGACATTATCAATCCACAGGCACTTGAGAATGGAACTGTTAGAAGGAGTTGTTGCATATCACAGTGGTTACTTGAAGAAGTCTAAGGATGCCTTGACCTCGGCTCAAGCCAAATACTACCAGGTTGATCTTTAACAATCCTTACTATTTTGTCCTTTTGGTTCTTCTGGGTTGCCATTATCCATATGTTAATTCAAATAGTAAAGTATGAACACACATGGTGTGATAAACAGAGTGCCCAAATCACTCTTTTCAACCATTAGAAAGAATAGATTCATTTTTGCTTCACTTCTAATTTATGTTCACAAGTTATTTATCTTTTTCTTTTTGGAAAGAACTCACAGCAGCTATGCGGCCCTTCTCCTCCAAAATATAATATACCCTCTAAAACTACATCTTGGCTCTAAGTCTCTGACCCCTTCCTAAGTGAGTCAATGTAAATCTAAAGGTGGTTTGAGACTTAAGAGAAAAAGAGACAACAAACTGATGTGTTGGTATTAAGTTGGACAAAGATGCTACAGAATTCAACAACACAATTAGTAAAAATGCTGCTTGATTGAGAGTTGCATTTGTTTGGTAGAAAGTCACACATTTTTTATATGGTTGAAGGTAATAGGATTCTTATTAGGGATGTGAATATATTACATGCAAGTTTTATTCATCCAGCTGATAATTGTTTAGAATATCATATTCTGATCACTATATGTGGTTAGTAAAAATATAAAACAGGTTTGGATTAGGAAACTCAATTACAGAAAAAAGCTTTTTATTTTTATTGTTTTAATGGATACTTTTATTTTCATTGCAACTGCCTGTGAAAATACAATGGGATAAAGAAAACTTGACCTTTTATTGTAACGGTTTTCCTCAAGAATCATCCCTCAACCCCCCCTCATTTTTTGTGTTTTTTTATTCTGTCAACAGCTTCAAGTTCCAGATGATGTCCTGTCCTTCATAATGAGTATGGGGTATAAAGAACGTGAAGCAAAAAGGGCCCTTCGCATGAACAACTTGGATGTTGGCAATGCAATTGATTTTCTTGTTGAGGAGAGAGCAAAAAAGGCCCAAAAACGGGAAGAGGATCGGCAAAGACAGAAAGAAATATTGTGGGTTTGTTTTTGTTATTTATCATGCTTATGCAGTGAAAGTACAATAATTTCTGAACATTTAACTGCAGGGAGCAGAAACAATATGGAACGACGCCCCTTGGGAAAGCAGTGGATATAGCACTATTGAATGAATTGGTCTCTCTGGGGTAAGTAGGCTTTGCAATTGGAACAATAAGTTAACTTGAGGAAGTTGCATCATTAGTGAACTTTATGCAAGATATATAATGATGGAAAAAATAAAAACAAATAAAATAAGTGCGACACTGCTGGTGGTTGAATTATGTTTGCTTTTGAAGAACTGTTTTAAGTTCAATCTACATGAATTTCTTCATAGGTGTTTTGGCTCATAATATGCTTCGCAATTCTTTGCATATTGATACTTGTCTTCTGTGATATGCTCATAGTTGTGCTGATTTATAGGTTTGAGAAAGATCTAGTTGCGGAAGCTCTTAGGCAAAATGAAAATGACACCCAAAAAGCCCTGGATGACTTGACAAATCCAGAAATGAACTCTAAATTACAAGTCAGTTATCATACGAAATATATATATATATATAGATACTTTCTCAATAAAATTTAGTTGGAATCCCCTATAGTTTTACTGCTTATATCTCAGGATGAAATTATATCAAGGAAAAGCAAAAGATCGCGGAAAGCAACAATCGCTGCCTGTAACAATCTTGTATCCATGGGCTTCGACAGAGGATCAGGTGCTTAGCTGCATATATTTTCCTAGTATAGCTGCTGATTATGTTCTTTGTGGCTGCATGTCATTGGTTTTACAAGATGGGTTTTTGCTTTCTTTGTTTGGTATTTCTGTATTCAGTGGATACAGCTCTTCGTATGTTTGCTGGTAATGAGGAAGAGGCACTAAATTATCTGCTCAATGCTCCACAATATGCATTCATTGAAGGAACCGATCCGACTGTTCAACCACATGTCCCTCATGGAATAGATAATGACATAGGAGGTGACAGCACCAACATAGAAGGCGGTGAAAGCAGCGCGCCGTTGAACCACAGTGAAGATCTCAAAGAGCGGGATGTGGAAATGGAGGATGAGCTCACTGGTGAATTGCAAAATGCTGATGCTTACTCAGACTACGACATTGATGTTACAAAAGAAGGCGAAGCTATACATGAGTACTTCGCGATGCTCAGCTCCACTGAGAGTGAAACATCTTAAAAGATCTTTCGACTCTTAACCCCACACCTCTTGTATAGTAGCACATTGCAAATGGCATGAATTCATTACAATGGATGCGAACTAAATGAAGATCTGTTTATATGAATAGACAGTGATTGCTTTCATAGATAATAAGATGTCTCAATCTTTCTAGAATTGAGCTACAGTTGCAACAGCAAAAAGAGGATTCTTCCTTGCTGTAACAGAACCAGGTTGTTCTGTGGCGTCCGAGTCTTCCGAGCGAGGTAATTCCCATTCAAACTTGTGTATAAGATTAGCTAACAGGAGCTCGACACCTGCCATGGCAAATCCAATTCCTGGGCAGCGCCTTCTTCCTGCCCCAAATGGAATCAGTTCGAAATCAACACCCTTGAAGTCTATTGAACTGCCGATGAATCTCTCAGGCTTAAATGTGTCTGGTTCATCCCAAGTTGCAGGATCTCTACCAACTGCCCAAGCATTGATAAGGGCCATGGTCCCAGCAGGAATGCCATATCCCATAACCTCGACATCTTGTCGTGCTACCCTAGCCAATAATGCAATGGGGGGATGAAGGCGCAGGGTTTCCTTCACCACTGCTCTCAGGTAATGCATTTGTTCCAAGTCATCGTTGGTTATACTTATGGTGTGATTCTTGTCTTTCAGGATTGCTCTCACTTCACATTTCAACTTGTTCATCACATTTGGGTGTTTGAGGAGTTCTGTCATCGTCCATTCCAGCGCTGCAGCTGTAGTCTCAGTGCCCCCAACAATCATATCCTGCAGGTCTCATTCTAAAACTCCTTGAGAAACATTTCAAAATAAATGTACACCAAGAATCAGGACAAGAGCAAGATCTTACCAAGACAATGGCCTTTATACTATCTCTGTCGATCGTGTTATCCCGGTAAACGTTGAGCAAAACTCTGACAACGCTGTCTTCATGATTTCCATGTCCAGTCTCACCAATTTCCAATCCTCTTGAATTCAGGTGGTCTTGAATTACCATCTCCAAGAACTCATCCACTTCCTTAGCAACCCTGTCAACTCTCCTGTCAAATCCGGTCATGCGATCAATCCACCACAACCAGGGAACAAAGTCCCCAACATTGACTCTCCCCCCCAGCTGCATAAGTTCTGTTAGCAGCCTTACAAACCTCCTGCCATCTTCCCCTTCACTGTACTTCTTTCCGCAGGATGCTCTGCAGGTCATATCGTTAGTGAACGACGTAAACAGCTCACTCAAATTGACAGGGGAGCTGCAGCTGCAGCAGGCTTTGATCTTCTCAAAACAAATCGCTATTTCTTCCTCTCTGATGAAACGGAAAGACTGCACCCGTTTGGGGCTCAGCAGCTGAAGAACACAAATGCTTTTCAATTTCCGCCAGTATTCACCGTAAGGGGCGATGAATAAGTTCTTGTGATTATAGAAAAGTTGCCTCAGAGTCCTCGTCGTAGGCTTGTCAGAGAAGACAAGATCGTGGGCTTTCATGATCTTCGCAGCAGCGGCCGATGACTGGATGATGATCACCGGCCGGCTGCCAAAGTGTAGCAGCATAACCGGGCCATACTTGGCGCCTAAGGCATGGAATGAGCGGTGAATCAGCGCGCTTAGCTGGTGAAGGTTCCCCAAGATTGGCAGCCTCGGCGGCGATGGAGGTTGCACCCTCTGCTGCTGGTTTGTTCGACGCCGTTTGAGGGCGAACCACGCCAAGAATGATGCCGCAGTGAGGAAACAGAAAAGTGGATTGAGAAGAAGAAATGCATCCATGGCGGAAGATCTGTTTGGCTTCCCAAAAAATGCAAATAATAATCAATGGTGAAAATGATGGGTTCAACGCATCTCTCACAGAGCGCACAGCACAACTTGAGGAGGCAGCTGAGCTGAGCTGAGCAGAGCAGTACAACGACTCAAATATATATTCCGTCTAGCAATCGAAAAGAAAAGAAGTGTAGGAAGAAAGAAACTTATTTATTTTTGTTGTCTTTAATTAAGCAAACACACCCGTGTATTTATTGGCTAAACATGATCACATTTATGAAAGAAGAGGTAGAATCCACGCATGACAATATGACATATGTATTTAAAATTTACAATGCGTTGTGTTTACTTTGTAGGATGGGTAATCTCTAATATGATTTTATTACTATTAAATATAGGATAATACAGACTTTCAAGAAATGCGATTAATCTTATTAATCTACATTCCTGATTGCTTAATGCAATAAATTTTGAATATTTTTTTTAATCTCTTCTCTAGATGCTACTATTGCAAGACCATATTCGAGCATAAAATGTTGAGAATTTTTTTCTATCATTTCATTTTTATTAATATTTTTAGTGCAATTAATTTTATACTCCATTTCATTTAGATAATTTTACCATATCAAGAGTAAGAGTATTATTCACGGTAAAATATTTCATTATAGAAGATGATGATTCCAAATGAAGGAATAGATACAAGTCAAACTAGGAGCCTCGAGACTTGGAGAAAATATTTACCCATGTTCTATAATGTCGTAGTTCATGTGTTTGATGACGTATATGACAATTTATGAGTTGGTATGCTTTGAGATATGACTTAAGTTATCTAATGAATATGGATGATATGCCCAACCAAACTTAACTTGACACTACATAAAATCCAGTACAATATGTAAGGTTCCTATTATGGCTCAAAATATTTATTTTAAACAGTTTGACAAATTGAGCCCGTCGAAAATCGGTTGGATTCTTTGGCTTATTTGAAAAAGAATCTGGAACTCTGTTACTTGGTAGGATTGGGTTAATTTGAAATATAGAGTTAAAAAGAGAAAATTATCAAACAGGTGCTCGAACGGAAATGCAATCGGATGATCTAAATAGAATTAAAGCTGCTGAATCGGAAGCAGGAATGATAAAAAAAATGGTGCAGAAAATCAAATTAATTGCACAAATACTGGAATTGAAGAAAAACTAAAGTTGGAATTACATAAGAAAAATGAATTAAACAAAATAGTGCAACTGAGTTTTGGGTGAGTTTGGGCTTATTGATTGTGTCTTTGTCATCTGCTATTTACTTCCTAAACTCATGGGGAGACCACGCGTGGTCTTAGGTTGATGCATTCAACGCTGCTGGACCTCGCTCAAGACTGTCAGTCTCGAGTTCAGCTTACACCACCGTACCATTCTTATAGGAATATATATATATATATTTTTAATGCCTTGATGATTTTAATGTTATCGAATAATTTTAATTAATTATTCTCACATACCTTATTCATAGCAAGAGATACAATATATAAAAGCCCACGTAATCAGTGTTAGAAATAATTCATAACATGTTTCAAAGTGTAAATTAAAGATTCCAACAGTAATCTCGTCTTTAATCTTCTTCTTTTGAAATTGCAAATTTATTAACTCTCAACAATTAATATGAAATCTGTTTATATGAAATAAAAATGATTGCTTTCAAAGATAAGATCTCTCAATCTTTCTAGAACTGAGCTACCTTTGGAACAGCAAAAAGAGGATTCTTCCTGGCAGTAACGCCACCGGGTTGTTCGGTGGCGTCTAAGTCCTCCCACTTTGTTCTCAAAGGTAATTCCCAATCAAACTTGTAGATAAGATTAGCTAACAAAAATCTGATGCTTGCCATGGCAAATCCAATTCCTGGGCAGCCTCTTCTTCCTGCCCCAAATGGAATCAGCTCGAAATCTGCACCCTTGAAGTCTATTGAACTGCCTAAAAATCTCTCAGGCTTAAATGCGTCGGGTTCATCCCAATTTGCAGGATCTCTACCGATTGCCCAAGCACTGACTAGAGCCATGGCCCCCGCAGGAATGTCGTATCCCATAACCTTGACATCTTGCCGTGCTACTCTACCCGTAAATGGATTGGGAGGATGCATGCGCATGATTTCCTTCACCACTGCTCTCAGGTACTGCATTTGTTCCAATTCATTGTTGGTTATACTTGTGGTGTTGTCCTTGTCTTTCAGGATTGCTCTAACTTCACATTTCAGCTTGTCCATCACATTCGGGTGTTTGAAGAGCTCTGTCATCGTCCATTCCAGGGCTGCGGCTACAGTCTCAGTGCCCCCAACAATCATATCCTGCAGGTCTCATTCTAAAACTCCTTGAGAAACATTTCAAAATAAATGTACACCAAGAATCAGGACAAGAGCAAGATCTTACCAGGATAATGGCCTTTATACCGTCTCTGTCGATGTTGCCATCCCCGTAACTGTTGAGCAAAATTCCGACAAAGCTGTCTTCATGATTTCCATGTCCAGACTCACCAATTTCCAATCCTCTTGAATTCAGGTGGTCTTGAATTACCATCTCCAAGAACTCATCCACTTCCTTAGCAACCCTGTCAACTCTCCTGTTGAATCCTGTCATACGATCAATCCACCCCAGCCAAGGAATAAAGTCCCCGATATTAAATCTCCCCAACAGCTGCGAAACTTCTCTTAGCAGCCTTAGAATCCTCCTTCCATCTTCCCCTTCACTGTACTTCTTTCTGCAGGACGCTCTACAGGCTACGTCGTTAGTAAACAACGTAAACAGCTCACTCAAATTGACAGGCGAGTTGCAGCAAGCTTTGATCTTCTCAACCAAAAGAGAAGTTTCCTCCTCTCTGATGAAATGGAAAGATTGCACCCGTTTGTTGCTCAGCATCTGAAGAACACAAATGCTCTTCAATTTCCGCCAGTGTTCACCATAAGGGGATAAGGCTATGTCCTTCTGATTGTACGCTAATTTCTTCATAGTCCTCCTCGATACGGTCCTGTCACCGAATACGAGATCGTGGGTTTTCAAGATCTCGGCTGCCCCGGCAGATGACTGGACGATTATCATTGGCCGGCTGCCGAAGTGCAGCAGCATGATGGGACCGTACTTGGCGCCCAAAGCGTGGAATGAGCGGTGGGCCAGCGGGCTTATCTGGTGAAGGTTCCCCAAGATTGGCAGCCTCGGCGGCGATGGAGGCTGCACCCCCTGCTGCTGGTTTGTACGACGCCGTTTGAGGACGAACCACGCCGAGAGTGATGCGGCGGTGAGAAAACACAGAAGTGGATTGAGAAGAAGAAATGCATCCATGGCGGAAGATCTATTTGTCTTCCCAAAAAATGCAAATAATAAGCAATGGTAAAAATGAGGGCAGCTGAGCTGAGCTGAGCTGAGCAATGCACTTACAAGTACAACGATCAGCTTCAATATATAGAAACATAATTAGATATATTAATAGAATTATGTATGCGACTCATATGTTTTTATATATATATATATTTTTTGTGTGCATAGAAACCAAAACATGGGTAAGAAGAAAGAAACTAAAAAGAAATAAAAAAAATCTTTCATCTTCTTATTAAGCAAACACACCCCGATTTATTGGTTAAACACTTCACACTTACGAAAGGACAGGTAGAATCCATGCATGACAACATGATATATGCATACAATGCAAATAATATGTATATAACACTCTCTCATAGAAGGATTTGGATTGAGCTATAGAGTTCGATTGCTTTCACTTCACATTTAAACTCTCGTTAAACACACGCTTCTAATTAACTTAAATAGTCTATATCGCAGTTTAGCCCAACACGTTACTCATTTTTAAGCCTAAGTAATTGAGAAAAATATCTATAGATTGATTTTAATACACTTAATGCATCGGTTTAGAGATTTTGTTTTCGTGAAGTAAATTCTATAAACTATTTTAATCGATTTATTCAACAAACTAAGGGGAAGATCTGTTTATACGAATAGACAGTGACTGCTTTCGTAGAAAATAAGATGCCTCAATCTTTCTAGAATTGAGCTAAAGTTGCAACAGCCAAAAGAGGATGCTTCCTGTGGATAGTGAGACCACGTTTCTCTGCAGTGTCCAACTCCTCCCAGTTTGGTAAATCCCATTCAAACTTGTATATAAGATTAGCTAACAGAAGCTCGATGCCTGCCATGGCAAATCCACTTCCTGGGCAGCCCCTTCTTCCTGCCCCAAATGGAATCAGCTCGAAATCGACACCCTTGAAGTCTATTGAACTGCCGATGAATCTCTCGGGCTTAAATGTGTCGGGTTCATCCCAAGATGCAGGATCTCTACAGATTGCCCAAATATTGATAAAGACTTTGGTCCCGGCAGGAATGTCGTATCCCATAACCTTCACATCTTGCAGCGCTAATCTACCCGTTAATGGTATTGAAGGATGAAGGCGCAGAGTTTCCTTCACCACTGCTCTAAGGTAATGCATTTGTTCCAAGTCATCGTTGGTTATACTTATGGTGTGATTCTTGTCTTTCAGGATTGCTCTCACTTCAGATTTCAATTTGTTCATCACATTTGGGTTTCTGAGGAGTTCTGTCATCGTCCATTCCAGCGCCGCAGCTGTGTTGTCAGTGCCCCCGGCAAGCATCTCCTGCAGAACACATTTTAAAACTACCTGAAAAAAAAATTGAAACAAACGAGCAAGATCTTACCAAGATAAGGGACTTTATGCTGTCTCTGTCGATGGTGTTGTCCTGGTAGACGTTGAGCATAGTGCTGAGTAAGCTCTCTTCAATTTCCGATCCGTTTATGTTGTCTTCAATTACCATCTCCAAGAACTCATCGACTTCCTCAGCAACCCTGTCGACTCTCCTGTCGAATCCTGTCAAGCGATCAATCCACGACAGCCGAGGAAAAAAGTCCCCGACATTGAGCCTCCCCGACAGCTGCATAAGCTCTGTTAGCAGCCTTAGAAACCTCCTTCCATCTTCCCCTCCACTGTACTTCTTTCCGCAGGATGCTCTGCAGATCACGTCATAAGTGAAGGACATAAACAGCGCACTCAAATTGACAGGCAAGTTGCAGCAGGCTTTGATCTTCTCGATCAAAATTGCAGTTTCCTCCTCTCTGATGAAATGGAAAGACGGCACCCGTTCTCTGCTCAGCAGATGAAGAACACAAATGCTTTTCAATTTCCGCCAGTATTCACCATAAGGGGCGAGGGATATGTCCTTGTCATTATAGAAAAATTGCCTCATACTCCTATGCCCGGGCCTATCAGCGAAGACAAGATCATTGGCTTTCATGATCTCGGCAGCTGTGGAAGATGACTGGACAAAGATCACCGGCTGGCTTCCGATGTGTAGCCGTATAATCGGGCCATACTTTGCGCCTAAGTCACGTAATGAGCGGTGATCCACTCCGATTAGCTGGTGAAGGTTCCCCAAGATTGGCAGCCTCGGCGGCGATGGAGGCTGCACCCCCTGCTTCTGGTTTGTACGATGCCGTTTGAAGACTAACCACGCCAAGAATGATGCCGCAGTGAGGAAACAGAAAAGTGGATTGAGAAGAAGAAATGCATCCATGGCGGAAGATTTATTTGTCTTCCCAAAAAATGCAACTATCAGCTCCAATATATAGATACATAATTAGAGATATTAATATAACTATGTAATTCTTCTGTGTACAGAAACGAAAAGAAGTGTAGGAAGAAAGAAACACACCGTATTTATTGCCTAAACACTTTACACTTACGATAGAACAGGTAGCATCCATGCATGACAATGACGTGTATTTAAAACATGTGTGTAAATAATATGTATGGCGGCTGTTAAGAAGGGTTCCGAAGTTTTAACTTAAAATCAATTTATATTAAGTAAAATAGTCATTTACTCTTATAAGCTAGGCGAGTTCTAACATTTTTACTAATGTGATATAACCTCTACACCTAGTGTTTCTTAAAAATGTTGTACAAAATTTTTTAAAAATTATATGAAATTTACATCTATTTTTTTAAAATATTTGAAAACACAAGCAAGTCTTATGCCATTTTTTTAGAGCATGTGTGAGAATTGTTTAAACTTTTCAAACGGATTATAAGTAATTTTGCCTTAGCTTCATATAATTTTTTATTTTATACATAATATAACTATTATTTGTTCATGTAACATGAAAAATTAAAGATGATTGCACTTCAAGGAATTGATACAAGTCAAACCAGGAGCCTTGAGACTTGGAGAAAATATTTATCCATGTTTTGGATAATATGCTAGTTCATGTGTTGATGCGTATATGGCAATTTATGAGTTGGTATATGCTTTGAGATTCGACTCAAGTGTATAATGAACATGGATGATCGGTGCCCAACCAAATTTTAACTCTGTAAAATCCAGTACAATATCGAAAAACTTGAGAAAGTTTGCACAATTAGTTCTTGAATTATGTTTGCTTTGGGAGGGGGAATTGTTTTCAGTTCAATCCATATATGAAATTCTTCTTCATAATCATAAGCATTTTGTTCATAAAACCTTCACAATTTGGCATATTGATATTTTTTACGTGTTGATAGTTTTAGCTGACATCAAATTACTTTGAATAAACATGATTAAAACCCTGCACTTCTTGTATCGTAGCGCATACCCTCTTTATTAAAGCACTGCAATTGCCATGGATTCCTTGAAAATATATATATATATATATAGCTTTCACAATTAAGATAGCTCAATCCTTCTGGAATTGAGCTTCAGTTGCAACAGCAAAGAGAGGATTCTTCCTGTGGGTAGTTACACCGGGCAGTTCTTCGGTGTCCAAGTCCTGACAGTACTTTGGTAAATCCCATTCAAATTTGTATACAAGATTAGCTAACACGAATTCGATGCTTGCCATGGAGAATCCAATTCCTGGGCAGCTCCTTCTTCCTGCCCCAAATGGTATCAGCTCGAAATCTGCACCCTTGAACTCTATTGAGCTGCCGACAAATCTCTCAGGTTTAAATGCGTCGGGTTCTTCCCAGGATGCAGGATCTCTACCGACTGCCCAAGCATTGACAAGGGCCATGGTCCCAGCAGGAATGTTGTATCCCATAACCTTGACATCTTGCCGCGCTAATCTGCTCGTAAGTGCAACCGGAGGATGAATGCGCATGATTTCCTTCACCACTGCTCTCAGGTAATGCATTTGTTCCAAGTCATTGTTGGTTATACTTACGGTGTGATTCTTGTCTTTCAGGATTGATCTCACTTCACATTTCAATTTTTTCAGGACATTCGGGTGTCTGAGAAGTTCTGTCATCGTCCATTCCAGCGCTGCAGCTGTCGTCTCAGTTCCCCCGGCAAACATGTCCTGCAGGTCACATTCTTGAACTCATTGAAAATCATTTCAAATTAGCAAATGTACACCAAGAAACAGGACAAAATCTTACCAGGATAATGGCCTTTATACCGTCTCTGTCGATGATGCCATCCCCGTAAATGTTGAGCAAAATTCCGACAAAGCTGTCTTCATTTCCTTGTCCAGACTCACCAATTTGCAATCCTTTCGCATTCAGGTGGTCTTGAATTACCATCTCCAAGAACTCATCTACTTCCTTAGCAACCCTGTCGACCCTCTTCTCGAATCCTGTCAGACAATCAATCCACCATAGCCAAGGAACATACTCCCCGGCATTCACTCTCCCCACCTGCTGCACAACTTCTGTTAGCAGCTTTGGAAACCTCCCGCCATGTTCCCCTTCTCTATACTTCTTTCCACAGGATGCTCTGCAGATCACGTCGTAAGTGAACGACATAAACAGCTCACTCAAATTGACAGGCGAGCTGGAGCTGGATCTGCAGCAGGCTTTGATCTTCTCAACCAAAAGGGCAAGTTCTTCCTCTCGGATGAAATGGAAAGACTGCACCCGTTTGCTGCTCAGCAGCTGAAGAACACAAATGCTTTTTAATTTCCGCCAGTATTCACCGTAAGGGGCGACAGATATGTCCTTGTGATTGTAGAACAATTTCCTCATCGTCCCCAACGCGGCCTTGTCTGCGAAGGCGAGATCGTGGGTTTTCATGATCTCGGCAGCGGCGGCGGATGACTGGACGATGACCACCGGCCGGCTGCCGAAGTGCAGCAGCATGATCGGACCGTACTTGGCCCCCAAAGCGTGGAATGAGTGGTGGGCCAGCGCGCTTAGCTGGTGAAGATTCCCCAAGATTGGCAGCCGCGGCGGCGATGGAGGCTGCAGCCCCTGCTGCTGGTTTGTACGACGCCGGTTGAGGAGGAACCACGCCAAGAATGAGGCGGCGGTGAGGAAACACAGAAATGGATTAAGAAGAAGAAATTCATCCATGGGGAAGATTGATCTAGGTTCCTAAAATTTGAATGATTATAAATGGAAGATGAGCAGTACAACGATATATCAGCTTCAATATATAGAAACATAATTAGATGTAGATTAGACCATTCATGTCCAATCAACTCTCCAAAGTTTCTTCGACTTTCACGTCATATTTCTTTTCCCCTCCAATCAATAAATAGAAATATATTTATATTTATATCAATATAATTTACTTTTAAAATCAAATTGAAATAAATATAATACAAAAATATAAAAATAAATATACTAAAAAAATATTATTAAAGAAAAGGTTATTTTGTTTTAAATGGTGAAGGCTAACGTAGGGATTTTCCCCCTGTGTACTCTTAATATAGTTATGTATGCTATTCATGTATATATATATATATATATATGTCGGTGAGTAAGAGTCAAATCAATATAGTACTATATTAGTAAACTAATTTAAAAAGTAAAATTAGAATTATATTTTATTGTATATAATTATATAATTCGCTATTAGAAAAATCAGCTATATATATTAATGTCTACTTCCTATATAAATATTTACTAAAGCAGTAACAGAAAGCAATATATATTTTTTAATTAAGCAAACACATTGCAAATTTCATGGATTATCTTTCTTGACATTAATGGATAGTAGAAGCAACTGAATATTTGTATATATTGCATTTCATCATTATAATCAAGCTATCTCAATCTTTCTGGAATTGAGCCTCAGTTCAGTTGCAACAGCAAAAAGAGGATTCTTCCTGTGGGTAGTGACACCAGGCTGTTCTGTAGTGTCCAACCCCTCCAAGTTTGGTAATTCCCATTCAAACTTGTTTATAAGATTAGCTAACACGAGTTCGATGTTTGCCATGGCAAATCCAATTCCTGGGCAGCCTCTTCTTCCTGCTCCAAATGGAATCAGCTCAAAATCTACACCCTTGAAGTCTATTGAGCTGCCGACGAATCTCTCAGGTTTGAATGTGTCGGGTTCATCCCAAGATGCAGGATCTCTACCGACTGCCCAAGCATTGAGAATCACCATGGTGCCGGCAGGAATGTCATATCCCATAACCTTGACATCTTGCCGCGCTAATCTGCTCATAAAAGCAATGGGAGGATGAATGCGCAGAGTTTCCTTCACCACTGCTCTCAGGTAATGCATTTGTTCCAAGTCATCGTTGGTTATACTTATGGTGTGATTCTTGTCTTTCAGGATTGCTCTCACTTCACATTTCAATTTGTTCATCACATTCGGGTGTCTGAGGAGTTCTGTCATCGTCCATTCCAGCGCTGCAGCCGCAGTCTCAGTGCCCCCGGCAAACATATCCTGCAGGTCACATTCTAAAAATCATTTCAAAACAATGTACACCAAGAAACAGGACAAGATCCTACCAGGATAATGGCCTTTATGCCGTCTCTGTCGATGATGTTATCCGCGTAAATGTTGTGCAAAATGCCGACAAAGCTGTCTTCATGATTTCCATGTCCAGACTCACCAATTTCCAATCTTCTTGAATTCAGGTGGTCTTGAATTACCATCTCCAAGAACTCATCCACTTCCTTAGCAACCCTGTTGACTCTCCTGTTGAATCCTGTAATACTATCAATCCACCACAGCCAAGGAACATACTCCCCGACATTCATACTCCCCACAAGCTCCATAACTTGTGTTAGCAGCCTTGGAAACCTCCAGCCATCTTCCCCTTCGCTGTACTTCCTTCCGCAGGATGCTCTGCAGATCACATCGTAAGTGAACGACGTAAACAGCTCACTCAAATTGACTGGTGAGCTGGATCTGCAGCAGGCTTTGATCTTCTCAACCAAAAGGGCAATTTCTTCCTCTCTGATGAAATGGAAAGACTGCACCCTTTTGCAGCTCAGCAGCTGAAGAATACAAATGCTTTTCAATTTCCGCCAGTATTCACCATAAGGGGCGACGGATATGTCCTTGTGGTTGTAGAACAGTTTCCTCATAGTCCCCGACCCCGGCTTGTCTGCGAAGACGAGATCGTGGGTTTTCATGATCTCGGCAGCCGCGGCGGAGGACTGGACAATGATCACCGGCAGGCGGCCTAAGTGGAGCAGCATGATCGGGCCGTACTTGGCGCCCAATGCGTGGAATGAGCGGTGGGTCAGCGGGCTTAGCTGGTGAAGATTCCCCAAGATTGGCAGCCTCGGCGGCGATGGAGGCTGCAGCCCCTGATGCTGGTTTATACGACGCCATTGGAGGACGAACCACGCCAAGAGTGATGCGGCGGTGAGGAAACACAGAAATGGATTGAGAAGAAGAAATTCCTCCATGGCGGAAGATTGATCTAGGTTCCTAAAATGGGAATGATTAATGGTAGTGGTGATGGGGTCAACGCACCTCGCACAGAAAACACAACACACCTTGTTTGGCTGTTTTTGGACTGTTCTTGTACTTCGCTTCGTTTTGCGAATAAAAAATTTGATTAAAAAAATAAAATCACAGATCTAATAAGAGTCGATAACAAACCATTCAAATATAGATTTTTTTTCATTTGGTACAATGTAAACGGAATCATCATTTTGCTCTAAAGAACCAGTAGAAACAACATCCAAATTATTTTTCATCTGTATGTCTGAATCTTTCTAGAATTGAGCTACAGTTGCAACAGCAAAAAGAGGATTCTTCTTGCGGACAGTGAGACCACGGTGTTCTGCAATGTCCAACTCCTCCCAGTTAGGTAAATCCCATTCAAATTTGCATACAAGATTAGCTAACACGAGTTCCATGTTTGCCATGGTAAATCCAATTCCTGGGCAACCCCTTCTTCCTGCCCCAAACGGAATCAGCTCGAAATCTACACCCTTGAAGTCTATTGTACTCCCGATTAATCTCTCAGGCTTAAATGTGTCAGGTTCATCCCAAGTTGCAGGATCTCTACCGACTGCCCAAAAATTGATAAAGACCGCAGTCCCAGCAGGAATGTCGTATCCCATAACTTCGACATCTTGCCGGGCTAATCTACCCATAAATGGAGTGGGAGGATGAAGACGCAGAGTTTCCTTCACCACTGCTCTCAGGTAATGCATTTGTTCCAAGTCATCGTAGGTTATATTTATGGTGTGATTCTTGTCTTTCAGGATTGCTCTCACTTCGGATTTCAGTTTGTTCATCACATTCGAGTGTCTGAGGAGTTCTGTCATCGTCCATTCGAGCGCTGCAGATATGGACTCAGTGCCCGCGACAAGCATATCCTGCAGGTCTCATTGTAAAACTCGTCGAGATACATTTCAAATGAAAGTACACCAAGAAACAGGACACGAGCTAGATCTTACCAGGATAATGGCCTTTATACTATCTCTGTCGATTGTGTTATCCCTGTAAACGTTGAGCAAAATGCTGACAAAGCTGTCTTCAGGATTTCCATGTCCAGACTCACCAATTTCCGATCCTCTTGAATTCAGGTGGTCTTGAATTACCATCTCCAAGAACTCGTCCATTTCTTTAGCAACCCTGTCGACTCTCCTGTTGAATCCTGTAATACTATCAATCCACCCCAGCCATGGAACAAAGTCTCCAATATTTGATGTCCCCAGAAGCTGCGAAACTTCTGTTAGCAGCCTTAGAAACCTCTTTCCATCTTCCCCTTCACTGTACTTCTTTCTGAAGGAGGCTCTGCAGGTCATGTCGTTAGTGAACAACGTAAACAGCTCGCTCAAATTGACAGGCGAGTTGCATCTGCAGCAGGCTTTGATCTTCTCAACCAAAACGGCAGTTTCCTCCTCTCGGATGAAATTGAAAGACTGCACGCATTTGCTGCTCAGCAGCTGAAGAACACAAATGCTTTTCAATTTCCGCCAGTATTCACCATAAGGGGAGAAGACTATGTCCTTGTCATTGTACACAAATTTCATAATAGTCCTCGACGTGGATCTGTCAGCGAAGGCTAGATCATGGGCTTTCATGATTTCAGCAGCTGCGGCAGATGACTGGATGATGATCACTGGCTGGCTGCCAAAGTGCAGCAGCATGATCGGACCGTACTTGGAGCCCAAGGCGTGGAATGAGCGGTGGACCAGTGCGCTTAGCTGGTGAAGGTTCCCAAAGATTGGCAGCCTCGGCGGTGAGGGAGGCTGCACCCCCTGCTGCTGGTTTGTACAACCTCGTTTGAGGACTAACCACGCCAAGAATGCTGCGGCGGCCAGGAAACAGAAAAGTGGATTGAGAAGAAGAAATGCATCCATGGCGGAAGATCTATTGTCTTCCCAAAAAATGCAACGATCAGCTCCAATATATAGATACATAATTAGATATATACTAATTGATATAAATATGCATGCTTCGCACATATTTGTATTAAATATATGCACCTCCCTCTTCGTTGGATCAGCTGCAAATTCTTCCATGAATATAATTGATCTTGGAACGTGCCTAAACATTTTTTGCTGTCTTCTTACACATTTTGGAATGACTGATTCCGACACCAATAATTTACATTTCATGCTAATACCTGATATTAGAAGCAAGATTTAAAAATAAGAGTGTCAGACGAGATCGATCGTTGATAGAATCTCCTGGTAAGACTTTTTAGATGGATGCAATTCCCATTCGCATTACAACAACCCGCTGTTTTGCATGTGCCTTAATTTCTATTTATTTGCTAAAGAAGTGAGGAAAGGGTCGGAAATCTCTCCGTCACGTCTACTCAAAATAGTGTTTGACTTATTTAGTTATTTATTTAACATTCAAATATCAAGATGGTGGCATACGAGGTTGTTTATTTACATTATTTTCTTTTTTCGAAAATAACACGTTGTAGGAACCCGATCGGCAGTGTTTGGCAAGCAAACAACAACGTTAAAGTAGCTGAATGATATCATTTACGGGCAGAAAAAATATACCTGTCAGTGTATTAGTCTTTCAGAGGTCTTCTTTTTTTTTTTCTTAGAAATGTCGAAATAAGCAAAAAAAATTTTAAGATTGAAAAATTTGACGGAACAGATTTGAAAAGACTAGGAGGTAGGTCCTTTTTTTTTAGCCCACGTACACACACCAGTACATTTCAAACCGGAGTCATAGCCTCAAACAAAAAATATCTCACTATTTTGATCTACAAGAATTTGGCAACTCTTGTATAGCTTACCTTACATAACTATATACATAGATGAGAGTAAAAGTGTCTTGAATTTGATTAACATTTCTGATTAAATCTCAGATTTTTTTCTTTTTAAATTAACTTTCAGTCACATTGCAAGTTAGAATATATTCTTTTATTACAATTCTCTCTTCTACTTGTCTCTAAATCCCTACACACACAGAGTTAGTCTTCTTTTTTTTTTTTTTTTTTTTTTGAGTTGACTATATATTTTGGAGTAATAAAAACTCTTTGTACCAAAATAAATATGCTGTGTTTTTCATACATATAAGACAAATTGTTGACTATTTCATTATCTCTTTTATCATTTTTGAACCTAGATGGAATAGGATAAAATATGTCTTGCATCATCCCGCATAATCTGTTATATTTAGAATGTTTTGAGACATTGAAACCTAAGTATGTGCACCTATCAATAAAGGTCAGAATCCCCAAACCCACTACAATATGAACTAAAATCTGATAAAATTATGTATATGCATAGACTGTTTCTTTAGTTGAATTACATTAAGGAATTTGGGATGAATAGAACTTTGCCTTGCATCTCATGGATCTGAAATGGACTTGATGCTGAGTGCATGATCTTACATATATGCCAGAGAATGATCCAGTTGATGAGGAATTTGAAGGTGATGGCGATTCAAATGAGGCCCAGAGGACCCCTGTGAGTAACAACCATGTTCCTCCATTTTCAAGCCGAACTGGATAAACATTTTTGTGTGTGCTTATTTTACCAGTGTTTTTACATAAGCTTTATTTTGGAACAAATATACATATAGATCATAGTGCTTAATTAATTTCTAGAATCGAGCTTCAGTTGCAACAGCCAAAAGAGGAGTCTTCCTGTGAGTAGTGACACCAGGTTGTTCTATGGTGTCCAACTCCTCCCAATGTGTCCCCTCGGGCAATTCCCATTCAAATTTGTGCATAACATTAGCTAACACAAGTTCGATGCTTGCCATGGCAAATCCAATTCCTGGACATACCCTTCTTCCTGCTCCGAAGGGAATCAACTCGAAATTGACACCCTTGATGTCTACTGAACTGTTCAAGAATCTCTCGGGCTTAAATTTTTCGGGTTCATCCCAAGATGCAGGATCTCTACCGATCGCCCAAGCATTAACAAGGATCCTGCTCCGAGCAGGAATGCTGTATCCCATCACTGTGGCGTCTTGTCGCGATGCTCTACCCAACAATGGAAGTGGAGGATGAATGCGCAGAGTTTCCTTCACCACTGCTCTCAGGTAATGCATTTGATCCAAGTCATCATTGGTTATGCTGTGATTCTTGTCTTTCAGGATATTCCTCACTTCAGATTGCAACTTGTTAAGCAAATTCGGGTGTCTCAGGAGCTCCGTCATCGTCCATTCCAGCACTGATGCAGCCGTCTCAGTCCCCCCGGCGAGCACATCCTGCAAGATCAAAATTTAACTTCAAAACAAAACTCTTCGCCAAGAAACAGGGAAGCTGAACTAGCATGAACTTACCAGGATAATGGCCTTTATCCCGTCTCTGTCGATCATTTTGTCCGCATAAATATTGAGCAAAATATCAACAAAGCTGTCTTCTTTTGCGGCGCCACCAGACTTACCAATCTCTTCCAATCTTCTTGCATTCAGGTGGTCTTGAATTACCATCTCCAAGAACTCATCCACTTCCTTAGCAACCCAGTCGACTCTCCTGTCGAATCCCGTCACGCTATCAATCCACCACAGCCAGGGAACAAACTCCCCGATGTTCATACTCCCCGCCAGCTGCATTACCTGTGCTAACAGATTCAGAAACCTCTTTCCCTCTTCCCCTTCGCTGTACTTCCTTCCAAAGGATGCTCTGCAGATGACGTCGTTCGTCAACGAGGCAAACATCTCGCTCAAATTGACAGGGCTGCGGCTGCAGGCCTTGATCTTCTCAACCAAAAGGGCAGTTTCTTCCTCCCTGATGAAATGGAAAGACTGCACCCGTTTGCTGCTAAGCAGCTGCAGAATGCAAATGCTTTTAAGTTTCCGCCAGTATTCCCCATAAGGGGCGAGGGATATGTCCTTGAGGTTGTAGAACATTTTCTTCATAGTCTTCCACTCCGGCTTGTCGGCAAAGGCGAGATCCTGGGCTTTCATGATTTCGGTGGCGGCGGCCGATGACTGGACGATGAGCACCGGCAGGGTGCCGAAGTGGAGCAGCATGATCGGGCCGTACTTGGCGCCCAAGGCGTGGAAGCTCCTGTGGGTCAGCGGGCTGAGGTGGTGAAGGTTACCCAAGACTGGCAGCCTCGGCGGCGACGGAGGCTGCAGGCCCTGATGCTGAGTTGTACGGCGCCGTTTGAGGACGAACCACACCAATGATGCGGCGGTGAGGAAATATATGAAAGGATTGAAGAGAAGAAATCCATCCATGGCGGAAAATTAAGAAACGGCTTAGTTCCCAAAATGCGAGTGGTGACGAGCTTGTCAAGCTCAGTGTTACTTGAAATGAATAAATAAGTTGAGGCAACATCAATGAGTAGTAGTAATTCGAAGATCAAATCAAGGGCATCTTTCAAGTTTCAACCAACATCTCCTAAGGAATCATGAATAAAATAAATGAAGATAATGATTTATACATTTAATATTTATATTATATTATATTGAACATAGACCAGTGAAGCTCCTGCAAGCATGGCGTGGGGCGGGATGGGGGTAGAAATGACGATTGGGTGGGTCTCCCTCCGGTTCTGTGTCAACGGGTGAGTTGGGATTTAAAATTTTATTATAGGAGTAGGTTATAACTTTTTAGATTTTAAATCACATTGCTTGTGGAGGCTGATTACGAACCTGATGTGATTCATTCAAACCCGAACATGATCTGGTTCTTTAGAGTCTGAACTTCATCTTCATATACCCCATGTGTATGCTCTGAGGTTTAATATTCTCCCTGTTCCACTGAATCGAGAGGCCCTAGAAATTCTGCAGAGCTGCAGAAGACGCCTCAACTGTCGCCATTGTCGTCGCAGACGAGCTTAAAGGAAGAGGACAGCACCTGCCTGTCATGTCAGGACAAACAATCCACTAATTCTGCCCTGTTCGTGAGCTTGGGCAATTTAGCTGTGATAAGCGAAGAACTAATTTCTATGCCTGGGGGATTCACTGACGCTGACGCAGCCAAGAAAATGACAGACACAATTGCCCGTTTCTTAGGCATTGCATGAAACCTAATTATATCATCCAAACTATTATTAAAATAATTCCATGTATCCTTGTCGGATTCCATTTCCATTTGGTGGGAATTAAAGGCATTCGCCGAATTGTCGAAAACGGTCAGAGAGAAACTGGAAAAGTATCACTGTAAATTGTTGTCATTCCAAAATTTGTAAGAAGAAGACAAGCAGAAAATTGCAAAATATGCTGCAGGCAAGTCTCCGACGCGTTCATGACTATTCGTCTCGAAAGCAGAAAGTCCAACAGCTCATCACTGCCCTACGTCTGTGATAAGAAGACCATCCGACAAACAAAACACGACCATGATTCCCCTTTTTCGGCTTCTTTTGTATTTTCTCCCCGACAGGTAATTAAACTAGACTCGCCATTGTATTCATCGTACGGTTGATAAATCCCAGGCTGCACTAACTCATTTTGTATGTTTTAAGTTCAAGCTGGAGCCCAACAATCTCCATGCCCGTCGATCATTGGGGAAAAGAATAGAAATGGAGAAGATGGCATCGAGAAAGCGAGTTGTTTTAGTTCCATACCCTTTCCAGGGACACATAACACCCATGCTTCAGCTGGGCTCAGTCCTCGATTCCCATGGCTTCTCCATCACAGTCCTCCAAACAAACTTCAACTCTCCGGATCCTTCTGACCACCCTTCCTTCACTTTCTTGCCATTGGCCGACGGCTTAGAGGGCTACGATATCTCCTTCTACAACCTTCTGAATGCGATGGCGGAAATGAACAAGAACTGCGAGGCCCCATTTGAAGAACACATGACTCGGATGCTGGAAGAAGAAGATCGTGGAGAGGTAGCGTGTATAATCTATGATTCCATCATGAGGTTTGTGGATATTGTGGCCCCTAGGCTAAAGGTTCCGACTATCGTGCTTAGAACAAATTCTGCTGCTTATATGCACTCCCAAATAATCATGCTCCATCTTCTGCAGCAAAAGTTTATTCCTTTGCCAGGTTAATTTGTGAAACCAGTTTAGGAATCTCGTCTGTCGATTAATCACAACTTAAAAAGGAGGACTCACTATCTTGTGTCTGTGTGTGTATTTTTATTTTTTTTAACAGAGTCTGAACTGCATGTTATGGTGCCGGAGGCGTATCCTCTCAGATATAAGGATCTTCCGATGCCGGCATCTCAAGAACTCCCGGAACCCGTGGTAGAGTTTCTCCAGGCCTACACGAATGTGCAGTCGGATGCAGCAGTCATCTGGAACACCGTGGAGTCACTCGACCGTTGGCCGTTGCAGCAGCTGAAGCAGCGTTGGTCCGTTCCCTTCTTTCCCATCGGCCCTTTACACAAAATAGCGCAACCGTCGCAGACCAGCTTGATCGAAGAGGACAACGCCTGCTTGTCATGGCTGGACAAACAATCTCCCAATTCTGTTCTGTTTGTGAGCTTAGGCAGCTTAGCTGTAGTAGATGAAGAGGAGCTGATCGATATGGCTTGGGGGATCGCCAAAAGCGAGCAGCCATTCTTGTGGGTGCTGCGTCCGACTTTATTAAATGGATCCGATCCGATCAAATCCCTGCCTCAAGAATTCAAGGAAATGACACGCGAAAGAGGGTGCATGGTTAAGTGGGCGCCGCAGAAGAAGGTTCTAGCGCACACTGCAGTGGGAGGCTTCCTCACGCACTGCGGCTGGAATTCGACATTGGAAGGTATCTGCGAAGGGGTCCCGTTGATATGCAGGCCTAGCTTCGCAGACCAGATGGTGAACTCGAGGTACTCGACACACGAGTGGAAGGTTGGGATTGAGGTTGAGGTCAGGACTGGGGATGGTTATGAGAGAGCTGTTAGGACATTAATGGCGAGTGAGGAAAGTAAAATGATGAAACAGAGAGCAGTCAAGCTGAAGCAGGAAATAGAGCAGTCCATCAATGGAGGAGCCTCCCATGAATCCCTTGCCTGCCTTGTAGAATTCATTACTTCCTTAACTGTAGGAAGAAAATAGCAACAATGTCTATTCATTATGCTTGAAGAATAAGACCATATTATGTGATACAATTGGTTACTGTCATCGAAACTTTGCAGAACAGCATCAGCTGATTGAGTGTTTATTTAATGAGAAGAAATGGATCGAGATTTATTATAGGGATTAAAATATGATTGTCGGTTTGGATCAAATGCTGAATTCATTCATTAAACAATTTAATAATTATGGTAATCATTAATTTAGACAAATTCCATAATTATGTAGGTTTAAGTTTTAGCAATCCCAAGCCCCGGGGAAAGGAAAGACAGCTAAATATGCATGTTTCAGGCACGTCTACAGAAAAATACGTTTCAGGCATATATACCTCCGGCACGTTCCATGATTGTTCTTCTTTTCCAATTTCCAACACCTCATCATCACTGCCCTACCTACGTTTGCTGTAAGAAAACCATCTGACAAACAAAACACCATTACAGTCTATAACTCATCGGGGAAAGGAAAGGGGAAAAGGCATAGAGATGGAGAAAACAGAATGGAGAAGAAAGCGGGTGGTCTTAGTCCCATACCCTTTCCAGGGACACATCACTCCCATGCTTCAGCTGGGCTCGGTCCTCCATTCCCATTGCTTCTCCATCACAGTCCTCCAAACAAACTTCAACTCTCTGGATCCTTCAGATCACCCCTCCTTCACCTTCTTGACGTTGCCCGACGGCTTAGAGGGCTTAGATGTCTCCCTCAACAACCTTCTGAATGTGATGTCAGTAATGAACGCCAACTGCGAGGCACCATTCGAAGAACACATGACTCGGATGCTGGGAGAGGAAGATGGTGGAGAGGTAGCCTGTATAATCTATGATCCCTTCATGAAGTTTGTGGATATCGTGGCCGATAAGCTCAAGGTTCCAACTATGCAGCTCAAAGTAAATCCTGCCGCTTATACGCACTCCATGGTAATCTTTCTCCAGCTTCTGCAACAAAAGTTGATTCCTTTGCCAGGTTTGGGACAGCAGTTTAAGAATCTGTTTTGTCTTCTCTTGTCGATTGATTACAAGGGAGGACTCACTATCTTGTGTTTTTTTTTTTTTTTTTAAAACAGAGTCGTCTGATTTGAATGTTTTGGTGCCGGAGGCATATCCTCTCAGATATAAGGATTTTCTGATGCCAGTAACTCAAGGAATCCCGGAGCCTGTAGTAGAGTTTATCCAGACCAACACGAATGTGCAGTCGAATGCAGCAGTCATCTGGAACTCGGTGGAGTCACTTGACCATTGGCCATTGCAGCAGCTGCAGCAGCGTTGGTCCATTCCCTTCTTTCCTGTTGGCCCTTTACACAAAAGTGCGCAACCATTGCAGACCAGCTTGATCAAAGAGGACAAAGCCTGCTTGTCCTGGCTGGACAGGCAATCTCCCAATTCTGTCCTGTTTGTGAGCTTAGGCAGCTTATCTGTAATGGATGAAGAAGAGCTGATCAATATGGCTTGGGGGATCGCCAAAAGTGAGCAGCCATTCTTGTGGGTGCTCCCTCCAAATTTATTAAATGGATCTGATCCGATCGACACCCTGCCTCAAGAATTCAAGGAAATGACACGCGAAAGAGGCTGCACGGTTAAGTGGGCGCCACAGAAGAAGGTTCTGGCGCACACTGCCGTTGGAGGCTTCCTCACGCATTGTGGCTGGAATTCGACATTGGAAGTTCTCTGCGAAGGGGTCCCGTTGATATGCAGGCCTAGCTTCGGAGACCACATGGTGATCTCAAGGTACATAACACAAGAATGGAAGGTTGGCATCGCGGTGGAGGTCAAGACTGAGGATGGTTATGAGAGAGCTATTAGGACATTAATGGCGAGTGAGGAAGGGAAAATGATTAAACAGAGAGCGGTCAATCTGTAGCAGGAAATAGAGCAGTCCATCAGTGGAGGAGCTTCCCATAAATCCATTGCCTGTCTTGTGGAATTCATTACTTCCTTAACTGTAGGAAGAAAATAACAATTGGCTACAAGAAATTCATGTCATGTATTGGTTTTGATTAAGCATAAGTTTGATCTTGTTTTCATTTCTTAATTCATGTCTTTTCTAAAGATTTTTTTCCTCCCTCCATGAATTCATACTTCTTAGTTCTTTTGTTATTATTGGATTCATTCGAATATGAGATTTTATTATAAAACTTCTTCTCAACAATATGCAACACTGCCGGCAACTACCGATCCATCTCAAGTTCCGATCCATCTCAAGTTCCACTATAATTGTAGGATAATTTAATCTCTACTTAACTGGCACTCGAGGGCTACAGTACATCTCTGGCTTCAACTTGGGCTTCACAACACATAGAATGAGATCGCACCATAATTTCTTTCCTTATAATCTCTTGGATACCTATTTCCATAAACCTTCATGAACCATGGTTTGATGCCTCGAAGGCCGCCTATCCTTATCCTGTCTCTAATCATTTGCCCCATCCTAATTTTTGTTCTTCGTGGGATTCAGCTTTTAAACCTCATTCTCTTTTTTCCGATAAAAAACTAGATAGGAATAGGGATGTTTTTAAGGGTGTTCTCTAGCTTACATAGCACAGCTGTACTATCATTAATCTCACCAAATGAAATATATTCATAGACAACATATTATATAAATATAAATAGACAGGATGTGTTGTGTTATTTGAACACATATACTCTTTGCCTATTTTCTATATACTGTTTAGGCAAATAAGAATCTTGTTGATTTGCCTCAATTAGCTCCCTAATCTATCCAATCCTGAAATGTTATCATTCAACTGCCTGAATACCAAGAAAAAATATCAAATTTTCCTTTTGCCTGCCCAAACACTGTTGATCAGCGCTTTGTCCGCCAAAAAATCTGATATATATCTATAATAATTTATTTCCGAAAAAAAAAATAATAAATAAAAAAAAACCAGCTTCGTATCCCACTCAATCTTCATACAACCTGTGTTTGGAGCTAAAGGGGTGGGGAGATTTCATATCCTCACTCCTTTAATAAATAAATGAAGCAGAGGTTGTTGACGTGAATGCATGTGATTGATTTACCAATATATGAACCAAATAAAATTTGCAAATTGCTGCTGCCAAGAAACAAGGAATCAAGTAGCCAATCGGGAATAAAAAAAATTCAGATTTTAATCCTTTCGGTCTTAACAGGAGGCCCTTTCAAGTTTCAAGGGTCGATACCAGCAATTCTGTTGACGGCCTATTCTGCAATCTTATTTTCCAGGCTTGCTCTCGTTTCAATTCCCCGAATTGCCGAAAATGGTCAACGAGAACGTGGAGAAGCATGCAGTGTAGAATGTTGGCGATGAAATTTGTAAGAAGAAGACAGCAAAATATGCATGTTTCAGGCACGTCTTAGCTCAGGCATATATATATATATATAATATCTCCGGCACGTTCCATGATTATTCTTCTCGAATGTCCAACAGCTCATCACTGCCCTGCCCTGCCTACGTACGTTTGCTATAAGAAAACCATCTGACAGACAAAACTCCATGATTCCCCATTGTATTCATCGTACAGTTGCTAACTCATCGGGGAAAGGAAAGAGGAAAAAGGCATAGAGATGGAGAAAACAGAATGGAGAAGAAAGCGGGTGGTTTTGGTCCCATACCCTTTCCAGGGACACATAACTCCTCTTCTTCAACTGGGCTCCGTCCTCCGTTCCCATGGCTTCTCCATCACAGTCCTCCAAACAAACTTCAACTCTCTGGATCCTTCAGATCACCCCTACTTCACCTTCTTGACGTTGCCCGACGGCTTAGAGGGCTACGATTTCTATTTTAACAACATTCTGATGATGACATCAGTAATGAACGCAAACTGCAAGGCCCCATTCGAAGAACACATGTCTCGGATGCTGGAAGAGGAAGATGGTGGAGAGGTAGCGTGCATAATCTATGATTCCTTGATGAAGTTTGTGGATATAGTGGCCCCTAAGCTCAAGGTTCCGACTATTGTGTTCAGAGTAAATCCTGCTGCTTTTACGCACTCCTTGGTAATCTTGTCCGAGTTTCTGCAACAAAAGTTGATTCCTTTGCCAGGTTTGAGAATACAGTTTAGGAATCGTCTTGTCTTATCTTGTCTTGTGGATTGATTACAAGAGTAGGGAGGACTCACTATCTTGTGTTTTTGTTATTTCTTTTTTAACAGAGTCATCTGATCTGGATGTTATGGTGCCGGAGGCGTATCCTCTCAGATATAAGGATTTTCTGCTGCCGGTAACTCAAGAAATCCCGGAGCCTGTGGTAGAGTTTATCCAGACCTACACGAATGTGCAGTCGAATGCAGCAGTCATCTGGAACTCAGTGGAGTCACTCGACCATTGGCCATTGCAGCAGCTGCTGCAGCGTTGGTCGATTCCCTCCTTTCCTGTTGGCCCTTTACACAAAAGCGCAAAACTGTTGCAGACCAGCTTGATCGAAGAGGACAACGCCTGCTTGTCATGGCTGGACAGGCAATCTCCCAATTCTGTTCTGTTTGTGAGCTTAGGCAGCTTATCAGTAATGGATGAAGAAGAGCTGATCAATATGGCTTGGGGGATCGCCAAAAGCGAGCAGCCATTCTTGTGGGTGCTACATCCAAATTTGTTAAATGGATCCGATCCGATCAAGACCCTGCCTCAAGAATTCAAGGAAATGACGCGCAAAAGAGGCTACATGGTTAAGTGGGCGCCACAGAAGAAGGTTCTAGAGCACAGTGCCATTGGAGGCTTCCTCACGCACTGCGGCTGGAATTCGATATTGGAAGTTCTCTGCGAAGGGGTCCCGTTGATATGCAGGCCTAGCTTCGGAGACCACATGGTGATCTCAAGGTACATAACGCAAGAATGGAAGGTTGGCATCGAGGTGGAGGTCAAGACTGAGGATGGTTATGAGAGAGCTGTTAGGACATTAATGGCGAGTGAGGAAGGGAAAATGATGAAACAGAGAGCGGTCAAGCTGAAGCAGGAAATAGAGCAGTCCATCAATGGAGGAACCTCCCATGAATCCATTGCCTGTCTTGTGGAATTCATTATTTCCCTAACTGTAGGAAGAAAATAACAATCATGTCTCCATCCTGCAGCTTGAAGAGTAAGAGATCATATGTGATACATTTGACTACAAGAAATTCATGCAATGTATTTGTTTCGATCGTCTTAAGTTTGATCTTGTTTTGATTTCTTAATGTATTGTGTTGTTTCAGATTTTTTGCTCCCTTGCTTACTTGTTAGTTATCTTATTATTATTGGATTCATCCAATTGATCCAAATATGAACAATGTTATACTGAGCTATCTTAAAAAATGTTGAGTTCACGTTCGAGAATGTCTATACCATATAACATGAAATGAAACATAAAATAACAAAATAAGTCCCTTTAGGATTGGCACGGTGGTATAGGAATGAACTTGTGACAGCATCAACTACAGGGAGGTGAAAGAATGAATAGTAAAAATGTACATATACAAGAAGACGAGGACAACCTTAGTCCCCCAAAATAAAAGACTGCCCTTTTCTAGTATATCAAGTTAGAGAACGATGAGCTCAACATGTAGGGAATGCTCGCGGAATGACTCCGTTGGCGTGCCAGCTCATGAATGTCCTTCACAATGTCGAACACTGCATTGGGCTGCGCCAGTTTCAGTGCATTTTCCGACATTCTCATGAGCTCATCCTGCTTCGTGCTGAACCACTCTGTCACTATTCTTGCAGTTTCATTGGGGCTTCGAGTGAACACCCCTGCGCCATTGTCGACTACGTAAGGGACATTCCCTTGCTCCTGCAAAAATCCGATGCAAAAGAAGTAAGCAATAATTCCAGCATTAATATGGCTAGCTAGAGAATATGCATTCAGATTTCCTTACCTGCCCCGGAATGTAATCGTTTAGTATGATGGGAATGCCCCGTGTCAACGCTTCTGCGATGGTTCCTGGACCTGCCTGAATTTGTAGTACCAAAATTTAGTCAATTTTCGCAAAGGCAGCGTAATTTTAGCTCAGAAGAGATGAAAATCGAGCATACTTTTGTTATGATGCAGTCGCAAGCTTCCATCCATTTCTGCATCTGCTTCTCGAATCCCCTGACCTAAAACAATGCCGCCAGAAAACTTAGAGCAAATCCGAATCAAGACAGCGCCTGAATTTGCTTTAAGCGATTCTACAGAACAAATGCAGCTACCTTCACGGGGATTTTCCAGTCGAGTGATTGTAATGCAGAGGCTAGAATTTCGTTACGGCCACAAATTATGATTAACTGTCCTAATGGTTGCCTACGCTCTTCATCAAACAGGGATTCTCCAAGAGCTTTGGCTGTCTTCTTCACCGGTCCCATGCCTTCTCCGCCTCCCATAAGCAGCACAGCTGGCAACTGCAGGTCCATCTCAAGTTCCACTCTTAAATCATCCTACAGTTTATTATACATAGTATTAAGCCAACATAGTATTCTTACAAGAAACACAGTCAATCAAAGCGAAAAGGGTTCGACCTTGGAAAGAACCGACTGGCAGAAAGATGGCCTTATAGGCAATCCGAACACGCGAATTTGAGACTCGGCCAGACCATCCAGCAAGGCCCTCTTCGCCACAGCCTCGGAAGGGCAATATAGCCGGTTCACAGATGGATGAAACCTTAACAAATTAAACCCACCCGCATATTAGCCAAGGATGCTGCAGAGCTCAAAAATGATATCCTAACATAACAATTTCATTACCACGTGCGGTGGCAAGTGTTGAGGTCGGTTATCACTGTGACGAAGATCACTTTCTTGTGTAGATTTTGCCATTTTAGCACCTGCAGAGGAATGTGTTGCATCAGAGGATGGACGCTGACGATGATGTCCGGGTTGTACTCCATCAGACCAGCCTCCACCTCCCTTCAAAGCACATAGAATTGTTTCTATTTTTAGGGTTTAGCAGATCAATTGAAAAGCTCTAAAAATGGAGAAGCTTCTAGAAGCGTAGGCCCGAACTTGGCGTAATAAGCAGCCATGGCGGCAAGGTAGGCGGAGTGTATCCATCGCGGCGAGGTGCTGTGGAACGCCATTTTCCAAAGGTGCACGTGTTTGAGCATGAACTTGTACTGCCTCTCCATGTCGTTTAACGGCCATCCCGTGTACTCTTTCCAAACATCTTTCACGAAGATCTGTAGGAAATGATTACAGAAAACATATATAATATGATAGTGTAAGAACCACAGAATGAAATGTGAAAAAGTGTGATGAGTTTACCCTATACTCGGCCCCAAATTGGAGGTGGAAAGCGTCCCGGATGGCCTCAGCGGAGGCGCGGTGGCCGCCGCCGGTGTCGCTCATGAGAATCAGCACATTCTTGGCCTGGTCGGCGCCGACCTGCTCCATTTCTAGGGCTCCGGCGGCGTCTTCATCGTAGTCACGAATCACGAATTTGTACTTCTTCCGGCCGCCGAATCCGTACACCCCGACCCTCTCGAACACCTTGGTGATCGACTCCCGCCGCGAAGCTGCCTTCATTACCATATTTTATGACCTCGCAATTACGTTACAGAGAGAGGCGTCTCTGCGAATGATCTGGTTGAGCTCTGTGTAGTGGTCAGCCATTTTTTTTTTTTTTTTATAGAGAGAGATGCAGATGGGGATTTCAGTTGGGAGGGAAATGGGTGCCATTGGAGATACTCGAATTATGCCGATGAGAGATACTCGGGAGGAGCGGCAGCCGTCGGATCAAGAATGTCCAGATTGCAGATTCGGATATTACCGGAAGATTCTCATCAGATGGTATACATGAATTACTGCGCCAACCGTCGGTCCCACAGGGTGCTTTTGCTCTACTTTCGACTTGCCCTGACCACACACACACACACAGAGCACAAGATCGCTGTTTTGGTTATAATTCATTCTTCTTTACAATAATTTCTTCTGTTCTTTTAAAATGAAATTGACAACTATTTGGATGCTTTCTGTACTTTTTTTTGTCCAATTTCACTTAACAATTAATGAGCACATGTTGAATATAAAACTGATGTGTTAACTACTAGGTACATTTTTTTTATACAGATAGTTTTTCGAAAATAGAAATAATTATTTAGTGAAAATAATTTAGATATTTAATAGTGTGATTTACAATGGACTGTTAGGGGCCGTTTGTTTGGAGATTGAATTTTTAATTTATTATTAATTTTTTTTTTTAAATTATCAAATTTAACATATATTTTTTATTTTTTATATTATATTAAAAATTAATTTAACATCTATTTTTATTTTTTATATTATACTAAAAAATTAATTTAACATTCTTAACATCTATTTATGTCAAAATCATATTATTCAAATTCAAAATTTTTACTATTCAAATCACAATTCAAAATTCAAAATTAATTTTACCTATCATTACTTATTTATATCATACATATATTACAAATCAAAATTAAATTTTTACTGTTGAAATAGCAAAATCCAATCTCTGGGACAAACACACCCAGATATTTCATTTTATTTTTGGCACAAGTTTACCAAAAACTACTTCCAAACAGAAATCGTCCATGGCGTTAGTGATCGATGGCGGCGGCGGCGGCCTGAAAAGACGGCACAGGTGAACCCTCCTCATGTTTATTCTCAGTTTACCTTTAGGCGAGGTATGAAAATAGGCCCCGGTAGATGTCTAACGTGGTGGTCGTCGATAACGGCGGCGGCCTCATAAAAGCCGGGTTCGGCGGCGAACGCGACCCGACGTGCGTAGTTCCCAACTGCACTGCTCGTCCCCTTTCCTCTAAGAAATGGCTTATCGCCGACCAACTCCTCTCCCCCACCGAAGACCTCACTTCCGCCACTCTCCGCCGCCCAATCGACCGTGGCCATCTCATCAATCCTGACCTCCAATCGTCGATTTGGGCCCACCTTTTCACCACGCTTCTCAAAATCCATCCGCCCAGCACCTCGCTTCTCCTCACGGAGCCCCTCCTGACCCTCCCCTCCATCCAGCGCTCGGTCGATGAAATCATCTTCGAGGACTTCAATTTCAAGGCCCTTTTTGTGGCGGACTCGCCGTCTCTGGTGCATCTGTACGAAGCCTCTCGGAGGCCTTCTGGCTTGGTTTCCAAGGCCCAATGTAGCTTGGTGGTCGACTGCGGTTTCAGCTTCACGCACGCTGCGCCGGTTTTCCAGAATTTCACATTGAATTATGGAGTGAAGAGGATGGATCTCGGGGGGAAGGCGCTGACTAATTATCTCAAGGAGTTGGTTAGTTACAGGAGTGTGAATGTGATGGATGAAAGCTTCATAATCGATGATGCCAAGGAGAAGCTTTGCTTTGTTTCTCTTGATATGCAAAGGGACCTCAAGATTGCAAGGTCTGTATTATGTGCCTTTAGGTCTTTTTTTTTCTTTTTTGGCTTATTTAGCTTTAAGTATCATCTTTCATCCGTGGTGATTCTTTGTCTTGTATGCTCGAGAAGTTTGAATTAATGTGATTTTTCTATTGATTAAGTTAAGTCTTCTCATTTGCTATGAGGAACAATGAACTATGAAACGAAAAAAGTGATAAGGGGGTATTTGGTTTGTCGTTTGCTGTATTTATGAGTGTTACATTAATAGTTCTTCATTATCTTAAGAGATTGAATGATTGATTATGGATAATCAGCTGCCTGATTGATGAAATGATGGTCACGGCTTATTCTGAGCTTGATTTTGTGCTCAGTTTCATTCATCTGATTAAACCTAGCTTATTTGAATTGAAAAAGGATTTGATATTAACAATGATGGCATAATCTTTTTGTGGAATATGTCCTTAGATTGAACCTCTTAGAAAGAGGAGGTGACCTCTTAGATGAATCAAAAATTATTAAAGCAAACAAAAAAGAATATATGTTTTTTGTCAGCAGGGGCATTGTTTGGTTTTGTTATCAGAAAGTAGTGTCTTAAGCTGTTCATCTTGCTGTGAAGAAAACAAACTTCTATATAACTTGGACACTTTAGGCAAACTTCTTGCATATATCCCATCGAGTTTCACACATTAACCGACTATACTCATACTATTCAAAACCTACAGTCATAACAAAAACCATTGCATGGAAAATATTTGCAGCTCATATTATGTAATCCATGTTATTATACTCTTGTGAAATACATCAAATGCTTGAGATTCATGGAACATCATATCCACTATTTGGATTGACATTGTTTTCAATAATTTTTTTTATCACTGGGTGGCATAGCATTTTGATCAATCAATCAACATGTTCTTTAATGCTAGCAATATAGCAAGCGTAATAGAAAGTTAGCTGGGAGAGTAGATGGAGGCTTCAGAAATCTTAAAGCAATGAAATAATTGCAATTTCATTTCAGCATTCATCAGAGGGCAGTGGTAATTTGTGTTTGTTTGTTGTTTCATATTTCACCGTGTGGAATTTGGAAACCGTATTTTATAATTGGCTTCCATGTAAAAGTTATATTGACATCACTATACTTGGTGAAGATTTTGTCTATCAAAAACAAATCAGTGATTTGACTCTTTCTCTCCCGCCTGAGCTGAGTTGACATGATTGCAGCCTGGTTCATTATAGACTGTAGTATTGAAGACTATTTAAGCTAATATCTTTGTCGTTGTTTAATTTTATGCCGATGTCGAAATGTATATAGGCCTTGCTATAACTATTGTGCTTGAGAATAATTTTCAGTGTTTCTTTAATCAAAATCATTTTTCAGGAAACCTGGAAATGACAATTTATTTAGGTGTACTTACATACTTCCCGATGGTGTGACTTACATGAAGGGTTTTGTGAAAGATGCCAATGAATCAAATCGATACTTAGCATTAGATGAAGTTGGTGATTCCTCCACTGCCACAGAAAAGGATCAGATGAAGCAGAAGGGCACAAGTGACAAGCCCCAGGACTCCAGAAACATTGACCTAACAAAAAATGTATAAATTATTCCTTCTTGCAGGTTGATATAATATTGTATTGTTTTGGTGCTTCAAGTATGTTACTTCTCTGGCAGGAAGTTTCCTTGACAAATGAGAGGTTCCTTGTTCCTGAGATGTTATTTCGACCGGGTGACTTAGGTCTGTACATTGTTTCTTAATTGGTTACATTTAATTCCAATGTTAGAATTATCTCGCCCCACCTGTCATCTATGTTGTTGATCACTATACATTTTTTCCCCTAACCTAATAGTTTGAAAATTATCTCGGTAACCATGATGCCTATGATAAGAGTTCTTTAAACTGATTGAGATGGCACTGAAAACGTATTGCAGGAATGAACCAGGCAGGACTTGCAGAGTGCATTGTTCGTGCTGTTGAATCATGTCATCCTCATCTGCATCCTGTGCTCTATGAAAGGTGATAATGTTGATAACATCGACTATAACTTTGTCTGTGACAGTTTCACTTCAGCCTAAAGTGAATGTCAATATTGTGTGTGCAGTATTATTTTGACAGGTGGAAGCACGTTGTTTCCTCATTTTGCTCAAAGACTGTAAGCACTGTTCTTTCTTCAACATTCTGAAGTATATTTCTTCAACTCCTTGAAGATTTATCTTGATGTTATACTTAACCAGAGAAAGAGAGCTTCGACCGCTTGTCCCTGATGAATACCAAGTGAAGCTAACATCTCAAGAAGAGTACAGTCTATTAATCTGAACTTCACTTTCTTGCATATAAAGCTTACCTGTTTATCTTCCTCTGAACTAACTTGATTTCCCTACTTGGTCGCAGTCCAATATTGGGCATTTGGCGCGGGGGATCACTTCTAGCATCTAGCCCTGATTTTGAAGCAATGTGTGTCACTAAGGCCGAGTACGAAGAGATGGGATCTGCCCGATGTCGAAAACGATTTTTTCACTAGAATATAGAGAACTCTTGTTTAGGCTATGGCGGGTCTTTTTCTTTTCTCTCACATGCAGAGAGACATCATAAAAACACACAGTACAAACATACCCTCAATTATTCTCTCTAACATCTGGAGTTGGTTGAATATCATTTTTTTTTTTAACGCAAATTTGGGTTAATATTTTCATGGCCTATCTGTGTACACATAATTCTTATAATTAGTCAACAAGCAGGCAAATCACATCACCCCAAAAACGTCTGCATGATTTCAAACGAATATTTAAAGACTCGGCCTTTATTGATTTAAGATGATGCTCGGACATCAATGGACCTTAACATGCAAGTGTAAATCGAGATCCATTATCATCCAGGGGAGCTATGCAAAGCAGCCCAGAAAAGTAGTTAGAAAAAGTCTTAATGCATTTAAAAATTAAAATTAAGTTGATTTCTACATGCTGAAGCTTCAATATTCCAAGCTACCTTTCCTGCCAGAGCCAGTCAACCCTTTCACTCAGACAAATGTGCAGAGAAGATGTAAACGAAGAGATTCATTTCCATTCTGATTCTCTTCTCAAGTCAACGCCCAACAATGTAATGGAAATCACAGAAATGGAGATACACCTGCCCTAATCTGACATGGAGGATAGAAGGGCAAACCTCATTGCAGTGTTCTTGATAATTCTCCTCGTCATCCTCATCGTGGTCGCCCGCCTCTCCCTCAAACTCTCCAAACCCTTCTTCCTCATCTGCGGCGCCGACCTCGCCGCGATTTTCGCCGTCGTCACGATAGTCATAATCAGGGTCCGTTACAGCAGCCGGCGGCGTCAGCTGGAGCGCCAGCTCGACTCCCAGGGGAAGGAGCTGCGGATCGACTACAGCTTCCTGCGGAAAGTCGCCGGAGTTCCCACAAAGTTCCGCCACCGGGAGCTGGAAGAAGCAACCGATGGATTTCGGGCTTTAATCGGGCGCGGCGGGTCGGGCTCCGTGTACAAAGGTCTACTGACCGACGGCACGGCGGTCGCCGTCAAGCAAATCGACGGCGAGGAGCGAGGGGATAAGGCTTTCAAATCGGAGGTCGCCGCGATTGCCAGCGTGCAGCACGTGAATCTGGTGAGGCTCATCGGATATTCCATTTCGTCCGCCGGCCCCCGTTTCCTCGTCTACGAGTTCATCGACAATGGATCGCTGGACAACTGGATTTTCCCCGGACATCATCGGAGACGCGGCGGCTGTTTGTCGTGGAGTTCGAGGGTCCGGGTCGCCGTCGACGTGGCGAAGGCGCTGGCGTACCTGCACCACGACTGCCGGTCCTGCATACTCCACCTGGACGTGAAGCCGGAGAACATTCTGGTCGACGACGACTTCCGGGCGCTCGTCGCCGATTTCGGCCTGTCGAAGCTCAAAGGCCGGGAAGAGAGCCGCGTGGTGACGACGATCCGCGGCACCCGCGGCTACCTGGCGCCGGAATGGCTCCTGGAAAACGGCGTCTCCGAGAAATGCGACGTCTACAGCTACGGCATGGTGCTGCTGGAGATCATCGGCGGCCGGCGGAACATTCAGGTCCGGCAGGGCGCAGCAGCCCGGAAGAAATTCCACTACTTCCCGCGGACGGTGGCGGAGAAATTCCGGGAGGGGCGGCTGATAGACGTGGTGGACGAGAGAATTGCGAATTCCGGCGGGATTGGCGAGCGGGAGCTGAAGCGGGTGGTGGGAGTGGCGCTGTGGTGCATACAGGAAAAGCCTAAGCTGCGGCCGAGCATGGCGGAGGTGGTGGCGATGCTGGAGGGGCGGCTGCCGGTGGAGGATCCGCCGAGCACGCAGATGCTGATTGTGGATATGCTGTGGGTAGACGACGATGATGACTACTCCGACCGGATTGGGCCGGCGGGCCGGCCCAATGTGAGATTAACCGCCGTGGATCGGGAGAGTCCGTCGGCGTCTTATAATTGCTCGTTCGCATTTTCGTCGCTGTACGGCCGCTGAGTGAAGGATGTTTGTTTGTTCTTATATTACAGATTTATTGCACTAATTGATTAATCTACCGTTTCGGTGTTTTTCAATATATTTGGCTTTGTATATTCAATACATATTATAAAATTTTTAAAAAAATATTATATCAAATATATTCAAATATTAAATTTTTATTTTTTACAAATTTTTAAATACTTCCAAATACCTTTATTTAAACAAAACTAATTTATTTTTGGGATTCATATAAATATAATTATTTGTATTGTATGATTAAAGTATCGGTATACAAAAACAGGTCAAATTATAATGAAATTAAAGTAATTTTTTTTTAATTATATCGAATTAAAATTTTTCCATGAAAATAAAAAATACTTATAAACAGTACCAAAAATTCTTATAAAAATATGTAAAATTATAATTAATAATTTAAATAGAACAATCTATTTCTATGTACATCTACTAAGGGTGTGTTTGTTTGAGGGATTGGATTGGATTTTCAATCCACTGTTCATTTCATTTTTATCCCTCAAAAACATCAAATTAAACACCTATTTTTTATTTTTTATATTATATTAAAAATCAATTTTACATTCAAAACATCGCATCAACACCTATTTATATCACATCATATAACTATTCAAATTCAAAATTTTTACTATTCAAATCATAACTCAAAATCCAAACCCCCAAACTTTATTTGGAGATTGAATTAGATTTTCACTATTCATCTTATTTTTTCCCCCAAATACATCAAATCAAACACCTATTTTTCGTTTTTTATATTATACTAAAAATTAATTTTACATTCAAAACATCACATCAACATCTATTTATATTACATTATACAACTATTCAAATTCAAAAATTTTTACTATTCAAATTCCAACTGTAAATTCAAACCACCCCCAACAAACACCCCCTAAACCCTAAGGATGTGTTTGTTGGGGTGGTTTGATTTACACTATTCATCCAATTTTTTCTTCCAAAAATATCAAATTAAACATTTATTTTTTATTTTTTTATATTATACTAAAAATCAATTTTACATTCAAAACATTACATCAACACCTATTTATATCACATCATACAACTATTCAAATTCAAATATTTTCACTGTTAAAATCCCAAATCAAAATGCATACCTCCAAACAAACCCTAACAAAATTTCATAAAACCCTTGACGGTTGAAATCGGCGAACACGGAGCGGAGAAGACGACGATAACCAATCCATGGATGGCGTCGCTGCCACTTCTCATCCGTTTTCTTTCGATCAGCTTCTGGGGGAGTTGATCGCGAGAGGCTGGCATTTCAGAGACGTGGGCAAAATCCAAGGACTCATCGACGCTCACTTATCCAGACCCCACCCACGAAGTAGCGTTGTCGATTCAATAGAAGCGGAGCTCCTCAACATGGACTTGCGGTCCATTGGAGGGAAATGCTTGCCCGAGCCTTCTCTTCTGCGCAAAACCTCTCACCTTCAAGGTCCGATTGTCCTGCAGGTAAATGGCTCACTTCAGTGTTAACTTGCTACTTCACTGCGATTTATTTCGGATGATGCCTGTAAAACTTGTTTGATTATTTGCTTTAATTATGAGTCCAGTAGTTTTATGATCTTGTGCAATGTTCTAGTGGCTGTCTTTTAAACAAATTGTATTAGCGGGATCATGTATAAATTATAATGAATATCATCTTATTATACTGCCACTATGATCTTAGGAAGGAAAATAGATGTTGGAAAGACGTAGAATTAGTTATAATCCCTTATGATTAGTTAAACACTGCTACAACTGATTACTGGAACTGGTTTGGGGCAAAAGCTATTGCCCCAACTCCATGTATGCAACTCTTTTAATCTGTTCCAAATGCCTGATTATATTTTTTTCTCAGAAGGACCAAACAAAGTTGTAGATTAAGATTACTCTCATTCTTGAGTTCTATATTGCCTAAAAGCCTTGTGTAATTGTGGATAATTCTTTCGTGGATTTTATTTCTGCCCTTTCTTTGGTGCCACAAAACCTATTTTGACGTGTAACTTTGTTTTAGAGTTTTCAGAGGAAATATATCTGTTGTGCTATCTGTCTTTGCATTTATCTATACTTTAGTTATGTATATGGTGCTTCCGATTCTGATTAATCCTTACAATGTCTGCGTTTTGCAAGTGCAGTAACGGCCACTTGCAAAACGCAGACATTGCAAGCACTTGCAACAGTATTTTCCTTTTCTATTTGTCTTGTGGTAAAATGTCTCCAGATTTCCCTCTGCTCCTCACCTGGAAGAGTAGACAAGGATAATAATTAAATAAAGAGGGAAGAAGTTATTGTTTTACAATCAAGATTAATGCACTTGCAACAGTATTTTCCTTTTCTATTTGTTCTTCTGGTGAAATATCTCCAAATTTTTCCTCTGCTTCTCACCTCGAAAGAGTAGACGAGGATAATAGTTGAGTAAAGAGGGAAGAAGTTATTGTTTTACATCAAGATTAAACTTTTTGTGATTTTCTAACTGCCTATGAACTGACTTTCCTTGTGTCAGACAGGTCTCCTCAATTAGAGATATAACTCGCAGTCACATAGATGATGCTACAGGAAATTCAGGTAACAAAAGGCTATTACGGTTGAAGCTTACTGATGGACATTCAGAAATAACAGCTGTGGAATATTATCATCTGCCCTCAATCTCTGATGATATGAGTCCTGGGACTAAGGTTTCTCACTTTTCTTATAAGTTCAAATAATCAACCAGCTAAATAGATAGTTATGACTTGAGGATCTTATAGAGCACAAATAACATTCTGTTCTGTAAAAGTTGACTTATGCAGAGTGCAAATGTTGTTGTTTCTTTGGTTTAGTTTCCCTCCATCTGACACAGTCTATCTTAGCTTAAATAATAATTAAAAAAAATAGCTCTTAGTAAACTAATTTACCTTTACACTGAAGGAAAACACTGTGCACGTTCAATATGGCATTATAGTGTCTATGGAATAAGAAGTTCAAAATTTGTTTTCACTACTCTAAACTCAAAAAATTCACATCCTGGACAGTTTTTTGCTAGTTAAATATAGAACATATTAATATACTTTCTCTAATCAAGCCTCTTTTCTTTTTGGTTGAGTATCATATAGCTTCCTGTTTGACATTTTATTAGTCAATAGAAGCTCCCATGTGGTGGAACATGGGAGTATATGCTTATGGAGTATGAGGAGGCATGTAGACAGTTTAATTCCATTTTTGTATGTCTTTGTCATGTCATTAATGTTATTCTGAATCCTACTCGTAGGACATTGAATGTATTGTTTCTTGTGATTGTTTGCATGGATTTCAAGATCCGGCTGCAGAGTAAAGCAGAAATATTCAGTGGCATCGTATTGATGAAGAAAGATGTAATTACTGTTTTGGGAGGTGTTGTGGAGTCACTGTATGAAGAGTGGAAATTAGAGCGGAAGTATTTGGATGTCCCTCGTAACACGTTAAGGTTCTCAAAAGAAAATGCGTCTAGTGGTCCTCCACCCTTTGAGAAGTTCCAAATTGGGGCTCCTGCAAAAAAAGCTGTACCTGTTTCATATACTTCTACCAGTAAAGGAACTCATTCTTCATCATATGCCTCAGGTGCATGATTAATCGTTTTTTTATTTTACATCTACGGCATGTTTTCTCTTTATTTCACTTGTTAAAACTTCTTACGGCCCACTAGATTTTAAGTATGTTAATAATATATTTTATCTCATATGTGCACCCAGACACACTTGTGTATTTAGGGAATAATTTCCATTAAACTAACTAGTAGCAGAATCTGAGATAGCCGAAGGAAAGAGTTGAGCAATTGCATGACTTAATATTTTTTACTGAATAACTACTCTCTGTTTCTGATAACTTAAAATCATACATATGAAAATGCATGTGACATAGTTATGTCAGCACCTAAAAAATTCATCATAACTTCTATACCCTATTATGTCAACCACCATGTCTATGCTATGTTGAATATACAAAGTACAAAAAGAATCAACTTAAATGTATAAACGAAGTCTTTCAAATATATATGTACAATATTTTATTAATATAATTCAATTGTCACAACAATTTAATTCCACAGAACTTCATAAGGGTTTGCATACTTCTAATTGTAACAAAACGATGTGTTTGTTTGTGTCCCCCTTAGACCTAAAAAACCCTATACGATTTAACTTGAAAACATTTGTAGCTGGAATATTTGGTGTATTTCTTTATTCCAAATTACTAGGTACATTTGATTTTTTCTTGGTCTTTAAAAAGCAATCATTTTCCTTTTTCTGGATAACAGGTTTCTGGTAGTTATTATCAAATCACAGAGAACTTATATTATAAATTTTTTATCCATTTTCTGCATAGCAGGCTTTTGTGGGTCATCCTCTCGTGAACACGGACAAAATCCAGCTGCAAAAGTTGAATCATCAAAGTTGAGTCATGCTGCTCAGCCCCAGAAGACCACTGCAACCAGTGATAGCCTACCTGAGAATGTCAAGGCGCATCAAGATGTCGGTGATAATGAGAAAAAGCCAACCTGCCTGCCAGAGAGGCCAAAAGGTGTGACTTGAATCTAGCAGTGCGGCAAATCATGCTATTTGATAATTCTGCAATTTCATTGAGCCATGAGTGCGTGTCTGAATCTGTTGCAGTAACTGCATCGACACCAGTTCAAAATCAAGTGGCTGCCCAGAAACTTCTCCAGAAAATGAATGAGCCTAATTTTGATAGACGCAATTCTAGAAGTTGGAGACATAGAGGAAAGATGAAGGAGGAAGAGTCCCATGTTATCACTCTAGATGAATGGGAAAGAAGGAAAGCTGGAATTAATTTGCCGCGTGAGCAGTCCAGTATCAGTCAAGACGAGGATCTTGCCAGACATCTTCAGGAACAATTTGATTTGGAGGATAAACACGTAATCATTTTTCCCCAAATAATTTTCTATATCATCTACTGCTCATTTTCTATATTTTTTATCATATGGTAACAGAATATTTGTTTCTGTTACAATTATCACTGTCCCTGCTATGGCAGAATCTTCCATTATTCATCCAATATAATAATGGGGAAGCATGACTGTTTTACTTGTGTACTTTTTATTTTGAATGTTGACACCAATATTTTTCCTGAGTTTCCGGTTATTTCGTATGTTATCATTTCTTAATTTTTCCCAAGTTAACTCTTTTATGGCCTCTCAATTGCATTTTTAACATGGTTATAGTTCTGATATTCTTTTTAATTTTTGTAGATGCCCAAAGGATCGTCTTCAATGGAGGCCACCGACTTAAAAATGAGCATGTTTAATTTTGAAAGAGATGATAGCAGAACTGATTTTAGAGGAAGAGGGAGAGGGAGAGGACGGGGAAGGGGCAGAGGAAGGAGAAGCTGATGATGGATTCACTTCGAAAAACTGTTTGGTTTGTTTAGTAGTTTTCTTTGACAGAGAATTCCCATGATGGCAATTTCTTCATAATTTCTTGGTATCATCATGCTCAATTTTCCTAGTGAGCCAGTAACTCTGTTCCTTATTATTGCATTACAGTCCCTGATGATGGGGGATGATTATGCTCCGCAATAACAGGTTAGAAGATCAAGTAAGAAGCCTGGTATTCCTCTTCAACTGGTGTGCAAGGTTGCATATATTTGAGTTACTTAATATTGCTATCACAAGAATTGAAGAATGCCGAGGGATAGGAAGAAAGCTTATAATCATCTTCTTCAATAATTCTCGTTCTTACAAATTGTTCTTTGGAGCAACAGGTATGTTTTAGTTCAGATGATCCATTTTTACTGTTAGTTCAAATGTTTCTTAATCTAAAATGATAGTTTCAGTTACATTTAGTTTTCTGCTTGAATTTTATACATGTCTATGTGACCAGGTGCCGTACCTTCTTAGGCCAATCTCCAACCCTTCTCAACCCTTCTCACTTGCTACAGTTAAAATGGAGTTAGATCTATAGTAATTTTACTCTATTCGAAAACTTCAATTTTTACTTTAAAAAGTATATTCTCTAAAAAGTATATTCTCTCTGTATTCCTTTTTTTTTTTTATATTTATAAATTACACTTCAACTTTAATTTATTTTTACATTAGATCCATATATTTTTACATATAATTTATAAATTATTTAAAAATTACATATATAAAAATTAACATTTAAAAAATAAAATTATATATTATTTTTCAAAAACTAAAATTATATCACTTTTAAAAAGTAAAATTATACATTATTTTTCAAAAAAAATATATATATACAATTTTTTAAAATATAAAATTATATATCATCTACTAAAAAAATTATAATTACGCAATACACCAAAAAAATATCAAAAATATAAAAAATACCATAAAAATTTCACTCCAAAAATAAGGTGGAGTAACAGTGTACTCCACCACAAAGAGTATTATTTTTAGTATAATATTAAACTTTTAAATGTTATTTTAAGATATAATATAAATATTTATTTTATTTTTAAAATTTTATATTTAAAAATTATTTTACTTAAAAAATGTAATGTGTAAAGCAAAGTTATAAGTGTGCTTTTTTATGTAATTTTATTTACAATTTTTGTATTAATATATATATATATATATATATCTCATGTTAAAAAGTTATATAAATATATTTTATTAAACACACACACAATTTAAGTTATTGATCTTTAGTAGGTGATATTCTAATTATTGATTTTGAATTGTCATCAATTTTTCAGTAGTAAAATATAAATAAAATCAAATTGAAATCAGATTTTTAAATAAATATTAGAGGAGAATGAAGAAGATTAGTATGGTGTGTCAATAAAATTTTAAAAATTATAAATCAAATATTAATACATATAGTTTATAGGATTTAAATAAAGTACTAACAGCTAAGGAGACATGTTCCTAGGAATATTAAAGTTGGAAGATTGTTGAAAATGTATTAGTGTCAACTCCCCACAAGTTACGGCGCCAAACTTATCACAATCCTGTTATATAAATAGACCGGTAATTATTTTTCTTTATATATTTTTTAAATAAGTTTAACTATCCAAAATGGCATATGTATCAATAGGTAACCACCTAAATTTTACCTCTATCTAATTTTAATTTTATTTTAATATCATTATTTACCTTTAACTAAGAATAATTTTTATTTTATTTTATTTTAACACAATTATATAAGAACAACACATCGACTGTCTTGACCGCCACTGACACAGTTCGGCCGGCGCGCGCTACCACATGGCTGCTTCTCTGAATACCTGGACGTCGCTCCTCCTCCGCGCTCCTGATGATTCGTCCTTTCGCCGCCCCAACCCCGCAGCTCTTACTGCCAGATTTCCATCTCGTCCTCGTCATTCTGGGCTTCGATCAGTATCTGAGACTTTCTCGCATGCCCCTGCGCCTGCGCCTGTCGCTTCAACGGTTACTATCTCATATACGGAACTAAATGTGGGTACAGACACTTGCGTGCTCTCGGTTTCTAATCCATGAGTTATCTACAGGGGTTTGCACTCGTGTGCATATATGCTGATGATTCGTTTAATTGTAGGATCCCAGTGCAGACGTATTGGATATAATAGAGCTTGGATACGGACCCGATGGTCTCGGAATTCTATCTGTATCAAATGTATGAGTTTAATTACCCTCATATATGTGATGTATTATTTGTGGACTTACTTCTGTTCCGTTCAATTATTTTCATGCTAATTTCATCTCGCATTTTTTGTTGATTGGCGGCTTTCTGGTTCCATTAAGTACTACTTTCGTGGTGTTATTTTGTATTTGACGTATTTTTGACCTCTTTAAAGTGTGTGATCTAAAAAGTCAGGGACCATTCTTAGTCTGAGGCATAGAACGAGTGCTTGAGTGTGTATTCAATTGTTTGATTGCGTTTTGGGAGTGTTTTGGTGGTTTTGGATTTGGCGTTTAAATAAAATTCTAAAAATAAATGGTAAATAGGTGGTGGATTTGATGATGTAGGTTCCCATCAATCTTTTGCTGGTAATTCTGTTACTTGACCTGCATTCTGTTTGTTGGATCATCGGTGTGCATTCAATCCAACACCCATTGATAAATCACACATATAATGTACTTGTAATATTTTGACCACGTCATATTTTGTGCTATTTATAGTTTGTGGAGAATTCTCTCAGCTATACATAAGATGGCTATGTTTTGGTGAAGTGCTCAACATGCTTTCCATTGTTTACATGCACATTAAGTAACTAGGTATATAGTTTGTGAGTAACCTTTGTCTCAAGAACTATAAGAATATTGAGTTTGCATGTGCAATTCACATCTTGTAGCTATAACCCATTGTTAGGGTGATTGCACTGTAAAACTTGTTTATGAGCAAAACCATTGGTTAAAACAAATAAGAATGTTTCCAAATGGTTTTCTACCTAACATATGGACCTTTATTGTAGTCAGTAGTCACTCCAGTTTCTAGAGACATGCTTTTCTTAACTCATTTAATAATTATCTTCAGTTAATCATTAATCAATACATGAGGTTTCCTTTGAAGTTTGAACTGTATGAACTGTTCTCTGAACTTATCACTTATTTGCTCCTGTTTGATTTAGGTTCCTGGTTATACTTTGTTGCGTCAGAATCTTCTGCATCTTGCACCTAGGTATTAACAACACTTTCAGTATGCTACTTCTTGATTTGTAAACAAAAGCCTTGACTTCTGATTCATTTAACTTTATGCAATAGTGCTGTTACTTTAACTATATTTTCTGACTCAGTTTAGCAAGCCTTTCAAAAGAGGCAAAGCAGGAAATAGAGGACCCTTATAGTAGGTAAGCCAGTTATTTTTTCATTTAACCCACTCATGGCTTGTTAGTTGGTCACTTACTGATTCATCACACTGAGCTATATTTTGAGTAGCACTAAGCTTTACATCTTGCACCCTCAGTAATTTGAATGTTGTTTATCTTGATTATGGGATTACATGCAGGTACAACATTGGATGGAGTCATGGAATAGAAAAACTTGAGTCTGGCAAACCAGGTACCATTTACCCACCTTGACTGACTTCAGAGCAAAGTTAACAGTCTGTCTTTTCTCATTTCTAGATTCATATTCTGATTTTGTCCATTCATTCATCTTCTTTTGTTACGTTCATGAACATTAGCCCATGCAATTTTATTTCTTTGTAACAGATAAGTTCAAAGGCTCCTTCTATGCCAATCCAATACTCGACATACCTTCGACCGAACTGTCGCTTCGTAAACGGTAAAAACTGCTACTAATAGGGCTATGAACAGTAGGGAGAGATCTCATCTGCATTGCATGAAAGGGGTATCAGAATTGACTGATAGAAAATGCCCTAGTCCGTGGCTGTGTCACTGACAGATTTCACAACATGCATCCTTAAAAAATTTTTTTGGTTTTTTGGTTGTTCATTGTTTGCTGTTGAATCAGAAACAGATATTCTAGATTGCTTACCTGATAGGCGATTTTCGGCCACCATCACTGTGTAAACCAGGCCAACTGAATGGATCTTTGAAAATATATATATATATATATATAGAAAAGAAAAGAAAAGAAAAAAGACACTTGAATTAAGAACACTGTAGCCACATATACAACTCCTCTTTGCGACGGTTTGATCTGTCAGCCAAATTATTTCCACTTCTAGGAATTTGTCGGAAACGGATTGTTGCACATTAAGTGACGTAATTTTTACATTAGCCAATGTTTAGAAAAAAATACATCCAAGCACATGGATTATGGAATCACATACTAGTGATTTTTTTCATATAAAAAGGAAAAACTCGGATAAAATTCTTCATGCAAGTCAACAATTTTTAGACTGCTTCGCTAAAGTTTGTTCACAGATTATCGGGGATGCCGTAATCCCTTACGCCTTGAATTTTCTCTCCTTAAGTTTCACCCTAACATGATTATGGCTAAGATGTTTGTTGGCTTTTCTTGTCTATTAGGTATCCTTCTTATTGTAGACCAAATATATGGCCTTGTAGTGCTTTGCCAGAACTTGAACCAGGTATGCGACTCTATGCCCAAGGTGGATTACTGAAGTCTAATAAGTGTATTTCATGTTTTCACTTTGATTGTCCTGATTTGTTTCAGTCCTTCATTCTTTAATTTGGAAGCTGCCTACTTTTTATGTATATATTCGGTGTGATGATTTTGGTTTCTTTACTGGCCTTATGTATGATATGCAGCCTGAAAATTTTCTCATTCTAAATCACCTTATCTCAATTGTTATGAAGTCGTTATACTTTGAATCAGCTTTTTATTGGTATCACATACCTATGATTTACATTAATGCATAATATATGTAATTCTTATTAAGTACAAGCAAAGACATTTATTTTGTTGGTGAGAGATTCTTTCTGTTCTCTTTGCTTTCAAATTCTTAGCTTCAAATAGGTGACCATAGAAGAAGCTAGTCATATCCTTTTCAACTCTTTCCTAGTTTCCAAATTTCCAATATCAATAGTTTATTCATCCATGAAAGGATACAGAATGTTATCACTTGTCACTCATATCATTTATTCTTCTTTTTGTGAATCGCACCTCTTCATTCTGTAAGTTTTCTATAGAAATAACTGTCCATGGAGGTTTAGTTCCAACTGTTATTTACTGATGGTTGGTTTTTCCTTTACACTATGTGCATTGTTATTTGCTTTACAGATGCAATTTTTGCTAACTATTTTCCCCCCTTCTCTCTCAATTATAGCTTTTAAGGCTCTTGGGAAGTTGATTCTGGATGTTGGTCTGCTCTTGGCGTATCACTGTGACCGCTACGGTAATGTTTTATGCGAGGGCTTGAGTTTCCTTTATTTATATTTCATTTCATAAAATTTCCATTAAAATTTGCAAATTGGCAGTGTGGTCTTTATGAGTTATTGTTGTATACTACATCTTAATAGGTTTCACAATATGCCAATCATATTTCTGAAAGGTACTTTTTAATGTTAAAGCAGAAAACTCTAATATTGCTTGCTAAATATTTTTATCTCTACTCTAAATTTATGTATACATAAAGGATGTCTTTACTTTGAGAGGGCTATGGTGTACAGTTATTGTATGCTCCAAATCACACATTTACTACTTGAGATAAAATTCTGTCATTATACTTATGAGGATAAAATAATCTAAATTACCTAATTTTTGCTCAATGTTCGTTTTGGTTGAGCCTTCTAGAACCATGTTGATATAACAAAATCATCTAAATAAATATAATAGTCAAGCATACAAACAATAAAAATAAAGCCCATAATGCATGCTCATGTAATAGTAATCTTGGGACTTGGCTTCCCCTGAGGTGTAAAATCCTTTTGTCATCCAAAAATTTTTGCTTAGCTTTCAAGAAAGTGGTTGATGCTATTTATGCCTTACCTGATCTAAAACTTCTTGCTTTGGACATCGGTAGTATCAAAGAAATCCAAGATGCATATAGATGGAAGTTTACAACAGATACTCCTTCGGTCTCGATGTCACAAAGGCCGTCTACTTTATTATTTTCCTACCCATAATTGGTACTTGCATTTCCCTTTCCTCATTGCCAAACATATCTGAAATGTTTATTTTTGCTTGCATTTGCCATTTATATTTTACCTTACGTATTTATTTTGATATCTATCCATCTATCTATCTGTAATGTAAACCCTGCTTCCTTAACTAATTTCTATTATTTGAATTAATTGCAATGTAACATTTTCAAAACTCTTGGTTACTTCCTCTCAGTATAAGTAGTTTACAAATGATTTTGTGGAAACACTTTTATCTTTTTATGTTACTGTACAATAATTTGCTGGATTTGTAAGTTGTATGCATTTATCAATCTACTCAATTCTGAAAGTCATAAAGGATTGGAATTTGAATAAATGCTAGGTCCATTCAATTTAATCTGTTGATGCCACTTGGATTGGAAGTTATAATGGCAAATAAAGTCCATATAAGTGTCTAAATAAGTGTAGAACTGTAGAAACAAGTTAGGGTTTCTACTTATCATGTTTATATGAACAGGACTAAATTCTAAGGTCTATTCTTTATGGGCACATATGCAATTGTATATAAGTTGGTGATATACTTTCAGATATTATAGATACTTCCAACAAAGTCTTTATAGTTGCATGCTTCATGTTGTAGTTTTGAATTTCTCTCAATAATGTCATAAGTCATAATAGATGATTGAATGTTTGGTGAAAAAAAAAAAAAACTATGTGTGTTTATTAAGGTGAAACTTGCAACGTAATCGAATGGTTTAATTATGCTAATATATTGATCATGTATATGACGATAGAATGGTGTTATGTAATTTATATGCTTACTCTTCATTTTTTATTGAAGATCATGGTTTTAAGTTCCTCATAAAAATGAAGCACTTTTTGTAGTGATTCTGAAGAAGATAATGATTCTCTATCCCCCTGGTGTGGATGGCACACTGATCATGGTTCTCTTACGGGTGAGCAAATCAGAAATTTGACAACGTTAAGGCTATTTGAAAGTGTTTTGATGTTCCTTTTTGTCAATCATTATATTACATTGCTATGTAGAAAACAAACTTTCACACAATTTCATAACAAACTTCATTGCTATGCTACTTTCTCATAATATCTTAATTTTCTATGAGGTGTTCCATACCTCATTACAACTTACAAGCTTGAACAAGTATTTTGCTTTCTCAACTCTGTTACCACTTTCTTAAATGTCAAGCTACTCAAAACTTATGTAATTTTTTAACAAGTTATCGTGTTTCGGGCATATATAGAATATTTAAGATTTCTCTGTCTATCTTCTCCTATTCAACCCTTGTCACTTAGTTGATTGGTTTGACGGTGACAAATTATTGAAGATTTGAAGCAATAGTTTACTTTTGAAATTTTTATTAGGATTAACTTAGAATGCACAAAATTTGTTAAGGCTATAAAATTAAATTTCCATTACAAACTAATAGTTTCGCATAAAGTTACATATATATTGATAGATGTTTTCATGTTCAATTTATTTTTTAATGATAGGTTTATTAAGGTTTTCCTAAGCATTTATGAAATTATCATACAATTTTGACGATGATGCACATATGGAACAATATATATATATATAGAATGAATTACTATAATTTTGAGGTATGGATTAACCATTTGGAATAATCGATTTTTATATTTGTTTTAAGAAAATATGCTATTATCGTTTTGAATATATAAGCTTAGGTTCCTAACATCTTTCTAACTCAACCTACTAATTATTACCATTAAACAAGACAGTTTAACTTTATTTATTAATTCTAATAAATGGTTATTTTCTTGATCCCTTAAATTTACTTTTAACTACGCATCATTGATATTTTAAACAAAGAAAGTTGAACTTTGAAGGTGAAGGTGACAGTAACAGCCTATAGTTCCATAGTGACATCGTGAACTATGTGGTGCTTTCTATTCATGTACTTTATAAGAAATTATCAGGATAAAATCGAAATGTTTAATTATATTTGTTTTATGGAATGTTTTGGGTTTCAGGAAATATCTGTATCTTGGTAGCATTTTTCTGTGTTGTTCTTGAGATTATTGTGCTTGGACCTCTCATGTAGGCCTTACTTGTGGCATATTTACAAGAGATGGTGTGGAATTACCTTGCCCCGACAATGTAGCTGGTCTTTACGTAAAGACACGTTCAGGTCAAATAGTCAAAGTACACATCCTTCTTTTCAAAAACTTGTTGGCATTGTTAACGTTTTCATAACAAGGTTGCAACTTCAATTGTTGTTCTATATTCATGAGAAAGCTATTAATTAGCTTTATTGTAAATCTCTTTTGAGTGATGCAAAACAAACTTGACAATAATGAAATAATATGTTATGGAAGAAACATGGTTAAAAGTGATCCTTTTTTAAGATGTTAAATATTCTTACTGAATATAAACAAGTGATCCACAACATGATATTTTCAAAGACATGCCTTAGGATGTCATATAACACATGTCATTCTATGTACTCTTATTGCTTCAGGTGGAGTATAAACAAGATGAAATAGCTTACCAAATAGGTGAAGTAACTGAGATTTTATCAGGAGGTCTGCTTTGTGCAACTCCACATTGTGTCCAGGTACTTTAGCTATTTGTTTTGTTTAGCATGATAGAAGTTATGCCGTGCCATTGTACATTCACTTTATGTGTAACCTAACAGCATTTTATTAGTAGAATCAGGGCTGTTTTCTGCATGAAATACTGTGCATGCTGTGCTTTGTTAAACTGGCTACATTATCTTTATATAGTTTTAATTCTGTATGATTATTTGCTATTAATTTCTGTTTCAAATAAATTAATGACATGCTAGTTTTTAATTATTGTTATGGATAATGACATAATGTGTGATTAAATTACCCCCGTCTAATACTCGAGTGTCATGGCTGACATATGTCTGTTTCTTCTTCTGGATGTAATAATATGCGACACATATCTACATTTCAACTTATGATAGAATAGGATAAAAGTTTGATTTCTGATAACTCATTTTTACCACTGGAATTAATACCCTCATATTCCGTGTTCAACTTAGTGGGAAGAACTTATAACAAATAACCTAATTGTTTCTTTGTTACCTTATTGGAATATTATATCTTGTATATTGTTAAGATGGATTGGCATAATTATTCTGTGTACCTTTCCTTTCATATATAATCTCACAATCTCAGAGGCATATGTATGCATATATTATTAACTTTCAACGACCACCATTGTATGTTCCCCATTGTGATTGTTGTGTGCTTGTATCTCATACGCTTCGCCATATGGATCTATATATTTCAATACCAACTTTGTCTGATTTTGTTCTAATCCACAAATAAGGGTTCAATCCACGCAATTCTATTTTCTTTGTATAGCTCATTATCTATGATATGACTATAGGCACCAAAAGGAAAGGCAGCTTCTGGCATTGATCGCTCGACATTTGCCTTATTTATGCAACCTGACTGGTATTCCCATCCTCAAATCTACACATCTGAACTTCCAAAGTTTCTTATTTGTTGCTGATCTTATATGTATGTATGTATTGATCCAACTTTTGTTATTTCAAAACATTGAACGACTCAATAATATGCCACAATTCCTTACGACTTCATAATACAAGATAGTTAGCCTACTACAGTGGGGTTTGTGTTGATGGGTGAAAGTTTATACTGCCCATTCATTACCTTGGGATATTTTTTTAAATCTACCCTACTGTATCCTGTCATTCCCTTATTGAATGCTCATTTTGATCTTCATAGGTATGCAAATGTGGCATGTTCTAGGTAGTGTCCACACCAAGCCTATCTCAATCATTCTTTAAAAACATGAGTCATGTTATCATAGTTATCTATGTCTCTGTATTGCTGTTATTTTTGGTTAAGAAGAAACAAATCCTAAACCCAATTGGTTCTTGAATTAGAGCTTTATCTTGTAAATTTTACTTTTATGAAATTATTCACTCATATTAAGTCATTGTATGATTGTATCATTTTAAATTGCGCTTTGATTATTGATAAAGGACAAAGTACCCTGAGAAGCCTTTGAGTTGTAACCATGTAATGCCACGTTAGAAACTATGCTAAAACTTACATGCCAAATTGATTTTTGATTCATTATTCTGATCCATCTTTTTCTTCATTTCTTTTTTCAAGGGATGAGAAACTTATTTTCCCCGAGCAAGTGAATATTCATGAGGTGAGCCCTTGAAGTTCCTAGAAATATGTGTTCATGATGCAATAATAGTGAAGTACCAGGATGGGATAATGTTGAAGTGCCATGTCTGTGAGCATCATAAATGCCAGCAAAATATAGTAATCTTGCAAAATGCATTGTTATAACATTTCTTAATTTAGCCATTTTGTGAAGACAAGAAAACTATCCAAATTATAGTGACATATATATAGGGGTGTGTGATACATCTGTATGTCTGTCTGTGACATGAGAATGGGACATATGGAATTAAAGTTCTGACCTGTCATTGATTGTGGTTTGATCACAGTTTATGATCCCCAAAGAATCCATTTCTTTTGGAGACTATTCAGAGAAGGTATTGAACAAGCACTACGACGGAACCCAAGCATGAACAATCGTAATTAAATTCTGCAACAGCAGAGGTAATCTTTCCGCAATTTTATTTCCTCTTTACAGGTAAATTACGTGTGCAAACTGTTGTTTGAAAACAACCTCGAAATCAGCTGCACAGTACTTTGTTCTCTCAATATTGATTCTTGAATAAATATTTTAGAACAGCAAATACAATTGATAGATCAAATAAAGTAGGTTATTTGAAGCTTCCAGTAAGTGTGTTGAGTTTTTACCCTCAAGATATATGTTGCAATTATAGTACATAAAGATATATGTTGCAATTTGTCCATATGTTGTATATAAATTTCAGTCATGTTTGCTCTTAATCATCAACAAGAATTGATACAGAAATTACTCACTTGATCCATGTAAATTATTTTTTATTGTTTAGATACTACGTTAGTAATGCTACCCCTGCCTTTGATGTCACAATTACCATATTCCATTTTGATTGAATTCAAATATAGCTAGTCTAATCAAGGCCCTTCAAATAAAGAAAGCTGGCACATGATATAGTGAGGTGCAGTATCCAATAATGCAAAAGCAGTGACTATTCTCCTCATCCCTTCTAAAGGTATGTATATATATGAGTGTGTGTAAATATGTTGATTCTTGCAATTGTATAATTGAGGAGAGAATTGAAAGCCCTTTTTGAGAATAAAGAAGAAAGCAAGAGAGGGGGTCTGATCTGTTCAAGGTTTTCCTCATGGTGGAATATTCATTTTGTCTGGTGATATAACGTTAATGGTGATTAGGATGATTCTCCCTTATCAACCAGTCAATGCCATGTCAGCACCCATAAGAACACGTGGGTGGATGCCATTGGCCCATCTTTTTCCCCTGATCTTTCCTTATGATTGTCTCCTACGCCTTGATGACACGCCTCACCCTAACCAGTTAGATGGATTTTTCTTTCCACCCAAATCTTTGAAACATCTATTTATTATTATATATATACATATTATATTAGATTATATATGCTGTAACAATGTGGTAAAAAGATGAAAGAATCTCTCTATCCTGTCCAAAGAATTACAATTAGTGGGCATCCATCCATGTGTACCAAATAGGAAAAGCTGAATCAAACATGTAATGAAGTATAGGTAATATGTGTGTCTAGCTGTGCATTCAGAATTACATTGTGTATGCCTTGGAAAAGAGAAGTGTATACAAAATCTTAATGCATTCGCTCATTTCATAGCAATACAAGATCTATATTAACATTTCAGTTCATTTAAAGTTTAATAGATACACTGATATCATACAGATAATACTACATAATTAACTATAAGAATGCAGGAAAGATGGTTCACTGATACTTTGTAATTAATTAAAACACTCTATGAATATATATGTGTGTGTGTGGTATTGTCTTGATTCTTTGACTCGAGCTTTCTTTCGTGAAGATGCATGTCACTCTCAAAGCTACTTTTACTTCTTTTATTGCAGATTTTGTATCCTTACTCACTCAGTCAATGTATTCCTCACAACACACTCATTTTCTCTTGCATTGCTCTCTCATTTTGTAGCCACCTACAACTACTACTGCTACTTTTGTGTATTTGTATATATATAGTTATTGTGCACTTGTTGTGGCGAATGAAAACTTTTTGGTATTCTGAGTTGCAACTAACAATGCGATTAAAATTGCCACAATATGTGAAAGAGCATTTATGTGACAAGCTTGCTTCAACACTAATAAGAACAGCATATATATATATATAACCTTCTTACATAGAATTTACTCTGATAATTAATTTGTTGTTGTTAGACTATAACCTACCTCATCCTGAAGCAAAATGATGGGAGACTTTTCCTTTTATAAGGATAATGATCCATTTCATATTGTGATGTCGATAGATGTATATGCTAATTGTGATCGAGCAATGGTTACTAGCATTAACTTGATCTATATATATATATATATATTCTGTTGAGCTGTCGACACTTGACTATATTTCAAGACTGTGTGTGTGTACATATATATGTATATATTTTAAATTTAATGGGTTGATGAGGGTGAGGGTGCAGATATATGATGACTATATATGCACATTTTAATTTATTTGTGTGTGTGATGAGAATAGAAATGAGGGAAGGAAAGGGAAGGTATTGGGTCCAAGGAATCTCATGCGTTCATTATTGCAATTCTGATAGTTACCTTACCTACCCCTTAAGTAACAGATTCTTCCTTCCATCTCTTTGTTTGTTTGAATCTTGTCTTCTCTACATGAGTAACATGACCTTTGAACTTCTCATTGGATGTTATTAATCTATTTATTTTCTTAAATTAATAAATGATATATATAGTTATATATATCATTGCCTGCCTGCCTGCCTGCCTGCATGCATGGGATCAGATAAGCTCTTCCTCTATGTTAATAATGTTAAGGACATTGGTATATTGTTTTGTGTCAGTTTAACATTAATTAATATTATAATTATAATTATCATGTCTGTTGTCTCCTTTGATTACGATAATGTGTGAAATAATTAAAAAAAAAAAAAATGGATAATACGGAGAGGGACTAGTAGTTTTGAAATATGAAAAATGTCAATGATTATTATTAATTATTATTCGAGGATAATAATTTATGTGCCTCGACGACTTATGTATGTATGTTTTTATGTAGGCATAGTAAGGAACGAGTTGAGGAGGAGACAGTGATGTGTAGTAGTAAAGTGGACACCCAATCTCTAAATGGTTCTTGAATTATTGTCATCCATAAAAGAATAGGGAATCTGCACATGCACATTACACACATCGAAATAAATAAATAAATAACGGATATAGAATAGTGAATTTATCCATAAAAAATTTGTACTCAATTAATATTAGTAAAAAAAATATATATAATACATATACATATACTATTCATCAACAACAAAATCAACTATTTTTTATATTATTAATATGATTTTTATATCTAATATAAAAAAGAAATAATATTAATTAAAAAAAAACGCCAAAGTAAACACGACTTTGTAAATCAAATTTATAATGTGTACTAATATATAATTAATTAACTGATGAGGAATCTATTCTTCAATTTGAGGCACGTTAATGAACTGGATCGGCCAGCCGCTGCCTACTGTTGGTGCCACGTGTGCATGGAGCTGATAGGGATGCCACGTGGATCCATCACCATATGATATCATTTCATATCCCAAATAACGTCTTCCCCTCATACAACCTTACCAGAAATGGGCACAGAATATATATGTGTGCGCGCGAGGGAGAATAGCATTAGAAACTCTCAACAATAATGCAGTAAGGGATCAGAATCCCCTCACCCCCACCCCCACCCCCACCCCCATTCAAAAAAGTCGCACTCATTCATTATTGACTTGCTTGTTATCAACTCATATTACTTACACTTTGGCTTTTATATACGTTGCCTTAATTCATTCCCAATTGCAATAATACCAACTGCATGCAACTAGCTAGCTAATATGTATGTATATATATATATATATATATCTAATAGATAATATATAGATGCAAATGAGCTTCGTTGATCTCTCCAGGGATGACAGTGACAGGGACAGGGACAGGACAGGCCCTACTTGAATGATAGTTAATGGCTTAATTTATTAATTACGAGCAGTATATAAACCCCCCAATCGGCACCTTCTTCCAAATCACCAAACAACATTCTCTTCTCTTCTCTTCTCAACTCCCAAACTATACTATATTCATTACTCCTCCTTCAATTCCAAGGTAAAATTTGATTATTCACCGTACTGTCTGTCTGCGCTTTTATCACATACTGTATAATGTAATTAATGTATGTATGTGTGTGGATATATGTAGAGATCAGAGTGAGAATGAGCTGCTGCAGGCAAGGAGACTGGATGTGCGCAGCCTGCCAGTATCTCAACTTCCAGAGGCGGGACTCCTGCCAGAAATGCAGCTGCCCCAAGTACGCCACCGCTGCCGATGTCGCCACCTACGCCATGCCCAGGACCGAAATGCTCGCTGGAGACTGGTACTGCGGTGCCCTCAACTGTGGCTCCCATAACTACGCCAGCCGCACCAGCTGCTACAGGTGCGGCGCCGCCAAGGACTATTGCGGATTCAGCGCCGGTGTCATGGCCTCTGCCGGCTACCCTTCTGATTCCTTGCCCGGCTGGAAAACCGGCGACTGGATTTGCTCCAGGTATATCTATCTATCTATCTATCTATCTATATATATATAAACTAGCCCTCTCTTACTCAACAAGCTAGCTAGCTAGCTAACACACATTTTTCATTTCATTCCATATAATATCCGATCAATAATGTGGACGCATATAAATGTATGAACAGATGCAGCATGCACAATTATGCGAGCAGGACAGAGTGCTACAAATGCAAGACACCTAGAGATTATGGTAACCTTCAATTCTCTGCCTAGCTAAGTAACTAAGTTTATATATATATATAATCATCATCATCATGCTGTGTTTCCATAATTTTCAGGAGCAAATTAACTTGAGGATATATATGGCGATGGAATTGCAAATTAGAGACAGTTGATCACCAGATCACACTAATCAACTCCTTTTTCTCCATGGTCGTTGTAGTCTTTTTCTTTCTAGTTTTCTTTTTTTTTTTTTAGCTTCGAAATGATGTTTCATAAGATTAAGCTACGAATGTGGCGATCGATCATTGATATCTGACCCACACACCCACCCCACCCCATCCCAGGAATGATATTGATAATTTCAGCATATGTTGTGTTGCGTTGTGTTGGGGCACAATTATCATTGTTCCTTAGCTTGCATGATATAAATATCCATTAGTGAAATCAATCAGTTCTTCAATGGATGGATTAGTTTCATTATTATTCAGTTCAACATCATTATTTATATGTATATATATATATATATGTATATTGATTTCTCGGAGCAGTAAATTAATATCTGCTAATGACTGACTATCTGTGCATTAGATCAATTACTTAAGATTGAGAAAAAACTCACAAAAATGCGAAGGAGAAGCTCAGAATATATACACATACATATATGTAAAATATTCTGAATGTATATATAGGAAAAAAAAGGTGGATTGAATGAATGAGGTGTTAATTAGTTAATGAGTAGAGAGAGCAGATAAGAACCAGATGCCTCCACTTTATTCAAAATAGTTTTTTTTTTTCCTGATAATTGGATGATTCAGCAAACCCATGCATTTTTATCATCCATTCATGCTCAAAACATTCTAACATACACACTATATATATATATATGTGTGTGTGTGTGCATCCATTTCAAGTATCCAACTTGACTGCAAATGGACTTCTAGAAGAGAATTTTGAGAAAGTCTTGTAAAGTTGGTGCATATTCACGTGATGGCTTTGCCTTTATAACTATACTACAATTATTCATTTAATTAGCTAATCGAATAAAATTATTCATATAAAATTTAAAAAGAATGGATTGCAATACACAATGGATTCTGTACGTACACACATAATGAGTATTGCTTGTACATAAGAGTTTAAACGATTATTCCATTGAGCCTTACACTTGACAACAATGAAGAGACTCTCATATAATTGATGATCCCAAATTAAAGAAGTTATAAACTCAGACACTAAATCTATAGGAACTAAAGATTTGAAAGTGAGACAGAGGTGGTTTGGTTCTGCACTTCGCTGCTGTTCGGAATGCCTCGGTTGATCCAACAAGAGATGAGATGATGGGCAATTGCGAAAGGTCCGGGAATGAACATCGGAGCAAGCTCCCCGCTCTCCACATTGAAATCCGACGACAAGTTGTGTCCTTTCTCCACACCTCTGCACATTTGCTCTACTTTAGCTGCTGCAGTTTCCTGTGCCTTTTTGTATTCGGCGAATGTCAGGGCTTTCTCCACGTCTTCTCTGCTGTGCCATTTGGCGTCTACAATACATTGCAAAATTATCCTTACGGCAACACTCAACTCTTATTAGTCTATGCTAAACAAAAGTTTTTGAAAAAAATGGTAGCATAGTTTCACAACAATGTTTTCTTGCATGAACCTTATAAATTGTGCGGTTAATCATCGCTTCTTGGTACATGTGATAACTAATATGCAGCACATGTGAACCCACACCAAGCAATCAAAGCAGCCAGACCCCAACAAATGAAAGAAATTCGTGAGGAACGCAAAGTTTGAAAGTACCTTCGAGTTCTTCCTTGTCCACATTAATCTCAAGGGATTTAGCATATGCAAAAAACCCTATCATTAGTTGGCATGGCATGCTGCTGGGCCCAACTAAGGAAAGAACACAGAGAAGAAATAAGTGTTTTGTCAGTCCTGGGGCAGCTAAATTAATTCAAATCCTGCAACAACCAACAAGCTGTAGAAAACCATGGCATGTTCTTTAAAATATTTAGTTATATTCAATCTATGCTCTCTATTTATGAAACATACAACAATAATATCTAATGTAGAAGTTTCAAGAATTGCAAATATATCTCATAAACACGTGAAGACTCAGCAGCAAGACAAATGTGTTGATCTTCATCAAGTATCTAGCGAAAAGATGCTAAATCTTATGTAATTTACCTGGCCAAGGCTGAGAACTATGATACACGACTTCGCCAACCTCAATGCCAGTTTCCTCCCATGTTTCGCGCCTTACTGCTTCTTCCAAGCTTTCTCCTGGCTAAATTAAACAAAGTGTTAGAGCATGAGAGTCAAATACATTCACGAATACGAACAACACAGAACGGACGAAACATCATCAGAAAGTAGGAGGAAGGGAGACAAACTTCAATAAAGCCAGCAAGACAACTCCACATCCGTGGAACAAATCTCGACTGCCTATTTAATAATACACGGTCATTCTCTTTATCTATGACTAACATAATGACAACCTGTTGCACAAAATAAGAGGGAAGACACAGTAGTAAGCAACGGTTGCACCAAATTTTAACCTAATTGAAGTAAGACAAGAATCAAGATACATACAGGATCAACACGAGGATAAATCCTCCTTTTACATGATTCATTTGAACACTGTTTACGTCTCCCAGCTTCCACAGAGACTGTCTTCTCTCCGCAATATCCACAAAAACGAGCTACATTATGCCATTCTAGCAGAGCTCTAGCCTGATCAAATATGACAGGAAGAGAATAACAGATGGATGATCATCCACAAAGTAGATCACTGATAAATGTATGTATTCCTACATTCAACACACATAGCAGCTTATGGCAAGATCAAGAAGAGTTAGAAGTCAAAAACTTACATGCCCAGCAATGGCAAGTTCAGCCATGGTTGTAGAATCAGCCCAATCAGTCGCCACCATAAGAGTTCTCAACTCCACAAAGCACAATTGCTTAGACCCCAATTCATTCACCAATCCATTCTCCTCAGACACATCCACAGCCCAATACACAACACCCTCATCAGATTTACATCCCAAATAAACCAATAAATCCTCGCTCAGGCTCGCTCTGGATTTCTCGAAAAATGATTTGCACTCCCCCAGACTCAACCACCCAAGATGCCACGTGGGCCCGCCGGCCGTCGAGCCAGCCAAAGGTCTCCCCTTTCTGAAAGGCAAAACCTTGAAATCGGGAGATGTTGATTCGTGGGTAGTGTTTCTTGAAAGCAGGGATTTGAGGGTTTGGAGTGCGGTTTGTGGCGCGAAAGGCTCGCTGGGTTTAGGGGTCCGTGATTTTATGGGATTACCCGCGAAAGCGTGAGTGAGGAGACTCATCGTACTGAAGATTGGGCGTGAATTGGGATTGATTAGAGTTTTGGAGAACAAAGCGGCGATTGGAGACGAAGAACAGAGCATGATACGAATCTGGCAGGTGAACCAATTGACAGCCGTGCATTTATGGGGCGCCACGTGTCCTCTTACTCATCTGTGATTGTCTATGTAATTTGTTGTCTTATTCCACGCCGTTGAGATGATGATCACTGGTGGGACTGTATCAAGTACTCAACTTTACGCATTTCTTTCAATAACCCAGTCAATATAATATATATATATATATATATATAGTTATGCAAATTCAACAAATTTCGGCCATTAAAGTTACTATAAACCCTCTCTGCCCGCTCTAAACCCTCGGCAGTAAGATCCACATTTTGGAGCTGTAATTGGCGATTCGGAGCCAAATGGCATCGTTTTTCAGAAGGTTGGCAAGGGCGACGCCGATCGCTTTCGGAGCCCAGACGAAGTCCGTCTCTCGCCTAAGATTGGGAGCTGGTGCGGCAATTTCTGCTGGAGTCTCCTCTTATTACCTTTTATCCTCGACAGATGTGGTAATTTCTCATCTATGGTTTTATTACGTAGGCGAATGAATGTGTGATTACGTCAGATTGATGATCGTTAATGGGTGGCTCTATCTATTGCCAGAATGTGTTTCTTTCTTCTTCTTGATAGAGCTACGAATTGTGATTGAGATAGATTCTAAGCCTGCACTCTGTTCTAATTGTTTCTGAAGATTATTCTCCAATACCTTTTTAATTTAGAAGGTGGAAGAGTCGTTTTTGAGTTTTGGTAGTTCTAGTGCTTGGATAGTGATGTACATTCCTCCGGTTGAAGTAGGAGATAATAAAAATACCTGAAGGAAACAGTTATGATCAATGCAAGAATATTTTTTGGCTGTGTTATTTTCATACCTTGAACTATCCTAATTCATTCAAGAAAAGGTCAGTTTTAGGCATGAAGAGTTTGTTGGTTAGCCTTGACAATCATTGGAACTTTGTTTTGTTTCTTCAAAAGTTGGATTTGGGAATAGTAAAAATTTGAATTGTAGTTTTAACGTGATATAAATAAGTGTTTGATTTAATGGTTTGAATTTTATTTTTTATTTTGCAAGATATATTAAATGAAGAATAGAATCTTTTTTGAAGAAATGTGATGAATAGTACGGGAACTAAACCAAACATAAATAGATAGTTGGGTTTGATTTTTTTTTTTCCTGTAGCAATTATGTTGAATGCAAACCATCATCTGTTAATTTATATATTTGAACCTTGTCAATGATACCCTTTGATTTGTCAATGTATGAAAATTTTTTGACTTTATTTATAGAAATGGTGCTTTAAATACATATACAAGTATATCTTGATATTTGGATCTTCAGCTGCTGACTTTCTTATTGGTCTTTGTACAGGCCTATTTAGATCAACTCAGTGAAGATGCCGCACCAAAAGTTGGTATGAATTTCTCCCTTTCTCAAGTACCTATACTGCAGAATAATTTGGTTTGGGACTTCGGTTCTAACTAGCTTCTTATAGTCATTATTGTCTCTGATGAGTTTATGCATGATAACAAGGACAAACTGGAGTAGCAACTTTGAAAATGTATGTCTTGGTTGGATTTAGATTGAGATTGTTTCCTATGCAGTCTCCATAAATTCATACCGGTATATGTGTGTTTGATATTATTTCACTCCTTGTGGTTGACCTCATTCCTCTTAACTCTTGAAGATGTAAACACAAGACTTCAAGAGAGATGGTACTCTGTTACATCCCCACTATGTTCTCTTTATCTGTCTTAAAACAGAATGAGGATTTTGCCATTGTTCTAATTATAAAATGTTGTTAACCATGTGCAATACTTCAATGATTTCAATACCTTTGTGTAAGAAATTTACCTTTTGTTTTAAATTGGAATTTTGCTTACTTTTCAGCCCTAAATCCTGATAAATGGCTCAAATTCAAGCTGCAAGAGAAAGCACAGGCCAGCCACAATTCTCAGCTATTTAGGTTAGTCTATTAGTTATCACATTTCAAGTATATATTACTTTTGATTTGTTACCTTTTATCCTTACAAATAATCTTGGGGTTGAAATTTCTTAATCTACGATTCAATCTTTTCTAAATGCACGAAAGAAATCCAAAAGCTCTTCTTTACGGTGATAATACTAAAATATCAAGTTGGCTCCATTTTATTTGTTTAATCCTTACAAGCCTCTTGAATCCTCTCTTTGCCTATTTCTTTTTCTTTCATTTTTTTGTCTCTAAAGTGTCTTTTTTCCTTTCTTTATTATTGAATTGATAGGAATTCTCTTGTTAAGACCCTACTTTTCTTTTTTTTTTTTTTGGAAGTGATAATAATAATAATAATGATAATAATAATAATAATATATCCTTTGTATTAAAGACATCACATTGGATGAATGGGGTTCTACTCTTTTTGTTTTTTTTTGTTTTTTTTTTCAATTTTTTTACTACACAACATCACAGTTTTCTGTAAAAACATACAAATTTTTCATTCAAAACATCATATCCAGCAACTATTTCGCCCAAAAAAAAAAACACAAATAAAAAAAATGGAACACCAAAAGAACAAACCCCATGTTTCTTGATTATTTAAACAGTTAAAGTGGATCTTTGGTTGCCACTTAAAGATAGGACTCTTTAGAGGTAATTCTAATGAGATAGATTAATTTACAAGGCCGAGCATTGGGCATGGTTGAAACTTTATTAGCCTTGATATCCATTTATTGGTAAGACTCTTCGCAAATGTGATGTTAAGTGGCAACCAATCTTCAAGAGATAGGTGGGGCAATGTCCTCTTCTAAGCATGTTGAAGTATTGTGTCTTATGTTATATTTTGACCTGTAAAGGTGGCAGCTCAACAAGTCTCAATAAATTTTGCCCAATGGTGTCCATTAATAAGCATGAGAACTGTTATTATTTGACATACCAAGCATATCTTTGGTGCTGTGTTTTTGTTGGCAATGAACCAGTTTTCTGTTGAAAACAATGCTAGGTTTTCATTCGATCCGGATGTAAAACTAGGTCTCGATGTTGCATCCTGCCTTATTACAAGGTATTCTATGCTTTTTGCATGCTTCTCTTTGTACTAATTTCACAGCCTTTTGCAATGTGACCCTTAAGAAATTTGCTTTATCAGCTCATGTAATTGATAGCCCATTATTATTATTCATGTAGGGCTCCAACCGGACAGGATCCTGAAGGGAAAACCAAATATGTGATTCGCCCGTGAGTCCAATACTTCATATCTCTGCTTTGCATGAAGTTACACAATGAACTTTTGCCAAGCTGGTGTTTAGAATTTTAGTACATGCTTACCAAGCTTATCTACTGTGTTCTATTGCTAGAGAGTGTTGTTACTGCTGAAAAGTGGCATTTTTCTATTATATTTGATCTTATCTACCTGAAATGAAACTACACATGAGTGTGAATATGTTAGCATAGTATTACCGCTGAACTCATAAGGAATAACTTTCATTACATTAATAGGAGCTGATATAATTAGATACTATGCTTAGTTGGAGTCTTTTAGAATTAGATTTTTCTTATAAATGTAGTTAGTACCATTCAATATGGATCATAATATGACAGTTGTCATTTTGGTCTTTTGACTTGACAAAGAGAATATCCTGCTACAATGGAAAAAAACTTACTCTATTTACTGTATTTAGCTCGATTTCTTTGAAGAATAGCATTTTCTTTGTATCAGAAGAGGAAAACTTACTAGGACCATTCTCAGCTCAAAGTGAGGAGAATAAACTTACCATGCTGGATTCAAATTCTCAGAACTTCACCTTACTTTAAGACATAAATAACTTGGTTCCGAGCAATCATATCTACCAGCACTTGTACTACACTTCTAACACTTCCTGTTTTGCAGTTACACACCTATATCAGATCCAAATTCTAAAGGATACTTTGATTTGTTAATTAAGGTAATCATTCAGAATACAGTTTCTTCTATACGACATGATACTTCTGTCTCAGGGGCACACATCTTTGACGTACTTTTAACATTTTACAGGTGTATCCTGAAGGAAAAATGAGTCAACATTTTGCTAGCTTGAAGCCTGGAGATGAAGTAGAAGTTAAAGGGTAGGGAATGCAGTATTCACCGTAATTCTAGTGTGTCACATTAAATTATTAACATGTTTTACTGTATCCAGGCCCATTCAGAAATTAAGATACAATCCAAATATGAAGAAACATATTGGCATGGTGAGACCATCTCATAGTTTTTCTTTCTTACATGTATAAATGCACATTGAGGGAATCCTAGCCTGCTTTATTACTAGCTATTCATGTCTTTGCACAAGAAAATGATGAAGCAAATAGGGGTGGTCAACCTTCAGTATATTGAGGGTGTGTTCTTTTTCTGTTTTCTTGGGTTTTGGTTTTGAAATATTTGATGCCGAATAATAGTGATTGGATGGGATGTTTGCTATTAAAATGTTTTTTTCAAGGAAAGAATAGTAAGAAATGTTTGAAGCACAAAAAGAACAAGGTATAACTTTGTGGAATACTGGAATTTGTTTTCAGATTGCAGGTGGAACTGGAATTACTCCAATGCTCCAGGTAATAGACGCCATCGTTAAGAACCCGGATGATAATACCCAGGTACGGCAGTAAATCCAAATCCCATAAATTTCGAAAACAATGAATTCTGGAAATAATAACCCCTATGTGTTAAACTGAATATTCAATTATGATGTTCATCATGATAATTTCTTACACTTGTTTACTTTATGTTTTGATCTAATTACCTATAGCTACTTAAGCCTTAACCTGAAAGGATTTTTTTGTTTATAGGTCTCACTGCTCTATGCTAATGTGTCCCCTGATGACATTCTTCTCAAAAAGAAGCTCGACATGCTTGCTTCCAGCAACCCTAACTTGAAGGTATCACATGAACCAACAAAACCTTATTCCCTGTGTACTGAGGTCCCCTTTTTCCTAATAGTAATTGATTGTATCTATTTTTTTGTGATGGATAGGTATTCTACACCGTTGATCATCCTACAGAGGATTGGCTAGGAGGTAAAGGATACATATCAAAGGAAATGGTAGTTAAAGGCTTACCTAGCCCCAGTTATGATACACTCATTCTTGTAAGTTCTCTGCTCAATTACACATGTTGTGTTACTATCACTTGGAATTAATGCCTACTGGAATGTGACCTTCGATGCAAAAATTTGATTGTCTTCTCTTGACAAATTACCTAACTAAATGAAGCTGCAATTGTTTGATTCCCTTCTTGGACAACTAACAAACCAAATATATAATCCCATTGCTACATTCCTATTACTTTCCCAGGTCTGCGGTCCTCCGGGGATGATGCAACACATATCAGGCGACAAGGCAAAGGATTATTCTCAAGGAGAGGTAAACATATTCTCTTAACAATCTCTTAAGAGATTTTGCCCTCAAGTGTTAATCTCTTCTACCTAAATGATTTGGCAGCTGACGGGCGTACTCAAGGAGCTCGGATACACCGAAGAAATGGTTTACAAATTCTAACTTTTGAATTCAATGAGGGTAAACTGCACAATAAATGGGATTTTGCTCAGTCATACCAACATGGCAATGGAGCAATTTCTCTGTGCTCAAACCACAAATTTAAACATATGATGACAAATGCTGTATGTGCTTTGTCTGCCTGGCTGGGGCATCTCCCTTTCTCTTCTGTTTAGTCAATTTTGAAATGAATAAAATACAAATGGGGCCAACGCCCAGGTTTATATTATCCTGTTTCTACCACTTATATATATATATATATATAATATCAGATATTATATGATCTTGCTGGACGATTAATTCATGTCTGGAAGCCATTATGAAAAGTTAATCCCAGTTCAGTTTGCCAAGATCACTAATAAATCTTTGGGTTTGTTTACTTGGTCAATAACCGGATACGTGCATACACCATTACATGTGTGTGTGTGTTTATATGCATATATAAATAAATAGAGGTAGAAGTCAGCCTCAAGTATGATCCATGTGGGCCAATTCAAGGTAGAAAATTTCTCCCACTTTAAGGCACATTTGTTGGAATGGTGGAAGTGTGGGTCTCACACACCTGCTTTTGAATCTTTGTCCATACTGCTGCAACACACACACATATATATAATATAGAAAACAGAAGAGGGAGAGAAGAGAATATATATATATATATATATATGGGTGGAGGAGAGCCCTTTCCTGTACGCAGTCCTGACTGCACAAATTTCTTCTTCTTTTAAATAAAATCAGGGTTCTCAGTTGAGTCGTTTTCCTGAGGTCAATTTTGCCTCCCAAAAATCCAATTTAAAGTTGGGAGTTAATGCTGGTCTTTTTTGCTTTCGATTTTTTTGGTTATTTGGTGAGCAGATGGATACATAGATAGATTCTTCTGCTTGCGGTTGGCTGCTCTGCTGGGTTGATTTCCGCTGGGCCCAACTTTCCACTCAAATTTGCAATTAATGGCGTCGAAGTCTTAGATGAGAATGGAAATCAAATATGAGAGTTGACGAGAGTGAGAGAAAGAGTTAGGGGTGTCTCCATCTTCACATCTTTCTTCAGTGCCTTTCTTTTTTTCCGTCCACCATTTTCTCGCTGGCTCGCATTTTGGGGGATTAGGGTTTCTTGCTTTTGGCAGATTAGACGTTTGTGGGGTTTCCATTTTCCTCTCCATACGTAGCCCCTACCGATTCCCTGAATTTCTACCTTCTGATTGTTTTCCTCCCCACATGGCTTTGCTTCCGCTTTGATCCACACATTCGATCTTTGGAGTGTATTTCATGAAAATACATTGAACGTAGGGATATTTTGATGTCTTATTGTTGTGTTCATATGGAAATTGTTGTCGATTAGATTGTCAGCTTGTGAATTTCAGATTCCAACATGGTTTATTGAAGCTTGCTGGATCTGAAGGCTTGGACATAAAAACCGTACTGTCTGAGTGAGCTTTGAATCTGCTAATGCGATTGAGTTGAGGGCTTTGACACATAATATCCGTCAGGTGGCTAAATAATCAAGCATGGATAGAGTGATTCAACCTCCATTGGTAAGCATCTGGATTTGCTCCACTAGATTTTTGTTATTGTTTCTTCATGACTTAATATGCTTGGTGAAATTGTGTGTTTGATATCCGTACATGAAAGAGATTAATGTTTAGGAAATCATTATTGATTGGGATGAAGTTATATCTGCACAGATGTTTCTTATGGTCTGTCAAAGAAAACTTAAATCTTCCAAAGTTAATCATAGGATCGGTGTTTGGATTCTTGACTGGTAGATAGTGTGCTTGATAGCTGATGCAGCTGTAAGTTAAGGCTGCTCTGAAAGATGATGAATAGACTCCCAGAAATATCCTATTATAACCTTATCTAAATGCAATGGAACAACATACGGATCCATATATGTAATTTAATATATTTCGATGCACACAATTGAACCTGCATGGAATAAAAGTTTAAGATGATAACTCAGTGTAACGTTTAATATGTTGATGCTCGATTCCTTGTAATTCTTCGCAATACGACATGATGAATTATTGATTGGTTCCTATTAGTTAGTAAGAGTACGAGTTTGTGATATATTTCAAAATGCTTGCGGTTTTCATGCATGCAACCCTGATTCCAACTATTTAGTAATTTGGTGAGCGACTATTAAACTTACGCGTTGTTGGGAGATAACTTTTCTTATATAAACTTCAATTGAGAAAGCTTACCTTTATTACCACTACTAAAATTTCGATACTTACTCTCTCGTGATACTTATCTGCAGTTTGATTTTAAGGAAAAGATGAAAACACAATTGAGTGGTTTTTTATCAAACACTGTTTATGATAACATTATATCTCTAAATCTGTCTGTAAGCGTCCCTAAATTAAGTGTTACTTTCTTCAAAGACCAGAACAATTCAAATTCTATGACAAATTGTTGAAGATTTATAGCTTGGAAAGTATTCCGAATAATTTAAAATACCAAGAATCTAGCCTAATAAGATGTGTCTGAAACGGTGTCTTTTTCAGTGCAAAAATGTATTAATAAAATTGTGAGGATCTTGTTTGCAGGTAGATACAACAGCGTGCCTATGTCGGGTTGATGCAGGCCTCAAAACTGTTGCAGGTGCCAAAAAGTATGTGCCAGGAACAAGGCTTTGTCTTCAGCCAGACATTAAACCCTCCATTCACCCTACCAGGCAGAAGCCACCACGTGACCGGACCAGGAATCAATCTCCTCTATTGCCCGGGCTTCCCGATGACCTTGCAATCGCTTGCCTAATACGTGTACCAAGAATTGATCATTTCAAGCTCCGTCTCGTTTGCAAAAGATGGTCCCGACTTCTGGCTGGTAACTTCTTTTACTCCCTCCGAAAGAATCTTGGAATGGCCGAGGAGTGGCTATACATCATGAAGAGAGACCGAGATGGCAAGCTATCATGGCTCGCCTTTGATCCGATGCATCAGCTCTGGCAACCTTTACCGCCTCTACCGAGAGAATACACTGAAGCCCTTGATTTCGGATGTGCAGTTCTCAATGGTTGCCACCTCTACTTGTTTGGTGGCAAAGATCCGGTCAAAGGTTCCATGAGAAGAGTCGTCTTCTACAGCGCACGAACCAACAAATGGCACCGCGCCCCAGATATGCTTCGCAGGCGACATTTTTTTGGCTGCTGTGTCATGAACAACTGTCTATATGTCGCAGGTGGAGAGAGCGAGGGGACTCACCGATCACTACGATCTGCTGAAGTTTATGACCCCAACAAAAATCGATGGTCGTTCATATGTGATATGAGCACGGCAATGGTGCCCTTTATAGGCATAGTATACAAAGGGAAGTGGTTCTTGAAGGGCGTAGGGTCACGCAGGCAAGTTCTGAGTGAAGTGTACGAGCCGGGAGCGGATAAATGGAGCCCAGTTTACAATGGAATGGTGACGGGGTGGAGGCATCCATGCGCTACGATAAATGATGATCTCTACGCTTTGGATTGCAAAGATGGGTGCAAGCTTAGAATGTACGATGAGACGAGCAGTTCTTGGAGCGTGCAGATCGACAGTAAAACGCATATGGGGAGCTCCAAGGCACTGGAGGCAGCTGCAGTGGTTACGCTCAAGGGGAAGCTCTGCATTATCAGGAACAACATGAGTATATCTCTTGTTGATGTGTCGAAATCAGACCATGAACATTTGTGGGAAACGATATCCGGGAAAGGGCACTTGAAAACATTGGTAACAAACTTTCTGTCGAACCTTGCAGGTCGGAATCGGTATAAAAACCGGATAGTTCAGTGTCAAGTTCTTCAGGCTTAGGTAAGGAGGGTTGGTAAGATGATGGCAATATTGGGTAAATAGCAGAGTACACAAGACATATATCTATACATATATGTGTATGTATACTATTACCGTATGAATGTATGTATGTATGTCAGACGTCTTTGTTTGAACTAATTCTATTCATTCAATTCAGGCTGTAATGCATTTATAAATCTGGCATTATTCTTTTGATATTCTATTCATTCAATATCATTCCTCAATGATATTGTCAAAAACTAACTAATCAAGTGAAAAAGGAGCAAGGATTTACACTGCGTACCTTTCGATGATGTCCGTGGATATCTAATAATACACAAATGCAGATCATCTTTCTATGATGTGGATTTTCTATGCGCCAAGGAAAATCACAAATTTTCCTAATGAAATCCCAATTATTGAATACTACACAAAACTTATTTAGAGCACGATACAATACTAGTGCAGAAGGCAGATCAGACAGATGATGCAAGAAAGCACTTGGGGTAAAAGCCACAGCCAGAATAACAGCCGAAGCTGCATACAACATTAGAGACCTGTAAGAAGGATCATGAGAGAGATGATCTTGCCAGTGAAACACACCTGTCCTTCTGCTTCTTATATTCATTGTATCGCAGGAAGAAATACTCCAGATAATCAAAATCGATGGGAGACACTTTCGCCTGCCACAAAATTTTCTGATCATATAACATAAGCCTTGACAAAAACAAAATTTCTGATCAACAAGAGTGTACCTGTACTAAACCCCATAATCCCCAGCACAGGTGTGAAGCTAGAGTATAAGCATTTGTCTCCACATAAAGTGCTTCAAGCTCCGCATCAGAAACCTGTCATATTCTGCCAACGGTCAACTATAGACTATTGTATCAATCTTTCTATCAAAAGGTTCTAAAGATCGTTTCTGAGGCTTTTATCTGGTTGCATATTGCATTACATGCACATACCTCGTTTGGGTTGTCTGGCTTCAAATAGTGCCTGAAGAAGTGATACTGTTCTTCTTTCGTTGGAAACCTGCAGAACCGACAGGTCAAAGCTAAAATTAATAGGATTCCCAAAGGGAAAAAGACTAGCAATAAAAATTTAGATGAGGAGAACCGCATACATTGTATAGTCGCACTCAAAGCCAGCATATTCATTGAAGTGGTTTCCAATGTCAAAACCTCTGTAATTATAGGACCCATACTCGAAGTCAATCAGGTAAAGCTTCCCTGAGATAGTTTCAAGGAAAGTCTGGATTTTGTGAGAGAACGTAATAATTTTTATGGGCATCACAAGAAATGGTCACAACAGTTCATTTATTGCTATGAGAGCAATGCACCAGTGGCACCAGTTCACTGAGAATTGCAAGCCTAACCATGTTAAGTTCTCTTTCATATATATACTAACTTCTTTAGGTGAATGCAATAGAGAGAAAAAAAGTGTGTTGATACAGCAGTATGCAGTCATATAACAAACTAGACCTACACCATGATAATTATAAGTGATCAAAACACAACTCAATTTAATCTTTGTCTAACTGACATTGACTGTCCCCTCACCAAGGGGTACCTCATTCTAGACTTTGCTTGCATCACAGCATTATAGAATGTCACACACAAATCAAAGATATATATGGCACCAAAACCATGTGTGCAGAGATGGAGAGAGGTTGCAGTAAACTACCTTCATCCTCATTAAGCATAAAATTTCCAGAGAGCAAATCATTGTGAGAATAGACAACAGGAGCATTAAGACGATCTGTTGTATCCTGTTCCAAAATATAATAATTGTTAATCCTTGGCAGTAAAATGGAACGCAATGCTAAGCAGCATAATACACGAATGTTCTTTGACACAAAGACCATGTGAAAAAGGTACTAGTTGTGGAGTTTAAAATACACCATTTTTTCATTGAAACAATTGACTGGCAAAACGTTGAGCAATAACAATTCAATATAGGAAGTAGTTCTTGCTATCCAAAAGGCAATCAAGAAGATAATGGCAATATTCAGAAAAAAGCATAATTGGATCAAGACAAAAATATGTTCCACAGTCACAACAGAATATGAAGTATAAATTGACTATTTGGAAGTAGAGATAAAAGACTAATATCGTTGTCAAGGCAATGTCACCATGAAGATAAGTAAGCAGAGATGAAAGACAACCTTAAGGTCAGCAAGTTCTTTCTTAACTTCTTCAAATGATATCGTATCATACTTCCTTTGCTTTACATCATCATCAAACCTCAGGCTTGAGGCTGCAACCAACAGCACAGAAGCTCAGGCACAAGATTAGAAAACAGTTAAGAAGGTAACCACCAATCTGAAACAGATCCTAATTCCCCATATATACGGAATAAATATTAAGCAGAAACTCAAGAATCCAAGACTTTTTTTAACTCTTAATGTATACAGTACCTCTGTCAAAGAACTTTAAGATGTCGTTCCACAGCTGTGGTTCTTTACAACCAGGAATTTCTACTTCATGGAATTTTCGAACTTGTTTAGCAATTGCTGCAGCAAGATTTGGCTTCCGCATTTCTATAAGGACAAATGAATTATAAATGAGGAGTCTTATAACTTTAAACACGGAATATATTATAACCATACAAAGCCAAGATCAGTACCCGTACACTAAATCACTTTTTATAACATACTTGGAAAATAAATACATTGCCGCAACACCCCAACAAGAAAGTGAAGAAACCAAATTTGTAAGAACTCAAAGTAGACCAATCATAGTTTCTTTCAAATACAAAAACCCTAAAAGGTCACCAATGAAGTTTTTAGAACAGTATCCAAATAAATCAAGGGCGTCCATTGTCAGCTGCAGGTCTTTGTTTTGTTTTGCTTTTTTTTGGAGGGGTATAAAGAGTATTTTCTTCCAAACATGTCTTTGTTCTTTCTCAATAAAAAGTAATAATTCAGATTACAAAATAACATTCTAATATATATTATTAATTCAAAAAAATAGAGAGAAAAAAACTTCAAGCCAAAATCCATCATTAGGAATATTAAGCAAAATGGGTCATGTCATCCATGAAGAAGAGCTATTTTATTTTATTTCTTCTAAAGTGGAATTTACAAATTTCAGATCCAGGAAAGATAGTTCTTGCATTGAGGATAACTGATCATGTAGGTGGATTGAGGGAAGAGATGCATCAAATTGTAACTAGTTCTCACATCTCTGCTGTTGTAGCACGAGCAAGCATTCATAAGTATCCCACAACAAACAAACTCTCAAGATCCAGAGAGAGCTCAGTCTCAAGTAAAGATCCCCTCAACTTCTCAAATCTATGTACAGTGTAAGAGAAATAGACATACAAAGCTCTGACGCAAATTCGAAAACCAAGATGTCAAAACAGCTTCATGATCTTCCAAAAGAAAATTAGCTTATACTTGTATGTGGCCCAATCATTTTTCTCTTAAGCACCACTCTTTCCTGATAAATTCTATTTAGAATTAACATATTCTTGATTGAGGATTAGAAATACAAAGAATAGTGCCTTCATAACTGGAATTAAGTTCTTGCATAAACATATACCTTTCCTTCCAAATGGCCAAAAGTAATATCATGTGTTTTACGTATTTCAACATATTCAAAGCAGACAAATATTAAATGAAGAGTATTTTAAAAGTAGAAAATGGAATATATTAACACTTCAGATCAATCATGTTGAATTTGCACAGACAGAGCAGTCATTTGCTAAATTCTAATAAAACTGACCTGAATCAAAATTCAGGAAAACTGAAACTTGGAGCAGTCGAATACATTTGACAAAGTAACTTAAAAATGAATACTAAACCAAAATTTGGGCAAGTTTTCTGTGTGAGTTCATTAGTTCACCAACCCGAGAATATGAGCTTGTTATAGGAAATTTAGGTAATGCAGATAAGCAGTAAATAATAAAGGCAACCTTAGAAGGCCATACAAACTTCCCTGGTTTGTCTCAAATAATTGACAAATGTAAAACCAAGTTGCTTAAACGTCACACAGTGAATATCATCTTAACTGAAAAACAACAATTAGTTCAGTTAATTTCCAACTTCTACAGAAACTGTGGAACCATCTCCATAGTGCTATAACATTCTTGGAATTTGTCGAGCATAACTACTGCACTGTAGTTTATTGCCAGACCCTCCTTAAACAACACTAGAGCAGAAAAGACAGATGAAGAAGTGACTGTACATATGCAAGGAGATTAGATTTGCTTCAATATGTTTCACAAATTAGATGATTGTCTATGCATGAGAATTTGGATTAACTGTACTATTGGTGATAGTAAAATCAAATAAATGACTAACATCAACAGCTATGCTCCTCTCAAAATAACGAGACTCCATCTACTTTCAAAGCATTAGTTAGAAAGATCAAATATACAAAATGTTGGACACATAATAGAAAGGTTGCCGTTAAGATATTTATCAATAGAGAAGGTAGTATCTTATCTCTGTTTTTTACCCTTTTGTTTTTACAAATATTTACCTTCTGGAGTAAGTGTACGAGCATTGATAAATGATTGCACCATGCCATTTCCAAACACTCCAAGCAACTTGGCACCAAATCCTGCATCTGAGAGGTATGGAATAGCCTAGATATAATACACCAGGTTCAGCTTAAATGAAATCAACAAAAATGATAGAAAACTTATTTTACTTTGGAGATCACATATAGATTACATGCAATAATATTCAACAACTACCATTTGTGCGCTGAGTTGCAAATATAAGGTGCATATTTATATTTACTAGAAAAACCAAAAACCTCATGAACATACCAGTAGTTCCCTCTCTCGATTGATAACATACTCAGTGTTTGGTCCATATAATCGAATAGTCATAATCACATCACCTCCACTTTCCTTGACAGTAAGCTTGAGTACTGTTTATAATTCAGGTAAAGATATGCCATAGCAGCAGCAAGCCATGCCAACAAGAAAACAAAATTTACTCAAGCACTAAATATAAACCAGTAGAATGAACTCAAAAAGACCATCGCAAAAGGAAATAAAAGACTGCAAGAAAGACGCACAAAGATTCGTGAGACCACCAGATACCGTCTCAAGGTAAAAATCTGACTCATCCAAATCCGACCACTTCTTGAAGAGATCCTTGCAGAGTTCCCTGCCAAAATTCAATAAAGTGAAACTTCCAGCACAAACAATGCTAAATCCAAACCAGCAGGCACAACTTCTCACAACCACCAAACTAAACATTCCAAATCAGCAGGAAAACAAAAACAACGCATTCAGTCGAACAAGCACAAATGACAACAGCAGTAACATGAATAAAACCAGCAAAAAAAACGAAACAAACTCACACGATGTGAGGCTTCATTTCAGAGATGGGGAGCGAGTGGTCAATGGTGATTGAAGACGACGGAGTATCGGGGCAATGACTCTCCAACAGTTTGGACGCATTCCAAATCTCCTCTCCCGCCCCCATTGACAGTCGCCGAACCAAATGATTGCTTGCACGAGCGTCGGGATTGCCAAAACTTCGATGAGGCGATTCAGCGGCCCTATGTTCGTTTCCGTCGTTTTATAGGAGGAGCTCACAACAAAGACCAATGACCAGCCGGGAATAACAATAATAGGTCGGTTTCGCGTGGTGGAAGTGGAAGTTCTCAGGAATGTCGATCTGAAATGACGGAAATGACCTCCCCATGGCAGATATTTCCTCCCGCTACCAGGAATGTGTGAACTTCTGAATTACTCCGTTATTGTTGGTTGCACTTTATTTCAAATCTAATTATATATATTTAATTTAGACAAACAAACAAAAAAAAACTATTGGGTTTATTTAGTTTTAATTTAAATAATATTTTAATATAACATTTTATATAGAAAATATTATATTCTTATTTATAATGTATGGGTTAATTAGTGTTAGAAATAAATTTGAAATTATAATCAAATACATTTGTAAATTTATTAGTTGTTCTTTTGGTGAAAAAATTTATATATTTCTAAAAATAAAATTACTTCATAATTTTGTATGTCTTATGTAAAAAAATATTCTTTCAAAATAGTATCTCACATAATAAAGACACCCATTATTTTTTATAATTTTTAAAATTTAAATTTTTAGTTTATATACTCCATGACTACCTCATAAATTATTTGTATTTTTTATTTTGTTTCATATAATTTATTTTTTTCTTTTTAAAAAAATAATTATATATTTTAAATGTATTTTATTTTTTTATTTTTTATAATTTGTTAATTTTAATTAAAGTAATCGATTATTTTAAATTCAATTTATATTTATTTGTATTTTTATTAAATATTTTTATATTTAGATCAAAAATATATATATAAGATAAACAAGGCTGGTGTTTGTATATAAAATTGTGTTCATTTTATTCCTTTTCTTTTTTATTATTATTTTAATATTAACATTTTAATACAAATATAAAAATATATATATAGTATTATTTTAAAATTGGAAATCAGAATTTAAAAATAAAAATTAAAAGTTGTGTTTGTTTTAATTTTGCATTGAATATAAATTTTGAATAATAAATATTTGAATTTGAATAAATATTTAGGAATCTATCATCACACCACTACGTTATCTTTTACAAAATTTGAATAATTGCTTATTATAATAAATATTCGGTTAAATCTAATACCTTGTAAATTAAATTCAATAAATCAATTAATATGTATCATAGATAAATCTGAAAAAGGGTTTAGGGTTTAGCCTATGGTCTAATAGTTAATTGGTGGTGATGGTTACCAATTTTCAGATATTATATTTAGGGTGTGTTTATTTGGAAGTTTGAATTTTGAGTTGGGATTTAATTGGTAAAAATTTTGAATTTGAATAATTGCATAATGTGATATAAATAGATGTTGATGTAATGTTTTGAATATAAAATTGATTTTCAATAAAAATATAAAAAATAAAAAATATGTGTTTAATTTGATATTTTTAAATAAAAAAATAAAATAAATAATATATTTGGGGAAAAATCCGTCAAACAAATACACCAATAGATGGTTTTAGGAAAAAAAATACTAGAAAAATGTAAATGACGTGGTGTGACGTCAAATGTTATAAAAGCTGAAATTTTAATAGTAATAATTATGAACAAAGGGCGGTTGGTTTGTAATGTAAATAAAAATACAAACCGTTCCATCAAATATAAAAAATTTTGAAATTTTTAAAAATAGTAAACATTAATATTTTATAACAAAAAACATTTGATATTATATTTCTTTTAAAAAAGAAATACTATAGAAATCTTAAATATAATAGAATTTGTTTATTTAGTGTTAACATACTCTTTTTTAAAAAATAAAAAATAAAAAAAGTTATAACCGATCGATAATACTGCTAAAATTTTTAAAAATATAGGAGTATACGGGAACCAGTCGTGGCTGTACGTGTGGATGAATGATTGTATAATAACAAATTTTGAAAATGATTTAAAATAATAGAGAAATATTTATAAGTTCACCTTGTCCACTAAAAACTACATTATGTATCTTACGAGACCCACAATGGTATTGATAAAAACATAACAGGACACATGTCATCTATACAAGGTTGTTTATTTTCGTCCGTAAAAGATGACATGGTGGTGTGGAGTTGGACTTGTGATTTTAAAATCATGTGTTTAAACCCTCGATTCTCGATGCCTCAGGTCATCTGTCACTCATGATTCGTCTAGTGTGACTTAATGTCTCGTTAGGTGCGGTTGATACCTGAATAATGGTATAATTATATTAAATAACTAATAATTAATTAATTATATTTTCATTCATTCAACACAAAACACAACGTTACATAAGATATTCATCAACATTTTATCGAGGTACATTGTAACATAATAGTACATGTATGTATGTATATATATATAAATAGCATGATCACATAAAACACAATTGTGTTTCATCTAATATAAAAATAGTTAGAATTTATTATTTATAATGATATATTTATATTTTATTCGATCTCGATAATGCGCATTGTAGCATAAAATTACTTTCTATATCAAGAATGAATAGCACGAATACATAAAACATGAATATGATTCGTTTAATATAAAAAATATTTACGACAATATATTAATATTACAATAATACAATTAGTTTATACTCAATTCGACCCTCGATTAGATAGTAATACGAAGAATTATAGTAAGTAGACATATTACATTAGAAAAAATTACTATTATTTTCTGTCGATGCGAATAATTCTTTTATACAATTGAAAAAAATAATAAATACAGTAACCCGTGACTATATATTATTTTAAATTTGTTAATTAAATCTAGCTTTTTTTGCAATTTTATTTCTATTACGTATTATATTATTTTAAAATTATATTAATTAAGAAAAATAATATACTTAATATAAAATTACAATAATATTATTACGTAATAAAAAATAAAATAAAATCGTAAGTAAAAACGAAATAGCAACTGAAAGTATTGAATGAGTGGTGTTTTTGGTCTTCCCCAAATATATGCCATAGTCCATTCACATTTCCAAATTGCCATATCTTTTCCTAATCATCACCTCTCTCTCTCCTCTCTTTCTCTCTCCTCTGCAACTGCAAATATACAGACGTCCGAAAACCCTTCCCCACTTCCCTATTTCTGCCTCGCTGCTGTACGGTATAGTTTCCTCTCACCTCCTCTGCCATGTCGCAGCGGCAGTGGTTCAACGACTCCACCTCCACTGCGCCCGCCCGCCGTGGCCGGCCGCATTACGTTCCACCTCGCAGCCGACAACAGCCCAACATTACCGTCACCGTTCCAACTGCTCGGACTCCGACCTGGCGCCGCCGCCACGTGGTCGTCGGTGGATCCCCTTATCGGCAGATGTCTGAGGATTTTGATACCCCTCGGACACCTGAGGAGCTAGTCGACGCCTTATCGGAACAAGTACGCGAAGTCAAACTGGAGTCTCCGATGGCGGACAGTGTCGACGCCGCCGTGGAAGTTACAGGTGTGGACATACCTCCTCCCGTAGCTTCGTTTGCTGAGATGCGGTTCTTTGCGGAGGCCTTGAGCGAGAACATAAGGAGGTGCAAGTACGTGACCCCCACTCCCATCCAGAGGCACGCTATTCCCGTCGCCATGGCCGGGAGAGACTTGATGGCGTGCGCTCAGACTGGCTCTGGCAAAACGGCGGCGTTTTGCTTCCCCATCATTAATGCCATTATGGCAGGTAAACAGATCGGGATTGAGGAGCATTGCGGTTACAGTGGTGCGAGGGTTATGGAAGCTTGCCCTATGGCTCTTATTTTGGCTCCTACACGAGAACTCGCCTGTCAGGTGCTCCGATTTTATATTTTTATTCTACGACTCGTTGAATCTTTTGTCCCTTTACGAGACGTTTTGGCTGTATCTTCTTCGTTCCGACGGATTATTTGTCTGTACTATTCTCTGCAGTGTTTCTTTCAAAAAACCGATTTCGAAGGGCCCATCTATCCTTCTCACACCCTTTTAGCTTTTTGTTCATTAATATTTGGGTTTGGGGTTCGTGTTGATGGTTTTTCTGGATGCATATCTGTGTAGATTCACGAGGAGGCGAAGAAATTTGCCCACCAAACTGGGATCAAAGTAATGGTTGCTTATGGTGGGACCCCTATTGTCTACCAGGTTCGATTATTTTAAAAATCATCTGGAATTCATTGTTATGAGATTCTTGTTTGAGCCATTGGGATTTGTTGCTGGAGCTGAGGTTGTGATTTTTTTAATTTTTTTTAATTTTTTATGGTGTAGTTAAATTTTACTTTGGTAATTGTATTGCACTTATCAATGGTGTTTTTATTCGATTTTCTTCCTCACCTTTCCTAATGCTTTTGTAGTTGCGCAATCTGGAGAAGGGAGTGGACATCTTGGTTGCCACTCCCGGTCGACTCATCGACATGATAGAACGATCGAAGGTTTCCCTAAGGAACGTAAGGTATTTAGCTTTGGACGAAGCTGATCGGATGTTAGACATGGGCTTTGAACCCCAAATCAGGAAGATTGTTCAGGAGATGGAGATGCCTCCATGTGGTGAGAGGCAGACATTGCTTTTCAGTGCAACATTTCCTGCTGAAATACAGGTTCTGGTTCTTCGATATTCCATTTTTAATGTTCCTATTTCTTTGCGTTAGTTAGTTTCTATTGTCTGAGAGCACACGAGCCTTCTAACATTGTTACCCTCATTTTTGTGAAGAGGCTTGCCTCGGATTTTCTTTCAAACCACATATTTCTTGCTGCTGGAAAGGTTGGCTCCAGCACGGATCTGATCTTGCAAAGAGTCGAGTTTGTTTCGGACATGGACAAGCGAGGCCATTTGTTGAATCTCCTTTACTCCCAAAGGGCCAAAGTGGACAATGCTAAGGTAGACAAGTCCACATTGTTCTATTTGTCTACTTTATGTTAAACTTCAGACGACTTTAAGCCTATTGCATACTTTGGATCGTTTACTTGTTTGTTTGCAGGATGCTTTGACACTAGTCTTTGTAGAGACCAAGAAAGGAGCCGATTCGCTCGAAGGTTGGCTGTCAAGAAAAGGCTTCCCCTCTGCAGCCATTCATGGTGATAAAGCTCAGATGGTTAGTCTTAAATTTTTGTTTCTGAGTTTTGGAAATTCAGCTGAATGGATCATTTTATCTCTGTTAACTTCGTTCAATGAATGCAGGAGAGAGAACGCTCTCTGAAATCTTTTAGAAGCGGCCGCACGCCAATTCTGGTGGCGACTGATGTGGCTGCACGGGGATTAGATATACCACACGTTGCTCATGTCGTAAACTTCGATCTTCCGCGAAGTGTAGACGACTATGTCCACAGGATAGGACGGACTGGCCGCGCTGGAAAATCTGGCCTGGCGACTGCATTCTTCAGCGAAAAGAACGCACCCATTGCTAAGGCACTTGTCGAACTGATGCAGGGAGCAAATCAAGAAATCCCAGAATGGCTTAGGGAGTACGCGGATACATCCCCGAGAAGTGCCTATGGCAGACCATCCCACCATAGCCGCAACAAATGGGAAAACCAGAGAGGTTCATACCAAGATTACAGCAACAGTGATGACTACTCGAGCCAATTCACCGACAACCCTTTGGCGACTCCTGCTTACACTGTCGACGACTATGCATCGTCTCCATTTTCAGCTGCACAGAGCTCCCCCCACATTGCAGACTACAATGCTCCGGCGGCGACAGATCCGTTTAATTCAGACTCATATAGCAACGGATATAGTTACGGTTCCGTCGTGCCGACAGGCTGGGACTAGGCTTGATCTCCTCCGACCGTACCTTCTTCTACAGTATAGATAGCAGGTATGGCTTAGCTTCGCTAATCTGGTAAATGACTCTCTACTGAAAGTAAAATTTCAGGCAGCAATGAATCGGTTTTTGAAGATGACAATGTTTTGAATTGGGACAATTTGGAGGGAACGCAGCCATTTTTTGTTTTATTATTTTTGTCGAGCTGCCTATTGTGATTTTGGCTTTGATGTTTTGACAGTTCAGTTATCATTTATCCATCGACTATCAGATATACTTGAGTGCGGATAAGATTATATCTGTCATATTATATTGGCAGGCAAATGTGTCATTTTACACTCATACATAGTAACAATACAGGGTCATGTGTGTTTCTGTTAGCCCTAGACGAGGGGCAAAAATGGTAAAACAAAATTGGCTGGGTGGTGCGGTAAAAATTTCACCAACGTAAACCTCTATATGCGTCTGGAGCAACGGTTACTTCATCGTGTTGGTTATTACAGTCCGTAAAATTGGTCGTACATACATTACTGTTTGCGTATTGGTGTAATCCAAATCGGGCTATATTTCTGTGAATCGCGCCGAATCCAATCGATTTCTGAGAAATTGAATTGACAAAGATGGAGGAAATCACGGAAGGAGTCGCCAACGTTACGGTATCTGGGGACACCCAGAAGAAGAACCGAATCCAGGTTTCGAACACGAAGAAGCCCCTTTTCTTTTATGTTAACCTCGCCAAGGTGCGTAATAACTTCTTATTCGAATGCGTATGTTTGGTGAAACCGATACGAATGATGGATCTGGGATTTGGTTCGGATCTGAGTCTTGTTATTGTGTTGATTCGTGCAGAGGTATATGCAGCAATATAATGAGGTGGAGCTCTCTGCTCTTGGAATGGGTACAGACTCTCTTATTTTATCAGCTATCTGATATATTTTTCTCCTTCTATTTCCGCATTTCCTTGCGTATCCTGTATGTATCTAGATAAGATGGAATATTTGAGGTTCGATATACTTAAACATATAGAGTAGTTAAGCTATTTGGTAATCTGTAGTCCGTCAGTTGGGCTTACAAATTATTCATATTTTATAAAATGGAGGCAATCCTCATGTGTGTATGATGTATGACACCACTTATCTAATGAAACAGGGTTTGGATACTGTATGGACTTCAGGACTTAGCTAGCTCATTGATATGTTTTCATGGTGGAAAGATCTGTTATTAAAATATTTTTGAGGGAGATAATGCTAGTTATAAAATTGACATAAATTGTCCTCTAGGTGGTGTTTGTGTGTGGTCAATTTTTATGCTTATTTTTTTGGGGGTGGACATGTTAGCAGGTTACTGTATGTGCGTTTTGGGGCTTGTCTTGAGACATGTTTTTCATGAGTGAAAAAGCATGAGCTTGTTGAGCCAAGGTGCATACTGTGCGAGTGAGGAACCTCCAGGGCTATGTATAATTGCCAACTGCTCAAATCATCCCTTTTTGAAAATTTTGTGTGCAGAATGTGTCTAAGCATTTTCTTTTGTGTTGTGTTGGAGGCATTAGATATAAAGAACATGAAACAAATTTCCACAAGTAGTTATTGCTTTGGGCAACCCATTATTCTTGATTATAGAAATGTTACTTATGTTTATGTTTTTTTGGCTTTTACTTGTGGGATCCCCGAATTTACTACTCCGACTTTCTTTTTCTTCCAAAAATATCAAATCAAACACCCACTTTTTATTTATTTTCTTACACTAAAATTTAATTTTACATTTAAAATATTACATCAATACGTATTTGTAGCATATCAAACAACTATTCCAATGTTCAAAACCAAAACAAAAAACCATAATCTTACAAGTAAACACACCATTTGTTTTGCAGCTATTTCAACTGTTGTAAGCATTGCCGAAATCTTGAAGAACAATGGATTTGCAGTGGAGAAGAGTAAGGCTAACAGAAATCAGTGTTTTTCTTTAACTTAAGGGTTGTTTTTCACATGTAAATAAACATTGCTGTGATACTCTGCAGAGATCATGACATCCACGGCTGAGATCAGAGATGATTCGAGAGGGCGGCCCATCTCCAAAGCCAAAGTAAGTTTGTAATTCTGGAATACTAAGTGCTGCTAAACATTATATCACTAGATATTAGCGTCTATCTCCAGTCTTTTTGAATTAATTCTAACAGATCTGGCTCATTGTCTCTATGGATAAGTATACTTGTTTTGGGTCTTGATGAAATAGATTGAGATTGTGCTGGGGAAGTCTGAGAAATTCGATGAACTGATGGAAGCAGCAGCAGCAGCAGCTGCTGCGGATGAGAGAGTTGGAGATGGTGAAGAGCAAAGCTAAGAATGGTAATTTAATTTGAATAATTATTCGGTTTGAGATGATACACTGAGATTGCCTGTTTTAAGTAACTCGAACTTGCAGTTTAAACAAGATGATAGGATTCTGGGTATTTATTTTGTAACATTAGGGCTTTGGTTAAAGGCCATATGGATTTCAACAGGTTCCCCCGAACAGACAAAAATTAAAATGCAAAGGTCAAGTGATTTTTGCTGCTAAACTGATGTAAGTTTGAGCCTAAGCCCATCAAGATTTGGTCACCGTGAAGAAAAAGTAGTACTTAAATAATGGGCATGTTTACTATGTAGAATTATATACTAATTATAACATGTTGATTATATAATATCATAAAGTAAAATGTCTTTTTTAGTTTTGGGTCTTTGCTAGATTGAAAACCCGACCCGGCGGTTGGACAACTTGACTAGTGACTAAAATAGTTCCCAAATCTCTTTACATAAATGGTTTTGCACATGGCTGAAGAACAAAAAATGTCCGCGTCCTCTGCACTATACTGCCCTGGCCTTTGTATGTAATGTACCTAGCTCATTTTATCATCATCACCATCATCATTGTGAGTTTGTTTGTCAAGGAGTCGTGTATGTGCACACCTCCTTCTCTAAACCACTCACTAATGCTGAAATTGACTAGGTTCTTACAATTATCAATTTGATGATTTCTGCCCAACACCTCTTCAATATATCAACTCACCTTTTAATACTGTCTCTCCTCTTCACCTAGGAAATGTTATTTTGTTTTCTGGGAATGTTTTTAGGCCTGGATCTATCTTAATCCGATGTTGGTAGGATTGTTTTTAACCTAATCCCCACTAAGATTTATATAAAGAATCATATCATTAAGTGGTGAACAGAAGTTAGTTTTTCATCAGGATCTCTTCTTTGATGACATTCTTTTTTATGATAGTGTATCTATCTGCACTGTACCATTGTTGAATTACTGATTCAAGATTGAATCAATGCTGGAAAAGACATCATCACTTTAAACATTATTAAATGTGACCATTCTAATGAATTAGTTAATTAATAGCCAACCAAAATAAATTGAAATTTAGTGTTCAGGTATGATATTCTGCCCCAACTCCTGACTCATCTATGAGCCCCATTACAATTGTTTATGGGAATCTTAGCTAGTGGCTACTGGTATATACCATCTTTATTTTTATTTTTATTTTTATTTTATAAATGAAATTAGATCACATAATTCTGTTAGGATGATGGGAATGGTTGATAATGATTTGGAATAATTATTTTTTATCTTGTTTCTTAGCTTGTTATGTTCTCGTTGCCATTTATATACAAGAACACAAATATACGCCACATAATATGGTTATTTTTATTTTTTCCCCTAATTATCAATATATCATAGTTAGGGCCCGTGACGCAATTACTATGCCTCATAAACATCGTTGTATGAGGGTTGGATTTGTAATAACGTCGTAAAAAATAAATAAATAAAAAAAAATAGAAACTCCTGGTTCGAGCAGAATCAGATATACTGGTCCTGTCCTTCACTTCACAACTATTTTGAACCCTTGTTGATTATTTTCTTTTTTTTTTTTTTTTTGGACCCTTCTTGATTTGTGTACATGAATTGGAGCCGTGATTTCAATGCATATGTAGTTAAAAACATGTGGATTTATCAGTCAAATTTGAAATTAAAAATTTTAGATTATCATATAATAAAATGGGAGAAGAATAGAATAGTATAGTCGACATCAAAAGCAACCCAAAATCTACAAAAAGTAGAGCCATGATACTAATTGATCTATGATTGCCAAATTAAGATTGAGAGATTGCCCTGCCAACTATATATTCAGAAATTTTGAAAAAAAAAAAAACAATATTATCTCAAACCAGTTTGTGGACATCTTAATCTCATCCTTTGTTCATACCCATTTGATTATTACTCCATCTCTCTCTCTCACTCATTTAGTTATTTAATTATTATTAAAGATCAATTATCCAACCACTTTTTATTCTGCCATGAATAATGCACAGATATTTTATGGCTTTGGCCTTTGGCCATACACAATACATTCCTCTCTCCCTCTCTCTCTCTCTCTCTCTCTCTCTCTCTATATATATATATGTATATATATATATTTATGTATGTGTGTATGTACGATAGGAATGTCATCACATGTTAGTTGTTAGCATGCATTTGAACAATTTCTTGTGGACAAACAGATAATTGTTTTAATTTCTTGGCTGGATCAATATATTTTCTTTTTGCCTTTTTTTTTTTTTTAATAGTATATGCATATATGTGTGTATAAAAAGTTAAATTAAATATCCAACCCTTTTCCCACCTTTGTTTGTCTGTCCCCCACCTAGTAATTGATTGATTTACTAATAATTTAAGTAACATGAATGAATGAATGAATGAATAAATGAATGTCATACGGAAACCCTTAGCTTTACTAGTTAATAATATTAATATTAATATTAATAATAATAAAAATAATAATATATCATTCTACGAAGCATTACTCTTCCGTCTCAATTTAAAATATATTTTTTTATTATTTTTGTTTGTTCTATTTCAAAGTATCTTATTTTTATTTTAGAAAAAATAATTATACATTAGTATCAAAATATTTTTATTTTTTACTTATATTATAAACTTGTCATTACCAATACAAAAATATTAAATTTTTTTACATATTTTTATAATCTATTACAAAACTCCAAATCAAGAGGACGAAAGGAGTATTACTGTTGTTTAGCTGATCAATAAATCGTGATTTTATTTAATTAGTTCAAGTTGATGAATCATTTTTCTTTTGTTGCAACTATGAGTCAAATTGATATAATTAAATATGGTGGATCTTCCCTTTCTCTGTTTGTTTTAAAATATTTATGTATGTATTTGAACAGGATTTCATTGTACTTGGATGAAATTTTGTAAAGTAAAACAAACACTGATATAAATATATATATATATATATATTGTGCACTGTAATCATGACTAAAGAGGGTCAACCACATGGCTTCGAGACGGGTTTTGTAAGCCTTAAAATTTGTTTGTTCTAATAGAAAAATATATGCAGTGGAATCCACCCGTTTTACGATCCGCCCTGCTTTAAATCTGACGGGTCGAATTTTATTTTTTATTTTTAAAAATAAATGTGTAAGTAAAAAAAATTAATCATTAAATTTCAAATACGTTTTATTTAAAAAATACTACTAGACAATCAAATACTCTCTTCTTCTCATATTTCGTGTCTGCTATACTGTGGGTGTAATTAGTATAAATAATTATAAATTAAGATTAAAATAACTAATTAATTTAATTAAAATTAAAAAATAAAAATTAAAAATGAGATTAAAGTGTATAATATTTTTAAAAATAAAAAGTGACATGAATGTAGGACGGAGGGAGTATTATTTTATAAATTTTGCAAATCCCATAACCTGTCACCTCTTGAACCCAGGAGGTCAGCCGGGGTCAAGTTTGAAAACTAGCTGGTAAAATATATTTAGATATTGATTATTTTATTTATTTATAGGCTATATAATAACATATAATTAAAAATTAAAATATTAAATATTAATTTTTTAAATTTAAAAATTTTTATTAATCGAAACAATAACATATTTTTAATTGACATTTATATAGCAATAAATAACATAATAATTGTGAGTTTAAAGATTAGTAAATCGAAAGATACGATTCCACAATTTATGTAACTGTAAATACAAGAATTTTACATAAAATATAATTAATAAATAATTAAAAAAATATATTAATAAGAATAATTATTATATGATATAAATAATTATAGATTAAAAAAAATTAAATATAAAATTTTAACAATTATTAAAATAAATAATTATTTTTTCTAAAAAAAAGCAAATAATACGAGACTAAAAAAATAGAAATAATGGATAAATAAAGTAGAACGGAATGAGTACAACTTAGCTAAAAGTTGTAAAAAATTCAAAATAAAAATAATAAGATGATAAACATATAAAATTATAAATTTAGATAACATAAATAATTATGTAAATATATAATTGTAATTTTTATAATTTTTAATTTAAGCTGGTTAGGATGGAGCCAGGGACGAGTTTTTGATCAAGCTTGTAAATTTTAACCCACCTTAGTCTTGATCGAATTTAAAATTTCAAAATTCAAAACTCGTTCCTCTATGAAAATTTGAATTTTGATTGGCCCTATTAACATCGAGACCTACCCCAATTGTCCCTAAATATATCTATATGAAATAATTTAAATCAAACTAAAATAAAATAAATAAAGACAACAAAAAAATAAAATCTCAAACAAATATTAAAATAAATATTCATATCTTTGTAGCATATGATATAATGATTTCCAATGGGGTTAACCATTTTTTCCCTAATCATAATATATAATCATCATCGTAATTCAATTTAATATCTTCAATAAATTATTATTGTTATTATTATTAGTTTCTTTTAAAAGCAAAATAAATAAACCAACGAGGTTGTTACGTGTGATTCTCATCAAATAAATTATTTTAACTAAGTCGGGGTTTCTTGTATGACTTAAATTTTTTTGTCTTTTTTACAATTGTATGGAAACATGTGGTTCTTTTTACAAACACTTTACCATAAAGTTTTACTTTTTTATCATTTCTGTGTTATGATATTGATATTCCCTTTTTCTTTTTAATGAAACAAATGGCTCCATCGATCGCAAAATTGACGACACAAAAAATATTTAGGAAAAATCAAATTTGCAAATGGTTGGAATTGACTTAAAAACAACCATAATTATTACAATGAACCTGCAGGAATACATTATACATGCATACAGTTGAAGAAGAAGAAGAAGAAGAAATTGTGATCATTGTGATAAAGTTGAAAGTGGTGGACATATATTCATCCATCCATCCATCCATCCATCCCAAATTCCCAATAATAATAATAATAATATAAAATAACAACATGTAATGGAAGACAATTTCAAGTGGCAAAATGAAAAGGAACATATCTTAGTTCAATAATGTATATTATACTGTACACAAGCCAATAATAATATCAATAATTCATACATATATATATATATATATAGATAGATAGATAAGAAAAACTTTTATGTATGTAATGATGGAGCAGAATCCCCCTGCACTGGGAGCAACAGATATATATATATATATAATTATACAGTCACTCCATTTAGAGTTTGCAATATTCTTAATTATATGCATGCACGTTCATTTTATTAATTATTTTCATTTTTATATGTGGTAAAAGTAGAAGGATCTTTTCATTCATTCTCATGATCTTGTATTACTATTTACTATGTTTTGTTTTTTCTAAAAAAAAAAAATACAATATATAATTATTCATTTAAATTATTATAGCAAAATTTTACTTTAAATTCATAGTATATTATCGACGATTTAATTGATTTAAAAGCAAGAAAGTCAAATCCCATTATAACCCTTTTATTATTAAAAAAAAAAATAAAAAATTGAGATGGAAATGGAAGGAATGATAGATGGGGCGGCCCGGCCCGGCCCGATCCTCCTCGCGTTGTTTTATATGCCATCTGGACTGGACTGTCTGCATGTTGGCTGTCTCTTCTATGCCACGTGGCGTACGCTTATTCCGCCCTGACTCGACCAGTGTCACTGTGCCACGTGCCCCTTCACTGATTCCAGATAACACGCCATCGTCGCCCGCCACAATTCAACGATACAGATCGATCCTACCATCATCATCTTTTCCAATTTTAATTTGCAGTAATTAATTAATTAATTAATTTTAGTAATAATCCTGATGAGTGCACGTGCGTGTCAGGTGTCCCTCCACCCATGTCTATGTGGAAATGCAAATTGAAGAAAACAAATAAAAATACTCATATTAATGAACAATGTCAACTCTGGTTGTTGTTCAATCATTGAACTTTATGATTATTTTCGTGAAAATTTAACCATGGTTTCGAATAGCTAAGGTCCCACCACCCCACTTTCGGCACCAAAGGATAGGATAGGATAATATTAAGCTATATAGGTTATTTTACCAATTATTTTGCATGTATTTTTAGTGCCATTTTTATAAAATTAATATATTATATTATCCAAATACAAACCAAACACATTTATATCATACAAAATATTTACTTCAAAATACTCTTTACTCTTTTTAAATATATGTTGTAAATTTTTGGACACATATATTAAGAAAATAGTATATAGGAAATACGATAGATCCATCAATAGCAATGGTAAATAAATAAATTAGTAAATTACTTAATTAATACAAGTCCAAATAAGCTAACACGCAAAATGTGTTTAGAACATCTAATTAATAAAAATTAGACAACATTGATCAATACTTTCAAATCAAGTCACATATTGACTTCCCACATTTTATTGTGTCAATACAAATTAAGAAAATTATTAGAACAAAAAGCTAATTAAGGTCCATGCATTCCCATATATCATATCATATCAAATCACTACTCTAGTCATGAATTGATATTGTCTTTTCTGAAAAATAAAAGTTATGCAATATATAATTAACCTACGTGCACTAACTAAATTTTGTTTCTTATTTTCCATGATTAAATAAAAGAAAAGACAGGAAAAAAAAGTAACTTCATTTTGAACCTCAATTGACTAATGTTGATAGACATATATATATATATAAATCCTATGCATTCATTCAATTCAAGCCTTCATTTAAGTCAATTTTTGTACGTTCGAAAAGCATTTCTGAACTTAGCATTACCACACACACACATACACAAAAAAGTAATATAGATTGTTAGGGTGGAAATTCATTTATTTCCATGGTGCATGATTTATTTATTTATTTATTTGTTATTATTTTTTCCATCACTCAAAAGAAAATGGCGATATTACTTTTTATATGATTGATGGATGGAACTCTTGAGATCCATCAATTATTATTATTATTATTATTATTATTATTATTATTTTGTTTTAAATTTTTTAATGAAAAGAATATACTATTATAAATAAATGTGAGTTTTAAGCTTTAATTTTTTTATTATTTATAACAATGTTACGTAGCTAACAGTAATGATAATTAATGGGAATTGTTGGGTAACAAGGAAAGACTTTGGCAGGAACACGTATATAAGAAGAGGCCAACACTCCTCCGAGTCTAATGGTAGCGGAAATAGGAAACCATAAGGGATTTGCACTTCGGAAATACGTGGTATTGTTCACTGGTTATAACTCTTGTATGTATCAGATACTTGCCTATGGCTATGGCTAGTTAAGATTAAACAAAAAACAAACAACACACAACCTACACTAAACCTATCACCAACTATACAAGGGACTCAACGACTCAATAGACAGAACAGAAGGAGTCTGCTGCAACAATAAAGGGTATTTTTGTAACAATAGTTGTATACACAAATTTCTAATCCTTGGTATAATTTTAATGTATTCTCTATGGTAATTTGTTAATGTTTCGATCCTTTCATTTGTTAGGCTATATTTATATATTTTAATCTTTTAATGAGTTCCCACATGGAAAATTGACTGCATAGCACTATGAGGATCTAAAATGGGTTTCATAACTTTTGTCTAATTAAGGTCAAAGTTCATAACAGGTCCTATTATAGCACTTACCTGAATCATGTGCCCTTAATTAAATAATGGATAGATAATAATAATAATAATAATAATAATAATAATAATAATAATAATAAGTAAACATCTATGACCTTGCCATTACAAGTTCACTCTCCATGAGACCAGGTATTTCTTACGGACCAGACAATATAACCTAGATTATATATAAGATGGTCACAACACAATTAATTAACTAAAACTCTCTTCTCTTTAATATATATATATATATATATATTTCAAAAAAACACCCAAAGTGTACACCAACATATATAATATAATATAATATAATAGGTATGTTGTGTATTTGTGGCACTATGGGGTTGGCTGAAAGAGGGCTGGAATATCTGATAGCAACTTGTGCTAGTAGGTACTACCAGCCCTTGAAAGTTGCCAATTACATAATAATCACCCATATATTCTTGTAAATTTTTTTTTTTTTAAAAAATTATATATATTAATTAATTAATCGTAGACTTAATGATTGAGGATGAGTGGGCAGAAATTAATTAAACAGTATGTAGTTTGGCAGATACAAAAATCTGATAAAGTGAACCAGCAAATGTGGTTTTGCACCCGATCGACTTTAATTAATAATCAAATTAAAAGTTCAATTAATTAATTAATTAATTAAGGGCAACCATGCACCTCAATCTTTGGAAGTGGGCCCCCCCCGAAGATCTGCACAATCACTGGCGACTATTGTCACACATGTAACGTGTTAGTATTTTTAACTATTGCCTTTTGAGACTTCTTTTATTCACCCACCTTCGTCAACCTACATATAAAATGCTACATTTAATTTAATCCATTATAAATAAATAAAATTAATCCATAAGTCACGTTAAGATTTAGCCACTGCTCCTCTTATGATAAATTTGTGATCGTAAAGTTATGTTCAAAATTTTAAGGGAAGATGAGAGAGTTGAGAGAATGGAATCGAAGACAAGAATGAGCAGAAAACAAATATAATCAATTGAAAACCCTAGATGGGGAAAATTAAGTAGTAACATAAAAGGATACAAACAATTCTTTTATTGAATTATGATCTTGTTAAATACTTAATTATTACTGTCCAATTAAAAATAAAATAAAATAAAAGGAAATGAAGATGATGAGTGAATTATAGCTGCAGTAGCTAGATTTGTACTTGTGGTGAGGTATTATGCATGTATTGAACTGATCTGTAGCCTTTATATATATATATATATTAATTATTACAAATGCATGCATGTCTAATAGTAGTTCTGCTTTATTAATACAATTAATATATATATATATATATATATAGTTCTGCTTCATAATCTTATATCTGTGAATCGAATCTTGCTAAAATTAAATAGAAACGTTGAATGATATATTACTCCAAACTCAATTCAGTTTCTTTGGGGGGGGGGGGGGGGGGGGGGGGTCCTATCTCTGCAGTACTGTGCATATCAATAATAATAATTAATATATATATATGTATGTATATATCCATGTATTGCTTGGTCGGCAAAGACCACCTTCAGTGAATGTGACACTTGTTGAAGATGGACCAGCTGCTGCAGCATACCATCATATATATATATATATATTGTAGTATTTGTGTATAGTGTATATCTTGTATATATACCTATGGTTCCTGATGTGTTTTGGCCAAAATTAATATTATTTATGTGCCACATATGCAAATAAAGGATGAGAAAAACAAATTCGAAATGAAAGGTGGGCAACCTCCTGTGGGGCAACAAAAGCACTAAGAGCAGAGAAGAGAAGCTCACGAGGACCAAGAAATATGGCGAGGAGGACGATACTGTTCTACTCTACATACACATGTAGAGAGGACAGAGATAGAAAGGGGGCATTAATGCATTATGTATATATATATATATATCTGAGATGATTATGATTAGCATACCATGTTCGAGATTCCCAATATTATTCCTCACTCACTCACCATTCTCAACTTCCCACTCCAGCAAATCCAGATCGCTTTTTTATCACAATTTTCATTGTTTTGTTTTTTCTTGATTATTTATTAATAAATAATAATATGAGAGTATCTTCTGGTAAAAAGATGAAAAGGGTATATATAGTAGTCCCAGAAGCCTCCATTTACAAAAAAAAAAAAAAGGGGTAGGACTAATAAGCTAGCTAGGTGAATATATGTATGTAAAAGCAATAATGATGTCTCTTTCTGTGCATTTCTGGTCCAGCACTAAAAGACTCTTATTATTTGCTGTTGTGTTCTGTACTGCATTGGCCCTGCCTCCCTCCCTCCCTCTATAAATAGAGACCATTTGTGAGGCCAACAATAACATCCAAGTCTGTCTGACTGAGTTGGATTGAAGAAACAACACTCATTCATTCTCATTCATACATCCATCAACACACACTATAACAATAACTAAAAAGAACTGCTCTCTCTCTCTCTCTCTCTCTCTACATATCCTTTCTTCATCATCTCTTGTTTTCTCACTTGAGTTTGAGTTGAGTTGAGCCTCACCAGGAGAAAACCAAACCTTATTCCACACAGCAATTAAAGCAACCAAGCAAGAAGCAGAAAACCTACCTACCATCTATGGTTAGTAGTTGACTAACCCTGCAAATACACCATTATCATCATCATCATTCTATTCATAATTAGGACAGCAGGCTTATGATTGATTGATTGATATTGCAGGCTGCAGGTGAGGCGGCGAAGATGAGTTTGACAGTGGCGGATGCTGTGGATTACAAAGGCTTTCCAGCCGATAGGACCAAGACTGGCGGTTGGGTGCCTGCCGCCCTCATTTTAGGTCTCTTCTTTACTCAATTCTCTATACTTTTTTGTTTTTTTTTTTAAAAAAAAAACTTTCTTGCAATACTGGTTGTTGTAATACTGGTTGGTTTATTGTTTTCTGTAAGAACATGTAGCCTGGGCTACCTTGTGTAGGTGGTAGCTAGGTATATACTCATCACTTTTATGTAAAAAAAACAGTAAAAAGAAACATACAACTCATCACCACTCTGCATTTGGGAGTGGAATGAATCTATAATCGGTGGGACCAAACCAAACCAAAAGAAAATTCACAGTTATTCCATTTTGATTGATTGATTGAATGAAATTTATTTAGTTGGAAACCATGATTAAGGCGAGGCCTTTTCACTAATTACCTTTTGCCTCCATTCCATTCCATGATCAGTAAGTAAAGTGGTGTTTAATTTATGAATTGCAATTTGCAGGGATCGAAATCTGCGAAAGGCTTTCGACCATGGGCATTGCCGTGAACCTGGTGACCTACTTGGGCGGGGTGATGCATCTCCCCAGCTCCACCTCCGCCAACATCGTCACCGACTTCATGGGCACCTGCTTCCTCCTCTGCCTCCTCGGCGGCTTCCTCGCCGACTCCTTCCTCGGCCGATACAGGACCATCGCCATCTTCGCCATCATCCAGACCATGGTACTCTACTAACTCAACTAATTCACGCCATTACCATTACCATTACCATTACCATTACAGACCTCTAATCATCATAATTCACACCATTCAGGGAACTGGCATGCTAGCCGTGACCACTAAGCTCCCCCAGCTCCGGCCGCCGCCGTGCCACCGCCGGCACGACGCGGATTGCAAGGAAGCCAGCGGGTTCCAGATGGGGATTCTGTACGTTGCTCTGTATCTCATTGCTTTGGGCACGGGAGGCCTCAAGTCGAGCGTGTCCGGGTTCGGGACCGATCAGTTCGACGACAAGGACGAGAAGGAGAAATCGCAGATGGCCTATTTCTTCCACAGATTCTTCTTCTTCATCAGCATGGGCACTTTGGCGGCGGTCACCGTCCTCGTCTACATTCAGGACGAAATTGGAAGGAGCGTCGGCTATGGCATCTGCTCCATCGCTATGTTCCTCGCCATAATCATCTTCTTCTCCGGCACCCCACGCTACCGCTACAAGAAAAGCTCCGGCAGCCCCATCGTCCAGATCTTTCAGGTCATTGCCGCCGCCGTCAGGAAACGAAACCTCACCCTTCCCTACGACGTCGATATGCTCTACGAGGACGCTCCTGAGCCCTCCAGAATTCATCACACCGATCAATTCCAGTAAGCAATTAATAAAAAATCTATATATATATATATATATGCATGCTTCTGTACGCAGATTGAATTAATGGTCCATTTGAATTTCTTCGAACGAGCAGGTTCCTGGACAAGGCGGCCATTGTTGCAGAAGGCGATTTACACAGTATGAACATGGCGGGATCGGGGCCGAATCCATGGAAGCTTTGCTCGGTAACGAAGGTGGAGGAAGTGAAGATGATGGCGAGACTGCTCCCGATATGGGCGACCACAATCATATTCTGGACAACCTACGCACAGATGATCACCTTCTCCGTGGAGCAAGCCTCCACCATGAATAGATCCATGGGGAGCTTCCAAATCCCCGCCGGCTCCCTCACCGTCTTCTTCGTCGGAGCGATTCTGATCACCTTGGCCGTCTACGACAGACTCATCATGCCTCTCTGGAACAAATGGAAAGGAAAACAAGGTACGTAATTACATAATTTACATTCAACCAATTTAGGGTTTCAATTTGGGGATTTTACGGTTTCTGAGCTTCTAATTCCGTTTACAGGTTTCTCGAGCTTGCAAAGAATAGCGATCGGGCTAATTCTGTCGACGATCGGAATGGCGGCGGCGGCCGCCGCGGAGATGAAGAGGCTCTCCGTGGCGAGATCGGCGACGAACGCGTCATCATCGTCTCTTCCGATCAGCGTTTTCCTTCTGATCCCGCAGTTCTTCCTGGTCGGTTCCGGCGAGGCGTTCATCTACACCGGGCAGCTTGATTTCTTCATCACGCAGTCGCCGAAAGGGATGAAGACGATGAGCACCGGCCTCTTCCTGACGACGCTGTCCCTAGGGTTCTTCGTCAGCAGTTTTCTGGTGTCGGTGGTTAAGAAGGTGACTTCCGGCGGCGGCGGCGAGGGGTGGCTTGCCGACAACATCAACCACGGCCGGCTCGACTTGTTCTACTGGCTGCTGGCGGTGCTGGGGCTCGTTAACCTGGTGATTTACCTCATCTGCGCCGCCTGGTACAAGCCGCAGAAGGCGAAGCCCGCCGCCGTGCAGATGAAGGCCGGCGGCGGCGAGGATAAGTGCTGATCGGAGAATTGTACGGAAGCATGCATGTGATGTATCCCTAAGGAATTTTAAATTTACTTCACACTATGCATTAAACTTTGATCACTCTTGCATCTTTTTGTTTTTATTTTATTTTTTTTATGTGAACTGTAAATTTGTTTTCTTTTTGTTTAAAAAATTGTCTTAAATATATAATTATAAGTATAAAATACTAAAATGATTTCCAAACTGACTAATGGTGAATTTAATAAAATATGGATTGCTAAGATTTATAACATAAAAATTATATTAAACACTTTTTTACTTAAATTTGTGTATTATAGAAGCAATATTATAAATTGTTCATATTAATATATGAATTTATTATATAGAATAATAAATCCTGTACAATGCAATAAAAGAAGAAAATTGAATAACATTTGAGATCGATGCACATTAATGGTACCTTCGTTTATAAATTATATAAAATAATAAAATGAATAGGCTCATGTTACTTGTGTTTTTGTACTCTGTCACTCCCAAACAAGATGCAACATTTACTTTTGACACGGATTTTTAAGTTAATAGTACTAAGTAAGTAGGATAATTTAGAAATGAGGTGATGTGATAGAGAGAGAAATATATATTTTATTTTTTTATTTGAATGATGTGGGGTAAAGATTAAATATAATTAATTATTTTCTATTTTAAAAATATTGCAGGATGTTTGGTTTGGGACTGAGGGAGTATTATTCATTAAAGAAAAATCATCTAAAAGATATTATATTTTAAATTATTGTTATTTAAAATATTATATTATAACAAAAATATTTTATATTTAAAACATCACTTTAATATTTATGTATATCACATATTTATTTCTATTCATTTGTTTACTTATTCTCATTTTTTTTTTTTTATAACTTAAAAATCAGAGACTTAACCGAAAGTGCTTATTGGGTAAACTTTCTACCTAACGTTTAAACTTATAATTTTAAAGTACAAATTTACTCCCCACACCATCAGATAATATGGAGTGTTCAATCTAACTTTTAAAATGCAATACTTTTGTCAAATAAAAATTGTATTTATTATTATTATTATTATTATTATTATTATTATTATTATTTGTATACTATTATATGACAAAAATATACCAATGGGCTACTTCTTTTTTATTTTATAGTATGATATAACTTTTTTTTTTTTCATGAAAATTAAACTATTATTTTATAACAGACAAAAAGAGTATATATATGACTATTGAATTAGGGCGGAAGAGTATTAGCAAATACAAAATATTTACATATTAATATAATATACTTACTTCGGTCTATTTAAAATGGTCATTTGAAATTTTGTAGAATTTAAAAGTAATAATATCTTATTAATTAGTAAAAATGTGTAAGAGGTTTTGATATTTTTGTTATTTAATTTTATATATAAAGTAATTGTATATGTAATGGTATATTTGTAATTTAAGTAAAAAAATTAAGTATTTTTTAGTATTAGTGTATCATTTCTTTTTCGAAAATAGAAAATGAATTCTTTGAAGTAGGACGGACGAAAATAATAAAAATGATACTTTAAAATAAAATGAAGAAGTAATATATATACTTTTTATTCATTTAAAAAATTAATAATTCAATATAAAATATTATTTTATATATATATATATATATTTTATTATCAATACACTTATTTCTACTCAATAAAAGTATGCAAAATGGCATTCAACGTTGCATCTACGTCATAAACTACACTACGAACATGTGTAGAGAGCATATATATAATACTTCCTCCGTCCCATATATCATGTCCACGTTTTCGTTTTTGTTCGTCTCACATACCATGTCATTTTCCCTTTTCTAAAAATGATTATACACTTTAATCTCATTTTAAATTTTTAAATTTTATTTTTTTTAAAATTTTAATTAAACTAATTAGTTATCTTAATTTTAATTTATAATTATTTATATTATAGGATAATTATTTTCACTAATACATTCTTAATTATCTACTAATTACACCCCTTCTAAAATACCGTGTCTACAGTGTAGCAGACACGGTATGTGGGACAGAGATAGTACTAAATATATTTTACTATTATCGAACATTCTTCAAGAATTTTGAAATTTTAAAATTTGTTGGCAATATTATATATAATCCGCAATGGTTAGTGAATTTTAATTTAGCACAAATGTGTTAACAAATATTACATAATATTACACAAATAATACATCATATATATTAATATAAAATATAAATACAATACACCAACTAACCACCTATGATAAAAAGTATGAATAAAAATTTTTTTTTCCCTTGTAGGTGTATATTAGTGTAAAAAGTTACGACAATTGTGTAATAAAAATAAAAAAGTAGAGGTAATTTTATGGTGATATGATTATTTATGAAAAAAAAGACTATTATTTTAGAACAGACAAAAATAATAAACAAGATTATTGTACTAAGAGTGACGGAGTATTGTCTAAGACAAAATATATATTATGTGTATTTTATTTTTTTTTTATTGCTTATTGAAAAAATAAATAGGATATTGATTTGGGCAAATACAAATTAGCATAGGAACCTATCGTATAAATATAACCAATTACAATACGACACGTTTGAACCTACACTTAGGCAAGTAAATTTATTTGGCAGTTGGCACATCATTAAACATCAATTTTCTAAAGTATCCTTAATTATAACTTTGCTTTCCACCCCTATGATGATTTAATGATAAGAATTAAGAATAAAAATACACTTTATATCATTTAATAATTTCTTTAGTTTAATATGTAATTTAGGACTTTTTTATATACTTAAATCAGAAAATGCTGTTAAATTTTATAAAGTTAAAAAATATTATTAATGTTCGTTGGAATTTTCAATCAATTAACAAATAATTATGGTCTTGAAAGTTTCAGTTTTACTTTTTTATTAATTTTTGAAATAATTTAATAATTTAAATAAATAATCTCATATGTTCTATACAAGTTTAGAGTAGTATGATATTTCAATGTGATATTTTTATTAAAAATATAATATGTTCCTTAATTCTTTCTCCACTTTTGAAATTCTTTCACCCAAAATAGCATCTTTTAATCTTTTTAGATTAAAAAAAAAATATTGGACATATTATCTTCTGCGAATTTCAATTTCCACATGACTTCTGGTCCTAATTTGTTATTTTTACTTTATATTATATTCTACTGTTCTTTCTTTACACGATTGTATTAATGTATACTTGTTCTTCTAAAAAAATAATAATATTTATATTATATTCAAAATATTATATTAAATAATTATTTTTATTTAAAAATTATACATACATATAAAAGAACATGTAATAATTTTCATTCAAAATACTTACCTAACAATATTAGAATAAAAATTAAATATCATGATACTTTCCTAAAAATATTTGAATAAAAATTAATTTTTATTTTATTTTTCTAACAGAATGGGTAATAAATACTTAGTAATTAGCGCTATTTACGCAAGAGTGGATAGGTATACGGTGATTGGTGAGTCACAGTGTCTATTGCATGCCCAGTAGTCAGGCGTAAACTGCAACCACCTCAATTTTTTTCCGGATCTATCATCAATTTGTGTAACGGCCGGCAAGGATCAGAAACAATATGGAAGCTGAAGCTGTCGTCTCAGATGCTGTGAATTACAGAGGTGCGCCGGCGGATAGGTCGTCCACCGGTGGCTGGCTCTCCGCGGCATCGATTTTAGGTAGCTTCAAACTTCTCTCTGCGATTGAATAATGAAATCGAAATCGCCCCTCTCAGTGTTTTAGGACTTATATGAATGTTTGTGATGCTTTATTTTTGTTTCGGGGAAGAGATTCTGATTGAACTGTATGGTGCTGTATTTTGCTGGTTTGGTTAATAACTGGAATAATCGGAAGTGGATGAGATAGTGTGGAGAATTTGATTCCTAGAACTGTAGCTTGGGTGCCACGCTTCAATCAATTGGTGAATATTTCTACGAAGAACAAAGAAATTTTGGTAATTAATTTTAATTTTATGGAAAAAAATACGTTCAGGATTTTCAAAACTGGATGTTGATTGTTTGGGGGTGGGAGTTTCACAATTTTCCAGATCGAATTTCGGCGTGGATTGATTTAAGTTTGATATGCAGCCTGCATGTATGTTCTTAACGTAGTCTATTTGCATCTTGTATAGTTGTTGAACTGTGTGAAAGGCTCTCCACAATGGCCATCGCTGTTAACCTTGTCACTTACCTCCACGGCACGATGCACCTGTCAAGTCCAACATCATCCACCATAGTTACAAACTGGGGAGGAATCTCCTTCCTCTTAAGCCTGATCGGAGGGATCCTCGCCGACTCTTACTTGGGCAGATATTGGACAATTGCAATATTCGCCAACGTTCATGTCCTGGTAAGCACTTGATCAAAGATGACCAAAATTGGATGCTCAGAAGTCACAGTTTAGTGATATGGTTTCTTCCTGCAGGGATCAAGCTTGTTAACGATTTCAACAGTGGTGCACACCTTGCACCCACCTCCTTGCAATCCTTTACAATCGCCAAACATCTGCAAACAAGCCAATACTCTTCAGCTGGGAGTTTTCTTCTTAGCCATCTTCACAATTGCGGTTGGAATTGGTGGAATAAAATGCAGTGTTTCAGGCTTTGGGAGTGATCAGTTTGACCAAAAGAACGAGAAGGAAATGGCTCAAATGACTTACTTCTTCAATAGGTTCTACTTTTTCATCAGTATAGGGACTCTTCTAGCAGTCACAGTGTTCATATATTTACAAGATAGAGTTGCTAGAGTCTGGGGATATGGAAGCTGCACTGCTATAATGTTTCTTTCAGTAGCAATATTTTTATCAGGCACTAGAAGGTACAGATACAAGAACTGTCTTGGAAGCCCCATTGTTCAAATTTTGCAGGTCTTGGTGGCTGCTGTAAGAAAAAGGAAGGTACAAGTCCCACCAGACGAGCAACAGTTGCACGATGATCATTCCGAAGAATCAAGATTACCTCGCAGCAAGCAATTCAGGTACAAACCTATGTAGTTGGGATGGGAAGCTTCTTAGTTGTTTATTACTTGATGAAACTTGTTGCAAACATTGCAGTTGCTTGGACAGGGCAGCCATCAAAGATGACAAAGATGAGTTACTGATTGAAGCTGGAACTACTAATTTGTGGAGACTCTGCACTGTGACAAAAGTTGAGGAAGTAAAAATGATGACCAGAATACTCCCGATTTGGGCGACAACAATTATGTTTTATGTTGTTCATGCACAGATGATTACATACGCTGTCCTGCAAGCGAACACTATGAAGAGGTCTATTGGATCGTTTGAAATACCGGGAGCCTCATTCAATGCATTCTTCATAGGAGCTATATTGCTAACTCTCGGAACTTATGATCGTATAATCATCTGCATTTCCAAAAAGACAGGAGGGACAATTGGTACACAATTTACAGTCCAAACTTTATTCTTGTTTCTTTACATCTATCGAATCATTCTCAGACAAAATGTTGCTTGAAAGGAAAGGAATAATATCCTTAACTATGTTTTCTCCAACTCCTTTCAGGCTTAACAAGTATACAGAAGATGGGAGTTGGCCTATTTATTTCCATCCTGGCAATGGTAGTGGCAGCCATAGTTGAAACTAGAAGATTGAATGTTGCAATAGGCGTCGACAGCGCAGGTCCAGCACTGCCAATAAGTGGCTTCTTATTAGTCCCTCAGTTTGTGCTGGCCGGGGCAGGAGAAGGCTTCGTGTACACCGGGCAGCTTGCCTTCTTCCTAACAGAGTCACCGAAAGGGATGAAAGCACTGAGCACTAGCCTATTCCTCACAACTATTTCATTCGGGTTCTTCCTTAGCAGTGCACTGGTTGCTATAGTAAAGAAAGCAACCCAAGACAAGCATGATTGGCTTCCTTCCGACATTAATCATGGCAGACTGGATTTGTTCTATGGGTTCATAGCTTTGCTGAGCCTCGTTAACCTCGGGCTCTATCTATTAAGTGCAAGATGGTTTCAGAGGAAGAAGACAACATAACCTGAACTGATTTATAAACTCCCTGGAGTCCAGAAGACGTTGCAAATGAATGTGCAGCCGCCATCAAAGATCGTAGTTTAATCTGGTTTAGAAATAACATATTGAATGGATCCAATGATCTTGTATGTACATTGTATGATTTGAGGATTCAAATATTTATACAGGGCTTTGAAACATGTACAAATTCTCTATAGTAGACATGGGTAGTGAACGAAAAACTTCAAAACAATTTTCATGAGGTAAAGACGAAAAGGTATCTTTTCTGCAGTATTGTTCAATGCTACTTTTCTCTTCTAATGAATTGACTATCTTGTAACATTACTTTTTTCTTACCTTCACACCAAACCTTTATGGACTTGGATCCAATTATAATAGTTGACTAATGACTACACACTCTACCTCATAAGGACAATTAACATCATCCACGAGCTACTTGCTCAACATGAAAAACAATTACAGGGATCAAGAACCATTGTACCAACAAAATACCGTTTGAATTATTAGATAGTTTGGAAAAATAGATGGCACAACAAGTAAATGATGAAGTTCTAAAAGAACACTACAGCATGATATGAACATGAAATAAATATAAGGTGATACCAGCAAAACACCACATTATCCTGCAAATAAATATTTAAAATAAATACTAGTATAGTATCACAAGCGTCTCTAAGAACCATCAGCCCCAAATCATCATCCGGTCATAACACATGATCGGAACTTTGAGTCGCAGGCGGCCTCAAAGTTCCAAACACGACGGGGGCCAAGAAATAACAAGGTTCATAAAAAGGTAAAATTCGAACAAACATATATATATATATATATTAGAAACTCCTAACCACTGCCTACCAAAAACCATAATCCTAAGCGCCGCAGCCGCATCCATCCGTCAATCCCCAAGAAGATTTCATCTTTGCCACCATTGCCCTCATCCAAGTAAAAGCAATCATCTTGCAGGAGACGAAACACTGCCCAATCAGTTCAGTTCTGAGACTCATTCTTCTTAGTTCCTCCATTGTTATCACCTTCCCTCCCTTCCAACAACCCTGCACCCTCCTCATCAGCCTGCTGAGATTTCTTCTGCGCCTCCTTGGCTTTTAGGTCACGCAATTTGGAGTGGTTGTAATAACCAACGCCCAAGAAAGCCAGTCCATATCCGAAAAGATTGATTGGAGTCACAGTGTCCCTAATGACAGACCACGAGAAGGCGATCAAGAGCCAATCCTTGACCACACCAGCCACATTCATGGTCAGAGCGGATGTCTTCCCCACAAGTAGGAACACAGCGAGATTCAATGCGAATGCACAGAGGGAATTGGTTCCGAAAATCACGTAGTCAAAGTGGAAGCTTGAAGTATCCCTCAGAACGGGATACTCGACGAAGATCCACGGCACAAACAGGAAAACCAAGCAGCAAGGGGAAACGTAATAGAGAGAAGTAATAGGGTTAAGCGTGATACCCTTGGATGTCAACAAGATCTGAATCATCACAAGCCTGGTCGCCTCGAAAGCCACCGCCCCTAATTGGAGAATAACTCCCCAAGTATCGAATTTCGCCTCGCCGTAGGCCGCGATCCCCACACCAATCGAGATCGAGATCATGTTCGCCATCGTCTCCGATCTGAACCCTTCCTTCTTAAACAGGACACCGATCGTGTACACCGCGACCGGCATCAGCGCCTTGAGCATTTGTATAAACGAGACAGAGAGATAAATGTAAGCCGAATTGGAAAGCCAGAGCGAGAGAGAGTACAAAAGGCCGATGGGGACGACCGATTTCAGGTACAGATCCCAAGACATGACCACAGGATCTACCGCCTTGAAGACCTTGACTAGGAGATACGCCAGGGACGAGCAGAACCCCATGTGGATCATGGTGAGCGAAATCGGGTAGGGCCAATTGTAGAGCTTCCGATCCAGGATGTACTTGTTGTAGACGATGACGGTGAAGGACAGGAAGATCCATATCGCCACGTACGTGTACGACAGCACGATCTTCTTCAGCACGCCGTCGCTCATAGCCCCGCCTTTCCCCATTGTCCAATTTCCGATCAATCCACTCCCCCTTTCGCTCCTCCGATCCGATTCGATTCGATTTGATTTGCTCTTTCACGGGTGAAAGAGATAAGAGCAGATGCAAAGGGGAGGCGCTACTGCACTACAGGGACGAGGACTTCGTCTGTGCCCACTGCCCTTTATATAGGGGAGGAAATTACAAATATACGGAAATTCGATATTTACACGTAGCTCCGCCTTTTTTTTTTATGTATTAAACAAACCATCCCTGTGGTTTTCGAAATTCCAATTAGGTCCATGTGTAGCTACAAATTGAATTACAAAAAAGCTCCTCTTTTTTTTTTTTTTTTTAAATAAAAATTTTGAAGTTTTTGTTTTTATTAGTTGTTAAAATAATATTTATATTAATTTTTAAATAGTTTAGGATAATGATTTAATATGTTTTTATTGAAAGTTATATGAAAAAATAAAATTACAAATAATGAGAGCCTTAATTGCAATATATTTTAAATATGGTGTAGAGAATATAATAAGAATTAAAATATGCCGCTGATAACATATATCGCATTATATTTTTGGTTAATAAAATATAATTGTATCATTCTTAAGATTTAATACAAGATTATAAAATTTAGAATTAATTCATCCATAAAGTTTAACATATTCAATTTAGTAAATATCTCATAAATATTATTACGATTTAATTTTTGTAAAGATTGTTTAGATTAATTGTACCAATATAATAAATTCAAGATTTTTCTAACTAATACTTGCACTTGTATTTTTATTCTATTTTATTTTCATATTTGATATCTTTTTTTCTATCAATATATTGTTGATATTATTTTTCTATGTTTGATTATTTAAACAAATAGTTTGTTAATATTTTTTCTTCATAGCTATTTATCCATTTAGGATTATTTATTTTATATAATTTTAAGTTAATTATGTTATAACATAGATATACATGAAATGGTATATCCTAACAAATTGGTAGTACAAGCTTTTTAAAAAAAAAAAAATTAAATACATATATAATTATAATTATATAATACATTTTTCATCTCAAATCTTTTACTATTATTTTAATTCCAATATTTTTTTTTTGATTTTTTTTTTTAACATATAGTTTTTCCCCTTGACTGTTTTAGACACGTATTATAAATATATTCCAAATACCTCAAAATTATATCATCTAAAATATTACAATAAAACCAAAAATATCAAACAAAAATACATTATTATTTTTTATAAAATATTATATCAATATAAATTATAAAAATATATTTACAAAGTACAAAGCCAACACACCTCTAATTTGTCAAAAACCATTACAGTTACAATTTGTTCCACTAGCAAAAATGTCTACTGTAATTAATCACATTTAAAGCTAAATATTAAATGAATGCCCCAAAATATAAGTTAATACTTATTTTTATTTTTTATTTTTTTTGACAAATCAACAATTCTGCCCAACTCATACTATAATTGCACAAACCTATAATATATAGTCCTTTTAAATTATGGTAATTAAACTTATTTAGTTGCAAAATATGATATATTTTTTACACTACTTTTATTACTAGCAGGAGTTTTAGAATGTATAATTAGTCATATACTCTCCATTCATCCCATAACAAAGTATCAATTTTTTCATTTTAGTCTATCTCATAATAAAGTATTCATTTCCTTTTTTAGCAACTGTACTGTCTACCTAACATTACAAATACCCTTACAACTTACAATATATTACACAAATGTCATTACATTTATATCACACATATTAATAAGGTTATTTTAGTCATTTCTACTTTATTCCTACTATATCCTAATATAATACTAATATTTCTAAAATTACGTGCAAGAAGCAAATGGATATTTAGTTTCGGGACGGATGAAGTATTTAATAGTTAACAAAATAAGAGATTGGAATATTATGTTATGTGATTATTTTAATATTTATAATAATAATAATAATAATAATAATAATAGTAATAATGTTTATTGTTTAATAATCTAAATAGTTATAATTGAAATAACGGAAAAGTAAGCAAGGAAGATGAGTTGGGATGTGTGAAAGCGAAAATTGTGGCATCATCGAGGGTGGCTTCACATGTAAATGCAAATGCAAATGCAAATGCAAATGTAAATGTAAATGAAAATGAAATTCTTCTTTAGTCACATGACGTGTCCGTCCACTCCTATGCTTTCAAACATGCCAAAGTTTTCCAACATATTCTATGTTTATGATTATGATACTCACACATAAAGTGGAAAATAAAAATAAAAAATAAAAAATAATAATAATAATACTGACTTGTTTATTCGACACGGAGATTTCAATAATAGTTAATTATTTATTATATATTTAAAAAATATATAAAACTGTCCACACGTCATGTTGTCAATTAATTGTGGACTGAAAATGCATAAATAATAAATCCCAGTTCCCCAAATTCTTTTATGAGTCTGTCCCTCAGTTGTATCGACTTATTGGAATTCATTTTTTAAATAAAAAGTAAGTAGCTTTTTTATACGATATTTAATAGTAAAATAAATAAAAGTACTGTAGTCTGTCAATACATATAATATAGTATCAAAATAATAACAGAAAAAGACACTCGTTAATTTTAGGTTCCATCTTGGTTTAAATTCCAAGTGCCCATAAGGACAAACAAATTAATATAAAATAATAAAAAGATAGTATATATATATATATATAGATATAATGATATTAGGATGCATTGTACAGATTGATGGTAAAGGGGAAAAAAATTGTGGGGACATGCACGCTTTCTATATAATTTTTTATTATACAGAATCAAAATCGTGCTTTCCACTCTTAATAGCACATGTTATGAATTATTATTATTATTATTATTATTATTATTATTATTATTATTATTATTATTTCCGCATAAACAAGTCTTGGCAATCTTAACATTGCCGAAATTACATTAAAAGCTAAGAAAAAACAAAGAAAAAAAAAAAAGGTTTAATGAGAAGTGGAAATTGGGTTGACATGAGAGAGAGAATACATGTGTATACGTGTTGCGTGTAGAATCTGTTAGGGGTCAAAGTCAAGGGAGGTTTGGAGCATTTAACATTACACCTAAATCGGAGGAGTAATAAACGGCATTCGGCTGCCAATTTGTCATTCAATATTTCAACTCATATATTATTTTTATTATTATTTTTCAAAATAATATACATTAATAGGAACTGCAAAAATAAGTATGGTACAAAAGCTCGGTACAAAAATTCATGCTTTGGCTTTCAAAGATAGACTCGAAAATTTTTAGGTCGTGCTTGACCCGTCACGCTAATGAATCGGACATGTCCGAGCTTACGAAAGTCATGCCGTTTCTGACCTGACCCGATTTTAAAATTTAAATTTAAATTTTAATAAATTTATATATATATACTAATTTTTGAAATAAAAAAAATTAAAACATGATATGTTAGTAAAGTTCTTAATATGTATATGTTTGGTTGTATATTCAATGTCCCACCAAAAAAAAAAAAGTGTAAACCGGGTCATGCTCAGGTCAGTTTTTCCAGACCAGACGTGCCATGCTGGTCACCACACTTTTGAATCTAAAAATCAACACTTTTGAATCTAAAAATTGATTTTTAGTATAATATAGAGATGTGATATTTTTGGTAAGAGCCTATAGACAAAGTTTTGATATTTACAATAATTTATTTTTTCAAATCTTTTGTAAACTTAAAAAAACTCCAATCAAGGAAAGGCTACACCTCCATACCTTCATAAAATTCAAACATCTAAAGACATATAAGTGGCTTCATCATCATATTCATACAAGGCCGCCGGAGCCGTAGCCGGAGCAGCAGCCGGTGCCCGTGCGCGGCATAGCATAGAACACAGCACGCCGCATACTTCTGCCGCGTGCGGATGCAGCACGTCGCCAGCAAGAAACTCTTCGACAACGCCATCAACTTCTATAGTGCTGCAGCCCGGCGTTTTCTTCATTCGTTTTTGCTCGAGCAAGCTCCGAACCCTCTTAGCTTCGGCTCCCCACCCAGCTTCCCGGTACATATTGTAGGCGAGCACATAAATTCCATAGTCGGGCGATCCTTCGCTCGTCAGCTCCCTCCACAGCCTGTCGCCGATCTCGACTCTCCCATAGATCCTACAAGCCCCAAGCAAGGCTCCCCATACATTACCATCCGCATTCCCGATCCCTCCCATTTTCTCGCAAACAAATCGCTCGGCTTCCTCTAACCTACCCGATCGCGCAAGAAGATCGACTATGCAACCACAATGCTCGATCTTGGGCTCGATTGCATACACGCTGCTCATATCTTCGAACAAAGAAAGGCCCAGGTCGATCCATTTGGCATGCGTGCAAGCCGTCAAGAGCGCTACGAAAGTCGCCTCATTAGCTCGGGTTCCACTCGCGACCATTCCATCGAATAATTCAAGCGCTTTACTCGCATTCCCGGTCATCGCTACCCCGGATATGATCGCATTCCACGCTCCAGTATCCCTATCCCGGATCTTCTCGAAAACCAACAGAGCAAGATCGATACGCCCGCATTTCGAATACATATCCACTAGTGCAGTTGCTAATATCGGATTCGACGTGTATCGGCACTTCTCGGCGTAGGAATGAATCCACAAACCTTGTGCCAATGCACCAAGACGAGCACAGGCAGTAAGAGCGGTGACTATGATCGACTCGTTTGGTTTCAATTCGAACTGTTCCATTCTTTTGTACAAGCAGAGGACTTCCCGGAAATCGTCCGATTGCGAATATGCAGCCATTATTGCGCTCCATGAGACCACATTTCGATCAGGCATTTCATCAAACACCTTCCTAGCATTCACAGCGTCGCCTATCTTCCCATACCCGTTGATCATGGCCGTCCAAAGCACCACATCTTTCGCAGGCATTTCATCGAACAGTTCGACTGCAGCGCTCATGTCGAAATTCGACGCATAGAAATCAATCAATGCGGTGGCAATAAACAGGTCCCGGAAGAACCCTAACTTCAGGACATGGCCGTGCGCCGAAAGACCGGTCGCCGGAGAATCAGCGGCTAAAATAGAGCAGGCCTTGACGAGAGGCGTGAAGGTGTAGTTATTCCTAATGAGACCTTCTTGGAGCATGTCTTTGTAGCAGGAAACGGCGCGCTCCGGCTGGTTGGTTCGCGCGTAGCCGGCTATCACTGTGTTGTATTGGAAAGTGGTCCGGCGGCGGAGGCTCCGGAAGACGACGGCGGCGTAGGAAAAGAGAGGTGGGCTCCCGGAGGCGGCGGCGAAGGAAATGAGGGCGGTGAGGTCGGCGGGGAGCTTGATGAGATTGGCGTGGATTTGCTTGAGGTGATTCAGAGTGGTGCATTGCGGAATCAGGAGGATCACTCGTTCGATCATCTAACGTTGTTCCACCACTTTCGAATGATCATCGAATATAAGTGTGTTTGTTTCGTATATTTGATTTTAATATTAAAAAATTTAAATTTTTATACTGTAAATTTTTTTCTAAATATATTTTTTTGGTTTTTATTAAGATAAAATAACAACATTAATAATAATAATAATAATAATAATCAAATGCAATATTTATTAATAACGGTAAAGCTATATACTAAACTTAAAAACAAAACAGTACATAGCTTCAAATCTTGACAACTATCATTTAAGATGTTCATGTTCATGTCCGGGCCAACGGACTACTATTGTCCATTTCTTCCATTTATCATAATTCATCCAAATTCCGATATCGTTAACTTTCCAGTATATGTCCGAATGGCCCATGTCGCGAACTCTATCGTATGCAAGAAATCCCGCAACTCTTTTCAAGCTCGTATGAATGTACCCGGCAACTCCATAATGCTCGTCGTTGACACGCTTAACTTTAACCGTCAACTCCTCCCCCGGCCTCAGATAGGATACGCAATGGTCGCCTTGAACTTCCTCCCCGGCCTCGACATAGGCGTTGACAACTTTGCTTTCGATCGAGAAGTTGCTGATTATATGAATCGTGGTCGGACGATTGAGATCCTCCGCCGCCGCTGCCGCCGGCGAAGTGATGTAAGAACACAGAATGTATGATAAGAGCAACCATAGAGGAGGGAGGATTTTTAAACACATTTTTTATTTGGTGATAGAACACATTTGGTGAAATTTCTGTATTTAGGAGTACTTAATTTATAGATGTAAAAGTTTGTTGGTTTACCAAAGGAAATTGTTAGGTTGTGTTTGTTTGTAGGTTTGGATCAATTTTTATTATTTATGGATTTTTTTTTTTTATATAAAATATATATTCTTTTCATTTCATAAAATATGTTCAATATTACTATAGGCATTATATAAAAAAATATAATGAATAAGTAATTAAAAAATATAATAATAAAAATAATTATATATTATTATTAAGATAATTAAATAATTTAATTAAAAATAAAAAAATTATAAATTATGAAATTTAATATGCGATTAAAATGTATAATTATTTTTTAAAAAATAAATAAATTATATAAGATGGATAAAAATAGCAAAAATAAACATTTTATATGGGACGAATAAAGTATAAAATTAAATATTGTTTGTTTTTAAACTATATAAAAAAAATAGTTTTTTATTTAAAAAACTTATAATCTCTTCTGGGTGGGTCAGATGACAGTATGATTAGAAACACAGTCTTCTAGACAATATAAATTAATAAGTTAGTAATAATAAATTATGATATTATTTTTTTTTATATGATTAGTATAGTTGGTATTTTAAATATTTTTAACATTGTATCTTAATAATATATATAATATGGATATATAAATTAAAAAACAGTATATTTATTTATTTATTTATTATTACTTTACATTAGTTTATAAGAAATGAGGAGTTTTAAAAATAAATAAAAATATTTATTAATTAAAAATATATATAAATAAAAATATTTTGAATGGATCCTACGTCTAAAATGTTATAAATCAAATTAAATTAATTTATATTTGTTACGTTTATTTAAGATTGATAAATTTAAAAAAAATATATAAATGAATATCTTTTGTATGGCGGACAAAAAAGTAGAAGTCTTTTTTGTGACTGGACGACGATGGAGTATTAATATTTATTTATATTGCATCAAATGATTATGTTAATTTAAAATATTACTATTTAAATTGTATTTTTATTGCTAGATTTTAAAGAAATGGAACCATATCGTTGAAAAAACAATGGATGGAAATTTAATTAATTTATTTATTTATTATGTAAATTGATATATATATATATATGAATACTTAATTTGATGTAAAATTAAAACTTTAATATAATAATTTGTTTAAATAATAGTTTGATGTAATTTCTTATAATAAAAATAATATATTTTTATTGATAATTAAATAGATTGAATATTATTTTTTTAAAATAATAATAATAATAAATATTTACGGACACTACAAATCCTATTATTAATATTTCATATAAAAACACAAATCTTTTTTCAATGCACATTGTATATTCTTTATTAGGTGTGATCCTATTTTCCTTTCCATATTTTTATGCTCTCCACCAAATATGAAAAAATAGCTGTGTTTATTTAGTGGAATTTTGAATTTTAAATTTGAGTTTTGAATTGTTTTAAATTAAAATAATTATATAATATAATATAAAATATATGTTAATGTAATATTTTAAATATAAAAATAATTAACGTAATATAGTAAATATTTAATCTGATATTGTTTTAAGAAAATTATGAACAATAAAAATCAACCACATAAAATATGTTATATAATATTAAAGTAAAATTGTATAATATTTCATATGTTTTATTTTTCTTTGTGATTTAAACTACAATTTATATTATTCATTATGTATTATTTTCAATAAAGTATTACATTAAAATACTATTTAAACTATATCTCAAATCAAATTTTAAATTTCAAATCACAACAAAAGAAAAAAACAGATATGCTTTATTTATTTTATTGTGTTATATTAAAATTAATTGCACTCCTTAATAACAATAAACATTTGATACAATCTCTCCACATATTGAGCATGTCAGGTGTAAATTGAATTTAATATTTATATATAGTCAAATCTCAACAGACAATTAATCAATTATTATAATTTACAAATAATAATTATATATCTGACCATGAGTTTACTTTAAAAATATTATTTTCATCTCTTAACAATCTATCAATTTTTTTATTTTAATATGTTTTATAACAAAATATTCATTTTTCATTTTTTTTTTTAAGTAATTGTATTGTCTACCTAATATTACAAATATCTTCCAATTTACAATATATTACACAAATATCATTATATTTATATCATACAATACTGATAAGGTTAATTTAGTTTTTTTACTTTTATTTCTATTTTATTCTAATATAATACTAATATTTCTAAAATTACGAATAAAAAATGAATAAATATATAAATATAAGACGAAGAGAGTACTATTTATTAGAGACAGACAACATGGAAAATTCATCAAACTATGTAAAATACATGTAATCATAATATTATTTGCATTGTTTAATTTTCCATTTACCAAATATTATAACCTATAATCGATCAATATTTAAACTATAGATATATAAATTTATACTCTTTCCGTCTCGTCGGAAGGGTGACGTTTGCTTTTTGCACGTAGATTTTTGAATATTAGTATTATATTCGATTGTAGTAAAAAAAGATAAAAATACTCCTGTTAGTATGGTATTTGTGTAATATTTTGTAAATTAAAAGGATATTTATTATGTTAAATAGGTAGTACAATTACTAAATTAAGAAATTGTAACATTGTTTTAGGACGGACGAAAATGAAAAATCTTAATGGGACGGAGAGAATATTATTCTTTTACAAAAGCAAATTATTAAAATAAAATATTATTTTTTATATTAGCAAAATAATTCATAAGAAATATACTTCAAACTAAATAGAAAAACTCAGAATTTCATATTTTTTTTCCTTTAAACTACAATAATTAATTCCAATTAACTATTTGGTTTGTTCATGTAAAAACTTGAAGGGTGCGTTTGTTTGGGAGTTTGGATTTTGAGTTTAGATTTGAATAGTAAAAATTTTGAATTTGAATATTGATATGATGTGATATAAATAGATATTGATGTGATGTTTTGAATGTAAAATTGATTTTTATTAATAAAAAATAGGTGTTTGATTTGATATTTTTTAAGAAAAAAACGAGATGAATAGTATATTTAAAATTCAATCCCCCAAACAAACACACCCTAATTAGAATGATTCTTTATAAATATTATTTTTAAAAAATATAATAAAGACAAATTAACATAATATATTCCTTTCCTCAACGAATAAAGTAAACATTTACTTTTGGCACAGTATTTAATAAATAATAATATTTTAATTATAATTGATAGTTAAAAATAGTATTATGACATTTCTGTCCTTATTTTTTTGGTGTAAACGTAACGATGTGATATAAAGTAAGAGTATTTGTAGAAAAAAATGACATATTTAATGTTATATTTACTTTGTAATTAGACGTTCCAAAATAGAAATATGTATACTTTCTAAAGTATATTTTATCAACTCACAAAAAATAGCTAACTTTTAATACAAAATAATATTATTTTTTATATTATCAATACAATTTTCTATAAAATACAAAGTGAACAAATCTTTTTATTTATATTTTATTTGATCATAGCTCATGTTAATTCCAAAATCAGTTACTATCCCATATATCCTTAGATTATCCGATGTCACCAGCCGCGAAACTAACCTATAAATCCTGAAGGTGTAATGAGTGAAATTCTTTTTAATATTTAATGAATAAATTTAAATAAAAATAATTAATAAGATATTTTTACTTTAAATAATTTTCATCTTCAACATCGCAAAAATTTTATTTTCGATTTTCAAAAAATATTATTTCATGTAACATACCAAATAAGTTTTTGTGTTTCTTTCAAAGTTTGACTTAATATAATTTTACAAGTTTAATAATGGTTGTTTCAATAAAATTTCACTACAAATATATTACATAAAAAAGTTATACTTTATTTAAAACATCATATTAAAAACATATATATATTATATAAAATGTATCTTCATTCTATTTTATAGTATTTCGAAACGAATTGAAAATTCTAAAATACTCTCAAAATATATTTAAGAACAAACTAAACATTCTTTATAACGATGAAAAATAAAATAAATTATCAACCGTAATAAGTGATAACAACCATACTTTTTCGCCATATCTCTCACTTATCGGAAATTTTTACAACCATTTTTCCAATGTTATCACCACGGAACAACCCCACGAAGGCGCCGGGTATGCTATCGACGCCATGTGAGATGCTACAAAGAACCTCCATTTTGCCGGCATTAATGTACTCGGCCGTGGAGGAGATGAAATCCGGGTAGCACTTCAGGTGATCCGCGGCTAAAAATCCCTGAACCGTGATCCTCTTATACACCACATCCAGCAACTCTAACGCCGCCTTGCGGCCACCTCCTGTGTACTCGGAAATGGCGCCGCAGACAGCCACACGGCCATACGTGTTCATGTTAGCAATGGCCGCTTCCAACATCTCTCCTCCCACGTTATCAAAATATATATCGATGCCGTCTGGGAAGTGCCTGTCAATGCCCAAATCAAAATCTTAGATGACAATTTCATTTGAGAAAATTAAAATTCTCCTGACACTTTTAATTTTTTTATTAATATTTATAATAATATTTATTTTTTAAAAATATATATAATTAAATATATTCTATTCTTATTCCTAAAATTTTCTAAAGGTTCAGAACTTCTATTTAAACAGACCCAGTTAAAACCAACGCCAAGGTTAAGGAGGTGAACCTTTTTAGGGCAGATTTGAGGTCGGTCTCGTCCTTGTAGTTGAATGCGTCGTCGAAACCAAGCTTTTGCTTGAGTAGATCGACCTGCAAATTAACGATTGAAACAGATTTAGAAAACAAGGAAATTAATAGGCTGTAATTGTAATGGTAATGGTAATGATACCTTCGATTGGGAACCAGCAGAGCCAACTACACGACAGCCAAACAATTTGGCATACTGACCAACTAAACTTCCGACGGATCCTGAGGCTGTCGACACAAACACACTTTCCCCTTTCTTCGGATTGCACACTTCGAAGAATCCTCCGTACGCTGCTAGCCCACTGAAACCTGCAATTAATTTGCACAATATAAATATTTTCTCTAGATCTAAACTCAGGTCGATCGATCAAAATTGAAATTATATACATACCGAGAGGGCCGACGTGGTAATGCAAAGGCAAGCCCATGGGATCCAGCTTATTGAGAAGCCTGCCTTGCTCCACAACGGTGTATTCTCCCCATGAGAGAAGCCCGATCACCAGCTCGTCTTTGCTGAATTCAGCCCGGCCCGAAGCGACTACTCGGCCTACGCCGTACGTATCAATGGCCTGCGAAGACACGTAATTAAAGAAAGGCCGCTTATTTAATTAGGCACGTCCCCGAACACAAAAACGTGTGTTCCATTCTTAAACTATTTTTTTTAACATGTAATATACACCTTCCGTCCATACCCTATTTTTCTTTTTTTTTTTAGTGTTATTAAAGATGATTTTTTTCTATTTTTTGTAAATTTATTTATCTTAAATATATTTAACAAATATAAATTAATTTAATTAAATTTTTAATTTCACTTAAAACCCACTTAAATTTCTATCTCTCTCCTCAATAAATAAATATTTTTATCTATATTTAAAATTTCTTATTTTTAATAAAATTAGTTTTAAATTAATTATAAATAAATAAATTATTATTTTTATTTATTTGTATTATATAAAATTTTATTCTCTATAAAATGATATCCATATTGTATATATTTTATTGATATATAATGCTAAAAATATTTAAAATGCCAAGAACATTATTCATATAAAAATAATAAAATAATATCATAACTTATTATTAATAATTTACTAATCTATACTGCCTAAAATACCGTATCCTTAAGCAAATGGATCATCTTGACCGGGACAGAGGAAATATTATTTTTTTAAAAAAAAAAATTGTATTTTTTTCGGAGGATTGTAATTTTCACAAAGAGAACACAAGAGTCTTTTGTTTGTTGGTGTTTTGAATTTGGAAGAATGTTTGTATTTGGAAAAAGAATCAAAGTGAAATAATTGAGGTTTTGTTTGGATGTATTTTGGGACCACAAGATGACTTGTGTTGATCCATAATGTTAAACAAAAAAAAAAATAAAAAGTTAATGATTTGTTTGATTTAAGTTTAATTTTTATATTTTAAACTTATATATAATTTTTTTAAATAATATTTTATTTGATATTTTATAAATATATATATATATTTAATACAAACATTAAAGAGTAAAGTACTAGAAAATTAGAAAATAATTTGTAATTAAAAAAAATACAAAACAAAACAATTATAGTGTGTTCTTTTTTTGTAAATATAACCCAATATATTTCAAAACAATTTAATATACTATTATATGTTTATTATTATTATTTTTTTATCTACATCATTTGTATACCATTATACTTTATCAATTAAATGAAAAGATAAGAAAAAATACCGTATAAGAAAAAAAAAAAACATAAGAAGAGTGTGTGTAATCGGTAGAGACCTGGCCTGGAGGGATTGCGGCGGCGAAACCAATGGCCGCCTGAGACGAACAATTTGCCTTCATGCGGTTAAGCTGGTACGGATCCACTGATACGCACAGCGTCTTCACAATCACCTCTCCGCTCCGCGCAGCCACGGCTATTGATTCCGTCTTAATATCGAAATCGGACTCTGTCGGCTCACCGTTTACGTGACTCTTGAGTGCTACGAACCTGTTCCTCAACTGCTCCGCCATCACTCGCAACTGCAATTTTGATCTGCAAGAGGAAGGCAAATGATCGATCGATCCAGTCACCGTACGAAATGATGATATATTAAAGCTAGTTATCTCCTCTAATGTTCAGGACAGCTGCTTCTGAAAGACGTCAATTCCATGAAATCAAAGAGCAGAACAAACCTGAACTTGGAGAGCGTTCTCAAACTCCTCCTGGTAGCTGAACAATCAATCAGTTGGAAGATGGAATTCGCTTTAACAGAATCAGTGTGTGGCGCTTAAGTTTGTAAATTTATTAGGCCATCCACAACACAGAAACCCATCCAGTGTTTCTTCCCATTCTCTCTCCTGTGCCACGTCAGTTTTTCTCTCCGTCACGTCACGAAGAACTCCAACTATATTTTACATTCACATCAAAGAACATTTAAATCTAATATTTTAATAAAACAAATTATTATAAATATAAATAAAAAAGTATATATTATAAATATTATTTTTAATATTTATTGAATAAAAAAGTGGACTATGGCCCACAAAAATTGGAAGAAACGGTACACTCGCAATGTACCGTTCCTTATGTTAATTGGTGTTTTAATTTTTTTTTTATTTAATAAATGATGACGTGGGAGGCGCTTCTCAACAAGCGTCTCCCGTTGTGGATGCCCTTAGCTATGTGTTTGTTTAGTGTATTAATCTAATAATATATATATATATATTATCAAATTCAAAAGTGAATGGCATAGGCTCCATTCAATAAAAAATAATTAAAAAATATATATTTATATTGCATAATTTTTTTAAAATATATATTTTTTCTTAACATTACAATTTAAAATTTATTATAAAATATAATATTTGATTATTATTTTTTAAAAAAATAAAAAATACTCCCTCCGTTTCAATACAATAGTCTTGTTTATCATTTTTGTCCGTGCTAAAACAATAGTCTTATTTTCATAGATACTCATATCACCATAAAATTATCTTTATTTTTTCATTATTATTACACAAATATCACTACCTTTTATACTAATACACTCACAATTACAAAAAATATTTTACGCATATTTTTTACCAACTATCAATATAATATTAATATTCCTTAAATTTTGTGTTCGGCCCAAATAAGACCATAGTTTTGGGACGGTGGGAGTATATGTTATATAACAGCTAGTGGAGAAAGCAATGTTGATGTATTGTTTGACCTGATAATATATGTGTATGGTTATTTAATGATTAATAGGGAATAATTAGATAATGAAAGTGAGCGGAATGCCTGAAAATGAGACAAAAATAGCATAACTAAGAGAGAAGCCGTTCTGGATGCTTAAACCAACAACTTGATTTATTCAGCCGTTTACCCCTAAAGATACCAAGTGCACATTCCCATACAGGTTACAACAAAAAAAAAATGGTCATTTTCATTAGTTTTCATTCAGGGTTTGTTTATTGGGCTTTTTTAAAAATAAAATAAAATATTATTATTAGTAAACTAGTTGTTAAATTTAAAATTTTAATTAAAAATTGATATTAAGTTATATATATATTATAAAATGATTAACCAAGTAATTAAAATTTTGCAAAAAAAAAAAAATCTCAAACAATCAATTTGGCTGGTTTATAATTAAGTTTTTTAGTTTAATTTAAATATTATTTTATAAAAATATCTTTTTTTTTTTCATTAAAAATACTGAAATAGTGAGGGTGTGTTTGCTTGTTTGTTTTTGTTAAAGTTTAAATAAAAAATAAAATTATTTACCATAAAAATATATATTTTTTTAAAATATTATATTAAAATATTATTTAAATAAATAAAAAAACTTAATTTCAAACTTAAATCAAACAAATCTTTGAAGTTGTAAGATAAAAATATTGAATTTAGTTTGTTTTGTTTTGATTTAAAATTGAGGTGTTTTTATGAATTTGATTGAAATAACATTTTTGATATAATGATGATTTATTTATTATAAATAAATGATATGTATTTTAAAAGCTTAAATTGTAAGGTTAAATAATCATTTAGCATAATATCGATCAAAATATTTTGTATTCAAATCTCACCGCATTGTTGTCCACATGCACCACAATTTGCTACGGATCGGGATCAATTTTATTGCAAAAAAACTAATGAAAATGCTCTAGTCCACAATTATTTCAATTTCGTATATTAAAACAAGCCCTCAATTTAACGGCGGTGATGACCTATGTGTGGCTATACGTGGCAAACAAGACTTGTAGGTTTATGACTTCAAATATGAGCATATTCTTAGCTTGACGAAAATATGTATTACTTGAATTTCTGTATATAAACCATCATAATAACTTGTAAATGACATACATTATTGATATATATCGCTTGGCATGATCCAAATTTCGTTGTTGAGATTATTAATTATTTTTGTCATTTTTAAACGGTAGTCTAGTGCTAGAAAAGTTAAGGCATGTGCTACAAGCGGCAGCCACCTCCGCTCGCAAGCGCCCAGAAATCTCCTGAAAAGACTAAGGTATGAGAGGCAAGCGGTAGCCTTCACCGCCCGCAAGCGACAGCCCAGACACCCACCCCTGCATATTATCACCAGATTCCAACTAAGTGTTCTAACTGCAGCGGTACAACAATTTCATTTCCAGCCAGTATAAGTGAGTCTAGCTGCGGTGATGCCCTTCAGCTCTCCGACAAGCGAGGAATATCTGAGCCATTGCAATTCAATGCGATCAAAGCAAGCGTCCTGGGAGTTACGGCCAGCAACTGTTTCAACAGAATAACTACCAGTAACCGCCTAACTACCTAGCGATTGGAACCACCAACAACTTATTGCAACCGTCCCATTTAATCTGCTATAAATAGGATCATATATCTTTATGTAAAGAGATCGATACTTCGATTCTGATATACTTCTAGCAATTACTTTCTGCACACTAGTCGTCTTCCTATCTTTGAGAGTTCCAACCCTGTAAGGGAGTTCTCAACGGGATGAGGGATTTTCCTACTCCCTTGGCCAAGTCTTTACCGCTTTCTTAGATTAGATTACTACTTTCAATTACTGCTTTGTAGATCTAGTCTTTCTAGCTTTAGTAGTAATGAATGAAATATCATTCATTTCTTCGTACTCATTTCTTCCACACTTTATCCATAGTTATATAAACTTTGAATTCAGAGAACCTCATTTCACTGGTTTAGAGCATAAGAAGAATTGATTAATCTAAGTCTTGTTATACGCCATAAGCGGTTTCAAGGTAGTTTAATGTAGTTAAGTACGCGGGAGCCGACCTGCTTAACTACTGTTCTGAATTCAATTTTGATTAAAAAGAGATAACAGAAGGGTAAAACCACTAATGAGGCAGAAGTTAGGATAATTAATGGGGCATAGACGGTGGTCTATTAGGTCGCAGAGATTCCTAGTGACAGTAGGGTTTCTTTCTTATAATAATATTATGATTCTTGATGTCATTGAAGTCTTGTTGTAAATCCCTTAAGGTCAAAATTCAAGTGTTATGAATTATTTATAGTTCAGTTTATATAATTATATCCTCTCATTCTAATAGTTTCCGTAATATACATATATCTTCGATAACACACTCACATCGCTCGCTCATTACATCAAGGGAAATCTATCCATTTAGTAACGCACAAGTCAGATACAACACCTCTCCTCAACTCTCTGTCGCTCATCTATATATATATATACACATTGTGCCACTCGCTTATGTCCCGTTCACTCGGTAACCGTCATTCATTTATATCCCGTTCACTCGATCCCGTTTCCGCTCATGTCCCCTTCATATGGTTACCGCTGGCACTTCATACTCCGCCCTCGCTTCGCTTGCTTCCGCTCATTCACTTTTTACCCCTTTATTTACAGCTTTTAATAGACTAGAAATTTTGATCCGCAAGCGGATCCTTCCCTTCTGCTTTGGTCGTTTTTTCAAGATTTAAAACTGTGAAATTCATGACTTAAAATCATTGTGTTCGATCTGGAAACTCACCAGTAAAAAGAGTATAAATAATTGTGATAACGACTCAGGGTCTACAACCACATGATTTACTATATCCGATCGCTTTCCTATATACATCACTCACTGATTTTCGAAAATAAACTCTCTGTGAATTTGTAACAAACATGCAAAAACAAATTCCCGTTAACATAGGTGATATAAAAAGTATGAGCTATCTAATTATATCAAATATTGTAGAAATTGTTCTGTAAGAGATAATATGATAGTGTGACTGTATGAGAATAGACTCGTAGATCACAAGAAGGAAATATAATATGAAAATAAATATTTCTTCCGTTCCATTAAAAGTATGCATGTTATTGTAGACACGATAAGTTATGTAAAATATAATTAGTAAATAAGTAAATAAAATATGTATTAGTAAAAATAATTATTATATAATAAAAATAATTATAAATTAAGATTAAAATAACTAAATAATTTAATTAAAATTTAAAAATTATAATAAAATTTAAAATATGATTAAACTATATAATTATATTTTAAAAAATAATAAATTACGTGAATAAAAAAAATTGAACACTGAGATGAAAAGAATATTAAATTTATTTTTTTAAATAAAATTATTAAACTTTTTGAAAAAAATTAAAAACTCTAAAACGAGGGCAAAGCAAACCAATAAGGAAGACCTATAAAATGCCAGCGAAAGCATTCAGGCAAGGGTAATATTGTAATTTAAGGACGTTTCAAAGCGAAAGAATCCATCGGTCTCTTTCCCAACCTCAGCAGCCACTACAAAACCTCAATTCAACTCAACTAGGGCTTTCATTCCCGCGCTCCGACACATTTCAATCCACCACTCCCACCATCGGAGAGGGAGAGGAGCATCCAAAGCTCTCGATTCTCCATTAACCACGGGGCAATGGTGTCTCCGAAGCAGCTCCTAGCTGTTGTGGAGTCGACTCTGTTGGGGAGGACTGCTCCAACTGCTGCCCAGAGAATCGAACTCATTCATGCCATTCGTCACTCGCTTCCCTCCCTCAAGGCTCTTCTCTCCTACCCGGTAAAATCTAACTTGTTATGTGTATTTTATATGGCTGTTTAGGGGCTGGGTTAAAGGGCTTATCGTACGTGCTCCGGTTACCCGATGACATGTTGTGATGCAATTTTAAGCGTCTGAAATGAGTGTGTTTATTCATGCTGTGGTGCATTCGGGTTTGGTGCGTCTGCTGAGTTCTGATATTTTGAATATAAACTAATTGGCGGGTGTTAGAGGGATACAGAGTATCTTTTGCTCTCTCTTTATGTTTTACACGTACTGTGTTTTAGGGTACCCACCCATGTGCTCTAAGTTGGATTGTGTGGTTATCTTTAGATCAATATCACATTTGGTGTTGCCAGCAATCATTGAAGTGCATGCCATTGTAAGTGAAGGAAGTTTGATTTTGAAAAATGCATTTTGACGCGACAGCCTTCTTGGTGGTTTAGGATAAAAGAGAGAATTAATACCTCTATCAATAGTTTCGATCATGTTGAAAATTTTTTCGTTGAAGTTTATATTTAAATTACTCAATTGATTATTATTTTTCTCATCCCTCACCATATGCAGCCTCCAAAAGCATCAGACAGAGCTCAAGTCCAGTTGAAAGAAGTGAGACTTCCAGATGCTGGGATAATTTCACTTGATGATCAGGATGTTCACATTGTTAGTTTGCATCCCCCCTCAGCATTCCATTATTATATATTATCTGCTGAATCATAATACACACTGACATGCCTCCGATTATTGAGAATCATGCCTTTCTGTTATGAAGTATTGAAATAAGTGACCACGTAATTGATGTTTTAATCTTATGGAGAAAAGCCACAAAATTGTAGGTGTTAATGATAAAACAAATTTAGAACCCTTAACATAACATGACATTCTAGATTTAATTTCCCATCTTTTAAGCTTTACATAATACATTTTTAAAGATGGTAAAACAAATAAGTATTATGATATTAGGATTTACAGTTCACAATAAATTAAGGTATGAGTTGTCTATTCATATTGAAGCAACTCGGATGGGTAAGTATAATTTTTTGAGAATGTCATTGAATGTACTACATTAAGATTGACCTCACTGTAGTTTTCCTTGACTAGCTGAATTAAGCTCCAAAGCAGAGTTGATGTTGCTTTTAGGAACTAGTTCTGGGTCTCTTTCCTGGCCTTGATAGTGTAGCAGTGGCACCTAAATAGAATATCTATGTAGTGGTGCTGTACTAAATCTTTTGTTAATTTTCCTTGATCTAAAGTCCTAACTCTAATGAGTTAAATCCACAAGCACATGAACTGTTCCTTTATATTTAAAAAATTAAAAAAAATAATAAAAATTAACATGATAATAAAAAGCAATGCCCTTGCTGCTTGACACAGACATGCAAAGGTGACCTCAGTTTCTTTGTTGCCCAACCTTTATCCTGTAACATGATTGTTGAAGAAAATTAAATAAAATGTACATACCTGTCATTATAGTAGTTTTGTAGGTTAGGTGGTCAAGTAAAATGTGCAAGCAGGCATGTCTCATGCTCAAATTCTCAGCGCCTCCTATTTATGAAAGATATTCCTGGAAGGATATATGGGAAGAACATCACATTCACTTGACACACCATTTTTAAGGATTAAGTTAAAATCAGTACAAAATGATACAGCTCACTCGCTCCTTAAGCTTTGAGGTGGCTCTAATTCAATTTGTAGTAAAATTATAAATGCTATGTTTGCTATAGAGCTCGTAAAAATAGGCACAGTCCGAAAATTTGATCCAAATTTTGCAAGAAAAAAATCTTGTTTGGGCCTAAAAATTAGGCACGAAAAATATTCGGGCCATGCCATCCCGGAACAGCAAACCGGGCTGGGCCTGGGCATGTCAAGGTTGGACCGTGCCCGGCCCAGCCCAGTGTTGGAGATTAAAGAATTTACAAATAAATAATTATATATTTATTAAACAAATCAATACATGTATTTACTATTTAGAATTTTTATATGTATGCCAAATGGGAAGTTGAACTGAAAAATGCTGATTTCTATTGAAAATTGGTTACTGATATGTTTTCAATAATCAATACAATGAAGTTTTCATTATTGTGATAGTGTTTTGGAGTTGATTAGATGTGTAGCAACTATTGCTTCATTATTATACCATCAAAAGCTTTAGGAGATTAACTTGAAAATCTAGAAGCAGAACCTTATAGGCGGCACTATGATCTTGGTCTGAACAAAATAATTAAAGCCAAAGAAAATTTGAGCCAAGGTAAATTTCCAGACTCACTTTCTTTCTGCCTTTCTGGGTAATTTATAGTCGGAAGATGCTTTTTATAATGAATGTCTGTTTTCAGAGCCATTAATAGCATATTTTCTGCTGAAGTGTGCTAAATTATCTTTATGTTCTTACTGAACCAAATTTGGTGATAAATAATTCTAACCTGCAATGACCCACCATTAAAGTTACAGACTGACTTTTAGTGTGTTACAGGGTCATTAAATCATACGTTTGTTGTTCTATATTATGCTTCCAAATCACATGAGACATATCAATATGCACTTACTTTGATTCATCTGCCGGAAATTTACCAACAGTTGACTTCTTTTGTTTTTTTTACTTATCTTTGTTTTAGGCTTTAAAATTGAGCGAAGATCTTCATCTCAATGAAATAGATTGCGTGCATTTGCTTGTTTCTGCTAATCAAGAGGTAATAATATCTACTGTTCTTGGACTCCTGTTTAGTCTGTTAGCTGACCACTTATATTCATAGCATCTATAAGGAGCTTTTTCATATCCCCATTATTGGGTCTCAATGTTTCAAACAGGCTTTATGAACACGAGCAGCAAAACAGGATTTTAATATATGCCCAGAATTCTCAATTACAAAATGTACTTGCCTTTTAACATACTGGATCTTCTATCTGTTGATACATTATATTTTTCTTCTTATAGTGGGGATTGCTGGGTCGGGAGCCATTAGAGATTTTCCGCCTTGCTGCTGGACTTTGGTATACTGAGAGAAGGGATCTACTCACAGCAGTTTACACGCTGTTGAGGGTACTGTATAAGTAATATGTCTAATGAGAAAGTTTCCAATCAAGCCATTCTTGATCTCTCTTTGATTTGTCTTTCTGTAGGCTGTTGTTCTTGATCAGGGTCTTGAAGCCGATCTTGTGGCTGACATTCAGAGCATTTTGGGAGATCTCATTACATCTGGTCTTCGGCAGCGTTTGATTTCACTTATAAAGGTTAGATCCACTTTCTTTGTAAGTTCCATGGGAATACATTCATTTCCTATTATGGGTATTCAGGCAGCTTCTAATTAAAATATTGAATATCTAATTATATTTATTTAACTAGTCCATATATTTTCTTAATTTCTTGAATTAGAAGAATAGAAATTGTATGTTTGAAAACAGTTGCCATGGTGCACTTGTCAAGTAGATACAATGGGATAGCAGTAGCTTAAACTGATTAGTTTTCAGCTCCTTTTATTAAGGGTCAGCGTGTGTTATGAGCACATGCGCTACTGCAACCTTCCTTTCGAAGTTAAGATGGCTCAAGAGAGTTATGATGATGATATGATATATAACCACCATCCCCACCACTAGCACTACTTGCTAACTACTGCTAGTCGGCTACTAGCCTGCTACTACAGATCTCTTTACAGATGTTAACTCACACATGTATTTACAAGTGATTAGAGTCAAATGCATCTTGACATCATGACATGTACCTTTTTAGGTGCACACTTCATGTATCCATTCCTTTTATAAATATTTGTGTGTACATTCATAATTTGATGATTGATATTGTTTTGTATGAGCTCATAAGCATTGTATATGTAAACATATGTGAATACATATATATTATGTAGTTAAAATAGCAAATTTATTACACATATCTATGACATATATGTGTCTTAGTATTGCAATTTTCCATAACAATTAATATTCAAAGATATATGGCACCATATGATCCACACTAAAAGCTTTTGTACCTAAACTTTAATTGTTATTGTGTGATATCTAAAGATGGTGATGTCTGAAGTTCTTGCAATGGGCTTGACTTACAACCTTTGCACAGTAAAGACCATGTTTCTTCCACAGTAAAAGTTGTGCAAAGGAAACATCTGAATTTTTGTTTGTTATGTATGCTACACGACCATGGTTGAGAGGTTGTCTTGGAAGGTTTTTACAAGACCAAAAATCAATTCATAGGGGAGAATGAATCTTTGCATATCATTTTGTTGTGTTTACCTTTCTTTTTATTGTTAGTCACATAAGTGTTTCAGGTTCAATATAAAACTGAAGATGTATTATTTCATCTTATTTGCCTGCCTTTTCCTAATTGTACTCTTTCTGTAAATCCAAATTTATTGCTGTTTTTATGTTCCTCATTCCCTTCTTAGTCAGCCACATCACTATGTCTGTTATGCTCATCATTTTCTTCCAAAGTAGGAACTTGGTAGAGAGGAACCAACAGGCTTAGGCGGGCTGAACTCTGAGAATTACATTCTTGACTCTAGGGGTGCTCTTGTTGAGAGGAAAGCTGTGGTTTCTAGGGAAAGGCTAATACTTGGCCATTGCCTTGTTCTCTCGATCTTAATTGAGCGTGCCAGTAAGTTATTTTTATTTTTATTTTTCTAAATATTTCCTGAACTTATTTAGTTATTTTATTTGTTGCTCTTGTATTGTGATGGTTTAGTTCACATAAGCGCTGTTCGTCCGCATTGGATTGAGATGCAATGATACCTATAACTAAGTTATTTCTCATCACCTTTTAGGATGAGTGCTTGTACAAACTTGATTCCTTAATGCTTTATCTCCAGTGCGTTTAACTGTATTTTATTTACTTTCCTGTTAGTTTTTTTTTTTTTTTTTTGAATTAGTATCTCTTTTGAAATGAAGAACTATAGGGCTGACTACATTCACCCTACAGGCTCTAAAGATGTTAAAGACATATTTTTTGCCCTAAAAGAAAGTGCAGGTGGATACAGTGGGAGCAATGATTCCTTGAACCATCAGGTTTGCTTTTCTTGTTCCCTCTTCTGTATGTTGGGATGCCATGTTGTGAACAAAACCTTTCACAACTGAGTAGCACATCTTGCATGTCATTTCTTTTGGAAGCTAATCTACAAACTATGCACATTTAGTGCTTTACAGAACTTTGTTTTGTCCCTTGATGTAACAACATACATCAATAATCTTCTCTTCATCAATTATTTCATTTTTCTTTTTCTTTAAATTATTTCTTTTACTGATTTCACAATCTTCCGCGATAAGCCTTCAAAAGATAACATCATAACAGGCATAAATGGTATGCCCTATGCAAGTTTAGTTACGGGCATTTGTCCAGAGATTCATGATACCATATTATTCTCAATATGATGGATTATTTCTGTCATGGATAAGCTTTGGAATGTGATCTTCTGTGCAGTCATTGTTTTAAAGTATAAGGCTCTGTTTTCTTTGCATTTTTTTTGGCTCTGCAATCTCATGTTTCCTGTAAAAGCACACATTTTTCATACAAAACATCACATTTAACAACTGTTTCACCTAAAAACAACATAAACCAAAACACAAGAAAGACAAAAAAACATACCCTAGTAAAAGAACTGTAAATTTCATATTCCTTTGAAGCTTGATATTTTCATAGCTGGAAGTAGCTTCTTCTTCTTCTTTTTTTTTTTTTTTTTTTTTTTTTTTTTAATTAGACGTATTTGTTATGTTTTTGATTTTCAAAAGTAGCATAATCTTATGGAAAGATGAATTGAGGCAGCCTCTGTTATTAAATGGAATATCATTGAACATGATTTGTGGGAGTGTGACCATTTTAACTTCTTCAGCTCAGATTTAGTGAGAAGCTTGTTAGGCTTTGTTATCTTATCTCGTTTTCTAATAGATTTTTGGTCCCATAAAGTTGTCCTTTTTTTGTGCAGATTACATATAGCCTTCTTTTCTCTCTCGTCATCTCTTTCATATCAGATGCTTTGAGCACACTATCAGACAAAGTGCCTGTCTTGTCACACGATGCTTCCTTTAGAAGTGAATTTCATGATATTGTAAGACGACATTACCTTTTCTACTATTTAATCATTATTTATGCCACCATGAACTGGCTTCATCTAATTCTTCTTCCAGGTGATGGTTACTGGAAATAATCCCACAGTTGAAGGGTTTGTTGATTGTGTTCGGTTTGCGTGGGCTGTTCATTTTCTTTTGGTACAAGATGGAAATGATCCAAACGAACTAATAGCTAGTCCTCTAAGTACTGATGTGAAAAACATTTATTCGTGCCTTGAAGTCATTTTTGCCAATAATGTCTTCCAGTTTTGGCTTGATAAGATTCTTCGCACCGCAGCATATCAGGTTGGTAATAAGCTTATTATTTTAACGAATCTTATGGATTTGGTGGTGTAAAATGATCCCCATGTTTTCAGCATTGGTAACTGAGTGAGCATGTTTTTTCAAGTCATCAAGGGGGTTAAAACAAGATGACCCACTATCCAAGTGTCTGCATATCCTATTGAGTTAATTCAATTTTAATTGAAGCTTCAAATTGAGGACTTGTGAAACACCATAGGGCAGCATTGGGTAGCACTCATCAAGATAACTTGTCTTTAATCTCTGATGACACAATTATTTTTTGCTAGTTCATATATAGTCAAAATAAGTTAATGTTGGTTGGTGATGCCTTGTGTATTAGCCCCACTTGTGTATTATATTTTTATTATTTTTCATTTTGCATCCTCCTCTACTCGTTTAGTTTTCCAAAGAAGGAAAAAAAATAATTTGACACCTATCAGGATATCAGCCTTGTCGGCTTACTATAATAGTATAACCCCAATTACATGGAGAGAGATCTAGTCTTAGGATGAACAACTCTCTCCTGATCTCTATCTTGTTTAGTGCCTGTTATTTTCCCGCAGAAGAGGTATTTTTATTTGTGCAACTTATGCTGCCTAATCATATTGATAACATAATCATTCACCCCTTTCAACTTATATCATAGATTTTGGTTGCTGTAATTTCTCTAAATTTAACTTCTAACCAATATGAATCTAGTCACATGAAAATTTTGGTAGTTATGTTTTTTGGTGGGAACCTACAGTGGCTGATGAAGGATTATATCAAAAGGAGCTGCATGGCTTAGTACTTAGTGGAAGAGACTATAGAGCTCCACTAATCTCACATTGAATAACTCAATCTCTGCTTCATGAACTAACTCTGAATTTCCCATTATTTAGGCCTTGGATATTATTAGGGATTCAGACCCCCTTTATTGTAGGACCTAACATAATCTCCAGAATGTTAATATATGTGTATGTATAGTTTATATATTTGATATTATCATTTGTTTTAAGAAGAAAGATTCATAGGTAAGAGAACGGAGGGATCACAGAGAACATAAGAGTATAATTTTTGATATTTCCTGAAACATCAATCCTTGTTAACGTTGTTTTTAGTTCCTCGAGCCTTATTAATATTTTCTTGACCCTTAATGATTTTCATTCATTTCGTTTAGGCTTTATTTTGCTAGTTTAATTTATTATGAAAGCGAAGGCAGTATCTATTCTATATTTGTTGATTTCTATTTTCCGTTTCTCCTGAATTTTATTGCTATAGTTTCTATATGGTAAATGATTATGAAGAAATCGCTGCCCGCCTTTATTTGGGGACTGTCTACATCCAGCAGAGCTTGCCATAAGCCATTCATTTAAGTTGTGGTTCTGTGCAGAATGATGATGAAGATATGATCTACATGTATAATGCTTATCTTCATAAGCTAACAACATGCTTTCTTTCTCATCCACTTGCCAGAAACAAGGTTGGTAAATTTTCATTTTGATTGACGTAGTATTTATTATTGACTATTTAGGTTATATTTAGAATATACCTGGAAATCATACTGAGTTGGAAAGGTCCTCCCCCCAGAGTGTATGCATTTTCATGTTTTTATCTCAAGCATTTGTGTTTTATATATGCTGTGATTCATGGCATTTGCCATTCAAAAGTCAGAAAGTGGGAGTTACTCAAGTCTTGTTATAATTGGATAATACTGTGACGCTCTTTGTGTCTGACAAGTTTGTACAAGTTTTAACTTAAGTTTGTGGAAGTTTCTGTATTGTGATAATTTCATGGCACATTCGATATCATATTGGAAAATATGTTGGGTCTTTAAAAACAACAATTGCAAATATCTGATGGACTGTTGTAACAACTGGTTTTTGGCTTACCTAAGGATTCCCATGTCAGAGAGTTTTGGTACATTTATTGTGTGGCAATTCTACTATTCATGTTTTAATCTTCCAATTGACATGTGGCAATGAGCATTAGGGTCGCCCATAAATGTTATGAAAAGTCATATATACTCTAATTTTCCCTTAAATACACCATATAAAAATTTAATAACATGTTTAGCGCGCAGGAAAACGTTTGCCATTTTTGTATTTTCTTGACTGATTCCTGTAATGAGTCAACTTTCAAAAAGTGATACCGTCATCAAAAGTACCATTTTTTTTGTTGCAATTGCTGTCATCTGAATATGTAGCTAGGATAAAATAGCCACATCTTCAGTTCAGTGTTCTAATACATGACTAAGTATGGTTGAAATATAAATTTTGTTGTTAAATCAAAGAGATACAGTTGATAATGGCATATACTACGATAAATTTATGGGAGAGCTGTTTAGGAAATCTTTGCCTTTTGTAATGCTTGGAAACTTAGGATTTATGTCAGTGGTTGTCCCAATTATTTTTGAGTTAATTTAGAAGATATATATACCAAATTGATTCGGGAGGTTTTTTTAAATCCACCGTTGAGATACTAATTAACTAAAATTTGGAAATGTTGCTTTCTATGAAGATAAGAGGTGGTGGTACGTGGAAGTAACGAGTTGTAAAATTGAAGTGTTAGTTATTTTAAGCAAAATATTTCTGTGCTGCTGTTGAGTTTTTTGTGTGTGTGCACAAACATACATTTTATTAGAGATCACTTCATTCATTTCAAAACAACTTGTCAGGTAAAAGAGTCCAAAGAGAAGGCTATGACAGTGCTTACTCCCTATCGCAGTGTTGCTACACACACTCAGATGGTTGAAGGCGGTGGCAACCCTCTGGAAACTAATGAAACTGAACAACAACCCTTTGTCTCCCTTTTGGAGTTTTTGAGTGAAATCTATAAGGTCAGCTTTCTATGCTCTGTTAAATATCTTGCTTGACTTTGTATGCAAGTTATATATGGTCTATTATTGTGATGCTGGTGTTCTCTTTATCATATATTCACACACAAAAAAGATTTATTTATTTATTTTATTTTATTTCTACAGCATTATAAAAAAATAAAATTTAACTATTCCTATATTGTGTCAAGTGTTGCAATCTGAAAAGTGCAGGGTCAAGGATGTCCAGTGAATGCCATAGAATGTCAAAATAGGGACAATTGATAAAGTTCAACATTTAGGGAAACTGTGGGCATCTTTCCCATGGTTTATAGAAATGGAGAAGATAAACTGTCACACGACTTCATCAGTGCTTGTGATAATTTTAGAACTTTTGTTGTAATTTTTGTAATACATAATATATACATCAATGAATTTTATGGCTGTAAGTACTTTGAATGGTGCATTGTATTTAGTTTACCGGAAGCACGCATCTTTCAAATGATGCAGTTCTAATTATTGATCTAATTTTTCTTGATCGTATGTTGCTGACGTGCTGGTAATCAAACACGTACCAAGTTAATGCATGCATTACAGTGTTTTTTTTGTTGTGTATTATCATTTAAGGATTGTGATGCATTTTCATGAATCTATCATGCTTTCTATTTCAGAAGGAACCTGAACTTTTAGTTCATAATGATGTTATATGGACATTTGTGAAGTTTGCTGGTGAGGATCACACTAATTTTCAAACACTTGTGGCATTCTTGAAAATGCTGAGCACATTGGTATGTGGACTGGACCTGTCTCTATTGTTACCTGATAATGTTTGAAAAGGTTTGAAGTTTGTTAAACGTTTGTACTTATTTGGTGTGCTTCCTGCAAGTAGGCATGTAATCCAGAGGGTGCTTCCAAAGTTTTTGAGCTGCTTCAGGGGAAAACATTTCGTTCTGTTGGATGGAGTACATTATTTGAGTGTCTATCTATATACCATGAAAAGTTTAGGCAGTCTCTTCAGAGTCCTGGAGCTGTATTACCTGAGTTTCAGGAAGGAGATGCCAAAGCACTAGTTGCGTATTTGAATGTTCTAAAACAGGTGAGGAACTTAAAATGAAACACATGGTTACATGAATTGATTTTATTTTTTATTTTTTTGGTTAGTTGGGATGCAGGTAATACACTACTATTTTGTGGTTAGCAGTGGGGCCTTTTATGTTTCATGTTTGTTTATTTAGTTGCACCATTCCTAGAGGTAATTTGACTGTCTAAAGCGTATTTTTGAGCATGTATGGGATGTCATTTTGCATGGTTTCTGTTTGCAATTCAAGAAATATTGCTGATATTTTAAGTGTGCCTTTAGTTTGGTATTTTTGAAAAATGAATTATATAATCACATGGACACATTGTTCTGCTGTGTGTTCATGATGTTTTTTGTGGGAGTATATTACTATGCTGCTTGCCTGCTTACATTGAACTCAAGAGTGTGCCTGTTATTCCTTTGTATCATTTTCTATGAAATAGGTTGTGGAAAATGGGAGTCCGGTGGAAAGAAAGAACTGGTTTCCTGATATTGAGCCATTGTTCAAGCTCCTTAGCTATGAAAATGTGCCTCCTTACCTAAAGGTTTATCTCACATGCTTCGTTGTTTTATTAGCGTTTTAGCTTCACATATCTTCTTTTCATGTTAGTGAAATATACACCCATTTCTTGTTGCATCTGATACCTTTTTTTCTTGGCTTTGTTATAGGGTGCACTGCGCACTGCCATTGCTACATTTGTCCAAGTATCTCCTGTTATCAAAGATACAATTTGGAGGTATTTGGAGCAGTATGATCTTCCTGTAGTTGTTGGAACTAATGTTGCGAGCAATGAACCTGTAATGGATACACAGGTTGGTCTTGTTGAGTTTGAGTTCATAAACTTTTTCTCTTATCGAATCTTCTTTTAGTAACTTCTTCCATCCCTTGGAGAATCTAGCTCTTTCCCAACTCTGGGAGCAAGGATTATGATATGATTTAACTTCACTCACAAACTTGTGTGACTGCCTGTAATCAGTTGTGCAATCTATTCTGTTTAAAAATTTATGAAATAAAGGAGGATTTATTTGCTGGTCAATTGTCCTGTGTTTCTGTTTTAATGTCCACATATATGTATATATATGGCTTAGTTTGAGGGATTGAATTTTTTTTTCACTATTCATCCAATTTCCCCCCTCCCTCCCAAAAAAAAAATATCAAATCAAACACCTATTTTTCATTTTTTATATTATACTAAAAATCAATTTTACATTTAAAACATCACATCAACACCTATTTATATCACATCATACAACTATTCAAATTCAAAATTTTTACTATTCAAATCCCAACTCAAAATCCAAACCTCCAAACAAACACACCTCAAGTATTTTTAAATTGAAAGTACCTAATTTGGTATATAGTTCATACCATGTTCTTCTAGAAAAAAGGAAACATGCAGAGACACATATATTGACTGGGATACATTTATTAACTTATTTTTGTAAAAAAGATTTTGGTGGTGTTTCCAAATTTTCATTACTGTGGATGTTGTACTTAGCTTAGTATGCGAGGTCATATACCTTGACACCAATGTTTCTCTTGTTTTAATAGAGAAATTCTTTCAATAATCTCTTAGCAGCTTGCTGCATGAGTTGGTGCATATTTGACATGCTAATGTCAATATATCTGATTAAACACCTTCCTTAAGAAGACAACTGCATGAAAATAACTGTGCTGCTGGAACTCTAAATCCAACTAGCATACCTCCAAAATTTATAGGTCTACATCATGAAGGCAATATGATCTAAGTATATAGTGACTCTCTCTGTGTTTTTGCATTTCTGGTGCTTCAATGACATTTTCAGAACATCACTGCTTAACTTCTTCCACATATTGTGAAAAATAGGTTATATTAAATTCTATTTTGTGGTTTTATGGATGGATTCCTCTTACTAAGTTCTCTTTCCTATTATCTTGAAGATGTGGAAAATAAATTATTGGCAATAAAATGGGCAACTTATTGCTGTTCTCTTCAGTTACTTTTTGGATATGTCCCAAAGAATCTCATCTGCTATGATTTACTGCAGGTTTATGATATGAAATTTGAGTTAAATGAAATTGAAGCACGAAGAGAGCAATACCCATCGACTATATCCTTTATTAATCTTCTAAACACACTAATTGCTGAGGAGAAGGATGTCAGTGATAGAGGGCACAGGTTATGACTAGGAAAAAATTTTCTGCTACTTTGTTTACTGTAAAAAATAGTTATCTTATGGATGTCAAGCTATCTTATGTTGTCCCTACTTTTGTCTGACTGAATTCAATTATTGGCCAGATTCATTGGCATTTTCAGATTTATATACGATCATGTATTTGGTCCATTTCCCCAGAGAGCCTATGCAGATCCTTGTGAGAAATGGGAGCTAGTTGTAGCATGCCTTAAGCATTTCCAGATGTAAGTACTGTTACTACTTCTGGAATCAACCTGTCTTTCTTTATTTCTCATAAAGATCCTTTTTTACGTATTTATTTTCAGTATTTCTTCTTTAAATGCTGAAGGAAATTCTAAATTCCCTTTTTAATCATTAAAAATTAATGTGCATTCATTGTTGTTCATGAATAGGATGTTGAGCATGTATGATGTTGGTGAAGATGATGGTGATGCTGTTATTGATCAATCCTATGCGACAGTGGGGCAGTTATCTCAGATTAACATGCAGATTCCTGTCATTGAAATTATCAAGGTATTGTATCTCACCTTATTGTTTGTAGAGTTTCTTTCTTTCTTTTATTTGTTTTTTATTTTTAATGCTTGTGTTTCACCCTGCTTGTTAATCTTTGTTTACTTTTTGATTGTTTTGTTTATTCATTTTCTTTACTATGCAACTCTCAGGATTCCCTATAAATATACATTATTTCCTCTCACAAACCATTACATCCAAACCACTCTTCAAACCAAAACCAAAACCAAAACCCGAAAAAAATCACCAATTAAGCATACCCTTAAATTCTTCATGCAATTGTTCTCATGTGTTTGTGTTAAATCTTAACTGGCTCTTGCTTTTCTTAGAAGTATGTTTTTTGGCTCTAACTTTAAGAAAGAAGGGATTACTGTAGGTTCCTTTTTCTTTTTCCTTGCATTCCATGAAATTGTATATATGCTTATATCATATATTTCCTATTGGAAACGATTTTGCTGCTTGGTTTTCTTCTGTGCTTCCCCATATGATAGAAGCACTTTGCCTGTTCTTTCCAATTATGTTAGCTATCAGCTTTTTTAATATATATATACACATATTATTGTTGATTTATATATCATGCGATGGGTGTTGGTTGTGGTGCAGGATTTTATGAGCGGGAAGACCCTATTCCGAAACATAATGAGTATTGTTTTACCAGGAGTCAATTTTCTAATTACTGAGCGAACAAATCAAATTTATGGGCAACTGCTTGAGAAGGCCATTTTACTTTCTTTGGAAATTATTATTCTTGTGATGGAAAAAGACCTGATTCTTTCTGATTTTTGGAGGCCTCTGTATCAGGTACGCATCATGTATTCCTTGTAGAATCTTTACAAGACTTGTTTTGACCTCATACATCAATTCTGATTCATGGATATTTGTTACTTCCCATTTAGTTTTTGATATATTCCCTCATATTCTCTCTATCAATGCTTCTTTCATAAGGTCTGTTTGTACATATTTGCTTGGGTTTCTTCTCTGAGGCAGTATGTGTCCATTGGTCTTTTCATTTCAATGTGTTAGAAATGAAGCATATATACAAAATTTGCTTTCTACTTACTGCTTACTGATACATCTCAAAACCAGTAACTCATCTGGCTATATCACTTATTTTCTCTTTATTGCAGCCTTTGGATCTTATACTCTCTCAGGATCATAATCAAATTGTGACTTTGATAGAATACGTCAGATATGACTTTCAGCCACAAATTCAATTATGCTCCATCAAAATCTTGAGCTCCTTAAGGCAAATTTTCCACTCTCAAACTTCATTTCTGGTCATGTGATGATAATCTTTATTTGATTGACTAATAAGTTTTCATACTTATTTTGTGCAGTTCTCGCATGGTTGGGCTTTCACAGTTGCTGATGAAATCCACTTCTGCAAATACAATGATCGAGGACTATGCTGCCTGCTTAGAGTTGCGATCTGAAGAGTCTCACAGTATTGAGGACAGCAGTGTTGATCCTGGTGTACTAATTATGCAAGTAAGACTTAATCTCATATTTTTTTAGTATAGCTGTTTAATGTGAAGTTTAAGTAGCATATGGAATTGAGAATGAAATGTCTTATGCTCTTTAAGAAATTCAAGGGGCATAAATTAGGGCACACATAGCACAAAATGCTCACTGGACCATCAGTAGAATTATCATTATCTTTTCAAGTCAATTGGACTACTTGTTATGGAAAATGTTAGATCAGGGTTGGACCATGGATATGGATAGCATTGCTGGGTCTATATTTTTGGTTATGGTTTTTCTAGTACCGAATGTGTTTGTAAAGCTTGTTAAGGGTAATGTGCTGTTGTGAAACTCAAAGTTTGATGTGCTATTTTTCCAGGTTGTTGGATTTGGCTTGCTATGTTTGTGATGGGTCGATTTCACGAAATGATCTTAAATTATTGATGAATAACAATTTTTATACGGGATCATTCTTCACACAGAGTTTCTTTTCTTTTCTTTTTTTCGAACCATAGAAACCTAAAATGTGATTTTGTTAATGAGTTTTTGGGTTGGAAATTGAAATCAGTATTCAATTTATAACAATTTTATATGAAATGGTGTATTTGTGAAATTGGAATAATAAGAACATAGTTATCATTGCGTTGACAGTTCTCTGGTATTTTGTTTCCTAGTGTTACAGTTTTGCCTCAGGATACACAATTTTCTTGGCATTATTTCCGAGTTGTAACAGTTTGCTAAGTACTTATGCCAGTTAATATTTGTGTTTTATTTTTCTGTACCTTTGATTTGTGGACATTTATAAAAAATTGGAGTATTTCAAATGCAGCTACTTATTGACAATATCAGTAGACCAGCCCCCAATATCACCCATCTTTTGCTTAAATTTGACATTGATGGCCCTGTTGAGAGGACATTGCTTCAACCTAAATTTCATTACAGGTTGCCCTTTTATCTAACTCTTTCTACGTAAATTATCTTGAAGGTTTCTGCGACTTTTTTTTTTCTTCTAAATGCACTTATAAAACATAGGACATGAAACTTTCTTTGTTGATTGTAGTTGTTTGAAGGTCATTCTTGAAATGTTGGATAAGCTTTCAAAGCCTGATGTCAATGGACTGCTTCATGAATTTGGCTTTCAGGTTTGAGGGCTCTAAGCCATATAACTCAGTTCCTTAGCACTTATACTGATGCAGGCTTTCTTGATGCCATATCATATATTTGTAAATGAACTTGTTTTGCAGCTTCTTTATGAGTTATGCGTGGATCCACTGACCTCTGCTCCTACTATGGATTTGTTGTCTACAAAAAAATACCATTTTTTTGTCAAGGTCTTATTTGTGTACCTTGCATTGTTGAAAGTTTTGTTTCTTATCAATGGTCATGGTTTTGATAACTGTATTATTTTTCTGAAAATGTCCAATGATTCAGCACTTGGATTCAATTGGTGTTACCCCCCTTCCAAAGCGAAACAGCAATCAGGCACTTCGGATCAGCTCACTGCATCAGGTTTCTGTTATTTGCTTGATATGAATGAGAAATTCTGCTTAGCATTGTGCTAGGGGAAATGCTGATATGTCAATTTTGCTATAGCTTTTGTCCATCTTCCACCACCCCCCCACCCCCCCCCCCCCTCCAAAAAAAAAAAATAGGCGAATGAGAAATTTACTTTTTTGATTAATACTTTTGCATTGCAAAAATCAAGAGTTTGATTTCGAATTGTTTGTTTATTTTACTGTGTTCTTGTCCTCATGGTGGAGCATATTTTCATATTTTATTTGTTGATATATTGCTTTGACAATATGATGGCATAAATTGCTGTGCATCATTCCTTTTTGTAGAGAGCATGGCTGTTGAAGCTTTTAGCTGTTGAACTACATTCAGCAAACATGAAAGAATCAAATCATCGTGAAGCGTGCCAGAGCATTGTCACTGAGTTGTTTGGCCAGAGGCTAAATGGCATTGATCCTGATGCATCTTATATCGCCCCTCAAAAAGACTTGAGTACTGTTGCAACTGGTTCAACTAACAAGTGTAAGGTACTACAGGTTTTTTGGGGACCCTAAGTGTGTTGTCTGAAAGCCATTTCATACTAACATATTGGTGCATTTTAGTTCTTTTTTTGTGTGAGTAGTTTATTATTAATTGGTCAGAAACTTTACCTTAAAAAAAAAAAAAACTCAAGGAAGGGAAAACTGAACTAGACTTATTGGAGCCAGACAGAAAACTCATCATTTGCTCTTGATACATTTTTATTACAACCGCTTCGAGCTCTTAAATTATGAAGGAAAGTAGAACTTTCATTATGGTTTGATATTGTGCATAGTTATTGGATATCCAAACTACAGATGTATAGCACAGACAGTCATTTTTTAAATGAAATCACACTAGTTAACCTTAAAAACATCAAAACCAAAAACAAAACAAAAAAAAACCTCAAGTAAACGAACCCTTCGATGCTTAACTTTCTTGGTAAGCCCCCTTCAGAAAGCTCAATGTTTATGCATTTTGTATTATTCTTGAGCAACATGTCATTTTTTATGCAATTTATAATATTCTTGACCATTTATTTGAAACTATAGGTGCTGGAATTGCTTGAGGTTGTCCAGTTTGTATCTCCTGATATCACATTGAAGTCTTCTCAGTTTGTTTCGAGTTTGAAGTATTCAGCTCTGGTAAGATAGATGCATATGTTTGCATGTCTTCCTTAGGATTTGCTCTCATAAGGTGCTTTTCTCTGTGTAGGCTGAGGATATACTAACAAACCCAACAACCTTGGGAAGGACTGTCTATTATCATTCCGAGCGTGGGGATCGGCTTATTGACCTAGCTTCTTTTAGAGATAGACTCTGGCAGGTGTGTCTTTTTGCTCCGACCCTGTTTATGGACTCTCTGTTTTATTATCTTTTGGTCTTGTAATATACTAAAGTAGTACTCAATTGCATTGTTTGGGTTCAATATTCCACAGAAATGCCATTTATATAACTCCCAGCCAAACTCTTTTGGAACTGAAGCAGAGTTGAATGAAGTAAGAGAAGCAATCCAACAACTATTACGATGGGGATGGCAATACAACAAGAACCTTGAGGAACAAGCTGCACAGCTTCATATGTTGGCAAGCTGGTCACAGATTGTTGAGGTTCTGTCAATATTTTGCAAATATTCCTTTATAACTTTTTTTATCAAGCAGGAGACCTTGACTCAGTATTGTGTGTGGACTTTGGAGTAGTAGTTTGGGGGTGGATTTTTTTACACTTAACTTTGTTATTTATCCCTAGGTATTTGTTTATATATCTGATATCAGACCGATTAATTTCTTAAATCTGAGTTTGTAAAATTAAGGATTCTGATATACCAGCTACATAGTATACATAAATGTATTCTTTAATCGCCTTTTTAGACATTGTTGGCTTTCCATGCCATTATTGACTATAACCTTTTCTGCTCTTTGGTCATGTTATTCTTTGGTCCTTAGGTTTATGCATCCCAGAGGGTTTCATCTCACGAGAACCGGTCAGATATATTATTCGAGTAAGTCTACCTTTTACTCTGATTTATCTTATAATCTCTTGTTTTACTTATTCCCGAGTGAACTGAACAGATTGCTAGATGCGTCCTTGAATGCTTCTGGTTCTCCTGGTTGTTCCCTGAAGATGGCACAGATTTTGACCCAGGTTAATACACTGCTACAATCGGTGTGCATCGCGCTTGCTTAGTTATTCTGTGAGCTGACTTTATGTGTTTTTCAAGGTTGGTCTCACATGCATAGCTAAACTACGTGATGAAAGATTTGTCTTCCCAAGTGGCCTTACTTCAAATACAGTTACTTGTTTTGATATAATCACTACACAACAATTATCCAGTGGGGCTTGTCAATCTCTTCTGTTCAAGTTAATCATGGCAATTCTAAGACAGGAATCATCAGAAGCTTTGAGAAGGCGGTATAGACCTTAGAATATATCTATTACACAGTTTTATTTTCCAAAGTTTGAAAGAAATTTTCACCTTTCTTTTGTTTTGTGGAATCCAGCCAGTATGCTTTGCTTCTTAGCTATTTCCAGTACTGTCGACACATGCTTGATTCAGACATTCCAACAACAATTCTGCAGTTCTTGTCAATTGATGGGCAGGAATATGGAGATTTAGATCTGGAAAAGGTTTCAGCATTTCTTATGCTAGGTTCTCATTTTGTTTTGCTTACTCTATTTGCGTTACCAGGGATTCTTCTTTCTACAGCTTAACAAAGATCAGGCTGAACTTGCACATGCAAACTTTGCAATTCTAAGAAAGGAAGATCAGCATATTCTTAACCTGGTTAGTGCTATGCTACATAACTGTGTTTCGAAGTTTGAAACCACATCTGAAAACATCTCTTCATTCTACTTGTTAAATACTTTCACTGCCTGCTGATTCTTGTATTTTGTTAATTTAGGTCATAAGAGATGCCACTCAGGGCAGTGAATCTGTAAAAACAATGTCATTGCATGTCCTGGATGCATTGATTTGTGTAGATCATGAGAAATTTTTCTTGAGTCAACTGCAGAGTAGAGGTTTTCTGAGGACTTGCTTGATGAACATCAGTAATTTCTCATATCAGGTACAGAACTCAAACCATGTACAATTTTCACTATTTGTAAGTAATCTTCTTGCAAAATGTATTTTAAATAATTTCTTCAATCAATTTTCCCAAGGTTTTATGTGTTTTCTTGGCTATATGCCTCTATGTAATTCTTCATCCATCAACTGAAGTGTAACTCTCCAAATAAATAAATAACTTGAATAACTCTATTCATACATGTGCTACTAATGAATTTTTTATCTTGTTTGATGAGGGATAAGATGTGTGACAAAGTTCTGTACGCTTTTTTTTGTTGTTTTTGTTGTTGCTGATATGTCATGCGCATTTAGCTTTTATTTGTTCCATGAACATATTAAGCTGATTGGCCTAAACGTTACTATTTCAATTATGTGCATGAAATCATTGAAATTTGATATACCTCATGGATTTTGTGTATGCCAGACTTGTGCTATTAGTTATCTGTAATTTCTTGCACTGCCACTATTTGTACATGTACCTTAAACTTTGATTTCAAGTAGAATTTAGAATGCGCAGATACGATTTGTATCACGGATTTATCATATAGTTTCTTGTGTATGCTGTCGGCGAGAGTTTTCTAGGATCTGTATGCTTTGTACATTTGGAAAACTGGAGTGCGTAAATAGGATGCTGCTGTTGATTAAAATGGTATGAGTACATTGAGAGGTGGATAATTTTTTAATATCCACACTCAAGCTAGTAAGTTTGGGTCTCAACTCTCAAGGTCCAAGTTCTAATACTCGGAAAGTCAACTTTGAATAATATTTTCAAAATGACCGCCTTGGAACTTGAGACCAAACAAGGGCATAATTATATTTAATAAAAAAAGCGACCATTTTTCTCATCATTCACTATGGTCATCTTTATTGTGAGAGTAGTGACATGAGCGAGGGCTACCATCATTATGTGTAGGAGGGTGTGTGTTGAGCTATATTTATTTTGTGCAGGAGGGTGTATTTTCTCTCGATTCTATGCAGCGTCTTTGCACTCTTGAAGCAGAGCTTTCTTTGCTCCTGAGGATTAGCCATAAATATGGGAAGTCTGGGGCACAGGTTCTTTTTTCAATGGGTTCTCTCCAACATATTGCTTCATGCAAAGCTTTTCATCTTCCTATGAAGGTGCCGATTTTCTTCGTGTCCTTCTAGTTCTGCTAAATGTTTTTGCCTTTGTCCTTGTATTCTCTAAGTAATTTGAATCACTGTTTTTATCAGGGGAGCCTACGTCTTTTTGATTCTAGGATTGGGAAGAATTATTTGGATGTTGATAAACAGCGGATGGTTGTTGCTCCAATACTGAGATTTGTTTACTCATTAACTTCTCTTGTTGATACTTCTGAGTTCTTTGAGGTTAGACGATTCATTCAACCTCTTTCCTGGAAAAAAAGGACATGTGCTATTAATTATTCTATTCTGATTTTAATGTCTTTATGATATTTATTGGAGCTCTAACCTGGCTTTATTTTAATGAATTGTATTTGCACTTCTATCATTTCCAAAAGCTTCCTGCCTCAGAGAAACTTTCTAAAGTAATCAAGCTGATGATGTGTATTGAAATAATAACTGTAGCTTGAAACTTCAGACATTAAGGGCGTGTTTAATTATTTGTCATAATTTTTTTTTTTTCAGTCAATCTATTATTTTTCTTCCAAAAACATCACAACCACAACTAATTTTTCATTCAAAACATCTCATCAATAACTATTTCACGTAAAAAACATCAAAAACCAAAGTACACAAAAAAATCACATATAAACAAACCTAGGAATTTAAAAATTCTCCATCTCATGGAAATTGTTCAGTCATATGAAGCAGCCTGTGAAAAATTTCAGATTTCCAATGTTCTGTTTCTGTACATAGTCATTAGTATTAGCAAATATTGGAAAAGAAAAACAAAAGAAAGAAAGAAAGAGATAGCAAATATGGGATGTTGAGATAGGTATATGGATACAACGGATTATATATAAAAAGTAATTAATGTATTAGAAGAAAATAGTGATGATAGGTGAGAAAGTGAGAAATATGTTTAACATTATTTTATCTTCAGTTTGTATTTAAAAACTAACAAGAATTGGAAAGGAACCATTGAAAGAGGAAAAGACATCTAGGCATACAGACTTAGGTGTTGATCATGATGCAATGACATTATGATAGATGATTATGAATGCAGAAGCACTTTTGCATTATATCTCGTGTTAATTGGTCTTCATTTTATTTATGTATATATTTATTTCATTCACGATGAATGAGCATATGCATCATTTTCACAGCCTCGTAATTTACTGAAATTTCTTCAAAATTGTGACTGACATCAAAGCCCATTTTTATTTATTTGTTTATCTATGCATTTATAATGGGACAGTTTTCATTGATACATAATAGTTTAGTCACTTGAGATTGTGGTCATTTTGCTCTTCTGAATAATTTTGGGGGGGCTAATAATGCTCTGAGGCTTTTAACATTCAGTGTTGCATTAATGAAATGCTATTTTATTTTTCTCTGTATGTTTTTGTAACTTTAAATTATGAAATGCATATCTTTCCTTATTCTTTTGCCTTCTTGTGTAATGAATTTATCATAGTTCACTCTTTGATGCCCTGGGTGTCTTGTAGGTGAAGAATAAAGTTGTCCGTGAAATAATAGAGTTCATCAAGGGTCATCAGCTGCTGTTTGATCAAATTCTCCAGGAAAATCTTTTCAATGCTGATGAACTGACAATGGAACTACTCAATCTTGCTGTGGGTATACTAAGCAAGGTAATACCCTATCTAAATTTACTGAAGCCTTTTGAACATGATCAAAGCTGGCCAGCGGTGGAAACAATTCATGTTTGTTTCTTTGCCTTTTGGTCACTTATGCTGTTGCTAGTCTTGAATATACTTACATTGTGGTGTTTCAGGCCTTTTGGGCTGACACCATTTCTAGGATTTGGCTTTTTCCATTTAGGTTTCTCTTTGCTACTATTCACACACTACATTGTTTCTTTCGTCATCTGTTACCCCTTGTTCCTGTTTTTATTTCTTCATTTCTTTTTGCGCACCTCCACATATGATGTTTTGTTGCATTAAACATGGCTGACTTCTTGTGTGCGAGAATAATTTTTATTTTATTTTATGTCTGTGACTTATGTTTTGATATGTTGTGTTGGCCAAGATACTTATGCTATTCTTGCTTCACAAATGTTCTTGCTTCTGTGAAATCTGTCTGGAAAGCTCCTATCTGAGATGATTATTAATTAAAGATTATAGTAATATTTCTAAGCTCCATGATGTGCTTTGGTATTATATTAAAACTACAATTAAACAATATGCTATGGTTTGTATTTGCTACTGCCTCTTATTATTATTACTTTTTTTTTTTTCCTATTAACTCTGGAAGCCACTTCCAGTAAACATGTGTAAATTTCCATGAGTAGCAGAAATTTTAGGGCTAAATGATTATTACCAAACTATTATTAACAAATACAACATCTCTATAATTTATTTATGCGATGACATTTATGAGATGCTTGTATGATCATGCACATTACATTTGCTTTTTTGGGGCACATGTTGCTGATGTGTAATCAATCATCTTTTGATATATATTTTTTGGTTGTAAATTTGATTCATTTTTCAAAGGTCTGGCCATATGAAGAGAGCGATGATTTTGGATTTGTTCAAAGGCTATTTGGGATGATCGGCACGCTTTTCTCCCGTGATCCAGACATATTCACATCAGCACAATCTGTTCGATCAGAGGTAGCCTAGAAGTTGCACCCTTACACATTAAACCTAATGAAGTAATAAAAAAACAAGTTTCTCAGAGTATGATGAAGTACTAATTTGTTCTTGTTACCTGCATTAAAAGATTCAGCAGAAGTCAGATGTGGGCATATCCCGGTTGTGCTTTAGTTTGAGTTCTTATCTGTATTTTCTTGTTACGAAGAAGTTCCTACGGCTACAGGTAAAATATTTCAGTCTAATTGTGTTAGACTTTTATTTGGATGGGTTTTTCCATACAAAAAGCAAGGATCAATGCTTTCTGGGTTTTTGATAGGTTTCTGATGGCCCAACTGACTATCGTCCTGCATCACAACAACCAACCCTTTACTTGCTCATAATTTTCCTTGGTTCCATGACAACTGCACTTGATAGAGCTGCAGAGGAAAAATATTTACTACTCAACAAGGTCCATAATGTGATCTTTCTAATGTTATGATGGTTTTAAATTTTTGGATATATAATTTAGTCTAAAAATATTTTTTCATTTATGTATTCCAGATTAAAGACATCAATGAGCTGTCAAGGCAAGAAGTTGATGAGATTATCAATTTTTATGTATCTCAAGATTATGCTTCACATGAAAACATACAAAAGAGGTTTCTCCCTTTCCCAATTTACCGACCATGTCCAATGTTTGTTATGTGCATTAATTTCGCTCTTAATTTATATGTGAAAATAAATGAGTTAAAAGTTTTGAGCTGTTAACCTGGTTGATTATGCTTTGCTCTTGGAGTTGGCATTATGATACTTTATTTTGCTTGTACTAAAATACGTAGAGCGCAGTATCTCAAGATGCCTCTAAGGACCATTCTTTTATTCTGAATTTATTGTTGTGCTGTATCCTAGCTTGCACTTACACGTGAACTTTTCTTGCACGATTGGCCAGCCAAAGTCATGAGTTGAGCCTTGCTTTTCCTAATCGACTCATATGCACACACAAATCACTGATTAATATAAGCCCATATTTCCTTGCTCAATACACAGGAGATTTATTGCAATGGTGGGCATGTGCCGTATTATTGGACATGGAAGTCGATTTATCATGCTGTTGCTTCTGCTTGCTCAAAATTTGATGAACATTATCCTTGCCCACTTCCAAGAAAGGTATAAATGTTCTGCATATTGGTTATCCTACTGCTACAAATAAGCTGTGTTTGCAGCAATGTATCTTTTCTCCATAGTTCATATACATGTGATTATCACCATTGTCTGAAAGTTTTTGCACATTGCAGCCCCGTCGATATGAACTTGCATTCGCTTTGTGGAGAACTGATTCCTGTTCTTGAACAACTTGAATCACTGAGCGAGGTATGCTGCACTTCCTGATTTTGTGTTACTCATTTCGCTGTCCACGTTTCATGTCTCTTAATTTTTAATTTTTATTATTTTTTCAGGATAAGACTGGTCATAGCCTCAAAGTGTTACATCGGATGGTCCAGTCTCTCAAGGAAATCTCAATTCAGAAGCTGACTGTTTGATCCTTACCAGATGAGTGTATTTTGTTTCATAAACTATATAATACTTGTATCAATCAATTATTTCTCAGATATTTGATCCTGTAGCACAATATATTTTTTAGAGCTTCCAATAGGCCATCTTAGCTTAGATAAAATGCAAGAATGTATTTAGTTTCCAACTTTTTTGACTTACGAGTTGCACTGTATTTCATTGTGAAGTAGTTTCACATTTTTCCAATATGAATGATTAAGACACTTGATGAGATTAAGGAAATGGTTCACATTCGTTCCGGACTTCCAATAGTTGGCTTCGTATATTGTATTTTTTTCTGCTTGAATTTGTATATATATTCTTTCGAAACATGTAGACACATTATATTGATCATAAATTGCCATGTCAACCAAAACAATATGTGTATGGACACTAAATGATACATAGCTGAAATGCTTTCCGGTTTCACATTATTTCATCCTCACTTCTAACCATAAGAATGTCAGTCTAGCAGACAGGTGGAATCCGGGGCGACATCTGTTACATTGCCATGAGCATTTCTGCAATATGTGGTGACCACTTTTCCAGCCATGGCTGATGTCAAGTGTATGTCTTCCATCAATATTCCACGGCATGGAACCGAGCTGCTGCACTTGAGATTAATGGCAATTTCAGTGCTCGATGTCCCTGACATTCCCCTGTAAACTACCTGGCTTATCTGCACTCCAGTTTCCTGTCGTAAAGAGAGATTTTGAGGCATTGCGCTAGTCTGATCCAACCAAGGTAAAACTACTTAGACAAGAATCTTGATCTTTATATTTTACCTGCTCTTTGCAACCATCCCTAACCTCACAGTAATTTTGATCGATGATTATAGGGTTCTTAACAGAGTCCACTGTGAGATTCTCAAATTTAATGTTGCGCACGTATCCTCTCCCGACCTATCGAATTAGCTTATTATTAGCTTGGTACAAGGCATGATCATTGTATATATCTCTATGTATAAGTATGTATTTATATACCTGCCATGTTTTAATCCGAGCTCCATTAGTGGTTCCAGTGAAGTAAGCATTAGTGACAGAAATATTCTCTACTTGAACGTAATTTCCTGATCTTCCGAGGCTTCCAATGCTATATCCAATCCAATAATCATAATAATAATGATAACAACAAACAAAAAAATTAATTAGTTTAGTAGACACTTTTTAGAGTAGATAAAATATTTACCTGATGCCGTGTCCTGGTCCACATTTAACATTCTGTATGTTAATATCCCTAATTCTATCCCCAATTGATATGCAATCATCCCCTGCTTCCATCCACACATATTTATTAAGCACATTGTGTTTGTTACATTTGTAGGAACTTTGTACATGGAGAAGATAACAGACAGACTCACCGACGCCGAAGCTGGAATTGGAGATGGAAAGATGCTGAGTGTCTTGGATGTGAATGCCATCGGTGTTGGGGCTGCTCCCAGGAGACATCATTACCACATTGTTTACGTTGAATCCATTGCAGCCCATGATGAGAATATGTGTCTGCGCGCTGTCTTTCAAGCCCACATTCCGAACAATGCTCTCATCGCACGACAAAAACCGCAGCGCCTGTTAAGACGACGCATCTTTTAACAGACGACGTATCTTTTTTCATAAGAAATGAATACATACATATAAACACCATCGTCAAGCCCGAGTAACACTTACCGTTGGAGCCAACGACGTGCAAGTTTTCTGAAGAATGAAATTCAATGTCAAATTTCATCTATGTAGAAAAAAATAAAATCATTGAAAATTGTAGTATTGCATAATCTTAGACAGAGACCAGATGGGGATTATATCTGCAGGACTGATCCCACCAGGCCTTTCCCCTTCCATCAATGGTGCCATTGCCAAATCCATCCACTTTGAGGCCCTTCACACCCTCAAATCCCAGCCATTGGCTTGCATCTTTTCCATCCCAAAAACCAGGTCTGTCTGGAGCTATTATTGTCCCTGCAATCTGCACGCAGTCATGCCAATGCCAATGTCAATGTCAATCATAGTTTGGTATAAAAACACAAACTTTGGTATACACGTCAGTCAAGTTAAGTTAATCCCTTCTAGTCCAATCAAATTCTTGAAACAAAAGGCCATTCTTGAAACCGATTTAATATCATTTCATATAACAGTTGAGTGTCAGCGGAAAGTAGCAAACTACCTACCACGAAATGGATCTCGGGGGCTTGGCATGGACCTCGAAACATGATGGGGTTCACCAAAAATGTGTGCCCTGATGGAACAATGAGTTTGGGGTTTGGGGTTGAATCTCCACATGCAGCATTCCATGCCTCACCAAATGCCTTCAAATCAATTGAATCAAACACACAACCACATTAACTGCAATATATATGTGGGGAAGTATTGATTTCCAACCATATATAAGTAAATAAATACTTGGGAATTTTCAGTTTGGCCATCACTTTTAGCTCCATAGTCCATCACATTAAATTCTTTTCCATAGACATGGAACACATTTCTTGGGGAACCATTGTTAGAGAGGGCCAAAGCTAGAATGAATAGCACTGCTCCAGATATATCCTGAAAATGTAACAAAATTGAGATTGTTAAATCTGTGCTACACAATGAGAAGAAAAGAACCAGGAATTCATTATTGAATTAATTTCTCACCATGGAACTGTTGATTGTATGTCTCTGTGTGTACATGTATATATTGTATAAAATGTATATATATATATATATATGAATGCTGAAGAGCCTTGTTGCCACAATGCAGCTGCACTCTGGAGAAATGAATCAGTTTTAATCTGGAAAGCAAATTAATTATAAGGAATCATTAATGCAGAAAAGGTTGACAAACTAATTAAAGAGAATAATTAATTTTTAGGGGATGGATTCACCAAATCATTTAAGAATCTGGTAAGAGTTGGAGAATCTCCACAATTTTAATACAGGGATTGAGTGCTTTTTTTTTTTCTTCAGCACATGTTACTCATTACTTAAAAATTTAATTTTCTTATATTAATAACATAATTAAATCAAGTAAATCAAATGATTTTCAACGATTTTAGTTTGGGTTCTGAATATTTAAATCAGCATTCGATCCATGGCCATTTTTTATATAATTTATTTTTTTGACATAATTCCATTTTTATTACAAGGGTTCACCTGCTGTATTTTTTTATTTTTTTGTACCAGCTACATTGTATACATAAATGTATTCTAATGCAGTATATTAATCGCCTTTTTAGACATTGTTGGCTTTCCTTATTCTTTTACCTTCTTGTTTAATGATTTTATCATAGTTTACTCTTTGATGGCCTGGGTGTCTTGTAGGTGAAGAATAAAGTTGTCAGTGAAATAATAGAGTTCATCAAGGGTCATCAGCTGCTGTTTGATCAAATTCTCCAGGAAAATCTTTTCAATGATGATGAACTGACAATGGAACTACTCAATCTTGCTGTGGGTATACTAAGCAAGGTAATACCCTATCTAAATTTACTGAAGCCTTTCGAACATGATCAAAGCTCGCCAGAGGTGGAAACGATTCATGTTTGTTTCCTTGCCTTTTGGTCATTTATGCTGTTGCTAGTCTTGAATATACGATTCATTTCTTTCCTTACCAGATGAGTGTATTTTGTTTCATAAACTATATAATACTTGTATCAATCGATTATTTCCAGATATTTGATCTTGTAGCACAATATATTTTTTAGAGCTTCTAATAGGCCATCTTAGCTTAAGATAAAATGCAAGAATGTATTCTGTTTCCAACTTTTTTGACTTATGAGTTGCCCTGTATTTCATTGTGAAGTAGTTTCACATTTTTCCAATATGAATGATTAAGATTCCGGACTTCCAATAGTTGGCTTCCTACATTGTATTTTCTTTTTGCTTGAATTTGTATTCCAAACATGTAGACACATTATATTGATCATAATTTGCCATTTCAACCAAAAACAATATGTATATGGACACTAAATGATACACAGGTGAAATGCTTTCTGGTTTCACATTATTTCATCCTCACTTCTAACCATAAGAATGTCAGTCTAGCAGACAGGTGGAATCCGGGGCGACGTCTGTTACATTGCCATGTGCATTTCTGCAATATGTGGTGACTTCTTTGCCAGCCATGGCTGATGTCAAGTGTATGTCTTCCATCAATATTCCATGGCATGGAACCGAGCTGCTGCAGTTGAGATTAATGGCAATTTCAGTGCTTGATGTCCCTGACATTCCCCTGTAAACTACCTGGCTTATCTGCACTCCAGTTTCCTGTCGTAAAGAGAGATTTTTAGGCATTGGGCTAGTCTGATCCAACCAAGGTAAAACTACTTAGACAAGAATCTTGATCTTTTTATTTTACCTGCTCTTTGCAAGCATCCCTAACCTCGCAGTAGTTTTGATCGATGATTATAGGATTCTTAACAGAGTCGAATGTGAGATTCTCAAATCTAATGTTGCGCACGTATCCTCTCCCGACCTATCCAATTAGCTTATTATTAGCTTGGTAAAAAGCATGGTCATTGTATATATCTCTATATATATGCATGCATGTATATACCTGCCATGTTTTAATCCGAGCTCCATTAGTGGAACCAGTGAAGTAAGCATTAGTGACAAAAATCCTCTCTACTTGAACGTAATTTCCTGATCTTCCCAGGCTTCCAATGCTATATCCAATCCAATAACAATAATAATGATGATGACAACAAACAACAAAATAATTAGTTTAGTAAACATTATTTTAGAGTAAGATAAAATATTTACCTGATGCCATGACCAGGTCCACATTTAACATTCTGTATGTTAATATCCCTAATTCTATCCCCAATTGATATGCAATCATCCCCTGCTTCCATCCACACAGATTTATTAACCACATTGTGTTTGTTACATACATATTGAAGGAACTTTGTATGTGAAGAAGATGACAGACAGACTCACCGACGCCGAAGCTGGAATTGGAGATGGAGAGATGCTGAGTGTCTTGGATATGAATGCCGTCGGTGTTGGGGCTGCTCTCAGGAGACATTATTACCACATTGTTTACGTCGAATCCATTGCAGCCGGTGATGAGAACATGTGCCTGCGCACTGTCTTTCAAACCCACATTCCTAACGCTGCTCCCATCGCACGATAAAAACCTCAGCGCCTGTTACGACGACGCATGCACCTTTTCATAAGAGACTGACTACATACAAACACCATCTTCAAGCCCAAATAACACTTACAGTGGGAGCCAACGTCGTGCAAGTTTTCTGAAAAATGAAGTTCAATGTTAAATTTCATCTATGTAGAAAATAATAGAATCGTTGAAAATTGTAGTATTGCATAATGTTGGACAGAGACCAGCTGGGGATTATATCTGCAGGACTGATCCCACCAGGCCTTTCCCCTTCCATCAATGGTGCCATTGCCATATCCATCCACTTTGAGCCCCTTCACACCCTCAAATACCAGCCATTGGCTTGCATCTTTTCCATCCCAAAATCCAGGGCTGTCTGGAGCTATTATTGTCCCTGCAATCTGCATACATTCATGCCAATGCCAATGCCAATGTCAATGTCAATCTCATTTATTTAGTTAATTACTTAATTGATTAGTTTCCCACTGACTGTTACAAAAACTTATAACTGTTCACTTGAGTCAAGTTAATCCCTTCTAGTCCAGTCCAATTCTTGAAACCGATTTAAAGTCATTTCACATAACAGTAAGTTAAGTAGCAATGTACCTACCGCGAAATCGATTCCAGGGGCTTGGCATGGACCTCGAAACATGATGGGGTTCACCAAAAATGTGTGCCCTGATGGAACAATGAGTTGGGGGGTTGGGGTTGGATCTCCACATGCAGCATTCCATGCCTCACCAAATGCCTTCAAATCAATTGAATCACACACACAACCACATTAACTGCAATATATATTTGTATCTATATGGAGTATGTGTTAAGTAAATAAATACTTTGGAATTTTCAGTTTGGCCATCACTTATAGCTCCATAGTCCAACACATTGAATTCTTTTCCATAAACATGGAACACATTTCTTGGGGAGCCATTGTTAGAGAGGGCCAAAGCCAGAATGAATAGCACTGCTCCAGATATATCCTGAAAATGTAACAAACTCGAGATTGTTAAATCTCTGCTACACAATGTGAAGAAATGAACCAGGAATTAATTATTGAATAAATTTCTCACCATGGAACTGTTGATTGTATGTCTCTGTGTGTACATATATATATTGTAGAAAATGTGTATATATATATATATATATTATATGAATGCTGAAGGCAAAATGCAGCTTGACTCTGGAGAGATGAATCAGTTTTAACCTGGAAAGCAAATTAATTACAAGGAATCATTAATGCAGAAAAGGTATGGCAAACTAATTAAAGAGAATGGATAATTGTTAGGGGATGAATTCACCAAGTCATTTAAGAATTTGGTAGAGTTAGGAGTATCCCCACAATTTTATTAATAATTTACTTTTCTGGCATAATGCCCCTTTTTAACAAAGCTTCACCTGAATTTTATTTTATTTATTATTTTTCACATTAATAAAAATAAAATCTAAAAAGAATTCTATTATTTTATTGATTAGCCTATCCCAAAACTTCATTATTATTAAAGTATCTAAAATTACCTTAATCCACTAGATTTAATCTGTGACATCGTCCTCCTCCTCCTCCTAAACCTACACTCAGAAGATCACAGGTCAGATTAATTCGAGAGTCACGGGACACTGATTCTCAGTGAACTGTGCAGACCGTAGACTGGTAATTGGACAAAGAATTGGTTTTCAAGATCTAGGGTTTCATAAATTTCTACAGATTTGATTCCCAATTGTCCATGGCCAATGCCTGGAGAAGAACCCACCCCACTAAAATTCTGACCCCAAAGACCCTTCTCCTCTTCGTCTCCACCTCCTTCCTCCTCCTCTTCTTCTTCTACCTCTCCACCCAAAACCCTAACTCCCCCAAAATTCCCCAAACCAAATTCCGCAGACCTTCAATCTCTACCCGCCCCATCAATCCTTTCAATTGCCGCAATGCCCCACAAGCCCACCCCGTTTTCGCCAACACCGTTGAGGGTCTCAATTTCCCTTTCATGTATTCTCTATCGGACTTCGGGAATCTCCCGGAGAAGCCCCATAAGAACATCGTCAGGACGCTTAAGGGGAAGGCGTTCCGCCGGCCGGACATATCCGCCACAGTGCAGGAATTGTTGGGGAAGATGAGATCGGAAAATAGGAGTGGGGTTTTTGTCGATATTGGGGCTAATGTAGGAATGGCTAGCTTTGCTGCAGCTGTGATGGGATTCAAGGTGTTGGCATTTGAGCCTGTTTTTGAGAATTTACAGAGGATCTGTGATGGGATTTACTTTAATAGGGTTGAGGAGTTCGTGGAGGTGTTCGAGGCTGCAGCCTCTGATGCCACTGGGAACATCACATTCCATAAGGTATCATTGATTTTCTTTGGTTTTTCTCGAAATGGGATTCTTCTTGTGTGTATAATTCTTGGTTCTTTGATGTGGATTTTTTGTTAGGTTTTGTTGATTGGATTGGATTCTTCCTGCTGTATTTACCTAATCTGTATAAGTATGGCTAGTTTTGTTGTGTGGACATATGCTAAAGAAGGCTCTAATGATAACATCTTTGAGTTTTTGTAATTTTCAGTTTCGAAAAACTTCTTTAAAGTATCCAAGTGGAAATTTTTTAGATGAGGAGATGTAAGGAATTCTTGGTTTAGCTAGAGAAGATGGAATTGCTTTAATATGCATTACACGACGAACCGCGTATCTCTATGGTTAGAATCATTCGATAGATGTCTCTTTAAGATGATCTTCTCAAGAAATTAGGATGATCTATGTCTTTGGAATGTCATTTTTTGTACTCAGTAATATGTGATCAGTTCAACCATTCTAGTATTGTTTTCATTCAATTTCATTGATCGACTCTTAATTACTTCGCTTTTGTGTGCATGTAAATTATTTAGTTGGTTGGTCGACTTGACAACAGCGCAGTCTCGGCCACTGGCGCCAAATTGGCATTCAAATCCAATGAAGAGATTGCGCTTCAGGTCAAGTCCATTCCTCTCGATGAAGTAATCGGAGAGTCAGAGCCGGTGCTTATGATTAAAATAGATGTCCAGGGGTGGGAGCATCATGTTCTAAAGGGGGCATCAAAATTATTGTCGAGAGAGAAAAGCGAAGCGCCATACCTAATATACGAAGAAGACGAGCGCTTGTTAGCCGCAAGCAACAGCAGTTCCCAAGAGATACGCTCCTTTCTTCGTGGTTTGGGTTACAAGCAGTGCGTGCAGCACGGCACAGACGCGCACTGCACCAAAACGGATTGAAATTATCGACTCGTTCAGACAACATTTTCCACAGAAACTAACATTCTTAATTTACCCGGCGATGCATTCTCCTGATTGTTTTTCGAGCACAGGGAGGGGGATCAACTTCTTGCAGCAATCTGGATAGATTGTATGGGCGAACAAATGTCGTGATTCTTGTTATCCAATGCTGTAAGTTCCAGTCTTGATCTCCCAATGTTGATTTTTTCGATCGATATTCATATATATATATATAGGCAATAATTTTTTTGATTTCGTGCAATACTTAGGATGAAGTTTGGTTTTCTACCTACATACACAAGACTTTAACCATTCTTTGGCAAATTAGTTTATCTGTAACCTTTTGACCTTTGTGAAGTATTGAATATCAAAGAAAGCCTTTTGAGGTGAATGCAATAATTAATTAATACAGTTTTTCCTAAACATAAATTGAGAAAGGGTAAAAGATGTGAAACAAATCTCAAGGGGTATATGACTCTGCTTTAGAGGATTACATGTGACTATTTACCATTACTTCACGTATATTCCAACATCTATACAAGAAAACATAAATATTTGGACAACAATATCGACTATTCGATTCAACTATTTTGGTCCGCTAGTTTTTGAAGCACCACATCTTTCCACCATAACATCGTAAAGTTGTTTACCATTCTGCAATCGGTAATAAATAGTATAGCCAAAAGCGATTAGTTAAGGGAATAATATTTCATTCATAACCAAAGAAGATCGTAAAATATTGAGAAACTTACGAAAATCACAGGGAAAAAGTGTATTTGTCCTTCAGGTTTTGTTTGAATCTCCTTGAAATAAACTAAGATTGGAAATGAAGGCCACCAGAGCTCCCAGTTAACAAATGTTGAATATCTGTAAGTTTGTGTGATGGTAAAATATAATGTCTATACATGACAAATTAAGGATCAGGGTAATGTGATTCTACTTACTTCCATCGATTTTTCCCACCTACAAAAGCATTTTCACCTGACTCTTCAAGCTCGTTTCCAATCTTTACCTCCTGTCATAAACTCATAACTGATGATGAATAATTATAAAGAATCTCATGTCTATGCATGTATACAGATCTGTTGTCTGCTGTACAAAACACTTTCCAACAAATATGCACATGCAAGAAAGTCTACCGCCTAAGATACTGAGAATTGCACAATGATCTGCATAACAATATGTAGCAATTTATTTATTTTTTTTAACCCTGAAACTTCGACATTGTTTTTAGTTCATAACTACTAACCAAATGCACCTTAGCACCAGTGTTTCAAGCAAACAAGAAGGTGAGATCAGTGAAGTATCTATCTTCTGAAAATTGATGAACATAATGGAAAAAAAATGAAAAATAGAACTGGGAAAGGCAATTTCTTTATAAATTGTCTGAAAGAGTGTAATAACTTGCTAATTTTTTTCTACAGCAAGACACAAGAATTTGACAGAACAAAAACTGTTGCAAATTGTGATTCTGGCATCAACAAAATAACAACAGCATGGGAAATTCTATCAACTATGTGTATTAATGATGTGGTAAGCATATATATTGTTTTGGGTTGAGTAAACAAACCAAGGCCTCCCCATCAAAGACAAATCTCACTCTTGTACTCTGGAACAAAAAAAATACAAAACAGAACATATATCCCAATGTTAGTGCAACACAATGAGGATGTGTTATGAAAAGAATTATCAAGACAATACATTTTCAACTCCAAAAACACAATTTAATTGGATAAATTCCGAAAGGAGGTAGAAAGGTAATATTTGTACAGATTACAGAATAAGTTTGTGGTAAAATTTGTGCTACCTGGACTAAAAGGAGCAAGCCGAGTAGGCCGATGGGAACTGCTGCTGCTAAATTATCTACATAAACAAAACCACCAGCCATCCCTGCAAAATGTTGGAGGCTCATAACTTTATATATAGCTTGCATAAGTTAATTCCCGTCAGTTGGAAAACTATGCAAAGCAAACTGATTGGTCTATGGTGCCAATGCATGAATTTGGATCACATCTCACAATCAATAAGAGTGGACTGGAACAGTGAAATTCAATGCAACCAGTTCAGTCACCTACCGAGAAGCACAATTGGGATGCGGTAGTCGGGGTCAGGAATGATGGTCTCTTTTTTAACTTTCCTTCCAAGCTGCAAAGTGTTTCAGTAGTGTTTATAATCAAAATTGATGATATTAGCCTTTTCTTTGATTCATCAAATTGTGATCTACAACAGCATATGAAACACGATTCCAAATGATGCAAAGAGAAACCACATAATAAGGCACAACAGCATAAGACGAGTACTTCTAATACACTTATATATTCCTAGGGATAGATTAGCATTCTTATGCATTAGTACGGGAAGTAACGGCTAAAGATCAACTAAAACAATTCTCTTCATTAAATTAATTCTACGATAGAAGTTAGCATCAAATTAACAATAAGAAAAGTCGAAATATACGAACCACAGAAGAAACAATTCCGCGGCCCCTTGAGACATTCCTACTGCGTATTGTCAAAATCGAGTTCTTGTACAAAAATCGGCCACCAAACGAACTCCGAAAACTTCTTCGAATAGCGCCAGGCTTATCATGATCTGACAAATAGATAGCAACAAAACGATGTTCGCGACATTACCAAACCTGCCAACAGCAATGTCACAACCAAAGTACGGAAACGAAGAAGGCTTACACAAAGAAGTAATAAATCGAGTCGAAGCACACGAGAGAGCGGTCTCCATCCGTGTAACCGCACAGAGGAGCACTGCTCTGCTCAGTAGCTTCCCAAACCTTTCTTCTTCAGCTGAAGAAGAAGATAACAGAGTCGTGTCGATCGTGGAAGGCCATGAATGAATGAGCGGCTTGTGTATAGTGAAAATGTGAAATGACCGTATAGCCCTTGAGTCCACCTACGTTGTTACACATTGGGCTGAGTCCCTAATGATGGCCCATTATAAAGCCCAATATATTCATTAATATAAAGTCCAAATCTAAAGCCCAGCTCAATTACTTACTAAGTAAGTAGTACTTAGTACTACATGGGATGGGGCCGGTTCTGTGTGTATATAACTGTTTGTCAGATCAAGATCAAACTTGCATTGTATCCGTAAATACACGTACCAAAAATTAATAACGGCTGTTAATTTTAGATATAATTTTTTTTTTTACAAAAAATATAATAGTGTGGAAACATAATATCAAATCAATTTCAATTTGATTTTGAGTCATCAACATGAACCGAAAGAAGAATGGATGTTATTTTATTATTATTATTTCTTTTTTTTTTTTTTTTTTACGAAATGAGAACGCTGCAGTCGCTACCCGAAAGTATGACAAGTGACTTGAGGTCAGGGGGTTTGAACCCACGAGACTTCATGGTCACAAGTTCAACTTTTACGCTGCTAACTACAGTATTATTATTATTGTTAATAAGTAGTGTGTGACTATTCATTCATTAATTCATGATTCATGTGAGGACAGGCCGCCCAGGTCGTCAGAGAGAGGCCATTCATGCCATATAGAATAAATATAAATAAATAAATATTGCGTGGGATCTATCTCTATCTATCTATCTGAGATGGATGGACTATGACAAAATTTCAAGACTACTTGGCAACAGTATGCAATAATCATATCAATAATATTATTGCACAATGAACATGTATATTATATTATTTGGAATTGATGTATAGAGAGCAAATTTAATCAATTCATTTTATTATTATTAATAATAATAATGCATGGAAAAAGTTGATTAGGACTGTCTCTGTCTGCCGAGTGTCTATTATTGATTAATTGATTGGGAAATTTAATTATAGTAACTCAACAAATATACAGTATATATATATATTTATTTATTTTTTGTCAAAACTCCAAAAGAAATATCCATATTTATTGGATGGATAGGGTATGATGAATGGTGACAACATGAATTGAACAACAGGCTGGTGCTCTACTGCTGCTGCTGGCCTTTCTGTTCATGTATAATACAATTTGTCATAATTACACATTGCCATTTGTCATGAATAAAGTTTAATTTATGCACAATGATTTATATTATCTATAATCATCATATATATATATATATGCTAAAATGCAAGAAAATACATTTCATAATTTGTGAATACAAAAATTAAACAACAAACCAAGCAAGATATTCTGATATATATATGTATATATATGTATATGTCACATTAAATTTATGTTAAATTTCAAACAATATATCCAAACAGAGTCATTGACTATGTGAGCCGCAGCAGTATCCCCCAAACTTCTTTAAGATACGAATGTACAGGCCATTTGCTAAATTACAATAGTATTTACATAACAAATTATTTTTCAAAAAATATTACATTCAAGTTCATTTAAATAAATAAATAAAACAAAAAAAAAAAAAAAAAAAAAACAAAAACCCAACTAAACACATAATTTATCATATTTTTGGGTTTAGGGCTTTCTTTGGAGTTTATTATTATATTATTTTTTTTATTATTATTGTAATAATAATGTCTACCTTTTTAGATGAATTATGGCTTCTTTTTCCTTATAATTACATGATAACAATTTTTTTTTTCTTTTCTTTTCTTTTCTTTTATAATTGAAGCAATGACATAACTAAGGATTTTGGCCATTACCAAGCTGTCTAAGCATATGCAGAAATATAATGTATAGCATACATAATTACGAAAAAATAAAATTAAAGAAATTTTCAATAATTGAATACATCACACACACATATATATATATATATATATATACATAAACATATATATATTGTATTATATTCCTCCAGCAAGGCATTAAATTAATTTGTCTGCTATGTTTCATGTAAGCACAGTAGATTGTGATGGCAACCTAATCTTCCATATAGTTGAATCTTAAGTCAAACTTCTCACTATACTAACACTTTTCATTATTATATTGTTATTGTACAATTTTACTAATATTTTGGTGTAAGTAACTAATTCCTCTTTTTTAATATATATTTTTTTTTTCTTGTCAATTTTTGCATAAGAATACTGATCAAGATTCCTTTTGTGTACAATTTTCCTGTACAAAGTGCCTTTGTATTCTGCAATGATCTTTTTCTAAAAGAATAGGCTTGCCACTGTAAAAAAATATAACTGCAGACTCATAAAGAAAAAAATAATAAATAAACTCACATCTCAATGGGCTTGTTGACTAAAATGATCCACACAGATTACAAACTTAGGAGAAAAAGAGTATGGATTTAAGTATTCACATTTCACAAGAAATACCCCCTAAAATAAGGGCAACTATCATCCAATTGAAGCCAGACAAATCATACAGTGCAATTCACACTTGATTTAAGTAAACTGTAAATACATACACACACATATATATATATCATATATGTGTTTGAAGTTGGACATATATAATGAAACAAAACCCAAGATTTATTTCAGCAGTCTGAGAGTTCTGACCAGAGAAGAGGAGCAAAGCTTTGAGGAGAGGATTACAGACACATTGAGAGAGAGAGAGAGAGAGAGAAATATATATATATATATATAAGGTGTATGTGTGTGTGGATATGAGGAAGCTGAGTGTTGGCAGGGCCCTGGATCGATTCTGTCTGGTCCCTGCTGCTGCTGCTTACACATCTTCTTGTCTCTGCAACAATGGCTTCTTATCTGGTCATGGAGAAGAAGAAGAAGCAAACCCACTCATTCCATCCCCAGTCAAGCACAGAACCCCCTCATCAATGAAGCTCAAGGATGCCATCGCTGGCCCCCCCACTCTTGCCTTCCAGCTCAAGCCCAAGGTCCCTCTCTCTCTCTCTCTTTCTCTCTCCAACATCAGCTACCTAGAATAGATCTCTTCATTGGCTGGTTCGATTGTGCAGAAAGTGGTGCTGAGAGTGTCGATGCACTGTGGTGGCTGCGCCAGGAAAGTCGAGAAGCACATCTCAAAACTAGAAGGTACGTAGTAGTGATTTCTTTTTAATTTAATTTTCACTTCCATTAATTTCTGTGGTGATTGAGATTGATTGTTGGTTACTTGATGCAAGAACTGCAGGCGTGACTTCGTACGAAGTGGACTTGGAGACGAAGATGGTGGTAGTAACAGGAGACATTGTTCCCTTCGAAGTCTTGGAAAGTGTCTCCAAAGTCAAAAATGCTGAGCTTTGGAATACTGAATGCTTGTGAATTGTGATTGATCACATTTACAAATTACAATACTCTCTCTCTCTCTCCCTCTCTCTCTCTCTCTATATATATATATATATACACATACATACATATAGAATCGCCTAATTAAGTTATTCCACACATGCACATGCATTCTGACCTTAATTTGGGGATCAAAGGCAAGCTAAAAATATGAAGATGGATTTCTTTAATTATCTGTGAAAATGGTGGGTCAGTCAAAAAGAAAAAAGTATCATACACTCTCTGTTGCATGGTGCACCTTGTGATCATCTCCATCTCTTCATTATTGGTTCAGAGGGGAAGAAGAATAAGATTAAATAAAAATATTTCTTGTTTGTTTGTGTTTGTTGCTTCTTTCTTTTTCTTTATTCTTGAATGGAAATGTTCTGATCTGATCTTTTTCTTTGTAAGTTGCAAAATTTTGCTTGGTTGGGTAATCATTATTATGACAGAATTTGTTTCACAAATATGGCAAGAATGGAAATTGCAGGAAAACCTGCCATACAGGGGTGACATTATATATATATATATGTGTGTGTTTATATATTGTGAATAGGTTAAATTTATCATGATTGTGCCATCCCTGTCGTCCAATTAGATGATATTCTATTACAGTGAAATGCCATCTGATCTGGGCTCCCATTGTGCGCATGTTCTTGGAAAGTCACATGAGTGTCCCTGTCCTAATTCGGAAATCTGTCTCTACTGTACATATATATGTATATATGTATATATATATGTAATGAAAAGACAAACTACTCATGTGCTGTTGATAAGAAGTTGGGAAACATTAATGTAGGAATCTTGAGCAAATATCATAATCCTAAGAAGCAATTAATAAGATCATCCAAACATGGCGTTGCCATTTGGAGGAGGTTCGTAGCTTCTGCATACAAGATATTAGATTGTTCAACCTACATCAAATTGCTTTTCAGAACATAGCAACGGCAACGACAACAATGACGGTAGTATACAAGTACTTAGAGTAAAGAAGTCGAACCGTTTAATCTTAGTAGATTCGTTCTAGAGAAAACAGAGCTTTGTAATTTACTATGTTGCAATTCAGCGCTTATTGAACGAGTGGCATTGTAGTATCTGGATAATTGTCGACCAGATCCAGACGGGGGCATCGTATCAGTCGCACTGCAGATACAAGAATGAGAACATATTAGAACTTTGCAATTCATGATCATACCCAAATAAATAAATCAAGATGCAAGAAGGTATGGTTGAAGCATTGTTGAAAATACTAATGTAGTAACTATGACAACAAATTTCTTAAGCAAGCGAACTATAAAATCTGCAGTTAGCAAACCACGAGAAACCGAAACAAGAACTATCACAATCAACCTAACAGAAAACTAGACATTAGAAATCCCAGATGATTGTTACCATCTCACTCCAATGGTTTAATCTTATATTCCCAAATGCATGAAAGAAAATTTTGATTCAATCATTGTCTCAACAGTAGCATCAGTTCATCTAATAATTTCCGCATATACGAAACAGCATCATAATATTACCTCTTTGGAGAGTATCGCAATAGTACTTGTGGCAATTATAATAAAATAACCAAGCAAATACAAGGAATTGCCTGAATTTCATCCTAGTTATTGGCGTTTAGCGACTGTAAGATAATGAAGGGTAAATTTCTTTATAATGACGTAGCATATCAGAGAGGCTAGGATATTGTGCTTGATACGATAACCACAGTCACAGCTGCTTCGTTACATAAAAACTCTTTGCAATTACCAAACTAAGGAATGTAGTGTACATGCAAATCTAGGATCATGTAACAAGTATTCATCATGTTGAATAATAGGCAATTATTGTAATCCAAATGTTGTGCGGGAATTTCCAAAATCCAATCCAAACTACAAATAGTTCGGGGCAGTCCATCGAAATGCCACAACTTTATTTGTTTTTCCTCTAAGTTCAAATTCACTGTAGGGACTAAACCTCTCTCAAATGAAATTAAGAGATGCTCAATGCTTGAAGAATCTAATTTTTCAGGACATCATCTCTTTTGTATATCAGCATCTATTCCTAACCAAGACTCTGGTTCCGGTAGACTCTTATCGACATGTCTCAAACATCTCAAAGTTATTTTATGTTCTTGTCTCTTACAGAGTGACTTCTGAAAGGTACTAAGGTTCCGGCTTCCTTGATAATGCTCTCAGAACAGGTTCTATGCAATATAGGAAACAAAACAAACAAAAAGAAAAACTTTTTTGGCCAATTTCGGATGATAATCTTTTATGATGAAAGGAATCCCTTCCAATTTCATGTTTTTTGTTCCAAGGAAGGAAGAACTCGAACAGCCTTTTAAGACAATCAATTGAAGTAAAGAGGTGTCAAACACCACCACACCAACAATAACCAATTCTGTCAGCTTCAGGCATTAAAATATTGCAGTTTACTGATCTCATCCCAAATTGTTTTCATGGCGGCATTAGGGACAAATAGGTGCACAGGAAGAAACACAGCTCATAAAACTTACCGGCAGGCCGTAACATAAGCAAAGATATAAACAATTAAGAAACCCTAATTCGTCGAACCTTATGAGGAAGAGCGGCTCCCCTCACAATCGGGAGACTGGGCGAAATTTTTGGCAGGGTACTTGGCAGTGACGACGCCGACCTCAAACACTAGATTCTGCCCGCTGGATCGTATTCCGGTGATCCCCCACCACTTGAAGAATGCCCTGACGTTGATCCCATCGATATCGGCGATTCGATTTTCGACAATCTTGCCGGTAATTCTCGGAGAATACGTAGCCAGGTAATTGTCAGGTGGAAGCGTCACCCGACACTTATCCCCTAGCCTAACCACGAAAAGGCCAGATGTACGGTTTAGGGCATAGGATTCAACGTTGGTGGGAAGAAGCCCGACCGGGAACCCGAACTTAATCAATTCGTCGTGCGCGCTGCTGCCGCCATTCGCGGCGGCCGCCGCGAAGGAGACGATAGACAAACAGAGGAGAAGCACAATTCGGTGCGCCGCCATGGCCATGGAGAGATGGATTAGTACAATACACTGTCGAATTACAGGATAATTTGTGTGCAGAGAAGATCAGAAGAAATATCTGGGCGGTGGGCGGGCCCGAACGAGCTATCTTCCACAGGTGCCACGTGTCCTGATCTTGGAGACGTCGATTTTGGGTGGATCCCACGACCTCGGACACCAAATAAGTAAATAATCAATTCCCAACTCCTATGACTGAATACTGATACTGATTATTTTAATTTAGGAACAGTAATTAATTATTTTTAATTTTTTTACCTGGACATACAAATTGATTGTTGAATACAGAATCAATCAGAGAACCAAAACCCTAATTAGAATCAGAACCCTCTTACAACCCGTCACGATGAAGAACCCTGGTTCCTACGCTTACAGAGCTGACAACGCAATGGAGTACGACGAAGATTTTGAGGAAGATGACGAGAATCCAGATCAGGGGTTCAATCAAAATGGATATTTCGGCAATTACGACGATTCGAAGAGGCACCCGAAGAAGCGAAAGCTGGAGTCTTTCGTCGCGAAAAACGAATTCACTTCTCGGAGGGAAATTTGGAGCGAAGAGGAGATCGCTCTGCTGTTGGACGTGTGGGGTGAGAGGTACATGGAATTGGGGAGGAGGAGTTTGAGGGCGGATGATTGGGCGGACGTGACCGAGAAAGTGGCGGAGATGAGCGGAGTTGAGAGGTCGGAGGTCGAGTGTAGGAACCAATTGGATGTTCTGAAGAACAAGTACAAGAAAGAAAGGGCCAAAATGGAGAGTGGGCAGGAGAGCAAGTGGATGTTTTTCAAGAAGATGGATGTGATGCTGAACTTGAGGGCAAGGCCCCCTGCTGGCTTGGGCTGTGGAATTGATTCAGGGGAGTACGTGTTTATGAATCCTCGGGTGTATTTGGATAGGTCTAATGTGATGGATGAGATGAGGGATAGTCCAGGGCAGTCGGACGAGGAGGACGAAGATGATGGTGATGATGGTTTGGGAGGTGAGGAGGAGGTAGATGGGGAGTCTGCTAGACTTCTAGCAGATTCGATTCAAAGGTTTGGGGAGATATATGAGAAGATTGAGGAGAATAAGAGGAATCAGATGCTGGAATTGGAGAAAATGAGGCAGGATTTTCAGAGGGACTTGGAGATGCAGAAGAAGCAGATTGTTGATCGAGCACAGGCTGAGATTGCTAAACTAAGAGACATGGATGACGAGGAGGATAACACCGATTCTTCTTCAGAGAATCTTGGGGATTGATGTTGGTAATTTCAACTCGTGGATATCGAATGTGGTATTTGTTTAATGGTCGGTGTACACCTTGAATTGGATTTTGATTTTAACCAACTGCTATTCAGATGAGATGATCCCCCATGATATTTCAGTTTAGTTTGTGCCATCTGTTGTTAAATTGGATGTTTTTGTTTATTGCTGGTAATGATTGTACGCCACGTTAAGAAATGTTTTGGGGTAGTGTAGTGTTATTTGGACTCCTAAGGCTCTCATTTGAGTGAATAAATGTGTGCTTGTCTCCTTCTAGATAGACATTTTGGCTAATGGATTTATCGAGAATCTCTGCAGGGATTGTGTTTTAATGTTCTTGGAATAGTAAGTAGTAACCTACTTTCCATATGAACATAAAAAAGATTTATTTTTGTAGCCGATTGGATTGTCTAGTTTTGGTAGTAAAGTTTACTCATCTTTTGGTTGCATTAATTGAATCGATGGAAGAAGGTAATATAAATCATAGTAACATCCTTGCATCGCGCTATTTTACAACATCTTCATCTAAATATATGCACACCTTCTGCCAATGGAATTTCTAAATTACATTGTGTGAGAAACAGGGTAGGACAGGAAGGAGGTACAGTTGATTATCTACATAAAGCAGGTAAGTCTGTTAACTATGTTTAATTGGTAATCTGTTATGTTTCAAGTCACAGTAGTTTAAATTATTTGATGTTAGAGAGGAAAGCCTCTAATTTTTCGTAGGAGTATGGATGATATTAGACCCGACTACTTGGCTTGAGCTTGAATTATTATAAGGTTGTCTATTAGAAAGCTTGAGTAAGTATAGAACACAATGCCATTTATCTAAATGTGCATAGTTGCAATTATATCTAAACAAACACAGCTGAAAATATATCAGCTTGTCACGGCAGTTAATTTTCCAATAATCGTCAAATAGATTAATTTCATTTTTGGCAAGTCATGCTCTTATTTGTCTCTATAACAGGATGAAATACATTATAGCATGTTGTTACCCAGTTAAGTAATTCTTGCTGAGACTGAACACGATTTATGTTTCATATGAAATGCTATAACACAATTCATGCTCAATATGGTTTTAGGCTTTCAGCTTACTCGTGTAGAAATTCCACAGCTGTAATTAAGCTAAATATAGAGTTAGTAAAATCCAACTGTTTACCATAATGATATTCTTGAGCTTGGTTCATGGAGGACATTGGAAATTGAGTGATTCTGCTTCTTCGGAACTTTCACTTGTATGTGTGCGTTCAGCTGTAAAATGATAGAAGATATATATGTTTGATTGATTGTGAATGAACTGTGCAAATGTGTTGCGGAAGTTTTGATGTTTGATAGATTCATGTAGAGAAGTGCAGGAATGCTTCCTAGAACTCATTCGATGCGTAAAAATCCAGGTATATATATATATATATATGTATTATCTTACAGATCCCATTTTTTTCACTGTGATAATCTGCGAGAAGCTATCCCTTTTATATAACTTTATTGCGGCTTTTAGACACAATGTATAAGCCCTATATGCATTTCTCTAACACTTATTTCTTTCTCTTCACTTAAAAAATTCTTCTGTTAGATCGATTTTCAAGATCTCTGGTTGCCCATATACTCCTTGCATTATTCTCTATGTAAGTTTTCACAGCCAGGGAGAGTCGTAGATGGCAGTCGCAACAGACTTAACCTGTAGGTATTTGTGCAGAGATTCCATCCCCAAATCCCTCCCGAAACCACTCATCTTATAGCCACCAAAGGGTAGGTCTGGGCCGAGTGAAAGGTAGCAGTTGATCCAAACTACGCCGGCCTTGATAGCCCTTGACACCGTGTTGGCTATATTCAAGTTGTTTGTCATAATTCCAGCTGCAAGTCCGTACTTGGTAGCATTTGCTCGCTTGATTGCCTCCTCTACAGTCCTGCAGTTTGAATAGTAAGTTTTCAATCCTCGTCTAAATTTACTACTGTTTCTGCGGGTGTTCTTACTTGAACTTCATGACTGACATAACCGGCCCGAATATCTCCTCTGTGGCAATCGTCATGTTGTCCTGATCAAGAGATTTGAGTTCTTTCATTACATCTATACACTCGGGTGCATTTTCGTGTTCTTCTAATACTTACTGCAACATCTGCGAAGATTGTTGGCTCGATGTAGTAACCTTTTCTGTTGCAAGACTTGCCACCTGTTAGTAATGTCGCGCCTTCCTTCTTCCCTTTCTCGATGAACCAAAGTATCCTTTCGTACTGCTTCTTGTCGACCTAAATAGAGATTGAAGGATCGATATACTGTGTAGTAGGGAGTCGAAGATGATTGAATCGAACTTTGTAAAACTCGTCATACTTGAGGCCCTTGTTGAACATTCGGATCGAAAGGATCCCCGACCACCCATGCGTTTGCCTTCGCCACCAGCTTCGCGACGAATGTATCGTATATACCTTCCTGAATAAATACCCGCGTCCCTGCCACGCACATCTCCCCCTGGATTCGAACATCTATTAGATAGATACAAAAAAATTAATTGAATTGAATGTCGAATTAAAGAAATCAAATCGTTGCCTTGTTGTACATGGCTCCATTTAGAGCAAGATCGACGATTTTATCGACGTCGACATCGTCGAAAACGATGATGGGGGAGTTGCCTCCGAGCTCCAAGCACACCTGCTTCAGGTTGCTCATGGCTGCCGCCTGCATCACCAGACGACCCACCTCGGTCGACCCTGTAAAACTGACCTTGTCGACGTCCATGTGGGAAGCGATGGTGGCGCCCGCAGTGTGGCCATATCCCGTCACGATGTTCACCACTCCGTCGGGGATGCCTGCCTGCGACGCCGACGACGACGGCTAGAATTTTCCGATGACAGAAAATAAATTAAACGGTCGGATTAATGGATTGGCGGTTATGATTACCAGCTTCGCTAAATTAGCTAAGTAGAGCGCGGAAAGAGGGGTCTGCTCGGCGGGCTTGACGACCATGGTGCAGCCGGCGGCCATGGCCGGGGCAACTTTGAAGGAGAACACATACGTCGGAAAGTTCCAGGGAATGATATGGCCGACGACGCCGATCGGTTCGCACAGAGTGTACGCCTGCGTCTCCGACGACATCTTTAATGTTGCGCCGTGGATCTTGTCGGCGGCGCCGGCAAAGTAACGGATGAGATCGGCGGCCATCGGAATATCGACGGCTAGGACGTGGCTGTAGAGCTTTCCGGCGTCGATGGTGTCCAGCGCCGCCAATTCCTCTGCATTTTCGTCGATCAAGTCTGCGAATTTCAGCATTATCGTCCTCCTCATCTGCAGGGAAAGCAATTAAGGGAATCAGAATTTAGAAATGATAATTAGTTGTGTTAAGTGAATGGGTACAGACAGAAGCAGGAAAACGTGGCCAGGGGCCATTGTCGAAAGCTTCACGGGCAGCTTTGACTGCCAAGTCGACGTCTTCCTTGTCGGCTTCAGCTATATTTGCTATTACATCTTCTGTCCTCGGATCTACTGTCTCGAATCTTTTTCCTGCAGCCATTAGCAGAAAATGAATACATAACATAGCCACGTGGCCCCATTCAGAAGATAGACATGATATGATAATACATATATAACCTGAAATGGAGTCAACAAATTGGCCATTGATGAACAGCTTCGTGAATTTGATCTCCGGAATTTGAATTTTAGCTCCATTGCCATTGCTGCTCGTCATGACTCGATGATCCAGATGATAACTCCAATCTGCTATATATTTATAGATAGATAAATGATGGTGTTCGTGTCGTGTCGATCTGTGCAGTTTGTAATGGGTGCCGAAGCCTAACTTGGAAAAGGGCCAAAAGGCTATCACTACATTCACATCTAATTAAATATATATATATATATTTAGCTTCTTAACAATTACTTTGGTGGTAGAGTGAATTAGTCAGTTATTGTAAAAGGATAGATTACTAAGGTATTCGGCCATGTAAATGAACTGTTGGAACACTTCGAAGAGGAAATCGGAGGGCTAGCTAATTATTAAAACCTAATTTTCAGGCAGCACAGCACAGGTAGGTAGGCTTTCGAGTTCTAGTTTAGTAAAGAACCTATGTATCTATGCTTATAAATCAAACGGCACTTGGTTAATCAGACTTAACCTCGTTGGGTTAATCAACCACAGTTAATAATTAAAGTATCATCACCTTCTGTAAATTAGATAGTCAATATAGTCGGACAAGAAGGGTGCATTGGATGCCATCTGGTGGACCACACCATATATTATTGCATACTTATTATGTATGTATGAGAATCAATGGACTTGCTTTGTCTTGGGCATCGATCTGCAGTAGTAGTATCACAGGTAGGTAGTCAGCCAGCCCTAGCTAGTTTATGTGCACAGTAATCAGTGCGTGTGTGTGTGTACTTGGAGGAGGTCTGGTCATCCTAGCATAGCAGTAGCAGAGATATTTCTTGTATGGGCAACTTCCATCATCACATCACATGGATTGCAGCTGATTGATGTCTCAAGATTTAGATGATGATGGTGATGATGCACTTTCTCACTCCCAAGCCCCGACAACACAGACAAAAACATTAATGGGAATTGCTCAAATCTGTTTGCTGTGTTTCCTCTTCATCTTCCAAACATCCCAACATTATAAAAACATAAACATTACATACAGAATATATATATATATATATAAGATGGGAAGATGGGGCCTTGAAGAAAGCAAGAAAATGAGCACAAGCGTGGCATTGGTGTAAGAGCCCATGGCCACGCCCCCAAAACCCAATTTTCTGATCCCAAATCAAAACAACCATGGATTATCCAAATCTTGTAATTAAAGCTAATGGCGACAGGAAAATACAACACAAATTAAAAAAATAAGTACAAGAAAATCTGGCCTGGATTTATCCAAATCTCCGGTACAAATGGCAATAAAATATAATTAAAAAGAAGTACTCACCAAGAGGGAGAAGCCCTTTCAGAATCCGACGACGACGATGAGGAAATTGAAATCAACCCGTTATTGTAATTATAATTGGAATTGGAATCGCTTCCCGTCGTGCAAATCGATCCCGCATCTCTCAGGGACACCGACGGACCCTCCGCCGGCAGCTTCTTCATCGGAGTCAGCGGCGGCGTCGCTGAGTGGCTGCCGCCCGGCGAGTCGTCGTCGTCCTCCTCTTCCAGCCGGGACGGCGACGTGCCCGGCGTTTCAAACGGGGTGTCCGCCTGCATGTAATTGCAAGCTAAATGTCAATTAATTAAATCAACAGCCGCATAAATAGAATCAAAGGTGTAATTAAGAACCTTAGGAATTTGGGTTGTTCCATTAATGAGGGTTTCGTGGAGGTCGTAGATTGGGTTGCATATGTACATGGGGTGTCCGTCGCTGCTCGTGGCGGTGCCGGCTGAGGATGGAGAACCGAGGTGTTCGACCGGGGCTGAGATGGCGGACAATGCGGGAGAACCCGCCGGTTGCTGCTTCTCCGGCGCGGCGGCGGGGAAGAGAAAGCTCCGGGGAGCCGGAAGAACACCCTGATAGTAGAAGCTGCAGAGAGACGGGGCATGGGGATGCCGAGCCGTCAGTTGTTCAGGATCGGCGGCGGAAGCAGAATTAGGACGCTTCCGATGGTTGCCACGTGTACGGAGGAAAAGGGAGCAGTAGAGCTCGGCAAGGAGAAGCAAAACGAGGGCCAGAACCAAGGCCAGGGTGACGACGATCACCATTGCAGCTCCCATCACCACCTTCGAAGACCCTCCTTTCATCTATTCTCCAGTTTCAGTATTATTAATAGTTAATACTTACGAAAATTGCGTAGAGTAGTGTAGTGTAGTGGGGGATGTGGTTCGGTTTGGCGGGAAATTAATCAGAGGGAGAGATTTGTGGGAAATGGGCAATTGGAGATCGATCTGGAATCGGGAAATGGAAATGAGTCAGTCACTCAGTAGTACTAAATACATACTGTTGAAGGAAGAAGATAAGAGAAGAAGAGGGACCTCAACAGTCGTCCATGGCTATGACCACTACTGATGTTTCCATGGTCGTCGTACCGTACGAGGTTTGTTTCACCTCACCCTTTTATTCATCCCAATGACTGGTAACATTTTATTTACATAATGAAAGTAAATAGTAAATAAAAAGAAAGATTCAGAGAGTGGTACGTTGGGTTATGCTTTACACAAAGTTGGCAGCTTTATACCGTTAATATGTTAACTAAAACCAGACAAAGTGAAAAAGCCACATATTAACTGGTCAAACGGAATCATGCTTGGGTTGATTTTTTATTTTTATTTTTTTAAAAAAAAGCAGAGAAAGTATGGTGTAGAACATGTCTCAAGTACTTATTTCACAAATGCCATAAATGCTGCTGAATCACTAAGGTTACACACAGACTTACAGCACTACAAACAATAGCAAACAATGGGGTTGGCAGTTGGCACTCAAATGCAAATCTTCACACGCACAACAATTAGTCAGTGGCTTATGTATGATGTATGTCAAGTTCAAACATACCAAGAAAGAAGACTAGGGAGAATAGGAACAAACAATTAGCCACCGGAGACAAGACAAGGTAAGGAGGCAACCTTCATTTTAGTGATTTCTCTATCTACCCCTCAGGGCAGCAAACCTGGCAGCTAGATCGTCGTAGTCGGGTAGCTTGGGATGCACATGGGGCGCCTGGTTTTCTCCCTGAAAGCTGTTGGCACGGTTATAGACCTTTTTAGGCTCCGGCGAAGCAGCAGCAGCAGTTTGCTCGGGTGGAAGAGAAACCGATCTTGTGGGTGCTGTTGCTGCCTCGTGTTTCTTATTACGGGTGTCTCTGCTTCGATCCATGGATGGCCCACTGGCTTCATCGGGAATCTTGGTAAATGGAGGTTGCTGATCTGGGACCTTTTTCCTCGACTTCCCTGGTTCATAGCTTGATGGTTTTTTGCTGTAATGAAGGAGCAGCTTGTCTATCATCCTCTCTTCATCATCTTTTCGGTGGTGGTCCTCGTTGAACAGTCCCTGCAGGCCCTTTCTGGAATGGTCCCTTCTCTTACCCGAGCTTGTATTCGCAGCACTGAGATCTTCAGGAGTGTCCTCTGTATCATAGCTTGATGATGATTTATGGTTTTTTCTTCGAAGTGATCTTGGTTTAGGCAAGGGAATTTGTTCTTCTTGATAGTCGAGATCTTCATGACGATAACCCTGTAATTTAGCAATCCGTTGGTCATGGCCATAATGACTTATTTCATTATTTGACCTGTCCGAGCTGCTAACCTTACGACTTCCACCGCTAGAGGCAGGGTCAAACAAGTGGCCATTTGAATCCAAATCACCATATCCAGAAGCTTTACTGTTTCCTTGTTCATCTTCCTTTGGTTTGCTGTAAGGAGGACGGGCAGCTTTGTCTTTCTGTTTAACATATGGTGGAGGGAGGGGACAATCAGAAAGTGTTTTTGATCTGGTTGATCCATTCTCATGATTGTTTTTAGACGAGCTTCTTCTGTTGTCATGGCCGAAAGGTTCGTCATATGGGGCCTCATTTTCAGATTTTCCCTGGTGTTCCCCAAAACTTGAAGCAAATCCTGCTCTTCCATAGAATAATTCATCCTTGTCTTCCCATTTCTTGGGATTACGGACTCCATTACTGAGTCTTGTATCTGCACCATGACCATTATCCTGCATTTTCCCATGTGAGGAATGGCTTGATATTTCTGCCTTCATTTCTCTATCACCGTTTTCAACAGGATACGAATGCTTATATTGCCTTCCATGATATGGAGCTTCATTTTCACTTTGTGAACTATTTCCTCCTCTCTTCAACAATGAGTTTTCTCTGTCCCCATTTGCATCTCTCCTTCCAGCCATGTGGTGATCTCCGTCATCTCTTCTCCTTGCATTACCCTCTCCATAGCTGCGCGCTTTGCTTTTCTCAACAAGGCCTTGTTTTTGTTTCGCCATATCGGCTTTATGGACTTCAGCCTAGCAATGTCAATTTTGGGATTGCATGCATTAGTCATGACAACACCCACAATAGCCACAATAATAATCTAAACCACAAGATTCTCGACCACCAACAAATACTTAAAAGTGCATATAATGCAAAGATCAAGTATATATATCACCATTTGTAAATATCAACAAGTCTTCAAAAAAAAAAACCTCTGTATTTTTTGTTTTTTATATAGTACCACATGTAAAGATATATGTTCTTATGGCCTGGGTCAAAACACTAGATTAAATGTTAATTTGATATAGCATTGGAATAACACCACCACACACTTCAGTTATCTGATGAAAACTAAATCGCTCTCAATTATCTACTAAGGCCATGGTTACCACATATAATTACTACTTGTGCGTTACTTAATATATAAGGTTAAATAATAACCAATAAACCCTTATTAAACATACCCTAAGCTATTGCTAAGGTTACTAGTACTAATATCGAAAAGGTAGATGGCAAGAACTCATTCATAACCAAGAAGTGTTTTGTTTCATAGAGATGTACCTGTGCAACAACTGCCGGACCAACGATCCTCTTTTCAAAGCCCTTGGAGTCCCAGTTTATCGAGAACTCTGAAGCTATATTTTGCAACACCCGGACTTTCTTTTCGGAAGTAGCAGGTCTTGATGATACTTTCTCAACAAACTAGCAATAGGCATGAAGTTTGTTGAAAGTCAATATATGTCGGTACTATTACTATAACTTCTCCATCCACTGGAATGACCGGAGAATTGAAGGTCATACCTTTTGATTAACAAAGGTTTCTAAGCCACTTCCATATCTCTCTTGAAATGTATCTCGGAGGTCACGCAGTTCAGGCAAATCAGAAAACCTTGCAGCAGCATACATTAGCGATGCAATAACCTCCTTGCATTCTTCAGGGCATTCCCTGAGAAGAAAGCAATAAAGAAGCATAAAGGTCAATATCATCCTTTCAATGCTTCAATCTCTGAGAACTGAAGTTTGGATGCAAGTAGGTTACTGTAACCTAAGTTCGCCACTGTAATGTATATCAAGTTAAATGTATTTTACTGACAAAAACCTTAATAAATTTTGGGCAGCTTCAATTTGCCCACAATGTCAATGATAAAATCTTCAACACCTAATGGAACATTTTTTTTTTTCAATCATATCAATTTTCTGGTTAATGGATGCGTTATTTAAGTGTCCGGTGAAAAAATTACACACTTAGATGACACTAACAATCATACAGGTCATGTAACCTTGCATCTCCATGCTTTTCAGAGAAAATGCCATTTACTTTGAGATTTTGTTTCATAAGTAAAGTAGCATAAATTTATTATGAGGTTTCCTTGCTGCATACACTAGAGGTTTCTGACCTGCCCTAGAAAGAGATGTCTCCAGAAAACATAATATGTTGAGCATGTCTTAAACTAAAACTTAATCACACAATTAAGAAACCTTACCGAAAGCACAAAATCTTCTAGTCAAAATATATAAAAAAACCCAAATACAAACTTCGAAGGAAATGAAATAAGCTGGATTTAGGAGTAGTGGATCATACTCTAGTTTCTGCATTGTTGAAAGCTGCTTCAAGATATACTCGCACGATTGGTCAAGATAATCGTAGCAAGACAAGATATTCATTCCAGCAATATACTCGTCAGTCTGTTAATGCAATAAAATGAAAAGCAACCATATGAGTAGAAGTTCAAGTATAAAATAAACTAATTTTAATGTCATCATTGTAACAAGCACACTAAACTAATAGCAATAACATGTACAATATAAAATCAAAATACAGTTATAAACACACTGACACTAGTCAATCATCCAGTTATAATTGATTACATCAAAATAAATAGAATGAATTCAGTTGCACTTCAATCAGCATGGCAGTCACCTCCGCATCCCCTCATCTATAAGACAAAACAGAATAAAAATCTCAAACTGATACATGGTGGATTGTGTTGGCACATTTTTTAATCCGGTTGATCTGGTTAGTGCTGCAAGGTGACAAGCTGCTGCATGAGGACTTTTCTAGGGCACAGCTTTGGTTGGAGATAGTATAAAGCAGGAGTAGTAAATGTCTGAATGATAGTTACATCACAAGGCAACTGATCTTATAAAATGAGTAAACAGTTATAGTATGAAAATGATGTTCATTAAATATTTTAAGTGTTGCTGTGTGAAATGAAAAATAATTGTTGGTCAAATCATAAGCCATAATCATTCAGTTTCATCAGAAGACTTAAAAGAGGACAAATAGAAGTCCAGCCCATTGAGCTAGAATCTCATTAAAGACAAACATATAGTTTCAAGAAGCAACAAGGTAAACTTGTTTTTGCAAAACTTGATTGTGCCAATTGGACTTTACAAGACGGCAGTTTTCTTCATGGAGTTCAGATACTTTATAAGAACAGCCTGGCAGGAAATCAATAATAATATAGATAATTAAAATAAGAACCAATGATATTAACACACCTTGTGAAAATTTACGATGGTGGGAATATAATCCTTCATCTACTTCCATAATAATTTATTTAGTTTCAGTTTGAATTAAGAAGTAGATTTCAAATTTGGTGAGCTTACACATACATGTATCAATAATTACTAATAGACTCATTTCACCTGTCCAATGTGTTTTCCATTCTTTAATCCATATCAACCATATGTCAATCAGATACAAAATCCAACAAGTAAATGACATAGTCTAACATCTGTAGCTGAAGTAACTTCTTTCCAAAACAGCCAAAGAAATACATCCAAACACATCACTATTATTCATGTTAATCGTATTACTCATAAAATATAAACAAAAACAAAAAAAACCAGTAAACCTAAACCAAGACGGCATAACATTCAATCCTAACACTTCCTTGTCGTTTGATTTCTAGGTTTTGTCATTAAATTTTCATGAGTTTGGGTAAATCTAGCAATCAATCTAAAGTTTGAAACCATTTCATGAAATTCAGAAAATTGAGGTTGTAGATAAATTAGAAAAATCGAACTCCAACTTCAGCCTCCTAAGCATAGATCTTACTTGAAACTAAATGAAGTATAAATAAACTCCCAATGCGAGACCGTCCCCCAAATTCTATCAAATCAAACTGAGAAATCGAAATCAGATTATGTGAATACCCACCCTTCCATAGGCGTTAATATCGAGCCCATTACTGAGAAGCTTGCCCAGATCCTCTTTCAGGAACCTCTGCTTCGCCTCCGCCCTCTTCCGCACCACCTCCATCCTCGCCCGAGTCGTTTTGATCAGCGACTTGCTGCTCATGCACAAAAACATCAACAACAAACAATCGCAAATGAAAATTAAAAAATTATATCAAAACACAAAGCAACAACAGCATTTGAAAGAGATCCCCCACCATTTGACGGTGAATCCACGGCCAAGGATGCCGTCAAGCATTTTGAATCTCCGATTTGTTTCCGCTTTCACGAGATTCTTAGATTCAAAAAAAGAAACAAAAAGTACGATAAACCGAACCCAACAACTTTATCGAGTAAAAGCACCGGAAATGGGAGTGGGAAGGATGGTGGGTTTCACGAACTATGGGTCCGCCATAGCCATCAAGCACAAATTAAATTTAGCTGGTGCGAGTGCGACGGAATATTATATACAAATATAGATACATATATACATACAGCGGATTTGGACGTTGCAAGGTGGCCCCAGCTGTGAACCGATTAGCTTTTTCAATTACAGTCTCTGACTCTGAGTAAGGACAACATTCAAATTCCAGTCTTTTAAGACGCTCTTATTTTCCATTTTTCAAATAAGATAAATAAATTATTATTATTATTATTATTTCTATAGTTATTGGTGTGTTTATTTATTATTATTTTTTTTTATGAATTTGAAAAAAAGTTGGTTTAAATTTAATACGAAAATAATATTTGATAAAATATTTTGTGAGACAAAGTAAAACTTGGCAAAATTTTGCTAAAGAAATGTACCTATATATGTAAAACCAATCTTAAAAGATTCGACCTCATCATCGATGCCTTTTGATTATTATATTTTAAATAAAAATATTAGTTCATCCTTCTATGAGGATATCATGTCTTTTTACTGTAAAGGATAGATATGAAAATTTATGAAAGGTATAATAAATAAATAAAAATAATTATTTTATAATAAAAATAATTAAGAGGAATAAAAATGTTTCTTAAAATTCAAATATTTTTATTTTATATAATTATTGAAAAAAATAAAAATAATTTTGTAAAAAAAAAATAAAATTACTATTTAGAACGGATAAAAATAAATTATTATTTTAGTACAAATGAAGTATATATTAAATACAGGTTGGCTAAGTGCAGGTTTATTATGGTTATTGGGTCAATTATTAAATTAAATGATAATTAATAATCCAGTTGTTTGAGTCAAATCATGGCTATTATTATTATTGTAGCGGTTGTTTAGCAATAAATTAAGGACATACTTAATTTGTAAAATTAATGGATGAGATTACGTTATATTAAGTTGTAACTTTATTATATTCAGAAAGTAAATCATTAGGATAAATCAAATGATTTGTCAACCACACTTTCAAAATAAATAAATTATAAACACTTTTCCGGAATTTTTTATTTTTTTTATTTTTTTTTCCTCTCTAAGAATAAACATATTTGATACATTATTTTTATCTACGATGTTATATTCAATCATTCTTCTATTTTTGAGATAATAAAAGCAATGAAATAATAACAAATTATTTAAATAACACACACAAGCAAACAAAATCCTAATATTTGTATAATAAAATAGTTAGATGGTCTGATGGTGAGAGAATAGACTCGTAGCTACGAGGTCAAGTTCAAATTTCTACTAGAGCTGGCAAAAATTGATTCGACACGACAACTCGATACAACCCGACACGAAATAATTGAGTTTGGATCAAATATTGCAATCCGATTATATATACGGGTTGACACGAACCCGACATGATAATAAACGAATCGAATTAGGGTTAAGTAATTTAACATGTTTAAAGTATTCAACCCGACACGAATCGACCCATTACCGACTGTAATTCCGACGCCTTCAAGTATTGCTTATCATACATTATACTCATAAATGGCAGCAGCCGGAGATTCTTACTTTACAAAAAACGACAAATTCAATTAAAAAAAAAAGAAAAACAAAAAGAAAATAAAATTGGTAAGCGACGGACCCTTAAAACTAGAATAAACTAATATTATCTAAAAAGTAAATTTTTTCTTATCCCAATACAATTATTCAATAGAGGTTGTAGCATAGGCTCTAACAATATAGTGATTAATAATACATAGCAAAACTTTACAAATTAAGATGGATTCAATTTATTTATTCATATGGAACATTTGATTTTGAATTGAACTATAATTTTATTTATTTGACTATCTTTGCACTCCCAATATTCATTAGCAAATTAATTAGCTGTGACACACCAACGTGTATATATATATATATATATATCTTTTTGGCTGTCCCAATTGTATGTCCCCAAATCAAATTGATATATATCCATAACATATTATAAATAAAATATAAAAATATAAATGTATGTGTATATATAGAAACACGCGGAGGATTATGCTAAGCTAGGCAGTAAGGATGATGAGGAGGTGAGGTGATGATGCATACGAGGAACACGTGCAGTGCACGTGGGTTGGTGGGGAGACTTAAGCTGAATGAATTGCTGGGACAAAGCAAAGTGTCGACGACGACATAACAATCAAAGACGCTGCTGCTTCTTCTCAATTTCATCGCCCATTTTGACTTGTTGTCCGACCCGAACCGACCCGACTATGTTTTATTCTGAAAATAATTTTGAATATAAAACAAAATCAGATTTTGAAAATAATACATCCTACTTATTAGCTTTGATACCATATTAAAAATTATTGGTTGACTTCGTTTGTAAATAAATAAATTATGCATATTCTTAGGACTTAAAAATTACTGGTTGACTTCGTTTGTCAATTTTTTTTTTCAACAGAAATCATCAAAAACCGGTTTAGATGAAATTAATTTATTACTCCATCCGTCCCACATAATTTGTCTTTATTTTTTATTTTCGTCCGTCCGACATAACTTGTCATTTCTATTTTAAAAATATAATTATGCATTTTAATCGCATTTTAAATTTTATAATTTTCTTAATTTTAATTAAACTATTTACTTATCTTAATCTTAATCTATAATTATTTTTACTAAATAATAATTATTTTTACTAATACATTTCTTAATTACTTATTAATTATACTTTACCTAAATTCATGTGTCTACGGTAATACACCCATATTAGATGGGACGGAGGAGAGTATTATTATTATTATTATTATTATTATTATTATTATTTGCTGAATTGTTTTTATTTATTTATTTATTAAAAAAAAAAAAGAAAGAAAAGAGAGAGTCTAATCGAAACAACCTCATTACTTGCAAGCTTGAATAATTAATTAAATAGTTTGTTAGTTAGTTGCAGGAGGCGTTTTGGCAACGGTCATTTCCCACGTCATTCATGTCGCTTCCCCATTCATATAATACATAGTGGTGTGATGTGACACGTGTCCTGTACGTCGTGACACGACGACTCCAACCTTACGTCGTGTCTACAGACTCGTATGGTACGATACATACATATATTCAATAATTCAAAGAATGCTAGGACATATCCTTAAAATGTACATTTTAGATAATGTGATTGCTACTTTGTTGGATTAGCAAATATAGAATATTCATATTATCATCCAAATTTATGTCTTTTTTTTTTTTTTTATCATTTAAAAGAATTATTATTATTATTATTATTATTTAATTTATGCTCTATCAAATAGATATAATTTAATATGACGGAGGGAATAGTAATTTTTTTTATATTTTATTTTAAAAGATTAATAAAATTATATTTTTATATTAGCTCTAATTCTATACATCAATTTTATTATTATTAATAGTTTAAATACAAAGTATATATATATTTTTAGTGAACATAAACTATTACAAATATGCTTAAATTTATAGATATTTATATCAATATCATTTTATAAAAATATTTTAATTTTTATCTAAATTATACATACTAATTATATACGTAAAATTTGTAAAAATATCAAAACATCTTAAATACTTTTAATAAATAATAAAATACTATATTTTTAAATTTATTGCAAAACTTAAAAAAAAAAAAAAAATATTTTGGAGTTAATTTGAAAGAGTATTTAAAATTAAGTAAAGTGAAAGCAAACCCAAAGACAGACGCTTAAATGGGTTTCCATTAATCTTAATGGGCTAAGGCTTCGTACATGTTAATTGGGCCTATATGTCACAACCCAATAATAATACTTATTTTCTTTTTTGATTGTTTATAAATAATTTATCAAACAATTTTATTTACTTATCTATGCTCTAATCCAGAGATATAAGAGAGTTTGAACTCATGTCCACTCCACACTAAATGACAAATATCTTTGCAAGATTGAAAAGTCGTGTTAAGTTTCAATTTAAAATTTGAGGTTAATTTTAAGATGTAAGATTTATTTTTATTAGTTAATTCTCAAACCTATAATCTATGATCTTACGGGACATAAAAACCCAATTCATTGCCATACTCTTTTTATTCCGATTTATTTGGTAGTTTTTAGTCTTGATAAGATCTTTTAGGTAATATATACTTTTGATATTTTTTAAAATAATTTTTCTGTCACCTAAATTATTTTTTTTTTATAATTTATTTAAAAGGACTAAAGAGTTTAAAAAAAAAAAAAAATGCAAAAGTTATGCTACATTCTAAATTTTAACATTAACAACGAAAAAAAAAAAGGGGACGAATGAAGTAGGTTCATGTGTTTGCATGAAAAAGAATATGTGATATGATATTAATATAGTGTGTGTAAAGGTGAAAAGGATCAAGCCATGAAAGCTACCAAATATGAACGACCTTCCATTGCTAATAACTACTACACTTCGACCCCGACCCGATGCTACCGTGGTTCCATTATTGAGATGCTGAGTTCATTGCCGGAGCTCTCCGTCGGCTTGCTCGACCACGACTCCGCCCCATGCAAAACATTCCTCTCTGTGAAAAAACCCGGCTCTTTCGGGCTCGGCAACGGCCCTCCGCTCCCGAGCATCAGAACCACGTTCGACATGCTCGGCCGCTCTTCCGGTGACTTTTGAGTGCACAATAGCCCCGTGTGGATCGATCTCATTATCTCCGACAATTGGCTCGACTCCGTGCTCAAACACGGATCGATCAAATCCAACGGCCGGCCTTCGTTGTGCAATATCCACGCCTACACGATACAAAATACGATACGATACGATACGATACAATACACTCGGTTCATGAATGAGGGCGAAAGAGCACTTACATGACCGACGAGATTATGATGGTGATCGGCGTGGAAGAATCCTCGGTTTCTCATCCCGGCGACAATCTCCAAAACCAAAACTCCAAAGCTGAACACATCTGACTTCACCGAGAAGTGGCCGTCGACTGCATATTCCGGCGACATGTAGCCACTGCGCGAAAAGGTTAAACGTCGTAAACGCGTACGATCGATTTTTTTTGCTGGACAGATACTGGATTATGCATGATTCTCTTACTATGTACCGACGACTCTTCTCGTGTTGGCCTCGCTCTCGTTCCCTCCAAAGCTTCTCGCCATGCCGAAGTCCGAGATTTTCGGGTTCATCACATCGTCGAGCAGAATATTGCTCGGTTTTAGGTCTCTGTGGATGATTCTCAGCCTGGAGTCCTGATGAAGATACAGTAACCCCCGAGCAATGCCGTTGATGATTCGAAATCGGATAGGCCAATCGAGCGATTTCCTCTGGCTTTCATCTGCCGAGTTTTCGCAATTTTAGTACTTATCCGATCTAAAAATGTTTCGATAACTTAGACAAAACTAACCGAATATGAAAGTGTCCAAGCTGTTATTCGGCATGTACTCGTAGATCAGCATCTTCTCCCCGTCTTCGATGCAGCATCCAAGGAGCTTAACGAGGTTTCGATGCTGTAACTTGGCGATCAAGATCACTTCATTCTTGAACTCATCTAGCCCTTGCGTCGATTGCTTCGATAGCCTCTTGACAGCGATCTCCCGCCCTCGCAGCATGCCCTAAACGCATCGAGCAAAAAAATGAGACGCCCCAACAAAACATCGATGATCATACGATGGATTGATATGGTCAAACCTTGTAAACAGGCCCGAATCCGCCTTCTCCAATCTTGTTCTGCGATGAAAAGTGATCGGTAGCCTCGAGAACAGAGGATAACTCAATCTGTGGCAGCTCCATATCTTCTTTCTCGCCTTCGTCGCCGCGCGGATGCCCTGAATTGCTCCCTGACGTTCCTGGAACACGCTCAAATCATTACATTCAATGGTGTAAAACACGAACATTTTGCGCCTATTACGCGGCAGCCATGGAAATGCTGTATCTTTTACCTTCCTGAGTTACCTCTTGTGGCCCTTGTACCATCTTCGTCTTCGCGCGCCTTTTTTTCCACATGAACAACGCCACGACAAGGCCGGAGACAAAAATCACGCCGAGCAACGATAGACACACTCGTAGCACCGTCATTCTTCGCCCCGACGACGCTGCAAGATTCAGAGAAGTTAGTTAACCTCACGAAGATCATCTAATTCACTCGAATTCGAGGCACACCTAGCTCGGACGAAGCCAATCTTACGTAGATATCCTGTCCGTTCTCCCCGAAACTTCTCATATCCATAAGATCCTCGAACCAGAGCAGACAGCCGCTCCCCTTCCCTCGAATGTCCAAATTCGAATACGCCGTGCAATTGCAGTTTCTTGCGCACATTTCCCTGCATTCCTTAAGATCTATATTCTTGTTGTACCAAGAGTTCCTCGTGTCAGGAAGCTTCACGCCGGTGTACTTAACGAAACCGTCGCTCTTGCAATTCAGCGGCGCTTTCCGGACGCAGCCGCTCGACCAGTCTGCGGCGGCCCAATCGCTCGGGTCCTTTGGCTTGAACCTTTCCAAGCAACTGCAGACGGGATTCTTACCTATGTCGCAGATGCCGTTGCCGTGGCAGAGGCCGTAGTAGTCGCAATTATCGGCCGGGGCGTTGATCAGAGTAGTCCATTCCTGCTGCTTGTAGTTCCAAGTGAAGCGCCGCAGAATGCCGATGGGACTCAGAACCAGGCGGGAGAAAACTGATGCATTCACGAGGTTGAAAATGTAGTAAACCTCGTCCTGATCGAACTTGAAGTCGAAGGTGTAGATTGGATTAGGCTTCAGCCCCGACGCGCCGCTGAACCTCTCGCCGTTCCAGGGCCCTGACCGGAATATTTCGGCGCCGCCGCCGCCTGTCAGGAAGAGCTGAGGGAAGCCGTGAGAGTCCATTAGGAAAGAGTAGCTCCCGGCGGCGGGGTCGCCGGTGGATTTCCACGACGTCAGGACTCTGTCGAGTCCCGCCGGAAAATTCTTCCCCATTTTCATCCCCGGCAGGGCGGTGTCGGAGGGGTAATCGAAGCTCTGCCAGATGTAGTCGCCATTGGAATCTTTGACCACCAGGTTGCCTGATTCGAGAAGCGCCGCCGCCGGAACTCCGGCGGCGGCCCTGGCGATGCTGGAAGACCAGACGGAGGTGCCGTTTGTGGAATTGAGGAGTTGGAGATTTCCATGGGGGGAAAGCTGGAGAGCGCCGGAAGTGGTGTCGAGCGGGGAATCCCTGTTGGCGACCCAGACGACGGTGCCGGAGGAAATGATGCTGTACCATATGCCGAAGAAGCGTTTCTGGGAGCCGGCGGGGCTGAAGAAACCCATCTGGAAAGTCCTGCCGGGGGATGAGATGAAGCTGCCATCGTCGAGGAGGAGAGTGTTCTGAGAATGGGAGAGCAGCAGAAGTGATGAGCAGGTGAGGAAGAAGTAGAGGGCAGGAGAAGGAGCCATATATTTGGTTCGATATTTTTCCATGGCAGTCGTCGTGTCCGTTGTGTCTGTAACTGTATGTAATGATCATCCGCAGTTTGACTGGATCGATCCCTTCTTTCCTTCCTCGCCGGCAAAGCAGATGTGGCCTGGAATTGTCTGAAAATGATTTGGGGACCAATTTGTTTTTTTTTCTTTTTTATTTGATTGGGACAATCTTTCGTTGTCAGAGACGGAAGCTTTGAAACGCTGTTTATGGTTCTCTTCCCCCTTCTTTCTTGTTTCTAGAATTTATGTATTTTTTTTAAATCTTTGGAGGAGACTATGGCACTTTGTTCCATTTAAAAATGTCAATTTGATCAAGAAATGAAGCTGAATTTTGGCTTGCCCTCTGAAATTTCTTTCTTTTTTTTTTGTTAGTTATATATTGTATATAGCGTAATTGAACCCATATGAACGCTCAGATATTTGTTATTATAATTATTATTATTTAATTTTTTATAAACATATGCAGAACCAAAGGGATAAATATAAACCACCTTCTCAATTATAAATGTAAAAGGTAGTTATTGTTTGAAAGCTAAGAAAAAAGCTTTGCCACTTAAGATGGTTTCTTAATTTGCAACATTTTAAAATTTGTTGCTTTTATATACCCCTCTACTTGTCCCCTCAAATGTATAAAAGGTTTAAGGTGGGCATCGATTGATGACAAATACTTCTATTCACATTTATACATAGGAATCAAGAATCCAAACAAATACATAACTATTTCGGTGAAATATGAAAGCAAAATGTCATTCCACCATCTTTCTTTGCACAGTTTTCTTTATATATCTATCTACATTTTTATCTTCAGCGTAAATTTACTTTTGTTATTAAGTTTACCAATTATTCCTCAATCAAAATAATATGCACCAATATTAGGCATTATGTAATGAAAATAAACGAGTAACATAAACCACGTGAGTAAAAGTCTAGTTTTAGCCATACAATTAATGAATTAAATTATTATACGAAGAGTTGGATCATGCGAGTTGTGATGCAGACTTTATAAAATAATTTCAGTTTTAAACAATATAAAAAATCTAATAAATTGATGAATCATTACAAATAATGCTGAATTATATGAATCATAAAAACAGAGCAGAATTACTGAACAGACACACGAATAAATAAATAATATTGACTAATATATAAATCTAAAACATGCTGAGCAACTTCAGCAAAAGATTCGAATCATAAATCACCTCATAAGTATATAAATGAACATGTAATAAATTCAATAAACTGAAATAGGGAGACAATCTTCTTGAACTGAATAAGTACACGTGCAAAGCTAATGGAATCACTGTTTTGTTGCAGCACAAAGTTGGCATCTAGAGACAAATAATGTTTTAAAGATACACACAATAGGATACCCATCAAAATCCAAAGGTTGTTTAAAGAATACCCTTCTCCCTTGAAGAGAAAATTTAGCAAAAGAAATCTCAATGCCCCAAAGTATGTAAGACCTCGACGTTGATTTGTCTATATACAAAAATATACACAGAGGGGTGGACAAACCAGAAAAATATTCATAGAGCTCTGTATGACAACTAATGCAACTAAAAATGAATAAAAGGTTAGATAAAGAAACCTCATTCAAATCAAGGCCGAAATATTCTCATGGTTTTCGATACTTGGATGCGACAGAACGGGCACCTTGAAACTGCAGAAGAGCATCTCCTACACAGTACATGACCGCATGGAATTAATGTCACATCCACTTCATTGTTCAAGCACACTCGGCATGACCAGGCTGCTTTTGCAGTCTCAGCTTCTTTGGCTGCCGACTCACTCTTTTCCTGCTTGTGGCATTCCAACATAATCAAAAGAATTTCTTTGCATCTATTGCTTAAATTGATTTATCTACAATGTTCTATCATGCATACCAACAAAACATTCGTACTTTGTATACCAACATAATGTTCTATCAGGCATATCAACATAGCATTTGGACTTCCTCTCATTGAGTGTATTTTTAACATATCGTCTAGCAAGGTTTTGCAGACAGAAATGCATAAATTATGTACATCAACATAAGAAAATTTTGCTTCTGAACCGCCGGAGAAATGCTAATAAATATATGTGTTGCCCGCCAAAGGTTAAATAGATCAACTGTAACTTTTGTGCTTGCCATCTTTCAGAGTAGATTAGTGTTCAAAATTATAATACTATTCACTGGCCATTGTATATTTGTAGCATGCACAACAATTATCTAACATTCACACACATCACAAGGCACATTAAAGAATGATGAAACAAACAAAAAAAAGACCTGTTCCAGTAATAGTGCTGCCTGAGATTCCTTCAGTTGTTCTTGCATAGTTAATGTGTTCTGCAATAGTGACTGTTTCTCCACATCAAGATTAACTCCGGCTGTTGCAAGCATTTCATGAACTGCTTGGACCAGTTCTGCAGCTGACACTCTGCCATGCTGAAGGTCTTGTACTGGCTGCGGCTGCCCAGAGGCACTTAAAAGGTCAGAAATGGAACTGTGAAGAAATAAACAAAGCAAACATGATGCACCTTGAGATGTATGATTCAAAGAAGATATCCTTCTTCATGACACATTCACAAAGTTTGATAGGTTCTATGAGGTCATAAATCCATTGCCTTTAGGTGAATCAAGATAGGCAGGATCGGAAACAGACTTAAGGGGCCCACGGGAAATTTTGGTGGGGAGAAGGCATTTCCATGTTTTTGGCGACTAACCTAGGGTAGAGTGCTAGGATATACCATGTCCCAAACTTGAACCTCAAACAAAAGAATTTCTGCCACTTTACATTATAGAAGGTCCATATCAACCTATGCCAAATAGCACATTAATTATGAAGAAGCACTGTGACAAGGAAATTTTTCATGTTAGTTTACTACCAACCTATGCCGGCTATGTAAATTTTGACCTGTGAGCTCCTAAAAATAAGCTGAATTTCTAATATTGTATTCAGAAACCTTTCAAAAAATAAAGTATTCTGTGAAGGTGGAAACTGGGACTTTATTGTTGACCAAAGGTACACTATAAAAGTTGCCCACATATGCAAACACAGTCCACAGCAATGACTTAAGTTAAACTCATAAGAGATCACGATTTTCATGTTGCATTGAGTTTTAAGTATTAATATAAATTTACTGTATAGAAAGATGTTACAATGCTTACATCTGCCTAAGGCGAATAGAGAACAAGTTCACAGTATAAGTACCTGAAAGTGCCTTGGCCTGACTTCTCCAGAAGTTTCTGGTCTTGTGCTTTCATTAACTGTATTATATCCTTCTAGATTGGTATCTGATGATTCAGCACTGCCATATGAAATATTTTTATATGAGAAAACATTTGAAGAGAGAATAGGTTCAGTGACCCCTGGTGAGGTTTCCAACATGAATCTGTATAATGCTTGTCCTGCGGATGGCTTGACATTTTCAGGAACCCTTCCATATTTCAACCTTTCTCCATTTGAAGACCTCCAAGCCACTATCTCCCCTTTGTAGAATGGTCTCAAAGGGTGGAATTGAACCCGGATAGCATCTTGGGGCATTATCTCTTTTCCTAGCAAAGAGTCTATTCCACATGCGAACTCTCGGTCACTTTTGTGAGAGCAAAGCTTCAGGGAATCAAGGAGCGCAGGCTCAGTGCTTTCGGGGCAAAGCAGGAAAGATTCAATTGGCAGCGAGATTGGTGAATCTAGAATGTGGCTTACAACAGCTGCAATTACATTGGCAACTGCTATATACTTTGGAGGTTCAGCAACCAAGATGCAAGTTTTGGACTGATCTATGAAGTACAGTGCCCTGTGTTTTGATACGTCTTCCCATTCTGGGAGAATGGTGTTCTTAGCCACGAGAGTAATGTTCACTGACTTTGGAAGCAAGAGGAAATGAGTGTATAAGCATTGAACAAACTTCAATCTTTCTGCAACAGATTCCAAAGACTTTCGGACCTTCTCCAGATCTGCAAAACCCAATCCTGAACTCGCCCTAGCAACACTATTTAGTACTTTCCATACTGCAACTTGAAATGATTCGCTCAATAATTTTTGTCTGATTGCAGTAAGTGAAACAGTACCAAGACATTCCAAATTGCATAAATCTTCGCTGTGGTCCAGCTCCTACAAAGGTAAACAGATAATATCACAACAGGAAACCAACACAAGATCAAGTTAGTCGCATAGGAAATCATAAAAACTACCAGCCTGTTGCCTACCTCTTTGACAACTGCAGAGAGCTTTGAGATGCCAAGGATCTCACACACTCTCTCTGGAAGATCTTGGTGAACAAACCTTAGCCTAGAAGTATCAATATGTTTGACGTAGTGTGAGCCAAGAGAATCCACATATACACATGTTCTAGCATGGACAAGCCTGCAGCCATCATCAGGAACAATTACTTCGGAATCCCAGTTGGAGATCCCTGAGCTGTCCTTATCATCACATATGAAACGCAAAATTTCAACAGCAGCACGGAATTCATTAGGATTTAGGCGCTGGTAACCACAAACTTTTTGAAGATCCGAAAGAAGATTTCTTGCAGAAGCGATAGATAGTGAATCCTTAAGGCCCAAGTCTCTGAGAATATTTACAAAAGGGAGATAAATGGAAGGGAGTTCAAATGCAAATGGGGACAAATTTATCTCCAAGCGTGCAAAAAGAGAGCTTGCGGTCACCAAACGAGTACCATTGGCCGCTGGAAGGAAGGCAACTTGCTTCAGCTTTGCAATATCTGTCAATCCAATGCCTTTTATTAGATCTTGATTACAAGGAAGAACACAAAGAATTAAGAAAAAATAAATAAATTCACATACTTGGGATAAAACAGATCATCTATCTTAGCAGCTTGCATTACCACTTCACAGGAAGTGTAATAAATCATGCTGGTAAGCCATTATACTTCAACAAAGAAGCTACATATATTACAATGTTTTGCAACATAATTCACCATTCCATCTGAGCAGAATATGATTTGGTCAAGACATAACCAACTAGGGGCTTACCAATACAACATAAATAGTTCTCTCTCTCTCTCTCTCTCTCTCTCTCTATATATATATATATATATATATATATACACATATATCCATTTTTCTTGGAGAGAAGATTAACTTTACTTATATTAAAATTATGGTGTAAATAGAGAGAACCAAACTAGGGGGAGGTTTGGGGGGGGGGGGGGGGGGGGTGTTAGCCTATATCTAATTACAACCATACCGAAATATAGGCGTGTCCTACATTTTGCAAAGTGGTATGTGATCCCATTACTGGATCTGGGATGTGCTCAAAGGAGATGAGAGGGGCATCTCGAGACAAGTTAGTTTATTAATCTCTGAGTTTAGGTGGAGCCTCATGAATCCAACAATAAAAAATTCTGAGTTTAGCTACTCTGAGTTTATTATAGTTCTGTCGATATTGTTAGCCGAATCATAAATGATAATCTACCAATGTGGGAGGTGGCTTTGACGATTATATTAGACAATATTCACCACAATCACTCTCACTAACTCAAGGAAAATATCTATCCTTATCTATTAATGAACAAGTAATGCAATATATGTTGTTGTTTTTTTTCTTTTTTTTTTTTGAATACTAATTTTCTCAAAGATAATAATTGACATATTTCAGTTTTACTCAATAAATGTGCAAGTTAATATATTAACCATAATGTAATATTAGATAATTATTATAATTCCATAAGATTATGACAATTAGCATACATGTTGTCGACAAAAATTTTCTTGGACATGCATCATTTGCAAAATAATTTTGAATATATTTAAAGAAATTATAATTAACAGAAGAGAATACAGCACTCCAGAAATAATACTTAAATCAGACAAATTTCCTACTGACGAATGATTAGCCTCTGTTAACTGTTTCAGCCAAAAAATTTAAAAGTCGGATACAAGATAATATATTAATATGATTAAAGTAATAAACTAAATAGGTATAAAAAAATATGTAAATACTTTTAAGGTTGTGGACTGTATGCGCTGTAAATTCAGTATGTATCCTTTAACAAACATGTAAGTTGTTAGAACCCTTTCAATGCTACAAGAATTCCGCATATGAGAGATTTAAAAAACGCACAGCAACACACACACAACAATCAATTTTAATTAGATATCAGAAGCCATAATAAAAACATGAAAACAAAAGGAAACAAAAGTCTATTTAGGCATATACAAAGATTTGTTGACGTGACAAGTGTCCACGATTTTAAGTATGAATATTCCCCTGAAAGAAATGACATGAAACTAATAATACCTGAGGAAGACAAAGAACCCCAGATTTTGCCCAGATACTTCAACACCTCGAGGGCAGCTTCATCAATTGTTTTGACACCTGAATCAGCAGGCCAATGAGCAAGAGTGTCCTCCCCACCATTTTTTCCAATAACCTGGGAGTATCATGCACGCCATTAACTTCGGTCAATAACAAGCTGCAGTTGAACCTCAAACATAAAGTTCTCTTAAAAAAGAAAAAACACTATTGTGATATAGTGTACCTGAAGGTGCTTAAGCACAGTAGAAAAAGGAGGAGGACTTGATAAATGTAGCGGCCCCCAAGCATACTCAGGGGGTACAACACTTTGTATTGAAAGAATTGGTGAACAACTCCAAGAAAGAGTCCAATCCTTCATCACTACAGCTTCAGAGTAGGAACAAAGAACTCTCTTCCCACTTCTTCTGCCAACTATATTTGGAAAGCCCTTTTCACCTGGAACACAAGCAATCTTTCCAAGGCGGTTGCAGAAGTTGTTTCCATACAGCACAGCAAAATTAGAAAATATTGTTTTGATCAAAGTTTCTGCCAATGCCCAGACATCAAAAGACACTTCATTCTCCAAGTTCCAAACATTAAATTCATCAAAAACTTCTGCGTGCTTTGGAGATTCACCTCCAAGTTGCTCCACTCTCATAGCACATTCTAGAATAACATCTGCTTCATTTGAAGTTCGGATACCAGTTTTCCGCAAAATCTGAAGCCATCCATCAGAAATGAATCTTTCTCCAGGGAATTTATTCTTCACTCCAGAAAAGACAGATGTCAATAATGTATCACCTGGATCAAATAAATCTATGGGTTTACACAGGTGTTCTGACAGTTCATCCGCTGTTCTCACAAATTTTGTATCTTTAAGCACCTCAATTACAGAGGAATCTAACTGAAGATCATTCCAATTTGTGTAAATGTATATCAAGATATCCTCCTGCTCAAGCTGAGGTTTTTGCTCAAACCCAGGTAATCCAAACTTTATAAGGATCTGCTGATCCTGCAATTCAGGAATGCCTAGGGCTCGAAGTAAACGACTTCCAGTTGAACTGGTTGAGTGAGAAAGGCACTGATCACCAGATGGCTTAAGAAATGTGTTTGATGAGATCATACAAATATCCCGGCCTCCCAATTGAGTATACGTGCCTGAAACTGTCCTATAAATAGGAAGTTCACGTATCACTTCAAGCTCTTCCCTTCCATAACCAGTGCCACATGAAGAGAAATCAGAAGCCAATAAATTGAAGAGTTCATCTCGATCAGAATCAGATAAGGACACTGGTTGAGGTAAATATCCAGCTTGTTTAGATGCTACAAGCTTGGATGCAATAACAAGACCCAAAGACTGCCCATCAACTGGTAAACACTTCGATGAAGAAGCACAATCTAAGTAATTGGCGTCAAATATTGGAACACTGCATTTATTAAGCAATGGGAACAACCAAGGATATTTTTCTTCTATAGCCTTGAAAGACAACAAGAATGGTTGAAGCTCAGAAGACTCTGAACTTAGATCAGAGTGACTAACTTCACATGTACCAACAGTGTCATAAGAGTTCAAAATACTGATGGTCGGAGGAAAAAAGACAAGATGCCGTTCTTTCACACGGCACAAGATTGGACGACCAAGAAAGGCAGGAATAAGAGGCCAATCAGAAAACAGAGAGATGTCATCTGATGAGTCTCGAAAAATCTTCCAGAAGAGTTTAATCCACTCAGGAGAAGGGCCCGCTTCACTTCCAGAACTAGCAGTTCTTTCCCATGAAAACCAGGGAGCAGTTTTTGAGTAAATTACATGATTTGCCCAATTATCATCGAAAACGGATTTCATGTGGGAGGCAAGCAAGCGAAGAGAAAAAGGTTGGAGTTTCAAGAATGATTGAATGGAGCGATTAGAGAAAATATTTCGCAGGACAGGTCTCTCTAGCACTCCTGGATGGATGAACTTCCCTGCAAAAGAAGTGATCAGACATTGTTCATCTTTGTTTGCAACCCAAATTTCAGTAAACCCCAACTTGCTCAGACTAGATTTTGCAGTTGGACAGGGTAAGCCTTTCATTTCAGATGAGATATTCAAAAACTTCTGATCCTCAATTGTATTGATGCCATAGGAACCATAACTAGTACTCCCAGTCAAAGACAAGGAACCTCCTGTCCTGCCCATATCTTCAACAACACCACGGCCCAAATCAAATAAGGCCTTTCCTAAACTTGTCATCATTTCAATAGCATCTCCTCCAGAATTGACCGAAGGATAAGCAATGCCACGCCTTCGGGAAATTATGCCTGGTGCAACAAAGGAATGACTATCTTCTTCTTCGGTCATCGAACCGACATCAGAATTATTCAAGTTCCTTGATGTCTGAAGTTCACTTGATCCAGATGACTCAAGAAGCTGGATATCAGATAAGCAGTATTCGAGAACATCTATATAGGTATCTATTGGCCAACTACCACCAGCAGGTGAAGAGCCACGAAGAAGGTCCCGTACCATCTTTGGTTTGATATTTCTGACTGCAATGCCTACAGCTTGAATTTCAGTGACCAGCTCCCAAGGGATTGAAAATACAGGATAATGTTCCTTGACAAAAGCACAAACAGATGCAGGTAAGAGGTTGTCCCCTACTCCAATTCCAGGTTGTGAGAGAAACATACCATCGGCAGCTTTAACTAAATTTCCAGAAGACAGCTGCCAAACAGGTAGCTCAACAAGACGAACATAAAAAGGCCTAATAACGTGTTCAATTAAGCATTCCCAGTCTGCTTGAGGTATCATGGTAGTTGATTCTCTGTCAATAGATTGTTTAGCCTGGAAGTTTCCTGTTGACCTGGGCCAAAATGAATATATTTCATCCCCATACGAATTCAGAATTAAACTAACTGAATAGCCTAATTTAGGAGGCTCAAGAGCTGAAGTTAATGGGTCTTTCCGTAATTTTTGCATATCAAGTATCAGTCTAACATAGGAATCACAAACACAAGACATCAGTTCTTTGTTCCAAGCTTCAATCAACTGACTTCCAGCATCAGACTGCACCTCCAATGCACCTTTGGTATCTTGGCATCCAAAAAGGTAACGACCCCGATTATGACGGACAAGGAAAGCTCCTACTACAGTTACTGGTATGTATATACTGCTTGATAGAGGAAGAGGACACATTATGGTGTTTACAGGATTATTTTTGACAGGATGACCATTCCGTGATATATGTGCAGCAACTCCAGCAACAGGTGTGAGGTTGTATGCAAGATACCGCCTGCATAACCAAAATAATGTCAGCTAGAAAACATCAACATTCTGTAAGATAACTCATGGTGAGGTCTTTGAGGAATGTCTACATGCATTTAAGATATCAACTGGTTACTGGCTCATGATACCACCTTTAACTTCACACTCACGGTTCAGGTATTGAATGATGTCTTAGAAGTTTTTTGATTTAATTGTATATATTAACCTATATCTATGATCTATACTCCTCATCTAAGTCTTTTTTATCTAAAATAATAAATAAATGCTTTCACATATCCAGACATGTAATTTCTAGCAGTTCTCTGTAGTTACTCCAAAAATTTTATAAGATATCCTCTCCATGAATATACTGAGATGAAAACAGAAATGATTGGTCTTGCTTATTGGCTTGACCATTGAATTGAGTGCGTGGTAAATGCTTTTGCCCCCTCCCTCCGGACTGAAGTGAGCCGAGGAGCCAAGTTTAGTGCTAGCGCTACAATTTGGGTGCCAGCACGTAGCTATTTTAAAGCTTGTTAGACAAAATGAAACTACAGAGACACAAGTGTGTGTGCTATGACATTTCAGATTAAGTGAACATCCTTTCTTCAACAGCCAGACAACTAAGATGCAAGTTGCCTTCCCTGTTATGTTTTGTTTGGTGACTGTTAAGTTGTATTGGTGCAGTCTTCTGGTAATACTCAGAGTTTCTCTTAGTAGGGCTGCCTATGTTCTTTTCTTTGTTTCTATCCTGGATCTGTAACCTCTCTTTCCTACTCTATATATACTATATTCTTCAAAAAAGAAGGGATTCAAGTTGCTATAAGAGCGCTAGGAACTTAGTTCATCTGCCAATTACACAGTTCCCTTTGACAGCATGTCTTTTCTGACTATTAATACATGATGGACTACTTGACACTGATTCACCCACTGTGGTGTGGCCATTCACCATTCAAAACATCAACTTCATGATGACCAAATCAAAGATACACACAGGAATCCAAAACTAAATGGACTATGTGATAGAAATAAAACCAACCAATCACGTAATGTTAATTGTTAAATATAAATAAGAATGAATCTTGCAGCAACGAAATGGCTAAACTATGCTAAAACAGCATCCATCTTTCCTTAGAGCAAAATTTCCGAGACAAAAATTCATGCAAAAGGTAGAGAGTACTTAAAATTGAAATTGTCATGTGACTCATGTCCCACCTATTAATGGGTTTTTTGTGATAAATTTCAAACAGATGAATAAAAAAATTGTCAATGGTTCAGCAGGCAGCTAAAAACCATTCCTACACATGCGAAGAAGCCATGAATCATGATCAATGTCAGATTCTTCCAACTTCCATTATAGTGTCAGAAAGATGTAGGAAAAAATAGTAAAGCAAACAATCACAGGTGATAGCATTCAGTCTCATCTCACAATGTACCTGTCTAGTGCCATATTTCTGGTTTGACCAGAACCCATGCTGAGCACAAGAAGCCATCGATCCACAATTCGAGCTCCCCCCTGAACCATGTTCAAATCCAGCACCTGCAATTTGATTGCAGCAGTAGAGCTACCAAATATACTTGATAGATGGAATTTCTTCCACCTCTTTTCTGAAAAGGGGTTTCTGACAGAAGCAGATAAAGGATCAATATCAACTGAATAATCAAGAGATGACTGCGGGTTTCCATCATCCCATGTTGACAAAGATACCTGCACATAGAGTAATTAAGCTACAAAGACTCAAATATAAACATAAACACATTTCAACCACTAAAATTATTTAAAAGAAGCAACTAAAAAAAAGTCACTGAAAATCTTTCACCCAGAAAAAATAAGAACTATGTCCATACGTATCAGAAGATGTGTAGCCAGGGGAATTTTCAGATCTCAGTTTGGCTATAACTATCAGCAAATCCAGTTTCCTTGGATCTTATAGCTCCAGTCCCTACACTCATCTCCTTTGCAGTCTAGTCCTTATGTGTTTAGGATAGGGCCCCTATTATTTCAGTCCCTCTATGCATGTCTATCTATCAGGAGCTCCTATCTCCTTGGATTGTAATCTACTATTATATATAATCATTTCTTCAAATAAATAAATAAATAAGGCAAAAATCCCCTGTACAAAGTACATTCCATCAGCAAGACTCACAGAACCACTACTGCTCTAAGGCAAAATCCCCCGTACGCTATTTACTTATACAATGATGAGTTACACCCTTGGTTTGTTGACTTCCATTTCCAAAGTGTTATTGCTACCTGTGATTCTTCTCCCTTACTTTCCTAGTGAAATATGGCCTTTATGGTTCTTATTGGCTTAAGCAACCTCCTAGGAATTCTTATTGTCACTGCAGCAATTTAAATGCATTGTTACTATCATATCATGGATACTCTACTATAAAGACAACTATCACATCGTATTTTCTGTTTCTTGATCCAGATGAATCTAACACTTGCTAGACCTTGAGCGATGACACAGGACATAAAGAACTCCACACAATCTGAAGCAAAATCTTGAGGTGTGCTCAATGGAAAAGGCACGACTGTATAAGAATTGGAGGTATTCAACTATGTTTATCTCTATGTGATTGATCAAGTCAGCTAAAAACTGACGTTACCTGCAAAATTGACTTCAAAAAAAGAATCATTCTGGGAGCATGTTCCATGAACTTGTTGAATAATGTTTTCATTCCTGCAGAACCACATTCACCTCCCTCTTCCAAGAATTTAGAAGAAAATGGCATACGTATGATAGTTGAATTTATTGATGACCACGGCATATCTTCGTTAATCAGCATGGGACTGAACTGATCACGAAAACGCTCAGTCAATTTTGTACCTAATTTAAACAAAACACTCATTAGTAACACTATTAAAAATCTCAATGCAGTTTTTGAGCAATAACCCACCATGAAATACACTTTTTCACATAGATACGAAATTTTAATTAAAATTGAAATGCCGGAAGCATACTTCCCACCATTAGACATATAGAAGAGAAAGAAATGACAATCTAATTAACAAAATTTTCTAATACTCCATCTATCATGTAAAATTAGTTCATTTGGTTTGGGCACGGGTTTTAATGTGCTATGTACTTTTCACTTTTATTGTAAGAAAAGTAGAAAAAAAATAGTTAAAAAAAGGTAAAAAGTAGTATCATTTTTTGCTAAAAAAGAAAATGAGCATATTTTTTTATGACAAATAAATAAGGAAAGTAAACATATTTTCTTATGAGAGAGAGTATATATTGTAAATGCAAAAGGAAGGGGAATATCATACACATCCCTCGTATACGAAGTACACATCTTAAAACCAATTAGTGATAGGAGTAGTCCTTTACTCTTATAAGCAATAAGGAGCTCCCAACATTTTTCAATGCGGGACACATAATAATTACTTTCACATTTACTATATATTTAAGATTAGTGGACATGCAAACAAAACAAATATGAGAGTCAAAGATACTCAAAAACAAGGTGTGTTTGTTTGGAGGTTTTGATTTTCGGTTTGGATTTGAATAGTGTGATTTGAATTTGAATAGTTATTTGATATGATATAAATAGGAATTGATGTAATGTTTTGAATGTAAAATTGATTTGTAGTGTAATATAAAAAATAAAAAATAAGTATTGTATTTAATTAATTTTTTTTTGGGGGGGGGGAAGGGGGGGTTGAGGAATTTGGGAATTGTAGAAAACAAATCAAATCACTCAAACAACACACCCTTCAGCCATACCTCTTAAGGGAAAAACTTTAGCACATGGAGAGCATGTCGAAGATGTTGCGATTGCTACACCTCTAGGATCAAAAATGTACAAGCAACCATTAGTTATCACTGATGGAAGATCAGTAATTGAGAAACAACTCAGCAATCCCAATCCATAGTTCAAAGTGTCACCCCTCAGATTCCATGGTGGACGAAACTGCAGACTAGCTATTTCATCTCCACTTAAGCTGGCTCCCTCCAGGACAGCCACCAGGGCAGGCCCTTGAAATTCAGCTGCATAAGTTCATAATTAGCATCTCTAGCATGAGTTGGGATAATTATAAAGTAGTGACAGACTAAGCACATTATCTAAAAGATGCCGCAATTCAAAATATGTGGGGAAACATCAAAATTGGCATATTCCATAAACTCACAAAACCCATTCTCAGTGAGAAGAGATTCAAAAAAATCATTGCTGCAAAAAGCATTAGCATTCGACATGAAACAGATTATCATAGTCTTAACTAACTATCAATTTACAGATGATTACCAAGATTATGCTGCAGAAGAAGCTGGCGTGGATGTTCCCTCTTGTCAAAGATGAAGTAAAGTTTTTTCGCTTTGCAGCAATCAGCCAATTCAAGCAAATCAAAAAGAAGAGATTCATAGTCCCCATGTGATTCCAGTAACTCGCAAATTTTGTTATAGTCCATGCAAGGAATGTCCTTAGTCAATTCTTTACTGACTAAAGAAAGGGACCGAAGCGATTGAATTCCCAACCTGTTGGCCAGGTCATAGCTGATGGAAGAATGCACGAAACGTTTACCAACAAGAGAATTACCCTCTATCCACGGTGCATCATTATAGACAAGATCTGCTGCACCCATAAGCACTCCAGTAGAGTCTGGAATCAAAAGTGTACTGAAAACTTCTGATCCTGACTCATTCAAGTAGTTATCAGTGATCGTCTCTAGGACACACTGAACAAAATTCAACTGATCAGCTGACAGAGTGCCACCTGTTACATCATTCTGCAATCGTTTTAAAACATTAATATAGTCGAATACATTAAAATTTTGTCTGACACCCAAGGCTAAAAGCAGATCCTGAAATACTGACAGCTCAGATGGTACCACATACATGTAGGGACTAAATTTTACAGGTGAATCAAATGCAAGCACGTCTGGGGAAACAAAATCATCTCCAATCCAAACCCACTTAATGCCATCAAAAGAAGATTTAAGAAATTCCAGATCATCATCATTTTTTACATAATCTTGCAACTGTGAATAGATTAATGGGATATGCTTTTTCAGTTCAGTATCACAATGCAACCTGATTTCATTATAGTTGGCGGACAAACCAACTAATTGCGCAACCAATGTCTCCACATCCTGAGGATCCCTCCAACCAAGTTTATGCATCAGTATATTGGAACATCCACCATCCAATAGATGCATTTTTGATGAAACTAACCACATCTGTGATTTAGGTCTGGTTGCAGCTGGTGTTGCTATTGTATTGGATGAGTCCAACCATGGAAGGCCCTGAACAGGCGGACCAGAATATACAGGACACCAGTTGATAGACCTCAGATCTGACCAAAATTCATCCCCATTTATATCATCAAGCAAGCTTTTGAAAGCTGAATGAGCATCCACATCATTCATTAAGTAGTCCACAAAACCATAATCAGTCAACTGTTCTTCACATCCAGACAGTGTGAGGTCTGCTGATTCTATGGCATTGACAGAGTGCCCCATATTATCTTCATATGATGACTTCATCGTAAGTGCATTCAAACAAGAAAGCAACCTCCTTGCAAGTATCAGAGCTTCTGAATTATCTGATTCATATAAAATTGAAACTGACCTTGCACAATCAAGTAAACCAGAAATACCCAATTTTTGTCTTAGCCCAAGGGTGACTAACGTTTCCACAATTTCAGGGTTGGAAAATTTCTCGGACGGGAAGAAGGTTCCTTCGTGGAGAAACATTTTTAGTTCAGGAACTCGAGGATCATAAAGTCTGCCATACAAAATATTGTAAGTTAATAGGTGCATAAATGTATCAGTAAATGTTGAACTCAGGGGCTAAACATGTACACAATCACTTCTGACATGACTTTGGAATTAGATTGTGGAACAGCTCCATTCTCCTCATTCAGAATCCAGTTTTGTGACCATACAATATACATATAGTTTTTCTAAAAATAGGGATTTAGAAAGTGATAAGTGGCCATCACTGTGTAATAAACCAATCTAGAAAACTCAAAATAAGAACACTATAGCCAGGCAAACAACTCCTCTCCTTTTCCAGCTCCTACAAAGCCACTATGAATATTTCTAATGCACACACTTGAGAATTCTTGCTTCCTTGCCCATGTTTGATCTCACTCCAAGAATTCTTTCTATGGCATGTTCATATGTAAATGTAGTATTTGAAAATCAAACATCAATGTTAAACATGTAAATAGTGTACATGTGCAGGTTCTTGCTCTCAGGAAGCAATTTTACAGCTCTAATACCATATTGAGCAGTGTTAGAATTGACAATAGCTTTGTCTGCACCTCATATTTTGGGCAAATAGAAATCAAATGCTCGTAGTTATATATCATGCATCACAGTGATATGCCTCCCCCCTCTCACTCCCCCCCCCCCCTCCCCCCCTACTAGGAATAAGAAAAAGAAATATACCGGAATGGCTCTTTCCAAGATCTATCTGCTGCCTGAACAAAAGCTGTTGAAGAGAACACTGCTTTGCAAGTGTTATCCTCCTCAAATAAAGATCTAATGTCAGACAAAATGGATGAGAGAGATCCCTCCTGGGAAATAAATTCTGGCATGCGGGGAAGTACATAATCTTTGTAGAAGTCAACTCTTGATGGCTCCTTGACACCTAAAAACTTTTCCAATATTGTTCTTTCTTTTTCTGAGTCCAATTTCACAAAGTTATCATCTAAAAGTTCTTCACGTACTGATGCCGGTTTTAGCCATTTGAAAGATCCACTTAAAGATACAAGTTTTCTATTCTTGAATGACTCAAACATTGGAATTTGCTTAATAGCAGTGATATGAGTACTCTCCATCAAACCATCTAAGAACCACTTGGATTGGAGAAGAAAACTCCGAAGTTCATGCAGTGCCCCATCCGTAGCCTCACCAAAGAGCCCCTCAATGTCTTCTGGCTCACTAGGAACTGCCAGCAGTGCATTTAGAACACCCATTGCTGTTGGGGACTGCACATAATGTTTCAGCTGAGAATGTTCAATCGGGATATCACGCCTCAGGATTAAGCACCCGGATCTCTGCAACAATGCTGACATGTTTTCACTCCACCCACCATCTCTGATTACATTAGAATTTTTGACAAGTTGTATGAGAATATTACTTTCTACTGGCAAAATTGGCCAGGAAGAAAACAACGAAAGATCTTCACATGATGTTCTCAGATAGCTCCACAGAAATCTTATCCATTCCAAACTGGGATGATCTTTAATATCAGGAACCCAGGTCACTTGCTTAGCATTTCGCCATTCTGCTGGAAGTAGTCTCATAAGCAATTTTTCAAGCAGGTGACATGTCAGAAAAGATATATTGAAACATTCACTTTCAGCTATAGCACACAACTTATCATATATATAATCAGAGATTCCACAATCTACCAGTTGATGCGGAAGAGAATCCTTTAAAAGGCTGTATCCATCTCCTCTTACAACATAAATTTGATCACCTAACCCTCTTTTGTCCAGTTTTGCGAAGGCTCCACTTGAGAGTGGTATCAAGGGTAACCCATAGAAACTTTGAGATGCAAATGGTCTTCTAAGATCAAGTAAGCAGTATTCAAGTGTTAAGATCATTGCATCTCTATCTCTAAATTCACGCTTTCTTCGAATTAGAAGAGTTCTAAGCAGTTGAGGTGTGAGGAAATGCAACGAAGGGGAGATCTCCACAAATTTGTCAACAATATCCTTCGGGAGATTAGCCACAGGTAAACCAGCATCAGACAATGCTTCAATCAGTTCCCATGCTTTATTGAAATTATGATCAGGAAAAATGGCTTGCTTGGGTGAAATCCACTGGCCTCCACGAGCCTTGGTATATAACACATGAAGACCACTCTCAGAGATAAATTTATAGAGCTTCTGTACCACCAAGGTCCAAGGTTCAAAACCTCCACTGGTGGGCCACAAGGAAAAAAATAAGTCACTTGTGCCAAATTCCTTTGCAACAGTCTCCAGAAGATAACCATAAGCAGGTGCAACAACTTCTTCAAGGAGATAAATGTTCCAATCTGAACGCATCTTACCATCCCCAGTCATGTCATCCCCAAACCATATATCCCTTCGGTTTGATGACAGCTCAAAATAAGCATTTACATGAACGGGAAAACCAGTGCTAATTGGAAGTGGCAAGAAGCAGAAGGCACGACCCTCAAAATTTCGTGCAACATGAGAGGAAGCTTGAAGTAACTTCATAATGTCATCAGTATTAGGAAGAGAATTGTCAAGAACTTCATCACTCCCACCCATTTTTTTCTCATGCTCAACAGAATTGATAGGCGTGGCTATACAGGCCCAGGGAACAAACTTGAAAAATTTCTTGTTGAAAGTTGCCGACTTATCCTTCCTGTGGAAGCTACCCAAGCTTTCACTAGTTAGCCACAAGCTTGACCTACAACCAGAGGAGCTCTGCTCTGACACCAAAAGTTTCTGAGACCTCCATGGAATATCCATGTTGATTGATTTGCTCAGCTTTTGAAGGAACTGATCTTTATTCAATCCTTCCGACTGATTCCCATACATAGAGCTAAAAACGTGACTAAACTGACCTTTTTCAACCTCTGGCTCATTAATGCAATCCCTATTAACACGGTGCAGTAATTGCATTTCACTATTATGACCTTCCTTCACAAAAATGGATATAGTCTTTACATTGCGTAGGAAAAGTAAAGTTGCAGAAATCACTTCGGAAAAAGAAGAAAACAATGATAGTACATCCGCAGGAGAATATACTTCCTTCTTTATTTGGCTCCTGGATGCAGAATTTGCATTCCTAAGGGCAAAGCGAAAAAGAGTTCCAGGAAATGAATGTTGAAGATCACACCCAAATTGAAGAAACGGGGAAAACTGATCAGGAAATTGTTCCAAAATTTTTCGACCCACAAATTTAATCCGGAGACCTGGGTGAGTTGGAGAAATTCCTGGCAAGTTGCAAGCATGAGGATCAAACATAACAATGTTCTCCCCCGAAACAAAAACTGGAATATCAGTGAAATGATAAACACAATTAAATCCAAGCCCAAATCTTCCAATTGCAAAAGGTTTCTCAAGTTTATTTTCCTGGCCAATACGGGAAATAGCATAGAGATCCTGTGAACTGAAAACAGAGTCATTGAAACAATACAATGCTGGCCCCTGCCAATCTCCCATTTCTGGTGAGAGTAGTGATGAAGTCCCATAATGAGTTTTATCCAGCAAAAAGATCACATTAGAAGCTCCTGCGTCCTCAGCATTTTGAACCAACTCAAAAAGAACTGCAGGACCATCAGGATACATATCAAGTATGTGTCTAAGTCTGGTTGTCAAAGCTTCATGCTGCCCAAATGCTTCTGCAGCACCAGACAAACTCAAATTCATTGAATCAGCACTCTCTGCAAGCAAAATCCTCCGGAAAGAGCGAACCCCAAGCTTTTCAGCAATATCATGAGATATGTTTCCATGAACAAATTTATGTACAGCCTGCTTAGCACCCATAGATAGAGCTGCACTGCCAAATATGTTCTCAGAACTTTCAGACTCAAGCAACCAGGGAGCATCATTGTAGACTAAATCCGTTGAACTATGAAGCCTGCCAGATGCATCCGGAAGATATATATGTGTTTGGTCTTCATAAAAGTGAGCTTCAGCAAGATGTTGAGCAATAAACGTAGCAGCAGCAATTTCTTCAGATTTCAAAGGACTGGTGCCCTTCTTAGTTGCCATTCTACTCAATATATTTGCGTAATCAGGTGGTCTCAAAAATTCCTGAATACCCAACTCCAAAAACAAGTCACTGAATGCTGCTAAATCAACAGGTATGACACGTATATAGGGAGCCAAATGAAGAGGGCCATTAAGGACCACCTCATTCGAAGTAGCAAATCCATCTCCAACCCATATCCACCTACAACCTTCAAGGACAGCCTTTACAATATCAATTTCATCTGAACCAAGCAAGGCCATCAGGATAGCATATATCCTTGGCATTGCCAAAGCTAGTTCCTGTCGAAGATTTGCATCAGACACCATTTCATTATTTTTACCAAGTTCAAGAAGCTGGGCAGCAACTACACTCCCCCCTGGAGGGTTCAACCAGCCGAGTTGATAGGATAATGCTGATGAGGAGCATTCTCCATCAAGTATACGCATGCTTGCGGATACAAGCCATATGTCTGAGTATGGTCGTACAATTTTAGGAGGAGCAACCAAAGATGAGACCGTAGGCCATGGTAACAAAGAGTAAGGAGGATCAATAAGGACTGGGCACCAGGAAATCAGCCTCAGCTCATTCCAAAACTTATCTAATTCTGATTTCAAATGGCGAGATTTAAATGCATTTGCAGCTCTTGAAAACATTCTGTTCACTGTGCTTTTATCATAATCCGATGAGTCAGGTAGCCACTTTAAGGCATTGGCTTCCAGATAAGAAAGAAGTACCTTCCCTTTTGAATGCGATTTTTCTTGCTTTCCATGCATTAAGAGTTCCACATGTCTAGCCGCTTGTATAACAGCATCAATAGAAACAGTTGTCTTAAGACCCAAACCTTGTAGCATGTCTAAAACAACAGATTCCCTGAAAATCCCAGAAGGAAAACTATCATAATCTTCAAGCAAAGCAGAGAGTTCCTCATTTCTTGGATCATAGAGCATTGATGGACTTTTCAGGGTGCCGCTACCAGTTGGGACAAATTCCAAAATTTTTAAGCTTTCCCTGAATGATACATCCTCTGCACATAATTGTGGTAGTTCTTGAAGAACAGAAATCATGACACTGTTACGAACATCAGTTTCCAACTGTCTTATCCTATTCAGAACATGAAGCTTATAGAACTGTGTCTTCCTCATTCTTTCAACACCATAATATCTCATTAGCAATTCTTCTTCAGTGCTTGACAAATTATATATAAACTCGCTAGAAAGCAAGCACTCTGGGCAATTTAATGGAGGTAGGAATTTGCGGGGATTTACTAAATCAGAATACTTAAAACTTTCAGCAGATTCTCCATCATAGACTCTATAAATTGGTAGCCACTTGCTATTCTGTATGTGAGAATCATCCATTTGCTTTCCAACAAACCACGACGGATTCAAAAGAAATTGACGAAGCTCATCTCTTTCACTAGATTCCAGAAACTGAAGAAACTGAGTAATACTATCATTAGAAGACACATCATAGATTGAATCCAAGATTCCAGCAGCATCAGCATCATGCACATAATTGATTAAATCGGGGTGTTCAAAGCCTTGGTCACTGTTCAGTATCTTGCATCCTATTTTAATAAGGATGAGTTGCATTTTCTCAGGCAAATCTTTTAAATTAAGCAAGTTTTTCTGTCCATGAGGCCTATACAAATGCCCTGACACTGATGGTATTATAGGCCAATCTCCAAAAAGGGATAATTCTTGACATTGCTCACGAAGGTAACGCCAAAAAAGTAGAAACCATGATGAAGTAGGATGGGAAGAATTGGAATCTGGATCCCACAAAATCTCTGTCCTATATTTCCATTCGGCTGGTACAAATTCAGAAAATAAGGGGATGAACTCATTGATGTTAAAAACAACCAAATTTGCTCCTGCCACATTTGCTATAGATGTAAGCCTGGATAGTAGCTTTACAGGAATGCTCCGATCAATTAATCTCCCTGAAATTCGTTGAAGAAGCATATATTCCAACTCATTGCAAATAAAGTAAGTGACCCCTTTTGAGAATTTAGATAATGATCCAAACTCTCCATTTGCTAATGGAAGCAACGGCAGGTTAGATGCATGTATTCCAATCTCTGCATCAACCAAATCCTCAAGGCAATAGTCCAACAGCATAAACTTGTCAGATTTGTCAATTACATTCAAAGATTGGCACTTTCTCAAATAATGGCGTACTGACTCAGGTGTTACAACATTTTTACATGTGACAGATTTGCAATTTAAGATCATATCATATAAGTCACCTGGTAAAGAAACAATGGGCATTCCAAGCTGGACAAGAACCTGGGCAATATCCTTACTCCCAAAAATCTCCACATTATTCAAAAATGCATTCTCGGGAGAAATCCACCTCCCGCCTTGAACATCTGAATAAAGGACAGGCGAATCCCAGATGCTCCTATAGATATGATCAACTAACAAATTCCATGGTTCTTCAAAAGTGCCAATAGGCCATAAAGAATAATATTCTGTTGAATTCAAGAGTTTTTGCAAGCAAAGCAGTAATTTCGTAAAACATGGAGCCACAACATCTTCAAGTACGAGCCTATTCCAGACGGAACGAACTTTTCCAGCTCTGTCCATGTCATCACCATACCAAATGCCACGGCGGTTTGAAGAAACCTCAAAGTATCCATTAATTTGAATATGAAATCCAGTTTTCACAGGCAGTGGAAGAAAGCAGAATGCCCGTCCAAGCTTCTGATGATCCTGTTGAGATTTCAATGAAAATTAATCACATGTGAAATCAAAAGCACCAAATTCCGCTTTAAAACAATAGAAAATAAGAAGAGTTTAAGCATTAGAGTGCATATAACCTTTTCTAGAAACTTGAGAGTAAGGAAATAAGTAAGACATTAAATTGCATAGTAAGGATATTTCAGGCATTTTACAATCATCTTCTGCCAAATAGTAAGGAAGTGTAACAACACTAAACTACTGTGATCCAGATGTTATCAAGTACACAATTAGATGTGCTCTGTCTTGAAATGCTCAGCCATTAAAATAATACTACAAATTACTTATTAGAATCTATTTTAATAAGCAACCAAATTGGCCATAGAAAGAGGTGCAGCAGCCATCAAAACGAAACAAGAATAAAATTTCAAATTTCCATGTGGCATAACACATAAATATAAGTATCATTGCCCATGATAATCCACTATATGCGCTATAATTACATGTGTGCATAATCACTAGAATCTGATCACAAATGCTTGGACAAAAATTTATAAATGCACCCCTTGAAAGATTTACATTTGACAGAAAGAGAAAATGAGAGTACACCAGATTAGACATATATTATCACTATAGGTGGTATATTGAATTAGGAACATTACATTAAGTGGATCATCTGATATGCATGCTGCTACTGATGCCCAAGGCAACAGATGCATGTCATAATCCTTGCCTGCTGTAGCTGCAAAAGTACCAATTCTACTGGACGGTGAAGCCATCATTTGCACCACATAGAACTTATGGGTTTTTGTTTGAGGAACATTCCCAATCACAGACTCACTCAAGAAGTCCAATGGGAAGGCATCCATCTCATAATCAGAAGAAAAGTTTAGTTTAGAGAGTCTGTGAAGTGCCTGCCTGTGCCACACAACGTCATTGTTTGTCAAGTTGATAGAGCAGGAGTACATCCTCTTTGGCTCAGGCATCCCTACATCCCACACATACATTTCTAAGGATAGCACACATTTAAGGAAAATTAATGATAGAATTCCTTCCTCGTAAAGCTGACCAAACATTGAAGATATATCATCCTCAAGGTAAGCCTGCTTAGAGAGCTGACTATTTGCAGCCTGATCTCCATTCCTCAAAGGAAAACGAAATAAAGTTCCGTGGAAAGGGCTCTTCATGTCACAACCAAAAGCACAATATGGAAGAAATTGGTCTTTATACAGTGAAAAGGCAGACGAGCTGACATACTCTATTCGCTTCCCAGGATTAGCTATAGAGATGTTTGGAAGATAAACACCCTGGGGATCAAACAGTACAACATGTTTACCACTTACAAAAGAAGGCAAGTCAGTTAAATGGTACACCGAGTTGAAGCCAACCCTACAAAAAAGAAGTTACAGATATTTTTATTAAAATTAAAATAAAAATATAGACGAAAAACATTAGTTCCAAACAAGAGATCCTCAAATAATACTATATTCCCATCCCAACGTTACACATAAGAAGGCAATTTCAAGCAATGCAGCAAATACAAATGAAACGTTAAAAGGATCAGAATCTAGCAAAAGCAAAAACTAAACTAATAATGTTGGCATCTAGCTACCAATCATCTGTCACCATAGCAAAGTTATTTACACCCCACTTCGAAATGTCAAGACATGCAGCATTGAAAACACACCGATTTGACCAAACAAAAAAGCTACCACTGAGGAAAATAAACCATTCATGCATCAAGGCTGCATGTATAATTGTTGAAGACAGATACTTCATAATCCAAACATTCTATAAGCTTTTGCTCAATTCTGGTTTATAAATTTTTCATAGAAATATATTTCCTACTAAAAGGTAATTAATATTTCATCGAAACAGACGGTGAACAAAGTCCCAAACTTTAATTATATAAACCAATAAGAGAAATCGCAACTCGTGAGAATGCATTTATTACAGGAATCAATTACCCGAAGCGACCGGTCTTCCAAGCATTGGAATGTTTGGAGCTGCCGCCAATCCGTGAAATACTGGCAAAATCTTCTTCCGTGAAAACGGCGTCATTGTAGGCCAACAGAGCGGGGCCCTGCCACTGGGCAAGGTTACTCGAGAGCAGAGAATCAACGCCGTGTGTCCTGCGGTCGAGGCAGAAGCGCACGGTGGTAGCGCCAGCATCATCGGCGTTCTGAATGAGTTCCTTGAGGACAGTGGTGCCTTCCGGATAGTTCAACAGAACCTCTCTGATCCGACGCGTCAAATCTACCTTCTGACCGAAGTCTTCGAGAAGAATTGGTCTTTCCATTACCGGCGGCGAGTGGACTTTCTTCCGGTCTGAACTTCCCGATCACCCAAATGCGAATTCGTTTCTCATGATCACAGGTCGCAATCTAATCAACACATGAAAATGAAAATGCTGTCGAGGGTGGAAATTCTTCGACTATTTTAGAGTCACGTCACGGTTTTAGTCGGCGAATGTTTCTCCGAAATTGTTGCCCAAACACGACTTTAGATGTCTCTCTGTTGTAGCATATTTGTTTTCTACTGCTTAGCGACTTTTCCTTACCGGGTTGCTTTCTTTTAACGTTTTTGGAGGTGCGAATTTAAACATGGTAGGTTAGTCGATGTACATATACATTCGTTGCCTTTGAAAAGCCATTTTGGTATTTTTAATTTTTTTAGTGAGAAAGATTTTACTTAAATTTATATTTAAATAATATTTAATGTAATATTTTTTTAAAATATACTCTCTCCGTCCAAAATAAGGTGCAATATTTGTTTTGGGCACTGATTTTTAGGGGTTTTTAGGTGGGTAATATTAAGTAGGATAATTTATAAATTAGATAATGTGATGGATAGAGAAATATATATTTTATTTTTTTTTATCAATGCGGTAGAAATTAAGTATAAATTATATCTACATATAATTAATTTATTAGTATTTATTATTATAAGACATAATTAAATTAGAATATTTTAATATTTTATGACTGGCATGGTTTAATTAATACATTTTATGGCGTATACAACTATAATAATAATAATAAAACTCTCTTTTATATAGAACTCATCCTTATTTTGATCAATTCGTTTGAGGATTGAATTTTAAATACACTGTTCATTCTTTTTTTTTTTTTTTCCAAAAAATATCAAATCAAACACTTATTTCTTATTTTTTATATTTCTTTTGCCCAAATAAGATGCAACATTTGTTTTGAGAACCAATTTTTAGATAGGTAGTATTAAGTAAAATAATTTAAAAATTAGATGATGTAATTGAGAAAAAAATGTATATTTTATTTTTTTTATTTGGATAATGTGATGAAATAAAACTTGAGATTGAGATTAAATATAATTAATTATTTTCTATTTTGAAAATATTATAGAAAGTTTAGGACATACTAAAAAAAATATTGCACAGTGTTTGAAAGGGAGGGAGTATGATTGTTAAATAATAAATTTGAAATTATATATTTTAAATAATAAATTTAAAAAAAAAATGAAATGAAAATATTGAATTCAATTTTGTTTAAATAACAATAATATTATCTTATATTTTATAAAAATATATATATATTTTTTATTGAAAATAATAGAGTGTATATATTTAAAATCATAAATAAACAAACTCTAAATTAAAATAATATTTAATATAATATAAATAAATAGTTAATTTAATGATTTTAACAAATATGTATATACATAAAATAACTAAAATTACAAACTGTAACTAAAAAGTAATATTAGGTTAGGCCGGGTTTGCACTCGGCCTGCAAGTTTCCACTTAAAAATAAATAAATAATATTCATGCTGCAGGGAACCAAATGAAGCAATCTAAACCACTTGAAATAAGAACACTATGGCCATATAGTAAGTATTCTCTAGCTTCTATATCTGCCTGCCGTGTAAGAAAGTCGATCAAATTATTTCCACTCCTAACATTAATAATGAAAATGATAACAAGTGGATCATATATCACCTTTGGTAGTGTTTGGGAAGCTGATGTTCGATGGTAACAATCCATCAGCAGCTCATCTCATTTCACTGTGCAAAGCAAAGGGAACTGAAAACTACCATTATTATTAAGTGCAGAAGACAACTCACCCTGGCCTAAGTTTTTTTTTATTCATATAAATAAAGATTTTCTGTTTTCTAACAATAAATTACAGACAACACCTGTGGGAATAGATGCCGGAGGGGGTGCATCAACTAGAGCTACCAGAGAAGTCTCCCGAGAATCCACTCCCATACGATGTAGAGCCGCCAGTTCGGGAACTGGCAGCACGAGCCTTCTGTAATTGCCGTATCTTGAATGCATCTCTGGGCAGTGGTTGGCTCTGCACAGTGCTTGCATCATCATCGTCTTGCCCTAGGATGATGCCACAATAGAGGGATCAATAAGTCAGCAACCTTAGCATTAAGCAACTCATTGACTCTAGGCATAGAGAAAAAGATGAAATTTAGCTGTCGAGCCACTCCCCACGGTTGAGAACACAAACCATTTTGTCAGACATGGGGATGCTATCCAGGGGATATTGCATGCCAGTATAGCCAAAAGCAAGAGCCTGTAAAGTGTGATCTAGGAAGTTAACAGCTTAAGAGTCGAAGGGATCAGTCAACCCATGAGGACGACAAATCAGAGAGGATGGTAATTTCACCCAGTACTTAGATAAGTTCACCAAATAGTCAGGCAATGAAAACTTTCAGTCATCCTTGTCACTGCCATACTGAGTCACAAAACCAAACATTTTTCGTTTCTTTCATTCACTAATCGGGTATTGATTCTAACATCAGATAACTACAGGGCATCTTATCGTAAGCGACTGGGCCTATTCTCTAATTGTCAGTAGAAACTCCATCTACAGTAGACTTCAGAAAAAAGGCTAGCACTTCAATATCACTATAGTATTAGTTTGAGCTCGAGAGACCATACACAGGCAAACATGCTCCTAACACATTGGTACATTATGTCTCCAATTAGTGCAGAGTAATAACCTCACTACTTGATAACACAGACAGCATCAATGAATGTAAACTAAGGCCTCGAGATTGAAATGTCAGGTGGAAATTAGTAGGGGTGTCCTCCAGGAATGTCTCAACAACCTGAAATCCTATAGGGCCCAAGGAGTCTTCACATCTGATTTCAATAGATAGGCAAGAATTCAAAAGGATGGACATCAAAGAGAGGTTGGAGATACTCGTAGGGAGAGGGGTGACAGGACCCTTTGTAAAGCTTACAGAGCTCAACAATGATTCTTTCCTACTCAAGGTTAAAAACAAAATAAGCCGTAAATAAGAAAGTGAAGACATGAGAAAAGGCAAAGCATTATAATGAATCTGAACGGAGAAAGAGAGAGTAATAACAACATACTATCTGAATCTTTCCTTTTTCCGGTTTGCCTGCCTCTTGTTTGTCTATATTTGCTTGAACCGGATAGATCACTGGTACTTGGAGCAGACCCAGATTGCAACTGCTGAGGTGCCCCAGATTTCAAATTTGCCAGAGGTATGTTACTTTGCAAACATATGGATATAACGAAATCAGCATCTGGGGCCGGGCCTAGAATTTTCAGTACAAGTAAATTGCCATTGATTAGTGAAAGATAACTGAGTGCAATGAGAAGAGTATGCACAAGTAATACACACATTCACCTTCAACAGCAGGTAAATTCATCGCAAAATTTGCTAATGATGGGGGTAAGGCTTTCAATACATCACTGCTTGCAGTTGTTGCTCCACCACCACTCATAACTACACCATTTGATAAGGTATTTGGAACACCAGATGGTGACGGGACAGGAGCACCTGTAAGTTCATATTCAAAACATTCACAAACAGAACTCTCAATGATGGCTTACATAATCTTAATATAGGAGCGGAAAATCTGTATCCTTTCGTCCAGTATCATGAATAGATATCACATAAACAGCTTAACAAGCAACTGATTATCTAATCTTGTAACAACTATCTGATCAAACATATTAATTTATGTCAAAAAAAAATGCCAATAGTTATGATCAAATCAGGAAGCTTAACTATATGCCCTGTGTGTAGCTTAAACAAGTCTGACTTTACCCTCTCTCTCTCTCTCTCTCTATATATATATATATATGTTGAAGGTTTCCTTGTACAAACAGAATGAGTAACAGAAAGGATAAAACAGTTTTATCCTGTAAGAAAAAAACTATAGCATGAGTTTTCAATTAGTCAAAATTCAAAACTTTTAATCATGCAAAATAATATCAATAGATGCTTTGAAGTTAATTGAAAACCATCACCCGTGGCTCCCGAATAATATACCAACAGAGTATACATAGGGATTTACACCATATAGGCAGGAAAAAGAAAAGATGCTATTATGTACAATACCAGGCTTTTGTATGGGGCAATAAACAACCATTTTGGATACATCTGGATAAACAATCTTTACAGAGGAGTTATTTGTTATTCCTGATACACCCTTATCTGCATTGAAAAAAAAGTAACTTTCAAATCCAACAAAAAACATGAAGACATACAAAACAAATTAAATTGATATTTACCTGCAGAACTGGCAACTTTAGCAGGACTAGAATTATCTATCTTTGTCTTGGCATTTCTAGACAGCCACTAAAAGAAAATACCATATTACTATAAATCCAAGATAATTCCAACTTCAAATCATTAATGTGACCAAGTATTGTAGCCTTAAATCAAGTGAAATGGACTAACTTTATTCTGTAGTATACATTCAGAATTGCGTACCTCTTGCTGAGCTAAGTGATTTAAGTCCCTGGGGGAACATGGCCACAGGTTCATAAAACTATATCGTGATATAAGATCATGCAGAGAATCCTCCAAAGTTGATTCTCCAGTCTCACCCATCTGACATAAAGCTTCTTTCCTCCTTTGCTCAACCTATTATAACAGAATAGTTGAAGATAGGAATCACAAAATATATGTATCTAGTACACAAGATGGAGTAGAACATGTACACAAGCAACAATAACCCCTCCACAATTTTGTGCAGCACCGCATAGCTCTTTGCCATATCAAACCACAAGCAGTGAATCCAACCACACAGAATTCCTTCTATGAAGGGTATAATTTTCACACTTTGCAATACACAGAAGAATAAGGAAACATAGAAAACTACCTTTAACATACTGGCAAGATCTCCATAGGTCAGCTCAAATTGAGTGAATTTTTTCCAAACCTACAATAAGTGTATAATTTGAATAAGCAATACATGACAATATGAATCTGTTTGGAGAAAAAGCTATATTTATACGTTTAAAAAGATGAGAATCACATAGAGGCAGTAACCGAGGAAAAGTGAAAGCATGAAGGGAAAAAAGAGAAACTAGGAGAGAAAGGATCCCAGATTAGAAACAAAAATGAGCGGGAAAGTCTATGAGCTTGTTTTTGATCCATAACTCAGGCATTTAAGCCAAAAAGTGAAGAGAAATTGCAAAATGACTTGAAGAATAAAACAGAATAGTGGATGAGTTTTGCAAAATAATTTAGGTAAACGTCATCCGCAAATGTCTCGCACAGCAGCTATTATACTTGGGTCTAATTTAGGCCCATCAACAATATTTCTTATTTTTCAAATTTAAAGCATTTTCAAGAATTTTTACTGAACAAGAATGACAGACATTAACATCTTCACAATAGTAGCAACAAAAGCAAAGACAGAGCAAATATATTGTCCTGACGCACCTCAACCGATTCATCAGAGGGAAGTGAGCTAAGTGCTCGTTCAAATAGCGCACGGATATTTCTATCATCATTCAAGCGGTACAAAAAATCAGCATACCTACAAGAAAATGAGTTGGAAGTTGAAACTCTTAAAAAGGGTAAATCCAACAAAAAAAGCAAGCAGGCATAGGGATATTAGGAAACACTGGTTAACCACCCTCAGTGTGTCAGTTGCAGCTTCTGCATCATCCCAACTATATCACCACAACTATATATGTTACTGCAAGGCCAAACCATAATAAGGAATGAACAGCTTCTATCAGCACCTTCAGGGATTCCCAGAAGGATTTCATTATGGACTAGGTAATGAACTCATTGACCTAAGCAAAATTATCTGCTAAACTATGGAGGCACATGGCCTGAGATGACCACAAAAGCCTCTATTTAGGAGATATCTACTTTATTAACCCCCTTTTAAAAGTAGCAGTCATATCAAGAATTTTCAAAACCAACTCAAAGTGAAAAGAAAATGTTTGTGGGGAGTAAAATGCAACTTACTCAAGGATGTAGCTGGGTTCATGCATGAATCGTTTCAGACCTGCTTCAAATATGTTGTTTGCAAGCTGCAAAAATTGTAGAAAGGCAAACCAAGATAAGGTAGCCACTTGTATAAGCTAATAATGAAAGTAAAAAGGAATACATAGTGTTGTATTGGATCCGGAGATTAAATTGAAATGAGAGACAAGTCCCATTTAAGTATGAAAGTAGGAGCGATAATATATTATTTTTATGATCATTCATGCTCATGTTTCCCGTCATATCTGTACACCGAAGTCAGAAGCCCTTTTGTTTATCAGCACTCATCAGCATATGATTTTATTAACACAACAGTAGAGAACCATACACAATTAACAATTACCTTAGAATCTTTATCAAGACAAAAGGCCATCATTGCATAAGCAACATATACATGGTATGTGCAATTGGGTGATTTGCGAGCATCAAGAAAGTATTTGCGAGCTGCTTCAACTCCTTCAGTTCTTCTCAAAAATCGTATGAACTGAAAATTGTAGCATCATCAATAAGCAAGTAAAATGGAGTATTTTGTTTATGATTCTTGATGAACAATTTAAAAACAAAATGACTTAATCCTCCACTGAATTAATAAACAAGAAGCCACTGAAAATTCAACATTAAACATGAACATACTTAATACTTAACTCCATAAATCAAAACCAACATCATTTACTATTATCTGGATCCAAGATGGGATGAACATGCCCTCTTTAAAAATTTACAGAATCCAGCAGGTTTTAAGCAATCTAATAATTTCAGTTCAAATGACTTGAACAATCTAGAACTGTCATCCCCTGAAGCCAGGAACCCTATTGTAGTATTGTGAATCAAATAACTAAAACATAAATTTATACCTGGATCTGAGAAAGAGCTGTAGCCTTCACAGCATCCCCAAAAAAACTTTCATACACTTTTTTTGCAGCCTGCAAGAAGAGAATATGTATTAAGTAAATTGTTAAAGTGGATACATCTAAAAACATCTCATGCGACCGTTTGAACCTGAATTGCTCCATGAGATTCCTCTAGCTCAGCATAAGCATACTTTAGGATATCCGACTCTAATATGCAATCATTAAATAAACTAATTACAAAACAAGTAAAATAGGATAGTGGCATAAGGTAATCATAGAGAAAATGAGCAATATTCAGCAGTTTTGGACAAGAACCAAAAAACCAACTAGTTTGCTGACAAACAGAGAATAACAACAAAAATAAGAAATCAAATCTTGAGCATCCACAAAGAGAGAGATATACCAGGAAGAGCCTTCAGTGCACGCTGGAAAATTTTAATTGCAGAGTCTCTGGAACCGCTTTTTGCATGCCACATAGCATAATCATACCATATATCAGGATAATGGTACAAATACATGAGACACTAGCATAAAAACAAACATTTGATCAGTTTTTCCTCCCCATCACCATTAGCTTAAACCTTCTTCGGTGCAAAGAAATGAAAGGTAAAAATCATATACAGAATGGGTCTTAGACAGGCTACAACTGCTTGAACAATTGCGCATAGATCAGAAGTGACAGTTGTCATTGCAATACCAATATGAACTTAGAGTTTAGGCATCTCTTATGGTCATGCAAAATGCAGGAAACTCATATCTTACATGTGCTTGCATCCTAAGTCTAATCACTCATACATCACCACATGAAATTCAAAACACATATAAAAAAAAATTAGCAGCACGGTATCAGGTTATTAGTCGGCTGGTGGCCCAATTACAAATCCAGGATCTTTTCATAACTTCAGATGAAGTTTGCATAATAACTCATCCATAATAGTGTGTTGTTGAAGTTCTAGAAGAGTTGTCACTGGGCAAAGATGAACAACATAGAATACGTTGAGAAAATACATGTGGAAATGAGTATGAGCACAAAACAAACAAATAAGCAGTATATCATTAGCGAAATAAGGCAATTGCTTAACCGAAATCCCTTCACCTACCTGCTCATAAGAAAAAGCAATTCGCTTGTTTGCAGAAGCATTATCGACTCTCTGCGGGTTGCCTCTGTAAGAGGTTACTATAAAAATTAGTCAGAAACTAGAAAACTGTTAGCAATACTAAGAAAAATTGTCAAAAAGGAATGAAGCAACAACAGAGAATTAAGTGGCACGCAATTGTACATCCTAAAAATCAGTAGAAGTCCAAGACGAATGAATTACAGAACTTAAAGTTAAATGGAACGAAAGAGAATTTTCCTCAGCTAGATCTTATTGATCTTTTTTCAACAATGTTATAAATGGGACGAAGGGGAAAGCCTTTCTGCCAAAATATGTCACACGGATGAATTTTTGTTACCACATATATTTATCCAGCAAGGCTCTTGCAAAAAGCAGTATCGTTACCTAATGTTCTCAAAAATGTGGAGCTATAATTTTTTTTCCCGAAGCATAGAATTCCACCAAAAAAATTTTAAGTATTAATTCAATGATAGTGGTAAAAAAACATTGCAATTGCATGCCCAGTAACTTATTGAAAGGCATTATGCAGTTGATGAATAGAATCACTAGTCAAACTCCATGTGAAAAATTCAAGGACTTCTAACACTACCCTGCGGGCGCAACAGATTCCTGGAAAAACAATTGGTTTGTTTGGTTGTGTTTTGGAATAATAAAAATTTTAAACTGTAGTAGTTGTATGGGGTTTGGATTTTGGATTTTGGATTTTGGTTTTGAAAAATAAAATTTTGAATTGAAATAGTTGTTTGATGTAATATAAATAGGTCTGATGTGGTTTGAGTGTAAAATTAATTTTTAATATAGATATAAAAAATTATGTGTTTGATTTGCTGTTTTTGACAGGAAATTTTTTAAGAAATAGTAGAAATCCTCCAAAATCCCAAAAACAAAAAACACAGTAGACATGACTGACATGTAGGATACCTACTTCTCAAAGTTCAATAAATTTTTCCATGCTATCCATTGTGTTTCCTCCTGTTCAATGAACCATGTATGAGCCATTAGTTAATATCTCAAAACATTAATGGGATTCAATCATTTCCTTAAATAAAGCAAGTAATAAGTATCTGAAACAGTAGAAACCAAAAGGTATATCAGTCCTTTCTTCTAAAAGAAATGTGTATCAGAACATTGCCAGTGAATAGATATCTAATTTACAGTTCTTTCTACAGCTATAAAGCAGGGACCAATCATTCATTGCATGCACACTGACAAATATATACATTTATCTAGACAAATAACCATTTCTTCCAAAAGAAATGCAAATTAACTGATCAAAAGAAACCAAAACCAATTCAAACTGAGGATGGTTAGGTAAACGAAATACCTTAGGAGAACCAGAAGGAGGAACAGCAAGCATATTCCAATCTATTTCATCAGCATATTTCTTGCGTTCCCTGTAAACAGCCCTTGCACTGTTATATTTTGGTTGTAAGTCAGCCAACAATCCTTTTGCCTACAAGATACTTCAACAATCAGATTAGAACCATCTACATAGCTACACATTAAATATCATACTCCACTACCTACAGGCTATGGAGAATTAACAGATCATATATGTTGAACAAAAAGAAAAAACAAAAACTCGGTTCTCTCATACTGAAAAAAAAAGCTCCAGTATCATTTTGTCAAATGTTACTTTTCTCATATATTAGTTTTCCTTTAGTGTTTTCTTATGCATTCTACTCCATTAAAATTTCATTTGGACATTAACATCAACAAATGAGGAAGAACAGTCAGAGAAAAGGTTATTGTAACTAAATTGCGTAAATCTGGTAGCAGCAGCCTCAATTGTCTCTAAAAGAAACCTCAAAAAGATTGCCTCTTAACACATTTTCTTCATCTTAAATATTACATCAAAAACCTATTCTCTATTTAAAACATCATTACATCATATTCAACACCTATTTTCCATTTAAAACGTCACACCGAACTCGAACTCGAATCCTTATTTTTTAACTTTTTACTCTTCTCAAAACACCAAAATACTGCCAAAACACAAATATACAAACCCAAGTTTTAAAACAATAGATTTCCAAAAAGGATCTTATGCCACCAGATCTTTTCCTAAAGACTGTTAATGCTTAAAGATGCAGCATCAACACAAGTAATAAGAAGAGAATCGAAGGCAAAGAGTTCTACCAGGGCTCGGCTAACTGTATTCTCAAAATTTTCATAATCCCTCCAAAGCTGTTCCACATGATGAGTAGGCATAACAATAGCCCTCTGGTATGTCCTGCGTATAATACCCATTTGATTTGATTCTTCTTGTGTTCTCTGACCCTGATTGATGATCTTATAAAATCATAAAAAGAACAAAACATCCAAAGCAACTCGCATAGTTCTTTTCATATAAAAAAGAAAATTAAAGACGAACCGGTAAGGATTTCAAATAGGCAATGTACTCCATCCACACAGGGCCAGACGATATATCAGCTCCTGTTAGGATCATAGACAGGATTAGCTCCACATTTTGAATACAGAAATTTGAAAAGTAAATTTCAATAGATCAAACCCCAACAATTTTTCCTTGTCACCAAATTTTGAAAATTCATTCTTAGAGGTAAAGGATTGTTTCCTCTCGTTTTTTACTAAAAGTTAAAATTAGACAGAAATTACAACTTTCCAACATTTATAACTGACAAGAAACAAATCATGATGAGAAACAATTCCACATTCATGGAGCTTGCAATAAAAACATAAGTCCACTTACTTTACATAGAGAAACTAAAATATACAAAGCAAGAAAAACAAATGAAATCTAACAGATCATGAATTCTAGAACTAATGCTATAGTTGCAACTCACCGACATAATTAAGCATGAATTCAAAAGCCTTTTTAGTCTCTTCCTGACCCTCAACTCCCTTTTTATCATTAATTTTCCTTATGAAGCGGATATAGCAGCGCCTGGAATTACAACAGGGCAAGCATAGAGGATTACAATAAGGTGGAAAGCATTAGAGACAGCAAACTAAGGTATAGTAAAATTAACTTTAAATTTTTCTTTGAAAGCATTGAGTCACTTCAAAGAACAAATTTGAAGTTAGAGGAGCCAATCTAAATGTGGAATCTATACCAAAGTGGAACTTGCAGACAACTCAAAAGGCAGCGACTAAATACTTGTCTTGTTGCTTCATCATTGTTCGCAGCCATGTATGCTTCCACATATTGCTTCCAATATTTTGCCTACCAAAAACAAGAAAAAATCAACAGCAACCACCACCAAGTATTTATTTCAATTGAATATTCTATTGAAATTTAACCAGACAACAGAAGCCAGCAATGAATATATATATATATATATACACACACACATATACAAAAACTTATTAATTGTTCAATGGTGGAATCTCATATAAAATAAAACAATAAAAAAATTATATGGCTCTACAGAATGACATGGTAGCCTGAGCATATATTATCCTATTCCTACATATTAATTTTGTAGACCTAACGAGAATAGAAAGAAAATTTATTTTCAAATCAAATTCAGTTTGGCTTCAGCTTATCCAACTACAATGTGTGCTATCGCCAGAAAGTCACTATACTATCTTTTCTCATATATACTAAATAATTGCCTCCTCTTCTGCATTCTCATCAAGCATTGAATCTTATACATTTTCAAATTCAATTGCTTATCTTAACCCACCAATCCCATACTATAATGCACTGCCTCAAGAAAAAAAAGCTAGAGCTGCTTGAATCGAACTCTCATAATACCGTCCACAGAAATTTGTAGAGATTTTTAGAGAAAGTCAAACATGCATAATAATCAATTGTTATTATAACATCACACAATAAAATTTTCTTGTTTCTCATGCCTTGTATATGTTTTTTTCTATGTAAGATTACATAACTGTATCATAGAAAAATACATGTATTTCTCCTCATCGACTTGGCAACGGTGAGTTGATATAGATAACGCCAGTCGCATTATAGATTCCAAAACTACTCGGGGTAGTTTTGAATGTGAGTAGTTTTGGATTGGAATTTGAATAGTAAAAATTTTAAATGTGAGTAGTTGTACGATGTGATATCAATAGGTGTTGATGTGATGTTTTGAATGTAAAATTAATTTTTAGTATAATATAAAAAATAAAATATAAGTGTTTGATTTGACATTTTTTTGAGGAAAAAATGAAATAAATAGTAAAATTTGGGAAAAATCCCCCAAACAAACACACCCTCAAAGTTCATTATATTTTTTTGAGGAAATAGAAAAACCCTTAGAACTAAACTAAGAATGACTGTATCCTATCCATTATCAATAATCCATGAATCGTTCATACATAATGCCCAAGGACCTTAACCGTTAAAAGTAAGCATATGGTTAGAGTAGACGAATAATCCATCCACAGCTCATGGTAAACATTGCACAAGGAATTACCGAAGTGGGAAATGTGGTCAGGAGTTGTTCGTATATTGGCACAGCCTCCGACAAAGGCAAACGCTGAAGGCAGAAAAGTGGTGCAAACATTAGAAAACAGTTACAAGAAACATGTCACAATTTGTAACACACGATAAAAGAACAAACAACACTGCAGTACCAATGCCTTAGTTGCAAGAAGTTCGGCTGCTTCAACGTTGTATTTATCCGCAACCCCATCTTGAAATCAAGAAACCAAGAAAAACACTGATACAGTGAATAAGGAACTCAAAAGGTACGAAAACTTGAACAATAATCAAGAAAATATAAATAAACAACTTCCAATATCTAGAAAGAAACAATAGTTGGGGAAGTACCAGAACCAGCGACGTCATTTGATTCTTCGATATTGTCGGCCATAACAAAAAAATGATCTCGATCGAGGGCAACAATTCAAAACCCTATAGAAAACATCAAACCCTTCCCACCAGAGCAAGATATGCAGGAAAATTTCGGAAAATCGCTCTGGCGATTTGGCGCCTTCCGACTACTCGAAGTGAGAGACTGAAGAAAAGGAAGAAAAGCAGCCGCCGTCAATGGGAATTGTAGAAGCTATCGGATTGAAGGACAGCTCATCAACGGGGCCCCGACTAGACATTTTTAGTATAAACCCCCATTCATTGGCCCGAATGTGGCTTACGTCACCTCTCTTTGCAAAACAGGTATTTTAAAAATTAAATTAAATTAAAAAAAAAAATAGCTATACTAGCGGTTAATTGTATTTTAATTTCGGTGATTCGATGATAAGTTTTCAATTAATATTTGATCGTTTCATAGGAAATAACATATATGTATATATATATATATCAAATTTGTTATTTAGATTAAATTATTTTTTAAAAAAAATCACAAAATATTTTATTAAATATTATTTTTATACTCTCTCGGCTCCGTTCTATTGAAAGATTATCCTTTTTTTATTTTCGTCCGTCCCAAAACAAGGTTACAATTTCTTAATTTAGTAATTGTACTATTTACTTAACATAATAAATACCCTTTTAATTTATAATATATTACACGTCGTTACTTTTATATTACACCATATTAATAAGGATATTTTTTATCTTTTTTATTACAATTTAATATAATATTAATATTCAAAAATTCAAATGCAAGAAACAAACGCCACTCTTCCAATAAAACGGATGGAATATTCAAATCAAATTTTACTTTGAAATGGCATCCTATGAGTATATAAAATACTCATTTGTCATAAAATCGTAAATTTTATAATAAAAAAGTATACTACTTTTATAATTTTATATAATAAAAAAATTATACTATTCATTTTTTATTGAGACTTGTACTTTAATTATGAGTATAATTTTCAATAACAAATATGATACGATAGTTTAAAAATGGTATAATTAGTAAATAATTAAAAATATATTAGTAAAAATAATTATAGATTAAAATTAAGATAACTTATTAGTATAATTAAAATTAAAAAAATATAAATTAATTTTTTTTAAATAATATTAAAGTGTATAATTCTTTAAAAAAAAAAGAAAATGACAAAATAAATGTGATAGACGAAAATGAAAAAATGGATATGAGAAGTGAGACGAATGAAATAATATATTATATAGATATTATTATATTTGTATTATAAAATATTACTAAAAATATTTTGCCTTTGTAAAAAAACCAAACCTAAATAATGGATGAAATAAGTATTAAGTATTTAATTTTTTATTAGTTTTAAGAAATTTTAAAACTTCAAAGGATTTGTTCATTTTATTTTTAATTAGATTAATCCATTATTTTAATGTTAATTTATAATTATATTTATCATAAAATAATTATTTTAATAATATATTTTAAATTATTTATTAATATATATATATCTCTTAAATTTTAGTATGCAAACACAATAGCATGGACGAATTAGGTAATTTATAAAAAAAAACAATATATAAAATAAGATAAATTCTATACACATCATTGTGTTCTAATAAAAATACACATAATATTCAATACTTTATTTATTTCATAAAATTCTTGTGTATTAAATTAAAGTAAGTATAAATACTATTTTCGTCTAAAATTAATGTTTGATTATAATTACTATATAATTATGCAAATTTTATATAAATAAAAGAAGTAAAGTGGAGTATATTTTTTATTACAAAAATTATTTGATATTTTATTTTAAAATTTTAGTAAAATTTTTAGTAAAATTTTATATTAATTGCAAAATATATTAATATATTATTTTTATTTTTATATTTTTTTGCAATTATTTTTTTTAAATATTAAAAATTGGTTATTTTTTATATTACAAAATAATTGTAAAAAATATTTTTATTGAATTATCAGTATATATCAAATAATTTTAACAAAAAAATAAAAATAATAATATGCATGACTTACAAAATAATTATATTAAAAATATAGTCGTAAACATAATTTAAAATATGACTGTATTAAATTTTAAATAAAATTAAAATTAATAATTATGATATTGAATCGTACAAAAATAATTTTTATTCAAATATTTAAGACACTCTTCGCACCTTTCGTTGAAAAAGAAAAAAGGCCAATCATTAATGGTAAGGAGTCACGGAGTGGCGGGCCGCGGTGGCCAAAACGCGCTGTCCGATTGCAAGCTGGCATTTGCCTGTGCAATGGGATTTCTTGCGACCACAGACACCTACACCCGCGTGCGTAATTTCCATCGCGCCCGCACACATACATGCCATCTGAAATCTTTCCCCGAATCTCTCCCTGAATCTCTCCCTTCCTTTCCCTCTCTCATATCTGTGATTTAGAGACGAAACGTCGACCAGATTTGATTCCATTCCGAATACCACAGTAGAAATGCAGAGGGCCAAGGATCAACGGCCAAGATCGTCTAGGCCAACCACAATCCATGGCTTCGCGCAGTCCGGAGATCTCAACGCCTTCCAGAAGTTGCTTCGCGGGAATCCTGCTCTTCTCAACGAGAGTAACCCCGTTGTAAGATCTCGTGCATTCTGATTTTTTTTTTCCCCTTTCTGTGTGTCTGCGGGAATCTAGGTGTGCTTATTTCCGTCTGTTTTTGGGGGCATTGTGATTTCTGGAAACTTAACTTTCCTTTTTGTTCCTTTTATTCGAGATCCTCGTGATTTGTTTTGTCGCAGTATGGTGGAATGGATGCTTGTTTTTTCTGTACCCTGGCTGGGTTCCATCTACCATGGTTATTTATCTGTTATGAGGAATTCTAGCGTGTTTAATAGGATAAAGACGGATCATCTATGCCTCATGCTCTATCCATTAAGGATGTGGCGGAGTTGCATTTTTTGGGGTCGATTTAGGTTAGATACTGTTCATCATGTATTCTGTACAGATACATATTTAGGTGTTCATCGCTGCAGGAGATGATGGAACTTTCGCTCTATATTTCTGTTTCCTAATTATTCTGCATTAGTATGTTTGCTACTAATGCATCCATGAAATGGAGAAAATTGATTATTTCTATTCCAGCATATTCGCTAATCCAACAGTGGGTCGAGCTATGTTTCCATTTATCGGCTTTATTTTATCTTGTTTATAACAATTGGATGCTATTTGTTGTGTCTTTGTGGATTCACTGATATAATATGTCATACGGTTGTTTATGCTATTGGCAGAAGTAGTTTCCTTTCTAATTTCAAAGTGCTGTGTGTCATTATTCACAAAGTCCGAATGTTACCCTCGTAATACATTGTTTGTGCATTGTAACTGTATTAGTTAAAATGTTGATGAAACTCAATCAAATGATACATTTTCCATCTGTTATTGTACAGATGGCACAAACACCCCTCCATGTTTCTGCTGGTTACAATAGCATTGAGATTGTAAAATTTCTTCTTGATTGGCAAGGACCTGAGAAACTGGAACTGGAGGCGAAGAACATGGTACTTTTAAGTCTTACTTTTCTTGACTATTTCTACTGTTTCTCATCCTGAAGATTTAGAGAGGACTTGTTTATTGACTTGGATTATGCTTCCTTGCATCATTAACTGGAAGTATGGAGAAACTCCACTGCACATGGCAGCAAAGAATGGGTGTAATGAAACAGCAAAGTTACTTCTTGCCCGTGGTGCTTTTATTGAAGCCAAAGCAAATGTTAGTTTTGACTTTAAATTATTTTCTGTTTCAGCTTTGATCTGATTCATGCAGGATGCCGGTGTTAATTATTTTAACTTGATCTATATGTGTAACCTGCTTGGCAGAATGGAATGACTCCCTTGCACCTTGCTGTTTGGCATTCTCTTCGATCTGAAGATTGCTCAACTGTCAGTACATTGCTAGAGTACAATGCCGATTGCAGCACCGAAGACAATGTATGGCTGCTTGAAATTATAAGTACTTTTTGCCGTGTTCTGTGGCCAATGCTGATGGAAAATAATTTAAAGTGCAGGAGGGCATGACTCCTGTAGATCATCTCTCCCCCGGCCCAGGTAGTGAGAAATTACGGGATCTCCTCCTGCGGCATCTTGAAGAGCAGAGAAAACGGAAAGCCCTTGAAGCATGCAGTGAGACAAAAGCAAAGATGGATGCGCTCGAGAACAAACTGTCTAACATAGTGGGCTTGCATTTACTCAAAACACAACTTCGGAAATGGGCAAAGGGAATGCTCTTGGATGAGAGGCGCCGCTCCCTTGGTCTTAAAGTTGGAGCTAGAAGGCCACCTCATATGGCTTTCCTCGGAAATCCTGGAACAGGTACTCATTATCACCTTGAAACTTTTACTTTTCAGCTAGGTCTTAGTTCGCGTAAGACTAAAAGTTAACTGAAATGTCTTCCAAATCCAAATGCTACGACTTATTTTGCTAAAGTTCTAATTTTGTTTGGAATATGCATATCTTGTTGTGGCTGTGTTGCTAATTGCAATTTTCATCTGTCGTGATCTTTTATATAATCATTCTTTTCTTAGGTAAAACTATGGTGGCTCGAGTCCTTGGGGAACTACTCCATATGGTGGGCATACTTCCAACAGATCGGGTAACAGAAGTGCAAAGAACCGATTTGGTTGGTGAGTTTGTTGGCCATACAGGGCCAAAGACAAGAAGAAAGGTAAGGATTTTTTGCATTCAGATCATGTATTTTTTGTGCAGTCACTGCATGAGCTGCCTTTATTTTTTCTATGTATCTTCAGATCCAAGAAGCCGAAGGAGGCATTCTGTTTGTAGACGAAGCCTATCGATTGATACCAATGCAGAAATCGGATGACAAGGATTACGGAATAGAAGCATTGGAGGAGATCATGTCGGTGATGGACAGTGGAAAAATTGTTGTAATATTTGCTGGCTATAGCGAACCAATGAAGCGCGTGATATCTTCCAATGAGGGCTTCTGCAGACGAGTGACCAAGTTCTTCCACTTTGATGACTTCACCTCAGAAGATCTTTCCAAGATTCTCCATCTCAAAATGTGCAACCAGGCAGAGTCCAGTTTGCTGTATGGATTTAAGCTACACCCATCGTGCAGCGTACAGGCTGTTGCAGCGCTCATTGAACAAGAAACCACCCTGGAACAACGCAAGGAGATGAATGGAGGTTTAATCGATCCAATGCTGGTGAATGCCCGGGAAATTTTGGATATGAGGATCAGTTTTGAATGCATGGATGCAGATTCTTTGCTCACAATCACCTTGGAGGACTTGGAAGCAGGTCTTCAGACCTTGACACATTGAAACCCTGCGAAAATTCGAAAAGCCGAAAGCTGGAGAAACAAGGGAAGAGAAAACAAGATTATCATCAGGTAGGAATTCATTATTTGCTCTGCATTCTTTTACCTCAAGAAGATTCAATTTGAGTTATTGTTTGCCAGACGTTACACACAGATGGCACAAAAAAATGCCCTGTTCTTCTTTTGCTCTGAATTCATTCTTTCATAGTACTATTGTATTATCTATCTGGTTTATGTATGTAATTGAGCTATGAACTGCAGGAGGGCTTGTCGAATATCCGCACAGCAGATTGTATTCTATCTGACGTTATCTGTACTGTAATGAAATTTAATTATTTTTTTGCTATTGTATGCATTAAGTTGATATTGCGTGTGTGTTTGTGCTGCCACAAGTGTTTTTCTGGGAACAGATCATCTCAAACCTCCAAGTCCCAATGTTTTGTCTTAGATTGAAGCTGACACTGTGTTTATCTTTTTATAATTATAAATGTTATTATTTTGTTAATGTACAGTTTGAAAATTAGTTATTTAATCATGTAATGTTTTTGTTTGTTTTTTAAGAAAAATAAATTATTGTAATTGAATAGTAGGATTAAAAATTATTTCATGGTTTTGCATTTTGTCGTGTAGCATATATACTTCGTTTTTTTTTTTTTTTTTTTTTATAGGACATGTAGCATACTTTTGGAATGGTAAACGTTTGCACATCCAGTACATTTTAGGATTGATTGCTACTATACACATTATGGAGAACAACCTGTGACCATGTTTACTCTTTAAATTATATGTAAAGAAAAATGTGTACGTGTTATTATTTCAAGTAAAATCACCCGATTATCTCAGCGTTACCTTTTCCCGGCTGAGTGTGAAAACTCATACAGATAACATTGTTATTTTTAATGAAAATGAAATTTTTATATATGGTAGTTTTTTAATTAAAAAAGAATAATATTTTAGAGATAAATAAATAAATTTAATATTTAAATTTGAAAAAACAAATAAATACACAGCGAAGCGCAAGCGTGATTTGGGAGGATGGAAGTGTCCTCTACGCAATAAAATGATCTCCGACATTCCAAGGAAGAAAGAAGAAGAAGAAGAGAAGCGAAGGAAGAGAAGCGCGCCACGTTTTCCTTCAATGGCCGTGGATGGATTAGATCATCGCCCTTTTGCCCTAACGTGTGGTCATCACACTCCTCTCTATTTTCCTTCTCAGTTACCAAACTCTCTCACTCTCTTTCTCTCTCTGCCTGTCGTCTTCTCCCACCAGATATTTTTATTTTCTTCCGTTTTTTTTCTCTACTTTTAATCCCTTTTTCATGGGAGGGCATTCGACTTACACCGGCAGAATCTAAACCCCCCGAGGATTGGGAGTTATCCTCAATTCATCTGATCCTCAGCTCCACCCGATACACCGTCACATCTGGCTGGCTACTTATGCTTCTGAATATCCTCCACAATGACCACTTTGCCTAAGCTGCGTCTTCTCCCGCTCGATTGCCACCACCAGGCCTGCCAATTTCCGCCGCGCCGGCGCTTCCTCCGCCCCCGTCTTCCATGGGTCTCAATTTCTGTCAGGGGTCGGGATACGGTTTGGGTTCGTCCGTGCAGGTCTTTCAGGTCCGACGAGGGCTCCGGGGCTGAGGAGAGCGGAAACCGCAGTGTTGGTTCCGCCAGGAGCGTGAACAAATTAGTGAATTCGTTTAGGAATGCTGTCTGGAGGGCTTCGAAGCCGAGTTTGAGATCGGATAGGAAAGCTCTGGAGAAGTTGGAAGAAACCCTGTTTTCTGTAAGTTCAAATCCTTGAATAGCTTCGCTATGGCGTTGAATTTAATCGTTGTGGATGATCAATAGCAGCATTGTCATGTGTAAATTTTAAGGGTTTTAATGAAGCTCATTAGCAACATATTTATTCAGATTTCATGAAGCCTTCTATAAATTCAACACAGTTTTCCCTCTTTTACCATGTTCTTTGTCTCTATTTCATATCATTTTAATTGAAATCGATTCCTTGTCTCTGCAATGGATTATATTTGCTTGTTTATTGCTATTATAGGCATACAGTGCTGATAGTTTCGACATAAGTGTGTTTTAATCAATACATCCTTCTTTCATACAGATTTCTATGTACATTGGAAGATATATAGTGACAATGTTGAGTACAGGAGTTATATTGTTGATCGGATTTCAGCTGTCAGGTTTGGTTATAATGTTCACTTCTTTTAAACGTCGTCATGGATTTCCTTATTTTATTCTGTGAATTGAGTTTCTGAAAAATTCTGTAGGCGGAAATGGTCAAATGAATGAACTAATATGGTACAGTTGGCTTGGTGGGATAATTATCGGAACTATGATTGGTTCCAATATGGTGATGGAAGAAGTCAGTCGATCTGGTCCTCGCAATGTTGTTATTACGGGAAGGTACAATTATATTAAAACTACTAAGAATCCAAGCCCTGAATATGTAGAAGGTTTAGAACTTTCAGTTTCAACCATAGTGTATAATTCTTTTTACAGTACACGAGGATTAGGGAAAGCTCTGGCGCGCGAATTTTTACTTTCAGGTGACCGGGTTGTTGTTACTTCTCGCAGGTAATTATTTGACTATTTGCATTGTTGAAAATGGTTGTATGCATATGTTACCTTCGCCACTTCATGTTTTTACATATGTTTGGTTCTTCTGGAGGCAGCGCCGAATCAGTTGACACAACGATCAAAGAATTGGCAGAGAATCTGCAACAAGTCATAATTGCTACTGGTGGCTCATCTCAAAAACATTTAGAGCATGCAAAAGTAGTGGGAATTCCGTGCGACGTCTCTAACCCTGATGATGTTAGAAAGCTATCAAAGTTTGCTGTTGATGAATTTGGTTCTATTGATATATGGGTAAGATTATTTCTTGGCTTCCAAATTTAATAAGTCGTATGTCTGAGTTCAAGTAGCATTTCGAGTCCCTTTTTTTTTGCAGGTGAACAATGCGGGGACGAACAAAGGGTTCCGGCCCTTACTGGAGTTTGATGATGACGACATCCTACAGGTTCATCTTCGATGACATTCTTTTGTATTCAAATTCAATAAACACTACTATTGTGTCGATATCTTATGCAGCATTTCTTGTGACTTGCATTTTTTTTCTGTACGGAAAATTTTGACAGATTGTGTCTACAAATCTGGTTGGTTCAATAATTTGCACCCGTGAAGCCTTACAGACCATGGAAGCCCAAAGAAATGGCGGCCATGTTTTTAACATGGATGGTGCGGGATCGGGAGGTTCAAGCACGCCACTGACAGCTGTGTAAGACTTGATCCTACCATTTCTGTTCCTTTAACAATGATAAAAATCTTTCCTGCTAGACCTCGATTACTCGTGATTGAAATTTTCATATCCTTTGCAATATAGCTATGGATCGACAAAATGTGGTCTTAGGCAGCTCCAATCGTCACTTCTTAAGGAATCCAAGAAGTCGAAAGTTAGAGTTCACACGGCCTCACCGGGCATGGTCCTGACAGATTTGCTATTAAGGTACACTAATTTTCTCTTAACTGTTTTGAGCAAATTTCCATTCGGAATTATTCAAATCTGTTTATTATCGACGCATTCGTGGCAGTGGCTCAAGCATTCAAAACAAGCAGATGTTCAATATCATCTGCGAGCTTCCCGAGACTGTCGCACGAACCTTGGTCCCGAGAATGCGAGTTGTCAAGGGGAACGGGAAGGCCATCAACTATTTGACTCCCCCGAGGATTTTGCTCGCTCTAGTCACCGCATGGCTGAGGCGCGGTCGCTGGTTTGACCACCAGGTAACCTTAAACCACTCAGGAAATACCAAAAGATAATTCTTTTAGTCGAGAATAATACGATGGATGAAGCATTTAAACCATCCATGTTTTCCCCGAATCTTTTAGGGCCGGGCACTGTATGCTGCTGAGGCTGATAGGCTCCGCAACTGGGCTGAGAGTCGAACACGATTCTCATTTACGGATGCGATGGAGATGTACACCGAGAACACTTGGGTGTCGGTTTTTTCGCTGTCGGTGGTGTGCGCATTCATCATCCTGTCGAGCACAAACAGCGGATCGATGCCCGGTACTTGAATCCCGGCTGACCGGAGAAGCCTTGCTGCTGCATCTGCTCTAAGAAATGAAGAGCTGAAAATGGTACAGGTGCATATGGTTTTACTAAATTTGCTCAAGAATGATCGATGATTGGTTGGGTGAATTAAAAGTGGTCTTTTGTAAAGAGGCTGGTTTAGGTTGCTGGCTTCTTTTTAATTTTAGCCTCTGTATGATCGATCACTATATGTCATTGTATCTATTTATTCATTTGGTGGGAAGAAGAAGAAGGTGATTATGTGGAATTAAATTACATTTAGAATGTATTGAAATTGAATGAAGATTATTATTCCCACGAAATATGACATATGTAGGAGTATTTGATTTTGAATTATATATTATTTAACATTATTATTATTATTATTATTTTAAGATCCAAATCACGAAAAAAAAAAGGATTGTGAACATTTTTTACATAAAATATATAATAACATTTAATACTAAAATTATTTAAAATTTTTGTACATACCTAAAAAATAAATAAAGGGCGGAAACTTAATTAGTAAGGAAATTTATGCAACGAATTATTATCTGTGCCAAATATAATACAATATTAATTACTAGTATAAAATGAGAAATTCAGATACACTATCATTCATTGTCAACCATTCTCCATTATTCAATTCAATTCTAAGCGTAACTGCATATAATGCTCGCTCTCGTGCCCTCGCCGGACGAGTTTACGTTGCCTGCTATAGCACAACTGCTGTCCTCTCCGATCACACCGCCACCGTTTCAACCGTCCTCCCCTGCTCCTCCGAGAACTGAGGATTCTCCGGCGCAGTGGAGACCGATGGCCGTGGGAATTGCTGTAGGCTGTTCGGTGGTGATTTTCGTTTTGATAATTCTGTTCGCATTCTGGAAGAAAATGAAGAAGAAAAGTTCGGAACCGGAATTCGGAGCCGGAAAAGGTACGAAAACCTTGCGCGTTGATTCTATTCTCCCCTGCGAATTTTACATCGAGTTTCTTCTCCTTAGACTGCGGATGATGTTTATGGAAAATCGTGATTTGTTTCCTTTTTAATTTGCTTACGATAATTATGTGCCATTGTATAATGTATGGCGAGATATTTGTCTAATGTTATTATCGGAAACCGGCCATTACAATAATTTTTTGTTTAATAAATTATTTAAATTAAACTTTACATTTAATTACTTTCAATGTTTTAATGAATTACGTATTAATTATATATATTTCCAAAACTTAATCCTGATTTGAAATCAGGAGTAACAATAATGGCAATAAACTACCTATTCAATTATCAATATGATTACATGAAGCGGCTATAGTGACCGTGCTGATTTCAAATTCATATTGTATTACTTCTTAAAATGTATAATAAAAATTGAATAAATACTTGTGCTATTGAAGAACTGAATTGCATTAAATAATTTAAATGCATTGTTCCATGCAAAATATTTTATTTTATAGTATTAATTTATATTTATAATTATAAAATGCGTCCATTTGTTTAATTGTAATTGTAACTGTAATTTTAATTTCACTAGTAAAAAGTGGCTAATGGGTATGTTGTACACAGGAGACAGCCGGCGACGTGACGATCCGCATCGGCGTTCAGATTTGGCGATTACAATACAATCTTCTTCAGCAGCAATTTCTGCTGTTAATGGCGATTCGGGATTGAGCACTCCAAACTCGGAAGCTCCATTTCTGGCGCTCTCGCCCAACATTTCCTTCCAAAGAACGAGCACGTTCACGTACGAGGAGCTGCAGAGGGCAACAGGCGGATTCTCGGAAGCCAACCTTCTAGGACAAGGTGGATTCGGCTACGTCCACAAAGGAGTCCTCCCCAACGGCACAGAGATAGCGGTCAAGCAGCTCAAAGCCGGCAGCGGCCAGGGCGAACGAGAGTTCCAGGCTGAAGTCGAGACTATCACCAGAGCCGACCATAAGCATCTCGTCTCCTTGCTCGGCTACTGTCTCTCCGGTTCCTGGAGAATGCTCGTCTACGAATTTGTACCCAACAATAATCTCGAATTTCATTTGCACGGTACGTACCTTTGTAGCTACCTACCTTCAAATTAATTATTCAATTTGTACATATATTTAAGAGAGAGAGAGGGGGAGATTGGACTGATTATATATATATATATATATATATTGTGTGTTGAAGGAGATAAAGCGACGCCCGTGATGAATTGGTCGACGCGGTTGAGAATTGCGCTCGGTGCTGCCAAGGGACTGGCGTATCTGCACGAAGAGTGTAAGTCTTCTTATTAATTAGCTGTTAATTGTGGAATTTACTTTATATGGCTCAATTATTGTTGTTTTGGTTCGTCTGATGATGGAAATTAATCGATGAGATGAGATTTGTGCGTGCATAATATTAGGTAATCCCAAAATCATTCACCGGGACATAAAGGCTTCCAACATTCTGCTCGACCTGGATTTTGAAGCCAAAGTAAATGTTTAGTTAATTGCCTTGTCAATCACTAGGCTATATATATATAATTTGGATATTTGATGGCTGTAAATCGTAATTGAGCTCGATCCATTTGATGTTTTGAATCAGGTTGCAGATTTTGGGCTGGCCAAGCTATTCGACTCTGACCAAACTCATGTTTCTACACGAGTGATGGGAACATTCGGGTGCGTATATGTCCATTCATGGTGTAGCTAGGGTTTGTTATATTATTGCATTGTGTTAGTTGCTGATTTTAGTTGGGACTATTTACATACAGATATCTGGCACCGGAATATGCCTTCTCCGGGAAACTGACGGAGAAGTCGGATGTGTACTCATTTGGGGTGTTGCTTCTGCAGTTGATCACAGGTCGGCCGACATTTCGAAAAAACAAAGCTACTTCCAACACTGAATGTCTGGTTGATTGGGTGAGTTCATGTGTCTAACGATGCATCCCCTGTTTCCCCTTACGTAAAAGTTAACTTGAAAAGAACACACACACATATATGCAGGCCAAGCCATTGCTGGCACAAGCCCTGGAAAGTGGAAATTTCGATGCCATAATCGACCAACACATGCACGAGGACCACAACCGCAGCAAGGAGATGGAGCGTATGGCGGCCTGTGCTGCTGCCTGCGTCTTCCATTCTGCTAAACAGCGCCCTAAAATGAGCCAGGTACATATCTTATATATATATATATATATACATAGCCATGATGTAAATAGCGAAAGAGCTTTGGTTATATATGATTCACTCACGTCCCGATTGGCAGGTGGTGAGGGCATTAGAAGGGGATACATCCATGCTGTTGGACGTCGGTAAAGAGCAGCTGCTGCGCCAACAACGCAGCAGCGCATACATTTCTGATTCAAGGAGCTCCGAATACAACACCGCACAGTACAACCAAGACATGGCCATGTTCAGGAAAACGGCGCTGGAAAGTGAGGACTACAGCCACTGCAGCAGTTCAAGCAGCGGCGGCGGCCATGGAAACAGCAAAGGCCAACCTGGTAGTAGACATTTGGGGACATTAACAGAGAAGGTGCAAACAGGCGATTGATATACATATAGAGGATCAATGCACTCGATATACACGGATTTCCGTTTACTGAGGGCATTTTTCCAATGCATCCTTCTGTATGTGCAGGTATTTTTAAACTTTGCACATCCTTATCTTATATATGAGAATAACATTATATATATTGAAAATTTCCGATATTAGTTTGAAATATATTTTACTCATGGTTAGGAAAATTATTAACTTGCTCAAACAATATATTTGTGTTATTATGTTAACATGTAACATAGGGTAATAAAGATTAAAACTACTTGGTATCCTAACCGCCATCATTTTAGTGTTTAGTATTATATAAGAGTGCTCAATTTGAATTTAAATTTAAACATCTCATCAAATCCAAAAAGATATCACTCTCAAACATTACACCATAGATTGCCTCCTAGAATTCAAAATTTCACTTCAAAGTGGAAGTTACCTAATAGGATTTCAATCCAACAAATTTCACTAATTTTCCAATAGCAAAATTCTGCTGAAGAAAGCACTCAAGGATTTGATCACCTGTAATTGCAAGTTTCATGCTCAAGAAAATTAGGGTGACACTTGACAGTAGTACATGTTTATTTTCCTCAAGTGCAGAACAGCCAATCTTGCCCTCTATAGTATCGCATGACTATGTAGAGAATGATGGCGTACTTCGTCAGTATTACGGAATAGCAGAACGGATTACAAAAGATCCTTTTCTCCTCCTTCGTCGCTTCTGCCTAATTTTCCAGAAACTCCAGAGGAGCACAAGTCCTGCAAGAAAACCATACTAACAGTTAAACAAACAGCGCAATTGAAAAGGGAAGCACAATGATAGTTGGAAATGGCTTAACGTCAGCGAATGTGGTTCCATGGGACGTGGGGATTACCTAAAATAGCAACGACAGCAGGGATAAGCCAATGACTAGCAACCAGTACCGGAAAATCAAGCTGCAATTGGAAACAAAGTTGTTATATCAACAATAGCCTGGTTAATTGTGCTGCTAGTTTGATGTACGATGAATAAACAGTACGGTACTTACGTCATCACTGTATAAGTAGCCGAGATACTTGTTCCCTAAAGAATTATCGTCCTTCATTCTACTGAATTCAAATCTCTTAAGTGGAAGTTCTCGAGTAGAGTTTAAACCTCTGCCCAAATCAATGGAAGCATACCCGGGCAATCTGCGGTTTCTTCCCCTGACATGCAAATCATAGCCTTTCGTACCCCACACTTCGAACCTGGAATCACTCCTACAGATCAGTTCCTTATTGACGACTGCTGAGTACATTGAGAAATTCACATCTGTTCTGCGGGAGGGTAGTTGGTTGTTGTCCACATGAAGTGTTTTGTCTTGTCTAGCTGAATCGGAGAAAAGCATGGGATCTTTGATATTCAGTGACGTAAAATCTAACATCTTTTTTAGAAGCCAGTAACAATTTGTGACCATATGGCTGCTGTCCAGACAGTTGGAATCTCCGTAGACAGCAATCTTGCCACCAAACTCCAACAGGCCTAGAATAGGAGAATACACCTGTGTTGATTTGGAAACTATCGTCAGAACATCCGAACATTGCAAGAACCAAATCACGAACAATTATTTACTTCATCAAGGACCAATGTTAGATAAAGAAACCTATAGGATGAACAATTTCTTGACCAATATAAGCCAAAAGGGGTAGGGACGGGGGCAAAAGCTCCTATGTGCAACATCACTTTGTTAAAATTAATCTAGCCGATCAACAGGAGCACCAATACCAGTAAAAATACAGTATATACACCTCTCATTTGACATAGAGAAAATTGAGGGGAAAAAAAGAGACCATCCATTTAGAAGTGTTCCCATTAATTAGCTTTTAACTATCAGAGTAATCATGTGGGAACGTGGAGGAGCGATTTTAAAGCTCACTATTGAGTAGCTAGAATCATATCATAACATATATGCAAACTTATCAGGCAAGGTTAGCCAGTACCACTTTTCCTGATTTCCTTTGTTTTTGTGATATGTAAAAAAAGGGATATGGCAGTAAAGAATGTGTAATATGTCACAACTACTCACCTTATTCATGCCAGATAGCAGTAGATTTTGAGTAGCCCCGCTCTCCGAGCTATCCATGAATGGGAAGCTGTGTAGGTATCCACCTTCTGGGAACTTCACAATATTGGTTCCTGATGCATATCGACTCTGCTCTCCATTAATGACAAAATCACCATTTAAAATCTTGTCTCCGAAAGCTATACCAAATGGTGCCAATAGATCATTCAGAGCAGGAACATTGGAACCGCCGGTGACAGGAGTCCACCAGCTTCTTGTATTATCATCAAAAAACTTCATCTTCATCATGGACTCCACATTGTACCAATCAGCAAACACGGCAAGACCTAGACCATTATATATAACATCATCTTTTAATTTTTGTATTTCTTCAGGAAAATACTCATCTTCAAGATCCACCAAGAGAAGTGTCCCATATTGGTTGGCATCAAAGCAAGTAAAAGGCGAGCCAAGAGTCTCTACATAATATCCTGCATCCCGTAACATGTTAAACATGATGTGGAAATTTGTATGCAGGTGGTCTCCATGCCAGTCAAGAATGTCATTTCTAACATCCAAGGAATCCCTTGGGATATACCCTGGTGGATATTTGATGTTATGAAATTGGTCCCATAAGATCCTCATCGATCTTTGAGGAGTAGGAATAACTTTTAGTCTAAGATGAAGGACACAGGTGCTTCTTCGAGTATTTTTCTCACCAGGAGCTGGGGGACTGTAAATATTGACAGTTACATTGCCTTCTATTTCACCAGAAAAATGCACTCCTTCCTCTTTGATTTGCAGGTAAAGCGCCAGAAAACCCGTCCAAGGCCAAATAACATTTGAGTAGGTAAAGTGAATGCTGAGAAGATTCCCTTCTTCATTGGAGGGATGCCATACTGGAGGGCCACCAACATAGCCAATTACACCCATCCCGTTCAATATGGTGGTATTGAAGATCACAGGCATTGCCCCAGCATACAATGGTTGACGGCAAAAAGGCCAAGAATAGGGGCAATCCGTGTAGTCAAGGACACTAGGAAATATAGTTGCTCGAGGTTTGTAACTCCTCAAAATTTCATAAGATTCCAGTCTGATGCAATTATCAGTATTAGATGATAATTACTTTTGAATAATCAACTCATAATCTTAAAGAAACTCGAGAATACTCACAGATCAACCCTGCCTGCTCCCTGCTCATACATGTTAGGACCCGAGAGCTTTGAGGCACCTTCAACTAGTGCTTGTTTCATACTTGCCGGATTTAAAATTGCTTTCCTAACATTTTCAGGAATGACACTAACAAGAAGGCACACTATTCCAGCAACCACAGGACTTGCTACACTGGTGCCTGATAAGCTTTTACAACCTGTACTAATCTTGGATCCCATAATTTCCCGGCCATATGCAACTACATCAGGCTTCACACGACCATACCTGTGAAGTTAAGGTTATTAATACAGAAGCAAAGTACAAAAACTAGACAAATGTTCATTGAGTAAACTGCACCTTCTCCATTATTATGCAGAAAACAACTAAAATTCCACTAAAGTCACACAAAACTTGCTACTTTACAGAGTTTAGATAATTTATAAACATTGTGCAGGAACAGATGTCTTATGCTTATCATTATTTAACTACATGGCTCTAGGGATATAATAACTAACCCACACAGGGCTCTGTCTACCTAGTATACCCCTGCCTTCCCCACATGACATCAAGCCTATTTATCAATAAAAATGCGCACAAAGGCTAAATCAGAATTTCACATAGTAAGCATTTAGAGCTAACTGAATATGTCTGGAAAATCTTACTCTGTGTTTAGGTGCGCCACTATAATACAAAGAATAGCTGGTTTCCAATTTCCTATCAACTAGTGTTAACAACAGGGCCATGTTGACCATCCCTCAACCAAGAACAAGCAGTAACATGCCATGAGGAATAGATGAATTAAATTCAAAGTCAAAGCACTACCCATGAGGAATCTCCCAAGTACTCATGCCACGTGATGAAAATGATGCTATATGATCACTGTAATCAATGCCACCAACACCAATAACATCACTTTGGTCGGCAGGATTGTTTAAAGTCCCATAAAGTGGTCCATCATTTCCAATTGCTGATACCATGATAATATTATTTGCTGTAATTTCCCAAACCTAGCATCAAGAGATATAAACCAAAAAGCATGTATTAGGATAACCACATACTTCATTCAGGGCTTTTACTCATATCATGGAGTTAGATCAATAAACAAAGCAGCCTATTCAAACAAACAAGCAATATTTGCAGGAGAACTGAAGCCTACAGGTTTTCCATGATGCTAAACCAAGAAAGATGGTATAAAACCGAACAATTCATTCCATACCTTAAGATGTTATCAGAAAGTAATAATTTATATATAGTTGAAATACAGATGACGATCAAATTTTGTTTACTACTACTTATAGCCCATAAACATATGCTATTTTATATATCTAAATGAACAAATATGGCATGCCTAACAATGTAATGGTTCTTGACAAACAATCATGCTCCATAGATTGTAACTCTTTTTGAAGCATATACTAGAAGGGAAATGGTGAATAAACAATAACTATATAAATTTGAAGAGGGGTGGGTGAAAGAAAAGAAATTTGTGGAAATAGCAAAAAAAGCCCGGAAGAAGAAAATTATAAATTGATGAAGTACAGTCAAAGCATTGTCTGACCTTCTCAACAAATGGGAGATCCAGATAGTCAGGTCCACCAATACTCAAATTCAACACATCTATCTGGGACGCAATTGCATAATTGAATGCATCAAGAAACCAGGAAGTGTATGATACCTGCAATAAGCTGAAGAGAAGTTTCTTAAACCTCCTAAAAACAGTTCATGGAAATGATAACAAAGGAAAACATGTATAGGAAAAAATATGAGAGAACAATAACCAAATGTATTAGCCTATTAGGCATATGAACTCACTACCACACTTTGTAAACTACAGGGCAATACAACATAGTGATATTAAAAATACTAATTGACTGAAGTTTTTCTAGCAACTGAGTGGAAGATGCCACAAAATTGTAACCATGATAGAAATGTGGTGGAGAATCACCAAACCCTGTAGTTTTTAGCTGGACTTCTTGTTGAGTTTAATGCGAAAAAGTGAAGCACTATCAGTATGTATTCTCTTTCCACACAAGGTAAAGTTAAAACAATAAGCATTACCTGTGCATCAGTAAACACCCGAAATGCATATATTTCAGCATCTGGAGCGAAGCCAAGACATTCCGCATCTTGACCTGCAATAACTCCAGCCACAAACGTCCCATGCCCAAGATTATCATTTAAGGTATCTTCACTGGTCCAGTTAGTGCGTTCCTGATAGTTCAGAAATAATCAAACTACATCAGAAGACGCATAGGAAGTGAAAGACCAGAAGGAGAATTTCCTCCTAACAAGAAATAAATACCTTTATATTACGAAAATGTGGGTGATCAGCACGAATACCAGTATCAAAAATAGCCATCTTCACTTTGGCACCAGTATACCCTTTCTTCCAGAGAGCATCTGCTCCAAACAAGGATGTAACTTGAGATTTCTGCACCAGTGGTGAAAAACAATCTCAGAAGGTAAAATTTTAGACAATGGAGAAAAATTCATATGAAGATGTTACAGCATTAACCCAATAATGCATTCAATTCTAATCAAATGGCCCCTGGAAATACAAATGTGGCATGTTAAATGCACGAAACAATCAATCAAGTATGTAAACCTAAAAGAGCAAGAATCTCACAAAATATCAACAAATTCTGCCTCTAACATCAAAGCACCTAAAAACAAAACCACAGAACCATGCTGGCTTTAAAGGAAGACTCACAGAAGAATGGATATCTGCAGAACTTTGATTCAACTTGGAAACAGATCTAGAAGGTCTTCCTTGTAAATTCTTGTCTTAGCAGGTACTCAGGCTTTCTTTATGCATATACTTTCACATCAATTAACATCAAATAGGGTTTTCATGACTACATTCCAATAACGATGATAAACCACGACTGGCTCATTAGTGTCAACAAGACGGTTCAATATCTTTAGTTTAATCATTCTTCTCCCATGGATAGTTTTATTAAGGAACTTCCTAACATGAAGATAACAATAGCAAGTCCTCACACATAAGAGAACATACAGGAATTTGGATTCAATAAAGCACACCTGTGCCATGAGATTCCTCCTCCAGCTAATTCTGACACTGCTAGTGTTCGGCACCACAGCGGCGGGGGGCTCCCCTTCCCCAAATGACATGGCTGTAAAAATCTTGCCAGGTCTTTTCTTCCCATCCACAAACGCCCCAACGGCTTTCTCCTCAAGAACCTCCCCCCGGTAGCAGGAATCCGGCGTAACATCTTTCACCAGCAACAATTTGTCAAACTCCCCAACTAAAAACTCCTCGCGCTGCTCCTCGATCGACACGAGGGCAAAATCAGTGGGGAACTTCATCGCTGGGTTGCGCCGCTCGACCCATTCCCACCCTCCCGATTTCACATTGCGTTCCAGATACTCCCTAAGCTCCTCCGCTTTCTTGTACTGCAGAAATCGGATTATGTGATTCTTCGCCGGGGGTCTCTCCGCCGCAGAGTCTGGCGAATTCGGGGTGTGCTTGTCGGGGTAGAGGAAATAAGCAAGGAGAATGAAAATTACAGGAAGGACGAACAAGGATATTCCAGAAGTGTTACGGCGGGTCATCGCGATGAATTCCGCATGGGAAATTCTCCGCCGGAGATTGGAAACTGAATTCCGATGAGAGTCAGGGCACCGGAATCAAACCGGCGGTGATTTCACAGATTGAATAACAGTCGAGTGAGCGGTTGTGCAAATCGCCGGAGCTCACACCACAACGCAACCGTACTACCACGCTCTGTTTTTCTCTCTCTAGGAAACCCAATTAATCGTGAAACTCAATGGACTATAATTTGGTAAAATAAAAATATGAATGCAAGATTTAGAACATTTTAAGTAAATGACGGCTCAGTTTTGATTAATTATATATTCTATTTTGTGCTGTAAATATAGAAAGTTTGTGCCCAAAACAGTGCCTTCCTTAAATAATAAACACCACTAAAAGTCAAGCTATGCGCTGGTTTGTGCTTTTTTAGGTAGTGTTGGATTTAATCTTACTTTTTTTACTATTCAATTTTTTTTTTAAATATTAAATTAAATAAATTTTTTATACTATAGTATAAATTTATTTTACATTCAAAATATTATATCAAAATTTATTTATATTACATCAAACAATTATTCAAATTTAACATTTTACTATTCATAAATCTAAACTTAAAACCTCAAAATCACAAACACACCCTTAATATTTTTATTTTTTTTCCTTAGGCATATTTTACTTATTTTTTTTTACGAGACAAAAATGATCGACAAGTGATTTCGAAACATTGAGTGTTTGAAAATCTTTTGGATCATCTTAGCAGACTTTGGTATATTAATAATATGTAAATCATACTATGCTAAGAATATGTGACATGCAAAATTTGAATTTTAATTCATAACCTCGTATTGACGAATTGAATTATGTTTTATTGGAATTTTGAAGTGAGATTTATTTGTATTTATTTATTTATTTTTATATGTAATAAAATATAATCTCATATTGACAAATTCAATAATTTTTTCTATCTTGAAATTATAGATTATAATTGAATTAGTACTAAATTTAAGAAATATTAATATTATATATAATAAAAAATATAAGTAAAATATTTTCTTTGTTTGTGAATATTAATGTAAAGAATAGTCACAATTATATAAAAAAATGAAAAAGTAAACTAATTTTATAGTCATATAATTATTTATAAAAATAAAATTATTATTTTAAAATTGACAAAAAAATAAATAAGTCTATTATATTGTATTGAGAAGATAGAGCGTTTTTTTTTCTGAAATTTTGAAGTGAGATTTATTTCTAGCGTAGGCATAGTATTTATTTTTTTATATATAACAAAATAAATAAAATAAAAAGTTTGTTTATTTTATAGTTTTAAATAAATGTATTTTTTATATTAATTATAAAAAATTATATTTGAAAAACGAAGAGTAGAAATTTATATTTGGAATGTAAACAAACCCACCAATAACGCACGCGGTTACCCACATACCGATTTAACACAACCCGAGGAACGGCAGGCCCGGCCCGGCCCATACCGTCCCTTACTCCGTTCAGTTGTATGCGGCTAACTAAAACCCTCCAAAATCCTCGAGAATCAATCCGATAATCCCATGGCGGCACGATGTCTCGTCACGCCTTTCCATATCCGCGCCAAAATAACGGCGCCGAGACTTGTGCTTGGGGTTCCTACCCTATTCGGGAAAGCGTCTCGATTCCGGGGGTCTTGCTGTTTCTGTTGCCAAACTGAAATTGGCATGTCGAAGTACAAAGAGATGTTTGCCCGGAGAATGGCTATGGCAGGCCTCAAACCCCATCACCGCATTGGTAGGTATTGTTGTATTTCCCATTTTTGTGCGTACACTAGTTGAATTAATGTATACTGCGGTTGGGTATTGATTGTTTCTGCACACTAGTGTGTTTGCTATTAGGTAGGTCTTCCTGGGTGGCAGCTTACTGTGTATTTTAATGTTCTATTCAGCAATGGCTGTTTCTGGTGGCCCCGACAGTATTGCTCTCTGTATATTGACTGCTGGATGGAAATTTGATTATTTTGATGCTGAAACCAAGGGAAGTAGTAAGTCAAATGACGGACTCCTAGCAATTGTTGTGGACCATAGATTACGAGCTGAAAGTGCAGAGGAAGCAAATCTCGTTCACAATCGAATTACAGATATGGGTAAATGTACCTGTTCCTTTTTACGAGTGATTTTCCCAGCTGTTGAGGTTGAAGATTTTATTGAATTTTCACTGGATGAGAGATATATAATATAGGTTGTCTATAGGAATTAACTGTGAAGTTGTCCACTGTGAATGGTTAAATGGTAGACCCAAGGCCGGCCACTTGCAAGAGGCAGCTCGGAATAAAAGGTGGTTTTTCATAGTTTTTTGTTATCTTCCCCGTAGTGTAGAAAGGAAATCTGTACTTTTTTGAATTTATTGAATTTAATTTGACTTTCTCTGACTCTCCAGATATGAAACATTACGAAATGTATGCATTCAACGGAAGATTGATGTACTGATGGTTGCGCAGCATGCCGACGATCAGGTCTGCAACATTTGGCTTTTGTTTCTTTTTGTTTTTTGTTATTTCATAGCAACCATACAGCGCCTTGAAACTGTGTGATGCTCCAAGATGATGAACCCAATTTCTCTATGATGTGTCCTATTGTCCTAAGAAGGGCTATTCATTCACGAACATTTAACTTGTTAACATCTGACGTTGGGCACATGCTTTTTTTTTTAATTTTATTGTGTAGCTTTAAATATAAAACATTACTGCTTTTCATCTGTGTTCCATCTTAAATTTTTACGCATCATGCAAAATGCAGAATTATGTTTGCTGAACCTCAGGCATGATGCAGGCCGAGCTATTTATTCTCAGATTATCCAGAAATAGTGGTGTTCTTGGGCTTGCTGGCATGGCATTTGTTTCTCAAATGTTTCATGAATTTCCTGATTTGAGTGAAAACGGATCAGAAACTCTTGGAATTTTATTGGTGAGACCACTGCTAGATTTCTCAAAACAAGACTTGTACAATGTAAGCTCTCTCTCCCAGTGATTCGGTAGTTGTAGAAAGATGCCTATCTATTCCACTAGTTTATTCAGCTTCAACATTATTAGGTCTTCATGAAGTAGCTGCCAAAATTTTCTTTTTTGATCTTTCAGATATGTCAAGTTAGTAAGCAACAATGGGTGGAGGATCCAACAAATAGAAGCCCCATGTATGCTCGTAACAGGATCAGAATGTCATTAAGTAACTTATCATGTAAGTCATGTTAGATTCAAATGAAAACAGAAAGACATTATTTGAATGTTGATATTACAATGAAAATCATGTGGGTCTTAACATCTGTATATGCCTCTCAGGAATTTTATATGTTTGCTTTACTTATCTATGTTAACAATACTTCAAAGGAATGTTGCCTATCCTTCTCATTTTATCTCATATGTGATCATTTTCAGTGCTATATCAGAGTTGTTGTGAAAGAAGTAAAATTTAGTTTGGATTTAGTGTGTTAAGTCATACGTGTGCGTAGTGTTTTTATTATTTGCATGCTCTGTTTCCAATTTCAGAAAATTTATTAAATTGCTTCAATATCTGCAGCTATGTTTAAGGGTGAGTTGCAAGCAGTCGTATCAGCATGTCAAAGAGCTCGATCTCATGTTGATAAAGTTTGTCATCGTTTGTTGAGTCAAGCTGTGACCATTGTACCTGTATGCTTCTTGAATTGAGATAGTTCTTGTAAATATGTAGTAGATTAACCCAGAAACTGATAAGTAATTCGAAAATATTATACATGGCTTATTCTACTATTGGAAATGATAACTATTGTACCTGTGCTGTCTAGCTGTTCTCTTCTCTTATTTTGAGCTTCAACCCTTGCAGCATGGATATGCTGTGATTGATCTAGGAATTCTCAATTCAATGGAAATCAAGGACATTTACCTTGCAAAATTTTCTGCCTTGGTGTTGCAGGTAGTGCCTTTGCCTTCATTTTCTCAAAGTAGTGTAATATTTCTCATGCCTTTGCCTTTACAGTAATGCTATTTGATTTGGATTCATCAGTTCATTTCACAAAGGCATAGGCCAGTTAGAGGGAATGCATCGAAGCTGCTACTAAGCTATTTTCGTACTTTCCCATGCAAGGTGAAATCTAGTTCTGCTGCTGCCCTTTTCACTGTTGTATTGTGTTTTATCCTGTATTTTCTGTACTAACTACTATTTCATGGGGAACAATTTATACCAGTTTTCACATGTTGCTTGAAGTAAGCTTGAAACTATTATAGTAACTCATGGTTTATGTTCTCTTTCTTCCAGGCTTGTCTAACTGTAGCTGGTTGTTACCTATGTCCAGCTCCAGGATCAAAAGGAACAAAAGCCTTGGTATGCTGCTCTGTTAATTCAGCTTTGTCTCTGGAGATGAAAATGTTTCCTTCATTTTCACATGATGGGCGGAATTGCTCTCATGCAACCGATTTAGAGCAGATTATAGCAGGTGGTGAAGCTTATGAGGATAGAAATATGCCAGAAGACAGAAATATACCAGATGCTTCTGGTGTTCCATTTCTAGATTTAACATCCTCTGAAACCATTCTAGATGAAGCCGAAAGGATTGGCATACTCAGTCACTCTACCCACAAATGTATACTTTCTTTGCAGAAGGAAGAAAATGCAAAATTTAAGTCTAAGCCTAAGAACGCATCTGACATTGTGTCCGAAGATGATTTAAGATCTGAAGGTGCAACTCTGAGTAAATTAATTTATCCTGGACAAGTTGGATACTTCATGAATAGGTTTGTTTTAAATTGGAAGGAATGGGATACGGTACTTCCTCATAAAGCATCTTGTACAAATTATTTTGTTTCTGTCAAAGGGGTGGGTGCAGAAAGACAATGTTGCATTTCCTGCACAATTGGTGGTGGGATGGCAGCTGAAGTGCGTAATATGATAGATGCTGATTGGATCTATCTTACAGAGTTGTCCAAAATTTCCATTTTGGAAGGCTGTGAACTGCTGGTAAAGTCGAAGCAACTTGCTGCAAACACAACGGAATATGCTATCTTATCTGCACACAGAGCTCTTGCGTCCCTGAAGTCGATTCCAGCAGCAGCAAGGAGAACTATGCCTGTCCTAGTTAATGCTGAAGGAACTCTTCTGAGTATTCCGGTAAAATACTAGTTTATTATCCTGAATAATGGTCATTATTCAAACCATGCTGATAGTTGTATATCTTTCTCTATAAGTAGTTTAGGTTCCTGCCTAAGGCTCCTTGCCACTCAACTGCATCTAAATTTGTGCCTTCTCAGTTGTCGTTATTTTTCACTTTGGATGTGTTCAACATGCCATTTTAGTTGTTATGATCACATATCAGTTAAATTCTATTTGCGGCTACTGACAAAGTTCTAAACCTCCTTCGCCCAGAGCATTGGTTTCTCATGCTGTCCTGATTTGATGGTCTCTGCTGATTTCAAGCCTCGGACACCATTGGGTGGGGGGCACAGCTCATTTTTGTAGTTCCTAGCTGTTGACTGCCTCAACATCTTCTTTCATCAAGCATGGAAATATGTGAGAACGTGAAGTTGGGGTGATGGATGTCATTCAACAACTGCACTGGCTAACTGATGGAGGAATTGGCAACATACACATGGAAAACTTGCTATACTTGCTTGGACACAGGATGTATTTACTATGTAAATTGAACTTAATATATTCCTATTTTGTATTCTTTATGTGATCTGTTGGAGAGGTTTAGGTTTATGCTCTCCACCTCTATGGACTTCAGCAAATGAAGTAGGAACCATTAGGTGCTATGGCCAACGTGACTGATGTTGCTGGTGTAGCGAAATATAATGGAAGGAAAGGTTATACCTCTGCCCAGAATATATCCCTGACTGTTCATGATGCCGCAGCCACAATACAATTCTGCACCACTTAGGATGAGAGTCTTTCAAGAAACATTGTTTTTACCTTATGCACATTGAGGTTAAATCAAGTCCTCTACCAATGGAAGTTCTTATATGATTTGATTAGGATGGAGTAAAGCTTGGTTAACCCATCAATCTGAAACTAGTTATGGAAGTTGTGACATTTTTATATTGGGCATAGCCTGACAGGTAATTGATAGACTGAGCATTTGTGATCCACATAAAGAAAGATCATTTCGGAAGGAAGCAAAAGTAAAAAGCTTGCAAGGGAGAAGCAAAGTGGAGGAGATGACGTGGCAGGCTGTGCTCCCACAAGAAATGCAGTGGACTCTGATTGCTGGATTTCGTGGAACTTCATCTGGCAACGGTTCCCTTGTGATTTCCTGATAATATTATGTGGATAAGATTGCCCCAGCAAGTCCCTGTTGCCACTACGGTACAATAGTCTACTGTCTTACTTGCAGATTCTCTCTTCTATTCTCTTATGCAGACTGCAGCCACCACCACCACCACCACTTCCATCCTGGTATTGCATTAACCCAATGTTCTTTTGATCAATTTCTTGGTTGCATTTCTTGTTCATGAAGTCCCACCTGTTGCCCTGTTGTTTTTCCTCTCTGCAAGTGTGTGGATACAGTAGTTCATAGGCAGTTGTTTTCGAATTGAAAGTTTTCAGGATGATCTGTTTAGAATCGCTGTGATTGCCATGGAATATCTCGAAATTTTGTTACTTTTCTTGGGTTTCTCTTAAATTTGATGCCTTTACTGATTAATACCGACTGGTTTTGTTTGCAGAACACATCCAAGATGAGATTACTATTCCCAACTTCTGTTCCACCATGCCATGATGAAATCCCGGGAAATGGATAGCTTGAAAGTCGATTTGCAATTCAGGAGTTGGAGAAGGTTTGCGTGCTCTTTCAATTATCAGTAAGCAAAGTATGGAAGGCCGCGGTCGAGACAATGCCCAGCTAATAATAGGTGGAAAGCAGCAGAATGGATCGATCAAAAGCAACTCAAAAGTTCACGCATCAACAATGATGGTATTTATATTGAATTAATTTCGTCTATTACATTGAAATGCTTTTGTCATTAAAATAATCAATGAGTATATAAACTGTGATGACTTACTTGATGTTTGGTGACCATATCGAATAAAACCTATTAAGTTATATGAATGAACTTAAATTTCTGGGCAAAATTTGTCTTGGAAAGCTTCTGATTCCTCAATTCTGATTGAAGTTTATTTTATATGTTGGGTGTATATTGTAAAAAGACATCTGATCCGTTTTCAAATTTGTTCTTTATGTCGTTTTTAGGATTTGCAAGTCCAAGAAAAGCAAATACAACCTTTTTCAGCTTCAGCAAGTTCCCATGGCCAATTTTCCTGCCCCATCTGCTCGAACAACAATGTTTGCCAAGTGGTTCGATCAAGAACCAAGTTGATGAATATTTTGGTTCAGAAGAGAAAGCCCCAAGAAGTGCATTTTGTTTTTAAAGCCTTGACAGAAGAAGGGCACAGGCCGACTCTTGTAACTTACACTACTGTTTTAGCAGCTCTCACACTACAGAAACGATTCAAGTCGATTCCTTCTCTACTTTCTAAAGTGGAAAAGAATGGGCTTAAACCTGACTCAATATTCTTCAATGCAATGATCAATGCCTTCTCTGAATCCGGGAATATGGGAGAGGCTATGAAAATTTTCCGGAAAATGAGAGACAAAGGATGTAAGCCAACAACCAGTACCTTCAACACCTTGATTAAGGGATTCGGTATTGTTGGCAAGCCTGAGGAGTCTTTGAAACTGTTCGATATCATGTTACAAGAAGAGGGTGTGAAACCCAATGACAGGACGTATAATATTCTTGTCCAAGCATGGTGTAGCAAGGGTGACATTGAAGAATCATGGAGTGTGGTGCATAGAATGATCTCGAATGGAGTTAAGCCTGATTCTGTGACGTACAACACCATTGCAAAGGCCTATGCTCGGAAAGGGGAAACTGCAAGAGCTGAAGCTATGATTTTCCAGATGCAGAACGAAAAGGTGGAGCCTAATGAGCGGACTTGTGGAATCATTGTCGATGGCTACTGTAAGGAAGGGAACATGACGGATGCACTGAGATTCTTGCATAGAATGAAAGACCTCCGAGTGCATCCCAATCTGGTTGTGTTCAACACTCTCATCAAAGGATTTCTCGACGCCAATGACCCTGATGGAGTTGATGAGGTTAACCCTTTTTACTTTCATCATTCACTTCTGTTTAGTCCAATTGCTCCCTCATACGATTCGGAGTCTGACATTCTGCAGGCGCTGACTTTAATGGAAGAATTCGGAGTGAAACCTGATGTGGTAACATTCAGCACAATCATGAACGCTTGGAGTTCCGATGGCCAGATGGACAAGTGTCGAGAAATATTTGACGACATGGACAAGGCAAGGATAGAACCTGACGTCCACGTGTTCAGCATTCTGGCGAAAGGGTATGTGCGGGCAGGACAACCTGAGAAGGCCGAGGAGCTCTTACAACTCATGCTCGAATCAGGAGTTTATCCAAATGCCGTAATATTCACTACCATCATCAGCGGGTGGTGCAGCGCAGGGAAAATGGAGTGCGCCGAGAGGATCTACTGTCAGATGTGCGAGATGGACGTGCCCCCTAATTTGAAGACGTTCGAAACACTCGTCTGGGGATATGGCGAAGCAAAGCAGCCATGGCGAGCCGAGGAGTTTCTTCACATCATGGAGGAAAAAGGCGTCCGTCCTCCCAAGAAAACTGTGCAGCTCGTTGCTGATGCATGGCGAGCCATCGGTTTTTTGCATGAAGCCAAGAGAATCGCAGAAGATGAACAGGCCTTCGCATCGAATAAAAACGGGGACAAGAGTGATGAATATTATCAGAACGGCTATCGATCGAGCTTTCTTGCAACCTCAGATGGAATAGTGAATCGTCAGAATGGGGCAACTGCGGCCACAGGGAAGAGCCGGATGGCAGTGAAAGCCCCGTCGAAGTATCATTCGAGATGCATAGGTGCCGCGGCGAAGTTCGTCGTTGTTTCGAACATTTGTGGGCTCAAAGCAAACGCATTGACCGCTGCAGCTCCAATCCATGGAAGAAATTTATGGGTATGGAAGGTGTCGTAACGTAGTGTTCTTAAATGGAGGAGTGTTTGGTGATTCTTGCTCATTCTGCAGATGAAGAAACTGTGCTTCAGATTCAAGATGTGTTATTTTATTACATGCATCTTAATATAGCTTCTTGTTGGATGCAAAGTTATCTTTAATTACAGATTTGATTTGTGATATGAATGTTGCAATTGAAAATTGAAATGTACGAAATGTTACAGTTGAAGACAATTTAATAAGCAGCGCCATCTTATTATTATATACCGTCCACTAAAAATAAATAAATCGTACAATGCTAATTTATAAAAGAAATAAATTATAATTATAATTGTAATTTATTTATTCCTTTATCCTGAAATTTGTCTCGCAGCTGAAATTCAAGCAGCTCACAGAGGCAGAGACGGAAGGAAGGAGGAAGAAGAACCCTGAGGAGGAAAATTAGGGTTTAATCAACTCAAATGGTCACTCTTCAACTATGGCCAATTCCTCGAATCCCTTCCATCCTCATCCCAAAAAAATCCAACTGCTCCAATTTCACTTCTTCTTCGTGTTCCCTACATTTCAGTTCTGACCGTTCCAAGTCTCTCTCCGGGATTCTCGATTTACGGTATGCTAGACATACAAGGGCTAATTTTCGGGTCCCTCGTTGTAATGGTTTTAACAAGGAGACTGCTAAGACCACGGCGCTGGATGCCAAGGATACAGGCGGGGGAGGCGGCGGCGACGGTGGAGGGGACGGGGATGGGGGTGGAGATGATGAGGACACAAAAACGAGCAGTGGAATTTTGCCGGAATGGCTGAATTTCAATGCGGACGATGCAAAAACGATCCTGGCGGCATTGGCCGTGTCGCTTGCCTTTCGGTCGTTTGTGGCGGAGCCTAGATATATTCCATCGTTGTCTATGTATCCCACGTTTGATGTGGGAGATAGACTTGTGGCTGAAAAGGTAATGTATTCGTTCGTGTTCTTCTTGGAAATTGGGTGAATAAAGTAGAGGCTTGATTTGCTTCACTAATTTTGGATTTAGGGAACTGCAGGAATCAATCTTAAGAAACAGAAAGATAAGGTCTCATATTTCTGCATCAGAATTGGCTCTAATCAATGTTTTTTTGGTTTAGATGTTTTAGTGGCTAGATGATTCAAACTCATTAGGTACTTGAATGCTAACATGTTTTTGCATTCCCTCAAGTCAGAATGAGAGTTTTCTATAACACACCCTTTGTGTAATTTTTTATGTTGGCGGAGTACTGCCGGTTATGGTTATAGCAAACAAATGAGAGAATGATGATTTGGTTATGCGAACAAATGACCTCTAGATGCACAATGTGTAAAGATTCCATGGTTCATATTTTAAGGGAAAAGAGAGAACAAAATGAATTGGGAATTAAGCATTCTATTGAATGTAGACGAAAGTGGTCTCTTGATTGAATAGAATGACGTCATGTGTAGTTTTGTCGGTAGTCAGCCTATTATGTTGATGAGCTCTTCTTGCTTGAGTGTTGGCATATTTTCCTAATGAATTTCTCTCTTATCAGCTGATGGTACTTTGATTTTATGCATGTTTGTCTCCACCTTTCAGGTCTCGTATTATTTTCGAAAGCCCTGTCCCAATGATATCGTAATTTTTAAAAGCCCACCAGTGCTTCAAGAAGTTGGCTACACAGATGATGTTTTTATTAAGCGGATAGTTGCAAAAGAAGGTGATGTAGTAGAGGTAGGTTATATAGTAAAAGTTCTGTACTTTTTGATACTCCATTATTTTATCACTGGAATCAATTTTCTCTTGAACCCTCTGTTAAGTTGGTGAGTCTATATTTTAAAGTGTGTGTGGCCAAATATCAAAGTGGATGTCCGAAGTGGAGCGTAGAAACAACATCATCAGTTTTAGCTTCGATTATATTATGATTTGTTTGGAGTCCAAACGGGGTTCTAGTCTTGTTACTTTATGTTTGTCCATTGATCACTGTATTATTCTACCTAGAAGCATGTGTGAGAACATTTAGTTGGATAGAGTCAAGAAAATGGTCATTTATCATTTTTATTTTGAGGCAAGTGTAATCTTTTTATCTTTTGTGATGATTTTCAGTTTTTTCTACAAATGTAATATGTGAATTTACTGCTGCTTGCTATTCTCTCAGGGTTATAGTTTCATCACTTTATTTCTTTTTGTTGACATGCTTATATCCTTTGTCATTTATTTTGTTCATTAACTTAATGAATTGAGTAAGTTTGTATCATTATATTTCAGTTTGAGTGAAAGGGAAAAAGTGCATCAAGGGATTAAAGGAACCATTTATTGATTTACTACCTCAGTATATTCAATATTTGGTGATGAGTTTGTAATGTTCAAATGTGTTCATCTTTTTATGTTCTTTCTTATAATGCAGGTTCATAATGGGAAATTGATTGTAAATGGCATAGCTAGAAATGAAGACTATATCCTTGAAGCCCCCAAGTATGAAATGGATAAAACTGTAAGTCCCGTTTGACTCTATTTAGCTTTCGATTTCGAAAGAATATAGTTATTCTTGTGATTTCCTTTCTTGCTTTCACTAAATATCACGTTAAATGCCATTTTCAGTAATAGGCTAAAAGTTGGACAGAAACAAAAGAGAAACTAAACTTTGAGTGCATGTATCTTCGTATTAAATTCTACCGACTTTGTTATTTCCTTGTGCGCATTCCTGTTGCAGGTTGTACCAAAAAACTATGTTTTTGTCATGGGCGACAATCGAAACAACAGTTACGACTCGCATGTCTGGTAATGTTTTATTACATGTAGAGTCTCAAAACATTATCAGATTGTTGTTCCAACTGTGTAAACAAGCATTTTGCATGTATCTTCTATCAGGGGTCCTCTTCCTGCAGAGAACATAATCGGCCGATCTGTATTTCGATACTGGCCTCCCAATAGAGTTGGTGGCACTGTTGCTTCTGAAGACGGCTGTACAAATACAATCGACAACAAGGAAAGTGCAGTGGCTGCTGCACAGTAACCCATCCGGTTCGATTTTGACAGAAAATTCAGTACATGTTTTTTATCCACCTAATTATCGAAGAGGCTGTGTACGCACAAGTACGTAATTAGGCCTCTTTAAAGCCCCAACTGACCTACCTGCACTTCTGCTTAGAAATATAATTTGGAGTGAGTTTGTTTCAATGATTTTGTTACATTCATTACAGTATTGATTTTGGGAACTGTATATTTTCTGGTAATTGCTTGAATACCTTTTCTACTTTATTGACAATTACACAATTTGTACGGTTTCTTAGAATTCACCTCAAATACATAAACATAAAATTCTATTAAAAAACCAATGATATTCAGACAAAATGACTTTGATTGAAAAATTACTATTTTCGGTAAAGTGTCTATCGCTCCTTCAAAATTTTCATATTTCTCCCTCCATAATCAACTATTTTTATCTACATTTAATATTTTCATTTTTTATAAAATTAATTTATTTTAATTATAAATAAATAAAAAATTATATTATTTAAATACACATCAAATTTACTAAATTAATAACAACGTAACCTTGTTAAATAAATCATTTCAAATGGAAAAGAGGAAGTATTACTGTAAAAATGTTTCTTATAAATAAATTGATTATTAATATAAAAATACATTACCCAAAATATACTGCCAAGTAAGATCTGAACATGAAAAACAAACCCCATTGTCAATATGCTAGTGGATAAGAATATTTGGTTGTCCACAACATATTTTCAACTAAAAGTCGGATACATCTACAACCAACCGCTTCGCCAAAAGAAAAAAAGCCCTCAATTCCAATTGTCTGGAAGCTTCCGAGGATTCGTCAGAAGGAATAACCATAGTTTTGCTGTTTTGCTAATTCTTGATCGAAGCAATATACTGAAAGTGATGAGTAACGCTGCAACACATACAAGGCATGTTAAGAAACACATGACGGGATCATTTAAAACATCTACGAAGTGAAGGTGCGTATACATCTATAAGATTCCGAAATATAAATAGGGCGAAAATATGAGTGGGATTTCTAAAAAAGAAAATAGTATTCTTAAATATTTGGAACAAAATAAATCAAAATCAAAATATGATTTGTATTTACCAAATAAATATCGTTCCCCAACGTCCTAATGCACTATAAAAGTAGCACAGGATAGCGAGAGGAACAAATTTCTTGCTTCACTTGAAATATGGTTATACTAACAGTTTCACAACACAACCATTTGGCCTAAAAAAGTGAAGCTCATTGACAAAAGAAAATCAAATTGAAAACAATGCAAATCACACAGAATTTTAATACAGATATAGCTAAATGCTACCTGTAAAATGAAAAACAGACTAACCACAATGACAAAAAGCCTACGAAGCAACAAATCTTCAAACAGAATTACAAGCTAAAAATCTCAAATTAACTCACTGAAGGTTATTGCATAAATAACTAATGATACAACTCAGTCCCTTAGATGTTCATAATAATTGCAATCATATCTGCAATCATTACAGGTCTGTAGAGCTCATCATAGTTGTGTACCCAAGTTAACTGGAAAAGATATATTGTTTATTTTATAAACCCATATTATATTTTAACAATAAGAGCAAATGGTCACTAACATGTAGCTGCCCCAGTGTTCTTCAGCCTACGGAAGTAGATTGAAGATGTAAATACAGGACCGCACACTTACTATAGCTTCAAGGGAACGAGTTGAAGGGAAATGAAGTCAATCCAATCAACCAGATTAAGAAGCTCTAATCAAAATCTTGATTTCAGAAAACCATGTTTTGAAACAAAAAAATGTCCTTGAGCTTACTAGACCAACTTCAAGTGAATAGTCAGTAAGTCTGAAGAGCAAAAGATAATGATATACGAGCAGATCAACACTACCAAAACCAATTTAAATATGGAAGGTAGTTGCCTGAAATTCTACTCATGACACGAAATAAGAAAACTTTACACAATTTCAAAAAAAAAGAAATAAGACAGTTGTAAACATGAATACAAACATAACAACGTCTGCCCCAAAACAGCTCAGTTTGATGCTTTATGTGCTCATAAAGAAGCCAGCAAAGGCTTCTCTCATACAAGAGGTGTCAGAAATAACTTAGCACCAATCATCATTGGCTCGCATATGAAGTATCAATTGACTAAAAATTAAAAGCGAAAAGAAAATCATAATAATGAATTAAAATTTTGTGGCCTCATTGAGAAGATTAGGCTGTCCACATAAGAGATTCGGACATATGCTTGTCATTAAAATAAGTATAATCATTGGCCAAGAAATATTGTTTGAAATAATAAGAATAAATTGGAACTCAGTTTATGGGTGGTGATATATCAGAATGGTCGTCAAGGTATCATTAAGATACCATTACGACGAACGAGACCAAAAATATCAATCATCATTGCCCCAACAATACATAAACAAGTAACTGAAGGGAGGTTGTTTCATTTCATTGAAAACCTACCTCCAAAATTACACGACAAAAACTCATATTACAAGTAAAGGAGTCATCAGATAGGAGCGAAAGACTAATACAAGTTATAATCACAAATGAATCATTTGAACTATGCTTCGAATCATCACACGACCCCCATTTTCTATTGCTGAAACAAGACTACATTGAAAAACGTCCATCACTCTGCAAAATTATAAACTTTCGATATAATCGTTGGAACCTTGAACTGATCCATAGAAAGGAAAATTCATAACAGTGACATTTTGGTGGGTAAAAAATAGCCTCAGAAGGAAGGCAGTAGTGTGGTTGTAATCATATAATTATCATGAATATACGATTCCACTTAAATCATCATCGGCAGTTCAAACTTGTTAAAATCTTCCCATGGAGGAAAAAAAAAAATCAAAGTCAAAAGCTAACAAAGTAGAGCCCCAGAAAACACATATGGTGAGTAGATCAATCCACATAGGGCGCAGCACACGTAAAGTAGCTAAAAACGCCCAATCAATACCAAGAATGGGCGAAAATACCCTGAGGTGGCACGATATGAAAATCCAAAGAATTGAAAATCAACCGATGTACCAAAACCTGAACACAGCGAGAGAGGACTCAGTTTATGGGTGGTGATATATCAGGATGGTCGTCAAGGCATAAAACAATGCCATTACGACGAACGAGACCTATCACAAAGCAATCGTCATTGCCCAAATATGTCGAAAGCTACACAAAACGTTGTCAATGGATTCAAGCTTCCCCGAACAACGAAGACGACGGAGGCGGCCGCTTACACTTACTGCTGTGATGATGAATTCAGAGACTATGGCTGTTCTTATAGAGGATGTGCTGCGGGTAGTTAGGGTTTCAGTTCTTCACATTGGGCCTGGCGGCGCATCGTACTGAGCCCATCTCCTATTTGTAATGCATGGAAGTAGGGTTTTATTTACCAAAAATAGGAATATATTTCTTTTGATTTTTATTTAAATACTCTTTTAATGGTATACTATTCTCCATAAAAAAATGTATTATAGTCTTATGTTTTAATATTAATTATTATATTAATATATAATATGAATGCTTACAATAACAAAAAAAAATAAAATTGATTTGATATTTTATTAAAATTACTATGTGCAAATAACTTTGATTTAAAAGTTGTACACACTTATTCGGGTTCATCTGTTGCACATAGTTTGTAACAATTGCGAATTCTTACGTTATAAAAACAAAACACATATATAAATCAAAAACATCTTGTGAAGATAAACACTCTCACATATTGTATAGTTATCGCTACAAAGTGGCTATATGTGTAGGTGGCCAATAAGGACTGCATATTCAATAAGAAAATACTTTCTCTTTTTCACATGCAGTGTTTGTTACACTGTACACACAATATTTTAGGAATAGTGTAATCAGTAGATAATTAAGAATGTATTAGTGAAAATAATTATTCTATAATATAAATAATTATAAATTAAGATTAAGATAAATAATTAGTTTAATTAAAATTTAAAAAAAATAAAAAGTTTAAAATGCGATTAAAGTGTATAATCATTTTTTTTAAAAAAAATGACATGGAATATGGGACTGACAGAAACGGTAACGTAGACATAGTATGTGGGACGGGGGAATAATTTTTTTCTTTTTATTGAAAATTTTCTAATGGATCTTACTTCTAATAATAAAATAGTTAGAATAATTATAATAAAATTATTTGAATCAGTGTTTGGATGCACGTGTTTTGTTCATATTGTTGCTCAATTAATAGAAAAATTATCTAGAACTCAAAAATCATAAAAAAAAGTTGCACAAAAGCTTGTAATGGATAAAATACTTTTATTTCAAATTTTAATTAATATAATAGTTTCGATTTTTAAAATAATATTATCGTAGAATTAACTATTTTTTAAAAATAACAGTTGCAAATTTTCAGTCATTAAAAAAAAAAAAAAACACACACATACACACACTCAACTGTAAATGAGTTTGATAGTTTCAAATGTTACAATCCTTACAAATTACAACTCCAAATACAATATTAGATGATTTGATAGTTTGATAACACTTATCAAGTGTTCTTAATTTTGCAAGGATATATTGTTCAATTTAGATGTAAACAATATCGAATTAAAATTTTAATTGTGGATTAACTATAAATATTTGTGTTATTAGTTAGATTAGTCTATATATTAAGTGATCTAAAGGCTTAAATGTATTTAGTAAGTGTGGATAACCTATGTATGAAAATTAGTAACTTATTAATTCAGTGGTGAGACCAACTAATAATGAATAATTAAGATCGTGATAGTAGGGACTACATCAATTATTTCTCATATCCTGTAGAAGTAACACAAAAATCTTATTAGTTTTCTCAAGAAAAGTTGTATCAATTTCAACACAACAGATTTGAACTTAAAATTTAATTCATGATAATTTCTAACAAACCAGTTATTAGATCACTATTTGGGAAAAGAGTTATCAAGGATTGTTGAAAACCTTCTTTTAAATATCAAAGGGGACATGCAAATGACTAAGACAATCATTGATATATATATATTTTTTGTTTAATTGTATGGGAATTGGTAGCCACTATTTTTAGAATATGTTCAGAATAAATTTTGCATCCAATTTGTAAACTAAATTCGACAAAATAAGTTATGTAGATGGATTAGAGGATCTCACAGCAACTTTTAAAAAATTTAAAAAATACAGCCGGTGGTGCGTAGAGAAGGTGGATTTTTAGTAGAAAACCAAACACGCCGTTAACTTTTTATACCGGCTGTGTCCGTCCACTAAAGAACAAAAGGATGACCGAATGACCGGTTGGGTCCAGCTCAGTTCACCTGGACCCCACAATTTCTTTTACTTAATTAGTATTATTAAATTAATCAATTAATTACTTTGAATTTCCCGTCCCTTAAAAAAAGAAAAAAAAAAGAAAGAAAAAAAGAAGAAGAAGAAAAATAAAATAAAATAAAAATTACTAGGCTTATGTGACGCTTAATCAGTTAATCATGTTCCTATATTTATTAATTTATCTGTATATGTAACAAACAAACAAATAATAACAATTAATTATAATCACAACCATACTGTACTTTGAGTTGGGAAGGCAGGCAGAGAGAGAGAGAGAGAGAGAGAGAGAGAGAGAGAGAGAGAGAAAAGGATAGGGAGAGTGGTGAGCGCTGCTGAATCCGTTGAGACTTTTGGACTCAGGGGAAAGATTCGAGGAAGGAATTCAGCTGCTGCTGGTGATGGGGGATGATAAATCTCTTGGCGTGATGGCAAGCAGCAGCAGAGAAAGGGATCGCGAGCTTCTCATACCGGTTGGGGATCCCGTTGACCGCCGCCGGGATGACGAATCTGCTTCTGCCTCACCCAAGCCATCCGCATCGGCTTCTTCCTCCCACCACCATTCTGGTCGAGAGGTATAGTTTCGTTTTGGCTTTAATTTCCCTCTGAATTTTGCTGCTTTCTCTCTAGGGTTTTGCTGCAGTGCCCGTTTTCTTGTTATTATTATGAGAATTTTTAATTTGTTGAGTAAGCTGGATCAACCTATTTTGGAAACTTGCTGGTAATTGACTGATTGTTTCTAATTTTAACAGCATATATGTATAGCATTAAAGACGGGTGTTCATCGGGAATCGCTTATAGTATAATGAAGTTTTTGTATTTAGGAGAGTACCCTTAACTTGAGAGAATTGCTTAATTTAGGGTGCCGAAGAACGAACACTCTTTATAGGTTTCTTTTTGCTTCTATTCTATTATATACTGCCGGCTTGACCTGGTTATAGCATACAAGGACGCTTGAATCTTTATTTCTTAATTTTGCTTGTAGTGATTCACAAATTTGAGTCATGCGAGCAAGCTCAAATTGATGGAGTTCTTGAATGGTTTTTGCTTTTACAACTTTGATGATCTTCTGTCAGATAATAATAATAATAATAGACATTTGTTTGTCTTGGTAACCCATGCAGACGTTTTACAAAGTTGTGAGGAGTTGGGCCTCAAAGAAGTTCATGACTGGCTGGTGAGCTTGTTGTCTTTTATTCTACCTGGTCATTGGAATTCTAATTGGAAGATATGAAGAATGGATCCAGGCTTTTCAGATCTAATGAAACTATAAAATTTTCATCTCTCTTTCCGATAACCTTTTGGTTAATTTAACATATCATTCAATGAATGATTTTAGATAGTCTGATTAAAACATCTTTGTATTTATCAGTAGAATGAAGCTGGGAAGAGGGGCCAGATCCATTTAGTGGTGATTTATATAATACTTTTGTTTTTAACTGCCTACCTCAAGATTATTGCGTGATTATACTAATTTAACTTTGTGCATTTCTCTGAAGAAACCAATTTTTGGGGCACTGAGCAGTCTGTAGTGAGATAGTTCATGTACACAGAAAGTTTTTATCCGTGTTCAATTCTCATTTGCTTTTATATAGACTTAGGACTTTGGCTGCCTTTGAAATATGCATCATTACAATGTATTGGTATCTAAACGTGGATCTCTTTTCTTTTCCAAGCTGTTGGGCATTTTTAATTATTTTCTTCTCAAACATTAACATGACATTGAAAAATTTTAAGTGCATATTCTACAGTTTGTTTTTTTTTTTTTTTGGTTCTATGATTGCTTACTGATAGAACAAAAGGCAATTGGTTACTAGCATGTACTTATCTCTTTGAAAGCACACCAAGGGAAAAGGTTGAATGGACTGAGTACCCCTAAAATAGTTCCTTCTTGAAAATTAAATAAAACCAGTTGGGATTTATTCTAAATGTCTGGAAGGTATATACATCATATGGCAACGCATTACTTGCATGATTTTATATGATCAACTTATTTCATAGTCACTGACTGGGAGAGAAATTCTACACTGATTAATTTCAGCTTTTTCATCCTTATTTACCTGTGCATGACAATTTGTTAGAAGTCTAAAGATTGAAATGGGATTGTAAAGCTATCTTATTTGTCCTTTTGCAGTGTCATTCTGTTTCCAATTGCTGTTACTTTCTACATAACCTGGTGGTTCATTCATTTCGTCGATGGATTCTTCTCGCCAATTTATGCTCAACTTGGAATTGATATATTTGGTAAGCATGACTCATTCACATCATTACCAAAGTTGAGGATCATTCTGGTTTAATTTTACATGTGTCTTGCATCTTTAGAGACTGATGGTGCTCACCGAGCATTTAGGCGCAGTGCTGTATTATGTTGAACGGTGAATGATTATAAAATTCATAAACACCCTGTTGCTAATTTTTAAGTATTATAGGCTGTTAATTTATACAAAACATCTTTGACATAGGAATCATATCTTCGCTGCTAGTCATCTATTATAGTCTGTTAACTCTCCATTGTTTCTTGATTCAGGTCTAGGATTTATGACCTCAATTACTTTTATCTTCTTGGTTGGAGTATTTATGTCATCATGGTTGGGGGCTTCTGTTCTAAGCCTTGGAGAGTGGTTTATCAAACGTATGCCATTTGTACGTCATATTTACAATGCCTCTAAACAGATTAGTGCTGCCATATCTCCAGGTTTGCTTGGTTTTTCCCGTCTTTGTTTCTTTGTTAGAAATGAGTAATGAACACTTCTACTATGGATATTGCAGATCAAAATACACAAGCTTTCAAGGAAGTGGCTATTATAAGACATCCCCGTATTGGTGAATATGCGTTTGGGTTCATCACTTCATCAGTTGTGCTGCAGGTCTGGTGTTGCTCGTTTTGAATGTACAAACTTCTTCCTAGATTTCATACCCTTAAATTTCTCGCTTCATTGGAATTCATTAGATGATATTCATCAGCCTTTAATTGATGAATTCTTGAACTCAATAACAAAGGCTGAAACTTTTTATTTGTCTATATAGTGTGTTTCAAAGAATTCCCTTTTTTCCCTTTATTCCAGAGTTATTCAGGGGAGGAAGAGCTATGCTGTGTGTACGTGCCAACCAATCATCTTTACATTGGTGATATATTTCTGGTTAATGCTAAAGATGTTATCAGGCCAAACTTGTCTGTCCGAGAAGGAATTGGTAAGTTGACTATTCCACTATTTGATGCTGATATAAAAAGATGCTATTGAACCTGGTTTTATTAGTGGCTCTGATAAAAAGGCATCGCATACTGGAAAAACATAGCTACATCTCAATCCATCAGTATTGCTCCTTATGTTCTCTACTTCAGAAGCCCCACGGCTTTAACTATGCTGTCTGTTTCCCTAATTTCATCTCTAGGGCAGCGTCTCAAATATAAAAGACAACTTATGTCACTGTTTACACTGAAAGCCATTTTTAGCTGAATATCCTTAGAGATATAACCCTTTTCCAAGCAAAAGGGTTTCCATGTAGTCTGACTTTGTTGTAGTAATGGTATTCCTAGAGATTGGTTGCTTCTCGCTGTTATCCCAGGTCTTTGTTTCCTAAGTTGGTATGGTATAATTGAGGAAACAGCCTAAAGGGGTAGAAGGAATGTGTGAAAGCATTAAAGGTTGAAGATAAAGGAAATTATTGGTTGTTAAGGTGGCTGTGGGGATCCGTAGCAAGGAATGGCAATGGAATTTATTCTTATGTCATGGATCCCTGGAAAGGAGAGGATGGGGTCTTAGAGTTGGTTGCTGTTGAGTAGGGGATGGAATTGGAGCTTGACAAAGTGGGGTGGCATCAATTGTTTTTGTTCTTTATTTTTCTCAGCTTTTCAACGATCTCCTTGGGGTGGTCTTCCAATATATTAGGACATCCACATAAATGATGTGATGTTGAACCACCCCAAAGTACTCGTCTATTTGATAGTGAAATTGAAGTTCCAAATTATCCAGGAATTTTCATAAGTAGTTCGTTTTCTACAGATATTGTTCTAAATTGTAGAAATGCGCTCTATCCGTCAGTGATCATCCTTTGTTACCAACTATAGTGATATGCCTGCCCTTATCCTTTATTTCCTGTTTATTATTAACATTACATGATAGAATCTTGCATGTTGAGTTCCCTTTAGTTAATCTTATGGTCGAACTTAAAATTGCCTAAATGGATAAGTGACAATTTACAACTTATTGTTCACCAGCATTTCTAGATGTTCATTATTATTTCGATGTTCATTACATGCTGCTGACATCCTGTTCTCTCTCACTGCAGAAATTGTTGTGTCTGGTGGCATGTCGATGCCTCAAATCCTGTCAACCCTGGATTCAACCAGTAATCAAATAAATAGAATCAGACCTGATAGAAGTTGAGGTTGCTGCAAGGAGGATGGGCCACTTGAATGCCTCAACTATGTCAAGATTTCATCCACCCAGTGGCACATTCCTCGAGTTTTTTTTTTCGCATAATTGTATCCGGGACTGGAGGTAAAGTTTAAATTATTAGTGTGAAATCACAACAATCCTATGCTCAATCATACTAGCCGGGGGAAATTGATCGACTGAAATCTGGAGGCATATGTTTTCTACGTACACAATGAGCACTTGATGACTTATTCAGGTTGATTTGTTTGTTTCCGTCTCTCGTACTCTGTTGGATCACGGCAATTGTCTTAAGTTTTGCTTGAACATTGGTAGTTTTTTCTTATTCTATTGTTTGTACATAAGGACACCATCAGAGCTGGTTTTTCCCTTCCCCAAATTGCAAAATGTTTAATTTTGAATTTGCCATTCCTTCATTGCAATGTCTTAAACAGGATTTTGAGTTCGCCCTGAATAGCGACGCATTATGTTCTTTTGCATCTTTGATTGACTGCAGGCCTGCAGCAATGGAAGACAACTTTCTTAGGAGCAAAGCATCAATCGAAAGGTTATCGTAGCATAATTCAATTTCAAGCTTGGACCCAACTGTAAGCGACTTCTTTCCGAACTTTCCTTTCGTTCATCATCCTCCTAGCGCAGCTCGCCTCTTCCCATCTTCCATGGCTGGCATAAATATTCGACAGCATCACGTATACATACTCATCATCACCCTCCAACTCCATCACCTTCCCAGCAGCCAACTCGGCCACCTCCACGCTCCCGCTCGTCCCACAAGCTCCGAGCAAAGCCTTCCAAACGATCCCACAAGAATCGAATCCCAAATCCGTAATCATCTTCACTGCCTTGGTCACATCCCCCTCTTGCCCCATGATCTTTATCATCAACGAACAATGCTCCGGCATGGGATCCATCCAGTAGTCATCGATCATCATTCTAAGGTACACGTGCGCTGTCTTTAGAGGCAGCCTACTGTGCCAACACGCCGATATAACATTGAGGAAAGTGATTTCATCTGGCTGCAAGCCGAGTGTTGTTTTCATCTGCTCGAAGAGCTCTAATGCCCGCTTCGAATTGCCATTGTGCGCGTACCCGCAGATCACAGCATTCCAGGTGACTAAATTCTTCTCCGGCAGCCATTGGAACAGCCTCTTGGCTTCCTCCACCTTCCCGCATTTAAAGTACATGTCGACGAGAGCGCTCCCCACAACAACGTGGCTGTCCAAACCACACTTGATCACGCAACAATGCATTGAAATTCCTAAGGTAATATTGGATAATCCGGCAATGCCACTCAGTATACTCGAAAACGTGAACTCATCCGTATGAACTCTACTCGCTCGCATTCTGGTGAAGATCTCGACAGCATCTCTTCCCCGGCCCCTGTTTACATATCCTGTAATTATTGCATTCCAAGAAGACGAATTCGGGCTTGGCATTCGCAACAAAAAGCCAACAGCATCTTCCAACACTCCGAACCGGGCGACACCATCGATGACCTCATTGTACGAGATCGTGTCGGGGTCCGGGATCCGACGAAATATAGCAAACGCCTGTTCAAGATCCCCATTTCTACAATGGGCTGCGAGGATTGAATTCCAAGAAATAATGTCCTTCTCAGCCATTTCTTCGAAAACTTCCATGGCCATGGATCCGTACCCACATTTTCCATACATGTCGATCAAGCAATTAGAAATGTAAACACTGCAGTCCACGCCATGCTTCACAACCTTGGAATGCAATGATCTTCCAAACTGCACTAATCTCAGCTGCCCACAGGCAGACAAAGCTGCAGTGAACGAATACGAATCGGCAGAAATATTCGACTTTTCCAGATGAACAAACAGATTCAAGGCTCTGCGGAACTGCCCGGAACGAACGTAACCTGAAATTAGAGTGTTCCAAGTCACCACGCTCTGGTCACGCATTTCGTCGAACATTTGATGAGCATCGTCCAACTGTTGGTGCTTGACGTAAAAATCAACCAAAGCTGTAGAGACGAAGAGATTGGAGTCGATTCCAGATTTCAGAATGAGACTGTGGAGCTGTACGCCGTTCGAAAACCGACCGCCATTGGCACAAGCACGGGTTAGATGGACAAAACCATAATCATCGGGCTTTAACCCAGAGCGAAACAGATGAGCAGCTTCTCCTAAAGCTCTCTCTGAATTCTCGCCATCTGAAGCCAGTTCGGAGATAACAGTCGTCCATGAAATTCGTTGATTGAATTCAGTAGCACGAGGCTGATAGTGACGAAAGGTATAATTCTGAGTCAGTCTCTGTGTGCTAATAAGTTTCCCCAACATGAATCCGACATTTGTGGCTCATTCTCGACCAGAGGAAGGATTCATTCGATACTCTCGTCGGTAAGCTCAAAATCGTTGGAGACAATTCAGAAAGTGAAAAGAATCGAGAACAAGTTCATAGTATTATATATATATATATTAGATTCCTTTCCTTCCCTATACAACAATACTGAAATGCTCTTTGTGACATTTTTGGCCACAATCTTAGCATATGCACTGTAATATAAGGTGTGCAACAATGTCCTCCATCATTTGGCTCAATATTTGCTTCTCTACATCGATCGCTACTTCGTTGATTTGATCGACACTGAGACAGTTCCTCCATCCCAATTCCCAATTGCCTGTTACTCCTCCTTTTGAGCTTAGATCCTTTCTCATCATTGCGTTTATTCTATCTGATAGAATTGATTCACCACACGCTTTGCTGTAGCTCCTCAGTTCTTCGATTTCGTTGGCAACTTCTTCCGCCAGCTGACCGAGAGATAAGCCACCACATCTTAATGCATTTCCATGGTGATGCCTTTTGTGTTCCAGAATTTCTTCAGCGCAGTCGAGCACAACGGAGGCGTCAAGAGTTTGGATATCGCTGGCAGGGAACCAAGTTGTCGGCGAGATTGTAGAGTCTGAAAGTTTGGTGCCGGAGATCTTCGTTGCGAGGTTGAGAAACGACTTGCTGCTCAGAAGTAGGTATCTTGTATTGCTCATGTTCCTGCAACCATTTGAGATACCGCGAGTGCTGCAGATTCGATCTTCAGTATGATCAACATCAACCGTAATGGCTGGCGCAGGAGTGCTGCATATTCGATATTCAGTATGTTCAACATCAACCGTAATGGCTGGCGCAGAAGATTCGCACAAAGAACATGATGCATCTCCAAATTCATCTGCAGTACAAAGAGGGTAACTTTTTTATGATTTATTGTTAAGAAACTACAAACTTCTGGATTTTGATCCAAGCATATATGAAATGTATGGTGTTCAGCAGTTTACCTGGCACAGGATTCGTCGCTTGCTTGATGGTTTCTTCTAATGTTGAACTCCTTGCTGAGTCCGGGACACAACTCGCAGCGCAGGTAGGCGAATTTTGATCGATTTGCATATTTTCAACCTGCAATTGTTCGCTAACTTATGGCTTTTGATACAGGCGTAAGTGTATACACACGAAAGACAAGTCGATGATGGACTTACCGGAGCAGCCGAAGCATTACACTGAGGTTTACTTTTCGGTGAAGTGTTTTCAGGGATACCCGACTTTGAAGATTTTGGTTTCATGTGTTTTTCTTTCGCCGTTTTTTCACCTCGTACGGCTTGCACTTTTCCGACATTAGATCCTCTTGCAGCTTTGATAGTCTTTGAAGTCGTAGTTTTCGCCTGGTCCGGAGTTTTAGCAGGTTCTAGACATTTGTCGCCATTTCCGGCAGGTCTTCTTTTATGACAATCCTCTTTGTTGTCGATCTTTTTCACGGATCCTTTTCCCTGCACTTTTGCAGGCAAGCTCTTGCAATGGTTGATCTTCGTCGACGTACTATTTTGGATGTCCGGAGTTTTCTTGACGAGTCTTGCAGATGATTCTCCCGACAGCCACGCCTCCTTATTCTCTCTGATCTTTCGTTTTGGAGCTGTCCCAATCGTAGATTTTTCGTTCATCTCGTAGAGCTTCATTCGTGCTCTCGCAACATCGAACGCTCTATACGGAAATTCCTCAGCCTGTTTTCGAGACATTCGCTTACTGTCAATAGGTTTGTCTTCATAATCTGAATCAAACTCTCTTGCTCGAAGATCAGGCACTTGCCGAGGCTTCATGATCACAATCGGTGGATCCTCAACAGCTGATGATCGTCCTCTTGATTGATAAACACCCGGAAAATCATCACCATGGTCGGATCCTTCGATGCTTCTCCCAAGCAGCCCTTTAAACTGCATTGTCTCTATCATTTCTTCCAACGTTCTTCTTTCCGTAACCGATTTTTGGACCATCGGCAGAGGCTTCCTCGGCCTCGCCAGGTCGATATCGACTAAATAGTTCCTCGGATTTGTTAACTTTCCGGGTTTATGCCCGACAGGACTAATAAACGGTTTCGAAGGCGCTTCCTCCAATCCCATAAGCTTGGCGATCAAATTAGAACCACGCGACTTGCCATGTCGAACGCTCGACTCGAGCGGAGAACACTCCGAAGAGTGCCCTGGAATCATTGACGACTGGCTCGAACTGCTGGAGGGAAAATCCATACTTAAATCCAAGCTTTTCCTGTCGAGAGAATCGACTTTCGGCAACAGATTTTGCCTGGCAAAGCTTTCGGTTATTACATCCCTCAGCTCGTCGTAGCAATCCCGGGAAGAAGGGTCAGATTTCAGGCAGGACATCTTCTTGTCGTCATCTCCGTATCGACTAGAATCCATCGATCGAGTTGTTACATTCCGCCCTTTCTTCGATTTAGCTACAATTTGTGAAGCTTCCTGCAACTTCCCGAGCACCATTAGAGACTCCTGCAGATGAAGAGCTCCTTTCAACAGGTCTTTTGCGATGAACTTGCTCGATTCGTGAGACGACCACGACCCAATGACATTGTTTAATTTCCGAGCCTCCTCGGAGACCTCTTTGATCTGATACGAGGAGAGGTTTTGTAGATCCTTACTTTCTTCCTCGCAGGATGTTGAGGTGCTCGAACTACCTCTCCTATGGCTATCTTTGATTTTGGCTTTGGATCTTTTGATCGGAGTGCTGCATTCGACGATGCCTTTAGGATCGTCGCAGGTTACGAATGATCTGTAGACAGTAGATCTCAGGCTGTCCTGAGGCATATTTGAAAGAAGCCCCACAAGGAAGAGTCAAATTAGTGACGAATTGAATCGAATCGAATTTCAGCCGCTCTAAGGACGAACATTTGTCATATGCCAAATGTAATGTATATATATATATTTAGGTTATCGTCATCATCAGAATTCAATTGAGCAAGTGGATGGTGACAAATGCAAGCAATCCTGCAGAAGCTGAAAAATCCATGGAAGAAAACAAACAATGATAAATAAGCCGTCCGTGAAGGTGAAGAACAAACAGACAGAAAATTCTTTCGGCATATCTAAATGTCAATCCAACTATATATATACTCTGCCATGTTTTGTTTGCTTTTGCATCTCGATTTGAATTTAAAAAATGGCGTATTAGAGAGAGAGAGAGAGAGAGAGAGAGAGAGAGAGAGATCGAACAGAGATTACTGACTTAACGAAGAATTCCACAGCCTTAAGCGAAAGTATATGCAGAATAAAAACAAAATCACCAGAAACACAGTACGACAGAGCAAGGGGAAGACGAAAGGGGGCAAACCAGCAAAAAAACAATCTCGAAACCCCAACCATCACCAACAACAACAACAGAAAATGTAGAAAAAGCAAGAGACGATGCAGACCTATCGACGAACCGTTTCTCCAAAATTCAGACTCACCGGCATTGAAATTGAAATTGAAGCGATGCAAGGTGTTCGCCGATGAGAAGATCCCCTAGATCCACGCAAAATCAGAAAATGACCTATGTTCGCCTCGCGAGCTGCCGATGATTTAACTCTCCCTCTCTTTCTCTCTCTCTCTCTCTCTCTCTCTCTCTCTGAGACTTGAGACTGACTGACCTCTTCTCTCTCCGTCCGCCAACAGTGGAGTGGAGTGGAGTGGAGTCGGGTCATTCATTTATTAACTCCAATTTGCAGACGGGGTCCGTACGGCATTAATGCGTATTTCAGTTGCTGATTTTGATTCTACTTAGCAGTGATTAGGGTGATTAGGGTAGTACAGCAGCCATTGAAATCAGCAACTACCTCTGGTTGGGTTTGTCAATGTCATATTTGGGAATTCGAAGAAGACCAAGAATCGAAATCCAATCCAATCCAATTATTGCCACTACTGTTAATGTGTTCTTCGTAGGTAATGATAGTTGATTATATTTTAGAATCTTTGGGAGGGGAATTTTTTGGGCTACTCTAAAATTTATTTTCAAAAATGTCAAAATTTGGTTACTCAGTGAAAAATAAATTTGAATTTATTGCTGAGGCAGAAAATGGTTACGGTTGGAGTGGATTTATGAGGCCTTCCTCCTGTCCTACCTTAAAAACATAAATAAATTCCTCTCCTTAATTAATAATTTCTACCTTTTGAATAACAACTCGATATATTCGAGATTTTATTATTATTATTATTATTATTATTTTTATGCATATTTAAATTTAAGATTGTTTTATACTTTTGTGTATTTAAGATATACATTGAATTTTATAAAAATAATAAAACCCGAGGCGTTGATTAATTAATATAAAGGGAGAATATTGTAGTGTTAAGGAATATTCAATGGTTTTATTAATAAATTACAAATGTGTACTAATTAATAGTTTGTTGTATTTAATGTAAGCATTTAAGGCAATAAATATTCTCAACTATAAATATTATATTATGCCTACGATCTATGCATGTATGTATTAAAAGTCGCAAACTATATGAATTAAATAATATTGCTAATGTAGATGCTATGATATTTAATAATTAAATACATATTTAAAATTTTAATATTGTGCATTATTATAGGCAGTCATACATGACATTTGATATAAAAACTATAACAATCAATTTTCAATTAAAAAAAATATCAAAAAATAATTAAGATATAGAATGAAAGTACTATATATATAAATGTAATGAAGTGAGGTTGCGATAAATGCAGTCACAGGAGTCTCGATCCATCTATCTGCTTCTCACTTTGATTTCCCATGTTATCCTCTACCACAATTATACATACAGACATGTGTATCTATAATAAGTGTGTGTGTGTGGGGAGGGGGGGGGGGGGTGCAATTAATTGAACTGTACGTCTAAACCTAAAAATTCAAATTTAAAAGAAGGTAGCTAGTTCTTGCATGCATGCAAGGAATCCCCTGCCCTGTCGTGCCTAATTTGTATTTATTTATTTATTTATTTATTAATGATGTAAAAATTACACCAATTCTGTATGTGTATGTCCATGTATAAATATGTATGTCCTCCTTTTGTAGGCCGGAAATTTAATGGTATTTATGTATCCTGGAGCTTGCGAGGAATTTAATGATATTACTGCCGGAGCCGGCCCCGGCCCCCCACCCCCATCCAGCGGTGCTTGGTGCCGCCCCCACCGGCATTGGCTAATCGAGACCCTAAATTTATTTATATTTTTGTATTATTTATAAACAATATTATTTTTAATATAAATTATTTATATAAAATATTGAAACGAAATATTTTGTTTCAAACTCTATTATATATATACACGCATGATATTTTTGAATTGTGGTAAGAAAATGTGAAGTAGTTGTTACGTAGTTTATGCATAATTTAATAAGGGGCAGGGGCAGGCCCTCCCTCACCCCCTCACCATGTTTCTAGCTGCGAAATTGACTTTGTTGGTGGACCCTATGTAGATAAATAAACCCGTCAAATTAATAACGAAATATTCGTATGGCCCAGCCCAATTCAACTGTAATGGTCCTAAACCCTAAAGTCTACTACTGGGCCTAGATAGAGCCCAATAATAGAATGAGCGGTCCGGATCCTACCAAACCCGTTTCCATCCAGACACGTGGGCAGATTTTGAATAAGGCTGCCAATCCACCATCACTAGAATAGAAATTATTCCCATAAGCTAATCAATCTTGAATACCTACATTCATCACAGCCCATTAACACAAATTACAGCATTCACTTAGCACTGTCACTGTAACAATGGCAATCATCTGCAATCCCTAAAAACCATAACTGAACGAAAATTCACTTGCAAACTTCTCTATCCGCCATCAACACGGAAGGAAGAGCAGAGCAGAGCAGCCTTGCTGAATAATAAAACTACACCTCTTCTATGGCTTCATTCAAAATTTCAATGGCGAGCCGTAGGACTTGTCAACATGCTCATCTCGATCTTCTCAAGGTAAGACACCTTCTTGTTGGTGTTAATATTAGCAGGTTTTGTAACCATCTTTTCCTTCTTATTCACTTCCTGAGGTATTTCCAGATCCCACCCAATAAAATCCAGCAGCGTCGGCGTCTTCGAAGAAGACGGGGTCCCTGCAGCCGAGCTACACCTCTCCGAACCACTGGAAGCAGAGCTTGAAATGTCACTCAATGTCGGGGATGGAGATAAATCCCCCGACTTCTGGCGAGCAAGCAAACGATCTCCAGCAAGAGCATCAGCATTCAGGACATCCTGAATTCGAGACAACACCGTGCTCGCCAAGGTTTCGAGCACTCTGGAATAGCTCTCCATTATGGCCAAGCCTACATCCTATAGAAATTCGATGAGCGTTTGCAATGCATAAAAATGTGAAGAAAGAATGCTACGCGGCGTACTCTGTTGTACTGAATTTTGCATATTTCGAGTGAGGATTGGGAAATCCCCGGGAACTGCTGTTTGATCAGGAGTAAGATTGTCTCAGCTCTTTCTTCAAAAATCTCTCGCCGCTCGAAGCCTATCCAAGAAGATTTTCCTTCCTTGTGGTGCATCTTCCTTTTCCATATAACAATGGATGCTTCTATCCTGTTCTTCAGGTCGACAACTTTGTGCTCCGATGAAAAGTCCACACCCGAAAGGAATTCCATCGGATCGAAGCACTCATCGGTGATGCTTCTGTAGATCAAGTCGCCCAGGCTTTCTCTTCCATTCTGCAAAATGCACAATCACAAATATAAACAGCATTCATCAATCTTTGCTAGACTTTGCTCTGTTCAGCAGGATAGTTTTTTTTACCTTAGGGAGGGATTCAATGTAATTGTAGGGGACATCCATGTCGGAGAGGATTTGACCATTGATTGCCATTGATGTTTTCAGGACTTGAATTGTACCTTCCTTCTGCTTCAGCAGGAACTGTCGCGATTCTTCGGAAAGGCCTCCCACAGGAACCTTCACTCTAGGCAACCACCATTTGTCATTCGATTGTCCTCCTTCTTTGGACTTATCTGCATCTCTGGAAACATACTTGAATTCTTGCTCCTCGGTGAAGTTGTCGAGAATTTCCTGCGCCATTTCCAGTCGTATGAAGCATGATGAAGATTCCGAAGAAATGTGCAATCAATACTCCTGCGGAGCAAATGCAGTGTCGATATATATATATATATATGTATATGCTCTTACCAGGAGCATTCTGTCGAGCTTGCGAAGCGCCGGAATGTTCATCCGAAGGTCTCGCCGTTGTTGTGTTGTCATTACCTACCAAACAAGAAGGATCATTTGAATTTCTCAACTTAAGCATCTTATGGAAAGGCGAGATTAAATTTTCTACCTCCATATTCGATCCGTCTTTTGATTTTTGTTGACAAGGAACGAATTCAACAATGTAATTCGAAACAGATAAAAACCAATCGATTTCCTTTTTCCATCTCGCCTTCCTCTCAGGATCCATTGGTTCTAACCGTCTTTGTTCTCCAAAAACAGAAGCTGCAAAGATTTCAACCAGAGAAGGTGTATATCGAAGAAAAACATTAAAGCAGCAAGTTGAAGAATTAGATTATTGATATGAGATCGATAGGTCTACCGGCGAGATTCGTGATGGCGTTGGAAAGGGCCTGAGCTGAAGAAACACCCTTCCCTCCACCTGAATTGTCCTCTCCCAGAAGCAGTTTCGAAAATTTTTCCTTCATCACTTCCATATCTAGAACAAATATTTGCAGAAGAACAATTAGGGTTTGCCTTGGTCCATTTGAAATTTAACGAATCCGCTCTCCAGAAATCCAATCGATGAACAACAGACATTATTATGATTATGACGGTATATCATTGCGGATTACCTGAAATACGCCTTTCACTCCTGCAGCCACCACCATCGTCGTCCATCGGCCATAGAGAAACGGGCGACACTTGCTGAACAACGTCATTCCTGGCAGCCTGTAGCTTGTTCTCCCTGGCGGCCTCCTCTTTGCCCTTCTCGGGAGACAAATTATTATGTCTGTCAAATATTTTGCGCAAATTGAAGGATCTGGTTTTCCGCACGCTTAACTGCTCCTCTCGAACCATATTGATTGCACTAAATCAATGAATCCACGAACAACATCGGGGATCGATGTTGGATTCCCGGAATTTAGTTTGGGTGGACGACCGGGAGAAGAAAATGGGACGTGCGTTGCATGTTGTCGTTTTGACGGAGAAACAAAATTCACGTGCCGGCCGTCGTGCTCGGGCACCTTCTTCTTCTTCTCTCATTTTTTTTTTCAAGAACAAAAATGAATGCCTTCGTCTTCAAACGCTTCCCTAAAACACGGGGAAAGCAATTTATTATTATTATTATTATTATTATTATTATTAATTCATGAACAAAATGGTTTGTATAGACCTTAATACTTCACAAGTAAACGCATGATAAAAATAAATAAATAAATAAATACTTTTATTTCTTCAAGTAGACGAAATCAGTTGACTATTATAGCAAAAGTATATGCGTTATTGTAATGCAAAGAAATATAAGATAAAACATTTAGCGAGATCCATACAGTACAGAAATATTACAAGAGTACAGTTAATACAAATTCCATTTTATTATTCATCATAATTAACGACAAAAGATGAAGAAAGAGATTACTATTTATTTTTAAAATCTTTTTACTATCGTATGCTATGATAATACAGTGGGAAAAAAACACATTTAGAAAGAGCAGAGATTATGCAAGAATAATTCTTTTGCCACGCCTTATAAGCGCAGCTGCCCTGTTCGGCGCTGTCGCCGGTGCCTTTGATTTTATTACAACCCCGCTGTGCTTCGGCTTCGGCTTCGACTTGGGATTCTCCTGTGGACAGCCAAGAATGTGACTGCATCGACACAATATGACAACCAAAACAAACAAAGAATGGAAAAAGACCAATGTTGCACCTGAAGCCGGAACTTGGAGATCTCCAGCCGGGGCAATGTCTGGATCCCAACGTCTTGCACCGGCACCAGCACTGCAAACGAGCAACTGGATTGATCAGATGATCGCCGTAGCTATCATAATTGTGAAGATCAGAATGTTGTAGTCCCAACTTAACCTTTGTTATCTTCCTCGGCTTTAAAATTTCGAAGCAGATGGTTCTTGCAACTGAAAGCATCCCCATCTTTGCCGGGATCTCTGCGTTGCAAAATTGGCTGAATTAGGCCGCCATTGAAATGCCAACAAAGTATTCAACAGAGTAGTAAATTGATCATCCGATAACCTCGATGCAGAGCTCATAGTCGCAGGACTGCATATAGCTACTGGATCAAAAGAAGGTATCAAAAACGAGCCACCAATGCGACAACAATCTAAACGAGGCGTGTACAAACAGCGCAAGTAACGTACGCAAAGATATGTAGCGATGATGGAATCTCGAGAGCTCGGCATGCCATCGAAACCTGGCCAGGGCAACCTTGTGAAACTGATCTTGGCATGTCCAGATTCTCTGCTTAGTCAATTAAATTACATCCACATACCAATTCAGGCCTGGCATCAGCAATAAACTAAGGATGTATGAATGTGCCGACCTGGTTCAGGCTGTCGATCCTGCGTTGTGCATCTGGAACTGGATTGCTCCTTGAAATGGTGAGCTCAAGACTGGCTGATATGCTCCCTAGATGATCGACTACCGTCACCACGGCCTCGGACGCATATTTCTTCGCGCCTTCCACAATGCTGAATCAAACAAATTTTACGAAATGTAACATCTCTCAGTTCTAATATGACTTTCATTCAACAGTCTTAAAATTACAGAGAAAAGTACATACCATGCCAGTCTAGAATTTATCACTGTAAAACATGATTTAGTACCAGGAAAATTAAATAAAAACTCACAGTCTCTTGTTCCGCGATCTACCGAAAGCTGTTTCGCAATAATCAGCAATATGGTACAGCTGAGAGCTCAACACCCTCAGCTCCTGCAAATATCACCAAATCAAAATTTTCGTTGCAGACGACGACGAAAACGAAAACCCTAAATGATGCATTCATTAGTGGCATGAAGAAAATTGACTGACTTTCAGAGACTTCCGGAACTTGACTGCGTCGTCATCAACAAACGCTTTGGAGCTGCCCTCTTCCATCCCATTCAGAGCTTCAAATTGTTTCCTTCACCACCAATCTTTTCATCAACTAAAACAAACAAAACAACACAGACCAGTCCAGAATAGACCACTCGAGAAGCGAGTGATTTGGCACATTCAAAGAAACAAGACAATGGAATATAAATTTCATGGCGCCCGTGAAGGCTTCCTTCTGACTACATATGTCCAACTTCTTCACATGCAGTTTTAGGACAGTGACGGTTCCAATAAATAATTACATTTAGGTTTCTCTGTGTTCGGTGCATTGCACCGACCAGTAGTTTGTCTCCAACCTGGAAAAACCTCCAATAAATAAATACTAGTACATAAGGTTGCTTCATAAATCAAATAATGTCCAGAGAATTAAATTTGCATGAGCTGCACTGCATATTCAACTACTTTTTAGAAAAAATAAAAAAGTAAAAAAAATAAAAAAATCTACTTTTTAGTATAATAAGCATTATGTATGTGCAAGTATCTGTACAAAACAACCTGCCTGCTTCTAACATGTTAGCTTCACTAAATCACAATCTTCCATTAATGGATGCAATGAATCTGAATCTTAAACTCACTAAAAGTCTACGACTTCGATCATTGATCCTTGGATTCCAACTCCTTGACACTGTGTAAAACCTTTTGGATCTTATTTGACAACGAGTGGTTGTGTTCTTCGATGTGCTGCACGATTGTATGCAGCTGCCTCTTGTAGATAGCAGCCTGCCTTTCGAAAGTTTCTGCTCTGGTTTTGGCGATGGCTAGTTGTAATGATAGTTCCCGGATTTTGTCATGCTCGTTCTGCAGATATAAGATGATGATGGGATGAGAGGAATTTTCAAGAGTAATATATAATGGTGAATCAAGGATTATATAGCATTCCGTAAACATGGATGGTCTGGAAATTAAGAAATATGACAGATTAGAAAGGATTCTAAATGTTGAATATTAGTTCCAACCAAAATAAAATATGCAAGAAAGACACTTCGACGTCACCAAAAATTAAAACTAACATTACCAGCAAAATAAACCCAGTCGTATCTGAACAACTTTTGCATCAAAAGCTTAAACTTTCAATAACTAATATCAGGAAAATTAGGGAACCTGTGTGGGAATGAAAATTGGAATGTAACTTTAAGGCTTAATAACATTTATATGAATTCCAAAGATTTGGCTTATTTAATCAAAATTAGTTCCTACACTTCACAGAAGAATTATACTTGTCTGATAAATTCAGCAGAGCCACCAGGGTCTGCAGGGTAAACTCTTTTTAATTTGTCTGGCTTCTATTTAAAAAACAATTTCCTTGTTAGCTATTCACTAACACAGATGCGTGCCGAAAAATAACATAAATGAGCTTCTAAAACTATTATAAGGGACGTCGCAGAACAAATGCAAGTGATTAAATATTAAAAATAAATAAATAAATCTCAGTGTGAAAGACACTACAGATCAGCCTACCAAATGAAAACTTCTATGGAAGCATATTATCAACATTACTACTACATATTGAAGAAAACACCAGGATGACTAAAGTGATTAGCATTCGATGGAAACCCCAATGGATTCACAATGATTAGGAGCATAATAATCCCAAAAAACTAGAGGTACATAAGTACCAAGATAAATGTTCACCTTTTAACAGTCTATATCGGGGGTGCATAAATGGACTAGAAAGTATATTATTGATAGCAGAACAATCATAATATAGGTTTTCTATTTTGAAACCAAGCACAATCTCTGCCTAGCATGAAAAATTACTGTAATATCACAAGAATATGAATGGTTAGTTATTGAGGCATTCTTAATGAAATGCATACTATTTAATACCACTCATCATTTAAATAAATGTCATGTACATATTTAAATAAATGATGCTTGCGATATAAAAATTAAGAGGTTAGAGTGCATGACTTAGCTAGTTGAACTTGCATCCAAAACATGTTATACAATTATGATTCATTGTTTCTCATCAGCTTTTAAGGACCCAACTAGACTGTTACTAAATAGCACGTGAAATATGCAACACGATCAATACCAAAGTACTTTTCATAATGATATAGGCCTCTTGAATAATTATAGCACAGATTAGTTAAGTATTCTATGTTCTTATTGAGGTATTACAAAATAGCAATTGAAGTTGGTTCTTGTGTAAGGCCACTATAGTTACACTTATATATATTTAAGGATTGAAGTATGAGACAGAGAAGGAATACTAACCACTGACTCTAGGGCATTGCCATTACAAAAAGAATTTGCAGCTAAAATTGCTTGACCAGATTTCACTGAAGGCTTTGCATACGGTAGGGCCATGTCATGGTTATGTTCCTTGAAAAATCTTGTCACCTTCCATTGGCCATTATCATCACATACAAATGATATCATTGCTCGGCATCCTGTTCTTGTTTCTGGCTTTTTGTAACCCACACTAGTGATATCTGTTTTGTCATCTTTAACCCCTTCTTTCGAACAGCAATAAGTTTTCGATCTTATCCTTCTGGAACCTGTAAAATAGTATTGCTTCCCTCTACGGACATTAAAACCCATTGCGTGTGCATAATCACAGTACAACATGTATGCTTCTTCCTCACTGTACACAACATGTTCCAACAGCTTCTTTTCTAACTCTAGAATGTGAGCTTCATCTTGCCCCTCGTTCACATCAACCACTTCCCCACCAGAACGAAGACGCACTGCTCCTTCGTCATCGCTATCTCCACAAACTACTTCCTTTTGCTCAAGATCAAAACCAGAACCATCCATCTCTGCTGTCAAGTTTCAACAAATCAAAGCATTAACATATCAGCCTTCTCATCCCCCCGGGGGTGGTGTCAAATTCATCCTCAGGGCGCTGGATTTGAATTCATTCGGTAGGATGTGGACAAATCACAGTTTGAGTGGTTAAAATAACAAGATTTCCACAATCAAACAATGATCTTCAATTTAAAAAAGAAAAAGAACACAGCATTGGCATAAATGGCATGTAACTCTAAATCCAAATCGTTACAACCCATAGGTGTGTTCTTTTCAATGGATTTGTACCAGCTGCATGTTAATAAAGAACAATGCAATTGGCGCGAGGGCTTCAAAGAGAGATGATAATTAAGCCAAAGCAACCACGGGCTTCACAATTTTAAAACATACATCAACGAATTATTGGAACTGTTGGATTTCCTGAATCGATGGTGTTTTCCATCATTAGTTATAACATACATATTTGAAATCACTGACGCAATAATTCGTGAGACGCACTGTGAAGCGTCACAGAATCAGCATTTCAATCTTCCGTCAGGATAACACAATTGATCCATTACACGGAAGAAGATTGCCAGCTCGAAAACTGGAGAACGATCGGAATCCATGATATACCAACATAAAAGGAAATCTGAAAGAACCTTTTCTTCCTCGCCGATTCACCAATTCAGAGTCTAATGTCTATTTTTATCGTACATCAATACATAATATATATATATACACGGAACCCCAAACAACAAACGAAAATTAACCTGCAATTGGACGAACAAATTGACTGGCCACGGCGGCGGCGGCGGGCGACGCGACGGCGGCAGCAACGGCGGTGGTAGAATTGAGAAGTAATTTTGGAGGCATGATCTACAACTGGTGGGCTTAATGGACCGGGGATACCTAATTACACGTAATCGATATTTTTTTAATTTTCTATTTTAATGTTTAAGGAAAAAATAATAATTTAAATAATAATCTCTAGGTCCTTAAGAGTTTATACTAAATTAAAAAGAAATAATATTTTTTTTTATTAGTTAAATTAGAAATGGATATGAGGATGCTATTACAGATTTTAATATTTTTATTTTACATATAAAATAATTGTACTTAAGTAATATTTATAATTTAATTAAAAATTAAAATTATTTTAATATTATTGTATAATTACTCCTTATTATAAAAACAATAGTTTATTACTTGCTTAATTACTATTCATTATTCACTATTCCAATATTTATATATTTTTAAACAAAAAAATGACCAATATTTTTAAATCACGGAAAAGCCAACTGACCATAAACAAAAAATAACAAAAAAACAAAGTAGGACAGGAAGAAGTAAAAAATAAATACCCTTATCCTTTATTACAAAGGTAACAAAGACTGTCCTGCCAATTTACATGTTATAATTGCACATAAACTAGCCCAGAATAAGGGGGAGAAAAAGAACAGTTGATCTCTAAATTAATTAATATTATCAATGATGAAATGAAGATTACTATCAGATTTGAATCAGTTCTACCAATGGTGGTCTCTATGTGTAGTGTTCTTTCCTTTTTGTTTTTTGCTGCCATACCCAAAAAAGCCGATCCTCCATCGGCCTTATATTACAGAGATGTAGCAGCATGTGTCTGAAGCAGCTTATAAGCCTTGCTTACTTCAAGTTCTTGCTTCCCCATTTTCGGCAGGCGGAGATATTCTCAGGGAGGGTAAGCTATTCACAGAAGTAGTTTGGGGAGGAGCTGATGCATGAGTCCTCTGTGGAGGGACCATTTGGGCGACGCCATTGCTGGTGGGCTGTTCGTGGTGCAGTTCACTTCTTGAATTTGATGTGTTGTCGGAGTTTTCATTGCTGGATTCAGTTTGCGCCAGTGAAGAGTATTTTGTTTCTGCAGGATGGAACACAAAGGGTGGGTTAGTGACTGGGGGAAAGCATAGGTAATAACTATCAGAAACAAGAATTGAAATTACTGTTTCATTCATAACAGAAGAACTGTCCATATAAATTTGATTCAATAGGATGATGACAATTCAGCCAAATAGATTTACAATATACTCTTGAACATAAGGGATGTTGGGATCAACTGATATCGGAAAAATCCCAGATTTTGTGAAGACTTGGCCAAGGCATATATGTTACCACCAATCTAAAATTTAAGATCGATCTAGAAATACTATGCACGATAAGAAACACATGAATTATGATGGAGACTCCAAATATGAGAGAACAAACAACTTACCTTTTATTTCTCCTAGAGTGATGAGCCGGTTAAGACAATCTCTGAACTTCGTTAAAACAATTCTTTCCTGCTCTCCATATGCCTCACTTTGCTCAACTGGCAAATGGGAAGAAGCATTGCTATTAACTTCCAATCTATCAGGTCTAGCAGCAGTAGTGAATGCTGTATCTTGTTCGTCACACATTAGAGCTAACGTGCTCGGAGACATTGGCCTTCCTTTTGATACAACAGATCCATCTGAACCAGATTCCTCAGGTTTAGTTTTCTCAGCCTGGTTTTGGATATCAGTACCAGGTTTCTCAGCTGTACATTGGGATGGATCTTGAATTGTTGATGCCATTGAGGTTTCTTTCTGATCTTCTACTTGCTTTTCGGCAGTACTTCTTTCCTCTGTAAAAAATAGAGCAGAGAAGAGACTAAATTCATGAACTGAAACAAATTTACAATATCACTCACAAGTCAATACCATTCAAAAATATGTGCTTTATGATACACTTGGACTTTTGTTTCAAAAAGATCTTAAGATCTAAATTTCCTATGACAAGCTAAAGCTTCACATGCAATAATCTTTAAGTAAAAATCAACCTTTGCAAATAGTTATTGTAGCCAATGACGTCAAGGATATAGCCGAAACATAATGATGTACAAGGATACTTATAGTACAAGGGTATTTATAGAGTGCATAGAGTTACTAATAATTTATTAATTGCTATATAACTGTTTTTCATTCAAATCTTTTAAATGATCAAATTATTTTTAGTATGGTAAACTAGATAATGTAGTACAATAATTTATTCTTCAACTTCTCATTTTATCTAACTTTCAGAGATTATGCTAATTATGTTGTTCAGATAAAAAACCGCCAAACTTTGAAGACCTTCATATTAAAGTGTACCTGCAAGCATCTTTGCAGCTTCTGCTGAATATACAGCAAGTACCGAACAAAGTTCCTTTAAGTCCTGGGGTTGAATTATGTCAGCTAAGAGAGACCTAAAAATGTGATGCACCACATTCAAGTCAGGAAAATCATAAAGCAATAGAAAAAAGAAAAAAAAATGTATTCATGCACATATACCTGTAAGTAAACTTTGAAGGGCCTGTGGCTGAAGTATTAGCTGGGTGAGAGACAGGAATTGTAGATGATGAAGAGAAAGTAACAGATGCCTCATTAGGGTTAGCCTATTAATTGAAAATACAAGAGTTAAAATAAAACGTTGAATCACATTTTAACTGTTGAATGATAAAGGGAAACATAAGATTTCCATTATAACTATTTGTCCTGCTTGTTCAGGCAAAAACCTATTTAGCAACTTTTATTTGGTTTTGACAAGATTAGTCAAATATAATCAGTAACTAATGATTTACTATGATATATGTGGAGAGAATAATCAGGTTTTCTCACAACAGCATAGAAAATTGAGTGCATGCGTTTGAGGTTGAACATTACTCGAAACTCGTTCTCAACTCCACATTTCATGGTATCATTATACCTCAGGTTCAGAAAATTAACTTGTAAGAGCCTCTGGACAAAGTATTTACTAACTCACATAAATCATGCCATATATTACTGCATGGAACCAAAACTTATTTCACTGGATCTTTCTCAAATACAACCCAAGGAAAGATCAAATTACTCATCAAATCCAACTACTGAAGCTATGTGTCCATGTGTGTGTAGTTTGAAAAAACCTATCCATTATGTGTTCTAATTGAAAGAAATCTTGTTTGGTTTTTATATTCTTCTGAATTGGCTAATATTGATTCAGGATGATTAAGTAGTTATGTCCATTCTAGGGAGGAATAGGATTTAAAAGAGTGGACGAAGCCACATGAAAGATGTAAAGCCAGATCATCATTTTGAAGATCATTTGACTAAATAAATGTTAGCAGCTTTAAGAGGCATATGGAAAAGTAAATAAATACCTGTTGCAACTGTCCAAGCCTGTGAACAGAATCTTTTATGTTGGATAGAAGGAACAGCTCCTGACCTTTCCGTTTTTTGTTTAGGGGGGGTGACCGAGAGCCATAACCAGAAGAACCTATAGCACCTGTTATGGCAGCATTTGCTGCCTGCTGGATAAATGTCATGTTGTTGGCATGATCTCCATGAAAAAGAGCCTGTCTCTCTTCACTTCCTTCGTAGTTTTTGCAATCCAGGCACTTGCAGTTTTCAGAACAAAGGATATTTGCTTGAAAACATTCACAGTACTTCTTCAAGCATCCAGATTTCTTGCAGTGGCATCCCTTGTTATGCTTTGCTGGAATCAAACCTTCACCAGCCTCCTCCTGCATATTTACAAAATTCACTGATCAAGTGATCATAATATCATAATTAAGCAACAAATACAATGTAATTTATAATGTACTGAAACGCAAGCAGTAGAGGTTGTATAAAAGTAACAAACTGATCACATATGTGGTAGAAGATTGCTGATTCAACTTTGCATTACCATATAAGAATCCAGGCATAATTTCATTCATATATGACTAGGGCATACCTGTTCGCTGCCAGGGATTATGGGATAAATGTGCGGAATAAACAAACTCAGAAACCATACCACTGATGAAAGATGTGATTTAATGCAATGAAACAATCGAACAAGATGAACACCAGGTTCACATGGGAAACCCAAAAAGGGAAAAACCACAGTACAGCAATCAGATCCTTTCTTCAGCAGCTAATGTCACACCAATCAAGAAATCATGGCTGTGTAGAAAGTTCCACTTTCTTTATCATATTGAAAGATACCAATGTTTGCATCAATTCAAAGTTTTCTTCCCTATAAGATACATAACCTAATGTGATGGAAGAGGTTGGATGATGCATAGTGATTAATGATTATATTCTCATGATTTCCTTTCTCATCAGGGAGACATATACCACACTCCGGAAATATCAGTCAATCCTATTTAGACACACATATATTCAAAAAAACTAATACTGTACACACACACACACACACACACACACATATATATATATGTATTCCATGTAAACTAATACCCACCCTTATAGATGACTGACTATATGTCTTCACAATATATATATTATATATGTGAAAGCAATAGAAAATATAACAAACTAACATACAGCTCATAAATATTCACACCAAAAGAATATATTATTTTTTACTTACAGCAATTGAAACAAAAGAAAAACCTTTGAACATCTCATGCTGACAAGACCAAACTGTCATACATAGTTATTGCATACACAATGGAATCACTAATAAGTGATGGGTCTTATAATATTGCCATAGCTCCTACAACTGTATGACATTTGAGAAAAAAAATGGCACAAATTAACTTTAGACATTCATCTGACATGCCATCATAAAAGAAACCACTGTAGCTAAGTTTTCCTTTCATTTGAAACTCTTATTAGAGCCATGAGGTTCCACTTGCTTATCATGCTATAGCTAACCAGTCAAAAGATCAAGGCATAGTGAATAATTTTACAAATCAATTGAGGTCAAAAGGAAACCCATTTTTGTTATTGAAAGGAAAGAGGCTAGTCTTTCTGAATGATTTGTTCAATTGCAATTATTACATATGCAACACAATACATCCTGCAAACTGTTTTGACAAGCAGCATGAATCAATGAGGATGAACTTTCAATAACTGATGTCACCAATAAAATTATATATCCTACTAAAGCAAGTGTAGCAAACTAAAAGGTCTGTGAAATGTTTTGTAAAGCATATTTCATGAGACGGAATTTTGAGTCTGATCATACCCGGCTATCTCTAGCTGCATGCGGACTGTTAGCAATTTTTGGCCTGAAAGCATTTGGATTGCGCTCCAGTGTAGCCTCAATGGCTTCACGTCTGGCGCCTTCATTTTCAACATTGTTATGACAATTTACACAGTTGCAACCATCACAATAAATTCCAGAAGCAAAACACTCACAATACCTGAAATATTGTTAGTATAAGCATTACACTGTAACCCACCAAAATGATGTATAATTCAATTAAAAAAGAAAAAACAAATCAAGGAAAAATCAAAAGAACTAAATACAGGATTGACCACTACTGTCATTCTCAATTTCATTCATTTTGGAAAACTTTAAGTGACACACAAACATCAAACACATATTAAGTATGCAAAATTTAAGAATCAACATAGTGAGCTGTTACTTAAAACAAGGCTTTTGAGAAGAAAAAAATGAAATTACCAGTTCCTAATATATACACTAAGATAAGTCCGCAAACAAAAATGCACCAGCACCTTAACTGATATCTTGAGTCACATAGCTAGTTTCCTCTGTTGACTACATCAGTTACAGGGTGGATAGTGTCAATAAGCAAGCTAAACTTTGAGCTAAAATATATTTCATAGTTGATGACCTATTAAGATCATAATAGGATCAACATTACTAACCCAGAGAGAGATGGTGAGTTCACAGATGATATGTCGACATCCTGCAATCACTTGAACAACGTTTTCCTGTCCTTAAATCAGAATTTTGATTTTGTACAATAGGAATGTCCATCTTAGGTATTGATTTACACAGAGCAATGGCTTGAGGATGTAAATTACAAAGAATGAAAGGCCTAATTAAAAAAAACTGGATATAATTCTTTACCTACCTACAATGAGTTATTACCTATTTTAATTCACATTAACTAACAATCTGCAAGAAAGTATCCTGACAACAATCACTGTTGTACAAGAAAAAAAAAGATGAGAAGCAATAGCTGCTTACAACTTCAAACACCGGGAATGTTTGCAATTACAGTGCTTTTGCTTCTTTGGTGTACCATCCTTGGCTTCATTTGCATTTTGTCTTATCCGTGATCTAGGTGATTCAGGTTTCCTGAGGAAAAAAGATTGCTGTAAAATAGCACTAAAGAAACAGAAGGAAAAATTATCATTATATCATAACTGAGCTCTCATAAATGCTTAATTCAATGAAGCACAATTTAAGCACAGGCAACATTTATGAATCTATTAATCAACGGGGCTTATGGGAAATCAATTAGATAGTCCATCACTTCCCCTCGATTAGAATAAAGATGCAAGCTTGGAAAAAAAATTCAAATGCTAAATGAAAGCAAAAAAACTATTTCCCACAGGTGGGAAAAGAAGTTAAATTGGCACATAATTTTCTGCAGGCTTTCTTGTAATTTGTTGCAATAACAAACATAGAACTATTGAAGAGGCAAGAATTTAATAGTGAGAGAAACCAAAACAAACAAATCTACACCATTTATCATAAATCAATCCCTTAAAGAAAAAGTGAGCACCAACACAAGTACAAACAAAATGAGTAAATGAATTTGATGCCATAAATTTTGTAAAACATTTACTCCATGACAACTTGCAGGTGCAAAGAAAAAGCCTTTTGGGGAAACATATTAACAGTATCAATTCATAGCACGTTCAAAGTCTCTCTCTCTTCTTTGGTTGTTTTCTTCTACCAGAAGTGTAAGACGGAGCGAATTACCAACGTGGGATTAAAGAAATGTCGTGTGAATAGATAATTCAGTTGAATGTTCATATATTAAACGCGAAAATAAAACTCATCCCAATAGAAGAGAAAGAATTTACCAGAAACCTAATGTTGCCAGAAAGATCAACAACGTAAGCACCAAAGATATAATTTTTGCATGAAAGGTTCAACCTTTTCCCAAAAAAAAAAGGAAAAAGAACAACGAATTCGAACTGGCAAAGGCGACTCACACAAGAGGACGTATCGATGGATGCGTGGGTGGCGCCGTCGGCTGCGGCGGCTGCTGCATCGTCATGAAAAGCATCTGCGGCGGCTGCAAGTGAGGCGATTTCGTCGGCTGGGCGGGTTGTGTCAACTGAGGCTGCGGAGGCGGGAGTGGATGGCTCAGCTTCGCCGGTTGTTGCTGCTCCCCGCTCGATGCGCCACCACTAAAGCCAGTAAAATCCAGCTGCCTCACCAGCTTCCTCGCCGGAAAATCCACTCCCGCCGCCGTAGAAGATGCCTCCGATTGCGGCAGCGGCGGCTCTTTTGGAGGAAAATCTCCTCCTTCTCTATTCTCCATTTCAAAATCAAATCTAAATTAAAAATCTCACAACAACAACAGCAACAACTCAACAAATTCACCGCACAACTACTTTCGAACGAAGAAAAAAAATCCAACCAAATAGTAATCGAATTTCAGTCATTTCCCTCTCCAGAAGTACTCCTACCAAATTCACATTGGGGGCGACCTAAAAACGGAATCATTATTCGAATTTGAAAACTCCGCCACAATTGAAAGCAGCTGAGACTAAAAAGAAGAGAAAATTCAAAGAAAAACAAAATAATCGCAGTGCCCTTCCTCCTCAATCGCGAGAGTTTTCGATCCACACAATAATATTAAGATACAAATCCTGCGCCTCAATTTCCAGAACGTATCGTTGGAAAAGGCAAACAGAACCAAGAATTCTTCTTCGAATTGGGCTCTCTGGTCTGGTTTTTGATTCACTTCCTCCCTCTTTAGCTTAGCTTTTGAAATTCAATTTTGTGAATATTTCAACGGTTGGATGAGCATCACCATTCCATCCAACGGTTTGAAATGGGCAGCTCCAATCGACGGCCTCAATTCATAGAACCTTCAGAGGTCGACTACGCACCGTTGATCTCAGATGCCTTATTTCTTCAGGGAATTTGACGGGAGTGATAGCCTGGGTGGGTAGTTATCCAGTGCGAGCAAGTGCAGGATAGAGGTCCACAATGACTCGAAATATCATCCACGTCACTGGACACGTGTCTAATCTTCTAGAAACTGGTATTCTATGTTAGAGAAGAGAGTATGGAATTATTACCCCGACACAGAAAAGTCTATGTGAAATACTTCTGTAAATAATACTAGTATGGTTTCTATTTATATCTATAAATATTTTGAGTTTTTCAAATATTATTATAATAAAATAGCAACTTATTTTAATATTTTTTTTCGTCCATCAATTTTATTTTTTTATTTTTTTATTTATCCACTCAATTTATTTTATTATTAATTTTGACAAAATTAACAAATTAACATATAATTATTACTTTTCATTCAATAACTACTAATATTATTAAATTCTCTCTTTATTTATTTTAATTTTTAATTAAATTTTTAAAAATATTAATTATTTTTTTAATAAAATATTCATTCAAACTTCGCATTGGATTCAAATTGACTAAATTTAATAAACGTAGAGAGCATCCTATAAGAATCAATTTGGATTACTATTTTACTATTTTATATTAAATTATTTTCTTTAAAATAATTTTATTGTTTTCTTTTTGTTACTAGGTTTTTATTATTAATATATATTTTTTTAAAATAATATAATATTATAAAATTATTTTATTTTATATTATATTATAAATTTATTTTATATTTAAAATATTACATCAATTTTGATTTATATTTATAAAAAATTATTTAAATTTAATTTTTTAACATCACATCAAAAATTATTTAAATTTTAACTTTTTTAACGGATGCGTTTGCTGAAACACATGGGAACACTTTTTAAAATTTATTAAATAAAAATAATATATTGTGGCGCTAAATAGTCTGCCGCAACGTTGACTTTTCGGACATATCTATTAGGGCCTCAATGGACGCTCCAGATTTATCCATATCCCTAGTAAACGACGGACGCGATCTATTCAGATAGAAACGTGGGAAAATTCTAAAATCGGACCCGCAATAATAATAATAATATTAAATATTACCCCCGCAATAAATCGGACATATTTTTTAATTTTAATTAAATTATTTAATTATAATTTTAATCTAACTTATTGTATTTTAAGCATTTTATTATTTTTTTTATGAACATTAATATAGTGACTATAATTAATGAGTTCAGTTAGATTGAACAGAAACATTGCAGAACATCAAAATTAATGGGGGAGAATTGCAATGGCAATATGGTAAAAAAACTCGGGTCATACAATGCAAATCAATATTTTCCAACAACTCATAACTTAATACCCAAAGTTGGACGCAATACAAAAATTACACAACTCATTTCATGCAATGGGTTCATACTTAGAAAGACCCAAATAGATACATACATACGCAGGGAGAGGGACACAAAAAAATTTAGACTTCATAGTTACCCCTAATCGTGTCGACTCAAGAGAACCGAATCGAGAACCCATGCTCTGTGGTGGTGACATCACACCCAAAATCATCGAAATCGGAATCGGAATCGAAACCTCTACGCCCATTCCATTCGCCCGACGAATCCATACCTCCGCCGCCGTGTTTGTCGGGAACCCTCAACTCCGATACCGGGACTGGTAAAGGTTCTTCATTCAAGAACTTGTCATGAAGCAGTTCCATTGCAGTAGCTCTACTCGACGGATCGAAACACAACAGCTTCCTAACGAGACCCACCTCGTCGGGAGATCGATTCTTGAGGCATTCGTCCAAGCCAATTGGCTTTTCGACTTTTCCAAACGAAATTATCTTGTAATCAGGAAGTTGAGTGCAGGCAGGCCAAACTAGTTCCGTTAAGTTTCCGAGAACATTAAATATTCTTCCGAGCTGATCGATATCTGAAGTCCCGGGGAATAATGGCTCGAGGCTAAACAGCTCGGCAAAAATACAACCGACGGACCACAGGTCGATTTCCAGCCCATAGTTGGTGGAGCCGAAGAGTAATTCGGGTGCTCTGAACCATCGTGTCCCGACACAGGAGGTAAGGGGACCGTTTACGTCAGCTCCTTCCTCAGTTTCGTAAGAATAGGATTGCAGGTAAGGATCCTCCTGATCGATCGTAGTACATGTGGCGACACAAGAAGCAGCTCCATCTTGAGTCATGGAATCTTCGTCGATGTCGTGGGGACTCTCGGTGGGTCTTGGATTATCAGGATGTAAAGAGCCTTTCCCACTACCTGATTCCGCTAGCTTTTCCACTGACTGAAACATTAATGGTGGAACGGATTCGGATGGCTGAGGAAAAGGTGGTTGACTAGAAGAAGATTGCTCGTCGAACTGAGAGTAAGGGTTGGTGTCTACAAATCCCGGCGCGAGAAGGATCCTGGCCTGAAACATGACAATTTGAAATTTTACGGCCAATTTAAGAAACCATGGAAAGAACATAACTTCACAGGTAGCAACAACTCATTGATATAAAATTTTTGCCTACGTATTAGACAAATAATTAGGAGAAAATAAAGAGGTTGTTATACCATCAATTTGTCCTATTCTATTGGCATCAATTGAACAAACATCTTGAGATTATTTCTAGCAGAATGATTATCATACAACATAAACAAGAGGATTGTCGTCGCCCCACCTGCTTGCTGTAAATATCCAAGTATTCCATCATCAAATAGCCATTAAAAATCAATAATATATTTTCATAATGTTTGTGTTCATAGTCAAGATAATTTTAGCATCTCCTACGACCAAACATATTCAAACAAATAAAGAGTACCGCATTTTATGTGCACAGAACAGGAAAGTCTTGAAATTCACATAATTACATTCAAGTGCATAAGAAAATGGAAAGATAAGATATCTTAGAAATTTGATATCGTATCAGGAAAATTTTGGATTCTTTGACATCAGTGAAAACCCATTTGAATGGAGCTCAATTGAGAAAGAAGAATGCAAGCACATATTAACGAACATTCAAAATGCACGAAATGTTTATAACCAATATGTTCACTCGTGTCTCTGGCCAGTGGAAACAAATAACAGAATCAACCTATGAAAGTGGATAGATTTATTTATCATAATCATCAAATATCACAGCTGGATCTGTTCTCTATATCCAATAAAGAAACCTAGAACGCCATGATTTACGTATCAGTTTCCTCTACATGTGTAAGCAAGAAACAAAAAAACTTTGAACTTTCTATTACAAAGTAAGCAACTCAAGTTTTAATATTAAAAAGTAAATTCAACATATATTAAATGCATGCAATATTATTCTAAGAAATTATATACAAAAAATTGAAAACAAATTAGATAGCCAAAGATTTCAAAATCAAACATCTTGCTTGTAAAAAAATATATTCATGAAGTACTTACTGAAATAAACATAATCATCAGAAAAAAAATATATATATATATTTGAGGATAAACAGCATAGAGAAAAGGATTTTTGAGCATAGCATATAAACATTCCTAGGGAGAAGGAAGCATTGGAGACAGAAAAATGAGGCTTGTAAAAATAGTCCTTTATTTTTCTTTGGGACATCATCTTCTTCATTTTCACAACAATAAACCTTTTATTACCCCATTATCTTGCCAATGATCAATTGAATTCACCAGACAGGTCGGAAGGGAAAATCATAATGCAACAATGTGTTGAAGAGTGAAGAAAGAATACATATCATGACAATAGCACAATGCACGGTTCCTGACGGTTTCACAACAACATTCAAACAAAGAACATAAAGCAAAGTGTAATTGATATTAGCCGATGCTCTGAACAGGCGGTAGCAAGCTTCTGTTCTACAATGGCAAAGATATATAATGGCATTCAATTCACAAATTGCATTCCTATAGAACATCTAGGGCTGGATCATTACATGGATTGGACAAAAGAAAAACAAATTACTTCAAAATATTATAAAGCACTTATACAGAATCATATACACCGAATTTAAAAATGAAATGTCAAATATCCCAAGAAATCATATTAGCTTAAATGACAGGGAAATAGAACAGCAATAAAGAGGTGTTAAAACCACTCATACCTGTCCAAAATCGGCGATTTTGAGAACTCCATCGGAGGAAATCAGCAGATTCGACGGCTTCAAATCACGGTGAACAATCGAATTTCTATGGCAGGCGTCGACACCACGAAGAATCTGTACCATCCACCGCTTCACCTCGCCTACACCGATCCCATCCTCCCATTCCTTCTTAGCAGCCTTCACTACGGCGGCCAAATCGGTGGGCAAGTACTCGAGAACTAATACGGCGTCTTCATCTTCAGAGTAGAAGTACTCGTGCAAGGCGACGATGTTTGGGCAGTTCTGAAGCATTTGCAGGGCCTCGATTTCGCGGAAGGCGGACTGGTAGTCGTGGACTTCTTTGAGGGCGACGATTAGGGAGTCGGAACGGCGGCGGGCCTTATAGACATCGGAATAGGCGCCGGAGCCGATGCACTCTAGGATTTCATACTTGGAGGAGATCTCACGGCGCGTGTAGATGCTCCAGCTCTTCGACGGCGGCGAGGACGGCCGATCCTCCATTGATTATTATTGTTTATGGTAATCTATGATCCACGCGACGGCTGTATTTATACGTTTGATAGTTAAGAGAAAAGGAACCCTGGATGCCAATTGAGGGAAATTTTGGGAGATTTGATGTAATTGTCTGGATTTTTATTTTTTATTTTTGGTAAAAAAGGGGGTTTGTTTGGATTTGATTTTAGATTGATTTTTTATTTGAATTTTAATTCGAATATGTTCCATATAATTTATTTATTTTAATAATTATACATTTTTAATTATATTTTAAATTTTATAAGTTTTTTACGTAATTGATTTATATTTATATTTTAAATTTTTTACATAATTGATTTATATTTATATTTTAAATTTTAATTATTTTTAAAATATAATTTATTTTAATTATGAAAAGTGTATGTGAACTAGCGATAGATCATTCAGAAATCTATTGGGCTGGATTACATTTTCGAAGATATTTGTGGATCATTATCTGATTTTTTCTTTTTTTTTTTTCCGCGTATGGTTACTGAATCCATACTGCGAAGCCCAAACAAGAACCCATATAAAACGTGCAGGCGGAGGAGATAGAAAGATTCGTAGCAATATTTTATTGGCAAGATTCAAAAGCAAACACTGCAGCAGCATCGGGATACAAAATCATGTAAATATCTCCGTCAAAACATAGGGAGACTTCAATAGAATGAAGCAATACCACAGAAGATTACAGAGCTTTGATGATCTCCTCAGCACCCGAGACAGTGAACTCACCGCCGGCCTCGATGTTGGCTACCTTAACCTTGAGGTCCTCAACAAGTAGTGCATACCTCTTGGAGCGAACGCCCAATCCCTTGTCGGTGAGGTCGAGCTCAAGACCGAGTGCTTTAGTGTAGTTTGCAGAGCCATCAGCCACAAATTTGACGTGCTTGTTGTCAGGGTAGGTCTTTGCCCACGCCTTCATCACAAATGGATCATTCACTGGAAATAAGAATTGAAAAGAAATGGTGAAATGTTGGAAGGAACAAAAAAAAGATATAAAATAGATAACACAAATGTTTCCGAGAATGCAAGAGCACACAGCAATTACATTAGTTCAACAGCTTTATGAGAACAAACTACGTTAAAATGGAACTTAGAGGATTAGAATAGCAATTTGCGGATATAGAAATGACAATATATTCACGGAGAGCGCAAATTGTTTTTACTTGATTGACTACGCACACTCGGTAGTTGATGCCCAGGGTAGGTAGATAGGAATTGCCAAAAACATAGATAAATTCACTCTAAACGCAGAAATAAATCAACCAACAGAACAAAAACAACAAAATCAAGTAAATAAATCCTTCTATTAAACAATCGCGAACTGCATATTTCCGCAATCAAATTCAAGCATACCACTGATGCAGATGATTTCATCAACGCCTTTCGCCTTCAATTCCTCCGCCTTCTCAATGAAACCAGGAACGTGCTTCATGCTGCGCAATCAAACCATTAGTTTCCCCAAAACCACACAGTATATAAAAATAAAGCCTAATGAAACGGTCAATCGGAGGAAAATTACCTGCAGGTAGGGGTGAAGGCGCCGGGAACCGCGAAGAGGATGACCTTCTTTCCGGCGGCGAGCGAGTGGATCGACACGGTCTGGAGCTCATCCTTCTCATCGAAGAACGACACGTTTCCATCGGGAATGGAGTCACCTACTGCGATCGGAGCCATGGATGCGATTGCTGTGCTCTGTTGAATGCGGTTTTTTGTTTGATTAGTTTATATCGGATGGGTGATCGAGCGGTGGTTTATATATAGAGAGCCGGCCAAGAGAGGTGAACTTCAAACGGTTTATAGGCCGGAATTGAGGACTGTTTGGCGTCCGCTAGCCTACAACGAGCTTAACTTTTTGTTCTTACTTGACCAATCGGAATTTGACACGTCATATATGAGTAATGAGCGGGTGGTTGAGTGGGCAAGTATTATTGTGAGATTGTATTAATTTTTCTTTTTTTTTTTTTTTTTTTTTTGAAATTTAGTAGGTATAATAAATTTATCAAATTATGTGTAGTTAATATAATTGTTTTCATGGTTTCAAATATTGAACTAAAGATCGTATTCAATTGAGATTTTAATAAATTTTTTTTTATTTTAAAAAGTTTATGAATTTATATGAATTTAAAAAATTTACAGAGTTTACGCAGTTTAGTTTGATGAATTTTAGTAATTGATTTAGATGAATTTCTAAGAATTTTATTGAATTCTATATGGATTTATATAGATTTTGTAGGATTGTAAAATAATATTTTTATAAATATATATTAATTATATAAATTTATATTCAACATAAATCTTATAAATATAATATATAATTATTAATAAAATAAAATTTAATATTAAAATAATATATAATTATATAACTTTTTACATTAAAAAATAAATATATATATAACTATAATAAAAAATATAATTTAGGATTTTTTAAAAAAATATTAAAATAAATAAATATAAATTAACTGTTCAACAAATAATATATATTTAAATATCTATTTCACCGTCATCGGAATGATAATATAATGTATTCGATAATTGAAAAATGAGAATTACACATAAATGACAATATATTATATTCGATAACTGAAAAGAAAAGACGATAGTAATACATATTTATTATGATAATAATATTTTTAAAAATTATATTTATAATATAAAAATATCTATTTTTAAAAAATCATAATAATTTGCTAATATATTTTATTAAAAATTATAATAATATTAATAAATATTACCATGTTATTTATCATAATTGTAGACACTAAAAATATATGTCTAAAATCAATTAAATATCATGTATTTTGGAAGAAAATAAAATTCCAATAAAATAAATATATGGTATTTAATTATGCACATATGTTAATTTTTGTACAATAAATATCAACCATTAGTGCAAAATCTGCTTAAAATGGAAGATATCGTACAAATATTACGTGCATAAATAGAGCCATAATAAATTTGGCAGCAAAATAAATTAATCTTGTCAATAAAGGAAGTATATAAATTAATATCTTCCAAACAAGGCAATGATATAAAGATCTTGTCAATAAAGGAAGTATATAAATTAATATCTTCCAAAAAAGGCAATGATATAAAGATTTTGACGAGAAAGGAAGGTGCATAATCAAATCCGTCAAAAATGGAAAACGGCATCCGAGGGAAAAGGAAAGATTATAAAATCTTTCCATCCACGTGGCACCATCCGAAAAGGAAGCCAAGGCCACCCTCCCCTATAAATAGGAGCCTTGGCCAATTCATTTAGACACCGAAGTTCATTTGAAGACTCGCGCAAGGGTAAGTCTCTCTAGACTCTTTGCAATGTTCTTCATTGTTCTTCGTGTCCTTCGAAGCGTTCTTCGTCGAAAAGTCACCGATTTGGACAAATGATCCAATATTGGTTGACGAATCGATGAAGTTAACGTTCTTCGTCGTATGTCCGAACCGGAGGAAGGATCAAATCTCTCAAAGCTATCGAGGAATCCATCAAAGCCAAGGAAGAGCCTCCAAAGTCGCTCCCAAAGCTTGAAGATGTTCGTAGCGTTCTTCATAAAAGGCGCAAACCAGGCCCTCTTCGATCCAAAAGTCAAAGGGACACGCCGCCAAAAGCGTTATGGAGCACCAAATCTCTCCCTCAAAGATCAAATTCCGTCGGATCATCCAAAGGAGGCATCAATCCAAAACCGACGATCAAAATCGCCAACATGGATACCAAAGTCCTTCAAAAGCCGGCGAAGTCAAACCGAAGACCAAAATCCCTTCGGATCAAAGAAGCCACCCAAATCCAAATTGGAAAAATGGATCGACCCGGAGAGAGAATCAAAGGATCCGAATAGAGAATAGGACCCGCATTAAATTTAAATACAAATATAATTTGTACAAATTTTGTGTTTATAAAAATATAACACAATTTTTTTGTCTACAGATTTTTGGCACGCCCAGTGGGACGACTCTACCTTTCATCTCTCTTTCCGTCGAATTCTCAAAAGATCAATGGCTTCCTACAAAATCAAGACTTCCAATGCTGTGTCGAAAGCTACTGCTCTAGCCGCCACCGCCAAAGGAGTCGCTGCTGCTACATCAAGAACCTCAAGTGCTTCAATGAATGCTGGAGTGATGACACGAAGTATGGCTAAAAGAGTACTGTCATTTTCCGAGGATGCCCATCCGAAAATCACAGAGCAAAACTCACTCTATGAGGAGGACGAAAGCTTCAAGAGTACCTCCGCACCGGGCACCCCTCAAGAAGTTGCAACTCGTTCGACTGCATCGAGTTATGCCCCAGTGATGACCACGAACGCCTCAAACTTAGAAGACCAACTTGTTGCACTGGCCAAAGTTGTTGAAGGGATGTCTCAACACATGCAGCAACAAGACAATGTCATCGCAAAACTGCTTGCAAAATTGGACAAGCCGGAACCAACCAACCAGAATGCTTCGGAGGCCCAAAATGAAGCAGAAACATCCATGGATCAACGCCACGGTAAAGAAAAAATGGCGGGACTAATGCCGTTTCAAGCATCATCTGACTCTTTCATCCATCTATCCCAACTTGACGAGTATATCAAAGGAGCTCTCAAAAGGGAGTTTGAAGGAAGTTCAAGGCCAACAAATATGTATGCCAAGCCTTACACTTCAAGGATCGACGCCCTCAAGATGCCGTTGGGATATCAACCACCAAAGTTCCAACAATTTGATGGCAAAGGCAACCCAAAACAGCATGTGGCACACTTCATGGAAACATGCAACAACGCTGGGACATACGGCGATCTCTTGGTAAAGCAGTTCGTACGGTCATTAAAAGGCAACGCCTTCGACTGGTATATCGACCTGGAGGCTGGTTCCATCGACAGTTGGGAGCAGTTGGAGTACGAGTTCTTGAACCGGTTCTACAGCACAAAAAGGACCGTCAGTATGACAGAACTCACCAATACTCGTCAATGGAAAGATGAACCAGCAATCGACTACATCAACCGTTGGAGGAGTTTGAGCTTGAACTGCAAAGACCGGTTGTCTGAGGCCTCCGGTATAGAGATGTGCGTCCAAGGAATGCACTGGGGGTTGAAATACATCCTGCAAGGGATCCGACCCCACACTTTCGAAGAACTTGCTACCCGCGCTCATGACATGGAGTTAAGTATGGCTTCAAGCGGGATGCACGGACCACCAGTTCAAGAATCTTCAAAAGCAAAAAGATACGAAAGATATGATGCCGCAAAGAAGGGGAACAACGCCCCTATCAAGTCTTTTGGAAAAGAAGCCTTGGCCATAAAAGCGACGACCAAAGCACCTATGAAGATCCAAAGTAAAGAAAAGGAAGTTGCAAGGAAAAGACAATCAACTCAGACAGAAAGACCGCCAAGGCCAACCCTTAAAGAGTTGCAATCCAAAACTTATCCTTTCCTGGATTCTGACGTCTCGGGAATCTTTGACGATCTACTCAGAGAAAACCTCATTGAACTTCCGAATTCAAAAAGACCGGAGGAAGCTGGAAAGGTTGATGACCCAAGATATTGCAAATACCATCGTGTCGTAGGACATCCCATCCATAACTGTTTCATCTTTAAAGACAAAGTCATGGAGTTGGCTCATGAAGGAAAGATCACCCTTGAAGACGATTCTGCTTCTGTTAATGTCACTTCAATCATGTTCGGGTCTCTCGAAGTTGACATAAAAGACAAAGAATCATATTGTCTCACTACCGAGAAAGGTGGCAAGGCGATCAGAGACAAATCGAGTGAAGAATGTGCCACGATAACTTTCACTGATGAAGATTTGGTGTTAGGATCCAAACCCCATAATCGTCCATTACTGGTCGTGGGTTATATCCATGAACAAAGGATTAACCGGATATTCTTAGACGGAGGAGCTGCAGTCAATGTCCTTCCTCTATACACATTGCAAAAATTGGGAATACCAGTAGATCAGTTATTCGAGAGTCGTATGACAATACATGGATACAATCAAGAGGGGCAAAGAGCACTTGGCACCATAAGATTGAGACTCTTAATCGATGAAATGGAAACTAACCCTTTGTTCTACGTGATAGACGCAAAGACATCTTTCAACGTTCTTTTGGGAAGACCATGGATACATGAGAATGGTGTAGTTCCATCAACGTGGCACCAATGCTTCAAATACGCTCAAAATGGAGTGACAAAGAAAGTTCTTGGAGACACAAAGCCATATGCAGAAGCCGAGTCACACTTTGCGGACGCCAAATATTTCTCTACAGAAGCAAAAAAATCCAAGGTACATGAAGATGTCAAAGCACCACAACCAAACTTGGGGGCAAAGTTAAGAGATAAAGAAAAAACACCTGCCTCAGGTTCTGCAGACTCATTAATTGAGCCTCTAAAAGATTTGACTCTTCCGAAGACCCCACTCAACCCAATCCCCCCATCACAGACAAGGAATGGAAAAGAGGAAAAAATAGAGGCTATGCGATTGCAAAAGGACAAAAGCTTTGGCCCAAAAGCCTACAAACTTCTCACAAAAGCTGGATATAATCCAAATGAGGAATCACTGCTGGGAAAGTTACCACCACAGACAACCCAAGGTTCGAGGGCTGGTCTTGGGTACATGCCACAAGCTCCCGTACGCATCGCTATCAAAAGGGCTGCAAATCATCATATCACCGAAAGCGAGACTTTGTCTTCCAATTCACCTCAAAAGGGGAAGAATGCAAGAGTATCGGTTTTCGAGAGGCTAAAACCTTCTGTCTTCACAAGGTTAGGACCAA